GCTACATGCGAATGTGAAGGCAAAGAAGAAGAAAGCTTTGGGTTTTCAGCCGGGGGAAGGGGAGGGGCCGAGAGGCGACCACCTCACTGAATAATTGAGACGCTTTGGATGGCGGAAATGGAGACGAGCAAACTTTGTGAGAGAGTGGGACCACGGGGGCACCTGCCGAGAGCACACCACACGGGTTTTTGACACCTGATTCAAGTGAAAAGACGATGATGAATGGGAGGGAAGGGTCATTGAGAAGAGCGAAGGGAAGAGTGTTCGTTGCGCGATCGGTCGGATTAGATGGAGTGAGAGACCGCCGACACATTCTGAAGCGTTAATACATCTTGTTAGTGATCTACTTCCGGACGACACAGTGTAAATTGCACCTTTCAGAAATACATCTGAGACATTTCACGTCTTCATTCGCAACGGATCAGCGATCTTCTTCGTTCTCTGTTTACTGCGCTGCCTTTTTGTTCATAAAAGTCTCGCCACGTCATAGAGTTGTTTTTCAGTCGTGCCGTCTCCGTTTTCAGCCGCCCCGAGAGTTCACCTCCATTCATCTCCTCTCCTCTTCCTTCGTCTTCTTCTTCTTCTTCGTTCTCTTTTCGGACGACTTCCGCCCTTTCCGGGTCTCTTTCCCGTATTGCAACATGTATTTATACACCGAAAGAGAGTCGGGGTTACACGTGTGTTTGTGTAATAAAGCGTTCTCCGGTGTCGCGGCACAGAACAACCCCGTTCAAAACTCATAAAGATATAAATAATGAGTGAACGGCAAGAGGAGAAGAAAAGGGCGAGAGAGTGTGCGAGACGTGGATGCGCAGGGCGTGTTCTTCGTGAAAACCTGTAGACACCTAACAAGTTCTATTCAAGAAATAAGCGGCGGAGAGGGAGGAGAAGCCAGTCGAAGACGATCGCAAGTAGATAATACCTTGTGGTCAGAGAACAGTGCCACGTCACAGCAGCAGCTCCGCAAGGATCCTCCTCCTCCCGACCACGCAATCCTCAATTACCACCTTTGGCCTATTTTGCAATGATGATCGAACATTAGTTCAAACACAAAGAACGCGTGTGTCGGGGGGAGTGGAGAGCGCAGAGAAGAGGAGAAAACGACGAGAGGAGCGGCTGATATTAATTATTCATGAACCCCGTTGCCTCCTCATCGCAGCAGTCACAGAATGTGAAAGTGTCGAAGGAAGCGGACTAGGTACCAGAGGTTTCCGCCACGTCACTGCCCCTCAAGAGCCCTTCCCACCAAAGGCGCTTTCCGAGCAAAACAAACAATTTCCGGGCGGCTCCCACGTCTGATAATTTAATAATCGAGACACACTTCCTGCAGACCGCCGTTCCACATAAAACAAGTCATAAATATCATGAATAGTTTAGTGAACAAGTGGGAGGAGGCGGACGGCGGGAGAAGGACACACGAGGGCAGAAAACGGATGAGCGCATCAGATAACCGAAGAGGGAAAGGGGGCGATTTGAGAAGATGCTGCAGGCGAGGGAGGAATGGGAGAAGAGGGGATGGGGACGACGGGAAATGGCGGTGTTCCGGGATGCTTGTTTCCTGATTGAGTTAGCACTTGCCACGTGGCGAATGAGAGAAACATGGGCAAAAAACGAGTAACGGGCAAGTGGGAGACAAAGTGTCGGTTCGGGCTGACACTTGACAAATGACGATTGGCATCTGGCGGCTTCTTGGCCGATCGCCAGAGAAAACGACACACACACACACACAGAGTCATTTGCTGGCTGGTTGATGTGTCAAAACAGATGGCTTATTGGTCCAATGGGGATTCCGAGCAGCCGATCGTCTGGAAGTATCGGTGGACGCCACGTGGAGCTACCGTAACCCGACACCTCTCGGAATTAAGAGAGACAAAGAGAGGAGAAGAGCAGAGTACGTCAGTGGTGCGCTCTTTTTCGTCTAGGGATTCAAGAGAATCAACAAGGGTTCGCTAGTCCAGAGTTCTCCGAACTGAGCAAGAAACGTCGGATGAACAATGTTGTGGCACGATTCAAACAAGTAACGAAAGGCAGATAATCCGGATAATCTTGAGAGAGATTACACCTCCATTCCAGGGCGATTGGGTTTGCAGAAACCAAAATAGGAAGTGCACGATTCTTGGTCGCCACGCTGCTTCTAGTTCATGTCCTCCTCCTCCTCCTCCTCCTTTCTTTTTCTCTATCTTCATCTACTTTTTCTTCATTTTCCTCGCCGCCGCCGCGTTTCACGTCACATTGTTATCACCAGTCATCTATCAGATAGGCGCCCCGTATTATTGTTGAATTGGATGGAAATGGGAAAGTGTGGCGGTGGAAGTGGTGGTGGGGGAGAGGCTGCAGAAAAGACGAAAGAGGGACCGATTGATGAAAAGAATGAATTGAATTGGCCCGGAGGAAGTAAAGGATGGATCGGAAGGAGACTTGCCGGATCGGGAACTGAAAACCAATCCGACTCGATCACACATTCCTCACATGCTAATCACTTTTTGACTCGAGACACACTGCTGTCAGTTTTCCGAATGTATTTGCGCCCATAGTTCTGACCAGGTTATCGTTTAATCTTATCAACGCCTTTTCTCCTGTCCTTATCTTTTTGACCTTATCAAAGTGTGTTCAATCAAACTAAAATTTGTGCAGACCCGGAACACTCTTCAGGTCTTCTCTTCCAGGGCTCAAGTTTCAGATGCCACGCGACCGCTCTTCTCGACTTCACCGAATAGTTGGCACGCTCGTCCTGAATGTCTCCTCCACAACGCGAACAATCCATCATCCATTTACGTCCCTTTCCCTTTCTTCTTACCCCCATTCTTCAGTCCCTTTGCTAATCCGTCGACCGTATAACTAGGTACTATAAGGGGGTAAAAACACGTCATTCTGGGGTATGATCAAGGTCATAAATCAACAGTTTGTAACTTTAGACACCGGCAGAAGCAAAGACGAACAGCTGACTCTGTTCCAGTGGCGAACGCATTTGAAATGCATTGAAAGTTGTGTGTTGTCACCTTCCGGATGGCAGAAGTCAGTTAGCCCAATTAGTGTCTTTCCGAACAGATCATCCGTCATCCGCCGATCGCTGGATCGCAGTGAAGGCGGCGGCTAGATTGAAAGGAAAAGACGATGAGACATAAAAACGCGTGTCTTTTCTTTCTTCCTCGGGAAGTATCAGCTGGCGGGCAGCCTTCCGGACGAGGGTCCCGCAGACGCAGACACCGTCAAAACTTCTCATGTTGTTGTTTTTTTGTGTTCCTGATCTCTTATTCATCCTCCCTTTTTTACTTTAATCGAGAGAAAGAGAGAGGGAGAGTGGAAGGGAAACGGGATGGATTCGGGGAATTGGATTATTTCGAGCCGTGCAAATGACGTGAGACAACAACGAAGCACTTATCAAAAACCTAATCCGGGTGTCGTTTGCACATCATTTCTGACGTGGCAACATGTCCGTATCACAATACCCTTGAGACACTTTTGAAACCCGAGACGGTCATGTTTTGTGCCACTTGAGAGCAGTGAGATCTCGATGAACCTACAGTAAGCCGAAAGGTTTCAAACACTTCGCATCACCATCATCTTCCTCATCATCATTGTCGTAATCGTCAGGCAATGTGTGTGTGTGTGCGTGCGCGCGCGTGCGCGGCCAAGAAGAAGAAGACGAAGGAAAAGAAGAGATAGGAGCGGCGGCGACGACGGGCGACTCATAAATCGAGGCAGACAGCCCCATCCGCGCCAAGCGGCGGACGGACGGACGGACGGATGGAGACAACACCCGGGGCACGAAAGGGAGCGGTTTTTTGAGAAGAGGACAACCACAATGGCCACATGTTGAAAGTTCGGAAGGGAATGAATGAGTAGCCGGTCCGGGGGAGCCGAGGGAGCCACCGATTAGTCGCGGCTCACGAGGATTAGAGGGAGGAAATCGTTCGGCGCTGATTAGAAGGAATTCCATTGAGGTTTCTGAACTTGTCAAGTGGTGGCAGTCGACCCAATTCAGATTGTCCCGATAGCGATCTGCCATGACTTCAAGAGTCATTCATCTTCTCATAAACTACGGTATCTCTGCCAGATCATCATCATTACCAGACATGTGATTTCTGGAGCTCAAAGCAAAGAAAACATTCGTGACGGGCAACTTTGATCTATTCTGTTCCAAGACGTATTCCACACAAATTCATGTGCAACTGGAATGGATTATACTCTAATCCTTTCACGTTTACTCTACAATCATGTGTGACGTGGCGCTCTCTGTTGTTCTTCGTGTGTGCTTGTCCGTGAATTCCCAAATGATTACCAGTGTGACGTGGATCTGTCCGTTTCGGCAACTTCTTCTTCTCCTCCTTACTTTAACTCCTTTCCCTTCTTCTTCTTCTTCTTCTTCTTCTTCTTCTTCTTCCTCTACTGCCTGTTTTCGTTGTCTCTTCGAACTCTCCGCCCACAAATTGCATTTATTTGATGGCCAGGCGAGGCGCATCGCCTCCTCGTTTCCCGTCGGCGAAACGGAGAAGAAGAAGAAAAACGAAGAAAAAGAAGGCGAAAGAGGAGGAACACTTTGAAGATGTGAAACGGCTTGTTTTATACACTAGATATACACCAAGTTATGCTACTTTTCACTCAGGGATACTAACGGAGAAATTACATGTTTCAGAGATGTTCTTTAGTGTTAATGAGGTCAAACTAAACAAGTGTCATGGCAATTTCATGGGCACTTGAAAAATGGGAAAACAAGCAACACGAAGAGTGCGGGACAATTGAATAATAGGTTTTTTCAGAACTCTGTGTGATTTTAGCAAAAGTTGGGGATCCGATTGTCACTCTGTCACGGCCGTGATCACAGATCCGAATCTAATTTTTCTCTGAGAATGCATCTCGATCAAGTTTCAGATCAAACAGACTAGCGGCAACTTGACACCCTAATTTCTCCATTTTGACGTTATCATCGTCTTTGTCATCCAGTAACCTTCAGTTTGAAATAAAACAAGCTTCCGAAAGAACCAACAAAGAAGATCAAGATGGGATTGTTGTGAGTGTCACCTCCAGCTTCGAGTTCATTATCCTTGTTTTTGAGCACGAAGAAAGGGACCACCAGGAAGCCGTCGCCATCAAAAAATGTGAAAAGAGTGGAGAAAAAGAGCTCGAGCAACAACACGACCGAGGAGGAGAAACCGCGGAAGCCCGTGAACCCTCGGGCAAGGGAGGCTGATGAGCAGCAGCAGTCGACGGCGGCGTCGACAAAGGTAGTGAAGCCGAAAGCGAAGGTGCAGAAGAAAAAGGTGGAGAAGAAGACGGCGACGGCCGATGCGGCGAAAGCGACAACTCCGAAAGCGTCCACTCCTGCTCAGTCGCCGGATCCTCTGCAGACTCCGCCGGATGTAAAGGCCAAGAAGGACGTGGAAGACACGCCGACACTTCCTGCTCTTCTGCCTAGCAAGGAGCTGCCGCCGCCGAGCAAAGAGTCGATGAGCAAGGAGGCGATGTCATCGAAAGGAGCGGAGACACCGACATCCATCAAATCTGCCGCCACTCAGGGATCATCATTGACATCGACTACTGATCGATGGACGGGAGGACCCACTGCGAAGGGATGGATGGAGAAATCGGGTAAGAAGGTCGCTTGACTGGTTGTAGATTAATTGCTTTTTTTAGACTTCCTTGAGACAAAAATGGAATATGAGAAGCTGCAACAAATGCAAGTGAACGTGGACAAGGACTGTGGAAAGTGGAAGGCAAACGCGAAGTTCAATCAGTCCGAAGATTACCCCGCGCTCGACTCGACGCTAGTCAAATGTCCGGAAATGAAGGAATACGTCAACATCTCCAACCTCAACGTCCCTCTCCGTCGTCCAGTTCTCATCGGTCAAATCCCAGTGCCGGGTACCGAAGAGACATTCTGGAAGGCCATTTTCGAGTTGCGAGCCACCAGCATCCACCTGCTCGTCGGAGATGAGTCTGTTGAGTTCTTCCCCAAACGGGCGCTCGACTTCATCCACTACGGTTCCATGTTCGTCAACAATCGACGGGTCGAGCAGATTTCGGGCGACGACGTCTACAAGTTTGCGATCGAAGTGCTGCCGGCCGGACTGTCCAACTCGATCATCTGCAACGTGACTATGATTAAGAACTGGCAGCTGGACAGTGTGCATCCGAAGTACTCGTGCGTTGTCAAGGAGACTATTGAGCTCTCGAATGTGCTCAGCACTTCGGTCAGATTCTTTTTCCTCTATAGTGCTTACAACCTTCATTTCAGCCACCCGATGAAAACGCCCTCATCATGTCCCAGCACGGGTCTGGTCGTGCCGGATTCTTCGTCTCGTTGGCAGTAGCCGTCTACCAGATGGACAAGAAGATCGAGCCGAACTTTGCCGAAATCGTCAGAAACATCCGTACACAGCGTCCGAAGGCTGTCGAATCACTGCGTCAGTACGCCTCGTTGTATATCTCCATGTTCTACTACATCAAGAGGAAGTCGTCGAAGCTGGACGGCGACAAGAAGGCCGCCTCGGACCCCAACGACCCGCTCATCAAGAAGGCCGTGCAGCTGACAAATGCGTTCACGGAGGGACTGATGGCTGAGGTTGCGGCCAATCAGGGACTGTCCACGATGACGATGCTCATGAAACAGTGAGAGAGAAAACGAGTGCAAGAAACGAAACGTATTAATGGAACTTCATTGATCGGTCTGAATGAATAAATTCTGTGTCATGGCAAATCGTCTATCCATTCTTGCTCGTTGGGCAAACTTGCTTGCATGGACCGTCTGTAAATACGACATACTGTGGTAGATGATGATTTCCATTCGTTTATTCGTTAAAATATAAATGAAAAATTAAGAACTTATTCCATCGAAATCGGGCATTTCAAAAAGCGAGTGGGAACATTCTCAGCAAATAGACATCTATGGGGAATAAATAAAACGGGTCGTCAAAATAAATTAAAATATTTTTGGAATGAAGATGAATATCGAGTTTCTCAAAGTTTCTTATTATTATTAGTTCACCGCCTTGGCACTGAAAATTGCTACTCATTTCTACACATTATTCAAAACGGGTTAGGTTTGGGGAGAACGGATGCATTCAGGAGTGTTCACAGCCACTAAATCCTATGTACATCGAAAGGAAGGAAAGCGAAGAATGAATAGGGAAAAGCGATGAAAAAAGAATGGGAAAAAGTGAAGGATCGGGAGAAAATAAGGCAAGAAATGGGAGGAAGCTGTTGGGGGAAACGAAGAATCACTTCTTCTCTTCCTTCTTGTCGCCCTCTTCCTCCACTGGCCCAAGCGTGTGCCATTGAGCGATCGGACGACGCGGAGAGGCCAGCATGTCCATCCAATGCCTGAAAAGATCTCAGAATTGACGGCAGGGCTCTGTGACTCACCTGAGCTCGGCTCCAGTTCCATTGCAACCAAGCAGACACCGTCCGATGGCGTCGTTTGAGCCGAGTTTATCGTAATCCATCACAGTTATCATAAGCGAGACTTTCTGTAACGAAAACCCGTTGACCCGTAAAAGTGTGAAGAACGGGAGGAAAAGAAGTTAGAATGGATGAACAAAGGGTTAGGAAAGCCACCTGAATCTGTTCGAAAGGCACTTCGAAGCTGAAGGATTCGTTATAATACGGGTTAAGAGTGCACTTCTTGATTGACGTCTTCTTCTTTTTGAGCCGCTTTCCGCCCTGCATCAGCACTATTTTGACGTAAGGATCTGCAAAACACCCGGGAAATGGTTAGAAGAAAGAGTTAGGAAAGAAGAGGAAGCTGCAAGGGATCGGAGGGAGGGAGGGAAGTTAGAGAGAGAGAGAGATAGGCGAGAGACGGATTGTCTCGATCTCGGATCACCTTCATCTTGTGCAAGGGAAGTTTGTCAAACACGAAACTCTCGTTGTAGTACGGATTCAAAGTGTGTCTCTTGATCGACGTCTTCTTCTTTTTCAACCGTTTTCTGTCCTCTCCGTGCATCTCCAGTTTCACGTACGGATCTTACAGTTATACACTTTTCAAACTTTTGCGAAATGTCAAAGATCTTATTCTGCGAAGAGAAAAGGAAAGGGGTTTACCTGAAAGACCTCCGACGTCCATTTTCTTGAGGTTCTTGGCTTCCAGCACGACGACCGTCAGCTTTCCAGCAGTGGGCACGTACCGAAGGGAGAAGCAGATGTCTCCGAGACTCTTCTCCTGAAAAACCGATCATTTTCAGGACGACTGCCGACTTCTCTCACCGCTTCTTTGTCATCTGGAGGCGGTGCAATGTCCTTCCATTCCTCGATCACTTGTCCCAAATCAATCTTGCCGAGTGGAATTAGAACTTGTCCGATCTGATCGTGCTTGCTGAATCTGTCGAAGTCGTAAACGGCAAAGACGAGCGTTTTGGCGGTGATCTCGTTGAATGCCACTTTGAAAATGAACGTCTCGTTGAAGACTGGATTCAGAGTCTTTCTGTGCACTTTTGTCTCCACTTTCTTCTTCTTCTCCGGCAACAAGTACAGCTTGACATATGGATCAGAAGTACCGGACATGTCCATTCCGGGAAGATCTTCCGCCTGGATCACAGTCACTGTCAGCTGTCCTTGTTGGAAATCGTAGTCCAATTTGTACTGTATCCTTCCCAATTTCACGTCCTCCTTCTCTTCCGCCTGCGCCTTCTCGTTCTGTTCCATTGCGTCTCCGAGCTCTTCCAAGTCTTGAGCCATCTGAACTAATCTTCCATTATCATCTCATCTTTTCTTCCAGTACGAACCCCTTGAATATTCTTTCCATCGACGACGTCCTGTCCTTTTCCGAACAGTCCCTTGATTCCTCCCTTCTTGTTCTTCTCTCCGTGCCGTTTCTTTCCGAATAACTTCCGAATGATGACGAACGCGCAGGCGAGAACGAGCAGAATGAACACGAATCCGAGGAAGACAAACGCCCATTCGGGCACTGAAAAGTGGCGATCATTTTTCTCTTCTCTCCCCTTCACTTCATCAATCTCTTTCAGATTTCGTACAAATTCGAGTCTCAGGACTGCCGAAATCCAGGACATGTGTTCCGAGGGCTCCACCTAATTATTTCGCGCACTGTTTATCCGTCTTGCCCGTCAGCGCCGACTCATAAACGGCCGACTGACCACACTACTTCTAGGCTCGGAGATGAATGTGTTATTGTTCTCCCGCTCTCCGACTTCTTCTTCTTCTTTTTCTGCTCTTAATTCTTCGCGTTTTCCCTCCAGGGACACACCACTTTTTCGGCACATGCTCTTCCGTTTCTTGCGCCCAACGCGGCGACGTCAATGCTCCACGGCTACTTTTCCCTCTTTTCTCTCTACTCGAAAGTAAAAAATCTAGAATATTCAATGCATTGGGAGGAGGAAAGAAAAGGGAGAGAGAGAGAGAGGGCGTCTGCATCGCCACCGAATATCAAATTACAATTGGGGAAGGGAAGAGAAGCTGTGAAACTGGCCGGCGCCGTTGGTTTTTGGGATTTCGGATTCCGAAAGAAACGATTGTTCTGGAACAGCGAGGCAGACAGATATCTATGGGTGGACTATAGGCAGGTGTTCGATCGGAAGGATACAAGAACTTTTGCAAAACTGAATTTGGGTGGTCTTTTGAAATGTTTTATGAACTTCCGAGTTACGAAAGAGGCGTCTCGAATTTCAGAAACAAGGGAAACCCAATAAATGGCATCGAAGGATTATCATAGTTCACTTCTGACTTCTGCTCAACTGATTAGAGATCATTGAGCAGTCTGGACAACTACAGTAATCCTCCTATTATTCACTTCCTACAATCTCTTCCGTCCAAAACGAAAACTCCAAACTGGATCAAAATGACTCACTTCCAGTCTGCTGCATAACTTTCTCTTTGACGACGTCCTTCACATCGATCACTTTGTTCACAACCACATCTTTCAGCGTCTCTTTCGTCGTCGTCGCTCTGAAATTCGTTTGAGTGGGTGAAGGAATGGCCGATTTCCGTGTTCTTTTACGGCCCGTTCATGACATTTCGCGGCCGCTCACAGATTTTATACATTTCCCCGTTTTTATGTATTTCGCTTTTTCGCGCGTTCTTTGCTAGAAGGATGTGCGGAGAAACTAGAGACGGAGAAAATGGAAAGTGGAAAAGGATTATGTCTAGGTGAAGCCAATTTCCAGACGACCATAATAAAGAAAAACGGAAGGGTTCAAAAAATAAATATTATTCGTTCGAACCTCCGACTGTCATTATTCCACTCTTTTTTCGAATTATTCATAAACGAAAACATAGATGATGATGAAAATGAGAAAATAGAGATGAAATGTGAACACCGCATCCTTCTCGTTACTTTCAAGGGAATTGGAAAGGGAAAAGGCGAACGGAGGATGATTTTCATGGAAATGGTGATTGTGCCTTCTGGCGTTTCAACGAACTTTCAACGATCAACGATTGACGGTCAGCTTCAAAGCGAATGGAACTAATGAAACTTCAGTTTTCAGTCCCTCGCCACTTTCCACTTCCTTTTCCGTGTTTCCCCGACTTATGGCTCTTTTCCCCTTTCGAATGATACCATCTGAGATTAAGCGACTCACATTGAGGCCGTGCCAAAACGGGGGAATTCAGTAAAATCGCGGAAACAAAAATTGCGGAAAAAATTCCAAAAAAGATTCTTGCATGCGCCATACTTGACACGCATGTACAGTAAGCTTGCGTTTTTTGAACTGACGAACGCGTCAGAAACAGTGAACAATAAGAGTAACAAATCGAAACTCGTCGAAAGTAACTTTGCAAAATATATTTAGCCAAACAAAGTTGTATTCAAGGACCCATAATTTGGTTTTGATGGAAAATCAGTTAGGTTAGTGACACGTGCGCGTCAAGTATGGCTCATGCAAGAATCCGCGATTTTGACATTTTTATCCGCGATGTTGGTTTCCGCGATTTTAAAACGGCTCCTCACATTTGCTTCACCGCCTGCGTCGTCGTCTCCTCCATCGGCGCCTCTGCCATCACAAACTCCTTCGTCAGGTCGTCGTCCTTCTCGTCCTCTCCCGACAAGTCTAATTGTACCATGGTGACTGAAAGAAAAATGATATTCGGGCTGAGCTGCTGGAACTGGGAATGAGCAGAAATGGAATGGAAATGTGTTTACAGAAGCGAAATAATTAGAATTTTCAGAGAGAGAGTGGCCTTCGCCGCTTGTTTACTTTTCCTGAAAAGCCGAATTCCGGAACTGAAAACATGGGAAAGGGGTGGAAGAGAAACAAATGAATGATGGAGTTTACATCTGACGTTTTTCAGACGACGATGATTTTAATCCCATTATCCTAGGGCATCAATGAAAAGCCACGTCATTCCAGCTTGGAGGCTCTCCGAAGTTAGCTCCCTTGGGGACCAGGTCCATTTCCGAACTGAACCGCTCTCGAAAAAACGGCAAAGACATAGGCGAAACTGAATTCATAATAACTAAAAATTCGGAGAATTTGCATTTAAATTGGAGCTCGAAACCCCGATGGCTTCCCGCTGTTTTTTGTTATGTCGTTACGCGATTGGCCATCAAAAAACAGCTGTATCTGGAGATGGTTGAAAGCGGCAAATGATGATAATACGAATTGGTGGAGGGCGACAGAAAACGAAAGGAAACGCCGCCCGTCCCCCGAGAGACTGATCGATTTTTGGCTCCGAGAGAAGGCGTGGAGAAGCAGGTGAAAGAAGGGCTGAATGCAAACATGCAAACGCTGCTCTTGCCGGCCGCCGTCCCGGTTCCTGACTGATGACCTATCCGAATCGGAGGGATTCGAGCACATGTTTCAGTGGACTCAACGGTTTTCCCGGGGGCTCATGGAATTTTCATTAGAACGAAAGGTCAACCCACCGAGAGCAAGGACAAAAGCGAGGGGCGCATGCCATTAGTTAAATTCGAATTCGTTCTCGTTTGGGCATAATTGAAAGGAAGAGAGTCACAAGGGCAAGTACCAAAAACCGGAAGAATATTTGGACGGCGCAGGGGAAACGAGGAACCGAGAGGAGGGAACAACTCAAGTGTTTTTGAGGAGGCGGGGTCAGCGGAAATGAGTTGCCGTGAAGAAGAGCCAAAGAATCTGTTGAGATCATTCCGTTCGACATGAATTTGGTCAAGAAAAAACAAAAAAAGTCCGTTGTCGTCCGGCACCTATTCAATATTTTATAGTCCTTAGCTGCTCGTGAAGCACGACACACACACACAAGCTCACGCAGAAGAAGAAGACGACGAAGAAGTGAAAACGTTTTAGTGAGGAGCTGGAGGCCCGGTTGGCGGCTCGTGTGCTTGCGAGAGAGTGTGCTCCCTCCGCTTCTTCTTCTTCTTCTTCTTCTGCCCTGCTTTCTTCAACTGGCTCTTCTCGCGCATACTCTTTTTCGCAAAAAAGGAAAGAAAAGAAGACGAAGAAGAAGGAAAACGAGTGGAGGAGGGCGGTTGAAAACGACGTCGACGGGGCCTCCATACGAGATCGATACGAGCAAGGAGAGACAGAAAGAGTGGGGGCAGGCAGGCAACGTCTTCTGAAGGAATGGCAAAAACGAGAAGACGATTTAACGGGGCCGCCGCCGCGATTAGCGACTCACTGACTCACTGACGTGATGCGATAAATGCATACTATTGGGCACGGCGGAGAAAACGAGAAAAGAATTTGAAATACGAGTTTGAGGGGGAAATAGCTTCCGGAAAGGGTGGCAGAAGGTGGATTATTTGATTAGAAGCTTCACTTTTGGAGCTGGCCAAGCGTGGTTTTAGCTTGAGAAAGTATGTTTGATCACACAAATGCAGCTTATCCGTTCAGCTTAACATTTCGTCTTGAGAAATAATCAATTTCCGACGGGAGCAAGCATGTTTTATTCAGTTTCTCTCACACGTTTCCATTCATTACGGCATCTCGAGTTTGCACGGAACGAACGAGCGGAAATTGGAGGAATGCTTATTGGAAAGTTTTCTCAAAAACTTTGACACCGGCAGCTGCGAAAACAGAAGCCTGTCGGCCGACGTCACAATGAAACAGAGAACATTGCGATTGGCTGAGCAAATTGTTTGAGCGATTATGGAATGGGAACTAAGGGGTTGACGACCTTGTTCCGTAAAAAAACGAGGATTCAGAATTCTACGTGGGAACTTGACCACGAACTTTAGATGACCTTTGCGTTTCGATGATTCCCGGATCATTCTGTTCAACGCATGAAATTTTTCGCGATGCCATTGAAAGCAGAGTCGATTTTCAGCTTTTCTGTGAGTGATTCTTTCAGCTTTCCATTTAGATTCTTGCTGTCTAGGGACTGTTTCTCGTCGCTCTTGCACTTTTGCCATCTCTGGCCGGCTGTGACTCTACAATTGCAAGTCCTGTTTCCGCTGCTCCTGCTTCCGCTGCTCCTGCTTCTGCTGCTCCTGCTTCTGCTGCTCCTGCTTCTGCTGCTCCTGCTTCTGCTGCTCCTGCTTCTGCTGCTCCTACTGCAGCTCCTCCTTCTACTGCAGCTCCTACTACTGCGGCTCCTACTCCTGAGCCCACCACTGTCATTCCTACGACTCTGCCTCCAGTACTCGACGTTAACCCGAAGAGAATATTCGACACAAATGCTCCGTTGACCTCCATCTTCGGTTATTTCGCTCTCGATTCCCAGGACTTGTCAGTGACCCTCTTCCTGCTCGATATTATTGTCTTTTTTAAGTGAATCGTACCGTCCCTCATGGGCTTCCGTTTGGAAAATTGACGATACGCACGACGTCAACAACGGCGAGTTCCACATCGCTTTCTGGCCGCCCAAGTACTGTCAAGCGTGAGTTTAGGTCTTCAGAATTCGAGGGAGTAACCAGACAATCATAGAGTGTACGTGTGTATGCCATCCAAAAAGGACTACAATCCTTCGTCGCATTTCGAAACGGAAAAGGGCCTCTGTTCTGACAGCTACATCAAGTTCTACCCGCACGCGAAAAAGTTTGTCTTGAGTGAGTAGTTCCTCTGATGGCACCGGAATCAACGAGTCTGTTAAGAGGCTGGCAGTGCGCAAACGGAAGATGTGGAGAAGTTCTGGATGAGCAACCGTCTCATCTTCGATCTCAACGAACAGTTCGAGGCGGAACTGCATGTTTTAGACGCCGAACCGACGAACTACAAGACCTGGCAATCGGAGAGTGATAACAAAACGAGATTCAAGTTTAATCTGAAAGATAAGGACTTGTTGGTCTTGACTAACAGGTGAGCAAAGTGTGGGATGTGCAGGTTGAAACGAGTGAATTTGCAGTCGCATGTGCCAAGTGAACAAGATCGGCTCAAACTTCTACCCATTGTTCGGTTTGGAAATCACCGCTTCCACTTCTGGCGTCTTCCCTGAATGGCTGAATGACGGTGAAAAGTACGTCCGTACAGACTCCCTCCCGTCGCTTCAGAAGACTGGCCTTGGAAAAACGGTCGACTTGCTGGATGTGAGTTTTCATTCACTTTGTATTTCTTGTGAATTACGATGTTCAGTTCGTCACGAAACTGAAGTGGAGTAACGGAAACGTCGGCAAACTGACAAGAACTTGCGATCAGAAACGGATCCAGACGAGCGGCAGAACTGAGAAACCAAACTCTCTGTTCAGAAAAGTGTCTGCTCAATCGTATGACGTCAACGTTCCGAACCGCAATTGGAACGCTAAATCGGAGAGAAAGTTCACTTTGAGCGTGCAAAAATGTCACTGGTTCCGTCTCTGGGCCACCCACCCAGACACCAAAATCGAGGAGTACAAGGACAAAATGAAACTGGGAGAAACGTTGGACGTCTTCCTCAACGAAGGATTCTACTTGACTCCTGAATCTAGTCAGTTCTTTCCCCAATTCTTTCCAATCAACTTTGTTCTCAGATGAAGCACATCCACTTCCGGACGTCTATGAACTGACGAAGTTCACGATCAAGGCTCAGAGAGACGATACCGGGGACTATGATGATCTAGTCGGGTTTGACTCTAAAAGCATTGGACAAACTATCAATTCCAGGTCGAGATGTCGTACGGAGAAATGCAAGGAAGACGAATTTATCGAGAGTTTTTCAATATTCCGTGGTTGAAAGAGACGCATTTCAAAGTGCACATCATCAAAGCTCCGGGTTGCGAATTGGGAATCGACGGGGTCAGTTGGGATTGTCGGTGACTCGTGTATCATTCGTTCATTTGCAGGACACGCAGACATGGTCTGATTACGACACCGGAAGACCCAACCAAATGTGGGATATCAACAGTTGTGAGTACTCGTTCTTCCAGTAGTCTCTTCATAAAGTGGTCAATTTTTATTCAATTCAATAACATGAGAATCTGTGTAGTAATATAAATGAAGCAGAGCTTTGTGCTTACTCGCTCTCATTATCATTTCCGTTGTCGTCGTCCACACTATGATCGTCCTTTCTCACCACTTTTTTGTGCTTCATTCGTCTGTTCTGGAACCACGTCTTACTTGCGTTTCGCTCAAATTCAGTGCGTTCGCCAGTTCGATTCTCTCGGGAGTGCTCAAGTACCTGAAAGAGAGCTCTGTTCCGCGGCGGTTTCTTTTCTGATTGGTTACCTTTGCGACTCGAATCTCCGTTCCAAACCTTGCAATTGCTGGTCGCTGAACACAGTGCGCGCTTTCCTTCGCGAACTAAAAACGGGCTATAATGAAGACTGGAAACTTGGCACGTTACCATTCCAACCTCAGTCTTCGGTACGCTTTGTCGCGTTCGCCAGACGAATTTGATCGGCGGTCGTCCATATTCCGGGGAAGACTCCGTTGCGTTGAGCCATCAGAATACTGTGTTCAATGGGAAACGTGGCAGCGGCGAGCCAGAGCTGATCGGAGAGCGCGGGAGTGAGATTCGGAGCAATGTCATGGACGACTGGCAGCGAGTGCACGGACATCATTGCTTTATCCGAATTCTAGGAAACAATTCGAAATGTTGGAAGTTGACGTAAAAGAGAAAAAGAGAAAAATAAGAAAATTGTATTCTTCTGCTTACCTCATCTGAGCTGGACGGCGGAGTCGTCGCCGACTCTTCCAGTTTCATAAGTCTCTGAATCTCTTTTGAATGGCCACGAAGCAAATCTTCGATGGAGAAACTTGATGTCGAATTCATTCGGATAAGCAGGGTGTGAAAATGAGGTAAGCCGGTAATATGAAGGTCCCGAAGAGCCGGAGAGGGAGGAGCATCGGAGGGCCGAAGTGGGCGGAGTCTGCGAATGGAAGGATGGGTCCGAAGAGAAAAAGGCGAGAGAGGGGAGAGACACAAAAAAGAGTTGATGAGGGGGATAATGATTGTGAATGACAGTATCGCCCGGGGGCCATATTTCCACCCGATGACTGGATAAACAAGGATGAATGAAACGAGAGGCTGGAAATTAGGATGACATGAAGAGAAGCCAGCTAGGACTCCTTCAAAATGGATTTCCATCAATCTGACTACGAAAAATGCGAAAGTCACGCGTACGTCAGGTTGATAGGAAGCTAATACACCCGTTGAGTCCTGAGGAGACGAATTACTGATTGCATGAGAATTGCATTCTTCAGAATAGTTTGTCATGTCAAATATCTCGTAAAGCGGCCGGTTTTGCAGGCAGAATACGCTCAGAACCATGTCCGTTTCTTCCGTTCTGGCCACCTTCATCATCGCCCTCTAATTACGTGTTTTTGTTACAACAATGCGATTGAGCCCACAACAATTATCATAAGTGTGAACATGATGAGTCCTGCGGGCTAATAGCCATTGTGCAACTGAGCAATTTGAGCCCTTCCACAGATGTTCACCACTTCTCCCAACTTGTTTCCTATCACTGTACACACAATGTTGCCCTGCTACATCTGCGAAGAAAACGAGAGACTAAAGACAGAAGACGTCCCTCTTCGGCTGCCTATTATTGCATTATAGACGGCCCTAAGCGCTAGAAGGCTTTTAAGTTATTATGTCGAGCACACACACACACACACACAGACAAACTTATTAGGAAGATGTAGAGTGACGACTTCCTGTGGAGAAGTTGCCACGTCATCAGTGGCGGACAAAAGAGGGAACTTTCTCCCTTCCGTTTACAGTCAATTATCGCCATCGGCTGGTCACTTTGAACATTTGACACCTTCTGACTCTTCCATTGTTCGGACCGCAGTCGTGGGCGAGTCCGGCACGTCTTCGTCATCATCCAGAAGAAGAAGAAGAAGTAGCGGCTGCTCTGAAGACATCATCCACACCGCCGTACACAACTATTCCCAATTAATTTGCGGATTTCCCTACCGTAGAAGCAGGAGAATATAGTAGTTGTATTGAGGTTCTAATTGACACAACTGGACGCTGTTTTGTCGGCTCATTGATGCTAATTATTCGTACGAAAAGCTGTGTGAAATTGGTCGAAAACAAGATTTGATGAGAAGATGTTTGGAAGTGGCATGGGGAGATGAGCCCTTCATTGCGGAGCTGCAGCAAAGGAGAAAATGGAGGCTTGCTGAAACATTCAGGGTGATTCTGATTCCGGACCGATTTGCCTCGAGCCGCCCATTCGAATTGAAGATGTAAATGCGGGAATCTCGACGGCTCTTCAACCAATCACGTTCGTTTATACCCACTTGAACCCGTTGCAGGTGAGCGCGGCACGCACGTAAACGAGGTTTTCGAAAACTGTCTGTGGCCGGTCGGATTAGCCGATGGAGTGCGTCTGGCGGCCATGTTCCGCCTAATCCGACGACAGACAACTCTTCTTTTGATTGGGATGGCAACAACTAATGAATTGAGCAAATATTGCACTAATGGTGAGAAGACATGTGCCGCCACGCACACACCTACGAAAACAATAGGAACGCTTGCTTTGAGAGCAGAACGCTCCGGATTATGTATGTGTAGCCAATTAGGGAAAACGGAACGTTCTGAAGGATGACATGGTTAAAGCCTCCGAAGTTAATTGGCGTCGTTGCGAGTACCGGACTACTGTAATAACATTCGGAGAACTTTCCCTCAGAAACCCTCTTATCAGACCAAAGTTCGAGGCCAGATTCAAATATTGTCCGTCTATCTCTCTCTCTCTCTCTCTCCGTTTGCATTCCATTCCATATTTCACTGTTTGACCGGTTGGATCTTCATTGTTGCATGGCAAGGCAGAGAGACGCAGACACGTCAATGAGGGAGTCTCGTAAATCGACATGAGCGAGAGAGAGAATTCGAACCTCACCCCGTTAGTCCCGTCCTTCCGCCTGTTTTCCCATTGATTTCTCTTGTTTTTGCCCACAGCCTCGAACATTTTCCGGCTGAATTTCATGTGACGCGCTCGCGTGTGTATACACAAACAGCCGCTATCTATTATCACTCGGTCTTGTCTCGTTTCTTAGCGCTCTTTCCTTACATTTAGACACACTAAAAGTATCGATTTTCAGACGATGGACATGGATATGACTCTGCATTTCGGAGAGCGAGAGAAGATTCTCTTCAGCTGGTGGAAAACTGGATCCCTCTCAGGTTTGCTCTGGAATCTACTGGGTATTCGAATGAACAAGTTTTCTGCAGGAATGGCCGTCTCGATGCTCATCAGTTTTCTTCTGTGCATTCTCTACGAGGCCATCAAGTCATTCCGCTACTTTCTCGCCGTCTGGAACAATCAAAAACGATTGCAGCGACACGCGGAAGCGGCCATCACGAATCCAGCCAACTCTGGAGGCGACTCGATCTCCGAAGACTCGGTCCACATCGCTCCCCTCGTTCAGTTGTCCGGGTATGAGCTTGTGAATCTCTTCAAAAAGCAATCCTATGTTTCAGCTTCACAAGACGACTCTTCACTTCGTACCGCTTGGCTCAAGGAGCTCTTTACGGACTTCAGGTGAGCCTCAGATTCCCATCACTCATTGCTTTGATTAACCTCCAATATTGCAGGCTCTCCTCGCGTACGCGCTCATGCTCATCGTCATGACGTACAACATGAACCTGATCCTTTCGATCGTCGTTGGAGAGGCCGTCGGCTACTTTCTCTTCACTGGAAATCCGCTCGTCGACCAGCAACTCACTGACTGCTGCTGATTTTCTCGTTCTTTTCAATATTTTCAATCTCCCTCACCTATCACTTCTTCCATTCCTTGTCATTTTGTTTTCTCCAAGAATCTTTGTCAGTTAAGCATTCCACTCAGAATATGTTTGTGTGTTACAGGTATTTTCCCATTTCTTGATTTCTTTGTACTTTTCCTCAGAAACTTTGTCAGACAATTTCAATTATCTCATTCACAAAAACGACTCATAAATTATCACAGTCTTCTCTGCTCGTTGACTAGATTGATTTGCACATTTCGGAGCTGTCCATTAGGACGCCTCTCGTTCATGACAGGACGGATCTGTTGCATTCTGAAAGAGACAACTCTTTTCTGTGTTCCCTATCTGTCCGCCTCACCTGTATGAGCCCGTTATCTCCTCTGGAGAAAGAATTCTCTCAATCACTTTCGGAATTATGGCCGTCGGAGCAGGGGCGTAAGTCCCGTATCCAGCGGCCGGAGGCATCGTCGGCATCGCCCCGACTACCGTATCCACCTTCGTCGGCTGAATTGCCGTACTTCCGCTGTTGTGGTTCCGACGGGAGGGAGACGGAGATGCGATAGATCTCCCTGGATCTGGATCCGATTAGCGGGACCATTGTCGCGAATCTGTCCACGTGCGTGTCGTACTTGTCGAGAGCACCGTCGTTTTGACGGCGGGTAGGAAGGAATGGAGCTGAAATTGAAAATGGTGCGGATCAGTACATGTGCAATCTCACTTTGATAATCCTTGATAGGGGACTGACGAACAGGATTTCCGCTCGGAACAAACACTTGCGGCAAGCTTTGCGAACCCTTTTCGATAAACTTTGAGAGCTGGAATAAAGAACTTTTGAATCGTTCGCTCTGAATAACACTTACAGCAGTTGGTAAGTCGTTCGTACTCCTTGAGAGCAGTTTAGCAGCATCTGACCACACGGACGGATTCAGAAGACTCAATTCAGAAGACGACGACGCCTTTGAGTGATCCACGGCGCCGACTGTCTGCGGGAGCGGACCTCGGCAATCTTGGCTCCTTTCTGAACGATCGAGCTGAGAATGCTGTCGAAATTTGGGTTCTCGAGGAAACTTCGAAGTCCGGCTGCTTGATTCTTGATTACAGGTTCAATCTGAAGAATGGAACACGGTCAACTTGTTCGGTACTGGTTTCTAGTCTTTTTAGTCACCGGTCTAGTTGGCGGAAGATCAGGGAAGAGCACGTTCTGATGGGCTCTGTTTATCTGCTGAGGATGGATTTCAATGTGTTTCTCTTGAGGCTGGAACGGCATATTCACACGTGGAATCATCGATGGTTCTGAGTAAGTAATGAAAACGTGAATCAATTGTGACATCACATACGACATACCCTTCGGGAATAGCTCACTTTGCTCACTTCGCCGTTCATCCTCTTGCTCTTCTCTCTCTTGTGCCAGAAATTGTTGCCTGTTCTCCACCGAATCGGTGTGTTTCGGAATCGAAAACGAGGGCGGAAGGGGTGAAACTTCAATCTGAAAAGGAGCTGACTAGAATCAGAAGAGTCAACGCTCACTGGTTTCTCTGGCTGCTCGAACGTGGTTCCGTCGAGCTTCGGAGGTGATTCTTCGAGGATTTGCAGAAGCTGACGCTGATACGAAGAGGGAAGTGCTGAATAAAAACCTGGGAAAAGTTGGCATTTATCTTATTTCATTGCAACAAGAAAGTGCTTTTGGACTGAGACAAACGTTTCCACGTCATTGAGATCACCTCCGAGAGCAATTTCGATCTGTTGTAGACGTTCGTTTCCACTCAATCCGCCCGAAGTTGAGATCATTCGAATCTTCTGGGCGGTCTGAAGAATCAAAAGGATGAAAAGAATTGAAATGTATGCCCTTACACTGTACAATTCGGGTGGCAATTGACTCATTTTCTTGCTCATCTCTCCTTCTTTTCTCTTCTGAATCTTCTCGAACGTTTCTCTGATCTGATGCATCACTCTCGGAGTGATCGTTCCTTTTTCCAGAAGGAAGACAGACGTTTCCGCCATTTTCTGGATTGGAGCTTTGTTGCACGAGGACATCACCGCATGGATGTATTGAACGATTGCGGGATCTGTGATGTGTTCGGACGCCAATTTTGTGGCTGATTCTGCGAATTCCACGTCACAGTCTGTTGATATCTGCAAAAATGTTTAAAGAGATGAAACAAGAATGAATGGAAACAGACCCTGGATATGAGTGCATTTGTTCTGCTCACTAAGGCAAAGAGGAGAAAGGGAATAACTTTGAGGATCATCATGACATGCTGAAAATGGAAGAGAATGACGTCGGCATCCAAATGGACTGTGAAGCAGCCTCCTCCTACTCCTCCTCGTACGGCACGGTCCGGTTCTACTCTTCAGGGATTTGCGACGAATAGAGACCGTAACAACCGGTTGGGAGGAGGGGAGGATGGATGAAAAGTAGCATAGAAGGGGGAGGAAAAGTATGTACACTTTCGATTTGGCAAGTTGGAGAAAGTTATGGAAAAACGTACGAAAAGTTGATGGAATAAGTGAAAGGGAGTGAGGTAGTGTAGTGAACGGGAATAAAGGGGGAACAGCGGCTCTCAGTCTATACGGATGTGTACCTGTGAAAAGAGCGAATGAATTTCAACGTTGTTTGTTGTGTAACTTGATGCCGACTGACCACCGGCTGACTATGCGATCGGGAGAGAAAGCAACGTTCATGACGTGGCAATACGAAACGGATTCATTTTGGCAAAGGAAAGAGAGAGAGAGAGCAAAATCAAAACACCTGTAACAAGAAGACGAATGAGAAAACAAGAACAACTGGGAAGGAGAAGATGTTGGCAGCACTCGCCGACTCGCAAACCAACACGGGACGCGTCCGGGAGCCCGATTTGGTGCGAACGTAAGCCACGCGACATCTGGAATGAATGATCGGACTGAAATTGGAATCAGGAGACTCGACTCACTTCTTGGGCATTTGTTTCCTCCTTTTGATCTGATCGATCGGACGGGACGGTAAACTTGTGGAGGCAATGTGGGGTATTTTGAGGGTTCCGGAGTAGAAGTTGGAATTGTAGTTGTCGAGGGGACTGAGGGGATTTCCGTTGATGGTTCAGCAGTGGTTGAGGTAGTTGTGGTTGTAGTGCTCGTGCTGGGTGGGATAGTCACGATGACACGTGGCGGTAGAGCTCTTCCGTCGATAGGCGGGGGTGGAACTATCAGATCCATTTCGGTGGGATCACAAGTCTCTTTGTCCGGAGCTACAAAGCAACAACATATTGTGTGTCCCTGATGGTGGTAACATCGGTCGCCGTCACGAGATTGATGGACCAGGAGGCAATAACGATAGAATTCGTTGTTCAGATGACGGTAGACGCAGTGAGTCGACTGCTGCGGCTCTTGTTCTTCCTCATCTTCTGCAAAAGTTCAGCTCAACGGTACGGTTCTCAAAGTTCCTCTCACCTTCGTACGAATGAGGTTTCTTATTGAAGGTTTTACTTTTGGACGATGCTGACGAAGCAGTCGTCTTCGTTTTTGTGGAGGGACTGGGCGTCGTAGTCGTCATCGGCAACGTTGTCGTCAAGTCATCTGAATCCGAAACTGTTTTACTTTCCCGAAGAACTTGAACTAACCTAGAGACATTGGCAACTTCAAGCTCGGCAAAGTCGGAGCTAGAGTCGTCGTCGTCGTCGTTTCCTCAGGAGGTTCTCTGGCGATCAGTTCGAGGTCGGAATCTTCGAAGTTGAGCTGAACGGGACAGTGAATTCTATCGGATCTTTTCCGTGATTCTAACCTCAACAGCGTTCACGTAATCGTCTTCGTCCTCAATGTAATCGTTCAGAGCAAGTCGTTTGTACCTCCGTTTGCTCTCTTCTAAATTGAATTCGTTTCTGCTAACCGTACTTGAGACCATTCACCTTCGTAATCGTCGTATTCTTCTTCGTGCACAGCGTGCAGAAGGCACCGACTGCCCCTGCTCCACAAGTTTTTCCTTGACAACTCACTGGAGGAGCTGCGATTTCTGCTGAAAATGCCGAACTCACAAAGATGTTACTGTATGGTTACTGTACAGTATGATCAGCAACTCACGCAACGAGAAAGTGGGAGAAGTGACCAATCTCTGGAGGGTCGAGTGGAAAAGAGCACAACAGAAGCGGATTTCCGTGTTCTTCAGAAGTTCCAGTTTGATGTCGTACTCCTGTACAATGTACTTGACGAACGACGGATTCAGTTTGTCGACCGGCAAAGTGGTACACTTCGGAACGGCACCGCACATGTCGGAGTAGATCGGCTGAAAGCGCAAGTCTCCAGAATCAGAACAACTCCAGAATCACTCACGGCTCGATGTCGGTCTTCTGCGTCGTCGACTTCTCCGGAATCCTCGAAAAGGATTCCTCCGTCGACACAATCGTACACGCCAGTCTTCGGATTTCCGTTCCTCTCATCCGTACTCGAGAACTCGAAATAGCCGCAGGAAGTGGACGACGTCGGACACTGATTCGTCGCCTGAGCCGCCTTTGAGAAGCGACGGCCCTGCCGACACATTAACTGGAAACACGTGGGACATCAGAAGAGATCGCTTCCACTCACTTTCACATTATACGGAGCCAACGGAATGTCGTACTCTTCGTCGGCGGAACAGAGGAAAACGTAGAGAGCCAACAGCAGACAAGGCAAAAATCGTTGTGGCCAGTGCATCGGAGACAGTATCAGACCATCAGGGCAGTTCTGAAAAAACCATAGGGTCGACCAAAAAACGAAGGAAGTGACGGATGCGTAACGAGCGAGTTGCTCGTCGTTTACAATGAACCGAATACTGGTCAGCACGGGAATTCGCGGCGGAAATAGTGTGGAGGGGGAGGAAACGCAGACGAGGCAAGATGTTACAATATCTGCGAACTGACGTGTCTGTCCTATGTCAATTGTCACACGAGTGCTTACAAGTTACCTATGTTCCACAACGGTCAGCTGCCTAATATTTTGGGTTCTCTCTCTCGGTGGGCATGGAATTGAAGGAAAGGGAGTTCGATTACTGTACCTTGTAAATGATCCTACGAATCTCTGATAAAAGCGAGAAACATATATCTTTCTGGCAAACTCAGAAAATGAGTCAGCAACGGCAATGCTCATCTATCACTTTCTATTTCAAAATCTTCTATCTTTCTAGATGAACAAGACTTTTAGAACCTGGGACTTTAAGAACCAAGAACGAATAAAATTCTGTTAAATATTCGTAAAAACGCATTGCGAATTAACGTTTCCGTTCATCCCATCTGGAAATATTTAGCGAGAAATTTTTAAATTTAAAACTTGAGCTGTAATATTTTCAATGAAATGACCGATCAAGAAATGATGCGAACGAGAAGTAAAAACTAAAAAATCGTCATTTTTTGCGGATGCTCACGAAGAGCCGCATTTCCGAATTCTTCGCCGTGTAAAACCGAGGGCTCCCGGGCTCATTTCAACAGCTGTCGATTTGACGGCAAAAAGATGACCAGGGAGTGGCGAAAAACAGACACCGAGATGTGTGCACTTTCCGTGGAGAGCTCGGATTCGAATCATATTTCACAACAAGACGGATTGCTCAAGATCATTTACTGAACGAAACTGTCAGACAAATATTAAACAAAAAAGTACGGATGCATCAGTTCTCGGGTGTCTCTCATGGGACGTTTAGGAAGAATTACCAGTTTCAAAAAGAGTACAATATATAAATAATGAGTGGACAGAAGACAGGACTCAGTAAAAGCTCTGGTAACCGGGTGAAGCAAATGTGGAGCATGCAAAAAAGTTTGATGAAGTGTAGATAATACATGAAATCTAGACTGCAGAAATCTACCCAACGCTTTCGGGGCTGATAAACACGCAATTCGGGAGGACAATGGAAACTTTCACAGTGGGATGAACACGTCTTCACAGCGATATTTGGAACAAAAAAAGATAATTGCACATGAAAAAGAGGAAGAGTAAGAAGAGCTGAAAGTGGGGCAGAATATAGAAATTTTCACAAGAAAGCGAAGTGCAGAAAAGTGACATGAAATGAAAAGAAAGGGGGGGGGAAGTCTGTACAAAAAGGGTGCTAATAAAGAGAAAAATACTTTACAAAACCGGAATTTTAGAAGCTGAGCACATTTTCTCTCGGATCGTTGTCAGCCGAAGCGAGTGTCGGAAGGCCGTTATTACGGTCTCTGTTTGGCGGCTCAGCGAACGGATCACGGAACGGATCCTCCATCTGATGGTCTCCCTCCTCAGTCGTACGGCGGTAGATCGGGTTGTCGAAGTTGAGGGCGGTGAACGAACGGGGACCCAGCTTGCGACGAACAATAACGAATCCAGCGGCGATGAAACCTCCGACACACAGCAGCAGGAAGATGGTGAACATCGAGAAGCCAGAAGATGTTTCCAACTCAGCTGAAACTGAATAGAGGTTAACAAAAGAAATGCGAGTTCAATAGTCTCACCAATGCATTCCAGAGCGGCCGAAGCAGTGGTTCCTTCGCAAGCGCACGAGAACGGTCTGTCGTGCCACGTCTTCTCCTGGAGACGGTTCGTTTCTCTGTAGACGGCTCGTGGAAGACAGATATGGTCGCAATCCGAATCGGAGCATTTGTTCGACATGCTCGGCTGAGCCTGTTTGTGGTAAATACGGACGGTCATCGGCGACACGACTTTGTCCATCAGAACTTGCACATCTTCTCCGGTGAACTTGTTGACAGTGATGACACCATCATGCGCCCAATCAGTGTAGAAGATTCGGTTCTCGAAGACAGCCATGGAGAATGGATGGCTGAGATACTGATGAGAGTGTAGAACAGTCTTGATATTCTTTCCCCAGTAGTCGCAGCTGAAGATCGACTTGACTTTGGCGTCGGCCCAGTAAACACGCTTCTCCACATAGTCCAGAGTCAGTGCGTTCGGCCATTTTACGCGATCTCCCTCAACAAGCACAACACGGTGCTGTCCGTCCATTCCAGATCTCTCAATGCGAGCGGTCTTTCCCCAATCGGTCCAGAAAATAAGTCCGACCTCCGGATCAACGGCGATAGCTCTAGGCTCTTCCAGGTCAGAAGAATAGAGAACGCGCTTCTTGCCCGTCTTCAACTCGTACACGTTGATCGTGTCGGAGCCACCGTCCGTCCAGAACAGCAAGTCGTGCACCCAATCGACAGCAAGTCCGTCTGGAGTGACGACCGTACTGTTGTCCAGGAGAATTTCGTGGTTCTTGTCGCAATTGTCGGTTCCCAAAAGGGCTCCTTTGACAGTTCCAATCGAGCAGCGACGAATCGTTTGATTGTGAGCATCGGACCAAATGAGAGTCTGAAATCAGTTGGTTGCTTTGACATGTCTGAAAAGTGAAATGCTTACTCCATTGCTGATGTGGATGTCCATGGCAACAGCTGTTCCTGGGGACGTGGAGACTGGGAAAAACATTTTGTTAACGAGATCGAACTGGCGGATGGAGGCTCTGTTGGTGAGGAGAATGAGAGGATCTCCGCCCATGGCACGACATCTGTTCGCAACTCTTCCCGATCCGGCCTTATCGTCTCCGAAGCTCAGTTTGTATCCAGCATGGCAAGCACAACGGTAAGATCCAGGCGTGTTCAGGCAGATTTGATCGCAGACTCCGGCCGTCTCGCACTCGTTCACATCTGAAAGAAACGGAACAATTCGTACTCGCACATCACTTCCTGCTCCCCGATATATTAGCTTGCTCAGCTGCTCGTTTGAACAATCACAGTCCAATACCACTTCTTTTTTGCTTCCTTTCTCTCTTTTGCATTGTTTGTATCCCCGCTAAACCATTCTCTCCCTCTCTCGCAGTTACTCACCAACGCACTGTCCGTTGTCGAGTTTGTATCCGTCTTTGCAATGACAAACAGTGTTGCCGCGGATGTATGACGGTCGGCAAACGCATCCTTCTGAACCCGATTTGCACATCTCTGAAACGAACATTTAGAACGTGAAAGGATCATGTGTTTCATTACCAATTATGTTCTTCTGACCACAAACAGCGAGATTTCCGTCTCCACAGTCGAACTTGGCGCTCGAGCACAATTTGGTCATCGGGAAGCATTGAAGAGGAGTCGACGGACATTCATAGTCGATTCCCTTGTTGCAAGTGACTGAAACTAGAACTTCCATAATCTCGCGTCCTTTTTATTAGTTTCCAAATCCCCTTCCTCGTCATCTAGATTCATAAGTCCTCTTAACTAACCAGGAGTGGAAATATTGCAGTGTTTCTCGTCTCCGCCGTCCGGACAGTCCTCCACTCCGTCGCACCAAGCGGCCAACGGAAGGCATGTGAGGTGTCCTGTTTCGGCTCCGTATGCCGCGTACGTGGCTGGACAAGAGCGTTCTCCTTCGTTGCATTCTGATCTGACGTCGTGGCAATCTTCCTCATCGGAACCGTCAGGGCAGTCATCTTGTCCGTCACAGACGAACGCCTTGTTGACGCACTTATCAGAGGTCTTGCAAGCAAATTCCTGTAAAGATAGTCTCTCCGATACGTCATTTGTCCTAGAATATTCTGGTACACGTAACGCCAATTAAATGAACCGTTTAGCATCGGATCACACTAATCGCATAATGAGCGTGCCGGGCAGCTGTTCTCACATACCCCACTGAGTTTGCACGTGTGCTCCTTCTTCGGGCAGCTTCTCTCGTCCGAATGATCCTTGCAATCCACCTCTCCGTCACATTTCCATCGTTTCGGAATGCACTCGCCGGAGCCGCACTGAAATAATTCCCGTTATCATTTGTATTCAAGTTTCAATCAATGCGGTGACCACTGTCCGTTTTTGTGACAAGCGGTGCGGGGGAAATCAGACAGTGATATCAGGAAGAAAGAGCGCGCCTACACCGCCTGCACATTATCATTCGGTTCGCAAATAGCTAACTACTTAGCACACTCGATACTTTGTCCTCTTCTAAACAAAGTAACCAAACGCAAACAAATAAATATGAGAGGGGGTGGTCTGCGCATAAACAATTTCAAATGCCGGGATAAACACAATGAACGTACCTTGTGCATGTTGTTCGCGCAAGGTCTTGCAGTAGTATTGCAGTTCGAGGGTCCAGTCATCAGCTCATCGGAGCCGTCGGCACAATCCTCTTCGCCATCACAAACCCAGCTCTTGAAGATGCAATATCCGTTTGCGCACCTGAAAAAATGGAAATGTAATAAGGTCATCGGGAGAGATTGAATCGCGAGATTATATTGGACAACGACATACTGGAAGTTTAATTCCGGACACTTTTGCTTCGCCTTTTCGCAGTTTTCTTCGTCCTTTCCGTTCGTGCAGTCTCTTTGGCCGTCACAAACCCACGTGTCGGGAATGCAAAGGCTGTAGTCACCGGAAAGCTCCTCGCACTGGAACTGATTCTCTTGGCATTGAACATCTGAAGTTGGAGGATTCTTTTTAGGATAAGAACACTTCAAAAGGCGTACTTTTGCACTGATACTCATCAGATTTATCTTCGCAGTCGAACTCTCCGTCGCACACCCAGTTCTTTGGAATGCACTTGAATCTTTCCAGAGCAGATCGAACGGAAGTCACTTCACCGCATTTGTGCTCTTCGGCGCCACAACTTTCTGAAAGATTTCTTTTCAGATGAAATGTTCTAATAAAACGCTTACTCGGACAGTCCTGTTCGTCGTCTTCATCTTTGCAGTCAATGTCTCCATCACACCGCCACGATTTTGGAATGCATTTTCCATCTTTGCAGGAGAACGAATCAGTGGTGTTGCATTCTGAAATTGTCATTCTTACTTTCAAACTTCGATAGCTTTTTATTGATTTGATGACTCAGCAAACAGTTAGAGGTCATTGCGAAATCGATTGATTTGTCGGATAAATTTCGAATGGGAAAACTCACGTCTGGGAGTACGGGAGTCGGCCGAGGCGACGAACTGAACAGCGGCCAAGGCGATGAGAAAGAAACCTGTCAGGCCAAGACACTTTCTCATTACGATTGTTCTGATTGTCACCCTTGCTCGTGATTCGGGCGATTCTGGAACACAACAATGTGTTGAAATAAAGTTGGGAAAGAGGAAGAAAAAACGAGGAATTGATGAAAGTGAGCGAAAACGGAGCAGACGAAACGAAACGGAGAGTCGCACAGTTTGTTTGATAAAGCAGTAACGAGAAGAAGAGGGGCGGGGCTTCGTTGCGCCAACGAGTGACGACCGTGGGGACAGAATGGGAAACGATGGGAAATAGGGAAGCTAAGGGCCGGCCGGCCGGACGGACACGAGGTGACTGTGGTACAAAAAGACGCGGAGGGAGAGACGCGGACTATCCGCCGTTGTCTGTGGATGATCGAGAGAGAGAGGCGGGTGAGGTGGTCGTCGTTGTTTACTCGCGACAGAGTGCGGTGGGGCGCGTTTTGGATGACTGGGAGGCGAAGTGCGGGCGGGCGGACGGGCCGAGGCACAACGTCTTCTGCAGAGACGACAGCCTGTTTTTTAGTTTTTCAGTCACTCTTTTCGTTTGTTCAGCGGCGTTTTCATTGATTGGGCCCGTCTCTCGTGATGCATTTCGCAATTTTTGAGATGCGAACTCGGCTTCACATGATATATCACCGGTTGTTGGCCCCTGCCAGAGCATTCGATTCCCTTTCCGCGGGTTGAACAGCAGTTCATCGTTGAGATACTCTCACGCCCAACTATTGCCATTTTTAGCTTCTTAGAATATGACAAATTCTCAATATAAGGAAAGGGAAGTAAACTGAATAAATTGGAGCGAGTGCATGTGATGGAAATTGGAGAGCGCACACGGAAAATCCCACGAAAAGACATCGAAAATGGGAAAAAAAATGCATCGAGCGAGCGCTGTTTTCCATTGTCACGAGAGGACGGCGTCGAATTTGTCAAATAGTTGACGACTGATTCATAACAAATTCAGGTAGTAGTACCGTTTTGAAAATAAATCTGAGCAAGAGAAACGAATAGAATTTTCGAGTCTGGCCAAGTGACTCAGAAACGGAAAAGTTCGAGAAAGCAAGGTGGGTGGGGCTACAGTTTTGTTTTGATTTGTCATCATGAGAAAAACAAAAGAAACGCCAGCGTATGATTCATTCGAACTCGTGACAATCAAGGATTTACGAAGGAAACAGGAAACACAGAAATGCGTGTTTAATTGCACTTCTGTGGTGCATTTTACAACAATATTCGGCCGAATATATTACTGCTTTTACAAGACTTGAATGAACGAAAGCTCTAGGCTTCTGGGGTTATTCAGCGATGTCGAAAAATTAAAAACCTAAACGAATGAAAAAACAGTGCAGGCGTTGCGTTTTCTGATATCGCTGAAAAACTCCATCGCCTCTTCTACAGTAAACAAAACGTTCCTTTTTGCAAAACGTGGTAGCATTGAAAAAAAATAGAAAACACAAAGGAGAACGGTCGAAAATCAACAATTGTTTGGCGTTGCACGCGCTCGAGGTGGGTCAAAAAACGAATGGGTCTCGCAGCGATACATTGCGCCTTTAAAGTGAGCGCGCACGAAAGGGTGGCCTTCGGGAAGACATGCAGGGCTGGATGGGCAAGGAGAAAAAAACGACAATCATTCTGGCCAGAAGAGTCCTCTCCAACAGAGTCTCGATGGACCGCCGAACGCGACACCAAACTACAGACACGTCTGCGGTCCATCGAGACTTGAGGACTCATTCCACATGTCTTCATTTCTTAATTGTTACGTCACAACTATTTTCGTGGAAAAAGTGGGAACGACAAACAAAGAAAAAACGAACAGGCAAACCCCCTAAATCACAAGAGTGTGGGGCTACCCATTCATTGAAATCATCACAAAAATGTACGAAAATATGCCCGAAGAGAAAGAAAACGAATGAAAAGCAGAAGAATGGAACGTTCTAAATATCGTAGGGCGGTGAGTCATTGGGCGTGGCGGACCCGCTCTCCGGGAAATTGAACACGATCTCTTCGGAGAGCGACGGCGAAACGCTGTGAGCACTCGACAGGGACGACTTTCTGGAAACTCTCATTTAGTTGCCAATCGTTATCGGAGTCTGCGAACTTGCAGATTATTCGAGGGGGGAAGTGATAAGAATCCACAAGGTCAAACATGATTTCTACGAAAAGTTTCAAATAACCTCGATAAGAGAAGTAGCTGGCACGAAGATGACTTTTGAATTCTGGTGTCCGGAGTGGCTGACTTTTGACGACGGGTCGGCGGAGGCAGGAGCAGTGAGATCTTGGGCCGTTCCTCGGTCACCACAATCTCTGGCACGAAGCCAAGGTGCGAATTGGATCGGACCGGCAGGTTGACCTCGAGCAAATGAGGGGTCGGCGCACTGCAAATCCTATCACATTTCAACCTTTTTGGACTTGTTCTCGATCAACCAACCTGCAGACGCTCTGACGGGTCGAGCTGGGTCCCGAGGTCGTCTCGTCCTCAGTTGTCAGAATCTGCTGGCTCATCGAAAACGGAACGTTCAGACAGTTTCCATTTCGATGCGAAAGTGGTACATCTGAATTGAGACGTTTGAATGAAAGGAATGGAGGAGTGTGTGAACCTGGAATTGTGGGCGGTGTGTCCATCGAACTCTTGCTCCGTTTGGAACTCCTCGAAATGCTCCGAATGCTCCTAGTTTTGAGATTGTTTATCCACTCCTGGGCCTTCTTCTTCGCTTCCCTGCAAACATTTTCCATGTTCCCATCCTACCCTTCCCTCACTTCATTTTGATTTTTCTTCTTTCGTACTCGTCCACTTCCACTCGCATTTTCATCGTCGAAAGCATGAGTGTTACCTGCAATCACTTGTACTTTCCCGAATTTCGTATTCGAATCACAATTTTTTGTAGTTTCTTTTTTCGCCGTAAAAAGCCATTTTGAGTGTTTACGAGTGAGCACTTTTACGGAAGAAGGACGGGTTACGGTAGCTATTTACGAGTACGGACAAAGTGTACTGCTGCTCTGTACGTGCTCATTATGCGCAAGTCAGAAAGCCGTTCTGCTCCGTCGCTTTCCGTCTGTTACCTGATCATCCAAACTCTGATGAGGTCGAATTGAACGGAACATGAGGAGAACAATGACGGAGGCGAATGCGCCGATGATCGTCACTGCGTACATATCCGCACCGAATTTGTTATCCTGAATTCGTCATTTTTTCCGCTTTCCGATAATTTCCCGTTTGGCACCGGCTTCCTCCCCCAAAATTTCGAAAGGAATGACAGGTTTTGAAAGAGAGTTTGGTTTTAAATCTTGTATTCACTGTTCAACTTTTTTAGAGAATTTCACCAGAAGACTAAAAGAAGATGAAGAAAAACACATTCGAATGAACAAACCTGCGCAGCCTGAGCGTACAGCTGATTACGGAGAAACTTGGCAGTGTGAATGACATTGAGCGTGCAGTTCAGATCGAGAACGGCCGTTTCGTTGAACAAAGGAACACGGAGCATAGGAAGGGAAATGCTGGAATTACTGGTGGAGAGGAGAGCTGTGAGAGCAACGAATGACGGCTTACGAAGGGGATAAAAAAGAAGAAGAGGTGAGGGAGAGAACAGAGAAAAGAGAGGAGTTACCAGGGGAACCGAGTACCTTGGCCGAAGAGGAGGAGCCAAGACACGCGGAAATAGAGGGGAGAAAAGATAAGAGAAGAGGAAGGACAAACGAAAAAGAGACTCGGTTTCATTTTGCAAAAGAAGAGAGAAATTGAAGAGTTATTCGAATGGAATCAGAGAGCCATGACGATGTTGTGTGAGTTCCTCATAGGATTAAGGAAGGGAAAGGTGACGGATGTTTGTCGAAAAGGGATTAGACACATGAATGAACTATTGGTTTCAGTGTACTCGACGATGGACTCGTCGTGCCCGCGGTCAAAAAGTACACCCCACTGCTGAAAAACCACAACGGAACGGAGCTTCTCCGAATGAACGAGCTGTTCCGCGGACGGTTCAACGTGAAAGGGCTCATAGGCCGAGGCGGTTACGGACAAATATACTATGCCTCGGACTCCGTTGCCGGAGAAGCCGTCATTAAGATCGAGCCGGTGGTGCGGCATGGCAAGACGAGCAAGAGAATGCTCTTGGAGCAGAAGGTACTGTACCGCCTGCAGGGAAGACCTCACGTGCCGATTATGTGTGCTTCTGGACATACGGATAAACTCAATTTCATCGGTGAGCGCCGTTAAAGAAAAATACGAAAATGGAAAGTTCAGTGATGCAACTTCTCGGACCGAATATCGGAGATCTGAAGAAGCGGAGTCCGGTGAAGCGACTGAGTGCCCCGACCGTCGCGAGAATCATCATTCAGGTGATTCAGACATGAAAAAAAGAAGAGAATAGTGTGCGCATTGCAGGGAATCGCGGCTCTCCGCGACGTCCACTCGTTAGGCTATATTCATCGTGATGTGAAACCGGCGAATATGTGCTTCGGAATCACGCAAAACGTGAGAGAATTCCGCATTCTCTGCGTCTGGTCGTTTCAGGTGATCTAGTTGTTTTCCAGTCTCGCCACGTGCTCAAGCTGGTTGATTACGGACTCGTTCGGAGATTCAAAGACGCGGACGGCACCCGTCGGAAACCCAGATCTCGGCCCGGGTTCAGGTGAGAAGGAAGATGTTCGGTGGCAGTCAAACTCTTATTCAGAGGAACCCTACGTTATGTATCGATCCGCGTGCACGACCGGAAGGAGCAGTGTCCGGCCGATGATTTCGTCTCGATGGCCTATTCCGGAGCCGAGTTGCTGCTCATCGACCTGCCATGGAAGTGGCTCCATAGCGATGAGCTCAGAGGAGCCAAAGAGGAATTCGTGAGCAATCTCCTCCGTTTCGCATCGATTCTTTCGCTTCGTTTGCAGCAACAGCCCAACTCCGCGTTCCTCCAACTCACCGGAGACCTCTATTCTGTCTTCTGTGCGGCCGTTTTCAGCCTTCGTTCCAGTGACGAACCGGACTATTCTTCTCTGCAATCGCTACTTTTTGTGAGTACGAATGCGCACACAATTCGAAACGAATTTGCAGGATATGATGGGTGTGAAGTCAATGAAAGATGCTTATGACTGGGAGGAAAACTATCGCGAAGTGTACGGAAGTGAGCGTCAGAAGCCAGCGGATTCCACATTCGAAATCGGAGAACAGCAGGAAGAGAAGGTCGTGGAAGTTTAAACTTTTGAGAAGTGAGATGGCTGTAAAGAATATGATCGGAAATGCACGAGTAATATTCTGGTGAAGTTCCCTTATTAAATATGAATGTGTTTTGGCCTGTCATTTGTGCAGAATACTCCGAATGAACTGCGTGCGGAGGTCTGAATTGGGTCGCGCGTGTAGGAATGCAAGAAATGAGAAAACTTGAGTAGTGCATTCATGAATAGCACGAGATTAGTAGAAGCAGATAGTGTGGAGAAGATTTCTTTTCGGATGATGCTCCTCGAAATCTGTTATGATTTGATCGATGTCGTTTTCGAAATCTTCGCACTTTTCGAGTTTTCGCACAGTTCGGCGACGAAGAAGGATCCGAGCGTGGCTTCATCGGGATTATCCTCGATGTCGATGTTGATGACGTGCACTGGATTTCCTGTGGTTCCGACTCTTCGATTCAGAAAATCGATTATCTAAATGTTTTGAGTTGAGTAAATAACTGAGCACAATTTTCTGACACCTGATCGAAAACTCTTTCCTCCAGACACAAAACGATGTCGAACTCGCGTGTCTCGTTTTGAAATCTTTGCGGACGAGACTTTATCCGTCGGTTGCGGTCAACCATACTTAAGAGACCGTTTCCTGTGTACCTAAGACATAAATAGGTAATCAATTGAAGGCGAAATTAATTGAGGGTACTCACAGGCTGAAGTCTTTAGCACACAAGTCTTTGTAAATGTCCTCGTAGGTGGTCGAACCGAATTCGTAACAATTTGGCCTATCAGGTGCCGGTCCGGGCATTTTTACTTGATTTCCAGATCCGTATGACTCGATGTTGAATCCGCGTTTTCTGAAAAATCGATTGATGTGCGGAAAAATCGCGTTTTTGTTACTTGAGCTCGCCATGAGCTTCCATGGAGCGATTCATATTGCTGGAGCAGCTGACTGCAAACCGCAACTTCGACGAATACTCCATCCTATAAAAACCTCCAGAATTGCAATCAAATGAATGAAAAACAGTTTGATATAGGCTAAAATTCAAAGAGAATTGACGAAATGACCCTAACAGCACTTCTCCGAGAGAACTACACATGCGGAGTTTCCTAGGCCAGTCTACTAACTAGTCCGCCAACATGCTCAGGAAAAAAGCCGCCGGCGACCTTCCGATGCCGAATTGGCGCTCCTTTGACGCCGAGGCTGTGCCGGCGCCTTTTTTCTTTGAGAGGAGCATAGAACTTGCTTATTCCCAAAGCAACCGTCATCAAGAAGACGTCTCCCTCGGAATGCTGGATGGCGACTACTTCATTTCGAACCGGCAGACGTTGTGAACAGTCAAGCAAGCACGGATCCACCGATCGGAAGGACAACGACGCACAAGCGCTCCAGGTTAGTCCAGATCTTTCAAAAGCACCGAGGATCCATCGGAACCACGACTTTCAGACAGATACCTGCATCTATCGAAAACTGGAGGCAGGGTTCCGATGATGAAGAAGTTGGAGATGGAGGAGAGGAAGGGATGATCAAAAGCACCGAGGATCAATGCTTTTCTGATGCTACCTTGTTTCTGTGAGGAACCCTAGCATTGGTACGAAATGTTTATCGTGTGTTTCACCCATTAACCCCTTAACCCTTTTGTTCTCTCGAGTAGCTCCCTTGTGTGGTGTGAAGTATAAGAGAATGTAAAATAGTTGTGAAGCAAAAAATGCTTACGGAGTAGTTAGTGTTTCTTGTGATTTTGGTACAGAAGATTTCTCAAATTTCATTCCACCAGTGTAATTAACTCGGTAACAGATGTCACAGTCAACAAAAGAGTTCTGGTCATGCACTCGCCCGCCCCTTTTCTTGCGAGAGAGTGCACAACAGGTGCTCAGTCGGGCGAGCTTCTTTCAATACAAACACGCGCATTGGCACCTTCCTTTGGAGCCGAATTTGCTCAATTTGTCCCCTTTCCATTGTTGAATCGAGCATTTACTCTGTTCAAATGTCGACATGAGACCTCTGGTTTCGCTCCTTTCTCCCTCCTCGCCGTCCTTCAGCATTCGGATGCCGGTTGTCTGAAACCTCGACCGACTCGCTCCTACATTCACAGTCTTTTTGAAAATTCGGATGTCATTGTGGCCGGTGTCATCACTGGAATATCCTATCGAGTTGACTCACTTTATATTGAGGTAACAGGAAGTTTCAGAAAACTCAACTCAATTGCATATTGTACCGTTTTTCAGAACATTACCGTAACGCCTAGTAGAATTTACAGAGGGAAGGAGTATGTGGAAGAGAATGAGAACATTATCATTGGCAACATTTTGGAGACAGAGGTACCTGGAATCTATCAAAAAATACAATAATCTTATCGTTCAGCCGTGTGCTCATCGTCTTCTGGCTTCCGAAGTACGTATCTTTTCCTTGACGAATCAGCAAGGGCACTTCCTTCTGGACGCCCCAATGATCCGCATTTCCTTGCCAACTCTGGATTCTCTGCATACAATCTCTCGAGGGTTAGCTCATCGGAAACGAAGGAGAACGAAGCAATGTTAGACATTGAAATTTCTCAATTTCAAAATCAGAAAATTGATCCTTTTTCAGCAGTTTGTGAGGTCTCACTGTGTCCGTTCGGTTCCAAATGCGGTCTGAAGACGGGGACGTGCGAGTGCAAGGCAAAGTGCCGCGTGGCAAGTGACGTCGTCTGCGGATCGGACCACGTCTCCTACTCCTCCTTCTGCCACCTATCCGTCCGAAGTTGTGTGCTGGCCAAGAAGGGCGTCCGTCTACGAGTGGCTTCCAAAGGACCGTGCAGTGAGTTCCTTCTCCAGATGACTCTTCCTTCCTCCTTTCTGCCTAATAATATTGTCCCAATTATCCGTGCTCATCTGTCATCTGTTGCTCCGTCGGTCCGTGTGATTCGTCTGCTCTTTTATTCACGTTTCGCGCGTTTCTCCCTTCCGTCGCATTGTTTGTGGTTTGGCTGCTGCTGCATTGACCGAAACGGTGCGGCCAAACAGGGCAAAGGGAGGGGAGCACCTGGCATAGAGAGCTCTTTGTAAGACAGTAATCCCGTGCACATACATGCAGGAGAAACTATTACGGAGTGTCCGAAAGTGTGAGAATGAACCGAATTTGAGTGTTATTGAGACTGAGAGCACTTGAGAATGATAACTGATGGGAATTTGAAGGAAGTTAGACAATGAATAGAGGGAAGGTTTCAATTGAAAGAGATTTCTGAAATCCTCCAAGCTCCTTCTCTATTCTCTTCTCTTCAGAATGGACTTCTCATCCCATCCAAACTCGTTGAGTAGTTTTGAAGGGTCCCTCCGATGTGTCAGGAGATAAATTAGATTCGAGCCTTCGCCCCTTTTCCCCAGAGCATTCACTCCTCGAACCGAAATTTGCCTTCTTCCACTTGCCAGTATTCCTCTTTCTCTTCTTCATGCACACTCCGTTCTTTCTGCTCTATTCTTTGATCTCTTTTGTTTTTGGGTGTTACAAGTATCCAAAAGGTGGGATTACTTACTTAAAGTCGAAAACAACTAGGACCTTCCAGAGAAAAGGAATCCGTGCGAAGACTTGCGATGCGGACCAGGAGAGGATTGTGTTGTCAACCAGATAAACGGGATCCTTCTGGCCCAATGTGTCTGCCCCACTCAATGTCCGAACTACGGGGATTCTGTCGAATCGTCTCCGGTCTGCTCTTCGCATGGAGTTGATTACCAGTCCTCTTGCCACTTGAGACACCATGCTTGCGAATCCAAGACAAACATTACTGTCAAGTTTTACGGGAGATGCGGTAAATCACATTCATAATAGCATAAATCTTGGGAATGAAACCTGCTCAGATCCATGCCACGGTCAAAAGTGCTCGAATGGTCAGACTTGTCAACTGGGAGTCGACCGGAAGCCAGAGTGCAGATGCACAGAACAATGCCCGATGAACAGTGCCCACGTGTGCGGAACTGATGGAAAGACGTGAGTGGTTCGGGGTGAGGAATAACTCGGAACTGTTGCTTTCAGTTACTTGAACGATTGCTTCCTGAAACTGGCATCCTGCAAAGAGCAAAAGGATATAATTGTTTGGAAGCGTGGAAAATGCGACGAAGTGGGCAGTCCGTGCGAGAAATGGAGTGCGGATTCTGGGGAAGCTGTTCGATCAAACCGGACAGAACGGCAGAATGTGAATGTCCGAAGGATTGTGAGGATGTCATGAGACCAGTGTGTGCAACCGTAAGGGAAAAGTTTGATGACTACACTCAAGAAGAGCATTCAGAACGGAGAAACATTCGACAATGAGTGCGAGATGAAGAGGAAAGCCTGCGAGACGAAGACCAACGTCAGAGTGAAACATCAGGGAACTTGTGGTCGGTCCCCTTTATCTTCCGAATTCCCATTTTGTACTACTTTTAGGCATCGGAGTGTGTGCCACTTTCAATTCCTGTAAGAAGCCGCAAGTGTGCGTGGCAGTTGACGGAAAGCCAAAGTGCGTGTGTCCGTCGTGCACTGACGAACTGAAAGAGGTGTGTGGAAGTGACGGGAAGACGTATGCGAACGAATGCAAACTGAGAAATGCGGCGTGTGTCAGTCAGAAGGACATCTTCGTCAAGTATTCTGCTGTCTGCGGTTAGTTGTGTTCCAATCTATGTAAATGGAAACGACGTCAACTTTCAGAAGGATGCAAGGATAAAAAGTGTGACTTCTACTCGTCGTGCGTGGTCGGAGAGAACCACAGACCGGAGTGCAAGTGTCCGGATGACTGTCCCACTTCGGAGTTGGGACAAGGGAAAGAAGTGTGCGGAACGGATTCGGTCACTTATTCATCCGAATGCCATCTGAGGAAGTCGGCGTGTCATCAGAAGAAGTTTATTGTGATGGCTTTTGAAGGAAAGTGCGGTATGTTGGATGTGATTGTTTACACCTTCCAACTACTCCAAAATCTTCAGATGAGTGTCTGCATGTTCAGTGCAGATACGGAGAGGAATGCCGTGGCGGAGTGTGTGTCTGCTCGTACAACTGCCCCGCAAACCCACCACTTTCTGCTAGAATTTGCGGAGAGAACGGGGTAATCTCAGGAATTGCTCTCGTCATGCTCTTCTCTCCTATTCCAGGTGCTCTACCCTTCGCTCTGCCATCTCCAATTGGCCTCTTGTCAGAAAGGCGCTCCGATTTCCGAGATGCCTCCATCTCATTGTCATTCGTCGCAAACGGCATTCCCAGGTTTGAGCATGGAAATGACTGTCCTTCTGTTCGAACTGAACTGCAAGTGGCGTTCTCTACTTCTCTCGAGTTCGCATGGTGTCTAGTCGACTTCTCCGAATCGGTTATGCTCTTTTTTCGTCCATCATCAGTTATCAGTTATCTTGTGCGTCTGCTCTTTCGGAGCCACGTGCCACAACGGGCGGTGCATTTGCCCTCCGTGCAATCTGTCCTCTCGTTATCCGATCTGCGGATCTGATGGAGTCATCTACGAGAATCAGTGCCAACTGAACACCATTTCGTGTCGAGACCAGAGAGAAATCCACGTGTTGCCACTAGTTTCACAGTGCGATCAGAAGAACGGTCAGGGATCGGCAGAAAAAAAGTGGGAAAGGGACCGTTGATTTCAGATTCTTGTGAGTGCAACCGTGTCGGATCGTTCGGACACGCTTGCGACGAGACTGGACAGTGCAAGTGCCGGCCGGGAGTCGCCGGTCTCAAGTGCGACCATTGTCTACCGTCCTTCTGGGGAATTCATCTGATTGCTCAGGGAGCTCTTTCTTGCAGACGTACTTTGAAACGTAATCGGGGCACATACTGACAGTTGGTTTCAGCTTGCGGATGCAGTGCTTTCGGCTCAGCAAGGCCCGATTGCGAACAGACGACCGGAAAGTGTGAGTGCCGAAACGAAGCCCTCGGTGACAAGTGCAATCAGTGTCCGAACGGATCCATGATGACCGCGGGAGGCTGTGTGTCGCCGGCCGACTACAAACACCTCGGTATCAATCTCATTTGATTCCTTCCACTCATTCTACCTTTCAGAGACTGTCAATCTCTGCATTGTTTCCACGGCGCCAAGTGTGTTCCCTCTCCTGCTAGCTTCCCCGATTGTGTCTGTCCCCAGTCGTGTCACATGGATCATCTGGGAGTGGTTTCCAACATGACAGTCTGCGGATCCGACGGAACCACTTACACCAATCTGTGCGAACTAAAAATGTTCGCTTGCAAACATCAAATCGACGTGGTTCCAGTTTCCATGGGAATCTGTGACGACGGTAAGGGATCGAGATGATTGTTTGAGAGACATAGATCATTTCAGAAAGTTTCGAAGTTCTGGATCGTCTTCAACGCGAACAGAATCCCGAGGAAAAGAGGCTAGGATCTCCTTGTGTCCATCATGAAGAGTGTGAAAAGGTAAAGAGAGAAATAAGAATAAAAGAGGAGCAATGTGTTTCAGCTGGATGCTCAATGCATAACGAGACCCGGCAGGAAATCTGTTTGCGATTGTGGAGAAGGATGGAAAAGTCATCAGGGAATATGTGTAGAAGAAGCGAAACGGCGAAAGTCTGACCAGTTAGACCTGACGACCGATCTCCATTCCGACTGGCTCCTGGTCCGAAAGGGATGTTACCAGATTCTCGAAGCTCTCTATGCAGGTACAAACGTGACGTATCGTTCCGAAGACCCCACCGTTTCTTCAGATTCATATGAAAGAAAAGAAGGAAGGAACACTTCTGAGAATGGTCACAGATGACAAGAAAGATTTGCGAATCGTTCATGAAAACCGTCGGATTGTCATCAAGTATGTACAAGTTGAGCACGAGTTCAACCGAGTAGAAATACAAGAATGAGAATAAAAGTGACGCAGAAAAAGGTTGCGAAGGCGACGAGAGCGACCATAAAGATGGACACGTGGTGGCCGAACGATTCGGCGTCTTCGGGGGTCATGCAGCACGGCAGCCAGCCACAGTTTATCTTTTTCGGGGGACGGGTGTACTGAAAACGAACAGAATAGTCTCAGTTGGCTTCCCTTGCTGCTCACCTCTTCCTCTTCGGTCTCTTCGGATTCATGCCGAACTCGCGAGACTGAAACCCGAGATCCGGGTCTTTTGGGCAAATCAATAACGATTGACTGGCGACCGCTCATTTTGGGAAAGAACTGTCGAATTGATAAGAAATTAAAAGTGTTTCCAACAATTACGTTATCAGCTGAAATACTTTCAGAGTCGGCAAAGCACAAGTGGAGTCACTGCAGACCATTGCGTACAACGTCAGTTTGGAAGTAATTGAGACCATTTCTTGATAAAAAGTAATCATACTAGTTTCAGTTGAAATGGAAACGAAATGAAGTGCAGTTCAAACTGAATGGAGAGATTCAGAAGCACAAGTTCGAAGACGTGCTGGATTCTTCGGTGAAGAGAATATTCTTGGGAACCGATGGAAAATGGGAGAAGAACCGACTGAATGCGATCGTTGGATTCCTGGAAATTGATGACGTGGCAGTCCGAAAAGAAGACGTCAAACCGTTCTGTGAGTACCAAATTAGAACAAAAAGATGATGATGTTATTCTAGATATGCCGCCTGAAATCACGAAAACGTTGAAATTTCAAGAAGGCGGATACCTCAGATACCAAGATTTGGGGATGGACGTACGCGAGAAAACGCATTTCGAGATAGTATTCAAGCCTCACAGAACCAACGGTAAAGTACTCAAACGGTCACGAGCATCCTAACATTTGTCTCCAGGACTTGTACTCTACTGGTCGGTTCCTTCTGATCCTCACACGGACTTTGTCGCCTTCGCAATGATCGACGCAAAACCTCACTTTGTGTACGAACTCGGATCGGGCCTATCCTATATTCGGTGAGTTTCTGTTGCTTCTAAAGTTATTGTTTCATTTAGTGGAGAACCGCTTCCTCTGAATACGTGGCACAGTGTGCGGATTGAGAGGTTCGGGAAGGAAGTGTCGATGTTTGTGAATGTGACACTCGTCAAGAAGCACACATCACAGGTTGACAATCGGACGGAACATGTTCCAAATTCGTTCGTTTCAGACCAAGAATGCGCACTTGGACATTGCTAAAAACGACGTTCTGTTCGTTGGAACCGTTCCGGACGGGATAATTTCTCACAAAGTCCGTAAACTGAACGTTCCGTTTGAGGGAGAGCTCCAAGTGCTGCGGATCAACGAATTGCCGATTAACCTCGTCTCCGTGAGTTTGTTTTCCACGTCGGGGGACCAAAACGGATAATTAAAAAAAAAGTCATTTCATCAAGCTAGACGCTCGTTCCTCTTTTCTCATTATTATTATTGGTAATGTCCACGTTCCCCCATTGAAAAGTGATCCGAAAACAGACACGTCTGAAAAAAGATAGGAGGGAAGGTCAGCTGGTTTCATTTCCCTGAGTGGAAAGATGCATCCATTATGGATGAGCCCCGAGAAGACTGACATTGTTGCAAAGTTGCACGCATGACGGGACGACCCGGAATAGATTACATGTTCACCGAATGAGCTCTCACTATCAGAAATGATCACCTTTTATATGTGTGCGTGTGAGAAAATGAGGAAACCAACAAGCGATTTATTGTGCGGAACGGAACAGAGAAAAGCAATCGGATCACATGCCTATCCGAGTCGGTAGTAGGCGTTGGCGCTGGCCCGGCTCAGGCTCTCTGTTCTCTTCTGTCCTCCGCGTCCCGGCATCTGGAGGTGGATGTTCCGCCAGAAGTTCTCCAGACTTCTCTTCGGAAGCTCTCCGGCGACGACGTACGAGTCGTCCGTGTCTGCAACAAAAAATACGTTGTTTTGAAGGCATGTTGTGCTTGATATAATTCCAGTCTAATTAAATCTACAAAGCTGCCATTTCCTCCTCGTTCACGGGCGCCTTCTGGAGACCTTCTTCTCGTATTAATGAAGCCCTCCCTCACCCTTTTCCTTCTTTCCCTAACCCCAAATTACTGATGCATTAGGCGGGTGGAAAAAGGAAAAAAGAAAGAGCGAGATGAAGGGAAGAAGTTTCTTGGAATTCTATTGAACTCCTTCAGTTTCGTCACAAATTGCTCTCAAATTGTTCTTGTTCCATTTCGCTCGGATGATTACCCATTGTTCGGAGCAGAGCTCAGAGTTCTTCTTGCTCGTTCAGATCAGACTAAGCACGAAGACCAACGCCTTCAAGGTATTTGAGGAACGGAACTCACCGTACAAGAAACCGTAGGACACGGCCAAAAGGGCAAAGAAGGCGATGAGAACAGCGAAACGCATCGTTAGTGGAGTGGAGGAAATCGGAGACAGAAGCGACTGAAAACGGGTTGGAATGAGTGAGCCAAAAGGGGCGGAGCATCGGGAGGGAATCGGAGGAGGGGCGGAGCAAAGTGTGGAAGAGAGAAGAATGGGACCACCTGAAAGAGGAACTGGATGGAACATGAGTCATTGGAAATTGAACAATTCACTTAGGAATTAACGGAAATTAGAGCGGAGAATCTGCATTTTCTTGAGCAAAAAAGCGAGCTAGCGAGTGCTGAGAGAGTTAATCTCGTGATGAATAACGCACTCAATTTCCTTGTGACTTCCAATTTCCGATTTCCGACTTCCGTTCCGATTTTCTTAGTTTCATTTCCGTCAAAGAGCCCAGAGAGTCTCAATGAAGAACATCCCATGGAAGGATCTTCTTGGTATCAGAACTTCGCTAATCTACTTTGTCTGCAGATCCGCGCATTAGTATGTCCCTCGTCATTCGCCCTTTATCTGTTCAATTATTTTTAGATAAAACTCTTTGGATTTCCAAACGTTCATACATCTCATTAGAGCCTTGTCCTCTAAAATGTTTTCCCCGAAATCTGAGCATCGCTTCTCACGATCACATTTCCGGGAAACGAATAAGACGATGAAGATGATGATTCGATCTCAGGCTTCATAAAAAAGGAGCATTGTTCGGCGGAGAAATGAGGAAAAAAGGCGGATAATGGAGTGGTGTAATTACAGTTTGAATGAACGAGCATTGTGCCCTTTCATGCGATTTATTACCCTCTAGCTCGAATTGGAAGAGAAAGTCGAAATAAAATGGAAATGGATTTCAGGGAGTGCCGAGCGACGCCGCGGAGAAGATTGATTCGAAGGAGACGGAAGAGTGCGGAAGGTGCGACGGAGCCTGTTTCGACCGCAAAGGGACCGCAATTTGTCGGCAGCACGAGAGTGAGTGATCACTTTTTGAACGCCGAAAACCAATTGGAAATGCATGAATTCTCACCTGATCGGTTCGAAATGTGAAGGTTGACCCTAGAAAACTGTCCCGAGTGCTTTCTCTCTTTTTTCGATTCTCGATCACTGAGAAATTGTTGATCTGTGCGTGTCGTGAAGGGGAAAAAGAAGAGAAAAAGGACTGAAATTAGTTAAATTTACTCTCAAATATTGGCCAAATAACCGTCAGCTTCTCCCCTTTCCCCTTCGGTTTTCGATGCCTTCGGGGACCTAGTTTCACTCGGAAATACAACTACTTTAAGAAGTAATAAACGTAGTGACAATGACTTTTTCGATTACGTTTCTCGTTCCGAAAAAGTTTCGTTTTGTGCTCGCTCAAAAAGCGAAGAAGGAGTGGAAAAGGAAGAGAAAACGGGAAAAGAGTCGTCCAATTACGGCATTAGAATGAAAGTGAGCAGTCAAGAATTAATGGGGGAAAACGGGAGAAAAAGTGTTTTCTTTTTAGATGATGCGCGTGGAATCCACATAAATGAGCACGAGGAGCTCGTTTACCCGAACAACGCCACCTTCTCGTGAGTTACTAATTCTTCGAACGTCATCTGAAGATCTTTGCTTTTCAGAATCGCCTCTTCCAAACTCTCCAACTTTTCGTTCGAATTCCGAACACTCAAACAGTTTGGTAAGTTATAGAATAAGCCGAGGCGTTGGCGGAAACGAGCGAGCGCCTAAATCACGTCTTCTGTTTCTGTTCCTGCTTCCAGATTTAAAGAGGGATTTCAAGGGGATTTGCAGATCAGAACAACTCTTTCGCAGGCCCCGCTCTCGAAAATAAGAATGTTGAATTCGTGCATTGCAGGCGTTCTGTGGCTGGAGGGAGCATGGAGCCAGACCGACGGCGACGGAGACTTCTTGCTCGTTTTCATCGACGAGGGACGGCTGTACGTGGGCATCAACCTGGGCACCGACCGGCATTTGAAACCGATCTCGACGAATGTGACTGTGGCAGACAATCATTGGCATACGGTAGCATTCAGAAGGTAAGCAAGACTCGTGATGTTCTTCTAGAGATCAATTGAGGAAATGAGCCAAGAAACGTGGTAAATAGATTTCACGGCTGAGAAAGCTTCGAATGAGAAAACGAGGGAATAAATCAGAGGATGTCGTGCGGGCGGAAAGGAGCGTGTCTTCTGATTCATGACAGAATGTTTCAGAAAAGAGCGAAAGTGCGAGCTGTGGGTCGACTCGAAGAAGCTGCTCCAAGTGGTCGCTTCCCCTGGAGACACCGCCCTCGACACGAACGGACTCGTCTACTTCGGAGGAGCCATTCCAAAAAGCATCGGCTTCTGAAGTCTCTCGACCTGGCGAACAAGTTTGTCGGCTGCGTGCGGAATCTGAAAATCTTCGGCCAAGAAGTCAATCTTTTGGTGGACTCGCTGAAGTCTGTCGAGACGCCCAAGTACTGCTACAACTGAATTGCACCAATTTTATACGATTTATTACTTTTATTATTATTATTCAGATTCAGATTCCAGATTTCAGATTGTTCTCGTCAAACTCAAACTACAGGTGATATTTAGAGCTATGTATATACACTTCAGATGCTTACGGAAATAATAATAAATGAATGGAAAGTCGAAGTGTTCTGGAGCACCAGAATCCACAGAATTTCCATAAAAAAACGTTAGAAAATACTAGTGACAGTTTCCGAAAAACGAACATTACTCTTAATTTTGACACTCCGTTTAAACGATTCTTCTCGCCGCGAAACCGTCCGCTGCCGCTTCAGAAACCACCGGCTAGAGCCCAATTTTACGATGCGCGTCGAGCTGTTTTGCACCGTACATAGACTTGGGATTCTGATACTTGTCGTTGGATCTGAAGCAGATTAGGATAGAGAGAAAGGAAGAAAGAGCGAGTAAATACCTTTGCTGATAAGATGAAATTGAAAGGTTGGCGGTTGGAAGCTGTAGGCCTGAATGAACTGCGACGGACGGCTTCGTTTCGAAACACGGACTGAAAAGAGATCAAGAGATCAATATCACCAAAGGAAGACTCACGAGGATTTCTGCCAACCGGCGTTCGTCGTCTCAGAAGCGGTTGGTGTCTGGCGAAAAAAGTCTCCGTTGCGTGACTGACGGTAGCCTCCGTCCTGCATTCGGTGCTCTCGCATCTGCGGATGAATCTGCATCCCCTCTTTTCTGTTCTGAGCACGTGGCATCGAGCCGTAGTTCGCGTTACCGTAGCCGTTCCCCTGATGGTATTCTCCGTGCATCGCACTCTTCAGATGGTAAACGTTGTGAGAAGAGTGCGATCTTTCGATAGGTGAACGGATTCCCATCGGATTGTCGAGGTGATCGAACGATTGGGCACTCCTCATCATACTGTTATTGTTGCCCGGACTCGTCTTTTTGGGGCTCATTTGGTAGGAACTCGGCGGCGGAGTGGTGACCAGTGCCAGCTCGGAACGGCTTCTTTTGAGCTCTTCCTCACGGTCGCGCAGGTTTTTTATCTCTTCGGCAATGCGCGGATCGATGATTTCTGTGGCCGAGTTCTGAGAAAGTGGTATATTTCGTTGAAGGACCGAAGAAGGTACCGGATCTTCGCTCTGCATTCCTTGCTTCTTTGCAATCAACGCGGCCGCCGATTTCTTCACGAATCTGCCGCCGCTGTTTGCCCTGAACCTCTCTCAGTTCTTCCCGATTTCTCAGATGAATCAACTGACCGATCTCTATTATTTCCCTGATTTCCATCTGGATTCTTTGTGAATCTGCTCTCATCATTAGAATAGCTCAGGGGAGGAGCATCCTCATTCTGAAATACTAACATCCAATTCTGGACATTCCATTGCTCCCCCCTTCTCAGATTCGTTCGTTTCTGTGTGTTTCTGCTGTCTCTCATTCCCGGCACCATTATTTATTTTTTTGATTTTACCAAAATTAGGAAAATAAACGAGAAAAGGAGACAGCACAGCACACACAATTACGAGTCTGAAAAGGAAGAGAAACGGGGAGAGGGGGAAAAGGAGAAAGAGACGGAATTGAAACTAGGAATAGTAACGGACAGGCACCTGGGAAACGCTGCGAGTGTGTCCGAGTGGGCTCTGAAAGGAATTTGTTCAATTCAAGAGTTTAGTTTCCGAAAACGAATGAATACCTTGCGATCACGGTCCTGTTGAGCGAACGACTGGCTGACTGTGAGCTTAGGAGCGGGAGGAACGTTCGAGACTTGAATCGGAGCCGGCGGAGAATTTTGGACAAGGGGCGGCGCGGGCGGCGGCTTCGAAGACGGATCCTCTTGTTCTTGAACACTCGGATGGAGGCGTCAAAGTTCGGAAGCTTCTGAATGTGCCACCAGAGACGGTCAGTCAATCCGATGCCCAAGTAATTGAGCACTTCTTTGTGGCTTCTGAAGTAGATCAGAAGCTTCTCTGCCTCCTCGGACAGCTCTCCTGGCTTCTGAGACTCAAACGGTAATTTGTACGGAGACGGCCCACGAACGTCGGAGCTCTCGGAGCAAAGCGCAGAGTCCGAGGAGACGCTCGTGTGCTCCTCCTCCTTGTCCGACAGTTTGTCGTTCTCCTCTTTGCTCGGTTGCTTCTGCATCTGCGGATGCTGTTGCTTTTGCGTGGGCAGCGGTGGCTGTTGAGTTGGCAAGGGAGGGGCCGGAGGAGCTCCGCCGACTTCCTCCAAAATGCTTCTCTTCTCGTCCTTCTTCCGATGAAGAGTCTCCCATTGACGAGCTTTGTCTGGATGTGGCTGCTGGTATCCTCTGCAATGCATTGTATGGTTACTATCTCCCCAGCAGGCAGAATACTTTTCTGATCCTGCGCGGTTTCCTCGTCGTCAATCTGAATCGGCCAATCGCCGTTGTTCATCTTCTCCACCACTTCCGCCACGTTCTTCGATGGATTCTTTGGCTCATATCTGTTCGGATTCTGATTTGCTGCAGTTGTTGCTGATTGGCTCTCATAAATGGATTGGTCGAGACTCGGTTCGAGGCAGAGAGTCCTCATCTGAAATTGATTGATTGCAATGAAAATGGAAATTCAGAGAGAGGCACACTCACGTTTTTCGGCGCCGCCTCCCTTCAGATTGTTGATAATCGACCTGATCGTATTGGTAGTTTGACCGCCGTTTCCTCCAGTTTCCTTCTTTTTGGGAGCGGCCGCCGGAGCACCGCCGTCTCCACTTCTGAATCCATCGATGAACGCCGTTTGCTTCGGAGGGAAATCCCTCTTTGCTCCCGGATCGAACCGAATATGCACATCCGATTCTCTCCGTTTCTGTTCTGTTGTTGCCATATTTCCGTACTTTGACACCGCTTTCCTATCTATAAACTCTTCGAATAACCTTTTCTCTAAATAATAGTTACCATTATTATTGTTGTTGTTGCTAGTGTACCCTCCAGTCGGTCCGAATCTTGGTGGTGGCGGTGCTTGCGGAATGTTCGAGACCTCCGATTCCATTGAAGGAATTGAAGTGCTGATTTGAACACGAGCCAGGTTTTTCGGGGGGCCCATTGGCTTGACCGGAGGGATGTTAGTGGCCGGGACCGTATCGTAAAAGTCCTGCTGGTCCCGCTGGTTCGCCCAGTGATCCTCTTCGTCTTCGTATCCGTGGTCTTCCGGATGATGAGGATGTGGATGGGCGTGTGGATGGGGAATCGGATGATGTTGGTGGTGAACTGGAGAGCAAAGAATGGTTGGAAAAGAAGCAAAAGAGAGATTCTTACCAGTGTTCGCGTACTGATTACCGTAATCCTCTTCGTAATCGTAGTTATCATAAGTGGCATTGTATCGGTCGTCGTAATGATCGTGCTGCTGTTTGTACCGGGTATCTCTTCTTCGGTCCATCTTCAGTTGCGTTTCAAAGCGAATGAAGTTGAATGGAAAGTGAGAAGACTAATGGGATTAGAGCTCCTGGTGCTCGAGAGACGGAACCAAACAAGGCCGCGAAGGCCGATTGACAGGCTGACAGCTGAAGACGAGGAGAGAGTGCGAGGAGCGGCGAGACGCAGAGGGACTGTATTTGTTGATTCCGAGCCCCGGGACGGCTGTTATTCTGTTTGAAGCTAAGGAGAAATGGTGATGGATCTGTGGGAATTGACATCATTTCCGTAGTGCATGAAGAAATCGGCAACGTTTCGACTGAGCGCTAAATCATACTTTGTTCTTTGATCTGAAGCTTCGAAACAATGTTGGTCTACTCGATTGTGAACGTCGGAAACTTGAAAATTATATGAACTCAGACGTGAGAAGCCTTTCATGACAGATCTGACTTTGCTGACAAGTTCCCAAAAGAAGAAAACGCGGAGCTTTACTTTTTAGAATATAAATACTCAGCCTATTTTTGCATCTTTTCAGAATTGTTCATGATGCACTATTACGCTTAATAGCAAAAAATCCGTCACAGCTGATTTTACCGTTTTCATTGTTTTTGAATTTGCGCACTTTTCCTTTAAAGGCGCATTAGTTTTCTGGATTGCGGGTCTCGCAACGAATCATCCGCATTCAAATTTCAGACAAATCTCATCTTTTTTTCAGATTTCCTGTTGTTTCTCGCTGCTTTTCTGCAAATTTTGATTAAAATTGAACCTTTTAATTTTCTGAAATAATTCAAATAGTAAGAAGACGAACAAGTTTGTGATTCTGATTATATTCTGGTACTTTTTAACGAAATTTACGTGAATTGTCGTGCTTGTGAGCGAAAGAAATACCCTAAGAAGCCAAGTAGTTTGCTGAAAGTTAAGATGTCGTCCAAATGTATCCGTAGTTACATCAGTATATAGTTTTTTTGCTTTCGCTCTTCTAACTGAGTCAGTATAATCATTAGCAGTCGCCAAACAAAATTTTCCATATTTCGACGCATTGGCTGTCAAATAAATGCAACGCGGACTAAGACACCTCGCGGTGGACTAGTTTCTCGTGGACTAGAAAACGCCACTCTTTGAAATATCATCATGTCGCAGATGGCGTGTTCCTAAACCTTTTCATTGTTTTTTCGAGATAATTCTTTGAGTTTTTCTAGATTGGAGAATGTTCCGTAACCAATACGACAGTGATGTGACCGTTTGGAGCCCGCAGGGCCGTCTTCATCAGGTTGAGTATGCCGTCGAAGCGATGAAGCAAGGTTCGGCGACCGTCGGAATCAAGAGCGAGACGCACGCCGTCATTGTCGCTTTGAAGGTATTTTTAGTTCAAGATCTACGTTTTTATTATATTCATTCACAGAGAGCGCAAAACGAGCTGTCATCTCACCAGAAGAAGGTTTTCGAGATTGATACCCACGCCGGTGTCTCCATCGCTGGTCTGCTTTCAGACGGTCGTATTCTCGCTCGCTTTCTTCAGACCGAGTGCTCCGATTGGCGCTGGGACTATAAGCAGCCAGTTCCTATCAAGAAGTTGGCTGAGGCTATGCAGTTGAGTGAGTTGAATTTCATAAAACTCATTGTTATACTTTTTTTCCAGAGCTTCAAGCTAACACCCAGTACTACGGACGTCGTCCGTTCGGAGTTGGAATTCTCATCGCAGGATATGATGTATGTCACAAACTGAATTATATCTTCAAACAGGTTCTTTGCAGAAAGACGGAGCGCACATCGTCCAAACTGACCCGTCGGCGGAGGTTGTCAGCATGCATGGAACATCCATCGGAGCTCGTTCGCAGTCGGCTCGCACTTATCTCGAAAGAAATGTCGAGAGCTTCGAGAACTGTATACAGGCCGTACCTGTAACATCAATAATCCCCATTTTTCAGCGACTCCTGCTCAGCTCATCGTTCATGCTCTTCTGGCTCTTCGCGACACCCTCCCGGCCGAGGAAAACCTGAGCGCCCAGAACACTTCTATCGGAATTGTCGGAAAGGACATGCCCTTCAACATTCTTGATGACGAGCAGGTCGGCATCCACCTCAACCAAGTTGCGACTCATCCTCGCAACATCGCTGGAGCTCAGGGAGCCGCCGAGCCAATGCAATCCTAAATCTACAATTTCACATCAATCATGTGTATAATTCCATATTTATCTATCCCCGTACTCTACTCCCCGTTTTCATAAATTAATTTATCGGCTTTGTTTCCGTGCTTTCATTTCCGTGAACTTCGAATGTCATTCGGTGACCTAACTTTGAAAAGCTTGAATTTCTTGGCTTTCTGTGTGCCCCGCGTTATTTACTATTCAAACTGGTTCTTGTTTACTCGGTCTACGACACTCCGCCATTGCGCTGGCCGCGCACTATTTAGTGGATGAGAACAATTAGAAATGGTCAATCAGAGGCTGCATGAAACTTCTCATTCAGTTTGACAGTTTTTAATAATGTTCATGTTCTTTTCTAACTTTGCTTCTTTTTAATATTGATTTCAAATGGATGAGAATTAATCTTGAAAAGTGATTCCAGGTAGTCTGTTATAATGCACGGTAGAGGCGGTTATCGTCACGGGTAAGATTGCAATCAAATCAAACGTTTTGATTTTAATTTTTTTTGGCATTCCAGATCTGATCCACCAATAAAAAGATATCGCCGTGACGACAACGCGGACCCCACCAATCCGAATCCATCGATTGTGGTTCATGTCAGAAATCTACATCAAAAAGTAAACATTTTTCTCTCGTTAGGAACATGATTTAACGATTTTAGGCCACTGAAGCCGATCTGCTTGAAGCGCTAAGCCACTTCGGTCCGGTCGCTTATGCCACGTGCATACCTCATTCGCGAATGGCACTCGTTGAGTTTGAGGACATTGAGGGAGCCAAGGCATGCGTCAACTTCGCCGCATCGAATCAAATAAATGTGGGAGGCCAGGTAAGATTTATGATAAAGCGCGATAGCATTAGAACAAATTACAGAGTGCCCTCTTCAATTATTCGACGTCGCAATGCATCGAACGAATGGGATTCGAGTCTGCCACTCCGAACAAGGTGCTCGTTGTGACTGTGCTAAACGCACAATATCCAGTGGATGCCGACGTCATCTACCAAATCTCGAATGCTCAAGGAAAGGTTCTCAGAGTGGCAGTAATGCACAAACCGACCGTTGTGCAGGCTCTCGTGGAGTTTGAGAGCACGGAAGTAGCCCAGGCGGCGAAGCACGCAATGAATGGAGCCGACATCTATTCCGGATGTTGTACTCTGAAAGTCGAGTTTGCCAAGGTTTGTCGATTTTAGACAGATCCATTCTTACTCTCCGATCTTCATTCAGCCGGATCACGTTCGCGTAACGCGTCAGGACAAAGATCAACGAGACTTCACCCTCCCAGACAGTTGGTTTTCCCCTCATTATTTTATATTTTGCGCATCCTCATTCTTCAATGAACTGGTTCCGTATCGATTGCCTGTCTTGTTGTGTCTGTCGTTTTGGAGAAACAACACGCAAACAGTCACACAACATCCCCAGAGACAATCAGAAAACGCATAGAGAATGAAAATATCCCCAAGTAGACAAAAAACGAAAGAGCACAAAAATCGAAGCAAAGCAAAACAAGGCAACAATTTCGCACAAAACTATAGCTCAATTTTGCATAAGACACAACCGGAACAATCTGAAAGTGCACAAATCTTTCAGTAGTAGACACATCAATTTCAGGTGAAGGACCTTTTGATAACGGAAGAAAGACGTTGATTCCATCGAGACCGGACGATCACTGTGGGTAGTCCTCACAAACGTTTTCGAATACGAATAGTTCCAGATCGGCGTCCCTTCGACTTTCCCGAACGGGATAGATTTTTAGATCGACGTGATTATCCTCCACAGGCGCATAGTTATCCGCCACGTGGTGGACCGTCCGAATACTATGAAGACCATGGACCTCGAGATCGAGGAGGACCACCGCCTCCGAGATACAGAGACGATTACGAGGATAGAGGCGGAAGAATGGCCCCACCGGTTGGAGGAGGACCCGTGAGAGGAGAATAATAAAAGTACAAGGAAAACAACTAATTAGTTCCAGAACTGTGTTCTTATGGTGTACGGTTTGGAGCACGGAAAGATCAACTGCGACATGCTGTTTAACATTCTCTGCCAATACGGAAATGTTCTCAGAGTTAGTCAGAATGTTAACAGTTTATGCAAAGTCATTTCTTTTAGGTGAGCTTCATGCGTTCCAAAATGGAAACCGGAATGATCGAAATGGGAACACCGGACGAGCGTATGAATGTTCTCGACTTCCTGCAAGGATTCGAACTGTTCGGACTCAAACTGGAATTCAAACCGAGCCACCAAGACGGCGTGCACATTCTCCGTGATCCGTTTCTCCTTCCTGACGGCTCACAATCGTTCCGCGACTTCTCTCTGTCTAGAAATCAGCGATTCACTACGCAAGAACTCGCCTCCAAGAACAGAATCATCTTCCCGACGAACGTGCTTCATTGGTTCAATGCTCCAGGCACTATGGACGAAGAAGCCCTCCGGCAGATGATTGCCGATAAATCGACGCATGCTCCCGTCAAAGTTGAAATTTTCCCATCGAGAAATGAACGATCGGCCGCGGGCACAGCTGAATTCGAGACTACCGAACAAGCGAACGAAGTGTTAGCCCTAGTCAATCACACGCCAGTCAACAGTCCCTACGGAAGTGTTAGTTGTTTTTCTGACAATCCCTTTGTGCTCATTATGTTTCCTTCAGGCTCCTTTCATTGTCAAATGGGCGTATGCGACTCCTCGTCGTTGGGACGGAAGCAGTGGAGATCCACCAAGATACGAAGACGGCGCCGGCGACGGGGACAGAAGAGAGGGCATTCAACCTGCGTACGGACGTAAGGACCACCCCCGTATTCCCATTTTTATTTCCACTTTCAATTTCTTCCAGAATCTCCGCCGTTCCGTCGTGGTCGTGGAGAATCTAGTTTCCGTCGTGAATCCTATCGAGGAGGACTGCACGGGAACAGTGATCGTGGCGGTGGAGGAGGAGATCGGTTCGCTCCGTACGGACCTCCGAGAGGGGGCGGATTCCGCGGCGGCAGAGGAAGAGGTGCACGCTTCAACGACTACTAAAGCCTTTCAATTCTACCTCTCACGATATTTTTTCTCATAATAATTTTTGCCAAAATTTTGTATTTCTTCGAACAAAGTTACTCGGATTAATGCCCCCTATCATTCTTTTGTCAGTCACCCCAAATAGTCAAAATCGGACCCATCTTGTGAACGTGCTTGGCCATTCTACGGGTGGCTGATGTCTTGGTTAACCTGTTATTCAAAATTTAAATTTTTATTTTCCTTCGAGATAAACACTGTCACAGACTGATAGAACTCGCTTTTCTTGATCAATTCCAACAGTTGTCTTGCTCTGTTTTTTATCAAAAGAATCTCGAAAATCATGAAACCACCGAGGGAGTCAGATGGATTTGCATTCTCAAGCGAAACAATTGCTCCAGCAGCGGGATGAGATGGACGAGAAAATCAACGAGTTGCTTCTCGTTCTCGAGACGGTGAGCACGTTTCCCGATCTCATTTCAAAATGGGATTTCAGAATAACAGCACGATGGACTCTCCGCTGATCGACGCCGAAGGATATCCGTTGAATACGATCGACGTGTACGCCGTCCGCCACGCGAGACACGATCTCATCCGTCTCCGAAACGACCGTGCGCACCTGACCGAACAGATTGTGGCGGAGATGGAGAAGGAGAAAAAAGAGCCGGAGCCGTCGGAGGAGAAGCCCGTGCATCGCACTTCAAACGAGCCTTTTGTCAAGATCTCTTCAGTCGTCGAGGAGTCGCCAGCGGCCATCGGAGGATTCCGAAAAGACGACCAGATCATCCAGTACGGCCCACTTCACCACGGAAACTTTGAAGATCTGCAGCAAGTGGCAAATGTCACCAAGCAATCAGAGAACGTAAGAAAAGAAGGCGTCCAGGGGGAAAATGTCGTTTTCAGAACATCATCCGCGTCACCGTCATCCGTGATGATCGTCCGATTCGTCTCGAGATTTGTCCGAAGAAATGGGCTGGCGCGGGTCTTCTCGGATGCAACATCGTCCCGATGACTGGCAAAAACGTCTGAATCATTTCGTGTAAAAACTAATTTATTCGCTTATTTTTCTGGTACCTAAATGAAACGCCCACTGATTCCTCCGATTAGAAGGCAAATTCAGCAAATTCATTCACAGAAAGAAAGCAATGTAGTAACTGACATGGGTATAACACAATGCGCCGGATATAGTTTAATCTCACACAGCTTGAGCAACCCGTTTCAGTGGGAATATTTAACAAATTAAAAATTAGGAAAGCGACTAGTTGGAGTTCGAATCGGAGCGATCGATCAACTGCCGACGACTGGCAGTTTCGGCAATTGTCGACGGAAGTTTCGTGTTGAGGGTTTCCGGAAGAATCAGAGTGAGAAGGCCTCCGGACACGGCGATCAGCGAGAGAGTTATGGCCGGGGCGAGCGAATGGACGGCCGTCTGAAAACGGTGAGGTTCCCCTTTTGAAATGATTTATCTCTTACCAAATGGGACAGATACGGAGAGAGCATGCCTCCGAATCTCGATAAAGTCTCACAGAATCCGATGCACTTGTTCCTTCCATCAGTTGGGAAAATCTAAAACTGATGCCATTTTACTCTTTCTCAATCATTTGCACGAACCTCGCTGGCAAACATATAGATGCTCATGAAAGAGCAAGAAATGGCAAACTTTCCGAGGAGCCAGAAGTGGATGTGCCACTCTTCCGAAGAGAAAACAATGCCTATAAAGGAGAGGCCGGCGACGATGTGCGTGCCGGAGATGAGCACCTTCCGACCGTACTTGTTCATGAAAATTGGCGAAAAGGTGTAGGCGGGCGCCTCGACGAGACTCATCAGCACAAAGTTCAGATAAATGTTGCCGGCTAGGTTCTTTGAGTAGAACGCCAGTCCGAAGTAGATGAAGGTATCGACGATCCTGGAAAGGATGTGATTGAGTCGTGTGGGGCGGTGAATTGGCTACCAGATGTAGGTCATTACGAAAATGTAAACGATGAAGATCTTGTGCTTCCACATCTCTCGACACAAACTCTTCAGACTCGAGCTCTTCTCGTTCTGAACTTCCACAATGTCGGCGGCCGAAATGTCTCCCTTCGGTCCTCGGATCTTTTCCAGCCACGCCTCGATCTTCTCGGTCTTTTTGCTGGAAACCAGGTAGTGAAGACTTTCGGGGACTGTCCTGGAACACGAAAAAGTGAACTTCGGATGGAATGAGCAGAGAGCTCACGTGTAGATCAAAAGTGCGACGAAGATGCTGGGGACGGAAATACAGAACATGAGCCAACGCCAATCGGGAAGAACGAATGCGAGGAGGGCGAGGATGCACGCGCCGACGACCCACATGAGTCCGAAGTAGACGGAGGTGAAGAAGCGGAGACGAAGGGGGGTGTTCTCGTACCCCAGCACCCATCCGGCGAGTCCCGACGCCGTGTAGAAGATGCCATGGATTAGCCGCATCACACAGAACATCATCATGGACGTCGAGAAGGCTGAGACTATTCCGCCGGCAGCCATCAGAAGCACAGTGACGACGAAGACCGGCAGACGGCCGTACTTGTCGGCGAGCGGGGGGATGAACATTCCGCCGAGCATGTTTCCGACCATGTAGAAGGTGGTCGTGCTGTCCGCCAGCCACGTGGCGTCTCCGGTCAGATTGAACTCATTGGCCACACCCACAAACGTCGAGTTCTCCGGCGCCGCGACGACGAACGAAGGACAGAGGCCAGTGGCGGCGATCGGAGCCCACGTGAGTCCGCACACGAGAATGCACGTAAGAATGTAACGGTTGCTCTTGTCTGAAGCAGATTTAGTCTAAGACGAGATGACGGCGAATCGAGGAGTTACCTAGAGTATTCAGGACGTCATCTGCGGACAGTTTTTCTGAGGTGGACATGCTGGAAGTCTGTCCGATCCGAGTACCCTGAAAATGAGAAACTGAGCGGGAAGGGGAGGAAAGGCGTTCGACTGAAAACAATAACAGACTAACGGATAATCTGTTCGGTATTTTTAGTGCGAAACAAAAAGTTTGAGAACTGAATTTCATTTTCGGGGTTAACGAGGAAAGGAAGTGAATGATAGGAAAGAAACAGGTTCGAGACGAAGGACACGGAGAAAGAGAGAGAGAGAGAGAGACGGAATGGTCATCAGATTCTTTTAGGCAATCTTTTTGCCTTTTCGGACAGAATCAGTTTGCCACGTCATAACGAATATGGTGGCAGAAAACACGAGAGGTGGAGTGATAAGGACGGGCAAACAAACAGATTGAACGCTTGACAAAGACCGCAACCGATAAAAAGTGATTGTTGCGAGAAAGGCATATCACCATAATCGGGTGACTTTTTATGTAAATTCGATGATATTGATAACATTGATATTGACCAGCAAAGAGAAAAAGAGAGAGAGAGAGAGATTAGTTTAATGTTAAAGGTGGCAAGGTTCTTTGCAGATTCGGCGGAAAAGAGGGCAAAGTACTGATGATGAAAAGAGCACAATGATTGGAGAGACGGCCGACAGATTGAAGATGGCTCCGTCGATCGGATGGAAAAAAGCGAGAGGGGAGAAGGAGAGGGAGAGCGAGAAATGGCGGCTTGATTTCTGGAGGTGTCTTCATTTGCATTTTGATCAATCATCATCTCTTCTGCAGATAATACTTTGAGAAATGTTTATAGTTCACTTCTTCTTCTTCATCTTCTTTTTCTTCTCCGCACTCTTCGTTCTCATCTTTCCAAAAAGGCGTTAATTGGGAAGGGAGAGATCAGCGACACAGACGATCACGTGGGACAGGAGATATTGATTGATTTTCAGAAAACTTACGAAGATAAGATTAGATGGGAACCAAACATTGCTCTCAATCTGGTATTCGGATGATCTTCCTTCTTCCGATCCATTCCGAATCGGTCATCCTTTGTCAGCTGCGGTTTGGCTCAGATTCCACCTGACAACTGACGAGTTCGTTTTCATTTTCGCTCGCTGTTTCGTTTTGTTATTTATTACTTTTTCTTTCTCTCCAAATGATTTTCGCTCTCTCTCTCTCTTTTTCCAAATGAACTCAAGTTTTCAGCGATGAAGCCGTTGTACGTGATAACGGCCTTATTACTGCTCTCCGAAGCGACTGTTATACGTACCAAAAGTACCGTTCACAAAAACGTGACAATGGATAAGTACGGATTCCAACCGACGTGCATCTCGTGTACTGGTCTTATTTCTGTAGTCAGGTCGGTTAACTTCCCCGGTACACTCTACAAATGTGTTCCATTTTTCAGTTTCCTACTGAAGTTTGATGTTTCCGAACCGGTCGTTCTCGAATTGGCCACCATAATCTGTAAACTTTTCGCCAAACAGTCATGGGCGGTTTGTGACGGAATCTCCTCGCAATTCAGAGTGAGTCCCTGCCAATTTAACTAAGTTTTCAACTAAATTCATTATTTCCAGGACGAATTCTTCTATGTATTCCGTCGTCTCGCAAATGAAAGTCCCTCTCAAATCTGCGGGATCCTCTTGCCCGATTGCGCCGATCCGACGGATCCATCTGAAGCCGGATGGCAGATCGCATTGCCTCCGAAGCCGAACAGAAAGAGAGTGACGAAGAAGAAGTCGAGAGCGGATTCCTTCCAAAATCTGAATGTCCTCCAACTGACTGATCTTCACGTGGATTTCGGGTACAACTATCCTTCGGAAGCAGATTGCGACGATCCGGTGTGTTGTCGGAAGAGCGTGGCTGATCCGAAGAAGGCGGCCGGGTACTGGGGATCTGTGGGAAAGTGTGACATTCCATTCTGGACAGTTGAGAACATGCTCTCTCACATCAACAAAACACACACCATCGATATGATCATAATGACTGGAGACTACATCAACCACGTGGATTGGGAGTACTCGATCGAAGAGCACCTCTCCGTGCTGCGGAAGCTCCACCGACTCGTCCAGAGCTCTTTTCCCTCCACTCCGATCTACTGGGCTCTGGGCAATCACGAAGGCGTGCCGGTCAACAGTTTCGCCCCGCACACAGTCGACGAGAGATTCTGGCCGACGTGGTTGTACAAAGAGTTTCAGTCGATGAGCGGTCCGTGGCTCAGCGAGGGAGCAGAAGAGAGTCTGCTGAGGAGAGGCTCGTATTCGACGCAAGTGATGGATGGTCTCAAGCTCGTTTCCCTCAACACTGGCTTCTGCGAAGTGACAAACTTGTGAGTTCCCCGCTTTTTCCGTGTCCGGCTCAACTCAGATTTCAGTTTTCTTTACCTCAATCAGAGCGATCCGGACTCTTCGATGTCGTGGTTTGTGAATGAGCTCTTCGAATCGGAGAAGAAAGGAGAGCAAGTGTACGTGCTCGCCCACATTCCTCCGGGCGATTCCGAGTGTCTCGAGGGATGGTCTTTCAACTACTATCGGGTCATTCAGAGGTATTCGCTTTGAGAAATACCATAGGTTTTTGCATTTCTTATTCAGGTTCGCTTCCACCGTTTCTGCCCAATTTTTCGGCCACGATCACCTTGACTACTTCACCGTTTTCTTTGAGGATATGCATAACATTTCGAGCACACCAATCGGGGTGAGCTCATGAAATTCAGTGAAAGTCCCCAACTTATTTATTCTCTTCCAGGTCGGCTACGCGGCTCCATCGGTGACAACTTTCGAGTATCAGAACCCAGCGTACAGAATCTACGAAATCGATCCTTACAACAAATTCGTAAGTGTTCCCCTTCACTCGCCCCTCCCTTCTTCCAACGCATTATTTCAGAAGATTGTGGACTTCACCACCTACTATACCGATTTGGAGAAGGCAACTGAGGAGCAGGAGCCGGTTTGGGAGAAGTTGTACTCGGCGCGAGAAGCCTATGGAATGGCCGACCTATCGCCGATTTCATGGAACAAAGTAATCAACAAACTGATAAAGAGCGAAAAGAAACGGGAACAATTCTACAAGTTCGTTTTTCCCACACTTTAGATACTTTCATCATAAATTTTTCAGATATGCATTCCGAAACTCATCTCCACACTGCGACACTACGTGTCAGAATCAATTGATGTGCAATCTCCGTATGGGTCACCACAACTCGAGTCTATATTGTCCATTTTAATGACTTTTACTCCGTTTTTCCGGGAATTGGATGTATGTAAAGAGAAATAAATAATGACTGAGAGGAGCAATAACAACAATAGATTGAAAAATACAAATTGCGTTTGGAATTCACCCAATTAATCTCCTGCCAATGGGTTCGCATGAATCGTGACGTTCTGGATTCTAGAAAACATAATTTTTTCGGTTGAAAATTATGCGATATTACTCACTTCTGTTGCACGAGAGGCCGATACTTATTGTCCACCTTAATGGTCTCTAACTCTTCCAACGTGTCGAACCCGTCGATTACCCTGTGAAGAATGCATTTTATGTCAGCAAAGACAGGTTCCTCTTCTCACTTTCCAAAGAGCGTGTACTTCATGTCGAGATGCGGCTGTTTGGCGTAAGTGATGAAAAACTGTGACTTATTCGTGTCCGGTCCGTTATTCGCCATTGAGACACATCCTCGAGAGTCGTGCTGAAAACGGATCCAATTTTACAGATATCCGAACTTTTTTTTACCTTCAAAGCACTGACAAACTCGTCCTCGAACGGACCTCCCCAAATGCTCTCGCCTCCTTTGCCCGAATGAGTCGGATCGCCCGTTTGAACCATGAAATCCTTGATGTTTCGGTGGAATATGCAGCCATTGTAGTAGTCGCTGGCACAGAGGGCGAGGAAATTCTGAAATGTGCTAATTGACAAGAGAGAAAACGCGATTTTTCTAACCTCGCATGCTTTTGGGGCATCCTCAACGTACAGCTCGATTTTGATGTCGCCAGATGTTGTGTGCAATGTGACTGACATTCTGAAACGAGCTAATTACACAGAAATTGAGATTTTCAACGAAAAACACAAACGAAAACACGAATTAGACATGCGAATTCGAAAAATATTCGTTGTCCACGAGGAGTCCGAGAGGCCATGACCGAACTTTATTCTCGGCCACTTTGCGGTCAAGCACTACGGAACCAGTTCTCTCGCTGAGGGGCTGGAAAACGGCGGTCCAACATAATAGAACTGGGCAGAATAGAACTGCACAGAATAGTACCGTGACATAATAGAACTGCGCAGAATAGAACCGCGACACAATAGAACCGCGACATAATATAACTGTTTTTGTGTATTTATATGAGCATTTTGTCCGTTCCTTTCAATTAACTTTCGCAAAATTTTTCGTCTCTCGAACAATTAAGCAGAAGATCACAGTTTAAACCTAGAAAATTCGTTTCCTTTCGTTTTTGATAGTACTATGCAATTATTTTCTGTGGGGTTTCGTTACCGTAGAGAAAAGGGATCAAGACGGAAGTGAAATTAATGAATGCAATAAATCGATCACGAGATTCAAAAATTGTCTTTATCTACGAAACAATTATTCTACAGACAGGTTTAAAAGGCACTCCGAACAATTATATTGTGGCCGGTTCTATTGTGTCGCTGTTCTATTCTGCGCAGTTCTATTATGTTGGACCGCCTGGAAAACAACACTTCGTACGTGCTCATCCGAGAAGTGACGAAAACAAAACACATTGGAACCAAAATATTTTGTAATTCTTCAGTTTTCAACAAGTTGTGCCCTCTGGGGGTTCCGAGAGTGATTGACGCGAGAAAAACAGCAGTTCCTCGTCCTTTTCTCCAACTTTCGTGATGACGTTGGCAACAATACAATAAAGACTATATCTAAATGCAGCTGAACAAATTGAATCTGTCTTCAGAGCTGTGAATCGAGTTTTCGAAAGTCGGAGACGTCACTCATCGTCTCGAATCTTCTTCGCCAATATAGAGGAAAGACGTGGCAGAGCCTGACTAAACTTCAAACTATTTCAGAAACACAAAGTACGAAAATAGAGAAACGAGACTAATTAGGGAATGGAAAAACTATTTTTCTTCTCAAAGCACTTCCTGCTCGAATTGTGCATCGGCTCGTGTCTGGGGGAGTAGAAGGCGATCAAAAATCTTGGAATTCTTTTGAAACAACTAAATAATTCACAGATAGTGAATGGGAAAGGTAAAAAAAGAGGACGAGCGAATATTTCGTCTTGTGTTCGGTTCCAAACCAATTAGTTTTTCGTTGCATTTCACAAAACGAATGCAAATTAACCGAAGCCTGGTTCTGCGAACTCTTTTTCGTTCGCGAAGACCAACGTCTTCTGATATTCTTTTTCAGCTGCTTATTAGCTCGAAAACTTTTGGTCTCTTCACTCTTAGTTTCGTCGAATGCTCCTTTCGCAATCCATATTTTATCACGTCACCCTCGACGGCCCATTGTTCCCTGCTCTCATAAATTGGAATACATTCCTCCCTCTTCTGCTCCTTCTTGTTCTTCTTCTTCTTTTCCCTCTGTTTCGGCTCATTTTTCAGGCAATCTTCGTGTTTCTGCCTCCTTTTTTCCTCTCGAATTCAGTCCCAATTATATCAATTTTCGCATCGCATGCTCTTCTTCCCGATGCTCTTCCGATTCACAGATTCTTTCCGAGAAACAAGTGTTTAGTTTTGCACAGAGGATTTACTTAAACCCCCCTTGTACCAACCAACCAACCGCCCAACCGACGACTTATTCGAATTCCTTTCGGCCACGCGTCGCCCATTCTTCATGCTAATCTCTTCTCTTTCTCTCCGCTCTCATCAATCGTTTTCGGTGCTCCCCATGCCCCGCCCCTTTCTCCACCATTTGCTCACACTTTCACTTTCTTCTCTCCCACATAAAGAAGTTGCAGAATGCGTTCTCTTCTCGCCGTTCTCCTTCTCCTCGCCCTCGTTTTCGCACTGAACACTGTTGAGACGAAGACCGCGTCGAGACATTTCCAGCCGAAATACTTCCGTTATCGTCGCTGGGATCCGACTCACGATTTCTACGACGACTATGAGGTACGCTTCTTCCAAACCTTCTGACGTGTTCAGAAAAGAACAATTACGGGGGATAATAGGGGGGTCCACTTTGTCTGAGTGTACCATTTCCGTTGACGTCACTCACGCCCATTTTCAACATCATCAATCAAAAGCAAATCTGGCGTTTTAAGCTTAGAAGAAGTCAGAGACCACGTACTTCTCACGCCCACCCATAAAACAAATTCTAGAACCTTCTGATGAACTTTTTGCCACGCAACCCGCTCAAATTTTCAGTTCACCCGCGAAGTGCGCCGTCCGTTCCATCCGATGGCCTACCGTCAACGCCTTCAGAGCTAACGGCCCCGTGACGCATTTTCTTCTGCCAACTGTTGAACTAAAAAACTAATAAAACGAATGTTTCATTGCCATTTTCATTTTCATTCTCATTCATAAAATCGTCAGCGGACTCAAAGAATGCACTCGAGAATGCACATGTTTTTTGTGTTTGCTGGGAATGAACAACATGAATGTTGGATTAGAAGACGTATGGAAGAATGGAACCCTTTGATAACAATAACAAGACAATTCAAATCTTTTATCTCAATTTCATTCTAGTATAGCATTCTTCTTTGCTTTGCAACAGCAGTTTCACTTGGTGAACTTGTCACTGGTCTTCGATTTGGAAGCAGCCAACTCGTTCTGCAAACCCATCATCCGATCCATCCGTCCCGCCCGCTCACCTCATCCTGCACAAGGCTCTCCATCTTGCTCTCGTTGGCGAGCACCTGTCTCGACAGAGTGTTGATATTGGCGATCTTCTTGATGAGCTCCGAAGTGACCGGATGTCCGTTCAGCAGCACGTACGTCGCCTCCGCCAGTATCTCGTCGCACAGGGACTTGAGCGCTCCGCTCTGAGTTCTCTTGTGCACACTGAACGACTTGTTCGTCTCGGTGGCCGCAAAACGAGCACGGATGCTCTGGAGGATCGGCACGCACTGCTCCAGCTTTTTCTTGCCCTTCTCGTCGTTCTTCGTGATCGTGACCGTCTTCGCAGAGCTCTTGGTCGAGGCGTCCTCTTGATAGTCCAAGTCTCCGGCACGATCCTTGAAGTAACTCGCCGCATCGTTGATCGCCTCCATCGTCTGAAACCGTTTTCATTAAAATCGGAAGTCGGAGAGCCCCCTCACAGTGGTGTGCTCTCCGTTCTCTAGTCGGTTGTAAGCGACGTAGCGGAGTTCGATCTTCTCGATGTTCTCGCCGATCTTCTTCTTTCGAATCACAACACACTTTCTTGGCATGTCGGAATCTTCATTTGGAGCAGTCGAATAAGCTGCAAGTGGGCTACAGATGAGCTCGAGAATCAAATAACGTCACCCACTCTTGGACTCTCTTCCGGCGGTTCCTCGCATCATCGCAGCAGCCAATTAACTTGATGATTTGCTTCTCCTTACGCAAAATAAAGTGAAGGTGCTTGGAAAGTGTTCCGAGTTAGTGTCACGTTGGAACATAACCGATCCTCAGTTCACGTCGCTCTTTCTGCTATTGTCTTTCTACTTTAGAAGTCGCTCTTCTGTTCTTTGTCCAACTCTTCCGGTCTCCCTCTCTACTCCTACTTCCGTTTGTGCTCTCTCTCTCTCTCTCTCTCTCTCTCTCTCTCTCTCTCTCTCTATCTGACCGTGACACTACAACCTTCCAATGAGGTCAGCACGTATAAAAACGCGCGAATTCTCTGTAAGCGGCTTCTCTGTCCAAGAAATTCTGTGCTCCCTCCGCTTCAACACTATCACAAAACGACAATTATAAATTATCGACCGACACACACAAAATTGGCTTATCACTGCTGCCGAAACACTCTGCGACGCGGCATTTGGAGTATGCGCGCGCTCACGGTCCTCTCCTTTTGCATTCTGACTCTCTCCTCCTCGCATATCCTTCCCGTGTTCCCGCCGCCCACGCAACTCTTCTGCCCGACTGTCGGAACGAATGCGTACGTTCTCGTGACAGTCACTCCCGGCGTCGATCTCCGGGAGTTTGAGGAGTTGCTCAGGGGCTACGGTCGACTGATGCCCTTCAACGGGACACAACAGATCAAGTACGACTTTTACTTCGGCTCCAACTACTCTACGATTGTCACTACTAGCGATCTGTCAAAAGAGATAAGTGTGAGTACGGTGGATATCTAAGCGATCCCAAAAATCGGTCTTCTTCCAGGACTGGTTCAATGACACCGACTACTTTGCTCAGTTGTACGCAAGCGCCCTGACCACTTCTAAAGATACGGATCAGTATGAAACCGGGGATCTTGTAGGAATTGCCAAGTCGATTCTTGATAATGTGAGCCCAAATAATCATTTTCCAATATTAATATCAATTTGTTTCAGGTCGCCAAAGACAATCAGCAAGATTTCACAGTTTACCTGAAGAAGCAGGTGGTGTTACTCACCGATTACGTCCCTTTGAACATCACGGACGTCTTCAACAAGAATCAAAATGTGAGTGCACCTATCAATTCACCGATCTACAGATTCTTCAGGAAAACACGCAACGTCTCGGTCTCTCAATTTCTCTCGATCTGGCTCCACTTGACAGAGCAGCAGAGTTTCCTGTTTTCAAAAGTGACGACGATGAACAAATCGGAGAGACGAGGGCGATATTCCAAGAAACCCGGAATTTGGTTCGTAGTCGCTGTCACTATGTCTGTCTAAATTGCACTTCTAGAATTCCCTGCGGTGATTCACGAGGACAAACCGGCTTCCGATGTGTACGTCTTCATGACTTCTTCCAATATGAGCCAATTGATGAGAGTGGTCGAATCGGCTATCAACGGGCCCACGTGTCAAATGGCGCAGACGAAAATGTACTCGGAATTCGTGCACGCACAGATAATCAAAAACGGAACCGTTTGGTTGGTCGTCATTCCTTGGCTCGGCTCCAAAACGCATTTCTTCGCCTCAAACTGTCTGAACAGTTTTCATCATCAACGTGAGTTTAAATGGAATGATCTCTAATGCTATTTTGATGCTTTCAGCCCCAGAAGTGAACTGTACATCTATGAAAACCCAAATATTCACCAACTTTGTGGAGCACGTGGCTTCCGCGAACAACCAAACGTTCGCGTATCTCTTTGTGGACGATGCGGATTGTGCGGAGACTAAGAAATCTGACGACGAACATTCGAGATTCGGTTGGTTATGTCCCAAGTATCGAACTCTTCATTTCTCATTTAAGACTCATATCCGGCTAGTGATGTCTCAAGATTTGAACGATGTTTACGAAGACTTCACTCTGCCCCTCGTCCATCTGGGATTCCTGGACAAAACCGTTGACAATCAAGTCATTCACGACGACATTTTCTTCCTTCAGAACTATTCCACGTCGTGCACCGATGAGATTCCCATGGGTAAACATCACATACGGGCGTTACCGTACTTCTTCCTTTTCAGTGCCTCTCCTGTCCGCCCGTCCGTGGCATCGTCCCAAATATCTCTCAATAGCCCTCGATGACATGCTCACCATTTTCATCTGCGCCACAATCTCAGTCACGACTTTTGGAATTCTGATCTACAGACATGTCAATCGAAAGCATCGCCAACAAGTCGAACTTCTCAGCGAGATTATGTTGCAGCCGAGAATTTACAAGTAAGGACAGAATATGTAGTCTTCAATTGCATTCAACTAAAAATCTGTTCAGAGCACCAAAAGAGTGTCCAAAAGTTGCTCGATTGCCGTGGGAAATCAAATCGGAGAACGTGCACATTGACTCGGAATTCCTGCTGGGAGAGGGGACGATTTCGAATGTTTATCTGGGGAAACTGAAAGGAAAAGCGCCGATTATGCAGTGGATTGACAGAGTGGAAATGAAGCAATATCAGGACTGCGCAGTGGCTGTCAGGGTGAGAACAAGCCTTCAGATCTATAATATGTTCTTGCCCCTCCATCTACCAGGTGCCACGTCATTTCGATGAACCGGAAGAGGATCAGCTGCAGAGGGAGATCGCGTCGATGAGACAACTGAGACATCATGACCACATTGCTCTCCTGCTCGGATGGACGAATAAGAACGATCTCGTGTGCTCGCTTCTCGAACTGACCCACATGAATCTCATAAAATATCTGTCGCAGATCAAGGAAACGTACGCCGCTTTTAAAGTGTTTCACTCGGTTCGTATCGTCTTTTTCCAGCGCTGAAGGCACGAACTCATCTGGATTCACTCCGATGAGCCGTATTCCGTTCCAAGTTCTCTACAAGATCATTTATGAAACCTGCGACGGAATCGAATACATCCATTCACGAAACCTTGTCCACCGAGATCTGACCGCCAGAAATGTTCTGCTGACGACCGGATTGCGTGCCAAAATATCTGGATTCGGGTTCTGTTCGGAGCCAGATGATCCAAAGTTCTCTGCAAACTCGCTCGCCCTTCGGTTCCTCCCGGTCAGATGGCTTGCTCCGGAGTGCTTCATCGGAAAGTTCAGCGTAAAAGTGATAGGTTAGAAGCACTGTTCGATGTTTTCCGAATTATTCTTCCAGTTGGTCGTTCGGCGTTCTCATGTACGAGATATTCTCTCTGGGGGAGCAGCCGTACGACGATCTGAACCGTCCCGAGGAGATAATCGAAAGCATAAGGAAGGGAAGAATTCCCGCCCATCCCAAGTATTGCTCCAAACAAACGTACGACTTATTCCAGCGTAATTAAAGTGAAAAAGACCGTTTTCAGATATCGTATAATGCAGAGTTGCTTCCAATCGTTCATATCCCGCCGTCCCAACTTCAGTCAATTGAAGAATGCTTTTCATGTACAATCCACAAATTACTACTCAAATCCGGCCTTTGAGGAAGACTAGGAATCTCAATTTTACTGAATTGTATTACGGGTTTTATATTCGGATCAAATCTTGAGCTTTATTGTCGTATTTCTCTGTAAGAATGTGTTACTTTTCTTAAATTGGCCGAAAAAATTTCAGGCTGCCGATGTGGCCGTGGCCGACTGGTGTCGTTTCTAGGCCGTGTACTCCTCGTGAACAAATATACATTTTTTTAACAATTTGTCAACTTTATCCGAGTTCATCTGTTTTCTTTTCACGATTCCAGTTATTAAACGCTGAGAACATTTCTAAATAATTGAAAAATAGAAAATTGTTCGATTTTAAGCCGTCCTTTTGTTTTTAAATGACGCATTTCTCAAAATGCTCATTGATCTTCAAAAATGTAGTCACTCTGATTGAGTTCTGATTTTCTCATAAATGTTCGAGCACTCTTCAGTATTTCAGTTTTTGATCTTCTTTTTTCGAAATCTTTTTCCTAAAAGTTCCGAATTTTTACTGCCCCGAAATTTTGATCTGCAATTTTCGCGAACGAACAGTTTTCTGGCTTTTTTCTATTAATAGCCGAAAAATTAAACTTTTGTTGCATTTACAGTTTTCGTGTTTCGCAAATGTTTGTCAAAGTCTCTTCGCTCGAATTGTTTCGTTTTTTTCGCACTTCTTCGCAAGTTCATGTTTTCTTTATTTTCTACTTGCAAAAAGAGAAATAGATTAGTGAACAACGGGTAATTTAGATTCTCAAATTTATAGTTATTCTTTTTGCCGATCGGCCGTTCGTGACCACCCGGAGACTGATTTATTCTTGCTTTGACTCGTTTTACTCAACAAATTTTCTCGTCTTTTGAGTATGTGCCAATCAGAGCATCATACTTTCCATCCAGTTTTTCGTATCTGAAATTCGTTTCTGTTTTTTTTTCAAATTCTTTTGAAAGTTGTCGACTTTATGCAGTATTTGAAAGCATTTTCTGGCATTTTTAGTGTATCAGTTACATTTAGAACAGACTCGAAGACGTTAGAGAAGAAGCTGTCATACTGAAAATGTAATTTTGATCAGGAGGATTGTGAAAGATCATACGTTTTCAATTTGAGAATCTGCACCTAATTCTGTATCCAAACACGATTCTAAACTGTCCACTCCGTAGAGCCAATTAGCCAAAATACCGCTGAAAAGAGGAATTCCTTCTCGAAAAGCGATGTCGTTGCTGAGCCGGTTCAATTTATGTAGCCACTCCCACTTCGCTGGCAGACTGGACGATGCGAAGAGTGGGCGGTCCAGAGAAATGAAGCACTGACCGATTCTTGTCTGTTTCTTCTTCTTGCACTCCGACCAATCAGACCAACGAATAGAAACAGAAAGGGGAATTTCGGCGGGAAAAGTTGGCGCTGAGAAAGTTGATCGGCAGGAAGAGGCTGGGTTTTCACAGTTCGTGAACCTGGTTGAATTTCGAACTGAAATGAATGTGTTCAGCAGCCAGAAAACAGAGGAAAGAAACATCATAGCATGACCAATCGTTGTGCCCGTTCCTTTTGAAGCACGTCTCCTGGTCATCGAATAGCTCGGCCTTGTTGTTGTCTTTCCAGTAGTGATCAGGAAAGCTTCGATCAGTTTCAGAACAGCCACCCGCTGAAAAGTTGTTAATCTTGATAGTCTTTCAGTGAAGCTCTCCCCACAAATTGTTTCGATCTGGTCAATGTGATCTTTTGCCACGTGAATCACGGGTAGAATCGGGATTAGAATGTGGAAATGACGTTGCGAAGCTACCGAATCTTCGTCGAAACAGAAATAGACGCCCTGTGAATAGGAATTCGCCTGAAACTGGGTCTAGTCGGCAAATTTTAGATAAATTGATTACATCTTCAATAACTAAATATCCGTCTTCCTGGTAATAGTACGGTTCTCCCAATGATCTGTGCTGTTCAGCTGATCTAAAAGTTACTTTTGTGTTTGATCATTCAGTTCCTTGAGTACGTTGAGTTTTCTAGTGGCTCCGAGTTTTGAATCATTTCAATATGGGGTCCGTCTTTCTGCCCGAACATGTTTCCCTTCTCCATAAAATTATCGATTTTCTTCACACGAGCCCATCCTTTCGGCGATCTAAACCCTTCTCCTTCTTTTCCCATCATTTCTATTCATACCCATTCAGAACCAACGCCACGTTGCACATAAAGCATTCGATTTTTACAGTTTCACCCGGGTAAAAGTAAACTGGCCGCAACATTATTTCATGTTCACATTCCCTTTGATAATACGCCTTTGAAAACGAAGCTTCCATGAAAATTCTCTTTTCGGCTAGAATTTTAGCAGCTTTCCATGAGTCTTCTGACGGAAAGACGTTCAAAACTGTGGATTCTTCGGATACAAATACCTGTAATTCTGCAATCCCATCTTTTCATTTATTCATCTCACTTTTCTGTGTTCATTGTACTTGATACAGTGCGTAAAATTGAGTGCCACGAGGCAAATGGTTAACACGTAGAGACGCATAAATTAAAATGAAGATTGACCTCAGGCAAATCGTTTGTAATCTAGTTAGGAGATTTCGTAATCTAAACAGAGTTCCGAATCTAGCTAGATGAAAATGGAATTTAAACTAAATCTAGCTAGATTTGACCCAAATGTTAATCTAATTCGATGAATTTTGAATCTAATATCAGTGTTTTTGCAATCTAATTAGAACAATTTTAGAAACGCGAATTAGCTAGCTAGATTAGAAACGATTTGCCTGAGACCTTTACGAATTCGAAAGAAACGAATCCGCTCGTTCGCAACAGTTGGTCAACGACGTTCCGTTTCTTTCATTCCGCGACACACATCAGTCACGTACGCGCACACGGAACAATGAGCGATATCACTCGCACGTGATGTGCTCCAAACGACTCGAACACGTCCTGCCGCGCGCTCTCCGCTCCAGTACTGGCGAACAGGCAAACAGAAATAGTATCGATTGGCTCAGAGACGCAGTGATCGCGTCTCTCGTTCCTACCGGCGCCAGCGTCCGCAACAGCTGTAGTAGTAGTAGTAGGAGTAGCAGGCACCACGCCAATGTCGTTTTTTGTTGCGTCCATGTTCTTCCCCTTTCCGTTTATCTCGCCGCCGGCCGGCCGCGTCTTCTTTTCGTGTCTCGTAGTAGTCAATGACGGAAGGGAAGGGAAGCACCACGACTGGCACCACCTCCTCCCTCCTCGCGCCTATCGCCTCCCTCGCCCGGCTTCTCTGCGTCTGGACTACCGCCACGCTCACTGCTTTCAACGGTACCGGTCGCCGCGTCTCTGTCGCCTCTTCTCCGTCTCTCCTCTTTTGTTTCTTTCGCCTCCTGCTGCCGCTCCCCTCCCCTTGTCGTGCGTTTTTTCCTTTTTTTCGTTCATGCCCCTCACCTTTTGGCGCATTGCCAAAAGTGCGTGAGAAGCGGCAGTGCATCGGTCGACACGCGTCTACCGCGAGGGCGGAGCTTCGCATGACGCACCGCGCTCTTTCTTCTCGTTCTCTGCAATTCCAGCCAATAATAGCGCCTATGAAGTGTCATGTAAGAGAGAGAGAGAAAGAGAGACGGGGTGGAACAAATAGTTAGCCATGTTGCACTATAAGGTGTCAGTAAGAGAGAAGAAAAGGGAGAGTGGAGTGACAGCGTATGATTGAAAGATTATGTATCAGATCATCACGTGAACAGAGAGGCGCAGGCGTCAAAAGAAGAGCATCTAGAGTCACGTGTGCGCGGACGTTGCATCCTTCCGCATGCCTGAAATCATCGATAATCTAACTAACAACTATTAATTTCAGAATTTCATCGTCGATTCGTTGCCTGAAAGTGTGCCCGGCTTCTACTTTCTAACAATATTGTCTGAAAAAGAACAGTAATGAATTCCTATATCCTCCTGCGTGTGATCACAGCTGGTCACTCGCCGCCCACGGTCTCTGACTCGCATGTCTATATTAACCGATGTGTGCCCATTTCGGGCTTCATTCTCCACTCGAGTCTCTCCGATTCAAATGACGTCAACGTGTTCTTCTACGGTTCTTCGGCGCCAACTCGTTATACTCGCCGGCGCCAATTTCTCTTCGCTCAGTTTTCTTTGCAATTCCTACATTCTTCTGCTCACTCATTCTGATTTTCGAAAAACTCTTTATTCACTTTCCCCTTCGGATGCTTGGCGCAAATGGATCCCCTCGTAATCGGCTCTGTCGCCGAGCCTACCCTATAATTGCCATTTCTTGCATCTGCCGTCACCAGCACCACCATTACGAATTGTTGAATTTTCGTTTTAATCGGCCGCTCCTTCTCTGAAGTTCTTCCTTTTTCTGATATTCTAGCATTTCGGCAAACCTCTGTAACATTTGCGCAAAGCTTACACAACTTTAATTGGCCGGTTGGGCAAAACCTGCGTAAAGTCCGCGCAAAAGTGGCATACAATTTTTTCACGAAATCGCAGCTTTTCCACAGACTTTTAGCAACTTTTGTGTAAACTCTACGCAGCTTTTGCTTTTGAAAGTTGCGTAAGCTTTGCGCAAAAGTTACAGAGGTTTGCCAAGTATATATTAAGAGTGACGTCGTTTGTATACAAAACTTGAATATTGTGACTGCCGTGATGGCGAAACGTGTCGAAATCGAACAAAGAGTCCTGCAGCCGGTCCATCCTCTGTCGAAGTATTTTGCACTTTGGGCGGTCGGCGGCACAGACCCAGACGAGGCGAGTTGTGCACTGCTCTCTCCGGTTATCAGCCGTCCTGAGCCTCTCTGAAACTGCTTCACATTGGACCCTCCCTACATTTTCCGCACTATCCTCGCTCGTCATGCACTGTTTGGCAAGTGTTTCCGCCATCGAGAGAGGCATGTTGCATTTTGTTGTGATTATCAACCACACTACTTGCGACTTCCGATACGCGCCATACTTTTCCGTCGTCACTATGTCGCCATCATTATTTTACGATTCCCTCACACTTTTCTCTTAACACTTTTTTGCTAATCGTCCTTGCCATGTGTCTTTCGTGTACTCTGAAAAATCACTTTCTCTGCTCGGTCATTTTTTTTCTCGAAATCTCTTTTCGTAGTTATTTAAAACATTCTTCTCAAGTGCCGTTTAGAGAGAACATTTCGTGAAAGAATGATTACGCCTATTTTTTCTGTCATGCAATATCCGGCGAAAAGATAGCCCGAGATCTGGTGTAATACCTTTACACTTGGATCGACAATATTTCGACTCAGAAGAGAAATGAACTTGGGAAACGTGGGAATTTCTACGGGTACAGGGAAAACATCCATGAGACTACTCTATTCATTTCTGATCCTCTTTTTAGTATCGTGTCTATTGAACGGCGATCAGGCGGTAATGCAAAAAAGAAAGAGTTCCTGAATACAAGGCTTTAAGAGAAATAGCTGAGTCATGCAAATGTCTCTCGCGGTAGAAAGCGACCACCAAAACAATATTTACCCCTTCGTGCATGGTCTTACGACCTTGGCGCCCTCCCACGTTTTCGGACCGCCGCCGCCCATTGTGGAAGTAAAATGAGTCACAGGGGGTTAAGGCGGGAAGACGAACACAGAAAAAGAATAACCTCCTACGCTCCGGGACTGACTCACTTTTTTAAAGGGACCCTCCTGCTGGTTGCTCCTCGAGCTCCGTTTGGTTGCTATCGGTGACCCGAAGGCTTACGAGCTTCCAGCTTCCCGCTGAAGCCACACTTTATGATAGTTTTGCTCGGTTCTATTTATTTCTCTTCACTACAGTTTGGCAACATTTTTGTGCTTTTTCCGCGAGAATAAGGCAATTATAACCACTGATACCGCTCGCACCATCACGTTTTCCTTTTCGTCGTTTTGTCATCTGTCATAGTTCTTGTTAAAATAGTGCATACTTTAACACAGTTTTTGCGAATAACATCAGCGGTGGCGACAACTTTACGGGTGGCTCCCGTGCAGCTAATACCGATCGCGATGAACTCTGGCGCGGTCAGTTAGTAGAATTGGCTCGCTGAGCAACATATGAGAGGAGAAAAAAGGAGAAGAACTAGGAAATGAGCGAGGAATAGTCGGGGTAAAGTAAACAGAACTAAAGGGTGGGAAAGAAAAAGCCGGAGAAAGCTTGAGATAAAAAGAGTGGGTTTCCTTTATTTTACGTTTTCAATTTTTCATTCTACGTCTTCAGGGGTTTTATCGAATGAACTGTCTGCTCTCAAGTGCACATGGCGATTTTGCTAAGCCATCCCACCTGTTGGTGATTCGTGTTATGCTGCGTCATCTCATGTGACCGGCGCCTGAATTGTTTTGCGTCGTGTTTCGTTCTAAGTCTCCGTCTTCCGCGTTCTCTCTCCACCAATAGGTCCCCCTCTCACTTCTCTGCGCTTGTCCTCTTTTCATAGTCTCTCGCTGTTACTCTCCGTCCGTCCTGGCGCGACGACACCCGTTCGGTCGAGAGTTTTTCCGCTCGACACACGCTCAAGCCACGTGAAAACTTGAAACATAATATCACTTTTGTAGCTCGTCCTCCACTAGCGGGTGATTCTTTGGAAGTTACGGTACACTTCCCCTGCACATATTGTCACCGTCTTCCTCGGAACACTAAAACACTAACGAAAGGTGAGTTGGATTCCCTTCTACGACCGAACCTACCCCATCATGATCACAACTAGATTCAGATGCAAGCAGTCATCGCACTATGCCACTTTTGTGAGAATCACGGACCACGGGTCGTAATGACTTGCCAGCCAATGCGAGATTTTGGCGAAAAAGGTAAGAAACACTCACTTGTTCATTGAGTAGCTATGCATTTGCCTGGCTTGATAGAAGTTGAAATTATGGGAATACCACAGAAAGGGTTGGAATACTGCGGTTTTGGCGTTGAAGCATACGAAACCGACACCTTGTTCACTTGTTATTTGTTTTTATCAACTTGACAGAAGGCCGGAAAATAAGGTGTGATTGGGGTACTGGTTGAAATGGAGCGAAACAGCAGAAAAGAAATGAAATGCGTCGTGGAAGTAGGTTATTAGTGGGAAGAAGCAGCTTTGTCGACGGCGGATTAAGAGAAGAAGAAGATGAGGACGACTACGCGGAGGTCTCGTGGTAGGAAAAGGGTCGGATGATTTGCAGAGATCGGCAAAGTACATGCCGAGGAAGAAATGAAGAAAGGTTGATAAGAGCGGGACAACCAATGAATTGATGTCAGCGATCTAGATGTCCTAGATGGAAACGGAGAATGGGTTCATAGATATCGCATTATATTTGGAGAAGAAAGTTGACGATTCACACAGTCAGACAATAGTAGGAGCGTTTACTGACGACATGAAACACGGGATGACTCACACTCACACTCCCAACAGCTTGCTTTCTGTATCCCATTCAAATAACGAAAAGACTCCCAGCCAAGAGTACATTCTAACGAAGTAGGTGGGGGGAAATGAAGAAAGCGAATTTCGAAAGGGCGCTTCGAAAGAGGCATTCGCTCATTTTAAAGTAGATGACCAAAAACCACGTCAGAACGACGAAGACGATGGGCGGGAAGAAAAAGAAAGAATGAGCGTGCGCACGGAGCATTTGAGAGATGAATGGAGCGAGACGACTACTATCTGACTGCCATCTAATGCAGTGTATAGAGAGACAAATTGCAAATTTCTTGCACCTCTTTTCTCCATTTTGTGTGCGCGCCACGACGAAGGAGGTATCTCCTATCTATTTTCGTCCCGAGAACAGAAAATGGCGAAATTGGTTTGTGGATGCAAGAACAAATAAGAAAGGCAGAGAAGAAGGAAAAGAAAAAAGAAGAGCGAGAGAGAGAGAGAAAGAGAGATGAAACGAGTAGATGAAGTATCAAAAATATGAGCGAAAAAAGGAGAAAAGGGAAAATTTGGGCGTGCAAGAAGGTCTCTAATGGAAGAGAGTGACGGGCGCGGTAGGGATGTGCACTGCGACGAGACGGTCGCGCCCGCTCTCATTCTCTGTCGCTCTTTCTCTCGCACACTCTCACCGTCCGTCTGCCAAACAAGCGGACTGTCTCTGGAGACGGCGAAGGGAACGGGCGGGCGCCCCCTCGAATATTTTACGATCGTTGTATGGGAATACGGTAACGCGGTGCAATGCGGCGTTTCTTCTCTTTCACCATCCCCAATCCACGGGTCTTTCGAAACAATGTGGATGACGGAGAGAAGCCTGTGCAAGAATAGAAAACAAGTAGCTAATGCGCTAATAGGGGATTGTGGAAAGTGCAAGTAGCGATAAGAACGCGCCACGGCCAGACCAGTGCAACTGTGTACTGAACGGTGCACAGAAGTCGGTCTGTGAGAGGAGAAGGCGAGTTTGTTATGAATGCGAGTCAACACGTCCTAATGTTATGTCTGTCTCTGGGCCTCCCGCGTCGATAAATATAGTCGAGAGACGCAGAAATGAATAAAGGGACAACAAAAATCGGTCAATTTGCAGACATTTGCACGCCGTCGACGTCACTCGGACCGTCCACAAGCAATTCGCCGCCGGGGCCGATAGTTCCCTTAATAAAAGTGAGAAATGGGAGAATGGAATGGGGAAAGTAAGTAAAAAAGGATTCGTTACAGTTAGACGGTGAGAACGAGCCCATCGATCAGCGGCTTGTGGATCGACCGAAGGCAGTAGGTAATGAAGACACCGCTTACCCACACTACGGGAACTGTACAAAGCATACCATTGACACAGAGGATAGGTACGCATTCGCCTTCTCATCCGGGCCCCCGCCAGAAAGTAAAAATGGGAACGATTGGTTTTGCAGGTGTTCAGCATGTTCGTCATTTCGAAATGGACCTTGTCTCTTGTCAAATGATCATCAGACTCAAACGAGTTATGTTTCAACCGAGGTGAGAGGAAAGAAAAAGCGATTACGGGCGAACTCAGACCAGTACCTAAAGAGTAGTTTCGCGATAACTGACGGTTTGTGCGACTACAGTCTCATTGCCATAAAAAGGAAACAGTTCCGTTGTCGAACTTTTCCTTTCCAAAACTGAAGATAAGACGTACCGTTATCATGACGTTATCGGTTTTGCAGGTAGCACTCCAAGATCGGGTTTACGAACGGGTGAAGAACGCGTGTATGCGATCTTTGAGCTGCGAAGTGTCAGCCGCGTCGACAAAAAGCCCCGTTCCGCCGCCGTCAACGACACGACATAACACGCCACGAAAGTGGCATCCAGATGTGATTCACGAGGAACCAATGCAGGGTGGGCCAGACTGACAGTCGTTGAATGATGGCTGCGGGCGGACTGACTGTAGTGTAAATTCTTTCAGGAACACGAATTCCACCGTCGGCCGCTGTGTTACAGGAGCCGAACGATGACGGAATATTCGAGCAGCCGTCAGTCAATTCGAAGAGAGATCTCTTCTGAAATGGTTGTTTTCAGGGCAGCAGAAGAGGCGGACGGGTGTGTGATATTCGGTGATACGGACAACGGGTATTGTTTTGCATACACTTTTCGGTAAGATATGAATTCAGGAGGATAATCAGAGTTATCAATTTTAAGGCTAGCAGATGCAAAAGCACGAGGCTTCTATCGACTGTTCTCGTTAATCGTCGTCAGCAATGATCTAACGTTTCTTACGAATAACTTTGAATATTTCAAACAATCGTTAGGCGGGATAAAGAATGAGCTACAGGTGTGTTGACGAGCGAAATGGATGGAAGAATGGAAGTTTCAGAGATTGGCTCAAGACGTGTTCACTCGAGAGATTGATGTGGGCGAGAAGCTGACGGAAGATGACATACACAAACCGGAATATCAGAAATTGGTTGGCAAAATGCCAAGCTGGTATAGGCGAAAGGTGAGTCACATCGCACATCGGGGGAACCATCGTTTCTATTCCGCACTCGCGTATGGAAAGGAATCGAAAGAGAGAGAGAGGGAGGGAGAGAGAGAGAAAGAGTTGTGTCGTGTCGTGACAGTCTTCGAAATTATGGAAGAGAGCCAAGGGGACGAGAGATTGCAGACGGTCACACAACCAAGGAATTGATTATTATGAAAGTGGAAACTGACGAGGAACATTTAAATAGAAAGTCATAGGTAGGCAACTGGTTGCCACGTCATTGTTGAAAATATAATATGAATTGGAGACTATGATAATGAACAGTGAGAGAAGAAAATGGTTATTGAAGACCACATGAAATAGAGAAGAAGCCTATTATACAACTTTTTTCGAAATGCCCATCCAGCGACTACGTTGTTTCCCAACTTACCAAAAACTCATGAAATATGAAGCCAGCGTTGAATAGCCAACCAGAGAGTTCCAAGCGAAACACATAAATAGTTACTGCTGTGTGCGACTGGCGGCCTAAAAAGCCTATGCCGAAGCGAAAACGTCGATAAACGCAGGCGAAGAAGAGAGGGCGAGAGACGCCGGGGTGGTCCCTGATAGATGGCCGCGTTCTAGAAGCACCTCGGCCGCCGACTGGGATAATCGATGAGGGCGCAGCTTCCGCATGCGTCTCTTCTTGGGAACTGGGCACATATCAACATCCTCTTTGAAATTATTCCAAAAAAGAACGAAAAAAGGAAGAAGCATACAAATTAATAACAAGTCTTGCAGATAGCAATTGACACGGATCGGAATCTGACGGTGGTGACAGCGAACGAGCAGATTTGGGTGTTGTTGCACAGGTAAGATCGGAAAACGGAAAAATAAAGAATTCTGAGAGGGTTTGTCTGATTTTGCGAAAGAAGGTCAACCGTTGTTGTTCCATGAAATGCTCTATTTCTCATTCCTCCGATCCCTCTTGTTCGTCTCTTCCCATGCGTTCCACTCTTCTCCACCTCTCCTATATTACTGATTGACACTGAAAGAGATTCTCACTCGACCGTATCGTGTTTTCATTGCAATCAAACGCTTTCGGTCCGACCGCTGGTTGTTGAGGAGTAAAGGCCAGTTTGTCTCCCTTTTTTCAACAAAGCGAGGAGGTAATTATTAGAGTGGAAACGAGGAATGGCACGTAACCCCCGACCGCCACAAACAGCAGCAAACTAGTCGGTTGACCTGGTTTCGGTCCCTTTTGAACCAAAATTTTCTGTTCGGGTGGTCCGATACTTCCCCCCAGACACACACAATTGACGAGTTCATAATATGCCGGAAAGCACTAAAATTGAATGGAAAGCAGGCTTTGTGTGTGTGTGTGTCTGCTGTTGGTGCAGTGTTGTTAGTGCTCGAGAAGTGCACAATTTTACGATTTTTGGTACGCCTTCCGTCGATGCCGCCACCGAGACAATAAATTGTTCTGTTGGCTGCTCGTCGTCGGTGAGCACATCAAAAGAACGCATTGAAATCGACTCCCCAGTACGCTCTGAGTGTTTGGCGAAGCGCAAACTCATCCACACGTAGGCAAAGACTTTGAGAACTGTTCAAAAGGGTTTTCGTGAGGATTAGTATTTAGGTAAAGTCCCTCGCTCCTCCATCTCTTGATATTATGGTCGCCGCCGTCCGTCAGGGGGCCCTCCGAAAAACGACGAGGGGGAAATTCGACACGCGTTGGGCAAACAAACATGAGGAGCGAGAGAAGGAGTCAGGGTGGTGGTTTTAAGATGAACGAGCGGGGAGAGTGAGAGCGGATTTCTGCTTCACGGGAGGTATCGACGTTGCCTTTCTCATTCTCCTTCTTGCGCTCCGAGAGCATTTTGACGCCGCGCACAGCCCATCTTAGCTCTTTCTCGCACTCAGTCAATGTGTGCCTTGATGTTTATTCGAGAAGGGCGCGTCAATTGCGTGTCTGAGCGCAGAGATGATGATCGTGGTGTTTTGATTGCCAGTGATACGATACGTCGCGTCTAGCCTCTTGTTATTTTGCACCAAGCTCTCGCTCCTGGCACCGCCGAGCCCCTCGTCGAGACCACACAGATAGAGAACGCAACGGGAATATGTTAACGAATAGTCGGGTGGATTACAAATAAACAAGAGACAGAAAGACGATGAAAGTGAGCACAAACAAATATTTTTGATTTTTTTGGCGCACCTCTGGTTAATGCTCTCTGCCTTGTTTGGACTAGTCAAGGGTTACGGTAGCAGTCGGTCAGAACGAGAAAGGTGTACCAATATGGGGCTGATGAAACTGTAAACAAAAATTAAACGAGCTTTTTGAGTGTCCCCTGCCCTACAAAATTACTCGAAACTCCATTTCGTAAGAACCAATTGGGCTGAGTGCACGGGAAATGGAACATCTTCGAAGAGGCTTCTTGTTCCGAAACTAATTTACTCTGGGGATTACATAGTCCTTTTTCACTAATTGGACCTCTTCGAAATCCCTCTTGACCTTTTTGCTGATTGTTTAATTTTCTTTGCCTCCGTGCAATCAGTTAGTGGTTTTTTGTCCTCCGGAAAGCTATTAAAGTTCGGGCGAATAGCTGCCTCTCGCAGTAGCATTCCATGCAAAATTAATGAGAGGCAGTCGTCGAGCAGCCCGCTGTGTTTGACAAATTGAATGCGTTCTTATAGCATGCCAAAAGTGCAGCCGGATGACCCAGAACTGAAAACAGAAAGGAGAAGGAGATGCGAACATTCAGAAGGGATTGTGCCGCATCTGCATCCGATTGGCCATCCATCCATTCCGAGCCGTCGTCCTTCTGTCGTTTCATCATTGTCATCGTAATTTTATTTTTATGATGCCGATATCGTAGTCGGTTTGTCATGCAGATGTTCATCGAATGACAGGAACTCGTACGGCCGATTGCTCGTGCGACAATTAGCCAGATGTAACGAGCGCCTCTCGAATCTGATTTGAGTATGTCCCTTCTGTCGATGCAGTTATCACTTGACTTCACAACATTTAATGGCGTATTCTTGCATCCCTGAGAATGGAAACAGCTGTACTAACAGGTGACAGAAAAGGCAAACAATGCATAATTTTGTGACACCGGGGAAAGCCCCTTTTCTTCCGTTTTTAACTGATCGTTGATGAGCTATGGACACGCACATAGGCGGCCTAATGGACGTATGGACGGATTTGAGAAAGACTACTCTGTGGAAGGAGATTTGTGTGTCTCTAGTTTGGTTGCGCCGTCGGATTATTCATGAGAAAGTCACTGTTTAACAATGACTTGGACGGCAACAACGACCCGGTTCTCTGAGAAGGAGTGCATAATTAGAAGTGAAGAAGAGAAAGTGGTTTATGCAGAGTCCCCAATGTCTGAAAGACCACGCCACCATCGATGGCGTTTGTTCACAAAGGATAGATGTACATCAGATAGGTGCGAGATAAGTGATCCAAGGCTGCCACGTCATCTCTACTCTTTATTGGCCCGGGAAACTGAGACGATAGTGATGTTTCTCTTCTTCTAATAACCGATGCGTCTGCCGCTATCTCTTTTATTCGACAAGTTCTTCCCGTTGGTGCCGAACTCGAACGATAATGATAAAGTTGTGGTTACACTAGTTCTCTGCGGATCATATCAGCCAACCGGGTGGAGGATTTGGATATCAGCCAACCGGGTGGAATATTTGGGTGGACTTTGACCGGCCCAAATGGATAATATTCGAACCGCATCTGCTCGGAACCGGGCCCATTTTCTTTTCCCTCCTCACTCTCGCTCTATTATCCCCCCGCCGCACCTGTCTCCGTGGCATCTCCATACGAACAAGTGGTCCCACACAATCGGAATGATGTCATTGGGTCGGGCAGAAGGAAGAACGGGTTATCATCATGAGCGAAGAGCATCTGGCGTGTTCTGTGTAATAGGAGCAAAGGTGAAAAAGGCACGTTTTATGGCCTTAGTGTGTAACTCAGATAGACTGTAGTTTTGACAATTGCTAACATTGTGTTGTGTACAAAGATGTTGAACACGGCTGAGCTTTGAACCCGCAGTGGATGCAACGAAAATGAGCAATGTTTGTTCCACTGCACGTTATAACTTGATGCTCATCTCTTCGCTCCCTTGCAGTTGCCCCCTGAAAATAAAAAGAGAGAATCAACATGCTGCTGCTGCGTCCCCCGTTTGGTACAAGGGTATCCATTTTCGGAAGACATAAGGTTGACCCTTGTTAGAGCAGCTAGCTGATCAGAGATCAAGAGGCAACCGAATCAGGCAGCAGAAAATATTATTTGTGTGTGTGTGTCTTCCACCTCTCTGTGATGTTCGTCTGTCTCGGCGTGTGTGCAAAGTGTCGTACAAACATTCAAAGCGCTAGTCTGTCGCCCCCGTAGGATAACTTGTATTGCAAAAAGTCGTGGCAACAATTTTCCAAATGCTCAAAAAGTCCCTTGACACTGACGGTATTCCGATATCGAGTTGGTTCGCTGGTCTCGACAGTATCATGCACGTTGCACATCGGGCTGGCTCGCGAGCACAGTTCGTATACAAACTAGGCAGTGTCTCTACTTTGGTCACTCTTTTGTACGCGACGTCGGTGACCAAGAAACGTGTTAGATAGCGAAGGATACATAGCCGGGCTCCATTAGAAATATGATAAGATTGGTCCGTGAAAAGAGAGAAGACCCTAATGAGACCCCTCGAGCATCCTTTCTCGTTTGGCCTCTAACCCAGTATTAGCACTACAAAATGACATCTCGTCCAGTCCGTATTTAGCTCTTGAACTCCAGACGTCGTTAAGGTGCAAAGAACAAAACTGAATGCTGAAAAGTCTGGCGATGTGTGAATTCTGTTTCAGTGGTCGTTTGGCCTGAGCTTTGGGGATCAAAAGATTAACCAATCAACCCGCGGAGTCTAATTACTGTTATATTTGGTGAGGACTAATGCCCCTCCCGACCAACGGACAGATGTGTGTTGTAGAACGGAAGGACCCCCTGTGAAGCAGCTTTTGTGTCGCAACACACGCGTTGCCGACACGTAGGACTCTGAGCTCGAACACCTGCTCTCTCAAATTTTCTCGAATTACCACATGAGACGAATGTGCACAGAAAACATCAGAATTTATGTCTATCTGGTATGGCTAGTCTCTTCCATTTTATATAAAGCGTGAAAAGAATTAGTTGTGAACAAGCGACGAACTGGAGGAGGGTCATGAAACGGGAAAACGTCTCTTGCAAGATTCTTTTGAATATATTCGTAAAGTGGGAAAGCCCCGCCAGTCTTTTCGGTCAATGGGACACAGACTCCACGGGACGTAAGTGGAAATTTCAGATTCTATCTATTGTTTTTGCCGTGCGAGAACCGCCGATCAGTCGATGGCTCCCTGACGGACAACGTGAGATCGTGAACATTTTGATGATAGGAGTACGCTGTTGCAGTAAGAAAAGTGGGAAAGAGAAATTGGCTCAATTTCGACTAGTCAAGATTAAGCCAATCTTTCTCTGAGTCCTACAATTCCCTGCTCTCAGATTGTATGTCGCCCTCCGACATTTCGAAATTATTCGGATACAACAAAAGCAGGCACCCCTTTTGTCCGGAATGTGTTGTTGTTTCGCGCCGTTGCGTGCGCATATCGTTAATGAACATCTTCACGCATCGGTTCATGGTCGGTAGTTACTCAGGATGAGGAGGAGAAGGAGAAGAAGAAGAAGAAGACAAGTGTGTCTAATTTCGTACTTTTCCCGCGTTTTTCTGGTCTGATGATTCGCTTCTTCTTCATCTTCTCTTCCTGACACTCATCTACCGGCAAGCAGTGCACATTCAACACCGCTATTCTCGGAATATGCAAAAGTGCAAAACGGGCAAAGATTATGTAGTGGGAAGAGGAGAAACGAGACGAAGTCATTCTGCAAAAATGTATGCGTGAGCCGGAAATGGGGTTGATCTTTGAGTTATCTGCCATCAGGAGATCCGCTTTCACAGGCCGGGGGAAGCCCTCTGCGCTGTTCCGTCTAAGTATTGACTGACGGCGGTGTTGATACGTGAGGCAAACAAGCGGAGCGCGACTTTTTCGACCGATCGTCGCACCCGTCGCGCGGGCTCTCCGAGGTCATACCAGCTCGCCTTTTTTGAATACTAAAAGTAAATCATCAGATTTGGCAAAGGTTATATTTCTCCGTCTCGCACCAAGTCGGTTCAGCGACCACGACGAGAGCGTGTTTGTTGGTTTTGAAGGGCATAAGGAGGCTCCCTGTGGTGAAAAGGAGACTCGCCGCTTTTCCGACATTCTGCCGTCTTCAGATAAATAGCCCAATCAACACCAATTATCACAATTCGACACGTGGACTACTTGACACTCTCACAATGTGTCAGAAAGGGCAGTGGGTTACGGTAGCAGGTCAAAACATTTCAGGGGATGACGTAATGACGCAAAAGACGAATATTCCCTCCTTTGGCGACACTGGTGATTATTTTAAAAAGATCTATAGACAGTCGGTTTTTATTTCGTTCATCCAGTGAAACCTTTGTTGCGACGGAGACAACGGCGAGGACGCCGTCCTTGATGCGGAACTCGTTTTCTGTGTCGAAGTGGACCTGTGATGGCCGCCCGTATTGTAGATCATAATAATCTGATACATCGGATGGCCTAATCTAACCTAGGTGTTCTTTCCTGTTCTCCCTATCATCATCTTTCTAAACTTTCACTTCTTTTGTTGCTTGATCCGTATCAGCACTGTTTGTATCGCAATTCGAATTCATTTCAGGCTCATGATGTGGACGCTCCGCTCCCCAACTCTAGCTTGCCGTGACCAGGTGATGGAAGGGAAACCGACTCAGGATATGATGGTAAGTGATTCAAAACGAGACGAACGGGGAGGAAGCTGGGCTCTGCGCGACGTATACTGGTAATTGGCTTGCTTATGCTGCGTTTGATTGGTTCGTTTCCCGCTCTGCCGCTGTTGCACTTTCACAGTTATTATTGTTATTGTGAAGCTGGTTAGTGGAACGCGGTTGTTCAGTAAGCATGCACACGAGTGCTCAGTTCGGATGCGAGTCGTGAGTTTTCGAAAAACTTTAAGAAGCTTCTGAAGCCAATTCTCCATTCTGGTCACGATTGGTCAAGGAGAGGACAGAACGTAGTGAAGCTCCTCAGGCAAAAGAAGTTCCCGAAACTTTCTGCAATGTGTGTGCGTGTGTATGAAGGAATTTGTTTGAAACACATCAAATTTATACATACACATAGACCGCAGGAGGTCTACCCTCTAGCCACACAGATGAAGCGGAATAAGAAGAGAAGGGAGGCAAGTATTATTTGTCTGTTTTGTGGGTGAGAGGTGAGAAAAGTTGGACGAGACGGGAGGTGGGGGGAGGAGGCCAAACCAAATACAAATAGTCAGCGGAAGGATCGAAGAATGGTTTGTGTCACTCGAGAGATCAATAGCAGCCGCCCGCGTCCCTTGGAAATGTTTTCATACCGGCTCACGGAAGTTGAGAACTCGGGAGAAGAGCGCATCCGTCCAAAGAGCACTTCTTCTTCTTCTTGTTCTCCTGCCTCATCTTTCTCTCTCACTATCACTCTCCGTCTCTGTCTCCTCCACACATGCACACCACGGCTCATTGTCGATTCCGTGCTCAATTATTCTAAATTAGACATATGCTAGACTGCACATTCGATTAGACACGCTCACTCACTCATGAAGGCGACAACGCCTTCGACAGAGGCGACAGAAGCGATGGCGTTCTCATTTTGCAATTCAATTCGTGCCCTGGTGTTCCAGAAACCTGAGAATGAGGAAGACGTGTGTGTCCGTCGGAAAGGGAACTAAAACAAGATTGGGGAGGGAAAGAATGGAGAGCCTTGGCCTAGGTCTTCAAGGCTAATTGTGGCCTTCTTCATTGAAAGTAGTTGATAATTGCTTTATGACATCTCCTTTTGTATCGGTCGGTCGTTTCCTTCTTCTCCCTTCCTTCTAATACTCTACTCTCGTCTTTGTTTGGTGGTATTATATGGTTTTGTAGGAAGCTCTTCTCTTCTTCCCTCTATTCTTCTTCTTCTTTGTCGGGAGCGCTCCAACAGCAAAAGTCATGATTTGAGGCGAGAAGTCCTCCGGGGAATTCAACAGGATGGGAGAAGGAGGAGAAGGACAAACAAGTCTCGGTGTAAACCAACGGCGCCAAATCTTGCTCTGATTTTCCGGCGATTAGCGAGAAAGTCGTTTGTCATCAGGACAAGGGAGAAAGATAATGCCACGTCACGATAATCCCCTGCCAAACAGATAATGTCACAGATAATGTGTGTAGTCTACGAGTTCCGAAAAGCTAAGCTAAAGCTGATCCGTCGGGTGGCCAGAACAACAAAAACATATGAAACGAGGCAAGAATGGTTATTTACAGGTACTCATGGAACTCGACGAATCGGCCATCGTGGAACTGGAGCTGAGACAACCGAACCAACATCAGGTAAGCCGAGAGAAAACAATGAATACTCGGTCATACTGTACTTAAAAGGAGTTTGAAACACAAAAATGAAAGAAAAACACGTAGCCCCCTCAATGTTTACTCAATCCTCAAAAAGGCAGTCATCTTGTCGCCTCTAGTCTTTTCTCGGGCTGCCTATTCCACTCAAAAAACGAGTCATTTGGCACGTAGCGTCGAACGGTGTTATGAGCTTCTTTAAGGTTTCTCTAATGCTCGTGCCAGCTCATTCCCTTTCTTTTGATGAATAATTTGCGCACTCGATGAGTCATTTGAAACGGAGCGAACAGCACGCTGAAATTGTTGCTCTTTGCTGTGCGCTTTTTGATTTCTCCTCCCTTTGTCGTCGTTATAACCGAATATGATTCACAACCGAATGAACAAAGATATAATGGTCAGAGGGGAGTGCATCATCCGCTTTATTTCTCGCTCTCCCCATCCTCTTTCTTCTTCTCTCTATCTCGCTCTCTCGCACTGTCCACCTGCTGTTCCCTGTGTCGTTAATTCTCATTTTCCACTCAAAATAGTCATTTTCCAAAGCTGAATGCCCTTATCTCTGCACCCGAACATCTCACTTGTTTGTTTCGAGACGACCGTCCTCCCAGTTTGATATTCAGTCGCCGTTATCAGTTACAACGGGTGTCGCTTCGTTTCGAAATGGCGTTTGCAGCTGTGCGTGCGTATGTGAGTGATTATAAGCAACAGCGAGTAGTGAGCGGAGACGGCAGTTTTTTAGTACTCTGATGTGCCCCTCCGTCCGTCCGCGGTCGATATTCCTTGTTCTCGCTTTTTGTTACTGCGTAAAGTTTTGCATATGCTCTTAGCTCACAAATATTTTTGTCATTCTAGCATCGTATAACGTGTTTCCACACGCCGCTGCGTCTCTTCTCACCCCCCGTATTTCTACCTCTTCCTCTCTTTATCTCAACCCCTGGTTGCTCTGCCAGATGGTCTTGAAAGGCAGTCGAGAAGACAACCTCTCTCCTTCCCCCTGCCGATCGCCGCGCTCGGTGGCGAATATCTGCGTCTCTTCGTCTCTTAACTCTTGTGAAGGCACGCCCCTTTCGTCCAGCCGGCCGTCGATCCGTCGTTCGCCCTCCGCCTTCTCGTCGTTGCCTCGATTAGGGGGCGGGTTTCCCCCCTCCCCCCCCCCGTCGATCGGCCGGCGGCCCGTCGTCGAGTGAGTCTCATTCGGCCGTTGTGGTGTGCGGCTGCCTGCTTGTGTGGCCCGGAGACAGGCCTGCTCCGCTGGCGGCTGTCGCTACTGCATCATCTGCGCCTCTGAAGGGAGTTGAGCTCTGGACTGCTTAGAAAATAACGGTGCCCTAGGAATATTTCTCTTCTCAGGGTGTGAGCGACGACTGAATCGAGACGAGACAGCCGAGTGTGTGTAAGTATGTGTGCGTAGACGGCCTGGCGCCGCCCTTTTCGGCCTTCTTTTCTCCGCTCGCTCGCCGGCAGTCGTTTCGGCCGGCCACCCATCCCGTTGTCGTAGTCTCCTTTTTCTTGTTCCTCTCCGTCTTCTCTTCTCTTCTTCTCGCCTCATTTCCGTCGACGTCTTCTACGTGTTTCATATTCTGTTCTCTCCAGAAAAACTTGTCAACTGTCGTTTCTGACGGCGGCTGCAGTTGGTTCACCTTCCCCGGTACAGTATCTCGTTCGTCAGCATCTACTCGAAGATGTGCATCGCGTCGAATAACGGCTCAGTGGCTTCACCGAACCAGGAAGAAATGGTCGCCGTAGACGGACAACGGCAGATCATCGTGGAGATCCAGAATATGCCGCCGTCGTTCATGATGCGCGTGCACAACGAGAAGACGGAAACTGCCATCGCCACGGAGCCGGATGACTTCGAGGGCGTTGAGAACGAGAAGATGGCCGGAAAGGTAGGTTGGAACGAGAAAGTTTTATGGCAGATGTTGTAAAAGGGATCAGCCTTTGATTGTCGGTGATCTGTCTGTTTTATGGGTTTAATAGTAGAAAAGTACAGTATGGCCAAGGTGAAATGGGATCCAGTTTGTTCTCAGCATTTCAGTCAACTTTCAGGTGTCCATGGCCCAGTTGGCGAATCTCAAGACCATCGCCTATCAGCTGCAGTCGTGCGGCGAATCCGGAGACTTGGAGACAATGCTCTACCACATAGTGACTGGAGGACAGGTTAGTACCGTAATAACACTTTGGCGTTGATCAGCATATCTGCCGCGTCAACAATTATGGTGGTATCGTTAACACGCATATCTGATCAGCGAACTAATTCGAATCGGAGGTCTCATAAAAGGAAATTGCCCGGTGTTACTGTACCGGCGTCGCGCGCGCGCCGCTGGAAATATCGAATGACCATGAAAAAATATTTACAAAGGTTGAAAGGAAACGGGTTTTATGAAAGAGAAGCTACCGTATCAGCGGGCCCACTCCGCCCATTAGTATGTGGGTACGTCTCGTACTTTTGACGTCTGAACTAGATAATTGAGGGCGCCCGTGTCGATGGGGTGAGTGAGTGACAAGCAGAAAAAGTGCATCAGCCTTTTGCCTTCTGCGGGCTGTCAACGGCAGTGTTCGAAGCGCCCGACTGACATGATTTATGAGTGTCTTCTTCTTCTCCTCCATCGTCTTCTTCTTCGTGTTCTCTTTCTCCTTGTCGCAACCTAACGTTTATTGTCGTCGCCACCCGAGACAACGAGGGCTCTAGTTTATAACCTGGGCACGACGGCGGCCGCGAAGTGAAGGAAGAGTGACGGCCCATTAAATTGTTATGGTGACTGAAGGGACACTTTTTCGAAAGACGAAGCAGCACAATCGGGCGACGACCATTGGTTTCTGATCAGATCGTGGGAACGACCGGCGCTGACTCTCTCTTTTAGGTTACTGTATACGTGTTTCACTCTCATTGTCTGTGGAATAATGGATGTGAAATGAGGTTGGACGATGGCGGCGTAAGGGTAAACAATCGACTGTGGGGAATCCGAGGGGAAGGGAAGGACGAACTCTTAGGTTTGGCTTTAACCGTCATATCCCATCGCTTGTTTCCCATTCAATTTCGCCTTCTCTTCTCCCCGATAGCAAACACTGTCGTTCTTATACAATTTCTTCACTGAAAGAAACGAACAAAAGAGCTGCGTAATCGAAAAAGACATGCTGCTTTTGAAGTCGCCGTTTGCATCACCATAACTTCCCTCTTTTCCCGTCGGCTTTTCTATTCCAGTGGTACGAAAAAACAACTGATGTTTGCAATGAAACTGCCAGATGCGGGGACCACGATAAGCCACAGAAGATGGCGGCGCGACGGGTGAGCAGACGGCAAAGGAGATGCATAATAAATCTGCATCTGTAACGTTTACCAAAATGTTTTGCGCACACATCAAATTTCGTCGAATGGAGGAGCAGTAGATGCGGCGGCGCGGCTCAGAGAAGACGGAATAAGGCGGCGGGAAGATGGAAGATTTATTTATTTCGTGCCGTTGCTTACTCCTCGACGCTTCCGAAATTGTTTAAAATTTCGCTTCTTCGATGTAACAATCGTGTAACGATGTAACAAAGGTAGTCCCGCTGGAAAAAATATGCAAAGAATCAATTCTTTTCGAGCAAATACTGTACGCAAAACGTAGCCACACCAGAATGATCAAAATACAAAGAAATTCAAATTGACTGTGAATGTTTTTCAGGTGGCTGTGGTGTCCCGCGAGAAGATGTACTGTCGGCAGTTTCTGTTGGCCATCTCGAACCTGCTGCCGATTGGGTGCATCAAGTTGGCGACGTACAAGGAGCACTATCTGCCCGAGTACAGGTGAGCGCAATCTTTTGATTTTTGAACTCTACGGGAGAGTTTCAACATGTTTGGCTAGACAGCGGCTGTAGTACTTATTGAAACTTAAAGGATGATGTGTGCTTTGTGTTTGGCTAGACAGGACAATAAAGGCAAAACTCAGAAGGACGAACAGAACACTTGCAGCACTCGCTTCAATCTGATCGGAGGGCCGCTCAACATGGACTTGCCCCTCGACTTCGCCGATGTCATGATCTTCCGTGTCACGCCACGCGACCCGGCCTCTACTGACTACGAGAAATCGTCGCTCGCCGATTGCGTGATTGATGTTCGTCGTCGTCCGGAGAAGGAGGGATGGAACGGGATGCTCCCGCAGATCGCCAAGCGCTATCGCGACCTTTTGCTCGACGCGGACGTTAGAGATACGGTCCTGGAGACTGTGCTTCGTACGACTCGCGAGGGATGGATGCACAAGGCGAAGATTTGCTTCCAAATGAAGAACCAACTGCCCGCTTCGGAAATGTTCAAGCATATAACTGGAGTGTACCCCGAGGTAACAATTGTAGCTGGCAAAACTCGATGAAATTTAAGTACTTTCAGGATCATCAAGTTGTTCTCTACTGGACCGCAGGCCTGTCGAACGCCTACAAGCAACACGTGCTGGCTACCATCCAACAATCGCAAGCTTCTGTCGCCGCCGCCGCTGCAGCTGCTGCACTTGCTGTCTCTCGTTCCGCCACCGCTCGTTAATTCGTCGTCATCTTCATCAGCTATCATTTTTTGCAAGACGGCTGTGCCGCCCAACCAATCCATCTCGTCATTTTGTGTGCTTGCTGCGTAGACCTCGTAAATAGTTCTCTGCGAATCTTCGTTCTATTTCTCGTAATTTGTCCCTTCAAAAACGAACACAAAACTTCACAAAAAATGTCCGTTACCCATTTTTTGCCGATTTCGGCAAGCCTCTGATATCCTGTCTTTTGGGCTCGTTTTTCTTTTGCTGTTCCTCCCTTAACCATATTCATAATAACCTAAATCATGCGTCAGCTCCACTTTTTCTATGCCTATTATATGGTTTTTCTATTCTTTTTTAAGCACTTCTCTTCTTTTTTGCCGTCCCCTGTAGTTTTTAGCCCTTCTAGATAGTCATTCTCTTCTAATCTCACCTGATGCTGTTGTTCATTCGGCAGAATCTCATGTGATTTTGCCTTCCATCTGTCCCATCACTTTGCTTTTCCCATTGGCTTTTCCGGTAGTTTTACCATACCAAATCCTTTCCATCAGAATCCTCTTCTACCTCAATCGAGCACATCGAACCTATCCAACTGTCATTCGATGCTCTAATGCCTGTCATCTGTCCCCCTGAAGGCACACCTCAGTCTCTTTTTTGATAGGCTTCCGATGATAATTCATGATTTCATGTACTATTTGCCCGCAAAATCGAGCTTTTGTCGTCCACAATCTCTGAATGAGCATCTCCACCCACCCATTTCTCTTCTTCCAAACGAATTTCTAGTACGAAAATCTCAAGTTGTTCGTCTCGACGTTTGTCTGTATCATTCATTCATTCACGATGACGTATTTTTTCCATCGGCTTATTCGTTTTATATTTATCTACCCAAACCATTCCTTTACGCATTTTATTCTTTGTAAAATAAACGAGATTCTGTTTCACGTCTTATTGCAAAATGCATCAATTTCAGATATTAAAAATAATTACCCGCCGAAAAATATGGCATAAAAAGGAATCAAAGAAGGCACTTGATTCTGGCGATGAGAATGTGTCCAATGTCGACATTTCTCTTCTCGATCGTCGCGTCCGCGTCGTCCACGTGTCTCAAATGCACGACGCACGTCAGTCCGGCTTCCCCCTTTATCTTCTGGAGTCCGGAGAGAATCCAGTAGAGCGAGACGCCTTCCTCGTCGTCCGCGTGCTCTTTAGCGTCCGAACAGTGCAGCTCTTCGGGGAATTCCACGTAGGCGCGGTGCGTGAGTGCATTCTCGCTCGGCTCCTCGTTCTCCTCCAGCTCTTCGTCGTCTTCGCACTGACGGAGGTCGGAAATCGAGGAAAGGACATAGACCTGGAAGAGAGAAATGCATTTGGAAAAGGGGAAAAGGGATGGGCGGTATGTACCTTGTTGGTGAAATGTCCGCAGAATTGGAACCACACTGTCGCCATCAATTGGTGCGTTTCAAAACGGATCGTCGCTGGATTCGGAAGCTCTGAATTAATTTGATATTTGAGATTTGTCTGAACGTGCCGACTTATATACCGTGCATTAGTCTCCAGTGTATTGTGTGGTTATCAAAGGACGCGGTGTGTCCATCGAAGATCAACGGATCCGCAAGACTTCTCGGGTGGGTCAGGGTGCTTCTAATCTCGGGAACCTGCACGTCGCACACTTTCTTGTCGTCCCCAATGTCTATGAGCACTCTGTTAAGCATGTCTATCACGGAGATCTCCAGTTGGACGTGATTCTTCAAATACTTCATAAACACTCCGTTCACTTCTCCTTTGACCTGAATGAAAGTTTAAAAAAATAGGAAATGGATACGTGTATAACAGAAGAGCACCTCATAAGCACCAACACCTCCGCTCGTCGAATATCCATAAATTATATTGCGATGGGCTACGTGGTACTTTTTAAATTGCTCCGAGTATTGGACGAAGGCGCCGATCGCATCGTACCTGAAACATAGAAAATAGAAGAAAAGTACAGAGAGGTACAGCGTACGGAACGAATTTGCGGCAGACATCGAGAAGGAGCAAATTGAGCGAGGGTTGAATGTTGCGGAAGATGGAGAGAAGCTGAAAAGGAAAGTAAATGAAGACGTACGAGAAACGAAGGCGTACCAAGTCCATGCTGAGAGAGTGCTGCGGCTGATGCGCGTCCGCCGGAGCATCCACTCCCAGCAGATAACACTGTCCGTTCACTTCGAAACCATGACCGACGAAGTAGAAGACAGCTAGAACGGAAGTCGACTCTATTTCTTAACCCTTTAGTCCCTTACCGTATACTCCATTTCCAATCAGTTTCCTATATTCGCGAATGAAATATAACATTTCATCGAGAGTAAGGTCGGCCAGAGTCACCGTCTTGTAGTTCATTCTCTACAAAGATTACAGGTACGGTGGATTAGGGAAGTCGTGAGCGTACCTGAAGAGCATCTGCAAGAGTCTGAGCATCGCAATGCGGAGTCTTCAGCTCGGGAAGATGAATGTAGGAGCAGTTACTCATGATCAGAGCGACTTTGTCCGCGGCCCGGAGCGTCACATCCAGGGCGGCCCTGGCCGGCGCCTGCCTGTTCTCCGCCTTCTCGACGTCTTCTTCCGCCAGAATCTGAGACAGGCGGTCCATTTCGAAGTTCTTGCAGGAGTCGCACACTTAAAAAAGAGAACGGGGGATGGTTTAATGAGGATGAAGAATGACTGATTCTTATTACATTCATCGTCGCGGATGCATGAAGTGACGTCGATGAATTCGGATTCCAGCTTCGAAACGAACTGCTTTCCCTTCTTCCGATAGTGATCCGAATACGAGAATCCCTCGCCGACCTCGTTTGTTGCCACGCATTTATACTGATGCTCTGTGGAGCACTTGCATCTGAAACTCATTTCTGCTCATCTGAATTCTGTTCCAGTTGTACTTCAACAGAACGAACGTCCTTCCAACGTGCACTGCATCTTTCGAACTGCTCGTGTACCATTTTATCTCTGGACAAGGAAATCCGCGGGCGCAACATTCCAGTGTTATCGTGGTGTCTCCGTCTTTAAACGATTTTGTCACCTGCTCCTCTTGCACCCATCGCAACGGCTCTGAAAATTAATTTTTAACTACTGCGAGTCAGAATTATGGCGGACGAGAAAGCGCGGACTAGTTTAGTCTACCTGTGTACTCCCCTCGGATCACTTTCAAACTCGTACAGTTTCTAAGAACTTACTGAATTTCCGAAGCAATTGGAGCTGCGGCGGGTCGAATTCTTCTTCGTACACTTTTGAAAGTGTTTGCAGTTGAGTCAACAAATTCAAAACCTGAACACTCATTTTTTTTCCATTTTCTCTCATTTCGCTCTAAAATTCACCGTTTGACCGCGATTCCCCCACCTTCGTAACACTTGATCACAACAATTGTCTTTTTTCGTTGCCTTTTCTATTTCACTCTGTCTGAAAAAGAAAGAATTTGTAAAGTTGAAGTCGTTTTCGAAAATCTCACGTCATGAAATAGATGGAATCATGATCGAATTCCGCTATTTTCACCCATAAATTGTTGCGCTCGAGTTCCTGTGAAAGGTTTCGAAAAATTCGAACAGGTAAATCAGCTAAATTCGTGTCAAGTGTTACCATCCGGCGGCCTGAAAAATGACCCGAACATTCTAGAAATTGATAGCAGATAAAAGAAATGCTTATGTTTTCAGCGAGATGTATTCGCTCGACAACGGCATCTCTTCCGCTTCCTTTCCCATTCACTTTCTTTCATCTGCCTCGTTTTGCTCGTAAATCCACCCCGACCCGTCTCTTTACCGTACTGGCCCCCCGTCCTTTAGTTGATGGGTTCAGTCTGCCAGGCAATTCGCGGCGAGACCCATTCATCATGCGCGTCGACGGGAGAGACGGAAAGAGAGCGCACGACTGCCAGAGATAGAGACACTCGGAGATACACAAGCAAGCGAGACGAGGCGTACAAACAACGCGCGGCCGCTCTCCCTCCCCTCCGTGTGGCCACAAATATCGATCGGTGCTGACAGGAGTGGGTCGCGCCCGAGGCTGATTCGAAACGAATCGATAGCATAAGCTTCCTAATTCTGAAATATCGATTTTTTGAAAAATTTTCGTATTTCATTGCTTTCGTCGGGCTGACCACATTTTTGCCGTATTTCACAGTAATTTCCATTTGTTTTCGTCTGTTTTCCGACAATAAGTGAATTTTAAAAAATGACGTCTACCGTATCCTAACCTCGGAATATTTTAGTGTTGAGAGACGGAGGCATTGCAGCGAATCTGCGAAATCTGCAAACGGTCTTCGCTCCAATCTAGGTCACCATAGTATTGTTTTCATCTCCTCCCACTTTCTCTCCCTTCATTTTCTTCTTATTACCCTTCTACTCCTCGTGTTGCTCATTCATTTCTTTTCAGATTCAACGTTCGTCTTCGAACGAGTCGTGATCAGTCCGCTGGCATTCGGACGGAATGGAGTCGCGTACAGCAACTACCTCGTCAAATGGGTAAGACCGGTTTACACTTCTCAGATGCCTTCCTAGAACATTTTGGCAAGTCACACGAAATACGTAAAAACTAGGGAAAGACTACTATGACCACATTCAAAAACAATTTGAGAAATGAATTCGTCTTACAGTAATCCTTTCAGGGCCGAGAAGTCCCGCCGACGGAACACGGATTACCTGCAGATAGACCCGTCGAGCACGTTCATAAACAACACGGGCCGGGGGTTCGCCGAAGAACTGCCCGAAAACTTCCTGGACACTATAAGCCCGCATCCAGTGGCGCCGTCAGTCAGCTCGTCATCTGCTCGCTCCGCCGATGAGCCCCCGAGGTCTTCTGCCCCACAGCTCGCTTCGCTAGTTCCGATGAGCATGAGCAACGATCAGCCGAGCAGTAGCTTCTCGAACGCATCTCTCCTCTCCTCACCATACATCCACATCAAAAATGAGCCAGAATTCTCTGGAAGTACGGCCGCTCTGCTTTCCCCTCTACAAGTAGACTCCCGTCGGCGAGATTCACACGATTTCAACACATCGCCTTACATCAAAGAAGAAGAAGACCTCGACAACAGCCATCTCCTAATGGGTCTACGACAGCGAGAACTTGGTGCTCTGGACGAGCACGGAGATGCTTCACCTCGAGAACGATCGGCTGAAATGAGCATTTCGTCGCTGATTAGTGGAGAACACGGGACGATCGACAGGTCTCCTTCACCTCAGCCGAACTACGGAAGTGATCCCACTCCGATGATACAACAGCAGTTAAAAAGAGAAGAAGAAGCCGCCGCCAACTCTATCGCCTACTCAAAACCTGTCCGATATCCGAAGAGTAGGCAGAACGGCGATCGTCAGCAGGCCGATTTCGACAAGGCTCCCTACACGAGAAGTGAGTTGCTCCATTCAATTCCACTTCTCTCGGTCCTTTCCTTTTTTAGCTCACCGTCCCCTAAACGCTTAGTTTCTTTCCCCTTCCGTTCACTAATCGTACTCACACATATCTTTTAGATTCTCGGAAACAAAAAAAGCCTCTAGGTGTGTTGAATCAAGCCTCTTCGTCTTCCGGACCCACACCCAGCACAAGCATCACTGTGTCTGGAATTCCGTCCTCGCAGATTCCGACCCCACCCTCTGCTCATGTTCACAATACTCGTCGAATCTATTCGACCCAAGATTCGAATGATCCGCTCAACGCGGAAATCGGCGACGACATTTACATCGACACGAAGGATCTGTGCAAGCGGATCGCGTTCGAACTCAAGAATCACTCGATCCCGCAGGCGATATTTGCTGAAAGGATCCTCTGTCGCAGCCAGGGAACGCTGTCCGACCTGCTCCGCAATCCGAAACCCTGGAACAAGCTGAAGTCGGGCCGGGAAACATTCCGAAGAATGTACAATTGGGTCGCCCAGCCGCTGCAAACGAGGCTCGACATACTGGACATGAAGACTGAAGAAGGAAATCGGGCGAATGGAATGTCCCCGCCCACACCAGCACAGAATGTACGCACCCACAGGTAATTCAAATAGATGACCTCTGAAAGATTTGTAAATGAAATTTCTCGTTGCAGAAAGTCGACGTCTGATCACGACGGTCCCGTCTCAAAGCGCCCTCGTCTCGTCTTCACGGATATACAGAAGCGGACTCTCCAGGCCATATTCAAAGAGACCCAACGTCCCTCTCGGGAAATGCAACAAACTATCGCCGAGCACCTCCGTCTTGATCTCTCCACAGTGGCCAACTTCTTCATGAACGCTCGTCGTCGCAGCCGACTAGGGGGAAATGTTGATGAGCCGACGCCATACCAACAGGTGAATTTGGATGAATATTTGAGAGACTCCGACTATTCTGAGTGAATACTTACACCGTGCCATGCACTGCATCCCCATCCACACACTTACAGTTTCCACATGTTCTCAATATTTTGGTTTATAACAAGAATTCGTGTATCATTTAATAAACGGACTTTCCTCCCCACTATTATCACTTTTCCACTATCATTTCGTCGTTGTGTGCTTAATAAATCGATTGTTTCATAATTGAAGTGTTGAATAGTTCGCCCGTCCCCTCGCATGAGCACTCACCCACCGGCCGTCTGATTCCGAGAGAACACCAATTTGGTATTCCAGGTGCGCAACATCTCTCCGCCACCAGTCGCAGACGGCCAGCCCGTGCAAATGAATGGCGAGGACCACCGACCTCTTCTGAATTCGGTCGTGAGTTCCTTTCACATGTTCTGATTCCTTTGAACACTTCTGAAATTGCAGATGGCTGAGGTGTACAAGGATCAGCAGAGATCGAATGAGATCACCGCTGAAGAGCGCCAGCTGATCGAACGCGGATTCGGCGGTCCGGTGCCTGGAAACAGCCACACTCTCACTATCCAAGCGTCGCTTCATCAAAACGGTGGACGACACGACGGTGAGGATGATGACGAGGACGATCTGAACGACGACGAGCTGGCTTACGAAGAAGACGTGGATGTGGGAGATGAAGAAGAAGACGAAGAAGACGTTACGGCGAACGGAGACATTCTGCCGAAAGAGGAGATCGAGGAGAAAGCGACCATCAAAGAAGAGATGCCGGACGACGGAGAGTACGGGAAAACGACGGCCGACGGTCACTGAGCCACTCCCGATCTCCGCTTAGCTCTTTCTAGAAACTCTATTCATAATCAGCTGAAGTATACCAATTTTCAGTGCATTCTCGTGCTATTCCGCCCATACATTCCCGTCCTAAACCAATTTGGCATTGAAATTCAATTATTCAATTCTTTCTCAAGTTTTAAATATTATTGTCATTTTCAGCACCATTTTTCCCTTGTAAATGTGTATCTCTGATATTTCTGTAAAAAAAACGTTCTGCATTTTCTCTTTTCCCTTTGAACCTTTTGCACTGTAATAATGAGTAATAACCGTCCCTTTCTGAGTGATCGTGTGCCTTCTGAAACCCCTTCCCGTTCCCCGCCTTTTCTGATTTTTCCTTTATCGACTGCCCCGCGCGCACCTCTCCGTTCTATTGCTACCACAGAATTCTGGCAATGGCACTCTACCTAAATCACCTAAATCACACGTGAAAGTTCGGCCGCGAGATTTTTCAGCGCTGTTGCCAGAATTCCGCGGCGCTGATACTCGTTTGCATTTGTTTTATTCTCCATGTTTAGTGCTGGTTCTCGTCACTTTTCGTCTCCGGTAGTATCGTATTCTTTCCGTCCATTTATCCACGATTCCAATTTCTTCGAAACCGGCAGGTCCGTGCTTTTTCCCCTAATTTTCCATTCATCTCTTCTCAGCTGTCTCGTCATCCGACTAAGGTGTTTATTTTCTACCGCAATCGTTAGTAGTTCAATTTTCTTATCTCCCTTTTTTGAAATCAACACTTTGATCAATGAATTTATTAAGAAAAAAAAGACTTTTATTACAAAATGGGGTCAACGTTAATGTGCAGGCGAGATCTGGAGGAAATAAATGGCCGCGAGTGTGCGAATAGAGAGTTCGTGGTCTAAAGGTTCGTGAAATGTTTGTAACAAATAAGATATGGGTGGGAAGGGCGATTTAGGTGAAATATGTTCAGTGGGTCAAAAATTGAAGTTGAATTGTTCTATTCATGGGTCAGGATTGGAAGGAAGGTTGCTGCGACGCTCTTCCTCTCTCAGTCTCTCGTACTCGCGACGTCGTTCGTCGCGCAATTCGAGGGCCTCTGGTGGGATATCAATGGGTGGAGTTCCTGGCGGCGGAATGTAGTCAAAGTCTTCAGGGGGCGGAGTTCTTTCTTCGGGCAAATCGAAGTAATCGTACGGTCGGGGCGGAACATCTAATCCGAACGGAAGCGGAACAATTCTCTCCGTCCAGTAAATGTCTTCCGAGTAGGCGACCATTGCACGGGTAAACCGATCGGGGTACTGATCGGCGCGAGGATGTCTACCCAGACCATTGTGCTCAACAATCAGCTCTTCCATGATTGGCGGTTGTCTCAGCGGATCGCGTGGGGTTGTTCTAGGAATCATTGGCGGATAGACCAGGCGCATTCCTTCGGGAATCTCGACTTCGGTTTGAAAATTAGTCGACATTGGCTTCTCGTCCGTCTCGTTTGTAGTTGGAGGAGGAGGCTCCACGGCAATCGAGGCGGCTCCATTGCAGCCTGGACTCGGACTCTCCTCGACTATCGGCTCTCTGTAGATTTGGAAGCTGTTCGGGAGTTGTCCGTTAAGGTGCTCATTTTGTATTTGCAGACTATTACTCTCTGACAATAGTTTGATCTTCTCGAGTTCCTCCAATTTCTTTCGCTCCCAACGCTCCTGCATTTTCTTCTCAACTGCCAAAACTTCTTCGTCGGGCTCTCCGGTACTGTCCAGATCTTCTTCCTCTTCATCCCGTCTGATCCTCTCAACTGCGTCTGCTTCGTCCAGTGCATAGTACTCTTCAGCTCTTTCGACGGCCTCTTCGAAACGTTCAGCCTGCTGAACAAAAAATCAAGTCATTGAAACTATATACAAAAAAGATGAGAAACTCACCGAAGTCGAGGGTCTGTTATCAATCGGTCCTTGCTCCATAACCCAATGGTGCGGATCCTCCGGCAGCCGATAAGTCCTCGGAAAATTGAAAACGAACGGCTCGTTGGTCTTCATTCGTTTGGCTTCGCTTTTTTGTTCTTTAGGAGAGTTGGGTCTGACCGGTCCGAAATGGAGCTTTGGTGGCTGAGTGGAAGTGGACGGTTTCGGGGAATCGTCGTCGAAAAACAAATGTTCGTCGAATTCCAAATGCTCCGAGTCGTCCGAATCATCAGAAGATTGTCGTCGTTTCTGGCTCCCTGGATACTTTGGCGGTGCCCAGAATCTCGATTGAGGAGTAGCCGGCTGGATTATTTGCATTTCAATGTCCGCGTGCTCGAACGGCGGCGACAGAAGTTTGTGGGCGAGGTCGTACACGTGATCGGCAATCGAAGTGCCTTTGAGGTCTCGGCGGAGGCAGGCACGAACCTGTAAAATATTGAGAATAAGAGAAAAGGAGAACAGATGGGATTATGGATTGGAACTGCTGGCAAAAAGAGGATTATCCAGATTAGAACACCTCGAGATAGTCGCTCGGAAAGTGCGAGAAAGGGGGAAAGGAATCCAGTCACTTACGTCGCGTTCGAACAACTGCCGCGTTGCAGCTGAAATGGCGATCGAGTTGGCCAGAGCGAGAACCTGGATTGCGATGAGAATCACGGTGGGCACGAAGAAGACGTTGAGCTGATGGACAAGCAGAGTGAAGAAGGCTCCGACGAAACAGACTGAAACGTGAATATTTTATACTTATTTATTCATTTGGAAGTTCCAAGTTCAAGCATATGACAAAAAATTCCTAACTTTCTCCTTCCCGGCCCCTACAGTAGACTTTTTCCAGTTCATTCCCCTCATTCTTCGCTTTTTTTCCTTTTTTGCTCCTTCCGTTTGGACCGCCCTTCGCCTCTCACTCGCTACTCCTAATCACCATCAATTCATTTTCCGCGTCTTCTGTTTTTGCGTCTCATGAATACGAAACATCAAAGCGAGAGACGGAGAGAAGGCCACCGTGAGGACCAGAAGAGGAAGAGGAATGACCGGAAACTAGTGGCAAGGACTACGACGAAGAAAATGGAGCAAGAGACTCAGAAGGGCGGCGCGAAACGGAGAAGAAGACGAAAGAAGGCCGTGACAGCCACCGAGGAATTGTTTGTGTTTCGTGGACGGCTCCAAAGTGCACTTTCACACAAAGGTACCAGGTGCCAATGGAATAATACCAAAAGACGATTGTTTATTTCACCCGCGATCGCCTACTGATAAACTAAACGATTAGTGAAAAAAAACATTTTGACTGCCTCCTAACTCTCAAAAATTAGGCCTTTTCTGCTTTGAACAGGCATTATGTGTGAATTTGATACTACCAAGGTTCCCGCAATTTCGTATTTTCTTCTCTCGCAATCATTTTTCACTCGACCACCCACGGCGCAAATAGAGAAAAAATATATCTTGTGAAGAGTTATGAAGGACGGCGGGTGACTATACTTTTTTGAACATAACTAACAAAGTGGGGAGAACATTATTGGATGAGTAAGTGGAAACAAAGTGGTGAGTGACATCTGACGGTACTTTTCGTTTTCGACGTGTAATTGCGACCGGAACGAACAAAAAGAGAAAATGGAATCTGACTTCGGAAGAGGTACGGTGTCTCAGAAGGACGTTCCCAGGGCGACCAATCAAACGGCGAGCTACCGTATCCGCTGTTTCAGACTTCTTGAGCAGAAGACCAGAAGAATCAGAAACGAATCACTGATTATCATGGTGTTCTTTTTTCCCCGCGTGTTCAGATAACATGTTATTTCTCGCAAGAGCGCCTCTCCTCTAATCTTTCATCTCTATTTCACACTCCTTTTGCAAAACGCACCTGCAAGAACAACTCCGAAGAATTGGGCAATGTCGACTGCAACAATGAACGGCACTCGGATCCTTTGCCTCGTCGACAGTTCAGGCGTTTCTCTCGTTTCCTTCTTGTACAGAATACGTGCCCGGAAGAGACAGAGCTCGCAGAACGGAGGGAAAGCGGCAACGAATGCTGCAATGGGAATGGATGATTGTTTGAAGTGAGGGCGGGGCAACGTACCGACTAGGAGGGCGAAATAAGTGTAGAGAAGCCGGTGCTCGAGGGAGAACAGCGAGATGACCGCGGCGATTTCGAGACGAGTGGCGACTGCGAACAGTGCGAACTGAAAAGGAAAACGGATGTGAAGAGCCGGAACAGAGGCTGCGGAATACCAGGAGTGTCGCGGAAATGCTCGGCGAGGTGGTGAACAGAACGGAGACGATGAAGAAGAGGCAGAGGAAGAGAACGGCGGAGAGGAGCTCGTCGAGTGCGAACGGGTTCCTGAAATGAAGATTTCGTTAGGGAATAATATAGGAAAATGCATTAGAACTGAGGGGTCTATGTGTTTATGAAAAGTAGAGGGCGGAAATGACGGACGACCCGATGGCCATCATTTTGATAACACACGGAGGTAACACTGGGCAGCAGTTGAGCACAGTGGGTGATGACGTGGATTAGAGAACACACAGCGGATCTATAATTGCACGATACGGACAGTTGGCATTTACAATTCCCCGTCTTTTATAACCCTGCCAACCTCTCACTACAGTACTCCTTCTCACTTTTTCTTATCACGAGAAAAGAGAAACCTACCCGTTTTCCCTTCTCGCTAAACCCTTTTTTCAGTGATTCCGCTTTCCGATCATTATCGGTCGTCAGTGTCGGGCAATAAGACAGTTTATCGTGCCGAGTGTCAACTATTTTTGGACTTTGAGTCAGTGTAAGGATTCAATGAACATGTATGTTTTCCGTGAAAAAGAAGCCAAGTCTCAGTTCGTAAAAGTCCGTGGGGAGGGTGGGGAGAATGACGGCGGAGTGATGACGAAGATGAAATTATTTTCTTCGCGTCCGTCCCGGGTACCGCCGTCGCCCAGTGTGAAAAAAGGCACTGAAGGCAAGGAAAGAGGGCGGAGCAGGCAGAAAAGAAGGACTCGAGGAGAATTCTTTCCTCGCACGGCGGTACCGCACATCGAAAAGATTAATGACAAACTGCCGAATGAAGTGAAGGCTCTGGCGAATTCCTGCGGTCGAGCCGATCATCAACCTCGAAGGCATCCTAATGATAATGAAACGTTCACCGGCGATCTCCTGAACGCGGATTAAGTGACGTACTTTAAATGACATCTCGAATCTGTCGTTGTGTATTTTCTTTGAATCAAAATTGTTTTACCTATGTAAACAGAACATGATCTAGTTAAACGTGAGGAAATAGAGCTACAACTCTAGCATCTTTGCAGGCTTGAATCAGAACGCATTCAGGTGGTGTGATATTTTGATTCGTGTGCATCTTCCATAAGCCCCAAACATCTTTGCTCATATGACGTGGCCACGCACTCCCATCTGATCAGATTCCCATCTTGACTGACGGCCACCTCAGACTAAAACGCTCTTTCGGTCGAAGCTCTCTGGCGACCCAACCCGGAGATTTGGGAACGCAGTCGCCAGTGAGTCCTGTCAATCAATCATTTGTTTCTGTTTCTGTTATCTTCCTCCACTCAGTCCTTTTCAACTTCTTCTCCGTGTGCTCGTGAACTTGTGTGGCACGACGACCGCCCAGGCGGAGCACAAACGGCTTATTCGTGTGCTCCTATGGATAGAGTTGCATCTCACACGCGCACAAACAAGTTGAGGGAGTGGGCAGAAGGGGAGAGACGAGCGCCGCTGCGGATCCCGATGAGCGTTGCCGGGAAAAAGTGCAGCCGGACTTTTTTGGGGTGACTAAGAATCACGATTAATAAGCATGTGAAGCACGCAGAAAAGAAAAAGAGCGACGAAGGCGTGAAGGCGTTTCAGAGCGTGCGGCGCAAATAAAAAGGAGGGAAGCGAAGGCATCGGAGGCGAAGCGGGTGGGATTCTACAACTGGGAGGGAAAGTTTGCTAGTTTAGTAGCCGGCGGATTAGGCGAAGACATGCAGGGAGAACGAATTTGGTGGAAAAAATACAGACGAAGTAACGAAGAAGTGGACAGAATGCAACCAGGAAGGAAAGGAACGGAACACTGCTGCATTCATTTTTACACTGACTTTGTCCGACGATAGACACCGCTTGTTTGGGATGTTATAACATGAAAAATGGAAACGCTATGGGTGGTGAATGAACGGCCACCAGAATTGGAATACGGTAAGTCACCCAATTAGTGTGAAAGCTGAACAGAAACTATTTCTTTGCGAAAAAATAGGCCTCCGTTTCGGGAGAAAACTCAATTAAACAAGAGTCGAAACTCGATTTGGACTCACCAGGCGACCGCATTCCGATGGTAGTGCTCGTAGACTCGGCCGAATGCTTTCACGGAAAGGTCCGACGAGTACTTGGAGAGAAGGTCGTCGATCTGTCGAACGGTGGCGAGCATCGTTGTTTCGTTTCTCGAATCATCGAGCTCGTATCGGATACGAAACTGGAACGGACTCGGAACACGGGAACGGTAGTCCGGAGTGGCGAACGAAGCAGTGATTGCCCAGTTCATCGGCTCATTTCTCGTCCAATCGGAGAACAGTGATGATTCCGAGAACGGAGAAGTCTGCAATTATTGCTTATTCTAATCACATGACAAAACTGAATTCGGTTTAAACTAATGTTCAATTACAGGATCATCCTCACTCATTCTTCTCCTTCTCTAATCCTACTTTTCGCACTTTTTCTGTAGAACCAATCCTCTTCTTTCCCTCCTTACCTTACTTATCCGATGTTCAAATCGCTCAAAACTCTTTTGCCAATTCGAAAGTATTTTCATTGAAACGATAGAGTCTAAACAGGGGAAATTAACATTTGAACGTGGAGGAATCCAACTAACCGAGATCTTCAGTCAATTGACTAATTCGCTTATTCTTGTCTGCCCAACTTGACAGAAAGTCCTCAATTTCGATATCGATGAACAAATCGTCGTGCTCGATTCTGAAACAAATTCTTGAACTTATTGAACACGTATTTTAAAGTTCACTTCAAAAACTGATCTGAAACTCTTGAAACTGGAACGAACAACAATGCGATCGCGGTGCACAGCGCCAAAAGAGCAACTGCACAAATGACGAGGCCGAGCTGAAAACGGAACATTTTCTTGATTCCGACTATCTCGCAAACCTTCTCCAGCTTCAGAAGTCTGTAGTAATACTCGAATGCGTACGAACGAATGTCTCGGCTGATTTTGTTTGGGTACGTCTGCAATCAGCTCAATTGGATGTCCTGTGAATGAGAGGCAACTGACCGTGAGCCAGAACACGTCATATGAACTGTTCGACAAGTGTCCAAGTACACTTTTCTGTCTCAGCGCCACCTTTTCATCGTTTTGATCTTCCAGGGCTTCTTCTTTGTCTTTCAACTGCCTTGCTCCACTGAAAACGTTTTGGAGACTCTTTTCCGTTAGAAGACGTCCGGCATTCTCCACCAACTGTTGTTCTTCCCTTTTCTTTTCCGTTCGTTCTGACAACAATCAAATTCCGGCTATTTTTGCTCATTTTACTTACCGTCTCTGTATCTTTTCTTCAAATACAACTCTTCTGCGATGGTAATTGCGAATCCCGGAAAGAGCAGGAAAAAGATATCGCGGCAACTGGAATCCACAAAGTACCAGTAGATGGCCACTATCGGAACAATGATCAGACCGATAATGTACCAGAAACGAGGCATCTTCTCGATGTCCTCCGGCGAATGAACATCTTTGGCGGCTTGGAACTTTGTGTATTTGGCGAGAATGTACTGAATCTGCCGGACATCAGAGTTGTGGAGACTGCCGACCGTTCCGAGAGATGAGAAGTTGGAACTATGATAGTCCTTGTCTCTTTGAATGCATCTGGCGAGACGATGTTTCAGGAAAGAAATGCGTGTGGTCAGGAAGAGATTCGAGAATGTCATAAGAGCAGTGAAGTACTGTAAAACGGATTTAGATCCACAGACGGATGTAATGGTTACCAAGATCTTCGAATCCAAAACGATAATCCTGCCATCTTCAATACCAAAAAAGATGACGGCGATAGTGATGACGTCGCGAACCAGGAAGAAAACGGCGGAGTATCCGGGGTTCGCCGACCAGACAAGGAAGGAAAACGCCACGAGAAGGGCGGCATGGAAGATAAGGACGAATTGCACAGACACGGAGACAGGCAACGGAATCTCTTCGCGTTCTTCCGGTGCCCAAATTACTTTGCTCGTCACTCCAACCTTCTTGCTTGTCAGAAGATCGTTGAACCTATGAACTTGAAGGCGTAACGCCGACCGGAAGTCCTCCAATAGTTCGATAGCTTGTTCGATGGTCCAGCCGGATTCATGCGAGTTCACGTGGTCCACGTGACGCTTAAGAAAAATTTTTGCCGAAAATGTTGAGGAAGAAGAGCTTTATTATAGGGGCACCGCACAGAAATGGCGCTCTGTTGAGAAACTCTTTTTGCAGTGCAAATTGAGCGACCTCGGGGATGAGTTTGAAAAGTTAGGCCACGTTTTCAGTGGAAAATTACTTTGCGGCCTAGAAATTCGGCCAGATTGCGAACAGCGCGCCCTTTCTGCCCGGTGCCCCTATAATACCAAGTGCTCAAGAAGGGACTGGGGCGTCATGAGAGCCAACTCCGCTCGGATAGTGTCGAACGGATTCTTCTCATTATTGAAGCTTCTCTTTCCGTCGAACAGCTCGATTCCATCGCTGTTCACGTCGTGGAAGATTCCGTCGCATCGTTTATTCATGATCTGAAGTTATTTCGCTTACTTAACCGCTCAGGTTTTGTTTGACAAACCGCCTCGTGGTCTGGTATAACGACGCCTGGAACAAGCGTCTTCAGAATTTCCACCAACTCCGCTTCTTGCATCCAATCGATGAACTTTTCTTTGTCTTTGACACAATCCAGTTGCGTTGTGATCTCGCCTTTTCCGGATGAGAACTTCAGTTTCTTAACCTTACTGTCATCTGGGAAGGGACCAATGCTCATTACCTGATGTCTTTTCTCGCCGTATTCATTGATTGCCTGCATGACTTGGCAAGTGTTGAAGTAGTTCACGGGCGGTCTCTCACACGGACGCGCCGGATCCGCGCACTTTTCTTGACGCGGTTCCATGCTCTGAAAGTTAGAATTCTACTGTGAACTTCTGAGCGTGTTCACCGAAATCCATCTAATGACACTATCCAAAATTGTTTCTTTTTCCTTGTCGGAAATGTCCAGAGATGAATTCACGAACATATGGCCTGCCCATTTCTCAATCGTCTTCGGTCCACCTGAAATTGAAATTTCATGATTTCCCAGTCAAACAGCTCCTACCAATATCGGAGTTGACGTAGAAGTTCTCAAAGTTAGAATCATTTTCGTTTTCTTTCAGAGCGCGAATGAATTCTTCTCTGAGTCTCATGTTCAGATGTTCGTTTGGCAAACTCCAGCCTGCGATGTGTTCTTGAAGCTTGTAACTGTCGTAGAAACAATTGAGCGGAGTGACAATGAGACACGGTGACAGTCGGCGCATTTCGAGGAACAAACGCTGAAGAAGATTTTAGCAGAATTCTGACAGAAACATGCGAAATACCTGTATGTAATTCTTCGTCAGTTTGGTGGAGTGCTCGAATACTGCAACGTGGGGTTTATAGCACAAATCGTTTAGTGTGTATGTTCTGGAATATAAATTCGACTCTGAGCGGCATCTGCAACTGAATGCACTCACTTTTTTCGGTATTCAACCTCCATTTTAGCTATGTTTTCCAGTAAATATCCATGATGAGTGAGGTAGAGCTCTGATCGCATATCAGTCGAATTCTCTTGAGTTTGACTGATTTTCTGAAGACCAATCGTCAGGTTCTCCTTTTTCTTAACAATGTCTGTTACCTCAATGATATACTCTTCGCGGGCATTCAGGATGTCCAAATCGTCTGCTGTCTCGAATTTCTGCCATCCGGGAATGAGTCTAGCTCTTCTGAAGTCATTGACGACGCCAAGACCGACAGTGATGAAGAAGGCGATGGAAAATGCCACGAGAAGTTTTGTGGTGGACGCTCTCATTTTCATTGTTTCATTGTTTTCCTGAATTCTAAATTAGCAACAAGGAAACGGCGAGAAAATTCAAAAAGAAAACAGGTATCGGCGAAGGGAAGGTGGACCTCTTGATCTGAAGAAACTAAGAGATCCCACAAGTAAAAAATAGAGACATTCATTTAATTTTTCGAAGGACAAGATTACTTAACACCCAGACAGGAAAGAAAGAAAACAAGAAAATGTGAAAAAGTGCCTAATCGTCTGTCCACCCTTCGTCATTGCCGTCGACAACTTCGTTTTGAACTTTGACTGAAATATATCGAATAAAGCGAAAAACAGTACAACGAAACAGTTACCTTTCGCGGCGACCTTCTGGTCTTTCGTTACAATACAATTGGTTACGTCGGCGTTATCTCCAATTTCGACTCCGTCGCAAACAATGCAATTGCTCACCGAGGCTCTAGAAACGAAATGGGTTGGTTAGAAAGATTTAGGAAAAGAGTAGTGCCTTGTTATCGCTTTCACTAAATTAGACGGAAGAGTTATCTTGCCACCAACGCATCGCGCGTGTTTTTTTTAACTTACCCGTTTCCAATGACAACGCCGCGGCCGATGATGCTCTCTTTCAGCTTCGCCTTCTCGCCAATGCGACAATGATCGAGAATCACGGATCGCTTGATTACCGCCTCTTTGCCGACCTGCAAAGTATGTCATTAGCGAAAGCGAAAGGAAATTGAAGAAGGAATTACCTGCGCGCTCTCCTCAATCCGGCTGTCATGTGCTCCAATTTTATCTGTTTTGTAATTGAAGCTGAGGCCATTTCCGCGATATTCAAACAACCGCGTGAAAGATCTTTGTATCTGAAGGAGCGAGGATTAGGTTGAGAGAAAGTAATGAGGTTTTACCGCTTTATTAACTTCGAAATAGGCTCCGTAGGTGTTGGCATGAGCAGTCACTGATCCATTCTCGTGGGGCAGTCGGTAGGCGTAACACTTGTTCTCCTCGCATGCCGCTTCGAACTGCTTTTTGATCAAATACGGCACAAAATCGGCTTTGAGCGAGGAGAAATGTCTGGAAAGGGGACTTGTCGACAGTCGGCAGATGAGAAAAGAGGGGACCAATTGATTACTTGGATCGGGTGAGCTGCTGAACGGCCTTGTGGCGAATGGCATACACGTGGCAGTCATTGAAGGCAGCCGTCAGTTGAACATTTGGAAACGTTGTCAGTGATTTCTCGATGGAAATAGGAGCATCGAAGTCGTCGTCTCCGCACAGCCATGTCAGCTGTCCAGTCGTCTTCTCAATGGCCATCAGATCCGTAGCTGAAACAATCGTTAGCTTGACTTCAATCTGTCCGATTAAAATGTAAACCTCTGGGTTTTTTGGACTTGGAACCAGGAGCCGGGGCATTAACGCACGTGTCAGCTATGAGGGCGACGAGAGCGGACTCTGTTGCTCGGAAGAAATCGACGAGTGGGATAAGGCTGGCATCGCTGACAAAGTCGCACGAGACAAAAAGAGCGTCCCGCTGAAAAACTACTGATTTTATTTGAATAAAAAATTAATTCTCACTGTAATTTTCGAATGATGATGCTTGAGCAGATCAGCAGTTCCGTAGTCCTCTTGAGTCACCGGAATGTACTCGATGTTTGCTGGATACTGCTCTAGGAGCTGCGACTTCTTGATTTCCTTTTCAAGAATCGGTGTGAGCACTTCACGTACGAAGATTTTGATGTCTAAGCGCAGTCATTGGCTTGCCAGTACTGTATTGATCGGGGTCTCACCTACTATTCCCGTCCTGAGCAGAGAAGAAAGCGGATAGAGGAACATTGGCACGCCGACGACCGGCAGCAGGCACTTTTGAACGTCGCGAGTGAGAGCGGGCATGCGAGTGCCGCTGCCCGAACAAAACAAAACTCCTTGCATTTCATGCATCTGAAATCAGAGTTGTCAATGAAGAAAAACAAAAGAATATTCAATTTGGAAGCAGAAATAGGTGTTTCAAACGTTGCTAAAATTGGTTTTACAAACAGGCGGACTAGAAATCCGCCGCTGCAGAAACTAGTCCGCCTCAGAACAAAGAGCTGATTTCCGGCTCGTGTTTTGCAAAAATCAGAAGAAATTGTCAACCAGAAGTGAAGAAAATAAAAAACTAAAAATATCTGGAAAACAACTATAAAAATTAACAAAGAAAAACAATAATTAAACTATGTTTTATTGATTTTTCGAGCTGGAACCGTATCTATTGCTTTTTGTTTCTTGCGACAATTCCAGATGTATCAACGAGAATTGTGGTGTTCTGAAATAAAATTAGAAACATTATTGGGCCAGAAAAAGCACTTTCCAAGACCTCATTGATACCCAACGTTGCACAGGAAGAGCGAATCGTCTTCTGGCTCACTTCCAGCTTCGCCTTCTTGGTCTCATCAACACGGTAATATCCGTAAATCTGAAAGGATGCCTTGATTTCGCCCAGAAGGGTATATGAAATCCACCTTGTCAGTGGCCAGAATCTTCAGAACTCTGCGAGTTTCTCGGATCAGATCCCCCAGACTGCCTTCTTTGACGAATTCCATCGGCATCCCACCATCATCTTCTTCACACTGTCCAATCTGAAAAGCTTTCTTGCTTCCCAGTTTCCTATTCCATCGCGGGTTCCGCCCACTTGTGTGGGTCAAACCTTGAGAATGAATTTCTGTCCCATCATTGTGGCCGGCGTTCCGTGAAGAACATTCTGAATATGAAGGATTGCCCGAATGTGTCCGAATGTTTTTTCTTACCGAAACGGCGTCGTCCCTCAATGTTTGCATTGAGAACTTGGCCTGAAGGGTGAATTTCGAGAAATAGGCCTTGCGTTCGGGGAACTGAGCAGCCAGAGCGAGCACACTTTCGCATCGGTACGGGAGTCCGCACGTCTTCGACGGACAAACCGGCGCCTTGCCGCTCTTCTCGCACTCGTCCAGCATGGCTCCGATGCACGAGAGACACACTTCGTGCTCGCATTCGAACTCTGACGGAAAGTTTCTCAGCACTTCCCCCTCGCAGTTTGTGCTTCCGGAACACGGTTGACGGGCCTACAATACCCTTTTTATAGTCGTCTGATCTCTCTAAATACCGTATCCGGCGCCTTTTTCCGTCTCGCCGAATCCTTGATGACGCACTTTCCGACTTCACAAAAGTCGCGCCCGCCCGTCCATTTCGGACCACATTCATCGCACATTTTCGCCTATAAACTTTCCCTCACTCTCACTCCAATTTTATGTGCTTCCAACCCCACAACAGGGCAGAACGATGGTCTTATCGGGCGCCAACGGCTGTTTGCAGGGCCCGTCGCACGTCGTGTCCTCCTCGTCGATCATCGATTCGGCGCATCCGGCCGCCGGGCACATCATCTTGTCTCTGAAATTGTCTGGAATTGTTGCTCCCCATACCTTGAGAATAGTCTCTCTCTCTCTCTCTCTCACTTTCTGCTCGCCACGTCATAGCAGTGTTGGCAGATGTCGTGGTGGCACGCAGTCCTCAGAATTTCCGAGTTCGCCGACACTTTCCGCTGGCAGTTCTCTCCCTGTAATCTCCTTTTCTCTCTCTCTCTCTCTCTTTCTCTCCGATGATCCCCACCTCGCAAGTGCTCGTGATTGTGTCGGGAGCCGAAAGACTCGAGTAGCAGTGCGCCACCGGACACACTTTCGTCTGCTTCGTCGCCTCCTTCAGACATCCTTGGCAGAATGTGTGCAGACAGGGAATCAACTGATGAGCACCCAATATTCATGAGAACCCCACCGGAAAACCCACTTGAACCGCCTCTTCACATGCTTTCAATTCGTTGCAAATCGGACACCAAACTGACATTTTCTCGTTTCGCGATTATCAAAAATAAAAAGCGAAAAGCAAAAAGTTGTGGTTTTTTATGAGCACGTGAAAATAATGAAATATATTTATTTGGGAGCAGAGAAACTATTTAGTGAATAAATTACTGAATAAGAAAAAGTTGAATAACAAACAAACTGTGATTATACATGGAAATTACAATAAATACGGCAAAAATGCGAGGATTTAGAGAAGAAGCGGGACGATGGCCTTGCGGGACTTCGGGTAATCCGAGAACTCCTTCAGGTAGTTGCGGTGCTTTCCCTGGGCCCAGATCGTCATTTGGATGAATCCGGCGGCAGTGAAGATCAGAGCTGGAAGAATAAGAATGAAAGGGGGAAGCTAGCAGAATGAAATCACCTGGAAGAGACTGAACCATAATGGTGAAGAAGATCCAGGAGGAAACCTCATAAGTGTAGTTGGGGCACGAAACGTAGTTGAAGAGAAGGGAAAGCGGGTTGCCGTCGGGCTTCGGGATGCGGCGTTCGCGGGTTCCAGCTGGGCGCAGGTTTCGGAGGAGAATGTGGATGGAAAGGTTTCCGAACTCAGAGATCACGAAGCCGGCAAGACCGATGTAAATTTGAAGAGCTCCGAAGAGAGGCGGAGTGAACAGTGGATGGTTGACGAAGTAGGCGACGAAGGCAGCGAATCCCCAGTAGTACGAGCAGTTCTGAAATTGGGTATGATCAAATCATTAAAAAAAAAGAAGCACAATACCTTGATAAGGTTGAACTGTGGCATCGTAGAGTTCCCGAATCTGTGGATGAACTGAGTTTCGAACAGACGCTTTGCGTAATGGAAGCTCCATGCGAAGAAGGCGATCACGACTGCTGGATGAACGGGGGCGGTGGCGGCTTCTGGAAAAAAACTATTCCGTATGTTTTGAATATAGTAATTTACACACTTTCTCCATAGATGAACGATGGTCGGAGGTAGAAGAGTGGGTAGACGAAGAGAGGTCCCGCGTACTCGGCAAGGAAGACAGTCTTCCAGGCGATCTGCGGTCCGAGATCTTTTACGTAAAGAACAGCCTTCTGTGCGGACAATCCGAGGTCGGAGAGCTTCTGATCATCAGCCATTGGCTTTCCTTTCGGCTCAACACGCAGGGCCTGACGTTCTTCCGTCAGCTTCAGCTCTGAAAATCGATTGTCTGCTGGAGGCTTGTGTGCCTTTCAACTTACTTTTCTGGGCGATTCGCTTCTTGATCGCTTTGATCGTCTCCGATCCGGAAATCCCTTCGAGGGTGATAATCAGATTGTCGGTTCGCTTGGCGTCGTACACTTCCAGCACTCCACTCATCCTGCAAATAGAAGAAACGTAAACGTTACAAAATGGAAGGAGAGCCTAGCATCGACGGATGCAAAGAGAAGAAGAAACATTTTCGTTTTCTTGTTTCTAGTGACAGAAATGGTGTGATTCTCTTTTCGTCTGCAGGCGCTATCAGCGAGAAACTGATAAAAAAGAGAGAAATGTTTGGGAATCGTCGATTGGCCGAACGAAAAAGAACGGATCGGTCGACTACAGAATTGGCCTAATTTGGCAGATTGTTATCGATGTTTTTTGTTTGTTATACATGTTGGGCATAATTGACCATAATTAGAAAAAATTCTCATGTTTCTCGTCATACAGTTTTATAGAATTTTCCGTTCTTTTGTGTGAGCGAACCCGATAAGAATTGAGTGTTTTCTGATAAAATAGCCCGACTGTCAGGTGATTTTCACACAATTCAGCTCAAGAAACTTGCTCTTCTTCATCGGAACTCGAGACGGCGTCCATGGCGTGCACGGGTGATTTTAAGATGAACGGTGGCATTTTCAGGCAGAATCACAGTAAATAGACACGTCAGCACGTGGTTCAGTTCACGTGTTGATTCATATTTTCGCTTTTGAACAGAGAAACAGAGAAAGGAAAGAAAGTATACGGAGAAAGCTCGAGAACATGGAAACGAAACCAGCGAGCAGATTGCATGAACGAGATTTCAATGCGTTTTATTGATTTTACTTCTGAGAAACCTTATTGGGAAAAGTCATATACATTTAGTAGGAAAGTGGTAGAATTCTAATAAAGTTGCAATGGTAATGACCAGAAGGTAACTACAAAGATAGGAATTAAGAGGAAATGGGACGAAGAGAGCGATTAGAGACGCGACTGGTCGGTCAGTCACTGCGGAGCGGCCAGAGCGATGACTCCGCAGGCAGCACGCGCACCAGCATTTCCTGTCTTCTTCGACTCCTCGGCCTTGTCGCCGACTCCAGTGCCTAAAAGGATTGTATAACGTTTCTGATTAAAGGACATTAGGGTTTCTTGGTAGTAATCGGGCTCACCGAGATCGTCTTGTCCAGCGTGAACAACCATGGAACGTCCGATGACGGTGTTGGCTCCGTACAGAGTAATGAGCTTGTCGGTGATGTTAATCTTGGCAACTCCATCGGCTCCGGCTTCGACGTTACCGAGGTCTCCGACGTGGCGGACTTCTGACTGAAATTAATTGTGAAATTTCAATTGTTTTTTTCTCTTCTCCAACGTTTGGTCCTCCATGAGTCTTTCCGAACGGGTTGAAATGTGGTCCAGCCGAGATGCATCCGTTGGTCGAGTCTCCGAATTGGTGGACGTGGAATCCGTGGAGACCTGGGGTAAGACCCTTGATCTCTCCGGAGATCACAGCCGGGTCACTCTCGGAATTCTGAAGATTGACATTGCAGATACCAAAGAGAAAATGGGAGTACCTGGGTAATCCAGATGGTTCCGGTGACGACATCTCCTCGAAGGACAGCGACGGCGCGGTTCGACATTTTTTGAGCAGCTTCCACCTGAAAAATCACATTTCCTTATGCAACAAGATCTGAGTTTCACGTCAACAATTGGAATCAGAGTGGGAACACGCATTTACGGTTAAAACGAGACGGAATGGTAAACAGGGGGAGTAGATCGCGAGTGGCAATAGAAAGATGAGAGGGGCGGTGAAATGCCGGTACACTCCTTCTCTGTCGTTCTCTCGACCGCCAACTTGTGTAGTCTCGACTCTATTATTTGTGGTCTCTGATACTAAGAAGATGACAATTCGACAGAGAAACAAATTCGCGTCATACGTCATCCGCACAAAGAAATGTGAATAATTGGAGATAAAGGGTACTAACCTGCGGGAAAATCGCGTCGGAAGCTTTCGATAGGAAATTCATAAACATTGCAAGCCTAAAACGCAAGTAATATAAGATAACAACTGTAACAAATCTTTTTTAAAGTAGTGGCCACAGAAGCATTGCTGGGAAGATCTCAAGAGAAAGAACAAACGAAAACTGATTTTCCGGCAGCGAGTTAATCTAAGTTTCTGGCACTGTTTACTGAACATTCGAGCAGGATGTCCGAGAAAAAGTAAAGCATAAACTCACGAAGAAAGGTCAGGCTTGATGAAAAAAACACTGGGGAAAATAACTTTGGCAGAGTTCGAAAAACAGGAAAACAACTGAATGTGCACACACCATACTTGCCGATAAATGCGCGTAAAATCAGTTGCACCCAAACTTTTGGAGGAAACGGAGAGAAAAATCATTTAACGTGTAAAACAAGCAACAAACAGACTGAAAAATTGCGTGATTTCGAAGTTCTACCAAATTCAAATAGTGAACACTTTTCACCCAACACTATTCTTACTATTAGCAGAAGACTTTATCAAACGTTGATCTAAATATTGCTCGCTCTTATTTTCTTTTCTCCTATAGCCGTTTATCGTTTTCCCACTATTTCGTGACTTCGTAAATAGATTATCCTTATTTTCTAGTACTTTTGTTAATATTCGGCATTCAGGGAGGAAGATGAGCTCAAAAACCGTGCTGCATCTTCTGATTGGACTTTCCAAACACAGTGCTCCAAGCCCAACGACATTCGGAGATGTTCTCGTTTGCATGACCACTGCATTCAAACAACACAAGCCACTTTTCGAAGAAAACGATCGGCTCCTGGCAACCGAATCAATCTCGAAGTCGCTGCCGCTCATCTGTTCGGCAATCCGTCAGTTGGACATCGGCATGAACATTGACAGAAGACAAGATGCTCAAATGGTCATCTCCGGAATACGGTACATTGCAGATGAAATGCCGACGGAAGTTGGCGTGGCACTGGAGGAACTGATCTCTTCAAAACACACGCAGTCAATCTTGGATTATATCCAGAACACTGAAGGAGTGGAACCGGAGAATGTGACTTGGAGCCATGTGGATATCTCAAAAGTTCCTAGAGCTCATTATTGGTGGTTTGATTCTGATGAATAATTGAATAAATACCAATAATACTACTGCTGTTATTCCGTTTTTACAAATGGTGATTTCCCTCGGCGGAAACCGTGGCCTAGTACCCCGGGGCAAATGGACTAGCATTTTCCTCGTCACCCTCGCAAAGAATCACGTGATCACCGTGATGGGGCTAATCAGCGTACTGTTGAAAAAAAAAGTTTCGACATTGGAATCGAAGCTGGCAGCGTGCCAAGGCCCGGCCTCCCAAACGCATATGCTGCGCGCGATTGTTGCAACATTGCCGCACGCTTTATTGTTCTTCATCTTTGTCTTTATTTTTCGGCTAAAAATCAGCAGAAATTTGGTTTTTCTCGTTTTTTACCCGTATTTATTCATTTCAATCGCCTTTTGCTATAAAAAATCAACTTTGAAAACAGATTTATCGATTTTTCGCTTGAATTTTCGAACATTTCTTGATTTTGTGTTTTTCTCCTTTCGATTTCGTTGAATTTGAGAATTTTCAGGATTTCCACCTACGGAAAAGTCGAACAAGCAACAAAAGGGCATGGATTTTTTCTTTTCGTGTTAGTTTTTGACGTAACAATAATTTTCTCTCCGATCAGCGTTTACAGACTCCACTCCTCCGCCGTCTTCTCCACTCCGCCGTCAGCACACAACGGCATACAAAAACATGTGCTAGCTTGAAGAAGAACGAGATTATTTTCTCTCCGACCGTTTTTTCAAAGTCCGCTGGACGCTTCAATTCGGACAAAAGGAGAAGAAAATTGAATATCACTGATAATAAAATTCTTACACTTGTCATGTCATTTAATTTATTGGAAAACGTAATAAATACATCTAAAATAATTGTTATTAGTGCCAATTCATTCAACGGGAGATGCTTCTTCAACTTTCCGTTGTGTGCTGACGGAGGAGTGGAGTCTGTAAACGCTGATCGGAGAGAAAATTATTGTTACGTCAAAAACTAACACGAAAAGAAAAAATCCATGCCCTTTTGTTGCTTGTTCGATTTTTCCGTAGGTGGAAATCCTGAAAATTCTCAAATTCAACGAAATCGAAAGGAGAAAAACACAAAATCAAGAAATGTTCGAAAATTCAAGCGAAAAATCGATAAATCTGTTTTCAAAGTTGATTTTTTATAGCAAAAGGCGATTGAAATGAATAAATACGGGTAAAAAATGAGAAAAACCAAATTTCTGCTGATTTTTAGCCGAAAAATAAAGACAAAGATGAAGAACAATAAAGCGTGCGGCAATGTTGCAACAATCGCGCGCAGCATATGCGTTTGGGAGGCCGGGCCTTGGCACGCTGCCAGCTTCGATTCCAATGTCGAAACTTTTTTTTTCAACAGTATGTTTGTTTTCCGTTTTTTTCGTTTGTTTACATCGCTGAATTGGATTTTTTTACGAAAAAAAGAACGGAAAACAATAATTTTTTTCACAGCATGAATAACCCCATTACCTCTGAAAAAAGCTGAACCACCCAAATTGCCTGACTTACATTTTCAGAATTAAGAATGGGCAACACTTTAACGGGAGAACTCATCGATTCATGGAATGAAGCCGACGTGAGAAAGTGGAAAGAAACGGCTTGGAACATGCAACAGTGCACTTATCTGCAGTTCGAAGGAAGTCAATTCCACGACATAACCGACTTGTCCGTAGATCTCAGCGTCACGAAGATTTGCTTTGCAATTTACGGGCCCCCAACAGAAGAAGCCAAGACTTTGGAAGTTGCTTACTCGAAAGAGCAACGCGAATTCGGGCGAAAATGTTATGATAAGATCAGAGAAGTTTGGGGCAAAGCACCCGAAAAAAAGTTCAAACTCGGATTCGTGTTCGTTTTTTGCAAGGAAGGAGAGAAAGAGTATCAGGTACAGAATATATCGAAGCAAAGTCCACTTTAGATTTCATAGCGTTTTTCAGGTTCCTTTGTTCCGTCTTCTTTGGGAAACCAAGAATAGCGTAGACTTTAGTCGTTACATTGACACTTCAATGCGCGTGTACGAAAGTGCGCAAGACTGGAAAGACAACAATCACTTGCCGATGATGAAGTACTGTTATCCGACAACGTTTTCTTATACACGCCATTCTGGCTGGAGTTACGAGTATGACCCAACGAAAGAAATTACTGTTGAGTTCAATACATCACCCGCATGCAACTTGGCATCCAGAATTGCCCGAGTCGCCGATGTGATCATAACTGCGGTCGGAATGACTGTTGGAGTTGCTGCGATCTTCACGCCGGTGGGATTCATCAGTGGGCCTGTCCTTCTTTCCGTCGGCGTCGGATCCGCTGGCTGGGGAGTTGGTCGAGCCAGCCAGCGATTAATCGACAAAGCAAACCACGGGGAGAGCTTGAGCGATCTGGAGAGCACTCTTTTGTGGCTGTCAATTGCTGCGGCCCCATTGAACTTCCTGAACGGATTCGTCGGAGCAAGACTTGCCGCGGGTGCAGCAGGCGGAAGGATTTTCTCGCAGACTCATCGAGTTCTGGCCACTCTTTTAATGCTGACTGTGGTCGGCGTAGATTCCTTTTCCTTCATCCTGAATCTCTCGAATCTCATCGACAAGGCTAACAACAAGCAGCTGACTACTCTCGATGTTCTGCAATTCTCCGTCAGTACCTTATTCTTCGGCAATATGCTTATTCAACCGAAAACCGCCACAGGCATCATCGAGAAAGCTCAGCAGCAAAGAATTCATGAAATCTCGACTGGTATGACGGATGCAGAGGCACAAAAAGCATTCAAATCCTATTTGGAGACTAACAAAGGTGACGGTGGCATCAAGGATACTTCAAAGATTGTGCGGAATCTGAACAAGATGGAAGATCCCAACTTCTTTTTCAAATCCGTCAATGACTTCAAAGAAGTAAAAATTGGAGGTAAAAAAGGAAATACGAACTTAGTTTCCAACGGGCCCGGAAGTGGTGAAACTCATCGAGTGAACCCGAATAAAAGGTTGGTGGATGGTGAAAATACCAATAAACTGAAATATTGCAGAACGCAGTTCACGAAAAATCTACAGTCTGGTACTCCAAAAGTTAACAAACCAGCCGAACTGAAAAGCTGCTTGGGAGGAAAGGAATACAAAGATCATAAGCACTTGGGAAAGTTGAACAACCAGCAAACTGGAAGACTGAATAAGGCTAGGGAAAGAAGTAAAACTCAAAAAGGAACAATTCTGTGTTCAGGTGTTCGGAGGAGCTGCCAAATATGATGAGCACATTGTTGATTTCGCCACAAAACTGGCCGATGAAATGAAGATGACAAACAATCCGGACGGCTTCATGTCACTTGTGGAAATTGTGGCAGCACAGGCAAAAAGTCTGGTGTTTCAGTGATTTTAATAATTGTCCATAAGGTTTCAGAAGATCCTAACTTTGCTCGTACCGGAAATGTGAAAAATTTCCTTGCGACACTTATGAAGGATTTGAACAAAGTGAGAGAGATCTCATCATCGAAAACGCTCTCTTTTCCCGACGAGTTCAAAGCGCTTTATCACTACCGGAAGCACGGAGAAGAGTTTATGAAGTTTTGTACTCCTGAATTCTATTTGGGAAAGTTGCCAGGCAACGTACAGAACCAGGGTAATCTTGCGGATGTCTGCCAGGTCACTACCCAACTTCCGGTTAGTTTCTTAACTGTTCTCTCAATTCTAGTTAACTTGGCTTTCAGAACGGAACAACAGAAGTTTTCACCCGAAAAACGTATTTGCGTCACGATGACTCGATGCTTGTGATCATCGAGAAGGACAACCTGAAAAGCGTCAGCACCATCTACAAGAAACCGGAATTCTGGACAGAGTACAAGCAAAGATTCGAAACGACGAACACTCCTCCCCCGGACGCCTCCTTCGCGAATCTCGCATTTGTTGCCGGGCTGGATGCAGTTCAGCTGCAGCTCAGATCCAGCAGCTTCTTCTTCCGTAACTCGGAAATCACTGAAAGGGACCCGAACTATGAACAATATAAGCGAATGATCGGAATTCTTGCTGAGGATATGGCGAATGTGCTTGCGCATGAGAAAGCTTGAAAAGTTGTTATACCATGCAAATCTGTAAGAGTTGTTACATTTAATGAACATTCAAATAAATACTCAAAATCTTCTAAAGCAGTCTTGATTCGAATCCGTTGACACCTGTCCTTTTCCATTCACACATACATTCCTTCGCCCCGTTTTTTCGGTGTCTTTCCGTTCCGAAATCGGTGTCAATCCGTATCCGCATCAAATTGAACGATAACGATGGCTCGTAAATAAGCGTATGTAATATTCGCGTCGTCGGCCCGCCGGTCATGTCTCATTCGTCTCGGATAAGCTGTTTTCTCGACGTGATTGTCGTTCTCCGCTCCTCTCGATCTCGCACGCTCTCTTCGCCTTCGAAAGAGGTCGACTCTGTTCTCGGAAGGAAAGCCACAAAGGCGGGTTTCTCTTCTTTTTCTGCTGCGAAAGCAAATCGACCTTCACCCAGAAAAATGAACAGCAGGGTGCATTATCCGGTTGAAACCGTCTCCTCTTATCTCCCCTTTCTCCCATTTTTCACTTGTCTCCTCACATTCTCCTCAAAGGTCTCCGGCATGCCAGACCGTACTTAATTGCCCTCTGAATACCAATTAGCCATTCGATTCGCGCCCCGACCTTTCCTTCCACTTGAATCGTCTCCCGATCGTTCCGCTCCGGATGATTTCCGCCGTCGCCCGGAAGAAGAAGAGCTCATAACTTTCTATCTCGATGACATCTTCTCTCACTTTCTCCCCGATTTCTCTCACAATCTTTTTCTTCCAGTGGCCCTGTAATCCGTTCGGAAACAACTTCTTCTGGGGTCTTCAGTCAGTGTGTCCCTCATGCGAATGTTTCTTTTCTTCCTTCCCGTTTTGTATCGATTGGCTCTGGCACAGTATGAGGTAGGCTACAGTATTCCGAGTGCCACCGTCTCTTTTGATTCCAGTCGCCGGATCCCTCTTCGCCTGCTCCATCTGCCGACTACTGTGCTGCTTTCGTCGAATGTGCCGCGGTTTCCCTTTTAGAAGAGCGTCTCTGCCTGGGTAACTCTCTTTGGAGACCATTTTGGCTGCCAGAACGGAGAGATCCATTCGAATGCCATCAGAAACTGAAAAATGACTACACAACGGTAAGGTCTCCTTTAGTGATCGTTTCCCATATCTCATTTCCTATTTCAGCTGGAACGTCTAGAAGAAGAGCTGGACGGCCAATTTACGGCGTGTCTGAACGAGAACTCGCAGCCACTTGACAAGAAAACGGTAAGAGAAACGGAGACAATTGTGACCCTAATTGGCGGAGATCCGAGAAAGGGAAAGTGAAAGGGAGCGGCAGATGACTCATTCCCTTTTTCTTCTTCTCGTGACGTTTCATTCTTCCAGAATGAACAGTGCCAACTTCTGCCACGTCCGCCGAGATTCTCATTCAGCCGAACGATCACGTATGTGCCGAATCACTGTTTCACTGGAGTCAAGAGACGAGTGGAGAGACAGTGTGGTCAGCTAGCAAAGTGCTGTACGAGTATTGAAAAGTAGGTTATCACCCGTATCATCATTTGTTTATCTTCGGTGACCTTATTTAGATGCAAGTTGCTTACCTCGGAATCCACCCTCCAAAAAATGATCAACACAACGCGAACGAACCTTCGCAAACGGGCGGAAGATTGTCAAAAGGGCATGCCGGTCGCTCCGATCGTTCTGGACGGACTCCTTTTTTCGGAAGACGCCTCTCACGAGCAGACTTGGGCTCCGAATGGACATGTAAACGTGCGATTCACCGATCAGGCGACGAGTGACGCGTTGCGAGAGGGAAGGAAAGATGGATTCGTGAATGTGAGATTCAGTACTCAGCAGGAAAATGAGGAGAAGGCACGCAAACTGCTGATCCGATACGGAGACAAGGAGGGCGACGGACTGACTCTCCCGAAACTCTCTTATCCGCCGACGCAGAGTGCGAAGAAAGACTTTGAGCAGAAGTTCGACGCGGCGATGAGGAAGACCGATTCGATCAAGCAGAGGATTGAGCATCTCGACAGATCGAAGATTGCCAAGGAGGGCTTCGACTCTCTGATCGACGCGGCCACGGTTTCCGAGGCCATCGACATGGCGCCGCCAATGGGAACTGTCACTTTACTCGAGTCCAATGATAATGACATTGTAGTGGAGGATTTGGGAGATACGTCTTCTGTATCCACTTCCCTTGTTTTCGGATCTTCCTCGGAGTCCGTCACGACAAGTCCCATCATTTTCGTGGAAAAGATTGCGATTCCACAAGCGAACGGAACTTTCGAAAGGTGCCGAGTATCCACGACTCTGAGATTCTCCAATATTCTGAAGATGTTGGGAGAGAACCCAAACTCGAAGGATTTCAAAGAAGTGAAAGGGTTGGTCGAGAAGTTCGAAGGGAAATTGAGAGGAAAAGAGCTGAGTGAGGAGCAGAGGAACAAGGCGAAACTGGTAAGGGAAATAGATAGAAGGGACGGATCATAGGAGTTTGATTTCTATTTCAGATTGAAAAGTCACTGGAAATGCTCTTGGAGCACTTCGACGACAATGATTACAAGAGAGTTGAGAAAGACGCGGAAGCAGTGATCAATGAGATCAGAGACCTTCCGATCTGCGAAGAAATCCATTCGAACGCCACTGTTGTCACTTCTGAATCCATCGACGATGACTCTTCGACAATGCTCGTGGACGACAACGGAGACAAGTTTATAATTCAAAGTATACAATATCTGTTTGGCCTCAACTTCAATATCAATTTGTTTCAGAGGGAGCGACGACGTTGGTTGTTGGCGGGGAGAAGGAGGAAAAGGAAGAAAAGAAATCGAGAGAGGAAGGGATTCAGACGTTCATTTCGGAAGAGTACAAGACTGAAATCGACGCGTTCCGAAGAGAACACAATCTTTGGACAAAGCAGAACAGCAATGTACATACTTTTTATCCAAAAACGTTGAATCCTTCAAGTTTCAGACGACGTTAATCAAACGAAACGAAACCACTTGCGACATGTACATGAGGTGCCGCTCGCAGATGCATTTGGCGGTGGACAGCTGCGCCTGGAGGTTCGCCAGTGATCAGCTTCTCGCCACGATGGCCGAGTCTGCCGAAAGTCTTTTGTTCAAGGACGACGGCGTCTGCTCTCAGAAAGACGGGGACAAGTTTGTGGAGTTGTACGAGAATATGATCAAGAGGAACGACAAACTGCGCATCTGTCTGGACGAAAAGAATGAGGAATTCGTGAGAACGCTCTCGCCGCTTCCTTTTCAATCCTTTGTTTTCAGTTCGAGCAGTCCGTCTGTCTGGCATATCCAGAACAAAAACGTCATGAATACGACGACGCTCTCCGACGCCTTCTGAATACTTCGTTTGCCTATTCCAAGTCTCGCGAATGCTTCCACGACGCGAATTTGATTCAGGAGAAGTGCACTCACTTGAGAGACTGTTGTCCGAACTTTGACGAGTATGTTGTTATCTGTCGGATAGGAAACACACAATAAGAAGGAATTCTAGATGCCGCGAAGAGACATTCGAAGTAGAAATGGAGAGAACGATCATCAACCTGACGGCTAATATAAACGAGATCAAACAGGAATGCATCAAGAGAAAGGCCAAGGAAGCGGTGAAGGTAAGAAGTTTCGACGTTTTCAAAAAGACCTCATCCGTTCAGAACATCGTCCGCCAACTGCTCCTCAGCTCCGATTCTGACCACAAACTCGAGGCGATCGCCCAACTGGGACTGGACATTTCCCAAGGAGCTCGAGTCGTTCGGATGGCCAAGTACAGGGCATAGACCCCCCTGCCCGATTCTGCAAACATTCCCTCATTGCCGGTTGTTCCCACTGGTGCTTTAACACATTCCAACATCACTTCTTTCTGATCACGTGTAACTTTCAGATAATAAGAATAATAATGACTCTAATAAAGTGTTTCAAGCGATCAGCTCGTCCACTGTTCCCCTTCGGATAAATCGTGTTTCGCCGTCGTCGTGTTTGTCCTTTCCTCACTTGTAACTGCGTGGAATGAGATGCTAACTGTCAGTCGAATGAAGATGAAATGGCAAATGAATGTTTACCACCGCCGCCCACTCTACTTTTTCTTTCGTTTTCGACCATTCGTGACGCTTCAGTCCTTCTAGAACACTTGTGGGTGGCAAAGTGTCAGTCTACGACAGGAACTCTGTATCTTTAAGTCGAACACTTTCATTCCACGTCATCTGCACCCATCTAACCTTCGGGAGAACATGTTTCACTCTTTTCTCCGTGAAGAAATCTGCCCGATTAGCTTTTGGTGCCTGGAAACATCGTCTTCGGTTGTTCTCGGCACGTTGATTGACGAGGCGGAGGTGATAAGTGATAGGGAGGCGCTTCTTCTTCTTCTTCTTCTTCTTCTTTTGCTTCTTGTTTCTCAAACACACACCTTCTCTCTCTCTTTCTCTTTCGCTTCCCTCTTTCTTCTTCTTTACATTCGATTTTTTCTGCCAACCTTGATGATATCTGTCCCTTTCACTAGTTAGTTTCTAATCACCCTTTTCGGCAGTTCCTCCTCGTTCTTTTCCGCCCACGTATTCCAGTTCCCAGACATTCTCCTCCAGCTGAAATCTCAAATGTCGGTCCAACATCGAAGAATTCCGTTTCTTTTGTTCACCGTCTCCAGTTTACTATCATTTTCAATAGGTTCGTGACGATTCAATTCTCAAAACATTCACAGAATAGAGAGAGAGAGAGAGAGAGAAAAACAGGTTCTGTACAGTTTTACACTAGAACAATACCCTTTCGCCCAGAACAATCATCCCCTTTTATTCCAGCGGCTGACACGTGTCGGGACTTTGATAATAACTGCAGGGACTGGATTACGGTCAATCCGAACGCGTGCGATTCCACAGATTACATAAAGAGAAGCTGTTTGAGGAGTTGCGGGCAATGCGGCGATGTGGACCCGAGTGAGTTCTCTTCAGAAGTGGTGATCTGTTCTACTCGTGAACTTTAGAATACGATCTGCGCAGACTCTCTTCCGAACTCACGCCAATCGGCTTCCTAGTCGGCAAATGGCGGTCGGAGCACGGAGGAAAAGTATCATGGTTCAGCCGACTTCTTCTTCTAATCCTTCTCGATTCTAGGCCATCTTCCCCACAATCCCAAAGTTCACTTTTGGCGAAGAAATTGAAATTTCGATCCCGGATGACGCGATGCAGGCGGCACATGCTCTCAATTACACGTGAGGCTTTCCCCCGTCCGAGTTCCTCTTTTGCAGACATTTCCAGAGTTTAGAGCGTTCGCATGGAGTGTAGATAAGAGAGACGAGAAGAATCCGAACAGGTTTCACTGTGTACTTCTAGGTTCCTCTTTTCATTTTTGTCTCTTTCTTTCCTCGCTGGCAGTCTGTTATCTTTGTGCAATTGTCTGGTCTCTTTTTGGCGGGAATATGTCCGTGGGAAAAGGGATAAGCGAATCGGAGCACGAGGAATGAAACAAACGATTTCAGAGCGTTCGCCTGGTCGATCAACGACAAAGACGAGTTGCACAGCGAGTACGGCTACATTTCCGTGAAGCCGAACACGAAGGAAGTCGCCCTGACGACAGTGATGAACAACGGATTCGTGACCGTCGAGGAGGGGCCTGTGAACGGAAATCAGATTAGATTCCGGCTGAAGGACATCGGCAGAATCAGTTTCAGCAGAGATCTCCCCGTGCACGACGTGAGTTTGACGTCTTCCGCTTCTGTTCCATTTCAACCCTTTTCCAGCTTGTTCGCGAGTGGACGCTTCTCGACCGATCGACCCTCCAAGCCCGTCTGAACATGGAGACGTTGACGCACGGCATGCAGGAGCACACTTTCATCCGATACAATAAAATTGCTCCGTGACGTTCGGATCCATTTCCCCCGGTCCCTTTCAGATTCGTAGTCCATTCAGTCGATTCCATTTCTAGTCAACACTTCTTCTTCTTCTTCTTCCTCTTTTTTCTTTTCGTTTCCCTCGTTTTCTGTGCTTTTATCTCGCTTCGCCAACGTCATTAAATAAAATGAGATCCCGTGGTTTTATGAGTTTCGCGAAAGCGTTGCGCCACTGTATAATGAAAAAAGGCAAAGGGGGAAATGAGCTGTGAAATGGCACTTTTACGGCCAATTGATGAGCATTCTGCACGCGGACGGACGGCCGAGCCGATTCCAGAAATATCCTTTTCTCTTCTCAACTTGTGACAGATGTTGCTCCCTCTCCAGCTCTTCCTCTTTTCCTTCCTTTTCGTACTCATCAAGTTCCCCATTTCGAGCACTCCATTTGGCTATTTCATTTGACATTGCGAGAGCGTCTCGTCCGTCTTCAGAAGACAAATCGGCGCCGAATTCATCATTCTCAAGTGCGAGGCATCCAATGACAAGCAAGGGAAATGGGCTCTTTCCACGGGGGAAATTAGACCAATTTGCTCAGGAGGTCCGGCTTTTTTTGGAAAGAGAGGATCTGGTCAGAATAAGCTCAGTTTAAGGCTACATGTTCCAGTGGTAAACTCAAAGTTTCGGATCAATTGATACTCTCACTTTCAGTTACGGACCGCCCATCCGCACTGCTCTTCGGTCCTCTAACTCCTGCTCATCTCGCCTGATAACCGAGCCTATTCAGCCTCAGAATGCACTGCCAAATCCAGCAATCTTCGTGCCCTCGTCTCTCTTTCTCTCCGCCCTCTCCTCTCCACACACTTTTTCCCCTCGAGACTTCTCCTCCCAGACGTTGTCCGCCGTGCTCCTATCGATCGGTCCGTGGCTCCGTGGAGCCGCGCAGCTCCTCTCGGTTTCTTGTCTCTGCGTCTCCGGACCCATTAGACGTCGTGCTCCGTCGACGCCTGAAAATAGCCGCACACAACATCGCCGCCGCTTTTTCTTCTTCCTACTTCTACTCTTTTTTCTTCTTTTTCTTCTTCTTCTTCTTCTTCGTTGTCGCCTTCAGAATGACGTGTTTCTTTGTTCGAACACCAGACTCATGATCATCCGATGGTCATCTATCCATCATTCTTCCTTTGCTTTCTTTCTCTTTTGGAATACTAGATGAACTCAGTGTACGTAATAGGAGAGCGGCTCGGATTTCAGAAGGCATCAGAGGAAAAAGAGGCGGAAATATCGGATGAGAATAGATTCGGAGGGCAGAATTTCTAAGTTAGGCATTCATCATTTGCTCGGTGCCGTGGGACATTCGTACCTTTCGCAGCGAATGCTTGACTTCAATTCAATTGACAATTCATCCTTCACCACGTCATTCCACATCAATTAAACTTCTGCGCCGCCCATTTTGTGCCCTCTTCTCGCTCGGACCACAATCAACTCTCTGTCCCGTTCCACGTCATCAATTCATTTGGCACACCATCCTCCACTTTTTCGTCTTCTCGGCTTCTCAAATTAAACAACAAAAACACATCGCGTGACGATAAAACTTTAGTCGTCGAAACGTCATTTCTCGGTCCGTCCGTTTTCATTATGTTTTCGTCCCCCGAAAAAGCCGTTTTTGCGAGCTCTTCGCACGCTCTTGACCTCTTCTGCACACACAAAGCCGCTGAAATCTGGAGCCGGCTCGAATTTCGGCTTGCAAAAGCGGAAAAGGAGGGAAAAGAGTGGAAAGGTTATTGGATGATTTTCGATCTGCAATCTTGGAATGTGGGTTACTGGAATCCTTAATCTTTCAGAGTTCATGCAATCTTTGCGGGGGCAGTTACCCCGTACATTTCTAATCGGATTCTTGCTCCCAATGACTGACTCACCAGGTCCAATAAATCCCCCTCCTCCGGCTGTTCTTCTTCTTCTTCTCTCATGTTTATCGTCGACGTCGTCACCAACGCCTTCTTCTTCTTCTGCTTCTGCTTCTTCTTCTGCTCCTCTAATTTCAGCCAGCCCGTCCCTTTGCTCATCTAATTAAATTCGCCTCGGGGCTCCGTCCTCCGCCTCCTTTTCTCTTTCCCTTCGCCCCACTTTCCGAACTTTTTCCCCGCATTCACATTTTCGCTGTCAAACACACAAGATTCATTTCTCCATTTTTCAGACCTCATTTCTTTCCGAAACAGCGACGAAAAGGAGAAAGGAAAGAGGAGGAAACGATAAGTGGGCAAGAGCCATTGGATGATCGAGTCGTGCCAAAAAGAAGCAGAAGAAGGCAAAGCGGGCTGAAGAGGTGAGCCCAAAATGAACAAAACGTGAAAGATAGACCTTCTTGTTCATGTTTTCCAGTACTACCTTCCATAACCCTCTTTTTCGGCTCTCTTTCTCTCTCTCCCTCTCTCTTTTTCTATCTCTTTCAAAACCAAACCACGTCATGATTTGCTCGGCGAGCCCGCTCCTAATCGAATCATTCGCTAATCGTTCTCCGTCATTTGCCATTTCTCCCTCTCTCTCTCTTGCTCCCGATTTACATATTTCTCCCTTCCCATTCTTTGATTTTCCAGAATTCAGATGTCTTCGGTGAAAGTGGCCGTCCGTGTGCGGCCATTCAACCAACGGGAGATATCGAACACTTCGAAATGCGTCGTGCAAGTGAATGGAAATACGACGAGTGAGTCCCAGAGGGATTAGCGGGCAGCACGCATTTAACCCCCGTCAATTTCTACAAAAAAAAAGAGCCGCCAAAATGATTCGAAAAGCCTGGTGACGTCCGTCACTGGACGTCTCACGGAATAATTGAATAGATGCGAGAGGAGCAATGCATAAAAAACGAGAACAGAAGGGCTCGTCGGAGGGTGACGACGAGCAGGAACTGAAAATGGGCCACCGATAGGCTAAAAAAGTTCTGGAGGTATGGGGAATTGAACCCCAGCCCTCACAGGTAAAACGCGAGGCATGCATTATGCAACTCATGTGGATCGCGCGTGCAACTTATTAGTACGGTAAACGCATGCACAGCTAACGCACGTTTGTGGCACGAGGAAGCATTATGGAGGCACGGCGGAGCGACGCTCGCCCTCCGCTCCCCTCCTTGCTTGCCCTCCGCTCCTCTCCCCTCCTCGCCCCGCTTCCCTTCATTTCCCACAAAAAAAGAATGATTAGAGAACAATTTCATGTAGAAACAACAAAAATTACATCAAAAAAATAGAATAGAATAGGTTATGCGAAGAAAAATTATCAGAACGACGGACTCAGACAAATCAATTCGAATTTAAATAGGTTGCGTTAGAAACTAAGATCATCTAATTATGGGGCTATTCAGCGTATGTTTGTTTTCCGCTTTTTTCGCTTTTTTTACACCGCTGAATTGGGTTTTTTGACGTAAAAAAACGAAATAAACGGAAAAAAATGATTTTTTTCACAGCCTGAATAACCCTATTAGACGTGGTTTTACCTAATTTGTTCTAATTAGATTCGAATTGATTTGTCTGAGGAAGCAGCAGAAGTGATCACCTCACTTTTCGGCGTTCCGCACTGTGCTCCAGTTGGCGCTTCGGTCGGCCTTCCTGTCGACGCTTCAGTTAGCGTTCCGTTCGGTTCTCCAGTTGCTTCTCCAGTCGGCGATCCGATCGATGTTCCGTTCCGTGTTCCAGTTGGCGCATCGCTCGTCGTTCATGTCGGCGTTTCTCTCGCTATTCTCGAGTTTCCGTTGATTCTCGGTGATCACCTGAAAAGCGCAATTGGAGTGTGTTGAAACGGTCTTCGAAAATACTTACTCTTGCACTTTGCCGCCTGTCCTCCCAACTTCTCTTGCCGATTGGCTGCGATCTGCACGCTCGCCATGTTGTGCTTCTGAATCGGTCCGAGAATCATGAGTGTTCGATCTCGAAGACGGCTTTTCTCGTGCCTCATCTGTAATCAAATAAGAATATTTCGAAAAAACTGGAGATTAAGTAACCTGTTAATTGGCCGACACCGTTGCATTCGACCGGCATTTTTCATTGAGTCGCTTCATGTTCTCGGGGCTCACAGACGGAATTTCGTGGCACTCCTAACAATTTGAAGTTAAAACTATTACAATTAGAGAAAAATTACCAGAAAGCGAAGAAAAGCAGACGAAAATGTGGAAAAAACAGTGAAAACCCGATGAAATTAGAAACAAGAATATGTGGACGGGGCATGAGTTCTCGGCCGCCGGCCCTCTTCCCCTGCATATTCCCTCCACGCGCGATCCACGGGCGACGCTTGCCTCATTAGGAGCGGGAGATCGGCAGCTAGCACCTTGATGTTCACTTGTCGCTCTCGCGTCCACCCTTACCGAAAATTACCTGAGTCTTTCCCTTCTCCATGCTCTGAGCGACTTAAGTTTTACCTAATCAATGTGATAGACTCTCCCGCACGACTTAAGTTTTACCTAATCAATGTGATAGATACAGTCGATATTGATAATGATGACCATCTTGACTTTCCTTAAAATCCTTTCCCGTACATTCAAGAGGACATATCTCAGCTGCAAGAGGACATATCTCAGCTGCAAAAAGTAGTCAACTAAAAAAATGCTCACTAAAACATTTTGTACATGTCATCAGTTGACCACTTTTTGATATCTCTACAGACAGTTGAGATACACTGGACGGAGCGCACTGTTCCTGCTCGGAACTTTGTGAATCCGTCTTGCTTGCAATAGCAGCAAATGAGCTGTTTCCGTTGGCGATGTTGGCATTATGCTTCCATAATGCATCCACGGCCAACGGCGAACAGCGACAGCCGCTCGAACTGATAAGGCATATTCCTTCCACGCGCGATCCGTGCGTTCTAGAGGACAGTAACGCATATTTCATGCACGCGCAAAGCATATTCCCGTTTCTGTGCGCTGTGGATCCATAATGGATGCTATATGCATGCACCTCCACGGTTTCTCCACGGTGTTCGCATAATGCATGCCTCGCGTTTTACCTGTGCTCTCCCATGCTAAGGGAGCGCTCTACCACTGAGCTATACCCCCGCATGTCTGAATGAGACACAGAGGAATTGACACTGCGAGTGGCATTTCGATAGTGGCGCTGCGGCAGTCTTTGTCATTCGACGCGAGAAGTGTAAAGAGGCGAATAGACACCGCGCGGAGGGCAGGCGGAAAGCTTGTTTCCGCGCGGAAGGATTGCCGCATCAGGACGCTTCTCACCTATTGAAACATGTTCAGCAGGTTCAATTCCCCATACCTCCAGGAATCTTTTCGTGCTCATCTAGTAATTTCTTCCTTCAAATAGTAAATAAGGCACTCCGAAATCAACGGATCCTCTTTCAAGTTTAAGAATCAAATTAAAAGAATCAGAAAATTGAAGCGCTCGAACAACAAAAATCAGACTTGCCAAATCCCGGGCCGGGCCGGGCCAGCAAATCGTCGGCCCGGCCCGGCCCGGCCCGGTCGGCCCGGCTCCGCCCACTCTTGAGAAAATTTTCGTAATTTTTGTGAAAATTTTGCGACTTTAAACAGCAATTTCTATTTTTTAACAGGTTTTTATGCTATAACATTGCCTTTTTTTAAGTCTATAAAAATTTTAAGTCTATAAAATTATGTTCGTTTCGAAGTTCTAGTTCGCTTTGAATTTTTAGGTGCATCCTCCCGGGCCGACCGGGCCGGGCCGGAAAATTTCCAATTTTGGCCCGGCCCGGCCCGGCCCGTTGCAAGTCTGACAAAAATTACCAGGAAACTCATGGCAAATTTTCCAGAAAACACGAAATTTGTGTTTAAAGTTTGAATTTCCGCTCGAAAATGTTGTTTTGTGCGGCGGAGCGCACTTGCGCCCATTGTAACATCCTCTGAAAATCGACTCCCTATTGAATTAAGCTATTCCTTTTCAGCGATCAACGGCCGCGATATCAACAAGGAGACGCATAGCTTTAATTTCGACCACTCCTACTGGTCCTTCACTAAAAATGACCCTCATTTCATTTCGCAGAAGCAAGTGTATGAGGAGCTCGGAGTGGAGATGCTCGCGCACGCATTCGAAGGGTAAAACGAATTAAATTGGCAGATTAGAAAAATAGAGTTTAGGTACAATGTGTGCATTTTTGCGTACGGACAGACGGGATCCGGAAAGTCGTACACAATGATGGGAAAGGCGAATGATCCGGACGAAATGGGAATAATTCCGAGACTCTGCAATGATCTGTTCGAAAGAATCGATAACAAAAACGACAAGAATGTACAGTATTCCGTTGAGGTACGGGCATTTGAAGAGAAGACGGCAAGAAAAGAGAAACTATTCAGGTATCGTACATGGAGATTTACTGCGAGAGAGTGAAGGACCTTCTGAATCCGAATTCTGGGGGTAACCTTCGGGTCCGCGAGCATCCGCTTCTGGGTCCGTACGTCGATGATCTGACTAAACTGGCCGTGTGCTCATATCATGACATCTGCAACCTCATGGACGAGGGAAACAAAGCGAGGTGAGCCAGAAAGTGTCATTTGGAGTCAACATCTTTTTTTCTGTTCAGAACTGTGGCGGCGACCAATATGAACTCGACATCTTCCCGCTCTCACGCTGTTTTCACGATCGTTCTCACTCAAAAACGGCATTGTCCGGATACCAATTTGGACACGGAAAAGGTTTCGAAAGTGTCGTTGGTCGACTTGGCAGGATCCGAAAGGGCCAATTCGACGGGAGCCGAGGGGCAGCGATTGAAGGAAGGAGCCAACATTAACAAGAGTTTGACGACTCTCGGACTTGTTATCAGCAAGTTGGCGGAAGAGGTACGTATCTTCGGAACTGTGCAAACGTGCATTCATCCACTCATTTTCTGTTCTAGACCGAATTAGAAAAAGAATCAGTAAGTTAGAGTGCCGGCACTGACTTTACACGTTAACACTATCGTGAAATTGTGAAATGAACTGAATGTGTGCCACTTAACACAACATTTTTTGAGTGCAAATATAGTTTATTAGAAGTTTGAATTGATGGAACTGCAGGCTGGAAACAAGAAAGACGGATGAAAGGAGTGATTCCATATCGTGATTCTGTGCTGACGTGGCTTCTCAGAGAGAATTTGGGAGGAAATTCGAAAACGGCAATGCTGGCGGCACTCTCTCCGGCGGACATTAACTTTGATGAGACTCTCAGCACTCTGAGGTAGAGTATTCCGGAAAAGGCAAAGAAGAAAGAATGGAATTCAGATACGCCGACCGAGCAAAACAAATTGTCTGCCAGGCAGTGGTTAATGAGGATCCGAATGCGAAGCTTATTCGGGAACTCAAAGAGGAAGTCAACAAGTTGCGCCACATCCTGGAAGACAAGGGAATCGACGTGGCAGAAGTGCAGGAGACTCCCGGAAAGGGCAAGAAGGGACCGAAGCTGTCTGCGCAAGTGCACGACACGATCGAGCAGCTGCAGGCGTCGGAGAAGCTGATTGCCGAGTTGGACAAGACTTGGGAGCAGAAGTTGACGAAGACGGAAGAGATCAGAAAGCTGAGAGAAGAGGAGCTGCGGGAAATGGGTCTCGCGTGTTTGGATGATGGAACGACGCTCGGAGTGTTCAGTCCGAAGAAACTACCGCACTTGGTGAACTTGAACGAGGATCCGCTGATGTCGGAGTGCTTAATTTACTATTTGAAGGAAGGAATTACTAGGTGAGCACGAAAAGATTCCTGGAGGTATGGGGAGTTGAACCCCAGCCCACTCCCATGCTAAGGGAGCGCTATTTCACCCCGCATTTTCAATAGGTGAGAAGCGTTTTGATGCGGCCGTTAGACAATCTTTTCGCGCGGAAACAAGCTTTCCGCCTGCCCTCCGCGCGGTGTCTATTCGCCTCTTTACACTTCTCGCGTCGAATGACAAAGACTGCCGCAGCGCCACTATCGAAATGCCCTCGTAGTGTCAATTCCTCTGTGTCTCATTCAGACATGCGGGGGTATAGCTCAGTGGTAGAGCGCTCCCTTAGCATGGGAGAGGGCTGGGGTTCAATTCCCCATACCTCCAGAAATATTTTATAAATGCCAGGCAAATATGCTAATGAATACTTTCAGTGTTGGCCGTCCTGAAGCAAAACAACGTCCAGATATTCTCCTATCGGGAGAAGCCATTCTGGATTCACATTGCCAATTTATAAACGAGGATGGATGTGTGACACTAGCGATTCAGCGGAATGCTTCCGTTTATATAAACGGAAAACAAGTGACAGAACCCACCGTAATCCACACTGGATCCAGAATTATCCTCGGAGAACACCACGTCTTTCGGTACAATGATCCTCAGGAGGCCCGGCAATCCCGTCACAACTTATCGTCGATCACAGGTAAATTCTGGAATTTTCACGGATTCTAGATTATTCGTGAATGTTCAGAGCAACCTCTGGATTGGAAATATGCTCAACAAGAGCTACTGGAGAAGCAAGGAATCGATTTGAAAGCGGATATGGAGAAGAAACTTCTCGAGATGGAATCACAATACAGAAAAGAAAAAGTGGAGCTGGAGAAGAAGATGTACTTGCAAACGAAGGTTCGTCGGTCATTCATTAGCATTTAGACGCGAATTCAAATGTTGCAGGAGTACGAGACGCTCATCGAGAGCCTTCAGAGACAGGTCGACTTGGCGCAGTCCGTCATCTCGAGCGGCGGTTCCATCTGGGAAGGAGAGCGCATGCTGACGTCGTCTATGACCGAATTCCGTGCGTTCTTTTAGATTTTTTCTTGAAGATACAGTTCCACAAGACTCCTGGGCCCGCTGCGCGGTCTGAGCTAACGCCCGGAAGTGGCTTCTCCGCTTTTTTCCGCGCAAAACCGTCAAAGAAAAAAATGAACAGACTGCGTTAGCTTATCATTAAATAATAATGATGAAAAGAATAATGATGATTATGATTCTTGTCCAATTGACTATTTATTAGTGACTTTTCAGCCGAAGAACTGAAATGGACGTCCGACCAGAAGAGAGTGGTCCGGAAGGCCGCGATCAAGTGGAGATACCATCAGTTCACGTCCGTTCGCGACGATCTTTGGGGCAATGCGATCTTCGTGAAAGAGGCGAATGCCATTTCGGTCGAACTGAAAAAGAAAGTGCAGTTCCAGTTCGCTCTGCTCACTGATACCATGTACAGGTGTGTTCCGTCCCCTCCATCTGTTCACCAACACCCCCATCTTTCAGTCCTCTTCCGCCCGACCTCCTTCCGCCGGGCGAAGATCTGACCCTGCGCCCCTATCCGAAAACCGTGGTTGCTATTCAAGTGCAAGATCTCAAAAACGGAGCAACCCACTATTGGAGCATCGAGAAACTCAAGTGAGCCCACGCCTTCTCTGCTTCTTTGTTCATCTCTCTCTCTCTCTTTCTCTCCTCTCTGTCTTTGAGCACGATCTCTCCTGTAGATCTGCAACTACAGTAACCCTTTGTTCTCGTGTCTTTAGGAGAAATTTCCCCCCGAATCACTTGCACACAGAGCCGCTTCTTGTGCTTTCACTTTTCGCTTCCGTGTTTACACAATTTTTACAAACCTCAACTGTGGGCGGCACGGAACCCTGTCACTCGGTTACAAAAGTGATTGTCTCTTTCAGATCAAAAATAGATTATTTATAATCAGACCAAAACCATTCCCTTCTATTTAGTTGAAACCTTCCACGAAAACCGTAGACCGTCCGTCCGGCAATTGCAGGCAACGTCTCGAGGACATGCGCATCTTCTACAACTCGGAGCTCTCGGTGGCCGGCACTCCGGTCGATGCTCCGTACCCGCCGGTGGCCGAAGGATGGCTCGCCGCCCTGCACCTCAACCCGGCACGTCTCATCCCAGACAGGTACTGGAGTCTCCCGTTGCCTTGCTTTCCGCTTCGCATGCTCTTTCTTCCTTCCTCCCTCCTCCAAATGCATGATTCTCTCTGAAATCTCCGTTTCTCACCACGTTCCTTCTCGATTTCGTCGGTTTATCTCTCATTGGGTTACTGTAACTATTTCCTCCCTCAGCATGACATCTGACTGACTATCGCGCGAACAACTGTGAAGAATCCGAAACCATCCGGTTCCATTTCAGGCAAAGACTGGAAGCGATGAGGGATATGTACGAGACGGACGCCCAGATGTCTCCGACGGACGGAGATCCGATGATGGACGCACTCATGGGAACCGATCCGTTCTACGACAGATTCCCGTGGTTCCGAATGGTCGGAAGAGCCTTCGTCTACCTGAATAACCTGCTACATAACGTTCCTTTGATTCATAAAGTTGCGGTGGTGAATGAGAAAGGAGAAGTCAAGGTGAGCCCTGAGTATCTGATCCTTATCGAAATTTCATTTTTTCCAGGGATACTTGAAAGTGGCAATCGAACCGGTGCAGAAGAATGAGGTGGTAAATCCGAAGAAAGGCGTCAGACAGACTGCCAAACTGCATTTCCGCAAAGAAGATTTTCTGAAGACTCACAAGAACGGAGAGAACGATGGAACGACCGAGTTGGAGTTCCCTGCTCACATGCAGGAAGAGGTCGAGTTCTGTTTCCGAGTCGTCGTCCTTCAGGCCATCGACGTGGCCGACGCCTACTCGGACGTCTTCTGTCAATTCAAGTGAGCAACCGAGCATTCAGATTGCTGTCAAGGCTTACCTTTCAGTTTCCTTCATCGCCACGACGAGGCATTTTCGACCGAGCCAATGAAGAACTCGAAGTCTCCGTTGACATTCGAGCACACTCAGAACCTGCACATCAAAATGAGCAAGACGTTCCTTCATTATCTACACCACTTCCCGATCATCTTCGAAGTAAGTGAATCTTCTAGAAGGCCAGCAACAAAACAACCAATTTCAGGTGTTCGGACACTTCCAACCGAAGACCGAAGGATTTCATTTCGAGCGACAAAACAGTGCTCTCGGCCGCCGGCTCAGCACGAAACTCACATTCCAACAGCCCAGTTTGGTCATTTCGACCCCCGTGAAAAGTAAAAAGGCAAATGCTCCAGTGCATAATAAGTCAGTCACTTTCCACCTTGACACTCTCTACCGTATTATTTCAGTACTGCATCTGTCAAATCGAAGCACGATCTTCTGGTTTGGTTCGAAATTTGCGAGCTGGCCAACAATGGAGAGTACGTTCCGACAATTGTGGACCATGCGCAGGGCCTCCCTACCCACGGCATCTTCCTGCTCCATCAAGGAATCCAACGGAGAATCAAGATAACGATTTGCCACGAGAAAGGAGAGCTTAAGTGGAGAGATTGCCAGGAACTGGTGGTCGGCCGCATCCGAGCGGGACCCGAATGGGCTGGCGGCGACGACGTGGACGTGCTCTCGCTCGGACTCTTCCCCGGAACTTTCCTCGAGTTCTCAATGGACGACCGCACTTTCTTCCAGTTCGAAGCCGCCTGGGACTCTTCTCTCCACAACTCTCCGCTTCTGAACAGAGTCTCCAACTACGGGGACCAGATCTACATGACTCTGTCCGCCTACATGGAACTCGAGGGGTGTGCTCAGCCGGCGGTCATCACCAAGGATATCTGTCTGCTAATCTACGCGAGAGACTCAAAGATCTCCGCAGCCAGCCGCTTCTGCCGTTCTCTGATCGGAGGCATCTCAAAGTCGCCGGAGATGAACCGAGTGCCGGGAGTCTACCAACTCTGCCTGAAGGACGGATCCGACTCAGGTAGTCCAGGTGAAACGCTTTCCGCTTTTCTTTTCCACTCACCTCCCTTAGTAGCTTCACTAGCTCTCTTCACTCTTTTTCCCGCATTCCGCTTCTCCGCTTTGCACTCTTCCGTTTCCCTTTCACACTGTTCGTTCTTTTCAGGAGCCATCCGACGTCAACGTCGCGTGCTCGACACTTCATCGGCCTACGTGAGAGGAGAGGAGAATCTCGGTCAATGGAGACCTCGCGGAGACTCGCTGATCTTCGAGCACCAGTGGGAATTGGAAAGTTAACGAGACTGCAGCAAGTGGAGAGAGTCCGTTTGTTTCTGAGATTGAGAGACCGACTGAAGGGCAAGAAGAACAAGGGAGAGGCGAGGACTCCGGTCAGTCCGTGCGATCCGGTCTGTGCGATTCCGGAGACGGTCAAGTTGGACGACAATGAGAAGGGAATTGTGGGAAAAGTGGTCGGGCTGATCAAGAGAAGAATTCCGATGGACAAGGACCCGCCGACTGGGAATAAGGCACAAGAGCTGAGCGATGAGAGCGGATCCAACAGCATCACGTCGCCCACTTCTGACAAGTAAGCAAATGGAAACGGGGGACAGTATCTAACATCATATGTATTTCAGATCTCTGATCAATCCTCCCAATCATCCGACCTTCTCCGTCAAAAGTCGAAATCCGATCAGAATCTGGCGACAAACGACGACATTCTGGACAGCATCGGAGGAATGAAACGCAGTCTGAGTGGCTCCAGAATCCTCCAGCTCAACATTTTGGTGCCCGAAGTGCTCGAAGAACGAGTCGGTGTCGTCGTTTCCAAGAAGGGCTACATGAACTTCCTGGAGGAGAAGACCCAGGGATGGACCCGTCGTTGGGTGGTCGTCCGTCGTCCGTACATCCTTCTGTTCCGGGATGATCGGGACCTCGTCATCCGCGGAATCATCAACCTGGCGAACGCAAGAATCGAGCACTCGGAAGATCAGCAGGCGATGGTCAAAGTGCCGAACACGTTCAGTGTTTGCACGAATCAGAGAGGATTCCTCATGCAAATGATGCCCGGCGACGAGGTGAGCACAAAACGGAAGACAGCTTCTCATGTTCGAACATTTCAGATGTACGACTGGCTGTACGCCATCAACCCTCTGATGGCCGGACAACTGAGACTGCACGGAGTCCAGAACGGAGCCACCCTAAAATCGCCGTCCTCCGCCGCTGCTCCGTGAGCTCTCCTCTTTCCTATCTCTCTTCTATTCTGTGATTTTTCACTCTTTTTCTCTCTCTCTCTCTCTTCCTAATTTATTTCTTTTTCGTAAATTATTTAATTAGCTGACGAGTACCACTCAATTCCGTAGCAATGTTCAGTCCGTCCGTTAGTCCCGGTTGATCTCGATTCACCTGACACCAAAAAAGTTTCTGTCGCTTTATCGCTTTTCATGTTTTATAAACAAAATGCCAAATTCTTTTTTTAATAAATCGACCCGCTTTTTTCGAGTGACGAACACGAAAAAGGATAAGTTCATTAGTAAAGCAAAAAACGGGGGAAAGTGAAATCACACGGAAAATGGGCAGGAATCACTTTTGACAAATACAAATATCTAACTGGGAAATATAGGGGAAAGGCAGGCAATAAATCATAACACAGACAGAAAAAAACATTTGTGAGCAATTCGCAAACCGTTACGAACGGGTTATAAAGCTATGAGGTGATTGTTTTTTTAGACATTTGACACGAAAAATTATGCTGTAAAATTGGGTTAAATGCAGATAAAATTTTGGGGAATGTGAATAAATAAATAAATACATGTGGGGTTTACTTCCGAGGTCTGTGCACGTCCGTCGGCAGAATCATCGGTAGTGGTTTGTAAGAGATCGTCGTCGATTTGGTACGGAACGTGACGTACGTGTATATAATGCTTCCGAACACACTGGAAAAATTATCAACGTGAACTACGTCTTTTTCCGATTTTAAGATTACCTGATGTTGATACCGATGAAATTGGCCCACTGGAAGACGTAATCACCGCTGGAGAACATGCCGACGTACGTGACGAACAAATTCTTGATGGGTCCGACGCAGGTGGTCGTCAGGGCGGAATTGTGGTGCGTGCAGAGGACTAGCGAGTAGTTGAGCACGAATCCGCAGACGCAAGAGAGCACAAAACACGCCCAGACGGACGAAGTCATCGAATCGGAGAGCATAAACGAGTAGGCACGTTCCAGGTCGCCCGTGTATTGCACTACGCAGAGGGCCGGGAGAAGCATGAAGAGACAGTTGTAGAACATGAGTCCGTACTTTCCGAGGTCCTAAAAGATACGTCTTAAGGCAACGTGTCTCTTCCGAAATCATAAAAGCGCGCCTGCGTTTCGTCGCCTGCTCCCTCTCTTTTATAACGCGTTCTTTTTGCAAGAAAGAGTGTCATTCTTCCTATTCATTCTTTTGCCCGCAAAACCATTCCTCTCCTCACCTTTGCATCGAGTTTCTGCTTCGTATAAACTCCCAATGCAGCCGTGCAAATGTTGTTGACGAAAATCATTGTGTATCCGACGGCGTCGAAGCTCAAATCGTAAATGGCAGCGATGAAACTGCCTCCGATCATCAATCCAACTGAGACTTTCACTGCTCTCGATGCTTTCACGCTGAAAGGACGGCTCGAAAGAATTATTTCGATTGGGCGCTCACTCTAGAATATAGAATTCCAAAATCATCGTCATTAGAATCGAGAAACGCCGTAGAACGGTGAACATTGGTAAGCTGAAAATCCATTCGTTTCATTTCAGAGTAAAAACAGAGTTTCAGACTTGATCATCTGAGTTCCGCCGAGTCCAGAGATGAGATTGAAGAAGTAGAGGAGGGGAAGTGGCATTATTTTGCGAGGAATAGAAGAGTCAAGCGACGGGAACTGCACAATTCGGAACAGTTTGGCGAAGAAGAGAATGAAGATTGTGGCCACCATCTGACCGACTCCCACGAACAGGAACGACGGGAATCTGCAAGTAAGACCGTCATGAATTTTCATTGAAATTGGGTGACAAACCTGAAGTTAGTGAGAAGAATCTTGTTAACAAACACGATGAGCACCGAAATTGCTCCATAGAAGACGGCTGAAACTACCCGTAAATACATTGGTGATGTTGACGGTGACGTCATCTGAATAGGATATTAGCTGAAACTCGGGGTTAATAAACGGGTACACAAGCATAAGTTCGGACATGTCTGACCGTAGTGAATTTAAGAAAACAGTGTCAGATAGAGATTGAAATTTATGTACAAACGACAGAAAAAAGAAGTGCGAATGTGTAAGAAGAGCGGAGAAATCTTGAACTATACAAGAAGGACCAAATTATGGCAATTTTGGGGCCAGGCTGATAGAAAACATGGGGGAAGAGAGCACACGAAAAGCAGAGATGGAAAAGAAACAAAGAAAATGTGTCATGAGTATTGCTGTAACGTTTTTGAAGTCAGAAAAAGGTGGCACTGAGAGTGTGTGTGTACGGGGAAGAGACCCAGAGGAGAGCGAAGACAGAAAGTACAGAAAAAAAGGTAACCGGGGGACGAAGGGGTCAAAACTAAAAATGGAACGGCTACTTCTAGAAGAGATATGAGAGAAAGAGGGAGAGAGACGAGTCTAGGATATACCATAGGTTAAACTCGAGTCAATTGTGATGTTGAATTCGGAGAGCGAATACATCAGTCTCGACAAATAGTTCATGTGGGAGTGGGTGCGAAGGAACGACGGTTCGTTGTACATGTCTGTGGTGACTGGCGAGTACCGCATCAGAGGAAGAAGTCCCGGGAAGATGTGATCTCTGGAAGAGAGTGACCGCGTTGAAAAGAACGCGAAAGTTATATTAGCTTAGAGGAATTTCTTGTGAATGACTAGCATGAGGTGGAATCAGGTGACGTCTCCCTCACTGATTCACGCGTTGTTCATATCTTCTCACTCGAGAAATAGAGGTCAAAAGGGCTGTAAAAGAACGACTGGCTTTTCGATCGCCCCGTATTCTGAATGTGGAAAATTGTAAAACCAGCTGCGTATACAAAACCGAAACGAGCGACGATCGGATAGTCGGGAAAAGGCTAATGATAGAAATGGATCCCGCACGGAACGATAGCGATCCGAATTGAAGGAAACGAAGGAGGTCAAACCTGATGGAGAGAAGCACAAACACGTGGAATTTGCCGTCCTTTCCGAGCGATGTCTTTGCGTCGATCTTGCGATACAATCTGAAACGCCAATTCGAAAGATGAGTGTATTCGAGGGACAAGCGGAGGCACTTCACGTACAGCCCTTTGTTTTTGAACCGGAAGAGCAGCAGTGAAAGAGTGTGAAAGCGCTTCCGTGACCGGATAACGAAAAATCACAAAAAGGAGAAGGATACCGTTGATCTTGTCACCGTTAACTAACCTTAGAACGTGATGAATCATGGTCTTCTGCTCTTTTGGCAGTTTATCTACTTCTTTCTTCCGGCACAAATCGAAGAACCACGAACATATCCGTTCTGTAATACGTGTAATCTGTTTTTCCCAATCCGTTTCCATTCACTTACCAATGTAATCCCACGGGCACGTATTCCGGAAATACTTGAGAAGAGACTCTTGTCGGCCGATCTGGAATGCCTGCTCGATGGACAGAACGAGTCCCTTCTGGCCGCACAGCAGATGAGCCAACTCGCTTTTCACTTTTCTCTCCGAGCAGAAATACTTTACGAGTGCATTGACTGCTTCTAAAAGCAGATGCTCCACTTCGCTGATTTTGGTTTCTGAATTGTAAACATTGCGAAGAAAGTGCGGGAAAGAAGACTCACTCCTGCTACGGGAGCTCGATTCAGTCATTCGCCCGTTTGACGGACTTCTTTCCCTTTGCGGTGTCTGGCTCCGAGAGCTCAACCGGCGAGTTCTGGCTGGGGAGTACGGTTCTTCTCGCTCCGGAGCTCCGTTTTCGTTTCCGTCGTATTCAACGAATGGTTCCGCGACGAGCATCCTTTCGAGAGTGATATCCTCTCCGTTACCGAACCATCGGTCTTCGCCGAACTTTTTCGAGCACGGGAATTTGTATGTCTGTCCGGTGATTTCATTTCGAACGAGCACGTATTCGAGGAACCATTGCGCGGGCTTCTCGTCTTGTTGATGGCCTATTCGAAGTGTGGAGAGGATTCCGAGATTTTTATGCTAAAAGTAGAGATTTGATCAAGATGGACTCGTTTTCGGATAAGCTCACGTCGAATTTGAAAAGCGGAGTGTTCGGTTCGAGCATGATAGGCGGCGTCGAACAGAGGCTTCCTTCGACCGTAACCCAAATTGCCGGGATTACTCCACGACCGCCACCCGTCACAATCACCACTTGATAATCCATTTCTGAAAATGAAATCATGAAGAGGGCCATTCTGCAGATATGAGCTCACTTGTTTTGGTGAATGTGTTGGTGAAGCATCTGAACTGAGCAGTGTTCAAGGTGAGAATGTGGAAAAGGAACTGCTCTTTCTCCTCGTCGCTGCCGACAAAGGCGTACGGTTTGTAGAGCTCTCTGCAAAAAACAAAACGACTTTTGAAAGTGAACAAAGAAATGAAGAGACCAAACCTCAAAACTCGGGAGTTGCTGAGCAGAGCACCCAAGTGTTTATGCAGCAGCTTCCGCTCAAGCGCCAATCGGACAAAGGCACGGGCGTACCCGATGTCCGTCTTGATTTCGGTCATTCGGAGCACGTTCCTGTTAAATCAGATTATTTTAAATTGAATTTTTCTTCGAAACTGACTTCAGATCGTATGCGACGTGGGTGGGAAGGGGTGAAAGAACGACTCTCGCTCCGTCCGGACTCCTGGTTCTGCTCTGAGAGCGCATTTTCCGAGGCGATCCTTCGACACTCGCATATCCGCCCAAATTGGAGACATCCGTTTGAGATCCACTCCAGGCCGGGTTTGTAAAGTCTGTAGAAGGAAAAGAGGTTAGATGTGAAACGAAAATGAAGTGTTAGAGCAGGACCCAAGACATGAAAGCTCTTCAAAACCATTGCCAATATCAATCAATACCACACGGATCTGGGACGGACAGCGGGATCGATTAACCACGGGGGAAAAGCGTTAGGAACACGAGTTTTGGTGTTGGTTTTTAGTGGTTTTAGTACTGTTTTGAGTAGCTGAAGACGGATGAGTCGAGAATTAGTAGGAAAGAAAAGCAATAAACCATTCCAAAACCACAATACTGACCACTAATACTAGTCGATTTCCTCATGCTCCTTCCAGAGTACGGAATTCCGGAAGGCTCGACGGATTGATTCCGCGCACGAATTATCGACGGATTCGGAAGCGGGGGTCGTGGCGGAGGGACGACGGGCGCATTGCTTTCCAGCGGGTTTCCATTCGAATCCCTCTCTCCGTTCGTGATCTTATCTGCGATGAAATTGGCTGCACGGAGGAGCGACTTGCTCCACGGCTCTTCTGGAGCTCCGCGGAAAGAGTCAACGATGTCGCTGATGGCAGTCAAAACATCCGTGTCATTTTGAGGGGAAAGGATGATTGGAGCTGGAACTTCGTCTATTGGGGCTCCACGACGTTGATGGGAAGGCGGAGGGGCGGGAGGGAGGGACGGAGCACGGAATCCCCGTTGATCTGAAATGGACAACACTAGGGAAATGAGGAAAACAGCACGATAGTGGTACGCGGATAGATAGAATAGCTCGCATTTCGCTTTGTTAAATACCATATTCATGCCTTTTGAACTAATGAATTCAAACCACGATTCACCGAAAAAAAATCATAAATATTCATCAGCGACTCTGAATCAGCAGCCAGATAGTATTTCAGCCAGCAAAATTTAAAAAGCGGTCATTCGGTTCACAAACCGACACGATTTTCACCGCTTTTTCAGTTTCTTACGTTCGATTTTTCGTCGCAAGACGAGCCACGCTAACGCTGAATAAAGAGAGAAGTAGGAAAGAAATTTGCATAAAAGAAAGACTATGAAGAATTAGAGAGAATCACGGATAAGAGAGAATCCTGAACATGGCAGAATTCGTTCGACGTCATACCTGGGGTGAGCATCGAAGTGGACGAAGCTCTTGTCGTCAGTCCTGGTTTCTCCAAGTCTTGATGTTGAAGTACGAAGTTCCAGAGCGAAGACTTTCCCTGAAAGTATTTTTTACAGGAGCCATATATTCAAAAGCATCCTACGTGTTTGTTTTTGAGTCCGTGCGCCCAAATCCTTTCCAAAAGATCACAGAACGAAGCGACTAGAGTATTCTCTTCGACGCCCGTAATTCCTGCATCTAAATGTCCCACTGCATCTTTTCCCATCTTGTCGACAAGCATCCTCTTTGTTTTCGCTGTAATCATTCCATGATGCCCATCAGTCTAACAAAAAGGTTTCTGGAGGTATTGGGGTATTGAACGCCAGCCCTGTCCCATCACAGGCAAACCGGCGTGGGTAAAATCAGGCCCAACGGCGAGTCGGCGAGAGTGTTTGGCACATCTCTCGGCATGAGCGTTTGACCCACATGAGACTCTCATTTGACCCGCCGGCGGCCAAAAATCGGGCAGGGGCTCCGCTTGCTCGGTATTCCGGGTACTCCTGTTATTCAGCTGGTATTTTGATGGTGCATTTTGAAAAACAAGGCTCCCTCGTTTGTAAATTTTTTTTGTGTATTGTCGTTCTGTTGAGCTGCCTGTTGAGCTGCCTTGCCGTTTTTTAAATTTGTGCGGTTCCGCCTCCTCCATGGAGGCGGGACCTGCCTCGTAACTTTTTTCGCTTGAATGTCTCTCTTCCTCTCTCCGACATTATTGCTATGCTAGAAGTCAGCCTCTTACCCATCTCTCTCTTCCTCTCTCCGACATTTTGCGGGGGGTTCAATTCCCCATACCTATAGGAACCTTTTGGTTTTCGTACCTTTGGTCTCCTTCAACAGTTGCTGAACGAATGCGTATTGTTGTTGTGCAATCTGCGTGCTAGACTCCACTTGCATAAGCCCTGCTCCTCCGTACACACTTGTTGGCCTTACAGACGGAGATCCCGAGTTCCCATTGTGACCTTCTCCTTTTTGTGACCGCAACCTTGGATAGCGCTGCCGCCACGGGGAAGGTGCCGGACTGATCAGGTTGGCTCCATCCAGAAGGGACGTGTTCAATTGATGGATAGGCCACGCCCTTCATATCGAACCGGGAAGGCTCCAGCAAGAGCATGCGGTGCCGGAACCACGTAGTCCGTCGTCTCTTCTCGCTTGGAAATGAGCTCTTCAGTGACTGCAAAAGGGGGCGTGGCTTCGTAAGTGGGCGTGCGGACGATGGAAACTCCTAGAAGTTCCCGCATCGCAGCGATTCGAGCATCAAAAAGAACGACGCCTTCGTCCGGAGACTCCCATTGGGAAAGGATCTTTGCGTCTATGAACGAAGTGAACATCTGAGTTTCAAGGAACGCAGCGAGGAATGCCAAGTGGCTGTCCGGCTGATCAGAGAGGAAAGAGGCCTTGTCGAAACTGGCCATGCTCTCGCGATTCGTCTCGTACGTCTCCCGATCATCGCATCCTTGTCCTCCGATAACAAAGTGCTCGTAGGAATAAAACATTTCGACGAAACGATTGAGAACGCATTCGCGGATAGCATTGTTCACTTTGGCGTCCTGGAAATTGATTATCAGTGGAAATGCAAATGACCGGCCACGTGGCAAATCGTCACTTACAGCGAAATAGTGCCTGGCGACTGGAGAATCCAGATTTTGTGCCCCGCCCAATTCCGTTTCTATATTGTTCACATCCACGACAACTCCGGCTCTTCGAGCAATCTCGGCCACTCTTGCGAGTGTGGAGTTATTCCTGAGCACATTCTCCAGGGGTAATGGCTGCAAACCTGTTCGGGAAGGCCGTCGGAGCATTCCTGAATCAGTAAGGATGAATTGAAGACCGAATTTGTAAATTATAAATACGAACCATTGAACTCTTCGCTGAGTGCACTTCCATCTTCCAAATCGAAGGAACGGCTCATTCGTTTGGCTGCCCAGTCATCCGGCCTTCTGCTCTTTTTCCTCATTTTCACTCCGCCCTCCGCCAATTCTTCGGTTTCTCGTACTGTAGACACAGAAGTCATCATTTTATCAGTACTTGCGAGCCTTTCCAACGCATTCTTTATATCGTTGGCTAGCTGGCGAGCTCCCGGGAAAATAGGAACGTCTTCCGGAAGTTCCGCTCTTCCCTCATCCAAATCCACGACACAAACGTTGCTTTGAAAGAGCTCCTGTGGCACTGATTCTTCGTAATACCATCCCATAACGTAGGGAACGGGCGCTTCGAAAAAGTCGAGTTTGGAGTATGGAAGGACCGGAGCGTACGTCATCTGCCATCGGAACGGAAAAGAGAGAGCGAGGAGCGATTCACAAACGGACATTAACCGAGAAAGATCTTTGGAGCAGAGAAGAATTTGATGTTCGAGAAGAAAGCAGGAGAAGAGACGGATGAACTTCTCAACTGGCAGAAAGTCAAAAATGTTTCCAATCGAGTCGTCGAAAAAAGGCAATTCTTTCGGGCCGGGACGTTGAACGACGAGAATGGTGTCTAGAAGAGGAATCTGGAAAAGAAAAGAGGATGGACGGACCTAAAGAATAGGAAGAGTTACCTTGAGAGTCATGCTCGGAGAAGGGAGCGGCACTTCGTAGAGACACCAGTAGATGTAGGATTCCAATGGTAGTTGAGGAGACGTCGGAGAGGAGATAATCTGATAAAGGGCCGAAAGAAGAGCTCGTGTGGAATTAACGAGTGGAAGACGCGAAATTACACAAATTGTACGGGACCTGAAAAAAAGATAGAGAATTTAGAGACCACGAAATTGCAGCCAATTTCTCTGAGTTAATTTTTGAACCTAACTGTACACTTTCAAACTCCGAACACTTACATGAAAAGAGAATTATGACCTCCTCCTTCGTAGTAAGACACTCTTTTCGTGCGATCTCTCCGATTCCTGGGCAACGTGTGAGTGCCACCTGAAAGATAAGTTCAATAGCCGTCTAAATCCATTCCTTCTCTCACCAGACACGGTCCCCGGCGGATGATGAGTTCTCTGCTGCTTTTCGACAACTCCATTGTGTCTCGCTGTTATTTCTCTCACGTGGTCCTGCTGCAACTGAGCCATCGATTCGCAAATGCTCACATCCTTCACTTCTTCGTAAAACGTGATGGCCGTACCGTTGATTCTACTTCCATCTTCTCGAATATTGGCGAATGTGTGAACCATTGGTTTTTTCGGAACATCCTTTTCCGTGTAGAATCGAAGACCTCTGGGCATGCATAACTAAATAAGAAAACGTTAAAATTTGATTCAGTTGAAAGCTCACATGAAGTATATCGTTGGAAAATGGATTTCCGGGTCGTCTTTGCGGAAAATGATTTATTATTTTGGCGACAAAGGATCGTTGGAGTGGCGCTCGGACCTCCGGCGTTGAGCTGCCAGGAAACTCGCCCGGACTGTGGTTCGGATCGTATTTGGCGTCAAGCTGAATTTTAAACACTTTATAACATCTTCTATCATTCTTTTCTATGTTTATTTCTGCTTTTTTTCGATTCCCGGCACTACCACGTCCAGAAGGAGTACAAAAATGGCTTTCTCTCATTCTCAATCTCTTTTTGACCTTTTTCTCTAATTCTTTTCGCATAAATTATCGGTTTTTGCGGGAGCGTCATTCAGTGTTTATTCATGAGGTTGGCTTTGCTATTTTGAAGAATCTCTTGTTTGAATTCTTGCAATTTCAGTTTTTGTCAGATCCTATTTTGGAAATGCTTAATGTTTTTTCAGAGTTTCACAAAACTTTGGCCAAAATTTACCACAAGTCCAGTATCTGGGTCATAGCCGGCGACGGCAAAGTAGTCGACAAGAGTAACATCGAGATCACTGGTATTTGTGCTCATTCCGTCAGTCGTTCATGCTGATAACACGATTTCTGAAAGAAGAAGTTTAACACTCGTGGGGAAAACGCCCGCCAATGCAAACACGCCCTCGTGCGGGTGTAAACGGCTACCCGCACGAAAATCGATAAAACCTGGGAACCCATAGTAATGCTCGTTGAACTTTTCACCTAATAATTCGTGAGAATTCAAGTTTTGACAGATCTATTGACATAAGCGTGTGACGTCACAAAATTGAGCGCCAGCACACGAGACGGGCCAGCGGTCCGTTTGCGTATTCTTTGTGTCAAACTCGCGTAAATATTGGATTCAGAATTGACGTGAACTAGGAAATCCACGTCGGATCCAACAGAAAACTATGGGATCTTTGAAAACAATTTCATTTCGTCATAAAAATGAACGGAAGGCAAGCAGGATCGTCGAAATTCAGCGATTTTTTGACGGAGACCGATTACCGTTCGAAAAGTTCCGACAGATTGGCCAAAACGTCCTTGGAACACAAAGGTCAGTCTTCTGATGACTATGGGAATGAATGGAAAAGACAGTCGTTTTTGAATCGGGCGAAAATGAACCAGAGGGAGACAAGGCGATGTAAAGCAAAGAATTGCCGAGGAGAAGGAGCTCATCTTCTCTCGGAAAAGAAAAAGAAAGCAGCCATGCGAGCGATAATTTTGTTGGTTTTTCCAACAATTTCCAGATTGCTCTCTTCCTTAGTCTCTCTCTCTCTTCTTCTAGATTCACATTCGAACAGCGATAATCAAGTGAAAGTGGAGGAGCTGTCGTCGTCGGAACACGAGGAATCGTCAAGTTATCATGTGAGGGGAAGAATAAGAATTAGGGAAATATCTGGAATTTGCAGCCACCAGACAATTTCGATGAAATGGGCGGCGGTGATTTCGATGAGAGCGATGACGGAACAACGACAGAAAAAAAAGAGACAGCCAGGCAAAAGTAGGCAATGATTGACAGACTTCCGATTGACAGTGACCGGCTTGCAGATTCCGCCGATTCAGGCACAAAGAATACCAATGTGACGAGTGTGAGCGCATGTTCACTCTCAAACACAACTTGCAAAATCACTTTGTCCAGGTGCCAGTCACAGAAAACAGATGCATTCAAAGTGCTCTCGCTCTTTTCAGTACCATATGGGATGGAAGACTCTGCACAAGTCGTGTCCTTCTTGCAAGTGCACCATCTGCGGAAAGATCTACTCGGCGGCGTCGGTGCTCGCGGAGCACATGCTTCAAGCGCATCAGTTATGAACGAATTCCCACGCATACATCGAATAACTTTACAATTACAGACAATCCGGAGAAACAGAAGAGTGCACAATATGCGGTGAGAGGTTCATCACTCGGACTGCTCTGAAACAGCACACGAAAGAGCACAGTCGAGTACTGAAGACGTGCCCGTACGCTGAATGTCGAGGCATGAAGTTCAAGTTGAGCAAAGTGGGTGAAACAAGAGACCAATTTATTGTGTCTCACATTTATTTGGATTCAGGACCTCAACGAGCACGTGCGCCTCGAGCATAAACTCGGAGAGCTGGCTTGCTCTGTGTGCAGTATGGTGTTCCGACAGCTGTCGGCTAAGATTAAGCACGAGGAAGAACATGAACAAGGTCCGTTGTGCACTTGATCGCTGCGAAATAGAAATGAGGTTTCAGAACTACGAGAAATGGAAGAAAAGTATCCGGAGATAGGGCAGAAAGCTCAGGTGAGAGCTTGATCTTTATGGATGGGTTGTAATAAAACGGAGCACTTTCAAGTTCTGCTCTAATCAACTAATGCATCCCATTTTTCAGTGCGATCTGGACCTCGTGAAGCGTGTAGACTCGTCTCTGTCACCCCCTCCAGCCAAACACCGCAGAATCTTCCGTCCAGAAGTCGAAGCAATTCCCATCACCAAAAAGAGGATGAAACGGTTGACCAAGGACGAAATTATAGCTAAAATTAAAAAGTGATCAACCGACTTTTGATTTGTTTGATTTTATTGTTTTACACAGCATCTGATGATAAATATATTAATACAACATAATACACTGTAAATAAATGTTTGTCCTCTTGTTCATTTTGTGTCTGGAATCTTGTCTATCGTGTCAATTTTACATAATACCTGCCCGCGACGGCGCGATAAAGTGATGTGTGTCGAGTGATGCAAGCGCGCCCCATTGTGAGAAACAGAACTGCAATGCTGGCCAATGTTGTGCAATCGTTTTCCTCAAAGACTGTCGTTTTTTGTTGAATTTTAACGAATTCGTTTCTTCTAAGACATGAGAAACCTTCTTCAGACCCCGCTTAATATGCCTGACGACGTCGCTGGTGCACCCAACCCCGCCGAGGGCAAGAGAAATGTGAGTGAGTCTTTGATCTTCAAGTTAAATCTAAAAAATCTTCAGAATAATGGTAGAAATCGTGGTCAAGGATTTGGCGGAAACCGTGGTAGAGAAGGTATTTGAAGGAAATGAGCTGAATGTTTGGAATTGAAGTTTCCAGGAAACAACAACAACCCCGGAAGGAGACCTCCGTCCAACCGTCAGAATCAGCGACCTCAAAACACAAAAGTAGACATGAAAAAGTATGAGAGAATGATTTCAGCCGCTCATGTAAGAATTCGAAACTTATTTCTTCGGCAAATTCAACATGTTCAGACTAATTTCTCCGATATTCCATGCGGAAGAAAGACGGCCGATTGTGATATCTGTTGCAAGCCAAACGACGTTTTTGGAGTTCGTTCCGACTTCCGTTGCTCATTATAACATTTCAATTGTCCAGATCGGTGCGTGTCGCCATCCAATCTGTGTGGAATGTGCCATCCGAATGCGTGTGCTCGGCGACTCGAAGACGTGCCCTGTTTGTCGCTCGGAAATTGATGTACTTTCGTTCTGTACAGTTGACGAGGACATGGCGAGTATTCCGCTCACGTTTAGAAAAACGACTCATCCGGATGAGGACCGATTTGAAATCCGATTTAACAATCAAGTGTCTGGTACCAAATATGAGAAGTATTTGGCTCATGTGTGCAAAATCTGCAAAACGTATGTGCGATGAAAGAGAATATCGAATAATGAATGTTTTCAGAGAGGATGGCGAGCGACTCGAGTTCCCCTCGTTTATGTCACTCCGTCAGCACATGGCCAACCGACATGAACTGTCCTACTGTCACATTTGTACGGATAATCTGAATTTGTTCTCAAGAGAAAGAAAAACGTACACTCGAGAGCAGCTGCAGAGACACATGAAGAGTGGAGATTTCGACGACAGGAGCTTCAAAGGACATCCACAATGTCTGTTTTGTGACGAGAAGTTTCTCGATGAAGAAAACAGATACCGTCATCTCAGAAAAGAACACTTCTTCTGTCAATTCTGTGAATCCGACGGCACTATGACCAACGTCTTCTTTGGGTTTGTATTGTTTGAGCACTGCTCCGATGTTTCACTCTGCTTTTTCTTAGAAAACACGACGAGCTTAAAAGACACTACAAAGAGAATCACTTTATTTGTGAAGCGGAAGAGTGCAAGCAGATGGGAATTGCTTTGCCACCAAGTTTGAGCTCGATTTGCACAGATCAAATGATCATGATGAAAAGAGAAGAGGAGCAACGCTTGATATAGGTTTCGGACAGAGACCATCGAATGCGGACACCGGGAGACCGATGGGAAGGTGACCGAGTGCGGAAGTAGAACGGACATTCGAACTTTTGTTTTCAGAGGACGAGGCGCGCGAGGCGGCCATCACAACGAACCGGCACCGCCTGTTCCACGAGAGCGAATCGCTTTGGTTCAGCGACAAGTGGAAACGAATCCTCAGAGTGATCCGAGTGAGTTCACGACGGTCCGATCTGCTCAGAGCAAGGGCACCTTCACAAGCACGAGATCCGCCTTCACGACTAGTACTCAAGACTTCCCGAGTCTCGGACCACAAGCTGCTCCTCCGGTTGGTTCTCTGTGCTCTTCTTCATGATTGAATTATTCAACTTTCAGCCTAGTATTCGTTCTTCCGATTTTCCTCGTCTGAACAAGGTTAACAAACCGACGTCAGCTGCAGCCGCAGCGGCCGCTCCAGTCGTCGAGCACTTTCCGACGCTCGGCGATTCTGCTCCTGCCTCTGCACCGCCCCTTCGCATAAAAGTTCCTCCTTTGGCGAAAAGACGACAGCCTCCTCCTCCTGCTCCACCTCAGCCGAGAGCGAAGCCAGCGAGACAGCAACAACAACAACAGCCGAAAGAGGAAGATTCTGATTACGTTCCGAGACGAGACGTTCCTCAAGCCGTTGTGAAAGTGAACAACGCCTTACTTCGTTTCGATACGGTTGATGATCGTGTGACTCCGGCCGCGAAGTCGAACGTCCGAATGGTTCAGCGTGTCGATCAAAATCCGCCTTCTTCATCGGCTTCTTCTTCTGGAACTGCTCTCGGAAGATTTGATTTCCCGGCGCTTCCGGCGGCCTCCGCGCCAATGCTTCCCGCAAACAGCAGCTGGTTGAATAGCAAAAATAGTAAAGTTGTATGTCTTTGACGATAAAGTTATCAAATGGGTTTTCTTTTGTTTCAGAAATCGGGTGTGATTTCGAGTGTCACTGTACCAACAAACTATTCGAAAGCCATCCAAAACCAGGGGAAGAAGAAGAACAAGGTGAATGTGCCGAAAACAGAAGTTTGGTCTTCTTTGGGACGAGCTCCAGAAGCTTCAGTTGCAAGTGCTCCAGTCGACACGTGGCAGACGATTAAACTGTCGAAGGAAGCACAGGCCGAAAAGGAGAAGAAAGAACGGAAAGAGGAATGGGCACGTAAAAAAGCCGAGGAAAAAGCGGATAAGGCTGCGGCCAGAGCGGCCGAACAGCTGGAAGCGTCGGAGAGCGATGCTGAGCCGATTACTCCGAAGTGAGCCGAAATATTTGTGACAAGTTTTCAAAAAAAATTGTTTTTTTTTCAGAACTCCACCAGTGACGATCGCGTCCGAACCGGATTGGCAAACGGCCACGTCGAGGGCTTCTGAAGCTGCCAAGGCCGCTGAAGCTGCTGCGAGTGCTAAGAAAAATAAGGTCTCCCTTGGAGTTATGTCATTGAAAAATCGGTTTTTATTTTTTAGAAAAACAAGAAAAAGGCCGAAGAAGCTCTGGCACCAGTTGCTGCTCCATCTGAGCCCACCCCAGCAGCTACTCTAGCTTCTGCTCCATTGGCATCGAAAAGTCCCGCTCAAGTCGAATCGCCTGTTACTTCCGCTTCTACTCCAGCTGCCGAGTCAGTCAAAGACTCTTATCAAGAGAAAATGGATGCGGTAAGCCTTTGTTGTGAATAAAATCAATTTCAATGTGCGTTTCAGTTCTGGAATATGCCAAAGTTGCCATCGATGACGTCGATGTTCTCATCGTTCTCGCTCTCCGGAATGTTGGGAAGAGGTGCTTCTTCTAATGCCCCGGTAACATAGTTTTCCGAATTTACCGAACCTTGATGTTTTGCAGACACCAACTACTCCACCCACACGTCCACCAGGATTCGGTGACATTGTGTTCACGCCTCCACCTGGACTCGGATTCCCAACTGAAAAAAAAGTGGAAGACATTTCGTTCGCTTCTGCTCCGATCCTTTCTCATGATGACGTCAAAGAAAAACGTGAGCGGATGGAATTGCAGAGACAAAAAGAGAAGGAAGAAGCGGAAAAGGTACGAGTATCTGGCTGTGAGCCAAGCATCTGTCTGGTGATAAGCAGCACGTAGCATACAAACACCCTACACGTGTTTATTTTGGCAGGAAGGGGAAACTGGCCGAGTGTACACACGGTCTTTCCCTCCAGCAGCTCGTTCTTCCTCTCGCTTCCCACTGACAATTATCGTGTTCTTACAGGAAGATGACGGCTGGGCGACAACTGGAAAGCCGAAGGCCAATGGAAAGAACAAGAAAAAGAAGTAAATACGAATAGGATATTCTTCAAATTTTGCAAATAGTCATCATTTTTTCAATTGTGTTCCACTGATTTGGGTGACTTTAGTACCGTTTTTCAATTTCAACGTCTTGTTTTGGTTTCCTGCTTTGTTCTGTTTCATCCCTTAGAACGCTTTCCGTGTGTAATCAGTAGGCTTCAAACCAATACACTTGTATTACTGGTACGTAGATGATAACCGATTGGTAATTAAATAAATATATAGTGAACAAACTCACCCATTTTCATGTCGGGCAAGCCGTTCCAGCGTCATTACCTGACAGTATTAGATCTCTCGAGTGGTCAGTCTAAATATTGAACAGGTAAGACGCTGGACACCGGTCACCGCAGAATAGGACAGTAGCCGAATCAGAATGACGAGTCGGTGGGTCGGTGAGCTCGGTGAGCAGTCAAAAGAGGGCGGGGCCAACGGGGAAATGGGCGGTGCCAACGGGCGACCACTTACAGTGCTTTTGTAGATGGGCAAACACAAAACAAAGAGGGAGAGGGTAATTAGGAGGTGAACACGGGATTATTGAGAGCTATCGGAATGGAATCGGGAGCAGAATAATTCTAATTTCTAGTATTGGATCTGGAAGAAATGAATGAGCACGAGGATTCCAAAAGTGTTTTTTTTTCAATTTTGCGAATCCACCTGGATCCCTAGAAAAATTGGAGCAAAAAATCGTATTCAAAATTTGTTTATGAAATCAAAGATAGTAAAATAAACTGAAATTCGATCAGACCGGCATCAAAACTCGCAAAAAGTGTACTACACTAGACACGTATCATATGAGAATCGGGCTGGTCTGATCAAAGAGATTCGGCAAAAACCAGACACTGCGCGCCTTCTCCTGCCTACGTCTTTTCCATTCCGAAGAAGTAATCATTGATCACTTCGCCACCGACACCTGGCAATTACATTCCGTCCGAATCGGGCGAGAAGGCGGTGGACAACTTGGCCCTTTTGGCAGGAAAAGTAATACGAGGACGAAGGAATGGATGGGTATTTGTGTGCATAATGCAACATTCGAAAGTTATCAAATGGAAGAGGACACAACAGACAGATAAGAAGAGAGAGAGAGAGAGAGAGAGCGAGAGAGAGAAAGAGGGAAACTTGCATTTGCAGTCTGAAATGGGTTTGAGAAGATAAGAAGAGGGAGGGGAAGAGAAAGAGTCTGATGCTTCTAAACACTGAACGTTTTTCGTTCTTTCCATCTCATTTTTCAGTGTTTACAATTCAATTGGTCTGGATGATGTATATATGTAAACTAATGGAGCAAAATCGGACTCTGGCGGCTCATTCGGCTCTTTTTTAAATTGAAATGGAGAGAGTGACGAAAAGTTCGATCTTTTTGCGGAATAGAACAGAACTTCTGATGGACTTGCAATATCTGTAATTGAAGGGAACCCCAATACCGTTTATTCAACACGATGTACATCTCAGCTGGCTAAGAGAGATCAAAAAGTCGTCAATTGAAAAATTGCTCAGAAAGACATTGCGCACGTTTTATCAGTTGACAAAGGATCAAAGGCAGGGCCTATACACAATACCAAAAAATCGGACAAAGTTAAAAACTAACTGATTGGATGATTACGGCTCGACAAATAGAAGGAGCAGTAGAAGTCATAGTCACTAGAAGCGTCAAATTATTTGAAATGAGCACCTATTGAAACTGATGAAATACAAACTCTGCATACTCTCTCATGACTTCTCGAAATCAGACTAAATTCCTGTCGATCCACCGTTTCTCTTGCTCCGATCTCCGAACTCTGTGCTCTCTCGTTCTCGCCTCCCCTACAGTAGTCTCTCTTCATTTTTGCGTCGGCGAACCCCCGCTTTCCGACCGCTCTCTCCACTGTTTTTTCCCGCCCGAATAGCAGTCAGGTGGGAATCTTGTCACGTCTGGAATGGTGACAAACGAATTGAGAAAAACGGTCGAAAAGGTTCGCGAAGACAAATAGGCGAGGGATGGAGAGACGCAGACAGGGGAGAGGGGAGCCGCTCCGATGAGCACAAATGAGAGGATAAAGGGAGTTCAGACCAGTCTGACTGAAGGAATTCTGCACCGTCTAGCACATTTTCTTCCGAATCAAGTCAAGCAGAAACTCTCATGATTAGATGGGGACTTTTGATCTTTTTTCAACAAGAAAACATCGGAGTGCTCGTAACCCAGAACTTCTGGACCCATTGACATTATATCTTTTATCTCTCTCCTCCAATCGTTTCCGTTTTGTTCCCTGCGAGAAGGGAGCCAACTGACACCTCTTTCTTTCAGTTTCTCTTCCTCTCTCACATACTCTCCGATGGCTCCTGCAGAAACGATTAATTTGCAGAAGAGGAGAATCTGAAGGGCATAATTCAGGAAAACAAGGGCATGGGTAAACACGAAGGAGCCGAACACATATATTGTTGATCAAAAGAGTATCATCTCGACAAATAATTCAGAAGAACAGAGAGGGTCAAGAAGAGGCACCGACTCGCAGTGATGAGAGGGCTAATCTCAGAAGGGGAACAAACACGGAAATCGGTAAGAGTGTATCAGTCGAGTGGCCGACCGCCGGAACACGGCTCAAACATGCCGACTACACTATTTAAGGAGACTGTTTGCGCAAGTTACAGGAGAGCTCTCTCTCTCTCTCTCTTTCTCTTTCGCTCTTGCTTATCAAGAGATGTCTAGCAGCACTTGAGAACAACATAGGACGGCTAATGGGGGCGGTGGTCAGCAGACTACACAGATATCGGACAAGAGAGAGAGAGAGAGGAGTAGCACATATTGAAGCTACTGGTAGATTTGGGATGGGGATCGAAGTAGGAGAAGAAGTTCACTCAGGCCAACACAAAGTGGAACCATTCGATGTAACCCTGACGTGGCAGGACTACCGTAAAGCTGTTAAAGAAGGGTATTCCAGTACAGCCCAATCAAGACGATGGTTGGAGAGATATCAACAAGTTGTCAACTAATAAGATGTTCATTAGGAAATGCTGCAGATTTCAGCATTTAACAACGTTTTGATCTCTCTACAGACGGCTGAGATACATCAATTTTAATGGACGGTGCCCTTCTATTACAGTTTTTACTGCAACATCCTTCTCATTTATGTCCTCCAACCCGATTAGCCTACTTAATCTGAAAGTAGGCATGCATGATACACAATCACTGGTGCTGGCAGCAAATTTTTCAGGCGCTTGTTCTGCAACCCTAGCCTGAATATAACTTCTTATTGAGTTTTCAGATGTTACTCTCCAACTTATTAAACCAAAACAACAGAGAAGGTGTCGTGACAAAACTGAAAAACATCTGACGGTTTTCTTCAAATCCTGCCGTCTCGTGTGTTCTGATCTCTTCTTCGATCCTCGAACCTCCTGGCACTGTTCTCTGATGTTCCCCGAAGTGCTCCAGTCCTTCGGAGCACTCGATCCCGCCCATCGGTCTCTTCATAGGCCACCCACCGTGTCGGTGATCCCATTCACACACAATCTGCCCCCTATTGCTAACATTAGCAGGAAGGATTAGGTGTGTAAAACGGCGGCAGCTACGGTAGTAATTGGTTACGGTAGGACGACGAACTTTAGTCGGAAAGGAGGGAACCGTCAGGAAAGACCGCAAACACGAAATGTGTGGAGAAAACGACTTGAGTGGTCAAAGGAATTTGAGCTTTTGAGGTTTTGAAGCTGGAGGGACCAGCCGGTGGGGACTACCAATAGAATACACAGAAATGGAGAAAGGGAGTGTAATCGGTCTGTGACGGACGAACCAGTTGACTTTGTGAGGCTGTTTTGATTGCGGCCGCCGGTGTCAAACGCCCATGCTTCTCCCACTTCATCTTTTTCTTCTTTCTCTCCTTTTTTCTGCCCTGCTTCCCTCTCAATTTACTCGTTTACTCTCTTCGTGTTCAGTTGAACAAGCACTGCCCTGAAGACGTTCGGATCGGTTTCTTTCCTCTTTGACAAATGAGGCGCAAAGTGGAATTTATGACGTGGAACGCTCTTCTCGACACTTCCTTCCTTCCTTCCTCCACTCACTCACGTGTTTTGGATGGAAAGTGGGAAAAGAGGGCTGGAGAGGCATCCAATTATGATCCGGAACCGTGCCGCCCGTTTTTTGTCTGCATCTCTATACGCAACACGGGCGCAATTATGAAAAGAGAGTAATCTCGAAAAAAGGGAAAATGGGTTACATCTTCTGACGAATGCTCGCTCTCCCTCTCTAGCCGTGTAGCCTTCTTCTTCTTCTTCTTCTTCTTCTTCTTCTTCTTCTTCTTCTCCCTCCTCTGTACTTTACTTTACACTTTTCCTCTTCATCTGCCATCTCGTTATCTGGAAATGCAATCTCTCGGCAGTTACCGTCTTCATTTCGCAACCTTTCTCTCTCTTTTTTTTCGAATCGGATTCGTGATGTTTTGTATTTTCAGCGAACTTTCCCGTGATATCATTCTGTGATAACTGCCACGTGGTATTTTCGTTCACGGAAAATGCAAATTCACGTCACTTCTCCACTCTTTCTCTCTCTTTCTCTCTCTTTCTCTTTTTTCTCTTGTTCTCACTTGTTTTCCGGAATTTCGACAACTGAAAAACAGAATATAAATAGGTTGTGTACAGGACTTTGAATAGGTCTTCAACTTTGTTTTTCTCTAGTTTATTAGCTTCAATTTGTAGGCAAAAAGAGATCATTCTGTTCGAAACCGTCCGTTCACATTGTAAATAAACCTGATTCCAAACCGATTGATTGTTAGAAATGTTCTGAAATCTCATAAGGACTACTATTTCACGCGATGCCTTAGATATTGTTGAGAATTAGCCCCACAAAGATTTGGCAATGTCGCTCTAAATCTCATTAGGCCATAATCGTTTCGAGTACAAAAAGTAGACAAGTTGCTCGAGTTTCAGAAAAACCTCAAGATCTTTGAATTGTTCTGAAAGGTCAGCCTTTGGAATGGATTCCTCTTTTCTGACATTTCCATCAGAAATTCGTTCAAAGTTATCGTCAGTTTTCTAAAGTTTGAACATGTTAACGATGTGAGATGAACATTTTCCACTTCATCTGAATAACTCGTTTTAAGGATCAAACTCCATAATATTGAAGCATCTTCCACTTGAACTTTGTCTATAAGTACAACCTTTCTGATCAGAATCACAACCTGCAAACGAATAATAATTGAAGAGGTGACAAATGAACGCAACCTGTCCGATCTCTTTTTTCTTTTCCTCATTTCGATCGACGCAAAGGTCAGACACCTCGCGACTGCGGAAGAAACTGAAAAAAAGTGTGGTGGTCTTGTTTATTTTTTCGACCCTTTGCTTCCCTCCTTTTGTTCACCGTCCTTCGTCTCGCAATTTCGACCGCAGAAAACGGTTTGTCCACTTGCAAACTTGTTTCCTTTCTTCCCCCTTCTCGCTACCTTTCATCTGTGTTATTTCGATGATATTCAACACAAGAACCGTTTTTTTTTTAATTTCAGAATGGAACACGATTATTGGGAGGAGAGAGAGTGGGCACGGAGAGACGCAGACGAGAAGCCGAAGCCGTTGAGCGACACCCTCAAACAGTACTCTCTCGTGAGTCCGCACAAGTCCCTGTAGCCAGGCCACAAACTAGTTAAGAACAAACTATCACGCGAACATTGAAAGATTGCAAGACCGAAAATCTTCATCAATCCAAGTTTTTCAGACGATCGCCGCGATTTCAATGCTGAGCCACGTGCTCCTGGACGGCCTTCTCTCCGTTTCCCTCCTTTCCGCACTAATGTTCACTTATGTGCTTTCCTATCGAAAAGCCCGGGTCAACGTGGATGAAACGTACTATGATTTGAGGAGAAACTACTACAAGGTACAGTATCTTTCGTGGCAAGATCTTCGCAGGATTCTCTCCTTTTTCAGACTTCCACCTTCATATTCTCCTCCACTTTCCTCGCGATTCTCCGCGTTGCCTTCATTTCTTTGAGCGACGAGTCCCGATTTTCATTGGTGAGCCCATCCACACCGTTCCAATTCACTCCGTCTTCTTTCATTTCAGTACCTCGCCTATCTCGCTCTGTTTCTCGCGTTCACCGAGAATCTTCAGATGATGAGCGAAGCGGAATCGTACAGTCCTCCGCCGCCGCCGCCCGTTTACAGATACAGAACTCCCAGATATGCTCCTGCCGGATGACGTCATCACCGTTCTCAGATGCCAACGCTCATGATCTTCATATTGATCTCTTATTGTTCAAGTTTGTATTCATTCTAAACAGTCGCCTCATTACGAAGTATTTAGTTTTGAATAAATTTTTGATTAGAGCGCGTTTGCATCATAGGGACCCCCTCTAAGACACCGTACAGGGAATCGAAGGTCACCTGCTCTTGCTTCTCGGCGTCTCTCGCTCTTTTCGCCTACAACGTCTACTGGGACCACGTCGTCACTCATTTCAAATGTACACTACAATGTCCGTCTCTCCGGTTCCTTACCTCGTTCTCAAGACCATTTTGTCCTATGTTCCAGTCAAGAACAGGTAACTTTCCATGGAACTTCGCAAATTCGTTCTATTTTTTCTAGAAAATTGCTCGCTCGACGGATTCCCCGAATCCGATCGATCGATAATACCATTCCGTATCGAGTGGGAACGGTCGAGATCAGCTACGATGAGGCCACGTCCTCTGGCCGTGTCTGGATCGACGGAACGATTCTCACGTACAAAGTGGTTGCGTACCACTGGCTTAAAGTGACAACGTGCAAAGGAGTGTCGTTCGAGATGGATTCCGACGTTCTGGGACGGTGTTTGGAGCACTATCTGAACAGGCCGAACCTCAGAATCGATAGGCTCACTCTGAACGTGAGTGACAGTGGGGGATATTTCAGAGCTATGTATCTCAGCTGTCTGTAGAGATATCGAAAAGTTGTCAAGTGATAAAATGTTTAGAATTTCTCAATGAGCATTTTATCAGTTGACAATCTTTTGATATCTCTCTAGCCAGCTGAGTTATATCGTCTTTAGGGATGCAGAACAGGCGCCTGTTATCCCGTTTTGCATCCCTAATCGTCTTAAATGAACGGTATCGGGGTGCTCTTCTATTACGGTAACCCAACCGTACTCCAGACGAACACCGATAATCTTGCCAAGTCATGATCCGATACGATTGCAGAAAGCAAAATGGCCGTGCGTACCGTTCTTCCCGCAGAACGTCGGATCGCTGAAGATCGTGAGCGTAGAGGGAATGACCCTCCAGCTGATACAATTCAAAAACCGATCATTCGAGAGGGTGATCGTGGAGAACCAGTTCAAAAGGACGGAAGTTTTCAGTGCTCCAATGGTGAGCTCACACAAATCGGCGCAATCCATTCAAATGAGCATTTTCAGGTGTACCAGGCCAAACAATTGCTGGTGAATTCTGTGGAGATCTGGAGTTCCAGCCTGTTGGACATGCCGATGCACAATGTGACCATCCGCGAGAGACTGTCCAATTCCGGCGCGTTCGTCGTCTTCTGCGAAAAGATTCGCACGTCCGAAACGGTTTGCGTCGGAAGTTCGTACACGGGCATTTTCGTGACGAGAGTAAATGTGTGGAGGGAAATGAAGAGACGATGGGAAACCAGGAAAACAATGTGGAACGGAAAGTGAGTTCGGAAGGGAAAAGGAAGGATTCAGAAGAGAAATTGCAGAAAAACACGGACTGTCGAGATGGAAAACGACCGGGAAATGGTCATTTATCGGGAACAAAATGAAAAGGCGCTGAGCAGCAAAAGACTTTTCACCGCCAGAGTACTCCAGAAGGGCACTTCTACCGAAAGGAGAGGAGTCCTCCGCAATCTTTTCTCCAGACCATGGGCCCACATTTTTATTAATCAGTAAACCAATAATTTAAAACAATAAAGTGGAAATTATTAGAAAGTACTTGACGCAGAAAAATACTGTGATTACAGAGGAAGAGAGAATTAGAGAACAGAAAGTGATGAGATGAGATGGAGTTGATATTCTTCAGTTGATCTGGAATGGTCGAGTCACATCCTCCCTATGGTTTTCTGCGATCACGTTCTTGCTGAGTCGGCGGTGGTGGTGTCCCTTTGCGATTCAGGTTATCTACAAAAAAATAAATTAAAATAATCAAGGCTACTGAAATCTATTACCAATGTGATCCTCAAGCATACGATCGCGCTCCGACGCACTCATCTCCGTCATTCGAACCCATCGTTTGTCGTTCTCAAGCACCGACAGAATGTCCTTCATGTGCTGCTCACCCTCCTCCATTAGTTTTTTGCTCTTGTGAGTGATGATCTTCGTCTCCGACAGCATTTCCTTAAACTCATCAGTCAGTTGATCGTGACGTCTTTCTTGCCAATCCCGGAAATCGCGCTCGACTTTCTGAAAGTTAACAGTGGGAATCAGAAAACAACAAGCAATGGAACTTACTCTTTCCGAGTTGCTCGCAATCTTTGAGAATGTCGCTTCTTCCTCCTGAATTATCTTTTTGGCATCACGCCAACGCATCTGCGGACTGATCTTCTCGTGGTTGTCAAGCACTTGAAAGAAAGCTTCGCGGCGCTTCCGTTCCAAGTTCTTGATGTGTTCCTCGAACAGCGTCTCCTTGCGAGTCTTGTCGAGAAGATCACAGTTGGCGTAGCGGTCATCCTTTCGCAGGATACGACGAGACTCATGCCAATTCGCGTCAACACTTTTGACCAGATCAACCAAAAGGGTCTTGTAGGTTTCCTCGTGCTCAGCCTGCTTGTGCTTCTCACTCTCCTTGATCCGCTCCCTCAACTGATCGCCGAGTTCTGCCTCTACTTCCTTTTGTCGGTTAGCAATTGCAGCTTGAGCTGCGAGACGCTTCTCTCGTTCTTGTTCTTCTTCGATGTCCTTGAAACAGAAAAATATTATGCTAATGAGATATCGAGTAACTTACAGAAGCAGTTTCATCGCCAAGGTTGGCTATGTAGTCCCGGAACAGTGATTCTCTTGTGGAGCTGCTGTCCAGTGCAATATACCGTTCCTCATTTTCCAGCGTCTTCTTCACTGACGACCATTTCGATTTGCGAGTAAGACCGGTCTGCTCCTCTAGAAGTGTTACGAACGCAGTCTTCAACTTCTCCTTTTTGGCACGCTTCTCCTCTTTCTCTTTTTTGTGCAACTCGCCAACAAAGTCATTGAAAGCATCCTCACGATCGCGAGCACGTTCGACGGCCTTGAAACGCGCGTCTTTTGCGTACTTGGAAGAGAACGACGAGTAGGAAGAGCGACCGTTGAGCTCAGCCTCCACAAGAAGTTTTTGGAACTCTTCTTTCGCCTCCTTAGCCTTCTTCCGCTTCTCCGCCCGTTCTGCTTCAATTTTTTCGCGGCAGAACGCATCGAAACAGGCTCTTCGTTCAGTGGCTCCGAGAGACAGGTAACGCTTGTCGAAGACGATTTTGGAGAGTTCCTTCTCGAAAGTACTTGTAGTATTGACGCCCTTCTCCTCGAGCATTTCCTTGAACTGTTTAGTCTCTCCTCCAGCGGAACCTTCTCACGCTCCTTCGCCGCTTGCATTTCTGCTTCTATTGCAGGATCGATCGGCTTCTGAAGCATCTGACGAGGACGTTCCTTTTCCTTCTTTTGGCAGCTAGCAGAGCCTCTTTCTTCTTTTCGGATCGGCTCTTCTTCGCTTTGGCGGTCCATCTTCATCTGAATCGGATTCGGAATCACTGCCTTTCTTCTGGCTAACTTCATCCTCAGGCTTTGGTGTTGGTGGTCGCTGCACGAGTTTGTCGACATCTTCTCTGCCATAGGTATCTGGAGGACGTTCCCAGACTGAAGTCTTCGTGGACGGATTGTAGAAGAACACTTTGCTATCCCCAGTCCACACCACGCACCAAGGAGTTCCACTAACCGGAGTGCTGCTCACTGGACGGGTCGAGTCTTTCTTCTTGGCCGCTTCTGCATTGACCACCGCAGCAGCTGCAGCGCCGGAAGCTTGGGCTTTGGACATTGGCATACCGCCTCCTCCGTTCGTTTGGTTCTTCTGCGAAGCCATGAATGCAGCCAGGGCAGCTTGAGCCTTTGCTTGCGCTTCAGCGATCGCAGCGGACTGGACGGGTTCCGGAGAAGCCTTCCCTCCGTTCTCCTTGTCGATGAGAGCTTTCGGTTTTCCCACGTATTCTCCTGAGTAATGGAGTTGAAGTAGTACTTTCGGCCGTCTGGAGCGTTGAACTCGCTCCAAGCATCGTCAAGGTTCTGTGGCATTTGTCCGTGCATTGATGGCATCCGCTCTGAAATAAAATCAATTTGTTATTGTGTAAACATTGAGCATACAACTCTGAGCAAACGATCAGAGTTAGTCCCCCCGACTATAATCGTACCCCATGTTTCATATGTGAGGGAAGAAGAGTATAATCATAAGAATCAATCTGCAGGATGGAAAACTAAGAAAAGTGGACATTACACATTAGAGGAAGGGAAGAGAGGCTCGCACGGCATAGAATGAATGTCCTTCTTGCACTCCGAAACTCCGCAGTCGTCTCGAACTTTTTTCCTGTTGCTGAGAAACAAGACGGACTATTTGATTATTACCAGCTTTTTTTCGTTTTCACTTTTTGTTTACATTTTTCATACTTTTCTGACAAACGCTTTTCAGCTTTCGCGGCAATGGAGAAGAACGACTAGGAGAGCGACAATATTTACGAAGAAGACCCTAAGATCCTGAAATGTTCAGTGCCAAGTTTCAAACTTTACCGTAATCCTCTTTCTGAAATTGAATTAACGATGTGTGGAATGATGGGGCAAGTAGTGTGAATAGAGAGAACAAACGAGAGCTTCAAATAATAAGTTAGTTAACATACCCTCACGGTTTTTCTCCTCTTCCTGGCCACGGCTAATAAGTTGCGCTAATTCTGGCTGACTGACAGTTTTAGAGTTTTGTGGACGTTCCCAGACAGTATTCCTGTTTACGGGGTGATAGAAGTACTTTTTTCCTTCGGCCGTCTCCGTCTCAACCCACAGTTCCTGTCCTTCTTCGCATCCAGCAAGCTAAAAAATAATTATGAAATCGGTCAGACGGTATTTAGAACTATCACTCACCCTTCTCAAGCGTTCTTCCTGATCCTGGGGATTTGGACCTTGTGGTTGTCCGTATGCACCGGGCCCACCGTTGTAGTTGTAGCCTACGGCAGCACCTCCGTATCCACCTCTGTATGGAGGATATCCCCCTCGACCTGGTGGCATTCCACGACCACGCGGAGCAAATCCGCTGCCCATACCTGGTGGAGCAAATCCTCGTCCTCTTCCAGCGAACCCTGGTGGAGCCATTCCTGCTCCTCCTCGGCCTCCTCTCATTGCGTATGGTGGTGCACCACCTGGTGGACCTCCGAAACCTCTTCCTCTGCCACTGAAAATTGAAACATTCACATCAGATAAAATAACACACACAGAAAGTGGCCAACAATATGTTTCCTTGAAACTCACCTTGGCGCTCCGCCATATCCGCTGTAACCGCTGTAAAAAAATCAATTTGAAACAGAATGGAAAACTCATGACATACCCGTAGTCGTCTCCACGGCCCTGATCCTCATAATTTTGATCGTACTTGTTGTCATGATCCCCATTGTAATCGTCGTAATTTTCTTGATTTTCGTTACTCATCTGAAAATTCATAAAAACATGACAAAAATAGAAAAGAAACGTGTGAAATGAGAACGAAGTGGCTTTCGAAAGTATACACGTTGTCTAAAACAGAGATTTCGGAGAGAATAAATAATGAGGAGTTTACAGAACGAATTGTTTTTGTGTTATTTGACACGCTTAATTCGTATACGCGGAAATCGATCGCTGAAAAAGTCGATAAACCAACGTCTTATTGTGAATTGTACAAATTTTGGAAATTCTGAGCCGCGTTGCAGCACGCAACGCGCGCGTCTTTTCTGCATTAGAGCGCGTTTGAATGAACGCGTTTGCCGAACAAAGTTTTCTAAAAGGAAATTGTAAAATTTGTGTCTGAATTTTGCTTTTTTGCCTGAAGAAGTTGTATAAGTTTGACGTTTAATTTTATTCAGGCATTTCTGTGTCTCGCTCAACTAAAACCCTAGCAAAATGGTTTATTTTCAGACAATGTCCAGTGAAACACTGGAATTCACCGGATGCAACTTCTTCCGGCTCAGACTGGCGTACTCAATTCTCAGTGGACGACCCATTCGCATTGTTGACATCAGAAAAAGCGATGATCGGCCTGGAATTCGAGGTTTTTTGTGCCTTTAGTATTAGGCCTAAAAACGAATATTTACAGACTTCGAAGCTAAACTGATTGGTCTTTTAGAAAAGGTCACAAACGGCACAAAGGTTGAGATCAGTCGAACAGGTACACAAGTCATTTTCCGACCGGGAATGATCACTGGGGGAGTCGTGAACGTGGATTGCGGCATTAACAGATGCATTTCATACTTCCTCGAACCTCTCATTCTTCTTTCTCCATTCTGTAAACTTGCAATGACGATCAAATTAAAAGGTACACACCAGTCAAATCCATCTTTCTTCATAAGCATTTCAGGAGTTACAAACTCTCCTGGCGAGATCTCCGTTGACGGAATCAAAGCTGGTTGGCTCAAAGTGTACAATAAGTTCGTTTTGAATGACGAAAAGCTTGATATCAAGATTCAAGCGAGAGGACTGAAGCCGGACGGCGGTGGTGTAGTTGTGTTCACCGCTCCGATTGTCAAAACACTGCGACCAGTCAAGGTAGGCGAATAGTTAGCGGAGAGTGCAATAAACACCGTTTTCAGCGTCAACAAGCTGGAAAGGTCTGCAAGATCCGTGGACAGGCATATGTGACCAAAGTAACGCCTTCACTTGCTTATCGAATGATTGATTCTGCGAAGAAAGCGATGCACGGTTACATATCGGACGTCTTCATCGCAGTCGATCAAAGGAAAGGAGATGCGGGAGGAGTGTCGCCTGGATACGGACTGTTCTTGACCGCAGAAACAACCGAAGGAGTCATCTATCAAGCGGAAGCCCTCTCAAGACCGAAGGGAGAGGTAGGAGTTCCGATTCTTCCAGAAGACATTGGAACCGAAGCTGGACATGCCCTTCTCCAGCAGATTTACATGGGAGGAGCGCTGGACAGCAGTGCCCAAGTGCTCGCGAGCACGTTCATGACTCTGTGCCCTAAGGACGTCTCCCACTTCTTGTACGGTCCACTCCCAGTCTACAGTGTGCACGTCTTCCGTCATCTCAAGCAGTTCTTCGAGATTGAGTTCAAAATGGAAGACTGGCGCAATGTTGTGAAAGAGGAGGAAGCGGACATGCGGATCGGGAGCGCCGACAAGGTCATGATTACAGCCGTCGGAGTGGGCTACAGTAATCTGAACAAAACCATTCTTTAGACACTTCTCAATCGCTTTCTTGTTTTGTTTCTGTTACTTTTTTATTGTTATCGTTATCGTTTTTTTGTTTTTCTTCAGGAATGAACCTGAATCTCAAATTTTTTGAATTTTTATCAGAAACGTTTGTATCCTCACACAATGTTACCTATTTTTCGTAAACCGATTGTGCTAAATATTTCATTCCAGATGAAACTTTCGCTGTCACTCACAGAGCGCATGAAGAGAAGCCAGAAAAAAGCAATGGAATTCGACTTTGCGACAGTAAGTGGGGAGAAGTTTTCAAAAACTGTATTATATTATTTCAGTTGGATGGCGACTTATGCAAAACGGAGATCGTGGAGCCAGAATCGGTGAGCGCCGCGACCCCGTCTGCGGTGTCTCTTCCGTCTATTACTACCGTACTTCCATCGGACACCCATTCAATTCTTCCATCGGTTGCACCACCCGTCGCTCCGTCGAATAAGAAGCAGACTCGCTTGGAGGACTTCTTCAACAGAGGCACGGCTTCATCGAGTCGATCTCCTCATCACGGTAGACACCGCCACCACAACACTCCGAACAAGCATATCACTGCGGAGAGAGAGCGCCGAAACACGCGGACGCGTTCGACGAAACCCAAAAAAGCGGATAAGGTGCCGTCGGGAAGATCAAAACAAAAGAAGTTCATGAAAGTCCTTCATGAGATCATTTTGGAAAAGTTGAAGACAGAGAATGCGATTCCAAAGATCGCGTTCCGAAGAGTCGTCCAGCAAATAATGGAGACCAACTTTGTAAGTCTCCTATTTTTTTTGTGCACAACGCTTTTTTCCTTCGTCTGTCGGCTTTCGCACTCTCTCTTTTCAGCCGGAATACCAAATCCAGCAAGGCGCTCTCGACGCTCTCCAACTGGAGACGGAGATGATGGGAACGAAAATGTTCAAATTGAGCGGAATACTCGCGACGCACGCCAAGAGACAGACTCTCAAAAGGGACGACATTGTTCTCTTGAAAGATATTTTCGAAGTGAACAGAGACGGATGTCGCTTTGCCAGTTAATCACTCATATTCATTTCATATCACTTCACATTTACAACCATTTATCGACTTCTCACCCATCACATCACATAATCAGTTTTGAACTTTCACATTCATTTTAAACCGGTTTCCAATATGATCTGTTTGCATTCAAAGTTACGGTTCCCCTGTGTGTAATTAATAAACCTAAACGTCTAGATCGAGTTCTCAAGTTGCATGTGTGGTTGTTTTCCACTTTATACGTATTCAATCCGTTCATGAAATACATCCAACTTATTTCCAGATCTGAGAATGAGCAGTCTGATGGACGCGGAAGTCTGGGACTTCTTCTGCAAACGGCTTCCACTATCAGAAGAGGGGATTCAAGAGGAAAAAGATGCTGACTCGGAATTGGAATGGATCATTCAGGTATTCATGTCCTATAATCCAATTCTCACATTTTATTTCAGACCGAGCAAATGCAATTGAATCTGATCAGTGCGACCGTCTCTAGGTTGGAAGACACTGAAGTACTCGTGAAAATTCCCCTGATGACCAACATTTTCGAGTTGACCCTCCGGAAATCTGACGATTTTCCGAATTCACCGCCGGCTCTCCGAGCGGAATACGTCGATGGATTCGATTCATTCGCTTGGAATAAAAACTCGTCGCTCCTTGAGCTGACAGAGAAGTTCATTGATTTCTGTCGATCAGTCGACGAGGCAATTCTGGAAATCAAAGATGCGGGCACGGATGGGTTCGAAGTGACTGAAATGGGCATCGATGAGGACGAAAGCACGCATCTGATGGTGCGGATAAAGCGAACCGATACGAGGAATTTCTGCAAATGTCAATTGATATTGAAGATTTTCGAAGCTTTCCGCGCATTCTCAGGTGTTCGAATCCATCGAGAACGGCCAGTTTTGATTGTGAAAAGTGGATTAGTGACGACAAGTTGGTGACGAATTTGCGGAGGTTATTCGGAGAACTCAAGGACGAGACGGCGATTCAGATGGAGCAGACTGTCGTTATAGCTCAGAAGGATTCATTTGATGATGAAATGATGGATTTTATTTGAAAAAAAAAGATATTTAAAGAATCACTTTTCCTCGTTCATTCCTCCGTTTTCTGGTTTCACCGCCATCTAAATTTCTTCTCTACAATTCCTTTTTTCCTCATTTGAATGTTATTCAGAAGATGTCGTACACAGTCGGACCCGTACCGAAAAATGATCTCGAGAAGAAAGAAATACACTCGATTCCGTGCCGTCTCCAGTACACAGGACCCGCAGAAGTTTCCGGAAACTTCATACGAGAGCAAGTGGAAGGAGAAAAGTGCGAGCGAGGAATGTTCAGAGGGCGAGGACTAGAAGGAGCCGATTGGAAGGCTCCCGAGGGATACACAATCACAGTTCTCAAAGAGAGAAAAGGACCGAAAGGAGTGATGTTGGACATAGAGAGCCGTCCAGAGAGCATCAAAGTCTGGCAGTGGGACCGCACGTGCGGTGAGGACAATGCGGACCGAACGGCGATCGGCCGCGCGTCTGCGTATCTCCGTATTGCACAGTCCCTCGTCGACGACTAATTTCCTTCTTTTACGGTGCTCACTCACAATGATTTTTCTCACTTTTTATCGCCGATCTCTGCAATTAAACAATTCCTAACTGTATTTTGACGTATTCGAATTTTTATCTTTCGGGTTTGAACCCTTTTAGTTACATGTTCCTGCCTTTCTATCCTTTTTTAGACGACTTTCTAATCGATATTGTAACAGAATGGGTCGAGTTTTCAAAAAGAAAGTTGGTACGAAACGAGCCGTTGAACCGGAGAAAAAAGATGTTGTGGTGACGAAGAAGGCGAAGAAAGAAGAAGAGCCGGAGCCGGAACCAGTGGAAGAAGTTGAGGAAGAGGATGAAGACGTGAGCGACGAAGAAGAGGAAGAAGATAATGACGATGAAGACGTCGAAGATGAAGAGGACGGCGATGAAGAAGAGGAGGAAGACGAGATGCCGGACTTCCCGTTCAAGGGAGACCAACCGTACGATGAGGATCGGGACGGAATCGTGAACATGCTCACGCAAACCTTCCTCCGAACTGACATCGATCTGGTGGCGATGTCCGAGAAGATCATTGCTCAGTCTCCGTTTGGAATCATTGTCACGGTAAGCTAGAAATACTGGAAACATTCGCGAAGCTTGAATTGCAGCCAGACCTGGAAGAGGAAGACGTCGAAGAGGACTTCATGGTTTGCGGACTGTGCACAACTGTGCCGTTGAATGAAAAGAAGGACGATGCTCCGAAATTCGTCAAGGACATCTTCGGATATCTTCTGAATCGAGCCAAGAAAGGAGCTCCGACTGAGATCTACAAGAAAATCGAAGAGATTCAGGACGAAGGAGATGGAAAGACGGCTCTATTCATCAACGAAAGATTGCTGAATTTCAATCCGCAAGTGGTTCCCGCCACTTTCTCAGGAATACGAACGGACATCGCCGGTCTGGAGTCTCAATTCAAAACTTTGTATACATCCAAAAGTTGAGAATTGCGGAGAGCGATGGAAATGGAGACAAGGCGGGAAGCAGTTCGGGGGGAGCCGCGAAGAAGAAGGGAAAAATGGGAAAGGCCGAGAAGAAACGGGCGGCGGCGGCGGCTCTCGCGAATGCTGAGCTCGAGTTCGACAATCCGGAGGATAAGATTCTATTCGAGGTAGACCCAATGGCTTAGTTTCCATTTTTAATATCCCTTTTTCAGCTTAGCGAAGGAAAGGAAGTGCATTTCGACTATCCGGTGCATATGGACGTCGAGCCGGGAAGCAAGTTCCATATCGTCGAGAAGGGCGGCAAGAAGTGGAATCCGTTCCGTCGCGTGGTCATCATGGATGCGAAACGATTCGACGCCTTCCTGAAGAAAGGAGCCACTTGGTCGCCTGTCTGAATTCAATTGTTATCTTTATTTTTCACTGAAATTTTTGTTGCTGTTGTGTTGTCGTTTTGATATTCTAAGAAAGCCTCATATTTTTTTAAATAATTAGTGATTTTCATTATGTTCCCAATCTACGGTTCAGTTCTGTTTTTATACCGTTCACTTCTTGTTCTCATTTTTCGTTCATTCATTTATTCAGATGAGAGTGCTTACCAAACTGACAGAGGAAGAAGTGCGCAAGGAACTGTTCGGACCAATCCAGGAGGCCGCCCGTCAGCCTTATCAACTTAGTAAGCGTTGATTTTCAATGAAATGAAACAGTACGGTCCTTTCCAGACGTGGATCCCCGAAAGTCGTGGTGTGAACTGTCGGAAATGCGTCTTAGCACACTCATCTGTCAGTTCAAGCCAGTCGGAATCAACCGTCACTTCCACCTCATGGCTATCGTCGATCATATGGCGAGAATCTACGACAACGAGCATGCTCAGTCGGAGGTATTCCTGACCGGTTAGTTTTCTCGTGAAACACTTGAAGCTTTGAAATACGCAACTTTTTTCAGACGAAGATCAATGTCGTTTTCGCAACCAGCAACGCGATATGCTGATGGGGGCCTGTCCGGACGCGAAGGATCGCGTCGCTTTCGCACCGAAGTACATGTGCCGTCCGTCGCTCGAGGTGGTCGAGCAGAAGATCCGCGACTGGTTCGGAATGGAATACTGCGAGGAAAACGAGTGCTATCCGAACTCTTTCGGAACGTGCGTTGACTACGAACTACCCGATTACATCAAAAACGACACGGACGGGGTATGTTGACGCATGAAGTGGATTGTTAGCAACTGTCAAAGGATTCAGGATCTCCGCGACAGTCCAGTGGTGGCTCCGACAAGCAGCAAGAGAAGGAGAATTCCAACGCCAGAAGACTGAGACGACGGGCTTTCCCCAGACACGGCAAGAAGAAATGAAATGCGATAATACACCTAAATTTCCGTATATTTTACTTGTAAGCCTACGCGAACATCTCAATCCACTCATCCTGAACCCGTTCAGTCGATCTCCTGCCAATAAAGGTTCGAAGCGGATTTTGTGTGCATCACAAATATGTGCTCTTTCCGTATCCTCGCGCGCGGAGCCATCCAAGTTTCCAATCGATTCCCCTCCGCTTCGCTCTCTCTCTCTCTCTCTCTTTCCGCTTCCTCTCCGCTTCCTCCCCGCACCCTCTTTCTCTCATTTTCACCATTTTCTCTTATTCCGCGCCATTCTTCAAAAGATCAGGTTGCATTTTCTTCCCAATCCATTTCAACTTCATTCCCTAATAGATAATTGCCTAATTAAGCGTGGAAATCCTCTGAATATCCAGTCGAATGGCTGACGCAATAATCTGAAAAGTGCGGCGAGCGAGTGTTTTGTGTGTGTTTTCTGGCACACAAACACACAAACACTGGGAGAAAAGTATTCTGTGACCACGTGTTCATTCGGTCCCATCACGACCCACCAATTTGATGACAAATCAAAGGGGTCAGTGTGTAAATGATGACAATGACGAAAAAAAGGAAAGGGGGTAAATACGAGTATAAAGGGAAGACTGGACCCATCTAGACTCGAAAAGTGCATGAGTGGACAAATACAAAACTGAACTTTACTTATTTTCTCCGTTCTTCCACCTCTTTTTTCACTTGCTTTGCTAGGTCACCCACGGTTTTCGAAGGCTTTTGTAGCCTGAACTCGTGGCCCAATTGCAGTTGTCCTACCTAACGCTTATTATACTTGGATTGAAGAATTTTGGGTCCAAGATTCAGACCGATCGGATAAAGTACTCTGAAAATTTGTCGAAAAGAGACTGAAAAGGCCGCAAGTTTTGCAAAAACTCGGCCTTGTCGCTATTTCAATGCAAACCTAAGAAACCTGAAAAGTTTAGGTCCCGTGACGATATTGCATACTGCGCAAAAGTTCAGGGCCTAAAAAGCCTGGGTAAGCAATTTGTCCAGCCCGTCATATCGGCAGTTTTTAGACTGTTGATATTTGCGGGATTTGTCGTGACTAAGAAACATTTAATTAATGGCCCAGAAACCAGAAGGTATCAAGATCTCAACTACGGAATCCGACCCGCCTATCTCATTCCATTGTACACTTGCCCCATCCGACTACAATCCGCCGTGCTCTGACCCTTTGTAATACTGCCGATGTCTGGCTCGATCCTACTCCTCTGCTGCCAATCCGATCGCTTCTCTCTCTCTCTCTCTTCGTCTTTTCTCTCTCCGCCCGGCTGATGCAACTGTCTACGGCTTGCCGCTCAGATAACAGAAGGAAGGTAGAGGCGGGGACAGGCGTGGACACAATCGTATAAATATGCGCGGGAGCACTCTCACTGAACACTCCCCTTCTGCTCACATGTAGTTTTTGTCTTTCTTATCTATTTGAGAGATCAGATGGTGAAGTGGGAGGTGCCTTATCAGAAAAGTAATTTGAATTTGAATTCGAATTTGAAATGTGCTGACAAATATTATGGTGACGTCGTTTTGTCAATTTAGAAGCACATTCTCTATAAATAGGAACTCATCTTGTTCAATTCTCCAGTCATAGTTTTCTATGACTTCGCCCATCAACTTGATACTTCCCTTTCTGCAGACGGAAACCCTTTGGAATCTTATCAATCTCATCTTTTTCCTATCCCATTTTGCAGTAAAAACGCGTCAGAAATGTCATCATTTCCAATGATGTTTTGAACTTGAACTCTGTCTCTCTGTCGCCTGCTCTCCTCAATCGACATGTGGCCGACTGCAGACACACACGCGTGTTTCTCTGATCGAAAATGATACGGAAGTGTTATCAATTGCGAGGGCGAGTAGCAGGATTTCATCGACATCTCGCCATATTTCCCATCGTTTTTAGATGTCGCGTGGTGGGGTTTCAGCTGGATACATGTGAGAAAGGGCAGTGGGCGAACGGAGGGAAAACGTGACTGTTGGCAAGTATAGTAGAAACAGTCACGAAGTTGATCTCTAAATATCATCCATCTCTCTCTCTCTCTTCCTCTTTCTTTCTCTCTCAAATTGTTGCATGTCCAGTTCCTGATGCTTCTTCTTCTTGTTCGGCGCCTTCTTCGTTCCTGCCACTCCACGACAAGCAGGTCAGCTCCCTATTTGTTCTTGCCCCTCTCCCAGAGATGTTTGCATCCTTCTCCGTCTGCAGCCAGCCGAAGGAGGATCCTTGACCAGACACAAAATGGTTTTTTTTAACGATTTCATCGAAACCTCGCGTCTGACCCCGCCCTCAATTTCTCTAATTCTCTGACCATCTCGTCTCGTTTCAAATATATATCCTCGTCATCATTATCGTTTTCGATACATCAGTTTCTTCCGCTTGCAGTCGAACAATGGCCTCATTCCCGCACTTTGGAACCGCTGCCATCCACGTCGGACAAGAGCCCGAGCAATGGGACATGAACCAGGTGAGAGAGAGTGCAAGGAGGACATGGACTAGTGATTGGTTGGTTGCAGGTGGTCCCGCCAATCAGTCTGTCCTCCACTTACAAGCAAGACCAGCCCGGAGAGCCAAGGGACACGACTATTCGCGAGCCGGAAACCCGACCAGAGATGTTCTCCAGAAGAATCTGGCCGCCCTCGAAGACGCCAAGCACTGCCAGGTCTTCTCCTCAGGACTCGCCGCCTCCTCGGCCGTCATTAACCTTCTGAAGGTCGGAGATCACATCGTCTGCTCTGACGACGTCTACGGAGGAACCCAGAGATACATCCGCAAGGTTTCCGTTCCGAACCACGGACTCGAGGTCGATTTCGTTGATCTGACCAAGATCGAAAGACTGGAGAAAGCCATCAAGCCAACACGAAGATCATCTGGTTCGAATCGCCGTCGAACCCACTTCTGAAGGTCGTCGACATCGCGGCTGTCGTGCAGATTGCCAAGAAGCCAATCCAGAGATCTTTGTGGTTGTGGACAACACTTTCATGTCTCCGTACTTCCAAAGACCGATCTCCCTCGGCGCCGACATTGTCGTCCACTCCATCACCAAGTACATCAACGGACACTCCGACGTCGTTATGGGAGCCGTTGTCACTGACAACGACGAAGTCCAGCAGCATCTGTTCTTCATGCAGCTCGGTAAGATCCTTCCCATTTCCGTCAGGCCCCCTCATTCCGATTCTTTCAGCCGTCGGAGCCGTTCCTTCGCCATTCGACTGCTTCCTCGTCAACCGCGGACTCAAGACCCTCCACATCAGAATGAAGGCTCACTACGAGAACGCGTTGGCCATCGCCAAGTATCTGGAAGTGAATGACCGCGTCGAATCGGTGCTCTACCCGGCCCTCGAGTCGCATCCTCAACACGAAGTGCACGAGAAGCAGACGAAGGGAATGTCCGGAATGATCTCGTTTTATCTGAAGGGAGAGCTCCAGGAGAGTCGGTCCTTCCTGTCGGCACTCAAAGTTTTCACGCTCGCCGAGTCGCTCGGAGGATACGAGTCGCTCGCCGAGTTGCCGGCAATCATGACCCACGCCTCCGTGCCCGCCGAGACTCGTGCCGAACTCGGAATCACCGACAACCTCATCCGCATTTCCGTCGGAATCGAAGACCTCGACGACCTGGTCGCCGATCTGGATCAGGCCCTGAAGGTCGCCATTCCGAAGGTCTAAACTGTTTTATGCATTTTCAAACGTCAGAAAGCCGGTACTAGTTTTAAATGTCCACTTCCCTTTCCCTCACTCGTTCCTTCATTTCAGAACTCAAATTGAGTCTCTAATCGTTTCTGTTTCCTGTACTATTCGATAAAAATGTTTTATTAATGAAAAATGGCACATGAGGATAATTACACAGATGCAATATAGGAAGAACGGCTCATTCATTCTTGTCCGACTCCTGCTCTTCTTCTTGTTCTTCTTGTTCTTCTCGCTCCTGCTCATCAATCTTCTCCAGTTCGTCGATCAAATATTTCCGCAGAACACTCATTTTGTCGATTGCAATCTTTTCAGTCTTCCATGCTTCTCCAAACTTATCCTTCAAAAACAAATCATTCAAAAAAGTTTGAGCTGTCCGCTCACCATGAAATACTCGGCGGACTCTCTCATTCGGTGGCTCATGAAAACTTTTATGCGACGACGTTCCGCTTCGAAATCTCGATCACCACTGAACATTTGAAAATTGTTAATGAAAGCCAAGAACTGTGAGTCACCCTTCGACTTGGGCTCTCAGCTCGATGGCCAACTCTTTCGCATGGTCGATCACTTCATCGGGGAAAGTGGACAACTCGACGACTTCGAAGCCTCAAAACAAAAAACCTTTACTTCCTCTCAGACCTGCAAGCTTCAAAAATTTTAGATCTCTACAGTATTCCTAGTAAAAGTGGCGCGGGAGAGCGATTTTTCTCACTCTAGTCACGGTCGCAATGAGAAAGAAGGAGAGTTCAGTTGAGAAGTTGGTCTCTTTGAACGATGTCTCTTCCGTCGGACACCGCGTGCGACAGCGATTCGAGCAATGATTTCAGCGATGTTTCACTCTACTTTCTCGAGGTATTCTGATGTTTATTTGGCGTTTTGAACTTTTATTTCAATTAAGGATGAGTTTGATTCACCGCAGACTCCCTTGCCGACAAACGACTCGGCGCAGATCTCAGAGATTTCGGTCGATAAATGGGGCTTATCAGGCGATAGGGAATTCGAACTGTTGGAACTATCGACGAATACGGAAAGACCCGAGACGTCCACGTCTTCTTTGTTTTCATTTGTGACCGGCAATGAGAACATAGCGGTTTGCATTCGAATAAGACTTCATTCGCGCAATTGTGATTTTCCAGCCACCGTCGCCGTTTGCAATTCGACTACCGACATTCACTGTTTCGGAAAACTCGGGATTTTACAACTCTGAAAGTGCTTCGGATCAATTTGGCTCGTGGCTTGAGATATGCAGTCCACACGGCGGAACATTCGCGGAAGCGGCCGCAGAAGAATTGACGAAGAATCCACGAATTGTCCGCTCGGAGCCAGCATTACCGTCGTTGTTCAGACGACGTGAATACGGAGTGAGTGGAGGGAAAGGGATCATTTCGTATTCTCGAATCTTTCAGTGCGGATACTGTCGCTCGATCGGATATCGTGGATGGGAAACGCACACTCGACAGAAGTGCGCGCAGTTGAGTCGTCTGGCACCGTGCAGAGTTTGTGGAGCAACTGGACCACTGAACCACACAGAGACGTGAGTGCTCACACAAAAAATCTGTTTAAATCGTAATAATTCCTCTTCTTTTCCAGGTATTGCCCAGAAAAACCGTCGGTCGCTCTTCCGTTTCTCCAAGAATTCATAGAGGGATCGGAAGAACGCCGTCCGAGTCGCAGCCAAGGAATCTTCCACAAGTACTCGTCGCTCATTAACCTCATCTACCCGTGCCCTGACATCCAATTCTAGAGACATCTTCTCACTTTTTCCAGTTTCTATATCGGGTCCAACCCGTCTATCTATTCATCGCATCACAGATTTCTATTGAACTACACGCAAAGCACTCACTCTATTGACGCCTCCATATGCGGTTTACGGTACCTCTTTTACCGCAATAATAAATGTTTCTTACCGTACAATGGTCCTCTGTACTGCCCTCGCAACAATTTGTGCCGTTTGTAATGATTCTCGTCGACTTGGGGAAGGAAATGATAACTGAAACGGGGAAAATGATCGATAGAGGCTTCCGGAGATTCTCACTTTTCGATGGCGTAAGAGTAGTTGGCCAGTGCAGCAATATCAAGGAAATGAGTGGCTAGAAACGTGTAGCTCTGCAAAGAGAGCACCTTCTCGCAAATGGCGTACGTGATGGCGATGCCCTCCTCGGTGGAAGTGCTCCGGGCGAGCTCGTCGAGCACAACGAGCGAGTTTCTGTCAGCGTACTGCACAATCGCGGCGGCGTCAGACATCTCGGAAGCGAACGCCGATTTGTTGCGAACCAACTCATCGTTATGACCCATTCGGGAGAAAATTCGAGAGAAAACTGAAAAGTTTTGATGTTTCAAGAATCAACCAGTCCCACTTGGCATGGTGGCGTAGTCGGCGGGAATGAAGCATCCGGTCTGCGCGATTATAGCCAGTTGGGCCGCTTGTTTCAGATAAGTCGACTTTCCAGCCATATTCGGGCCCGTGATAATTCCGAAACGACGATCTCTTGTAAGACACTGAAAAAGTACGGATTTGCGTATCTAATACAAATGTTGCTTACAATATCATTTGTGACAGTCTTCTCCGAATCAGCCCAATCAAGAATCGGATGTCTTCCTTGACTGACTGAGAATGACTGTCCGAATTCAGGTCGGCACGTGTCACGAAGATCGGAATACGTGGCAAGTGAGCAAAGGAAATCGAACGTCGAGAGAGCATCCATCGCGTAGTACAGGACCGGAATCAGCGACTGCATCTGCTCGATCATATCGCACACGATGACGTCACTCGCGAGATACATTTCCGCGACGACTTGTTCCAAACGGTCTATAAATGTGCCGTTTTCAAGCAGAACGATCGACTGACTGACCATTGTATGCAATGATTTTGCGAGAGTTAAATGTGACTGTTGTGCGATTGCGGAACACTTCGAGGAAATACTGAAAGAGTTTCGGAGGTTGGCTCGACTTCAGAAGTCTTAATTACACGAGGAATAGTGATGGATTCTGCCTGCCGCGTGACAAATGTGTAGTGGAATCCACGTGACTGAGAGAACGAGAGTCGTACGGCTGGATTATTGAAAAAGTGCTCTGCGATCTCTCGGGCTCCTGCTTCTTCGACATTTTTGACGAGCTCTTCGTAAGTCTGTCGCGCCAAATCCAGACGAACAGCGACGAAATCACGAATGGCATAGCACTTGGTGTTCTGAAGATGGAGAGAGTTCTTGCGTCCGTCGAGCATCGAATCATCGACCTTCTCTAGCAGAATCTGCATTATCTCTTCGAATCGATTGTCTTTCAGAAACTGAAAGGATGCGTGCATTTTCAACTGAAAAACTTTCAAATTCAGAGCAAAACCTCAGTCTTTTCGCTCAGAATTGCCGAGGTGACACAGGCGGAATCCAGAAGAGTCCGGATGCCCTGAATGACCTTCAGAGTCTGGATCAGCTTGATTATCTGATTGATCTTCGCCTCCGACTCTTTGACCGTCCACGAGGAAGACGTTTGAATGCACATCGCAATCACTCTATCCAGCCCGTGAGCTCTCAAAAGAGCTCTTCGCAGTTTATCCTTCAGCTCGGGCTTCGCGATCAGCTCTTCGATGGCATCTTGACGGGCTCCGATCGTTGTGAGATTAGTAGAGGGCTGAAGAACATTCGAGCGAAGGAGACGGTAGCCGTTTGCCTGAAAAGTAATAAGTACTGGAACGGGAGAGGAGGAGATTCTCACAGTGACAGTGTGATTGAGTACGGACAGAAGGGTTCTTCTCTGCTTCATCTGAATCTTCCTCGCCTTCTGAAACAATCTTCGTCCTTATGAGAAGCTCGGGCACACACTCACACTCGCATCGTCCGTTTCTACAACTTCCAAACTTTCCCAAGAAACAAAGTCGATCATACACGTGTCATTTACGCCCACTTCCAGAATTCGCAACGATTTGAGTCGGAAGAAGACGTAGCGTGTCTCGTGAATGTACTTGAACAGAACGGCCAGTGCGCCGAGGGCCAGAGTCCGGCGGAAGCAGCCTTCGGATATCGAGGAAACTTCTGCGTTTATCAGTGATCGCAACTGCTTTTCTCCTCGTTCCGGCTTGAAATATCTGAAAAGCGGATCATTGTTGAGACTGAAAAGCACGCGCACTTTAGGCTGATCGACTGAAGGGAAGCCTCCGGAAACGCGGTCATTAGTGCCTCGCCGAGCAGTTTCGTACTTCCTCTCTCCTCATTTCCATTCTGAATCACTATCTGAAATCACAACCATTTTATTTCCTTTCACTTCTTTCTCGTACATCGTACGCTTCGTGCATATTGATCATTGTTTTGAGTGTCGTGTACTCCCTTGAATCCACGAATTCGCACAGATGAACCTCTGGATATCGGACGTCGTGCATCGCTATTCCGATATGTCCTTCTGCTCCTCCTCGTCCCTCCATGATCACTGAAAACAAAAGACGTCAACCAGTGCGAGGATGAATCCAAAACACCCATGACGACATCCGAATGAACTTTCCGGGCCGTCGTGTTGTTTCCAGTCGTATCGAGAAGACTCTGTCCGTTCAAACGAACCAGAGATCCCGAAAACCTTTCCTCCGATCGCGATTCCGCCTCGACTTCTTCCTGACGTTGTCGCCGAACGAAGCTCCGACTACTGTACATCTGAAAAAGAGAAAGCACGAAACAACTGTGTTACTGCTCGAATGTATCTAATTTTTGAATCGTCACTGCTTCGTTTCTACATTATCGTTCAATTAATAACAAAATTCATTTCGAGAAAACTGGGTGAACAAAAAACGAGATAGGACCGAAAAGCAGTACAATATCGCCAAAGGGGGCAATAATATGGATATAAATAATAACGAAACAAGAAAAGAAGCTGATATTATGACAATCTCCTGAATGAATTAAGCAGTCGAGGTAGATGGTGCCTCTTCGTCGGTCTTCTTCTCCGTTCCGTCTTCCGGTCTCATGGCTGGGAACAGCAAAACCTCCTTGATGTTGTTGTTGTCGGTGAGAATCATCGAGAGTCGGTCAATTCCCATTCCCCATCCTCCAGTTGGAGGCAGTCCGTACTCCAACGCATTGCAGAACGTTTCATCGATCATCTGAGCCTCATCGTCTCCTGCATCCTTGTCCTTGGCTTGTTGTTCGAAGCGCTGTCTCTGGGTGATAGGATCGTTCAACTCGGTGTAAGCATTGGCGATCTCGCGAGTCACGGCAAACAGCTCGAATCGCTCAGTGAGTCCCGGAATGGTTCGGTGCCACTTGGCGAGTGGAGACATAATTTGTGGATGTCCGATCAGGAAAGTCGGAGAAATGAAAGTGCTCTCGAGATATTCGCCGACCAGCTTGTCGAGAAGACGAGCAGTCGTACGAGGCTCCGAGCAGTCAACGTTGTTGTCACGGCACAGCTTATCGAACACTTGACGAGCTTCTGAAAAACACCAGAGATGGTCATTTATAGATCATCCTGCCTTCTCACCCTCAGTATGCAATGTGGATGGATCCGGAAGCTTAGCATTGAGTTTCTCCGCAAGACCGTCGTACATGTGCACTCTCTTGAATGGCGGAGTGAAATCGACCTCGTAGACCGGCTCAGTGTTCGGTCCATTCGGATGGTACTCGATCTTGTAGGTTCCCTTGATGGAAAGAACCATGCTGCTGAGGAGATCCTCGGTAATTTGGATCACATCCTCGTAGTCAGCGTAGGCCATGTAAAACTCGCATGTCGTGAATTCGGGGTTGTGGGTCAGATCGATACCCTCGTTACGGAAAAGACGTCCGACTTCGTATACACGGTCGATTCCTCCGACGACGAGCATTTTGTGATAGAGCTCCGGAGCAATACGGAGGAAGAGATTCATGTCGAGGTCATTGTGGTGGGTGATGAACGGCTTGGCAGTGGCTCCTCCAGCGATTTGGTTCATGATTGGAGTCTCGACCTCAAGAAATCCGAGATTGTCGAGGAAACGACGCAGGAATGTGATGATCTTGCTTCGGATGACAAAGTTGTCCTTGATGCGAGGGTTCAGAATCAGATCCAAGTAGCGTTTGCGGAACCTGAAAAATCACTCAACTACTGTTTTCGTTAGTACTCTTTACCTCAATTCCTTGTCCTTGAGTCCGAAGTGAGAATGCGGCAGCATGTGGAGGCAAGGCGTCAACTGAAGAACCTCCTTCGGGATCAGCGACAGCTCTCCGGCCTTGGTTCTCGTTGCCTGACCGGTGAATCCGACAATATCTCCGCGCTTGATGCGATCGTGAAGAGTCACGAAGTCGACGTCTCCGCTGTGGAACTTGGCGTTGGCCATGATTTGAATATGAGTTCCCTCTCCGTGAATGTCGTAGAAGACGAGTTTCGAGCCCGACTCGCGCTTCGAATGAATGCGACCAGCGACCGAAACAATCTCGTCGACAACCTGTTCTTTCTCCAAGTGCGAATACTTGTTGATGAACTCAGCCAGAGAAATTGTCACATTGAATTTGTGCGGGAACGGATTCTCTCCAGCAGCGCGGCGAGCTTCGATCATTCGAACTCTCATGTTGAAATATTCCTGAGGGTCGGACGGGTCAGCTTCACGAACGAGCTGAAGTTAATTTGAGCGTTTCAGTAGTGGTAAAATGGATTGATACCTTTGGTGCATCAGAGATTGGAACATTCTGCTTAACAGCTTCTTTCTCTAGTCGCTCTTGCTCCTTCTTGGCTTGTTTAGCCAGCCTCTTTTGTTCACTGAAAACAGTTCGTCACTTTCAGCCCGGTTCATCTTTCGGCATCGAGGACACATCGACTAACCGAGTGTTCTGGCTCAGCGATGCATAGGTTGCGAGAACCGGTGAAGACTTTCGCGACAAGAATGTAAAAGCCGATCGGCTCAACAGTGTTCTTGTCGCAATCATCATTTTCCACTTACTTCTTACTCAAAGTGGCCGCAGGTTCGCTCATTGCAATGAGACAGCAATTGAGAGTGGCTGAAAATCAATCAATTTGAAAAATCTGAACGAGAAGAATAAGGAAACAACGGCAACGTTGAGCAACGTGCGATTTTTTCTGGATGGTCCTAAATTCGTCAAAAATATGAACATAGTGGCCTAAAAATGGCATGTTTGCAATAGTAACTGCTTTTAAAACGGTCCAGTCAAATTATAAGAAAAAAAGTGAATCGAAATTGGAGCATCCGTGCTGAAAATGAGCCAGAAACGTGTTGAAATGCTCGGCCGCTCACACAAATTTTGGGCTGAATTCGAAAACTAGCGATGGAGCGCGTTTGCATTGTCAGCTGTGTTCCCTGACTTTCGGACGAACAAAACGGAAAATCAGGTAAGGAAAGGCAGTTAAACGAAGAAGGGAGGTCGAATACCAAATTCGTCCAACCGGAATATATTGGCGAAACTTTCAAAATACTCAAAACGCGCATAGTGGCAGCCGAAACAACTTGATGAAAAGTGTTGCAATATTTACGAGCACTGGCGCACAATTCTTACGGCTTTTGACTGTCTGAGGACTAATGAGTGAAGATTTATTGTAGTCTGAATTCTGTAAGGGTACGCACCTCCACGTGAAAATCTGTGATCCATCAATCAGTTGGGCTGAGCATTATGATAACGAAATCAGAAACAGTTCCGGTGATATCACTTACGATGCAACGTCTATCTCACGGAAAAGGCAGATGAAAGAATCAAGGTTTAGACTAAACCGTTTAGTATGCTTTTTATGCAAAACGTATTATGTGGAAAATTCCGAAGTTGAGCCATCAGTTCCTGATAAGTTTTCTACTCGACGGCTTCAACTGAAATGGTAGGAGACTTCAGATGATACGGTTCTGGCATAAACTTCCGGGCGAACATTGAAAAACACAATTCCCGTCACTTTCCCATCATCGTTTGATCTTGGATGTGTGATCATTGCACCCCCATCACTTGACATCATCCGAACAGTTGGCTTTTTATTGCACGTGTTTTGTCACTTTAAAATTCTATTTTTCGTACATTTGTGACGTTACTTGCGTTAGGCAACGTGTCCCTATTGTCAATAGACAAAGTTTTTCAAAGACTGCGCAGAAAAGTTGGAGCGGCGAGAGTGCAAGCGCGCTCTAATGCATTCTTCTGTGTCAGTTTGTTCGCAGCTTTTCCAGCTTCTGATTGACAACCTTCAAGGGGTCTGAAAATTGATAATACAATTTCGAATAACATTAAAATTTGTTTCATCGTCATCTATCTACTACTTGTACCCCTTTTCTCTCGAATAGGCAACACATTATTTAAGAATGCTCTCTTCTTCGGGACACGCTCTCCGTCGTGGTTTCGCCACTTCCGCCGCCCTTTCCAACAAAGATGCCTTCATCGTCAGTGCCGCCCGTACCCCAATCGGATCATTCCGCTCTTCTCTGGCTTCTGTTACGGCCACTGAACTCGGATCTGTTGCCATAAAAGCGGCGCTCGAGCGAGGATCGGTGAAGCCGAATGCCGTGCAGGAGGTAAGACTGATAATGCGATTAGATTTATAATCACTCATCAATGACGATTTCCACATTATTCTTTGTGAATGTCTTTTCCAGGTGTTCCTCGGACAGGTCTGTCAGGCCAACGTCGGACAGGCTCCCGCCCGCCAAGCTGCTCTCGGAGCAGGCCTCGATCTGTCTGTCGCCGTCACCACCGTCAACAAGGTGTGTTCTTCTGGACTAAAGGCCATCATTCTGGCTGCCCAACAAATTCAAACCGGACACCAAGATCTTGTCATCGGAGGAGGAATGGAGAGCATGTCCCAAGTGCCGCTTTATGTGCCTCGTGGAGAAGTTCCATACGGTGGTTTCCAAGTAATTGTAAGTTAAATTTTGTGAATTTCAATATCTGAACTATGCTGTTTTCAGGATGGAATCGTCAAGGACGGGCTTACTGATGCATACGATAAGGTTCACATGGGAAATTGCGGAGAGAAGACGGCGAAAGAAATGGGAATCACTCGCAAGGACCAGGACGATTACGCAGTCAACAGCTACAAAAAGTCGGCGAAAGCATGGAAGGTTCATCAGCTGAATGTTCTCTGTGCATTACTACTGATAAGGTGTTGTTTAGGACGGAAACATCGGACCAGAAGTGGTGCCAGTGAATGTGAAATCAAAGAAGGGAGTCACGATTGTCGATAAGGACGAGGAGTTTACGAAAGTGAATTTCGACAAGTTCACTACACTACGAACTGTCTTCCAGAAGGGTTTCACATGAATCCATTGACTGTTCCGTGAATTAATTGTTTCAGATGGAACCATCACTGCTGCCAACGCCTCCACCCTCAATGACGGAGCCGCCGCCGTTGTCATCGCTTCGCAAGACGCCGTTTCATCGCAGAATCTGAAACCACTGGCCCGCATCCTCGCCTACGGAGACGCAGCCACTCATCCTCTCGATTTCGCCGTCGCTCCAACGCTGATGTTCCCAAAGATTCTGGAGAGAGCAGGAGTGAAGCAGGCCGATGTCGCTCATTGGGAAGTCAACGAGGCATTCTCGTGTGTTCCGCTCGCATTCATCAAGAAGCTCGGAGTAGACCCGGCGCTTGTCAACCCGCACGGAGGAGCAGTTTCCATCGGTCACCCCATCGGGTATGTTGCCATATCAGTTGGCCGTTCTTTCCGCCTTTCTCTTATCACCGCACGTATTGATTATCTTCCAGAATGTCCGGTGCCCGCCTTATCACTCATCTCGTTCATTCCCTCAAGAGCGGCCAGGTCGGAGTGGCCGCCATCTGCAACGGAGGTGGAGGCTCCAGCGGAATGGTCATTCAGAAGCTATGAACGACGAACTGAATATTTTTTAGCTTCTTCTTACGTAGTCCTTTCATTAGTTGTATTTATATTCCCATCGCTCATATCACGTTTCCGGTAAATAGTTGTAATTTCATTTTTTTTTTTTTTTCTCTTCTGGTTGTCTCTTCACTGGGTTACTTTCCGACCGGTTTTCTTCTACACGTTTCTTGGCAATTTTCAACAAACATTTGTTCAGACTCTTCCAAAAATGCCCGAGAAGAAAATTTACATCTTGAGCGGAGCTCGCACTCCGATCGCCTCATTCCGCGGATCGTTCGCCAACTTCGGAGCCGTTGAGTTAGGAGCGCTTGCCGCGAAAGCAGCCATTTCCCGATCAGGCATGTTCATAACCTAGTTTCCCACTTTCTGACAGTACTTTTATAGGAGTAGCTCCAGAAAAGATCGAAGAAGTCATCGGAGGATGCGTCCTTTCTGCAGGGCTCGGTCAGAATGTGACCCGACAGGTCGCGTTGGCTGCCGGACTTCCAGTTGCCACGCAGGCGGTTACCATCAACAAAGTGTGCTCTTCGTCCATGAAGGCCCTCGTTCTGGCCGCAGTAGAGATCAAGGCCGGCTACTACGACACCATTTTGGTGGTAGGAACCGAGAACATGAGCCAAGTGCCATTCTACCTGCCACGAGGAGAGATTCCATTCGGGGGAATCAAAACGACCGACGGAATTGCAAAGGACGGACTGGAAGATATCAAAGAGAAGCAGCCGATGGGATTATGCGCCGAGAAGACGGCGAAGGACTACGGAATAACGAGGGAAGAGCAAGACGCGTACGCCATTGAGAGCTACAAGAAGGCGTCGGTTGCATGGAGCACGGGAAGATTCGCTGAGGAAGTGGTGCCAGTTACCGTCAAAACTGCTCGCTCCGAAGTGGTTGTGGCTGAGGATGAAGAGTACAAGAAGCTGATCGAGTCGAAGGTTTCCTCCTTGAAGCCAGTGTTCGTTCGCGATGGATCAGGCACCATCACTCCTGCCAACGCTTCTTCCCTCAATGACGGAGCCGTCGCTGCTGTCGTCGTCGGAGAGAACTCGATCCCTCAAGGAGTGCAACCACTTGCCGAGCTCGTCGCTTTCGCGGAAGCCGGTAGAGATCCGATCGACTTCACTGTTGCTCCGGTTGATGCTGTTCGGAAGCTCCTCCAGAAGAGTGGACTCAAGGTTTCGGATATTGCCCTCTGGGAGTTGAATGAAGCTTTCGCAGTGACTGCTCTCGCTTTCATCAAGGAGCTGCAGATCGACCCGACGGTTTTGAATGTGAAGGGAGGAGCAGTTGCCATTGGACATCCGCTTGGGTGAGTTCGACGTCCCTCTTCTCCATATAATGCATGCATTTCAGAATGTCTGGTCTCCGAATCGTCAATTCGCTGGCCTACTCCCTGAATGCCGGACAATTCGGAGTGGCTGCCATCTGCAACGGAGGAGGTGAAGCGACGACCGTGCTGATCAGAAGATTATGAAAGACAGTGATAGAATAGGCTGACTTTTCCGCCGAATCCGGGCTCATCAATCATTCCTTTACTATTTTCTTACATATTCGTATACCCCTGTAATTTTTCAGTTCTGTTCCATAAATGTTTTTTTCAGTTCAGTATTCAGAATGTAGAATATAGTTGGACTACATTTTTTCAAGTTCTTCAAGTTCTCAGGTAAAATTTCAAACTTTCCTACACGTTTATTCTGCTTTTTCGCGTGGTGTCACATGGTGCTTCATTTGCAGATCGTAACCTGTGCCTCGTCAAAAAAAAACACTCGCGTGAACAAGAATGGGGCCATCTTACTTGTTGATAAAATCAGTGGAAGATGGGTTTCTTATTTATTTCTAGCAATATTCGTTCAAGCGGAAGAATCTTTAATGACAGAAGGTGAGGTCGCGTCTTTCGTCGGCTGAAAACGAGACATTCGTAGTGAAACACATAGATAACGGAACGGTTGAGTTGCCAAAAGGAAAAGTGGTCGGATGCACGTGGCAAGTGGTTCGGAAGCTCGGCGAGGGCGGATGCGGCAGCGTTTATTTGGTGCGGAACCTTGAAGACGATACGGAAGCGGCGATGAAGGCGGAGTCGAACAATGCGACCGGCGGATGCGTGCTCAAACTGGAAGTGGCCATTCTCAAGAGACTTTCCGGACGGCCACATGTGGCACAGTTTCTGTTCGCGGCCAGACTCACAGACTTCAGCTACGTCATCATGACTGTTCTGGGAGAGAGTTTGCAGAAAATAGTCAAGTGAAAAAGGTCCAAGTACACCCGGAACGCTTTCTGATTGCAGGAGAATGGGACGACAGATCACAGTGTCTTCGCAAGTGAGAATCGCCGCGAACGTGCTCTTCTGTCTCAAGCAGATCCACGACATCGGCTTCATCCATCGGGATTTGAAGCCTGCCAACATGGCGCTCGGATACAAAATGAACACGGACGAGTGCCGTTTCTTCCACATTCTCGACTTCGGACTCGCTCGGCAATTCGTCGTCTCACAATCCGATGAGCCGAGCAAACTGATGATGAGAAGACCGAGGGAAAGGTCTCTTTTCAGGTTGAACTGTATTTCCAGACTAAAGAGAAGTGATGAGCTGATTGCAGAGGAACAACTCGTTACTGCTCGATACGGATGCATGACCGCGCGGAGCAGGGAAGAGTCGACGACCTTTGGAGCATGATTTACTTGCTCGCGGAGTTGAGAGGGCCGCTCCCATGGGCATCTCAAGGGTTCGCAGACGGAAGCAGTTCAATGTCGCATCATTTGTTTTCAGGGACAAGCGAGTGGTTGGCGAGATGAAGAGACTGCACTCTGACGAAGTCGTCCTTCAGAACAGCCCAATGGAATTCCTCGAAATCGCCAAACATTTGAGGTTACAGTAGCTCGTGTATACTTCTGTATTTGTTTGGTTTCAGATGCTTGACCTATTTCCATAGACCCGATTACCACAAGATCTACATGTTGTTGATGTCAGTTATGGAGAAGGGAAAGTTCACGTGGAGCGATCCGTTCGATTGGGAGATGCCGTTAGAGCCGTTTGAGTGGATCCATCTAATCTTCCCTCATTTCAGAGCTCTCAACCCGACTTCGAAGAGTACCTCGGCCTCTCCGGTTCAATTGAGTCGAGAAGTGGTCAAAAAGACGCAGAGTCGGGAGACGGACAAGCTGAGCAAGGAGAATCCGAGTAAGGAAGACGTGAGGACGGCGAAGACTATGAGCAAGGAGAAGCTGAGCAGGGAGAATCTCAGCAAAGAGCGGACGAGCAAGGAGAGTGTGAACGGCTCGGCGGAGATCGTCAACGGATCGGCGGAGAGGGCGGAGGAGGAGCAGAAGCGAGAGAAGTACATGAAGATTCTGCCGTTCGATCCTGATTTCTTCGCTTTGGATCCCATCGGATTCTGAATAAAGCTTAATCTCTCATTTTCTATCGAAACGGGTACAATCTACTATCTATGTTCTCTTTTTCCTGTTGTCCTTTTTTCATATAAATCTCACGTTTAGATTCTCAACTGAAGGTACCTTGTTCGGGAACCAAGACACGAAGAAGAAGTACGGGGATCATGACAGTGAATCCGCGGGACGAAGTGATGGTTTTCGGGATGGGAACGACGATGAACGGGTCATACAAATGAATCAGTTTATTTGAAATCAGGCGTCACTTACCCGAATTCCTTACCCGAATTCATCAGTTCTCGTTCTGTGCTACACCGTTGGGCAACGCTCATGTTGCAACTGCCCCTTTGGGAGTGGTGAACTCCAGTGGCAGTGCAAAATGCTACAAAGCTTGACCATCAGACCTTTGCACTGTGTGTTGGCAATGAGCATCAATAACCGGAGGGTGCATTAGCTTTGTGTGTGTTTGTGTGCCAATCGTTTTCAAAGAGTTCAAGAACTATATGTAGTCTGATCTTCTCAAATGACCTCCAGTCTTCCGCTTTCATTCCTCAAGTCGATTTGGCTTCTCATTTTCGTATGCATTCTCACAAATGCACGCCGCCCTGCTCCGTCTCCATAGCAACCTAGCTCTCTCTCTCTCTCTCTCTCTCTCTCTCTCTCTCTCTCTCTCTCTCTCTCTCCTCCCCCCTTCCTCCTAATGCTCTTTTCGCTTTCCCGTCATCGTTTTCTTTCAATGCGTTTCTAATCATGTCAACTGAAGGTCTCATGTCCGGGAAACAAGCGAAAGAGCACTCGGAACTGCTGCTGAACAAGGAGTTTCGAGCGGTCTACCGTAGAATAATGGGCGATACGAAGGAGAAAGTGAACATTCGACAGGCGTATACGGTCAGTTCTTTTGAGAGTTTTCATGAAAGAGCATCTTGCAGATTCTGAACTGTTCTGGCAAAAATGTGAGATCGGATCAGTTGAATGAGCAATGGAAGTATTTGGAGGGTAAGTAAGGGAGATTGAGTGGAGGAAGAGAAAGAAAAAGTTAAGAGAAGATTGGAGTGGATAGACTTTTCGATATTTACAAGAAGATTGCGGACATGGACTATGAAGGTGTAGAGTATGAAAGAGCAACACGGACGAAGAATATGACGGTGTCCAATATTATGAACTCGCTCGTTAGTTTTCCCAAATCAGAAATATACAAAAGTACAGCTGCAGAAGGAAGGAACACTCGTCAACAAACAATATCTGGAATACGTGCTGCAAGACTTTGTCACCGAAGAGGGATTCGTGAACATTCCGTCGCTTCTGGATGTAGTTTCCCAGTCGAAAGATGACATTGTGAAGAAGTTGCTGAGTCCTTCGGTGCAAGAGAACGAAGTGGAATTCAAAGTGAGCATTCAGAAGAAGAGCACATCTTGAATGCCGAATCATTTTCAGTTGAAAGTTCGCGGATGCATCACTATCGAGCCCGTTATTCAGAGCATTGCGTTCACAATCGATATCGATCAGCCCACTTTCTGTGAAATTACTCTCAAATTGGCGGAAAACAGTAAGTTCGCTCTTCTCAGGGTCTCCCTGACCGTATTTTTCTTAAGGTGACGTTCCGCAAGACATGTTCGACAATGATTTGTTCCTGGTTGTTTATAATCAGAAGGAAGAGTTCGTGGGATTGACACGACACGTTTCGGAAGAGAAGACGTACAGCACAGGGATGATGACTGTGAATCCGGGCGATGAAGTGATGGTCTTCGGGATGGGAACGACGATGAAACGGAAGACGTCGGCGGTGGAAAAAGCAGAGCTCGTGGGCGAGAACAACAAATTGAGCAAGAAGTTCCAGTGAGTCGAATCTCCCGGCGAACGTATCTGACGCTTCTTACAGATGCACATTAATGAACATATTCGACTCGTACGACGTGGACCAGGACGGATTTCTGAACTTTGAAGAGATGAATTTTTACACAACGGCGAGTGAAGACACGAAACTGAAGAAGGAGGACTGGGACCTCTATCTGAGCAACTTTGATCATCGGGACGGCAAGCTGACCATGAAGGGATTCATACAGATCCACGAGATGGAGGCGATGGACCAGGAGGGGAACACCATCCAGGACCTGTGGACGTCCCTCAAGAACCTCGGCTACGACTCTCAGTTGCGTTCTTCGTTCGGATGCTCGTACGATGTGGAAGTGCACACGAGCAGGCCGATCCGATTGATTCCGCGATTGCAGAGAGTTGTCAAGGAGCACAGATCATTGTCAGTTTCCATTTGAAACTAAAAATAATTGAAATATTTCAGTATTCTGGAGAACTTTTACCGTTTGGGAGAGGAAGACACTCGGTTTGAAATTCGTCCGCGGCTATTCAAAACCGATTATTTCGGCATTCTGATAGCGAAAAGAGAAGAGCGGAATGCGAATGAGACGTACAGAATAATGCTCACTTCGAGCGAGCACATCAAAATAAACTTTCCGCATAAAATAAAAGAGGACATCAAGTTTCAGGACTCGGACAGCGAATGGGTAAGAACGGCGGAGAGCACTCACAAGAATGTGCTCCTTCCAGGTGCTGCTCGCTTCGTACACGATCACAGACCCTGAGGCTCAAATCGATTACACTTTGCACCGAGTTCAGAGCAAATCTTCGTCTCCGTCACTGCTCAGAGCTTGACCTCTTCATTACATCTGATAATTTGAATAAAACTTGAAAACGTATTTTGCGAATTATATGAGCAGAAGAAGGCAGAAGAAGAGAACGCCGTGGCGATCTCACGCGTTTTCTCATTCGTACGATTGATAAATCAATACGTGTTGGGTTCAGGCCCACAATTATATATTTTTTGACCTACCGTATCTTTTGATCTACAACTACCCGCACCCCGCGAAATATTATATTTATCTTTTATCCACATGTTCCCCTAGCGATATTCCACCCAGAGGTTATTCTTATTCTCTCTCCTGAATAAACCCCTGCTACGAACTCTCTCGACTCCCACAACCACAACAACTGGCGATCAGGATTTTCGTTATTCTGCTGACTTGGAAAAGTGCTCGTTTCTGTAAGAAGAAATCGAATTTCTTGGTTTCATCATCAATGCTCAAGGACGTCGCCCGGATCCTGAGAAGATCAAAGCCATCAATGAAATGCCAGCTCCACAGGATGTATCGCAACTTCGCTCATTCCTTGGTCTCGTGCAATTCTATGGTCAATTCGTGAAACAGCTTCACAACTTTCGTGCTCCGTTGAACAAACTCACCGTCAAGGACTCGAAGTTCAACTGGACAAGTTCGTGCCAAACCGCCTTCGATCAGATCAAGGATGTACTTCGCTCGGAACTTCTGCTGACACATTTCGATCCATCTCTACCCATCATCGTTGCCGTCGACGCTTCGCAGTATGGAATTGGCGCAGTCATCACTCATCGTCTGCCGGATGGATCTGAAAAAGCAATCGCCCACGCAAGCCGATCGCTAACAACCGCTCAAAGAAACTATGGACAGATTGAGAAAGAGGGACTGGCTCTTATCTTCGCCGTTCAAAAGTTCCACCGCTACATCCATGGTCGACGTTTCACTCTACGCACGGATCACAAGCCGCTTCTGGCCATCTCCGGTTCCAAGAAAGGTGTTCCCGTCTACAGTGCAAACCGTCTCCAACGCTGGGCAACAACTCTTCTCAACTACAATTTCTCGATCGAGTACATCAACACCAAGGACTTCGGACAAGCCGATGCACTCTCGCGTCTCATCTCCATCCACGTCAACCAAATGGAATCGGAAGATCGTGTCATCGCATCAATTGAAGCCGACATTGCAGCTGAATACCTCTGGTAAATGGATTGCGATTTAATTAGAACTCATTCACATCTAATTTAAGGTCTGTTACCGCCTAACATGTCATTATTAGATGTGAAAATCTCCTAATTAGATGTGAAAAGTCCAACTTCTAATTAGATTCGAATTTCTGTTTTCACATCTAATTAGATTCAAATTAAACCTGAAAAACTTCTAACTAGATCTGAAAATCATGCTTTCTTGAATTAGATGTGAATGAGTTCTAATTAAATCGCAATCCATTTACCAGAGACCGCCAACTGTCGCAATCTGCCCATCACATCCGAAGTCATTCGTCAAGCAACATCAGCGGATCCTATTCTCAAGGACGTCATCAGTCAGGTCAGGAATGGTTCGTGGAAGAAAATCAGTCAATCGTCACCGCACTGGATCTTCTATTCACGCAAGGCAACCTCAACATCACCAACGACTTTCTGATGTTTGCTCATCGTATCGTCATCCCGGATTGTCTCCGAAAGAAAGTTCTCCAAACGCTTCACAAAGCACATCCTGGAATGGACCGTATGAAACGACTTGCACGCAGCTTTGTCTACTGGCCGAATCTCGACAAAGACATCGAATCACTTGTTCGGAATTGTTCGAATTGCCAAGCCGCTGCGAAGAATCCAACAAAGGCTCATCTCGAATCATGGCCAATCGCTACCGCTCCCTGGACTCGTGTTCATATTGACTATGCTGGACCAATCGATGGAATCTACTTTCTCGTCGTCGTCGATGCATATTCCAAATGGTCGGAAATTGTCGCAACTTCTTCAATCACCAGCACAGCTACAATCAACTTGCTCATGAAGATCTTCGCTCAATTTGGTAATCCGGAAACATTGGTCAGTGACAATGGTACGCAGTTCTCATCATCGTCATTCGACAACTTCTGCAAATCTCGTGGTATCACTCATCTTCATTCTCCGCCGTTTCATCCTCAGTCGAATGGTCAAGCTGAACGTTTTGTCGACACCTTCAAACGTGCTCTCGTCAAACTGAAAGGGGAGGAAGATACTACTACTGCAATTCAAACGTTTCTACAAGCATATCGATCGACATCATCTGCAAGCAGCCCGGATAACAAGTCGCCAGCCGAAAACTTCATTGGACGCAAAATCCGAACTGTCTTGGATCTCCTCATGCCTTCTGTCAACACACAATCGTCTCGTCATCGTCATGATATGGAATCGCAATTCAACGCTCATCACGGAACCAAGGATCGGCGATTCGCCGCCAAGTCTGCCGTCTTCGTCAAGGACTACCGTCAATCGAAACCTACTTGGACTCCTGGAATCGTCATTCGTCGTACTGGAACCGTCACATATCTCGTCAAGTGCAATGGACTCGTCTGGACTCGTCATGCAAATCAACTTCTTCGCCGGGATCATCATCGCCATCAAGCCGACTCTCTTCTCGACATCTTCAAATTGCCATCACTGCCACTTCTCGTCGATCAACAACCACATGCCGTCAACCAACCTTTGCTCAGATCATCGCCGATCGCCATCGCCGATCGTGCCGAATGCTGTATCCAACAATGCTACTACAACGCCGCCGATTCGCCGTTCATCTCGCATGCGCAAACAAACGACACAGTTGGATATGGTGCCGTCGAAGAAATCTTACTCTAAATAGTATCCTATTAGGGGAGGTGTTGGGTTCAGGCCCACAATTATATATTTTTTGACCTACCGTATCTTTTGAACTACAACTACCCGCACCCCGCGAAATATTATATTTATCTTTTATCCACATGTTCCCCTAGCGATATTCCACCCAGAGGTTATTCTTATTCTCTCTCCTGAATAAACCCCTGCTACGAACTCTCTCGACTCCCACAACCACAACAATACGTGTTCCTAATGACTGCAATTTTTAATTCACAAAGTTTCCTTTTTTGAAATGAAATACTCCACGGAGAACAGGGCAATCTCAAAAATACTGATAAAACAGTTATCTTTGAGGAGAGCTTCTTCGACGAATGAGGTATTTGAAGACAGATGATGAATTGGAATGAGCGAAGGGAAGGTCAGGTTCAGCGTGTTGGGTGCCAGAATTGTTCGAGATGCTCCACGTTTTTTCGGTAGCACTTTTCTCCGTAGCTGAAAGTAGATTTAGAACGAGGGGAGGCAAACTTCTTCGAATAATGGTCCATGCCATTCCCTTCTACATGTTCTTTTCTTACCGGCACGCCTCCATATCAGGCGGGCATTCCTCCTTTTTCATGATGTTCCCGTCGTTGCCACGTGGACGAGTTCTTGTCCCTTTCGCGGCCTTCTTCGGAGAATTCTCTTTGAACGAGTTCACCTCGTCCTCCTCCTCGTCCGATGAGATCTCGGACACTTCATCCGAATCCGATCCACTGACGTCTTCCTCTCCGTCCGTTTCGCTGTCCGATCCGTGATCCTCTTCAGATTCAGAATCCGACACTTGAACATCACTGAAAAGGAAAGAAAGAATGGCAAGGCGTGGGAAGAAGTAGAAAAAGAAGACGTTCACATCGGGCACAAAGGAAGATTTTGTAAGCTACAAACTTTATTACGCTCATTATTGCACTGTATAAAAGGGGGGGAGGGCATTTGTTTACCTCTCCTCGTCATCTTCAGAATCTTCCTCATCGTTTCTTTTCGATTTCTTCGCTTTCGGCTCCTCAGTCTTCTTTCTCAAACCGCCGCTCTTTTTCTCTTCGAATCCGTTGTCATAATACCTGAATCATTAGTTCCACTTCCTGTTTCTCTCCCCCTCATTCCACCCACTTCTCCACCACTTTGTCCAGTCCTTGCTCGTCAAACACTTTCGGCGCCTTCGCATTCACTCCCTTCAGAATAGTCTTTGCATCGGCTTCAATGTCCAAATCCTTACGAATCAGCCGAATCAGATGCTCCAGCTCGTCGTGCCTCATTCGTTTTGCCACGAATTTGAAGTGGTTCAAACGGGCGTCGTCGTCCTCCAATTCGGTTAGTCTTCCGAGCCATCTGTCCACTTTCTGCATGCTCCATCCGCTCTTCTCGTTCTTCACTTTCTTTTCAAGCGCATGCCCAATGGACAGTGCCACGTCACCACTCTTCGTCACGTACTTCTGAATCTTTGCCTCGTCTGTGTCGAGAATCTGAAGACATAGAAATGAGCACAGAAACAATTCGTACTGGAGAAACCTTTGAGAAGTACTTGACGAGTTGCTCGTCAGTCACATTGTACTCGCGAGCATCCGAAGAGCGGATGAGGAATCCGAGCCAGAGAAGAAGATCTCCGTCGAAGTTTTCTGGAAGGACTGGGATATTGGAGTGACGGTTCAACAACGTACTTTTCTGAAGGATCGAACTGATGGCCGTCGACTTCTCCGAGTTTCCGGACAGCTCCTTGAGCACTCCGCACACTTGCACAAACTGAAATTGGTTTCAGTCACTTCAATTCAATATTGTGCTCACCTTGTGGAAAGAGTTGTAGGCGGATTCCTCGTTGAACTCGGTAGGTCTCGTGCTTTTCTTCGGAGCCTCCTCGTTCTTTCTCTTTCTCGAGGGAGTCGCTTCGGCCGTCCCCTCAGATCCTTCTTCCTTCTTCGTCGCTGCGGGTTTCTTCGGAGTCTTCGCTTCGACTGGTCCATCTTTGCTTCTCTTCTCCGTCAATTCGTTGACCAACTTCTTGATTTCGTCCTGATCCTCCGCACTCAGATCCTCAAACCCTTCCACTTCCTCGATGTCATCAATCACTTTCGTGGTCGGCCTCGCCTTGAAAAGCATTTCAAAAAGGCAGTTCTTGTGGAAGTATTGTTTCATGTCCGGCGGCGGTTTGCTCGGATCCTTGGCGGCTATGAAGAAGTTCGGAACGATCTTTCCCATTCGGAGAGCTCCCTTCTCCAGCTGCATCTTGCATTTCTGGCACTTGGCCACTCTCTTTCCGTAGTCCGAGCAGAATCTCGTTGGAACACTTGTCATCTGAATCACACAGTTTAGTATGGGAGTAAGTAGGTAAGTAAGTAAAGATGGCACAAGATTCGATATTGTTAGTTCGATAAACTTAAGATTAACGAGTGAAATCATGGAAGAGAGTAAATGAACAGTTTTATTGAGCCCGTTGTGTTTTTAATTTATGGCTAGAATGGCTAGAATCAAAATGATACAAGAAGTAGTAAGTAACTAACGGCTAATTACATAATCTGGTTAATGGGTGCGTGACGTGGCAAACGAGCCATTTTAATGAGTATTACCGACTAGTACGCGCGCAAATTCACAGAATTCTCAATGGAGCGAAAAAGAGATGTGAGGCAGCATAGTGGGAGAAAGAGAAAATGAATGCCTATGGGAAGAGAAGATATTACAGAGGGAAAGAGAGAATTAGACACCGAAGAAAGTACGGATCATGGTTTCGGCGGCCAGTCCTGGGGTGATCTTTCCGTTTTTGATATCTTGTTCCAGCAGTGGAGCCTGGAAAGGGAGCACATTTTTCATGATAATCAGACAATATTCGTGTTTACCAAGTGAGCAATCTTCGGATGCTTTTGGAAAACGGCCATGATCTCGTCCTTCACATGGTTCCACATCCACTTCTTCATCTGATCCTGTCGTCGTTTCTCCAGATCTCCTGACTCTCCGATCGTGTCCCAGAACTCGTAAAAGGTGGAGCACACTTCGGAGACGGAATGCTTGTCCATAATGGACGATCGCATCACTTTCGGCCGCCACACATCCAATCGGGGGCGCATGAACTTCAGTGCGGAGATGTATTCGGCCTGTGTCATTTTCGCTTTCGCCTTCAGATCCCCGTCGTCCTTCGTCACCACGAGCAGGTCGCTCATTTCCATTATTCCTCTTTTCACTCCTTGCAATTCGTCTCCATGCGCCGGCGAGAGCAGCAGACACATCATATCGCACATGTCTGAGACGGAGGTCTCCGATTGGCCCACTCCGACCGTTTCAATGATCACAATGTCGTAGCCGGCGCCTTCGCAAAGAATGACTGCTTCGTGTATTCCACGAGTCACTCCGCCGAGAGATCCAGAAGTCGGAGACTGGCGGATGTATGCCATTGGATTACGGGACAACTCCTGCATTCGGGTCAAGTCGCCGAGTACAGATCCTCCAGTCACGGCACTCGTCGGGTCGATCGTCAGAACGGCCACTTTCTTGCCTCGGTTCTCAGTGAGTTCCGACCCGAGTGCTTCGATGAACGACGACTTACCGACTCCCGGACTGCCAGAGATTCCAACGCGGAAGATCATCGAGTCTCTCCCGTACTTCTTGTATTGCGCTCGTTCCTCATCCAAAACCATCTTCAGCAGCGCATTTCCTTGTGCTCGCTTCGTTGGATTTCTCGATTCAACAAGGGTGATTGCAGACGCGAGAGCCGCCCGACTGCCGCTCATCAGATTATGGAAGATTCGCTGAACAGTGGGGTCTTCGTAAGTGACGGAATCGTCCCAGTGAATACGAGAGTACTGCTCCAGAAGGCTCTCGAACGGCGCCGACTTCTGCACTCCCCCGACTGATGGGATGTAGGCCGAGGCGGCTGACAGGGAAGAACTTCTGAAAAGGGAATTCGTGATGACAATTGGGTAGAGCAGCGACTCGCCTGATTCCAACGGAAGGAAACCTTCCCACTCGGAGAAGAGCCCGGACTACCATCTGTAAAAACTTTTTGGAAACGAAAAAGGTAACAAAAACAAATAAGAACGTGTTGAGTGACACGATAAAATGATTAGAAAGTTGCAGAAAAAGTTAGTAAACTGATGCATTTATTCCGTTTAGACCAATTTTTGGCTCTTACAAGGAATATTTTGTGCGGAACCCTAGAGGTACAATAGAATTGGAGGGGAAAAGAATGAAGAGATCTTCGATTGCACAAAAATATATAGATTCGGATTTACAGGTTAGTTATCATGGTGGATGGGTTAAAAAAAGAGTGACAAGGAAGATATTTAGGGAACTCGTTTCAATCAAATGATGATTAGGAACTATCAATTAGTTTTTACAGCTTAATCGGGCTAGAATCGGGGGATTTTGAAATTCTGAATAAATCTACGATATAAAACATTTTGGAGGAACAATGAAAGAACGGAATCACTTGAGCTCATCGACTCCGCGGGTTTCCAAAAGCAATTTGTCCCAATCGATGTTGGCTCGGAAGACTTCTTGCTCCAGCCACGCCTCGTAGTTCTGTTTGAATCTATTTGAAAATTGTGGATTGGCTCCGAGCACCGAGTGAGCACACGTGTCGACAGGATCGAAGTCACGCATATCCACGCGGTTGAGGTAGTCGTCTCCGGGCATCGGAGCATCGTTAACTTCTGCAAAAAGGTACTTGAAACTCACGATTTTTTGAATAGAGTGCAAACCTATGGCAAACAGAGGATAGAGGCGCGAGTATCTTCTGCTGTGGAACCGTTCGATGCTCGCCTTGATCAGACTGTCCTCCTTCTGATAATCGCACTTCCGTTTGATATCCGATGCAAACGCCCAATCGTCAGTCATCCTATGACGAACTTTTGAATAAATGGCCGATATGATGTCCATATTGCTCTTCCGCCACTGCCGTCCCAAGTACCGCGATTGCATTTTTATCGCTTTCAGCACGTACAATTGTAGTATCGAAACGCGCACTTTGAACAGCCGCTTCAGAACTGGCGCTGATTTGAACACCATCAGCATTTTGACTCGGTCATTCTTCGCCTTCACCAATTTATTGAGCAGTCGGATGAGATTGACGGCGAAGAAGACGTTGCGCCACATGAAATAGGGACCTGCGTACGGAGGACGTGGCTCTTCAATGTTGTCCTGCGTGAGAATTGGCCATTCTTCTGAAAATCACGTAATGAGAGAAGAACGAAGTTTCTCATGAATCTCACCATTGTTCCTAACATAATGATACAGGCATTGCGGATAATTGTAGGCATAGATTTCGTGTCTCGATTGGATTAACTTGTTGGTATTCTGAAAACAAAAACAATTTTTATAAAGAGGAAAATCACGTCAGAAATGGGTTGACCAGTGAAGAATGCACGTATCTTTCACATGCCAATCTTGAATGAGCGACGACGCAGAGAAAAAGAAACAAGGGGAGGAGTGAGCGACATTTGAACTTTGGTGAGACGAGATCGCTTTTGGAACTTTCTTGCAAAAGAGCAACAGGTGGTCGGAAATGGAGCATTACCTGATCGAGGAACTTCAGAATCAATGGGATTCCGTTGACATAGACTATCTGCTGACAGATGTACTCGAATTGATAGACATGGTTCAGCTTGAAGTGCTTGACGAGCAGCAGAAGGATGGCAGACAGACTTTTCACGATAATCTCTTTGTGACGATTGATATCAATCGCGAGTCGGAATCCTTCTTCCAGCGGAGACGACGTCGAATTATCAAGAGAAATCGAGTTGGAAAGTATGTCGGAGGCTTCCATTTCGGGGGTCAAACAGTCGATGAGCACGTTCAGTCCTTCGTGACGGGCCTTTGGAGACGGAACCGAAGAGACCATCACTTTGACGAGAGCACAGATGTACTGGCTCATATTGGGCAGTATCTTGCGGTACAACGCCTCCGTCTTCGTCTCCGGAATCTCTTCTTTCATCGAAAACAGGTAACGGTTCAATTGCTCGTCTTTCTTCACTTGCAGCTCTGTCAGTGATGTGTACTTGTTCTTTCGAAGAATATTGACAGCGTTGATGAACGCGGGTGGCAGTCCAAACAGGGAGGCGCCGTCTCCCGCTTCGAAGTCGTAATGGAAGTACTTGAGACGTCCCTTCTGAATGAAATCTTCAATGTCCTGAGCATTCGTCTTGCATTTCCACGGCAACGACTTATTCTGCACTGTCGGAAACGTTGGGGACCCAACACGAGGAGTCTGCTCTCCGCTTCCTTGGTTGCAGAAGTTCGAAGCACTTTCGGGAAGAGCGGACGACGAGGAAGAAACCGTGGACACTGTTGGAGATCCCTCTTTCCTGTTGCCCACAGTTCCATCCGAACTGGTCTCTGAGTAGGCGTCCTCATCCTTCGAGTCGTCGTTGTACGCCATCTGCCGAGCCATCATTCCCGCTCTGGCGAGACTTCCGGCTCTGTGAGCTAGGTTGCGTACATTTTCATGGTCCTTGGCTATGAAAGCAGCTTGGGAAGCGGCCGTGGTGATAGTGTCCTCCATGACTTCGAGACCGGCAGCGACCCGTTTCTCTCGCTTCTGAGCGGCGAGTTCTTCCCATCCTCCGAGCGAAAGGAGAAGAATCTTCCAGATGAGAAGTACAATCTTTTTAATAGGAAAGTGTGGGGCGGTTCCTATGTAGAATGGATGGAGCATGTCAAAAAGTACAATTAGCAGACATTCGTGGCCATTTTCGATCGGTTCTTGAATCTCTTCACGGAAAGCCTTCCGAGCCTCTACGTCTTCGTCAGTTTCCTCTTCTCTTCCAGACCTCTCGTCGAGAATCTGAACTATCATGTGGTAGATTCCAGCGAGTATCACTCGGAGCATCTCATTGTCCACCATAGTTGGAAGTTGGCGTGAGCGGTACTTTTCGGAATCGGATAGATCGGCCATGCTGGCATTTCTGCTGCTTCTCGAGCTGGCTTTCGAAACTCTTCCGTCGTTCGGCGGGCACTCAAACGGTTCTTTGATCTCAGTCATCAGTAGAGTGCACAGCGCCTGAAAAAATAGGTTTGTTCAGTTTTCGCGTTTTTCGAGCATACCTGATACACTCCGTTTTTGTAGCAAATGAATGAGTTTTCGATGGCTCGATGGTACACCATTGTCGGTCCTTCCGGGTCCAGTTCTTTGGTCTTCCGAACCGGAACATTCATTAAAAGTTTTTGATCGTATTGATATTCGATTTCTTCATTTTCCGGAGAGGCAAAGTCAGTTGCAGAGCCCTGAAAAATGATGACTTTCGTGGAATCACTTATTTGCCTCACCTGTAGAAGGAAAAGAATTATTCGAGCAGATTTGAGTCGAACTTCTGAATCGGCGCTCTCCATTCGAGCACAAAGATCTTGTATTACATAGTTTTTCTGGGTCAGACTGAACTCTTCGAAGATTGGCGGGAATTGTTCTCGTTTTCCGTCCTGAAGAATGCTTATATTTTATGTTGACTTCTAAATCTTACATATGAGTCTTCAATATAATCTTTCCAATTGCTGATATTGATTCCGAACTCTTCAATTTCTGAATAGCTGTACAACTCGGCCATTTCTCGAATTCCCGTATCGCTATCTCCGTAGTCAAAGTCAAGGTCTTTATCGATGGCTGCAACCTGAAGACAGAAACGTTACTAGCATAATATAAGGCTAGGATACGCACATTATCAGTACTTTCGTGATGAGTAAATCCTCCATATGCAGGTGTGATCATTGGCTGAGCTTCTTTCAACTGTTTCAGCTTGAGTACATTTGCCGACCGTCTCGCAGCCAGTGAGGACTCGGAGTACTCCACTTGTTCGTCATCAGTGCTTTTCCGTTCTTTGTCACCGTACACTGAAACATTCTCAACAATGTAAATCTAAACTTTTCATTGAAAACTCACCATCTTCAGCAAAATTCGGTCTGATTCCCATTTAATTCGGTTTTTGATGCCCGAGAACTAAAAAAAACCCTTATTTACTATGAATAACTTTTACGACAATAATGTATTTACTTATTCAAAAACTGAAAAACAATAAAGTTTTTGTTTACCCTTCTTTCAAAAGCATTTCAAAAGGAAAAGCAAACAAAGAAACTTTTAACAAATTAGCTCTTCTGCTAAACAGAGCGCGGTAACGAAACTCCGAATTTTACACTTAGATGTGCAGGCAAGCAGCTACCGTAGCCATGCTGCACTAGAGAAAATTTACTAAAAATTTACTTTTTTTAAAGATTTTAGCGTTGGCCTACGCTTTTTTCCGTGATTCTTCCGATTCAAAACCTGAAAATATCGATTGAACTAAGCTATCCTTCTTGTTCGGTAACTTTTGTTGAGAAAGAAATGTTTTTCGATCAATTTTGGTTTGGGACATGTCTATCGTAAATCTACACTTACGCCGTTTGCGTGTAAAACAACATTTTTCGAATATTGGCTCTCCTAGCTTTTCAATTTCAGTTTTTCAGGTAAAAATGGCGGAGACTGCTGCTGCTAGAAGACCATCTGCCCCATCTTCCGGACGGTAAGTTTTTTTTTTTGAAAATGCAAGGTTTTATGCAGTGTGTAGAACAAATTGGTAATAAATGTGGAAAAAATATTTTTTAGTCTCTACGTCAAGGCCATCTTCACCGGATTCAAGAGAGGACTCCGCACGCAATCCGAGCACACCTCGCTTTTGAAGCTTGATGGTGTTTTCAACAAGGAGGACGCTGACTTCTACGTTGGAAAGCGTGTCGTCTACCTGTACAAGGCTCACAACAAGACCTTGGTGAGATTTTTATCTTCATAAATTCAATTCGTAGCTTGTTCCCTTTTTCAGAAGACCGGACACACCGTCGCCACCCGCACTCGCGCCATCTGGGGCAAGATCACTCGCCCGCATGGAAACGCTGGAGCCGTCAGAGCTAAGTTCCACCACAACATCCCACCAACTGCTCTCGGAAAGAGAATCCGCGTGGTACGTTTCTTCTTTTAAAAACTTATTCTTAGTTATTTTTCAGCTCCTCTACCCTTCCAACATCTAAGTGGTGTTCATCTGTTATTGTTATTGTTCGCAGTTGTTGTAATAAACAGTTGTGAACTTGAATGTATGTTTTATCTTCCCGATTTCCAATATGCCGACACATTGTAAAACCAAATTTTTACAGTCTAAAAGTGATGTACACTCGAACATTTTTTTAAAGCTTTTTATTAACGAAAATAGAGGGCCGTGAAATTATGCAGTGTTAGGCTCTCGAACAAGTTCACTACGTTTTCAGACTAATTCAGTCTAGTTGATGAGTAACATTCTCAGAGTGATGATATTGGCGGCGGTCTTGATAGTCTTGATTGGCCTCGTTTTGTTGCGATGTTGATACGTCGCTTGTGAATATAGTCTGGAATGAAATTTAAAACTGGAACAGCAAATCTGAAATCACTTGTGGCAGAATCGTTGTTGCACCTGAGCGCAGAGAGTCAATTGATGAGAAGACTGTCTTGAACATGTGGCAGAGTGAAAAACTGGAAATTCCGGGGCCGCAGGTGGGGCAGACTCTTCCGATGTACCAGTAGAGTACGGTGAGAGCAACGAAATGGGCGACGGCAAACCAGAAGTGGATGAGAAGGAGGATCGCTAGATTGACAAGGAACTGAAATTGGCAAGTGAACGAGGCACGCATAAAAAAAAGAACTCACGCCTAAGAATGAAACGTATCGGTTGCTGAACATGGCGTACCATGTGGCTTCTTGAGTGATGATTCCTGTTTCCGCCTCTTCAGTGCTCGTAATGTTCACATCGCGTCTCTCGGGGAATAGCTCATTGAGGTCGTTCACATTGGTCGTCGATCCATATCCGCCCGTCTCGACTTCAGAAGCGTGCTGGACAGTGGCAAGGTCGTAGCTCATGGCAAGGGAAACGTAGGCGTAATTGACGTAAGCATAGGTGATGAGGAAGGGCATCGTGGACAGAATAGCCAGTTGATTGAGGTCTCCGAGAAGGACGAACAGAGAAGCGACGCCCATCAGAAGGTAGCCGGCCAGGACTGGGTTGTCGTTCGGACCAACCTGGAATATAAGAGAACTGCGAGAATTAGATAGGGCATTGGAAGAAACGGACCCCTCTGGCGAGCACGTTCAGGCACGGAATGATTCCTTCTTCAGCGATTCCTTGAAGAACTCGAGGAGTTCCGAGCAGAGATCCGACAGTGGAGGAGAGCGAGCAAACATAGAGACCGACGAGGAAAACGATGCCAGTTAGGGCCACCTTCTCAGAGATCATGACGTCACAGAGAAGGGACATTCTGTCTCCGACTCCGCCCAGAATCATGATGAAGACGAAGCAGATTGTGGAACTGACGCCGACGGCCGAGAGCTCTCCGAGCGGAATGCTCTTGTGCGGATCCTTGAGGTCTCCGCTCATATTCACTCCTGCCAGGACTCCGAGGAAGTTCGCAAAGAAGACTCCGAAGACGGTGAAGAAGGACTGTTCGGGGATCTGACGTGGAATTCCGACAGCCGAACAGTTGACGGCTTCGTAATGGGGCTGCGCATTCACGCGAATACGGGCGGACGAGAAACGGAACACTCCGGACTCGGGCTCACTGCTCAACAGAGCTCCAAAGATGAAATCGGTGACGGCGAGGGCGATGGTCATCAGAAGAACGATCTGGAGACGGACGACCCACGTGACTCCTGCCGTGTTGACGGCTGAATTGGTAACGAAAGATAAGGAATTGGAAGGAAGGGGAACTGACTGACCAGTAAGAACCATGAGTGTCAGGATGGCGATGGCTTTGATGAACACTTTGCTCTCCGACTCGAACAAATGGGCGACCGATTCTCCGAATCCTACGGCCACGAGTCCAGTGGCGACGGCCTGTCCGAACGCATAGATTATGCCGACGGCGCCTCCGAGTTGGTGACCGAGAACATGAGAAACGAGGAAGTATATGCCGCCGGACTGAAATATTTTCATTCCCAGTCCCTTCCTCTTTTGTCATTCTCACTTTTATCTGACATCTCTCCACGATTCCGATGGCCGAGAAGACCGTGATGAGGGCGAGAGACGTGCAGATTCCGAGAAGGAGGATCGAGTTGGCCACTCCGGCGGTCCCGACGATCCATCCGAGACGGAGGAACACGATGATTCCGAAGATGTTGACCATAACGGTGGCGAAAACTCCATCCCACGTGCCGAAAAGCACTTTGTCCTTTGTCAGAATCGTTCTGAGAATTTATAGTTTCACACTTTTTTCTAATTTTTCAGCATCCATTCATTGCACCCTTCCCTCGCTTACGGTTTACTCAAATCAGCGGGAACTCGTTGCATACTAGCCGAATTCCAGCCAGAAGGGACCGCGAGGGGATATAATAGTAGCTCTCCGGAGGCGAGTGGCGGAATGGAAAACAAAAACGAAAAGGGAAGGGTGGGAGTGAGTGAGTGAGTGAGTGAGTGAGGGAAAAGAGGCCCCCAGATTTCATTACTTCTGCTTAATGAATGTGTCCGAAATGGGCGGAAAGAGAGGATGCGCGTGCCGTTCTCTCACCTCTGCCACCACGGAGCCTCCTGCGCCGAGTCGACGGTTTCGCCCTGCGAGAAGATCGAGTCGGGCGGTTCGACGACGACCGAATGCGAGGACGACGGCGCCGCCTTACTCATCGCGGCAGATGGATGGAGGAGAGAAGGCACTCCCAAGAACTGATGAGCCGATCGAGAAGGACCACTGCAAAAGTGACATTTCGGGGGGCTGGGGGACGAGAGAAAAAGAGCTGTCCAGCGGGAAAGGGTTTAGAAAGTTACGTCTTGCGAAAAACTATCACAGAGCAAACATTCGGCGCCGATCGCTTGTACGAGAACTTGTGATTGGACTGTGAAAAGTACTCAACTGGCAATCGTTTCGAAATTTAATACATTGCAATTTTCTCACAAGGAGTCACTCTTACTTATAATGTTCTTTGCCACGTCAAAAAGGATTTATTTATGAAAAGCGAAATGACGTGGCACATTCTGCTTTCTTTTCTTCTTCCACATTCAAAACAATGAAGGCGTCAACGAACAACAAGCGAAAGGGACCAAAACGAGTGGAAAGGAAGTGTGTCTGCCCGTCTGAGAGCCTCTCTCACTTGGACATTTCCCCCTCTTCTGAAATTCGGTTTCAATTTCGGAATGAAAAAAAAGGGAAAAAGAAGGGAAGAGAGAGAAGCGGACATGTTATTGATTTGGAGAGCTCACGGCTCTTGCTCGTCGAGCATGTATGCGTGACGACGGAGAAGAGCGAGAGAAAACCGAGGGACCGAGAGCACGATGAAGCTCATGGCCGCCGGCGTTTGATGAGTCGATTCGCCTAATTAGCGATGGGAAACAAGAGAACACAGAGAGAAAAGCGCAGTAAATATTTGCACTAAAAAGATTTTTCAGTTTTTTTCTATTTAAATATAAAAAAGAGCGCCATTTCAGGTCAATAGTTTATGTATTCTATAATACAACGTTAGCAATAGATTATTCGGTGTATGGTCGACGAGTGATATTATTTACATGTTAGAGGACGAACACCGTACCGATTGACGGGTCGCTGTCGTCGTCAAAGTGAACCAGCTTCTTTCCCGTTTTTTCGTTTTCCGTTGACATGAGGTTCACACTCTCCAGACTGTCCATCTGAACTTCTATGGTTTTGGATTGCAGCTCTCCCAGTTCGCTTTGTTTTCTCGCTTGCTCCTGGCACAATTTGCAGAAACTGAAAACAAGGGATATTTAAAAACGGCGGAGAATGAGAACTCACTTGTAAATGATTCCGAGTACAAACGCGACAATCAAAGAGGGAATGATCATCTGAATCCAATGCACTCCCATCCGCGTCGCGACTTCTCTTCTCCCCATATCACATTGGAATCGAACGACGGCCGACGAGTTCGTGTCGATATTCTCAGTCCATAGAGACGCGGTCCTTCCCGGTAGGTCGCCGCACCACTCACGCATTCGGGTGGTTCCGCATGTCTCCTCTTCCAACGTCGTCTCGATCCGATTGTGCGACACTCTTTGCACACTTTCGAGTTCCCCGCATTCGGTCAGAATCACCGAGATTCTCACGTATTTTGGGGGGTTTCCGCGCGACAAAGTGATCACGTGATTCAGTCTGGAACACAGATTTATCTCAAGGAACAGTTATCGCTTCAAAATCTACCGGTCTGTCGAGAAATGCATGAAATCTTCGCGAAGCTCTTTAGTGACTCGATTTTTGCGAACGGTCGGTGCTCCTAACGTGATCGCTATGAGCGAAAACGCCCAAATAAAGGAAGAAACCATGTGGAACAGTCTGAAACAGAGAAGCTTAATTGAAAAGAATTGAAAGCTGCGTATTTTGAGCTTTTATATTAATCAATCGACTTGAGAACAAATTTTGGCGCCCAAAAAGGTTACATTTTATGACAGAGGACCTTTTGAGGAAAAAGCTCGGCCGCGATAAAAAATTGACGGTTCGAGTTGTTTTCAAAAGCATGAGCTCAATCTGATTTAAAAACGCATAAAAACTTTTTCGAAAAATTATTAGAAATTGTAGTTCTTAACTTACTTTTGGTAATGTTTGCTATTCAATTGTCTTCATAAATTTTGTTGTCAGTGGCCTATTCATTCCTTGGCGCGAAAGCTGAAAATTCGCAATGTTTAGAAAAGTTAGAGATTTTCTTTCCCTTTTCGGGTTTCCTTTTGCTTTTGCATACACTCAATGTTTTCTTCGAGTGCGATTCTCTCTGCGTTTTCCAACTTTACTCATTCTCTTCCTGTTTTCGCACTTTTCCCGCCTTTTTCAGGAAGCTTTTTCATTCGCCATGATTACGTGGCAATATATTATTTGGCACGTGCTGTTCGTGTTCGGCGTGCTTCATTCCCTGCTGTACACGATTAATGCAATGGGTCGAATTGCTCTCAATGAACATTTCGTTCACAGCATGCCGACGGAAGTGGAGAAAGAAATGAAATGGTTTTCCGACGCGTGGTGAGATTATTTAGTCAAGTACCGCTCAATTTTGCTTGTAGGCTGGCAGGCCACGACGCGAAAAGACATGACAAAAGCTCGTATCCCGGTTTTGACGGCAGACTGTCTCTCCAACTGTATCCCCAGAGATGCCGAGATGACCAGCTTGGAGAGAGCGACAACCGCCATCATTACCTGATCGGCGCCGAAGAGATTTTCTGCGCTACAAACGCGACACTCGACTGGTGCGAGGATGAAATGGTGATTCTGTACAAATCGGTCAGAAAGACGTATCGATCCGACGCCGGAAGTGTCGTAGACGTCATTTTTACTTGCTACCGAAGCACATGTTTGTTATCTCACAGATTTCATATACTTACAGTGATCCTTTCTTTTCAGATTATGGAAAACTATTGCATGACGTCGACACCTACTTGTTCACAATTGTCGTCACCGTCCTTCCTGTCGTTCTCGCCTTCAACGAGTGAGAGCATCGTTCGTTAAACCGTCAAATTATCATTGTTTCAGCTGGCGATTCATGAAGACCGACGACGATCCGAAGAGCGTGGAATCCTCTCCGTCACCGCCGCCGCGACCTTCTCGGTCAACTAGAGATCCGAACGCGCCTCTCCCGAACATTGCGAGCCGTCATGACAACTACAGAAAGAAGAGACGATCGAATCCCTAGGGATTCAATGTATTTTTATTTATTTATGCAACGACTCACTATCATTTCTCGACTGTCATATTTTGTGTTCTCATTTGTGATATTTTCGATCCGGGCTATGAAGAATTCCAGTTTCTCTCAATCGTATATCTTCTCTGAATATCTTTGATCTTCGCAAAGAAGCGTCAGCTCTGTTCTCTTGGAACTTTCAAAACGTGCATAACGTAGGTCAAAAGTTCGAGTCAAAAAAATAGAGAGCGGGAATTTTTTAAGGCGCGAAGTATGTGCAGAATGTCAGGTCCTGAAACCATCCGAGCCGAGAGAACCCCCATTTGTGCATTTCAGGTTATGGCTCCTCCCACTCCGCCTCCACCTCCACCTCCACCTCCGCCTAAATTGTTCTCCTGGCGCCAGACGTTGCCGTTCGTCCTCGCTGTCTTAGTGTCTCTCGCTGCCGTTTCACTAAACGGCCTTTTGGGACGACTCGAGATAAATCACTCTCCGTTCGAGGAAGTGCCGGAATCAGTGAGAAAAGAGTTGGACGATGCGCTCAACGATTGGTAACGTTTCGTTTCCGATCCGATAAAAACATAAGAATTCAGGGAGATGTTGAATGCTGATAAGTTGAGCCACAGGAAGCTCGATTCTCGTCTGAGTTTACGTTCGTATCCGGTCAATTGCTCAATAAGCAATAGTACCTACGATATGTCGCGTCTTCTATTCCTTCCGTGGGTCATGGTGGAACAGCATTACTGTGCATCGCAAGAAACGCTTAATTGGTGTTACGAAGAGCAGTGGTTCGGTCTGTTCAAGTCGACAGGTGCGCAATATACCCTCCACAGTGGACGTCTTCTGGATCTCCACATCAGTTGCTTCCGGAGAAATGGCTAGTTTCTGCTCTTTAAATCATTTTATGCTGATTCGTTTTACAGCAATTGTCCGACTCATGATTGATGCGAATCCGTTGTGGGCATACATTGTGATCCTTACCATCGTTTTCTCAGTTTTGTTTACCATTAAGTGAGAAAACACCTTTTATCAGTCTCATCCGTTTTTTTAGTGTTACCGACCCAACAAAGAAGAAACCACAAGAGGAAGAAGAGCCGAAACAGGAGCCACCGAAAAGAAGACGGACCAAATTCAATATTTTCGGATTGATAATTTCGGTCATCGGCGCTTGGGCATGCCTTTCAGTGGTAATGTTGTACACCTCGTTTGCACGGGATGATGTCTATTACCTGTCGATCGACAAAGTGCCAGAAGACGTGCGTGATGAGATCAGAGATGAAACGAAGAAATCTCAGGTAAAATTTCAAACTTTTCTTGGCTCTTCTGAAGACATTCTCAAACTTTCTCAAGACAAAAAACTTTTCCAAGACCTTTTCAAACTTTCTGAAGCACTAAAAACTTTTCTAAGCCTTTCTTAAACTTTTTCAAGAAATTCTCAGACTTTTTCCAGAAATTCTTAAACTTTTTCTTGCCGAAATTATTTCAAACTTTCTGAAACTTTTCTAAGCAATTCTCAAACTTTCTCAAGAAAAGTTTTGAAGAAGAATTCCTAGGCCACGAAGTTTTGGACTCCTCGTGGACAACAATGTTTTCTGCAAACTTTTTAGCGTTTTCCCCAATTGTTATAGTTGTATATAAGGGTTTTCGCATTTTTCGGTCTTGTTGAGCTCATAATTGAATTTCTTAATTTTTAAAAGTAGTCTTTAACGAATTAAGCGGCAAAATAAAGGAATATCCGTGAGAAATTGTAGAATAGGCCTAAAAAGGCATTTTTTTTAACTAATTCAGATTTTTTCCGCGCTTTCTGCATTTCTTACAATGAAGTAACTGAATCGGCACTGTTTTTAGTCGCTCGTTTTCAAATATTTCACTTTTCCGAACACCACACCACCTCGTCCGCGACGGTTTAGCAAAATAATTATCGTTTATAAAGTACTTCAGTCAGATCTGATTATTCGAAGCGTTTGTTCGCGTTTTCTTCCATTTTTATTCTAAGTTTCTGAGTTTACTGCTACCAGAGTTGAGCGGAAGAACTCAACGGAAGAACACGGAAGAAGTTTTTATCACTTATAGTAAATTTTTTGATCGAATGTGATCAAGTGATAAAATGTATAGCAAAATGAACTCTGATCATAAAAAATAATTGTAAATTTAACTTTTCATACAAAAAGGTTATTCCAGTTTTTCCGTGAAGAAGGGGGCTAACGGAAGACGGAAGGAAATTTACTGTTAAGCATCTCGTTGTATCGCTATTCGAAATTGGCTCTTTATTGACCGGAAAAAAGGAAAGTTCAGTGAAATCTCCTTTTCCGTTATAGTTTCGGCACTAGTATACGTTTCATTCCCAAGTACTCAGGCCTGGGCGAGTTACCGGTTCCACAGGAGAAAAAACCCACGAAAAACACAAAAGACGAAGAAGAGGCGATTATCAGGGCCCGCAATCATGGAAACCGGGGAAATGAAGCTCACATCTTGAATGGCCGAAAATTCAGGGAATTGTGAAAAGTAATGTATGGAATCATTGCAGACTACCTCTTCGAGGTGACCTGGGGAAGATGAGAAGTTTTCCAATAAATTCCGACAATTTTCTGAGCCGTCGTCAAACTTTTTCAAGATAATCTCAGACTTTTTCCAGAAATTCTTAAACTTTTCTAAGCCTTTTTCAAGAAATTCTCAGACTTTTTCCAGAAATTCTTAAACTTTTCTAAGCAATTCTCAAACTTTTCCAAGAATTTCTTAGGTGGCGCCTGGAAAAGTTTGAAAATAGCTAAGAAAAGTTTGAAATTTTACCTGAGAATGGTGAGCAGAGTAAACAATTCTGGCCCATGTGAATTGACTTTTAGGGCCTCGCATAACCCGAAAAAACGAAAGGAATACGACAGTCATCTGCGTTTGATTCCTGTTGATTGCGGCAATTATAAAACGATACCGGTGGAGACTTTCCCCGTGCTGAGCTCGAAGCCCCAAGTTATTTATTGTGCATCGAAGAGCACACTGGCCTGGTGCAACGACGGGAAGCTGCTCGAGTTGTTCAAATCTATCGTTGTGCTCGTTGTGCCGAACGATCGCGGTGACGCCCGACGCATTAAAACCTCGCTGAACTGCTTCGAGTACCCCTGTCAGTTTCAGATTATGTTCCGGTAATTTATTTACAGTTTTTCTTGCAGGGTACGTCGGTCATTCCAATGATTTCATCTTCATAATCATGCTCATTGTGTTCTTGATTTCCGCGATCGCATTTTACAAACATGTCGAAAAGGAGAAGCCGGCGGAGACAGCTAGACCGCGACAGCCCACGAACAAGCCGCAACGCAATATCAAATCGCGTAAGGAGAACTACAAAAATAGGAGATCTAATTGAATTTGTAAACTTGTACGTGCCATCTAATATTTAACTGGTTGTATTTTGCGTAAGTCTGACTATCTCTGTTTCATGAAATTATCTTTGAATCTGCTGTTTTTGGAGCTCACAGTTTTGGGCGAAAAATTGTGTTTACCCCATTGTCTTCTCCGTTTCATGCTCATTTGCAATGCCACTTTTTGCGGTTCCCCGGGGAAATTGGGTCGCAATTGAGAAGGCAAGAGGGACAAAAACGTTTTTGTCGCATGCATTTGCCGAGCACTTCATTCATTCCATCTGCTTTTCCGAATGCCTACCGCCACTTCATTCCTCCTTGTTTTCACCCTTTTCATTACCGTTTCCTGTTCATTTTCGGCGTCAAATGACACCGAAATCACTGAAGTGATTAGGTATGATGGCCGGCGAATTCCGTACGAAAATCATCCACAAAAGTTTTACTACGTAAGGAAGTGGGAACTGGGGAAAAGAAGAATTGTGCTCTCTCAGGTGAACATCTCGAATCCGGAGGTCGAATTAAAAGTGAAATGCGCGCATTGCAACGTGCAAAGATGCCGTCCTCTGCCCTTCTGCTACTCGATACAGTACTCCGATCGAGGTGAGTAAAGCGGAAGCGACGAGGAGAAGAAAGAGGGTGATTTCAGTGAGGAGCACGGGCGATTACTGTGCCGATGAGTCGGAAATGTACTCGCTGGTCGGTGCTCAATTGGACGCGACGACTTCTTCACAGAGGAAACGAAGACGCATCCACGAGTCGTGTCTTCCGTCGATCAACGATCCATCCATTCATTACTGTGTATGCCACACTTTTGATGACGACGCCTCTTCGTGAGTTGAGATGAAGAAGAAGAAGAAGAAGAAGATTATAAGTTTCAGAAGAGAGTACGATGCGTTGCGGAGGATTCGCATCTGGAGGTATCAGAGTCTCATCTTCCACGACGAAGTGCAGAAGAAACAAGCGCCGAAGGAAGTGCTCGGAGTTGTCTGGATACTGACAGTGCTGAGGTGAGCCTATGACATCTGAATGCCTGCAATGTCGTCCACATCTCCGTCCTGCTCAATCGCATTCCCCTCCGATTCGCAGTCTAATTGGTGTCTTCCCGGCCGCCTAAACAAATCTCGCCGGGCCCGCAATCAGTGCTCCGCAAGTGCTCCGCTGCCAAATGTCACCCGCATATCAGATTTGTTGCCTCCTTTCCCTTTCGTGCCCATCCCATCGTGCTCTTTCTCTCTTTCCCAACTCCGCCCCTTTTTTCGAAGAAGAAGAAAAGGCAAGAAATGAAAGAGAAACAAACTGGGTGCTGATTTGCTCTTGTTAGGCTAGTCTTCGGGGGTCCGGTTTGTTTCCCGCTTCCTCTCGCTTTCCGTCCTTTCTTTTTTCTCCCCTCCAATCAGTATTCCTTCCTGTGTCACCCCAAAATCGACGTCTTCTTCTTCTTCTTCTTCTCTTCAAGACCATGCCGACGAGTCTTCTGTTTCCGTTTCACTTCATTTCCAATCGCCTCGACACTTTCAATCAGGTTCTCTTTTTTGGCTCAATGTCGCTTTTGTCCCTCCGTGTTCTTTATGATCCCCTACGATCTCTTCATAGTGTATTTGTGTCCGAAATGTAGTTTTCATTCTCGCATGATTTTGGTTGTATGGCTCACTCGAAACGTTGTCTACCGTACTTCTATAACCTCTTCTTCTGAATTCCAGATCATTCATGTCCTCATCCTCATTCTCCCTTTTCAGGACATGCTGGAACGCGTGAAGTCGTCGACCTCCCGCCTCACCTCGGCCACCCGCTCGCCCTACTTCCTCCGCTGGTCGCCCGTCCTTCTCGCCCTCCTCACCACCGTCTTCGTGCTCCTCGGCGCCACCTGCTTCTACCTGTTCGAGCGTGATCCGCATGAGATGACCGTCCGCAAATGGTACACGAATATGGCCGTCAAGAGGTTTGTTTTCGGGTTTTCTGCTCGCCGCCGAGTTGTCTCGACCGAAAGTGCGCGCCTTCTCGTTCATTCAGCACGTTTTGATCGACGACTCCCCGGGGGCAATCCAATCCGATTTGCTCCTCCTCCTCCTTCTCCAAAATACGCGTTTCGCAACTCGATTCCCGAGCAGTTTTTTGGTGCCTAGGCGATCTGTTTTTGCTGGAAAAGATCGGAAAGACGAAGAAAGATGGGATGTTCTTTTCAGACGAATGTTCGCGAAAACGATCAGCTCAAGGATCTTCAACGATACCCGCAATCTGCTGATCATCATCGATCGGGAGCAGACTGCGAGGGTCCAGGTCAGTTGAGCAGATTATAGTAGTTCCCCATTACGAAATCCTAATTTCCAAATCTGCGGCTCTGTTCAGCCGAAGAGCTCTGAACAGAACCGATCCGTCTTTTTAGTGCGAGAAACACAATAAAATCGACTCCGAAACTTGACCAACTTCCGGAGAACGACATTGAAAAGAAAAAGAGCGAGAGAGAGAGAAGAATGGGAAAAGAGGAGAAATAATTGAAAAGAGTGCAAGTTTGGGATGAGCAGATTCAAAGATATGTGCTCGAGAGAGTTGTTGTATAGTTGGCATCAATTGCGAGGATTTTCGAAAAGAGGAGGAGGGTGGGGGGCATTTTTATCTGCAACGGAAACTGTATCCAGGCAGTTCTGGCAAAAGCCGGTACAGCAGACTTGCAAGTCTGCTGGTACAGTCTCTTCGAATGTTTTTGGAGGACCGATCGGATCATTTTTTCTGAAGTTACGTAGATTAGATGTCGCCTTTTTCGGCCTCTGATCCACGAGACAATCCGATCGCTCTGAAACTTGGACCCAATACTGCAGTCTAGAAAAGTTTGAGTTGATCGGAAAACTGTTTAGTGTAAATTCAACCCGATTGGATTATAACGCCTTAAAATACAGTGAAACTAGATTCTTTGCTATTCTGCTGCTCTCTACCACTTCAAAAATTCGATCTCCGGTCATCGTAATCTTCATTTCCAATGATTGGATTCGTCACTTCACTCCATAAACTTCTAGAGACTTCTCTCTTCCCTTCGAGACCTTCCCTCGGGACAATATTGTCGCCTTCAGAATACATATCTGCTTGACCCCATCTCTTCCATTTTTCGATCCCCCTCTTCTCTTTGGCTCTTTCATTTCGAATAATATCATTTGGGGAGAGAGATTGGGAGAGGGAAGCTCATGCGGATAAATGCATCATAATCGGTTTCCAAGGCAACTGAAAAGCGGGGATTGATGAAGAGACTGAAAGAAAAGAGAAAAGATGGAAACAAACAGATGACGGCATGAAAGTAGAGTGGAATATGAAACGATAGGACTAAAAATAAGTGAGCTCCAGGAAAAAGAGCCTGGACTTCTGAACCACTTGCCATTATCCGATCAGAGCCTGACATGGCACGATTATCAGTCTTGACATATGTTTGACTTATATCTCGAAAACACTTCAAACATCACTAGATCCGAGATAAAACTATCCTGAAACTGTAAAGTAATTCCAACGGGATCAAGTAGAATTCTAGAATCTCAAGCCTATCCGACTTCATTTCCAGCAACTTCTCGTCGAATCGCTGAAAGGCTATGAGGACAAACTGTCGATAGTGGGCCCTTCGCGCCGGGAATGGTCCTGGGCGAGCAGCTTTAACTTCGCCTACTCGCTCCTTCTCACCGTCGGCGCCGGCTTCAAAGTGCCGTCGACGATCGGTTCGCAGGTATTTCCGCGTCACGCGCGCCGCCCGTTCCCATGCTCCTTTCCCTTTCAGATCTTCGCCGTCTTCTACTGTCTCATCGGAATTCCTCTCTTCTACAGTACGCTCGCTCTCATCGTCTATCGCCTCGTTTCGCCCGTTCTCAAGGTGAATGCACTTCGAGGGCAATTGGGGAAAACAGGGAGAGAGAAAGAGAGACGGAGAGAAAAAAAGGGATATATCATAGAAAGAATGGGAGTTGTGATAAACTATCAGAGTTGAATCAGACTCTGGAGCACACAAAACAGAGCGATTCAGAAGAATATTTTTAAATGAAAAGAACGAATGGCGTCAGAAAAAACAGAAGCGGATAAACGGATTCGAGTGACGTCACGATGCCACGTGGCTTCTTCCTTCCCATTCTGTTGTTTTTCAGTGGCCCTCGCTGACCCGTGGCCGTCGTTTCCTGCTCGTTCTCGCGGTGTTCGGTCTCTTCGTTCTCTGGACCCTCCTCGTCGGACTCTGTCTCTACTACCAGGTACTCTCTGCTTCTCCTCTTCTCGCACACTCTTTCTCCTTTTCTCTTCCAGGTCGTCAACGACTTCTGGCTGAGCATCTTCAACGCCTTCGCCGGATCGTTGACCGTCCAAACGCCGAGCGCCATCCAGATTTCCACGTGCGGAATCCTTTTCCTCAACTTCGCCTCGACCATCTCCGTTTCTTTGCTTCTCCTCATCCTACTTGTCTCTCTTTCCGTTTTCTTCCCCAAAGAATGTAAGCGCCAACTTGTTTTGGACTCCTTCAAAATTCGAATTTCAGTGCTCGTCCCAGAATTCGAAAAGCCGTCGAGGAGAAGCTGGAACGTCTGACTCCACCCCCGAAGTTCCAGGTCATCGTAGATGAAGCTGGAGAGAGCAAACTGACTGCCGCTTGAATACTTTTACTCTTTTTTCCCGCTCGCTTTTGGCTTCTAGAGTTTTCAACTTCTTTTCCTATTAAACCCGCTTATGCGACGATTTGCCACTTTAACTTTATTGCAGTTAGAGGTCGGATAAAACAAATGTTAACACTAACAAATACCGTATGTTGTGCTTTCCGGGGATGGATTTAAAAGCGGGGAATTCACTACAACAGGCATATGATGAGATTCTTTTCACGATGGGGGAGTTATAAAAATTAAAGAAATAGACAGGGTGGAATCAGATTAGCGACAAAATGAGTTTGTCAACACATCGAACAGATAAATTTTGATTTTTTTTTGGTCAACATTAAAGGTTGGATGATGGGTATAAATAGATGGTAAGGGGATTGGAAGTGGCGTTTGGGGTTCGCGTATGAAGCTGCGATTTACTCGGCGGCGACAGCTGGAGCGTCTCCAGTAGCAGCGACATCGACCTGCAAATAAACGCGAATTATGAACAGGCCCGCAAGATGAATTGAGTGATGAAGAATTCATCATTACTCGCACACATCCACGCTCTCTGAATGCTCTATCTTGATGCATCCCATAATTATTACTAAGCCGCATGCGCCTATCCGTATCTTCTAAGAATCCCTAATTAGTACCCTTTGCCGCAAGCTTACCTCGTCGTCGACCTTGGTCTTCTTGACCGATGGAGCATCCTCCTCGTCTTCCTCGTCGACGGCCTCGTCGTGAGCGCTGGAGACACGCTTACGGTCCTGCAAAAAACACGATTTGTCACCTCTAATCAACCATTCGCGCTTACGTTTCCATTGGTGTCCTTGGCTTCTCCGTTCTCAGCCTTCTCCTCTTCCTCGGCGGCCTCAGCCTCGTCCTTCTCCTCAGCGACAGCATCTTCCGATTCCTCGCTCTTGGCCTCACCGTTCCTGCAACCATACGCATTTGTAAAAGAGCGGATCGATCAGTGCATACTGTTGCCCCCATCTGCTCACCATCCGTCTTCGACAGTATTTGCTTTCACCCACATCTCCCGTCTTTATGGCACCTCCCAACTCTGTGCAAACGGTGACATACTGATGAGAACCCCTCCAGATGGATGAATACAGTTACGACCTCTACCCGTGGCCGCCTTCGCATTATTCACGTCTTAGGAGTGACCTCCAGTGAAAACACCTCTTAACGCCCGCGCGCAGGTGGATGCAAAAAGTGGCTCGCTCTTGCAATTGTTCTGACCTAGATATGCGAACAAAGAGGCGAGGTAAGAATTCGAATAGGCGAAGACAATAACTTACTGCTGCTCGGTCTTTTCTTCGATGACGACGATGTCGTCGGAAGCCTCCTGAGTCTCGGCCGGTTGCTCCTCGCTTGGCTTCACAACCTCCGGCTCTTGAGCAACAACAGTCTCGGCAACGTCGGACATCCTTCTGTAAAATGCAAATTGAGAAGGGAGTCGATGACCGAGAGTCAAAAAATGAAAAGCAACAATAGAAGAACGGGGTGACAGCTGCCCCGGTCAGTTTTTTGAAGTGGCGAGCCAGCAGAGATAAAGCAGACAGAGAGGTGAGAAGCATAATAAGATGGGCAAATAGAACGCGCCCAACGAGTACAAACATGTTTCGTTCGCGGCCGGCTTCAAAGAACACTAACGGCTACGGTAGTTGCGATGCGAGAGGATAGAAAGCTGAAGTTAGCTTTCCCTCATGAATCTATAGATGGACATGGGCGTATGAAGCGCGAACAACTATATTCACGCGAGTGAGCTATCTTATTATTTGGCTTCGGCTCTCGCGCCACACGCACGCACACAGAGACACAGAGCGCCGGGCGCTCGCGCTGCGCGTCCATCCACCGTCGGTCCAGGCTGTGCCTGACACTCACGCAACGCTCACTGGACAGCCCGCGGCCGACGGCCAGCTGAAGGAAGCGGCGACCCGCTCACACTCTTCGACGACGGACGAAGCGAAGAATGAGGCGAGGAAGGGGAGGAGAGCCTAGTGCGACGGCCGCGAGTTTCGAATTGCCTCGTCGGGCTAGAGAGGCGGCGATGGTTGGTCGACGACGACGGACATGACTCCGCCCCCAACGGTGCGCGAGCGGCTCTCCCTCGCTCTCTCTCTCTGTTCGTCTGCCTCACTTGGCACCGTGCCAGAAGGCCGTTTTGCGTGGCATTTCAAAATCATCTAGACGCAGAGAAATAACGCGAGGAATGCGATCAAACAAAACGGATTGAGGCGGTGTTTTGAAAACGTAAGCAGAACGGAAACAATACGAAAAGCATCCTATATTTTGGAGACGAATAGATGAACAAACTTGTGAACGTCTTCGAAAGACAAGAATAAACACCTGCTTTTGAACATTCAGCTAATTTTCGATAGAAACTCGGAAAATTTTTCAAAAAAAAACGTTTAAGTAAAATTTTCCAGTTGATCTGCACTTGTTCGCGCGAAAACAAAATTAAAATTTGGGCCCACTTCAGAAATCTACCGTACCCATGTTCGGAGTGGTGAGACCAGCTGCGCAAATAACACTATGTGCCTTTAAAAAGTCGGCCCATCTGGCGCCCGTGTCATGAAAATAGCGCTGAAGTGACAGATGAGCGAAGCCAATAGATTAAAAAGAGGAAATTATCAATTCGACAAAGTTCCATATTTATTGTTTTATTGGAACACAGAAACAATACGGGAGTGAGCCGCACTACAGAAATTGAAACTGAGTTACAGCATGAAGAATGGAATAAAAATTGATAGGATAGTGAATAAAACAAGATAATTGAAATCTCAGTAATCATTTTGATCATTCTTTTGGAGATCTTGGAGACGGAGAACGTGAAACACTGCGATCATGGCTGGCTCCACGGCTGCGGTCACGGCTTCCACTGCGGCTTGTGTCACCACGACCATTCTAAAACAGCTCAGATATCGCTGCTACATTTGCAATGAAAATACCTTCTGTGGGGACGCGCTTCTGCTGCGATCCTTAGACGGAGGCGGCGAACGGGATCGAGACTTCGAAACTTCACGCTTCCTGAAAACAAGTGGATGAAAAAGCTCCCTGAAGGCGGATGTGCGTGTTTTTTCCATCGTCAGTACTGCGCCAGATACGCGAATCGCGATTGAGCACGGAACTCTGTTTTAAAGGTGTTAACCTCACTCTTTTAATTGAAACTGCGGTTTTGGGAAGCTGCGGGGACTGAGCGGGATGAGGTTGGAAATGGATGAACCACATTGTGCTTTGATTGTGTCTCAGCTAGGTGACCATTGTCAATTGTGCTTGTAGGTGACATTGGTTTGTCAGTGAATTGTAGCTAAAACGGTACGAGAGGTTGCTACCGTCGTATAAACTTAAAAATAGAGAGAAAACTCACACTTCACGCTTTGGACTCGGCGAGCGCGATTCGCTTCTGCGGCGACTTCCACGAACTGGAGATTTGGATTTCGACGAGCTTCTCGAGCGAGATTTGCGAGTGCGCTTGCGATCGCGAGAACGGCTGCGGGAACGGCGTTTCGGTGGAGTACGCGAACGACGTCTTGGAGAACGAGAACGACGTCTCGGAGATCTCGAACGGTATGCATCACTTCCGCGCGGTCTTCCTTTGGCCATTTCCACGATGACGCGCATGGAACTATAAATTTCGGATTTTAAATTCAAAAAGCACGTCTCCAATCATACCTATCGCCCATAGTCTTTCCATCCAATCGTGGCACGCATCTTCAGCATCTCGGGTGTCTTCGAAGTCGACAAAGGCAAATCCATATTTCATCGAGATGTTAGTGATTTTTCCGTACCCTTTGAGGAACGTTCGATGTCACGCTCACGCGCATTATATGGGATTTTACCGAGGTATATGCGAGGCATACCTGTAACTAGAACAATTCCAAAACCTGGCTTGAGAGCGTAGATAGGAAGGAGGAAAAGGAAAAATTGAATTATGATGTTTAACAATTATATTCCTACCTCCGTGGCCTAATATTTATGAAAAGAACATCTCTGGAATAATCACTAATTATTCGAAATCTGAGTTGAGCAAAACTGACCTGATTCCGAAAAAAACATGCAAAAAAACGAATTTGAGCGCTGTCGGTTCATTTTTTGTGCTGTACACGTAAAACGAGTGATACCGTAGCCTGCAAATCGTGTCGAGACCACTTGGCAAACCGCCAAGTCTCTTGCATTTTCGAATGTCTGTTGCTCACAGAATATGCGTTCCGTTCGTTATTGGTTTCTTTTTTCTTGAAAATATAGAATTTGTTAGAAAATTAACTGTTTCGAGTGTTTTTCTATTATCGATTTTCAGTCCGACCTACGTCCAATGCTCGAATTATCGTTGTATTCACTATTACTTTGAAAAACCGTTTTATTTCAGGTTTCCAAGATGAAATTGGTCAGATTCCTGATGAAGTTGTCTCACGAGACGGTCAACATCGAGCTGAAGAATGGAACTCAGGTGTCTGGTGCGTATTTAATTCTGAATCCTTCCAAACATTAACTTTTCCCTTTTTCAGGAACTATCATGGGAGTCGATGTCGCCATGAATACCCATCTCCGTGCCGTCACGATGACAGTCAAAAACAAGGACCCCGTGAAGTTGGACACGCTGTCCATCAGAGGTAATTTTTCCATCTTGCATTTTTTGCATAGTTCCATTTTCATGCTTCTAGGTAACAACATCAGATACATCATTCTCCCGGATCCGCTGTCTCTTGATACTCTTCTCATCGACGACGAGCCGAGAAAGAAGGCCCGAGCTGCTCGTGCCGGAGGTAGAGTGTTTGTTTTGACGGTATTCAGATCTTTTCATTTCAGCTTCTCGCGGGCGCGGACGCGGTGGAATGCGCGGCGGAAGAGGTGGACGTGGTCGCGGACGCGGAGGACCACGTGGAGGCGGACCTCGTCGTTAGATATCTTTATCAAATTCCATCCATGGAGCACTCCACATCAAACCTTCCTTTTCGTAACGGTCCACTTGTTTTATTCACATTGCTCCCGTTCCCACCAAAGTTGTCGACTCTTGTTTTATTTTTCGGAATAATTTATTACGACTGAAAGTCGGCACAAATTTCCCAAGTTTCGCAGCCCGTGAGAACAACTGTATTCTTTTTTGTTGTTAAGTTCTGATCTCCATAAACTTTATTATTTCAACACGAAAGCGTCAGACCGTTTCCTTCTCATTGGCTTCAGCAGACTTGTCATCCTGCAGATCTTCTCCAATCTCCTCACTCTTGAATAGTTTTCCCCACCAAACAGCCTGAAGATATCAAAATTTTAGGCAATTGTTCACTTCTCTCACCGCAATAGAAGCAAGACTCATTCCGACAATTATTCCCGTGATCACATCACTCCAGTGATGCTTGTTATCCGAGATTCTGGAGCAGCAGATGAACAAACCGCCCGTCATGATGAGGAGTTGCAGGAAGGCGACAACTACATTGTTGCGGAGAGCTGGTTTGAGTCGAGCTTGAAGATAGAGAATGGTCCAGAAGGCACAGTACATGGTGACTGTCGAGTGTCCACTGTAGAAGCTCTTCCGAGACTCGGCCACGTCTTCCGGGTTCCCCGCGCATGTAAATTCCTCGACGTATCTATTCGGATCGAGGTTCTCGCATCCTTGATCGGAAGGGGATTGCAGGTTTCGTAGAAGTTTGGGCGGAGTCGACCAATAAAACCTTTCACGAACTTGACGAGCAATTCGTTCATGATGTACCCGACCTGGCAGTAACCTGAAAAGTTTCGCATTCCCGCACGTAGTCTCGGAATGCCATGTTCTTACCGACAAAAGTGAGGACGGTGACTAAGTATCGAGGTATTTCTCTTTTCCCAGCTCGGTAGACGAGTGTCGATCGCGGAATCCGGGAGAACTGACGGAACGCCTCGACGAGGAAGACGGCCAGAACGGTGAGAGTGATATTGTATATTCGGTGCTCATGGCTCTTCACAGTACTTTCTTTTCTCGGGTAGTGGATGGATGGATCTACACAGAAGAGGCCGCGCTGCGTGGTTCCGAGCATTTTGATAACTTCATCGGTGATGAAGACTGAATTCGTCAGAAGTGCGACCAGAAGCTAGGGGCGAAACTTACAGAAGGCGTAGAGCAAAAAGACGTTTAGGAAGGCAACGCGAACGTTGACGTGGATGATGGAGCCGTGACGACGGAACACTTGCATCCTTTTAAAGTGTGGGAATGCCGGAGAGTCACGATTGGCTGATTTTGAAAAACTGAAGAAAGAATGAACGAGTCACTGTTTTTATATTCTTTTTTTTACATAAATGAGAACGGGACAGAAAAATAATCGAGAACTGGAAACGTTGAAAATGTTAATAAATCGCAGGCACAGAGAACAGAAACATTTCGTGCTGGAAAACAAGGATTATGCGGAGGAGGGAACTGGCAACAGTCGGTCGTCCACTTCGTGATCGGCAGAAAGGGCCGAACTGGCGGAAGAGGACGGCGGCGCGGGCTCTTTGGGACGGCGCGGCTCCCCTGCAAACAGCCGGTTATCCCGTGGGGTCAACCCGGATCAGAGCTCACCATCCAGGCTCCACGAAACATTCGAATGGGGACGGGCAGGCGACGGAAGAAGCAGCGGCTGCGTTTCCGAGTCGGGCGAGTTGCTGGCGAAGAGATCCGTCCAGCAGAGACACTGAAAGACTCGGATTCCCTCGGATTCAAGGTCTTTTGCAGCCGGCCGGACTCACTGTGTAAACTGCAATGAAAACGCCGATGCAAATGCCGACAAGCACGTCGCTCCAATGATGTTTGTTGTCGGTGATCCGCGAGAAGCTGATGCCCATTCCGACCATCACAATCAGAGTTTGAGCGATTGGAACGACGATTCGGTTGGTGAGAACCGAGCCGAGACGGGCTTGAATGTAGAGCTGAAATGATCGAGAAGATGAGGGGAAATCGGAAAGTAACTGACCGCCGACCAGACGGCACAGTAGAGCGAAACGGCCGAATGGCCCGAATAGAAACTCTTTCTGGCTTCGAGCACCAGTTCGGGCGGCCCGGTGCACGTGTAATCGATGATGTATCTGTGGGAGTCTCCGCTCGCACACGTGTCATTCGCCAGCTTGCAGACGTCGAGAAAGTGTGGTCGGAGACGGCCGACGACGTGCTTCGTGGCGATGTTCAGGGCGCAGTTCATGACGAATCCGATCTGGGAGTATCCTGAAAGTACGATCATTCAAGGGAGAGAGGAAGCGTTAGCTCGCACCGAAGTATGTCAGAATTCTGACGAACAGCACGTGCAAATGCGAATTTCTCCATCGATATCTCGGATTGTTGATGTTCGATTCGATTTTTTGAATCCGATAGTATTCCACGAAAAGAACCTGAAAGGGGGAAAGTCTGCAATCATCTGGAAGCCGCAAATTGCCCACCGTCACCGCATTCAGGACAAGGTTGTAGAGGATGAGCTGGATCGTAGTGATGGTGTCCTTCCGGTACTCGTATCGGATCGTGTCGTCGTCGCAGAAGAATCCACGTTGCGAGACGCCGAGCAACGTCGGAACGATCACCGAAACGGCGGCTGTGATGAGGAAAAAATATAAAAGGGACATCGGAGAGCGGCGGAGAGCCCGGGCGCCCCGAAAATTAAGCAATGAGCGATGGCCACGTGGCAGGGGACAGTGTTCACGTTTGCTTGATTCGGATTGCGTGGGAGACAAGAATGGAGGACTGAATGGGTTACTGTATTCGTTATGAGACCCCATTCTGCACATTGCAGTCTGATCCTTGCCGTTTCGCAACACATTTCCCGTCAAAATTTTGAAGATTTTAAAAGCACTCACAAAATCCATACAAAAGGAGCAAGTTGAACCCGACGGCCACCTCATTCACATTGAAGATCTTCGGATCCAACGACGGCTCCATCACCTGAAATCCAACTCAATTTCCCTTCGGTTCTCGCTGCCCCATCGCGGTGACTATATACCCTGGCTCCATAGCGCTGAACGACGGACATTGATGCGAGCAGAATGTATAATGTAGAATGTAGAAACTAGATATTATGCAGGCGTTTCTTGTGCAACTGACTCGCGAAAAACGAAAACACTTTGAAGAGTTGACTGACGGACTGATAACGGGCAACTATCAATAAGTGACGAAGAATAAACGCGAAGGAGCACAAGTCAGAGAAGACGGAGAGAGTGGAAGACGGAGAGGATTAGATGGGAAGAGTGCGACAGTCGGGAATGGTGTCGAAGGGCAGCCGAACCGATGAGCACAGTTCACTTTCGTTTCGGTACTGTAGTTTAGAGCCGTAGGCTATTTGAGCAAAATATATCAAAAGATTTTCAGTCAAGTTCGTTGACAATTAAACATTATTAGAAGTTTCTTTAATGAGGAAATGAGGAAATGCCCTGAGTGCGTTTTCGAAAAGCGAGCAAAGAAAGTATCACAACCGCACAAGTCTGGCAATTTCGCTCTGCCGCTCTCCACGTGAATTCAATGGAAATTGGAAGAGATAGCGGTCGCGGCTAAGATTTCACGTTGAATGCGGTAGAGCGACATTGGCAGAATGTTGAGATGCTAATAACACTGACCTGGAAGAAAGACATGGTGGAGATCTTCCTGAAGACGGGCGCCACCCTGCTCGATAGTTTCCTTGCCACCGACATTCTCGCGCTTCTTCCAGAAAAGAAACACTCGGCAGAGACTCTTATCGCAATGAATAAATTTATCAGCCGACGTTCGAAGTATTCGCGTCTGTCCCTGACAACTCGGCCGTTTGTTTTGCGCTTTTTTGGTGGTGCCCGGTCAGCCAAAAGTGATAATCAGAATGGCGGAAACAGTGTGAGAGTCGGAGAGGCGGAGACGAAAAGGGCGGGGAGAATAGAGACTATAGGAGGAGCGAGAAAGGAGGAGACTTCATAGTTCAATCGGCGGAAAAAACAGCACATGTGACGGAGAGCAGAAGTCTGGAAGCGGGCGGAAAATTGGGTACGATTGGTCCGAAACTGTCGGGGCCGGGACCAAACTACAACGGGAAGTGATCGTTGAACTCATCTGGTTTCCAACATCTGTTCTTCACTCTTCACACATTTCTCATTCACTTTGTGAGATCCTTCTAATGGGTTTTTTCTTCTTTCAGTTCCTCGCTCTTCGATCCCGATCGCTCCGATCCTTCGCAGATTCCGTCCACCTGTGCCATGTGGATTGTCTGTGGATTGATTGAATTCTCCACTATCACTCGATCTCATCTTTTTGGACTCGCCACCAGAATATCCGCCGGCCGGGGCGCGCCTGTCCCCATCCATCCATCCGTCTCTCCTCCCCCGTCCTTCTGTGTGTGTGTGTAATCCGCGAGTGTTTCGTGTGCACTTCGCCACGACGACACATTCTCTCTTCGGTTTTTTCGAGTCACAAATTGGTTGGTGACAGGGACGGAAAAAACGGAGAGAGAGAGAGAGAGAAAGAGGGAGAGATAGGTCACCTGATCAGATGGATGCTCTTTTCATGCAAACGTGATGAATCTCGCCCAAGCTACCGTAATCCCTTCCACTCTACTACTGAAAGTCTCCTGGATTTCATAATATAATCAGATGATCAGCGAGCACTTGCTTCTCTTTCATCTTGTTCAGCGCAGACACCTCCACTCTAGAGTATCATGTTACTACATTTCATTTCACACATTTCGGCTTCTGATCCTCTGCGTACTGTCTCCACCTACCACTACAATCGACTCTCTTTCAGTTTCCTCTTGTTCTCAATCTCAAAACAAAGTGATAAAAGTGCTAGTTGCATTCTTTCTCGGCCACACACTGCAGCAGTCCGTCCGGCCCGTCATCATCGCGGGGATCTTCTCTTTCCTCCCCGCATCTCTTCTGATTTATGTCATGACTCATTGCCGCCTGCGTCTCCGTCGTTATCACCCGGCCAGCTCTCTTTGATATGATTCTTCTTTCGATTGGTACTTTTTTGCAGAGAAACGAAACGAGCGACGGGCTCCCTCGAGAGCGGCGGAGATGGTCCGCATGGCTGAGCGGCTTGCCGAGAACTTCATTCCGGAGACTCAGCGGAACGAAAGCGAACCAAGTCACAGTAGGTACAGGTGATTGCCTCTGGCAGGATGTTGAAAACGGAAAGAGCAATTTCAGGTCACGAGGAGCATTGGACAGATCTCGACTCAACTCGAGAGCATCACTGGGCTCATCGTTAGGAAGAAGAATTACGCTAGGTTAGTCGGAAAGATTGTGTCAAACTCAGGAGATACGGTTGCAGTGGAGACGGACAGCGGTGTCATCGAAGTGGAGAGCGACAAGCAGTTTCTGGACGCATTCAAAGATGCGAACATGGACGCGGTGCATCATTTGAATGCCACCAATCCAGTGACCAGGGGTCTCTGGTGTCTCATTATTATAGTCTTTGTGATTCTCGTCCTCGTACAATGCTATTCGCAAATCAAATTGTATCTGAGCGAGCCAGTGGCAACGAACATTGAAGCCGAGTATCCGAGCAAGATTCCCTTTCCGACGGTCGCCATTTGCAACAATAATCAGTTCAGGTACTTTCTCACTCTAAACAAAACTATTGTCATTCTCAGATTAACATATTTGACGGGCGGTCGCATAATGAATCGTCGTTCGAAGTCGATCAGCGGGTCCCTTTTGTCTACAGGTCACGACATTCAATCGGTTTTCGATACAGTACTCCGCAAGTCTTGGGATATGGACGCCGTCAAGTTTTTGAGAAGTGCAGCTCATTGGAAGAGTAGGATGATACTAGGGTGAGTTAGGTGAGCAGAAGGGGAAAGAAGAAAAGGAAGCATTTCAGATGCACTTGGCCGAATGGTACCGCCTGCAAACTGTCCGATTTCAAGGCAGTCTGGACGACAACGGGCCTCTGTTGGGCCATAAACACGGACCCTCAGAACCCGTTCGAAGTGACCGGATCTGGAGCCGGCCACGGACTCCGTCTGCTTCTGAACGTGGAGAGCTACGAGAGAGTGGATGCGTGCACGAAGCACTTCAGAACGAAAAGTCTGCCCGGATTGAAGATTCTGATCTACAACCAAACGGATATTCCGGAGAGCAGTCAGAACGGAGTGAACGTTCCTTCCGGATACTCAATGGACATCCCGTTCAAAATGCAACATGTGAGCTTCTAACAGATACGTTTTTATCCAAGAAATTCCAGCGTTCGAAACTGTCTGGAATCCATTGCCTCGAAGAGAACGACGAGCAGATCGAAGCGAGTACGGACTTTAACAATCCGGACAATATCAGAACGTGCACTCTGCGAAGGTACATGACAGAAGTGGAGGAATCGTGTCATTGCACTTTGCGAAGGGCGTTCACTTCCAACGCGACGGACGTCAAAATGAGTGCCTGCAACGTGGATCAGTACTTTGGATGTGCTCAAGCGGCAATGAAAAGAGTGCGGGAAGAGGGAACTGCGAGCACGTGTCTTCCGCCGTGCAAGTCCATTGATTATACCGCCTGGCAGGTAAGCAATCCCTCCTTTCTCTTCGACTTCTCATTTTCATTGTTCAGGACATGAACCGTCTGCCTCAAAATCTGATGCCAGCGCTGATCGAAGAACAGGAAGAGGACGACGAGGATGACGTGGAGCAGGAGGAACTCGATGAGAATGTCTCTTTTTCGGACGTCTCGGGCGGAGAGACGTTCTCGTGTGAGGACAGCGCCTATTTGGATGAGAAGCAAGTGATGCGAATCAAGCGAGATGCTCACAGAGCGTACGAAATGCAGGCCAGACATCAGGAGGACATATTTCTCAGGTCGAGGAGGCTGATTGCCCGGTTGAGGAATGCCATTCACTCGTGAGTTTCATGCTCATTGCGCATAATCAGTGGGTCCTTCAGAATCGAGCGACTGAAGTGGGGCTGGCACGCGGACACCTTCCTCGGAGTGGCCGACCGTCTCTCCAACCTCACTTGCTTCGCCAACTTCAGCGAACGCCACGAGGACATCATCAGTATTCTGGAGTCTCGGCCGGCTTCCAGTGAGGAGAAGAAGGCGAATCAGATGTTCTTCGTGAGTAGAAGGCGGCGGATGAGCTTGCTAAACACGTTTCCATTTCTAGTTGCTCGATGAGAACGCTTTCAACAGAAATAGGACGAGATTCCTTTCGGTTGGAGATCTGAAATCCAAATATGGAGACAAAGTTGATGATGTGGCAGAGGAAATCGCCATTATTCTGAGAATTGTGAGAGCTTTACCCATATTTAGATAGAAACAAGCGCGTTTTGAGATGGAGAAGCTGTGGCACGTGTTCATGCCGGATTCTTACCTGAAATCCATATCGGGAGACTTTTCGAGAATGGACAGAATCATGGAATTGATGAATCAGTACGAGCTGAACAAGTTGCAGAGAAGGGCGTGGGCGGAGAAAATGCAGTCGAGACAGATGAAACATTTCTTCGAGGACGACTTCTACGAGGCACGAGAAAAGGACTGATTTCTTCTATTCAAATCCTGTTTTTCAGTCGTATTATCAGCCACTGATGAAGGATCTCGATGCGACTCTCGTCAAGCAAATTGACGAAGTTGAGGCCGATTGGCCCAAAGTCGAGTATTATTTGCAACGTGGAAGCGCTGGGAAAACGGGAGCGATAATGTTTTTCGGTGACGGAAAGAAAGAAAATCAGCAAAAGTTCGAGAAATTGATAGTCGAAATGCATGAATGTGCATCGGGGAAACTGAGGAAAGAAGCAGGGAGGATGCTGAACAGCTTCAAAAGAAGTTATCGGGAACTGCAGGCGGCCTACGGAAAACTATTCAAAGAGGAGCTCCCGGATTATTTGGAGAACTTCCAGTTCGGAAACAAATTTGTCAGCGACAACTTCGCAATGGTCAACATTTTCCTGCACAAGATGAATCTAGAGGTTTGGAGTCAGGACAGAACGTACGGATTCTGGAGTCTTGCTTGTGATATTGGTGGAGCGCTCGGATTGTTCCTCGGAGCATCTCTGCTCACGATTATCGAGATTGTGTACCTGTGTATTCAATATGGATTGTGCGGAAAACGCGCGAGAAACTTCAAGTGCCTTCCAATGTGAGTTTTGCCTAAAATTTATGAAAATGTATAAATAGTTCATTATTCAGGGATGCGGTGACTAGACAAGTGAAGAAAGTGGCGACTTGTTCAGAGTGTTGTCGGAAACAGAAGAAGTCAAGGGAACCGATTTATAAAAAGAAGAGTCAAAGCTACCAGAGAAGGTATTCATTCTCGACACCCTCTTCGCAATAAATTACAAACAGCAGATTTACGAACGAGGATGAAGAACAAGCGGAGAGGAACCGCTCAAGAACTTCCAGTGAGGATTCCAAAATGAAGAAATCCATCTGGACACACATGGGAGACGCCTCGGCTAATTCTACAATGACTCCAGCAGAAATCAAAGACTTTCTTGATCAAGTTCAGCGACATTCTCAGCCACCTGGATACAGTGAACAACATCTCCATCCAGGTTAGTTTTGCATCTCAAATCCTGTTTAAATTATGTAAGGAAAATAGTCATGAAAAGAGTATCTCCCATCGGGGTTTCTGGAACATCAAAAACATGAGAATTAGGTAAGCGTTCATTGATTGGGTAAAGAGCGAAAACAAGGAAAAAAGAACAACAATATAGAACAACATGTTTGGGTAAACAGGAGAGAAACGATCAGTGCTCAAGCGACAGTTTTGTTGAGAGGGTTACTTTGAATGTGATTGTAGACGGTCTGCGGGTAGTACGGATTGGTCGGGTCGAGCTCTTGCGGTGCGAGCACAGACGAGAAGGTGACAGGAGTGTTGGTCGGCTTCAGGAAGACGGTCGTCGACAAGGAGAACTGAGGGTTCTCGACAGACAGCACTTTGTAGAGAACGAGCGTGAACAGCAGGCGAACACTGATGAGCAAAGCCCAGAATCCAACAGCGAAGCAATCCTTGATTTGGAGCGTTTTATCAGAACTGAACATGTTGACCAGTCCGAGAGAAATGAAAACGAAGATGACAGCTTCGATCATGGCAGAGAAGATCAGTGGGATGATAGTACGGTGTCGGGCGGCAGCCAGTTGCAACCACATCGCCAACGAGAGCAAAAGGAACGACGCGTCACAATTCTTGTTTTCCGGGTTGCAAGAGAAGTAGGATAAAATAGAGATCAGAACAGCCGTCGTCGCAAAGATGTTGAGGCAGAGGTGCCCGACCTGGTTGAGGCACTTTGTGATCTCCTGCGTGGTCAATTCTGAAGCAAGGAATACAAGTAAAACATGATGAGAAAAACATTATCTACCTTGAAATGCGGAAATTCCGTGGCGAAGCAACAAAAACGACAGTTTGATCGAGTTTCGACGGTTCGTTCCTCGCATATTTCTGAAAACATCGCAAGTTCGTGGGAGAGAAGGAATCGGACAAAAACAAAGTTGCGAACAAGAGCTTACTGAAATAGTTATATCTTGAAACAATGAATTCTGAAAAACTTTGCAAAATCACGAGAAACCCCGAAAAAAAGTTGAAAAATCGGCGCTACAACGAAGTAGAACTCGCACGGAATGGAACTGTTACGATTTGGAACTCGCAGTTGTATTTTAATGTTGCGAGTTTCAAATCGTAACAGTTCCATTCCGCGCGAGTTTACTTCGTTGTAGCGCCGAAAAATCCCTCGGAAACAAAAAAAACAACTTTCAAAACCGCGACGCGGACTGCCGCGCCCGATTCTGCAAACACTGCGACGTAAAAGTTCACACTTTTCAAATTCTACAGTAGTCCCAAAAATTGTTTATTCATTTCACGGCAATTTTCTGGATGAACTATCGATAAAAAAGTGAATTATAAGCACAAATCATTTTCATTGCTGTTGTAATATTCTAGCAGACTGTCTCGAATATATCTTTCTCTAATCTGCTTTCGCATAAGTCTTTCGCATTTGTACAAATGGCTATGCTTCGCATTAGTCAGAGTTTGTAGTACAGAAAGAGCGAGAGGAAAGAGCAGGAGCTCGAGTGGGCTCTGAATGACACCGACTGACTTTGCGAAGCCTAAGTGATTGGTAATAAACTCGTAGAGAACTTCGGCCAGAACTGCTCCGATTACGTCTTCGGGACCATAGAAACGACTATAAACTTTGGAGGAACCGTAGGTGATACGAAGGAAAATATATAATACTAGTTGGGCAGTCGGGTAAATGTAGTTTGCGTTGACGGTGAGCAGAAGGAAAGAATAGGCAAAGGCAATAAACTCGAGGATTACGTTGAACCATGTCGTATTCGTCAGCTGCAGATTGCACGTCCTCAGGAATTCCTTCTCTTCTGAAAAACGAATGACATTTTGGGGCGAAAGGCCGAGCAAATATTACGTTTGAAACGGCAGCGATCCTCGAGAATCTCGTCCATTGGAGGGGTTCGGAGGTCTTGCAGATTCAGTTGCTCCATATGTTTTTTTCGTTTTTCATTGCTAGAAAAGAAAAGGTTAGAATGAATAGGAACTCAATTCTGGAGAGTCTAACTTCGTGTATACGGTGTATTCGATTGCAAATGAGAAGACGGTGAGGGTGGACGAGAAGACGATTGCGAGAATCACGAGGGGAAAATAGATCATTCTGAAATAGAGACCTCCTTTTGTGTTCTTTGATGTTACTTTCCCACATATGCTAAAGCAGACCGTATTGACACGTAGGTCTGTTTCTCTTTTGTTGTATTTCCATCTGCTCTACAGTATCCTTTTTCTGATTCTAACCTGATCATGGGATCTCTGTCGTTGTCTTCGTGCTCTCCGGAATTCGGATTGAAGCCGTCCTCGTCCTCCTCCACGTCATCCACTTCTTCCAAGCTCTCTTCTGCCACCTCCTCCAGCGGCACCGCTTGTCGAATATTCGCCCTTCTGCTCTTCTTCCACCTGACCATCACTTTCGAGACTTATTCTGGAAAACTGAAGCAGAACAGAATGAGAATGAGAAAAAGAAAAAAGAACGAATGGAAACGAAGCAAGAAATCATCGTTTCTCGAAGCAAGAACAAACACATAAAAGGGCGTAAGGGGAGAGAGAGAGAGAGAAAGGAAGAGGGAGCACGGGCCGCCCGTCATCGAATCTCGAGTAAATTCATTCATTCATCTGCAAAAACAGAGGAGCGGCAGAGAGACACAGACAGCCGGTGCACTATTGGAAGTGGCCCAAAAAGGGATGGTATGGGCGGTGCGAACGGGCGGCAATGATGATGATGATGAAGAGTCGAAAGAGCACGGCTGCGGCGAGCCATAAACGGCGCGAATGGGCCGCGCAGATTGGATATTATCCGTCCGTGACACGACAATGATTACGCGGAGTGGCGGCTTCGTTTTGTGTCCGAATGGAGAGTTGTTCAAATGTGTTTGTAGAGCGAGATAGGTGCGTGTGAACGGAAAGGGAAATCTGAAAAGAAAAACGAAAGGGAACATCTGCAGACCGCCCGACTCGGTTCGGTCGGAATGTATGCACTGTCGCAGTTGGGTAGACGTGTGGAATCGCTCATCTGTTAAGTTCTGAAACCTAAAATTTTACATTCCGGCACCAGGCTTTAAGTTGCACTTTTCAGAGGACGAGTACTACTATCACGACCCCAACTACTTGGCAGTTTCTCCTGTTCCGGATAAAGGGTGAGTGCTCGGCGCCTCTCCTTTTCAATGAGTCGCTCATTAAATTGTGCTCGGCTGCAAATTCCAACTCATTTCCAGACATCCGGACGAGAACCGCGAGAGCTCCACATCCGGCTACCACTCGAGTCCCTATGCTCCGCGAGGCCTCGAACCTCGAGACGAGTCGCCCCTCCCCGACACAGAACCGCTTTCGATGTCTGAAGTTTCCGAGACGAAAGCTCCGCCCCTTTTCCGGACACCTCCGCGAGAACGACGGGCGCGGAAGAGCGACGGAGTCGAGGACGATAAACAGTCATACGTGTAGATTATTTTGTCTTTCTTTTTTTGCAATTCTCTTCAATGAATCAATTCGTTCTGGGCCTGAAAGTATCTGAGAATCTGAGAATAGACGACGACGGCGGACAGAATGACGTGGATTTACGAGAAGAACAAACAGAGAGCACGAATCCTGCCAAAATTAAAGCCGTTATTGCAGAAAGGGCAGACGAGGACCGCGTCTTGTGATTCCTGGAAAGGGCGGGAAATTGAAACGGGAGCAAGAAAAAAGAGTTCGGAAGGAAAGGGAAAGGGTGAGAGAGAAAGAGAGAGAGAGAAAGAGAGAAGGAGCTGGAAGTGGGAGCTACTTCTCTTCTCACGCCTTCCCACAAGGTGTCTTATCAGTTGAATAGACCTCTAACAAGCTGCCCAGCAAGTAGTTTATATCCTTCGAATCGAGAAGAGTTCAATCCGAAAACGGGTGTCGATCATTAATTCATAACCGCTCACATGTCTGCCTGGCGGGCCCCCATATCTCAGCGCTCTCGGCTCTTTTCTCCCTACTTGATTTGTTTGTTCGCACCTGCTCTCTTTTTGTTCTTTTTTTCGATTGAGTCTGCCCAGAAGACGTCCGATTTGTACTTTTCCGTCTACTTCTTCTATTCTCGGATCGCTTCTGACTTTTGAGCATTCACGAGCTCCGTTTGATCCGTTTCTCTTCTCCTGAAGCTGTGAAGTGTGATGTTTGTAAGTCTAGCTTCTTTTTCAGCTGCGGTTGTTCATTGAAAAAATAGAGTCCAGCAAGTCAATCCGCAAGAAAATCAGTTAAAAAGATCAAGATACGCGGCGCTCCGTCATCACTCAGACATTCGGAGCTCTGCCCGTTCCGTCAGGCTCCTTCCCCTTTCCTTTCCATGTTCTCATTATCATTCTTTCCGTCATCTTAATGCTAATCGGTCTCGTTTTTCTCCGTCCTCTCGCACTTTTCAATTCGCGAACTCTTTCCTCCCCCATTTTTCGCTCTTTTTCTGTCGCCCCCCGCTTAATTAAAACATCCCGACGGAGCACGAAGAAGTCGAATGAGCTCAACGGAGCACAAGGATTATTTCTATTATTTCTTTCGTTTTGTTGCCGAACAGTTCGACTTTCTCTCTCTCTCTCTCGTCTGAATTGATGTTTCACCTGTTCACCGCCAAAGTCTGCAATTTCAATTTTCAATGCGGGAGCGCTCAATTTTGCAATGATCAAGTGAGCATCGCGCAGAGCTGCTCTCATTTTCATAGAATCTTTTATGTCGCTTCTTTTTTGTTCTCCTCATTTCCGCCGCCCTCTTCATCATCATCTACATCTGCATTCCAGAGTTTCCGGTGCCGCCCATCTTATGAATGAGAGCTACAGTATCCCTTCTGTGAGTTCTCTGCTCTTTTTACGAGCGCCTTTGATTCATTTCATTGTCAGCAATTGCTGCGATGTTCCGCCCTCGCATCATCCGTCGATGACTGGTCAGATGCTCTTCGAAACGTGTCACTTCCTGCCGCTCCCGCCCGCTCCAACGGTAAGTAATCATGAGGTAATCAGGCTGACTTTCCTCCCTTCCTGACATCATAATTCCGAGCTTTTTCAGTATCGCGATGCGCTGACGTCATCCTGCTCGGACCTCATCGAGACCGTTCTGGCCCTCCACTCCAACACTCTGGTCAGTGGTTTTCGCCCCGAAATAGATGTGATTCTCTGGTCTATCGGGGTGATAAAATGACGAATTGGAGAGGTGATAAGAGGTTGGGAAACTCATTAAAAAGTGTCTCGGAGAGCGAAAAATGTGGGAATGGGAAATTGGAAATTGAAAATCAAAAGTTAGATTCTGACGGGATTTGAAACTGTGCCTCAGAAGCCATCAGACTTGAAGAGCTCTTTTCCTGGACTTCTGACCCACACGCATTCATCCGATTCGGCTCTCAATTTGCTCTATTCTCAATCTTGGTACTGCGCATCTTCAGTAAAAGTTTCGGCCCGATTGGAGCATTAGATCTGGAGATAGCAGATCGTATATCCCTAGATTTTGTAAAAGAAGTGTGAGAGTTAGTCCCTAGGTCCCTATTTCCAGGGCCGGAGGCAGCCCTTCATAGTTTTCCCCCCGAAAACCGTATTGAATTGTATCGGAGAAAATTTGAAAAACAATTGTGGTGGCGCGTCGTGTCGGAAACAATAAAGAGAGGAAGAAGTGATAAAACGTCGCCAAGTGTTCTCATATTTTCTCGCCCCGCATGACATACACAGTACGCGAAGGAATCGTAATCGGAGTGAAACCCCCTCTCCCTCTCTCTCTCTCTGCTTCTCTCTCTCTCTCTCTCTTCCGATTCGTCTTCATCATTTCCTTGCCTGTTTCTGCTGCTCTTTTCCCCCATCCGTCCGTCTGATAATGCCCGGTTGGACGAGCTGTTGGTTCTGTCGACGGAGACGCAGAGACCGAGACGAATCGGTGAGTAAACGGATCCCTCCGAGAGCAAAAAGTTCCCCTTCCGATGGTAATCGATCCCTCTCCGGGACCTTCCCACCCGCTTTCCGATCACTTGTTTTCCCAGAATCATCTTCTACTTTTTTACCAAACACCACCACGTCATACTCATCTTCTGCCACGTTACCCTCAAATCCTACTGTAGCCTTTTCCGTTCCTGCACACGCAATCTGACGCATTACAAAAGTCATTTCTTCATCTCCGAATATTCCAAAGAATAAGGTGTGTTTTTACACTTTCCGCCCACCCGATTATGGGGTACCTTTATGGGAAACCGATAGAAAAGAGCTGCATGAGCCCATTCTCACCTTGTTCCGGCTCACGGAGCTGTGTCTGACCTCACCAGTTCATCAGAAACCCTTTTGGGATTCAATTCCACTTTATTATCCGTCAATTGAGCTGAAACTTTGAAACTATGAACTTCAAGAGCTGGATTCTGATTCGTAATGTTCTTCGTTTAATCGAACGACTCCGGAATAGGAGGAACCAGGTTCGTTTTGAAAATCAGAACTATTAGATCACTCACTAAAAGTGCACTTTATCACTCATTTGGGGTTAAAGGCTAAAAATACTTTTGCAATAGCTCTCGTTGCTCTTCCATTTTTGTGTCGCTTATCTCCATGGCGTCATCAGGCTTCTTCTCCCCCTCCTCCTCCCTTCGATTACCTTCTGAGCCATTAACTCGGAAGAATGGGCGGCTCCGTGCGCCCCACCAGAACACTCTCGTTCTTGCTCCAACTCCGGCTTTTCTTCCTTCTTCATCACTGATGATTGACACTGATTTGTCCTCGTTTCGGGCCCATTAATCAATTAGGCGACCAGAGAAGGTTGCACGTAGGTCCCGGCTCCATTCACTTCTACACAATGTTGTCCCGAAAGCAGAGACGTCAGTCGAGCGTCAAGATGAGTACGGTGGTGAGTGACGTGGCAAAAGAACCGAGTTCAAACCACTATGACCCTCATTCTGACGCAAAAAACAAACGAATTCGGCATCGAGTGAAAAACGACTGAAATTCGTCCGATTCCAGTTTGATTCCGCTCCGCGCCGCCTATTTTGCATATGTTTTCCATGTCGTCGTCGCTCTTTCATTTTCGATACGAACAACTTTGTATTACCCCCACTCGAGTGTTATGATATTCCCTATCGGCTTCCCGATGTCCCGCACTAAAAAACGGGAGGTAATGGATGGGAAAACAGACGGGATTCTTGAGAAGAACAACATTGAGTTTCAGAGTGCTCAGGAGGCTGTTTCTTTGCGCGAAGCAGCGGAACGACGGTCCCAATTCGCGCGGTTCCCGGCACGTTCCGTCTCCGCACCGCCCCGCAAAAAGTGGTTCCGATCGAAGCAGCAACTAGCAGGTGAGCATCTTACTTTCCTTTCTCTCTCCCTCTCTCCCTTTTTCTTTCACTCTGATTCGCATGGTACTCGTCGTCTTCTGAACTTGTCACTCATTTCACATTAAGTCGGGTACTTCTATCACTCCATCTTCCGTTTCCCATTCCATTCTCATTTTCCTGTTCCTTCAAACGTTTCCTTTCCTTCTGGCAATTCCAGTTTTTTCCTCACCGGTCGCATACTTTATTACATTCCAAAAAAGAGCCATCAAGTGGCATTTGAGGCCGCCCATTCTTTTTTGTTGTAAAAAGGCGCTTGACAAGCTTATGTATTCTGTTTTCAATTCTGTCTAACGTCGTTGAATTCGGTGAGTTCAGATAGAAAGGCAAAGATTTGATCTGACTGACGTCGGCACGTTTTCCATCCATACATCTTCCTCCTCCTTCTCCTTCTCCTCCTCCATTCTTTTCCATTCTGTCCCCTGTCAAAAGTGACGATTTGTCAGGCGCCACCGATGGAATGGACGGCTCGTCGCGCGCCGGCTCTCAGGAGGTCGTCTGCGATGAATTCACCAAGAAACTGGTGGCGGCGATCACCACGTGGCACGACATCCACTCCTCTCTTCTGCAGTTGTCCATCGGTGAGCATCCTGCACCCGCTTTTGCATGCGCCTACCGAAAGAGTTCTCCTTCTAACCGAGCATCCAGCATGTCCTTCTCCCACTCACTCGAAAACATCTCTTGATAGCAGTCTATTCATTCCGAGTGTCCTAAATGGAGCAGAAACACATTCTGATAAGGCGAGAAGCAAACAATCGGTGCTCCCCCTACAGTACCGGTCCCTGATGCTTCCGCACGCCCTTCCGCGCCGACGACGACTTCCCCGTTTTGTTGTTGTTACCTCTCCGCCCGCACGTTTGCCCTTCCTCCTCATTCTTCCACTGTCATCAGAATCCTGACGTCAAATGTGTCCTTCGCCGTCCATTCTTTCTTTCTTTCCCCGCAGTTTGCCAACGCCGCCGCTTCATGCCGCTCATTGCGGATGCGCATTTTTATGCGCGCATCATCGTCAAAGATTTTCATTAGTTAATGAAAAGAGCAACAGAAGACGTCGCAAGGGCTTCTGGAAGACGCGCTTTACGACCGTGTCGTTGAGAAAATAATTCAACAAACATTTCCGAAATTCACGTTTCCACGCAGAAACCGAAAACTTTGAATTTAATTTGGTTTGCAGAACGCTCGTCGAACGATTCGAACGAAGACGACAATGTTTCGGAGTCTTCTGAATCCTCGTGGTCTTCTGAATCCGGATCCGATTCTGACGATGAGAACGGAACGAAAGGGAGCTGCAGCAACCATTTGTCCGCTGCGGCCGCCCGTTTCTCCATCTCCAATCCTGATTTGACCAACTGTCAGATCAAGCAAATGTTTCCAGAAATGGCCGATCATTGGAGGTATTGAAAAGGTTGAGAAGAGTTCAAAAGGATTACGGTAGCGTCAATATGGCGTCATTGAATCGCTGGTTGTGAAGGGGCTTCCCGTGCCTATATAAAAAGTCTGGGGAGAAGCCCGCCAAAAGAGCCCTCTTTTGTTTTGTGCTCTCCCGTCCGTTACAGTCCTCGATCGGCTCCCCTTTTGGCCCGTTTAACACGCGTGCTCCGCGCCGGAAACCAACGGGAAATGCGGAGTAAATCTGTGCGAAAGAGATCGAAAGGGAGAGAGTCACTTTGACGACGGAAATTGCACATCACCGGGACGGGCTGCTGCTCTTCATAATGCTCATCGTCACATGAGTGCATCACCGACTTGTTCCGGATTAGAGCCCTGATAGATATTGCAACAGAGCCGTGCTCTCCATGGAGCACACCCCACACAAAAATCTAATATCCGAGAGCCGAGAGCCCCTCCATTTTCTTGCCCCCTTCCATTTTCTTTTCCTTTTCCTCCTCGACACCTGGCCGCAAAGGGCGATTGGATTTAGCCCTCGGCGCTCCGGCCGGTCGCTTGTGCTGATCTGCACAGAGAAAAGATAAGAAAACAGAATATGAGGAGGAAAAACTAAAAAGCGAGCCGAATTTTGAAATGCATGAGTTGTGCCGGCCATGAGACTAATGGGCTTCGAGAATGGATTTTTCCTCTTTTGCCCCTTTTTAGTCGTTCAGACTAAGCATACTCAACTTCCTTCGCAACGTTTTCCCTTTCTTAAAAATTCGAATGACGTCATCACTCATTTCCACGTCATATTCCTTGAAAACATGGAGAGAGAGAGAAAGAAACAAAAAGTAGCGAATGCCTGAAGGTCATCTAAATATCTGAGAAGTCTCCTCACCTTTTACTGATCAGTTTTCACAAATTTAATTCGATTTCGATATTTAGAATTCCAAAAAACTCTATCCGAAAGCTCTTCAAAAGGTAAACTCTGCCTCGAGCCTATTTTTAGTTCGCCCAAAAAAGAAGAATCTTTTGACGTCTACAAACACTGACTTTCCACGTCGATTCGTATCAGACAGAGCGTCTCTTTCTCACAAATTTATGCGATTTCAAATGAAATTCCGAGGTTTTGAAGTCATTTCCGAGTATTTCTGTGCGTTCGATCAGTCATCATGCTCTCGAGAATAAGGTAAACCCTAAAAGTTTCGGGTTTCTACAGTCGGTTTATCCTAAAAGTCTGCCGGCAAGTAGTGAACAAACCACGTCGCCGTGCCCTTCGGCCTTTCGTTTCGAACTTTCTCCGGTGGAGATGAGTCAAAAGCAGGAAAAGGAGTGGCGGGAAGCGAGTTACCCTTTTCATTTGCGTCGTTGCTCATTTCCTCCTCATCTTCTTCATCTTTTGCCGGGCTTAAAACAAGCCATCCCCCCTTCCTGCGGCCACCAGCTCTCGGAAAGGGGCGGAGTCGCTGGTCTTGGACGGATTAACGTGTAATGGGGGCGCGACGTGAAGAAGAAGAAGAAAAAGAAGAAGAAGGAGCCAGAGAGAGCCTGCTCGTCGTGGCGCCCCGACCGAATTAGATGTCCTAATATCATTCTCTCTTTCTCTCTCTCTCTCTCTCCCTTATCTTCCCTCCTCATTTCCCTTAATAGTCTTATCCTTGGTGTCGTCAGAAGATGATGACGGCGCTGCGGAAGAACAGCTCCACGGAGGACACGTTCCTTCCGACGAACAGTCCGTCCGGCCTCAAGAAACACCGGAAAAAGAAGAAATCGATCGCCGAAGCTCAGTCGAATCCGGTGTTCGTCATCTCCGCGGAGCCGTCCGGACCCTCGCCGAGCACCTCTCCCAAGCCACACAAACGGAAGAAGCGGAGTTGGAGAGGGGAAAGTGCGGCGAGGAAACTGAGCGAAGCACTGCCGGCAGCACTCAGAAGTCCCACGCAGATACTGAAACGGAGCAAAAAGCCACTGGGACCGAGTCTCAGCTGGGATCCGGAGCACAGGAGTAGATCCCCGTCGATGACAAGGAGCAGGGTGCACTCGGATGGAAGTTCAGAGACCGGAGTAGTTGTGGACGGGAAGAAGGAAGAGGAAGACGGAGGGATCGTCGAGGAGCCGAGGTTCGAGCTGGAGCTCACTTGTGTGCATTGCGCAATGACCGCCGATCACAGGAGGAGAATGCTCAAGGTGGGTGATTGATAAAGTTAGAACTACGCTCCGATGAACCAAAGTTTCGTTTGGTCGAAAAATAGTTCTTTTTGTTTCGGACCGGAAATTTGATAAGTATTTGCGTCATTGGTCTTCTTCCAATAAGTTCAATGGAGCGTGGTTCCTCTGTCATCCAAATAACATACTAGCCTTGCACTCATTCATATTTTTGGAAGCTTTTTGTGTGCTCTGTGCAAGTACGATCAGACAGAATAAGCCTGACCTTTCGACAAGTTCGCCCATCTCCCTAAATCCACAGGATTACGGATATCTTCCCCTCCCAGTCGTTCTTTTTTTTTCCTCTTTACTCATAGTTTTCAGACGGAAATCGAAAGTGCCGTCATGCGTCTGGCTCGCCGTCTCGGCAACGGAAGAAGCGGTTGGCGGGACGAGAGTCCTTCCTCGTCGAACAATTCGAATCCGTCGATGACAACCGTACACAGGCACACGATCAGTTCGCATCACAGAGGAACGACACCGGACATCGTGGTCTCGTCGATCAGTTCGGACGAGGAAGATCACAGTGTGGACAGGTACACAAGCTCCGAACTTGGCAACTCGCTGCAGACGTCGGAGGCAAGGTGAGAACTCGCATTCTGTTTTCGCGTTTCCGTCCGACTCCCAGTTGCGTGTTATGCGATAATCACTCTCAATCGAATCACACAAAATGCAACATGATAGATGTGCTCTCCTTCTCTGCGCCCTCCTCCACGCCCGTGCTCTCTCGTCGCTCCGGCTCAATGTCACAGCTCTTTTTATTATTTTCTGGTGCAGTGCCAGCCCGCAAACGGCTGTCGGTGGCCAACGGATTAATACTTTTTGAGGGGACAAATCCCTGAAAGAATTAATCTCAAACAGAGCATCGTCGATGCGTCGGCTCGGAAAACGGAGGGGAGTCGCCCGTAATCCGAATCGACTGGGCTGCGGAGCGACGGGGGAAAAGGGCTAAAAGTGCACAAAAGTTCTCGGAAATAAATAGAGGGGAAGAAAGGGATGAATGAGAAATCTTGGGGAAAGGTCGGGAAGATGCAAAACGGCTTCTCGTAAACAATTGAGCACATTCATTCTGTTGTTTTGTATGCTCGATCTAGAACTGCGAGAGCTGAAAGTTCAGACATTCAAAAACATGTGGTAGCACTAAATATAGAGCTCGACTCTATATTTAGCACTTCTACATGTAATCTAAATATTTGAAAAGGACCAGCCTCCTTCTCCTCCAAATTTTCCTCTTTACAGCTCACCCGGCTCTTCGGCATGCACCAGTCCAAACCTGGCTCGCAACGGAAATGAGATGACGTTCGACAGTCCGGGCTCCGATCAGTTGACGCCCCCCTCGCCCCTCCGACTCCAACCGCCTTCTCTCCTGTCCCCCTACCCCGATTCAGCTTCCCCTCCCCGCTCGAACTCTGTCGACTTGTCCACTCTTAGGAGGGACATCGAACTGCTTTCCGTCTCTTCCGGAGACTCGGACATCGCTTCCGACACTGACTTTGAACCGCCCACGCCGGCCGAATCTGTCCGAACGTTTCGATCCAAAAGCCACGATCCAACAACCAGCGATTCGGTGCTAAGACGGCCCAGTCGAATCATACACCTTTCTGAACTTTTCAGGCTTAGAACACTATTCATTACAAAGAGTTGAACATCATTTTTTCAGAAAAGCGCTTGCGAAATCGCCTGTTGTTCGGAGGACTGCTGCTGATCAGGAGACGAACAATCCGGTGAACAAGCATCGGAGTAGTCGGTACTGGATTGAGGACGATGTGAGTTTGTTTCGCGAGCTGTTAAAGTCATGGACCCTTAAACTGCCCACTGTTTTGCCCCTTGGTCACACAATTGACCGTTATTCCTACATTGTGAACAGGATTCGGAGAACAATAGATTTATGTCAGAGGAAAAGACAACTGGCTTCAAAAACCTCCGCACCATATCTTACGAAACGATGTGCGTTTCGTGGCGGGCGTCTCCGAAATCGAATAGTTACATATAAAGTAAAATACAATGATGATCGCCGCATGAGTAGTTACTCAAGAAAATAATAAATAGGTTAAGGGCACAAACAGTGTGCAGTTTAAGGGTTCATCACTTTAACAGCTCGCGAAAGTTTGGAAATATAGAAACAGTATCGGGAAACACGAAATGTGGGGCTTTGCAGGGCGACTACCACATCCTCCCTTCCGAGCACGTGTGGCTGCCGTCTGCTGCAGGATCTTCCGCTTCGGCCGATTCGGAGTGTTACGTGGGAGAGAAGGATTGTCGGAGATCCGGAGAGAAGAGGCGTTGTGCCGCGTGTCACATCGTCGCTCACACCAACTGTTTCTCACTTTTGGCCAAATTGAACCTGAATTGCAAGACCACTTTCCGAGACTATGCGACAAAGAAGACGCCTTCGAAAGAAAGCACGGACGGTTTGACCGCCCATCACTGGGTGCACAAGTGGCGCCACGAGGGACGGTGCAACACGTGCGGGAAGTCATTCCAGCAGAAGATGTTTTTTCAAGGCAAGGAGAAGAAGGAGACGATTGCGGTGACGTGCTCCTGGTGCAAGGAATCCTATCATTTGAAGAACTGCTTTGCACGGGACAAGCTCGAAGAACGGTGTCATCGGGGAGCGCTCAAAGAGATGATAGTGCCGCCCACGTGGATTCTGAGGCTAGCCAACAGAAAGAGAAGTAGTCGGGCACCATCGCACCCGAGAAAACACAAAAAGTCGCACAGGCAGTTTGTGGTGAAACCGACCGACTTGTGGTCGAGTGGGCCCTCGCAACCTCTGCTGGTTTTTGTGAATCCGAAATCGGGAGGAAACAAGGGATCGAAAGCACTTCATACTCTCTGCTGGCTTCTGAATCCGCGACAAGTGTTCGATATAACTTCACTGAAAGGACCAAAGTTCGGGTTGGAAATGTTTCGGAAAGTGGTCACGCAGCTGAGAATCCTAGTGTGCGGAGGAGACGGAACCGTCGGATGGGTTCTTTCCACTCTGGATAACGTGAGAGTAAACCAATTTTCACTAGTTTATGCATCATTTTCAGCTGAACTGGCCCGCGTATCCTCCGATGGCCATAATGCCGCTGGGAACTGGAAACGATTTGGCGAGGTGCATGGGATGGGGAGGAGTGTTCTCCGACGAGCCGATGAGCCAGCTGATGCAGGCGATTCTGCACGAGACGACAGTCACACATCTTGATAGGTAAGGCTTTTCTTTTTTCGTTCATTGTATAAACGGCGTTGTCCTTCAATTCATTATTAAATTTAAAAGAAGAAGAGAATCAAAAGGAATTCCAGATGGCGGATTGACGTGGAGCCGAACACGATGTGCAATTTGGAGGACGAGGACGACGGAATGCAGTCGGCTCTTCCGTTGACAGTCATGAACAACTACTTCTCAATCGGGGCAGATGCTCACGTGGCACTGCAATTCCATCATTCTAGAAGTGAGATCAATGTGAACATTAGTCTTTTATCAAACACTTTCAGGCGCCAATCCGCAAATGCTCAACTCTCGTCTCAAGAACCGAATCGCATATGGAGGACTTGGTACAATCGATTTGTTCAAGAGATCATGGAAAGATCTATCGGACTACATAACTCTGGAATGTGATGGAGTGGATGTGACACCCAGGATCAAAGAGCTCAAATTGCACTGCATTCTGTTTCATAACATCAATTACTACGCGGGAGGAACGATCCCATGGGGCGAATCTTCCGACTCCAAACCGAGTTGTTGCGATGGAAAAGTGGAGGTGCTCGGGTTCACCACTGCTACTCTGGTACGGTATTCCGATTGTCTGTAAGGATAACTTTTGTTTTTCTAGGCTGCGTTGCAAATGGGAGGGAAGGGAGAGAGAATCGCACAGTGCTCAGTGGTGAAAGTGACGACGAATAAGGCAATTCCGATGCAGGTCCGTGAATTGAACAGTTCAATAACTGCAAACAAGAAAGAGTTCAGGTCGACGGAGAGCCGTGTCTTCTGGCCCCTTCGATCATCACTCTTGGATTTCACAGCAAAGTTCCGATGCTGAAAAGAGAGAAAAAGACGCCGTGCACTCCGAATCTGATGAGAAGGGGCACGAGATACGGTCAGAAGGACTCGCAGGTTCAGTCCACTTCGCTCATCATCCAGCTGCCGGTCATTGTGGTCGGAAGAGCTGACTATGATACGTATAAGGACTGCTTTGAGAGGCTCAAAGACACTGGTGAGTTTGGACATAGTCTATGATTGACATTCTCAATTTTCAGCCTATGAAATTGGAATAGTGAATGTTGAGTCGGAAGCTGAGCTCGATTCAGCTCGTGTGCTCATTCAGCGTCTGCTCGTGGAGCACAACTCTCTACCCTATGAGCCCGACAAGAATTGGAGATTCCTCGACTGTGAGACTTCTGCAAACCCTCCAAAACTGAGCCAATTCATTTCAGACGTCTCAAATGCGGAGGAGGGGACGTTTCGAGTGTCCCGGCAGCAGGAGCACGTGCAGAGCGTCAGTGATGTCTGCAATACCGACGAATGTTTGCTCATTCTCGATCACGCTTTTCCGTCGATCACAGACCGGGAAGCCGTCGAACTCTTTCAGAATCAGCCGGCTCCGTGAGTCATCGTTCCCTCTGATCCATCCGATCATCGTCGTTTTCGTTTTCAGATCAGCAACGGCTTCTTCCAGCGCTCCCCGCTATCACAACTCGCGTCGCATTTCCGAAACGCTGCGGATCGTTCTCAGCTCGGACGCCCAAGAGACTCATTTGTAGGAAGGAAAAATGTCTTTCTGTCACTTATTCTCACGTGCTAAATCACATTTTTCGGAAAACTTTCTGTCGTATTTATTGGTCGAATTGTCAGGAAACTTTCGCAGTTTCTGGATGATCCGACGACTTTATCTATGTTCTGCTTATAATTAGGTGAAATGATTCGGAATAACTTGAATTTCTATTCTTTTGCATCGAGATCTCGTAGCGGTTTTTGTCTGGTACTCTCTATTTTCTCCCCTCAAACGTATTCTTTTTCAATTTTCCAGTGTACTTGGAAAAGCTACCCGTATTTTGTATATTACAATTCAATGTCTTGTGATCATGATTCCTTATTTATTTCGACGAAAATGTTTTTGCTTTTATATATAAATGATTGGAATGGTTAATTGGCTGAATAAAAGATAGAACAGAGGAAGTGATAAGTTCACCTCCAGACATTCTGAGAACAGCATCTGTCGATGTACTTGATCGACTCGTCGATCATCAGTTTTATGGATTCCAGCACGGCACACATTGCCACGTTCCCGAATCCATGGGTCATCTGCAAACGGACAGACATTGGCGGACCAGCAGAAAGAGAACCGACCAGGGTGAAATGAGACAAGTGCTGTTGCACAGAAGGATCCATCGGGAGCATGTTGCGGGGGAAGTACGGAGTCAGTGGAGTTCGGTCACAAGTCAAGAGCTCCGCGAGCTCTCCGACCACCTTCCTGCTCATTTCCAGGGCCGCTCTTCTCTTGACCACATCTGGATCTATGGCCAGAGAGGCTTTGGTCAGGAAGATTCCGATCTCTCGCGAGTGGAATTCTTTTTCGCAGACGAGTGCAAAGTCCTTTGCCATATGGATGGCTTCCTCTGTAAACCATCGAAGATCAAGACGGATACCTAGTAGCAAATTCGTGAAAACTAGAAGAATGTTCTCTCAAAACAACCGTAACCACAAACCTTCGACGAGAGCCGTCCACGCAGTCACGTTTGCCTGCTTTCTCCTGCCCGCCGGAAGAGTCAATCCGAGCTTTTTGAGCGAATCCCTCAACGTTTTCCCACCGTCCTTTGACTTTGCCCTGCAATTTTCCGCTTGTATTGGCTCTTCCTGCACATTCACTTCCTCACTTTCTGAGAATTCCGCCCAAAAGCGACGCGTTTAAGCACTCGGGCGGACTGATTCTTCTCTGAATCTCAGCTACTGTAACCCGGTACTTTGTGGTCGAACTCAAAAGACTCGTTCGTCCGGGAACCGTGCAATAGACCTCTCCGACAATTTCCAGAGGCGACGGACAGTCAGCGGCGAAGAAAACGAACGGACGATCCGGCTTGTTGGCCACTTGATCTGAACGAATACTCTGAATGTTACTGAGGAAGCCTTTGTGGTTACTGTAGTTCGGTGCGTTATCTCTGTCCTCGGGCTTCGGAATACAGTAATCCACTTCTCCATTCCCTTGGTTTCCCTGCTGTTGCTGCTGAGAATTGAAAAACTGCTGAGAGCCGCTGTTCCCGGGGAAATCTCTGGCATAACTGAACGTGCTCACGCCACAGACGGGCGGCTGAATGAGATGCGGGGGATACGGTATGTCGTAGTGACAAGAGATGTGCATGTGCGACGGAGCGAATGTACGCATGTTTTCGTACTGCAACATTGAATGGATAGACTGGAAAAGGGGGCGGGGCTCACGAATGGGGGCCTCTGCGAGGACTGCTGCTCCTCTTCCTCGTCGCATTGCGGTCCGCGCACGAACTCATCGTCCGAACATTCCATCAATTTGCGACCAAACATTCTGTGAAAGGATAACAGTTGTCGGATCGGATCGGGGGAAAAAGCGGATTACGATAACAAGGTTGCGCGGTCTACCGTAACTAGACTTTTTCTGATTTCTTAACAGTTTCAGATGACATTCCATTTCTGAGTCTGTCCGGTGTTACAGAAACCGACATGGAAGCGGACTTGTTAGGATCAAAGTATTAGATGTAGATGCCTATTCAGTTTTACAACTAGCAAAGAGGGAAACGAGAAGAGAGAGTGATATGAATGAAAACATGAAGACAATCCAAGATAACTGAGGATCAGCCGAATGGAGCACCGTCTAAAGTGGTCTGGGCTCCGAGAAGGGAAACAGAAGTGTGGATGCGAGCAAATGAAGAAGGGGGGGGGGGGCTGGACAAGGCGGCAATATGAATTTTATTAAACGTGAGAGCTCGTGACGGAGGAGAGAGCATCGGATTTGCTTGCTCACTTCCACTTAGGATTACTGTAACTCAAAGAGAGTGGGACGAGCTTATTGCAAACTGGAGGGACCCTGTTTTCCCGAAAAAGTTGGCAAATATTTGAGAGGATACGGAAGGTTTTTTTAAAAATGTAATGTTACGAATCGACCATGTGAGGTAGGGAAGTAGGTCTACAAGTGTACCACAATTTTGATTCCTCTATTGTTATCAGGCAAGTTTCCATCTTTTCTCCAGGGCTTGGCAGAAGGTCGTCGAAAGTGTGCCGAGGCCTGGACTTTTCGCCGACATGCAATAATCAGATCTCATCCAAACTTTGCAATCTTCTTGGACTTAGATTGAAGTACCTCGGGTCCACGTTTCAGACAAATCGGATAATCTCGTCCGGCGATATACTGGTTTGAGGCCAAAAATATCGGGTCTCTGTGAAAATTGTCCAGCCCTGCTTTTCTCGTAAAACTTCTTGATCTCAAGCGCTCTCCGCGCTCGATTGTTTTCATCTTTCGCCCGTATTTACTGATCCTAATGTCATCTGCAGATGTCACTTTCAATATTTCCAATCTCTTCAGATAATTATTCAAAACCAGCTTAATTCTACCGGATTACCGACGGAAGCGCACAAGCTTCCCTATTTCCGAGTGGCCAGAGGGAAAGGCACAATTGAGTTGACTGATAATATTTTGTGTTTTAGAAAGAGCACTTTCATTCCGAACATTTTATTGGTTATCAGTCGGCATGATGACTTTCTGACTCGAAGTTGTGTATACATGTTTAGAAGGGGGTATTGTTAATAATACGATTTCATAAGAATCCGAACAATATGCTCCAGTTCACATTTTCCTGAAATCAGCCTTGGAGACCCTAATTCCGGTACTCATTCGTATTGTCACTCACTCATTTCCCTTCTCCTACACCCCTTCCCCCCGTTTCCCAAGGTTGTCTGGGAGGGTGCTTGGCCCGCTCCTCGCGCACTCCGTATCTCAAAACGCGTCAACCCTCTCGCCTGACGTACTCGTGATTTCCTTTCGATTTTCAGATACTCTAAGATACATATGTTTGACTATAAGTAAAATGTTCTGACTTCCCTCCCCATCGCTCATTTTTTATCGATTTCCTGCCGTTTGTAAATTTTGTTCATGTTTCAGAAAATGACCGCTGAGCCGGATGAACGGACGTTGTATCGTCTGGAGATTCTGAATCGATTGGCGAAGAAGGAACGACAGCAGATGGGCGTCAAGTCGATGTTCATGAACTATGCGATGCTGGACGATCGGCTGCAGAGGGCTCAACGGTCCCGCTCGGTTTCTGTGAATGAGGAGCAGTCGATCGTCAATGGAAATGTGAACGGTCGGCTTGCCGTTATGAGAGAGGAGATGGCGAATGTGTACAGGTTGAAGAGCAAGAACGATCAGGATCTGATAGATGCGAATCGGAAGTTGGCGGACAGCGAAGCACGCTACAATCTCGTCGTTTCGCAGAGAGACAAGCTCAGACTGGAGACGGATAAATTGATGGAAAAACTGAGGTTACTGGAGGTTTGAAATACGCAAAGCGAGCATAACTGTCCATTATTCTCTGTTACAGGTCGAGGCTGCAGAACTGAAAGAGCAAAACTCTTCGATCAACACGGAACGAATAGCTCTTCTGGCGGCGTGCAATTCCCTGACGGAGAAGAAAACTCAGTTAGACAACGAGAGATTCCAGCTGATGAACAAGATCAGAGAACTGCAGGAGAAGTCTGCGGACTATATGAACGCAGAGGTGGCATTGCAAGAACAACGGGCTCAGCTGATTATTCAAGAGCAGATTGCGAAGGCCACTGCAGAGCTGACATTGACCGACGAACGGGCTTCGTCGGCGTTCGGGATGTCTCCAGATGACGAGTTCATGATGACTGATGTTCTTCCGACGGAGATGAAGTTCAAAATGACAGCTCACGAAGGAGAGGTCCACGACATTGAATGGCTCTGCGACGACACATTTGCCACTGCTGGAAGCGATGCAAAAGTACGGATCTGGAGAGTTTCCCCGAACAAAACAGACGCCACGAAAGTGTCCTCACTTGTCGGATGTCTTGGCCCGGTGAATAGACTGGACTATGACAGTCAAAGGCACGTCTGTCTCGCATCGAGCAACGATAAGACGTGCCGGTTATGGAACATCGACTCGCAGAGACTTTTGAGCACTTTCTCGGGCCACACAGACAAAGTCACTTCCGCAAGACTGTTCCAATCTCACAATGTGATCTCTGGCTCCGCCGACCGCACCATCAAGCAGTGGGACATCAGCAGTCTCCGGTGCATCAAGTCCTTCTTCGTCGGATCCACAGTATATGATGTCGTTTCCAAGTGCGGAAATTCTCAGTCTTCCTTCGTTTCTTCTCATTTCGACAAAAAGGTAATATCAACAACTGATTGCTTAATGTGGTACTTATATCATTATCTTTTCAGGTCCGTTTCTGGGACTGTCGGTCTGCGGATCCTTCGCACCTTGTGGAACTCGGGCACCGTGTCAGTTCACTCGATGTTTCCCTCGACGGCCTCCAGATTCTCGCGTCTTCCCGAGATGACACTCTCTCGCTCATCGACGCCCGTAACTACGGAATTTTGCATTTGTACTCGGCGGAGCAGTACAAAACAAGTTGTGACAACACGAGAGCGATCTTCTCGTCGACGGGGGAGTACGTGCTCGCTGGATCGTCGAACTCGTGCGTGTACATTTGGAATACAAAAACGACCAAGTTGGAGAAGATTGTCAAATCGGTCAGAGCAGAGTGAGTGCACTTTATGAACGATGTGAATTTCTGATGCTCACTTAAGCTTCTCAAGATCGCTATTTATTTCTGTTTTCAGTGCCAACCAAATCCTCTCATTGTCATGGAATCCGTCCGGACGCGGATTGCTCGCCTGCGATCGTCAGAAGACGTGCACCCTGTGGAGATGACGAGCTTCTTTTACATAAGTGTACATTCCTATTCGTTTGTGTTCATAACTTGTTCATATCGTTTCTTCCTCTCCCGCACACTTTCCCGTTGTTCCATAGTCTCATAAACTCGCATTCTCTTTCTTTCAGATCTTTCAGCTTTAATGAATGATTCGAACATTCTTTCTCAGAATCTTTTGTGGTTTCAGTGCTGAATGTCTGCTGCCACGTCATCTGTTATCAATGTTTTATGAACATACAACAGGGAAATTCTTCGTCTCCTTATCAGCTCGAGTGACGACCGACTTCGAAAGAGCCCCAGTTTCCATCAGTTCTCTCTAATTTCTGTTTTCCCATCCAAAACCTCAAATAGGATGACTTGAACCCCGGAAATGAAATGCACTGTTAGATCCGGCCACACGATTACTAAATGTTCATCTAAAAGTGAATCCTGACCTTATTCTATTCTTACCTAATCTCAACTTTTACGAACTTGTTAGTTTTCACATCTTCTCGAGAGATTCACGTGAAAGTTCCAAAGAAAACGAAAGAGACGCAGACGTGGAAAGAGCACGGAGTTGCTCTTTTCCATGACTCAAGCTCATAATTTCGCTTGTGCGTGCATTTTACGAACCTTTCCTCAGCGTATGTTGCTCCGCACGTATAATAAGCAGCAGTACACAACATAGTATTACTAATGCATTATATTATGAGCCGAGAGATTATTCTCGTATTTCTGAGCTCTTTGAGCACACCTGCGGGATCAGAAGACCACAAAGATCTCTATCAGTCTATTCTTTAGTAGTTCCTAATCCAAGCAGCGAAAGAAAATGCGCACTTTGTACTTTTATCTGCGGACAACTTCCGCGCGAGCAAACTTCTCTTTCCTTCTCTGAATTTCTTCGTTTTCTGTTAAGTACTTCTAATTAACATTCTATTCATCTCTGTGTCTCTCTACCTCCCACGCTATCATCCCTTTGCTTCTTCTCAATTTCTCTGCTCGCCTCTCTTTATCTGACAAGTTCCCTGACCGACTTCCAATCGCTGATATTGTCTCCGTCTCTTCTGTTCGCGTTGTCTCTCGTCGATTTCTTTCATTCTCTCACGCACTTCCCTCATTTTTACCTTTCTTTTTTATGTTGGCAAAAAGTTCCCACGTCGTCTGAAATCAGGCGATTTATTTCCGACCATTCACTATCATTTCTCCTAATTCGGCTTTTATGCATTTCGTACTTCTTTTCAAAAAAAAAAGCACCAATCCAATCACGTGCCCATTTCTCAATCACTAATCGAATTTCCATTTGGTCGATTTTGCAAAAGAATGCGAAAACGAGAAAATAGAAAAAAGTATCTGAAGTTGAATAGAAACGCTCGCCGAAGACAGTTTTCTTTTGTTTTATAGAAGCACGGACGAGAGACTGTTCATTTTGGCCCGAATGGAAATATTATAGGGGCACCGAATAGAAAGAGCGCTCTGTTCGCAATCTGGCCGAATTTCTAGTCCGCGAAGTAATTTTCCACTGAAAACGTGGCCTAACTTTTCAAACTCGGCCCCGAGCTCACTCAATTTGCACTGCAAAAAGTTTATCAATAGAGCGCCCTTTCTGTTCGGTGCCCCTATAATGCGAAAAAACACAGGCGCTCTTCAGTTTTAGTTTCTTACTTTTCCGTTTTTCAATGTCAGCTCTTCACTTTGTCAACTTTTTATATGCTAACGCGTCCATATTCCTGCCCTTACATGTCTCTGACCTTCAATGGAACCTCGACGCACCCTTCTCAGACTCTTTTATAACCGCCGTTCTTATCCTATCTGCCCATCTCCATATCGTCCGTCTCCCCTTCTCCGCTCATTCTCCTTATCAGTGATCACCTCTTCTTCTTGCCTTTTCGTCTCTGTCTCGTCTTCATCTCTCTCCCGTCCCCTCCTCTCATATTCATTCTATTCTTCTCACTACTCAACATGTCGACGGACCTTCTCTACGAATATTTCTATCCTCCATCCGACTACTTCAGAAGTCCCTTCGACGACATCCCGTCCCCAGAATCCTCCCCGTTGGACGTCGTTGATTCGTCGTCGCCGTTTGATTTGGAGCTCTGGAACGATTCACCGCCGCCGCAGCCGTTGTCGCTTCAGAAGACGTCGCCGTCTCCGAAGCCACATGTGATGGCGTCGTCTGCTGCTGGCAATCTGAGCTGCCACGTGTGCGCGTCTCCAACTGCGAATACTTTGCACTTTGGCGGCCGATCTTGTAAAGTGAGTTTTCCGATTTTCTTATGATTCGCTTTGCACTTGCATTCGCACTCATAGACCGAAAACAAGATTGTCATTGTGTTCTTCAAAAGTCTGAATGATAAGTGGTGGCGCGATCGAAAAACAAAACAAATTCTGTGACGCTGGAGACTGATAGTGAGACTGAGACTGAAGTGCATTATCAAGTTGTGTCTCTGCGGCCAATATGTTCCCAGTTCAAACATGATATCTTGACACAACATGTTAAAACAACATGCTTCCTTTTTGTGTTTTCAGTGCAATTTGCACATTTTGACTGCCTAAACAGTCATTTGTAGTGTATTTGTGCACTGTAAATATAGTCTGTTCGTGCTTGTTTTCTGCCAGGAAAACAACCTCATTTTGTGACCTGTGTCCGCATTTTGTGTGTGGTCTTGCGTGTAGCCACGATGATAAACCTTCTGATTCTAATTGACATCTCCACGCGAATCCCTTGCTGATGAGACGATCGAATCAATCAAAGTACGGTTTTCATTAGTAGTTCAATCCTGATCAACGTTTCGTATATATGCTAGCACCGGGGTGAATAAACAAAGAGAGTAACTGATAACTGGCGTATTGTTGCGCGTTTTGCGAGCACGAAAAGAAGGGGGTGAATGAACTATCTGCCTACGTCAGCGTTAAGAGTTCCGGCCCGGAAAACGTTTGTTTCATAATTTTCTTTGCAGGCATGCGCGGCCTTTTTCCGGCGCAGTGTCGCCATGTCGATGACTTACGAATGCATCGGATCACAGGACGATTCCGTGCCGTGCAAAATTCACTTCGAGCTGAGAATGCTCTGTAGACACTGCCGGTTCATCAAGTGCCTGGACGCTGGAATGCGCCGAGAATGTGAGTGCGATTGACTTCCGATCAGTCACATGTTTTGGGCGGAACATTCGACGGCATCAAAACAGTTGATTTGCAGTGGTACAAGCGAAAAAAGAGGAGGCGAGGGTGGCGAAACGACGGTCAAGGGGGCTGATTGTAGCGAAGAAGAACGAGGTGGAAACCACGTATGAGGAGTATGTGAATGCGTACAGTCATGGTTAGTTGGGAGAGGGAGAATGACTGTTTCCCAACTGTAATCAATTTTCAGAACCCACCCAGAAACCGGAGCCGGACACCCTCGACCTGACCATTCCGGAGTCGTACTTGTCCCCGGATGTCTCCGCTTCTTCCTCGCACCCAGTCGAAATGTCCATCTCACTCTCTCCGCCGTCGCCCGTTCCTTCTGCTCCGTCCAGTTTCCCAATGATTTCTCGGACGGTCTCGCATTCCCCGCCATTCGATCCGCAACAAGCGAGTACCAGCCAAGGAATGACTCAGTATGTGCAGTATTATCCGATTGTTGAGTTGGACACCAAAATATTCGAGTTGGTCGATCACTATGTGAGAACGGAAGCGTCTCTGAACGATCGGAGGAAGATCATGTACACGGATACGCAGATTAGAGATGTGTTCGACATCACCTGCGAATGCGTGAGTCCTTCTTTTATGCTGCCCACAAAGCAATCAATTATTTCAGCCGTACGAAAGTTACCAGCTGAAACCTTTCGACTACAAAACTTTTTGCGGTTTCGTGAAACACGACTTCGTAATGATTCTGGACTACGTGAATCAGTTTCCAGAGTTCCAGTCATTGATGAAAAACGAGAAAAACGTGGTGTATCGGATGGCGTGTGCAGTTGATTCCATGATCGGATCCGCCTATTATACATATCGGTTAGTGCGTCTAGACGTTCGCAAATAATAAATCTAAGTATCTCTAGTGCTGGAATCGAGAAAGAACGACTGGTTCTGTTCAACGGAGACTTCATTTCTATGAATCCGAGACCGATGAGCGGAGACGAACCAGGCGCAGAAGTACACTTTCAAAGCCCTGGAGACCACGAGAAATACAAGTAAGCTTTGCTTTTAAATGATTGATTAACCGATTGAACTACAGAATTCTGATGCCGTTAAAGCTGAAACAATACTTCGACATGGCCGTGCCCTTCTCCCGGTTGGAAGTCTCTTTTGAAGAATTTGTTCTCCTCAAAGCGCTCACAATATGGCACATCAGCGATTACGCATTGACGGAAGACGGTCGTGCCATTTGTGCTCGTCAACGGGACGCCATTCTCCAGGCTCTGCACAAAGTGGTCGAGGAACGAGGCGACGAGGATCCGGCCATCCGAGTCGGCCAACTTCTGCTCAGCATGAGCTACATAACGGTCAGTTCTCCAGCTTTCGCACTTTATTATAAACTAAAGTATTTTCAGGAGCTAGTGCAAGCAATGACAAACGCGTACGTCCTACAAACGTTCTTCGGAATCGTCTCTGCTGACAGTATCATGCGTGATTTGCTCTTCAAATACTCCTGAATCTCTTGTACTCCAATTAAATTTAATCAGAATCTCTTCTTATCACAAGTGCCTTAGAACTTCTACTCATTTCCACATCTCCCTCTCCTTTTTATCTGTGATCCCCTCTCTTTGCCATACTCATTCCCAGATCTTGTCACCTTAAATTTTCCATGTTTTATCCATGTAATGTACATTATTCAAGTTCACTGGTTAGCTGCGAATTCGTTGATTCGTCCACATAAATCGGAAGCACAAAATAGTGCCATTGCGTCTGCGGAACGAGGTACGGTTTGTTCCAAAGCCGCTGCGAATCGACGGAGGGAGGATTCGGACCGATCGAGAACCATTCGATGAGCAGATTGTGATGGACAGTCGGTGAATCGGCACGCGTGCACTGCTCCACTTCGATCTGAAATCATTCGAACGTTTTTTCGATCCTTCCCTGGTCGGTCACCGATATCTCTTTTCCGGGCGGAATCAGAAACTTTGACGGATACACTTTGTAGAATCCGGTGGTGGAGAGAAGAGCTCTGAGGGCGAGCCACTCGCTCTTCTGATTGCTCTTCACATTCAGAACGGACAATCCGAGACGAGGAACGTGGAATGGCTGCAAAAAAGATTGAGAAAATGACTTGACGTCTTCCGGAAAATGCAAATCTGACTCTCGGATAAATGTAGATCATTTCGCTCGAATAGCTCTCGATCCTCGTCTCCGTCGACTGAGTGCTCAGAAGTGTTGCCACATGGCTCGGCGTCTCTTCGCTGCTCTGTTGCGATTCGTCAAAGTCTCGTTCGAGTTGGCAGAGCAGAATGGTTTGGAAGATGAGCAGAATGTAATAAACGACAATGAGAATGTGTGAGCACTAAAATGTTGGGAAAAGGAGGAAATTATCAGGGAAGAGGGTACCATAAGCTGCCAGATTGCTCCGTTGAATCTACAGTAACCCGGTTGCCGATCCTTGCTCCAAAGAGCGAATGTCGAGAGGAAAGTTTCGTAGACAAAGAGGGGAACTGTGAGCAGTTTGAAGACGGAAATAGCAAGACCGCCAGAACGGTTGATGACTCTGGTGATTCGCTAGAAAAGAAGATTAGAACGGATTCTCAACGGACTCACAATGTGGATATAGAATGAGAAGTCGAACACGAAGAAGACGAGAGGGAAAGAGAAGTAGAGAGACGGAGCCATTCCGGCGTCGAAGATCTGAACCAGCACACTCGAGGGTACGTCTCGAATGATGTTTGTTGAACCTGATACAAGAAGAGTTGTGGATTGACAAAGACTCCTTTCGGGTGATTCATGCACGTCTTCCGGAACGGAAAGTAAATGGTTATGAAGGAAAGGAGCAGGAACGCAGTCTGAAGAACTCTCGATTTCTCCAGGACTCATTCCGTTCTATCCATACTTTTCCCAGAAAAACCATCATCAATCGGCTGTCTTCTGCCACGTTCACATTGTCCACTGGCCAGATTCTAACGGTATATTTGTAGAAAACGGCGAGCAGACATACCACGACACACAGTCCGAAGTGGCCGAAAATGAAGTACAGCATCTGTCCGAAAGTCCACAAACCGGACAACTCGGCCGTTTTGCGATGGTCCTGAGCACAGATTCTGGCGGGAAGGGAAGAGAGACAACAGCAGTGCGTCTCTTTGTCTGAAAGATCGCAAGTGAGGAATGCAGCCGGAGAAAGGCAGAAAACAGACCATCTTCCAGGCACACTGATTCTTGCTGTGTTCTGTGAAGGAGCTCCAAACACGAGGAATTGGTCAGTTTCGTCGGCTCATCGGCACAATCAAATCGCTCCACATCGCCCTGGAAACAGAGCAGGTTAACGAGGAACAGAAGGCCCGGAAATCACTTCAGATGTGGTGTGAAAGTGGGAAAAACAGACGGAAGATTGACACTGATCATTGCCAAACTTATTGATGACACATCTGCCGAGAGGGTCGGAGGATAATATCCTGAACAGATTCTGAAGTTTGGAGAATTCAATTGAAACATACGATACACACAACGAAAAGAATACGATGATTTTATGCATTTGGAAGGGGTTCAAAAAGATGAATGCAGACATTCATGATTGAAACGTTTCAAACAAAAGTTCTCCAATGATAATCAGAAGTTCACGTATTTACAAAAGTTATCGGATGTAAAAAACAAAGAACATGTGAAACAAGGTGCGTTCTTTTTGGTCTTTATGTGATTGTTTTGTATGTGAAAAGTTTCGAGTATTTATTTGATGAAACACTTCGGATTCCCAACTGTAAAAGCTGGAAGTGGCACGGAGATATTATATTAATTCGGAGGAGAAATCACAATAACAAAGAATTATTAAACTTATTAGGGAAATGTTTTAAAAGTGAAGCAACCCATTTTGAATGAAAATATGTAAGACTGAAAGGAATAAAGCCAATTTTGGATCGGAAAGAAAGAGTATTTGGAATGTACACGCAACGGAAAGGTCTTCTGAGGAAAGAAAAACGGAAAGAACTAGGAGAAAACGGAAAAATTAGGGGAGAACTTGAAATCGAGGGCTCTTTTTCATTGAATAGCACAGAGCTCCGAAGGTGAGCGAGACTGCGAACAGGATGATTCCGAGAATGATCCAAAGAACGACGTAGGGCAGGCAGACGGCCTTGGAAGAGGAAACTTCGTGTGAGAGCCCAGAGGACTGCTCTTGCGGAGACGGAAGGTCTGTGGCTGAAAAGTCAATTTGCAATGCGTTCTGAGAAATGTTAGCTTACCGAATCCTCCATCCAGAATCGTGATATCCGATGAAACGTCCACATCCAACGCATCTCTTCTCTTGATTTCTCTCTTTGTCGTTTTGGGCTCTTCAGATGAAGTCATGTGCTGTGCCTCCGCGTGCGGTTCTTTAGAGAGCTCGAGTCCAGATCCTTCCACGTCATCATCCGCACTCAGCGTATTATTGTTCTTCCGTGGAGCTTTGAGCAACAAGAAAACTGGGTCAGGAGTAGGGAAGTCTGTGGGGAGAGTGACTGTTGTGGTCGGGTCGAGCACTCTGTGGACGGTTGTGGACGGCAGTTCCGTGGTTGTGGACGTGGTAGTTGTGGATGTTGTTGTAGAAGTAGTGGTGGTGGTGGATGTGGTCGTCGGGGCTTCGGAAGTCGTCGTCGACGATGGGAGCGGGGTGGTGATCAGTTCGTCTCTGGCCAGCTCTCTTCCAATCGGTTCCGATGAATCGTCAATGGAAGAAGCGGGGGCGTCACATTTCGGCTGAAAACTGTTACTATTCTGGTGATTTGTCGGACCAACTCACATGAATGCAGGTGTCACTAAGCGCCGCGCAAATTCGGATCTTGCAACTGATCTGGACAGTGTTCTGATCTGGAAAGTTGAAGGCCGCCGAGTTCACGAAGGCCTTCGTCCTGTTCTCGTTGTAAATGAGATTCGGCATAATGTAGACGTCTTCTGAGCATCCGTTCTTTCCAATGACCAACTTTTCGTTGAGTTCTCCGCCACGAGCTGTGCACTCGTAAACGGCCATCTGATATATGGAACTAGGACAGTCCCACACGTGGTAGAGTACATCCATGAGCTGTGCATACTTGGCGATCGGACCGTTTGGGGAATCCTTGTGGATGGTGTAGGAGCACACCGGATGCTCGGCCGTGTCGATCACTTCGACGGGCGTCGGATCACTAAAGTATTCATTATTGGCCTTGAGCTAAATTCTTCCTAAAGAGGGCCCAAATCGTAAAACAGTTTACGAGTTTACCGCCTCGACCGATTATTATTATAGAGCCATAAAAGCGTACCTAACGGAAACCTCTGCGCCCACTGCCTTCTCCGCCTCTTTGTAGAAGCAACGAAGACGGTAGGCTCGGTCGACTTTCGTGGTGAAAAGCGGATGAAGCTGGACGACGACGGTCATTGTGTAGGCCATTCCCTTCGGATTCACCTGGAACAGACAGTCTCCGAAGATCGGCCCGATCCCTTTCACTCACTTCTCTTTGCCGGGCGACATCGCATTTGGAGAATTCGAATGTGGCATTGGCGGTATTTGAAAACGAGCAGCCGTCCTGCAAAAAAAGCGAGTCTCATTTCGGTGACCGAAGGATGTTATTCGCCAGAGGACATTTTGTAATTACGCGCCTTGGAGAAACCACATACACACACACAATTCGTACCTTTCGGAAGTGACCTTTGACGAACACATGTGATGGTGCACTCTTTTCCGTGTTCACTTTCAGCGCCATGTAACCATTGTGGCACGAGACTGTCGGCTCATCTGCAAACGGATTCGGATGACGTCGATTCATGGCGGATTCGGGATTACCTAGTATATGATTGTCGAACTCGACTATGGATTGAGCACTGTGAATGAGAGCAAGCATGAGCAATAGGAAATCCATCGAGGTCATTCTGAAAAAGGCAAGTGGCGGTGAGAGAAGATATCTCTGGAGAGTTGTTGTCGGGAAAGCGCGAAGAAGACATGCAAATTGGAGACACAAACAATGCCCGGGAAGAGGCGGGATGCTCCCGACAAGGTCAGAACCCCATTGAAACGAATAAGAAAGGAAGCGAGGCGTGTCGAGCGAAAGAAGACGTATTCGGAAGGGATTCTGGGGCATTCACACACCCCCATTTAATTGGTTCGTGTCTCGAAAGAGTCTTTACTTGTACATACCGTATAATTGACTCGAACTTTTCGGGAACGTCCGTTCAGAAAGCGAGAGGAAGAGGGGTCAAGAGGAGCGTGAAGAGGACATGGGAACGGACGGACTGGAAGGGAAAGATTACAGGTCGGAGCATGGGAGTGACCTGATTGGGAACGGACGAAGTGGGGCGGAAAGAGAAACAATGACGGAGGACGGACGACGAATTAGAGGGTCCCGACCACTTTGGTATTGTTTGCAAACAAGAGGGAGACCGTTTTTGAAGGTGACTACTGTGGAATAAAGAAGGTGATGTCATCGGAAGTCAGTCAAGGAAACTCTGATTGTGAGCGAACCTCTTCAAGGGAAAATGGAGTACGGTACGTGCAGAGTCGAGTGATTTTCGGGATGAGTTTGTTATGATAGAAGTACAGAACGGTCCCGCCCTCTTGATCACATAACAGTTTACGGCTCTTCCGGGATTACGGTAACAGCCCGATCGTAAAGTAATTCTCGTGTTCGCAATCTTTTGGAACACCCTCAAAACAGTCAAATATTTGAGTAGGTACCAGAGGGCGAGGGAAAACGAAAATGACAAAATGATGGTGACAAGGGAACGAGACGCCCGTGGGGGAAACACATGCATACCTTGACACCGACAATTAGAATGTCACAATTGTAGGGGAATCGAGAGAGAAAGAGAGAGAGAGAGAGCGAGGAGGGCACAAGAAGGAAGGTTGTCTAATTACGGTACGCGGCTGGCAGGCTCTCAGGAGAGGCCACCGCGTTTGAATTTCGACCGCAAAAAAATCAGTGACCGAACACGGCGCCGCGGACCGAACGAGTAATTCCTGGAGAGTATGTTAGGCGGGAAGGAGATGGGAACTTAACGGGGTGTGCTGAGATTAAAGTCAAGGTTGTGAAACGCTTTTTGGGAACATTTGAAGGTGGAAATGGACAAAATTATGTACGGGAAAAGTTATGTAATATGAGGTTGAAAAGTAGGTTACGACCGGTTATCTTGGCTTGATTTTCACTTCAAGGCTACAAAGCGAGAATGCTGACAAAAGCTGTCAATAAACGTTACTGTACAAGCACTTAGAAGTTGCAAAATTCCAGAGCCCGCAGAGAACACAGTAATTTATGTACGAGAAGCCGAAATTTCGCTGCACAGGTGCTCATCACGACCATCCGATAGACGGTTAGTCACGCCAACAGCCAGCACCTGACAGTCTCCCTCCCCGCCCGCCTTGTCCCTCCTTACGGACCCTTTTCACCTTGTCTGTCGCCTCTTGAAATGCTCATTAGAATATGGTCAAAGAGGTGACCCTGGTGTGTCCGAGGGCATCGAGCATTATAATGAATGTTGCGGAATGGGACTGACCCGGCTCGTATTGCCTTCTTCTTTTGGGCGAGACCGCACGCCAAATGAGCACTTGAAAGGACACGAAAAGGTGTGAATGAAGGAGGCACTGGGAGGGGATTAGGATATTGGTATCTGGGGGCGAGAAGGCGACATTTAGGGGATGGGGGCTAATTTTTCGTTTGAAATATCGTAACCAGAATGACGAGTCTCGAGGAAAACAAGTGAAACTTTCTTACCTACCTTCCACTTTTCCTGAAATGAGGAACAAAGCGAAAAAGAAGAGGATGCATAATAATTACAGGAAACGGTTTCGTTTTCCGTTCAAACAAACGGCGGAAGAAGAAGAAGGAGAAATCAGGTGGTTTCACTGACGAGTCTCGACGGAATGATGGATTCTGAAGGCTTCGGAATAAGGGAGAGTGACCTAGTAAGTACAGTTCAGTGCAGGTCAAACGTAAGGAAATGAATAGCGTTTGGGAGGGAAACGGACGGTTTTTTGAGCGATGAGCGCCTTCACGGTTCCCTCCTTGTTCGGCGCGATATCCTTCCGATTATGTGTTCTTCCGACCGGACGACCGGCTGCTGCTTCTGAATCGTGCGACGATGAGCATTTGCTTGCCCCACTTTCGGCCGGCGGACAGTGAATAACGGACGGTGCAGACGGAGGCAAACGGATCGGAGAACCGGATCCGCGGAGGTGGAAGGCTCACGAAGCTGTCCAAATAACCGACTATTTTGAAAGTTTTTGTGTGAAACGCATCAAAATACAGAAGGCGTGAGAACACAAACAAAGCATCTGGAATGAGAAAAGCCTTTTGGTCATTGGGACTGTGAAGTGTCAGACGAGGGGGGAAATCTGGAGAGGTACGGAGAAATCTCCTCATTTTATTCTCTTTCCAGCATTACAGTTGCCAACACTTTCACTTTGAAACTCAATTATCACTTGCAAATTGTGTGAAACAAAGAAGTTTTGAGAAAAAGTTTTGCATTCTTTAATCAATTCACTGTGATTTCTGCCACTTCCTGTTTCTAACTAACAAAGTGCGTAACCTAGTGCTCAATGAACGCCTCGAGAATGGTTTCCGGACAAACACTTCGCTCATCAAAGATGGAAATGTTCGATTCATTCGAGAAAAGCACTTGGCATTCTTTCGCTCTGTTTGCACTTTTAATTCCGTTTTCACTGATAGATAACCTTGAAAACAGTCAGATGGACAAACATTTAATTGAAATATGAATGGGAAGACGAGTGCAATTGTAAGATGAAAGAGATGGAACTTGGACGGAAAATGAGAAGTTCGTGTGTTTTGATTGCGCTCGAGGTAATTGCATATTTCAAAGTTATCATGGGAGAATACTTTATTCGGGAATCAAAACTAATGAGATTAGAATGGATCATAACTGTTTCCTCTTCCTTTCTTTCAGAATTGAAAGGAACATCTTCCGAGATGGGCACGGACAGTAGTGAGAATCGAGTCCCGGTCCTCCACGACGGCCCATCAGTCCCGGCGGCCCTGAAATCAACATTCATTCCAACTCCAACCACTGACGTTACCCGGCTCTCCACGATCTCCGTACGGTCCAGAATACCCCATCGGTCCCATTGGTCCCAGTGCTCCCGGAGGTCCCACTGTTCCGGGCGGACCGTCTTCTCCAGGAATTCCCGGTGCTCCAGTCTCTCCGTTCTCTCCCATTACTCCTTTGATTCCAGTTATTCCTATCTGTCCAGGCAATCCCGGAAATCCTGGCAGCCCCGGAACTCCTGGTTCTCCGGGCGGTCCGTCTTCTCCGATCGCTCCTCGTTCGCCGTTCATTCCACGTATACCAGTTTCTCCCGGCCAACCAGCAATACCCTGAAAACTAGAATGAAACAAAAAAGGCTTCGAATGCATGGGAAACCGGCGGTCCCTCCACTCCTTTGATTCCAGGTTTGCCTTTGGGACCATAAGGGCAAAGACGGCAACCGAACACTTGCTGATAAAGAATGTTTGGAAGTTCTCCAGGGATGCCAGGAGGTCCAGGCATTCCAGGAAGTCCGTCTTCACCAGGGACGCCATGTGTACCTGAAACTCTCTCGATTTGTGAAAATCTTTTGCAGACGCAGTCCTACCTTTTCCTCCTTTCTTTCCAGGCGCACAAGTGTTGATATATTCACACTCACAATAATTGTACAACCTTCTTTTCATTCTCCGTTCTGGCGCTTTCAGATACCTATCGAACTCCTTTCTCAGCTCATATTCAATGCTTAGAAACTCTTCGAGCTCTTCTTTCAGCTGCACTTCAATCCTTGCTATTTCAGCGAAAAAGGAGGGGAGATAAGAGAAAAGGGAGAATATTGATATGAAAGTGATGAAAATGGAGAAGGAGAGAAGAGAAGAAGGCTTCTCGATGGACATTGGAATGTAGAATGAAAAGAGTTTGCGACGAGTAATCGAAGGGATTAGGCGGTACGGTTCCACGGATTTGGACGGGCGGTCTCAAGTCGGAAAAAGGAATGAATAGGTTGTAAAATGAAGAGAAAGCGGATCTGAAAGTTTGTGTTTTGACGGTGAGAACACCGGATCTTTGACTTCATTCTCTACTCGACACCTACTTCTTCTCGGTCTCTCTGTCCATCCTTTCCCACGTGGCACCGTCTTTCCATTATCCCTGACCTTTATCTTCCTCCATTTTTACCTCATTTTCGAAAAACATTAGCAAATCAAATTAGCGCCTTCTTTCTAATTGGACCGACCCGTTTCCCACCCAGTTTGCCTCGTTCATTCTGACCTTCCTCACCCATTTCAATCCGCTTCTAAAAACGTCTCCAAATCAGTTTTTGTCTTTCTCTCTGCCAGCAAAAACTTTAGCTATCTACTGCTGAGATCTTTGAGTAATCAATCAATTCGGTCGCCCATCAAGACCTTGAAAGCACTGAACTTTCGCATTGGAATGTTGCTTTTCGCGCCACCCGAAAAACGAAACGTTCCTTGGCGAAACTGGTCTGCCTACTGTGGCCGAATAGGCAACACACAAGTTGATTAGCAGGGCGACTGCATTCCGATCCCGCCACTTCCCGCTTTTGATCAAACTGTTTGTTGTTTTTGCGAAGAGCCGTCAAGATTTGACTGGATTTGGAGGCTTTGTCAGGATTTGATCGACGTACATTCGTAGCGGAATCAGCACGGATAAGTCTGACAAATATTTTCGTGTCATGGTCGTTTCAATTCGTCCTAACAACCATTAGTCCCACTGAATTATCTGTGAACCTTTCCTTTCTGCTCCCACTTTCATAGTTGTCACCGGGCTTGAGAAACAACATTACTGTAGACGTTTTTGGATTATCTGCATAGAACTAATCTACACGTCGGACTCCCAACTTGAATAACATTGTTGACTCGAAGGAAGCTATTGAAGAGGCCGACGACAACTACACCTCCCTCTCCAAAATTAACTGAATCGTAACCACTCGTGAATGTTTCCAAGAAGACGTTTCTCGGCGCGTCAGGCAGGCGGCAGGCGGGCGGCATTTCTTTTGAGCCGCCCGACTCGGTTTACCGCCCGCCCCGACTGATATACGGGCAATCGGAAAACCAAAAGAGCGGAAGAATTGAAAGAGATACGATAGGCGGAGCGGAGACCCTCATCGACAGCTTTTTACTATATTCAATCTCACTCTGTTATGGGTGCATTTCACTGCAATCGTGCTCTGTTGATGAACTCTTTTTGCAGTGACCTCGGGGCCGAGTTTGAAAAGTTAAGCCACATTTTAAGTGTAAAACAACTAAAATTTACTTCGCGGCCGAGAAACTCGAGCGGGATTGCCGGGAAATGCCGCTAAATGCCCACTTATGATAATTTCATTCCGATTTTGAAATCCATTTCGCCCTTCTCCTTATTATGCACACCTTCTGTCCCCCATGATCCATCGGTTCTTCTTCGGTCCTCGGTACATTATACCCGGGTGCTTCCTGTTGCATAAGCCCCTTTCGAATGCGCGCACACATGTTGGTACATCTGCTCTCGTGTCTCGCTTTCCGTTGTAAACCGCCTCCCGGCCGAGACGATCGGTCGATTGTGCAACGTTCCGAACGGCCGGACACCCTCAATCACACCAGACGGTGTGCAGGGCCGGTGACGTCATTGCCACGTCATACGGCTTCCAAGAATAATATATTTATCGCAGAAACTGAGCAGCTGACGATTGCATAACTGTTTCCGAGAGATTCAGCGAATGTAGGTGGGATAATATTGAGCGAGTCAATTTGCTAATGGTCATTTCGGGTTTCCTATTACAGTTGGATTCAATTGCCAAATGAACCGGTCAAATATCAATGGCAAAGAGCGCGTGCTCTTGCTCTCTACAGTATCTTTCTATTCGTCCCAACAGCTGTTCCCATTAGTTCCCTAATGCTCAAGACATCATAAACCACTGAACCGGTGTCAGTCCCAGCTGACTCACCCGGACCCCTTCCCATTCATTCATTCATTCCACCCATTGTGATGCCACGTCATCAGGCGGCAACCACTGTGAAAATCACAACAATATTAATATGCGAGTCAATAAGCGGCGCCAAATTCAAAAGTCGCTCTCTTTTTGTCAGTGTCTCTCCGCTTCACACACTCTTTATTTGCGCAGCCGTCCTGACCATCATCCGAAAGCTTCCATGAGCACAGGTGAGCGAGAGAGCCCAGAGACGCAGACGCCGAGCGGCTTCTGTACGTGTTTGCGCACCATTCAGCAGCTCCGCTTTTGGTCACTTCTTTGTTCTTTGTGACATTTTGTCTCGAATATTTGGTCAGACACCTCGTATTTCTGTCTGTCCTTTGGCCCCTGGCGTTCAAATTGAAGCGCCGCTCGCTCACGGATGCTCAGTTTTAATGTTTTCTTTTCGAAGCTTCAATTTCTACGGCCCTGTGCTTTGCTCATGAGAACCACAACATTCTTTCTCCTTCTCTATCTGTGATTCTTTTCTAAATTTGCCACAATCTCTCCCTACCGTAGTTCCGTCACAATTTCTCCGTTTTTCCGACAAAAACATTCCCACGCTATTCGCACCGCCGCTTTTCTTTATTTTTCCGAGAAACTTTTCTGGTTGCCTAATAACCAGGCGATTAGGCCGAATGGCAGTTGGTTCGGCCAAAAAACCGGGCCCTGCCTGTTTGCTCTCAGACGGTGGCCGCTCGCGCTCTCCGGAAGTGCTCCATTTGACACTCGCCCTCTCGCTCCCTCGCTCTTCCGCTTGTTTGATCATATCACTTTATCACCCGCGAAAGAGAGAGCTCTCCGCATTATTAGCAGCCTTCTCAGCTTGCTTTCAATCCCGAAATAGTACAATATGGATATGTCGGAGCAGATTAGGAGTGTGTCATGGCAACTGAATGGGAGAGAACGGAGAGGGAAAGAGAGCAGCTGTACGTTTTGAGAGAAACCTTCCTATTCATGCTTCAGTGTGGAGGCGGATGAATAGCGAAGTTGAATGATAGTTTGATGAAATTTCCGAATGAGAGTACCACTTCAAGAGTGACCGATAGTATTGTAGATTCAAACATTCAAACATTCCTTCTTATCCCTCTCCGATTCTTGATTTTCCTTCCTGTTCTCACTTCCATGTCATCATCCCTTTTAGTTTCCGTCAGCTCATTCTCACACCTCCTTTCCCCGTCTATTTGTGTGTTCTCACTCGTTTGACCCTTATCCCTCTTATCCGCCCATGTTTGTGTTTCTCCTAACACGGTCATGATATCGGAGAAGTCATGCCGCGAACCGACTGCCGGACAACACTTATTTGCATCTTCAAGTGCACTAAAAGAGCATGGAAATTCGGCCGAAAACGGCAGATGTTCAAGGTTGAATGTGGCAAATCAACATGGATTGGCGCGCGCGCGCGCACGCAATGAAGTACGGATTTGGAGTGATGGATGAGGACACGAGACCCCAGTTGACACCTTTTCGTTTTTCCTTTCCACTTTTGTTCTTCTTCCTTCTCGACAGTGATCTTTCCACGCCATCTTCTTGCTCGGCTCGGTCGAATCCATTCAATTAGACCCCCATTCGTTTTCTTTCATTTCACCGCCCGTCACCCCAATTCACACTCCTTTGCCACGTCACAACTCTTTGAACTTTGAAATGGGTGAGTTGGTCGCCGCCCCGAAACACGCATTCATCACAATGATGATGCGATTATAATTATTTAGTGTGAAAGATAAGAAATTGTACGTTTATGGAATGAGAAGTTGGCATTGCAAATAGAAAAATACCGTGAATAGAAGGGCACCATAGTACCGTTCATTTTGGATAATATATCTCAATTCCCGGTTAAGATGTTGAAGAGATGTCAACTGATAAAATACTCAGAAAGACATTGTGCACGTTTTATCGGTTGACAACTTTTTGATATCTTCATTGGCAGTTGAGATAAATTGTTTCGAATGGACAATAATGGGAGTGCCCTTCTATTACAGTCTTTACGGTAACACGTGTCAGATGAAGCAATCTCAGACCTTTCAGAATCCGGTAAACCCATAAAAGTATGGGTTTGCTTGTTACCATCAGAACAATACACAGTATATTCCAACTGTTTTGGTACACATTCCGCCGCCCCTTCCATTCCATTCCAATCTTCGATCTCCTTCCTTCCCTCACATTCCTCCTCCCTTTCGTTCCTCTTTAGCTGCCTTCTCTGCTTGCCAATTTTGCCAGTCAGTCACATGTTGACCTTATCAGTCCGTGTCGAAAATACGAACATAAAAGAGGGCGCCGAAATGCGGAATGTTTTCATGCTCTCTCTCTTCCGATAACAACCCGCCACTTTTGAAAAAGTCTTGCCCAACCCGACAAAAACATACAAACTTGTACTAAATTGGGAGCGAAAGAGAGCAAGTTTTGGGCAGATAAGATAAGGCAACTCGAGAGAGATGTGCCGCCGGCTCTCGCCCCGCCCCCCTCTGACCACGCCCCTTTTGTCGTCGCTCGTCCATCTCGTATCTGATGCATGACAGGCGGAACGACGATTAACCGCCCCATCCGTCCGGCCTATCTGCCCTTCGATCTTCCAATTCTTCTCTTAATATTTGGCTTTCCATTATTATTCCCCCCATTCTTCCAGACTTTTGTCTTGTTCTCTTCCTTCTCCTTCTGAACAGTCCGATGGTGGACATATCGATGCTGTCGATGTGATGAACGAAAGAGAAAAGTAGAGGAAAACACTTGTGATCTACTTGCTTTATTATTATCCGCCTCACCCACCTCCAGTTTCTCTTTTTCTTCACACCATTATCATTATGAGTGAGTGGCTTCCGAACAGAAGGAGGACATTAGTGACGTGGCTGAAGTAGAAGGAAGTGGAGGGAGGTGCCGAAATGTCTGGGTCTGTTGACAGCCAGCTGTTGTTACTGGGTCAATAGGTTCTGCCTTCGCAAATTACTTCCCTGGCTATATGGTCTTCAAAATTACAAATTGCCCACAACCACAAAGTTTCATTCCGATCTACCATAGTCCCTTTCGGCTCTCACTCATTCCTTTTCTTTTACCACTCTGATAGCATCTTACCGACTAATGGTCCACGTCATAAAAGAGTAATTAGGTGTAAACACCCTTACGGCGGCACATCTTTCTCTCAATCTGGCTCCAGAATCTCACATTGATCCTTTGTCCTCTTCGTCTTCTCGCTCTTTGCGGTAAACTTGTTCGTTTCTTGTTACCTAACTAACCCACTTCTTCTTCTTCTCCCGCGGGTGTCAGAATCAGAAGGGTTCGAAGGGGATAATTGCTAATTGCCGCTCTCTTTCCCTCTTTTCGTCTGTGGCCCGTGCCCGGATAATAACCGTCCTGCCCGCTTTCCCGGGGGACGACGGCTGGTCATTCGATCGTGTTTACTCGACGACTAGCCCCCTCCGGCTGTTGGTGGTGGCCAGCCTATTCAGTAACCCGCACAGTCACCTCATTTTCATCATCCGCCTCCCTCTTCCTCGTCTTGTCCGTCTGTCATTTCGACAGATGTTCCCCCACGGGGCTCATTGTTGCCACGCCTTCTTCTTCGCAACACAGTCTTGCTTTAATATAATCTCAATTCTCCAAATAATCGTGTTGCCACCCGACTATTCCCATCGAAACCGCTTCTTTTTTGCCTTTCTTCGTCCTCTCCAAATCAGCTCACTGAAACGGAAACGGAAATCGCTCTGAAATTTGCATAAATAGTTTGGGGAGAAGACTCCCCGGCATTGGCATCAAATCGTTGTCTCGATATCGTCCGACAAACAAACAAACCAAAAAGGAGGGGCCCTCCTTCTCCGATTCCAGTTTCGGTTCTCCTCATCATCATCAGCTAATCACTAGGGAAAACAGTGTGGCGGAAGGCAGAGACGCAGACGCACGTCAGCTAATCACAATCACATCCTCCTCGCGCTCTCTTTCTCTTTTTCTCCGATGCTTTTGCCATTTCGAAGCGAGGTTGTAAAACAAAACACAGTAACAGACAGAAGAGGAAGAAGAGGGAGGGAGGGAGGGGATTGAATGATTGTTACATCCCTTTTGACTTTCTTCTCTGTTTGTATACTCAATACTCATCGGCGAGGAAATCGACATGCTGTAAAATAATCTCCTATTATCTCAACTACTTCACTTTCGCCCCACTGTCTTTCTCTTTCTCTCACTTTCGTTGTGTAATGTAACCACCAAACCGCATTCCCCTCTCTCCTTGTACTTGTCTTTTCGTCTCTTTTACTTATGGATCGACAGTGTAAGGATTACTGTACCTTGTGGTCTGTGCCCGTTCCTCTTCTACCGTAACCATCTTCTTGCCCGTTCACCTTAATCTTTTTCAGAATGGAAGACTTCGACGCCTACCGTGCCGCGTGTGCCAACCGAATGCGACGTCTGGAACGCTACAAGAAGGCTCGCAGCTTCTGCAGTCTTGAGACCGACGAGCCGACGTCTTCGGCCTCAGTGAGCCCGACTGCGGATGCTCCGCGAGCCGACGGATCGTCCACCTTCGACATGATCCGCGAGAAGATGGTGAGTTTGCACGACACTTTGGGCCATCATTTATGTGTGAATGCGAGTCGAATTGTTTTGATTCGTAGTGCAAACACCTTCGGGCTCCAACCAAATTACGCGTCTTTATCCGCATGTTCTTACTCTCCTTCTCCCCATTTGCAAACATTCTTTGAGGGTGTGAATGGGGGAAAGAGCGGGAAACTGAGAAGACTTGGCGCGGTGGCGGAGGGGGAGTAAACAATACGAACAAGTGTACGGACGGGGATCAAGAAAGCATGTACTCTCAGACTCTCGGATTGTTTTCGCCTACTTCAGACTATGATCTAGTATTGAGAATGTTGAGTGAATGTTGACGAGCAGCGATACTGTACATGTGTGACTTCTTCAAAATTCTTCAAATTTCTTCTGCCTCAAATATTTTCCGCTATTCATTCAAATTTGCGTCGTCACCGTCGAATTTCCGCTAATTCACCCAGAATTACGCCATCTTGTGCTTCTTCGCCCTCGTCGTTCATTCCGGTTTCGCAAAAGCCTTGGCATTCCAACGTCTCCTTTCTTCCTCTTTTCCTTCTCGGATTCCTGTTCGAATGCTTTGCCCCCTCTGTCCCTCCTCCGGGTAATTAGGCGGCAAAAAAGATCCGTCGGCGAGATAAATGACGCAACCGGGTGGCCAATAATCGAGGAGCGCGGACAATAGCCGTGGGGGCGACGGTTTCCCGCTCGGATCCGTCGGAAAAAAGAGCGAAAAGAGAGGGCTGGCAGCTGTGAAACGGGAGCCGCGAAGGTCAGCGGGGGAGCAGACGGATGCCCGTTGCGCATAAATCATCGGGTTGATTGGAATTGCAAAAGTTATAACCCTGGCGTGTCTCTCGAAGCCAATGACCCGCATGGGAAAGAAGTTCGGGCGGCCCAAGGTTAATAGGGTTCGGTTTTTGAGTAAACAGCCAATGACACCAAAACACTCGAAAAAGAGAGACGGTCCCGATCCCTCTTTCCCTTCAGATCCGCTCTTCAGAGGGGTAAATATACCGAATAGAGAGTGTTGAGTGCATCGGACGAAAGATTACCTTTGGAGGGAGCAAAGTGACGGGAACAGAAGGGCATGAAGTCACAAGGGATTGAGCAATGTTTGAGAGCATCGAGAGGGTGCTACCGTGTTGTTTCGGCTTCTTTTCCTCCTGATTACATAATATTAATTCTGCTATTTACAGTTCTCTTTGATGGAGAACGACATGACCCTGCTGAAGCAACTCCTTCAACTCGGCGACCAAATCAGCGAGATCAAAAAGGAACGGTTGCGGAGAACAATGTCGCAGAACAGTCTGGAATACGACGAAGAAGACGAGAAAGAGGTCAGTTTAAAGCGGGCAAGTGCTCAGTGAAAAATGACAATTTCAGGACAAGTTCGACTCGGATCAGCACGGATTCTCGGCTTCGATGAGTGCGGTGACCAATCTGTACGTGGACGACGAACGGCCGCAGTTCTTCTCCCGCCAGAACTCGGTGCTGCGCATTCCGATCCCGCCGCGAAGCAGCAACCGATTCGGGCCCAGACGCATCATTCGGAGACCTTCGGATGTGCTGCCACGTCAGCAAACGAACAACATCAGATCCCTTCACGTGAACAGCGATGACTCGGATTGCAGTTCTTCCGGAAGCAAGACACAGTGAGTTTAAAGAGCGGAATTGCAAGTGAAAGTCTGGCTTAATTGCAGTTCTCCGACAAGTTCGGTCTCCAACTCATCCACATTGATTCTCCCCCAGAAAACGACCAAGAATCGGTAAAATTGATTGAAAATCGAATCTCAAATCTTATCAAATCACATTTTAGATCCTCAAACTCCTCAATCGACTCTGGAATCCGAGACGAGCAGCTCACCCCTTCGCCAACTTTCGAAAGCGTCGTCATCTGAATCTTCTTTGCCGGCTTCTGAATCCTTCTCAGTGTCTAGTCATCACCCTCGAATACCTCATGTTCTCACTGGTCCCATCGCTCCCCCTCCCAAATAGTCGGACGGTCCCGTTCTCTTGCATCCATTGAATCCGTCTGTTTTCTGACACTTTGCCGGTCTTCCGATTCGTTCCGTCCTCCTTCTCTCGTCCAATTCTTCCCATTTTTGAGAGTATTTGAAACGTTTCAACTCAATAAACTGTTCATAACAACCTTTCTCTTTCCTTGTTTTGCCCGACATTGATAACCAGATTATCACTGAGACGCGAGCGAGAGAGTGTGTGGAATGGAGAGTCACAGACAGAAGAGCGAAGAATTCGACGGCGTCGGCTCAAAAACAGCGCTTAAAAGCCGTCTGACGTAGGCGAGAAAAAGGAGAAGAGTAAAACTCAATAACCGAAGCATCATGAGAACCTTCCGGCTTTTCGTTTTCACCTTTCTTCTCGTTTCCTCCAGCGCGAACATCGTTCAACAGGAACACAATGACACGGTGAGTGGACGGATTCTGACCCGAATCTCGAGTGGATCCGGTGGTGTTCCAGGAACGGGCGGAACAACTAAAAGAACTTCTCGGAATCCCGCTGCCGACCCTCAAAATCCCGGATCTCCCGGACAGCCTGGTCCCGTCGGTTGGTACAAAAACAGCTTTCACCCGCATACCCTCCCGTTTTCCTTCTCCCTTTTCGCTTTTCCGTGTGCTTTTTTCCTCATTTTTCTCAGATTCGAAATAAGATATCAAAGGCCGACTCGCCAAAAAACAAAGAGAATGAGGTGAGTGAAAAGTGAAAGTGACGTTGAGAATATTTTGGAGAGAATGGGCAGAAACTCAAGCCGAATAGCTTGGGAATTGCTCTGTCGACAGTCAAGATTCCTATCCCGATCCCGACAGTGAGCAAATATGGGGAAGTCACGAGTACATCTTGAACATTTAATTCAGATCAAACTGCCTGATCTGATCCCAACTGCACTTCCAAAGATCATCCTCCCAACTCTTCCACCTATCAAACTTCCAACTGTAACCCTGTGCTCCCAATCTCGTTTTATTTCCCTCCTTTCAGATCCCCAACATTCTGCCAACTGCTCCTCCGAATATCGCTCAGGTGATGCTCTCGTCCGCTTCTGCCCTTCACCACGTGTCGCTTCTGAACTCTGTGTACTCCCTCATCCCTTTCAGCTTGCTTAATTTTAGGAGGACACTCCTGACACACCGTACACTCTACCATACCCACTTCCCGTGAGTTTACAACCAAAAGAAAGTACCAATGTTTCCTATTTTCAGAGTGACGTAGTGCCCATTCCCTTTTTAGTGAGTTATACACTCATCAGCCCATCACACGTTGATTCTTTTTTTCTTACAGGCTAATGAGACGACTCCGTCAGTGAGTTCCCGCACCGCCGTTTCCCTTCTGTTCCCCCGCGTGTCCGATTTCCCCGTGATCCGTGTTGAACCGAACGTTCTGCAGGGAGGAAATCTCGTCTGTGATATCTGCGAAAACACGGTGGTCATCGTCAAATCGAGGTTCCAGCTGGTTGAGAAGGCCGTGCGGAACCAGGTGAACGTCATTCTCACGGTAAGACTCTCCCGCCACGCGCTCTGAGAAACAAATGTTCAGAACGTATGCACGATCATCAGCAAAGTCGAGGCACTGTCCATTTTCGGAGCTCCGTGTAATTATTTGAAGTCGAACCTGATTGACAAGGCATTCAAGACGCTCGACGATTGGGAGAATACAGTAACCCCGAAGGGCGTCTGCCGAACCCTTCCCTTCTGTAAATGAGCCGAATAAAATGAATTTGAACTTCAACTAGGCACACACGCTAATCGTTGTTATGATTGTACTGAGTCAGTTGATAACCGGCAGCAGACTCTCTCTCCCTTCTCAAACCGACGACCAGTTACCGACAGATGAATTGTCTCTTATCTCTCGTCGCTTTCATCCTTTTCCCCTTCGTCTGCTCTGTCCGACAGAATCCTTCCGATCCTCCGTTCTCTCAAGTCTGTACCACTTGCCGCGACGGAATCATCGCACTCAAAGATGCCATTCCAACTATTGCCCAATTTGCTCGAATAACCATCGGAACGACTATCGATGTTTGTCGTTTCTTTTTTGAATTTTATCTATATCAATGTCTTCCAGAAAGTGTGCAGTCATGTGCTCCCCCAGTTCGACTTCTTGGAAGCCTTCTGCCACGTCGTTGACACTAACATCGAGGATCGAATCTTCAAACTTCTGATGTCTCTTCATGATCAAATAGACGAGAAGTTTATCTGTCATTCTTTGAGTTTCTGTCCAAAGTGATCACAAAAGTAAAACGTTTATTCAACAAAATCATGGTTACCACATTTTCCTCCATCCCGATGGAAATAGTTTCTCGGGTCGATCTCTCTTGCCATCTGAAATCCATTTCTTTGCCACGTATGTCTCGCCACCTTCTCACCCAATCGGACCCTTTCTCCGGATCTGTGAAGTAGACGGGACTGTTCTCCTCCTTCGCCAAATATCCCATCCACCAGCCAAAACTCGAGGTGGGTACGGTAAGAAGCACGACGTCACAGTACAATCGGGAGAACGTCAACTGCACTTCCGGAGGCGTATTGACCATATAGAACTGAAAACGAGTATTGGACTTGGCTCGAGGACGGAAGTACGGGAACCTTTTCAAAAGTGTAGCTTGCAAATTTTCGAGAATTGAAGATTCTCCTGCTGATTGTCGGATTCTCACTCGAAGCCACGAGCATAACACGATCGTGCTCTGCCAGATCTGAAATCCATTTCTAACCGACTTCAACGTCTTCGAGCTTACACTTCCTGAGCAGCCAATTGAGCTCTCGGACGGAAAACTTGAAATCCGTGGGCGAGCTTGATTTGCTCGCATTTTTAGTGTCCATGTGCACACAGATCCTGAAATGTAACATCACTTTCAAGAGCTGGAACTGGAGTGATCCTCACTTGAAAGTGTCCCGGAGTGACTCCGTGAGTAACTGTCGTGCTTCTTCGACATTTTCAGCGTTGCCGAGCATCCACTGACGGATCTCTGGGCGCAGATGGTCGAAGTACTTGTAGCTGCGGAAGCCATTTCCCCGGACGACCATGTTCGGAGTCGTGTACTCGGAGAACTTTTTGAGTGGATCTTCAAACGAACACCACGTGTCCAGGCCCAGTTCGGCGTTCGGTTGTTGTTGCTGAAAAGATTACTGTAGCTAGAGCCCACGTGAAATGCTCACCGGCTCAATGACAATCATGAACTGCTGCAGAATCATCGGAAATCGGACGCTGATAACTGAGCTTAGCTGGTTGATGACTCTAGTGTTATTGACGGTATTTATGACTGGAATACGGTCGATGGTCCGGGAAACGCCGAGCTGAGAGAACAGGGAAAACAGCTGATCGCCTGACGGAGAAAATGTTTCAAAGTACTGAAAGGTTGTATTTATTACCAATTTGTCCGGGTTTATGCTCGAATTGAATAGTCTTCGCGTAGTGAATACGTGGATTGGGGCGCAGGCAAAAGAGAATAAAAACGGCGGAAAAGAGGAAACATCCGATTTTTGATTTATATGCGAATCTTCTCGGAAGCATCGTATTTATATGAAAAACACGCTGGAGAACATCTGAAATTTGCGTGGAAGACACAAAGGTCAGAGGTCACACGCACACTTTCTGCCACGTCATTGAAATGGCGATAAAATGGCAATCGTTTGTTAAAAAGCTTTGAGATATCGAAAAACAATATTGGGTTAATTTCTGAGCTTTGGAGAGTGGGATGTGAGCGGCGAGTCGGAGCCAGAGATGAGATCCCGACAGTAGGCCATTCCCATGAGGATGTAGCGGAGACAGTACAGTCCGATGTGGCCGAGAAAGCCTTGGAATCGTTCGGAAGAAGATTGTCCGATTCCGACAAACTTAAACTCGGAAACTCTCTTTCTGCTCTCCTTCCACCTCTCGTGCAGCTGTTTCAGCTGCAAACAGAGTTTATTCGTGTGAGCAAACGGATCGATTCTCACGTTGTTCATTATGCAGTCCAGAGTCGACTGCTGTGCGATCTCGTACTCGGTCAGTTGCGCGTCGAAACTGTCGATCATTGCTTCGTAATTGTCAAACCAATCGCCGACACTCTTTCGCATCACATCCAGCTTCTTCTCGTTCTCTTTCGCCAACTTCAACGCCTTCTCCAACTTCTTCTTTTCTACCAACAACTTCTTCAGTGTCTCGTTCGTCGCAGCTTTGTACTCCTCATCTTCCTCATCTTCGGACACCGAATACCTGGCTGTCTTCTTTTTCGTTGCTGCAAATATCTTCCACTCACTCGCAGTCCACCGGCTCGGCACTCGGTTTCACCAGCACTTTCTTGTGCGCCTCCCTCGACGGTCTCGACCGACTCTTCTGCGCTCTGAAAACAAATTTTGGTTCCGACCGTCATTTTACTCACTTTTTCTCCCTCGCCGCTTGGAGTGCTTTTCTTTGGCGGTTCTGTTCCAAGCGCACCTTCTGAGGATTCAGACATACCTCCGCGCTCGCCTTCTGCTCATTCCCTTCTTTCTTCTCGAGTTTTTCCTTTGAAGTCATCCAGACTGTAATGAAGAATGAATTTTTGTTCAGAAGCAAATGCCAATCAATTCATTTGTCAACGTGTCAATGGAAAATTAAAGTAGAGCATAGCACAAAGTTAAAACAAATTGGGACGAAAAATTAGAGATCGTGAGTCAAATTTAGATAGTCAGGTTAATCCATGTTCTCGTCGTCGTCGATTTTTGGGGCCAGGTAAAAGCGAAGGTAACCGTTTTCTTCGATCGGGTACTCGACAACAACCGGCACTTCGTTGCACAGTGAGAGCCGCACACGATCGCCGAGAGCTGTAGCCCTCGTGAATTGGTTCATGTACTTGATCGAGAAGTTCACGTTCACCGGCTCCTTGACTTCGAGGGAAACAGCCTCACTTTCGTCGTCAGCACTGGAGGAAGGAGAGTACGTGACGACTGAAGAGCCGATGTCACCCTTTCCGGTGAAGACAATTCCAGCCTTGGTGGCGGTGATGTTGAGGGAATCGCTGAACGTGGACAGATCCTTGCAAGTCTTCTGGAACTCTCCGGCTGGCATCTCGCACACAACAGCATACTCTTGGTCGGGAATTCCGAGATGCTCGCTGTCAATGTCCATCATCTTTACGGTCACATCCTGAGTCTTGTCTCGCTTTGGATCGGCAAACGTGAAAACGATCGAGTCCCCATCGTTCTCCTCGTACTGAAAATACTCATAAGAATTAGCTATTGCATTGAAATTACCTTCAACATGCAAGTGTCGTCATTGCTGGCACACTTCAGAGCCTTCGACATGTTGGCCAGGGAAAGTCCGAGGTTGATGGTGCGATCGCATCGGTAGGTATCGAACAAACCAACCTGAAAAAAACTATTGCGTCCTGCTTAGCTGAAAAACATTACCTCCAGTTTTAAAGAGACAAGAGCAACGTGGGAAGAATCCATAGCCTGAAGGCTCATCGCCGTCTCGGAGCAGTCAAATGGAGCATCTGTCACAAGATCCTTGATCGACTCCACGATCTTCTTCAGAAGTCCGGCGCTGGCGAGCTTGGCCTCAAACATGGTGGCGGTGACTGAAATGTTGCGAAATACGTTAGGGAATGGAAACCGTTTGCAAAAAAAGCGACAACTATGTTTTAAAATGAAGACAGTGTGTTAATTATAAACAATTTTGGAGAAACGACGACGAGTGAGCGACAGAACCGTCTCGAAAAGCCGGATTGTGATTCGAATTCCTAAATAATTCGCGCGCAAACTTCGCGCATTCAAAAATTACAACAGACCTGACGACAGTGAACTCGGTTCACTGTATTCGACGCGCAATTTCACAATAAGTACGTTCACCGGCTCACCCCTCCAAGAACAAGTAAGAGTTTGTTTTATGCTTTTATTGAAAAAAGACAACACTTCAAATAAACCCGTGCAATATGATAAAACTGAAACAGATTGTCCCTGACGGTTTTCTCATGTGGCAACACTGGATGTACAAATAGGAAAATAGACTATGTACAAGAGGAATGAGCAGAAAGAAACTAGGTATTTGTAGAACTCTGTGGCAGCATTCGGGCGTTCACAAAGCAATCCGGAAGAGGAACGACGGCTTTTCTGAAGCCAGGAGCCAGACGGGGATCCGTTCGGGACCAGAAAGTCGGGCGGAGTACACGACGAGGACGGCCGGGTTTCAGAAGACAGACTGCGCAGATGAGGTAGATGAGAACGGCTCCAGAAGTAACGAGACATCCAAGCAGGAACATGAACAGCGAACTTCGGAGAGCAGCTGAGCAGCCATGAACGTACGTTTGTGGCCTCACGGATTCTGAACAACAGGGTCAACAAATGATAACGGAATTGTCTTTTTTACCAATGGAAGAGACTAAATCCCGGGAATCGATGAAAGTGTGGGCCGTCGCATGACCCGCAAAGTTGTTGACGTGGCATTCGAAGTAGCCGAAGTGGTGGTAGGAGAAGTGGGAAATGATGAGAGTTCCGTTGGAATGAGAGGAGTAATCAGATGAGATGTGGGAAATCGGAAGAGAGTTCTGAAAGACCACGGACTGATTCATTGGGAACATTCTGGAAGTTTCTCACCACAGTCCAAGTCACTTTCGGTGGAGGAAATGCCTTCGGAACCGGACAAACGAGCAACAATGGCTTCCCGAGGATCGGAACGCTCGGCTCCACTCTGACCCTTTCTTCTTCTCCGATTTCGTCCACAAACGCGACTTTCAATTGGAACACTTCTCCCCATTTCGTGTCGTTTTCTCTCCGACAGTAGTATCTTCCTTCGTCTTCTGAACCAAACACACTTTCCCGACACATCCATTTTCAGACTCACCCCTCCGAACATCATAGATCACAAGGAATCCGATCTCTGGAATCCGCTCCCCGCCACGTGCCTTTCTTCCGTCCAGCACTGCGTTCCGATGCCCTCCAACAGTGGCAATGACGTGCTCATCGCGGTACCACGTGGCATTCGCAGACGTGTACGGTTCGCACTCCAAAGCAGTCGTCGCTCCGATGGGCACCAAACGTTCGGAGGCGGCCTTCTTGGGTGCCAATGTGTGAATGCCTTCTGAAGGGAATAAGCGAAAGTTATGGGTGTGGAGATATTCGAATGAGAATGGCGCCTCGCAGGTCACAAACACGCATTTTATGGACGGTGCGGAAGTGAGAACTGGCGACATGTGGCGCCTTTTTATGGGTGACACAGGGTATTAGCCCCCTTTTCCGGGTACGATCGGGAAAAAGCAAAGTAGCTTCGATTGCAACCCGTCAAAAAAGGCGGCAATCGCAGAGCAATTAGGACGTTTTCCGTCGCGGGCAGCCCTGTCAAAGCAATATGTTTTTGAGCGTCCATTAGGCGAATGCGCGAGAATCCGAAAATTATGGGGTGTCAGAGCGATTCGGCCGCGTCACTTGCGTCCTCAATTAAGCCCTTTTGGAGGCAAAGCCACGACGAACCTGCGCATGAAATCAGCGAAAAGAAGAGGAGGAGGAGCCGCAGCAGTAGACGACCACGCTGGCTCATTTCCCTGAAAGAGAACATGAAAAAAGAGACGGGGAAAACGGGAAAAGAATGAGGTATTGTGGGTCAACAAGATCGCCGTTCGAAATCTGAGCGTCGGGCGGTCCTTTTTCGGTCATCTGTCATCAAGGAGATGCTAATCTGGCGGGCGGGGAGGTACTCTTGTAACACTTCACACGGATATTTGAGAGGGCGACAATATAAGATGAAAGAGAGTTCTTCGGAAGCAGTAGAAGAAGAAGAAGAAGAAGACGGCACGTGTCATACACGGCACTCGAATGAAAAATTCATGCGAAATGAATTCACACGAATATTTGACTCTGATTTGTTGTGCACGAGCATCTGAGAAGAGACGAAGGGAGCGGAAATTGGTCATGCCGGAAGAGCGTGGAACGTCGCAAACGGGCGGATGTTTTGAAGGGAATTTGCCACGTCACTGAGGATTCATATACCTTTTCTTACAGTGTTTGCGCAACGGAGAAGCAAGAAAATGGGGAGGGGGATATTTAATTGAATAGTTGAAGAAAAAGAAAACAAACAATTGTTGCGGCTTTTCCACTTTTTGCATAAAGCCTCCTCGCCCCAAAACCAGAGAACTTCTGGATAAGCGGAAGCGTGTTCACTAAGCATACAGTAATAAACCATTGCATTAGTAGATCATAAAGCGGAAGGAGAATAGTGTGAAAGACGGGGAGAAGCAGAGAAAGCGTGTTCCACACTCTTTGTACTTGATGGCGCCGGATATGTTAATGGGATTTTTGGATGACGTGGCAGAAGAGAGAAAGTGATTGAGTCATTCTGGAAATGTGAGGGCAACAAACACGAAATGAAGACGGATAATAGCAGCAGCTGAGCAAGCGCGCTTTGTGACAGTTTTTGTGTGGAAAGGTAACCAAAAAACCGAAAACAAAATAACACAAATCCGACGGCGGAAAGTGAGCACGCGAGAAGGCGAATGAAATGTTCTCTTTTTCCGTCTCTTCTTCTTCTTCTTCTTTCTCTTTCTCTTTCTCTACTTCTTCTTTTCCGGGGAGTCTCCCGTCAAACAACACGAGCATCCGACTAGAAGCTAATTAGAAAAATGTGTGTGTGTGTGTGTGTGGGCATGGGGGTAATTGTGAATTCAGTTGCAAAAGGAATTCACTTTTTTTGTCGTTGTTATCGAAACAAAAAAGAACATATAACCTGCCGCAGAATAATCGTTTAATTGTCGGAAACTGGATGAAGTGGAGGCGCGAGAGAGGGAAGGAAAAGAGGAAGCGCCGCCCACTTTTTGGAGGAAGAGGGGCGGAGTCTGGATAACAGTTCGAGAATGAAAAGATGTTAATGATCGTGCGAGTACTTCATTGGCACGAGCTCAATCGGACGGACGGACGCACGGAAAAGTTCATATCGAATTCAGTGGAAATTTGTGTGCATACTGAATTCGCCTCTCCCCCCAGAAGAAACAGAAGGGCGGGGACGGGTTCATTCATTTATATGGATGAGCGGATGTGATGGAGAGCCGGGCAGAAAGAGAAGTTTGCTCTTTCGAAAAAGAGAATTTATTAGTTTGGGCGGAGGGAACAACTGGAGGGACGGAAGAAAACCGCCGTGAGTGGAAAGAGGAAGAGCCGACTCTTCACACATTTTTAATTGGATGTTTCCATCTCACTTTCATGTCAACGGACGTAGTCACGAATGGAGAAGAATCTGAAGAAGGGTGCAGTAGACTGAATGAAAACATTCGAACAAAGAATTTCACGGTTTGCAACCAATTGCCGGGCAGTTTTTCGAGTTTCCTCCGCGAACCGCTCGCCATCAATCAAAGAAACGGAAAACAAAGACTTCTCGAACACTTTCAAAGTTCAGCCTTACACACCGAACACGTCATAGATGCGTACATATCATCTGGAGGGAAAAAGAGAAAGCGCGCGGACCAGTTGTGTGTTGTAATCCGAGCGAGAAGAGCCCGTCGCCGAACAATATCAATTGGACCTCCGGGACCAGTCGGAGAAAGAGCAGCGTTTTGAATAGGGAAAGAAACAAGTGGAAAAGTACTAATTTAGGTCTCGAGGGACTCCTTTTTTGAGGGTCCAGATGGTGACAGTTCGGATTTCAATGTCAGTTGGGCGACTGGGATCAGCCCCGATTGTTTGTTTATTCCCGGCGAGAAAGCGTCGGGGGATTAAGGGTTCGGAAAGTGTAAACCAGTTGGAGGGAATCCGAATCGAAATGATTTATGCGAAACCACGAAGAGTTTGTGGCAGATTTCATTCGAAGAAACCATAATAATACCTGGGCGTGGTACGGTAGTCTCTAATAAGAGCGTCGGGTGTCAATCAACAGATCGTTCCGGTACAAAAGGAGGTCAGCGAGATGGGAGATGAGAACAAAACGAAGGATGCTCGGACCTTCCGGTCGGCACCAATTACCCGGTCTCCGCGCTCATTGTCTCCTTCTTTGATCGGTCCTCTTCATGCTCAATTTCGAGCGGACACTGTTCAATGGGATTACGAGCCGGAGGAGGAGCCGCCCGTCTCTAATTATGAGCACCAAGTGGTCAAGTGGATCGGATGGACGAAAAAATGAAAGAAGAACGGGCGGAGCGGAGCGAACGAAGGGCGGAGTGTAAAGTGCGCAGGCGAGTGCATCATTTGGGGCCCAACTGATTGATGTTCGAAGGGGTCAACGGAGGTGAGTGGGAGTACGGTAGTCGAGCTGGTTGTCGAGTCCGATTTGTCAGTTCCTTGGCTTGCAATGCAACCTTGGGTGCCTCGACAGGTGCATCGAAACGAGCCATAATTCATAATTGGACATGCGAACAATTGGCTCATTCGGTTACACGACTCTTGTGAGAAAGCAAGCCAACACGTTACGCAACCTAGTTTCAAGTATTATATCAATTTCAATTCATTTCCAATTCAGTTTCGCACAGTGACGAAGATTTATGGACTTTTTTCACTTCGGAATGTGTAAAAGAAAGAAAGAAAGGAGAAGGGAGGCTAATGGGATAATGATGAAAAGAGAAGTGGGGAGCCGGAGCCCTGGGGGTGATTGAGGCGCGATTTATGGGGTGTCAGGGAATGAGAACGAAAGAATGAAAGCACCTCTTCTCTGGCGATCATCTCGGGATTATAATCGAGCGACCTTGGATGCAAATGAGTGCCAAAAACGGTGCGCGAAAGTGAGAGCATACAAAGTGGACGACGCATGCAGTTGTGTTTCTTTTCCGAGTGGAGTCCATTGTGAAAAGATGGAATGAATGAGTGTCGAGGACAAATAAATCATACTTGGAATGGATGGAAAGAGGTGTTTGGAGGCGAACAACTTGCCAGAAGTGACCTGCCAAATGGGAACGGAGACGGAAGGAAAGAGCACGGCTTAGCAGGCAGACACCCCGATGATAATCATAGGTTCCGTGAGAAAGCCACTGACTCATTAGCCACGTATACATCTCGCAGGACTAGGTGTCGAGTAAACAAAATAGGGCACTAAGGATCGGACTTCCTTTCTGTTCGCAAAATCCCAACTCCACCGCTTCTTCCATTCCAAAATTACGCAATCTAATAAGAAGTGGGCGGTCGCAAGGGAATCTTCTTCGAAATTTCGAAGACGAGCTCATTAAGCACCGAGCAACTCCACGGAAATTGTGCAGTTTGTCGTGCGTCGGCGGAAATTGTGAAAGAGGCGCTCCTCGCGCAGACTGATTGCCCATCGGATTGGAACGAGAGTTGACACCTCATTAGCATAGAGATGTGCGCGGATTGACGAGTTTCCTCCCGAAATTTCGATGATTATTATGAGGAGGAGCACGAATTATGAGCAGTAAGTGGGAGAGTTGAAGCACCGATATGCTCACGTCGTCGTCCCGAATGTCACGTTCGTCCGGATGTCCTCAATTCCGTTATCATCCGGTTCGTCGCGATCATTCCTACTCTTTCTTGGACTGTTTCCGCTCAAGATGATCTCTGATAACGAAACGTGAGTTTTATTTTCCCCTCTTCATAATTCATGCAGTCTATTCTAGGAAACGTCTCAAGCAACTAATCAAAGTGGTTCGTTGATTGGCCCAATTGTTTCTACGGCTCTTTTCCATTTCAGGACGTGAACCGGAATGTCCCATTGGATAAGATCAGCGTGTGGACGAGACACATTGCCGACGAAGTCTTCCGGTCGATTCCCGACGACGACGGAGACGTAGGTGGCTTCTCGATTCTTCCAGAACCTCCCGCATTCTTTTCAGATCGACATTGTCGTCACGGTCAAGTTCTCGGGAAGCTCGTAAGAAACCCTTGCAGAACTTGCGAGATAACAAGGCTGAAGCAGTTACAGAGGAATGCAAAAGTCTGTGAAAAAGATCATCATGGATACGCTGGAAGAGGAGCTTCTCAGATGAATTCATTGACTGACAAAAATCTGCGGAACGGATCAAAGTGCGAATTAAAATAAAATGCTATAGTTTTTTGTCGTCGCTCATTTGTCATCGAAACTGTAGCTCTGCTGGGTTTTCCGTTCTGAAATGATACGGATTTGGATTACTGCACGCTTGGTTACGGTAGTCAATTACTGTAGCTGCAGCAGCATCGGACGCAGCAGCCGATGAGCAGGAGCTTCAGGAGGATGGCGACGACGGCGAGCGCGGAGAGCAGCCACGTCTGGATGTGCTCGCAGCAGTACATGTCGGCGCCTCCGCAGCACGAATAGTAGACCCAGTTGGTATCTGAAAAGGGAAATAAAGAAAAGGTGATTGGAGGGGAGATGAGAGTACCTTTCGGACAGGTGCTAACCGCATTCTCGACACTCGGACAGTGCAAATCCTTTCCGAACATGGTCCTTGGTCGGGATGGTCTCAGAGAAGAAGAGGGCGGGAGAACTGTCGAAGGTTCGGCGGAGACATCTCCGGCAGTTTCGTTGAGGAATTCGGGGAGATCGGACGAGTCGGCCAGAACTTTGAGGGGCCAAATTGCGGAGCAGAGGATTATGAACGGGAGGACCATCTGGAATCGGAAGGATTCGGAAGCAGACGGAAGGAAGTGGTGATGGGGAGCGAATTCTGCAGAGAAAGGCATTTGTGCCCTTGCGTTCCAAGTGCACTTGACACCCTTTTTCGAGTAACTTTCATCAACCTTTCGGCCGAACAAAAACACCATCTTCAGTCTGATCGTTTGCTATTTCGAAAGAGATCAGAAGGCAAAAACATAACGTTGCAAAAACGAAAACGAAAAGGTAAAAGCAGTGGTTTGTGCTGCCGTTGTCTCGTTTCCAGCAATTTAGCCATCCCGTTTCGGGGGTTGTTCTCGAATGACAGCGACGAGAGAGTGCGTGAGTGCAAGAGACGCAGTCACATATTACCTTGTCAAAAAGTGTTGGAAATTGGAGAGAAACGGATGGAAAGTGGGAAGGGGAAACGGACGAAAAGGGAGATTCTTATGATGGAAAGGGGAGGAGAAGGTCCGGAAGTTCTGACGAAGACGGTGTTGACCACCGAAATAACGATGCCAATCAGTCCGTCGCCATCTCCATCTCTTTCTTTCTCTCTTTCCTCCTTTATAATCTTTCCGTTCAATTAACGGAAACCGACATAATTGGACACAGATACGAAATTCATTCTCACTTTTGCGAACACTTTGGAATGTGACCGAACAATATCCGATCGAGAACTTTCAATAAAATGCGCGGTTTCGAAAAGCAATACGAATTGCATAAGGAATTCGCTTTTGAATTTACATCTTTCAACTTTACCGCTCAAAAAAATGCCGAATATCTTGTCAGATTCTCCAGACGAATGTTGCTGAATCCACCTCAAGCTGCTTCGTTTTTTCTCCTCCTCTCCCAATGGCATCATCACTTGTGATCTCCTCCCGTTTCGCCGCTTTGAATTGCCAATTTCGATTAGCCTGTGAATTGAATCGAAAGTTTTGGAGAGAGAAAGGAAGTAGAAGCGATGATATATTCATTTTACTATAAATACCACAAACGAAGAGAAAAAAGAGTGCGAAAAACTAAAATATTCGAACAGTCTCGACATTTATTTGAAACGATGGAACGGTGGGAACAAGAGGGTGGCACGATACATAAGAAAGCCTAAGAGCAGACGTATCGAGCCGAACTTGATGACGTGCCAAGGAGAAAATTAACGAGAATTTACCGAAGATTTAAAGGGTCTACTCTCGCAAAGCTTCTTACTGCTGGTTCGTGGCAGCCTTGATCAGAGCTTCAGCAACCTGAAAAAGGTATATTCGATCCCTTAAGGATTTCATGATGGCGCGACCGTTTGAGTACAGTTTCAGCGTTCTTTTTAACGACTTTTTTTATGAGCGATTAAAATTTTCAGCCCTAGTTTCTTAGAAGGAGCTCGAAGCAACAAACTGTAACAATAATAAAAATCGTATTTTACGACCGATTTCGAAATCAGCCGTCGCTACCCTTTTCACTAGATTGAATGTACGCAGAATGCTAACTTACTTCGACACGGATTTGGGCTTCAGCACGGGCAACCTCGCTTCCTTCTCCGGAGGCTTTCTGGGCAGCATCAAGCTCCGTACGGGCAGCGGACTCATCGATCTCCTCAACCTTCAGAATTTCCTCAGCAAGAACCTGGCACGATCCGTCAATGTTCACGGAGAGGGTTCCCGACGAAACAAAGACGCGCTGGACGGCTCCTAAAACGCAAATATGTGAATCTCACTGAATCGTTGCATTCGAAACCTTCAGCAGTTGTGACGGAGACAACTCCTGGCTTGAGGACACCAATGGTTGGGACGTGGTTAGCGAGAACACCAACCATACCGGCCAGGGTTGGCACATCAACCTGCTTGACGACGGCATTGCTGAAGAGAGCCTGTAAAACCAACATTTGAAGAAAAACAAAACGAAAGAGATAATACAATGTCGGGAGAGGCAAAAGTGAGACGAAGCTCATCTGGGTTGGCGTTCTTGGCTGGGGCAGCGGCGGCGGCAGCGTATCCGCGACGAGCGACAGTGGAGAATCTTTGGATAGTGCGAGCCAACATTTTACCCTCTGAAAATAACGACTGATTACTTGAAATAACTCAGACGACAAGAAATGAACAAAACAAGGCTGGAAAAGGCATTGTCCTAACTGAAGGCCGATTATGGCATGGTCCAAGATAAAAGCTAGGATCCGAATGTAAAGTGGCACAGTTAATAGTTTTTTGACCGAATTATTGAGAAAAATAATCAAAAACAGATCAAAACGGTGTTTTTTCTATGAAAATTGTGATTAAAAAATGAGATCGCCCGTTGGTTCAGCAGAGCGCCCTTGCATTGTTGGCCGGGTCTAGTCCGCGGCCGCGTTATAAAACACGCGGCCAGCGTGGGAAATTTAGCAATTTTTCAGCGATCACTAAACCACGCGACTTTCTGACCTTATTATCTCTGTAATAGGACACTAGACAGTTTACTATTGAACATTTAATAAGTACCGCCAAAACGAATAACAGCCCACGTGGGCACGTAGTAAACAGGGAAAAACGGAAGGCACAAGTACACTTCTATCGTTGGAACGCGAGAGACTGTGGCAGTTGGCATTGTGCCCACTACAAAGTATATACGATTTGCAAGGTCAGCTCAAAAATCAAATCAGAATTCCTCGTGACATTCTTCTGTGCGTGGAACATGAGTTTCTGTTGAAATTCCGTTTGGAGGAGCGCTGACTCGGCTGAAATTTATCAAGAAACGTAAGTACTTGAAGTTTGCAATCAGAACACAAATTAAACCGATTTGTCACTCAATTTTATTGTAGATTTCGAAGTGAAGCCTGAATCCGATTGAAGCTCGCCGTGAAAAGCGACTTTCGAATGTTTAAAGTCAAAGATCAGTAAACAGTGTCACATTTTGCACTTTCAGTGTCTGATGAATCTGTGATAAGTAAACACAAAACACGAAAAGTCTCTGAATGGAATTGTTCATTTCCAAGGCATGCATTGGCTGTTTGTAACAGTAAAAGTCAACGGTGTTCTTCAAAGTAGCGATGTCTCATACGCCTAAAAAATTTGGGCTGGGCCTGATATCTCGGAGGTTTGTCGAATTTCTCCATACGTCAATAAACGTGTCGTTATCAAATTTCGAAAATAGTACTGTAACCACCCTGACGGCCTCCCAGTATTCATCTGTTTTGATAAGGCAGATCTGGTTTTGTTCCCAACAAGTTATTCCAAATAAATACTTTATCCGTTCGATCAAAAATAAATGCACTCGTCGCAATGAAAAATAACATAGAACCGAGAAAAATGTGAATCAAATTGAACAAATGAACGATGAGATCGCAGGGAAATATTGCAAATCATCATAGCAAGAAAAGATGAGAGAATATGACCAACCAGCGGCAAAATATCATGGAATGTACAGACACAAATATACAATTGTTTGAACACAAATAAATATGGGCAAAGAAGACAAAATCTAGACGGAAACCAATGCAAAAATATCATATTTACAGGTCCCTCGGGCGGGAAGTGTACAGATGGAGAGAAACGGAAAGGATTGGAGGTCGCGGGAGGAATCGTCGGCACGTGAGACCGCGGGCGGTGAGAAGGCGTCATTTAGTGAGGCGCTTCTTGAATTGACCGTATCGGTTGTGCTCCGGCGACACCACCTTGAGCAGCTGGAACCGTTGGAAGCGGCTCGTCGACTGTCCGGTCGAGTTCTTGCGCAGATCCATGGACGTAGTGTCGCCGTAGAAATAGACTGGATGGTGGATCATGATCGGAGCAGAATGAGTTTCAGACGAGTTTCGGAGCCCGTGAGAAGGACGGGTGACTGACCGGAGCGGACGAAACGAGACACGGCAACCAGGCGGCGGGCCGAAGCTCCGCCCCTTTTCGGAACGAGACCACGCCCCTTCTGATTTGCAGAAGAGAGAGTGGACAGAAGAAGAAGAGACGGAGGCACGAGATGGAGTTATGCATAATTTTGAGACAAACCTGAAATTTACACTCAAAAGCCTGCCTTTCGACGCTCGTCATTGTTGTACAGAAGGGAAACGAAATGGGTGTAAAAGGAAGGAATTTCGAGGAGAAAGGCGACGAAAACAAGAGGGAGGATTACTGTAGGAGTACGGTAGAAGTGTAACAGTTTCGTTGCAAAACACAACAACGAAGAATCTAGTTCCACACACGAGATCAGACCTTGGCCAGGCTAGACTGTCGGCGCGCGTTCACAGTCACGTTGCCGCATAATAGTCCAAACCGTTCAATCCTTCTTTTATAACATTCTTCCCCTCTTCTTCTTCTTCTTCTCCCACTTTTTCGTCGTCTTCTTTTTCTTCTTCTTCTTCTTCTTCTTTTCCCTTTATCACAAATTCGTTTCGTTTTCCACTCCGATCAATCATCTTCTCGCTCTTCCTTGGCCGGGGAGATATCAGGTAACCAAAAAACAATCGAAGATTTCTCTGAGAAGATGTTTCCGTCTTCGAATCCCATGATCGGAAAAGTGCATACGTACAATCAGTGATAGGGAGTGTCTGCGTCTCTCCGGATGCCACGCTCTCTCGTCTCCACGAAAACTACACGTTACACATCCATGATAACCGACAATAATGCCCTGAAATGCTCCCCCCGCATGACCATACTTTTTTAATGAATTAGGTGGAATTTATTTCGATTACAAGTTAGCGGTCAAAGTTGGCACGGCATTTATACGAAAACGGATTAGTCCCTCATGGCGGCGTGCGACGTCGCACGGAAATCCGGTGACACACACATTCAGATGGCTTCAGATGAGATGGGTTTGCAAGCGAAAGGTCAGAATGAGACATAACTGGATGATCGGATTACGGTCGTTTTCCTGAAAATGTTTGACGTTTTAGTGAGACCGCTGACATTTGACTCCGAGCAGAACCTGCACAAAAGTTCACACTTCCCATGGCATTCAAAATAAATTATCTGCGAATTCACACGAAGATTTTGAATCTTTTTCAGATTTTTCCACTAAAAAGCTGATAATTGTGATGACGTGAAAATTCGTACCGAAATTCCGCGAGAAGACGTTCTCCTCGCCTTTAGAACTCTTCGTTATGACGTGTCTTTCACTCCATTCGTGCTCCTTCTCTATTTCTTATCGTCAAATGTGCTCCGGCTGCATCATTCATCACAACTCACTTTCCCTTTTCGGAAACAAATTGTCTCCCTGTGGGTCACCAGTTAAATACTGCCGTCTCGAACTGTGCTGTCTTTTTCCGTGGCAGCAGCAGCAGCAGCAGCAGGTCAGATGACCCACCAAAAGAAAGGAGTGTGAGGAGGAAAAAATCAACAAGATGATGATTATGATGGGCGAAAGGATGCGCGAGGAAGGGGGGTACAAAGATGACGAAAAATACATGTTCCGAGTCAAAAAGTGAGAGAAATGACAAAAGGGGCAACGTGGCACTGGATGGGACTCGAACCCACATTGGTCGGGAGACCGTCAGACCGCGAGGTCCTTGCCTGCCCCATTAGGCTACCAGTGCCACTGAACTGAATTACGCGCAACACTCTTTTCCACTCGTAAGTCGCATCTCTTCCGGCTTTTTTACGATTATTATGCTATTTATGAGTCTTGAATAGCGGCATTCGGATAATTTTCGGCATATTTTCAAGTTTTTTTTTAGAACGCCTTCAGATAAATACTGAAGCTACACTGAAACTTGCCGGATTATTAAAATAACCTGATCCCAATTCTGGTTTTGGTCCCATAATCTTAATCTTCATTACAGGATTATTCACGTCTTCATAGAAGAATTTAAATTCCTCGGAGTTCGGCCAAGAGTAAACGTTTTTTGCCAAAAATAGAAATAAACGTATACCGGAAAAGTTGATGGAGAATTGAAAACGAAACGATAATCCACAGGTGTATGTAGGCTCCCTTTCAAGGCTTCTAAATGACATAATAACCATAAAAAGACCGGAAGAGATCCGACTTAAAAGTTGAAAAGAGTCTACGTCCAGTAGTCGGCAAGGACTTCGCGGTCCGACGGTGCCTTTTTTGTTCCGATTTTCTCCATCTTGTCACTTTCATTGCAATAATTCTATGCGGGACGTTGCTGGCCGTACATGTGATAAAACGGATATTCAACTTCTCAAGAACAGTCTATGTTGAGTTTTAACCTTTTTCGGTTAGTACATAGATCAAATAACTTTGTTCGGAACCTCCCGCGGGGGCACTTCCTCTTCTTGATCTTCGCTCGTTTTTGTTTTTTGCCACCTGATACATTAATCACAGTCTACATGCATTATCTCCGATGCTTCTTGTTGTGACGTCCTTCGAGAGAATGAGAGAAGTCAGCTGTTAATGATGGGCGATTGATCAGAAGACGTTGGGCGATGACGTGGCAAACTTGTGAACTATTCCCGCCTTGGAATGAGAATGAATGCACAAACAGTCGTTTCCGGTCAGACATTTCTCGTACTTCCTCGCCAATCACTTCCATCGGACCGCGGAAATTCAGAAGATTATCCAGCTGACTGAAAACTTTTTTGACTTGCTCTCAGCTGGCATTTCTCATTTCGAATTCCAAAACGGGCACGAATAACCGATGTGAACGCATGTTTTCGAGATGAAGATCAGGTGGGGGAGGTACTCCTTTAAAGAGCAACAAGCACGGAATTGCAGACATCACGTGAGGGGTCAGCAGACTGCGAATGTACCGTCCGTAAATACATCATCATGAATCCGTTTAGGCTACAATTGACAGTGACAAATGCTCCCTGTAAAAGCACAATTATGTCACAGTTCTAGTTCCTGTCTGAAATGGACGAGGAAACAGCGATTTTGAAATTTTTCAGAAATGTCAAAAATGTATACGCGGAAAGTTGGAACAAGAAATCTGAAGCTTCAATTAAGATTTCCTCATTTTTCCGAAGCGGGCCGGCCGGGCTCATGAAAACTTTCAGTTCAGCCCGACATTGGCTCATTCGAAAAACGAGTGCTCGCTGCAGTCTGTTTCCACGAAACTTCCAGATTCTGATTCTCCGAATTAAAGCTGGGCGTAAAACGTTTGTCTTTACAAATCCGTGAATATAGATATATACGAATTTCAAGTCACGTAAAAACCGTTAAATTCCCGGCCCTGCTCGGAATATTGGTATTTATGTAACACTCGAAATGCACTCAATGTTCTTTGATTCCTTGTCATCATGCACTCACACACACACACACAGTTTGTCTATTTTTTCTCACTCGAAAATTCCTCAAATGATGCACCTAATTCCCGCCATTTCGTGCCATCCTACTATAATCCCATCCTACCCGCTTGCTCCGAACTGATAAGAAATCGTAGTTGAAGAACCTGCCGGATCATTGGACAGTTCACGGGCGGAACGAATGCGAAAACGTGGCAAAGATCTAGTTCGAATTTAATAACTAGCGAAAAAGTTTGGTTTGGGAACGGGAACGACTCATTTCTGTCACATTTTCGGTCGAATACTCGACAAACTTCTGCGCCGAAATCTCTAATCAATACATTGTTATTTAAAAGTCTCATGACTCTGCTTATCGCATGAAAACCAACGAGAAAATCGGTAAAGATACCTCTTTTTTTTTGGGTGAAACGGCTTCGATTTCCAGCTGAAACGGTAACCTCGTCCATTTTTATCAATTGACTGTCACATGATCGGGGCAGAGACTCCGGAGGGAGCAGGCTGCAGAAATGCTCGAAACGGCTGCAAAAAGTTGTCAGTGACAATGACGTAGGAACGACAGGAAGTCGGTCTCTGGTGACAGAAATGTGCACTGTTCGGAGAAAGCGAGGGCAATGGAATAATCAGAAACCCAAATTGTTTATGTCATTTTGAACTATACAGAACACAATGATCGGAACAAATAAGAAAATTGTGGAATTTAAGACGATGGAAAGAGATTTAGGCTGGAAGTTCGGACAGTTTTCCAGTATGCTAAATAAAAACCGAGAATAATAGTGTGAAAGGGGGATGTGTGTGAAGCGATTGAGGAGGTGCAAATGAGGGGGGAAGAATTGTAAGAGGCCGTGATATTGGGTGAACCGTTGGCGACCCACAACAAAAAAACAGAAAGCAAAGGGAAATCGAGGAAAAGGTGAACAACTTAGCCGGTATGCCCGGAAAAATGATGAGAGTGAACACCCGCAAAACCAACGACTCTGGAGGGGATTCATGAGAAGAGAACTCGGGCGATACGAAACGAATGAGAAAGCGTGGGTGTGTGTGTGTTCCAGTACGTCAGATGAAGGTTTCTGAACGAAGATGGGTAAAGTGAGAGAATTGGATGTACACACTATCATATCACAGTACAAAAGATCAAAAGAATAGAGTGAGGAGACTTGAGGGCGGAACGGGGGGATGCGAGGGGAAAAGGAAACGGCAACTGTACATGGGGAATTTGGATGGTAAATAACAATGTTAGAGTTGATTTCTGCACCGGATGTAGATCAAATTAATTAGAAATTTCGGAAATCGGAAGTTTAGGTTATAGCACTATGGCGGACCATCCGGCATTTCCTCGTCGACGTCGATCGCTCCAAGATTGGGGTCCACGGCCATCATCGGTCGTCCCATGTTGTGAGCGGCTGCCATTTGTTGCTGAAATTAACCGAATTGAGAGTCACGACGGGAGTGTTCAGCCCCCAATTTGTTTTGCAGAGAGCAGTGAGTGTGACCAACACCACACAGTGAGCATTCAAATGTCAAAAGTGCGTACCATGACTCTGACGGCCATTTCGGGTCGTGGTTGTCTCCTACGTGGCCGTTGATTTGCGGGTGGCGCGGGTCCCGGCAGTCCATCCCCCCTCTCGAGCTCATCTTCCGACGAAGATCCCTCGTTGTCCCCAGCTGCTCCGGCTGCAATCATTCCTGCAACAAGCGCGTTGTTCTGATCGACATTGTTCGCTCCGTGACGTCTCGGGTTCGCACGAAGCAACGCATTCCGGTCTGGCTCATCTGCCGCTTCCCGATTCTGTCGTTCGATTTCTCGGCGAGCCGCCATTTCGAAGAGCATCTGAGCGCGAGCAATCGCCGCCTGATTGGGCAGCTCCGGAATGAGAGCCTGTAAAAATCCGGATGTGTGGATGAACTTGCGGGCAGACTTCGGGAATTCCTGGAGGAAAGGCAAGGGCATGCGGTTTTTCACTTCACTATAGATGTACGAACGAGCGGCTTCTTTTTGTGTGCAGCAGTCAATTTCACTCAGTCACTACACACTATCAATCGCCCTTTTCTTTCTTTTCTCCAGATGTTTCCCACATGTTGCACTCACTCTGACGGGTGCCGGTGGAGCTCCTCCGGGCGGCGCGTCCAAAAAGTCCCAGATGAGAATGGTGTCATCGTGAGACGAGGATACAATTTGGAAGTCATCAAACTGCAGACGGAACACTCGTCCCGTGTGCTGTACGAGAGAGCACAGACAGATTTCGGAGGGCATCGCTCGCGGATCGAGTGCCGCCTGCAGATCCCACACCTTGATTTTGCCGTCGTAAGCTCCAGAAACTATTCGTTTCTCGTCAAATCGAATGCAGCGAACGAGTTCTTCGTGTCCTTCGAGCACACGGAGACAGACGCCGGAGTGGATGTCCCAGAGACGGATAGTGTTGTCGGAAGAGCCGGAAACGACAAGACGACCACGGTATTGAAGGCAAGCTATTCCGCGACGGTGGCCTGCGAGCGTCCGGACGAACTCGAGAGTGTCCATCGACCAGACCTAGAATTAGATTCCGGTTACGTACTGAATGGGATCGTTCTCGCTATTGAAGACTGAAAAAGAGCAATGCCTCACCTTAATGGTCCTGTCTCCGCTTGCACTGACTATGTACCGATCATCGAAATCGACGACGTTCACAGCGGCTCTGTGTCCGACGAGCACCCGACGAATAGAGATTTCTCTCGGCGAAACCATATCCCAAACGGCAATCGACCTGTCTTTCGAGCACGTCACCATGATTCCGTGGGCGAATCGGAGATGGAGCACCGCTTCACAATGATGGATGAGCGTCTTGATGCACTCTCCCGTTTGAACGTCCCAAACACGGACGGTGGCGTCAGAAGAGCCCGAGATGATCACTTTATTGTCATATTGCAGACAAAGAACCGATCCTGTGTGTCCAGAGAGTGTTCGACTACAGCTGTAGTCTTTGCGGTCCCAAATCTAAACAATCTCGAGATATTGCTTTTTATTTCTATAGTTCCTACCTTGATGGTGTTGTCTCTCAATCCACTGACAATCTTGTCATCGTCGTACTGCAAACAGTAAACTCCTTTGCTGTTTTCAGACTGACAATTTATGCGCGTCAACTTGTAGTTTCCACGTTTCCAATTATTGTCAATGTTATGGATATCACGAATAATTTTCGGGTAGAGCTTGCTGTAGAAGACGTGCATGAGAATGAGCTGCTCGAGCTTCTCCCTCTTCGCCATCGGATCGTATCCGAACTTCTCGCAAATTCGACGGACCGACATTTCTCTGCTGATGTTTAGGAACTTGTCCCTGAAGAGCACAAATCGTATGTAATGTATGAATTCTAAGTATAGAATTACTAACCACTGTCGTTTCTCGGAGAGCCCCCACCAAAGAGAGTCGCTTCGCACGTTCTTCTCTATCAATTTTTTCCAGTGTTGTCCTCGAGCAAGTGCACAACGCCAGCTGATGCTCACTGATTCGCACGCCTTCAGAGAGTCTGCGTTGACGTTGAACAGTATCAATTCGACAAGATGAGCTGCAAGAAGAAGCGATTATAAAGGAAGAACAATTTGGGTTACTTACCGGGAAGATGGCTGATGAAGTCCCTCTGCAGCATTGGTCTGATGAATGTGTCCACTTTTCCGAGTTGATAATGTGATAATCGATGTACAATTTTATCCATGAAGTCGAGCTGCTCGTGCTCACTCCATTTTAGGACTTCCTGAAAGAAAGAAGTGAATTCCGCAAAAATTCTTCAATTCGCCGGTGTTTCAACACTCGTTCTCTGTTCCGTACACATTCTTTGTGCTCGAATTGACGTCATATCCAGCGGAAATGTCTAACAATTGTTAACAACTCAATTTTACGAAACGGTAGAGAACGGGAGAGAGAGGGGAGAGAAGAATCGAATTAGAAGTGATACGCGTGGAAGGAAAATGGTAAAATGAATATCGAATGTGTGGCAGAAGGCGACGGGGAATATCTCGTTTGTACCTCGATGAGACCTTCATGCCCTTGAAGGTAGTCGACGGAAAGCGGTTTGCCCTCTTCGTGTTCGTCTTCGGTTAGCGACAAAACGGCCAGCTGTTGAGTTGCGGCTGACGAAGACATCCCGACGCCCTTTAAAATGTGAAATTATTATTAAAGAGTCTGAAACAGCACGAAACGCGGTACGATAAATATTAAACGGCTGAAATTGTGTTAGATAAATTTAGAAACAATTTTACGGGGGAAAATTGGGGTGGCTAATGGTTTTGCGAATGGAAAAGCGGAGAGGAGTTGTATTGGGAATCGGATATCGGCTGCGAAATGAGAAACAATGGATATTGATTGAAAAGTGATGAAATGAGGTCGCTACGAGTAGAAAGCGCAGTTTGTCATTCAATTTGACATTCAAAACGAGAAAGTCATGGGAGACTTCGTTTTGAATCTGTCAAATAGTGCATTTGAAAAACGAAAATTTTTTGCTGTGAGCGATCGTTCTTGCAGATCTCCGATTCCAGGGGTCCATAGAAGGTGAACACAGTCACAGACATGCTTTAAAATTTCAAATATCCACTTAAGGTTTAAATATGCCAAAAAATAAATAGGTGAAATCTGGAATCGAGAAAAACATTTTCATCAAAATTGCGGGCTATTTAAAGATGCCTTCAAAGTTTAAAGAACAAATTTCAGGGAGGAAAGATCTTTAAGATCGTTTTCGCGGCTGTCTCCATTCATCACTTTTTCTTCACTTAGTTCTCTTATCATCGCTGTCACATCGTTCGCGTCGCCAAAACGGAGATTTATTTATCATGCCCAATTTTTGAAGGCGCATCGCAAAAAAAGAACAGAGGGACGATGAGGAAATGAAGAGATTTAGATGGCTTTTCTGGAAAAATAATCACGAAACGCGACGAGAAAGAGCGACTATACGAAAGGGAGATTGACGAGGAAAAAGAGGAAAAGAAGGTACGAAACAGAGAGAAAACCGGCGGAGAGAGTGCCGCCACGCGTGCTGACGGCGCGAGACGCAGACAGATAGAGCTCCGATCGACCCGCCGTCTCGTGCACGCCCTCTTTGCCTTGGGGCGCGCTTGCTGTCGCCGCTTCTCCCCACTCCGTACGTTCTCTCGTTCCTCTTGAGACTAACTGGATTGCGACGATTCGCGTATAATATCAGCGAGGGGAAATAATGAGCGGCAAGTGCATGAGGGATGCACTTTGGATGCACCCGAACGGCATGCACTATGGTGCATTGTCCCGTGACTCCGTTTAAATCATTTTCAGCACACTCATTTCCTGTTCAATTGCAGAGCTCAAGAAATGATTACTGCGGGCTGTCTGCTGACGCATTCGTCTTCTTCTCTTCCGCTTGTTTTCAGGTTTTTCGTTTTTCGCTTGCCTACGCGTTCACTTTAAGACGGAGAGAAAGTCAGCGAAAACTTGTTCTTCGAGCGGAGCCTTAAAAAAGTCACCGTATTTCAAGTGTCGCAAGGAAAACTGTTGCCCAAATAAATTTGTTTAAAAAATAATAATCTGTTTATCATCTAGTTTTTCAACGGGGTCGAATAATCGAGATTGTGAATGAAATTGTAGATCATTTGCTGTGATTCCCGCGGTTTGTCCTCCGGCACAAAATGTCCACTTCCGCGTACGGTCAGGAAATCCACATCTACAAGCAGAATGAATGACTCTTTCCGATCGAAAATGAAAATGCAATCAATGACATACTTCCGGCGAATTTAGTCTGAAAACCGGCCACCGCAGTACCAGTCTGACCGGAATAATGCCACGCCTCGTTCACTTTCTCTGGTTCTCCCTACAAATGGAACTGTTGCGAAATTGAATGTTCGAATGATTCGGCACTGACGAGAACTGTCAGGTTGAGGGACGTCAGAAACTGCTGATTCATTATCGAATTGCACGCCGTGTCGACGTCTCCGTTGTAGACGAGAATCTGAACTTCATCATCCCATTAAACCGCCTCTTTCCAGTCGTTTCGCACCTTGATTCCGGCCGCAATCATCTTCTGAAACTCGGCGATTACGTCGAAGTGTGTCACTTGGTAATGGTTGCCGACGTCGTCGCTGCAAGAAGAAAAAGGAGAATAAGATGAAGACAATGGGGGCGCGAACAGGTTCATTCGGCTGTTACATCAGAATCTCTCTTTCGATGGGTGGCCAATCAGAAAGAGAAGAAGATGGCAGAGGGGAAGAATACGAAACAATTTGAAAGTTTCAAAACGACTCGCCTGCACTCTTGCCAAACGGGAAGGGAACTCGGGATGTGGAGACTCTTCCGGACGTCCGCCCTGTTCAAATAAATGAATGTGTTGTTGGTTTGAGCACACAACGGAACAGTCTGGAATTCTTTCTTTGAAAACGGTCGGCTTGCGAGTCCGTACCGTAGCCGCGTTGTGCTTCCTTTGCGGCAGTCCGACTGCCTTCCGCATCTGCCTCTCGATGAACGCTTTCTTCATATTTGTCGATGGATCGTAGTAGCACACATCGTAAAGATTGTACATATTCAGTTCATTAGTCCCGTCCAGCGCCTGAAATTGTCCGTTGTGAAATTCTTAAGATCATTGCCAAATATGCTTACACTGATGACTTTATCCCTGCATTTCGGATCAAAGAACGCGCTGTAAATGTCACAAGTGCCAATGTTATTGTTGCAGCAATTCATAGCGATGTCATTGTACAAACTGAAAATTACTCAGACTACCGAATCTTCTGAACCGACCGTACTCGTCGCGAACGAGAGCGTGATAATAGTAGAAAGGAACCATTGTATTGTAATTATTCGGGAAGTTGAGAGCTCCATTTCCAATGGCAACACCTTTGAAATTGGGGAAATTGGTCTTATCTGCCAGAATTCTGACGGCCAATGTGGGAATGTAGACTCCAGCGTAGGATTCTCCGGTTATCCAGAAGTCTCGGCCTTTATATTCGGAAAACTTTGAAAGAAAATCAACGAGAGCCATGTAGTTCTGCAGAGATACTTGGTCATCGGAGATGGTCAGGTTGGAAGAAGTGGAATAAGAAAAACCGACGCCTGCTGGAGATTCGAGGAACAAAACGTTGGCAAACTGAAACTATCGTTTCAAGGGATGATTCCATTCAAACTGACCTTGTTCCAGGAATACTGATTGTAGTAGATCGAGTCGCCATTATCTTTCACGTGAAAAGGTCCCAACTCTTCAATGAGCCCATCTAAACTGGAACATCCCGGACCTCCATTGAGCCAGAGAACGAGGGGAGCATTGGCTGGATCCTGTGAGGATTCCGTCAGCCAATAGTGGAAATACTTATCTGTCCAGGCTCGCAGAAAACCAGAATAATGAGCAAAGTCGGGGGTGAAAGTCAATCCGGGCAGATCGGACACTTTATCGCTGCCAGGAGCGGACAAAACAGCTGAGAGAAGGGCCCCCAGCAGGAATATTGTAGTTGAGCGGAGCATTTTCGAAATGGAAAAGAAAACGGTGATAAGTGCCGATATGACAATGGAAAGAGGATTATTTCGGTGTCATCAGATTCAACACGATGATGATGCAGTTGGAAGCAGAGAAGCTAGGAGTGGGGCATTGTTTTGATGAGAAATTTGAGAAATTATGAATACAAATAATAGTGTGTGTTTTTATCAAGTGTTTTTTTGTGCGGAGTTAGTTTGAAAGATTTATTCACTCTGTGGAGCTCTAATTGCACGAAGTTCACAAGTTCTTTTTAAAGGAACATGTAAATCTTTCCGTGAGCGGGTTTCGCCACGCTTACAGTAGCCTACAGGCGGCGTGGAGGGAAAATCAAATTTTAGCCCAATTTCACGTTCCATTTTCCGAGTTTTGTCGCGTAATCGACGTTCACAACAAAATTATTCCGTCGGAAATGATCAAGCGAAACGCTTTCGAATATTCGCAGCCGCCGCTGCTCAAATCACCGCCACCGGCGCCGTCACCGCTCGATTCTAATCGGGTAAAAAGATGTGCTCATTGTTTTGATCATTCTTGAGCCCTTTCAGTCTTATCGCTGGACTTCGATGACTGCCGCCAGCAATTCAAAACTTGCGGAGACCCCGGTCAAGAACGCTGCAAAGAAACCTGACATGAGTTGGTGGTCGCCGTCGCGTGGAGACACGTGGCGTCTGAATGCCCCTCGTGGCCGCACTCTGGATCTTGTTGCCGCTTTTGATCAGTGCGCTCGACAGGATATTCTTGAACCTCCGAAGTACGTAAATGTGGGCAGATATCGCAGAAACAGCGAGCCGATGCAGGAAAATGAAGAAAAGGAAATGATAAGCACCAATTTCATAGGTAATGAAAACTATACGGATCCTAGAGTATCAGAATTTTAGATGATTCGATGATCGACGATCGCGAAGAGTACGAAGAGCACGAAATCGATTTGGAAATGGATTACTACGATCGTCCGACGATTAAAATGCATCGAGCCGCTGATCAGCACGAGGACAATTTTGAAAATGGACAAAGAAATGAACAAACGTATGAGCTCATCAGTATTTGCGGTAATCAGTAAAAAGTTTACAGGCACATCTCACTGGGAAATGGAAGCCGTCGTCAAAGTGTTTCATCGTCGGTCACACACCGCACCACCGTCGAACACATTATTAGAAACGGCGGAGGAGATGGGAAAGTGCAACAGCAGATGCCAAAACAATCGGATACGCCTATTATGGATCAGACCCCGAGACGACCGCAAGCCTTGTAAGCAGTTATTATGGTTACATGTCTAGCATATCTTAATTTAACAGAAGTGCTCGCAGCAATGTTCCTAATCTGGATATGGGCAGATTGGATCATCCTGCCAAGAATAACGAACAAACAGTAGCTGGATTCATTACGTCTACTCCGCAAGTGCAGAAGGGAACGGACGAACTCTCCAAGTATTTCGGACATGAAGAATCTATTCGAGGATCTCCAATGACTCGTCGCGAACGTCGCCGCACTCAGACAATCGTTCTTCCGTCATTTGACTCGCCAGCTTCTGATCGGAAATTCAAAGCACCGATGTCTCCGCCGCCTCCGATTCCATCGAAGAGCCACGTTGTTTTGCCATCCTCTCATGTCAAGTAAACTTGAACAAAAATTAAACATATTTAAATCTCTCCTTCCAGGAATATTGCTTCGGAATTTGAAAAAGCTGATTTCGGATTCCATCGCAAAATCGATCCGGCTCAGGAAATTGCAGAACTGAGGCAACGAGCGAACTCAGCTAAGAGCAGTAGTTTCGATGAGAATCAGAATGTGCTTCTCGAAAGCTCCGAGGCTAATGCAAGCAGTGAATCAATCCCCAGAATCAGTCATCTGTTCGTTTTGGAAAGTGGTTTATAGATACAGTCTAGTTTCAGTGAGATGCGCCCAAGTATTCAAATGGGAGTCAGTGGATACAAACTCAGAGCTCAATCACAGGAAGAAGTTCTTTACTCGCTTCCCGTCAAAAAGAATCTGAAGAAACAAGAAAAGGTCGAAAAAGACGAGACGGACGAAAGAGCGATGACTCCGCGTGCTCTTCAGAAGAATCGCCAAAGTCTTCCGTTCTCAGACATACCAGAAGAGCGTACGTGTGACAAGATTGACGAGATGTTTGATTTTGTCGAGGTTCCGACTGGAGACTTTGAAAAGACACTCGAAAGGACGAATGACGGATATGCGGAACTGGCATCGCGTGGAAGTCCGGCGAAGAAAGCGACAAATAGGATGAACGTGTCGGTGAACACTTATCAGACGATCGAGTTTGATAAAGAAGTGAGAGATTACAGCATACAGTAAAATTGTTGTTTATTTCTTTTTCAGCCATACGTGGAACAATTCGAGAATGATGGCACCGGATTCAGTGGGTCGTCAAGTGGACCTCAATTCACTCGCTCCCCGACTCTGATAACTCCGCACGCCGGTCAATCGGTTACTGAATATCGCGTTTCTGAAAAGGAAGGTCGCGCTAGAACAGAGAAAGTCGTCGTCCAGAAAATGCTTCAACCTTCTGCTCTTGCCACGTCAACTCCGAAAGGAACACTGGCTTGGCGAAGAAACCAGAATGGACCGGAAGACTCATTTGTCAGCTCGATCAGCAACTTCTCCGCTGCGGACAAGATAAACGATTCACGTAGACAGATCTCCAAATTGATAGAGACAATCGAGAAGACTCGCAAGCACATCCAACTTGCGGAAATATCGTTGCTCGATGCGAAAAGGGCTCGGATGGTTGTGCAAGAGTTGGCTTCTCAGAGAGTCCTTCTCATATGCCGAGAACGTCTGAAGCTGCAGCTGGATGAAGTGCGCCGTCTGCAAGCACTCTCGGTCGTCCGTCATCCACCACCACCCATCAACAGACATTTCAAATCGGCCATGGTGATTTCGAATATTGCTGTCCACCTCAACAAGAACTTCAATTGTCGTAAGTATCCTTCTGGTGTTCATCATTCCCTCTCTTTCCATTCCCTTTCCGATTAAACGCAACCGTCCCTCTTCTTCATGCTTTGCAGGCGGTTCCTTCGCGTTCATTGTTGCTCTCAAGTGCCGCACTGAGATCGAGGCAACTGGAGTTGTCACCTTACTCGCTCACTATCAGACACGCATGCATGTAATACACTTTGGAGAGCACATGCACTTCTCCAATCTCCCCGTTGACTTTGTTATTTCCATGGAAGTGTACATGATGGTTCGGCAGTGAAAAGTTCTTTTCTCTAATCAAGTGGCCGTTTTCAGCGTGTTCCCGAGTACAAAGCACCCGAGAAGACGTGTGCTTCGTTGCTTGCTGCCAAAGTCCGCAGTCTGCTGGTTCCGAGCTCAGGTACATTCTGTTTCCTAGTCATAGGTGTTTTGAGTTGAGCGCCGGCAGTTCAGGACAGGCGAGTAGAAAGGCCTGGTTCGGGAAAAAAAATTAGCAGTAGTGAGGCCGTAAGCCTGCCAAATTTACCCGGACTGTAACAGGTTGCCAAGTTGTTTCAACTGTCTAAATTACTTCTATGGGTCTTATTCCTTCAGTTTCCACTCATTTGAACCCACTACCATAAAACGACGCTTGGATAAATATTCTCTGAAAATTGTTGTTATCCCTTTCCACAGGGGGGGGAGGTCTTATGGTTGCCGCTGGTTCGAAAATTTCAATCCAATCGCCAGATCGGAAAAATGTTTTGACGTTTCTCAAAAAAAGTTTTGCAGCTCATCGCCGTCCGAAAGCCAACAGTATTTCGGCCAATCGGACTGTTGTTTCCCTTCCTGGCTATCAAGCACCTGAATGTGAATTCAAGTTCTGTGGAAAGCTAACTCTGGATCGTGACTCGGCCGGAGATCGTCAGTTCTACCTGGACGATGTTACTTATCCTTTGGAAGGAACCGTCAAGCTCCTTTCGCATTGTTCTTCCCTTCCTGAAGCGATAGACGTCGGGTACCGCGGATTCCTTTACTTGTTCGACGAGCGATCTCCGAACGGGGATTCCGCGTGGGAGAGATACTGGGCAATGCTGCACAGAGGAATCATCTTCTTCTGGAAGACCCCAGTCGACGAGAAGAATGAACAAGTGCCGCTTTCGCAAATTGACCTGACCAAATGCACAAATCAATCGATCGAGGAGACGAGAAACGAGCGATCGCACGAATTCCAAATCGAGTTGCTCATTGATCAGAATCCGAGTTTGCTTGAGAAGAGAAGGTAGGCAGACATCAATTTCTGAATGAGATCCTTCATTTTCTCGTTTTCAGAGTCGTGCTCGCTGCCGAATCTGCTGACCATCTGACGATGTGGCTGAACGCGATCAACGACACACTGTGTGTGCTCCGATCCTGAATGCTTCACAAGCCGATATTCCAATCTATTGCCCCTTGATGATTTCTTTTTCTTTCCTTTTTCGATATTAGCATAATCTCACCTTCTGACTCATTCCCCTCCCTAAATTTGACATCTTCCCGTTTTTATAATGTTCTTTCACCCCCAGAGCCCAGTGAAATCCCTTTCCAGAAGTACTCTCTTTTCAAAAAGGTTTTATAAAAAAGAAAAGGTTTTTCCCTTCACCCGCTGTCTCATGATAGTTATTCCCGCATTTGAAGCCCATTTCCCAGTTCCCTCCTCGTTTTTATCGCTTCCGAATGGAAATATTGGCTTTCTGTCGACCATCCGTTTTCCCGCTACAACCCTGAAAGCCAAAAGTGCACCGTAATAATTATGATGTATAGTACTTATGGTAATGAATGTGTGGAACTGACGAATTCATTCGCTTTCCGTTTGAAATCGTCCTATTCCGATTCTATCTATTCGTCTCCTCTTTTCTGCTCTCGCAAGTGCGTCAACACCACGGAGGCGCCATCATCGATTTTTTCGCTGTTGGCCGTTTCCGTGGCCGAACTGCGAATTCTTTTTCCCTCTAATTTACGCTCCCACATTTATTTTTTTGCAGTTTCATCTAAAGATGCAACAAAATGGAGATCCACGTCGGCCGAATCGAATTGTTCGGTAAAAACTGTTCTAAAGCCAACAATATTTCCGGTTTTGCAGATTCAAGCCAATCGACGCGACCGCAAATCAACAGCAAGCGGTCAGTGAAGACCCTCTTCCGGAGTACATGAACGTGCTCGGAATGATCTTCAGCATGTGCGGACTAATGATGCGGGTTGGTATTTTGAAGAGGGAAATAGGATGTTCAATGGGAACTGTTCCAGATGAAATGGTGCTCGTGGATCGCTCTCATCTGCTCGTGCATCTCGTTCGCCAATACACGCACTTCCGACGACGCCAAGCAGATTGTCAGTAGCTTCATGTTAGTGAAAAACTGCCATATTCTTCTAAACGGTGTGTTTTCAGGCTCTCCGTGTCGGCCGTTGTCATGAGTTACCTCCAGAATCCGTCTCCGATCATTCCACCGTGGGTCACGCTTCTCCAGTCTTGATGACTCTCAAAAAGAGAATACTTCCGAATTCGTCGAATATTTATAACTTTTTGTGATAGTCGATATTTAAAACAAATGAACTCTTTCAGCTGATACTTCTTGTGATTCCCATAGGAATGGGAATACGTTCCCATCAGTTTTGCTTTAAACGCACTTGAGACCGTCCTCGTGGCGAGGACAAACCAGAAAGTAGAACGACATGAACATATCCTTTCTCCGATATTCGGTTTGTGGTTAACGACATCCACGCGGAGAGACGGGAAGCGCAGACGGGCGGCGCAGTCTGGATCCGCCCGTCGCAAAATGGTCGTACTCTTCGCCACTTTGTAGCCTAAATGCGGGACTATTGTTCAGTTCTTGAAAAGGCAATATTTTGAAACTCGCACTGTAAAAAGATGCTATCTCTTTTCTGGTATTGGCCCGTTAAAGGGAGAGGTAAACCTATTGGAGACTACACTCCGTTCTGATTCTGCTCTTTGCTTCCCACTCATTTTCTCAAGGTAACTGCGCTCTACTCGGCTATTTAAGACTTGCTTCGTTTCCTTCTTGTTCAAACGGTCTACCTGGGATAGCTATTGCTGCCTCGGGAGTGTCGCGATCGCGCTCTACCGTTCTCCGCTTCTTCTCGTATCCTCGCCAGGTTTTTCAAGACCTATTATGTGATAGATTATCTCGAAAAACCTTGCACGTCGGCCAAGTTCTAGGTCTTCGCGATCTCTGTCAAACCCGTTACCGTACTCCCTGTGACGTCCTAATTGCACCATTTCTTTTCTGACCTTGGAAGCCGATCCGCAGCGGTTCAAACAACACACTTCTCGACCAAACTAATTTTGTTCGAAAAATGAATCCCTCGTTTTATCTTCGATTCGTTCAAAAATGTCTAGATGGCCATCATCGGACGGCCCAAACAGGACCTTTGATCGTGTACTTTCTCTCCTCTCTTGAAGCGACCGCCCATTCTGATCACCTGAGAGAGACCCCGGCAGACTGAGTTCCATGGCAGCCAGTCGGTGACTCCTCCTCGTTCCGATTTCGTGAGAATTCAGAAGAAAACGAGGAATGAGGTCGTCGCTTATCTCGCTGAAATCTCCGTCTCCTTCTTCCCTTCTCTTCCACGCATTCCACCTATTTTCCCCTCATTCCGCCTGTTTTCCTCATCCTTTTCAGCGCCAGAAACCTGTCCAATTTACCACTTTTTATCACCTCTCCCTTCCGTACTTGACAGGCGACGAAGACATTAATCAACGTTTGAGAAGAGAATGTACACGGTGGCAGTGACCGGTGGCGCCGGTCTCGTCGGGCGGTACGTTGTGCAGAGACTTCTGGAGAATGAGCAAGTGGCCGAAGTTCGCATCATTGACAAACAGAGCACTTCGAGAGGTGAGCAGAGAGAGAGAGAGAGAGAAAGAGGAAGAGAGAATGGGAATGAGTTACAGGGGAGAATCGGAAGATCAAAGTGTACGTGCTGGATGTAAACGATCGGAAGCCGCTGGAGAATGCACTTAGAGGCTGCGATGGAGTCGTTCACTGTGCTCACGCTCCGTTTCCCGTCTTCTTCTCGAAGGATAAAACGGAAGACGAGCAAATGTGGAAGGACAATCTGGACGGTAAGTGCTCCGGCCGTTTCTGGTCCCGAACCCGCGCATTCCGTCAGCTTGCGAATCTGTGGTCGACACGATGACCGCCCTCGACATCAAGAACCTCGTGAACATTGGCTGTGCGTACTGCCCGATCCCCAATGAGGACAACTACGGACTGGCGCAAGACGTGTTTCTGTAAGTATTCCTCTGGAATCGTTCGCATCCTCCGTTTGCAGTGATTATCCAAGAAACTACATGCTGGACGAGTACGGAGAATCCCGCACTCGGGGGGAAATGTACGCGAGGAGGGCGGCGAAGAGGGGCCAGCTCAACGGAATCTTTCTGCGGCCTGCTTTTGTGTACGGTCAGGGAAAGAGCCGGAAGATTGAGGCGGTCAAGGAGCTCGTGCAAGAAGGAGCACTGCCGTTCGTGAACGGAGAGCGACGCGGCTTGCATCAGTTTGTCAGTTTCCGTGCTCGGGGAGCAAGATGACGTGCCCGCATTTCAGATCTACGCGGGGAATTTGGCTGCAATCGTCGAGAGGGCATTCTTTGGCCTTCTTCGGAATCCGGCACTGTTCAACGGGGAAATCGTATTTTGCATGGACGAGAACTGCGTTCATTCCATGAGAGATGTGAGGCCAAACCGTCAATTTAGAATCAAGAACCACTTCCTTTCTTTTTCAGTTCTTCGAGAACCGTTTCCATAACCCCAATTATTCATTGGAAGTGGCCTCCAATTACTGGCCGGCGTTCGCCACGTCATATTTGAACTATTGGAAATACAAACTCGGTTTCACAGTGAGCAGCCCATCTCTAGTTCGAAGTTCAACGTCTTCCTTCTTCCAGATTCCCGAAAAGATCCTGAACCACGTGGCGTTCCGTCTATTCTTCGAGAAAACCGTCGGATTCCCGAACAAGAAACTGCGACTGCTCCTGGATTCTAAACCAGAAGTTTCGCAAGAAGACGCCTTCCTGAAGTACGCCAATCCGAAGTCGTCGTACACAATCGAGACGGTGAAGAGGTCGACTTTGCAAGGATAATTCTGATGGATAACTTTTAAATAAATAATGATTACTGCTGTAAAACATAGTAGCCTACAATGATAGCACCTCAGCTGATGCCATTGATTCTTCTGTTTACGGGAGGCCAGACGAGTACATCGTAATTTCAATTCCGCCAATTACGGCAGTGGCCTTTTTTTCATGTCGTATCGCGGTAGAGCGCCATCGCCAGAATTCGGATCAAATAATGTGTTTTGGGCGAAAATAGCAAATTTAAAAATTAATCACCACGAAAACTTTCCAACATCTACTCAGCTGACTACCGTTTAAACTGGTAATTGGTTTTCGAGATAAAGATCTAAGAAGGTGTTTAGGAACATTGAAGAGTGGAGACGAGGCCTCAAATTAGCTCACTTTTTTTATCAAATTACAGTGAATTCTATAAAAGTCTAATCGTGAGCAAGCTTCTTTTTTTCGGTCCCCCTCTCTTTTCAAAGTTTCCGTCGATATCTGATGGACGCGGAAGGCAGGCCACGCGTTGCTGGCGCAATCGGCGTGCTTCCGCGTCTCTCCCGTCCACGCGATCTCTCGTATTCTCTTCAGTTGCTGGGAACGCGCCATCGTCCCCGTGCCGTATCGACTCGGCTGAAATGTATTCAGAGAGGGGAGCGAGAGAGAGAGAGAGATAAGTGTCTTTTCCGTCTTGAACCTCTGATCCCTCGGACGGATAATTGCGGAGCCGTTTCTCGGCTGAATTCTGTCTCGCACACTTTCGATCAATGGAAGTGTTCTTGCCTTCTGGGCAGTTTCCCAAGAATCCGACAGGCCGTCCTTCGTTTCGTCTTCGCCGTTCTCTTTATCGATTTTCCGTCTCTGTATAAATTCTTCACTTCGTCTCCATTCAAGCGTTTTTTGTTGTATTAATCATCACTCTTCGCTATGAGACCCTTCGCATTTGCATACACAGCACTGCTATCGTTCGGTCACAAAAAGACCCACTGGCTTGACCTACCGCGTTATTGATTTTATGTCCAATGCACAGTACTTGCCTCTATCGATAACTTTTCAATATTTGCAGAAAACTATGGGTGATATCGGCGTGGAACCACCCGCAATGCCGGCTGGAGATGTGGCCATACACGGAGACACCACGGATGAGCTGCAGTGCACGATATGTCTGGCATCGAAGTGAGCGAAACTATTCTTCCGTTTTCAGTTATTAAGGTTGACTTTTCTAAAGGTTTACTCAAGAGGGTCGGATCAGTAATTGCAATCACTCGTTCTGCTTCTCGTGCATCTCCGAATGGGTTTGCCAGTCGCTCCGTCCGTCCTGCCCAATGTGCCGGTCCGAAGTCGACAAAATCTGCTACGACTTCAAGGAGGCGGAGAACGGTCGCATTGAGTTAGTGCACTGTCCAATAGATCATTCTAATCTTCTCCTCTCTTCAGAATTCAGATACTGGAGTACAGAAGCGCTCACGTGCAGCTGACACAGACGGACAAGAATGTTCTGATCAGTGAACGACGGATCGTCGTCAGAAATATTATGCATGCGTACAAAGTTCTGGCCGCGCTGGCTTCTGCTGTGTAAGTGAACAACATTAAACGAGTACTTAATTTGAGTGGTTTCCAGGCTCGAGATAAAGGGCGACACAGAGATACACGCGCAGTTACGGGTAACAGAAACCATCGCAAAATCGTTACAAAAAGTGTTGTTTTCCAGAAAGCTCTGGCTGACTTGGAGTCCGTCGTCACTCAGCACATTGCGCGATGCGAGATTATGCTGACCGATCTGAGACTGGAAGTTACCCGCAAAAACAAGTAATTGATCGTAATCTCTCATTCCCAATTAGTATAATTTGTTTTTCAGAGCGCTCATTTTCAGAGCAGAAACATTCCGTCGTATGATTTATACGAAAAAGATTCGGGTTAAGTACAACGATCAGAAGAGACCGAAACTTCAGCCAGAAGATCTTGCCAAAGATCCCGAACGGTTCAAAAACATTGTCACGGAATACATGAAGACAGAGTACGACGCTATTCCATTTTGCATGGTAAGAAAACGCTGCAAAAGCCCGCACAATTTGAATCTTTCAGCAAGCGAAACCAGGCGGTGTCAAGTGGAGAACCAAGTTTATAGGACAGACAATGACGGAGGAAGACAAAGGCCTAGCGACCGCCCGTATTTACCAACTCATGCTCAATTTGCGTCCTGGAAACGACGCGTTCCAGGTGAGCATTTTTGTGATTGGACCGCTTTGTTTTATTATTGCTTATTCCAGAAAGAACTGGCAGACATTCTACCACATGTGAGCACTCAGTTTCTGCCCCTGCTGGATGACCATTTGGAGGCCATTTTGACCGTCGAGAAGACCGTTTTGGACCAGTTTTATCAAGAAGTTTTCTATGATTCCGTGTACAATAACATCTCAAGCGGATTCATGGAATACAACGGAATGAGGGAGGAACCGGAGCAACTCGAGTCCATTTTCCATCATTTCGCCCATTTCGGAGGTGGATGGCCGCCAGATCACTTCACGGAAAGACGGCTCCATCGTCAAACATCGAACACAGATCGTACCGATCGTGCCACCAACAACGACGACATGAGCGATCGGTCGGAATCGCCACAGGAGGAAAGAGAGGCGACGCCGATGCCCGACGACCTCAACCTGTCGCCAGAAGAGACTCTAACGCGAGTGTTCGAATCTGCACGCTACCCGAATATTGGTCCGCTTCGTGTCCCAGGATTTCTGGATTTGAGAGAGCCTGTCAGTGAGGCACACCGCCAATTCCGCGAGCAGATGGAGCTGAGACGAAGGAACAGACTCGAGGAAGCAGAGACGAGCAGGACGTTATCCCACGAAGATCAACGTCTCCGTTCATCGACGAGGAACAGAGAAGCGAGTGAAAGGATCAGGCGGCTCGACGCGCAGTCGGAGCAATTTTCGGTAAATTTGGATTGAACATCTGAGTAAATGTGTTTATGATTTCAGTCTCTAATGCGCACACGCCCTTTGCTTATCAATCATCGAGATCGCAGAATGGTGAGAAACGATGAATCTCAGTTAAAGTTTGCAAAAACAATTTATTTTCAGCTGACGTTCGCTCCTCAGCCGATCGCCAACCTGACCGCACCGCTCGGCGCCAGACCTCCCGTTTATATCCCATCCACTAACTACTTTAGAGCGGCTGCCGCTAGTCTTGCCAGTCTTTCACACAGTGTCCCACCTTCATCGCACAGTTTCACCAATTGGCCGATGGAAGAGGAGCGCAATATAACAGACCAACAGAGAAATGTACTCATGAGACGAATGATGGAAGGGATGGAAGGGATGACAGCGTCAGCAAATGCAGCTGCTCAACGAGCGGAAGCAGAAGCGTCGCGTGAACCTATCCTTGTAGATCTTACTCGAAACAACGTAACAGGAACCAGACCTCCAGGATACATTGAATCTCCGCTGCCTCCGGGTAGAGAACCGACGGCTTCTGGCGAACGGTCACTGAGGGCAATCGCGGCGGCCCTCGACAGGGAAGATGCTGCCAATGGACTCGACTACATCTCGGTTGCACATAGGACGAGATCTGCGAGAAGAGGTGTGCACTACGCCATCGGCGTCCATTACCCGCGGGCCCGTGACGGGTACATCGAAAGTTGAAATGCGGAAATTTAGTAAATTCCATTTGAGCGCATTTACTTTATGGTACGACCCCGTGGTTTACATTCTGTTTTCAGCTGCTGCCAGTGGACAACTGCCAGGAGCTCCCCCGCCTAAAAGAGCTCCTAATTCTCGTCGAGACCGTCGCTGAACATCATTCGTTCTCCCCCGTTTTATCCCGGAAAACCTTCTTGCATTCACTGGTTTCGTGATTAGTTTCGAAATAATTCGTATGATGAAACTCACTTTAACCACTTCAAAACCCATTGACAAGAATCGAAAAAACTATTTTTATTGCCCATTCAATATGCCCACCTGTATTTAATTTGATATTTTTTTAAATCTTTTAATAAAAAAATGCTGATGATTTGTCTTCGTTATGAAAAGTTTTGGATATTCTTGTGATGATCTCGCAAAATGTTGAATATTGACAGTTTGACTATAAGTAGTGTTACGTCGTCCAGACGTAACACTATCCTCTGCTTAGGGTTACTCACCCTAAGCAAAGTCTCTTCTACCCATCTTGGGCCACCTCTCTGTTCTACCTTGTTAACTCGCTTCATCTGCTCTTTAGCAACCGAAGACCACGAGTTAAATCCATAACAAGGATCCAAAGAACATAGCCAGTAGATATGCGAAATTAGTGAGCTATGAGCTGTGAGCAGTTTTTGACAATTATAATAAAGTGTTTTTATCTATTTTCTTCATGTCCAGTTTCTGTTCTCCGTTTCAATTCGAAAAATACTTGAAATTTGGGAACCTGGTGGGTAAACTATGCAAGTGCGCTCTACCGAACTTTAAAAACCCCTGGGACGTTTTTGCTGGAATTGAACAAAAGTAGAACAATTCCTCACTTTAGTAATCCTCACTTTACCTTTCATCATTTTAGTATTTTGCATGCGCTACCTTTTATCAGAAACACAGATAAACTCTGATTAATCATGCATGATTCCAGCTTTGGATGATGGATAACCCAGAAAATTCGGCAAGCGTAGTGGACACTGGCAAGGCTGAAAAAGAGGAAGAGGCAGAATGCACTGTGTGCCGAGGACCGTCAGTTCAAACCCCTGAATTGGATTAGTAAACTCTCATTACAGTATTATCAGCCCAACAGCGCTCAGTGATTGTGTGCACGAATTCTGCTACGACTGCATCGTTCAATGGCTGATCAAAGGATCGGACAGTTCTGTCCGATGTGCAAAACGGCAGTGAAATTCATAATAAAGAACGAAACTGGAGAACAGTAACTATCGATACAAATATTGCAATCACAACTTTGTTTCAGAATATCTATCGAGCAAATTCTTGCGCAGAAAGAACCGGAAGCAGTAGCAGCTGAGGATTTAATCACAGAGAAGAGAATCGTGTCGAAGAAGATGCGCAGTTGTCGGAGAATGATGAGCCGTATAGACGAGCTTTTGTGAGTTCACTTTTCCCGATCTTAATCCAAACAGAGACATTTTTCAGATCTGCCCAGACTCACTCTTCGCAAATGAAGAAACGGCAGGTCGCATCGAAGAGCTGAAAACAATGAAGCAACAGTGTGTTTCACAACTCAATTCCCTTCAAATGCTTCGAGATGATATCGATCATGGAACAGTTAAGGCATTGATCGTGTCGAAACTGGCCTTCAGAAGACTTGTCTACGAGCGGAGTACCATTTCCGATGGCTTACCACAGGGCGGTCGCACGCCATCCAAGCAGGAGTTTCTAGGCGAAATCGAGCACAACCGATCCGTCTTGCACAACTTTTTGCGTGTCGAATTGAAGGCGCTACCAGTGGCAAACGTAAAAAGCAAAGTTTATAGTCAAAATAGCAATGCTTATATTCTAGCAACCGAAAGTGGAGACTGCAAGTGGATGGATCTTCAACACATTGGAGGACATAATCGGCGGAGAAATTGAGGACGCGGTCAACAGAGTTTTCGATGCGATCACTGAGCGAGGCCTCCGCGACACAACTGCTCTAGAAGCGGATATATCCGATGCTCTGAACAGTCTTGTCTCACGGAGAGCCATCGATTGCTTCGTAAAAGAGATTGTTAGTCTGGTGAGCAGCAGTATGACGTTCCTCGAATGGTGCGGGTCCGTCCGTTATCGGTCTGTTACCGATTTTGGAGGGGAAGCGACTAACGACGGTGAGCAAGGAATACAGCTGATACCATGTGAATCGAACAGTTACAGGGGACATCGTGATAGTAGATGATAGCGTCGAAGATCCGCCAAGTCGGCCAGAGAGACCTCATCTCCATCGACGTCCCGTCTTCAATCCATTTTTTAGTGAGTTAGCTACCTATTCCTACAGTCTAACTGAATTATGTGATTTTCAGATACTGGCCTTCGCAATCCATTTGTGAATCACGTGAGTTACCCGAACATTAGCGCCATGATCAACGTGAGTCTGTCGTTGTAGCGAGCTTCTTCTTCGGACACGGATCAGGACGATGACAACATCTACTTTCAGGCTCCGCTTTATCTCGGTCCGCCAGTCAACCCGTTTCTCCCACCTCGCCAAGCACAGAGTAATCGATACATTTGAGGGAAAGCGAATTATACATTATTCCACTTTCAGATATTCCATCTCCCGGCGTTTTCTGGGCTGATTTGACTCGACCTGCTCCTGGACCGAACAGATCGAACAACGTGGATGTCGTTGACCTTTCTGACGATGAGGATGGCGAATCTGGCGAATCAGAAGAATACGACGGAGTCGAAGTAGAAGCTGACGACGTTCAAGTGCTCAATCCGAATGGAGCCATCACACTCGATGAAACCATGGAGTCGGAGCCATCAGAGTCATCCAGCAACCGAAGAGGAAGGAAAAGGAAGAGTGAAGAAAACCAACTCGAAAGAGCGATAAGATCAGATCGAGCTGCTGCTATACCGGATGGATTTTGCGAGGATCTTCAGGATTTGATGGCGAAATACAATATTCATACGGATTCGGCGATGGAAATTATATCTGCTGCAACGCAGGAGATCGTCGAGAGAAAGCCATCACCACCGAAGAGAGCTGCTGGCGGAAGACCGTAAGTTCGCTTTTAGCTGAATCTTCATTCGTCGAAAATTGTTGCAGTGCTTCTAGTTTTCTGTCGACTGATGAGACTCCGCAGAAATCAGCTTTTTCTAAATGTATGCTTATTTTTATTAAAGTTGACAATATGATAAATTTCAGACATCGCGAAACACGGGCTCGGTCCATAGAAACACGTTTCAATGAGGTCGACTAGACAAATTCATGCCTTTTTTGTCAACAGTGACATCAACTCACATCATCATTCTTACTGATATAGCTATTACCGGGTTTGTCCTCATGTTTGTTGCTTAGTTTATTTCTCTGTTTGTCCGTCTCCACGTTCATTTCTAAAAAATGACGGAAAACTTGAGAAATAAACACGTGAACTTTCAAATGGGGCTATTCAGAGTATGTTTGTTTTTGTTTTTTTTATCCCGCTTCCGAGCGTCAGCTCGGACCGCGCAGCGGGCCCAGGTTTAGGAAGTCTTGTTTCTTATATTTATTTGTAGAGCCAATGAGGTTGACTATAACGGAAAAAAATTCTGGTGGTGTCCTTTGCCGTATGCTCCCACCTACTACTCCCATAGCTTGTATTTTGTTTTATCTTTGCTGTTATTTTTATTCATCTTAACTGGAACAAATATAAATAGCTTCTCTCTTTTTAAGCATCTTTATCCCTTCTTTACACAGTTTCTTTCTGAAATGGTACTTTTATAATCATTTCCTAGTTTCCATCTTCTATGACGTCTCAAGAAGTCCGTAATTTCTGTCGTTACTTCGGATCACTATCATTTTGACACAGACAAGTTCATTGTTCTCCAATTAGAGCATTATCGCCCCCGTCATCTACGACGACCTTCCCACTGTGTTCTTCTGTTCACCGCATTAGGTCCGCGAGCAGGCAGGTCCTCCCCACCCCCATGGGTATATAAACCGTCCAGTTGTACATTCAATTCAAGTTATCTCGACCAGTACGCTCGCTCTTCCCCGTTCGTTCGCACAGAAATAATTAGAGCGCTGTGCATTCATTCATTCGTTCGTCGTACTCTCTTACTGTGTGTCCCTCCTTTTCCAATCAATGCTCCCTTTTCGTATTCCCTAAACAACTACACGCTTCCTCTTTTTTCTCTGATTTTCACAGAGCCCTTTCCCACTTTAATCAACACAGTAGTTGGTGGAGTTTCGCGAGAAATGGTGAACAAATAGCAACCACCTGAATCCGATTCGAAATTCGCCCATTCGTCCTCGCTTGATGCTCTCGTCGTCTGCTGCCCTCCGCAGTAAACAATGCTGAGCGTGCTCTCTCGCTCGTCGCGTTTCGCCGCCGCCGTATGACTGTGTCACATGATGTTGTGGCGGGTCGTCTCGTCGTCTCCGCCCTTCTCTATCGTCGAGGCAGCTAGGGCGGACTGAGTCTCTGCCATTCGTCTTCGTGTGTTCAGTCGTCTCTCCGTGTCGCTCTGTGCTGCTGGTTTTCACTTTCGAGGCGCTCCTTTGTTTGAAAGTTACCAACTGCTGGTAAGCAACCGGTTCCAGAGCCTTCTTCGAAGCAGTACCATAGGCTTTTCAGCGATTTCAGTTCAATTTTTCGATAATGATGTCAGAACTGATTTCATAACATTGCGAGACATCAACTATATAATATCCACTAGAAAAATTGATACTGATAGCTGCCCGCTTCTGTCTACTGGTTCACAGTATCCTTGGCAACCAATCCCACGTGTCGCTCTTCTTGAGCTACACAGCTGTTTGGTACTCTCTCCTATCCCTCCGTCTCTTCAGAAAAGGTCAGGCAAACAGAGGAAATCAATAGGCAACGAGGCGCGCGCTCATATGACCGCTGCGCGCACGCACGCTCACTCTCGCTCACGCCTCCAACGCCGGCATTCGGGCTCACTCTCGCCCCTTCCTTTCCCGTCTCGCTACTCACCATTTCGCAATCCTGTCCACTATCACTCTGGTCAATCGCACCACGTGATTACAATTCACTTTCGCTTGTTACACTCTGTCTGTCTCTTCTCTCGCTTCTTTCAATTCTTGCTTCATCACATGACTCGTCTCACAATCTCTCTCTATTTCCAGAAACTTCCTTCCAACCAAACGAACGATGAAGTGGGCTTACAAAGAGGAGAACAACTTCGAAAAGCGTCGTGCCGAGGGCGACAAGATCCGTAGAAAGTACCCGGACCGCATCCCGGTCATCGTCGAGAAGGCCCCGAAATCGCGTCTCCGTGATCTCGACAAGAAGAAGTACTTGGTGCCATCGGACCTCACCGTCGGACAGTTCTACTTCCTGATCCGCAAGCGCATCCAGCTCCGCCCGGAGGACGCGCTCTTCTTCTTTGTCAACAACGTCATCCCGCAAACGATGACCACTATGGGACAGCTCTACCAGGTAACCAGTCCAATTACCCGTTGCAAGTCACTAATTGCCCCCTTTCCTTCAGGACCATCACGAGGAGGACCTATTCCTGTACATCGCCTACAGCGACGAGAGCGTGTACGGAGGAGACGTCGAGAAGAAGGAATAAAGTCACATACTCATTCTGAATGTGTATACTTGTACAATGGAAACAATTCATGCCTCTACTCGCATCCCCAAAACTCTAAAAATCTCTTCCTTCCCTCTTAATCGAAGTAACACACCACATTTATATAATTTTCTCGTATGACGGTTCCGACAGAACGGCCTGTCTCCCGGGATAGAGCCTTTCTCCAAATTCTCTCATTGTCACTGTTTATTAATTCTCCCCCTATATTACTTTTCATGTTTCATGTGTGAATAAAGAAGAAGAAGAAACCATGTCGGCCGTGTTCTCCTTTGCCCCTCGTTTACTTTACCATCGAATGGAAATACTTTGGAGTTGGCGATAGATTGCGAAATAATTGTTTTCGATGTTTGTATCACATCACTGCGCCCTCAGCGTCAACAATATATTTGGGGACTGAAAAATAGATTGCGATTGGAAAAGGGACGGTGAATCATCGTGCGAATAGCAAAAAACGTTCCGAAAAGAAAGAGAGACATCTTTTGATGTGACGCATTTCAAGGAAAATGATATAAAAGGCTTTGAGTGCCGCTTGGTTTCAAGTTGGAACTGTCCCTCCGTTAAACTGCATCAAACATCCGATTACTGTTGAAAAAAAAAAGTTTCGACATTGGAATCCAAGCTGGCAGCGTGCCAAGGCCCGGCCTCCCAAACGCATATACTATACTTTCCCCTTTGCGTGATTTTTAGCCGAATTTTTAGCCGAGCCGAGCCGATGATTTTTAGCCGAAAAATAAAGACAAAAACGAAGAACAATACAGCGTGCGGCAATGTTGCAACAATGGCGCGCAGCATATGCGTTTGGGAGGCCGGGCCTTGGCACGCTGCCAGCTTCGATTCCAATGTCGAAACTTTTTTTTTCAACAGTACTTCTTCAGCACTTGACATACGCTTAAACAATCACAGGTGAAATGCGGTTTAGCAATTATACAATTGCGCCAATTCTGGACAAATCCCGAACAAATATTTAGGAATTTTTGTTTAGATTTGCCGAGAATTTGTCTAGAATTAGCGCAATTGTATAATTGCTAAACCGCATTTCACCTGTGATATCCGAAAATGGACACCAGAGAACCGAGTAACTGGAAAACCCTACTATTAGACGCCCGTTTCCGGTTGCTCCCCGAAAGCGTGTCTGCCTGGGTTTCCGCCACTTTTTCACTGCCAGCTCAATCCGATAATTACTTTCCGTTTTCTGCCTTTTCGTTGTTTTCGCCGCGTTGCCATGAGATACCTTTAGTATCCGCCGTCGCCATCTATACATTTCGCCCACAAGTCAATTTCTCCTTCTCTCCATCTGCCACTTCGCTGTTTTCCTTTCTGAGTGAGTGAGATTCTCTATTTTTACCACAAGACCAGAACAAAAACGTGACCGATGCAAGGGGAGGGTTCCCTTCGTTTTCTGTTCTCTTCGTGTCTCATTGCTGATTGCGATGGGAAACAAAAATTCGAATGCGTCGGTCAACGAACCAACCCCGCAAGAGACGGTTCAGTCTTCAGGTATTACTGTTCATGTTAAGTAGTTTTGCTTGGATGGCTAATGGAGAAGAATCGGCAGGAGATCAGAGATATTAGAAACTCTAGATGTGGAGCTCAAATGAACATTAGTGCAAGAATTCTGAAGTCATTCTATTCCACTTATCAAAGTTCTTCAATTTCTTAAACCGCTCACACTATCGTTATCGTCTAGTCAATTGAGTCATTCGGAAAGTCGAAAAAGTCACGTTTCAGAGAACGACTTCCTAATACGAAGGTTAAACTTAGCACGAACCTCGAGATCTTTCTGTCACCGGCTAACTATAAAAAGGCAATTGCGGTCAGGAATTCCGTCGTTTCTCTCTTCGTCGGTGATTGGTCTTCTGCAGTGGAAGGAAGGGTGACAAACAAACAAAGCTGTCTATCTTTCCGTCTCTTCTCCCTCGGCATACCTCGCTTTCTCACTATTCTTTAGCCATTCTTTTCGTCAGCTCTTTCTCAATCCTCTCCATTTCTTGCTGTCTTGAAAGAAGTGTTTCACTTTTTTATAACGAAGCAAACAGAAGCAATCAATTAGCCGCTGATTTTTCTTCCTTCAGCTTTTTCTTTTCCTCCTCGATAAATTGGAATAGTCGAACTTTGCACAGCATGAGCTTCTCCTTAGGTACTTCTTCCAAAAAGTTGGTGACGCATGAAATGATGTCGGCATGCTTCTCAGAAGATGTCAACGACATCACTGGCTTACTCTCATCCTGCTCGAAATCGTACGTAGCAAAAGGGAATGCTGTTGTCTTGGTATCAACTGGCAAGACACTGCTCAGGTTAATTCCAGTCCCTGAGCTGCTCGGCTGATTTGTCACAGTCTCTATCACTTTCTGAAGCCAATCGTCTGCTGAAACTGTTCTCGTTCAAACTACAATTGTCTTCCAACTGCCAAACTGACCATTCATTTGGTCTCCCGTGTGCTCAAGTTTCGGGCGTTTGGCCTCTTCTTTCAAACTCTCTGCCAACAAATTGAAAGTGGAGCTCATGCGTGGCAGACTGAAAGTCGAGATGTTTCCACCCACTTTTACTACTTGCGTTATTGCAATTTCAAACTCACTTCATTCGATCTGCCTTCTGTAGGTACGGAATCAGAAACTTGAGGCAGTCGAAGTAGACCATTATGGACTTGCATCTATCGTCTTTTTTGTCCCCGCCGTTACGTAAGACCTTTTCGAAATCATTGAACAGATAAAGCCAAAGTTTCTCTGCGTTCCTGCCTGCAAACGTGTCGGTTTCAGGCGGTTGTTGGCCTCTCAAATATGTTCAGTTGTTTGTTTTTCGCAGTCGCCACAAACACATTCGCTCTCCTATACGTTCTATTTTTTCAATTTGAATCGATTAGTCGCTCATACAACGTATTTCCGACCACTTGTGTACCAGGCGCATTTTACGAAAGAGGCGGTAAACAAAAACTAGACTGTCAGAATTTGACAGCTATCTTTCATTACCTTTTCTCATCGCCAAGAAGTGACAACACTTCTTTTCAATGAAATGCAGTGCTTTCTGTCGAAACTCATTGAACTCTTCGCACGGATTGTAGAGCTCCTCCCGTCCAGAAAACAGTGAGATGAAGAAGTCAATGTCTGCCCTTTTGTAAGCGTCGTAGTGGGAAAAAGGAGGAACCTTCGGAGGACGACCCATCTTTCTTTTGGAATCCACGTTGAAATCCAGTAATTCCTAAAGATCACACCCTGACAGTTAGGATCCTGCTAAAGTAGAACTAACCATGAATTGTTCCATTGGACGAAAATTGAATGTCAGATTCGGAAAGTAGGCGAAAAATAAGTGGGGGTAGGCGAAAAGGCGATTCAAATCGTTGTTGTTTGACAAAAGTAAAGAAATGCGATGAAAAGAGATGAAAGAAAGTGATGGAAAATGCGCAAAACTAGAGACGCAGACTTCCAGACGGACTTGAAAAAGACTCGTTTCGTGCGACCCGTCCGAATTCTCCAATCGAAGTACACTCTCTTTGACGATCTTCCATCTCACCGCCTCTCGGTCCGTCGTGTTGACAACAGCGTTTTGATTCTTTCTTTCCAACATGAATTCAACATACTGTAGGGCTGACTAAATTGCGGTTGAATTGTTTGAAACTGGTTTCAGTAGTGATACAAACAAAGTAAGCCATCACTTGCCTTCTTTCAAAATCAGGATTCGCTTTGAGCATAGAGACATGTGTAAATAACAACTGCTCTCCGAGTTTCGACACATTTCCGAGAGATTACTCATCCTTCGCTGACATTAGTTTTCGCTCGGAATCCCACTCCTATAAAACCAGCACAACCCTCGGCAGTGACATTGCCATTCCCATCTCATTTCATTCCTTTTCGCGTTCATCTCATTTCGACTCTTCATCACCAATCGTCAAGCCTTCAGACTTGAAAAACCCAAAGAAAATGACTCTTCTCCATGGCGTCCAACTCGAAAAGTTCGACAAAACCAAGGTCGATGCGTCCGAGGCTCTGGCCGGAAAGATCGTTGGATTCTACTTCTCGGCTCACTGGTGCCCACCGTGCCGCGCCTTCACTCCGATCCTCAAGGTACAAACCTATTCCCACATTTATTTTTCCCATTTCTCAACTTTTAGGATTTCTATGGAGACGTCGACGATGATCTCGAGATCGTCTTCGTCTCGCTCGATCGCAGCGAGGCGGATCTGAAGAGCTACATGAAGGAGGCTCACGGAGACTGGTATCATATCCCATTCGGATCGGACACCATCAAGTAAGCGTGTGCTTTAAGAAAAACACTGTAGTACTTGTTCCAGGGAGCTCTCGACCAAGTATGGAGTGTCCGGAATTCCGGCTCTCATCATCGTCAAGCCGGACGGGACCGAGGTGACCAAGGACGGCCGCAACGACGTTCAGAACGGAAAGAGCCCGAAGGCGACCATCGCCAAGTGGAAGGCCTAATTCCTCCATCGAGTCGATTCCTCTTTTGCACATTTTGAAGCCATTCCTATTGAAAATTTTTACATCCGTCCATTCTATCCTCGTACTCTCGGCACCCTTTTTGTGTATGGAACTTGGCAGTAAATAATAAATCTATTTATTTTGAATCTAGAAGCTGACGACCTTTGACGTGTTGTTGGTTTATCCGTCTGCCGTTGAAGCGTAAAGAGCGGCTCTAACACATTCTTATCCGGTCTTTGTCGCCTTGACAACCCGGGGCGCTCTCTCCGCTTCCGACGTGCTCTCCTCCTCACGGCTCCATTTGCGTCACCACCTGTCTGTCCTTTCATTTTGTGCTCACACTTCCTTGCTCTCTAGGTTGCTTTACCGCATTCTTTTCCCCAAAACGCACTTCTCTCTTCCTTTTTCCCTTTTCTGATTATTATTATTATTATTCGACGGCGAGTGGATGCTCGTCAGCTGCGCATACAATTATTACCCAGCCGATTCGGAGCGACACGGAGGCTCCGCCCTTTCAGACATTCGTCTCGTCGTTCTCAGCCTCTTTTCTTCTACTTCTTCTTCTTCTCTTCTGTCTTTCCTTCTCACCGCTTTATATCACCTACTATTCTGTCCGAATTCGTATTAGCTAGATCTTGAGCTTCTATACTATCTATATAGTCAGAGAATGGACGACGACGAGGAGGAGCAAATCGAAATGTGCACGATGGTACGTTATACGGAGGAGCCGCGCTTCTTTTTCTTATCATTCCGTTCATTTATGATCAATTGGGTGGTGCTATCGAACTGATCGTGAGAGGAACGGGCACTTCAGATCTTTGTCCCTTGATTTCAGTGTTGAAAGATGCAGAATCAAGATTCTCTCCGTCTGACCCCAATCACGTCTTGTCTTCAAGGATTTTCCTTCCTTTCTCTCTCTCTCTCTCTTCCTGCGCTTCTTTCCCGCACCTCCCCCCTCGGTACTCTCCTCATTTTCCTTGAAGAAGGCCTCCCTCCTCCGACAGTTCATGCAAACACAAAACTACGGCGGCGGTCATGCATATGCGCAGAGAGTGTCGGATCCTGAGAGACGCAGTCGTTCGGTGCGAGTCGAAAATCGTTCGTCCCAAACAAAAAGTGTGATGAGAGGCGAGGAAAAGAGCGAGTATTATTCGTTTCAGTGCACCGCCCTCTTTTTATTTTTGCTCCTTCTGACTTGTTTTCGCTATCCTGTACTGTGTGCCTTCCCTCTCTCTCTCTCTCTCTCTCTCTCTCTCTCTCTCTCTCGCAATCTGTAGTATTCTTCGCTGTATTTGAGTTCCGTCCCACTTTCCGTTCCATTTCTATTCATCTCCTTTCGTCTTCGTTCGTCAAGTACAAGCGACTACGGTGGCTCCTCCGACGTACTCGTTATCACCGAATGAATCAGCTGTGTTTCTTCGTCGTTATCGTCGCGTCGCGGAGCCGCCTTGTTCAGAATTACGACAGTTTTTCATTAAAATGCCTTTTGTTTATCAAAAAATGAGTCATTCGCCCCAATCGTTTGAGAGTTCTGCCGGGGGGCTTCGATTGAAAGTTGGTGTCGATCATTCGCGAATCCACACTGGTCTCCCGATGGTTTCCGTGATTTGTTCTCTCCTTTTTTGATTCCCACAGTTCATGCCCTTCTTTTTGAAAGGTTTTGGCATACTTTCATGTTTTCAAACAGTTTGGAGGTTACGAAGAACCGAAATATTTGCCGTCTCCGAGGGTATCTAGATCTTGAAAAGGACAATATTCAAGGAACGCGTACCATATTTCAATGAGAATTTGGAACGGTCTGTTCATCCGCGGAGGTCCACTCTTATCACGGTCGGTGTTTTCCTCTGAAGAGTTACAATTCCGCCTTGAATAAACATTTTCTTTCTCTCCCTCTCCCTCCCTCTCTCTCCCTCTCTTCTTTTCCTTCCAAACATGTACGCTCACAGTCTCTTCCTTTGTAATATCGGTCCTCCGATTTACTTCAAAATTTGAGCAAAAATGCACTATGAACCGTATTCGAGTCGACAGGTAAATGAACTCTTCGACAACCTTTTCGCTATCGACGGCGATTTGATTTGCCTCCTCGCCGAAAATATATAATCCGATCAACTTTTTATTGGCACTTACTGACTGCCTCGTGCGGCTGATCATTCGCCCGTTTTCGAGGTCTCACTTCCCCCTTGTAACCATGACAATTTCTCGAACTTACTCGAAACTCGGCTGAGAAATGTGACGAAAACAAAGCAGTGATTACGTCTCCGCGACCGACTCACCACACTCTCGCTCATTCCAACGTCTTCATTATTTCAGAGAATGCTGCCCGACGCAGACAACTACGACGAAGAGAAGGATCACCCGCAGTTCGCGTCTCGCAGCGGCACCTCTAGGTTCGCATTCTCACGCTCAAACATAAACAAACAATGCGAATTTCAGCCTACAATCTTCGATTTCGAAACGCGCGAACTCGACGAGACGGAGCCTGAAAGAGCTCAGCGAAGGAGTCCAGCAGCGGTTTCAGCCGATCACCCACGGAAGATCTCTGCAGAGGATTAGCGAGGATGAATCGGTAGGTGCGAGAGAATGAACGTTCATTACTCGGTGGTTCTCTGGCGGTGAAACGTGTGGATTTGCATATTCGTAGTGTCCGTAGTGTCCCGAAAACACACACCAGCTGCGCGTGTGTGTCCAATCAAAGTTGACTGAATGCGAAAAAGTAGTTGGTCAGGTTTCCCTGCCTCCCTTGCCTCCGTGTCCAGATTATGATTAACACCTGAATCTGTGCAATTTCAGCCGTCGCCTCCCACGGCTCCACCTCGTCCCAACCGCCAGCTCTACCGCAGTTCGGTTGACAGACTCAGCATGAGCGACGGAGCGCTCAAACAGCAGACATCGGAGGAAGTCGTGTCGGAAGGACAGCGATCCAACTGGAATCAGTCGGTCGAACGCATCGAGAACGCGCTCCATCGCAACTACTACACGATTGCCTACACGATTGTTATTGTGGCGGTGAGAAGAGAATCATCTGCTCGCCGGCTGTGCGTGACTCTTTCTGTTTTTCCAGTACCTCGCCGGCTTCGCAGAATACTTGTACTTCCGCCTGACGTCGTTGATCGTGCCCGAACATCTTGTTTTCCATCCGCCATGTGAGGGTAAAGCCCTTCGGAAAATCGGAAAAGACGGATTCCACTACGGAGTGTCGATCTGCGCGTTCATCGGAGTCGCCATCTTCCAACTGATGTGCTTCTTCGGTTTGACAATATCGGAGAAATGGACAGAGTCGAAGGAGAACCCACGAGAAAGTCGGCAAGCTGCTCAGAGGGAAGAGTTTGCTCTGTTTGTCAGAACGATGATATCCTCCACAATGTATCGTGTTTACTGTGAGTCTTCATGTTTTCATGTCTGTTATTATGTTTCTGTTTCAGTGTGCTACGCGATTTGCTCTCTGATCAACTGCGCCATTATATTCTACATGGTCGGCATCCAAGATTCCCTCGGCGACGTCGTCAGCACCATCCTGCTTTATGTGTTCGATGCGGTCGTCATTCTTTATTTCATCGCCTTCCCACTCACTACAGTCTTCTATCACCCTTATGTGAACTGCTTCAGAAAAAGGTATTCAGAAGATATCATGGTCCCTCTATTCAATTATCGTTTTCAGAAGAGGAACTCCTGCGAGGTTCACACTGCCGGCTCCCGCTCCTCAAACGCAGACTTCCACTCTTGAAAGCAACATCAGTGGACTGGAGGAGGCGATGACGAAGGCCGGCGGAACTCCGCCAGTTCATCAGAATCCCAGCACCATCTCCATCCCTTCGCTCAACTTTTCCCGTCAAGATCCTCTCCGTCAGGGACACCGTTCCACGCCTTCGATGTCTCAGATCTCGGCGGATATTCCGGTTCTCGAGGAGTACCTCCACTCGCCACGCAGGCAATTACCACAACCAAAACCGGCGTTCGCCGTAGAGGAGAATCTGGAAGACGAGAGAATCACCACATTCGTCTAGAGGACCCGCGACGTGGCAATACAACATCGATCTCACTGACTTTCCACTCAAGGACCAAATCGGTTCATCAGTTTTAATTCTGTCCATTCGGGTTCTCATCTTCTGTGTCTGTGTTTTACAATTCAATCAATTCCGCTGAAATAAATGATGCCGTACTAGTCTGCTCACTGCTCCCTTAAATATGCTCTTTTCATCGGAAAGAGCACGTCGTCCCGTCCTCGCCCTGGGCTCGCTCATTAGGCGCTCTCTCCGTATCAACCCGCCAATTTGATAAGCCGTCACCTCGTGGGCTGCTCACGGAGCTCCTCGAAAGAAATCTCTATGACAACTGGCCGGGTTCGTGCTGCCCAAGCACCAGTAGTCGGGTAAACGAGCTGCGAGTCTGCTGGAAATGCGATTACTCCGTCCGTCGTTTCCGATCCGATTCTGCCGGTTCCTCTCCTCGCTGACTGACCTCTTTCCGTCCGTTCCGCTCTCTCTTTCTCTTCTTCCCACACACTTTTTCTCTTTTTCGATTCGAAATAGTTTGAATTGGCCGGAATAGAGTGCGTGTGTGTCTTCCCGAAAAAACGTCGGAGGCGACGACGGTTTTGAAACCGTGCTTCGTGCCGTTTTTCCATATAAGATCGACGAGTTCGGCTCGACTGATAAGGCGTCATTCTCATTCTTCGGCAGCGGCGGCGGCGCCAGGTGAAAATTGTTTAGGCCGCGTGATTCAGCTGACTTTCCTGCACGTCCACGGCCTGAAGATTTCGTGAGATTCTCTCACGGTTTTCTTTTACTTTTAGTCAGCAATAGCACCCAGTTCCAATAATTTTCCACCTTACATAATGAGCTTTTCACTGGATTTAACATTCAACCCTCCAATTTTTCATAGAGTCATTCTTCCCTTTTATTCTTTTTTCCTCTTTTTCCTTTTCACGCTCAAAACCAGAGTGTACGCTTCGAAGAACTCATCAAAAATCGGTCATTGTATATTCAATACAACTTGTGTGCCAGAGCCTCAAGACTTCATTTATTTCAGAACTTTCCTAGAGCAGAGATGGGCGAAGTGGAACGACCGCGTTCTTTGTCGAGGATAACAGTGGATAGTGATGCGGAGTACTTGGATGCCTACGATCACGTCACTTAGTACGCACGACGATTGAGGAACCGAGCTCAAAGACCTGTTTTCAGCAGCAATTCGTTGGAACTGTTGGATACGATCGCAGAGACTCAGATCACACTGAACTTGTTCATGAACAATAAGTTCGAGTTGGCGGAGGAAAGGATGGCGGAACTGTGAGTTCGCATTCCGTTCCATTCGCACCCGTCACTCATTCTTCAGCTACGATAAGAGTATGTACCACTCGATGGGCTACACGTGCATCCTTTTTATCAAAGCAGTCATGACTGTGAACAAGCAAGACATGGAAAAGGCGGCGGAAGCGTGCAAGATGTCGTGCGAGGTTATCGAAAAGTTCCGGGAACGACGGACGATCCGAGAGACACTGTTCGGGGCGAGTGCGAAGGGAAAGAAAATCAGCGACGCGGAGCTGCATGCGGAACTGTGTTACGCCCAGATTCTTCTTATCAGAGCCATTCTCACCTTCTTCCATGATGACAACTTTGCCAGTTTCATAAAAGGAGCACTCAATATCAGAACGTGCTATCAGACGTACCGATATTGTGAAAAGTTGATGAACGAGCCGAGTGTATGGGTGGGAAGGAACAAAAAAGTGCAAGAGCAGTTCGAGAGCGGAACGAGAATGGGATTGGGCACATTCTCACTCATGCTCTCGATCCTGCCCTCGAAAGTGCTGCGGCTTCTGGAAGTCGTCGGTTTCTCCGGGGATAAGGTGGCCGGCATGAGGGATCTGCACCACGTGGCATCGATGACGGGAACTCTGTGCTCTCCACTCGCCAAAATGATCTTGCTGACATGGCATCTGATAGGTGATTTCGTACTCAAAGATCTCATTAGAATTCTTATTTTTAGCATGTTTTGTTCTGGGGACTGGAAAACCGGACGTAGACGTTTGCAAACAAATCATGCCTGGACTGCTCCATCTCTGGCCCCGCGGAGCCATCATGTTGTTCATGAGGGCCCGGCTTCTTCTCATATCCGGAGACATTGAAAATGCCATACACTACTTCAACTTGTCCATCGAATCACAAAATGTCTATAAGCAATTCCATCACGGATGTTACTGGGAACTATTGTGAGTCATGACTTCTTCTCTGATATCAGCAGCAGAATCAGAAATCACATTATATTTCAGGTTTGCACATGGATATCAACGTCGATGGTCTCATTCTGCAAACTATGCACGCCTTCTGATGAAAGAGTCGAAATGGAGCAGATGCGTATACACATATCTTCTATGTATCTTCTTCGCCGCCGACGAAACTGTCGATGAAGCGAAGAGGAACGAGACGATCGGAGCGCTAGCAGGAAAAGTAGACGGACTGAGGATGAGAATAGCCGGAAAGTCGATTCCTGTGGAGAAGTATTGCGGAAGGAAGGCCAAACGATTCGAGGCCACGCAGTCTCTTCTTTTTGCCCACTACGAGTTCATCTACTTCTGGAATGGATTCGACATCTTCGGGAAGAACCCAAAGATGGTTAGAGCAGTATTGGAAGACATGGACAGGGTATGGGAGATGCGGAAGGCTGGAAGCGACCTCGACGACTACTGCCTTTATTATTTCCTCAAAGGGTTTCCCTCCGACATCTCCAGTTCAACGCCCAGGCGGAAGAGTGCTTCAAAATCGTCTTAGAAAAGTAGAGAGGTTGCGCTTAGGCAGCTGCAATTAGCATATTTGCAGGGAGTCGAGCCTCAAGAGCTTCACATATCTGCCGCCCAACGCCACGTTTGAGCTGGCACTGCTACGCATATCTGAGCAGCAGTATATCGAGGCGCAGACGCTGCTCGACAAGGCCCGCGCCTACAAGTCATACTCTCTGGAGAACAAACTTCATTTCCGTATACACAGTGCTATGGGCACGATGGGGTGCCGGACACCGATGATGTAGACGTTAATTGATTGATTGTAGTTATCTATGGTTAATGCATATTTGTATAAAGAACTTTCCGATTTGTTGATATTAACCTTTTATCAGGGACATATTTCACAATGTTTTGTTTATTCTCGGTCCACGCTCTTCCTCTTCTGCCCCGCCGATCGATTGCTCGTGCTCCACCTCTCGCTCCTTTATTTCGTTGCATAATTGGCATCGCCTATCTGACTCATGCGCATCTCCTTCTCTCTCTCTTTTTGCGCATTCTGCATGCACCCACCAAGAAAGGACGTCCATATTTTTTATGTTCTCTGACGGCTGCGCGCAGTGCACAGCCTCACCGGAATCGCGTCAGCGGGTTTCTCTGTGGCGCGTCGCAGAGACCTCTCACCCCCGTCTCCTCGGTCGTTGTTGCAACAAACAGATGCGGCCGATGTGTGTGAGAGACACGCCAGCGCAAAAAACGCTTTCCTTTCTTTCCCCATGACAACGTCGCTTATCGATATTTCATTTTTTTTCAATTTCGGAGCCACATCAGCGCAAGTGGGACGCGCGTCTTGTCACGAAATCCTACTGTAGCTGTGTATAATTCTCTCCGCCTCCCCCTCTTGCCGTTCTCTGCGTTGCCGGCGCCGACTCCGTTGTTTATTGCAGGTCTGTATCTCGGAGTTTCGAGCGTATTCAAATGCGGTCATCGACTATGTTCAACCGACGCCGTCGACGTGTGACATTAGACGACTATGCTTGTGACGAAGTGGTTAGTTAATAATTTTTCGGAGCGAAACATAATTAGTCGCTGCAGGTGCCAGTAGAGGACCTCTCTCTGTCGTTCAAAGAGATTCCCCGTCCGGATCACTCTATGACACATATGGAGCTCTGCACTTTCGATGACTTCGCCACAACGCTTGTCGTCGACTCGGTGCTCAGATCTACGACGCACAAGATGTTTGGGAGGTATTAAGAGATGACCTCGCGAGCCTTTTTGGCCAATCGATTGTTTTCCAGAAGGCGTTATGTGTACGACGATGAGCGTAGCACAGCTCGCACCGTTATGAGAGAATTCCGAGATGACCAAGATTGGCATAAAGCCCTTTTTGGCATCCTCAAGCTGCGGAGCGTACGATCACTTCTCGCCAGTATGCCGCCAATTAAGCACTGCGATTTCCGCGACCATGTAAGTCAGCTGCTTTATTTTGCTCCCGCTCACCTGCTGTTATTCAGATTGTTCGCTTTCTGAACATGTTCCACTGTGAATCAGGGTTTACCATAAAAGAATGCTATCGTTATGCCGCGGAGAAACACGAAGGGGCAAAGCTGGTCGCCACGCGCGCCTGGTATCGTGGCGACAAGATCGAACGTTTGAGCGGAGTTTTGTGCAGTCTTTCCGGAGCTCAGGAGAAATCTCTTCTCATCAACGGAGTCAACGACTTCTCCGTCATGTACAGCACACGAAAGCGCTGCGCCACTCTCTGGCTCGGACCGGGAGCTTACATAAACCACGACTGCAAGCCGACTTGCGAGTTCGTGTCGCATGGACGCACTGCTCACATAAGAGTAAGAGGAACTCGCATTATTTATTATTAAAAACAAAACATTCAGGTTCTTCGTGATATGAATCCAGGAGACGAGATCACTTGCTACTACGGAGAAGAGTTCTTCGGAACAAACAACGAGTTTTGCGAGTGCCTCACTTGCGAGAAGATGAAGCGCGGAGTTTTCAGCTCTCTCGCGAGCGACACCGAGGTCCCGCCAGTTGATCGTACTGGATATAGACTCCGATCGCAGTCCTAATATCTTTCCGGCTTTGATTATTCCCCAATTCACTGTTCTTGTTCCATTTCCAGTGTAAATATTATATCTCTCGTTTCCGACAAAACTGCTCTGTCCCTTCCGACCCTTCCGATCCCTTTCCTTTGTAGAATGCACTCAGTAAGGTTATGTTGTCCGCTGCACTATAAGGCTTCTAAACAAGTGAACATTTTCTAGCGACTGAACCCCCAAAGACACTTTCTTCCACGTTTCCCCCTTGGTTATTGTGTGCATACAACGATCTCTATCTGTGCTCGATTTAAGTACTTTGTTTCTCTTGGCTCCATTCTATAATAACCATAATACTTTTTTCGAGGCTTTCTGTCTGTCTAATAAACTATCCTTTACCGATAACTTTTCAAAGTTCAGCTTAGCTTTCAGGGAAACCCCAGGTTTTTTAAAAGGGACGGGAATAAGTTTGCAAGTCAGGCGATGTTTGAAAAAGATTCTTCAGGATTAGGAATCTCTGTGCCTTCTTTATTTATGTGCCATTCCGCAACATTCGAAAGTCTCATTAATTGTGCGTACCACAAGTGGAAGGCGCTGATAACGAAAGATAAGAATTGCACGGGAAAATGCAAGTTGCACACCGATTGTAGTCGGAATATGAAATGACGATCGAGGACTTTGAATGCGGAAAATAAAGCCAGAAACTAAGTGACAATATCTGTACTGAACGGAAAATTGTGCTTTGAAGCATTCGGGGCTCTTAGATCGTGCCATCCTAAAAACTTCCCTTCCCCCATCTCTTCTTCATGTCCAAATCGGTTCAGCGGATCGACCGTACAATGTTGTTGTCCTTTGGTTCTTCGCTCCTTTCCCATCGTTTTCCCATATGGGCGCCCCATTAATATCGTTTGTCCCTCCGCGCATAGTGCACTTTCGAATCGTTCCCCCCACCGCATTCAAATGAATAGATTCAGTCGGACTGCTCCGTCGACCGTCGCTCCGTTATCGATATCACCGCCCATTTGGCGATAGGTAACAGTGCCTGCGTCTCCGATCTATTCGATTCCATGAGCCCACCCACTTTTGTGACACTATAAAAGGGCTCGCAGGAGGAGTGGAAAACAGTACTCCCGACCCGTATTCTTCTCCTGCTGTCCGGTTATTCGCTTCCAGAACTGCTTGCTCTTGAGCTGGAATTGTGCCATAAAATCACGTACGATCACGCGATATTATGCACATTTTCTAGTTCAAGACTCGATTCCGGTTCGATGTTTGTCGCCTCGACTTGTTGACGAATCAGTCCGTTATCACTCCCTTTCGATTCCGGGCATCGGATTCACTGGGGACCCGAATACACGGAGAAGCGCGTTTTTTCCTTCGAAATTCTAGTAGTACGTGTACACTTCCCGAACTTTGAAATGTCCATAGAATCTAATGGAACAGATACACGTTTATGGCCTCACAAAATACTCCGAAAATCAGAAAGTGCCTTGATCTTCCAACGATTCCCCAATGACATCACTCGTACTCTGAATCGGTTAGCCTTCCATTCCACATTCCTTCACTCTTGTATCATTAGGTGAGGCAGTCCGACGGAGCCCCTTCACAATCTTATCAATGCATGTATTTGCTCGTTTGCGTGGTGGTGGTGTGCACCGATCCAGATAGATTCAGATGATACAGAAACAGAGCAGATAGTACACTTGCATTCAAACACAGAAACAGAGAAAAGGAGACGGAGCTGATAATTGTGTTTGCTTCGTCTTCTGCCACAGATTGTGCCCATTCTACCTTAGTTTCTCTTATTGGCAAAGTTAGGAAGAAACTGGAAAAGAACGATTTATTGAAGAAGGAGTAAGATATTAGAAAGAAAAGATGTAGTACAGTAAGACAGGGAATTCGGAACTCTGAGACAAGAAAGAGCAAAGTGTTACAGGAGAAGCGGACAGTTGTGAGATCAGACTACGAACGAGCGAAAATGGATAAATGTTGAGTGAAATGGAAATCAGATAGCGTAGCGATTGGTCGCAGACTCGACGAGTCCACTGTCTTGCTGATGGACTGATACTTGCCAGGAAGCTGCTTCTGAAAACAGTCCTCGTTACCTCAGAGTTCATCCTGATTCGATGCGGGTACCTGTCGATCAGTCATCTGAATCAGTTTAGTCGTCTCCTTCTTCAGTTTCAGCGCAGTGTGCCGGAACTGTGGGATCGGATGCCAGCAGTCTTTCATGAGTTTGCTCAGTTCGCACAGAGCCGGAACGCTTCCTTTGACCCACGCGGACTCGAGCGGCGGACGCATCCCTCGCACGCAGACGACGTCCCTCATCTCGTCGAAACTCGGATCGTTGTCCACAGTTCCATCGAACGGAGGCACGTACGGTTTGGCCTTCAGGGACAGATCGATGCTCGTTTTCTGACGGTGTTGCATGCGGGAAATGGTGTCCGTGGTGCTCAAAGAGTCGCCTATTCCACTAGAAGCACTGTGATCCGCACGAGTTTCATCCACCGCTGCCACTTCTTCGCATTCTTCGCACACCTGAAAACATTCCTGAAATGGGTAGAACAAGAACTGATGGTACCTCGACTCTTCTGGCGACCTCCCACATAACTAGAGCCATCGAGTAAATGTCCGCCATTTTGAACTGCGAGAAATCTTTAGGGTTCAACGTATTCGAGAGCAACTCCGGAGCCATATATCTCTTCGTTCCCACTTGAACATTGAACTTATCCGGAATGATTTTGTCGTTCAAACTGAAAACGAAATATCATTTTCTGCTCATTAAAATTACTCACTATCTGAGAGCAAGTCCCAAGTCGGCAATGCAGCAGACTCCCGGCCTCTTCACAATGATGTTCTTCGATTTGATATCTCTGTGAGCAATTTCTGGTTTTCTGAAGCTTCCAGTTCCCTGCACCGCCGTGTGCAGATGCTCAATTCCACAGATGCAACTGTGAATGAGACGGAGCGCCTCGTCGGTGGTGAGTGTTTCTTCGCGGCAGAGGTAATCGGAAAGGGATCCCAACTCGTGGTAATCAGTCACCAGCAGCATCTTCGTCATCGAATCTTCTTCACTCCAGATGTCAGCGGCCACGAATTCTGAAGAATAAGTCTGTTGGAGAGTATCGAAGAGGTGGGAAGACTAACGAAGAATGTTCTCGTGATTATCATGTTCGTCTGGTATACATCTCGCTCGTTCTTCCACGAATCCTCGTCCGTCGTGTAGAACGTCTTCACAGCCACATAACTGCCACGATAAGCTGCCTTGCGCACTTCCCCGTATCTAAAAATGCTTAATTCAGCTTCTGTCTCTCCCTTATATTGCCTTACCTTCCCTGTCCAATAGTCTTGATAATAGTCAGATCCTGTCTGACTGTTCTCTGAATCAATGCGGCCTGTCCGGAACCCGACCTGAAACAGAATCATACAATTTCGATTGTGATCTTTCAAAATCTATACCCGGAGTCTTCGAGCATCATGGTCTTCTCGTCCAAATAAGATGAGTCAGTTGCAAGTGAGGAGATTTTAACTTTATCTTCTGAATTCATTTTTCTCACCTCGATATTGTTCTGTTTCTCGCTTACCATCTCTATTGGAGCATCGGTATAAGCACCAAAGAATTGCGAATACCAATCCCAGAATTGAGATGACAATGAAGAAATAGGCCACTCCCTGGGTGGCATTTCTCATCGGTGATTGGTAGTTTTCAGAGTCGTCAGTAGAGTTTTGAAGAGCTTTTTCTGAAATCGAATAGTCCCCACCATCTGCGAAGTGAGGCTTACCATTGTGATGATGAGCGTACGGCGGAGGGACAAGTTCCTTATTGCAATAGTTTCCTTCGTAGCAACATCCGATGCTCTTCGGCGAACGATGAGCTGCTCGCCAGGAGTTGCACGTCAAATGAGATGCTCCGCTGCCCCTTTCCAGAGTGGCACAACCCCATTTATGATGGGTTTCCATTCGTTTCGCGGACTTGTTGTACTTCTGAACAGATCATTTCTTGAAGCTTCTGCACGTTTCAAAACCTCTTCAACAGCGTGATAACAGGCGGCTCCATCTTGTTTCACACACGTCATATTCTTTCCGCAGATCGATTCGTCATAGTTGCAATAACAGCGATTCTTGGAATGTCGTGCGGCTTCTGACGTATTTTCATCTCTTTCAACACTCGTTTTCTGAAAAAGTCGTTGTGATGAACATGGAATCCTGAATTTGACAACGACCTGAACTCCTGCGGGACTCCGACGGCATCTTCGGGAATGCTCAGCGCCAAGTCTTCGTCGTCGTACTGATCGTACTCTTTTATGCATTCAAGCTCACGGAGCAGTCCGAAGACCAGAAGGAAGAAGAGAAAGATTCTCATTTAGAAGAATCTTTCTGAAACAATGGGATAAACCTCAGCTGATAAGAAAGAGAGAGCGCAACAAGTACTAGAGGGAGGAAAGAGAGAGGAAAGTGACTGTTTGCCGAGTCGTCGGCGTCTCTCCTAATGTCGGCCACCTCCGCTATCAGTGAACTGTCTTCATTCATTCACTAATAGACCGCCGCTCCAACTGATACTCCGCGCGGAAAGAAAGTTGCGCCAAAAGGGAACGTACTGGTCTCCGGCCGGAGGGGAAAGGGCGGCGCCTTTCTGTCGCGCCACCCCATAAAATTACGGGGTCATTAAATGGCGTGGCGCCATTTTTCTGAGAAATTGGGAAGTGGGAGACGCCAGGTGTTTCTTCCGAATATCCCATTGTTTCATTCTTTTGATGAGCGGCGGCACACGTCTTCCGGTGAGAAGCATCAGAACGAGTTGAAAGTGTTAGAAATGAAGAGGAAAGACAATCAGCAGCCTTCTGACTCGAATGTCAGGTTATTCGAAGGCCCTCGGGGGACTGTTGACGAGCTCACGAGAGGATGATAAAAACGAGAGAAGAGATGTGCAGAAGAGACGGAAAGGAAATAATGTTGAGGGGAAGAAAAGAGGGTTGAATGGAAATCTCCGAGGCAACACGAGAACATATTGCACTCGGCAGCCCGTCTGATTTATACGTCGTCCTTTTTCTGCGAATGGGTGTCATTTTCCAACGGCAAGTGTATGCAAGGAAAAGGGAAACGGGAAGACCTCGGAAATGAGCACGGAATTCCACGCCACAAGGTGCTCTGTTCATTTCTCTTTTCCTGAAAAGTTCACTAATTATCATCGTGCGAACTGGGATGCAGGATCACGAACTCGAGGTGACGACGCCACCCGAAGACGTCGCCAACCAAGGGGGACCGGACCGTTTTCTGGCGCTCTCCTCGCATAAATCATTGGTTGTGCACGACCGATCGGGTCTACGTCTCTCTTTCGCCGGCCTTCTGCCGATTACGACGGGCGACAATGGGGAGCCACGCATCTGGGGCGCCAGCATTATACTGAATAGTGCCGAGCTCGGTGAGTCATCGGCAGGCACGTTCACTTCGCATTTAAACGCTCAGAATTCCCCGAAATCAACTTCAAACTCCGGGCGACGGCCTATAAGTCGATGAAGGCGCGTTTGACATGCAATCATAGCAAAGGAAGTGTCAAAAAAGGGGATGTGGTTGTGATATCTGTAATTGAATTCGGCGTCTAACGCAGAAAAATGCTCGTTTTCTTCAGTTCCGACTTCCGGAGACTTCCATCGGATCCACCCATTTGACTCTTCTGATTGACGGAAGTCCGTACGAAGTCCCGCTTTTCAAGATCCCCAAGTCTGACTATTACTGGATCGGAAAAAATACCAATGGTCCGGACTACAGTCAAATATCTCGAAAACATTGTCGTTTCAGTGCCAGCTTCTAGTCAGTTCCACGACAATCGTCGTATTTCTGCAAGTCCAAAGATGGAATCCACCCCACATAACATCTCGCCAGGGCGTTTCGAGCAACTTCCGGAAGGACTGAAGACGTTTCTCTCGGGGGGAAACGGTCTGCAATCCGTGTGCACACTACTTCATCCACATGCCGTTTCCCTATTCCACGACCTATCCGCTATCAAAAATAACAAGTTCGAAATGTGCGGACTGACGGACAGTGAGAATGTGACCGATGTGATCGGCAATGAGATTGTGCGAAGATTCCACGATGCGAATCGCCAGAAATTCGCAACCACGCCGGCGATGATGCTGAAAGAAGGCGCTGTGTAACTCGATTTACGTTTTGAAACGTTTCTGATATTTGAATGAACTTTCCGTCTCCGTTTGTCAATTTTCATCACTTCCTCGCTTGTTTGTCGCATATGCCGCGTCTCGAATTGGAAAAGCCTCCAATTTTTCCCTGTGGAGTGCGACGGGGCGCGTTTGCAGTAGTTTGTTTTTTGGTTTTTTCAACGACTTCGGAATATCGATTCTGGAAAAGCGCTTCAAAAAACTTGACTTTTCGATATAATTCAAATTTTCTTCACTCATAACGCATTATTTTTTAGTAAAATTTGTTTGTTTTCAGTAATTAACACCGCAAATATGAATGGACTATGTTGCTGCACTCCGTGCAAACCGAGGTATACTTTCGTGAGAGTCTGTAGATAAAAAAGTAAACTTAGATATCGGCGACTGGTTGATTCGATATATCCGAGAGCAGTCACCGATGGGCTCCTCCATTCCAATATGCAGAAATTAACATTCTATGCGATCTCTCATCCCGAAAAACTGGAACGGATAGGAGAATATTTGGTGATGCGGATGGTGCGAGATCTCAGTCGACAACGGCCGGTACAAGTCAAAGTAAGAATATTACAAAAAAAGAAAAATAAAATTGATTAACGTGCCCAGATTGCCGTCGAGGCGATGGATCAGCTTCTCCAGGCGTGTCACAGCTCCCCCAGTCTTCCACAGTTCAGCGAGAATCACCTTCGGATGGTTCAGCGACTTTTGGAAAGCAACAACGCGAAAATGGAAGTGGGTGGCAAGTGGGAGGAATACATAATTAGCTGTAGTATTTCAGCAACTGGCCACTGACTCATTCGTCACATTCTCCAATATTGAAGAGAGTTCTCCATCATACCATCGCCAATACGACTTTTTCATCGATAAGTTCTCCCAAATGTGCCACGCGAATCCTCAAGCAGCCTACGGAGACGACTTCCGACTGGCTCGATGCGCAGGACTACGAGGATTACGAGGCGTCGTCTGGAAATCAGTCACCGACGATCTTCATCCGAACATTTGGGAGCAGCAGCACATGGATAAGATTGTACCTTCAATACTGTTCAATCTGCAAGAACCGGATGAGTCCGGTATGGGATTCTCCTCGTCGCAATTGCCGAAATTCGATACGTCGTTCTCTGAACCTGCCCAATCGCATCGAGGCGACGATGAGGCAACCCCGAAAGTGCTGTCCGATCGATGTTTACGTGAGCTGATGGGCAAGGCTTCATTTGGATCTCTGCGGGCAGTTATTGAGCCTGTCCTCAAACACATGGATCTCCACAAAAGATGGACTCCGCCGCCGTCGTTCGCGATCCATGTTTTCCGAGCAATCATCTACAGCATTCAGAGTCAGAATAGTTATTTTGTGATTCAAGAATTGATAAATCATCTGGACAGCATGTGCTCGGCGGACGCCTCCACTCGCATCGGAATAGCAACTGTACTCTCGAGTATTGTCTCCATTGCTGGAACTTCCATAGGACCCCTCCTTCTCTCTATTTTCAATTCACTATTGAAGCATCTCCGCACCTCCGTCGACTTCGAGAGAAGCGGAAAGTGCAGCGATCAGCCGGCGGAGAAAATGTATCAAGAAGCACTTATCAATGCGATGGGAGACTTTGCTAACGCGCTTCCGGACTATCAAAAGGTCGAAATGATGATGTTCACTGTGGGAAACATTCCGAATCTGGACGAGCGGAAGTCGAAGCAAGGCGATGAATTCCTGCAACACGTGCTAGTGAAGACTCTCCTGAAGGTTGCCACCAAGTACCGGACTGCATACTTGGCCACTGTGTTCACCGATTCTTTCCTCGACACTCTCCTGCTTCTTGCTTTGGTTCGTGACCCGCAAGTCAGACTGGCCACTCAACACATCTTCCACACATTACTTGACAGGTAAATCAAAAGGATGTTCATTTTCAATTAAAAAGTTCTTTCAGACATGACAACGCTGCCAATCTCGTTCATCTCGGATACGAGCTGGACGTGTCAGATGTGCAGTTGACCGTGGAGAAGTGTTCCCGAGCTGATCAGATGTTCATGCGCAAGCACATCGGCGAGATCACCAACATGCTCTTTAGAGCTGTTGCGGCTGCCGACGAGGACGATCTGAACACCCACATCGACGCTATTCTGTGCACGATGAGCCTTTTGTGCATCGAAGTAGGGTTTGATGAATCGCTCATCGAGCTATTCCGTCTCTCCCTGGCACTTCAGCAAATAGCTCTCGATACGAAGCAGAACTTCAGCGATGCGAAGCGTAATGCCATTCATAACATGGTCGCCAAATACATAAACCTGTCTGCACAGCTAATTGCGAATCCTTCGCTCTGTCAGCATGTGCAGCACGTCGTGTCTTGTCGAGCACAACGTGGAATCCCCGGTCTCAATCTGCTGCTCAACAAAAAAGATTCACCATTGAATGACGATCCTCTATCTTCGACTGCTGTGAACGCATCCGTCGATGCGAATTCTCAGACGACGATAGCTGAGAACGACCGCACCTTGCTGTTCAATGTCGACGATGTGGCGGAGTCACTGAAAGCTTCTGGAAAAGATGCGTCCCGCCTGTTCGTTGCGTTCAATTTGTCTGTGAACGGACGAACAAACGACATGAACGGCGCCAGTGACTCGCAGAACTTTGATACGACGGACGGAAGAGAGTCTCCGAACGCGTTCAAAACAAGTGGAATCGACGATGTTTCCGTTGATATGTCAGTCGATTGGACGCCGCCAATGAGCAGAAAGCAGAGCAGGAGGAACACGATATTCTCGATCGTTAACCCTACAAGTGAGTAAAGGCGCGAAAGCTCATTTAAATCCATAAAAAGTTTCAGAATTGAATGCCTCAACTGTTGACGATCTCAAAACATACGCTAATGCAGCGTTCGACCCAGTGGAGGAAGACCGAAAGGAGAGGGAACTCGCTGAAAACATTCTCTCGGAAATTCGGAATACAGAATTCGAGCAACGCGTCGCCGCTAACGAGTCTCTCAACGAAACGAGTGATCTCTCCAAATCGATCGGACGTCTTCTTGCCAGAAATGCGGACACGACGAGGGTAAGAGACATCGGAAGGCCAACGAAACCGAAGAATGTATTTGAAATCGAACTCCCCTCTTTTGCATACTAAACAAGCTTTTTATAATTTTTCAACTAATTTATTTAAATGTATATTACTCATAGGGAAGAATTAGCATAAACAGTGTTATCCGCTTTTTCTTGTACAAAGACCATCTCCAACATCACCTTGATTCGCTAACTTTATTACCAGATGTCGTTATCAGTCACTTCTTTTTCTCACTGACCGATCAAATGGACGGGTCGATTGGGAGACGAAAGTGAACGGAGAAGAACGAAGAAGAACAAGGAGGAGCAGAGACAGAAGAGAATCGGTGGACGACGAAAGGAGGGGCCTCCGAAAGCGAACTGGTCAGTCGGTAGATTCAGTCCCCCGGGAACAAGACACTCGTAGAGGCTGTGTGAACTGATCTGAACGAATTCTGCGTGTGATTGTTCATCGGGGAGTAGGGTTGCATAACAGGCGCCTGTTCTGCAACCCTATCGGGGAGTGTTCACGTCACTGGGGAAAGCTCTGAAATTAGAGAAATGCACATGTTTCATTTCCATTTTCCGGTGTTTGCAACGTCTCAAACAGTTTTCCCCCATCGGAAGGTGTAACCTGCTACTTTGACCATTCACATTTTGATCAGAAACCTATCTGCATGGGGATTCCTCCCAGGGTCGCTATAAAAGCGCGGTTCTGCGAGAAACCGATAGACGTCAGAATGAGAAATTCAGCGGTTCTCGCCTCGATCAGTCTCATTTTCGCTCTCTTTTTCGTCTCTTCAAACGCACAGTGGCAACAGCAATGGACCCCGCAGCAACTGGCCGCTTATCACCAGCAATACTACAATAATTGGTAAGGGAGATGAGAAAAAAGCATCGAATTGGGAAGGAAACTGGAATGATTCAGGTACTGGCAGCAGCAGAGACTTCAGCTGCAGCAGGCGGCCACCACGACTGCTGCTCCGGCTCCGTCGTCGGGCGTTCAGCATCATCCGGTGTGGGGACGAGTAGAGACGGACGATAAAGGAAACATGTGGGTCGGCGATGACGTGGCAAAGGTCCAAATCATCTCCAGATACTCGCCGTCATAAGCATGACTTTACGACTTTCCAAATAAATGATTATACTGTACAACTCTGCGAATTCTCGTTTTTTTCAAAGTTACGTGCGCTGGCCCAACTTCCTGCTGCGAGTTCCAATTTCCCGGAGCCAATTTGAGTAAAAGAATAGATCACAACACGCGCCTGATGAGCGAGGAGTTTGCTCTCCTTTCCTTCTTCTTTTCTCGCCGAGTCACGTCTTCAGATGCTGCTCGCTGATCTGCTCGATTCAGCCTTGTCACTCATCGGCTCGCGGGTGGTCCTCTCCGCCCTGGCCTTCTTCTCCATCTCGTCTAATGAGTTTCCTATCGGAATCACCTGATGACGCCCGTAAACCGACACTCGTTTCCGTGCTCTAGAGCTCGTCAACTGAAATTGGACGACTTCTCGCCGCGTGTCTCTTGAGAACGAGAGCGGGTCTAGACTTGTCCGTTGATTCTTTCCAATAAGATGAATCTCTTTTTGAAATCAAACTACAGGACGGATTGTCGAGTACACACACACATCCATTTTTTACTTCAATACCAAACACACTCGAGCTCGTTCTATTCAATGTCGCCAGAGAGTCAACAGTTTGTTTCTCGTTAGCCGGGACGCCGTTTCCTTTTGTTGTCAAGTTTCCAGCATCTGTCAGCTGTAATCATCAATTCAGAGACAGGACGTCTCTCTTTTCCTCCCTCCCTCATATCCTATCCGTTTCTGTCCCTTCGCCTCCAGATATTCTCCCAATTACGAACGACTTTTTGAACATTCTGATTCGTTGTTTTCTCGCCGCACCGCCGCTTCTCTATCATTTCCATGAGCCAACCGTTAATTTGATCGTCGCCCCCTCCCGACTGTTTTTGTTGATTCCAACCAAACTTGAATGGCAAATACCTTCCCTGCTGTTCACATCGGCTCTGAATCATCTCTTTCACTTCCGTCAAACCCGTTTTGCTCTCAATGCACTCTTTTGTCCCAAAGTTTGTATTCCTTCGATGGCCCGCCAAATTAAGTAGTACACCCTTCCCGGAAAGACAGCTTCCTCTCTCAAATTGAGCCGCTTCTTCGCCGCCGTCACCAAACATCTTTGACTGCAGCTGCTGCTCTGTCTTTTCGTCTAATATTGTTGGTATTCGAGTCTTAATTGAGCATTTCTCCTTTCGCTTTGTCTAAAGTGGAATTCGAAATTTCAAATTCCGAAAAACGGGGAAGAAGGGGTCTTTGGCCTATGACAGACATTCGAGGAGGAGGAGAAGAACGAAGAAAAGGGGAAAGGAGAAGAAAGAAGTCGTCTGGAATTTGAGCAGCACGCCGAAGACGTCCGCCTTCGAGAGGTACGGTAGCCCTCCCGTGCCCTTCGATGTCCGTGTTTTGTTTCCGGCGTGTGCTCAATTTCTCTTTTGCTTATTAATTTACTTTCGCTGCGATGAAATCATGGATTTCAGGGCAAAGATCGGCTTGAACTTCTGCTTCTGATTTCTTTTCAAGGAAGTCATCAACTGGCATGATGTCTCGATTGATCACTTTCCCAATCTGTCCGGGCACCTGTTTCTCGGGCATTGACTTTTCGAACTGAATTCTGACGTCCGGGAGTGATGTGGGGGAGGGACAGATGCAAATGGCGCCGCTTGTCACTCTTCGCATAGATATTTCGAATTCGTTCCCTATCATTGGCCAATGAATGTCCGTTCCGCACCAATTGCATCCAGCTATTTCAGAGAGATGAGGAGCCCCATCAGGTGCACGGACTCCGTGAGAAATTGAAGAGAAAAGGCGAAAGAACGGATTGTTACACACTGTCCCGGTGACCCTTTCATCTCTGTTTTGCTCTTTTCCGAGCAGAAAATTTAATTCTGCTCTCAAGCAGTCCGTACTTTTGTTATGTTCGCTACCACCTTTCGCCCTTCTTAGGAGGTCTGATTCATCTGAATCATCTCTGAAATGTTGCCGAACTCGCTCTGATCTGCACGCGGAATACATGTGCAATGAAGCGTGTTTGCTCCATCACACAAACATCAAAAGTGTTCTTCATTTGTTTGCATAATTCATTGTTCCCGCGAGATCGGTGTCAAACGGAGCAGCTCTCAATTTCAGTTTGTTCCGTCATGAATAACTCATCCACCTCTCCATTGTTTCCCTCTTTTTCTTCAATTCTTCAATTCAGCTGCCGAACTTTCATTTTTTCGAAACTGAAACTTTCTTTTCTCTTCCGAAAACATACTCGTGGATCTCAAATTAATCACCGAGAAGCAGCCTGAGAAAATGAAAGCGAAAACGGCGAGCCAATGTGTGTTTAGTCTGGCTCTCTGTCGAAATGTCATCTGGAGCACTGGGAATGAGCCGATGATGATCCACGTCGAAAACTGTGATTATAGTCTTGTCTGGCTCTGTGAGAAGATGTAATTTCAAAGGAAATGCCGCCAAAACACGGAACAAAAAGAGGCTGTTTTGTTAGTCATTCTGAGCGTGATTGAACCTTGAGATCATCGGGCAATTACTCTCTCTCTTCCCTTTCTTTTCATCGCTTTCACGGCTTCCCCAAAAAAAAAGCGTTTCGCCTCCGAATGCACTGAAACGTGTCGGATGACGTCGGAAAGTCCTTCTCTATCTGTTCGGAGCCAATTATAGATTGTTACGTGACACGCCGCATTTATAATTTCGGATGAAATATTCCAGAAGGTCGATCATCCGTCCTTCCTTCCAGCAGTGCTCTTCAAAAACTCCCTGCCATTTCGCGTCTTTTCTGATCCCGGAACCGAGCCGAAAAGTGGGCGGAGCCAATGTCTCGGCGGGTATAAAACGAAATGGGTACACTCGATTCGGACTTCCTTCCGCCTCCTTCCCCTTTCCCAGCCAATTTCCTGTTGATTGGAGCTCCGGAGAAGATGGTCGTTTCTTCTATTTTTGAACGTTTTCCTTGTTTTCCTTTCCAGTTTCTTCTGTTTTCACGTCTTCTGCTCGCACGTAATCAGTGCTGGAAAACTATAGAATATGCACTGTTCGGCGATCACAGCCACGACTTTTTATTCCTTTTGGACCCCAGAAAAGGACACGATTGGATCACCAAAAACCAAAAAACATTTCGAAACAAACTGACGAGTTTCCCCGTTCAGCGATCCCAATTAGGCAGATGGCTGCCGCTCTTCCAAAGAAGTTTTTGCCCGAACTTTTCCCTTTTTGCTCAGTCTTTTCTCTCCAGAAACCGACACTTCTTCTGCTTTCCGTTTTGTTCCGACAAGTATCCAATCAGACCATGAAATTAATCAAGTCACTCGTCCGTGCTCTTCTGAATATTTCCCTCATCACAACAATGCCCGTCTCGTCTTCTCTTTTCCTATCCGTACGATTGTGCTCCTTTGAACTTGTCAGCTGCAAAAGATGCGCCCCGAAATTAGATTTAGTGTGTATTTCCGTCTTTCACAACAACAACTTGTCCATATTTTTGTCGCTGAACTTATAAGAGAAAGTTTCCCCCAAAAGAAGAGCGTGCACGTATTGAGACGACTTAGAACTCATTCGGAAAGGTTGGCCCTTAAGGGCGTCTGAGGAGGGCTTCTAAAGTTTATTTCAATAGATCAACATAGAGCTTAATTGGGATTCTGGAGAGACTGAAGACCAGTAGGACCAGGAAACTAGGCCCCACTGTGATTATATAATTATTGAATACTTCTCCCGATTTCCAGCTGTTCTGTTGCTCTTTCTGAGCCTTGTTCGGCTTTTTCAAGCATATCACATTTCGTTAGACACCGGGGTGTAAACTTGAGTCCCTCTCTCTCTCTCTCTCTTTTTCATTTCACAATGGCATCACTTTTCTGGAGTCTTCCTCCTTGCCTCCAAATCCGATTTCGAAGAGTGCTTCGTCTGAGAGCGCCCACGGAACGGACCACTCCTCCGTTTAATTTCGGCCCTCTTCTCGGAATTTCTAAAGAAAAGTAGGCGGGAGCAGTGCGTGAGAATCGGCCAAAAAAGGAGAAGAACAAAACGACGGACAGGGCCAGATTGCGGAAGTTCTCGTTATGGCTCCGAGGCTTATGTCGGCAGACTTCCGGGGGCATTCAGATGATAGGAGCAGAGTATAAACGGACGGTTGTTACCCCTTTCAACACGAATAGGATGTAGAACAATCACACTCCAAACAAGTCGAAGCGTGTTATTAGAAGTAGGCGGAAGGAAGTGTGAACAGCACAGGTGGCATTTCCAGACACTACACGACATTTTCAGATGAATTCTTGCTCACTCTGAAGCGTGAAGTGTTCGAAGGAAAGCGTGAACCACTACAGTAATTCCTCTCCTCCCCACTCTTAAAACTCTTTCTAAATCACTCGGAATCTTCTGCGGAGCAAGTTCCCATAAGGTTTAGCAGGTCTAAACATGCGGAGTCTCCAGAAACCAGTTTTTGTAAAGTGCTCTCTTCCCACGGTCTGACGTCGAATTCGTGCGGTCTGAGTCACATGTTCAGTGGCTCTGACCTCTCCATAGTTAGGCCAATTTCGGTCGTTTCGGTTTGTCCGCGCTGCCTTCGCCAACACAACTCGATTCCACATACTACGCGTCCCCAAACGTTTGTTCTTCTCTCCGCTTCGCCGTCTCAAATCCAGTGGGTTTACCAGAATGTCAACTTCCTTTTTGTCTCCGTGTTGCCATAATCCATCATGAGACAGAGTACATAATGGGTCAAAACACGCACGATCGTTTTCCCTCTCGTTCGTATTTTTCTGTTTCCGTGTTTCCGCTCTTCTGGAAATGTGTGAAACTGACACCGCTCGCATATTCTGCTTAATTTCAGTGCTCGAACACACTATGATGGGGTTGTTGTCGACGATTCGTGGCAAGAAAGACACAGTGGTCGCCAGCGGAATAGGCTCCGCACAGGTCGGACCGCTCAATACGAAGACGAAGAAGCTGGTGATTCAGGAGTGGCCGAGGTGAGTAGGCGCATCAGAAGAAGAGCAGAAATGAGGGGGAATGGGTTCAGGGTGCTCACACAGTGTCCGGAGCTCTTCACGGAGATCTGGCACAAATCGGCGACGCGCTCCACTTCGATCAAATTGGCATTCGGAATCGCTGAGAACGAGAGTCCGATGCAAAATGCAGCATTTCTCGGGCTCTCATCAACTATTCAGGCTTTCTTTTACAAATTGGTGAGCCGTTGCAGAGCGTATTCCATTCGAAGTTAGGCAACTTCCAGATCATCACATACGAACTGAACGACGAGCAAGTGAGAGAAGCCTGCGAGCAGTTGGGAGCCCGCCACGTGGATTTTATCTCGCGTGGATTCAACTCTCACTTCTGGGACATTTTCCTCGTTTGCATGGCTGAGAAGATCGACGAGACGCTCTCGGCCTACATGACCGAAGAGGACAAGAAGAACGAGATGATCCTTGCGTGGCAGAGGTTTGCAATCCTTTCAAATATCATTGAGGAACAGACAGTTTCAGAGTGGTCAACTCGATCGTCCACCAGATGCGCAACGGATATTCAGACCGTAGAAAGCTACAGCTCGGCGGCTCCAAAGGAGGCGTCAATAACGGCTTCTGATTCCCTTCTCCCGATGAACAAACATTTTCTTGCGATTTGTATTATTTTTGTCTGCGCTATGCCCGAATTCTGCAATTTTTTCTGATGTACACAACGATCTTCTTCCAAGTAAACCAATAAAGCCAAAAATATCAACAGAATTCATTATAATTAGTTATCAGTGTTAGTTAGTTCGAATCATCGCCCGTTTTCCTAGTACAATTGCATCCCGGCTTCTTTGCTCCGTTTCGCCCTCTCCGCTTGCGCCACCGCGCGCTCTTCCTCCTCGGTTTCACTGAAAACTTAAGAGTTAAAAGATCACTCCCCGAACGAATTCCACCTGTAAACCTCCAAGGAATTCATCTTCCCCAGCTGAACGTACTCCCGATGCTTCCTCGCGTTATTGAAGTGCTTCTCCGACAGCTCCTCATCTGGGATCGCCTTCACGTGTTTAGAAGGCACGAGACGGTACTTGAGCCGACGCGTCGAAGACTGTTGACCACTCGGGATGTTAGTCAGATCTTGGTACTCGCAGCTGTGTCTCGCTTTCATCCGAACGGGCCGTTCTTCGTCTTTTTTCACTTCTGCGCCGGATCGACCATCCGAAGCGCGTCCACCTCGGGACCGTACGGAGGCAGTTGTGATGCACGACGGCTTCTTCTTCTATCGCGGCTCTCTCGACGTTTGCTTTCTCTTCTCGGGTGTCTCGCTGAAAACGGAAACGTCAGTGATTAGCATTGTCCGAGTAATTTCCCACCAGTAGTTGGCCAAGCATACTGCAGACTTTTGTGAGCGTCTGTGTTTGTTCTTCGGCAGCGGCAGGAGCAGAAGTTCCGTAGTTGGTGTTGATGTTAATAATTACAACGTCGTTTTGAACGATCGGCGAGCGGGATGCGTCAGACGTTGTGTCAATAGTCAAGTTGGAAAGATTGGCTGCAAGAATCCTTTGTTTTTTTGAGATGGCGAGGAGAACGCCTTACTTAGTTGGTTGTTCCTGGACATTTTCTCGATGTCGAATAAGCAGGATGAGTTTGTGATGGTCGTTGTCAGTTGGTTCGAGTAGTCGATGGAATGAATTATTTTCACTTCCTTTATATACCCTTAATCTGTGCGGGGACAAACATGTTAAGGTCACAGAACATGTTTTGTTTTTTCCACGTAAGTTTGAAACATGTTTATTGGAGAGACCCGATTAAAACTTGAAATTGACAGCTCATTTCTGTTTGTTGAATTCGTCGGCTGCCACTGAATCCAAGTTGGCGAAGGAACTGGAGCACCTCTGGCAGAAGCGGACCTGCTCTTGGGATCTCCACGGAGCCTCTTTTCCACTCATTCCGTGCATTCTCTTCTCTCCTGGAAACAGAATCAGGGTTGCAGGAAGAAGAAGAAGAAAAAGAAGAAGAAGAAGTGTGCTCACCCTTCTCCATTGGTCCATAAGCAAAGAACAAATTGTACCTCCCCGAAGAGATGACATGCATCTGAACAATATCTCTCTTCAACCCCTTCTTTTTCAAGTGGCCTACCAGGTTCCTCTCGCCCGCTTCCAAATGGATATTATCCAGAATCCATTCTCCTCCGCACATTGCCTTTCCGTCCACAAACTCGGTGTATCCATCGCGAATCAAAAGTTCGGAAGCCTAAATACCAAGTTTATCCTCACTGGTCGCTAAGCCAATAAAGTCAGCTCACAGTTTTGAGTACAATATTTCTCTTTGCTGTATTGTGGGACAGGAACACTCCACCGGAGCCTGATGCTGGAAACTGGCACTCGAAAACTGTGTCATTGCCCTGAAAGCAACAATATTACAAACCACACCTCACCTGCCTACCATCAAATCATCCTTCGAGAATCCAATGCCCATCCACATGTTCGGCTTGACCAGTTTGCTCTCAATCTCCACGATCAGATGACGGCGCTCGTGTTTCCAAGTGAGCATCGTCGTGCAGTCGCTCGCATCCTTGCACCCGTTCGGCAGCTTCCAGCAGCCTCTCGCAGTCCCACAGTCACTGATGTGGGTGACATGAAGACTGCTGACTTGGCGGATAAGGAACAAAAATGAGGGAAATCATCTGGAAACAGGGAAAGTGGAATGTTGACCCTCTCCCTTTATAGATGTGTTCCAAGCTGGAAAGTCTAGAATAACAACGGTTATTGTTCGGGGCCAACAACTGGTTCTTCCTTCTTCTCGCTTTCAAAACCACATACTTTATCATCAAAACACATTATACAAAAAGGAAATTAATTCATTTGGAAAAAAGGTCTTCTTCTCGTTCACTTCTCCTCCTCCGGCTCTTCGTCCTTGCACTGTGTCGCCAGGAAGTCGCGAACTCCCTGACTGATTCCTCCGCCCGCAGTCTCGTGCTTCGCAAAGATCTCCAGGTGAGCCTTTCCTTTCCAAACGAGTCCGCACCGGAAGTTCGAATCGTTCTTCGTCAAGAACTTGTAGACCTTATCCAGACAATCGTGCACCTTGCTCAAAGACACCAGAGGAAGCGGCTTCATCATTTTCGAGACGTCTTGCAGAGTGTAAATGGCCGGCTTTCCAAAGTCTCCGTTACCTTTGAACCATCCCAGAAATTCCTGAAAACATCAATTGTACGTGCAATACAACAAACTGAGCGGCTCACGTGATTGGCGTTGGTGAAAAACAGCTGCGCCCAGGTGAAGAACGGGAAGCCGGCTCCCTGCGGATAGGTGGTAAGCACTTGGAGAGGGACGTCATGCGGCACTTCTCCGTAGTTCACCACTTCAATCTCCGGGTTGATATCACTCTTTTTCTTCTCCGGAAGCACTTCCGACTTGTCCACCGGTGTTCTGAAACACGAAATGAGCACAGAAACATAAGAACGATCTTACGGATTGCTCTTGACGGCTGCATAATCAGCGCAGTCGACTTCATATCGAACGAGAATGCGGAATGATCCATATTGGTACGCAACCAATTGGAAGAACGGACCCGTCGAATGAGCACCTCGTGGTCTCGTCATTCTGGCCTTCAGATTCTGGTCGAACGTGACGTGTCCGATCTCCATTAGGTCCGAAGCCTCCATTCTGAAACTTTACTTTTTGAATTGAACTGTTCATCAACCTCTATTCACCTCGTCAGAAGAACGGTCTTTCCAACGCGTTCGCAGTCGATTCGGAACAATCCTTCTCCGGCTTCATTACAGAAAGCGAAGATCTTTTGGAGGTTGATCGCATCGGTGATGAAGTGGAATTGAGAGAAGTCAATCGGCTTCTTCTTCTTCTCACTGAGCAGTCTGGCTGCAATGATTATCGCGTCCAGAGAACCTTCCCGAACCTGAAACTCATTTCCAATTTGATCGTTAATCGAGTTCCTCAATTCTTCAGATCACGCTATTTCTCGAGTTTCAGTCAACAAGTCTTGAACTCACTTTCATGTGATTGACGTCATAAATGACTACTCCGTGATCTTGCATCAACTTGCCACCAGGCCAGTAGAACGACTCAACCGGAGCCCCCGGGACAAGGATCGTCGCCGTCTCGTCATTCAGATACCACTGGTACGACCCGACACGATCCACGTATTTGGTGCTAGTAGGGCCTCCCTGAAAAAAAGAATGAAAGAACGAAATAAGGGAGTAACTAACCTTTCCGGAGAGGTTCACAAGAGGCAGAAGACCGTACGGCTCCTCTTCAAGCCCTTCGAACAGCCAGAATCCGTTGGCAGACATCACTTCGAACAGCGGCTATAGAGCAGTCTGTCCAACGACGTACGTGTGTTGTGCCGGAGCGAGAGCCCATTCTCCCACACAACGGATCCCGGGAGGGAGCGAGAGAGAGCAGATGAGGGGGTGTGCAGGAGGCGAAAGAGTGTGGAGAGGAAGAGTCGCCGAAAAGATTACAATGCGTGGGACTTCCGACGGACCGGACGGCCGGGGCTCCCGCTCATCGGTCGAAGTTTCGAAACACCGATGATGACGGGATGGATCCCCCTCACAGCTCAACAATGAATACACTTTGTATAGATTGGAGGACATGTGGCCTGCACGTAAGTTTAATCACACAATGAAGATTAAAAAGTAGTGGACGCACATTGATTGCTCTTTCGAGTAATATGGAAGTTGGTCATGAAGTCTGAAAACGAAGAGAAAAGTTGCTTTCAAGGAGATGTCACAATCAGAAGGAACTCTTACCCCTCCGCCGCTTCGGCTTCCGCTTATCAGTCTGCATCGGTTTTTGTCCGAACATTTGTTTCCTCTTTCCTCTTTCCTGCATTCGCAATCCACATAATCTGCTGAAATATGAATGCGTTCCTAGTTTTCATTGCCGTTCGGAACACTAATCCGGGTCATCCCCATCTCTTCCACTAACCACTCGCATTCAGAGCAGGAGTGATAACAAAAAACATGAGAATGTCTGCGTCTCTAACAGATTCTGAGCACCCGAATGTGCTGCTATGGAAATGCATGGAAATCAAGAAGAGGAAGCAGTCGAGCAGCGGGTTCGGCTCGCCGAGCACCACACCACGAGACGTCTTCTTTCGCGCCGTCTCATCGATTAGTGTGTGAGATTCCAGAATAACCTTCCGCTTTAATCGTTTTCAAAAGTTCAAGTGTCTAGAGAAAGAACACTTCTCCTCTCTCAATCTGTCTTCGCTCTCATTCCTTTCCTACCGTATGCTCGGTGAGATCACAGCGACGTGTCAAGAAGGCATTCGGGAAGCATGTGTGACACTTCGGAATGCCTGCGAGCCACAGTTAGTTGTTGAAAATGATCAGTACGTGTTGCAACGTGGCTTTTCTTCAGTGTTATGGACGAGGTCTCGTTGCGGATGAGGGAGTACGAGAGCGAATTCGGCCGAATGATCTACACAATTTCCATTCTCATCATGTTCTCGTTTGTTATCATTCTCCTCATGGTTCGGTCTATCAAAAGAACACATTCTACTGTCGAGGTACTGTGGGATCATCATTCAAAAAGTCTTCTCGACCGTCGTCAATCGGAACCCTTTCCAGATGGACGCTCTTCTGGACGCGATGCGATTCCGCGAAGAGCTCGATATTCGAGACCGTCAACGTAGAAGATTGATGAAAGCGAAAACAAAGGTGAGATGGTTCATCCGTAATCCTCTTATCTCTAAGATGATCAACGGATGATCATACTTTGGCAGCTATGTAGCATGTTTTCAGGTGAGTGCCTGGCTGAACAGAGCTCAGAACGCTGCTCTATCGAACGAGCAAGAGAAGCGGAAGGACAGCGAATGGAAGCCGCCGCCGAAAGGAACCGGAACACGGCCTCGGGGACATTACAGGTGGACTCTGGTATTCCGAATTACAATGGGCATCTGGATTCTTTCAGTATTTCCACGGTCACTTCTGACATTCCTGAAATCGTGGTGAGTGCGGACGATTGCACGAATACGGGTCATCCGATGCGTCCGCACACTCCCGCCATCTCCTTGATCTATGACTTCGGAGTTGCGTCACCGGATTTGGAGGAGCAAGAAAGGTGCGGGCAAAACAGATTAACGGAGTGCAATATGAGAGAATGACCTTCGTTATGTGCTCAAGTGTCAGTTTCAGAAGGAAAACTTCGCTCGCTTCTACTGCGGGACTCCCCATTTCCTCGTCCTCTTCTTCGTTGTCGTCCGTCGACCAGAAGATGTCTTCGATGAAGACAAACCCACGCACATTTTCACTCGACACGAGCGCTTCCACAACTTCTCGAACGCGACGCGTCGATGTCGATGATAAATCGTTCAGTCTGGACACGTGACCGTTCCTACTCCCATTTCCATATTGTTTTTCCCCTCCGATCTCTTTTATTTTACTCGTGGATTGTTGTCAACTCTTCCCGAATGACTCACTACAGTAACCTCTTTTATTTATTTGTTTCACTGAAATAGAACATTCTAGAAAGCGATAAAGAGAATGCTTGTTTCAAGCCGCCGACTCAAGAGGCAATCACGCGGCCGCTTGTCATTGATGGCTGCAACATCGGAAGAAGTGCTTCCGGTTACGCAAGAACGTACGTTTCCACAAGCTAATGTCAGAAAAAAATTCTTGGAATCAGAAGATTTCATCAAAGTATCACTACTGAGCCTTTTCAGTCACGTGGATTGCGCGGGACTCGTGTCCGTCGTCCGATGGCTTCTGCTCCGAAACTTCGATGCAAGACTACACAATCCCCCGTTCTGTCTTCTGAATGTTTTCTTTGCAGGTCACCGTGTTTCTGCCCGTCGTCTACAATAACATTAACAACTACAACTCTCGAAACGCGGAACTGCTGACGGTATAATTATAGCGAAGTTTGCTCATTCCGAAATGTTTTTCAGAAGCTCGAGCAACTCGGAATCGTGACTTTCACGCCGGCCAGAAGTGGGCGTGGGCTGCGGAAGTGAGTCAGAATTTCGAGATGGCGTCGATCAGAGCGCACATTTCCATTTGTTTTCAGAGCCTTCATCAACTACGACGATTTGTATGTTGTTTCGTACGCGGCACGTCACGGAGGTACAATTCTTAGCGGAGACAAGTTCAAAGACATTCTCAATCAGCAGTGCTACAGCGACTTCCACGACGTCATCAGAAATCGAACTATCGACGTCAAATTCCGTCCGCTGACTCTTGATTATGTCTCGTACAATGGCGATAAGTTCTATCGGCATGCTCCCGAATTATTCACTTGTGAGCATTCATCTCGATCTCTGAATGGCCTGAATTCCATCCTCAGATGACAATCTCGGGATACGAAGTGAACTGATTCGACATCGTTTGTATGCTCTACCCCATGAGCACGACTACAATCTAGTCAAGACTCAGAAAGGACAGATAACCGATGAAAGAAGAGCTTTTCTGTGTTCGGAGCTGGAGTCGGTGCTCACTTCGATGAGTTACGCGGCCGGAAAATTGTTCCGAGAAGTGACTGAACTGCCGTGTATGGACAATGTATGTGGGATAAAGTGACGAATCGCAAACACGTTTCTCTTGCAGCATTACCAAGGAGTGAGAATTGAAGACGTCGCCTCGAGAGCTACCGTTGAGGCATTCTACAAAAGGTATCCGAGAAGGGAGACGAAGAGTGATCCGTCTCAAGAATGGGTCATGGAGCCGATTATGGAAGTGTTGGATGCTCCGAGACGGGATGTTGTGTCTATTATCGGGGGACCGGCAGCTCCTAAACTGAAGAATACGGCCGAAAATCAGCGAGTGCCCGAGCCGCCAAGTGAAGTCCCAGAGCAACAAGAGCCAGAGCCCGAGCAGGAACCGGAACCGCCGGCGCCAGCACCGGCGAAAGTGGTCCCGCAGAAGATCCAACTGCCCAGAGATCTTTCCCTCAAGTCTCTTCTCGAATGGTTCACGCTGGCCGAAGAGGCGAGAAAAATACAGGAATGATAAGCGTTATTTGTGAAAATGTGATCTGTTTCAATGTTTCGATAAACTTCTGATTCTTCTTTCCTCGATTTCCTCTTGATTGATACTTTGCAAAGCAGTGGAGTGACCCGGCACGTGGTGTCGACAGCTGTCCTCGAAAGACGGACGGGAAGGTTTAAAGTAGGTTGAGATCGGGCGAGCCGACAGCCAGAATCACAAAACTTGCTTTTTGAATAGCTCTGTTTTTTGTTTTTTTTTTGTTCTCGAGACTTCGCATTTGATTCCAAAGTTGCATGCAATCAGAAGAGACGTTTGATCTATTACGAAACCTGCCGTTCCTCTTCTCGAGTGTAATTGACTGTCACTTTCACTCAACTGACCGCGAGGTTTCACGCTTTCCCGCCGAATGTTGTTGCCCCTTTCTTATCTTCTGCTGCTTCTAATCTTGTCTTATCAACTACTTCCTTCCAAAATAACTTTTCTTTTTGTTCATTCACTCTTGTTTCCAGGTCGAAATGGCAGCAGCACCAACCCAATTTGATGGCGTTGAGACCGTTTTGGCGGAAAAGTTGGAAGGTGTGGCTTTTGACGAAGTCAGCCGAGTGCTTTACGGAAGACCTTACAAGTGAGTTGACTTTGATGAACTGTGAATGAAATTGTTGCAGGAAGCTCGAGATTTCTCCGGCGGCTGAGAAACTCGCCAAAGACGGTGACTTCCAATTGGTTGGATACATTGTGGATGCTCAGAAAGAACAGACGAGAGCTCCGAGATTGGTAAGTCACCAGCTCATGCGAAACCCTCTAATTTTTCTGTTCAGGTGCGTGTAGCTGCCATCCAAAACGCCATCCACCGCCCGACCACTGACAGCGTTGTAGATCAACGGGACGCCATTCATCAGCGTGTCGGAGCAATGATCGAGGCCGCCGCTGCTGCCGGAGCCAACGTCGTCGGACTCCAGGAGGCGTGGACGATGCCCTTCGCCTTCTGCACACGCGAACGTCTTCCGTGGACGGAGTTCGCCGAGTCTGTCTACTCGGGGCCGACGACAGCTTTCCTTTCGAAGTTGGCCGTCAAGCACAACATCGTCATCATCTCTCCAATTCTCGAGAGGGACGAAGAAAAGGACGACGTCATTTGGAACACGGCTGTGGTGATCTCGCACACTGGACGGGTTATTGGAAGATCGAGAAAGAATCATATCCCTAGAGTTGGAGACTTCAATGAATCCACGTATTATATGGAGTCGACTATCGGACATCCGGTCTTCGAAACCAAGTACGGACGCATAGGAATCAACATCTGCTACGGACGTCATCATCCTCAGAATTGGATGATGTATGCCCTCAACGGAGCGGAGATCATCTTCAATCCATCGGCAACCGTCGGTGCTCTTAGGTCAGAATTTCAGAATTATTCCGGTTTTCTAATGATTCAAAGTGTTCAGTGAGCCGCTCTGGGGCATTGAAGCGCGCAACGCAGCTATTGCCAACCACGTTTTCACCGTTGGAATCAACCGTGTCGGAACAGAAGTGTTCCCGCATGAATTCACCAGCGGAAACGGACAACCGGCACACAAAGACTTTGGACATTTCTACGGATCCACCTACATCGCCGCTCCAGATGGTAGCCGCACCCCGGTGAGTCATCCATTCGTACTTTCAACCCAATGTCCCCCGACTTCCAGGCACTTTCGCGTGTCCGTGAAGGAGTTCTCATCGCCGAACTCGACCTGAATCTCTGTCGTCAATGCAAGGACGCCTGGGGATTCCGAATGACTAACCGACTCGAAATGTACGCTCAGAAACTGACGGAAGTCGCCAATCCAGAATATCGTCCGGACATCAGAAGAGAGCACTGACTCATTTTCACCGCTGGCAGTATCGTGAAGCACTCGAAAATAATAAATTCATATCTTCAAGGTGTTGATTCGATTCGATTTACAAGATTACTCATAACTCGTGCGATTGCTAATGAGCGCTTAGACAGAGTGATGAAAAGAGAGAAAAGGGCATGTAATCGGCGATCACTCGTGATTTGGAAGAAGAAGTAAACCAAGTGGAAAGGGAGAGAAGAAGCTCGTTTGGCTGTATTCATTCCTATTTGCATATATTCCTAACTCATCCAAATCTGTTTTCATCGCTCTTCCTGTTTGCTCTGAAAGATTGAGTTATAACGCTCACTTCTAAAATCAGCTGATTGGCAGTTCAACCCGCCAATTACCCGGCTGAGCTAGTCTCTCAGCTCTCTGTGAATCTTGAAGTCTTCTTCTTCTTCGAGCCGAAGCTATTCCGCTTCATGGCTTTTTCCCTATTTTCCAGTTGTTCTAACACGTTTCGCCTTCTCCCATTTCATTCCACCTCGAATTCTCAAAGGTGCGAATCTGTTCTGTTTTTGTTTTTACACCATTCGTTCTGTACACTATACATGTCGCTATATTGTTTTTCCTGCAGATCCACAGGCCCCAAATGTCAAGGCTGTCAAAAATAGGCCCACGGCCTCTTTTTAAGTAAATTTCGAGCCGTCTCTCCAGAAATCGACGCAGCATACCATATAACCTGGGCTGTGAACTGTAAACTCGGACTGTAGTCTTACGGCGCCCGCCTGATAGCCCTCCCATACAGTATGATTCATACATCCCCAGCCGATCCATAATTGTTTACGAGATTGGTGCGGTTCTCGTGCTCGTTGTTGCTCATCATTCCTCTCGAAAGAGAGCCAATAACAAGCGCCTCCTCTGTGTCGGTCGCCCGAGGCAACTTGGCTCCTCCTTCGTTGCCTTCTTCTTCATCCTCTTCTTTTCTTTTTCGAATCCGTTTTCAAATTACCCGCTCTCCGACTTCCTCTCTTCCATCGCGCGGAGTCTCTTCGTGCCTCGCTCTCTTTCCGTTTTCTTCTCGGCTTTTACTCTCAAACCCTTCCTCTTAACCAAAAAACGAAATGGACAGCTTGCCGGAACGTGCCAGATTTCGGTTCGGAAGGATGCTCAACTCGGCGGTCGCCGTCATCAACAACTCGACGCTCCGTCGTCGTTCCCACTTCGCCCGTTCTGCGACCACCAACAGCTATGGTCCGATTCCGATCGACGGCGACTCTTCCGTTCCGTTGATGTATTCTTCCCAGCGGTGAGTTGCGTTCCGTCTTCTAAACATGGTTCCCAATAATATTATCTCTCATAAAACGTGCTTCAAACTATGAATTCCTAGAAGGTTCAGTAGTCGAACAGTTGAAGCATGTACTTTCTGCAAAAGGTCAGCGCTGACATCAAGCCATAATTTCAGTCGTTCTGAGAGCGAGAGCCATGCAATTATGCATGTGATTTCCGACTACAGTAGGAATCTAGTTCCTCTCTCTCTCTCTCTCTCTTTCAATCTCAACTTGTTTATACAATTGAGAAGAACTAGAGAAGATACAATAAAAGCAATGAGTCAATTGAGAGATTGAATTAGTTTCAGTTCAAACTCGACCACCAGTTCGAACAACTCAATTGTGTCGATTCCCGGATATGGAACAGTTACAAATGTGAGTGGGAAAGGAGAAAAAAAGGTGCCCAGGTGGAAATGTGCCAAAAACGGGCGGCCACTAATCGAATTGTCAGCGCGTGGCTCTTGCATTCATTTCCGTTTGCAGCTGATTCAAGTGAGATCATTGGAGCAGTCCGTCGAAAACGATCTGAACGCTCTCTCGATCTCGGAAACGGCGACTCCCTCTGCTCACAGAGTCTCTGCACTGGCCACGAGAGGATTCATTAAAGTGGCCGAGTACATGTACATCACTGACAATAAAGATTTGCTGGATAAGGATGGGTTCGCGTCGCACGAGATCTCTCACATTATCGTGAGTTGTTGGCTCTGAAAGGGATGAATAAGCAGCGGATTCTTAGAAATTTTGACGGCTCTCGGCTAACTGCTAATTTGGGTTTGCGTCAGAAGAGCTCTCAAGCAAACGAGCATCGGTTGCCTTCGTCAAACCCCTCATAGATACCATTTCAGAGCCTCGGGGACGATTGCTCACCGATTGTGTCGGTTTCGAAGAAAGAAGGACTTCTTGTGATCTGCCCACTCACGCTGTTCCACGAGACTGATGTTGACCCCAAACAGCCGTTCAAGGTTACCACTCGAGGCGTGCAATTTGTAGATGAAGTATTTCAGAATCTCGTTGAGAAGTTCGACAAGGTCAATATGTTTATTGACAACGCCCGGAAACTCAGTCAAAAAGTCGTGATCTACAGCAAGAATAAAATCTTTGCGTACTTTGTTGCTGCTCAATTCAACATTGAGTGAGCCCCTCCCCGGTTTTATTCATTAACTTTCTTTACGATTTCAGTTACTACCAATTGGAGCCGGGTAAAGCGGTGAACCACTTAATGAAGCTGATCGGGACCGAATGGGAGGAACTTCCGGAAGAGTACATGGACACTCTTGCCGAATGGCGTGCTCTGGGACTGGTGAGAAGAGCTCAGGCGGGAGGAGATAACGAGCGAAAACTGAGCATCTCCGTCAATTGTACCAAATAATATTTCTGTGATTCCTATCCTGATAGAGCTAGTCTGGGTTTCTTCATTTCCCGAATTCCTTTCCTTGCAATAATCTTGTGATCCCTTCTGAAATGGTTTCTGCAACCCCTTTTTGTGTGTAAAGTGTGGCGAGAAGCTTTACGCACTACGGTGCACAAAGTCCGCAATTGTTTGAAGAGTGTCTCTGCGTACTTCTGCTGACCAGCGATCTCCCTCACAGGGTAACTTGCTTCATTCAAAGTATCATTTTAAAGTACAATAAATGCTGAATAATTTGAACTTTTAATGGAATCCAATGTGTTTCGTTCTCAGACGTCCAACTTCCTCCGTGGACCTCCCAGTTGCACACTCGAAGATCTTTTGATCTTATCCGATGGTCTGGCCACTTTCTGTTTGAATCTCTCGAATTCCAACTGAAACGTTTTCATTTTACAGAGCATTCTTCCTTCATTTCCTCTTTCTTACCCATGCTTCGTGCTCAATCCTTCTGATCATTTCTTTCGATTTCTTGTCTGCCAGAAGGTTCCGTTTCCAGTGCGGAATGCCCTCTTTCTCGTAATGCGCTTTGAAATACTCGGGAGTGAAGTGGTTTTTCGCTTTTTCTATCTGCTCCAGCGTCTTCAATTCAACTCATTCGGCGTGGAACATGTTCGGAATCACTTACTTTTTTGTACATCTCCTCAGTTTCGGCGCGTTGCTTCTCTTGTTGCACAGTTTCTCGCAGTGGTTTCGCGTCAAGCTTCGGCGTTCTTTTTATGTCTGCAAACTGTTTGTTTTGAAGTGTTCAGAAGCTGTGTTGGACCTGTGCTGTAGGGAATTTCCGGAAGATCATCAATGGTAATCTCAGGCGCGTACGGTTTGAATGACAAATTGAACCGCTCCACTTTCTTTTTGAGCTCATCGAACGGAATCGAAGCTTCGAAGAGAACAGTGTCCAGCTCATCGAGCACTTCTTCCACAGTATTCCGACGGCCTCCAAGTCTCGGTGTTCCCTTCGACGATGATCTGAAGTAGCATGCATACTGAGCCGATTCACTTCTGTCCGTTACTTACGTCAAATGAGCCTCCTCCTTCGAGTAATCAACTGAAGATGGCCTTTGAAAGACGTCACCAATGACTTTGTAATCTTTCCTGAAAAAAGAACGAGCGTTTGCTAATTTCATAATGGCCGCTTATGTTTCGAGGTGTGGAAATACTGCGAAATAGGATACACCGCCACTTTGTTCAATTGCTCGTTTCACAAAGTTCTCGGAGCACTTGAGATCACCCAAGAGACCTAACTGTTCAGTTCTCTCTCTCCTATTTTCCCTTCCACTTTCTCCTTTTCTTACCCTGTGGCACTCGAATCGTATAATCAATCGGTGGCTCCGGAGGCGGAACGTAGTGCAGCAACTGCTGGGATCTTCTGATTTGCTCGGACTGTGGACTCGGAAACACGCGACGACCGACTCTTTTCGGCGGCGAGGAGCCCGACGAAGACGACATTTCGCTTCTTTGTGTGAGTTTTTCTTTCTGATAGCAAAGGAATTTGGAAGGCGAGGGGAGGGCGGGTTATCAGAATTAAAAACGCGCTGATTACGGGCGAGTACGACAGGTTGGAGGGCCGGAGAGCCAGGCGGGGGGAATCATGTGGAGAGCGGTGCGACCGGGCACAAAACTTCCGTTTTGGGGAGGGAATCTATTCTAGCTTTTTGAATTTTGATCTCTGATAGTGGGGATGGTGATGAGCGCGATAACTGTGAAGTGTTTATGTCAATTTCAGAATGTGTAAGTTGTTGAGCATGAAGAATCTAGAACGACGAGTGCCGTATCACAAAAGTGTGAAACCATAGAAAGTGCGGCTATCATATCAGTGACTGTGTTCCCCCCTCTCTTAAAAAGGCGTCAAAAGTCAAGCGATTATAGTTTTTCATCTTCTCCGGAATAAAATAATCTTCACGTGTTTCAAAGTTTGCGGACGGAAACATTCGACGGAGATCGCCAAACATTTCGGCTCAAAAACCATTCGGATACCGCACCAAGGGTGGCAAGTGAGCCGTTGGGAGACAAGCAACAAACAAACAAGAGTGTGGAGCTCCAAAATGCGGTAGTGTTATCAATTCGGACGGTGCAAACGACACAGAGAGTGGAGGAGACGAAGGAGGAAAATGGGCGAAATGTGTAAACATATTCCTTGGCACGGCGATTCGCGTTTATGGCATGTGTACCTGAAAGGGGGAGATTCCGAGCAGACACCGCATATTTTACGAGCTTCGAGTGGATTCGGATTCGGTTACGTTATAATTGGCTTCAAAAAGGAGTATTGTAGTTGAAGTGGCAAATTTGGAGTGCCGAAGTCGTAGTGCTCGGGAATTGAAGGGAAACTGGAAACTGCAGGGATCGTGTAATTCAGAAGGCATCTTGCATCATCCTTAACACTTTTGTCCACTTCCATATCTGTCCGGGAAGGCCCCCGAAGTCGATGGATTTCCAATCATTCCGAATGTGTTGTTTCCCTCGAAACATCACATCCCACCCCTCCCCGCAGCCCTTTGTTGAATTGAAAATGTTTTGTCCGTCGGTCGCTCGCAACACATTTCCCACTTTTTCCCTTCCGCCCCATCGGAGCAGAACGTGTCTGGTCTTGAATTATTCGAATCAATTCTATTCCCCCTTTCGTACCTATTTTGTCTCTTCCCAAAACAAACCTGAACTCATTTCCATTCTTTCTCTTTTTTCAGACGTGATTTGAGAAATAATGTCTCGCGTTTATCTGGATAACAACGCGACGACCCCGATGGATGATCGGGTCAAGGAAGCCGTCACAGGAGCTCTCGATCTGTGGGCGAATCCTTCGAGCAACAATGAATACGCTGGGGAGGCGGCCGAGGCGATTCAGAAATCGAGAAAGCATCTGGCGAAGATGTTCAATACGAACGCGGAGGGAGTCGTGTTTACTTCTGGAGGCACCGAAGCCAACAATTGGGTGGTGGATGGAGCTATTCGGCAGTTCATGGACAAGCAATACGGCGGTCTTTATATCCTTCCTCCACATATCATCACGACTAATATTGAGCATCCGTCGATTTCGGAGGCCGTCAGACGAAAGATTGCGGATGTTTATTACAATTCCAACTTTCACTCGAATATGGAGCAAGGTATTAGAGTCTTTACCGTATTAACCTGAGAGCACTGAACTTCCAGACATGATAACCTTCATTCCCGTCGACCCGAACACTGGCTTCGTCTCTCCGCAGGCGGTCATTGCGGCTCTTCGGGTGAATACGTGTCTCGTCTCGATCATGCTCGCGAACAACGAGACGGGCGTTCTGCAGCCGGTCGAATACATTAACAGACTGATCCGAGAGAAACAGAAGAAGGACGCGCCGTTCATGCCGTTCTTGCATTCAGATGTGGCACAGGCGGCCGGAAAGGTTCCGGTGGATGTGAAAGCACTCGGAGTGGACGCCATCACTGTGGCGGGTCACAAGTTCTACGGACCAAGGAACGGAGCACTGATTTCGCTCCGAAAACAACAAAGATCCCGCCATTTTTGATTGGAGGCAATCAGGAATCGGGATCAAGAAGCGGGTGAGCAGCAGTCCAAGGAATGAAAGATATTTTGAACGATTCAGAACAGAAAACACTCCGATGATTGTGGGATTGGGAGAGGCGGCGAGAGTCTACAATGAGAGTGCGGAGAACATTGAAAGTGTGCTTCGTCAGAATCGAGACCATTTCGAGAAACTTCTTGTGGTAAGCAATGAAACATCAACTGAAAAGCAGAAAAGAAAGTAATTTTTCAGGAGCGTCTCCGCAATTCGCATCTGATTCACTTTCTCAGCTCCCCACGTCTTCCGAATACTTCTAGTGTCGCCTTCATCGATTATCCATCGCATGGATGCGATCTTCTGGAAAAGTGTCAGACATTCTATGCGTCCACTGGTGCCGCTTGCCACAAGAACGAGTGCAGTCCGATTCTGAAGGCATGCGGAATCCCGTTCAACGTGGCATCCAAGACGGTTCGCATCAGTTTCGGGAGATCCACTCAGCTGACAGACATTGAGAAGGTCGTTGAGGAACTCGTGCAGCTGTGCTCTCCGAATCCGTCAAAAGAAACAGAATAACTCCAAATTTGCACACGTTTTCAGTAAATACAACTCTTATTTACATGAACTATGACACGCTATGCTGCTAGTATTTATGACGGATCAGTCCTTTCATCATGTCGAACGTGTTCCCGTCATCACCAATTGAGAAGATCTTGTCCGGATTCGCTTTGCTTCGAACTTGCAGATATCCGTCGTCATCGATTCCGCGGATGGTAACTCGCTCATCTAAATCTGAGAGAAGGACCTCTTGTTGTCTGAAAATATTACTTTTAGATGTCTCGCAGATTGTCTGAAACTCACGAATGCAGCCAGAACTCGTCGTACTTCTTTTTGAATCGTTGGGGACCTTCTATTTCGTAGTCCATCAAATAATCTGAAGTGATTTGATATTTCGAGAACTCGTACGAATCACGCACATGTGAATTTGTTTAGTGTTTCCGCGATCAGCTGCTCCCTCGTAATTTTCGTTTCTGCTTCTTTCGGGAGCATGTCATTCAAACAGATAGTCGGTTTTTGGTTGGAAACATTCATTCCGCACCCGATGCTCACGAGGAAAGAGTCGTCCCTCGTCTTGCATTGCAACAGCATCCCTCCGACTTTGTGCGATCTTTCGTAATAAAGATCGTTCGGCCATTTGATGCGAAGTGGAAAGTCGGGATAGCCGGAGAGATTTCGTGCTGCTTCTACGAGTGCCACGCAGAAGATGTGCTGGACGACGGGAAGATGTTTGGCTAAACGGCTGGACTTCAAGATGGAGAAAGAGAAATTGAAGAGTGCGGAGCCACGTGGGGAGATGAATTCGTTTCCACCGCGACCTCTCCCGTGCGTCTGTCGATTCGCTACCACGACGACGTTCTCGAGTGAAGGGATCCCGGCATTCACACTTTGAATGATGTCCATTGTCGTGGTGGCCACATCGACGACCACGATGACAAGTCCGATCTTCGACTGCAGTTGGTTGAAATACAAATTAGAATCGAACTCCGTGCTCGTTACTGCTTCTGAATCTCTGCTCACAACTTCTATTGGCAGAAGTTTCTCGGACGCTTCCGGGAGTCCGAACTCTGCGACGGCATCAGTTTTCCGTAGAAAAATTCGTGGTTCCAATCCGATCTCTTCTCCCAATCGTAAACCTGATATTCCGTCGATCATCGAATCATACTCGGCCATTAGAATTCCTTTTGTCAGCGGAGGAATTTGCGTCTCGTTCACGTTTACACCCACACTTTTTAGTGAATCTCTCAGAAGATTGCTGTCTGAAACATTTCAAATAGAAGAGTTTGTAAAATTCCAAAGAACACTTACTCGGAGCTATCAATTCTTGCGTCGTCGCATCGGAGAACAGAGCTGAAGCATGTAAACTGCCGTTGTTTTGCATGTACAGGAACAGGGGAGCGTCTGCCTCTTTCTTGAGCACAACAGTGAAATTAGCTCCGACGCCGACATCCTTCGAACGAAACGTTTCGTTGAGTGAATCGGTCTTCGGAATCTTCTTCATGTTCTTTTCGAGGAACTTCACAAAGTCCTTGTTCGTCTCTTTCAGTTTGCTACTCTGGTTTCCGAATGCGAATCGGAGAATCGAAGCATTTTCTTTGCTCGAATCACATCCCGCAACGCTGGAGAGCAACTTATTCTGGCACACAAATATAATCTTTCCGTTCTGATTGAAATACGACTGAATTTTCTCCCACGCGCTATCATCCAGTTCGTTTGTAGATGCAAGTATGACACAGATCTGTAATCATATCAGTTTAAAATACCTCAAATCATTTCATTCACAACTCACAGTTGACTTCTCAATCCACGGTTGTTTTTGCAATGCCTCAATGGAAACATTGAAGACAGTGATCTCGTCTGGAGGCAGAAGAGAAGTCAGACGGGTTCTGATATCCGTATAGAGTTCGGTGTCTCCTCCGGTGTACACGAGCACTGAGTTCGGCTTCGACATCGCTTTCGTTGAAGAGGTGCGAGACGTCAGAAATTGCAGAAGAGGCACTTGCCGAACAGACGAATTGCGAGACGATCCGCGGTTGGCTGGAATGAAAAAAGGAATGATTTTATACTTGACGGAGAGGAAGAGAAGGGCATGTTTTTGTTTTTACTCCGGATGTAAAGAGCATTGCGGAAGAAACTATTTTTAGGGCGGATGACAGAAACATCTTTCCTGCAGACGAGAGAAACAGAAACAGAATGCTGACGAAGGTCGTTTGTGATGTTTATCATGAAAGACCGCCGCGAGGGCAGTAAAAGTCAGAAGAAACTCACGGTTTGCGGCCGAAGTGAAGCCACGGAGCGAACGATTCTGATAGTGCTCGAACGAAGGACTGACGGACCTCCCCCGGTCACCTGGAAGCAACGATATTCGCCCGAATTGGCGTATAAAGCGATAGATGTTCATCCGAGTGCTCTTAGTGCACGCGGGGCCGTGGCCGCGAAGAACAGGGAAACTAGGCCCACAAGGAACTTACTGTGTTGAGCGAAGGCGGAAAAGCGACGTTGACCTGGATTACGGACAGTTGTTGCTACTACGGATGTCTGGAAATCAAGAGCTTCAAGGGAAGGCAGAAAAGGAAACTCACGCTTCGTTTCGAACGTGAAATCTGTTGAATAAGGGGAGGAAGACGAGAGAACTCAATGGTAGGCACTTTGAAATTGGCCGGGCCGCGGGGAGGTTTAGAGAACGAATCACGGGGAGAACATTCTGAAGTTGGACTGCGACACGAAGATGCCTCACTGATCGGCCTCTCGGAATCATTTGGAGGGTACGGTGTCGCTGAAATCTTGCTTTAACTGGGAGAGCCGAGCAAAAACTCACGACATCTGTCCGAATTGGTTATCTTCTCGACCCTGCTCTCCTCATTCTCTATTTTTATCGTCACGCTTCCGTTCGTCATCTTCGGACCATGCCCGTTCCTATTTGTTCCCGTTTTCTCATTCTCCTTATCGTATTGTCGAGCGATCACTGCATAAGACACCTTCTCGGCCTCTTCTTCAACAATCTCTCGTGAAGTATCACAAGTCTCCGTGTCTGTTTCATCTATCATCCGTAGCTCGTCCATTGTGAAATGACTTCTGGAAAGCGCTTTCATTAATTAATCCGCGAAGGGATAAAGCGAGTCACTTTAATCCAGAAGTAGTCGGAGGATACTCGGCAGTTCGTCGAGCTGTCACAGAACCGTTCGAGTTGCGGCTCTCTGACGTGACAATGTCTCCGTGTGCTCCGTTTTGCTCTCTCGGCGTCACTGATCTCGTTTCTTCTGCCAGACTGCTCGTGCACGAATCAGAAGTCGTTGGAGGATGACTGCACGAGGATGAGGAGGGAAGTGCCCTGTCCGATCGATAGGAAGCCACGTCGTCCGTAGAATCACAGATAGCCTTGTCCAGCTGACGGATGTACCGAGGTAGACTATTGAAATCGACAGCGTCGGGCATAAATCTGAAAATTTTTATGTACGTTTGATGATTTTTTGAAGCTTACCCGTTGACTACGCTGTTCCTTGGACTAGGACTTTCGAAATCCTTTTGATTCAGATGTCGAATGTACCTCGGAAGACTGCGGAATTCCTCATCCCGATCGAAATTGTTCGCGTTGGCTTGCTCAGAATCGTTCATTTCGGGTGAGTTGTAGGACCGATATCGGCGTCTTCTAGTGGAAGAAGAGGGATGACGTCTGCGAAAAAGAGACACTTCAGGACGGAAGAGCGTTGTTTCGTTTGAAGCAAACGATTTGGATTTGCATTAGGCAGGAAAAGGGGGCGGAAGGAAAGAGCTCGTAGCAGAAGATGTTGTTTGGGATGAAGTACCCGTCCCCACCTTCCCTGTTAATCCATTCTCGACATGTGATTGCTAACGGATTAACATGAACTTTGAATATAACTTTGCCCTTTCCATTAGATTATCTCCGAACTTACGGATGTCTGCGACTTGGCGACGCGTCGAGATTGCCCTCACTACCGTATCGCTCATTTATTGAGAAGGGGGCGGAGCCGGCACGATCTCCCCAGAAAAGGTGTTGAAGAATCGGAAGAGGACGGGGCAATTGGGAAGAAGATGCGAGCGAAAGGGTGGAAGTTCGGAGATCCGGGCGGAGAGCGGAAGAAGAGAGGCGTTCGATCTCTTGCGGAGGGGCGAACATACCTAGAGAAAGGAATGCTTTGTGAAGGCTGGTTTGAAAGAACTCACTGCAAATCCGTGTGACCGAGAAGTGCTCATCAATCAGAAGCTTCTCGGAGAACGCGTCAACGACATCCACGAACATTTCGAAAGAGCACGCGTACAGACACCGAGTCATCGTTTTGTGCACCGCCAAACGATCGCATTTCTCGTGGAGCTGCAATATATCAACGCTGTTCTTTTCTTATGATCACACTCACTTTGAAAAGGTTTGGCTCGAGAGCTCCGGGCTCCCCTCCCGGTTCCCTCTGCCGTTTTTCCATGAATTCGTCGTGCACCACAAAATAAATGGAGTCCTCTTCGCATGGCCAAAGCGACGGACAGAACCTCCATTCGCTGGCCCGTAAGTCTACAATTTCATGAATATTTCAGAAGGCAAAGAGTTGTTTTAAAAATACCTCAAACTTTTCTGTAAAAACCTGAAATAAATCCGTCTGCAATACTAGTGTGCTGTCTAATTTCGGCTCGCTAGTCGGGCGGTACAGTCTGGAAGAGCTGGCTCTCTGAGCACTCAAATATTGTGATGAGCTTCTGGAAAAATGATACATTCGTATGGGAATAATGCATTCTATTTTCATTCTTTACCTAGAAATTGTTTTCCAAATTAGCATTTCATAGTTTCTAGTGACCCGTTGTTGGGCTAATAAGGCACGCAGGAAGTTGGCAATGTGACGCTTCCGAGCCGCCTAAAAAGAAGAAAACATCAGAAAACATTCAGATGACGTGCTTGAATTCACCTCAATTGCAGAAGAGACCAGTGACCAAACGAAGAGAATCATTTTGAGACTTTTCGGATAAAAAACCGGTGAGACCGTCAAATCTGCAATCAAAACGTCAGAACGAATCAAAATCTTTCTACGCGGGCGACAATTGGCCGAGGAACCAGCCAGACGACGTCGCGGAGCCGTCGAGAGAGAAGAGACACAAAGGGCTAGGGACTAGAAAGAGCAGCGAAAAGAGGAGCCGGCGGAGCAGCCACGGCTTCTCTCTTTCTCGGCACTAAGCCTTGCCTGGTGGCTGAACTCTACGGCACGCAGTCAGTTTTTTTATTGAACGAATTCAACAAATTGAATGCGGATAAAAAAGAAGAGAAAACAACAAAGAGGGGATAACAACGAAAACTATGAGGTTGGAAACAAATGAGAGGACGATTGTAACAATAACAAGGATAACGAGGGAAACAGAAGAGAGAAAGTGGAAAACGAGAAGAAAGATATATAGATTTGAAGGCGTTTCGGGCAGAATTACGGAGCTGACTCGAGTTGGCGACGGGCGACGGCGGATTATGCTGGAAAGAGGGGCCAACATTTGTTTGCTTTCGGGGCAAAAATGAACGAGAGAAAGCGAGAGGCAGAAAGGCAGATGACGGACAAAAGCCTTTCCAATTAAGAAACACTTTCACAGGTGTCCGATGCTTTTGTTTGACCAACCGAATGAGCAATGCTCTTTTCAGACAAAACTTTCACGCCGAAAAACATACCGAGAGTCTTCAACACAGCTTTCCTCGACTTTCGTTTCTTTTTCGGATCAGCGCCGCCCAAATTAATTTCTGCAAACAGTTGAATATCCTCCCGATCTTCAATCTCCGCGGCAAAGAGCCGAAGAGCAGCCAGATTGACTCCAGTGACACCCCTCAACTTTTCCACTCCTTCCGACATTTTGGACTTCATTTGCTCGAAAATTGGGACGTAGTCAGAAGAGGCGATAATGTGGCTGAGATGAACTCTGAAAGATATTAGAATTATAAATGGCTGCTCGAAAAGGAAATTAACCTGGTCAAGTAAACAGCGACATAAGTGCAGAGCTCTACTTTGTACTGCTGTTGAGTGGCAGAAGCGATGGCGAGAAGGATGTCGGCCACGTAGGAGAGAGGAATCAGAAGAAGAGCTCTGTCGAGGTCACTGGGACGGCACTTGGCGATGACGTCGACGATGAAATGATCGAGAGACTTGCTGCCGTAGGCGCCGATCAGCGGATGAGGGTCGTGCTTCGGATCTTCTGCTCTTTGAACTTTTTCGTTTCTCACAATATCGACTGCCTGGATGATGTTCTCTGCGGAGACGACACTGGAGCTCGTCTTGCTGCTGGCCACTCCCGCTTCGTTGTCCGGATTCTCTCCGGCAACAATGTCCTCCTCATCGATCAACTTCCTCTCGTACTCTTCTTCTCTCTCTATCTCTTCTCGTTCTTCCACAATCACCATTTCATCCGTCTTCTCCCAGCAACGAATGGACTTATCGTGCGAGGCGGAGAACATCACAGAGCCATTGGTAAACTGTGCGAGACAGCGGATATCCGAAGTGTGTCTGTCCAAAACTTGCACCAAAATGAACTTGACGGCGTCCCATTGTTTGATCTTTCCGTCTTTTCCGGCACTCCAGAATAGTTGTTCCTCTCCGGGACAGAAGAGAACAGACGTGACGGCGTCGTCGTGGGCGTGGAATGACTTGTGACAGTCTCCGAAATCCAGTCCCCACACTTTGACTGACTTGTCAACGGAGCCAGTGACACACAATCTGCTGGTTGGAGCGATATCAACGCAAGTGACCGGAAGGGAATGTCCGTAGAGAGAAACGAAGAACTTCAACGTGTCAACAAAGTAAACGGAGCAAGTATTGTTCAGAAGAGCGACGACAAGGAACTTCCCATCGGGAGAGAAACAGGCAGCGAGTGCTTCGTCCGGAAGTTCGAGAACTTTTTGCGCTCTCACTGATATTCTCTTTCTAGATCCTTCGGTTACAAGCACAAAAGACCAAAATCTGACAGTCTTGTCAGCTGACGCCGTCATGAAGCCTTCGCCGTCCGGGGTATTCTGGATGGTCCAGATGGCACCAGTATGCGCCCTTCTCGTCTCCACGAGCTCGGCACTGCTCAATTCGAACACTCCAATTTCACCATTCTGAAAGAAAGGCATACTTATTTCAAAAGCAAATAAAATCACTCACCTTTCCTCCGGACAGAATATAGTTGTCTCCTGGCACAAAATTCACAGCAACAACTTCCTTTACATCATTGTCAGTCAAAGTGAGCGAGGATCTGAGCGAATGCGTACTCCACACGATAACTTCGTTTCCTCCTCCGGAAACAAGAAGACTTGACGACGAGGAGACGGCAAGGGCTCGCACCTCCTCCCGATGGCCCAGTTTATCCAGATTTCCGACGCTGTCGCATTGGACGGCATTGGAAGAAGCGTCAACGGTCATCATAACCCAGTGAACGGTGTTATTCGTCAAAAGTGCGTACCACTTGTACATCAGGCTGCCACCCTCTGTTTTCACGGCCCTCACCACATCAATCCATTTAATTTTGTGCGGAAGCGCCATTTCCCCGATTCTTGTCAGCAGAATAGTGACATCCTTGACCACGTCATCTTCGCTGATGACGCTGCTATCACTGAAAGCAATGCAGTAAGCATTTATGGTTATGAAAAGAACAACTCACGTGGCTTTTCGCTTCGCACTCTTCAGCTTCTTCGTAAGTCTCTTCTCAGATTCGGCTTCCGAAAAGACCCTGTAGACGTCAGCCACTTTGTCAGCGCCAACACAGACCAGGAAACGGTCATCGGCGGTGGGAACCAACTGGAGTGCTCTTCCTTTGCTCTGCCGAATGACTCTTCCTCTAAGCTTCGTCGAAATGTATCTGTTGGCCATGTTGGCGAGTGTTTCATCTTCGTTTTCCTCGTTCGTCGACTTTTTCGCGCTTGGCTCACCCTTCACTTCTTGTTCAAAAATGGCTCCGTTCTTCCAATCTAGTTCAAAAACAAGCAGCTCCAGCTCGGACGTGGCTGCCACGAGGACTCTCTCGTCTCGGTGCAAACTCATTGAATAGATTTCGTTCCGACTGTCCATCACTGTGTAGAAGCACGACTGACTGGCGATGCTCCAAAACTTGATGAGACTGTCTTTCGAACTGAAACAACATAACTTTTTACAAAGTTTTTAGGCTACAAACGTACGTGGAAATTATGAATCTGTCTCCGCGCACGAACTTCATCTGAGTGACAGATTCTTTATGGCCGTGCAAACGGAACATTCCTCTTTCGGCGAGAATGTCCCATAGAACGATGACGCCGTCTTTTCCTCCCGTGGCAAAAAGAAGTCCGTCACTACTGAATTCGATGCAATTCACTGCTTTCTTGTGTCCAGAAAACATCACTGGCTCGACTTCCTCATTCTCGCGATCGAACAATTTGACGGAACCGTCCGCGTATCCGACGGCCAGAAGTGGTTTGTTTTCGCATTGTTTCACACAAGTGATTGCCTTTGTCGATTCGATGATTTCATTGACCTGAATATCTCGATGAGAAAAATTCGTTTTGTACTCGTACCTTTTCATTCGTTCGCATGTTGTAAAAATTGAGGTATTCGTTGGCGGAAACTGCGACAGTCTGACCATCGATGGCAACGAGCTGTCCGTTGGTAGAGCCGACGCATCCACAGGATCCCGCGTGCTCGTACTTCAAATAATCCTTGGTCAATCCCATCTGCAAGCATAATGCACGAATATAACAAGAAACGATGACGAGGAGAAGTTATCATATAAGAACAATTTGATTGTAATTTTTTAGACGCGTATTTTACAGTTTCTAACCAGTTGCAACAGAACAACGAACAAGTTGAGTAGAAAATATAAAAAAAATGCGAGGACGAGTTACTGAGGTGAGTGCAAAACTTAGTCCGCGGCCATGATACTTTTTGGCGGGTGTTCAAATAATCTCGCACGGGCAACGAGCAAATCGGCTCCGGGACATTTCGAATCCGGATATTTCGAAACCTACAGTAGTTTTTCGTATTGCTCAGATTAAAAACTTCTCAGCGTGTTGAACAGCAGCCACTCAATCCCTTTTTTTTTCCTTTTTTTTTTGCCATTTTAGAAACTTCTGAAAAAAATCAGGGTGGTACTATAAGATATGGAGAACATTTTCCGGCTTTGACATTCGGAAAAATATTTCTGGAAACTTCTTGCAAATTCGCAAAATTTTCGCTAGAGAGAGAGAGAGAGCTGACTTCTTGCATAGCAATAGCGTCAGAGGAAGGAAGGGAAGGAGAGAGAGAGAGAGAGAGAGAGAGAGAGAGAGACGTGTGTCCGAATCCTTGACTCTGTCCTCCGAATGATTGTTGCCTGCTTCTCTGGCTCATTCCTCCGAATCCTTGGGAGTTTCCACTGAATCCCTGCTGGCTGGATCCTCCGAATCCTTGGGTCTGGCCATTATATCCTTGGCTGTTTCTACTGTTTCCGTTGTATCCTTGGCTGTTACCTCCATATTCCTGTTGCTGCTGTTGTCCGTATCCTCCTAGGAATTTTCGAATAAGTACAGGACGCCGCCAAAAGCGACGGAATATACTATTGCCAGACGAGCTCTGTCCTCCGAAGCCACTCTGGAAGCCGCCTTGGCTCTGTTGACCCCAAGATTGGGAGACAACGAGGACTATGAGGGAGGAGCTGACAAGACCCATTTACAATATTCCGATCGGACCCAAACTTTGCAAGCTTCTTGGACTTGAAGTATTGAAGTATTTTAGGCCCACGTTTCCAGCACTGGATGCATCCTTATCCGAGACTGCGCTTCAAACTTTAGCCGACTACTTTTTTCAAAACTTTAGTCTGTTGGGACACGAACGACGAATAAATTACCGAAGGGAAAAGCCATGAGAATGTGTTTCAGATTTTCCTATCAGCCTTGGGAACCAGAGTTTCGTGCCAACTGAAAGGAATGCAATATTTTGTGTCAGAATTGAAAAAACTCCATAACGTCGTGCTTCGTCACTCGCACTGGCAACAATCCAATCCAATTTCACGCTCGTTGCCATGCAAACCCTGCCCTCTTCCCTCCCAAAAGTAAAGCCGTTTTGCTGAAAGGAACGCTCGAAAACCGCCGTATTTTGTGTGTGAGAAGAGCGAGCAAACAGTGGAATTCAAAAGAACACAACCAATCACTGTTAAACCGTCCCTGCCCAAACATTCGCCGAACAAAAAGTGTAAGAAGTTATCAGCCCCTCCCGTCCTCCGTCCTCATTTCCGCTCTCATTGCTCTTGTGTTGTTAATCGGCTCCTAGATTTTGCAGCAGAACCATGCACCTTTCGTACTCATTTTTCCCAGTTCTTCTTATATCCGCTTCTTGTTCTGCAGTCAAACTGATCATCGGTTAGTCGCTAGTTCTTCTCGAATCTCTCTAGCTTTCTCTAGATACCGATGGAGTGTACGATGACATCCGTGCCTTGACCATCGCTCTTTCCACTCCCGATGTCGAAGTTCTCGCCATTACGAGTGTGCATGGGGGAGTGACTGCAAATCAGTCGGCTGCCAACGTGGCACGACTTCTCAGAGCGATCGGAAAAGAGACCGTTCCGATTTACATTGGATCGCAGGATTCGCTGATTCCGAAAGGGCCGATTGTTGTGTGGGAGGAACTGTTTGGGAGTGACGGAATAGGCGGTGTTCCCGACATTCCTCCCAAAGCATCGTCGTTTAATTCTTCGAGTTTCGTCAAATCCAAAGGCGCTGTTGATGCTATTATCGAACTGACAAAACAGACAAAGAATGTGACACTTGTGGGCTTGGGCCCTCTCACAAATATAGCTCTGGCTCTCCGGAAGGATCCAGAAATCGCCCAGAGACTTCAGAAAGTGGTGATAATGGGCGGAAACTATCTGGGAGTGGGCAATACGCAGTCCAACTCCACGGCCGAGTTCAACTTCCTCATGGATCCCGAGGCTGCTCAGATCGTTCTTTCCGCCATTCACACTACAATCGTCCCGTGGGACACTTGTTTCTTCAAAGGACCCGAAGTAAGCGAGGAACTCAAAAGAAAACGCGTAATGAATAATATTTTAGTACAGTGAAGAAGTAGATTACGAAGAATCTCTACGGCAGAACACTCCGCTGTCCTACTTCCTGAGCAACATTACCGCCAAAGGTATGCATTACTTTCATCCATTCTAACAGGGTTACAATTGCTTCCAGGTCGGGAGTACAACAAGATGACACATCAGCAGTACGCATTCGTGGATGACATTGCCGTCGCCATTGCGATTGATCCTTCGGTAGCCGTGAAGAGTATGAAGTTGTGCGCCAGCGTGGAGTTGGAAAAGGAATCGGTGACGCGAGGACAGGTTGCTGTGGACTGGCTCAGCACTGGATACAACCCCAAGAACCATGCTTTCGAGGCGTCCGAACAGAAGAATGTGAGTCACTTTTCCGTAAAGCAACCTCCTTTTTCTCGTTCAGGATCAGGGCTGGTTGGCTCAGACATTCGTTACGGAATATGACGTGAAGAAGATCAATGAGATGCTTATGAGAGCAGTAACAGAGAGAAATTGAAGATGTCTCGCAAGGAAAAGTCTCTGGCGATCGAAATAAAGAAACATAGAATACTTTTATTGACGCGAATTAGATATGTTCACACAAACTCCATGACACACTTGGGCTGAACGTGCACAGCGAACACGATCGGAACCTCGAACTTGGTGTTCTGGAGGCCTCGTTTCCTGGTCTCCGCAGGCATCCACCACATTTTAATCGAGTGATCCGAGTCCATTATGTCCGTGTTCGGTAGCTGTCCTCCGTGGAACTGAATCTCGAACGTCTTCTGAAAATCAACTGTCTGTCGATTGCTCTTCATCAAACTGTTACTGTCTCTTCTGCCTCCATGGTCCCAGTCGACGGGTGCACTTTGAGCATGAACCCGAAACTCGTCTCCCATCCGAATTTCATGCGCTTTCCGAACCGATTTGTCATTTCCAACCACATTGTCTGATCTCGAGTATCATCTTCGAAGATTATCTGAGAGCACATTTGGTTTCAGGGGGATCAAGAATTTTCGAGAGACCATCTGCGGATCACCCTGCGAAAGTGTCGCCATCGTGTGAAAGAAAAACTGAGAAATGATTCAGAAAACGTTCATATTTTATCAATTTAGAAATAAAAGAAAGGCGACGTGAGATTATTCAGAAAACCGGTTTTCGTTTGTCCCTGCGGTTGTCGAACTGGCTGACCGAGTCGGACATGTGCTCCGCCTGTCTGCTCGTTGTGGTTCTGAGAGGAATGAGTTCCAGTTCGAAAGACGAATGATTGAAACTAACCGCATTGAGTAATTGGCCCTGGAATCGCTCCATTGCGTTGACTGCACCTCAAACTTCTCCGGAAGTCGGCCCCTCCCTAATCGATCGTCGCCAGAATCTCGGTGATCCACCATTCTCAGATTCCCCAGCTCTACATACCTGAAACAGACATTCTCGATTCAAAGTCTCTAAGTACAAAACAAATCTTCCTACCTGTTCGCATTTCCGATGTGAGCATAGTTTGACGCATGAATTCCGAAGAACAGAAGGATTCCGAGAATGATGAGAACGCAGCCGACCCATCCGATGACGTACCAAGTGAAGGCGGTGGAGGTGAGAGCACAGAACTGCTGAACGTCTCCACCGCACATTCGGAGATTCGAGTTGGCAAATGAGGAGACTAACGGCCAGAACACGTGCAAATCGATGCAATCGCCGTCGGTGTAACCGGGAAGATCGAGACAGAGACGGTCGAAGAAGTAGTAGAAGATGCAGAGCCAAGAGACTATCGAGATGATAAACAGCCACGCGATGACCAGAAGCACATCGAAGATCATTGCAATGACGCAAGCGACTTTGCCTCCACATCTAGCTTCGTCGTCTGAAGGTACGGTCAAGTTGAAGTTATTGCAGAGAGCATTACCTTTGTACATAGTCTCCCTGGTTCCTCCAGTCGCTGTGAAGCCAATGCACAAAAAGAAGAGCGAGAAGAGGCCCATGAGCACGGCGATGACAATGAAGAACACCTGAACTTTGTCGAGCCACGGCCAGTCGTTGATCCTCAGAGACCGTCTCGTCTGCTCCGCCGTCGCATTGAACGCCCAGGACATCATAATTGCGAAGAGAACGACTCCGAGCACACAGAGCAAGGTGCCGATGAGCGAGGCGAACGGAATCCGATGGAAGCAGTCATCCTCTTCGGCGTCCGCATTCAGATGGACGACGGCGGCGTTCTGCGCACGTCGCTGCGCCGCCTGCTTCGTCGATCTTGACACTATCTTGAGAGAGGCGAGCGCGTTGTTTCAGATGGAGAAAAAAGGAAAAGTGTAGCCGAGAGAAGGAGGGAATATAATTGTAATAAGCGAGTGCAAGCAGGCACCGGGGAAACGAGAAGGTATGTATGAGTGTGTTTGTTTGTTTTGCGATCGAAATTGGAAACGGACGGGAAGCGGAGGGAATGCGGAACGGCACGGCGGGCGGCAGAGACGCAGACGCTCGCCACGGATGGTCAGTTTTGGCGGAGGAAAGAAAGGGGAGTGACTCATGTTTGCATGAGCTGGGATGCGAAAGTCGGAAGGTGCCAAAGGGAGAAGCGGTGACGTCACGGAAGAGCGAGGGAACATGTGTGATCTCGGATTTTCTTTGATATTTCCGAATGTTGTTTTGAAACTGAAACGTGGCCAATTGGTTGTTTGTCTTCCACACACTACAAACTCCCTCGTTTATTATCTATGTCTTGTGCAAAGCAGACAATCTTATCGCAAGGAAAACGAGACCGACACCACTTTTCGCAACGTTCTACTTCCCGGTAAACCGTTGCAAATGCCACGAGCCCGTTTAGAATTCGTTGTTTTCTTATTGTATTTGTCAAGAGCGGAAGCTATTATTTCGCCTCCGAATGAGATCGTCGAAGAATTAGCGGACGTTTTCAGTGAATGGAGGAACACGCGAAAAGAGTTTATGGATTCGATGAGTGAGTTCATTACGATCCTTCAAAGGTGATTTTCTTTTTTCAGAGCATCCAATGGGCCTTCCGCACTTCAACTGTTCCCTTCCTTCCCTTTCTCCGCCCGCCTCCGTCCATCAGCTCCATCCCTCTCAAATTGACGTCGTCGCCGCCCTGGGAGACTCAGTTTCCGTGGCTCAGGCGGCCGAGTCATCCTCAGTTTTCGATTTGCTCAGAATGTATCCCGGTGTCTCATTTGTGACTGGAGCTGACGTGGAATTGAAGGAACAAGCAACACTGATCAGTACGTTACAGCCGGCCCTGTTGACAATCTCTTTGCTCATTTTCAGATATGTTCCGTCAATTTTCTCCGAGAGCGAAAGGAGGATCATCGGATAAGATTCAAAAGTTCTACGACTTCAACTTTGCAGTTCCGGGGTCTTTCAGTTATGAGCTCCCGGAGCAGGCGGAAAAGTTGGCTAGAACTTTCGAGCACAGACTAGGAGAAGCGAACTTGAAATCATGGAAGTTTGTGAACGTCTTCATGGGACACAACGATTTGTGCAGGATTTGCATAAATCAATCCCTCTACGGCCCGGAGACATTTGGAAAATCTCTGCGAACTGCTCTCTCCGTTATCAAATCCAAAGTTCCAAACGTTTTCGTCAACATAATGCCTCCGATAAATGTGCAAATTCACACGCAAGATCACAATGTCAGCAAGTTTTGCGAGTTTTCTCATAAGTGAGTTTCCATTTTTCGCATGCCAGTTCATTTTATTCTCTTTCCAGGAAAACATGCCCTTGTATTTTTGAACTGGATAAGCAAGAATACTTAACCATCAAACAGAAGTTCGATGAGCAACTCAGACAAGTGGTCGGAGAGTTCACTGCCAACTCGACCGATCCTGAAACCTTCACAGTCGTCGTGGCTCCGGCAATGGATCTCCAATCGATCCCACTTCTGAATGGACGGACAAACGTCGGTCTTCTGGCTCTGGATTGCTTTCACTTGTCCCCAATCACACACGACATAGCCGCTAAACAGATCTGGAAAGGATTGTTCGAAAAAGTCGGAGAGAAGAGTGTCACTTCCCAGGTGTCAGCGGGCTTTGACAGATTTGTGTGCCCGCCGACAGAATGCCCGTATCTCCGGACTAGCGTGAACTCTGCGAACTGTGTTCCTCCGAAAGAGCTCAGACTCCTTCTGACTCCATCCGCCGACGTTTCCAGTTACAATTGGACTCTCTTTCCTTTGCTAGGATTCTTCATAGCGGGTAAGTCATTGTAAGCTTGCATCTGCTAACAAATGTCAATTTTTCACAGGAACCACTCTGATCCTTCTTTTCGTGCGTGCTTCGTTCCGCCGTCCCAGTTCTGAGTTCTGCAACGAACGACGTCGTCTGCTTCTTCCGATGCGTGCCGACCTCAACGACAACATCTTCTGAACGCTTCCTTCCTGCCGTCGTCTCAATGTACTCATGCCCATTTGATGGGGAAGTTGAATGGGAAACCTATGCTACATTCCCTTTGCCAACTACCAGTATACTCTGATGATGTCACACCTCCACCCGGGTTTCGAATCGCGTAATGTCTCTTGTTTCCCAGTTCCCTCCTCCCAGACTACTGTATCCATTATCTCACTCTCCCCTCTTTTAGCCCTCTTTTCTAGACTACATTTGTCAATGCGTAGTGCGTCTCATAACGGCAGAGAAATTAAGGAAGTTCTGTGAGTGTCTGATTGTGCGGCATGTAAACGATTCATTGAGAAGAATCGAAATTGAGAGGCCGAAACCCGATTCGGATTACGTAACCGAGTTTCTTAAGGAATCAATCAAAGTGGACAGGGGTGATAAGATGAAGATTCAAGCGTCAGATGGACATGGGAATCGGAGGAAACGGAGGAAGAAGTTCGAACCATGAAACGATCATGACGGTGGATGAGATGGGTCGTGGGAAAAGGAAGAACTTATGAAGGGACTTTTTCAGAAACAGAAACACTTTGCAATAAAGACATCCCAGATTGGCCAAAGATCTTCGAGTACGCGTACACGCACGTCCTTCTCATCCACCTGAAGACCCAATTAGTCTCTCCAGCTTCCAACGTCTTCCGTCCGTCTCTCTCCCTCTCTCTCTCTTTTTGTTTCGCACCTCATCAGAAGAGACGAAAGTCAGTCTTTTAGTCTATATCTTCAGCGGAAAAAGGAACTCGTTTTTTATTTATCTTTTGCTTTTTGCTACGTCCTTTTCGAAAAGCGATGGTGGCCAAAACAGCTGGCGTGCCCCCGGTCGATTGCGCAACGCTTCTCCTTTTCCTTCTGGAGAGACGGGTTTCGCGGTGTCGCGTCGGCGTCGTCACGTTGCGTCTAAGGGTGTCATGTCTTCTCGAGACGGTATAATTGTCACAGGCAATTGCCAATCAAAAAGGTTAGCGCCTTGAAAGTGAAATTGCAGAAGAGGTCTCACCGGAATAACCGCTTCTCCGCACCCTTCATCCGCTCACATCACAAGAGGATTCCAAGTGCGAAGGCCAAGGAGGATGCCGCCACGTCAGAAGGGGAGACGAAGGACTCAACCAGTAGACATATCTAGTGTGACCACACGAACACGTACCGCCATCGAAACGCTGTACAACACCTCGTCGTCCTAATTAACTATCGTCTTTTGCCTTCTTTGCCGCCCAAAACAAAGCGGCTTCACACCAGTCTGTCGTAGATTATACTAGAAATTACACACCGTTACAGTCGGAGCGCCGCCGACCTTTTGCAGTGTTCCCTCGACGGCGGGCGCCGCCTTCCCTCCTTCTCCCTCCGACGTCTTCGGTTTCCCCCTCGGCTTCGTCTCGCTCCGCCGGCCCCGCCCCCGTTGCCATTCGGCTTTAGTTAGCAGTGCTGGCTGCCCACTAAGATCCGGTCCTAGGCCTTACCTTTCCTTTCTCCTTCCCTTTCTGCCACTATTATGATCTACCGCTTCGTGGCCACCGTCTTGATCTTGGCGGCGAACGGTGAGTTGTCCCGTGCTCGTTTCCGAATGTACTTTGTCCTGTTTCAGCCAACTGCCAGTACTTTGAATGGCCGCAGCAACAGGCTCCACAGTACAATTATAATGGCTTCCAACAGTTCCAACAGCAGCCATTCCAACAGCAAGCTTATCAGCAATTTGCTCCTCAGCAACCACAGCAGCAGCAGTTCCAGCCACAGTACCAGCCTCAGCAGCAATTTTATCAACCACAGCAACAACAATACCAGCAGCAGCCACCACAAGTGCAGTATCAGCCACCACAACAGCAGCAATCTCCACCTCCACCTCCACCAATCTATTCTCAAACCGTTATTATTCCACAAGCACCACCGCCTCCACCAGAGGCCTACCAGACACAGCAGTACGCACCATCTCAGCAGAGTCCGGTGATGGTCCAGCCGGCCGACATCCCGCGCTACCACCAGAAGCCGCCGCCAGTTCCAGATGTTGCCTTCCAGCACGTGGACAGAGCCAGAAGTGTGCAGCAGGTCGACTTTGAGAACAAACTGTTCCGTGAGCAGCCGAACGCTTTCACCCAGAATCAAGAGAAGGTGAGTCCAATCGGCGCCGTCTCTCCTTTCCCCGTCCCATTCTGAGTTTCTCGCACTGTTCCGTTGGTGGAAACTCAATCGTCCACACCTTTGTTCTCCTCCTGTTTTGACTGATTTGACTCGCCACGTTGCAGATCACTCTGCTCGCGCAGCCACCTCCACCTCCGGCACCTCCAGCACAGACTCAGGCACCTCTCGTACGTGCCGTCCTTTCCTTTCTCCTCCTTTATTCTCACTCACTCGTGTCTCCGTCCACTCTCATCCGTTTCAGATTCGTGTCCCTCCACCGCCGTCCCGCTTCGTTCCTTCCCTCAAATCGCTCTACAACGTCGACGCTCCCCAGCAGAAGGTCTCGATAACCGTTTCTTCCGTTCCGTCGTAACAATCGTTAACATTCTCCAGAATCCGTCGTACAGACCTGACGAGATTATTGTCGACGGCCATCGTTCCGCCTATTTTGAGGATACCCAGAGAACTCGCCCGCAGGTATCCTTCTTCTTTTCCCGTCCTTTTCTCGTCCTTGTTCTCTGTTCAAATCCTCCTCTAATCTATTCAGTTCATTCCCACTTTCAGAGCTCCAAAGTCCGTGTTCAGGGCGGAAATGTGCACTCGAGCTCGGCCGCGGTGCCCCGTCCGTCTCAGCAGATCGGACAGGTCGCTGCCGTTGTCGCCGCTCCACAACAGCAATCTTTCGTGAAGCCAGGAGAGCAACCGCAGCAACCACGTATCATCCGTCCTCAGGCTCCTCAACAGCAGTTGATTCGTCCTGCTCTGGTCCGTCAGCAGATTCGTCGTCCGGTTCAACAGCCACAACAAGGTAGGATCTGAGGTTTCTGGCTCCGCTCATTCCCTTCCTTTCCAGTCACCCGCCCGGCTTCATCTCGTCCAGTTGCTCAGCCAAAGAGCCATTTGGTTGCTCCAGTCGCCGCTCCAGCATCCGCCACTCCAAAACCAAGAGTGATTACCATTCCGAGTGCTTCTTTTCCATGCGAATTATGTTTAGAATGCCAGTGAAAAGTTCCTCAACTGTTGCAAAGGACGCAAAGTGAACAAGTCGTGCGAGCGCATCTGCAGTTTCGACGTCCTCTCCAAGAAGACCGTTTGTCCACGTTCGGTCCTTTTCCGTTATTTGCCTCCGTTTTCAGTTGACCGGAATGTTCCTGGGAACAGATCCGTGCCCGCAGCACCACGGTCTCGATCTGATGCAGTGCGCGGCGGACAGCGATGATCACACCGAGTGCTGCATCGAAAAAGAGGTCGACAGAACTTCCGCGGGCAAGAAATGCCTCGGATTCTGTAACATGAAGCCGGGAATCACCTTCCAGGTATATCGTTCCAGTGATCAGCTTCATCTCTGAATGAAACCTTTTAGGCTGATGTTTCGATGCTTCCGTGCTGGTCAGTTCTCAACGACATCAAGCAGTGCTTCAAGGAAAATCTTGAACGTCAGCTCGCCGCCTTCTAAAAGATGCTCCGAATTCTCTGAAACGGGCCCGTCGCCGCTTCCTTCCGATTGCCAACCCAACCTGAATCTAGTCCTTGTCCCTTCTAAATTATTATCCAACTTTCCCCACTTTACCGTCCAGCCTTTTTTTGTTGAACCGGTGTTGTATTATACCTAGCGCTCACAATACAATAATGAAATTAGAACGAAATAATGAAGTTGATTCATGATAATTTTACTAAACTATTTTTGGAACAAAAAAATAACAAATTGATGGGTGGGATACTAAAACTACACTGAAACAAAAGAGAAAAGAACAACGCTACATTAAGAGAAGAACAGCAGGTTTCCAGTGGTTACTCATCAAAACGGTCAGATCAGGTTGAGGAATGACTTATTTAGCGTTTCTTGTCGCAGACGTTCAGGTAGTCGGTGTCGGCAATGTTCAACATGAGACCGCCAGCAGGTAGGAAGGTCTTGTTTCCGGACTCAGAAACAACCCGGGCGATCTTCTGGGCGGCGCGGATCTTTCTCAGCTTCAGGAATCCTGGGTCGTTCTTCATGGCTTCTCCGAGAAGCTTAGCGGACTCGGCTTCTCCTTCTGCTTGCACAATCTTCTCCTGCTTCTGCTGCTTTGCACGCTCGACGTAGAACGATGCTCTTTGAGCCTCCTGAGCAGCAACCTGCTTGGCTTCGACGGCGGCAGAGTATTGTGGAGAGAAAGCCAGTTCGGTGAGAGAAACATCATCGAGGATAATGTTGAAATCGAGGGCACGCTCGATGAGGGTCTTGCGCACCAGCATGGAAACCTAGAGGAAATATGAAGCTAAACGTTTTCTGTCACTAATATTCAGAGATGAGATCTCTGCTAATACTCTACCTGTTGACGTTGAGTGATCAGTTGAGAAGCATTGAACTTGGCAACCACTCCCTTCAAAACTTCATTGCAGATCGATGGGAGCACGCGCTCTTCCCAGTTCTGTCCGAGAGTGCGGTAGATGTTAACAAGATGCTCCGGGTTTGGTCGGGAGAGAACACGGAGTCCGATGTTGACCATTTGCAAATCTTTGGATCCAGTTGGAGAACGGATCTATAAGGCACAGCGTTTACGAATCCCGAAAAAAAAAGAAAAGAAAAAAAAAGAAAAAACCTGGTTTGGTCTGGCGCGGATATCGTAAACGATCGGGTACTGGAACCACGGGACACGGAAGTGAAGTCCTTCTCTGTAAAGATCGGTCGATAGTCCTCCGATTCTATTGAACATGATGGCGCGGTGTCCAGCCTCCACTGAAAATGAGTAGCGTTCATTTGATATTATTCAAAATCTTACCAGTGAACATGGATTGCGAGATACCGTAAACAGCAGCTCCGGCAGCAGCCACCAATCCGAGTCCGACTCCGGCTCCTCGAGCATTCTGAAGAGCTTTCTTCATTGCTTCTTGCCCTTGTTTCGCCATTTTGCTGCAATCAAAAGATTATATGGAAAACAATGATGCAACACATGTTACGAAAAAATAATGTATAGAGCTTGGAATTACTGGATTTCGTATTGCAACCAATAAAATATAACTAATTTGTAACTAATTTCTGCAAAATATTGTTACTGAATTAATTTTACAGAAGTTTCCGAACGATAACTTATGCTTTTGATTTCTGTTCTTCCACGAATAAAACACAGAAACGCAAATCTAATAAAATAAAACATGCTTTAAACAATTTTGTTAATGGAATTTTCATAAAAATTTACAGGTGTTTTGTTGAAGAACATCAAAAACAGGCAAAATTAAATGCAGAAAATACGCTTTAAAGCGTGCGTTGCGAGACCCGCCGACAAAAAAACGACATGCGCCTTTAAACACAGAACGAAAGAGAGGGAAAGTGCGAGAGACGCAGAAAACGTAAACCGGCGGTACTTCGTTTCGAAGTGGGTTTGAACTCTGAAATACTTGACAGAGCGAATATTTAAAGAAATGTATTGGAAGATTAAAAACGAAAAAAGACGACCAAGGGAACAATCACCGCATTATCACATTTTGACTCCAAATAAATAAATTTTAACAGGTTGGCAAATGAAAAGAAAACAAGTAAAACCGAAAAAGATCCCGTTGAAAGCGAATGCTCAAAAAATGCATCAAATTAAAGCTCAGTCTTCGGCTCGGCCTCGCTCTCCGCCGTCTTCGTCGCCTCCTCGACAGTCTCGTTCGCCTTCTTCTTGTGCTGCTGCTTCTGCTTCTTCTCTTCTGCCTGTTTTTTTTTCTCGCCTTCTGCGGCGATGTCATCAATGTTGATCTTTCCGTCTTTAGCCAGATCGTCCAGCGTTGTGATCCTCTTCATTTTCTTCATGAACCGATCCACCTCGCGGTTCAAGTTTTTGATCTGGAACGTCGGATTGAAAAATGTTACTGTGACGGAGTTGTACCTTGCTTTCGACATCTTTTGCAGTAATGTTGAAATCGTCGGTTTTCTTTTTCGTATCCAGATGCGTTCTTCCATCTGTAACCCACGTTTTAAGCTTGTCCAGCTTCGTTTTTAGAGCTTCACGGTCTTCCTGAAACACAAAATATCTACAAGATCCCTCGGAAACAGAAGTTTTACCTTCTTGAAAAGAGCCTTTTCCTCATTAGCATTGTCTCCCATCTTGGCAAGAGTGTATGTGGTATTGAGAAGAGTTTCCAGCTCCTTCATCTTCTCGGGCACTGCCGTCTGAAGTTCACGTCTCTTTTTAACACTTCTGACGATATTCTTGAGTCCAAGCAAATTATCGGTGAACTCTATCGTCGGAGTGTCTTTCGTGACGTCATCTTCCAGCCAGGTACGGATTCTCTTCACGTCCTCCTCCAGTTTCGTCTTCTCCTCCTCAGTCAAAAACTCGGTGAAGTCGGTCTCTTCCAAATACTGCGAGCACTCGAAATTGAACGACTCCAGCTCATTCTCAGCTGCTGCTCGGGCTGCCGCAAGTCTTTCCTTCTCCGCGAACGCCTCCAGTCGCCGTTTCTCCTCCTGCACATCGTACTTGTTGGGAACATAGGCGGATGGGTACTTGTTGATGATACGAAGACGGACAATGAATGGCAATTCGCTGTTCTTTTCTTCCGTTTCCGTTTTATTGCCGGCAGTGGCAGTTTCTTCCGTTCCGTTCACCTTGACAGTTTCTTCAGAAGTAGCATTGACAGGTGCTTCTGGAGCCGGCTCTTCCGGTTTCTGAACATCTCTCTCCTCGACTTTCTCTTCCTTCTCTTTGTCCTCGTTCGACGTCGTTCCAGTCGCCTCATCAGTTGTCGGCTCTCCTTCCTCGGTCTTTGAAGAGAACAATCCGCTGATAGTGCTGGCGATTGCTGGAAAGACAACATAAAGACAACACAAAATTGGGATATTCTTACTTCCGACGATTCCAGACTTGGTCTCGAACAGAGCTTCTGCTCTTCTGACTCTCACGATTCCCGAAGCATCAATGAGGAAGGAGACCTTGACTCCCTTGAACACGGACTCTTCGCTTGATCTGTTCTGCCGAGCTTCGGTCAATCCGCTGATTTCCACATCAATGAGGTTATCCAGAAGAGTTCCGATTTCCTGGATCTGCTTCTTCGTGAGGTTCTCAATAGAGCCATATTTCAGCGCAATAGAGAAATCGTTGGAATACGATGTCAATGAGATCGTCTTCGGAGAAGTTGGATAGATAGAATTGGCGGCGAAAAGAGTTTTCACAACGTTCTTCTCTCCGGTAATCTCCTGCGTCTTCTCATCTTTCACTTTGCTTACAAAGTGCACTTCCACCGGGAACAGCACCTTCTCCTCAACGTTGAACGGCTTAACCTTGAATCCTTTGCTGAGATGAGCAGCTTGGAAGAGAGCACCCATTGCGACGGCCTCGTCGGTGTTCAGGAATTTTCCGATTTCTTTCCTGAAAACGCAAAAATTGTTCAGCGACCTACTATCAAACTCCGGTCAAAGGACCCGGTGTTAGCGAAAACGCCAATCTTGTTCATATTGCGTCTCAAACAGTCGAACAGACCACGGCAACGAGTTGCTAATTTGCTCGGGTTGGAGAGACGCAGTGAGTGGGCAACGAACCCTGCGGCATGCAATCTAGAGACACGCGCAACCGCATACACCACTGGGGTCGAGAGAACTGACGCAGAAAGTGGTTTAGACATTGCTGCGCATGCGGCTGCCCCTCTGACTCACGTTCCGATCGTTTTTTGAATGATTTCCTGCACCTTCGGCACTCTTGTTCCAGCTCCCATCAGCACGAATTGATCGACGTCTTCAATGGGAATCTGAGCCATTCTCAGAGCTTGCTCGATTGGCTCTCCGAAGCGGGGCTCCAAATCGGCGATGAGTCGGTTGAAATCATCACGAGTCACTTTCAACTTGGCGTCGATATCCTCATGGGCACTCTCGATTTGAGCAAAGTGTTCCGCGTTCGCAGAAAGCACCTGCTTCAGTCGCTCGGCTTCCTTCGAGAACTTGGCCATTGCCCGTCTGTTCGTATTCACCTTTGTCTTTGGTTTGTACGCTTCCTCAAACAACTCGACGATATGATCTCTCAGTCGGTTCGTCATCTCGATTCCTCCGAGGGTTCTATCGTATCCGACTCCGAGGACCGTCATCTTCGGCTGCTTCTCGTATTTCTCCTTGGCCAGCTTGAACTCGACGACAGTGGCCGTTGTCTTGGCAGCTCCCATGTCGTAAATCATCAATCTTTGCGGCTTCTCGGTAATTTCCTTTCTTCTGAAGATTCCGTGGCTCAAAGCGGCTGCCGTTCCGTCGTTCATCAGCTGGAGAACAGTGAAACCAGCCATCTGTGCGGCGCGTTCAACGGCCAATCGTTCGGCGGGAGTGAAGTAAACGGGCACTGTGATTACGACGTCCTTGATTTCAGAGGCTTGTGCGTATTCTTCGGTGAACTTCTTTGCGTTAGCGAGGATCATCGCAGTGAGGGCTTCGACGGTGTAACTCTCGCCTCTGAAACATTTCATTTTACTTGACCCGTAAAGAATCTGAAAAAGTAATGACCCCAATTTGAAGCTGACAGAAGATGCATTTTTTGGAGACTCGTCGATCTCGTAGAAGGTGTTTCTCTTCTTGAACAGCTCAAAAGACGGGTGTTCGGTGGATTTTGCGACGAGATCATTGAGTTGTCCGTGCACAAGATGTGGGTAACGGATCTGCAGACCAATTGCGGCGTCGGCGAACGTCCTGTGTCCGTCGTGGATCATCATCACATTTGGCGTCTTCCTTCTCGACTCCGTATTGAGCGCAATGTCCATTGGAATTCCTGGTTTCACAATTCCGATTTTGAGAAATTGGGTTCCGAGATCGATCGTCATCGCGGCCAGTTGCGCTTCTGAAAACCCCCGATTCTCTCTGATTTTTAGATCTTGCTCTACCTGACGCGATGAAAAGTGTGCCGAGAAGGAACAAAGCCGGCGCATTGATCAGGCGTAACCGCATTTTTCGCTGAAATTCGAAAAGATTTGCAAATAAAAAACCACGTAAATTAAGAGATATTCAGACAACGAAAGAAACGTTTCCAGTAACAGTTAAGAAAATACCCGAGAATCAGATCTTTATGCACAAGAAGAAAAGGGAGAGCGCGATGACTGGTTGTTTAACTGGGACTGGCAAGATTACACGAAATGCCACGTGGTGCGGCACAGTACCGCAACCACGGAAAAATTCGAAAAACGTGAGAAGAATTTAACACAAATTGAGCAAAATATCGTAAAAAGTAGAGGCTATGATGGAGAATCGAGATTTTCATTCTTCCATTTTGCTTTGCTCCTCCTTCAACTCGTTCAACTTCGCCATCAGTTGCTGTCCGAACTTCTCGCTGAAAATTCAATTTATGCAGACAAAAGAAGGACGAATGTACCGATAAAGCGGAGAGATTTCAGTGAGAAGAGAATGAAGAGATTCGAAGTACTTGGTGTGGATTTCCAGTTGACGGAAGTCGCCGTTCATGCAGTCGTTGCGATGAGAGGCCACACGCCAGCCTTTTTCTGGAAGATGTCGACTACTTTTTCAGAAAAAGACAGGCGCTCATTACGAGTGAGCTCAATGCAATGCGTGTGGTTCTCGAGAGTGGCCACATTGATGAAGACGAGCTGCGAAGTACGTGGCAGCATCTCGCTGACTCCGATCGCGGAGACTGCAAACGCATGCTCCTGGACGGCGGCCAGCGCTTCCTCCTCGAGCGAAGATCTCTCGATGTCGCATTCACAAGATCTGAAATCAATCGTTTTGATAATTTTTTAAAAGATTTTTTCGAATTTCTCACCCGCAGAGAGCAGATTTCTTGACAGTGACGGGGGTTGTCGGCGGAGTCGTCGTCTCGCTCAATGGCGCATCCTCCTCGGTTTGTTGGGTCATTTTTCTTGCTGAACTGAATTACTTTTGTAAGATAAATTAAATGCCGTAGGGAGATATTAAAACTGTTTCGTAACAGTGCGAATTTCTAGAAAGAACACTGAAAAGCACAATTTTGTTTTTTGATGAGTTGAGGAATGTGCCAATAATAAAAGTTGGAGAACTTTCGAACAATCGGTAATCATAGAACAAGAATAAGTTAGAAGATATGTTCACTGCCGTTCCAGCACGTTGTAAGCTCGTTCCAGCTTTTCCATGTTTGCTTTCAACTGAAAGAGATAGAAGAATGAAACGCTTTGACAGTGTTTTTAAATACCGTAATCAATGTTTGGGCCATGTCGTCTACTTTGTCGAATAGAGAATCCATATTCGAAATGTTATCATCAATTATCTTGAAATGTGTACTTTTTTATGAAGTTGCATTTTTTCGAACCCGTAGCCGCTCATTGACCCCCTCAGAAGATGTTTCCGTGAGAACTTGCATAGTGCGGAGTTCCTCTAGCACAATGACGGCTTTGTCCAAGACGGACTTCATCGGATCGTCAGCGGGTGTTATCTAGACCAATTAGAAAACATGAAATAACTTTGTGAAACGATTACCGTCGTCCCTGCGATCGCTTCAATCAAACTGCTCACATTTGCAGAAATTTCTTCTGCTCCGCGCATAGCTGTTTCTTCCTTAAATCAATTCGCTATGAAATGAAAAGAGAGAGAGAGGAGAAGCACACGTTGTTTAGCGACGGAAGTGTTAGGTGACGTGGACAAGCTCAGCAGCTAACATATTAACAAAGACGCTTCAGAGAACGACAAACAAGTTGAAAAAGAGACTATTAAGTTGCTTGAAGTATGCCCGACGACAAAGCGTGCACGAAAAAGCTGCAAGCGCGCGCAAAACAGTCCATAAACAAAAATCCGCTTCAAGAAAACGCTGTGCAAACGCGCTCTAGTGCACAAGTCTACGCGCGGTAATTCGAAGAATACACTAGCTTTGGCGCTTGAAAACGAAATTAATCGTAAAAACACTGCACTGAACACTTTAAATGACAACTCGCTAAAAAACTAAAAAAAAACATAATAATTTATTCTTTGAAAAACAACAGGAAGCCAGCAGGAACCGAAGAAAGAAAAACATTCGAATCTGAAAACAACGAATTTAATTTCGTGCTGCAAACTAGATTTAATTCCCAAACGGATTTTCGAACTGGAAAATATTCTTTGACGGTATCTAGAACGCTGTTTCTGACTGAATTGAAGAAAGAATGCAGAGACGGAAAGAACCAGAGATACAAACTTTCCATGGGAACTTTGTGTGTATAGTCTGAATAGGAAAGAGATTGGCATTGCGAATACAAATATTTGAGAGTGAATCATTGCGTGTTTCCACTTGTTCTCACTGATATCATCCGAAGGTCCCAGTCTCTTTCCGTGTAAACTGCGGCAACTTTTTGAGCATTGTCTCGCACTTCCGACACGCTTTTATCGATCTGTGCCCATATCAGTAGTATAGTGGGAGGGAGGGCGTGACTCACACTTTTGCACGCTTTAAACACTCATTCGTTTGTGTTGTTCCGGACTGAACAGGAATGAGAATATGACGACGCCCCGTCCGACTCATTTGCATCGGAGGTCCTCTTCCAAGTGGGTGCCGCCCTCCGCCCCTCTCCACAATCCGATTTCTATATTCCGAGGCCGCAATAACAGAGAAACTGGGTGAGTTATTCATAATTTCAATTCAAAAGTCATTCTGTTCTTTTCTAGATCTCGAGTCATCCGCCCCAATCACTTGTTCGAGTCCCCTCGCTATGAACTGAATAACTATCGAGACTTTACTGACAATCAGATATCTACCACTAAGTACAGTATCTGGAACTTTGTTCCTCTCAACATCTGGCATCAGATCTCGACCAAATACGCTAACCTTTATTTCATATTCATTGCCGTTCTCAATTGGGTCCCATTTTTCGATGCATACACCCGATACGTCGGACTTATTCCAATCACTTTCGTCCTCGGAACAACGCTGATTAAAGACGGGGTTGAGGACTATCGAAGATGGAAGTTTGACAATCAGATCAACACGAAGACGTGCCATGTGTGGGACCGGGACAGATGTTCATTCAGGAAGACTGAATGGAGGTACATTCTTGTCGGAGACTTTGTTCACATTTCGAACGATCAAGACGTTCCAGCGGATATCATTTTGATACGGTCAGTTGATTTTACTTCATGAACAATGTTTCAATTATTCAGTTCCTCGAACGAAAGTGGCACTTGCTACATCGAAACGTGTAATCTGGACGGAGAAACGTCGCTGAAACAGAGAATGGTTCCTGGCAAAGTGGTCGAGTATTCGCATGTAAGAAGTTCTTCGAATGCGCTCTTAGAAGAGATTATTCAGAAGGATTCCACATTCAAACCATCCGATTTCACCGGAGTTGTGACCTGTGAGAAGCCCGACAAGAGCATCTACACAATCAGAGCCAAAGTGGAGTACGAACCGGGGAACACCGATGTGATTATCAAAGAGAACATGCTGCTCCGCGGCTCTCGCATCAAAAACACAACGTTTGTCGAGGGAATTGTGGTTTATGCGGGACATGACACCAAAGTGATGCTGAACAACGGACGGGCGCCGCACAAAACGTCGGGCATCGAGAAGCTGACCAACAAGTGAGACGGAGAGAAAGAGAGCGACGCTGAAAATGTGATTTCAGATTCATCATTGCTTGTTTCCTGATGCTTTTGGTTATGGTTGTGTACGGAGCGGTCGCTTCGGCAGTTTGGGTTGGAGATCATCCAGTTGACAAACAGGTTTATTAGGGCACAGATACACGCATTTTAGTTTTCCGTATTGACGGATGTATCCACGTTCAAACTCTCAAGAGCATCCGTGCATTTCTCGAGCTGCTCGACTACGGCGACGGCAATCTGAAAACAGTTTTTGATTGGCGATAGAGCTCAGTAGAAACTCACATCCTTCCGCCGTTGTTTTTCACGTTTCTGCGCCTGTTTTATCAACCGTCTTTCTCGAGAAAAATCGCTGACTTTGGCCGTTGGCACGAACTTCTTCCGCTTTTTCTTCACTTTCTGTGCCTTTTGATGGCAGATGGCTTCTCGATTTTCCTTTTTGATCCTTGGATTTGTGTGAATCTTTACTTCCCTTGGTTTCCGAGGCATTTCCAAAGGACAAAAAAGGCTCACGGGGCTTCTGTTCCTGTCACTTTCGATAGAGCGCATTTGCATCAAGGGGACAGTGGGAGAGGAAGAGACGCAGACACTCTTGCAGATACCGTTCATCACATCGAACGCTCCACAGCCATTCATCGAAGGATTCATTGGCATCGGCGCCTTCTTCATCAACTACCAACTTCTGGTCCCCATCTCTCTTTATATCACCGTCGAGATCATCAAGGCTCTTCAGATATACTTCATCAGTAATGATATTCAACTTTACGATGAGAAATCGGTAGGACACCTTCAATGAAGCACAAAACACAAAATTCTTAACTTTCAGGACAGAGCAATCGACTGTCGTTCGCTGAGTATCCCGGAAGAACTGGGCACAGTAACCCACGTGCTCTCCGATAAAACGGGAACGTTGACGGAGAATATGATGATCTTCCGGAATTGTGCATTTGACGAAACGGATTACGGTACAGAGGAATCCAAATCGAACCCGGACAAACCCGTCCGATCGGATGCTCTTTACTCGAGGATCATGAACTCGATGCACAATCCCATTCAGAAGCACTTCTTCGCCAATATTCTACTCAATAACTCTGTTGTTGTCAACCGTATTCCTCATACAGATGCGTTGGACTTAGGATCGTTTGAGGGAGGGTCTTATAATATTGGAAACTCGAGTTTCTATGATGTGACGGAAGAGAAGTACAAAGAAATGTTGGAGGCGATCGGGAAGGAACCAGCCGACGACGACTTTAGAAGGCCTAGCGAGTAAGCGTTGAGAAAGGCGCTCTAAACTTCCGATGTGGATTCGATGAGCATTTGTGCGGTTGCATCGAATCCACATCGGAAGTTTAGAGCGTCTTGATAGGTTGCACATTGAAATTCACCCACCATCCCTTTGGTGGGCGTTCCCGCCTGCGCAACAGACGTGTAGGTGAAGCCGAATTGAGCACTCTGATCAGTTTTCTTCCATCGTTTGATGAATCCCTGCCTGGGTCACCATGTACAAACAGGTGCGGGCTATGGTGTAACGATTTATTCGGAAAGAATCGTAGAAGTCGAAGAATGTAGAAAGTAGAAGAAAGAATAGAAGAGAATATCCTGAGAAGAGCGATTCCGGGGTATTTAACGGAGTTCCGCTAATCGAATCACCGTGAATGTGCCTGGGAACGGTGAGGAATGGGGATGGTTATTATTATCGTGAGAGTCGATGGGAATGCTCTGTTCTGTGGTCATTGATCATCTCCTCCGTCGTCGATATCGCGATCTGCGACAGGTCAAGTCATAGTTTTAACAGTACCTGTTTCAGTTTGGGACTCACGACGACAATTCAGTTTGATGACCGTCTCACAGTCATTGCTGAAGAGGACACACCGTCTGATTCCCCTCTTCCATCCGAAATGACACCGCAAGAGTCTCCAGAAACGGCCACTACCAACTCGATGTCCCCAATCTACCGACCACTTTCATCGCTTTCCTCTTTCTCCAGAAAAGTCTCAACAGTTGTGAGAAGGAGTATTTTGAGGCCGATCTCTGACTTGTGAGCCGTCTCGCAATATTTATTCATTCCTATTTCTCATTTTCAGCATCCCGGTGAGGAAACGTTTGATCTCGTTCAAACAACAGGATCTGAACCCGTACGAGGCGGAGAGTCCGGACGAGCTCGCACTTATCGAAGGAGCCACCCTTTATGATTATGTACTTCTGGAAAGAGCCGCCACGAGCATTACCATTTCGACGCCCGAGAAAGCGGAGAAACGGTACGAACTGTTGCTAACTCTTCCGTTTGATGCCACGAGAAAACGGATGTCCGTGGTTGTGAACTCTCCAAAAGGGCCTCTTTTGTATTGTAAAGGCGCCGATTCTGCAATTATGCCGAGGTGAGAAATGGATGGAACGCATGGAAAAGCAGTGGACCTTTTTAATTACAGGTTAACTGCGGAGAATAAGTCCGAAGGAAGAGTTCGGGCAATTGAGGAACATTTGGATGGGTACGCAAAGAGAGGTCTGAGGACGCTCTGCTTTGCAATGAAGTATATTCCGCAGGAGGAGTTCGACGACTTTCTGCACTCTTACAAATTCGTAAGAAGACATTCTTCACTTCTTTTTCTATCTTTTCTTTCAGTTGATGGAAGACGCGTCAAGTGAGCGAGAGAAAATGTTATCCGAAAAGGCGGACGAGCTGGAGAAAGGACTGGCATTGTGTGGAGTGACCGGGATAGAGGACAAACTGCAGGACGGAGTGGCCGACACTTTGTGCTCTCTGAGAAGTGCGGGCATCCAGGTGTGGGTGCTGACGGGCGACAAACTGGAGACTGCACAGAATATTGCGACTTCGAGTGGACTGTTCCATCCGCACAGACCTCTGAAAGTGATCGAGTCGGAAGCAGATGCAGAGGAGGCCAGTGAATCAACAGGACTCAACATCATCATGTCCCCCGCCGCGATCCGATTGGCTCAAGAAGGGAATGTGCATTTGATGGAAACACTCAAAAAGTAGACACTTCTGAAATTTCCTTTCAATTATTTCAGTTTTCAGAGCAAAAACAGTGTTGTGCTACCGAATGACTCCTGCCGAAAAAGCGACAATAGTGAATACGGTCAAGAAACGAATAAAAGGGAATGTGCTGGCGATCGGAGACGGTGCGAACGACGTTCCGATGATTCAGGCGGCGCACGTTGGAATCGGAATTGCTGGAAAAGAAGGATTGCAGGCGGCGATGGCATGTGACTTCGCCATTGCTAGGTTCAGGTTCTTGTCGAGATTACTTCTGGTACACGGCCACTGGAGCTACTACCGTCTTTCCAACACATTCCTCTACTTTCTTTACAAAAACGCTGTGAGATAACAGCGCTCCTTTATGCCTTAAGAGTTGTTATTCCAGAACGCCGTCTTCATAGTCTTCTACTATCAATTCTTCAACGGCGCTTCCGGATTGAACCTCATCGATCCTCTTTACGGCGTCGCCTATCCGATCATTTTCACGAGTGTTCAGCCGGTCATTGTGGGCGTTCTAGACCAAGACGAAAAGGACGAAACGCTGATGAATCATCCGGAAAGATACGTTCTGGGAAGGGAGAATCAGATGTACACGTGGAAGCACTTCTTCCGAGATGTCATTGATGGAATATACCAGGCCGCCGTTATCTATTACATTCCACATCTGGTAGGCAGACTCCCTTTAGTCAATTTCTAATCTCATTTCCTCAGACTCTCCTCGATTCTAACATCAGTGTGTGGGAAGTTGGATTCTACGTTGCAATCGGTTCGGTCCTCGTCAATTCTGCTCATTTAGCCCTTCAAGTTCGATACTGGCACTGGCCTCTCGCTTCCTCTTTCTTCTTCTTCATCTTTCTCACTTTTGCCTATTTCTTCGGCGTATACACGTCAGGAGGACTCAGTATGGTTCCGGATACGCCCGTCCGGATGCCAGTGCACGCAGTTTCTGACGGCCGATTCTGGTTCTCCAGTATAATCACAGTGATCGTGGCGCTTTGTCCAAGGTGGGCACTCCATCATTCCCTATCCTTCCTACCCCTTTCAGATTTACTTCCCAATGCCTACTCGCTTCAGTCAACACGGGTCCTACTCCGGCTCAATGAAAGAAACGACCGCTTATTTCTGAACAGTTTCTGTAAATACTTAGAAAGTCACTTTGCAACCGATCGATCTGATACAAACGAGTAAAACCAATTCTTCTTCGCTCTCTTTCACCAATAAATAAATCAAACAAACTCTGGTGTCTACTCAAAGATTTCACAGTTCGATGGCGTTTGTGAGTTGGTTGCAAGCAGCATAACCAGATTTCGATGAAAAGTTGCAGTTCTTATACTTCAAATACAGACTCACTATGTACACAACCGTACTTTTCCCGCCGCTCCACTCTCTCTGCTCGTCTGCATCTCGACGTCCCCAGTTCTCTCTTCGCTCGCGTCCTCGTCAGCTGATTTCCTCTCTTCCCTTGCACACAAGTTCGTTCTTCCGCACGTGTGCCGCATCTCTTCCCGTGCCGATTTCCTCCGCTTTCCACTTTCTTGTTATTATTTTTACGAAATTCCCTGGCCGCATGGAAGAGGCGGTGAGAAAGAGTCAATTTGAACATAACATCAGCCGATTTCGTAAACATGCGTGTTTGTCCCGCGGCCTCTTTCTGTCGTCTCGCTCTTTTTTTTGGTTTCCAGTTTTGTACTGCGACCGGCCCCAATATTTTTCTCTTTCCACCGACTTCGGTCGCTCGGCCTTCGGCCATTTTTAATAGTCTGAGGCTTCTCGACGTTTCCTTTCGAAACGCGTTGCGAAATGCATTTGTCTATAGACAAATGGTACTATAGTACTAGTTCGAATTCGTTTCGAATCAATCAAAACGGTCTGCTGTTTCGCACATGATCATCGCGCACTTCTTATCTGACCTCTCTTTTCATTCGCTCCCACACATTTGAAATATGACCTCTAGAGGAAGACCTTTCGTGCGCCGATGAAAAAGTATTTTTTGAAGCGAAGCCCGTCTGTTTCTCTCCCCCAAAAACTGTCCAGCTGTCCTTGGTCGCATTGACTTCTCTTTTCGCTCTTTTCATTTGCTTTGTTCACACACCGCTTGTAAAAACATCGGAGAACACCACCGACAGTCGCCTGACCACTCTTTCCTCCCTCTCGCCTCTGCTTCACTTCCTTGCCGTGCTCTTTAAACTGATCTTTTCTGCAGGAAAGAACCATGTTCGAATTCTCGTTCATCGCGGTGCTCATCGCCATTGGTGTCTACGTTTATTTCTGGCTACGCAGAAACGGATTCTTCGTACCCATCGAGGTAATTCACAGGCTGCTTATCTTTTTAAATGTATGCTTTCTTATTTCAGCCGACCGTGACCACTTCACCTAAGAACCTTGACAAGCCTCTCACTGTGTACTACAAGTATCATCTGGGACCGTACCAGAACGTGCTTGAAGTGATCGATGAAGCTAAGAAGGTTCTGGCGACCAGTTCCACTGCTGCCACGTACTTTGGAATCTACTACGACAACCCGGAGACCACAGATCAACACTTCCTTCAATCGGCCGTTGGAGTCGTTTTTGGGGCCGATGGAAAGGATCTTCATGATGAGAAATTTGCGAAGGACCTGACCGATAACGGCTTCGAAAAGTTGGTTCTGCCAAAGGTGGAGAGAGCCGTTCAGGCTGTTCAACCATCGACTGGAGGATTCTTCTCTTTCATGGCTCTCCTCTGGTTCACCTATTCGACCATCAGACAATACATCTCGGATAACAAACTGGAGACCAAATACGCGGTCGAATTCTACACCAACAGCGATATTCATGTCATCTTCCCGTTGGACAATGCCGATGAGTTCCTCGTGAAGGACGTACGTGGCTTTTTAATTCTTCGCAGGCTTATAGTATTATTTGCAGTACCAAACCGTCGAGCAACTCGAGAGCAACGCCGCCAAAAAGAGATTCGACTCTTCGGAAGACGAAAGCGAGAGCGAACCAGACAATGATGCGGAGCCAGAGCAGCAGGAGAAAGAAGAGTAGAGTGCGGAAGGGAACACGTGCCGACCATATCCACAAACTGCCTTTCTTTTCTCCGATTATGTGTACGATACCATCCCCGTTTGCAAACATTTTGACGATAAATTTGATTCTCGCTGAGCTTTGTGACGCGGCACGCTTGGCTCTCCCTTTTCGAGTGCGACCTCCGCTGATAGCCACTTGAGCTCGCTCTTATCACCTCGCCGCCCCCGGTCCCATCCTTCCAATGTTTCCATTTTGCCCGATTCCACCCGACTCTCGTCGACATCTGTTTTGATGAAAAGTTCAAAGTTGAGTGAGTGATGATGAGTAAGCCGATTTGCATAGTAATAAGCGGACCGCCCGCCTTGGTTTTTGATGTCTAGGGATTTCATCTTTTCGTGGTCCTTCGGCTCGCTGAGCCGCTGATGATAATTATTGGACTCATCGGGGGGAGACGACGTGCCGGGCGCATCCTGGCGCGTCTCCTTCAGTTTTTCGAGTAAATAGGAATTGAGAAGAGCTCATAAACCGGCGGTTCATTCGTTTCGAGCTTGGTTTACTTATCCTCGCGAGCTCGTGCAAGAATAGGAGCTGGACTACGGTAGACGGGCAGACATCAGCAGATTGCCCGTAGCACTTTTAGACTCAATTGAGCCAGACGTCTTTTTACGAAACGACCTTTATGGATAGACGTAATCCCTCATTCTCATCCTCGTCCTAAATTTCCATATTCATCCGAATCCCGACGATTCCTCCGGCCGAAGCTCCCGTCCGACCGGAAATTGACGGTTTCCGCCCTCCTAAAGTTCATGGCATTCTTCCCGTCGGCCCAATAATAATTGTCCTCTGGTCGGTCGCCGAAAAAAAAGTTGACGGGCCCGTGTGGAAATGTATGCGGGAACGGGCGGCACGAACCAGCCGACTCGAGCTCCTCGGAGCTCTTTTCTGTCTTATTTTGAAAAATCACTTTCGCTTGGATTTATTAGATAGAGATGAATTGAAGACGTTTTGCTGCATGTAGGCGAGGAAGAGAAAGAGAGGCGGAGCGAGATTGCTCTCTCTCTCTCTCTCTGCAAAATTGGATTAGATTCGCTCACGATTGTGGTAGAAGACATCACTTTTCGATGGACACAAAACGGGAGTCATGTGGTGCTCGGCGAGCTGTAATTTGCTCATATTCTCTTCTTTTCGAATCAAATTCATTTTGATGTGCCTCTGATTTGATCTGCTCTGACACAAATGTCTCCGCTCTGTACATATTGTCGAATGCGAGATGAGGACAGCTGAAAAATGAGGAATACTCCTGCAATTGTAGCTGTTTCTTCTGAGCGGGTCTTCTGAATTCAGCTGAATGCTTTCTAGTCCTTTTCGGTCCCCAGATGCGCTCCGCTGGCCCTATTGAACTCGAAATTCCGCCTCTTCTCGCTATCATCATCGTCAAATTGCGAATTTCGTTTCGTTCTCCACCCATAAAAGTGCTGTGTTTACGTGTTCGCCCATCCGCAATCCAACACAATAATTCCGCCCGCCGTCCGTTTTTTGTTGTCACTTTATGCCCTGCAGACACCTTCCCCCCATTTGCATAACTCTCTTTTCTTCTTTGTTCGTATGATTTTGACGTGAGAAGCTTCTGCTGCCTTCGTAGTTTGTTTTAATCAAAATAATGTACTGACACGAAGGGCTTCCGTGATTTCGTAGCATTTGTATTTAGAAGAAAGAAAGAGAAGGGCTGAGGAGGACACAAGAACCAATCACCAGAATTCCATCTTCTCCGTTTTCATTTTGTTGACTGGAACACTTTTATTTAGCCGCCGAGGAATGGGCGAAATTAAATTTCATTTTAAAACTAGAACTAGACGGATGTCACACGCAAAAACATGGAATCGAAAAGGTATCTATGACTATGCTCCGGCTGTTTTAAAACACTTAATCGTGGCAATTATATACATAGACAGAAGCCATCGGATCTCCTCTTTCTCGCCTTTTCCCTTGCTCGCTTCCTCTTTTTTTTCATTGGTTTGTAAACAATCTGAACCTTGTTTTTTTCGCTTCGAGTGACCTCGCTCGTTCCTCTTCTTCTTACCTGGTCCACCCGAAAAATACCTCATTAAGCGAGGACAATGGGACCAACAAAGGCAGCTTCCTCTTTGGGTCCCAAGTGTTGTGGAGGCGCGGAGCCCGTGCTGGCGCTGCTGCCAATTTTATTTGCGGTTCGAATTAGATTCGTCAATTTCCAGTTTCCTCCTCATAGTTTTTTTCGCAGAAAAAACAACTTCTCGTTCTAACAATGGAGCAAAAACGAAACTATTTTTCCGTGGTCGTCTCGACCAAACACCTTGACGATTAGCAGGCGCCAATTAATCTTGGGCCTCATGTCTGGGCGGCCGAAATCGGACTCGCCATCTCGTTTTTTTTTGTTGCCTCCTCAGAATGTTCATTAAGAGGAAAGTAGTGGTGGCTTGAATATAAACACATTCTCAGGTTTCCCCGGACGGAATTCCTGGAAATCCTAAGCCCTTTCTCGTCCTCTCCGCACGTTGATCTTCTGGAATTTGAGGAGAAATGACGAGACGGACTCGTGCAGATACTGTGTGATCAATGCTCAATTAGAGACATCTCCCAGAGGACCAAAGTCACGAGTACCTGCGTCGAAAAGCCGTTTTGTGGGGGTGAGACCTTATTTCGTATGCACATTCGGACGGAAGTTTACCAATTTTCAAATCTATTCGAGTCATGCGCGACATTCGATGATTTCCTCGTTTTCTGTTCAGCTTTTGTATCTCCTTGGAGATGTCTCTGAGCGAATTTTGAGTCATTCTGAATGAAGAATGGGAGAATTCTTTGAAAAGAGAAGAGGTTTTTGAACAGAGTTTGGGGGCCTTTTGAAACGTTTTCGCCCCCCTTCGGATGACGTGTTTTTGCCTATTTACCTACGCTCGAAGTGCTGCCAACTGATTATCTTTTCATCAAACACGCAATCCGAGAGGGACCGAATCAAAAAAGGCAGCCGCCCGAGTATCATCTTACCGCCAGTTCTAGCCCGCCTTCAGACGCGCGAGAGCTTCTCGCTTTGTCTTTTTTTTCCTCCGAATCGCAGCGTGGGAAAACAAAAAACAGCAATTGTTCCGTTCTTCCGCTTTCATTTCCTTTCCTTAGAACACTCCTGAATTTGTCTGGAAAACAGGCTATCCGGGTCCAGATCAGAGAGCACATTTCGCATTTCCCGAGTACAATTACTTTCTGACCCACTACCAAGTCCCCCGGTGCGAATGGAAGCTCTAAAAGTGCAACAACTTCAGTGTCTGATTCAGAGCATCGCGTGTATCTGAGCTTGCGCCTACTCATTTTTTCAATCGAGATGACCAAATAGCTGCCACCTTCCCGTTGTTTTGTGGTCGCTGGAACTGGTCGACTGAATCGCTAATTGCTGCCCAGCAATTTTTCGTCGGACCCATTCGATCCCAAAATAGAGAAATGTGCGGGGAAGATTGATTGAGTTTGGAACGTCGCAGCGGACTACGGTACCATCCATCCAATTCTCCCGTCATCCGAGCATTTATCGCTCGCAATCCATTATTTTCCCACAAACATTTTCCGTCTCTTCTCGATCATTATGGAAACACATGCTCAGGTCTCTTCCCGCTGTCACCTCGTGCATTCTCACACAAAAACCTTCTTCTTCTCCTTCTTCTTCCCCGTCGCCTTCTTTCCTCTCCCATAACAATGGCTCGAGAAGAGAACCAAGTTGACGACGACGACGTCCCGAAGAAAAGTCCATATTTGTATAATCCAGCGCCGTTTCCCTCGCATGAATCATTCCGGTGCTTCCTCTCTCTCTCTCTCCTTTTCTTTACTTCTTTTTTCTTCTTCTTCTAGTTCCCTTTTTTCATTTCATAAACATCACTCAGACTGACAATCTTCTGCCCGGACATGTTCACCCGCAACGAAACGGTGAACGCGTCGGTGACGCAGGGATTTGAGGAGCTCATCACGTACCACATTGTGAACACTTCGCTCGGAGCCATCTCCACTCTCGTCAACACCCTTCTCATTATCATATTTCTCAGCTACCGACCATTTAGAACACGATATGTGGTGAGTTGTCTTTTCGCGAAAAAATATCAGCGACATGTTTTCTCTTTCAGCTTCTGATCCTGCTCAACGTGGGAGACCTTATCAACAGCACGGCCATCGTGCTGACGGGTCTCAACAGAATCGAGTTGTACTCGACTGCCATTCGTTCGATGACCCTTCCGGTCAGAACGTCGCTCGAGTGCGCCGTCGAACCGTGGCTAATTCTGAAGCTCATCGGTCAGTTTGCACGTTATCTTGATGGGCGGCTGCACACAGAAATAAGCTTCCTTGTAGCAACATGTGATCCTTTTCCTCCTTCTCCTTCTCCTTCGCTTCTTTTTTTGTTTGCTGCGTGAAAACGTCGATCTATCCGTGGGTGTACTTTATTGCAATGTGATATCCCCAAGAAGGAAGAGGGTGTCGCTTCCGTTCTATGACGTGGAAGTCAACGAGCGGGAGGGTGAGAATCTGGAAGGAATTCAGATGAAACACAGTTTGGGTAAACACTTAGAGAGTGCGATGCAAAAGAAATATTGTCGAAAACAACATGACCAAGAAAGGGACACTTTCGTCGCTTCGAATAACATCCGGATGTATTTTCAGGCGATATCCTCATCCCGGTTTCCACGTTCTGGATGGGTGTCGAACGGCTTGTCGCCATCCTTTTCCCCATCTTCTACCGCTTCTCAGTCGATGGAAAAGCCGTAAAGTGAGCATCTCAAGCCTACTATTTTCCACGTCATCAACTCTTTCAGATATCTGATCGTGCCGGGAATCAGTCTCCTCTTCGTTTTCCTCTCAATCTGCGTCGCTTTCTATCTCGCGTTCACTGAGAATCACCCGACAAGCTTCTACTGCGGAAGAAAGGCGGCTTTCGGACAGGGCTTCGGCACGTTCATCTATTGCTGCAACATCACTTGCAACGTGGCAAGCACCATATTCGCCACTGCTGCATACTTCAAAGCTTTAATCTTTCCAAGACACAGTGAGAATGCCAGGATCTTCGCAAAACACTTGAATGCTTTCAGACCACGGATGCAGCGGCAGGTCAATGTGATCCGTTACTATCTGCTCATTTCCGTCCTCTCAACTCTTTTGGTTTCCCTGCCGAACACCATTGCTCTATTCCAGTTGTACGTCGAAAAAGTGAGCTTGCCCCTCTTTATCTCGTGTGATTAACTGAAATTGTTTCCAGGTGAGCGACAGTCTGTCGAAGCCTGCCTACTGGATGCAGACCATCAACAGCGGCATCCACTTCTTTGTGTACTTGGCTTTGAACAAAGAATTTCGGGCGAGGACCTTCCGAATGTTCAAGATGGTTCACTCGGAGGAAATGTCACTTTCCAGTAAGTTCCTTCTGAAACCAGCTCCGCTTTTAACGTATTCGGTTTCAGAGAAGCACTCCCCGGATGGCTGCGAGACTCCCCTTCGAGGCTCTGCCAAAACGCTGACAGCCAGAACTGCCTAATCATTCTTATTCTGATTCCGATTCCCCCCATTTCCATTCGATTCTATCCAGCTTTTCTCTTAATTTATCAATGCCATCAAGCGATCTCTCTGTCGACCTGTATTACCATTCAAAGTGTATTCCGCACTGGTCTCATTTCATGTGATTCATCAAATCAACCCGAGAAAAGAAGAAACAAACATAAAGCATTTACCCTTTCTTTCATTTCCCCTCTTCTCACATCCACTTTTTCTCGCTTTCTCCGACCATGATGGATTGGCTTTGTGTGTGTGCGGGAAATTCGAACTCTCGAACATCAATCGTCCGCCGCATAATTACACGGGACAACAGCAACTGGTAGTTTTACATTGTCCCCTTCTTGCTTTTCCACGCCTATCCAGTTCATAAGCGCCCAAGTGTTTATGTTTATGGATGATGCCCAAAGTATTATCCGTGGGCGGAGGCTGACCATCTATTCTGGCAGGATGCCAAGGCCGACACGAACGGTCTCAGACCAGTCATTCCCTTTGCGTCGGATCGTTGGTTCGGGAGGACACTTTGGTCACTTTTCACTTTTTTGCCGCCTCTCGCTTTTTATTGTCTCGCCACGAAGAAGAAGAAGAAGAAGAAGATGAAGAAGTGGAATCCTCGCATATTGTTTCGCCTGGATCTTCTTAATGTTTGCAGTTTCAAAGTTTTTACCACGTCACACCTTGTTGTTCGTAACACGTATGGTTTTTTGTGACGCTCGTGAAGCATCTGAAGCATCCTGGATCTGCCAAACTTCTTCTTCATGGCTAATATGTGTAGCACGTAGTCCTTCCTTTCATCCTCCGAAATCTCGACAAAATCGTCTCGAAATCTCGACCCGTCGATTTTTTGTGCACCCGTTTCGCTTTTCCTTATCCCCACTTCATCTACCGGGCCCATTGTTCCAGAATAAGCGGAAAACAACTGTACCAAAAAAGGAGAATCCAGTTTGCGGAGACCCTCAGCAGACATTATCCCACTCTCTCATTGGCCGTACGTGTCCAATTTGTCACTTGGTTGCCATTCCCTGACCGAATTACAGTGAATCACTCCCTTGTTTACACCGTTTCTTGATACCTCCTCAAACGGCTTCTTCTCGCTGTAAAACATTCATCGAATTCATCTGACTCACTCATTTTCACCTTCTAAAGCTGTACCATTCTTGCAGTTTTGACACATTTTCAAAATGGGTCTCCCGCCCGTTTTCCTTCTCATTTTCTGGGCTTCTTCCATCGCCAATTCCCTTCCGTTGGCACCTCCACCACCAGACGTAAGAATGAGATTTGACATTTATTAGGGAGACAATTTCAGAGTTATTAAAGTTTCAGTTCAATGCGGACTTCTCAAAACGCGCCGCCAAATCGGATTTGATGGCCGTGGTGGACGAGGATGAGCTGCAAAGTTTACGGCACAACGGGTTCCAGGTGAGGAGGATTAGAATTATATGGGCGAAAAAGAAGAAGGCGTTCGGAACCAGCCTTCCGTGGGAATGACGATCTGCCAATTTGTTCAACCATCCGGGGTCAATCAAAGTGTTTCTGCGACCACCATTTACCAGATGAGGGCGGCCACACTCGTCTTCCGAAGCATGAATAATCGCGGAGATGTTACTTGTCACGGCGGTCGGCAACTGGTTGCGTCATAACCAAAAACAAGACAGAAATCGATCGATAAATAGTTTCTTCTGCAGGAACAGTTGCGACGCTTGCGAGAGAAGAACATTGGCAGAGATCCGATGACAGTGACAGAGGAGATGGCGAGAATCGGCAATTCCATCGAAGACATCTCCGAGTTCTCACTCGATTCCGCAGAAATCGACGAGGCGATCAACGACATTACGATACCGAGTGAGAAGACTCTTGGAAACTACTGAACATTTAATTCTTACAGCAACTTCACAACTGAAAAAGAGCAGCAAATTCAGTGAACTCTCGGAGATTCACAACACTGACTCTTCAAACAAGTCTCTTCCGCCGTTCGCATTCTCGGAAGATGAAGAGGAGATTCCGGAGAGCATTGAGAAAGTGGAGGTTACTTTGACACTGTGCACATCTTGTGGTATCTTTTAAAATCGAATTTCAGATAGTTCCTCCCTCCACACCAGTTGCCATTACTCTGCCAACTACAACACAACCGACCACAACCACGACGATTTGGACTTCTACCTCGACGACTCCGCCTCCAAAACATAATATCATGAGCATTGATAGCGACGTGGAAGTTCCAGGAAGAGAAAGTTCGCCGAGTCCTGTCGTCGATAGCGCGGTGACTACTTTTGTTCCGACAGCAGCCGTCACGACCACAATTCCAACAACTGCAACTGTGATATACAGGTACTTTTTTCTCTAATAATTATCATGCAACTTGTCTTCAGCCCTCCAACTACTACACATTCATATTTCACATCAAAAACTCAGTCACCGCACATCTTCTCTTCCACCACAGTCCGTCTTCCATCCCCGATTTTCCTGGCTTCTTCTTCTGCTGCTTCTTCAGTTTTCCTGACAACTCCGAGACCGTTCAGAGGACCATTCACTACTGAATTCAAAATTGAGCCAGTGAAGAAAAGAAGTGAAGGAGGAGCCGCCGAACTGAGAGAAAGAATCCGATCTACCAGTCAGCTACTGAACCTTCTCGGAGACAGAATAGAAGGAATCGATCAGCAGATGACGATGAATCAAGCAGTTCCGAAGACTGGAGTGCTGCCCAATATCTACGATAGAGGAGAGGTGAAACGTAGGAATTACCGGAACAAACAGTGGGGCAAAACGGGAATAGGAAGGCAAGGAGTGCAGACTTACGACGGACAGTTCAGTGGAGTTGCCTACGGAGCCACGAAGCAGAGGGGCGGAGGGTACACGATGAGAAAGAAGATGGCGAAGAGGCCGTGGACAGGAAGAGGCTACAAAACGAGAAGGCTTGGAGAGAGAAGGCCCGACGGAATGAGCCCGACGACGTTTCTGGAGAAGAAGACGACGGAAGTGTCGGTGGAACCGTACGGAAGCAAGAGAAGAGGAGAATGGATTCGAGGAGTCAAACAATCGGAAAGAAGGAATGCAGTGAGAAGAGTCAGCGAGAAGCAAAAGAGTCTCGCGGAGGCGTTGCTCGAGTCGGAAGAGTCTTCGATGCGGCAGTTGAAGAAAACTTTAAGGCAGATCAGAGACGTCGTCAGGTTTAAGACTTCTTCGACTACCGCTACGATGCAGACGACAACCAGCACTGTCAAACCGGCAATTGTAAGTCACTCAAGATAAGCAGTGTTCTCAGTTTATTGATTTCAGAACAATCGTCTCCACGAATCATTCTACAAGGGTACCTTCGATTTGAAGCGATAAACAGAATCTCATTCCTCAATTCCTCTCACTTGTTTTAATTATTGTTATTATAAACTAACTTATTTGTAAATATAGTCCCCCTTTTCCCCTTTCTGCCAGACTCTCCCCTCCCTCCCTCCCGCTGATTTCTCCGTCTCTTCCCCTCTCCGTCGCCCTAATAAAGTGTTCATTTCGTGCGAGTTACTATGGAAACGAAAGAGAGCACGACACGCGGAAAGCGGCCTTCCGCACGCAAACTCTCCGCTCAAGACATGGTGTAAGCAGACAGAATTACGATGATTTCCACTGTGGTGAGTGTTTTTGACATGTTTCCAACTAAATTAGCTTCTGTCCGTCAGTTTTCTCATTCTGCAAAAGATGATGAAATATGAAATGGTTCAAAATTCAAAATGACCAAAAACCAGACGAGGCTTTTTGAAGCCGGAGCTTTGCAGACTATTTGGACTGGATTGACGTATCTTGGGTCCAAGTCTCCGACCGATCGGACTATTTTATGTGGATTAGAGGCCGAAAAGATTGGGTTTTTACGAGAATAAGGCCAAAAAATTCGAAAAGCCTGCAGCCCAGCCGTGAAAATGACAAAGAATACGTGCTGTTTGGAAGCATAATTACCATGAATTCGGGGCGGATCTTCCGAGATCAAACACGGAAAATGCTTATTTTTTGCAGCGCTCCTCCCTGGCGTACCAGCTGCTTCTCAATCTTCAGAAGACACTTTCCCTCGTCTATTTCCTCGTCATTTTCATCCTTTTCTTCTACAAAGGCAGGTATTTCGTCCCGGGCTCCTTGGTTAAAAGCATTTCAGGCTCAATTTTACCTTATCAGCGGTATGTTCGAGTTATGGAATTCTTCATTATTGTGCCTTTCATTCCTATTGAATACTTGAGGATTAATTGGGGTAAGCAGTAGAAATAATTTCAAAGAGAGACGGACAATCAAAGTTTTCAGCAAGTCGAGGGAATCTGCTGGAAAGTTCTGCGTTTCTTGTCCTCACGAGTTTTCTTTCCATTCCGATCATACTCATTTTGGTTTACGTGGCGTTCTTCCAGAACTATGGTAAGACATTCCAAACAGCTCACAAAAGTTCAATCTTCTCAATTTTCAGTTCTATTCATCGAGGAGATAATCACATTCGTCCTTGGTTTCTTCGTTATACTGGAAACGGTTCTCGCCGTTGTACTTTCCATCACTTTTTCCTCGTCAGGGTGAGAAAGATGCCGTTCAGATCTCTTTTAAAGTGATTTTTTTTTTGATTTTCAGAGCACCAGCTGGCAGCCAACACACATCATAGAAATAAAGTATTCGAAATGAGATGCTCATAGAATAGAATAAATAGTGTTCTCTGAATCTAAATAACGTATCTCCTTTTTATTTTCTCATCACTCTCAAAATAGAACGGAGCAGCATGTTGTCCGTTTGGAGGCGGCACTTGTTCAATACTGGTACCACCTGCTCATTCTTTTTTCTTGCTCTGCTCGGTCCGAAGGTACTTCGATGTTCTGACTGAGATTGACTTCCTCCCATTCGTCACTCTCAAAACAGGAGCCCCGTGATACTTGGATACCTTCCGACATTTCCCACGGAATGTGTGTTGCTGCGAAGTATGCTCCGAGTACGGAGAGCAGCAATCCGCCGTTTATTCTTCGACGCAATTTCGTGAGCACTTGAAAGCCAATTGCCAAAAGGGCCACTGAGCACGGATCTCCTCGAACTCATTGTTTCAACTGCTGCCCCGAGAGCCGGCGAGTGAAAATCGACGCATTGTTCCGGATTACTCGCATTTTCACTTTTTTTCGGCGCGAATTCGAAATGAACCGGAAAGACGGAGAAAAGACACCGCTTCCGCTCGGTCCTACGGTAGGTACTTTCAGGAGGAGGAGGGGGAGAAGACGTCCACACTTTGGTGTCTCCCCTCCGTCACTTCATCTGCATATATTATCGCATGTCTTCTTTTCCAGCACGTCCAATTACCATATTCCAATTGCTCTTTGCTCGTTTCCTTTCTACTCTTCTCTTCTGACGCACCTTGGCTTTTCTTGCTAACTTTGCCACTATTTGTGGATCAATTGGGCAGCTGATTTCGATGCAAGACGGGTGATATCACCCCACGAGAGTCCCCAGAAGCTCCACAATTACTTGTCACCGCCGCAGCCTCTTCCTTGTTTTCACCGCCCACCCAAATCCCCAAATTCAATTATCAGCTGCCGGCGCACGCTTTTGTCAATCCAAACTCATCAAAAACACGCGAACTTTTTTGTTTCCCCCCGTTCGTTCGTTTGGTTTTTGCCGGAATTCTATGCATTCCCCCAGAGAGCAGCGGCGCCCGGCTGTCTGTGACGAGAGCAGGCGACGGAAATCATTTGTTCGCGAGGGATTTATGCAAATGTTATGGGAGTCTCCTCATAACTTTTGCGAATCTCTTTCGAGTTCCGATCAGCTGACCTCGCGCTCCAGTTGTTAACTTCTTCATGACGCGGAAGAGTCTTCAGAAAAAGGAAGTCGTCGACCGCTCAAGTACCTGTAGAGATATTGAGAATTCTGACACAAACCGGATGACAAGTGCTCCCACGTTGTTTACGCACTCTCATCGTTCCACCAAACTTCCTGCTCCACCTGAATATTAATGTTTCTGTATATCTATCACTGCCGCTTCATTTGTGTCAGCTGAGCACTGAATAATCAAATAGTTGCTCGGATGTATACGCGTGCGGTATCCGGTTTCCGGCCACGTAAAGAACATAATTGGGTGGTCCGGCAGGTATCAAGAGGGCGCCGCTACTGTCGTCTCTTGTAATCCGATTCTTTGAACGTCCCCCCGACTAAATCTCGTCATTGTTATTGTGCCATCGAATATCGAAATGCCAGGAAAATAATCTTGGTCTGCCGCCTCGACGGCACAGATTGAAATTTTATGAAGCAGAACTCATAAAATATGGCATTCCTCCGCCGCGTTTTGATGACGGATAATTGAGCAAAATTTAGGCGTTTTTTAAAGAACAATTTGAATTCATTCACGTTTACCGATCAAAGATCGCGTGAGCGGGATTACTGTAGGAAACGTAAATGAGAAGAAGAATACGAGAAAGTTTGGTGCTCCACTACTATTTGCACAAACTAGGACCCTTCTAAATGCGTTAATCATTTCAGACGCCTCCTTCTCCCCCCTATTTCTCCTCCTCTTTCTCCTTATTTTCTCTCTTTTCAATCCGCGCGCTGCCTTTTTTTGTCACCCTGAACGTCCACCCATCCGTTTCAAAACAACGTCTTCTCGTCCGTCTTCCCTTCTTCTCGACTTGCGTGAGTATCTGAAACGTGACCGACTGGACCTATCCCTTTTTGTTCTGATTCGAAAATGTTCAGTCTGACGTCTTCTCTCGCCTTTCAAAGCCTTCATATCTTTCGAAAAAGCAAACACAAGGATGACAACATCCAGGCAATTTGCATTTTGTTCAAGTTCCTCCGCAGACTTCTGCGCGTCTCTCACTTCCTCGATTCACAGATCATCTGGAACATTTCACGTACTATCGTGCCTTCTGTAGTCAATTGATGACGTGGTCAAACGTGGGATGTTTCAGAGGCTTTCGACTTGGCCGCCGGCGAAAAAACGTCCAAACTCTGTGAAATTGGCTTTTGATGCCTCATCTATTATGGGCAAAGTCGTGAGAAACAATGAAGATGTCATCTGCCAGAGGTGGAAAAAGCGAGGGAATTGGAAGAGGCAGGGACCACGGAAAGTAGTTTTCGAACGTGCGGTTCTAGTGCACACGTCGTGCCCCTCAAAAAAAGAAGAAGAAGAAGAAGAACATGTTATTGTCGGCTCCCGTGTGCGCGCCTTCCGAAACCTCTCCAGACACATAAAATATCCCGGGCCACGTGTCATCATGCCTTCTCCTTCCGCACTTCTGAATACCTTCCTGATTTATGTTGCCCTTGTTCGTCCGTCTGCGATCCCTTGAAATGATGAAATTTCGGTGGACGTCTCTGGCGATCCGTCCTTTGTCCGCCTATTTTCGGCACCTGAATCCGTCCCATCCCTTCCCGGCCGCTTCTCCTTTCGCTTTCAACTTCTTCATCGTGTCTACTCGTTTCCCACCGACCCTGCGCCGCAAAACATTCCAATTCCAATGTCAAAAGACGAAGAGCCCGCTAACTCGATAGTAAACACTTTTAGACGGAAGAGCACGAAGCCTTACTGCTCATTTGGTCATCAAGGAGAACACTATTTCGAGAATCTGCCCAACTCAATTAGAATACACCCGTGTTCCTTGAAATGGTGATCATTCGACATCTCACGTACTCTTGCTTCCAGATCTATCATACTCCGATGACGTGCCCTTTCGCTTTGTTCCCATAAGAGTTCCTACTCTGATCACCTGAACTTTGTGAATGCATTCAAAAGACGGATCGCGAGGACTTTCGAAAGAGAAGGAAATGTTTCTTGAGCCTTTTGATCCACGCGAGCGCTCCCTTCTCCATCGCGGAGCTTCTCCGTTTCTGCATCTGACAGCCATTTTCCTTCTTCCTCTTCCCACAGTCGGCCACCACTTCATATCGGTTGCACTTGTGCTCCGTTCTCACCCTCACTTCAACCACCTCTTCATCCTTTTCTCTTTCTCTTGCTCAAAAGTTCTTGTCGACTACGACGTCTTCAATTTTCAGCTTCACCAGTTTCGCCTGGAGCCGTCATTTGTAATTCTCGTCACTTTTTCCCTTTCCACTCCGTCCCACTCGCCACCTTCTGTTCCGATGGTGCACTTCCGAGGATGTCTTCCTCTCTTCTTCTTCGTTTTCTTCCACTTCATCTTCGTCTTCAGATTCGGCAATTTGTCAAAGTCATCTGGGAATCCGTTATTTAACCCGCCTTCTGAGTTCTTCTTTTCCTTCCTGCCTGTTCCGGCCGTTCGTTAGAGCAGAGGCTGTCATAGTTTTTCTTGCATTTTCTGAAAGGCAAGCATGTTTTTCTGCCACTCACTGCACCCACCAACTCTTTGTTTTTGTGCGCATCCTCATCCGCAAAGTTTGCGATTCAATTTCCAACTTTTCATCGGGAACACTTCACAGTTGCCACGTCATCTAATCTACTCTCAGCGTCTCCATTCTCTCTCTCTCACAACAAGGTGTCAGTTTTCGGGTTGCAAATGAGCATCTTTTTGAGCCCTACGCCCTGCTCCGTCTCATTTCATTTTTTGCAGACTGTAATGTTCTCCGAACGCCCCTCTCATTTCATTTCGGTTTGTCCAAAAATGTTCTATTGTGGCTCCAGTTTGTCTGCCAATTCAAAGCCATTCCCTAAAAGAGAATGTGTTGCCAGTGATTATTTCTTTGTCCGCACGTATCCCTATTTCTCTCTTCCGCTTTCTCTTTTGCCCTCAAGTTTCATTACTCGCGTGGTCCCGGTCGAAACTCCGCCCACTTTCGGTTTGTTTTCCTTTGGGCGGGGCTCTAGCTCCACGACGAGCTCCGGAGTCAAATGAGATTCGAAAAGCTATTGGTCACTTTGGTTCCTTTGCACTTTTCCTTTTCCTTTTGCTCGCCAAGTTGCCTTCGTTTTCTTGTAATTACTTCTCATTCTTTTCTAGTCTCTCTCTCTCTCCAGTTCATTTCGTGTTTTCAAAAGTTCTTTGTTCTCAGTCTCATGGACGAATAGGCGTCAAATGAGATGGATGTCGTCGTGAACATCACTGATCTGACGCCGTCATCGACGTCGCCAACTCCAGATGAGTGCGGTCTCGAGCCGCATGACTTCCTTGAGGTCAAATTCTTTCTGATCAGCGTCGTCGGCACGCTGATCGGTCTATTCGGACTGTTCGGAAACGCAACGACTGCCCTGATCCTAACCAGGTTCCCTCCAATATTTTTCCTCTCTTTTTCACCTTTTTCGTTTTCAGACCGTCCATGCGCAACCCGAACAATCTGTTTCTAACCGCTCTCGCCGTGTTCGATTCGTGCCTTCTCATTACCGCCTTCTTCATTTACGCCATGGAATACATCATCGAGTACACAGCCGCCTTCGACCTCTATGTCGCCTGGCTCACTTATCTTAGGTTCGTTTTGGTTTTGTGTTTTGCATCTTCTTTGTAGCCCGCAACCAATCAGTTTTGCCCTTATTCCCGTAGTTGCACGAAACAGGAATTCGCGTCGGTTTTTGGACCTTTAGTGACAAGAAAGAAGAAGTAGGAGGAGAGGGCGAAAGTAAAACGCAAAAGTAGATTGACATGGGTCCGGGATACGAGGGTTTCTTGACGGAGCACGAGGAAGTAGAAGTAGAAGAAGAGACATGATCGACGGCGACGATAGGCAACTTCATGGTGACAAGTTAACCTGAATTCCGAAAAGGAAGATTCGATTTAGACGGGTGTTTGGTGTTTCTGTGGACTCTAAACTCGGTGGACTAGGTGCGGGAAATGGGGTGATTGCGCGGACGGACGGCCGATTATTCAATCATCTTTCGTCGCCTTTGACCAGTTCGATGATTGATTCTATTTCAGGTTTGCATTCGCACTATCGCACATTTCACAAACGGGAAGTGTTTACATCACGGTAGCAGTCACCATCGAACGGTATTTGGCAGTATGTCACCCGAAGCGGAGCAAGAAAATGTGCGGACCGGGTGAGCGATTGATTGAATTCATTTTCCGAATGATGTAATGTTTCCGTAGGCGGCGCTGCGTGGACTATTCTCGGAGTCACCACTTTCGCCGTCGTTTTTAATTGTACCAAGTTCTTTGAACTGCAGGTCAGTGAGCAAACGGGTGCTTAATGAGCTCGCTCGTAATTGTTTCAATAGAGGGTAGATCAAAAAGACAGAGTGGTTCAGGTCACAGTGAATCCAAACTGTCCGGATGGGAGCAATTGGCAGTCGTACATCCTGCTGCCCTCCGCTATGGCAAGCAATCCGATCTACCAACAGGTCAGAGCGCTCCTTTCGATTCTCACTCGAGTACCGTTCATTTCCAGCTTTATTCTCTCTGGGTCACTAACTTTGTGATGGTATTCTTCCCGTTCCTTACTCTTCTTCTCTTCAACGCCATCATTGCGTACACAATCCGACAGAGTTTAGAGAAATATGATTTCCACAATCAAAAGTGAGTTTTGTCCGAATTTCAGCAGTTGAGATCCATTTCAGCCATCTCTCGATTCATTCTGATTCATGCCATGCATTCATTGTATTCTGTACTGATATGTACGGCTGATTATAAATCCGTTCTCTGTAGTTATAAGGGAGCCTCATTCCGGATTGTTTCGCACCTTTTCTCTTGCTCTCTCTCTCTCTTGGCATGACCCCTTTTCCGTCCGGAATGAGCCCCTCGGCCTCCCCCTCTGTGTGCTCCCCGGGGACCTCTGATCTTCCCGTTTATTGCAGAAGCGTGGTGGCCGCCCTATCCGCCAGTGTAAACCTTCCGCGCAACATCGCCGGGTACTGTCCGTCCAACTGTCTTTGCCATGTTCCTCTGTCGTCCTTTACACTTCGTGGTCTGGCTCCCCGTCGTACGGTCGTCACCGACAGCACGGCGGCGGGCTCCACGGCCGCTTCGTCGCTTACATCGCCTGAGTCTTTCCGGTGCCTCTAAGCATGAAACAAGTTATCGTCGTCCGTCCGAGCTTCGCACGTCTTCTTCTTCTTCTTCTTCTTCTTCTTCCACTTCTACTTCTACCTCTTCTGCTTCTCCTTCGCTTCTATTAACGTTCGCTTTCCTTATTTCCGGAGCTGCTCGCATTTTAACTTGCTTCCCTTGTTTTAACGCCGTTTATCAATCTATTTTAACATCTAGTTTTGAGTGGAGTGATTGGGAACGGTGAAGTGTTCGAACGTTCCGAACATTCGAACCTTTTCCGTTCTCCTACCCTTAGGTTGTTTTTCAATTTTTCATTTCTCAGTTAATCCTTTACTTTTCCAGAATTTCGAGTCGGAATGAGCTGAAAGAAAAGTCGAGAGAAGCGACTCTAGTCCTCGTCATCATCGTTTTCATTTTCCTCGGCTGCAACTTTTGGGGATTCGTGCTGACCTTGCTGGAAAGGATCATGGGCCAGGAGGCTCTGATGGTCGACCATCACGTCTTCTACACATTCTCACGAGAAGCGATTAACTTTCTTGCCATTATAAACTCGTCAATCAACTTTGTGATCTACCTGTTATTCGGAAAGGATTTCAGGTGAACTCGGACTTCATATACCTCAGCTTTCATCGATTGTTTTGTTTTCAGAAAAGAACTGGTGGTGGTGTACGGTTGCGGAATGCGTGGAATGACAATGCGTCTTCCGGTTCAGGACAAGTTCGCCATCTGGAGACACTGGAAGCGCAGAAGTCTCGGCTTTCCCTGGCCATGAGCAGCAAGACGCGTCACAAAATCTCGCTCCCACAGACATTCGCAGAACACGCGAACCTCGAAGGGCTCGAGCAGACACGCTTTCTGGCTCGCCATGAGGACAGAGTGCAAACGCAAGTATCACCGATCCACGCACTTCGCAACGGCGGTAAACTCGTTAGCGTCCTGTCTTTTCTTGAATTCATGTTTATCCAGGTTCGATGCCTCTGAAATTCGATCCATTACGCAACGGCGGGTCGAACGGAAGGCCTTGCAAAACGAGCATTATCGACAACGGAACGGTTGTTTGCACAGTCACAGAGTTCCCTTAATATGTACTGATTTTTCATTGTTTTCTACGGTTGTAATTCTGATAATAAACTTGTCTTTTTCGAACTTCTTCACGTGCACCGAAACTTTTCAGGGCGTTCGATTCAAATTCTTCATTCTCGGACTGAGTTGAAACGAGAAGAATCTTCCAGAAGACACAATGGTAAGTGATCGTTTTGAGACACCGTTTAAGAGAGAAAAATGTCAAGAAAGAGAAGGAGGGCGAGTCGGACAAGGAAACAAAGACGGAAGAAGATAAGAAGAAAACGAACGTCGAAATGCCACCGATACCGCCGACCGTTCTGACGATGAAAGTCTCGTTTACATTCAAGATTTCTGATGTGAATACCGAAAATCTGTGATTCGTTGATGTTTTGAGTTTTAGAAAGATGTCGGGAAAGCTGCGAACGAAGTGATCCAACTGGAAGACGACATGACCGTTTTGTTCGTTTCTAAAAATTCATTTTTCAACGGATTTATCTTGGGTAGCAGAAGGATTTGAAGTGTCAAAAGAGCATGGAAATTCAGGAGACAAACTGATAAAAGTGAACGACACGACAGAGAAGGAGAAATGTGTGCTGGAGCTGCTGAAAGGAGAGAGCACGGTGGAAGTGATGAGGAGAAAAGGGGCGATTCCGGTGACGAAGGAGAGAATGACAAAGAATAAGTACCAAGTGAGGGACGGGTGCGCTTGCTTCCTTCTGGAAGTGGAGAGAGTGAGATTTGATATTAAACTGTTGCGGACTCTACATCATTTGTTGCAGTTGCCCAACATGACGACGACATCCGTTGGAATCCGATGCGTCAACAGGCAGAACCGAGCCATCGTGGTGATGGTGAGCAGATACAGACCACTCAAATTTCATGTTCGGATTGCTTTTCAGGTGGAACCGAACGGAATCGTGTCTCCGTTCGTCGGCATCGGGGACAAAATAGTTGAGTTTGACGGTGTGCGGCTTCCTAAAAAAGGCGGTATGGACGCGGAGAATGCGTTTGTTCGAGAACAACTCTCAAAGTTGGGAGCCGGGAAGAGAGTGGAGTTGCTCGTGGAAAGGCCGATTTCTGAGTCTCAAAGGGCCATATTGTACCATTATATTTCCACTGTGACAAGCAGCAATGACGTTAAGAAAATGGCGAAAGACGCGGTGGACATTGGAAAGGTGAGCAGCAAATGCAGGAAAAATGAGATAATAGTTTATTTAGGAAGCGAGCCGAATGCACTTTCTTGTGCTCAAAAAGATCAATCCAACGAGCATCCTTTCTTTGGATGTTCGCAAAACGAAAAAGACGAATAAGAAGACGAATGACGCGAGCAGCAGTAGCATCAGCATTTCCGTGGGTCACTGTAGTTTTGATAGGAGATTAGTTGGAAATTCAGACGTCGTCGGCCGAGATGAAGATTCGCAGCGACGCGTTGGAACCTCTGAAACCTGTCGTTCAGAAGAGCCACGCTCTGATCAACGAGCCCGAAGACTGGGATGACGGCCAGGAAGACGAGTTTGACGCCAATAATGACTAGTTGAACTTGCCCATAAAGAATGGTTAATTTGTGTTCAAAAATTTCATTTCCGAATCGCAAAATGTTGTTGCTTGTCAATATCGTTTTCCTAATCGAGGTGTCTTTTGGAGTATTGTACGATGGCAAGTTCTTCGATCCGAAGAACCGAACCAGTCTGTTCACCTTCCCATCATCAAGGGTGATGGCCATTTTCAGCGGCTGAATGTGTAGTTTACAATGCAATGACCGATTATGAATATCTCGGAAATGTGGACAAATCGGCAGACGGCGAGAGCTGTGCTCCGTGGAATTCGGTCACCGAAACATGGTATCCCTCTGCAAACAACATCGAAAAACAGCTGTAACTCACCGAGAAACCGTGTTCTCTCTAGATAAATATTTCAGAAAACAGGCACCTGAAAGTTTTTATCATTCTAAGTGCCGAACGATCCGACTGAAAGACGGGCATCCACTGACCAATGTCTCGTCTTCGAATGGAATTCCTTTGGATCCCCCGATAACTTCCGGCAAATGGGGACCGTGGTGTTTCGTGAAAAAGGAAGGAATCGTCGGAACGAAGAAGTTCGATTACTCGCCTGCCGTCTGCTTTTCCGCGTGCGACGAGACGAAGATCGTGACGGCGACAGAACGAAAAAAGTTTACGGGTACCTAGGTCCTCTCCTGAAGATTCTCACAAGTTTTGAGGGGTTTCAGAGCACGGATACAGTGTTCTCAAGTTGAATTACAATCCGAAACTGCTGGATCCGATTGACAAACTGTTTGCGGATTATCAGTTCGGTGACGGAAATTACTACACTTATGTGGGTGATTTTCGACGAAGCACACAAGAATCGGCCATTTCCAGAAGAAGTCACAGGAGCAAGCGCCCGAGTATCTCGTGCTCCGTCGCAGAGTTTTCTTCGTCCTGTGCTTCGTCTTCTTCGCCGTCATCATCTGGATTCTTGCGTGCTTCTTCCTCAACAAATACTCTCAAAAAATGCACCGAAAGAAGCAGAAAGCGTTGGAGGAATTCTTCGAAAGCACCACTTTGGCGGACATCAAATTGCAGGCAGATTTGAGAAGGGAAACAGAAGACGTTTAGGGAATAGAACTCTCTTCATTTTACATGAGACATGAACGAATGGACAGTGATCTTTTCCAAAAACAGAACAAAATGCACACATGAATGAATAGAAACATTGACAAAGTGAACGAATGACATGAAGATCATGGTCTGCAATAAAACGGGTAAAACGTGTGCAATAAAGTGGGTGATAAAAGGTACAGGGGGGGGGGGCTTATAATAAATGTTCTATGACTGATTCTCCACCGACGGAGGATCGAATTTCAGGAAGGTGTCCATGATTTTCTTGTTGTCCTCGTCGGAATAGTCATCTTTTTCGATCAGCCGGTTGCTCGCACTGATCTCGTGATGAACGGTAGAAGTTGACGGCTACAAGAATGAAATGTATTTAACGAAGATCTTCTAACTCTAACCTCGGAATTACGACGAGGTCGGGTCGTTTCCTCGCCGAACGTCACCGGTGGGCACTTGGTGATTGGCGACGGCACAAAAGAGGTCAAGAACGCAGATGGATCGGTGAAACGAGCTCCGGAATCGGGATGAATGTAGGTGAATGGAGTCATGACAGTTTCTGTGCGTACAACTTCCGACGCTCCGACACTCCGATAGTGCTCATCAGAAACATCTCTGCTTTGATAGTAGCTGTTCGTTTCCAAAGAAGTGCCCACTTGGAAAGGGGTCAAGTAGGTGTAGAACGGGGAATTGTTGTTGATCTGAACGTCGCTGAAGAACATCGGTGCGGTGGAATTCCGCATTTCGATGTGATCAGAAGACGAAAACGATCGGATCATCGGAGAAATGGGCACGCGCATGGGCGGAGTCGACAAGTTTCTCATCATGTCCTGCATCGACGAAAGGTTTTTGAATCGTCTATCGTTGTCGAACACGTCGTCCTCGAGTTTCTCGTGACGATGCTGCGGGAAGTCTCCTTTTCTGAAAACAATCTTGTTTCCAGAAGGAAAATTAATTTCTCACTTTTTTGAGCCGCCCGTTTCGACCGTTTCCGGAAAGCTCTGGTCGTCGATCCATTGCATAGATTCGCAATTTCTCTGCGATGTTCCCGCTCTGATCTTCGCAGTTAAAAAACCGTTCGAGTCTCCTTCCATCTTGTCAATCAGCTCTTGAAGTGTCACTTTACGGGACTTCTTATCCGACCGAACACTCGAATCTTTGAAAGACGCGCGCACATGCTTGTTTGTGGGGCAGTCGTCCGTCTCGGCCATGTCGAACTCCCTGAAATCATGCCGATGTCGTTCTCTCAATATCCTTTTCCTTTTTTCGCAAACCTTTTCAGGGAAGCCCACGAGCGGTACTTCTTCTCCGTGTGCCGTCTTTCCATTCTCTTCGCATCCTGCTCTCCTTTCCTCTGGCGATAGTTCAGCACCGCTTCTGCTTGTTTTCGCGGTGAATTTTGTTGAAGAATCGTGGGAACTCTGCAAACAATCGCTGACACTCTTGATGACTTCCGAGAGATGACTCTTGGAAACGAGCTACAATAGAAAGTTGACAAAGAATTTCAAGTTTCTTTTCGAAAAAAACATGTAATGTTTCAGAAGTGTACGAGACGAAATTGACGGACAAACAATACAAACAAAACTAGACAAAACGACAAAATACGATTTCTTCTTTCTCACTCGTACGGCTTTGGATCTTTATAAATCAAAGTGTCGTCTTTTCTTCGGATGAATCCGACAGGCAGTGGCGGTTGTGGAGCGGAAGTGAACGCACGCCAGAAATCCGCTTGATACTTGGTCGACTCCAAACCCGTTTCCAGTTCTTTTTTCGTATAGGGACAATGGGCGAACAGCGGAAGGTCCAGCATTGACATCGGTGGCGGTATCTTTCTCAGAGAAATGAGTGTTTTGATCACAGAATCTTGAAGTTCAATGATTTCTTGAGGAGTGAGCTCCTTGCTAATATAGAATAGTGTTCTGTATGTGATCGATTTGGAAAAAGAATGAAAATTAGTTTCCACGAACCCTTGTTGCACGTTGTCGTCATTGATTTGCTTTCGTACTCGAATACGCTTATTAGCCGCAATATCACGTCGGAGTTGATCGGAGAATTCAGTGAAAGCGACCGATCTTTCCTGGTTGGCCTTTCGAACTCTTTCATGGACTGAAGGCAGCTTTACGCAGGAGTCCTGAATCCGCTTGCTCGGTTTTGGGAGGAAGACACGTTGAATAACGAAGTCGTCAGAATCTGAAAATGAGTAATAAGGATACTAGAAGCGGTTGGGCATGTACCATCTTCAGAGAACTCTCCTCGGCCGATCGATTGACTTTTGGATGCACACTTCGGAGAATTGGTGTCGAGCGATGGCTGATAAACCATTTTTGGAGACTCACGCCCCTCGGAAGATGTTTCAGTAACGCAGTTGGTGAACACTTTTCTGATTGATCGAAAAGTTTGACATCCTTTCCGATTGCAACGGTAAGCCGGATACTCTCGCGTCTGACCACGATAACGAGTTCTTCGCAAGCACAAATTCATCATTTCGTTGCAAAGATGGCATTCGATTGCGTACGGAATCTGAAAAGAGCACATTTGCTTGATGCTGAGTGGCCATGATCACCTTGTACTTGACACCTCGAACATCGATTTCCACGTCGTTCCCGTCCTCATCCGATTTTTCATCGAAGAGAACTTTATACTCTACTTCGGCGTCATCGGAATGATCTCCGTCAAAAATGACATCGGAGGGTGTTTCGTTTGGGAATTCGCTGTCTGTTTGCGACTGAAAGCACTTCTCATTGTCACATAGTAAAAAAAACGCACCGTTCGAATATCGCCGTTTGGTTTTTGAACATTACACGGAGTCAGAATAGGCGGGCTTTCTGTTGAGAATGAACCACCGTCTACAAAAAACAACGGTCTTCCGTCAGAACACATAAATAATTGAAATCACCTTTCACGGGAGCAGCACCGTTTGGGATGTCATCTCCGATGGAGTCGTTGTCAGTCAGACTGACTATCTCTTCGTGGTGAACATCTTCGCAGTCCATCTTACAAGGAAAATTCAACAGAAAAGTCAGCGGGAATTGCAAAACAACCTGACCTGCGCGCGGTGTTTGGATTTCCCGCCGGCGCTTCTTGGTTTTCGTTGCGGGGACCTTGGAAAGTTTTGGTCCCTGCGCCTTTAAAACTACGGTATTTTTTGAAAATTTAACCAAGAAATTTAAAAATTTTCAAAAAATACCGTAGCTTTATGATGTACGGTCACATTCGTTCAGCTGTGCGCACCCGTTTTTTATGTACATTTCGGTCGATTTTGAACAGCAAAATCAGCGAGTTTTTTTTTTAACTTTGGACGCGTTTTTAACTATAACACCAATTCATTCAGTCAGAAAACAAGTGCACAATTCATAGACTATGAATCAGTGTTATTTTGGTCATCGAAAAACGCGAAAAGAGCGATAGCTGACCAAATGGGATTGATTACGCCCTGAAAAAACGGTGTTTCAGTCAAAAATGCGTCCAAATTGATTAACAAAGTCGAGTATTTCTTGTTTTGTATAGAATTGTCATGTTTGTGTAGTCTCTAAATTGCCGCATCTTAATCCGCCCGAGATTCTGTCCTCCTTCTCCTCCTAGTCAAAAAAAGAGTTGTGCAATTTTCTTAGGCTCTCCAGAGCATCGTGCTCGTCTTCGTCGCCAACTTTTCTTGGGCTCTTCTTCATTTTGGGAGACAACACACCTCGTCGTCCGCAACCACATCCTCTCCTTCTTCTCCTTGTTCTTCTTCTTTTTCCTCGCCCTCAATTGTTTTATCCTCCCCTGGTGAGCACACGCACATAACATCTTTTCCCTTTCTTCTCCTTCTGGTAGGCCCGCCGACACCGGAGATCTCCAAACTTTCGACTCATGTCTACTCAAACAGAGTGCACTGCTTCTTCAATCTTTCGGTATTTCTTCGTGAGAAATGAATGAGAGAGAAGGAGAGAGAAGAATGGAAAAGAGAGAAATATACAGAGAGTTCAGAAGCCAAGTGCTTGTTCGCTTAGACTATTCTAGTGGCATAAGTGAGAAGTGTCTTTTGTCAAATTCTGACCAACATGTTTTTTATCTCTCGTTACTTTCTGTACTTTCTTCTCGGCTGAAACCAGTGTCATCACTGACATCCGGTCAGTATTAAGTAGCCGTTTTTGTTTGGACCAGGGCTGGGGAAAAGGCCAGCCCAAGCCTGGACTTTTGACCCACTTTCACTAATCAGATCGGACCGAAACTTTGCAGGCTTCATGGACTTGGGTCCAAGTTTCAGGCCGATCGGATTATCTGGTCCCAAGATATGTGGATGGGAGGCAGAAAAGACCAATTTTCGCAAAAAAACCGGAATTTCCGGCCAAAAACCACTATATCTCCGGACCGGATATTCCGATAGGTCTGAAACTTAGACCCGATACACTTCAATCCTAGTCAAAGAAGTCTGCAAAATTTGAGTCCCATTGGATTATTGTAGGTGGGTCAAATGCTTGGCAGGCATTTGAGAAGCGTACGCCGGTCTTTCGCCCTGGTTTTCCTTTCGAATAAACAATATGAGCCCTTTCCGCGTCATATTTTTCATCAGTAGTTTCAGTTCTAGTAAATCAGCTAATCAGTTGTTTCCGCTTCTTCCTTTCCGATTTCCATTTGTTTCCCACAACTCATCGCATATTCACTTTTCTGACCGGAAGAAGCTCCGCACTTCTCTCTCCCTCTCCCTTTCCGCCCTCCATTTATCCTAACCGGTCCGATTCACTCACATTTCTTTTTGCAAATGCCATTTTAGAGAGAAGAACAGCACCAAAGATTGTTCACCATGAAATCAGGCCAATATCACTCTCTTTCCTAGTTTCTTCGTCTTCTCGAATTGGCCAAATCGGGTTCGAGATCGCCTAATGATCTCTAATGTTCGGGCAAGGAGACATAGTTGAAAAATGGCTTGTATGAATTGGAAATTGTTTGTTTTTTACGACGACTTTTACTCTGCTGTTTGTCGTCTTCTTCGACTTGCCCAAATACCCTTTGACGGAGTGATTCACTGGCATTCCAAATACATTCATTCGACACCAGAAACCAAATTACGAAGGCAATGAGTGAGCCGCACCTCGTTTATACATAAACTATTGCTTTTTTGATTGGTCGTTTCGCTCATCCTCCTTTTGAGAATACAACTTTTTGTTTATTGTATCATGTTCTGCCAAACATGACTCTAAAGTAGAAGAGTGGAGGAGGCGGAGAGAAACGAAAGTGTTCAGCCCCTTTTTCGTCCCTTTCGGACCATCATGGACACTGAAGAGGACAAGATTTACTACTTGTTGTGTTTGAGAGACGGGGAGTTGCCCGTTCTTTCTTTTCTCGTTCATTTTCTGATACTCTTTTTGTGTGGCCTTGAATACAATAGTTTGCTCAAAACTGATGACGCTCAAAAAAACGAAAACAAAACTTTATAGAGTTGAGAATGCAATGGAGCATGATAGCAAACTCGGCACATCTCCTAATCTGGCATCTTTTGCAGTTTGCTCTTGCACATTAAGTCTCTTTCCCATTTTCTTGAAGTTGTTACAAAAACTAGAGGCGCCAAGATTGTGGAAACCCGATACTCCGGGCAGGTGAGAAGCCTTCCTTTCCTCGTCGTTCTTCTGTTTTTGCTGAGATCTCAGCCGGAATGACGTGGCAAACCGCCCATCCACCCACATTCCATTCACATTTTTCCAATTTTAGAAGAAATCGAGGAAGTGCTCATTCTCGTTTTGAATGCCTTTCTCAGTATCGCGTTTCAAAGTGACGAGTCACCGTAAATCCAAATTGGAAAACGAAGAAAAAGTCCCTCCTCCCATTCTCTCCGCAGGATTTATGATCTCCCGACGCCTGAGGTGGGTGAGAGTCTCGTAGCCATCGAAATTTGAGCGGTTCTGCAAGAAATCTGCTCTGCTCCGAGGTTCCCTGTCTCTGTTTTCTGAGCCCGTTGCCACGTCACGAATTCTTTGATCTCTGCCCGACACCACAAGATCTTTCCGTTCCCTCACCCGCCAGTCCGATAAACCTCTGTAGACTCATGCATAATTCATGCTGGAGAAATGATCTATTGCCACGTCATTCTCTGAAATATTGACCTTGTTCTGACGGGCACCGAGCTCACGAATTTCGTTGTTTTGATCCGCCGCTTTCCTTGTTCCTCCATCATCTGACACATGTCGGTTTTTAATTGATTTTCTCGGACCCGAGAGAAGTTTTTGTGGCGGAGCTCATCGGGACGGGAGGAAGAGGAGAAGCCAATTGTCATATAAAAAGCGAGGGCGCTAATTGCATTTTCTCGCCTGCCGCTTCGAAATCACTTCGATTGAATCTTGATCTGGCCTCCCCCTTCTTCCTGATTTCTCCTGCTGAAAGTCTGCCGCCCTATCATGCTTTTTTTTCTCGCGAAACCGCAAAATCGCATCCCACACACTCACCCGAATAACACAATCAGTGTCATGCGGGAGAGCCCGTGTGCGTTCGTTCCAACCGATTCGTCTCTTTCAGAACATTCCTCTCTTCCAGCCGCCCTCTTCTCCGCTGCTTCCATCGTTTATGGAAGAGACCGCATCGCTCAATTCCGATTGGGAAAGCGTGTGCGGTGATTCGAATCATGTCATGGTTAGTTTGAGCCAACCGAAGCTAGCTCACTTTGGTGGAGCGACATATTCATTGTTCTATAAGTTGTCCTTGCTCATGAGTCCGAAGTGCTGGAAATTACGGTATTTGCTCCATTCTTTGAAGAGATTCTACTCAGAATCATCCATCACGACTGTGTAATGAAAAATGGTGGTACAAGGAATACGAACTGCTACAAATAATAGCTCATTATTTTACAAAATCACACGTAAATTTTTAGCGATTTTTCGAAACATTGAGTTCTCATTCAGCGTGTTCTTATTCATCCAGTTCTCATTTTTGTACCCCGAAGATACTTGTCGCTTCTGAACTAAGATCTTAATAGGTTCCCTACAATGGTCATGGGTGCTATTCTAACTTTATTTGCTTTCAGACCTACAACGGGACGGTGCCGCCCATCGAGATAACTCGTTCGAACTCTCCGATCCCTTCGCACGCCCACTTCAATCTGCACTCTCCCAGTGAGTCGTTCTTCAAGTTTTTTCATCGCATCCGAAGGAAGGAAGGAAGCGAGAAGAAACACGATACTGAGGGAATCTCTCCCTTCATTTGGGAACTCCGGTGCACTCCCGGCAACAAAACGCATTTGTGTATAAAAACGGGACGGATGAAGGGGCTCACTGGTTATAAATAATGACTCTTTCTCTTGCTTATAGCTCCGAGAAACAGCCAATATGTCATTTTGCCTCCTGCTCCCTTTATTCCATTGACATTACGTGTACCTTTCTTCTTCTTCTTCTTCGTCTTCTTTTTCTTCTTCTTGTTTCTTCTTCTTTTTCTCCTCTTCTACATGCCACCACAGTCAACCCGATTCCTTCGTCATTTCCAAGTTGGTGGGAGCGAGGATTGATGCCCCGAAGGCACGTCGTCCCACGGGATCAGGGCTCCTCCATCGGCCGTGTTGTCTGAACTTCTGGCTTCTCCCGCCCCAGCTTTTCTAGCCGGTATTGGCCAACTCTCACACCCCCACGAAGTTTTTTGTTAAACACTTTTTTGGAATACTAGTACGATTCTATAGACTAGCTATAGATTTGTCTTGATGACTACCACCTGCACAGAGCTAAACAATATTGTTTTGAAAACGATAGAAAACAATACAAAACATGAGTTCACATAAAAAGCGCTCCGTAGTCAGGATCTTCTTTCGAAATCGTCCATCACTTAAAGTTTCCTTTTAACAAAAGCCCATCATGCAGCGATTTTGCAAAGTCGTTGTGTGGCACTATCAATCTCCATAACGGACACTCCTTAACTTTGAGCGATGTGCGTGTTCTCTCCAGACTTTTCCTTGCTCACTTCTCCTTTCATTCCCCTCAAACTTTGCTCCCTATTCCATCTTTTTCTGCCTCCAAAACTCCCCGCTCTTATTGAATTTATCACCATTTTTCGTCGTCTTCCGTTCGTTCGCTTCTTCAGAAAAGGTCCGAAAGGAGGGAAGAGCACACACTTGTTTTCGAATGTCACGTCGCCAAAAGTGGCGCTGAATATTGAAATTCTCGGGCCCGACGAACTCTCTTTTCTGAACTATGCATCCGCATTCCTGGGTCCCTTGGAGCAATAAACCGCTTTTTTCGAATCCACCTGTTCCTCGTGTACCTCGTAAATCAGTACAGCTTCCACGGATTTTGTGGATCTCTCGAAAAAATGTCTTGCTTCTAGAGCGGTGGTCTCATCTCTTTTCTCTTGGTTTCTTCATCCGAAGAATGCACACAGGCTGCTCCGAGAGCACAGAGACTCAGGGATCGAGACGGACACCCGTGTACCTCCTCCCGGTCGGCCAGCCGGCTCGTCGTCAATGATGACGAAACCATTTTATGTTTTTTGACTTCTCCCCCACTTCTCTTTTCGCCGTTCCTCTTCTCAACTCGTTCCGTTTCTAGTTAAGCAATGACGGAGAGCTCTCCGGAACCGTTGGACGATCTGTACGAAGAACGAGTGCGTCGTCCGGTGGTCAGATGGCAGAGCATGAAGGAGGACGGAAAGGACACGAACGGTCTCCGGAGGACGGAGACGTTACCGGAGATGCGGCCCATCAGACGGGGTCGACGGAGGCTTCGGCCTCGGAATAACAATGGTGCGCGTCTTCATCCCAAACCAATCTTTCCCTGCGTTTGCTATTCTCTGATCGCTTAATTTGCCCACTATCTGCCAATCAAACTGCAATCAATCAATACTGCGTGGTGTCAAAACACTTGTTTCGCCTTCTCCGACTCTCATCACCCAATTTCTTCTCGATCTTTTCTCCCTTTCCCTCCCCGTGGCGCAGCTGTGGCAGGTAGCAGTGGAGCGAAGGGAAGAAGAGAGCATGAGATGAAGAAGAAAAAGAAGTCGGTGTCTGTCGGCAAAATATTTGCTTGTCATACACCCTGTACTGATGGACGGGCGGACGGACGGACGGGTAACGACGGAGCCACGTCGGAGCACGATGTGTCATGATTTGACCCGCTACACCTAGATTCCGCAGGCGTAACCTGATAGTGGTGAGAGGACTACGGTAGGCCAGCGAGCACTGTGTTTTGAAATCGGACGCCTGATTTTGAGAGTGATGAAACTCAGGTGATGATGTACTTTACTGAACATAAGAACGGCCTTGGAAAGAAAGATTAGCAAAACGCAAATGATTCTGTTTCTATCGAAGTCTATCTCTTTTTTCAGACGAAGATGGCGACTCGCACGGATCCCTGCAGCACAGTTTCCTGCGAGTTCCAGTTGGATTGTCGGGCCGCTCCTCTCCATCTGTCGTTTCGATGGGATCGGAGCCAGAGTCCTGCATCGACGACACTCGGTACATGACGGACGACGACGATGGCATAGGTGGGTTTCCTTTTTGGTTTTGCAGAACAGCTCATTGCACTAAAAAAGAAGAAAAGAGACATTTCCGAGAATACTTTGCAAGCATCCCCATTTATAACTGTGATTATGTCTGCAGGAAGGGACATCACTCACTGATCACCCGATCATTTCCTTCTGTTTCTTTACTTTTTGATCCGGACTCATCTCCTAATCCCACTCAAGAGTCCGCCATCTGAAAACGTCAGAAATCCATGTTGCGAGTGTGTTTCAGAATCCTCATCGTTTTCTGTGGCCATGTAAACAAATTGCCATTCCGTGCTTCTTCTTCTTCTTCTTCTTCTTCTTCTTCCTGCTGCCTCCTCCCTCATCGTCCCCTGACCAATCATTTATCTAATTATGCTAATCATATTCAAATGCGAGCCCTTCCCTCCCTGATGTTCAATGGCGCCTCCCTCTCTCTCTCTCTCTCCATCTCCAGAGAACGTAAATCCGAGACTCTTCGTCGAGAGAAGCCTTCGCGAAAAAGTGTGTGTTTTTATCAGACACGCAAGAGAAGGAGCCAATTAACTTTTTTGGCACAAAAACAGACGGCACAATCCTAGAAAAGCTGCTCGTGTCTGTGTTTATAGCCAGAGTTATGAAAGAAGTTCGGACGGGGGAATCTGCAAACTGCAATCGACTAGGTGTCATTTGCATAGCTCCCACTCTTTCTCGACTCGACGTTTCCTCAAAAATTTTCTGTTACTGTACTTTTCTGTTTGTCTCCTTGTCCCTTTCCTCCACGCCTATCACTCGGCCACCCATCCATTTTTTCAAAAACCTTTGTCGCATTCCTTCCTGCTTTTCCTTCTTTCTACATTCTTGATGAACTTGTGCGTGGCAAGATGCGCGTCCTCGTGGCAAGCCCGAGCACACACACACACACACATACATTCACACACTCGCACATACATAGGCACATCCTCACGAAGCTTGGCCGCATCCACACACACACACACACACATATATACTCTAATAACCTGGAAAAACTCTTCCTTCGTTGGGCCCTCTTTCGGTTCTTGGGACCACTCGAGAATGCGTTGCCCTGGGGCGAGAAGCGGCCGCAGTTTTCGGACAAACAGATTCGGCCGAGAATTCGTCATTGTCTCCCAGAATCACACAGTTCATCTCATCATCCCGGTGCCTCGGGTAATCCAATATTCGGTGTGTGACTCGAAACATTTTCGTTTTCTTTCTTTACTCCGCTCCTCCTGCTTCTGCTCCCAAACCGGCAAAACTCGATTCCAGTGCACTCACGTTGTGGTCCCCGGCCGATCTAACATCTCCGGATGCCCGTCCTTTCTCCGTTCTTCTTGTCGTTTCATCTTATCGGAACAGCATGACGTGGCACTGCCTGCTACCGATTAATTGCCTCCTTTCAGATACGAATCTGCTCCTTTTGCTCTTGCGCTCGCTTCGTTTCCAGAATCTTTGACCTTCTTGCCACCTTGTTGCATCTACCTTCTGCCTCACCGAGCCACTTTTTGTGCTCTTCTCGGGACAGAGCACTTTCACATTCGAATTAAACCGCAAAATTTGCTGAATAATTTATCGCGCAGGTTCTCGTGAGCCCAACCGATTTTTGTGTCCATTTTGTTTCATTTCTTCTTCCTCCAACCGCTCCACTTTCCCGCGCCTTCCATTCGTTTCTTTTCTTCTTCTTCTTCGACTTATTCTAAATCTTTGCGCCGCTCTTCACTATTTTTTCCTGCGGACGACCTCCGTACATGAGGAACCGCCCGTAAGAAGCACAAAAACGACGGCGACGTCGGCAGAGAAAACGAAAAAGAAGAAGTGAAGAAAAAGAGAAAGACGGACAGGAAACGGAGGAGGACACATGCAAATTTTGGCGCCGTCGTTGACAACACCGACAATCGCTGTTAGAATTGTCTGGAAACTTCTAGAGCTTTTATTTTTCAATATATTTCGTTCCTTTCAAAACTACAGTTGGCACTAACCTCCCTGGCGCCTCTTTCATCACTGAATTTCCATACTTTTATATTCTGGCTGATGAGAATTAGACAGACGGCTCTCCCGCTCATCTTGTACGACGGCGGGCGCAAAATGAGAAAAAGAAGAAAAAGAAATTAATTTTCGCGCCCTTTTTATAGTCGGTATTATATATCCTGTAGGACAGCGACAGCGGAGAGGGAAAGCCGTAAAATTCGAGAAAGGAGCAAAAATAAATATCAAATTGGTACACAGCGCCGGCTCCTCCGGCCATATTTCTTCCTTCCATCCCCCTCACTAACGAAGGAGGTATTGTTTTGTGGGAGCTCGCGCCAATTGGATTATAATTAGGAGAGGAGGAGGGGGAGGACAAGAGGGCATGCTCACACACACACACACCTGACACTCTTTTCCGACATGTCATGATCGAGATGGCTCCGGTGGCGGTTTAATTTCGGACGAGGTGGAAGTTTTCGCAGCCCATTCGCCCGCACGTCATTTTATTTTATTGCGGCTCTCTTCGCCAGGAGCTCCCCTGAATCCTCCGCTCATCTCCATTTCATTACTTTTCGTTTTTAATTGTCGCAGAAGACGCGAGAATGTTTCGAATCGAACTATCGAATGTTTCCGATTTTGCACGTATTCATTCTTTCCCGCGTCGAAATACGACACCGTGATGGGAATCGGAGCGCCGGAATCCCCCCGACACTTTCACGTTTTGTTTCATTCATCATCCCTCTCGCCAGCAACAACTATTGGTCATGGTTCCTTTCCAGATATTCAAATTGAGTCTGGTTACGAGATCTTCAATCTTTGAGCTCTTTTCTTTCCAACAATGAAAAGAAAGATCAGGTACCATCGAGATCCGCAGAGCAAGTTTTTCCCACCGAAAACTTGTTGGGTATGTACATTGTAAAGGAGGACGGCTCCTTCGGAAGAGCTCGCTCTCCTCCGCTCACATCCAGAATCTGTCAGCTCGAATCAGCAGTAATACGTGTTTCGATCCATCCGATAGCGGGGCTCAATGAGCCGCCGCGAGCTACACCTGTTCATGCGTCCCCATCCATTCTCCCCCTGCTCAGCCCCCGAATTCCTCTTTCTCGACACAAGTTTTCGCGTTTTTTTGGTGTACTTTGACCACATTTCGAGTAATTTTCTACGGGTCCAAAGTTAGAAGCAAAATCGCCGTCGCCGGCGGCCGCCCTCCTCGCCAATTCAATTGGGTTGACAAGAAGAAAGAAGAAAGGAGGGGCGAAATCTGTGTGGACCGAGACTGCATTTGCCGTTTTCGTGCTCCAACCTCCTGACTTTTTTAGCCGACAAAAAGTCTTTTGAAAAAGGAAGAAGACGGAAAGGTTTCGAAATATTAAATCGGCTCCTGCTGCTAATCGTTCCCGCCCTCTTCCCCCCAACTGTTTCGATGCTTTCACTCGGCACTCTTGCTTCCTCGATATACTTCTTCTATCCCTCCGGCTCATGACCCACTGACTGACAGCCAATTAGTTTTCAACAATTGATTGTTTCAATATCTTCGAGCTCATTCGCTCTCTTGCTCCCGACACATCTGGTACCTCCATCACCATCCAATGTTCGTTTGTCATTTAGTGTTTGTAGAATCTCGCCGCTTTGCCGACATGTGTTCGCACTTGGCCCCCAGTCCTCTTCTTCTTCTTCTTTTCTTCTCTTTCTTCTTTTTGTTTTGCTCCATGACCTCCTCGGAAATGCTCGGCGAGCTGTGAACCCACAAACCGCCCGTGTGCCCTTCTCGGACGGTTTCTGGTACCTGTCATGTGAGAACAAGAGAACATGCGGAATTCGGTTCCGTCTCGTCTTTTCCTCTCCATATTCGACAGCTCCCTCTGGGACTCGCCGGACACTTCTGATGAATTTCGCCTCCGCCGCCGCCGACATATGAGCACATCTTTCCGAGTGGAGCCCTCCACTTCATTTCGACTTTCTTTTCCGGACGACACCAAGTTTTCGGTTTTTTGCGTTGCCTGCATGAAGATATATGTGTCCCTCACCGCCGCTCTCAGATGTTCAGATGAAAAAACAACGAAGAAAAAGTTCTAGCCCCTCCTGAGTCATTCAGGGTTCCGATCACGTTTCGTTCGTGCCGGAAAGGAAAAAAAGCATCGAGAGCCGTGAGCATCCGCCTCCGCCGCCTCGTGCTCGTAACCCGTCAATCAGTCTCATTTGACAGACTCGCATCTGAAAAAGGCAGAAGAAAGCGAGAAGAAGAAGAGGAATAAGTTCAAGTAGTGGATGTAAATGTGACGCCTTCGCCTGCTCCGCGTCTGATGAGCCGACGAGACAGGCGACGACGACCGGTCTTGAAGAGCGCCGCTTCGCACATACATCCAATTATTTGCAACAACGCCGTCGTCCCAGACCTAGTCGACGACGTCTTCTCCTTCTCCTTCTCCTTCTTCTTCTTCTTCGGTCGGCTATGTGTGCAACAATCCGTTTCTCCCACGCACCTCATCTTGCTCGGAGAGCATCTTCCCATCTTGCCGCTTTCCATGAGCCGCCGCCGTCGAAGAAGGCACCGCGCTCTTGTCTTCTTCCGTTCGAGCCGCCCTTCTCACTGTTTCGGTTTCATTCACTAGGCAAATGTAAATATTCAAGCGCGGGACATCGTGTTTTCCGTGTGCTCTTTATTCTGTTTCTCTATTCTGTCGTTTTCACGCTTCTTCTTCTTCTCCTTCTTCTCCTTCTCATCCCGCCTGAAATCTGCAGTTTCCCTTCTCTCCGTTTTCCCTTTTCTTCGAATCCCCGTTAAAATGTGTCATAGGTTACAACCGCACCTCGGGATTATATTCTGCCGAGACCAAAGGCCCACACTGATCATACTGCACTTCCAATCCGGAATAGAGAACAGTCACTAAAATTGATTGCGTCTCCGACACACCGTTTTTTTGTGCTTCAGTGGATTTCAAACCGCCTATGAATAGTCACCTAGTTGCTATTCTCCTCGAGGTTCCTCCAAAAAGTGAAAACAAAAGGTGCCCTCGGCTCAGCGGTCCCTTCCCATCATTTCAAAGTAAACTCGCTGGGAAGGATGCGTCTGGATTCAGTTTCAGTCTCATCCATTGTTCCAGAGCGAAAGCGGCGCCACACGAAAAGGAAGAACAATATCTGTTTTCCACGCGGCGACGGTGTCGGCTCCGACTCCGGCGTCGTTCGTATTTTGCTGTTTGCCACCCTCGCCTCCCACCACTCGATCCGTGTGCCCGCGTTCCGTTCCCCTCGCCTCCCTCCTTTTTTTCTCTTTTATCTTATTTTAGCGCCCATCTGATGCCGGATTTCAAAAGAGAAGTCGGCGCCCAGGGGCGGGCGGTTGAATGCCTTTTGAGAGGGACTCAGCTGCCATCAATGAACTCACTTTGACTGGTCCCTGAGATTTAGGAGACTTGCACTTCTTCCGAGATAAGCCCTTTTTAAAGGGATAGCAAAACGAGCAAAAAGAGCAGGCTGTTCTTCCGAGTTTCCGAGCTTCCGAGCCATCCGGAAGTCTTTTCAATGTCAAGCGAAGAATCGGCAGATCGGTCCGTCGTGCTTCTGCATTTGCAGGCGGTCAGCTCTCGATTCACGTCATCCGAATCTCTATCTAGATCTTACTTTCCATCCAGTTCAACCTCTGACCCTACTCCTATCACTTCCTCTCCTTCCCGCTCATTCATCTCCCCTTGTTTTCGCCCGTTCTTCTCCCCTTTCTCCCTCAACTTCAAGCAGTTTCCTTTCCATCAGTTGTAACCTGATCCGCCCTCCATCACCTATAACAAATCCGCGTCTCCTCTAGGCTAGAACTGTCTTTGGTCACCCACTAGGCTTTTCATCTCGGCGAAGATCTCGTGTGATGTATATTGCGTGCCCTTTTTTGTGCCGCTGCCACCCGCGCCCAAGCTATGGCTCGCTCGTTGCATCCACCCTCACATTTATAATTGCCCCGCCTTCCTCTCTTCCTCCATCTCGTCCCCACCCTCACATCTTGTGCTCGCTTGCTCTTTTGCTCGGGGAGCCAACGAGCAATGCTCATTGAGAAAGCTACCGTATATTCGAGAAGTTGATTGAAAAAAGAACGAATGGAAGAAAAACAGGAAAACTATGGATTATGCAAATGTGAACCGGTGATTTGTGAAGGAAAAAAAGAGGAGGAAATTGAGAGTAAAGGATAAAAGAGAAAGGAGGAAATTGGGAAAGAAGATTGGAATTTTTCTATTAACTTTTTGTGTGTGCTCGTTATTCTTTCTTCTCCTCTTTCATGAATAAATGGAAACGGAAATTCATCTAGGAATAATCCAGCCAATCTGCATTTAGATGAGCTCTCGGCCAATCTGTTCTCCACCTCTATGCTCTTGTACCGTACGCAACTATATCTCATCCGCTTCTCTGATTCTCCGTTTTGACGCTCATTTCACTCACTCTTGAATTCAGACCTATATCTAACGGTGCTCCTTCATGACTGCCTCTCTCCAGTGATTAGCCATGACGACTCCGGACTCGGACAGCAACGCCGACCCGTTCGGAGGCTCCGATCCTCCCTCGGCGCCGCTCACCTTCCGTGCACCGCCCGTCTCCAACTGTGCCAAGTCGATCATCGATCGGAAGCTGCGGAAGTACGCGTCGGAGACCTCATTCGCGACAGAGACGGCCAGTGAGTCGAGTCTGGAACGCGAAGTTCCCAGTAGATCAAGAGTGTTCACGGTGAAACCAGTGGGCAGTCGGACACCTGGAGGCATAGTCTTGACGAATGGAGGCAGCAGCACTGGACAGATGAACAACGGGGCGGCGCACAGAAGCCGACGGAGACACGATTCGGACGCGAGCGGATCGGCCAACTCTGAGGCGACGGTTGCTTCCGGAGCGAATACGCCGAGAAGGTGTCACTTCAGAAGGCCCAAGTCGACGAGCGAGATGCATCAGTCGTGCACGTCCGCAACAATTCACTCGCTGGAGAGTCATCACAATGAAGAACGGCGGGCTAGCCACGTGTACATGATCGACGACGATTCAGTTCACGAATTCGAAGACGATGACGGTATGTTGTTAAATATTCTGGTTCCTTTTTCACTTTCTGTAAATCTCAAAATGTTCGCGCATGTCCCCTTGAATGCTTTCGGAAGGTGTCCCCTTCTGTCCCAAAAATACATGATTCCTGCGGCTCCCGTGAGCTCTCTTTCATCAAATTGGGTGCACAACCAACCTGAGCCTTTCTCCTCTTTCTTCTTCTTCTTCTTCCTTCGTGATCCCCCTTTTCTTTTGTCTCCAATTTTTTATTCGTGTGCCCCTCCACGTATTTTTTGAAAACATGCTCGGCGCCCGAGCGCAGGCGGCGACGGCGGCTCACTTCTTGTGCTCATGACACTTTCATGAGATATGTGAGGGTGTGCTCCACGAATCCGGGGTGAAAGAGGAAAAGAAAAAAGGAGATGAAGAAAGGAGGAAAAAAGAGAAGAGAAAGAAGAAGAGCGCGTGTCATCGTAAATTGAATTTCGGCGCGAAAACGCTGAAGACGGCGTCTATTCAGATGACAGGAGACACGCCAACGACACAGGAAACGGAATTTGCGTTCACTTCAACTTATGAAACTGATGCCTTCTTCTTCTTCTTGTGTGACAAGAAGAAGAAGAGATGCGCCGTCGCCTTCTTCTTCTTTTTCCGGTAATCGAATTGGGTGCGAAACGGACAGATTGTGCCCCGCGGGGAAAGCGGCTCTTTGAACTCTTGAGCACGACGACAAGCTCACAAAACAGCTGAGGATATTCATAAGAGGACACAGCTATTTCGGACGGAAATAAGGATTGGACACGGGATTGAAATAGATTAGGAAGAGTGTGTGTAGGCGAGCTTCTCCGAATCTAACGTCTTCGTAACGTCTGTGAGCCATCTGATCTGAAAATGATTTTTGGCATAAGGGGATTTGGAATCTGAAAAAAACGGAATGATCGTGAACTGTCTGTGCTGAAAATCAGGAGATTCCTGTAGTCTGGAACGAAGAGTTTGGTGCCGGCAGTGTTTGAACCCGTGCTCTTTCCACTCTGCCCTTGTCGTGACCTTTTTTATACTTCCGGCAGGCACCATCCACGGCTGTCAATGAGTTATTTGCCATCTGAAGAGCCATCAGAAGCAAGCAAAAAACGGACGGCGCCGTTGAAGAAGGCGGAAAGAAGAAGCAGAAAAAAAGCAGTCCCGAAATCGGATTCATCAATCCCATAATATGCGGCTGAGGGTCCCTTCTTCTCCTTCTTCTCTTCTTCTTCTTCTTCTTGTGCTTCGTCGTCGTCAACGAGTCGGCTGAGTAGTGAATGGAATGGGCACGAAGTAAAAAAGGGGCCGGCGAAAGGAGAGAGCAGAGAGAGAATCTAAAAGTGGTTTGTGCTGCTGCTGCTCGACGGAGCTCCTTCTCTCTTCCTAGACCCCGCCCACCAGAAGAAGTGCCTCTAGGCCAGTCCATCACGGACGGCTCCTCGACGATATTCCTCCATTTCCACATTCCCATATTCGTTATCACTCATGAATGCTGCCAATGTGAAGGTGTTCGTGTCGAATGGCAGCGTTCGGAAGGGATCGGACGTCGACTCGTACCGCACTCCGCTCGACTTCGCCAGCTGCAGTTCTGGTATTTCGGAGGAGTATCCGTTGTTGCCGAAGAACGGAGACGATGGCTGCACACAAACGGGCATCTACATCAAGAAGCCAGATCCTCGGCAACGAGTGATGGCCAGAAGGACCTCGCACACGCTGCTGTACGTGCCAGAGCAACGGAGGATCTCAAACGTTTCTGGTAATTCGGTGGCCTCTTGTCCTCCGTGCACACAGAATTGTGAGGAACATGACACTGTTCCGCCCCCGCCCACGTTCTCCCTTCATTTGAGTCCGGTTGGTACGAGAAGGAAGTCCGTGCAAACTGGAGCTCCAGCCATCGGATTTCGACCCATAAAGACATTCGAACGACGTGCCAGTCAGCCAACTCTGCAGTTTGAAGCACAGAAAGCAGCAATGAACAGCGGAAATAGCTCCGGCGGAGGAGGGCCTACCGTTCCGATGTGTACGACACTGCCTTCTAGCACAATTCCCTTGCCTCCAGACAAAGCGAAGATGCTCACGAAGAGAGTGTCCTGGCTCTCGATGAAGTCTCTACAACAAGAAGAAGCCAAAACTCGAAGATCCAGTGCTTGTGGGTCTCCACGCGGCGGCTCTCCGAGCAGGACACTCTCGCAATACGGTTCCCAGCCGATGCTCGCAGAAGACCATGACTTCGACAGTGACACTCCGCCCCTGGACACTCTGAGTTGGAGCAATGCGGGAAGTATGTGTTGATGATCTTTTTGTCATTAGTGTGAAGTGCATCAAAATGTCTCTTTTTCTTCTTGGCGCCTATTGTTTTGATTGCGCCTGCGCGAGCCGAAAAAATCTCATACGCTTTTATTGGGCAGCCTAGAGGGGGACAAACTAAGTCCCTCACCCGCAGGCTCTCTTCCAACATAAAAGTTTTGGCGGCGTTTCCCTTTCCTATCCGGGAAAGAAACCCGTTGAAGAAGACCAATTTCGGTTGATTGGAAGGGCCAGATGAGGCCGTTTCAGAGGAAAAACGACAACGATTTCGATTGTTTCAGATGAGTACGATAACGTGACCTTGATGTACGCGAAGCACGAGAAGATCCCGATGAAGGACTTCGGCTCCGAGATCCGCGCCACAATGGACATCGATCACCTGCTGAACAAGGTGAGTGTGCCGCTGACTAATGTCATCCGGAAGTTGTTTTTGGACACGGAGTTGGACGGCCACCACTCTCATAATCGGTCATTAGGAGCCAAAGGGCACTCTATTTTCGGGCTTTGTTTCGTTTTCCGAGCGCTCATGGTCTCAGCTCCCTCTTATTTTTGTCAACGAATCTGCTATAGAGAACTGAAAAAAAGCGAAGAGACGCCGGAAAATTGGTTGTTTTTGCAGGCGGTACTTCTTCTCGATCTTCAGGAGACGAGCCTCGAAGAGATTTTTGCCAAGTGAGTTCTCTTTCCCTCCCCCCCCCCCCGGATCCCGTGGGTGTCTTTTTGCTTAGCGCATGTTTTGTCATCGGCGGCCATCATGAGCATAAGTCTGAGTTTGATGGGGAGGGAAGGGTGGATATGAAAATGAAGTTGGTCTTCGGCGGCGCATAGTTTGTGTTGGTTTTTTGATGAATAATTAATGGAGATGGAAAATGATCGAGTGGGGGACGAAAAGAGTCTTTCTTCTCGCGACGGGACAAAATGAGTCTTCGGGTGGACCTGAAAATTTCCTTGTTTCGTTTTCTTCTTCTTCATCTTCTTCATCATCTTAGTCTTCCGTTTCAATTCTGAAACAGACAAAAGAAACAAGAAAAGAGGAAGCAGGACAAGAATTTCAAATTATTTTCATATGCTCATTCGGGGAGCTGGCTCGTTTGACTCGGCCCGAATTGTTGTTGTTTTGGGAAGAAAGGAAGTGTGCGCTTTTCTAGAGAAGAGATGATGATCGTGTCTCGAGCAGGGGGATTACCATTCCGAACGAGACCAAAACAAGTAAACGAATGGGGGAACGGAGAGATGAATTTTTTGCAGAATCATCCACGAAATGGACATCCAAGAGCCGGAGTTCACAAGCGAACAGGTCAGAAGTGTGCTCTTCACGCAGGACGCCGGAAACCAATGTGAGTTCACCCGACGGTCCGCTGGAAGTAACTTTTTATCCGTTTCAGTTCACATTCTCTCCAGGACGGTGCAATCCATCTGCACCACTGGCTCCGTCGGCGGAAGTTTCGATTACGATCAGACTTGGATCTGTGCCTTGTGAGTGTCTGCGTCATTTCCTCTTACTTCTCTTCTTATTCCAAAGTAATTTGCATTCAATTAATACCGGATTCACTTTGCCTTCTTTTTCTTTTCTCTCAAAAGCAAAGAGAAACGGAAGTCGTTGCGGAAACGAGAAGCCGAAATTGATGATTAAGAAGGCCGTCTCGTTTCCTTTTCGGACGGGGCCAATAGTTTCCCCCCCCCCTTTTTTTTTCTTCGTCTTCTTTTCCGTTTTTTCGGGGGAGGGCTCACCCTGCGAAACTCTTCCCGACGACGCTTATTTGATTTTGCAATGCATTAGCAATAAGGAAAGAATTGGGTAGGAAGTGTGCGGGGAGGAATGAATGGAAAGGACGGATTGAGAAAGAGCAAACGGGTTTCAGATGCATGCTCAACACTGTCCAGCATCGCCACGTGGCAATCGCCCGTCTATCACATCCGACCAACTTGGGGAGAACAATGCAAGATCTCAGATTCATTATTATCGTGATTGCGCCTAGCAGAGCGGTGAGTACTCCAGAAAGATGGAGAAAAAGAGAGCACACTAAACGGAGAGACGCAGAAGCTTTCTTTTTGTTGTTCTCTTTTGTCAGCTGTGCCTGAAGGCTTTCAGAAATTTAATCATAATGAAACAAACAAGGTCATAAATCATGTTATTTTCAGAAGGGAACAAAGACGGCGTTGGAGACGACGCGGACCTTCGCCACTCTTTTCGCAGACATGGAAATCAGGCAGAGATTGGTGATGGCGCAGAGTGTCGAACAGTTCAGATCCACCCTTTTGGGGGCTGCCAAGGAGTTGGCAATGGATCAGAACCAGTGGAGGGAACGGAAAAGCTCAATTCATCTGAGCCACGCAAAAGAACAGATTGTAAGAATCCATATCACTTACTTTGATCACATTTCTTTTCCAGTTCGGACCTAATGCATGGTATCCATTCCGAGGGCTGAAGGAAGAATTCCAACGACGTCTTGCCATCTACCCTTCAGATTATCTGGACGGAATACAAGGCCACAAAACAGTCCAAAAACTTCTTTCCACCGTCGTTTTCCTCTATTTTGCATGCCTTCTGCCTGCAATTGCATTCGGTGTACTGAACGATGACAACACGAAAGGAGCTATAAGTGAGTAAAGTTTCCGGAGTTTCCACGTTTCATTCGGAGTGTTCAGATGTACGGAAAGTGATCATTGCGCAAGCGATAGGCGGTATCTTCTTCTCACTGTTTGGAGGCCAGCCCATGATCGTACTTCTGACGACAGTACCCTTAGCAATTTACATAAAAGTGATATTCAAGATTTCGCAAGAACTTGGCTATGACTTTCTGGCAATGTACGCTTGCGTCGGCCTCTTTTGTCAAATGTTTCTCATACTGTACTCGGCCACGGAGCTGTGCAGTCTGATGAAATTCGCGACAAGATCCGCCGAGGAAATGTTCTCACTTTTCATCGCCATCGCATTTACGGTCGAATCCATACGGGCAATTCATAACAGTAAGTGCTGTTTAAAGGAATTCTCATTTGAAAGCGTGCGTTTTCAGGCTTCAAAAAGAATTACAACGATTGTGACACTTCGGCGATATCAATGAAAGCAGCAAGGACGGCACTGGACGCGTTTCGGAACGGAACGACCAACACAGACAGTATAGTGGGCAATATAACGAGCAGCATGAGTGTGGGCGACACGGGAAGTCTCTGTCGCAGAGACACTTCCATCCTCTACATGCTTCTCATGTTCGGCACTCTCTGGCTCGGCCTTTTCCTCTACAACTTCCGGAAAACACCGTATCTGACGAGATCGCGACGTGAGTGGCTTGCCGATTACGCCCTTCCCGCTTCTGTTCTCATCATGTCGTTCACTGGATCTTATGCTTTCTCGGATATTGAGAGTGAGTTGTTGAGGATTTAAAGGGCTCTAACAATCGTTTTTCTTTCAGAAGACAGATTCAACCTCCGTTTCGAGTTCCCACTGCTGCAGATGGCCGACGTCTTCTCCCTCCCGCCGTCCGGCTACTTCGTATGTCTGCTTCTTGGATTCTCTTTGTCGTTCCTCTTCTTCATTGATCAGAACATCACCTCGGCCATTGTAAACAACAACCAAAACAAGTGCGTCAGCTTTTCCAGACCGGAAGGTTGATTAAAAAATTTCTTACAGACTGAAAAAGGGCACCTCTCACAACCTTGATTTGTTTGTCGTCGCCCTACTCAACATGTTCCTCTCGGTGTTCGGTCTTCCGTGGATGCACGGCGCGCTCCCCCACTCGCCACTTCATCTTCGAGCTCTCGCCGACGTCGAAGAGCGGGTTTCTCAAGGACATGTGCATGAAGTGTACGTTCAGCTCCAGCGCCAGTGCACAACTTTACTAAATCATGTTTCAGAATCATGAACGTGCGTGAGACTCGTCTCGCATCGCTCATAGCCCATGTAATGATCCTCGTCTCGATGTTCTTCCTGATCCCGTATCCGCTCCAACTCATCCCCACCTCTGTCCTCCACGGTCTCTTCCTCTACATGGCTTTGACCTCTCTTTCCGGGAATGAGATGTTCGAACGTCTTCTTCTCCTCATCACTGAACAGGTTTGTCCACTTTCAAAGTTTCATATTCCAAGGTGTTTCCTTCTAGCAAGCCTATCCACCAACCCACTACATCCGCAAAGTTCCTCAACGGAAAGTTCACTTGTTCACTGCCTGCCAACTCCTTCAGTTGATCATTCTGTGCGCATTCGGTTTCTCACCGTATCCGTTCATCGAAATGGTCTTCCCCATCGTCTGCTTCTTCTTCCTTCCCATCAGGTAAACCGGCAAATCCTTCTCAAAGTATTCACAATTGCAACTTTCAGACACACCCTAATTCCGCGTCTCATCGACTACAAATATCTCGATGCCCTGGACGGACGGCACTAGCAGCAGAGTCCAATCCTCGCCCAACCCTTCCTCTTCCTGTCCCATTCAATAAGTAGATGAGTACTTTCACATGATCATACGGGTGACACTCCGCTCTCCCTCAAGTCCCGAATCGTTGCTGTAAACTTGCTCCCGAACCTCTTACGTTTCCTACGTTTTTACCCCGAACAATCTCCGTTTTCCGAGTGACCTTCTTCTTTGCCTGTACAATCTTTTCCTCCCATTTTTGTACCGAGCACAATGCCCGACTTCATTTATAGAGAAAAAAAAAAGTAAAATAGAACGAGAAAGAGATAAATTTTTTATCCAAGAAAGAGTACAAGAACTGGGTGAAAAGGAAAGATAAGACACCCGTAGCAATTTCACAATGATTCAGAAGACTAGAGAATCTCAGCGAACCACTCGGCAAGAACTTTGTCACAGGCGGGATCCACGCTCACAATGTGCAGATTCGGATAGATCAGGAAGTAGAACAGGCAGAAAATGACGAAGCCAAAAAAGAAAAGCATCTGAAACAACATTTCCCAGGTGAAGAACATTCGAATGTTACCTGGGAGATCCAATGGAATCGGTGCATTGTCCGTTGTGTAATCCGGATGTCTAGCATTTTAGAAGTATGCCCTTCTGGAAACGACAATATCTGTGAACTTTGGCCATCTCAAACTCACTGTTATTGTTCGCTTCCTTGTCCTCTCCATTGGGAACGGTGAGCATCGTCTGCTGCTCTTCTGCCACGTCACGAGTTATTGTACTGGCTAAAACGACGATTCAAATGCTTTCTCTGCTTCGAAAACGAACCGGTGTTGTTCCGGAAGTTCATGCTCGACGTCTTCCGTGCTCTCAGCCGTTGTCTCGTTGACATCTGCGTCAACTCCCGGATGGAGTTCCCGCTGTCGCTTCTAAAACTGACGTCTTCTGATGGGTGCCAATTGTTTCACTCACGTCATCATGATCTTCTGGCGCATGTACTTCACGAGCGCCAGTTTGATCAGTGAAAGAAAGACGATCATGAAGCAGACTCCCAGATAAATGTCCATCGCTTTTATGTAGCTGACACGTGGCATCATTTCGTTGTAGGAGAAAATGAGAAAAGTGATGGCAAGAATGATAGAAATCATGTCCTGAAAGGAAAATGAATGGTATTCACAAAAAAAATGGTATAGACACCTGGAACTCCGTTTCAGTTTCCATCCACAAAGAGACCCATGAAGTGATGACAACAGCCGTCGAAGGAATTATCAGTTGAAGGAAACAGAAGCCAGACGATCGGGAGAATACAAAACAGACATACAAACGAGAGTAGTTTCCTGAAATGTCACGTCTAGAAAGCATTTGAATGACAAATGAGCATACCTGTTGCATAACTTTCCATTTGACTCGTCACGTAAGCTTCTTGAATTGTAAAGTCGGGCAGACGGATCTTTTTCAGCTCGAGAGCAGTTCTTGCTCCTTTTGACCACTTGTAGACGACATGATCAGCCGTGTACCCATCTGCAAACATTTTCAGTTCTCAGCAGCTTTTGTTTTTAATTACAGCTCTCAATTCCGAGTTTACACAACTGCTTGTCGAAGGGGAACAATGTCAAGTCCATGGCTGCAATCACACTTTCATAATATCTTCTTCTTCCTTTCCGTTCCCAACTCACTGCACTCGCAAACGAGCGAAATTCTTCGGCTGTAGAGCAGCTTGCCAGTCTCGTCCAATCGCAACAAACTTCTGTGCGAAATTGAGTTCCGTTGCGGGTTTTTCGAGGCGATTGCATTCGGAACGAACGTGTCCGGGAACCTGAGCAAAAACCGAATTATTCCGTTCGGCTTCTACTTTAGCTGATTGCAAACACACCACAAAAAGTTGGTGTAGCTCTCGTGCAACGCCAGTTCCGTCTTGTTCCTGAACAACTTCCGGTCGTACCGCAAACGAGGATCTCGCCACGATTCTCGATAGAACAGTTCGAGTGCGTAGTCCTGAAATGAATATTGTGAAAGAATAAAAGAGGTTGCAAAGAGTACCATGGTGACTTCAGATACTGCACGAATGTTACTGACGACGACGGACACTTCCACGTGTGTGGCTTCTCCTTTATCGTTCTCTGGAACTTGGCGATGATCGTACTGGATCCTCCTCAAAAATTGCAGAAAGTCACGAGTCTCTCTGAAATTAAATAACATTACTTTCGATTTCAAGATCCCTGTAAACAAAAAAGCGCAAAGCCATGCAGTTATGAGAAACGGCAGAGCAAGAGGGATTAGCGTAAGTTCGGAAAAGAAAAATACCCGTAGGAATCGACGCCTCTGAAAGTGAATAGGTTAACTCTCCGATTAGTATTCCAACAACTGACAGAAACTGATTCTCACCCTGAACTGAACACGGATTCTGTGTTCGTCTGTGCATACGTCTCCGACTGAGAAGCATCGGTCTGAGACTGAACAGGACCGTGATGCTGAAAAGTGAGAAGATGTCGGTCTGATTCCGAATGATCAGAGTTACCGCAGATCTGTACTTGTTTGGTGGTGCTCCTTGGCCGAGCGGACCATCGGTGTCCTCCAGCAAGTAGTCGTAGTGCTGACTGATGTCATATCGCTGGTCACGCTGCAATGACACTTCACATAAATCACTCATTCTCAAGTGCCAAGTGAATCTCTTTTTGGAACTCGACGTTCAGCCGCGAAGAACTGACTGGCTTCCGAGGATTTTTCAAGTACAAACCTGAGCATTAGGTTGAGGTTGAGGAACGACGTAACTGTTGAATTCCGCAGAAGAACCAGCGGTTAGCATCCAAATCAGCACAACAAGGATCTTCATGGCTTCTCAAGTTCTCTGAATCAAAAGGTACAAGAAGAAAAATGAGAACGGGGCACAAGTTGAGAGGATTGAAATGGCAAAATATGAGTTTTTTGGTGAGTTCGGACTCTAACGAGAAGACAGAGAGTTGGGCGAACACAAACAATGTGAGGGACATCATTTGGGAATTGAAAACTGGGAGGTTGTCTGCAGATTATATACGTTTGGAGGGAGCGGATTCTGGAGAAGAAGGCGTGCACTTTCTTCTGGAGAGCCCGTGTGACATGACATTCTTTTCCGGGGAGGGCCCATTCAAATATGACATCTGTCCCCCGGAATCACATATATTCTTTCATCTCTCACTCCATTTTTTGTCTCGCTCGAAAGGGAAGACGGAAAGGACGGTGAAATTGTAATCCCTTGAGGAGTAGGGCCCGCCAAGAACAAGGTTCTTTGCGAAAAACGGGTCGAAACATTTGAGCACGATTTATGAGAATAGCCTTTGGAAAGATTGATTTCGACAAGTGAGACTGGCCGTTGAACGCTTTCGAAACGGACGAAAAATGAATTCGGAATGCACTCTGGAAGCGAGTTGCTCGCTTGATTGCACCGAATTCCCGCTCGTTTAATTGGTTCCATTCCTAGTTTTTCATCCCGTTCTTTGGAGGAAAAACTCTATAATAGTTTTGTTTTCGCTTTTCGCATTTCTCAAACGATCAATTGGTAGTGAACTCGGACAAAAGAGAGGATTTAAATGGGAACAGAAGGTGAGAATTGGGATGGATTCCAGAGTGATCGGTCAACTCGGTAGGAAGAAAGCGGGGGACTGGCTGCTCGGAAGTATCCTCTCCGGCTCCTCCTCCTCCTCCTCCTTCTCCTCCTGCTTTCATATCGAAAACATATGCCCCTGCAGGACGGCGGCCACGACTAATTCTGAACATTTGGAGAAGAGGCGGGCTCAGAGAGATGACAAAACGGCGCGCGTTTTGAATGTGATGTGATTTCGAGAAGGATGAGAAAGAAGAAGGCGACCGCAACGACATACTGGAAGGAGGCGCCGATGTCGTCGCGACGAGACGAGCTATCCACTTTTTATGAGCGCTTTTTTGAAGGTTCCAATCGTTTTTGTCACATCTGCGGGGAGGCGCCGACGTCATTTCACACGGGGAACGCATTTGATGCGCTCGATCAGCTCAACTCTTGTTTGATAAGTGAGCACAAATTGCAGAGCTTCTACAGTACCACAACCCGATCACAACTACTAAAACATTTTGTCTAAAATGTCGAAATTAACATGGCTTGATTTCCGTGAAAACCTATCGCTTTTCAGAATCTGAGCACTTCTATCAAGAAACGCCACGTGGCACAGAGCCGCGTTCCCATTGCTCGGCTGCTGACAACATCGTAAGGATGAACATAACCATAAACATAAGCCGCACATCAAAATTCCTCATGTATTCTCTTTTTTCTCGTTTCACACAATTACTTCACTCTTCTATTTTTACGAGATTGGATCCAGAAGCTTCAAAAGATTGGAAAAGGAATGCTGAGAAAGCAGGTGGCTCCTCGAAGAAGATGTTCGGAAAAGTAGTCGAAAAGGAGAAGTGAAGTGAATCGGAGGGACGGAATCGAGAAGACCCCTTTGCAATTCGATTGTTTCTGAGTAGGACGAAAACGGATTTCTTGCCCTTGCTCTTTCATATTTTTGCGAATCGTTCATTTTGAAGGAGGGAACACGTCACTTGAGATTGGGGAACTCCGAAGAAATCGTAAGATCACTCCCATTCACTTTTCAAAAAAAAAAGTTCATTTTCAAAAAGGCACCGGGGCGAGAACCCGTAATCGACATGATTTTCAATATATCTAATCCCATGAGAAAGTTCGGTTAATTAACCGGAAAAAGTTCTGATTGTGCTCTTCGAACATATTGGACAACTTGAACACTACTTCATCGCTCACAGATCGGTGCTTTCGACCTGAAAGTTTGACACCATTGAATAAAATCATTGCAGAATACACGTACCTTTCGTTTCTCCCAAACATCGTATTCTCGTGGTTTTTCGAAAGCAGAAGAATCCTTTTTTGTAATCGAATACCAGTTGACTGGGAGTTATCGCCCGTTCCAGTCCCAGAAACTCTTCAACTCTTCGCAACTGAAACGTTCTATTTCATCGTTTCAAATGTAATGTTTGTGCTCACTTCGTGCAACGGATTGGCCCGAAAAACGTCTCCATTCACAAATAGAAAGTTGTGAACTTTGAAGAACTTGAGCCACTTCGAAATGTGAATGTCGTAGAGCGAGTTCGTCATCGGTTTGTACTCCATATTTATCATTTCGCGGCCCTCTTCGTCTGAACGAAATGCTTCCAAAGATAGGACTGGAAGTGTCTTGTTCTGTTCTAACTTGTTGTAGTAAACCTGAATATCAGGGGTGTTCTAGTATTTATAAAACACCACCTACCTGTGTAAAATCACTGACCGTCCTGTAGACCGGATGTCTCACGATCAGAATCAGTTTCATGTCCGGATTCATTTCAAACACCCTCCTCGGAACGTGTTCGTTTGTGAAATACGCAGGCGTTTTCTCCAGAATCACCTCGTCCTCACTCTCAACGTCGGGCATCTGATCACGGTACCAATCGAATCCAAGTGAGTAATTCGAGTCGAAAAAGTGCGTTTCCTTCCGAACAATTCGAACTTTCGGATGGAGGGCGACTGCGTCCAACAAGGCACGAGTACCCCCTTTCCGAACTCCGACGATCAGGGCCGATGGTAATCTGGAAACAGTTTTGCATGAGTTTGAATCAGAAAAGAAAGTGGATTCTAACCTTTTCTCGATTGTTTTGCTTGCCTTCAAGTCTCTCTCTTTCCACAATTTGAATTTGAAATTCCGGAAGAAGAGGTTATACTGTAGCAGGCACATTGCGACTGTCAGCAGACACGCAATCACACATCTCGTCGAGAACTTGGCCATTCTGAATCATCGCATCTCCTGAAACGATACGAAATTTCAAAAGAAATGAGCTTGGCGTGCGTCCAAGTGTGTTTCCACTTCTCAATGAAAAATAAACAGTTTGGAGGGGGAAGGGTATGCCCCTCAGGGGGTCAGTGAGCAAAGAGAAGAGAAAAAGGAAAGAGAGAAAGAGAAATCCGGCACCGGGAGCAAAAGGAAAAGGCTAATACGAAAATGTAAAAATGTAATGAGCACCCCGAAAAGGGGTTATGAATTAATTAGAGAGGGTAGAAAAAGGGAAGAGGAGGAGGACTGGAGGCACTTGAATCACAGGGGTACGCAGCAAAGTTAGATTCATACGAATTCACGTAATGAGACTACAGTACTCGCGGGTTTGTGCAAGTATGGGGCATGTCACCGGAAAACGACCTTCGTCAAAATGTGACCTCACTTTCCTCCATTGTTGCTACCGTAAACACGGTCATGACACCTGAAGAGGATGGATGCATTAGCATAATGAGTGAATGTAAATGATCGGAAAGAGAAGAGGGAAACAACTTTGAAAGGACAGCGAAATTGGAGGAAGGGGGCGGAAGAAGGTGATAATTGAGACGACGGGAGCATTTTTCCGAGTGCCCGCCGGCTCCTCCTGACCCATTTCCTCCCGTTTCCTCTCCCGTTGTATCATCATCTCATCTGTCATCCGCGCTGCGTCTCCACTGATCCCCTCACTATTACGCCAGATATCCAAATGAGAAAGTGTGCGGGAATTGGAGGCGCAGAGAGGGGTCTGGCGAGCAGCCAATGAACAGGCAGTCAGCAGAAGGAAGGGAACGAACGGCACGGTTCGTGATCCCAAGTGATGATGATGAAGAGGAAGCAACAGAGTAAGAGTGAGGGAGAATGAGAAGAAGAAGACACCTGTTTCAAGTTTTTATGCTTTGGTTTAACACGAATGCTCGCGGACATTTACTGCCAGCTGGCGACAAATGAGCAACGGTTTACGAGCCGCGCATCCTGCTCGCCGCGCTCTTTTTGTTAATCCCGGAGGTCAATGTACTGTCATTCTGATCATTTGTATACTCAAAGCACCGCGAACCTTGACTCACACACGTGATCCTCGAACTGAACGCATTTCCATACGTGCCTTGTTTCTATCATCCGACTGACCACCTTTGCATCGTTATGAATCATCAAGGCACGAGAGATAAGATAATAAGAGGATGCCCAGGGACACATACAGATCCATCCTGTTTGGCAGTCCATTATCCTGTCTCATTCTTCTCACAGTCGTCATGTTATCCATCCTCGGTCACGCTCTGCTCGCTTCCATTCTTCTGACTGTAATTCCAGCACAATTCAACATTCCGCTGCCGTTCGGCGGCATTTCGCTCAACAAAAATGAGAAAGGAGAGGTTTGAAACAGAAGGTTGCTCAAAAGAAACGAAGCTTTCAGTTGGAGATCGGCGGAATCAGAATTTCAATTTGTTCGGTTGGGGAGCCAATAGGAACGTGAAACTGACGACTGGCAACGGAACGTTCAAAATAGATAGTAAGTGGAGAAAAAGAGATTTGTTTGTGGGAGTGGAATGAGTGGAGAAATTCAAAATGCATTCAAGCGGGGTGCTCGTCTCGTTCTTCCCCCTCATAAGCTCCGGAATGAGCCATTCATACATTATTCTTTCGACGGCAAACTATTCGGATGCTCACAGCATAATAAAGAATCGAATAGTTTGTCAGTTGTTTTTTGTGCTTTTTCCGAGAAAGAAACCTTCTCATCCGTGAGGAATTCACTTTTCTATCGAAAGAATCGGTCCCTCTCTAGAATTTACCTTTCAGATACCGACGAGGCGATTGTGAATGGCTCGACGTACGGCGGAAGCGGTTCGTTCGGAATCGACGAGAAGAGCGGCATCGACATCGGACAGAATCTGACTCTCAACGACAAAAAGCTGGTGGTGAGGCTCTTTTCTTTTCCCCTTTTCCGTGCTCTTTCATGCACATAGATTCCAACCGGAGATTCGATTTTGCTTTGTTTTCAGGGAGGTCCCGGCAAAGAGGTCAACTTCCTCGAAAGTCTGATCGCCCTTCTGAAGCCGCCTCCACAGGCCGAGAGGACCGAGCTGAAGAACGTCTGAAAGGGAACAGTTGTGTCCCCGTGGTCAAGGTCGGCTTACAAGTTGTGTCGTTTCATTCAGAGGGCGGAGAAAGTAGCGTTTGCGATCGCATTGTTATCAGTTACTTCCCCGTTTTCCATTCATTCTGTACTACCGTTTCCTCGTGATCAGCTGCTGATTTCCCTTTTCTTTGTTTATGGATCTTCATTGCCAAACGCTGTTCGGATGCTTGTTTCGTGCGCTTTCTGAAGTCACTTTCTGATATAATTCTAGTATTAACAATAACTTTTCCTCCATTCAAAACAGTCTCTTCTCATCGTAAAAATTAAACTGCGTACAGGTTCATTCTCCTCCAATCTGTGTATGTCCGATTCCAGTAGCCTTCTGAATGTGTTCCTGTTCCGATGCCCTTCGCCAATCTCGATTTATTTCCCGCAATGGTCACAGACACTTGATTGACCTTCACTTTACCGCTTTTACAACAAAGACTCGGCTTGCCCCCTCAAAAAGATGGCAAACCACAATCTTCAGTCTCTCTCGCTCTCCCCCCAGAATAAACCATTTCACTTCCGTGCCGCTTTTTGCAGATTGAACCCAACATGAAACCCTTTATCCACTTTTTCTTCCTATTGACCCTTGTTCCACTTGTGGCTCCACTCGGCGAGCTCCCAGTCATGGAGGACGATGACAATGATGGCGTCATCGATGATTCTCCCGAGACGCTGACGTCATCTGAATCCGCGTCGCTTCCGTTCGTAACTGGGGATGTGACAGCGGAAGACGGGCCGATGCCTCCAGCTGTGGTCGCTGCTCCCCTCGATCCGCTGCCAGCAATGAGTGTGCCACTTGCAAGACCACCAGGTCAGTTGGAAGGGTGCAAAGAGATGGGAAATTAGTATGATCTTCAGGATTCCGTCCTCCAACGTCGTTCAAGTCAAAGAAGGATTCCGGAGATCATACAGAGCACGTGAACGTCGGGGTAAGTTGTCTAGGCTCGAAACTTCAAATACCATAGGCTTTGTGAGCTTCGGTAGCACATCGAGTTCAGATTTTGCGTCAACCCCACGCATTCGAATCCCAAATTGTCTCATTTTCAGTTCGTCGTCCGTCGTGGCCGTGCAAAAGTGATGGGCTTCTCGAGGCGGAAGACGGAAACTGACTAATTGCCCCCTCCCCCTTCTTCAGTGTCCCTTCCCGATATCTTTTTGCTGTATATCCGTGTAGCAGAAACATTATTTCTTCTGCAAAAAGATTGAAAAGAGTGAATGTTTTGCAGCACACTTTGCGCCTTGTCGCTCTTTCGCCTTGACAGAATAAAGAAACGCTATGAATTCGGAAGAAAGGCTTGTCGTGTGTCACTCCGTTCTCCACTGATTTCTCCTAATTCTCCTCGCTCGCAACTGCTACTACCATCCGTCAGCGTCCGTCCAAGCGGATGATATCATCACAGCAGCAGGCGACGCCCAGAAGCCGTGCTTCCTGCTCTCCGATCGCCGCTCGTTTTAATCGTCTCTTGCTCTTCCTCGTCTTTTGTGCCGAAAAAGTGGTTTGTCGGCGGCCGGGGCCACGTTCTCGTCGCTTTTTTTTCCGTCCTAGTCGTTTTCCGTCTTCTTCTTCGTCTTCTTCTTCTTTTTCTTGTGTTGCAAGACATCCATAACGTATTCAGTGTGCAACTGAGTGCATGCCCTCTTCGCTCCTTCCGGGGCACCCGAAAAGAAGAAGAAGAAGAAGAAGAAGAAGAAGAAGAAGAAGAAGAAGGCCTTGAAGGAGGAGAAGAAGCAAAAAAATGGAGTGTTGGCACGAAATTTGAATTTCATTCGTCTGTTTCGACTAGTTACCCACCAGTTCCTCCGATCAACTGCGACAGGATGTTTTCGAAGAAGAAGTGAGTGAAAGCGCCAGAAAACATTGCGTGCCAACTGAATTGCCACATATATCTCCTTTGAGTTTGGGGTTTTAGGTGATATAGTCGGGCTTTGCTTCTAATTTGTTTTTGAGACTATCACCTTCTTACCTGCCTTAACAAACAACTTGTCTTTTGCTTGGATTTCTATTTTCTTTGGAAACGAATCCATTCGAAGATCGTTTCGGCTCTCGCTTTCCCTTCTGTTACACACTGATCCCGAGTCCGCGACCCCAATGTTTCGTTGCACTAAAACTGCCACAAGTTGCACGTGAATGTCACACATTTCGGTTCGATTGTCCCCAGTTTCATCGTGCTTCCCTTGCGTCCCTTTGTTTCTTCTTTCTTCTTCTTTCTATTTTTTCTTTTTTCGTCCGCAGATTCTGCGAACTGATACTGCTCGTCCCCTACCCCCTCGCCCTCTTATATAACGCGAAAACGACCTTGAAATGTGGGAAAAACAAGCCAATTTTGGCACGGAGATGATGATCGGACGGGCAGAACTTGGACGAGACGATCTGCTGGATATGGCGAGAGAAGAGACTTTGTCACCGACAACAGCCGATCTGTCTGGGCGGTCCGGTCCCACTCGTCGCGAAATTCGAAGAGCGAAGAAACACGCTTTTTGCCGACAAAAGACAGCTGTTTTAAAGGCGGCAAAGAGGCAAACAATTGTGCGTCATGCACTTTCTGTAAATTGTTTTGTTTTTGTTCCCGAACAGAGTTGTAGAGAAGCTCTCTTTTCTGACAGGAATGCATGAGAAGGCATAAAGTTCTCTGCTGAGTGCTTCCTTATGGGCGGTACGGTAGATCCCATTCCTGTTAGTCGGAATTTCCGGGAACACGCCAGGTGATCATTTGAATGAACTTTGATCGCCTGATTCTGTCCGTCTCATGAATATGTTCTTCTTTTCCCGGACAGTCTGACGGTCTCTCGGCACAATGTATCCATTCATCCTCTTGCAACACTATCACTCTGCGTCTCCTCCGATTTCAATCACTCTCTGTCTGTTTTGTTTTGATTGAACGTCCTCGGTGCACGTGATCACACTACAAACACAAATAAATCGGTTTATTGGTGTTCTCTCGTCTCCCCCACTTGCTTCCCGGTCCCATTCGATTCTTTCTTCTCCCCTTTCGGCGCGTTGTTTGCATTACTTTTTACTGCTTCTCGACCGCATCTCTCCTTTTGCTGCTTATCATCAAAATTGCCAATCAGTCTATCACTTTCTTTTCGTTTTCATTGTTCGCAGAGATATTCGACTGAATTGGTTGATAACGAGTGGCCGGTGACGGCCGAAACAGCGGACGATGAGGCCGAACTCGCATTCCGCCGGCATAAATTTCAATTTTTTAGCAGTCTTACGCAATGAAAGAGAGACATTGACTCGCTTTCCCTTTCGTGTTTGCGCTCGGTTCCACAGTACTCGTTTGAATTTCAAATCAATCAAAAAAACAAGGTCTCGCACCGCCCTAAACTAAACTTTGGTCCTCTAATCTGCCAGAATCTGATATCACTTCTATTTTTACACCTATACAAACTGTTCTCATCTTCATCTTCATCTCGTCTCATCTCGTCTCTAAAACCAGTTCGATGCTGTAATGATGCATCTCTTTCATCACTACTCTATTTATGTCATCTGATTTATCACTTCTTTTGCAAGACGTCGAACATGCTCTGTGACCGTCTTTTTCGAGGCTCTTTCCACACACAAAACATTCCCGTGTAGTATTTCGAGAGCATCCTCTTCACTGCCGCGGGGGTGTTCTACAAGGGGGGCGACAAACCATTAAACCGTCATCCGGATGCGAGAGTGTTTCGAATCGAGAGATCAGAGAAATTGTTTGGTGTTTGAAATGAATCCTCCCCTCCGAATCGTATAAATGACTCAGGGATCAATGGCCGGTTTGAAGTACTGACTCCTCCTCAAAGGGCATCCCCATCCATTTCCATCTTACAGTTTACTGCTGCACTTTCCACAGATCTTCGGTCCCCCAGAGGTCATAAAACTTCTTTCTGTAGATAAGGAAACGACTATTGTCCGGCTATGGAACAGAACAGAACAGCAATCAGAGTTTCTCAGAAATGTGTCAAGGCAGACAGCACGGAGTCCCAAGAATCGTCTTCCGAGCCCCTGTCTGCGTCTTCGGGATCCGCGCGCTCCCTGATTTCTCTCGCTTTACCCTCCAATCCGTACTGTTTGCTCTCCCCCCTCATCTATCCACACACACACAAAACTTTCAACCCGAGTCCCATCTCACCCCATCCCCAGTCTGTTCTGTTCTGTCTATTTCTGCTACTGACATGGTTCTCGCCCATCCGCCACATCGCCACGAGGCTTCCGAACGCTCGTTGCTTGCCATCCTGACTGATCCGATCGTCAGTCTCTTCCGGTCGATTCCCATTGAAATCCTCGATCACAGCGAGGAACTCAGCCCCAGCCAAAAAGATTTTCACGACGATGAGGACGAGGAGGAGGAGGAGTTTGAGAAAATCGACCATGAATCCGACATAGAAGACAATGAAAAGTTTTCTGAAGATTTGAAGATGAACAAAATGATGTTAGTTATCCTGATGTTAATGAGATCGACGTTCTCATCGAAGAGCTTCTGTATAAGCTGGAAGAGTCAGACTCTGTCAATCGAGAAGCAATCGGTGTGTATCCGAACCCATTGAATTCTTGTCGAGCATTTCGCATGTCTACGGGAAGATAAAGAAGAAGACGTCGTGACAGTTCCCGCAGACGAAGACGTTCCCACCACTACCACAACATTCACCAACTGCGTCTTCATCCGATCGCAATCGTCGGCCCGCGCGAAGGCTACCCTCCCGCACACGTCGTTCGTCTGCACTCTGCCGCCCGTTTCTGCCACATTCTCGGCCCCTCCCCCGAAAAAGGTTGTCAAGCGAAAGTAAGTGATCAATTTGTTCCCTGCAAAGACACTCAAAGTGGGCGGAGTCGTTCCGATCCGGTTGCCAGCCAATTTATGATCAATTAAAACGGATACAAAGTTCCCATTCGTGTTACTTTGTCCAATACATACCAATCGGGTCAGTTCCAAGCCTCTACTGGAAAAGACTACTTCCTTCTGTTAATCGGGTTAATTTCCGTTGCTGAATCAAAACAACCCCATCTTTTTTGACTACCGTATGCTCGTGAACTATTGTTCGTTTTCCGGTTTCCCTCCCCCATTTTCATTCATTTCAATTTCTCCGACCTTTCTGTAAGTCACATTATCTGCTGCGTTTCGTGGTCAAGTGGATTGCGTGAGCCGATCCACAATTGGACTCAAAACAATAACAAAGTCCTTTCTATATTCAGCCTCAAAAATATTTATTTGCTTACATTGGGCTCGTATGGGGAAAAGTTCGTCCGGCGACACATACGCTGCCTGTCTCGGATTTTCTCCTCCGCCCGGGGACATCTGTTGTAAAGTCTTTTCCTTCCTCTTTTTATTTTCATGATCTTCTTTCTCCTCTCTTTCTTTCTCACTCCGTCTCATCGCTTTCCGAATTCCTTTCCGCATTTCACGTGACGGCGTGGGCACTAATCCAATTAGAAGTCAATGGACGGAACGTCGTGCGTTCCAGAATGGGATGACCTTTGGTGGTCATACGAGACCCACAAAACAAGCCGGTTCCTGGAGAAAAAGAAAAGGAAGGACCCAAAAACATACCAAGAATAGAATAGATTCAAAAGCATCCCGCCCGGATGTTTTTCTGCCTCTCCTCACTCGATTTTCATAAGTTTCGTGTTCTGTGCTGCCGGTGCCACGTCAAACAGTCGCGCAAGAGCTGTTCTCTGCTCTTGTCTACTTGTTCTCTTTCTCCTTCTTCCGCACTACTAATGTTTGTTTCTCTTGACTTTTCGCCCTCATCAAATGAGTGTTTTCCGCTGAGAAGAGGTCTTCGAATCCCGCTGATTCTTCCGACGCACCGCTTGCTTTGTTTTGATGATCGCCGGTCGAAAATCGTCTGAAAAGTGTTTTTGTTCGCTCTTCTCTGCCATCCATGCGACGCTCGTTTACAGTCAGACGGATTGTGCTCTTTCGCCTCGCGTTTACCTCGCTCTGCGACGACTCAAATTTGTTCAAAATGCACAAACTGGCGCGAAAAGTAAACACGAATGTGCGCTCTGGTAATCACTTTCCCATCGCCAACCTTTACCCTTTTGAATCTCCTTTAGAAGTTCCCGCTCCGGCGCTTTTTGATCATTTATCATTTTGTGAGCCACTGAGAACATCGCCATCGCCTGACCTGAATAATAGGTTGCATTTAGCGTTTTTCCGACAAAAATTCGCAATCTTTCCTCTCGAAACCAATCAAATCGGCGCGTCTCAAATTCCAGCCAATTTGAGCAGCCAAAGACCGAAACGGGCGGCCCATTCGAATGTCACCCAACACCGGCGCGCCTCGTTACTTATTCTGTCTTTCATTATCCAACCCGATTGGCGTCATCGAGACCCTTCTCAGGTTACTCTCCAACTAGACGGGCCTTCCATTCTGTTTGTGTCCCCCGTCCCCTCGACGCCCCGCCCTTCTCTGGTGGTTGTGACCACATTCTGTGATGGTGCAAGTTTGCAGAAAACCCCCGACTGCTGCAAAAATGGCGGCCGAAGTGCTTCAAAACGAGCCGCACTGCTTCATCGCCTCCTCCTCCAACATCGACCGTCCGTTCAAACTGCTCGTTCAGAAGGAGACGTTCCTCATTGACGCCGAATCAATGAGCAGAATCTCGCCGGTAAGCGGCATCAGCTGGAGCATGTGATCAATTTGCTTTTCTTCTTCAGATTTTCAATGTTATGTGTTTCGGAAAAGACTTTGAGAAGATGGATTTGTCGAGAGAGATTGTGGATGAAAAGTCGAATGACATTGACTGTTTCCTGCGAGCCGTCCATGACACGTCCATGATTAACTGTGAGTGCCCCTTCCTTGTCCCTCAACTTTACCCATTACCCATTCAGCCACCAACTTTGCTCTCGTCCTTCGTCTTTCGAACAAGTATCAGGTGGATCCGGTCATCGAAGCCTGCCAGAACTTCATCATGCGTCAGCACTTGGAGTGAGTTTCTTTTTCCGGCCCGTGGGAACTTTCGCTCTTCTCTTTCCCACCGAGAACCACTTGTTCCTTCCTCCCATCCTTCCCGATCAAACTTCATATCACCTGATTTCAGTGTGCTCCGTGCCGACGAGATTCTCACTATGCTCATCTCTGCTCACGAGCATCACTGCAAAAAGGAAGTTGTGCAAAAACTGATCAAAAGACTGGCCTCCGAAGGAAACACCGTCTTCACCAAACTCAAAATCTCTCGTTATCTGCCGGCGCAAGTGTACGGATCGGTCATCTCGACGTCGATGAATTTGACGCAGATCAAGGAGCATGATGCGATGAACGGACACGTTCTCAAGATGGAGAGGTACTTGCAACTACTCCCGTATCAAAATGTTTTCTGGTTTTTAGATCGAAGATCCGTTGGCGTCAATCAGTCTGCGAAGAATGCAAGAGTGTAGCCGAGTGTGCTAGTTGCGAGGAATGCAAAAAGGTTTGTTATCGGCGGCCGCCCGTGCAGTTCCCTCATTTACATCTTTTGCAGACGGTGTGCCGCAACCACGTGAGCAAAATAAAGTGCTCGAGTGACTACGGCAACAAACTGACCGCCGACCTCAAGAAGAAGATCGTCGACTTCGAATGGCAGGACTGATCCGATCGTCCTCTCTCCTCGCCCTTTCCCGCATGCCTTATTCGCTTCATTGTGTCCGCTTTCTCCCCTAGACACCTTCTAGCACACTTACTCCTTCTTACCACAACCACCACGTACTGGTCCTTGATCCCACTCACGTCTGTATAGAGTTTTGAACTTTTTGCATTCTCACTGTCAGGTTCTTCTCCTTCTTTTGCGGTACGGTAGTAGTATTTTGTTCGGTTTCCTGCAACGGTTCAATAATTGTTTCTCTCTCGTTCGCTCCGTTCACAAAACTTGTAAACAATTGTATAGTATTTCTTCCATGTACCTAATCCCATGTCTATAAACATTTCATTTGAAAATGAGTGTTATTACCGGGAATGTCTACAGTGTAAATATGCAGTCATTTGTACAAATAATCATTTGTCAGGAGGGAGAGTGATACCGTTTCGGGCACTGGTGTACTAGACTTTTGTGGACAAAAATATGTGAGAGATTGTAGATTTGGGAGGCGATTAAGGAGAAAAAGCATGTTTAGAGAAGTGAATTCCAGTCGAAATCATCGTCGGACTCGTCGTTCTGTATTGGTTGGGACGCCCGGGAATCAGAAGAAGAACCTGAAGTTTCAGTTGGGCTCAGAAGCAAAAGCATCACGACTCACGACTGGTTTCGGTTCTTGGAGTGGACATTTCACTTTCATATTCCGGAAATCCATTGCGGACGAAATCTGAACAAGCTTAATTCATACATAGCTGATAGATTTGCAATGTGACCTTTCAGTTTCTCCGTATCCACCTCCGCCATGTCCCGATCGTCGTTATAATCGAGACCAGCTGTTTCCAGACTGATTTTGAGCCAATCTATTTGGGCCGCCTGGAAATTAGCGGCTGATCACAAAACGGAAAAGGCAAGTGAAGAGATTGCGGGCCGAAAGTTCAAGATGTCTGAGTGCGAGTGCGAGCAAATCAAACGTTTACCCTACCTTTTTCTGCACATTTGAACTCGGCTCCGTCATGAATATTTGGTCGTAAACGACGCGGAAGGAGGAATTCAGATCATAGGACTCGAACAGATTCAAATCGTTTATCTCTTCTTCCTGCAAAGTGGTCCTTGAATTCTTCCAAAAGCTTCCAGCAAAATAAACTCACAGTCAGTTCGCGCACTTCGATAACTTCTCCGACCTCCGAAATGTAGGGGTCTTCTAGAGGCATCTCCTGGACATTGACCTCCTGTTTCATCTCTGTCACTTCTTCCGGCCGATGTACTCGTTTCGTCTTCTCCTTCTTCAAATAGTTCGTGTAAATCGGATTCACTCTCGTCGGCTCTCCCTTCAGAAGACGTGGCTTCTTCTCCGGCGGATCCACACAAATCCACCATCCCCCTATAATTATTTTTCCGTTCGAAACCCTCTATTATCCTACTCACTTCTCTCTCCGTCGTTTCTCTCGATTCGCGCAAACTGCTTGTTGAGTGACAAATTGTGTCGAATCGAATTCTAAAATAATACTCGGATGCACGAAATTCCATTTCCCGATACCTTCCAACTGGAGTTCCGGTTCTCTCGATAGAATGCGTAGTTGCGTGTGATGTGCGCGTAAATGTCTGCCAAAGTGCATCTCTTCTCTTCTGTTTCTTCAATTGCGTGGCGGATGAGCTCGGAGTACGAAAATGGCGGTTTCCCGTTTCCGGCGAAGAACCGTCGACGTTTCCCCTCGGTGCCTGGAGATGGTTGTGCTACCTGTGGGCCGGCAACCGGAACTGGCTCGTCGAGAGGCTCCGGAACTGGATTCATCACGCACTGTCCTCCGTTTCCTATTCCTTCTTTGGCAATGAGCCAGCTCAGTTGGCACAAACTTGAGTTTAGCTCACTATCAGACATTTCTGAAAGAGAATATGTGATTGGAAACGGAGAGCAGCTGGTTGTTTAGATAAAAACGAGTGATTTGAGCCGGATGTGAGTAGAAAGAGGAGACAGGAAAAGCAACAAGCAGGTGAGACGAAAATCGATGTGGAGAAGGCGGCGTCGCCACGAGCAACGGGCGGCATGAGAACGGCTTCCATTGAAAAAGAGAAAGAGAGAGAGAGAGGGAGACTGGAATCGCTGTGAATGAGTCACGAGATGAAGGACCATCGGAGCAAGTGGGGGAGGAGAAAGCCGGCAAAAAAGAGCACGAAAAGAAGGGAGCACACATCTGGTGCGGAAGGCACCACACTCTTCAGACCGAGTTGGCCAAGGCGAATTGGAATGGGAATAATAAACATTCGCAACGGTTAAACTATAGCATGAATGTCATATTGAAAAGTGTCACCGGACTTCATTCAGACTCTTCCGTAGAATAATCTGAAAAAGTCGTCAGAATCACGCCTGGAATGCGTCAGAACTTGGAATAAATACGTGCGAAGGGGTATTTTATGGTCACAAGCTCTGCCAGCTGATTATAGAGAAAAAGCGAAACGGGCAAAACAACGAGCCAACTGCAGAGCTCGAACGAATGGCTCGGATCCATCAATTAGGTCAAGTCCGTAGACTCGCATACTCATTTCCTCGGATTCAATCTTCCGAAAAAACTGAATCGCCGTGAAAAGACAATTCGGAGCAGGGGATTCCAACTGTAAAGGTCATTCGCGTGAAACGACTCCGATCGAAGAACCATCCAGATGTTGGTTATTTTCTGAATTACTTTTTCTATCGATTGGTAAGACGGCTTTCGAAGGTGAGGAAACTTCCAGAGTGTTCGGGAATCCAGTCCGATATTGCAGATGTCCAAAACGAGACGCTTGTTTCTTTCCATGCAAGACGACGACGATTTTTGGGGAAATGGAGATCGCTTCGAGGAGGAGAAATCGAAGCAGCGAAAGTGTCGGTTGGCAGATGACGACGAGGAAGAAATGGAGGAGAAGTACTTCTTCAAACAGAGCAAACTTGCCCGTCAACGCATGCAGGAGCAGACGGAGGAGGAGGCGGAAGGCGACGACGGAGATGAGGAGCTGTATAGAGAGACTGTGCCGGGGAACAACTGGAATGTGTGCATGGAGGTTCCGAACGATGTGGTCGTCAAGAGTGACGCGAGAAAGCCCGATCCTTTGATAACTTCTGCTGGTGGGTGTGTGACATCCTGGCCGGATCTAGTCGACTCATCTGCAGTCGTTAATGAAAATGCGATCCCGAAGCAACCGTTCCAAGTTCCCGTCGACTCCAACGACTCGTTCTTCACCAATTACCGTACTTTCTTCCGCGGACGTCCTGAGGTTCTTAATTTGATTCGCAATCTTTATGAGAATGGAAATGACGACTTCCAAAACAATTTTATTGAGTTGTACGAGAAAACTCGCAAAAGGTGAGTGCCCAGAATGTTCTAAAACTCAAATCATCATAAAAATTCAGATTGGAGATGTTCCCAAACCCTCAAATAAACCAAATTCTTCGCCGCACGACGACCGCCAACACGAACACTTCGGAGCAGCGCGCCCGTTCCCGGCAGGCCGTCGTCGTGTCCAACTTCCGCGAGCCAGACCGCCGCCTCGGCCGCTACTCGAAGTACTATTATCATCACAATGTCGGCCCGGAAGTGTACAGCCGGAAAGTCTTTGTTGGAGGTCTTCCTGCTTGTGTGACTGAAGGTTTGCGTTCTCGCTGATCTTTCAGACATGACTCGCTCATTTCAGTTGAGATTCTCGGGTTTTTCTCGCAATACGGTCGTCTCCAAGTGGATTGGCCCTCGAAACACTACGGCTCCAAGTCCGATTCGGATCCTTCCCTCTGCAATGAGGTCATCTCGACTCCTCCTCCTTCCACTCAACCGATGTCTCATCTTGCCTTGGCTTCTCCTCCTTTCGGACAAATCAACCCGTTCATGACGGACTTGTCGGCTCAATCGGATACTCCGATGGGCGGATTCAGTCGCCACAACAATGGCGGAGGATTTCAGAACTACTCTGGGTTCGGAAGCGGATTCGGAACGACGAGAAGCGAGGGAAGTACTGGAGAGAAGAGACAGCAACATCTTGGATACGTCTTCCTTCTATTCGAGAAGGAGCGCAGTGTTCGCGACCTGGTTGCTGATTGTTATGAGGAAGAAGAGGGGCTCTTCATCACTTTGGAGAGTTCTCTCGAGCCCATCCGTGTCCAGATCCGCCCGTGGCTGCTCGCCGATGCCGAGTTCCTGATGGATTTCAACGTTCCGATCAACACGAAGCTTGTCGCTTTCATTGGAGGCGTGCCGAGACCTCTGAAGGCCGTCGAGTTGGCGCATTTCTTCGAACAAACCTACGGGAACGTCGTGTGCGTTGGCATCGACATCGACAACAAGTTCAAGTATCCACGTGGATCGGGAAGAGTGGCCTTCTCCAACTACGACGCCTACGTTCAGGCAATCACGGACCGGTACATTGTACTGGATCACGAGGACATTCACAAGCGGGTATGAAAAGAATAAGGAAGGGAAAGAAGAATGAGAGTTCAGTTGCAGGTGGAAATCAAGCCCTACTTCTTCCACAATCAGTCGTGCGAGGAGTGTTCCGGCCGTTACCACCGCCAGCACGCACCCTTTTTTTGTCCGTCCCTCGAGTGTTTCCAGTATTATTGCGAACCGTGCTGGCACAAAATGCACTCCCATCCTAGCCGTTTCCATCACATGCCGGTCGTCAAAGGAGTCTAATTGAACGATGTTCGTCTGATTCTTGAATGAAGAGCGTTCCTTTAAATTCACTCTGTTCGGTTTAGGGCCTCTTCTTTTTTTTTTAGGCGCCTGTTTTTTAACGGGCCGCCGCGTCCCTGCGTTGAGAAAACAGGCGCCTGAAATCGCCTGTTCGACCAGCCTACTCGACATGCAAACTGAGCCAATCAAATCGATCATAAAATTTTTCATTTCTTCATATTATTCGGATAACATATTATTCGTATTTGTGTATTCGTAACATTATTCGGATATAGTTCTTCTAAAGAAATCTGCATTCGTACGCAAATTTGCCAACACTAGTGTGCGAAACTGAGCAAAAAAATTACTGCGGAGTTTCAAGCAGATACGGAACACTTCGTAGCTGTCGGAATGAGCATATCCGAAACACTTCTCTATTGTCTAACTTTATTAGGATACAAACTAGCGATTCAGAGAACAGAAATCGATCTAGATCGGCGAAGACTTTCCATGATTTTCATTTCGCTACTCCAGCCACCAGGAGAACTCGTCGGCGTAGGTATCATCGGGATTGATCGCCAGTGATCCGAATGTCTGAATCGGAAACATATTTCTAGGAGAAACATTCTACATCCGTTTACCTTGTAATATTTAACGAGTTGTCCGAGTGAGACATGTTTTCGAACGTTCGGATAAGCACAATCGACGAAAAACTGTTTTCCTCCGGCGCCGTCTCCGGTCATGCGAATCGGGTAATGACGATGCTTCTTCGTGGTCGTGAAGTAGACAAGAATCAATGGGAGGCCAGAAGACAGATTGTTCAGACAGCGATGCGGTTCGAACAAATGATACAGCGAGAATTCTCCGCGACGACTCGCTTGTCCTTCGGCGTCTGAAGCACTTTGAACTCCAATGTAGGTGCCGCAAGCATTGTCGACTCTGAATGTAGAATCAGGGAAAATAACGAAAGATACTAGACTCACTGAAGAGTGTTATCGGATGACTGCGCCAGGAAATACTCCGAAGTTCGGGTGGATTCCTCCGTCGGTGGGCCGAGCACCTCATACGCCGCCACCGGCTCGTCGGTCATCTTCTTCTTCTTCTTCCGCTTTTCCTTCGATGTCTCTTCACGAGGCTTCTCCTCCGCCACCGAAATTTTCTGCAGCTTGGCAGTTACTTCGTCGACCAGCTGCTGTTCTTTTCCCGGCGATGGCAGGTTCACGTACTGATCGTTGTTCGGCTTATAGTCGATCTTCCGCCGAACGTCTTCGGTTCTTGCTTCCCATTTTTCTGAACCAGATCTTCTGATTCCGAAGTTGAGGAGACACTCACCGTGTTCAGCAAAGCAGACGAATTGTACGGTGTTTTAGACGTTTCATCATTCATCTTTCGTTGCCAACGCACTTGAAAATCTTTTGCAATGATGGAGATCGCACTTTTTATCTTTGCGCATTGAAGATAAAAAAAATCAGAAATCAGAACAAAATCATCACGTCTCTTTTTTTAAATACTTTATTTGACGGGGAGGGGAAGCTTCTAGAACTGGACGGACGAAGCGGACGACGTCGAAATGGACGACGTGGAGGACGTCTTCTTGCCGAACAGATTCTCGATCCTGAAAGTTTCCATCTGCGTAATCGTCGCAGTTCTCATTTGAACTCACAGCTTCTGAACCTTGTTAACTTCCGCGTCGGCGATCGGCACGTTCGACTTGAACGACGTCATCACAACGGCCTTCTTCTTGTCGAGAGTCACGTACGACTTGCTTTTGACGTTCAGATGCACCGAAGAGCCGGAAGAGGATCTGCTGCTGGGGGCGAAGAAAGCGGACGATGGCGGAGCACGGGGAGCGATCGGAGAACAAGAGCGCTCTGATTGGCTGAAAACGATAGAGTTCGGAACTGAGAAGAGGGGCTAACTGACGGAATGTGGAGGACGGTGGTGTCCGGAGCACTGCTGACTTTCGTTGATTCGGTGTCGGGGCACAATCCGCGGAAATGGGATTCCGCTTGAATCAAAGCCTCGTCAATCTTCTGAACAATCGCATTGAACGCATCCGTGGCTCCCATTTGTTTGGCCATTGTTCGCTGATACTGCTTCGCTTTTTAAATGAAGAATTCCGGAAGCAAAAGTGGAAATGATGGTAGAAAATGAACGAATTAAAGGAAAAGTCACGCGAGGATAAATAGTTTATTGGAAAACGAAAAATACTCATCGTCCTTGGTACCGTTTCGACACGTAATGCTCATCGGGCCCCCAGGCTTCCGTCGATTCTCCCTTTGCCGCTTTCTCTGCCTTTTCTCGCTCTCTGATGACCTTCCAGATCTCGATGTCTCGCCAGTCGGCCTTCTCGAAGTCTGGTCTCGGATTGTGCTTTACTTCCTCCACTTCCTTCTTCTTTCCAAAGTCGAAATGTTTGTTTTCTCCGTACAGATCTTCTTCCGCGACCACCTTGTCATACAGTTTGGCCTTCTCCTTCCAGTCACCATCGGGATCGCGTGCAGCCTTTTTCTCCAGTTTGCGAATCTTCTTTTCTCTCTTTTTCTCACGCTTCTTCTCTTTCTTCGCCTTTTTCTTGTCTTTCTTGATCTTTTTCAACAATTCTTCATCGACGTCTCCCACATTTAATAGAACTTCTTGTGCCTTCTTGATTCTCATCTCTTGTAATTCTATTGGATCTGCTTCTCGCATTATCGGCTTCGGAGCACATCCTTCTTCCCATAACCGCTTCGTTTCTGCGTCCGCATCTTCTTTGTATTTCGGAACTTTATACTCTTCCACGTGATCTACTCGGATCATACGCTTGTGCAACTGAAAACCTATGAATTCAGAAGAGCTTTTTAATTGTTAACCCACCGTTATTCCATTAAAATTGTCAACAGCCAACACAGTACTTCTTTGATCTTTGTAGCACAAAAAAGCAAATCCTTTCGATTTTCCAGTGTCTTTATCGCGGACAAGGTTGATGTTCATCACTTCACCGTACCTGAAATCCCATATTTTCTTTTAAACATGAATATGAATGCAAAAATGAACTCACTGTGAGAAAACTGCAATAACATCTCCTTCTGTAAGTGCGTATGACAATCCTCCGATGTAAATCCATGCCGAATCTTTGTACGTCTGATGCCACGACTTCTTGAGATCTCCTGCGTAACCCAAATTGAGCTCACGCTCATTCATGCGATTTTGGTTTTTAATATTCGTAATAGGATTCATTTTTTATCTGTAAAAACCAAAATTTGTTAAGGAAAATTCTGAGGTGAAAAAAAGAGGTTTCGAAGAAATATACGGTCGCCCAAGTGTGCAAACACCGTCACGACAAAATGCACACATCTCGCAGGTGCTTTCAGTAACCGGCTTTTTCCCATTGATCTTTGTTTCCGTTTGGGTAATTTGCATGTGACAGCCTTAAGACAATCTTCATATTTCAGCAAATCAGTGTTCAATCAATCGATAAAACATGGGAGGAGTAAGAGGTGAGTTTCCCGTGAACTTGACAGCACAAGATTTCTTCGCTCTATGGTGGCAAACTCTTTATTCCGTGGAAAAATGTGCTTTAATGTTCACATCGAGTGTTTTGAGTGCTGCACTTTACGAAATCCAATTCTAGCTGTCGCTGGTCTCGCATTCGCCGGAGTCGTCGGACTCACCTTCCTGGTCCTCGGGTGCGCGCTCCCCATGTACGGGTAAGTCGATTCATGTTCAGTGTATTATACATTTCATGCTCTACATTTCGCAGAACGTGGTCACCGATGTTCGTCATTGCTTTCTACATTCTCTCGCCGGTTCCTCTGCTCATTGCGAGACGATTCCAGGAAGACATGACCGGCACGAATGCTTGCATTGAATTGGCTCTCTTCATCACCACTGGCATCGTAATTTCCGCATTCGCTTTGCCGATCGTCCTTGCTCACGCTGGAGCCGTAAGTTTTTGTTTGTTATGAACCGCTTGAATGCAGTTACATTATAATTAGTTTGCATGGTTGAATGTTTCATTCAGATAAAGCACGGCGCATGCTTCCTTATCAATTCGGGATCGGTGATCATGTTCGGAACGATCTGCGCCTATTTCTACCTGCATCGCGATGAAGACAGTGGAAGCTGGAGCCAATCTCTCTTCTAAACAACACTTTCGTCATTGTCGTCGTCCCTCATATCAAAGTCTTGTGGTTCGTGAATGTTGTCCATTTCTCCATGCATAGCTCATCGAACCCTTTCATTTTCAGATCGCAAAATCTGCTTGTGTCCTAATTTTCATCGCAAACTCAATCAATTTCGGCGTCATCATCTTCTACTTCCGAATTTTCAATGGCGAAGATATGAACGGAATGTCACTCTGGTAGTAGTCGCTTTTGCCATTTCCTCTAAATTATTGCAAGCCTATTAAGCATCCGATGGTGTACCGAATAGGTTTTGTAATTAACATTTTATTACACTCACGTCTTTTGGTGAAATTGTTGCATAAATCTGATCACTTGTGCTGTACATTCACAGAATAAATCATTTTTTCCGATGCTCGGCTCTCTTGAAAAAGGCGCCAGTTTATTTATTGTTTGATTGGGACCAAAAAAAAAGATGCGAGCAGTAAAAGTGGATGTAAGGAAAACGGTGTTAGAAAATGAGATCTCGACTAGATAAACCAGGTTATCGGAAAAAGTTACACAAAAAATGATAGCCATCTATAAACTAGTCCTATTTGTATCATAATGATCACAGCACGGATATCCTAGAAAGGCGATGCGTCTGATGGGGGAATTCACGCTTCGGACTCCTTTCCAGGTCGTACCATCACATCGATCGGGCTGGAGTGATTCCGAGAAGATGGAGGCCTTCGGAGAGAACATTCCGGACGGCTGTGAAAAGAAGAAGACGTGGGACGGCCACCTGGAAATAGACTGCTCGTTAGAAGCAAAGTCAAGGCTGAGAAAGCGACCTCTTCTGGCTGATCTTTCACGCGCAACTGCTTCTGAACACTTCCGACAGCTGCTGCCACGTGAATCAGTTGAACGGTAAGCTGGCAGGCTTCTAACTTCTCTGCACTCAGTTCCACGGCCTCTTCGAGATCATTCAAAAGTCTGATCAATCGTTTCACGTCGTCGTTCGTGTCAAAATCAGGGAACTTGTCACACTTTTCGACGAGAGGAAGAAGATGTTTATGCTTCTCTTCAAGAGACGACAATCGACTGTGCTTCATCTGTAAACACGATAATAGACAGATAAGGTACGACCGAGAAGTAACAAAACCTGAAGAGCAAGAGCATTGTTTTGAGTCAAAGAAAACGCATTCTGGAATGAGAACTCGTACTCCGAATTGCGTGCTCTTTTCAACTCATTGAACACCACAGTAGATAGAGAAAGCACATTTGAAATCTGAAAAAAGCAGCTAAGATTAAAATTGCATTGACATTAGCCGATCGCCACCTCTTTCTCAACCTCCGGATCCATGCAGAATGTCTTCGACGTCTTCATGAACTGCAAGGCGAGCTCTCTTCCCTTCTCAATTATCTCTCCGACTGCTTCCGTTCTTCCATTTCTCGTCGACAATCCTCTCACTCTTCCGTACTGAACATGTTCGATTTTCTCCGACAAATCCGCTTTTCCCATTTTCTCGAGGATCACTTTGAGTGCTTTGAAGTGCTGTCTCTGAGCCCTGTCCACCACGTACAAGTACCGATCCGCCTGGAAAGTGGCATCTCTCTCCAGAATCGCAGCAATTTCTCTCGTCAGATAGAGGCTCGACTTGTCGCTCTTTCTCAGAATTGCATAGTTTACTCCGTCCGTCTTCTTCATCTCGTTCTCTCTTTCTTTCAACCGAATGATGGTGCGTCCGTCCAAGTCTTCCGTGAGTCCGCTGTCGATCAGCTCTTGCGCGTATTCGTGTGCCTTCCGTACTTGATTCGATTCGCAGAGCCAATGATCGAATTGAATATTGAAAAGCTTATAGAACTGCAAGAGGTGTTCTCTGGATATCTGGCCGATCTGCCGCCACAGCCGCATGTTCTCATCGTCCTCTTTCCCTTCCGACACCGCCTTTTCCATGCTTACAAACGTTTCGTAAACTTTGGCGCGGAACTCCTCGTCGATCTTCATGTTTTTGTTGGCCACCACGTAGCAATCCGTCAACTGCTTGATCTTTTCCACGTCGGGGAGCGAATTCCAGTACTGATCGGACGGACGCATTTGCGGCCAAAAAGCGGCGATCATTGCGAACTGAGTGCCCCAGTCTCCCAGATAATTCACTGATGTCACCTCGTTTCCTATCACTCTGTTCACCTGAAAATCAGATAAATTCTAACAAAAGCGAACTGAGTTTGTCTTTAAACCTTATCCACATATCTTCCGATCAGCGTTGATCGTAAGTTTCCGACGTGGAACTGTTTGGCGATGTTCGGCGAGGAGAAGTCAACAACGATTCGCTTCCCCGGCCCTTAATCGCTCAATTGCCGATTTCTTCGAAATGAATACCAACCTGCTTGATATTTCTGCTCTACGAGCGCCCGAAAAGAACCGACCTGTCGGAGCCTGTGCAGGGTCTGGACGCACACCTCGCCGCTCATCTGAAATGGAGATGCTCCGGGAGCAAGGGGAGGGGGAAACGGTTTCCAAGGAGATATACGAGAAAAGCGCAGTGACATTCACACGAAAGCTGGGCGCAAAAGAGCAGCGCACGCATTTGCAATCACAATTCATTTCGACAGAGTACAAACATAGAATAGAACCATTGCAAAGAAGGGAAAAGTACGGGAGATTAAAACAGACAGAAGAGAGACTCGTAGCAAAGTTTGGAAATTAGATATCAGAATTGAAACGATGAGAAGTCATATAAATAATAAATAGGGGTTTGGGGGGAAGTATGGAGACAATCGGGGGGTTGATGTGTGAGGAAGGTATCTCAAAAAAAACAAGTGAGAAGCAGCACATGTCTTTGTTTTTGTTCAGTCAAAATGTGAAATCCACGTGTTCTGCTATACATATACAAGAAGAAAAAGAAAGAGAAGGAAAGTGGATTAGGCCTCAAGAAGGTGCTCCTGATCGTCCTGCTCGTATTCGATGAGCTCTTCGTCGCCGCCGCAGACGCACAGCCAGAAGCGGGCGCAACTGGCGTGCGAGCTGAGGTTCGGGAGGATGTTGCGACGGAACCATGGGCCGATGAGAACGTCGTTGTAGACGAGGGTTCCGAGGATGAGAAGGGCGAATCCGATGAGCTGAAAGATGAGCATTTTATAAAGAAACGGCCGCAGGAAGCCAATACCTGGATAGCAATGAATTGCTCTCCGAACAATGGAATGGACACAACCCAGATGACGAGAGTGCGGATCGAATCGAGGACCATTCTGGTGGTGGCGGACAGCTCTTTCGTGACTGACACTCCGGCAAAGTTGAAGAATGCGATCGAGATGACGGTTCCAGAGAGGGCAAGAGCAATGGTGGGCTCCTCCTTGATCTCCTGCCAGGCATAGAAGACGTCCTCGAGACGGCCTTCCGGGTTGGTCGAGAATGTCTTCGGCACGTGGATATAGTAGAACGGAATCATCAGGAAAGAGAGAGTGACCATTCCGAAGAGTCCTTCCAATCCGACGGCGAAAAGAGCGGGGACATCGTACTTGGTCAGATACTTTTGCTCGTAAACCATCTGAATGGCAACGATTATTTGCGCCATGATAATGAGCAGATTTCCGGTGATGATGGCGTTCTTGTCATCTAACGGATTGCTGTCGTAGTAGATGTCGGTGACTCCGACGACGACGAGACCGAGCATGACGAAAAGCATTCCGAACCACTTGAATGGCTTGATCTGGGCGTTGAGCATTCCGACGGAAAGCAGTCCTGTGAAGATGATAACGGCTCCTCGGAGCATTTGGAAGCTCGATGCAGTGGTCAGATTGAGACCGATGTACATGATGGAGGTTCCAAGAATATCGCACAGTGCCGGAGGGAAGAAGAGGAACGGGTTGAACGGAGGAAGCGTCGGTTTCTCGTCGGAGGTAATCTCTGTGATACTGCCGCTTTCACCTGAATAACACCGCTGACCAGTCTGTCTACTGTTTTCCTTCTCTACCTTGCACATTAGACCGATTCCAGACGTATCTCTTGTATCCGAAGATCAAGAAGAAGACAACGAGACAGAGGAACTCTCCGAAGAACATGCACGTCGCCTGCAGGAACGGATGGTTGAACGGGACGCCGTCGGCCTTGATGCTGTCGGCCCACTTGGCGCAGATGGTGTTCAGGGATCCGGTGACCACCATCATCACCGAGATGATGACAGCGAACGCCACCATTCTGTCTGAAAAAAAAAATCAATTTCGAGTTAATAAAAGAAGAGAAAGAGCGAAACAACGGAAAGAGTTCGTGTAAATAAACAAGAAGTCAGGATTTATTGGGGAGAGGCACGAGACGAGAAGAGAGGGTCACGATGCTGGTTGTTATGATTGGTTCTTGGCCGCCTGAATCTGTATTTATACAGACAAATGCCACAACGCACTGAGATGACGAATGGCATGGGTCTCGAGCGGAATGAAGGGAATGGGCGGTGCTTCTAAGCAGAAAAGCTCTGATGAGTCATCCGGAAGATCTGTCTCGCCGGTAGATCGCAGCTGACTAATCCAGAAAATCAATGAGAAGAGGACAACGAAAGAGAAAAAGACGCAGACAGTGGCACACAGATCTCCGCGCGAGAATAACAAAAAAGGAAGGAAAACAGTTGTGGAAGAGGGAAACTAGCAACGAACGGTCACTACTATACTAACTAACTAGCAGAAAAAGAGAATGTGGAGAGTAGGCGACGAGTTGTCACTGATAGACAATGATAAACGTCTAATCGAAGGGTCAATGTCGGAAAACGAAAGACAGGCGCTCAAAACGCGATAAGCGGCGCGTCGTTTTTCGAGGAAATTTCGAGTGACCAGTCGGTGGTTTGATTTCTGTATAGTCGGACAATATTTTCGCTTGGGGAAACAAGTGAAGAAATGAACGGAAAGAGGGGAGCGAAGGAGAAAAAGGAAAAAAAGAAAACAATCAAAAGTCATTCGGGTGGCCGAGAAAGCTGTCGGAATTACGGCCGTTCCAGGAAACTTCGGTCATCGTTCGCAGAGCAGGAATACTGTAATTGTACAGTAGGAAAATCGGATGATATCGAAAGTTCGGTCACAGAGTGATCGTTTAAAGAGATTTGAGAAAAATATTTCCACAATACAGAGGTTTCATCAAATCATGTTGAAATTGTTACACCAACAGACGAATCACATTTTTCAATTCAAATAAATTCTTCAAAGACGATCAATAAAACTGAAATCGAGAGAATGGTGTGACTGAGGAAAGGAAAGACGACGGCACTCGGCACAAAAAACAGCGGCGACGGCAGGCAGGCGCGAGGGGAACGAGAGAGCGGGCGAACGATGAGGGACAGACATCCGACATGTTCAGCTTATCGACGCGGTTATTTAGGACGGGGAATCGAGTGAGTTTCGGAGAATTTCGAGTGTCTTATCGGGGTGAATTGAAGAAAATTCTGATAAGAGAAAGAGGGGTTTGAAATGGAAAGAAGGTGGAGTCATCGGGGGGTTTACTCTCAGCGCTAAGGTCAAAGTACGGAAAATCACTAATTCAGAATGATTTCAGACAATGGTCGGTTGAATTGAGATGACTAATGTTATGGGAGAAGAGATATATGAGCCCGAACGGATCCAATGACTCATCCGTTGGTACCGTCATACAGCTGACTAATCCAGAACACAATTCCACTCGTTCCATTCTCTGCAAATGCACTTTGCATTTTTTTTGCCACTTCAACTTCGTTCGCGTTCTTTCCTTGGCAGTAATTTTGGGCGCCGACCTCCTCGGTCCGTCAGCAATCAACAAAAAGGCCATTCGTGCTCGCTCGTTTTTCAACCAAAAAGTTGGTGGGTCCCCTGCCGCAAACCTTCTCCCGCCCTCCAATAAATTATCCCAATTTGTCAAGAAGACCGGCCTTTTCATCCCCCCAGGGGAGGGCACCGCTCTTTCTATACAATCGAGTGTGAAAAATGAGCCATAGTCGGGCCTTCCGAGCCCTCGTTTTTCCGGGTTTGCCACCAGTCTGCGAACAAGAGCGTGTCACACTCGTTTTCGTTAAAAAAAAACCAAAAGGACGACAATAATACAAAATTCAATATAATCGGTCAGATTCGGGCGGCCGTTTCAATGTGAAAACGGAAAACGACAAAAAAACGGGGCGGTGGTTTGCCTTCGTTTTCCCCTTTTTTTCTGCCATTCCGAATCAATGTGTTGTCATAGAAACTATTTTATCAAGCATTTCGGAGCTGCCAGCTGTCGCTCTGCTCTCCAAAAAGAATGTTTTATGTTTTCGAACGTAAAACATTATGAGTGGTGGATGGAGCAGGCAGTACCTTCCCCCGCACCAGTTTCCCCTTCTTCCATGACTGCCATAAAACATTTCCTACACTTTTTTCGCCGACAATTTGAGCGTTTATTACCCGAAGCAAAGCATTCTCGGCATCGTAGGGATCCTGGTCCCATTTTTGGCTTCCCTGTAGAGATCTCCACTTGACCAACTACTTTTCAAAATCGTTTTGGCAATTATGACCACCTTGTGGGAAAATTTGGCTTCCTGTCGAAGTGCCGTCAATTTCCATATTTGATATCCGTCCGATGTCCTCCCTCCCTTTCCGCCGTAATTATGACGGATCGAGGTCACTTCAGCGAGCCTTTCCGCTTTTTCTCTCCGAGAGAAACTTCAGAAAAGAAGGTGAGCCCTTGAAAGGAAATGATGGAAAAGTGCAACGAAATCGAATTTGTTTTGCCGGAGGGGGCGGCAATGCCCCCGTAAATGTGTTTCTTTCTCCATCATCCTTCCGCAACAACTCCATCACCAATTGTTACGGGGGGAAAAGTGCGCACGCGGGAGAGCTCTTCCACTTCTTCTTCCACCGCTTCTTCTCCTCCTTCCTTCGCATTTCGTATCGTTTTACCGGCGAAAGAGTATGCGGGACGAAGAGACGCAGTCAAATGAAGGGACCATCTCGAATTGCACTCGAGAGCCGCTCGAGGGCCGGAAATCCGTGGAATTTGTGGCCTCGCCTAATTGGTTTCCTTGCCAAAGTTGACTTTAACTCTTCCGAAAATGAAAGCCGTTCGCTCCATCTTCTTGAGTCCTCAATTATAAACAAACCGAAGTTGGCCTTCGGAACGAACCCTTTTCATAAATTGTACGTTTTGACATGCATCCGCGTCTTTCCCACCTCGCCCACTAATACACTACTAATCGGAATATCAAAGTAACATGGCATTTGTGACTTCTCCTTCTTCTCCTACTTTGCCTCCTGCATAATCACATTCCATCACGTGCCTTCATCGAGTTAGGAATCGGCTAACGATGCGACGAGCCCAACTGGATTAGGATTCTCCGCTGGAACAAGGAAAAAGAGAGGAAAAATGAAATTTGTGCTTTTCTTCATTCTTTTTCTTTTCACGAATGTGACAGAAAGCGTGGAGAATTCGTTCGATTTCCGAGAAAGAGATCAGAAATCTGCTCGTTGGTATTTCGCCTGAAATGAAAGGTTTCAATCGCAAAAAGTGTTCACTTCCTTATTGTGGATTCTCTGAAATCCCTGCCTCGCCCGCCCATCCTCTTCCATACTTTTCCTTCAATTCGATTCCACTTGCGTTGCCTTCTAATGTATTACGTATTTCTTCTTCTTCTTCTTTTTCCTCCTCTTCTCCTATCACGATCGTTTGTTCGCCGCTTCTTTTTTCAGAGAGTAACACGCCCAGTGTATCCCCGATTCTGAATATCTCTGCTTCATCAGACGCCTCGACCGGTTCACCGTCAGATGTTTATCTCGAACGTCTTCTGAAAGTATCAGCCCGAAAGGTTCGCCGACCTTCTTCTCCTCGTGCTTCTTCTTCTTCTTCTTCTTCTTGTTCTTCTCCTTCTTTCCTCTCACTTCTCCAAATTAATCCGTACCCTGTCTGCGTCGCTCGCATCTCCCCACTCTCTGCCCACTTTAATGACTCGGCTGCCGAGAGCCGATGCTCCGCCTCCTCAGCGGCTCCTCCCCCACTTTCTCGCGCATTGCGAAGCACTAGGCGGACTCCGTTCTTGCCTTCACAACTATACAGAGTTTTCGGAGAATCTTCCTCCTGTTGACGCACTTCCACACTTCTAATCTTTATTCTTCTTTTTCTTCTTCTTCTTCCCACGTCACTCTTCTCTAATCCCTTCCCCGTTTCCTCTAATTTCAACCACTTGTTCCGCTCTCCGCTCTTCCGCAATTTCAGCCAATTCACTCTTCCCCGTATTCCAGTTCGTCTTCACAAATGCAACGAATTCAAAGTTGGTTCGACCAGCTGACTCTGGGCCGTCAGTCCCGTCGTATTTCACGTCGTCGTCGCAATCATTCCCGTCAGCCCGACGATCGAAAGGCTTCCTCGCCCTCCGTCAACCCCATGTCCTCCAAACGTAGTGCTCAACCGACGCGGGCCGCTTCTCACAGTGTCGTCCGTCACTCGCGTGATGAGTTGAAACCTCTGCCAGGTAAGTGACGTGACATGTTCTCCAAAGAACACGGTCAAGTGCCAGAAAGCATCCAAACAGTGTTTCCGTCTGTTCACAAGTTTGTTAACCTTCTCCGCCGGACTTTTGATTCAGCACGTGATCAGGCGCACTTAGTAAGCGCAAACAACGGCGGAAAAGTGAAAGAACACGCCGGGGGGTTAACATAACTCTTCATGAAAGTGATTCCGGTGTTTGCAGTCTGCATCGCGTTCCCACCGCCACCCACATCGATGCCGCCGCCGATGCTCGCCACTTCTTCCAACAATAACGGATCGTTTCCACGGAGGAATGTGAGTGGAGTAGACAAGAGAAAGCGAAGGGGTCATCATGCATTTATTCGGTGGAAAAGTTTCAACTGGTTGTAGGGCAAAGTTGTAAGAGGTCCATGAATAATTCACTTGATAGTGGCCCCGTTTTGTTGCCTTTCTTTCCCTTTTTTCCGCTCGGCGGTTTCGGTTTTGGGAAGAGGAAAAGGGATTCTAATTGAATTAGGGAGCATTAGGACACAAGAGAGTTTCACAAAGAGAAGTGAAAGTTTCATTTCCTCCTGAGCAGTTGCAAGTTTTTGATTGGAGAGAGAAAGTTTGTTCTCTTGGAAAAAAAGATCAATTGCATATTCATGTGTCGTGTACGTAATCCATCCCCTTCGGCTCTTTTCCATCTAATTCCATCACAGTGTCGGTCGCTGGTAACCCGATTATGTCTTCTTCTTCGTCTCCTTCTTCTGAAGACGTACCCAAAAACCGCAGAGATGCGAGAGTCCGATATGTAAATGCGTTACTTACTTTCTACCCTCTCTCCGATTTTGTACTCAATAAACAGAAAATTGAGAGGTCGGAAGACGAAATGACGAAGATGATCATAACAATAAACAGATGGCAGATGGCCTCATGATGTTTTTTTCAGCGCATTCGCACCAATCCGTGGATCGGCGAGAGCAAGATGTGGGAGAGCACGACGAGCAGCATGGGAAGATCGACGACGGCGTTTGTGAGTCCGACAGATCATGAGGGAAGCGAGCTAGTTGGTCGTGTTTCAGGAATCTGGAAAGAGCAAGAACAAAAGGGCTCCGGCTCTTTGCGTCGTCAGCCCGGATACCAGCATGTGCAGTTCCGGATACGCATCTCACGATTCCAGGTAACATTTCTTCTGAGAATCTCATTTTGATCTTATGTGATGTTCAATTCGCAGAGGGGCAGAATGTAATCCTTGACATTAATTGTGCTGCACAAACATTCATTATGTAATTATCGGGAGGAGAGCCCCTTCCAAGAGGCCAGCGGGTGTTGACTTACCAGCTAGCTGCGGTCTGGTAATGTGATCGACAGATGACACCTAAATGACACAAATTAGCGAGAAGCCCCCCGCTTCTGCCGTCCTAAACGGAAACACGATGTGTCAGCCGGGCGAACATTGATTTCGAAACACCCGCACTTCCTATCTCCCCAACATCACTCATTCGAATCGCATGAATCTAAGCCCAAAAAGAGAGCACTCGAGGGAATCCCTCCAAGTTCATAAACTCATCGGAACGTCCGTCAGAATGTCATGCGCGAACGCGCCCTTCGAAGGCATATCTGTCGGCTTCAATCTCTCGCCCATTTATCTTGATTTTCGTAATAAGTCGGCTTTCACTCGCATCCAAACAAGCATGCAATTACACTAGTAAAGAGTACAACAATCCGGGGGCCGACTGGGGGAATGGCGTGGACACGTTCATCATCAGAATGCCTATTGTGGCGCAACAACTCGAGTACCCTCTTCAAAACGCTCATTTTCCAGTCCCGACACTTCAATGGTTTGGACGAATTGCGGAGAGTGGCCAAAACACTACGACAATGGAGCCAATATCTATCACGAGCTGATGGTGAGAACAGGGAATGCCCCCGAGCCCGACGAACACGGACTTTCTTTCAGAGCTCCTCTTCTTATCACTCGCTCCGTCCGACTCCAAGCCCCAAACATGAACGGGCAGACTCTCCGATCTACGCGGAGCCGTGGACTTCTGCCTGCGGACCGATGGTTGTTCGGAACAGAACCTACCGTCCGGCGTCTCCAGTCTATGCACAGCCCTTCTCGGAGCACTATCATCGGATCTCGCCGCGAAGAAACTTAAAAGAAATGACCGACGATGAGCTCGCCAGAGACGAGTTCCTGCACGAGCTCGATCAGCAGATCCATGAGCTGCAGGTAACTTGAGAACGGCCACATCCTGCTAGTCATGAGTCCTTCTAGATGCGTTCCGAGGAACTCCGAGAGATGGTGGACCGTGCTCGTCTGCAACGGAAAGAATTCATCATCCCGAAGATGGAGTGCACATTCGAGTTGGCCATCTAATAACCCTAATACCGTAGCCCCTTTGCAATCCGTTGTTGTACAAACTTGTTCCGGTTCCCCTTTCCGTCCTCTCTCTCTTTCTCCCAATTGCCATTCTAGTTACGATAGATTCCTTCTGAATCTCTCTGAATTCGTTTCCGCATCCCCTCCGTGTGACGTGAATCCAATTACCGGGGCGACGTTCCGCCCGACTCGTCAATCGAATCAGTCCTCTGCATTCCGGTGGTGTGCTAACAAAGTTAGTCCTCACCCACTCCCCTCTTTTCTATTTCCCCGTTTCGCCTGTAAACTTTGAAGAAGTGAAAAATAAAGTCTGTGTGTTGCTTCAAGTGTGTGCCCGACGAAATAAGGAGAGGAAGAGGTCAAAAAGGCCCAGGGGACGCGACAGCCACAGATAGCAAAATCATGATTTATGAGGGGAAAGCGGAAAGAAAACCGAGGGCGAGGAGACCAGTCATTTCCTAACGGAGCATAGGAATAACTTCAGAAAGGAGAGAGCCATCTCCTAAGTAATCCGGTTGAAAGTCTAAGAGCATTCCGTCGACTCAGAGAGTGCTGCTCTAATTGCAATCACACCAGTCCGTCTGTCATCTAATCCGCTTTCCGGCTTCCTTCAAGTGCTCCCGCATTCGTTTGCACGCCTGATTGCGCCACTAATTCGTTGCGGAGAAGACGTTCGTTGGTGCCGACTAGTTAGTTCTGACGAATATGGACGGAGACTTGTCGATTGGATTGAGAAACGATTGCATTAGACTTACGTCGCCCGGACTTGCCGCATTGCAGCACATATTGCGAAAAGGACGCGAGGGAAAATGATCATGTTACGAAAGATAACGCTTTGAGAATAAACCTGAACATGATAACAGCAATGTTCACAGATTTTCAGAAGAATTGATGATACTTTTCAAAAATGTAGACCTACATTTTTGGTTTTCTCTGCTGCATGCGCCTTTCCTACCGTAACCTACAGTAAGCAGCGGGAGTGGGAAAAGTTGAATTTGAGCGGAAAGTTTTGGGATTTTCGGTACCGACGTCGTCTCTCTGCTCTTTTTCTCATCAACTCACCCATTTCTCACTCACCCCGAGAACCATGCGCTTCGCTTGGTTTCTCACCGTATTTATTCCACTACTAATCAAGGTGAGTTGCCTAGCTTTTCAAAACAATTTTCAGTTTTTTCCAGTTCTCGACTCAAGTCCCGGTCGGCAATTCCACATGCGACGCGGCCAAGGAGTTTGATTGCGGTGGCGGAAATCTGAGGTGTGTTCCGGTCGAATGGCAATGCGACAACGTGGCAGACTGTGAGAACGGAAAGGACGAAGCCGGATGCACGTACGCCCATCACTGCGGATCCAACTACATGCTGTGCAAGACGGGGGTGTGCATCTCGAAAGAATTCAAGTGTGACGGTGAAGATGACTGCCTGGACGGAACGGACGAGCAGCACTGCGAGTACAACCTCCGCCGCACTCGCAGAGGTCCGCTCGTCTCATCGACACCGAACACCTTCGTCGGAAACAACGGACCCGAATGCTTCGCTCCGCGAATGCGCTGCCATTCTGGACAATGCCTTCAGCCCGATCTCATCTGTGACGGACATGCTGATTGCACTGGAGGCGACGATGAAGTCAACTGCACCAGCAAACGCGTTCAGGAAGAGCCGACGGCAACTGGATCTCTCCAAGAAGAGACAGTTTTTCCGGAGCCCACTTTGTACACTCGTGACGAGTACGACGTGAGTTTCAAGATCTCCCGTTTTTCAACGTTCTTATTCTTCTACAGGAGAATGAGTGCCGCCCCGGCCAAACAATGTGCTTCAACGGAGACGTCTGCATTCCAAACAGCTTCCTTTGCGACGGCGACAATGACTGCGACGATGGTTCTGATGAGATCGGCTGTGAGACGAGTGCTCCGAGCGAGGAGGACTTCCTTTCTGGTCAAGCGGAGCATGCACACGCTTGCTCAGCTGCTGGAAAGTTTGCCTGCGAGCTTAAAAGTGGAGAGAAGGCGGTGTGCATTCCGATGAATGCCACGTGCAACGGGATCAAAGAGTGCCCAATGGGAGACGATGAATCGGCACAGTGCTCGGAATGCGCGAAGAAGCGATGCGATCATACGTGTCTGAACACTCCACGTGGAGCCAGATGTGTCTGCCAGGAGGGATACCAACTCGCCGCCGACGGACTGACCTGCAGGGACGAGGACCAATGTGCCACTCACGGACACGTCTGCCAACACTTTTGCGACAACCGAATCGGATCGTTTGTGTGTAAATGTGAGAACGGATATCGTCTGGAGGAAGACGGACACTCCTGCAAGTACGAGAAAACGTCCGATTCTGAAGGGTACCTCTTCGTCAGTCTCGGCGGAGAAGTCCGACAGATGCCGTTGGCCGACTACCAAGAAGGATACAACTACGCTCCGATCCAGAAGCATACGGGTCACGGAATCATCCGATCCATCGGTTTCATGCATCGCAACAACAAGATGTATGTGGCGATCTCCAACGATCAAGGCGAACCATCTGGAGATTTGGCCGTCTCGGACAACGGACTTCTGCGAGTTCTTCGCGAGAACGTTATCGGAATCGGGCATATCGCTGTTGACTGGATTGGCGGCAACGTGTTTATCACTCAGAAGGCGCCTTCTCCCTCGGTCGGAATCTCTGTTTGCTCGATGGACGGTATGTTTGCCGTCGGATTGTGGAGAGCCAACAGAACGGACAAACGTACCGTGGACTTGTTGCCCATCCGACGCGTGGTCTCATCGTCTGGATAGACTCTTACCAGCGCTTTCACCGCATCATGATTGCCGACATGGACGGATCAAACGTAGATAATTTTTTGTAATCCTATTGATCTCATGCACTCTTTCCAGATCCGAACACTTCTCGACAACAAGTTGGAGGATCCATCAGCTCTCGCCATCGACTACATCCGCCACGACGTCTACTTCGGAGACGTTGGTCGGCGACTGATCGATCGGGTCAACATTGACACGAAAGAGCGCCGCATCGTCATCTCAAATGGAGTGCATCATCCGTTCGACATGGTCTACTTCAACGGACTGCTCTATTGGTCGGACATGTAAGAAACGAGGAAACATCATCCCGGCGTTTCATATTTTTGGTTTTAGGGGAAGTGAGACGCTCAAAGTGCAGGAGATGAGCCATCATCACACGAGCCCCCACGTCATCCACTCCTTCAACCGGTTTCCGTACGGCATTGCTGTCAACCACTCGCTCTACCAGACAGGTCTGCCAGATAATCCTTGCGAGGAACTCGAATGTCCTTGGCTTTGTGTCATGGTCCCTAAATCGGATGCCCCTGTGACTGCCAAGTGCGTCTGCCCAGATGGTTACAAGCAATCGATGCTCAATAACACGTGCATTCCTCCACAGACGGTCGAGGAAAAGGCACAACTGGCAAACCTCTCTTACATCGGAGCCGCTCTCATGGCCGAATACTGCGAAGCCGGACTAGGATGCATGAACGGTGGATCCTGCCGCGACGAACAGAACGATCTTGGAAGAGCTCATCGTGTCATCTGCGACTGTATGCAGCCGTACGATGGACAGTTCTGCGAGTGGGTCAATCCGGAGATGCTTGCTGCGATGGAGGAAGACGACGGATTCGCAGGCCTCCTCGTACTGCTGTTTGTCTCTCTGCTCATCCTCGCCATCGTCGCTGTCTTCGCTTTCTTCTGGCTAACACAGCGAGAAATCGCCGAGAATGCCATCGAAACGGCACGTGTTCACCTTGATAAGGTCGCCAGGAAGCCGAAGATGTGGCTACTCCTATTGTCGGCAAGCTCCGGAACGCGCACAGAAGCAGTCCGCCGATGGAAGGGTGCCACTCAGCGACGAACGTCAACTTCGTGACCGACGAGACTTCTGAGACTTTTGTGGTAGAAAGTGCCTTGGAGAGAGGTCGCGTGCTGGATTCACCGGTTAGCATAGTTAGCATGCTTAGTTACTCTGATTGTTTGTTTTACAGGCTTCGTACATCAATCCGCTCTACGACGAGATCCCTGACTCGATGACCGGAATCCCGACGCTCTCATCTGCCCCGTTCACTGGGAACATTCGTCCTGAAGACCTGACCCTCTGGTCTACCCCTCGAACTAGTTTCGACTAAATCATGAACATGTAAATAACCATTTATTTATTTTCATTTATATTTATTGCATGAAAGTTGTCAAATTTTTTAAATTTCTTACCCTTCCAATAGTGTAACCGTCCACGTGTCGTAAGAGTATTTGCTTGTCGAATTCGGCCATTCGCCCCACTAGCGTAGAAAATGTGCAATTCGGCGTGGCGGTGTTTGCGGAAAACCAATGTTTGCCGAGTCGCCAACACTTCCATCAATGGAGTTGCAGTTTTCCGGCTTCTCCCCAACTTGCTCGTATTCTCGATAGAAAATGGAAATCGACGACTGTATCCGTGAGAATATTCCGTGGTCCAACTTGTCGGCGGACATCAAGGTGATTCTGGGCAATTCGTCGAAAGAATACGAGAAGCGAGTGGTGGAGTATTCGATTCAGAATCAGCTCAGATACAAAGGAAACATAGGTACGACTCCTGTTTCTGATACTTTTGCATTGTTTTGTTCTTCCAGTTCGGCACATGAAAAAGAGCGAAGAAGCGTATTATGATCAACTTCTGCGTTTTTCTGAATCGCATCTCATGCTCTTCCCCTACCACCTTTCCGACATCATCGTCACTGAGCTCCGGATATCTCCCTTCAGCTACTATGTCAATATTCTATCGGTATAACTCTCGCCTCTAGACTCTTGCAAAATAGCAATTCTTACAGGAAATGCTGAACACAGAAAAGTCCTACGATTCTCTGCCAAACTTCACAGCTGCTGACGCTGTTCGATTACTTGGTATTGGAAGGAATCAGTACATTGAACTGATGAACCAGACGAGATCAAATCGGAAATTCTTGCGGCGGAGCAAGACAGCCAAAGAGTTATTGCCACAGAAACCGACGAAGATGACCATTGAATCGTGGTGGATGACGAACGCCGGCTCGATCCTGGAATCAGACATCAAGACCTTGTCGGGAGACGAGAAGCAGGTCATTGATCAGCTGTTGGACAATGGAGCAGTTGCGGCGGGCCTTCTGAAGCACTCCGTGGTCACTTCCCTCTACGATCGGGGTCTAATTTATTTTGATGTTCCCGTCGATCCAAATGACCACATTTACGTGGCTCCGTTGGACGGATTCGTCATGAATCGAGTGTTGGGCGACTATTTCGAAACTTTGTTGTACAAAATATTCGTGGCAATCGATGATCAGACAACTGTTCTCGAAGTAAGTTATTATATGCTTCTTTCCAAAATTGCCTTCGCGCTCAGATGTCTCAAGTGCTTCACATCCCTCTGGATCTTGTCAAGAACGCCATCTCGCTGTTCTGTCGCCTCGGATTCGCCAAGAAGAGAGTGACGGGAGCAGAGAATCTAACAATTCACACTTCGTGGAATATCCCTTCGGCAGTCTCTTCCCCAATGTCACCCGTTTCTCCTATGTCGTACGTCTCAAATTTTGAATTGTGAAAACTGAATAGGTTGATTCAGGAGCATGATCACGAGCACTTCTGAAGAACTGAACGAGCTAACAAAAACTCTACTAAGAGGCGACGATGACGAAGCCGACGAAGCATCTTCTCCTGTCTCCGAAGACCACGCTCTACGTGGATCCTCCCCGAACCCGTCTCTGAATAACTCTGTGGAGTCGTTCCAATCGTTGACGGCTTCTCAGAATGCTTCCGACGTGGGAACTGTCAACCGGACGGGATTCATCTTCGACTCGACTCTCCCCGCATTCCTCATGATGGGAAACCTCTCATCATCTCTGAAAGGACACGCCGTCGCTCTTTTTGAAGTGGGAAAGCTGGCCGACGAGCAAATGAAGGAGTTTTTGGAGCAACTCGAAAGCGTGAATCAGTTTGCCGAAGGAGATGCTCAGAGATACTCGATGCATGCGACGGCTCTGCTCGATTCTCTAAAAAGTTTGCGAAGAGAACGGGAAGCAGATCTGGTCAGGGGAGAGAGTCTGTTCACACTAGACGAAAAGATCCGACAGAGGGTCTTAGCGAAAAGCTACGGGTGAGTTAATATTTAGCAACTGCCAGACTAACTATTCCACACTTTTCAGAATCCTCGTCGCTATGGCTCCACTTTCAATTGAAGCATGTGCCATTCCGGTTTCCTCCGTCCCATTCATCGGTCCTCCAAACGCGGAGACGTGCTCTCCGTGGTTCCGTCTGGCAATCTACTCTGCGTGCAGAAGCGGTCCTCCAAGTGTATTCCAGCCGCATGGATCCCGTCTCACCAGTCTTCCACGTGTACTCCAGAAGCAAATCGGCTCGAAGCACTGCAGAGTTCTCGTCTCCAGCGTCAAACAGGAACCACACATCACAAGTGCTCAAAATGCTCTTTTCGCTCTGAATGACATGCTCTCCTACTCATCAATTTTTGTACAGTCCTATCCGCCGGATAGCAACGATACGGACAAGTTGGCGCACGTGCCGTTCCCGTTCAGCAAAGACGAACTGGAATGCGAACAGTCGTTCTGCAATCACCCGGCCGTTCGGAAGCTCCGTGAACTGCTGGGACTAGACAACATGGCTGGATACGTGATTCTGATGAAGAGGAATGTCGAATTGGACAGTGCGGCCGTTTCGGATATCAGTGGGAGGACGAAAACCGAAGGAAATATCATGCAAGATGTGGCGGTGACGGAGGATGGATCCTTACTGACGTCAGTTGTTGCACAGTTCCGACCTAATTTCACTAGACGTTATTTGCAGAAAGTTACTGCCAGGAACCAGTTTCGATGACTTCGAACTACTTGATTGCGTCTTCGGAGTCCCACTATTCCATTCCGTTCTGAACGAAATCATTTGTCGAAGGATCATATCGCACAGCCTTCTCGAACAATCCAAGTAAGTCATAACGTTCTTTTCTTCTTGATATAAATCCATTGATTCAGCCGATCGAAAATTCAAAGTTCAAATGAAAAGGTGGTGCAAATGATCAATGAACTGATCGAAACGTCAAATAAAGGACTTGTCAAGGTATTGAGCACACAACCATCAACAAAAACCGAAATGATTTATTTCCAGAGTTCTCAGCTATTCGTCGAAGGAGACCAACGCAATGCGCAAGTTGTGCCACCAGTCCGAGCCGTAGTTTTCGATTCTAGTCAAACAAATTGTATTGCTTTCGGGTTTATTTGATAAATTATAATCATAGAATAGGCAAATGGTGAGAGATCGAAATGAAGTATCGTATCAAAGATTATCGTTAGGTACCGCAACGGGTTTCGCAAAACTCCGAATTTCCACAAAATTCTTGTTGGAATGTGTTCCCCTACTCTATATGAGTACGCTCCCAACTTTTTTCTCCAAAATTTTCGGTACATCCCGAGTTACACCCCTTCAAAGTTGGCCTGTTTTCTCCCCGGTTGGCGGCAGAGGAGGGGGCGGAGTCTCGTCTGCAAGTCCGCCGCACGCGTTTTTCGCCTCTGTTTGGTGGCTGAAAACAAAGAGGCAACACATATATTGAAGAAAAATTATGTTCTAAAAAAGCAAAACATCTTTCAAGGTCAAAAGTTTCGAACCCGACACCTCCAGACTGCCGAGTGAGCACTCTGCCACTGCGCTAATCGGGCGAAGGCGCGCCGACCGCCAATGGCGTTGAAAAAGTTCGGTGTGCGCGACCCCTTCTAATGGTGAAATTAGTGCTTTTTGCGGGCTGAAATCCAAAAACATAACTGACTGTAACTTTTTTTCGGACAACAGCTAAATGAAAATATTTAGCATAGATCGGTCGGAAATTTTATGCTGAATCCGATAGTGTAAAAATTGGCCGCGTGTACGGTACTTCTGACCCTCAAATCCCCCGAAAACTAAAATTTTGACCGAACAAGCTCTATTCAAATGAACATAAAAATGCTCCCAGGGGGTCTAGGGCTCTGAAAATTTATATTTGGGTTCTCAAGGAGTTTATCTATCGATTCCGAAAATAAAAAAGTATGGTCATCGCTGAAAATTTTTCACAATTTTTTGTTCTAGTTTGAGGGTCTGTAAAAAAAAACGGACAACAGCTATTCCGATTCTGACTTCAAAAACGGATTCCCCATCACTTGAACTGTAAAATATCTGAAAATTAGCCGCGTGTAGCCATAAATGTGGCCACACGGGCTCTCAGACTGACTTTCATTTTCGTTTTCGCGTTTTTTTGAGAGAACGGTAAGTTTTCATGAGAAACTGAGTTGTTCATTGGATTCAGCATGGTCGATTACATAAAGTAAACCGTTTTGGGTATGGTACGTCATTTGGGGACCTCACTACAGACCGTCAAACATGCGCGCGCGGAAATCGGGAGAAAATTCGTCAGGCCGCGCCCCCTCCTTTGCGCCCCCTAATTATCGTACATAGAGAAGGAAAGTATGAGTCATACTGCAGTACATGTATGACCCCCTGGGATAAAGTCATCATTGAAAAAAACATCCGGAAATATCCGGCATCCCGGTTTTGCTCTCAAAACCTGTCAATGACGTACGTCAGGTAAAATTACAAACTTTCCTTGGCCATTTTTAAGCTTTCCGAGGCGCCACTTAAGAAATTCAAAGAAAAGTTTGAGAATTTCTTGAAAAAGTTATTGGGTGAATCGGCCTAACGAAGTAGTGGTCGGATTCGTCACATCTCGGGTCCGTGTCGAATGAGAACTCAGAGAGTAGCCACGAAATGCCGAAAATGTCTAATGTCTGCTACGAGAGAACAATTGAGTAGCCTAAAAGGAAATTCTCAAGCGCAACAGTGTCAAATTTGCTCAAGTGGCAATGGAAATTTATCCGTTCCACGTTTCTTGGCTGAAACTGAGTGAACGGTTTTCCTGTGTTCCTGTGGCGATTGACGGCGTAGGCGAAAAAGCGATGTCCCCCGGAAATATATATTTTTTTCAATAGTTTCTCCGCCTGCGTCTCTGCTTTTCCGCACGATAATCGCCTCTCTCTCTCTCGTCCTCTGTATTTTTCGTGGGCTTTTTCTCCTGTGGAACCGCTAACTCGCCCAGGCCTGCAAGTATTTGGGGATGAAAACTGGAAATTTACATAATCACGGTATAACTTATTTTTGCTTTATGCTAGTGAAAATATAGTTAAGTAAAACACTGTAGCCATTAGATTAATAGTATTTTGAAGACAGTTAAATTAAAAGAGTTCAAGTCAAAATGGTGCGAAGAAAGGAATTAAGTAAAAGGGGGCGATGCAAATGCATCGAATAGACTGTCACATTATTATTATCACAAATTATTATTGGCGAAGCTTGTTGAGCAAGTTGGTGTAGTCTTGGCTCTGCAAGAAGCGGACGTACGGGTCGTTGCGAAGGACCTGCTCGACGTGCTTGATGGACTCGTCGAACAGAGTGATGTCGATCTCATTGTCCTGGATGCGACGCTCGATGACCTGACGGACGCCGAACGGGAGAAACACTTCGTTGGTAGTTCCTTCGGCGAGATAGGTGTTCAGAATCACCCTTCCCAGGTTGTTCATCGCATTTGCGCGGTTGCGGCTCGATCTGAAAAACACAATATCACCATCATGTTTATTAGAGCTAAAGGTGATGCCCGACCATCGCAGATTGTCATTCTTTACCTGAACTCAACGACGGCTTCCCAGAAACGGAGGTTCTCTTCGGCATGAATAGAACGAAGAAAACCGCGGAAGTAATGACGTCCCACGTGGTTGCCGAGAAGACTTTCGAAGCTGGAAGCCCACTTCTCGGCGTATGAACGCGGGAGCAGCTCTTCCAGATAACCAAGGTAGAGCTCAGAGCGACGGAAGCGCGGGAACTGATCGTTCTCGAGCAGTCTCTTGACCTCCTTGATGGCCGGGGCAAACTCCTCCATGTCCAGCGGGTCGCTGGCGACCGCATTGCGGAGAGATCTCATCGAGCTCGACGACAAGTTGATCGATGATTGGTAAGTCTCGAGTATCTCCTTGGCGAAGTTTCTCTTCTCCTCGCTGCTCTTCATTTTCTTCAGTTTTTCCAACGCCTCAAGGAAAGAGAGATTCTCCTCGGCCAAAGATTCGAACAGGAACACGCGGAACAGTTGACGACCTAGAAAGGAAATTAGGCAGCTCCTCTCGGTGATTCATATATTTACACACCTTTGTCGTCGTTGAGCACGTTGGCACAGTTGCCGGCTGCCCAGCTAGCAGCTCTCGGATACTCGACGTTTTCCGTGGACGGCATCGGAGGCGGGTCGCGGTTGACGCGCTCCTTTCCGTCGAACATTCCGGCAATCTGAGAGTGGGTGTGATGAGAGTGATTGATTGGGAAACATGCGAAAATCTATGCTACAAACCGCTGATGGTGTTTTTCTCAGCATTCGGACAGATGGGAAGAGGAAAAATGCGAACAAGACGGCAAGTGGGGGGAATGATGGAATGGATGGGAAAGGATTAGGTGCCGAGCCGAGGAGTCTATTCACAAATCGAACAATAGTCAGTGATTATAGAAATGGGCGTGGATGGAGATGAAGATTAGCATGCTGCTCCCGTCACTGACTGCCAAAGTTTCCCGCCATTTCCACTTACCGGGGCATTCCTGTCTTGAGGGGCTGTCTGCACGGACTGCTGTCTGTGAAGTGCCGTCGAGATTAGCGGACGTGCCTCTTTACTGTTTCGGCAACCGTGGCTCGGATTCGAGGAGCTCTTTGAGCCGCTCATTGCTGCGGATGGCTCTGTGTGAGTAGCTACTCGGAGGGTAAACGAAGCGAAGATTCACACCCGTTGCCGGGCGACGAAACGGCTCTTAGCTCGGCGCCTTCGCAGCTCTCTTCTCTGTTTGTCGGAAGGTAATTATTATTACGAGAAGCTCTAGAAAGACGCGGAAACCCAGGTTGATGAGATCGTCCTCCCTCACTCGGTATGCTATCTCGCTCCGCGGCTTGTTTTCAGCAGGCTATTCATGCTGCTCCGCTTCACTGATTGCAGTCGGAAAGAGGGGAACAGATGTCACATGGCTCCACCGTGGGTTTTGGCTAACGGGGGCAGTTCAAGCAGGCCTGGGAACCTTCTATTTGCTATTTTTCTCGTTTGAAATTGGGAGTGACTCTAGTCTGAGCTACCAGTCACTTTCATGGGAAATCGGAATGACGTTATTCGATTTCTGGAGCGAGCCTTATTCACATAAACAAGTGGGAGTAAGCCGAAAATAGCCAGTTTCAAAGAATGCTGATTACTGTTTTTCATTCCAAGTTGTCACTACGAACTGACCATCAATAAACAGACATGAGACTAGTGTACTAACCGACCAGAAAAACAGAGAATCCGTGTGAAAAGTGACTCAATTATGAGATAGAATGAACAAAAGTTTCAAAGAAGATTAACATGTGCGAACAGAAAACGAGAAGCGTGGAAGTTGAAAAGTTGAACGGGAAACGGGTGAATTCTGATTCTGAAGCCAAGGCGAATGTCAGTGAAGGCAGAAAAAAAGATGTAGGACCGCGAGCAAATAAGAAAAGCGACGACAGAGCGAAGACGGCGATAACGACTTCAGGCAGGTGCCTCTGGACGACGAATCGGAGCCCCGGGGGGAAGAGAGCACGTGCATTCGAGGAGACGACAGCGAGCTTTTGATGTCGTTGGCGTGAGAGCCAAGAAATTGGATTGGGCCGGGAGCCGAGGTGAGAGCAAGGTGTAGGTGAAGTGATGTGGGCAACAATAGCAAAAACTCACGAAGTTGTAAGCCGATCCGGTTGAGGGAGTCGGAGAGGTGGCCGACGAGGTGTTCTGCGAGGGCACATGGAGCGTCAGTTCTTGCGACGCCGGGGCCGAGGCGCTCGATGTTATCGACGCGGAACGAGACTTGCGTCTGAAAAAATACCGTTCATTTGACGTCATGTCGTTTTTTATTCAGTCAGAACGCGATGTGACTTTAATTCCACCGTTCTGACGCTCGTACAATCTACTCCCTGTTTTCTGACTGCTGCTCCAAATTCAGTCCCATTTCGTGCTAACTACATGGCAGAAAGTACAATGCACTTTTGTAACGGACTTTGCTCCTTCGCTAAAACAGAAAGAGCTTCCTCGATGTTCTTCAGCCCATATTTGACTGCGTTTTCCAATTACCATCTAGTACATCCCATAATCATTTCCATCACATTTTCGACTTCCTTTCTCTTGTTTCCTTCCGAAAAATGTTGAACTTGCACACCACTATCTCGAAAATAACGACGATCTCTATGACGACCGTTCAGTCGGTCGGGAGGAGCCCAAGAGAACGAGAATCTCCGAAATAGTTTGCATTACGATGACGTCCCGGTCAGATGATCTTGTTCATGTTTTCCTCAAAAGGTTTGGCGAAGTTCACCATAATGAAAGGTTTTCGAGTGAGCAAAAATGTTGCATGCCGCTTTAGTCTTAGTGGTTTTAGGGGAGAAATGCACGGAAGAGGTGTATTACCTGTTGGAGAGTACGTTGAGTATTTGAGAGTCCATAACAGAAAATAAAAGCTTAGCAAATACAAAGGAGAGGGTTAATGAGGGAAATGAGCGCCGACGAATTCCATTTATGAACTTTCCGAATTTGTTCGCTTCGCCGAACAGGCTACATGTTTACTGTAGATGTGCGAGCGGTGGAAAGTGCGCTCTACCGTGTGAAACATGAGAAATGTGGCTCACCCGGGAACGTGGAGTTCGTTGCTATCGTCCTCCAGAGACAGGTCGAAAAACTCGTCACGTTGCACCGAAAACTCGGATTTGCTACGTGTGCGCCGAATATTGAGGTCGGAGAGAACGAGTGAAAGGCCGAGCTCGGCGAGAACGGTCTGCCGTTGTCTGCAGAAGCGGGCCTCGGCGCGGGCGAGATTTCGTCCTCGGCTTTCCCGACAGTTTTGCTGAATTTGGGGACGGTTGACGATCGACAAGTGACGGAAGCGGCGAGAGAACGGAGAAACGAAAACTTCTTCGTTCGGTTTTGCGCTTCGCATAAAATGGAGGCGGAGCTTCCGTCCGATGCGTGATTAGTCTCGTCGATGATGATAATGGGGCGGCGAAGAGGAACTGGACGAGAGGCGGCAGGCGATGAGCAGACGACAAATGGGGAGCGGTGTGAGCAGCACAGTGTACAAAGTTGGGAAATGTTTTGGGCGGGATAAGGATGCTCCTTCCCCGCCTCCTCTTCTGATTTCGAAACTCTGCAGCGGTTTGACGTCAATGAGTCCGGCCTAATTGGCCCTTTCTCCGCTGTTCGGGACGCTATTTTTGAAATCCTACGTGGAATTGGTACGAACAAATTGGCGGCTTTCCAAAGTCAAAACAGTCTAGACTACTTTTTATGCAAAATTCCAAGTGTATCGCGTTCCCTTTTTCTGCAACGTTTCAGCGATCCCATCGAAACTTGATGCAGCGAAAATGTGCAAAACAACGTCAGACCCACGTCAACGGGATGTCTTAACAGCACGCTCATTACCTACGTATTCAGAGGCCAATTTCCGCGCCAAAAGGCACGACGTCTCCTCCGTAAACGGCATCATTCGGTCACTTTTTAATCCGCCTATTTATCCTCACAAAAGGTATCATTCAGACGTCACCAAACCATTCCGGGTCGGATTACTGATCTACGACGCTTCATTCCGATCGGAATTCCAAATCAATTGAGTTCTTCAAAAGCTCGTCTTTGATTCTGTTCACTGCTTTTCGAGTGGAACTTGCGTCATAATGATGTCTTCGAAGAAGCTACCGACTGCTGATGATAACAATGTATAATGAGAACTGGGACGACTAAAAATAGATATTGCGAGAGACGAAAATAGGTGCCAAGTTGAACAGATTGCTATCAACACTTCGTGACGATATGTTGACGCACGGACGATCCCCAAGGTGACTGGATGCTCATTATTGACGCCGATTTTCAAACCGAAACGAGCACACTATTCAGACGTCTGGCTATCGCGCCTAAATCCTTGACTGCTATTTTTGAAAAATTGAAGATAGTTTTTTACGTGGATAGCAAGCAGCCCTCTGTTTGAAAACAATTTTTTTCAAATTTAACACGCAAAAAGGCGGCGTGGCACTGGATGGGACTCGAACCCACATTGGTCGGGAGACCGTCAGACCGCGAGGTCCTTGCCTGCCCCATTAGGCTACCAGTGCCACCAAACTGAATTACGCGCGACACTCTTTTGCACTCGTAAGTCGCATCACTTCCGGCTTTTTTTACGATTATTACGCTATTTATGTGCCTGACAGACGATCTGGGCGAAAACGGAATCCCAGAGGTCCAGAACTTGAAATTCCCTTTTTAAATAACTGTGTTTACCTACCAGCCCTATCATTTTTTTTGTTATTTAGACTATTTCCTCAGAGACAATCTGTTGTCTACAATCACAAAAATAAAGAATGCTACTCACCCGTCGTCGTCGGATTCCGAACTACCGCCGCCCACGTTGATGTCGACCTCTTCGGACAAATCGGGAGTTTCCGCCTTGTAAGAACGCCACATTTCCTGGAAAAAATTCGGTGAATTCTGACTGAAAACTGCGATAAATTGCCTTGATTTCGCCACTTGTCCGCTTTTCTTTTTATACTTCGCTTCGGTTGTATTCTCCTGACTCCGTACGGGAGTACGGTAGTCACGAAGACTGGCACGGCCAATTGTATTCAGCGGATGAATCCTCGGAATTCGCGGAATCACGCGCCACTAGAAATGTCCTTTGCGAAGCGCAGACGGAGGGAGCCGAAGGAGCCAGTCTGCGTCTCGTCTTGAGAAAACCGAAAATTGTGTGAGTAACCATGGAAATTTGCATGAGGCAAGAGTCAATTCGACATCTCGCATATGTGTCCAGCGAGCTGACCGACTAGAGATAATATACTCAATTTACCGCTCTTGCCAAATCGGTGTTTGCGTACTCAAGACTAATTTCAGAAATTTTGTCTTGAGTCTGCAAACACCGAGGGGCTATAGCGATGAATTGCGTTTAGCAATTTATTTACAACGTAGGCGGAGAAAACGGAAAAATCAAAAGACCGAGAACGTTTTCAGATTTAATTTCAGGAAGTCGATGGCATCTCATCGTAGCCCTTCGCCGCTCTCACCCATTCCGGGTTTAACAATTCGTCGAGGCTTCGGATGTCTGTAATACTACAAATCTTGTGAGAATGAATGAACGAGAGTATGACTCACCGTCCGGCAGTTTCTTTTCTTGCTCTGGGTTCTCGATATCTGGCGGAACCGGTACGTACCATAACGGTCCAGATTCCAAATTCCTCGTCGGTCGCATCTTCTCGCAATCCTCCTCATCCGAACTTGCGAGAAACTCCTCTGGCTTCACTCCGACTACATCAATTATGTCCTCTTCTCCATCCTGACTCTTATTTGTCATGTCCTCGTCGGCATCCTCGTCTTCCATATCGAACTCTCCTTCTTTCTCAACGTACTTTTCATTCTCTTCCAATTCTTGGAACTCTGGGGCAAAGGCCGACCAGTTCTCGACGTGAGCTTGGGTCCAAAGGGACACGGATCCCTGAGCAATCGACAATATTATGGGACGAGTGGGGTGCCATTGAGCATCGAGCAATGCTTCTCCTTTGTTTCCATGCAAAATCTTGATGAGAGATCCTGTATTGCTCTCCCATATGTACAGAGAATGCGCTTTTGTCGAAGCTCCGCACACGTACAATCCATCGCTGTCCGTGCATACATTCTTCCACGCCGCCTTATTCACCATGTCCAGCACCTTGTACTTGGCCTCTACAGTTCCTCCTCTTTGATGGAGCAACTCCTCCAGCTCGTAAGTCCTGATCACTCTGTCCTGAGTATTGGTAATAATGAATCGGCTCTTCATCGGCACGATTATCTGCCTGATTTGCTGGACGGTGTTCTGCTTGCACCATGCCACGCACTTATGGGTCTCTGCATTGTAAATGAGCAGCTTTCCCTTTCCTGTTCCAGTGATGATGTACTTGCCCTTCCGATCATACGACACGCAGCTCACCACATCGTCACTGGAAGCCGGACTGTCGTTGGTAAGCACTCTAAACAAGAAAAATGCAATAGGAGTACGCGAATCGATGCACTCACTTCTGAATTCTCGGAGAAAACTGCTCGACCGTCGGTGGAAAGTTGATTTGGAGAACGATAGCTTTATTGTCGTTTCGAGGATGGAACATGGTGAAAGTGACCATGGAATTGAAGCGGATTCTGTGGAGAAGGTTACCGGAGAGTACATCGAAAACGGCGATCGAATTATCCGCCGAGCTGGTGAGGATTTTCCGTCCGTCGCGAGACCAAGAGATGCAGCTAACTGGGAGCGAGTGTGCAGAGAATGTCTGAAAAACTGGTTATTGTAGAAGATTATTGCAGAGCATCCACATACTCTTGCAATATTTTTGGTGATAAAATCGACAATAAACACTCTTCCGTCGGTGCAGCCAACGGCCACAATGCTTCCCCATCGATTGAATTTGCAGCAGTTCGCCGAGGCATTCTGAATATTGATTATACCGCCAAAAATGTATTACTAAAGAAAATGCGTTACTTGTAAATCGAGATGGCCTTCTAATTCCTCGGGAAACTGGGCGCCGTAGTTCCGGTCGAGGGTTTCGGCCATTTCTGAAAACTGTAGCAACTTGTGGCTATTGAGAAAATGAATAGACAAAGTTATTAATTCTTAAAGATTAAGAAAAACTTTAGCTTGATTCTTTGAAGAAGAATCATTCAATTTTTTTGTTAAACGCGTGAAGAAAAGTAAGCTTTTGCGAAACAAAATTTTTTCCGATTCAAATTAATGCGTGAGGACTAGGTTTCGCCACGCGGCCACGGCCACCGAGCCGGCGGCCGAACTCGCCTTCATTTGTCACCATCTTTCGTTTTCAACAACTTGTCTTGTTGACGGTCAGCTGACGTTTGATTGTTTTGCAGACTTCGGGTAGAAAAAAAACAACTTAAAAATAAATAGCACGCTGTTAATTGGCTTTTTGGTCCTATTTTGAATCATTTCTTCGCATAAATGATAGTGATAAGAAACTGTCAGCGTAGCTATTTATCATCTTGCCGCCCTTCGTTCCGATCGCTGCCCACTCAGCAATTCCAGAAACCTCTGCACCTGCGGTTGTGGTGGGTTGTAGGCATAATCTCACTCATTTAATAGAAAACCAGTCACAACGAAGGTTAATTTGTCTTTTCAGCGGTCCCAGTTATTGTGCCGACCAATCATGACTTCTTCTCCGCCCGAAATCGTTCCTCAACAGCCTCTTGACGCGTTCCTCCTCAATAAAACGGACACAGAGCAGGTTTATCAGTCATTAACATCAGAATTATGAAATACACTTTGAAGGAAATGTTCTTGGCCAAACATCCGAACTATGACGGAAGAGACATCATCATTGCGATCCTGGACACTGGAGTCGATCCGTCTCTTCCTGGAATGCAAGTGACGACGACTGGAGAGCGCAAAATGCTAGACGTGATCGACTGCTCCGGAGCAGGAGACGTTGACACCTCTACGATCAGAAGTGTCAAGGACGGATTCATCGAAGGATTATCTGGCCGGAAATTAGCCATTCCGGAAAAGTGGGCGTGTCCTACTGGAAAGTATCACGTCGGTCTGAAGCCGATTTTCGAATTGTACACGAAAGGAGTCAAGACTCGTGTTCTGAGCGAGAGAAAAGAAGACTTCGTCGGTCCAGCCCACAATGGTGCGACTGCCGAGGCACAGAAACAACTGGCTGCTCATGAAACCGAGGTGGGAGGTACGAGCGAGAAGACTTCAGATAAATGGGCAAGGGAAGACCTCGCATGCAAAGTAGACTTCCTGAAGACGATGTCGTCTGTGGCTGATGTCGGACCGGTGGCTGATGTCGTGACGTGGCACGACGGAGAGAACTGGAGAGTGTGCATTGACACCTCATTCCGTGGCCGTCTTGGAATGTGCAATGTGCTCGGAACATTCAGAGAAACGGGAGATTACGCGTGTTTGACTGACAAAGACTCTGTTGTCTACACAGTAAGAGTGAGCATCGATGGTAATCTGACAGAGATTGTGGTTCCATCCGGCTCGCATGGTAGCCATGTGGCAGGAATCGCTGCAGCCAACTACCCGGACAATCCACAAAAGAATGGACTTGCTCCAGGGGCGAAGATCCTTTCGTTGAACATTGGAGATCATCGGTTGGGAGCCATGGAGACCGGGCAAGCAATGACAAGAGCGTTCAATATGTGCGCCGAACTAAAGGTCGACATCATCAATATGTCTTTTGGAGAAGGAACTCACCTTCCTGATGCCGGGTCAGTTAAATGTTCTCTTATTGCTTTTCGAAAACAATCTCATTTCCAGACGAGTTATCGAAGAAGCTCGTCGTCTTATCGATCGTCGCGACGTTATCTACGTGTGCTCTGCTGGAAATCAGGGACCGGCTCTTTCAACTGTCGGAGCTCCGGGAGGAACGACAACTGGAGTAATCGGAATCGGAGCTTACTTGACTGCCGAATCTGCCGATACTCTCTACGGAATCTACAAGCCAGTCGAGAGCAATATTTACCCGTGGAGCTCGCGTGGACCCTGCCAAGACGGAAAGCTCGGCGTCAGTTTGGTGGCTCCCGCTGCCGCATTCGCAGGAGTTCCGCAGTACTGCAGACAGAGCATGCAAATGATGAACGGTACGAGTATGAGCTCGCCGAACGCGGCTGGCAACGTGGCTTGCATGCTGTCTGGATTGAAGCAGCAGAATCTGAAATGGACTCCGTACACTGTCCGATTGGCGCTGGAGAATACTGCTCAAGTGCTTCCCCAGAGCGATGCATTCTCACAAGGACAAGGAATGATCAAGATTTCGGCGGCTTTTGAGAAACTGTCCGGAATTTTGAATGAGAAAGTGTTCCCTCAAAAATTGACGCATTTCGATATCAAAGTTGGAGAACACTGCAAGAAATCGAAAGGAATCTACATCCGTGAGCCCAACTGGAACGGACCGCAAGAGTTCACCATCGGAGTAGAACCCTTATTCCAAAACCATCAAGCCGAAAACAACTTGCCAGCCATTGGATTCGAGAAGCAGGTCATTCTGCAGTCTAATGCTCCATGGGTTTCCCACCCTCAGACAATGTTTGTGGTGGCTCAAGAGCGGACAATGGTGGTCACAGTGGACACTTCGAAGGCGCCGAAGGGAGCCAGCTACACAGAAATTGTGGGAATCGACGCCGCCGATCCGACACTCGGACCCATTTTCCGTATTCCGGTGACGGTCATCATCCCTGAAAAAATTGCCGATTTGTACAGTTCGAAGCTCGTCGGGAAATCTGGAGTTCCAGAAAGACGCTTTGTCGAAATTCCAGCGTGGGCCACCAGTGCAAGTAAGTGGTTGACTCCCCCTCGTCTAGAAGCATTCCACGTTTTCAGAAATCTCTCTGACTTCGACCAACAAGGACGAAATGGACAGATTCACTCTGCATACCGTCTACGTTGAGGATGACAAGTGCTCTCGTAACACGGAAACCCAGAAGATTCAAGGACCGATCGGAAGTGAATGGAGCAAAGCGATCACTGTGAAAGGAGGCAAGACCCTCGAGGCGTGTGTCGTCCGTCAGTGGTCTCGCGGAAAGAATCCGGTCGATGTAGACCTAAAGATCGAGTTTTTCGGTGTCAAAAAGCCTGATTCAATTGCACTCGTTCACGGAGCAACCAACACTCCGATCCGTATTCAGGCGGCGCCCACGAAGAGCATCGACGTAGCGCCGTCCATTTCTCTCAAATCTCTCGTCGTCTCTCTGAAGCCACAATCAGCTAAAGTGGAGCCGTTGGGACCGCGAGACTTGTTCCACACTTCCGGTCTCCAGATCAATCGCGTTCTGCTCAGCTACCAGCTCAAAGGTGATTCAATGGGTTTGGAAACTATTAAATCCAATTTTTTGCAGTTCAAAAGACGTGCGAAGTGAATCTGGAGTTTGCGGGGCTCACTCCGTACTTGTACGAGGCACCAGTCGACTGCGTTCTCTTCCAAATCTTCGGGGCCAACAAATCGTTCGTCGGAGCGTCGGCCGCCTATCCGAGCCGCTGGACGCACAAGCTCGAGAAGGGAGATTACACGATTCAGGCACAAATCAGACATCCAGACGACCAGGTCCTTCAGGGATTGAAGGAGCTCCCTTGCTGTAAGAGTGCATTCTTCAGAAAGTAGCATAATATCCTTTTTCAGTGTGCACGTCAAGCTTCCTGCAAAGGTTTCAGTCGATTTGGCAGCAACTATTGATGACGCTCTTGTTGGAAAGGAGAGCAAGTTCGCCGGAAAAGGATTGCTGCCGAACCAGGAAATGACCGTCTACGCGATAAGCGTGGTCGATGACAAACTGCCGAAGACGATCACTCCTACCAGTGGAAGCTTCCTGCTCGGAACGTTCTCTGCTCTCAAAGATTCCGACCTGAGCACTGTTGACAAGTCGGAGGTTGTCTACTATTTGAGCGAATATTCGACACGTCCGGCGAAAGGATTGTCGATGGTGACTGCGAAAAAGGAGAAGAGTCAGAACGAAGAAATGACCGGTAAGTTGAAAAGACGAATGACCTTCTCAAAGAACAAGAGAAATTCAGAAGCCATTCGTGACTTGGAAGTCTCCTGGGTGAGCAAACTGACCGACGAGAAGGCAGCCAAAGAGTTCTTCGAGACTTGCTTCAACAAGTATCCGGACCATTTGCCGCTTCTTCAAAACCGCGTCAAACAACTGATGCAGATAAAATTGAATGATCAGACCGCAGAAGGTGTGCAGAAGGTCGTCGAGTTGTGCGGAAAGATTCTTGAACTGACGAAACCCGCTGAAGTTCTACAATTTCTCTCCGTGAAGCAGGAGCACGCCGATGATCTTCTGACTATCGACAAATGGATCGCTGTGACTGGTGGAAGTGAGGATCAACGGAAGGATGCTGCCAAAATAGTGGCCAAGTTCGAGGAAAGGAAGACGGCCACCGTGGCGGCTTTGCAAGCACTCGCCTCGTTGGAGCAGGATCTGGAAGTGCGGAAGAGCAAGCAGAATGTGCCATCGAGTATCCGTTTCGGTGGTATCACGCCGTTGATTTTGGAGGAAAACAAGGAGAGACGGTCACAAAGAAGTCGAGTAACTACGAAACGCTAAAGACGAAAGCGGAGCAGATCGATCTGATTGTGTCCGAAGAGCTCAAGAAACTGGATGATAAATGGACGGGCTCGCAGTTCTACGTGAAACTTCTCGTGTGGCTGTCTGCTGATGACTCAAAGACAGCCCTTATATCTGCGAAACACGCCGCCGCTCTCGGACAATTCGGAAGATGCGCAAAGCTTTTGAACAAGGCGAGCGAAGAGTTGAAGGCGTCGGCCACTGATTCGGCGACTGTGGATACGAGTCTGGCGGAGGTTTGTGAGCATCTCGAGTGGAATCATCTGGCCACGTACTTCAAGAACTTGGCCCTAATCAAAAACCGTCCATCGTACAGACTTTTCTAAATCATATTTTCTCTCTTTGTAAACCGCGGGTTTTGCTGTGAATAATACCGATTAGTAAGTTAAATATAACCGATTCATGTGTTTTGTAACAATTTCTGTTGAAATCAAATAAAAATATTTCTGAGGGTAAAAAAGCAGATCAACAAGTAAATGAGGAAGAAAGGGATGAATTGACGCAGGTATTCACATAATTTCCATCCACGAATGTCAGTTAGATGTATTCAGTCTGGTCTTCGAATTAAATCAAAAGTTCCTATCGCAACCGGGTCTGGAAGAGGAGAAGCACAATATCATTGCACTAACGGCGGCCCACACTCCTTTCCTTGTTTTGGCGGAGGTTTGTGAGCATCTCGAGTGGAATCATCTGGCCACTTACTTCAAGAACTTGGCCCTCATGAAAAACCGTCCATCGTACAGACTTTTCTAAATCATATTTTCTCTCTTTGTAAACCGCGGGTTTTGCTGTGAATAATACCGATTAGTAAGTTAAATATAACCGATTTATGTATTTTGTAACAATTACTGTAGAGATCAGATAAAAATGGTTCTGAGGGTAACAAGGCAGATAAATAAGAAAACGAGAAAGAAAGAGATGAGTTGACGCAGGGCATGTATTCACAAAAATTCCATCCAGTCATGTCCATCAGAATCTTCTGGTATTGGCAGTACGAATGGACTCCGTTCTTCCCGCACGATTTCCGGACCACAGCCCGTTCGCATTGAGTTGTTCGAGAAACGGAACTGAATAAAATTCGGATGGAGCGATGGCACTTCAAATTGTGAAACTCACTCGCAACTGCCCACTTCCAGCACGGAACACTCTGTGAAAATGGTGCTCGAAAGGTCGTTCATATCGATGGCTTGCATGCATTCGTAGTAAACGACAACTGGAAAATTAATTGGTATCGAGCATTTTCAAACAAAAAAAAACCTCCAAAAGAGCATTTTAGACATCCTTGTGGCCTGTTCAATTAGTTCAAACTCACAGTCTTTGCCGTAATCGCAGTAGAACTGCAGAAACGCAGTTTGCGAGACGTAATAGGCGGCGTCCACTTCAGAATCGAACAACGAATTGAAAGTGTTATAATTGAGACAGTCGTTTAGGACGTCGCTGTGGCAGTGCCGAAGAGATGAATAACTGCTGCAAGGCACCGGTATGAGGAGGGATTGAATTGAGAAAGCGACAAACGTGCACATTCCGGTAGCATCATAGCGGACTTCTTTGAAAGGATCCGAACTGGCAGGCGGCAGTTCGGTAGAGTTCAAGCCGTAGGAGAGGAACATGTCAAGGTAACACTGCTGCAGAATCTGGTCCTGGTCCTTGCTGCAATTGTGCAGAACCGCCTCGTTGCCGGCCACCGTCTGCTTCACGAGCCCTCCGAAATCCAGATTGAGCAGGTCGACAACGCGCACCAAAAGGACTAAAAAGGGGAGGAGCGGTCGAATGGCCATGGCAAGACACGGTTTCTCATGAATAATTAGACGGAATTCGTGAGAGAACTTGATGTTGAAATGTTTAGTCTGAAACTGAATTGCTCGTAAAATGCCGTCATCGTCCGACAAACGGTTTATAGCCTTTCGGGAGGTGATGTTTGTTTATCGGTTTGATGTCCTAAATGTCGTGACTGGCTGCCGGTCTACATTCCGGAAAGCAACAAATTGCGTGGTTCCTCATGTTTCTTATCAGGTTGTTTCCTATTCAGTGTTCGAGTTGCCAATTTTTTGTGAACTACTGTGGATGACAAAGTCCGCAAACACCGAGTATGCATTCCTTCAGCCGCTTTCAAATTTTGAACAATTTTCATCCCAATTCCTGTGCTAAAGTCCTCGTTTCGGTGTAATTTTCTGCGCAAAAACGCATTCAATTGCAATGGACCAGTGGAAAACTCGCGGAGCAGCAAATCGGTTCAGAAAAGTATGCACTGCTCGAATAATTCTCAATAATTGACGCAGTTTTCAGACTCCACGGAAGCCCGGTAGCACTTCAATTGATGGCCGGTCAGTCACTTCTCAATCGTCGACTCCGAACAGCCTTCTGGCCATGTCGTCGATCTGGGATTTCAACGGGCTCAGTCCCTATTTTTCGATGCTAAATGTGAAAGACGGACATTCGGCGTACCAGTCTCCACAATCGCTTCTGTATCCACCGTCTCCTTCCACTCCGCTAAGCGATCTGATGAGTCTTAATAGTTTCCCTAATTACGTAAGTCATTGAATGTAATAGTTGTTAAAGAGTGTACTTCAGTCGAATGTCTTCATGCCGCTATCTCGCAGCAGAACTTCGTCGTTCCTCCCATCCGATACGAGCGACTCTTCTCGTCGTGGCTCTGAAGATTCCGTGCCGGCCACCCGTTCGTTTAGTTCTGCCGCCGTTGAGCGTCCCATGAAGAAAATGGATTCTGATCAGTACAGCTTCACGAAGGAAGGAAAACCAAAACTGTCTAGGTGAGACAATCTCAATTTACCCAAATGACTTCTTTCTAAAGATCGGCTTCATCGATGAGCTCGAAGATTCCACTGAAGGCGATGCCTACTCTTCTTCCGTCGTGGGCTTTGGATGCGAACGGGAATATTCGCCCGAAGATGCCTATTTCGAAAGTTCTCGACAGCGGCGACTTGGGAAAGTTCGCCGTGGACAAGAATGGCTGCCAGTATCTGCAAGATGCTGTGAAGAGAAATTTAACACCATACCAAAAGTATCAACTTTTCGACCAAGTCATCGGGAGAAAAGAGGATTTCATTGTAAGGAGTAGAACTATGCTCATCTTTTTGAAGTAAATCTTTTTCAGAAGTACAGCACGAACATTTTCGGTAACTTCCTGGTGCAGCAGGTCATTGAAATGTCTGTGAACTGTTGTGATGAGAGTTTCATTGCTCGTCAGGAGAAGCTGAAAGAGTTTATCGGCTCCCAAATGACTGATCTCTGCCTTGACAAGTCGGCTTGCCGGGTTGTCCAGTTCGCGCTTGAGCACATGGATCTGAATCTCGCGTGCGGTCTCGTTCAGACCCTACCATGTGATACTCGTCTGATTGCGATTTGTCTCGACCAGAATGCCAATCACGTCATTCAAAAGATTGTCGCAGTCATTCCTCTTCTGAAATGGGAGTTCATCGTTGACTTCGTCGCTCTGCCGGAACACTTGCGTCAGATTTGTTCTGACAAGTACGGTTGTCGAGTGGTTCAAACCATCATCGAGAAGCTAACAACCGATTCAATCAATGATGACCTGACCTTGACCGCGAAAAATCTTCGTGAACTTGCTCTCCAACGTCTGATGAATTCCGTGACCAACCGGTGCCAAGAACTGGCCACCAACGAATACGCGAACTACATCATACAACACATCGTTTCGAACGAAGACTTGGCTGTCTATCGGGAGTCTATAATTGAGAAATGTCTGATGTTAGTTGTTTTTTTTGAAGGTTAGTTTAGGTTATTTGGAAGTTTAGGCGCAACCTGCTTTCCCTTTCTCAAGAAAAGTTCGCATCTCATGTTGTGGAGAAGGCGTTCCTGAATGCTCCTCTCGACTTGCTTGCTGAAATGATGGACGAAATTTTCGACGGATACGTCCCGCATCCGTAAGAACGCTAGCGGATACGATAACTATTTTCATTGCGTTTCAGAGACACGGGAAAGGATGCTCTTGACATTATGATGTTCCACCAGTTCGGAAACTACGTCGTTCAGTGCATGCTCACGATTTGCTGTGACGCCGTGTCCGGAAGACGTGAGACGAAAGAAGGCAGCTATGACCACAAGAACGCGTTCGTTGATTGGCTCAAAAAGTTGCAGAACAGAATCAGCAAGGAAAGACACCGATTGTCGAGGTGAATTGCACCAGCTTCCAACAACATTCATCACAAATTTTCAGATTTTCCTCCGGAAAGAAGATGATAGAGACTCTTTCCAATTTGCGTACGACGCATCCGTTCTTGGGCATTCACTCCTCCGGATTAACCACTTTCAAATTTGAGTGCTTCAGCACAGCCTCCGAAGATGACATCTCTGAAACAGAAAGAGTAGAAATCGAGAAGAGAAGCATGCACCTGAAGAACCGCGGCGGAGTCAACGGCCCCGCTCCACAGAAGCACTCTTCACTCGAAAGCCATGCTCACGACGGAGATGACGAAGCCGGCACATTCTAAACGATTCCTGCCGTAATCTCGTTCTTATTTTCCGAATTGCTGCGTTTTGTAAGATTGTAACCCGGATCCTTGATTGCATCGCAATTTGCTGCTGTGCCATCCCCACTCATTGCACCGGAATTTCTCGAATTCTTGTAGTTTGTTATTGTTTCTTTCTGTTCATTGCACTGTTGTTTTTGTTGATTGTTTCTATTTTCCGATTATAGTAAAGTCAGACTTGTTTGGGTAGAATGTAGTTCAAAGAAATCGTAGAATGATGAAGGACTTCTTTCTAGTTTGAAAGTTTGAACAATTGAAAAAAAGCGGAAAACTATTCAATGAATTTATTGTTCGAAAATAATAAAACCAGAGATAATGGGACCCGATTGAAATCTACTCTAAGCGAGAAAAAGTAGTTTATTGGTAAGCTTCGATAGGCGGACAAGTGCACACCAGGTTTCTGTCTCCGTACTGATCGTCGACTCGTCCGACCGTCGGCCACGCTTTGTGCGCGCACCACGGCTTCGGGAAGGCGGCCAATTCGCGGGGGTACGGCATGTTCCAGCTGTCGGAGACCACCTTCTCCAGAGTGTGCGGCGCCATTTTCAACGGATTCAGGTGCTTGTCGAAGGTGCCGTTCTCGACCTGCCGGATCTCTTCGCGGATGGCCAGAAGAGCGTCGACGAGTCGGTCCATCTCTCCTTTGTCTTCTGCAATCGAAATGGGATTCGACGATTAAAGTAAGAGCTGGACGGACCGGATTCGGTCGGCTCAATCATGAGACAGTCGTGGACTGGCCACGACATTGTCGGCGAGTGGAATCCGTAGTCCATCAACCGCTTCGCAATGTCGACCACTTCGATTCCGTGCTTCTTGAATGGCTTGCAATCCATGATGAACTCGTGGGCGACAAGACCTTGCTCGTCTGCAAGTTAACGTTGTTTCTTCTGCACTACCTAAAATATCGAGCCAACCCTTGTACACAATCCGGTACTCGTTCTCGAGTCGCTTGGCCATGTAGTTGGCATTTAGAATAGCGACCTGCGTGGCTTCTTTCAGTCCGCTGGCTCCCATCATCCGAATGTACGCCCACGTGATAGCAAGAATGCTCGCGGAGCCGTACGGAGCAGACGCTACGGAGCCCGCTTTACGGCCATCGACCGGGACCACGGAGTGACCGGGCAGGAACGGGGCCAAGTGCTTCTTTCTGAATAAGGAATTAATAAGAATACAAGTCGAGTCGCCACTTACACTCCGATTGGTCCACTCCTGGCCCTCCTCCTCCGTGCGGAATGCAGAATGTCTTGTGGAGGTTGAGATGAGACACGTCACTACCGTAATCTCCCGGGCGGCACAGACCCACTTGCGCGTTCATATTGGCTCCGTCGAGATAGACCTGTCCGCCGTGCTCGTGCACTTTGTCACAAACATCGCGGATCGAAGACTCGAAGACTCCGTGAGTGGACGGGTAGGTGACCATGATGGCTGCCAGCTCGTTCGAGTACTTCTCCGCCTTCGCCGCCAGATCTTTGTAGTTGATGTTTCCGTGATGATCGGAATCCACAACGACCACTTTCATGTTGGCCATGTGGGCGGAGGCGGGATTGGTTCCGTGAGCAGAAGTGGGAATGAGACAGATCTGAAAACAGGTAGAATGCGATGAGAAACAAAGGAACCTCTTACGTTTCTTTGCTCTTGTCCCTTGTGAATAAGGTAGTTTCTGATGGCCAGCAGTCCAGCGTACTCTCCATTAGCCCCAGAGTTCGGTTGCAGGCTGAAGTTGTCGTATCCGGTGATCTCGCAGAGCCATTTCTCCAGATCATGGAAGATTTGACTGTATCCCTTGGCCTGTTCGAGCGGAGCGAATGGATGAATGGAGGAGAGACTGGGCCACGTAATGGGGATCAGTTCGGCCGAGGCATTCAACTTCATCGTGCAGCTTCCGAGCGGAATCATGGAATGGACGAGCGAGACGTCCTTGTTCTCCAATCTTTTCATGTAACGGACGAGCTGTTGCTCGCTGTGGTACGTGTTGAAAACGGGATGTTGGAGGAAGAGGGAGGAGCGGGAGTGCGGGGAGTTGCCGATCAGAGGACACGCCACTTCCCAACGCTCTTCGCGAAGCTTAGTCACGTCCTTCTCGGTGGCTCCGTTGAACGCGTAGATGATATCCATGAGATCTTCCGACTTGACAGTCTCATCAAGCGACACTCCGACGTCTCCGTTCTCGTAGTATCGGAAGTTCATCTTCATCTCCTCCGCTCTCTTTTTCAGATCATCCAGGCGTCTCCGTTCTTCAGACGCACCATCAAAGTGTCAAATAATCCTTGTGGACGATTTCGTGTCCGGAATTTCGAAGATCTGAAGGAAGGAGTAGGAGGTTGAAGAGTCGGAATGAGACACTCACGCGTTGCCAGGTAAGCCGTCGATTTGTGCACTCCTCTCGCGATTTCCGTCAGTCTCTGTGGTCCGTGGTAGACTGCGTACATGGCAGACATGTTGGCGAGAAGGGCCTGAGCCGTGCAGATGTTGCTCGTGGCCTTATCACGACGGATGTGCTGCTCGCGGGTCTGGAGAGCCAAACGAAGAGCTCTGTTGCCGTTTGCGTCCCTGAAAGAAATTAGCTTGGAGAGAAGACACGTGGCAGACTCACTTGGTCACTCCGATGATTCTTCCCGGCATGTTTCTTCCGAGCGCGTTCTTCGAATCGCTCTTTCCGACAGCCATGAATCCAGCGTGAGGTCCTCCGTATCCGAGTGGAACTCCGAACCTTTGCGCCGATCCGACAGCGATGTCGGCTCCGAGGTCTCCGGGCGATCGGAGGATCGTCAGAGACAGCAGATCACAGACCATAATGACGAGCGACTTGTTCTTGTGCGCCTTCTCAATCAGCTCGTCGAACTGATGGATTCTTCCCTCGGTGTTCGGGTACTGCACGACCACAGCAGCGACTTTGTCGTCGAATTCGAATCCTTCGATAGAGTCGCAAAGTTCAATGTCGATTCCGAGAGGCCGCTGCGAGTCCTGATGACGTCCAAGTTCTGAGGGTGGCAGAACGAGTCCACCACCACTTTGTTCCTTTTCGTCGTTCTCGCGGCCAATGCGACGGCTTCAGCGGAAGCGGTCGCTTCGTCCAGAAGGGAAGCATTGGTGGTCGGAAGGCCGGTGATCTCAGCAATCTGAAACATTTCCAATAAATCAATCTCTTTGAGAACACGAACCATAGTCTGGAAATTGAGAAGGGATTCGAGGCGTCCCTGTGAGATCTCCGCCTGGTACGGGGTGTACTGGGAGATCCAGCCGATGTTCTGAAGGATGTTTCGAGAGATTACGGCCGGCACGATCGTGTCGTAGTATCCCATTCCGATGTACGATCTGTAGATCTTGTTCTGTGCGGCGATCGCCTCCAGCTCTTTCAGCATTTTGTACTCATCCAAAGGCGCCGGCAGTTCCAGAGCTTTCTCGATTTTGATCATGTTGGGCACGTTGGTGCCCGTCAGATCATCCAGATCCTACAAAACTACTTAATCTCAACTATGTCGTCGCTTTCCGAACAAACTTTGTATCCGATGAAGTCGAGCATCTGCTGCTGTTCGATTCGCTTCGGCCCGATGTGTCGGTCGACGAACGCGTCGTACTGGAGATGGCGGACGATTGCGTGGCGACGGAGAGCCGTTCGGCCGACGGAAAGGAGCCCGCGTCCAAGGAGAACCATTGCGAGTTCTAGTAGAATTAAATAAATGAATTCAACGTGGAAAAAAGCGGGAAAAGGAGAAGAGTAGTGAAACGGGGCGAGACGGGTACAATTGAACTCTTATCAGACCGACTACGCTTTCGACTTTTGATCTACTGATACTTCGCCGAAACACTAGCACGTGAGCATGTAAAACAGATGACGTGAAACTTCAAAATCACAGAATCTCTTGGAGAATTCGGAACTGATTCAATCCGACATATCATATAAGCAGAGAAAGACTACAGAACTAAATAAATGAAGCAATCGGCAAATGATCACAGTGATGCCGAATTCAGAATCGATCACCCCACAAGACCGTCGTTATCTCGGTCTCATTCTGTCGCTGATAAAGACACTTTGTCCTTCGTCTCTTCGATTGTATGTTTCTGCATTTTATTGCAAACTTACCAAATATTCGACAGAAAAAGAAGACATAAAACGGAAAGTGTAAGACGAGATTGAGAGTTTTTGGGAATCTAAAGAAGAACAGCGACACGCTAGAAACGGACTTGGAGGGTACTGATAGTGAGACCGTGAATGGGCGATACTTTATATCAAGAGGATTGAAAGGATCAGAGTCAATCGATATGATCAAACACTAGAATCGGTCGATGGTTCGTTATTTCCGGTCGTCGACTCCTCCTGCTCCGTGGCGTTGACTTCCTCTTCAGTCGGCTTATCCACAATAACGAAACCTTCATCGAGCTGATCCTGCTCACCATCCTCGCCTTCTTTCCCATCTCTGATTTTGACAGACGATGCATTCAAATCGCACTCGGCTTTTCGCTTCCGGCTGTTTTCACCCTTTTCAAGTTTCAGCAAATCGCCCATTATGCTGAAGAAGATTTCAGCTTCGGAAACTACTTCCGTTTTCGTGTAGCCAATAGTGAGCAGGAAAATCTGCACTCCCGGAATTTCGGGTCCCATTGCAGAAATCTGAAAAATGAATTTAGTTAATCTTTAGCTAAATCCCAGATACAACTTACTCTGACTCTGCGCTCTCCGACTCGCTCCAGAAGCATATCAGAGAAAACCTTGGAGTTTATGATGACACGGAGGGTTCCAGATGTTCTCGCAACTGAAAACCATATTTAGTGTGAGAAAATTGAGAGAAAAAGCACTTGCCAATGCGATGATGCGTCAGACCGTTTTCGACTCGTTTGTTGATCCGTAAAGTGCACATTCCTTTTTCAGTATAGGCGTTTTTAGTTTTGTCAAACACCCAAATCTTTGACATAGCCTGCAAATTTCTTGTTATCGACATATCCACTGAAAAACATAGATTACCTGGAAAATTTTAGTATCAGCTTCCTCTCCAGTTGTCACCTCGACAGCACTGGTTCCCGCGTGCTGCTTCTCTGCTTCTTTAGCTCGCTCCGCTTCTTGCTCCGCCTCCTCTCGGAAATTCTTTGCACCGTTTTTTTCTGTAACAGCCAAAATTAACTTCAGTTTTGAGAGATTAGATTAAACTGACGTCATCGTCTTTTTTTACAGCAGTTTTGAACAATTCTGTTGCGCTCAGAGTCTTCTCGTTAGAGGCGGCTGGTTTCACAGCGCTATCCTCCTTCTTGACCACACGATCAGCAATCTTGGATCCAAAACGAACGGTTGTGGGGAGGTAGAGTCCTCGGATTCCTGAGAGATAATTTTCAGCAAAATTTGTAGGTGCTCGCAACTTACCTTCTCTTTAGTGGTTTGTTTAGGGACAAAGTCGCCCAGCGACTTCTTTTCGAGTTGAACATGGTTGACAGTGGTGTGCGTCGCAGAAAAGTCGTTTTTGCCTGAAAATGGCACGTGATTGTATGAAAAACAGCACAAACTCACTTTCCGACCAAATCTTATCTGCTTTTTCTGCCAATGCAGATTGCTTGAAAGCAAAAGCTTTTGGCGGATTGGCAGACATTTCTGCAATGTTTTTGTACAGCGAAATGATACGAAAAGCGAAGAAAAACGGGGGAATGCGAACAAGTTCGCTCCGGTGGCCGGACACGAGAAACGCGCAAAGTGTCTTCAAACGCGCCTTCAATGAGCGCTTACGTATTTTTCGTTTTTTCAGCTTTTTCAACAGACCTTTTCCCAATAATAACATCTTATCCTTTCGAATTTTCAAACATAAATTACAAATTGTTGTTCCAGGTATCATGATTTATTGGCTGGTTGCAATATTGTTCATCCCTGCTGTTGCTCAAGCTGGTACAGAAGTGAGTTTTCTTGTGAAATCAACTTTCATTGTTCTGCTCTGCTTGCAGGCTAATTTCGAAGACACACGATGTCGCTGTATCTGCCCGAGTCTTCTGAAGTTTCTAGACGTATCTGACAATGCGACGGACAAGTCGGAAGGTTTCAGAAGAAGGTTTTACACTAAAACCAACATCGAGCCGAGCCATTGGTAATTCTTTCCATAGAAAATAGTCTCATCCTACAGTGCTCTTTACAGCAAGCCAGCAAATATAGTTAAAGATCAAGTCGACAACCTTGTTGACGAATCGCACATGGATGCGTTCTTGGCCAACTGCGATTGTCGCTACGAATCGCGCAACACAGTTCTTCTCAAAGTAGTCGTGATCTTCGTGATCTGTGTGATCGCGGTTCTCACTGGCTACATGGTCTTCCTGATGTGCCTGGACCCGATGCTTCGCAAAAAGAGACTCTCCATCAGTTACCAGCAGCACAATGATGAAATGGAGGATAACATCTTCGCAGCAGCCGCCTCTACAGACGATGAGTCAGCGACGAGCAGTACATTGGACACACAGGGAACGACGCGAGCACGAGGCAGTAAGTATAACGACATCGGGGAATAATAATTCTAACCAAATAGTGTTTCCTATAGATGTCCTCGGACGGGTCGAGGCCGAGCAGAGCCGGTGGATGAAGAAGGTCGAGGAGCAGCGACGGAACATATTCGAAGATCACACGATGCTCAATTGATTCTGCTCCAACTCCGATTCATAACTTATTTCGCATGTTGTACATTTCTGTCATATATTGATTCTCCATTCTTTCTTTCACCCATTACCGTTAAAACAAAGACAGTAAACGGGCGAAAAGGAGATGAAATAGTGCGGGCACAGAGGTTCCTCTGCGTCTCTCTTCTCGCACTTTGGCCCTGACTCGCTGTTTGTTGTGAGCGGCCCGGCGCGGCGGAAGGAGAGATGAGAAAGAGAAGGAGATTCTCGGCAAGTGCCCACATTTCTTTCGCTCTTTCGTTTTCGCTTTTCAGATCACACATGCACCTTTTCATCGAACAGAAAATCGAATTTTTCGAGACCGCCTACGATGACAAGTTCCCTCAAGGTCGCAAATTAGCATAATGACGTAGTTCTCTAGCGAAAACCGAAGTGTTTTCCTCTTCTCTTTTCCATTTTTCTGTTCTGTTTCTCTGCTTCTCTATGCCTCTTGTGACGTGGCTCGTCACTCCGAAATAGTCTGTTTTGATTGATTGACAAATTACTTATCATCTCAAACGTATATTGCTTTTTTCTCATTTATCCAATCCGGAAGTCTTTGAATTAGCTTTAGGTATTAGCTCGGCAAATTTCTGGTAATGTCGCTCTACCGCAATCACAATTTTACGTCATAAAAGGAACAGCAAGCCGCTCTCCGTTCCAAGCCGCTTTCCGTTCTAACCTTGAAAGCGCAAGTAGTCGCATTTCTGTACATTTCAAAACGCATACTGTTGTTTTCGCACCCACTCTTATCAGTTCGACCTCATCCGGAAACATACTTGTTTACCCGTAAACATGCGGTTCAGTTGTATACAGTTACATTAATGAGTAGGTGTCCTCGACGCACCGCCCATTCGAAACACTCCTTTCCTCACTTTAATCTATTCGTTTTCTCTCTTTCAATCGTTTCTCTCATAATGCCGTTCAAGATGTCTTCGCTGTTCGATCGAATCCACGAGGAGGCTCATAACTGAAGGAGAAAATCAAGGAGAAGAGCCGGAAAAGAAAGGCGCCGACTGCGGAAGAAGCCATCGGAAATCTGAAGGATGCGGAGGATCTTCTGGTGAAAAAACAGGAATACTTTGAGGAACGCATTCAGCAGGAAGTCGAGAATGCCAAGAAGTATAGTAAGACGAACAAGAAGATGGCACTCGCGGCGCTCAGAAGAAAGAAGCATCACGAATTGGAGTTGAGCCGAATTGACGGGGTCAGTCTTAGCTGAACATAAAAGATTTGATTTTATGATTTTTTCAGGTTCTCACTAAACTTGAGGCTCAACGATCTGCCCTCGAGAACGTGGGCATCCACAACGAGGTGATCGACGTGCTCGGAAAGACGAACGAGACGCTGAAGAAGGAGCACGCGAAGATGGATCTGGACAAGGTGAACGATCTGATGGACGAGATCGCCGACGGGTTGGCCATGTCCGATGAGCTGTCCGACGCTATTTCTGCACCAATCGGAGACGTCGCCGACGAGGATGAGCTGCTGCAAGAGTTGCAGGAATTGCAGGATGTGAGTGCTGGGGAACGAATCGTCTGAGAGTGACATTTTCAGAATGTGGCCGACCTTCCCTCCACCTCCAACATCACTCTGCCCGATGTTCCAACCGGCCTTCCGGATGCCCCGACTGGCGTTCTGACCCGTGGCGGACGCGCCAAAGTCCGCAAGATGGACACAATGGAGGAACTGGAGCAGTGGGCCGCCGCCAACTAATCCCTCTCTTTCCCTCTTCCCCATCACCGTTTCCGTTCATTCTCCGTACAAAATACCGTCAAAATGTGAAATAAAGCCCTTACACTGAGTTTGATTCCGTTCAGTTTCTGTGAAAAGGCAAGAGATGAAGCGTAGAGGCTGGACAGACGAATGGGAGGATATTTATGGCAGAGAGTATAAAATCCAGTTCGTTCCGAAAGGAATGGGGATGATTCTGATGATGATATTGTTATCTTTCGTCTTTGCGTTTCCGACCTAGTCTCCACTCCTGTTCACCTTTCCTTTTCAGTCCCATCATGGCCCGTCTCCTCCCTTCGCTCTTTCTGCTCTCTCTCACCGTCAAGATGGCGTTCTCATTCCTCAACCCGCAGCCAACATGTACGGGCTGTCCGACATGTCAGAATGCAAACGGATGTCCTTCAGGCGGAGAGACAGCTGCAGAAACAACCACTCAGGTATCCATTTCAATCGTGCTTTGAGCTCATTGCTCTTTCTTCGCTCCGCACCACCGTGACCTCTTTTCCAGTCGTCCGAATCGACAACTCTCGGCTACTACGAGCAATATTGGCAGGGGAATGGCTGGAAGACCGACGACGCCGGCAATGTGTTCGTCGGCGATGACAATGCGAAGCTTCTTCTGATCCAGCAGGGATCCTACTGTCCCGTTGCCATCTGTAAGGGATGGTTCGGCATCTGGTGACGTGGCAATCGGGGGGACATCTTCTGTTCTTTCGATCTGAATAAATCCTTTTCTGTGCCGCCTAATCCCTGTCTGAGACTACCTAAAAACTGAACTTTTTGGGTCAAATCCTTCCCTTTTCTACGACTGACTCAGTCACTTTTTCTCATTTTTCAACGTTTCTTGTTTTTCTTCTGCTCCGAACCGTATCGAATTACGTGTTCCTTGTCGGTTTCCGATGTTTGCATCTGGAAAATGAATCGAAACTCTCGAAAGAAAGGAAAGGAAGTCGAATCCTTCTGAGAAATCTGAAAAGAATCTCTAATTGGGAGTGCTTTTCCTAATTCATTTCGAAAACGAATTTCTTCGCTGCTTCCCAGGAAAGGCTTCCGTCGTTATTTGCGTGAAACGGTTTTTGGTGTTGAGTCAAGATTGACACGTAATCCATCTTCCCCGGGCTTCTTCTTCTTCTTCTTCTTCGTTTTCAACTTCGACGTTCTCGGCTGAAAGTGGCTGCAATTTTAGCAAACCATTTAGAACTATAGGCGGAAAGTCGGAGAATCGGAGAATCAACGAGAGCAAAGTCTTTAGATTTTATCGAATTTCAATTAATTCTCTTCCTCACTTTAAACTTTCAAATCCCGATTCTTTTTCTCTCCGACAAACTTTCAACAGCTCGGTTTCCTTCTTCTGTCGTGTGCACGCGACTATTACCTCGTTCGAAACATAATCGTCGTGTGCTCGTTGCTCCCTACTCCTTCTCCTCCTCCTTCTTCTTCTTCTTCTGCTTCTGACAGCTCCGCTGTGACGTGGATTCTTCTTCTCTTTTACTTCTGAATGTCACGTGTTCCGTGGGCCGCCTAGTCTCTCGTAACCTATCGAGTTACCTTGTCGGTCGGTGCGCCACGTGCTCTCTCTTTTCTCTCTCTTTCCGATCCCGTTCGATCTCTGAGGAGAGAGTTGCTGTTTCTTCATTTGTTATGTACTTCACTTCACTCTCTTTCTCGCTTCGCTAATCTACTATGTTGTTCCACGCGTTTTCCGCAAAGAAAAACGAGCAGAGCATTGGTCTGAATAAGCAAAATCGGGAGGAGAGGAGGATGGCCGCGGTTTTTGAACAGAAAGGTGACAAAGGAGACGTCAAAAAGAAGGGACTGATGGAAGTCCGATAGGGTCTCTCTCGAGACTCTTGACCCTGGGCCCGCCCGAACCGTTTCTGCCCGTTTCATTCATTCTCTGCAACGTTGAAGTGTCCCGACCATTGCACAATGAAAGTTTGATGCCTTCGCGAGAGAACCATTCCCGAGATGTGGTTTAATCTTTGCCCTTCCTGGTCCAAAACCCATTCATTCCCATTTCTCGGCATTTCCTCGTGCCACGTCATAAGACGTATTGTGCTCCAGACATCAGAGCCACCGCCGAAAAGACAGATAGATGTTTCCAGGAGTGTCCCTAATCTCAAAACCTGACGCGATTAGTCCACAAATCTGGTCGTCATCTAACCGCTCTTTGCTCTTTCGATTGTTTTTCCTTTTCGTCCAATGATTCTCGATTCCCTAAAAGTATCCCACTCATTTCATTTCCAATATAACCTAGCATCCAAATATTTCTTTTTTTGAAGAGCGTGGGCGGCTAATCCTGGCACTTTGGTGTTTGCAAACTTCCAGAGAGCATAAGTAATGAGCAAAATCTCCTCGGTTATCCGGCCGGAATTAGAAGGACTCGATGACGTTGAGCCCAAATTCAAAAAAAAAAACGCCGTTTACGGAGACGTGCTGTTGATGAGCCCAACTACTCTAAATGGCCGTTCCGTGCTATACAACCGAATGTTATTGCCTCTGGCATTTTTGGAGAATCCGAAAAAAAGTTCAGAGAGTAGATTAAATGCTCCTGAAGGCTACCACGTCATCTTGAAATTCAGCTGTTCTTGAGTATTATCTGCAAGATTGGCAGTAACTCGACATCTGGATGAGACCCAATGCACATCCTTTCCCGAATCCAGTCTGACTCTTTTCCAGTGAATCATCGTTTCACGCCTTCCTTTTCCGTTCTCGATCCATGTCAAATTGCCCACGAAAACACGCCGGAGGCCGAACGCAAGCCTGCTCTCCTCGAAGGTATCGTCCGAATTCATTTTCCCCATTCCATTTCGTTCCAAACGAGAATTTCGTCACGGCGAGTATTCCAATAGATGAGAGCACGAAATTGAAATTAGTCGCCGCCGCCGCCTCCATCTGTTGTGCCCCCACACCTCCGATCCTCGAATATCTCCCCCATCTCCTACCGTTTTCCATCATGTTTTCTTCTTATTCATACTCCAAAAGCCCCCTCCGTTCTTCCACGCACTTTGGTTGTCTATTCGCAGTTTGTGGTTGAAAACGCGTTTTTTGGGAGGAAAGAGGATGAGTCTAGAGTTTCATTTCTTATGCATCAAAGAGTAGTTGACATGGGTTCTTTCGCGGGGAAATTCATAATTGTGAGGCTAGGAAACGCTAGAAAGGAATCTTCTCGAACTGAAAGTATATAAATATATTCCTTGCTCCCTTGCCTGTTCCCTGCACCTAATGCGCACCAATACATAACTGGAAGTGTCGCTGCTCTTCCCCCAAACTAGTCTGAAGACCCTTTTAATAAATAATGCGTCGAATACGTAAAAACGCCGTTTTGGGCTGTTTCCCTTCCGGATCTGGCACCAATTTGCTAGGATTCAATTTTGTTTTTGCAGCCGTTCTTTCGCCTTTTTCATTAATAACACCGGCCTTCCTCAGAATTGTCCAATCTGAGTTCGGCCCTAGTCTAGACCGATATAACTTTCGCGTGGGAGCCGTCAGAATATGAAACCGACACTCTTTTCTTTTCTTATTCCGGATCTTGCCCTCGCAATTTCATGTACCAATTGCCTTAAAACCGCTAGTATTCGGGCAATTCCCGAATTATTTCCCAGAATTGTTTGGCGCCCGTTTCTCCGGATCTTCGTCCTTCCTTCCCCCTTATAATGAGCCGAATAGTTCCTGCTCCCCAGCTCAGCTCATCCGTCACTCGTCTCAGAATCCGAAACCAAAAGCGAATCGGCGTGCCCTAATGACGTACTGATATGTCCGCTTCCCGTTTTATCCTTTTGATCTTCGACCCATAACCCACGTATTCTTTGTGTTTTGCCACGGATTCCTGTTTTTCCTGCGAGCGGCCGTCGCCCTTCTCGTACTAATTGCTCAAGCGAAAATTCGAAAAAAAACCTCCACGAAAAGCTTCGAAGTGGCGCTGGCGGCGGCAAATTCCAGCTGTTCTTATCCGTGACGTGAGCCCTTCTCGTGCACTTCTTCTCTCCCACTATGCATCTCTTCACTTCGAAGTTATCCATTTCATTCAAGTCTGCTTTTCTGATTCAATTTACCGGAGACAAACTACGACTTTGACTTATATTTATTAAATTACCAAAATTACTTGTTTTTGGCACGTTTTCCTTCGATAAATGTTATGAAATTTAGCCTAGAATTAGACTACTCTGAGTATTAGTCAATTACTTTTCGGTCAATATCTGTAATTTTCAAAACTAGGAAAAAGGTCGGATTTTGCGAAATTAAGTGAATCTTGGAGCTATGATACTAAATAAGAATGGAAGTGTGATTTACTCTCCTTCTTTTACTCCAAGCCTCTCAACTTGGATAATTAAACCTGATACAGTATACGACGCGGTATAGAGAATTTCTACGATCCAGTACAATAAAACCCTAACCTAAATTTTTCAAAGAACAACACAATCGGAACAAAAAGATATGGGAAACAAATGCGAATAATCTAACGAAAACAAAGCTCCTGCTTGCAGACACATAAACTTTAGCGGGGACAGAAAAGTGCGTGTTTGCGCGGGCACTAGTCCTTACGCACAAATGCGGACTTTCTTGTATTGTTGTCTCTAGGCGGGAAACTTAAGCTTATTGGGGGAAATGAAGACAATAAATGAGGATATACTTACCTAATTCAAGAAGCCTGAAAAGTTTGGTCCGATCGGGCCGGCTTTTTGCCCAGTCCTGGTACTAGTATGTGATCTAAGAAACAACACACACACAAATTTGTCATTTTAACTAAATCTCGGCTTTATTCAGTTAAAAATCTATGAGTGTTCGGTTCCAGATAAGAGGCTTTACCCCAGTGTCTAAACCACGACTAAAACAAATTATTGTCCCAAAACAAGCTGTTTCCCGTAGATCACCCTACCTGGAACCAATATATTTCATTTGCCATCTGAGTGGTCACCTAATCATTCGCATATCCAATTACCCAACTCCATCCGTTCGTCGTCTCCGAATTCCGTGGTTTCTGCTGCCCGAATGCCCTCTTGTTTCACTCAGATTTTTGATCGTCTTCCCCTTTCCGGCACATTCGATTCCTTTCTTTTCCTTCCAAATCTAATCTATATTGTCGCGACTATAAACAAATAAGCCGAGTTCGAATCAGAAGAGCATCTTTTCGCACGTCTCCGTTCAGATATACTCTGCTTAATTAGGCCCTCACAGTATTCTTGTTATTCTTGGGCATCAAAGTGCTTCCCACCCTTTCCCTGTGTGCCATTCAAATTCTGTTTATCCTGAATCTTTACGTTCTTCCAGAATACGTGCTCCAACTCGCGCGGTTCCTTATGTGACAGCGCTCGTCTACAACAATTCCCTGATGGGATTCGGGGGGAGCACCCCATCAGGAAACACGTCTCAATGTTCAGAATTTCGCTTTCAAAAGATTTATGCACTCCGCCTTCACCTCGTTATTTCCTCTTCCTCTTCCACATGTGTTAGTCTGTTTTACGAGCTGAAAAACGGCAAAATTATAACCGTCGCGAATTCGGAGAACAACCGCCGTGACGGCGGAGAGAAACTCTGGCCGTCGGTCGTTAAGTTGCGTGGGAAAAACAAGAGATTTGGTGCGAAAGTTCGAAAGAGTTCTCTTTGAAGGTTTGCTCCCCGCCCCACTGTTTTCTTTTCGACTTTTCACAGTCTCCGTTTGCCTTGGAATCAAAGAGATATCGAACTTTGGTTGACACCTTCCCCCCTCCGTCTGCCTGAACCCATTCTTTCAGCTCCTGAATATTCTATGCGCCGTCATCACCTCAAATTGAATCCTATCCTTCTCTTTTTGCTCACCGCCCTCTCCGTCTTCCAAGTGCAAAAAGTTTCCGTTTCACTCGCACCTCTCCGGGCGTCGCGAATAAAATAAATTACCCGTCTCTCTCGTGTGCACTGCGCCTTTTTTTCGCCATTTCCGTTTCCACTCACCTAAACGTCTTCCCTTTCTTTCCAGACCCGTCAGTCACAGCGATCATGAATCGTTACGAGTTCTACGAGCTCAAGTCCTGGATGTATTTGCCCGTCATCTTCATTGGTCTCCTCGGAAACTTTGGCTCATTCCTAGTCTATCGCACTGCTCCAATGCGGAAATCTACAGTAATCGCATCCAAATCACTCCTCGTTCACATCATTTCTCGCTTCAGGTCGGCACCCTTTTGCTCATTCTCTCACTCATCGATATTCTCCTTCTCATCCTGATAACTCCTATTTTTGTTCTGGTCTTTCTGCCACTCTGGTGAGTCCCCTGAGAATTTCCTCCCGAATCTTGCAGTTCGTAGATCAAACAACATGTTTCAGGCAGAACCAATGGCAGAAATACTCGTTTCACATGAGTTTCTTCGCCTACAGTACTCGATACGTGTATCCGTTGTGCATGATGACAAAGTCATGCAGTTTGTACCTCATGGTTTTGATAACCATCGAACGATGGATTGCTGTGTGTAGGCCACTGCAGGTAGGATGAACTGGAAACGGCCAGAGAGCACATATCGTTGATTTCCAGGCAAAAGTATTGTGTACAAATCGGAACACTCTGAAAGCGGGAATCTTCATCATAATCTTCTCGATTGTGTTCAATTTCCCGCGGTTTTTCGACTACAAAATAGGGTTGGTTCTCTCTTTGGACCATAACAAAGTCTGACTCTTTGCTCTTTTCAGAGATGGATACCTTTCGGAGATGTGGATGCTGGACACCGAGAAACACTGGTGGTACTTCATGTTCTACTTCATAATCCTCTCCGTCATCTTTGATTACTTCCTTCCGTTTCTGATAATGACCATCGCCAACTATCACGTCATCAGGGCTCTCCAGCAGAGCGACGAAGTTATAACAGGATTGGCTGTGCAGAAAAGGAAGGATCAGAAGACGACTGTCATGCTACTCGTCGTCACTATCTTCTTCGCGTTCTGTCACCTCTTCTCAATGTTCCTCAAGGTCGCCGAGAGTATATTTGGAGGGTTCTTAACTCAAACAGTAAGTCAGAAATCCGTTGTTGATTCCTTCAACATTCCTTTCCTTCTAGAGCTTCTACTGGGAAGTGTTCGCCGAGTTCACCATTTTCCTAATTATCTTCCACACTTCAAGCACCTTCTTTATCTACTACGGCTTCTCCGAGAAGTTTCGAACAACATTCCATGATATCATCAGGTGAGTAAACAACCCTAAAAAAGAAGAGGAGGAAGACGTCTCGTCTCCCGGTTTGTGACGTTTCACTCGAAGCGACAGATAAGATCAAGTCGTGCACTTTTATTTCACCAATATCTTTTGCAGATGTCGTCAGAGACTAGACGATGTCAAGTGTTCCACTTACTTGCCCGTCAATTCGTCTGGAGTCATTTCGGAGTCGAAGTCTCGCAAGTCGCCTGCCAACCTCTGAACCTTTGCCTTTCTAGATCCCGATTCACCCTTCATTCTGGTCCCTGTTCATTTGTCAAACAAAAATTACACAACGGGTTAATAAAGATATCATTTTCTACTTTATTTACAGCATAAAATGTTTTTCTTAACTGTGTTAAAGTCGGAGCATAGAACGGTTTCATTAGAACAGTAATTGAAGTATACAAGTATACAATACTTCGACCAACAAGTTCACATAAATTTGCAGTTTTCAGGAACATCAAAAACTCCAAATGACGTCTCTCTCCGCACCGTTTTCCATCTTTTTTTCAGTGTACTGCAGCAGTCACTTTTGGCCGATGTCCTCATAAACCGGACCGGTTTCATCTCGCAATATCCTCCGTTGGACCTCCGCCTGTCTTTCATTTGGCCGCCTGCAAAAAACTCATTTGCAATTCCACGAAACCCAATTTAATTTTTTTGTGTTTCCTCCAATTTGTCAAATTGTCACATATTCGCGCGCAAGTACGCCCTCCGACGTCATCCTCCGTGCTCCGGAATGATGCCACCGTCGAATGGCTTCCTCGTCATAATCTTCTCCCATTCTTCTTATATTCGCTCGTTCGTTCGGCTCACACGTGGTGAATGGAATGAGGTCCGCCCCTCAATGAATGGAAAAGTGTAGGAGTGGAAGGTATCAATTCATCTCCTTCTGCCCCCCTCCCCTTCAATTGTTTCCCCTCCAGAGGAGCTCTGCTCATCATCACCACCTGCCTCTTCTCCCTTCCCGTCCACTTATCAATCGAGATGGCGCGGGAGCAAGAGACGCAGCCTCCGATCAGTTGTAAATCTCATGATCCATCGGTTCAGTTCAAAGTTCTCTGCGTCTCGCCAGGAGCCTCCCCCGTGTACTTACGAAGGGCGGCCATATCCGCTGGACAAACACCGAAACCGACAGTTTTGCTGCTTGTTACTGTCTCGCGATAAAAAGAGCACTGTTTGCACGTTTGTTCTTTGAAACTGCCAACAAGCACGTAATCTGTCTTTACACTTTGGTTCAACTTCTTTGAAAATGCTTCTGTTCACGCTTGTTTTCTTTTGGTTGCTACAGTTAGTTCTTTTTGTCCTCTTCCCTCTATCTCTCTCTCTCGTTCTGCTTCATTCGCAACTGAAACCACTTCCTATCAAGACAGAACACAAGTGACCTGATCTCTCCACCTTGAATTGTGTGATAACCTTCTCGACAGCAGCACATCTGCACTTTTACCTAGTCTCTACTTTCGCTGCTTCCGGAAGTCACGTGACCAGTGCTTCTTCTGCCCGCGACAGCATCCCCTTCGCTGCCTCCCTCGCATGCCCGAATTCCTCTGAAAAAGCGAGGGTGGCAGTGTGTGGCCCCCTCTTCTCCTCGCATGTTGCTAAGATATCACACCAGATCGGGAGAAAAAAGGGAAAAAGAAGAGGGAGAGCAACTTTTTGTCACCGCATTATGCATAGATTTATTCCGTGTGCCGCCCTGCGTCTCCCCGCTTTTCCATTTTTCCTCTGTTTTTTTGGCGGATGATAAGAGATAGCATAATCCAAGGCCGAAAAATCCCTTCCCGGCAGAGCAAAGAAATGAGTGAAGACGCCCCGATTTGCTCTTGAGCCGTCAAAACATCCAGCAGACGGATGGTCTGATTGGCTCAAGAGCATCGCCAAAAACCGAAACAAAGGGAATGCCGCGGTTATTAGCGAACTTGCCACCATGCCCGCAGACGTCTTCGCGCTTCTTTATGGTCGAGAAGACGTCTGCTGATATTAGTTTGTTTCATTCGGTTTTGTTGTCCACTCTCTCTTCGCCTTCCCCCCGTTTCCTTCTCCTTCCTTTTTTTGTTATAATTCCGTGCGACGCAGACGACGAGAGACGGTTTCTGGCGAGCTGTGAACTACAATGGGAAGAGTCGGAAAAGAGAGTCAGAAGGAGCTCAGAGAGTGAGTTATCAGTGAGCTGGTTTGAGTTCTAGAACTGATAACACAGATTATTTCGTGATAAACTCGGAAAGATGAGGAGATAGAAGAGGCGGAAAAGATACTTTATGTCTCTGATCAGTTGACCGTTTAGGAATGCTTCGGAAAGGTTCATTTTCGCTTGCAAAACAGTAAGGCCAACGCCCACCTTTGATTATCACAACTTCTAAATTTCCATCTTCCCAAATTACAGCTTTGGTTGTTGTTTTCAACTAATTCCATGCTTTCTTTTCCCCACTCTCTCTCTCTCTCCTTTCATATAATGACGAGCGAAGTTCACTTTTGCTGTATTTGGAACATCTGAACAACAACGATAAATCTTTTCAAGTACGTACCGTAACCATGCACCCTCTTTGTCCCCTTGCCAGTCGTTTTCTCTTCAGATGACCATTCACAAAACTTCTTCTTGCCGCTAATTCGTTTCCGCGCATGTCTGTCTGATGACCCGCCCGCCGACCCCTCTCACTGTTTAGATCATCGTCCCGTTCTGCCGCCGACGCGTACATGTTGTTTGTCGAATTGTAATCACTCTCCCGTTGACTCGCACTGTCTTCATCGGTTTATCAAACCATTACCGCCACTGACACTGTTTCAGCCTCCCGATTATGGCCTACTTCAAAAATATTTGCGCTTGATTACCAGCTCCTTTGATTCGGAAACAAATCGGAAATACTGTACCCCTATCTATTTCCTCATTCCTTCGCACTTCTGATCTTCCATCGTGGCCTTCTCTGAACTGCTTCCTGTTCATCTTATTTCTCAACTCAAAGACCTCTTTCCAAAGGGCACTTATGCTCTTTCTCGCTCTGCGGATCAGCTTAAATACACTTTACTTTATAAGATTTTTCCTGCCGGAAACAAATCGATAATCAACATGTTATGTGTTCTGTTGTGTACATAAACACGTGCGACACTGTTTCCGTTTTTCCCACCTACCGATAGTATTATCAACTTCTCTTCTCACACTTCGCTCGTTTCGCCTTCGTTACTAAAATTTGTAAACTTTCAGCAGAATGGGCTATCTACAAAAGCTGTTCCCACCGTACTACAAGTACTCTGTTTTCCTTTTCGTCGGATTCGAATTCGTTTATTCGGCGTTCGTGCTCGCCATCTCCGAGGCCTACTACAAATCCGCAGCACTCATCCTCCCCATTGCATATAGGTTTGTTCCTGTTTCAATTCAAAAACAGTGTCAATTGCAGAATGTTCGACGACACTGTAAAGAAGAACAAAGCAGGATTTGATTGGTCGCCGGAAGAGAGAGATATTCTGGAAGTGGTTAGTAGTGCTTGTGAATATTGTAAGTATCCTGAATTGAAGTGTTTCAGTACAAACTACAAATGCTTCTACTTTGGGTCATTTCAACGATCGGCGTCATACTCTGTATGATTGTAATTATTCCGCAGTTTTTTGATTTTAATGATAAACGAGGAAACCCCAGTCACCTGGTAACCTGATCCCACGCTCCGAATCAAACTAAAGACTCATATCTATTTCAGTGCCTCGTCCGACGCACTCTCGCTTGGCTGCTCTTTTTCATCGTCGCCGTCTACGTAGTGGTGCTCGGAGTGGCCGTCTTCTGGGCTTGGCTCGACGGCGGAGCAGCCGCCCGACATTTCCACACTCATTTCGAAGGCGCCGAGAAGGAGGAGGTGTACATCACAGAACTCGAGGAGGCATTCGACTGCGAATCGGACGACGATCGAGAGGTTGCCAATGAGCACGTGAGCATGTTTTGTGGTGGTTTTCTCTGAATTCAGATGTGGTTTTGACTTTCTTCTTGCTCGCCATACTCCTCTTTGCATCCCTTCGAAGGGTTTGAAGCATGTCCCGAGTGGATTGATGTTCTTTTGCCGTCTTGTGATAGATCTGACTTCCGATTCGCTCTATTCCACAACCGGATGTTATTTCCAGATGTGTTGGCAACGGGTGAACAAGACATTCGTCTCCGACACGTGGCTCGACATTCTCTTCCTTGTGTACATCGCTGGACACGGACTCGCCTTCCTGGCCATTCCATTCTTCAACAAACGTGAGGAATTAATGCGTGTACCACGTACCACGTCATAATATTTCAGAACTCGTAAAAGACGACGACGACGACGACTACGTGTCTCCCCCGGCTGCCAAGTTGTTAGATTCCTAAGTTCTCTCCCAACATTCGCTAGTTCTTTCACGACGGGTTTTTGAATTGAAAACCGAATATTTCCTCTCCCCGTAATCACTTTTCTCTGCTGTTTCTATGAACTATTCTCTCTTTCCTGTCTGTCTTCGGCAATGCTCTTAATTCTAATGGCTTTCATGACTGTTTTCTGTACTTTTCCTTTCTATGTTTCAGAAAAATAAATAAGTTTATTTGAACAACGAATGTACAACAAAGTGAGGGAGCAAAAAAGAAAGAGATTGGCGGTAGAGCAGATAAACGTACAACTCATGTTCACGCACGTCCCCATCCAACGAATGCGGCACGACGAACCTTCTTGCGGGCGGCTTGGATGGCAAACTGCTGACCTTCGTAGTTGGTGGCTCCAGAAGCATCTGGAGAAGAAGCGGCAGGAGCAGAAGAGGCAACAACGGTATCAGTGCTCTGAGCAGCATCATATCCGCTGGAAGAGATCGGTGACGGAGCATCGGCGGCTTCTGCGACTGGAGTTGGGGCTGCTGCAGTCGTTTCTTCGGCGACCGGTGCAGGCTTTGCTGGAGTAGCTTCCTCGACAGGAGCAGGGTTTGGTGCGTTATAAGCGGCAGAGGCATCGGCGGCAGGGGCATCGCTTGATGAAGTATCATGACCAGCAGCAGCTTCGGCAGCAGGAGCAGGAACACCTTCTGGAGCAGGGGCACTTTCAAGTGTGGCGGCATTAGTAGCTGTAGCCTCAATTGGAGCGGGAGCGGCTTCTGGTGCAGCGGTCTCAGTTGGAGCAGCAGTTGCGGCTTCGGTAACTGGGGCGGCGGTCTCAGTTGGAGCAGCAGTTGCGGCTTCGGTAACTGGGGCGGCGGTCTCAGTTGGTGCAGCAGTTGCGGCTTCGGTGACTGGGGCGGCGGTCTCAGTTGGAGCAGCAGTTGCGGCTTCGGTAACTGGAGCGGCGGTCTCAGATAGTGCTTCAGATGGGGTCTCATAGGATCCAGCGGCGGTTTCTGGTGCTGGAGAGACTTCTGGCGCTTGAGTAGCAGATTCAGATTGAACAGAAGTTTCCTCGACGGCAGGAGCTAGAGCTGCCTCGGATGATGTTGGGGCGGGTGCTAGAGCAACGTCTCCTTTGGATGCAGAATCATAAGAGTTACTAGTTTCTGGCGCAGCGGGAGCCGGGGTCTCAGCGGCAGCGGGAGCCGGGGTCTCAGCGGCAGCAAGGGTAGGAGCCGGGGTCTCTTCAGCGACCGGTGCAGGCTTTTCTGGAGTAGCTTCCACAACAGGAGCAGGGTTTGGTGCGTTATAAGCGGCAGAGGCATCGGCGGCAGGGGCAGAAACACCTTCTGGAGCAGGGGCACTTTCAAGTGTGGCAGCATTAGTAGCTGTAGCCTCAATTGGAGCGAGAGCGGCTTCTGGTGCAGCGGTCTCAGTTGGAGCAGCAGTTGCGGCTTCGGTAACTGGGGCGGCGGTCTCAGTTGGAGCAGCAGTTGCGGCTTCGGTAACTGGGGCGGCGGTCTCAGTTGGAGCAGCAGTTGCGGCTTCGGTAACTGGGGCGGCGGTCTCAGTTGGAGCAGCAGTTGCGGCTTCGGTAACTGGGGCGGCGGTCTCAGTTGGAGCAGCAGTTGCGGCTTCGGTGACTGGGGCGGCGGTCTCAGTTGGAGCAGCAGTTGCGGCTTCGGTGACTGGGGCGGCGGTCTCAGTTGGAGCATCAGTTGCGGCTTCGGTAACTGGAGCGGCGGTCTCAGATAGTGCTTCAGATGGGGTCTCATAGGATCCAGCGGCGGTTTCTGGTGCTAGAGACACTTCTGGCGCTTGAGTGGCAGATTCAGATGAAGCAGAAGTTTTCTCGGCGGCAGGAGCTAGAGCTGCCTCGGATGATGTTGGGGCAGGTACTAGAGCAACGTCTCCACTGGATGCGGAATCATAAGAGTTTCCAGTTTCTGGCGCAGCGGGAGCCGGGGTCTCTTCGGCGACTGGTGCAGGCTCTGCTGGAGTAGCTTTCTCGACATGAGCGGGGCTTGGTGCGTTGTAAGTGGCAGAGGCATCGGCGGCAGGAGCAGGAACACCTTCTGGAGCAGGAGCACTTTCAAGTGTGGCGACATTAGTAGCTGTAGCCTCAATTGGAGCGGGAGCGGCTTCTGGTGCAGCGGTCTCAGCTGGAGCAGCAGTTGCGGCTTCGGCAACTGGGGCGGCGGTCTCAGTTGGAGCAGCAGTGGCGGCTTCGGTGACTGGGGCGGCGGTCTCAGATAGTGCTTCAGATGGGGTCTCATAGGATCCAGCGGCGGCTTCTGGTGCTGGAGAGACTTCTGGTGCTTGAGTCGCAGATTCAGATTGAACAGAAGTTTCCTCGGCGGCAGGAGCTTGAGCAGCCTCTGATGCTGTTGGGGCAGGTACTAGAGCAACATCTCCTTTTGATGCAGAATCATAAGAGTTACTAGTTTCTGGCGCAGCGGGAGCCGGGGTCTCAGCGGCAGCAAGAGCCGGGGCAGCAGCGGGGGATGCAGCGTTGGCCGTTCCGTCAACATAACCTGCTGGAACACCGTCGCTTTCTGGAGCCTCAGCGGTCTCTGGAGCAGCCTCTCCTGCTGGAGCTTTGGCAGCTTCGGTGACAGCAGACGCCTCAGGTGCTGGAGTTTCTGGAGCGGCCGGTCCTTCTTGCTCAGAGGTGACATATCCACTGGCTGGTGGAGCAAGTTTCTTTGGAGTCTGAGTAGCTGGAAGGATGATTGCTGGCTCAGCTGTCAGAGTAGCTTCAGTGACGGAGTTGTCAGGCGATGGAGAGTCTCCGCTTCCGACTTCAGTGGCAGCCGTGGTGGCAACATCGGCCGGAGCACCCGATCCCTCAATGGAAGCTCCGGATCCTTCGACAGAGGTGGCCACAACTGGGACTTCCGGCGCTGCTTCTGGTGCAGTCACTGGAGCAGGTGCAGGTGCGGACGCTTCTGATTGACAACGGAAGTGTGAATGGCAGAGTTATAAACAAACCAGAAAGATCGCCACCGCCGTATCCAGTGTCGATGGAGGCAGAGTTGACAGCAGCGTCGGTGGACTTGGCGACGGCGGCGACGGCGGGGCCATTGGTCTTCTCCTCCAGTCTCAGCTTCTCAATCTCTGGACGGAATTTGAAGATATCAAGGAAGTTATCGTCATTGATATCCTTAATTGGGTAGATTCCTGTCGGCTGAAAAACGAGGCAGACAATCATGAAGAATAGGTTCTCAACGCACCGTGTTGATGGCGTATTCCCCGATGGTCTTGGCCTTCTTGAGAAACTCTAGAGTGCGTTTTATCTTCTCACTAGAAGTCGGAATATAAGGAAACAGTGATAAGAGGAAAAAGACTCACACAATGGGAAGAGGCGCTGCGTAGACAGCAACTACTAGAACGGCCACTACGAATGAGAATCTCATTCTGGAAAAGAATGAAATGAATGACCGTATCGAGATGGAAGTTGATTATGTAATGCGACGAATGAAGAAGAAGAAGCAAGATGCAAAAATGAGATTGGGCAAGGAACGAAGAGGACGGTTTGCCAAGGCGTTATGACTTTCGCTTTGCGCCTTCCGCGCCTTCCGCGCCTTTTATAGAGGCACATACCGATGGGAGTCGTGTCGCAGAATGTGGGCGGCGTTACGCGGCACGCCTACTTTGAGTACATACGATTACAAAAAATGATTGTGCGCGGAGAGGTTGGAGGGGGAAGCCGCCCCCGTACTTGGTTCTCAATTTCAGAGAGACACTGATGACATATTCATAATGAAATCGAAATTCAAGAGGGTTTGGAGAACGCGCAGAAAGTTTCCGTTGCCTTTTTTGATAGCTTGGCAGGACGAATGTTTTGAAAGTGAGTGGAGGGACGGAGAACATCGAGACCACAATGTTTCAGTTAATTGGAAAAGAAGTAAGAAGAAGTTATGGTTTTCTCAACTGGGAACCTGCTGCTATACTAGTGAATCTGACTGAGAACACTCCCAAATGAAGCTCTCGCTGCAGAATTAACGGTTCCCTGGAACTTTTCGGCTTCACTGACCACATCTACTTTTCTGGTAGCCTTAAAAGTGAAACCGGACCCTCCGGATGGCCATTTTCCTCCTTGTTCTTGCCTTCGCTCCGATTATCTTGTCACTCAACCGCTTCCCAGCTAGTCATTCTCCCAGATGAGCGGAACAAGCGAAAGAGACAAATTGTAATTGAAACTCTCCCGATTCACCTTGCAACGGCGCTCCAGGGTCAAATCGTGCCATTCCGATGTGGCACAGAAGGATGAAAAGAATCCAATTTCGCTTTCAAGAACTAATCAATCGGAAGCCACTTCAGCAGACATCAGAACACCCTTTTGATGCCTTTCTTTTCCAAATTTTTTCGTCCGTGGAAAGATAGAAATGGAAAGTGGTGTTCTGGGCGGACAAGTGCCACAATCATTAGTCATTGTGAGTTTGTTCTTCGCTTCCCTCCTTCTCCTCTTTTTCTCAAGCAGATCCAGATCATAGGCCTTTTATGATGAACATCGTTATGATAATAGGTGGATGTGCGGCCGAACACACGTATTTCTGGATTCGGTTTGGTTTGTTCGGGGCCCCGTGCCCATTATCGCCCACCGCTCCCTCATCGCACTCTCATAATAAACCGATATCCTCCTCCCCCGGTTTTCAGAATGACGTGGCGTCCTCCAGGTGCCGCATTCCAACCTAATCAAGAGAGTAAACCCGTTCCAGGCATTCGTTCCGTATGCAAATGAGGTGTAGAAAGGAGACGCGTGCCATCAGCACTCTGAAAAACGTCTGCAAAAGCCAAAGTCGACGGTTCGGGCATTAATATTTATTGCCACGCCAGAGACGCAGATAGGATCGGATGGAAGGAGAAGCAGGAGAAGCCGAGGAAGAAGAAGATGTTGTCGGCGTTCGGATTGCGTAACGCGCCGCGCCGAGATTTCGTTCATTGTCTGTAAGTGTGTATGTTTGTTTTTGGCGATCATTTCGCGTAAACCGAAAGAGGACTGGATAACGGACAGAAAGGAGAAGTGAGGGAAATAAGTCAGAATTCTGCAGATTGTAGGGAAGCCGAGTGAGTCACAGGTGGGTGAGAAGAATCTTTCGAGGAGGGGAGAGGGTAGGGAAGCGATGATCTAGCACATAATATAGTCTCAAAGTTAGAAGTGAACAAGTTGAGCATCTTCTGCAAATGTTCCACAATCTAACTGATCATCAGTCAACAAATGCTGTAGGTTGTAGCTTACGCAATTCTCAGACAGATCACTGTCAGATTAGGTGTCGTAATTATTTCCTTCGCCTAATAGGCATCCCATAAGTGTGAACAAACCGATTGTACGCTGATCATTCGTGATCATTTGCATCCCCGTGACATAAGCGACAAATTCTTCAGAAACCTCTGCACCAGTCTCCTTGACGTCTTCAGCAGCGAGAAGCACTTGACCCCGGCCGGCAGTCGGTCGAATCATACAAATCAAACTTGTCTCCAGATGCCAACTTCTGCTGCTGCTTCTGCTGTTTCTTATTCTCTTTTCCATTCTTCTTCGTTCTACCCGTATGTACATCGACTACACGTACATTCGCACATTTGCGCACGCATTCATCTCATTCATACGCATATACAACCATTTTCACCTTTTCCGCCCTCTAATCTTGATTTGAATACGCGTGCCCCTATTCAAGTGATGTTGCATAATTTAGCCCCCAGCCCTCGGGTGTCTGTTTTTTAGATGCCATCACCTTGTCTTTATTGTCAACTGCTAAGGATTGTGTTGTAAACGTTGCGAAGAAAGCGAGAAGAATGAGAGGGAGGAAGGGCATCTCCCTTCGAGTTTATGGCCCGTGCAACACTACTATTGTGGTTTCGAAGTTTGGACGCAATGCATCTTTTCAGAGGAACATTTCAGAAGAGGGATCGACGATAGTCATCTCAACGATCTTTCCTCTCCATTCTGACGTTAATTGCTCTTTGAACCAGTTGCTATCCGTCGACACAATCTGCCAAAGTGTGAAGTAAAGAACAACAAGTTCATAGTCTTCAAGTGAATTCCGATATCATCTTCGTTTCATTTCAATATGTTGCAGTAATAATCGGCCGCATTTCTATGAATTTCACCGATTGCCGGCCTAGCTATCAGCTTCTGAAATCTTCTAAAATTAAACTGTTTTTGCCTAAGAAAACATCACAAAAGCAGGCCGCAACTGGAAGAGGGCGGTCGCTTCAAAAACTGACTCTTACGGGATTTGGACCAAGTTTTTGAGACACCTTTTCTCCGTATCTTTGGAACGCACGATGACATTAGATAGGGTGCGGAGATTCTGACGTGTCGGCGCCATAATGAGTGAATTGTGATCGTTTCGTCGGAGGGAGCTAGGTTTCTTCGAGCTCATCGCTACAATTGACCCAAAATAATACTCTGCTCAGGAATTTTTCGGCAAAGTGCCGTTACAAACGGCAATTTGCTTCAGCAATCGGCACCCGTGCCGTTTCTCGCAGCAAATTGGTTTAAAAAATGACAAAAATTTATTTCGACGAGATAGAAACAAGAAAAGGAACAACAAATAAAGAAAAAAAGTGTCAAAAAGTGATAAAATTTACTTTTTTTCGGTTTTCGGCGCATAACCCTCTTCTCACTTCTTCTTGCAATCTTTCCAATTCGGTACTTTTATCGCTTCTCCAACTTGTCTTCAAATGTGCTGTCTTCGAGACGACGAGCAGCTTCACGGTCGGCAGGTTTTCTTCACTCTTTCTCACGGATCTCCTGGTTGCGGCACTCGAAGTCACGAAGATCGGCTCTTCTCCTCTTTTTCTCGTCTGAAAAGCAGTTAGTTGATGAAGAACCACATCGGAATCCGGTAGGGTAGCTTCTCTTGCGCACTCGTTCAGCAGCATGGCGGCGTTTCTGCTCACATCGCTCCAGTTCTCTGTGTTCCTCATAAGCGGGGCGGACTTCGTCTTCCACGTTCCTGCTCTTCTTCGTCTTTCACGTTTCCTGCTTTTGTAGTTCAGTCTCCTGACGATAGCGGAAGCGGTTGCGCTATTCAGCTCGATGATGAAAATCGATTGCCAACTCAGCCTCACAGCATGCTTCGTCGTGATCTGGAACAAGGCGCCACCTCGCCGTTTTTGTCTTATCGGGCAGACAGCAAATCTCCCAGTCTCTTCCGCTCCTCGTTTTGCCCTTTCTTTCTGTCCACCTTGCTCTCAAAGACATTCAAGTCCGTCCACTCACCTGCGTTTGCCGCGTTCTTCTCGCAGTCGACGGCAGGCAGCTCTCCCCTTCCCCTCCCGTTTCGCTCTTTCGAGCTTTCTCTTCTGCTCTCAGACACTTTCAGACTGTCCTTCAGGTCATTTTTATTGGATTCTGGCAGAAACGGACAATCGGGCACACTTCTGAACATGTCCGCTCATTGAAAGTCGCTCGCCGCGTTCTTCTCGCAGTCGACGGCAGGCAGCTCTCCCCTTCCCCTCCTTTTCCGCTCTTTCGGGATTTCTCATCTGTTCTCAGACTCTTACAGACTGCCATTCCGTTATTCACTTTTCAGCAGTCAGCCACAACGTCGCAATCGTCCATTTCTCTTCCTCAGCTGTCCGATGAGCGTTTCGTGTCCAACTTGATCATAAAACTACTACATAATGATGAAGAGTAGATTGGAAAAGCCAACATTTATTCAGAAGCATTACGTATAATATCATTATACCCTCTCAGTCACTTTAAGTTGTGTGTTGCTGTTGGAACATCCCCTTCATAACTTTTCTGTATTTTCCACATTGAGTTTTTTCCAACACAAACTTTAGAAGAGTGTGAACTTCTTATTAGTCTTAATCTATTCGTTAACTGCAAAATCAACCCCAACACATCATTCGAAAGGGAAACCCGATATCAAAATAACATAAACACTTCGCCTTCACGTCAAACGTCATCAGGCGGAAAAGTCGGAGAAGAATCATTTCCGATTGAAAGAGCAACACAAAATGAAAAGAAAACAGAGAACTTTGTCGATCCGCACGACGGCGAACTTGACGAGTAGTATGCGGAGTGAACGGCAGGAGGAGACGTTCGAGGTCACTTCTCCGAGCCCTTCTATCATCAGTTTGGTGGGATACTGACTTCTCGAGCGAGCAGGTTGAATTGCTGTCATTTTCAGAGCTCTGAGAAAATGTCGGCAGAATCGGCGAAGCCACCACTGGAGAAAAAGAGCGAGAAAAGGACTGTTCATATTAGAAAGGAGAAAGTGATCGCGTACGATTTGGAGTTGGCGTCGTTGTGCGAAAGAACCTGCGATACTGCTTCGATGGTTTCGATTCCGGATCTGGAAGACGTCGAAGAGTTCGAGAAGAAGTGCGAGGTGTGTGTCAGATCTCTTGTACAGTTTCATTTACGTTTCCAGGCCCCTACAACAGCCGCCGTTCAACTTATTCCTATAAAATATGTGAGAAAGCGAACTTCAATTCCGATTCGAGCCAAACTGGTGCGTGACTTTGATCCAGGAGACGCCACTTCCGCCCTGAAATCTGATAAGGAAAAGAAGGAAAAGTCGAAGATTGAAGTGCAAAACACGAAAGGAGCTCATCAATCGGAAGGATCCGTAAAGGAGAGGAAACCGGAAAGTTCAGATAAAGAGATCGTCGAATATAATCTGCAGACGCACATGTTCTCAAACTTCTATCACGCAGTCAAGAAACGATTCTGGCCTTAATAAATTTTGACTTGTTCTTGCTGTTCAGTTTATTCAAAAGAGACCGTATCATTGTTCAATCAACGCAAATCTTGCGCTTGTCCTCGAAATCGAGGTCTCCTCTGCACCGATTGCTCGCTTCCCAGTACTTTTCCGAGATTTTGGGCGGCAAAGCGAGCTTGTTCCAGATCGCGAAGAGAACGAGAGTGGGCATGATTACCCAGACGCCTGAATGGGAAAAGGTTCAGAGGGAATCGAGGGCATATCCAAGGGCAGCTCGGACAGTTTCTTTCTGCCGATAGCTTTCCTGGATAGGCTCTCGATGCTTCTGACTCGAAGCAGTAGCGATAATAGAGGAATAGGAGGAGGTCGGAGAATGACGGGATCGTTCCAAACCTCTTCTTTTATATTGGTTATTATTCTAAAAGCCTCCTCCCCCTCATTCTTCCGTATAATGATAAACATTTCCATTGAAAAGTGAAACCTTCCGAAAGATTCGGTTACAATTGAAATGATAAACAAACCGTTGGGAATCCAGAAAATCATAAACTTCGACCAAATGAATTTGTTTGGATTCATTGGAGGCAGGTGACCTTCCGGTTGGCCGAGAAAGATGGAGAAGAAGAGGATCGTTTTCCAGAGAACCATCACATTCGAAGTGAACGCGAGCAGGAGACCGTGTCGCGAACGGGCGATCGCGAGTCCGATGGCGATAAAGTTGAGCATGCACTCGAGGAGCATCACCCGTCCGGTGGAGCACGTGAGGATGTCGTTGGTGGTCAGGTAGTGACGGTCGACGGACGAGTACAGTGCCCCTGGAATGATTTCAAGATGGTATATAGAAACGGTCCCTCTCGTTTCCATTTTTGCAAACATCTATTTAAACTGCGCACCGGCCGAATCAGACAGTCTATTCATCGTTTCGAGGTCATTCAAGTCGAACTTTGACTTCATCAAGACTGCCGAGAAACAAACAAAACACAAGCCAAGTTTGCGTTGGAAAGTAAATTAGAAAATTCTTGCGGCGGCTGCGCTGACTCACATCCGCCAAACAGGAAACCGGCCTTGGCGCTTGCAGGATCGTTGGTGAACGGGCGGTTCATGGTGTACGCCACGTCATAAGTGCACACGAGTCCGGAAATGAGCAGCCAAAGTGTGACCCAGCCGGGCAGCACGGAATCCTCGATTTTTTTGCTTCCGCTCATTGTCTGAAAACCAAACACTCTTCGATTCCTCCGATTTTCGTCGTGCCACGTCCGTTATCAAAAAATCGAGTAATCTGGGTAGATTACACCGTGAGGACTCCAGTTTCCAAGATTTTTGGTCAACGGACCCACACAGCGGGAGCACGGTCCCTTTGTTTCTTCCGCCTCCAAAACGGAATGCAATTGACCCACCACTATCTGATATCTCTCACTTCGCGCTGACTTCTAACCGTTTCGATAACCTTTTGAAATCGGGAATACTTGTTTGTTTCGTTGTTTGCATCTACACGTCGAATATACTTTTCCGCCCGGTTAACACGTTTGACACAAACTGCCAAGTTCGATTATGACTTTCTAATCAAGTGTGCGGTCCCCGTCTCCTCGTTCTGTGCCCGTTTCACAAAAGATCACCCGGTCTGAAAGTGTTTTTGCAGCCGCATTCTCGACCACTCGAAAGTACACTTGAGACGCCGTGAGAACTGCGTTGAAATGACCATCCGTGGGAGTGGAAAACGGAGAACTGAGCAGGAAGAAAGTCCGGAACCATATGTGGAAAACGATCTGAAACCTCTTGAGCCTGGAATTTGTTCTTTGCATTCTCCGCAGACACATGAGCAGACATCAAAACGCTGACTCTTCGCAAATCTCATTAGATTATAGTAAGTAGACAACGAAAAGAATGAATTGAATGAGAGATGTGACGAGACGAGCTTAACACTTGTCTATCTATTCCGTTGTGTCTGTTTATCACGAGAAATGAGCAAAACATGAGTAGAACTACTACCGCACCCGAGCGTCATTGATCGCCTAACTTCCAGTACGTGTTCCGCATAGAATCCCTCGCGAGACTGATTAACTTATGAAGTGTATACATCCTTCCAAATCCCGCACATACATTGTTGCTCAAATTGCGAAATGTCGAGTCACCGCCGGGATTGCTCTTAATTTTCATGTTTCGCAAGCTACACGATCCGATGAAACTTGGCATTTCGTAACTAGGCACCTTTTTCCTCCCGGAAGTCTTTCCTAAATGCCACGAAATCACCCTTCCCCTCCGACTTTCACTTTTTCGTCTGAAAAACGGAAAAGAGAGAGAAAGGGAGAGAGAATGTTTGTCAAGAGAAACAGGAGAAGTCTCCCAGAGTCTCCACATCCTTCCGCAAATAATTCTTCCTAGCAACTGTGTCTCCATGGCGCCAATCCGATAATCCGACTAACCCAAGCAGAAAGGATATGTAGAAAGCAGACACGCCGTAAATAGAAACAACAGTGTACATATCGCCGGAGGAGAAGCCGTCGTGAGATTCTGCGCATGATACATGAGCGCCTACGTCACCACTAGGAAGTTTTAGTGGAACGGGTGACATCAGTGATCAGAAACACGAGAGTTCCCTTCTTCTGGGCGCATGACCCACCGTAACCGGACTGGCTGGCCCCCTTGAGTGGCGCCATGAGTCAGCATCTCCTTTGTTCAAAATCATCTGATTCCCGGGAGGTAAACAACGTTTGGCGAAGAATCACAGTTACATCGGATCCAATTTGACTACAAAAGACGTGTTCACCTGAAAAGCATCAATTCCTACTGTGTTCTGATTGAAATTGATGTTATAGTTTGGTATGCAGTTGGCTGAATTGTCTTCTGATCTTCGTGTTCCCTTTCAGAAAGGCGCATGGATCTGTTGAATGGAGGAAGTGAGTGATAGTGTTGGTGTTCCCAAGAGTTCTGGATTCTTTGTCTGTTCTGTGCTCATGTTATAACTCGAGAATGACACATTGATGATTTATTGAACTGAAGATCACAAGAATTGAGGTAGTCTTAATGATAATAGAAGAGGTAGGTTGAAATAGATCGAACGAGCAGAAACTATTCATCTTCCGCGCTGGGACAGCAGAGCGAGGTGATCTGATTGTCGGAGAGGCCGTACGCGCAGAGAGTTGGCAAGAAGGTGTCTGAAATGAAATAATTGAGCAACTAGTCATCTCTTTCGAACGAAACTCACTTAATTTCACAGTACACCCATCGGGGCAAATTCGGAATACTCTTCTGATCGCTTTGGCGCCGCACACCCGATGAAGACGATCGTGCTTGTGATGCTCCAGGCGATTGTGCCGACGTTCACTCAGAAACTTTAGCAGATTGTCCACGGAAGTCTGTTCCTCCTTCTCGTTGATCTCATTCTGCTCCTGTTCGGTGGAAGAAGATGCTGTCGCCACGTATGAAATGACGAAGATGACGAAGAGAACGAAGAGAATTGTGGACCGCATTCTTGAGTGTCTAATGAGAAGGATCGAACGGTTTTCGGATTCTTCCATCCTTTTTGACCTGCGATAGGAGAAACTCCGCCCATTGAACTGTCCGATATGATTGATCTCAAGGACGAAATTACGCAAAAAGTAATTGAAAAACAAGTTTTGTAAAGCTCTTCCTTCTCAAGTCAGACTTGCACTTTACATTCTTCCCAATCTCTGATGTTTCTTTCTGACCGCAGGGTCCGATACTAAAGTGCTCATTTGTTTGTATCCCTTCCTTCCTCTCCGCAAAAGTCTTCTTATCAACCACTCCAATCCTTTTCTGACTGATTACTTTTTGTCAGAAATTGAAAGCCAATCAGAGAAGGAGGTTACGGTAGCTTAGTAGACGATTGAGGATTACTGAAAAGAAATGGCAAAAAAGACAGATGCGTTTGATGAAAGTACTTGATCCTTTTCAGATAATCCTGTCTGATGGTGCACGTCTCAATATGAAAGAAACACTTGAGAAGATAAGCGAGAGAGCTTCTAGAGTTCAGAAAACGGAAGCGGATTAATTGAGACATCCGAAGGCTTATCACTGCCGGACACCCGGAGACAATCTGATGTCATCGGCACTTGACTCCAGATTATGCTCGATTTACGGAGCTCATCTGAAAAGACCAAACTACAAAGGAGAGGTTGACTTGAAATTCAGTATCGAGCCGAGTCAAAACACGCAATTACACTTTATATAAGTGCAGTCTCTTGCCAGACAGCTCTTCGAATCCTCTGATCTCTAGACCCGCTTCTGGTCATGTACTTTTACAGAAGATGGCTATTTTGAAGACGCACGAAAGTTTTTGTCACTTCCGAACAAATACCACGCCCATTAGAGCACCTATAAAAGAGGGCTCTTTTGTCTGACTAAGCAATTCAATTCGTCTGATCTCGTATCAATATGATCTCGGCTGTCTCGTTTGTCTTCCTTCTGGCAGTGGCGCACGTTGCGCTCGTCAATTCGTACGGCCTTCCGGCATCATCGAAGGACTACGAGATCATGTCGAGGATAGGAATGGAGAATCCGGCATCGAACATGGTCTTCGGCGTGTACCGCCGATGGAGAAGAAACCCGGTTCCCGAGCGAGTATGCGGAGGCAGACTGATGACCAAAGTGGTCCACGTTTGCAAAGGACCATGCACAGCAGGTTAGTCGCCACGTCGCTCACAACCGAAACTATCTGTTTTCTTCAGTAACCGGGATGGATATCGCCACGCACTGCTGCAGCAACGAATGCAACGACGCCTACGTCAAGAAAGCGTGCTGTCCATGAACGCAAGTACGCTCTCCGAATCAACTATACTTCTTAGCTTCCGTTTGTCATTCCTTCCCACAATCCTGTCGTTCTTTCTAAATGCCTCCTTGTCAGTTCCTCTCGCTTTTCTGTGATTTCATGCTCTGCCATTTGCCGAATAAACTTTCTACTTTCAAAATGACTTGTGAGCAAAGACAACTGACGTGTCGAGTCCAAAGATTGTTTGTCAACATAACCGGTTAATCCTAATTAGGAATGGATAAAGTGAAGGATTTGAGCTCCGGAAATGAGCTATCTAATCTGAATACTGGCCTGAAAAGGCCCGGACACTGAAAGGTCGGTCGGAAACCGATGAATTCCCATCTTAGAATTCAGAATCACAGGGTTTTTTGCGGCCGGAGACCCAAATGAATAATCCATCACTTCTATTTACGCTTCTCAGTTTTCAAAGGTCTCAAAGATGCTCGATTCCAAAATTATGACATCGGAAGGAGCCGTTGACTCAGATTAATTCGCTTGATCCTTGCGACTCTGATTCCAATGAACCAGACGATGACAGAAGTCTCCGTCATGTCTCAGAAGCACTCAATTGTGCTCAAAATAGCTCCTAGACGCGTTTGATCACATAACATTTGACATCAGTAATTGGCGATGTGGGTAAGTGCGTCGAAAGTGGTGTCTCAAGTCAGAATTGTCATGGTTACGAAGAGCTGTGTGTGCGCGACGCATTGAAGGTTTGATCGCAGATTCTGGAGAAGAGGAACTGTGAATTTTAGGAAAACGAGTGAAAATAGGCGTCGCAAAAGATTGACATCTGATCTAACACATTCCCTGGATCATTTCAGATCTTCAGAGTTTCGAAATTGAGTATGAATTCTAAGTTTTCCACATGCACGCGTCTCAGACTACTTTCGCAAGTCGTTGTGCGCGAGAAACACGAGGATCAAAAACCGCGCGCCCGCCGTTGGAAAAAGGAAATGTTCGCAAGGGCAGTACAGTGCATAGCCCTTCAGGATGAACCAATTGACTCGAAACTTTCAGGGTCGCATCTCCACATCCTCGGTAAACGAGTTTACAGGATTTTTGCTAATTAGTGCAGGGGAAGTGTGGTTTTCAGTGGTGCAAAAGGTCAAGCTTACTTGATCAATACAAAAATGTTTAGATGGATTTTGGGGATTCCTAGTATCTTCCTGAATTCGTGTTCCCAGATTTTTCCAGAACTTTCAGGATTCGGTCGAGATGCTGCGCAAATCCAGCATTTGTGACGTGGTCATTTTCAAATGCTTCCAGTTCTCTGAAGACTGATCATTTCGAGAAAAATAGCCACGTGATGGTACTTGACACTATTCTACAACTGTGTTCAACGTTTTTTGTCTTTCGGTGCAGTATGACTATTACTTTGATGACGTCAAAGTCCTTTCGGTGAGTGAAGAGAAACGGGCCACACTTCTTCGCTGTTATCAGGCCCTCCTTTGTTCCATCAACTAAAAATCGAGCAATTTGGATTCTAGAAATAATTTCGAACTTCTGCTCGTCTTTTTTCGCTTCAGTTTAAGGCTTTTGTAGTGCATGCGGAAAGTCCAAGTTTGAGAAGTGCCTTAGTGTGCGACCCTTCAAAGTGGTCTTATCGACACCAAATTTCGCGTATAGATACTTTTCGTTATTCTAAACCCATTTTCAATATTTTTGACTCCAACATCAAATACAACTGTTTTGTATCGCTTTGAATCGGGAAAAAGAATGAGTAGGTCAGCTTTGTTGCCATAGCAACATCCTTAGGCAAAGAATCTCAGAATTCTGGAGTTTTACTATCTTTTCCGAATCTTCTCGGTGCTCGTCGTGTGTAGTTTCATTCTCTCCGCCCTTTTCCTACCGTAACCCTTAAGTCCTTTTCGCCTCTGCTTATCAGCCGTTATTTCGTGCTCCGGGGGGAGGAACTTACGACGAAAGCCTCGTTAGGCTCCGCCTCCTACGGTATAAAAAGGTTGAAATTGCACTGAATACTCATTCCATTTTTGATCTACTTCACCAGTTCAAACATGTCGGCTCTCGTCCTTATCCTGGTCATCTCGACCATTGCCTTAGCGCCAGTGCACGCCTTCTACCGCCAGCCCGGTGAAGGCCATACCAGAAGATGTCACCAAGATCTATGGGAGCGCGTACTCACCGCATGCGGAGGATTTCCGGATGGTAAGTCTGTCCGAATCTCTTCAATATAACAATCAGTATTTTCAGGCAGCTCCGGTTTCTCGATCTTTACACACTGCTGTACAAACAGGTGCCCAGACAACTTCATACGGATGAGGGTGTGCCCGAAAACGTTCAACTGAACACATCGTTTTTTCGATATAGTGCTGTATCACCGGTCTCTATTCCCTTCTAATATTCGTTTATTGTTGTTTATCTAAAGTAAATAAATCTGTTATAAATCGGATGTGTGCTGTTTTGGAAAATGAACAATGAATCAGTTCACCATGAATAAGAAACTGAGAACACAGACAAGATGCTTTCAGGCTCATCGTTCAGATTCACCGAGAGGAAAAGCAACGTGTTGTTTCTCGACACACGTCAGTTTTCATTTTCTGGAGCCATAAAAGTCCTCCGTCAAAGCATCCTGAAGTGCCGATCCGTCCATCACTTTCTAGACAGATTTACGAGTACGAGCCAGTATAAAGGCCGGATGAGAATCTTTCGGACACATCCAACTCCAAATGAGAGCTCTCTTCTTCTTCGTTCTATTCTTCACTTTGTCGGTCTCGGTTGCTGCACCTTTCCAGCACGGCGCGGTTCGGAATCTTCTCCGTCTGGAAGAACAGCTCAGAGCTATTCAACGGAATAGAGAAATGCTTTCGTTCGGTTACCGGAGGGAGGTTAAACGGAGAGCCGCGGTCCTTTGTGAGTCTGAGATCTTTGCGAATGCTCTCGAAATATGTCAAGAACAAGTGAGTCACTTCTTCGTAAATCTGGTACTGGTAGACAATTTTAGACTCTCCCAATGTCGCTGTCCTAATCTGATGGCTGCATGGTGAACAACGTATCGTATCTAATCCCATCGTTCTTATCATTGTCGTCAATAAAATTACACACACTGTTATATTGTCTTCACTCTGAAGATGCTCAAATCAAATTACGACTTTAAGTTCTGCTTTACACTTAAGCCTCTTCAAGTTCTACGAACTGCATCGTTTCTGGCAGATACATGACACCTAAATTTAACGTTTTCAGATTAACTTTCATCGTTTTCTAACCAATGATCAAAGCATGAAGTCTTGAGCATGCTATGAATAGCTCTGGACTGACCCCATCAGTCAGTACAGTAGGATAACTGGTTACTCTATTGGATTACTCACTCGTTGTCCTTGATCTCTTAAGATCAAACGTTGCATAGACTCTGCCAATCGCAAACTACATTATCCAGTCGGCATAGACAGACCGCATCATAGATCGCTCGGTTTGCAGTAGCCTAGACGTTGCAGACAGCAGCTCAATGATCTCGACAATAACGGAACTAAAGTAATCTCCGATAATGGCATTTCGATGGGTCGGTAGACAGTGATAATTCGTTGCCGTACTTTGATGTTGAAAGTAATCAACTATGTCTGTGTTGTTGACAAATCACTTGCAGAGTCCCTTTCCCGCGGAAGTTAGTGCACAACGGCAGTCTGCAGTCGAAAAATTCTGAACGCACTTTCTTTGTGCGCAAAAAGAAAGCGAAACCGTGTCAAGGCTGGTTGACTGGCACGGCGGCATATACTTTTACCTCAAAACGGAACAAGTTCAGGCGTGTGATACTGAAGACTTGTGACAGGAAGATGTATAGATCTAGGTCGACTGCGAGAAAAACAACGATGGTCATGGAGAAGTTCAAAAGTACTCGAAGAACATGATCGCATCAGGTCGTTCTACAGTTGACGGAGCTTTCCTGCCTAGAATCTGATGTGGTTTGAAATCAGTCCAAGTGTTCTGTCTTAAATACCTGGAAAAATGTTTAAAGCCGGACTCAAATTTGAAATGAAAAAGCGTTGAATTCTTTGAAATATATTGACGATCAAAATTCCCTCTTGGGAAAATTCTAATTTTGCTGTTGGATGAGAAGCAAGCACCTCGAAATGGATTTTGACAGAAATGGCCGTGGCCTAAGTGGAAACCTTGGCCATCCGTGTTTTTTCCGTCATTTTTGTGAACAACACAATTGTTATCTTTTTTTTCAAATTTTCAGCGTATCGACGAACATTTCGCCGTTTTGCACAAAGGCGCCGCCGAAATGCTTCTCCGCCCTCCATTTTTTCAAATTATCTCCATTCGCCAGTTGACTAATGCGACGAAGATGTTATGCTTTCGCTAACAGAAGCGTTTCTCGCTCGCTTTTGCACACTGGCGCCTCGGATACCGATTGCTCGAAGGAAAGTCGGTTAGTTGTACAGAATGGCAAATACTTCTCCGCCCTTCATTTTTTCAGATTCTCTCCGCTCGCCAGTCGACAACTCACTGAATGCTTACTGAATAACAATCAGTTTCAGACGGTGTCTGAAGAATATGATCGTTTTTGGTGGAATGACCTGACAGGACAGCAATTGAATCACAAACAGTTCCCGCGCTTGTTTCGATGACGTCCATGGCGGGTCCTCGTGTGAATTGTGACCAAGAAACTGGGCTTAGCAAGCGTTCTAGGTAGAGGAAGACACCTGAATTTTCTAATAACATTCTTGGAATTCCAACTAGACGCTAAGTTAAGCAGTAATTCAGAAGTGATTCTCCGAATGGTGTAGTTTTTTCCGGAATACCCTGACAGTAACAGCTTCCACACACATTGCCATTGCCAACATTGCCAACCTTCGGAGCGTCTCTTCAGCATCTCCTTTCGCCTCTTCCCATCCAGACCCATCAATCAACCCGTTGGCAGCTCGTTTTGATTTTTTTGCACTGCGCTGCACCCGGCAGAATCGAATCAAAACGAAGATGCAAATGATGGCGCACTTTAGATTTCTGGCCGGCTCTCTGACAGGTGTTGCTCAAAAGTCACGTGATATCTTCAAAGAGCAGACTCTTGCGGATTGCAAGTGAGAGTGCGGAAAGACGGAGAAGAACGGAGGAGGACGGAGGGCGGACGAGCGCTTGTTTTGGCGGATTTCGAATGTACTCGCTTGAGTTGAATTCGAAGAAGGAGGAAACGAGCCGACAATTAGTTCGGGTTTCAATTCAACGTCGACATCCGTAAACACTTTGCTTTGAAGGAATTTACTACAGTTTATTGCGTACACGGGTATTATACATAAAATTATCACATAAAGATCGAAGAGGCAAGGAGTCGTGGATGTAGGAGTATCGGAGATCATCGGAGAACAGGTGTCTATGGGCAGCAACTCTTTCTTAAAAACGCTTCATCGCACGAATCCGAGCAACAACGAGTTCCAACGTCGACTCCCGTCACTGAAAAAGAAATAATGAGGATCGGAATGGTTTGGGGTTTGGGATCTCTTACCTGCATTACACGCTCCTCCGCAGACTGCCTTGACGTAGTGCATCAGTACTGCTCCGCACTTCCGAGTAGCGGATGGAACTCTGCGTGGTCTCGACATTGGTCTCAGGAATTCCTCGATCGCCATTTCCATTTCGAAGTCTTTCAGCAGCCGATCGGTTGATCGGATCGCCATCTCATACTCCTGACGAGAAGCGTGTGAGTTTGCGGCTAGGCCGCAAATGAGAATAATGGTGACTGCGACAGCTTGCATGATGGGCTGGTCGCAGTTTGTTCGCTAAGGATACTTCAGTTTCTGAGCTGCGAAGCCTTCCTTTTTAAATCAAAAGGGGCGGAGTCCGTGAATCTTCACGAAACGGGGCGGGACAATTCGAGATCAGACAAAAGGGAGAGGAAGAGAGAAGTGAAAAAGTGGGCGGTACACAAGTTGAGAATACAGGTGATGTTGAAGCATCAGATGACGTTGATACGCCGAAATCCTAGGGAGCACTATTCTGAAGTGCATGCGATTACTTGATAATGACCCGAATTTGAAGACGGATGCGGAATTTGTGGTTTGTAGCGATGAGGTGGACGTCTCCGGAGAGTCGAACAAGTACGAATCTGTCCTTTTCTAAAAAAATTACCCATGCACTGAATCTGGAAGTTTTCCCATGCACTGAATCTGCACTACTTTTAGACGCTGGACCCATAATCTATATACATTCCCACGGATGATTTGTCACGAGACGACGCACTCTGCACTAGGTCTGGACTCTGCTTCTTTCAGAGACTTTAGCTTGAATCAGAAGAACCTGAGTGGAATTTATCTTTCCTTTCAGTCTACCGTTGAAGAAATGAACTTGGTTTCGGAGAATACACTTTGCGTCGTTTTGAGTGTGCTTCTAATAGTGCTTCTAGCGGTAACCGTCAATTTTGACGAAGTGCCGACGGAGTGAACTTTTCAGAACACGTGTAATTATGTCGGAAGGGCACGAAATGGAGACGTCGCGAGTCGCCACGTCACGGATTCTGATCAGACGTGCCAATTACATCACAGACTGCGTCGGATGACGCTTTTCAAATCATCAGTATCACGTCAATCGGAGTCTGTGATTACTTTGTTTTGGAGTTGAGGCTCCGTAATGCGCATGAGAGAGTCCGTTGGGAATACGGTACCATCCAAAGATGACGTATTCTGGTTACTGGGAACTCTTTCCGATAATCGTATCTCAAAACGATGCACTCCGTGGTTTACTTGCAGACATTCCCAAAATGATTTCAGTGCATGTATAACTTCAGCACGCATGTCATGTTTTACTAAACACGTTTATTCTTGTTCATATTTAAGCAGTACTGCGAGGATTCACCGTGATCAGGTTGATCGTACTTTTAAATATGCATCCATACTTTTTTGGAATTGCAAATGAGTGAGACGAGAAGTTTTTTCATGAATTCTCATGTACCACAACCACCCACCGGAAGGACACGTGCTCGCGGAGCACACAAATCCCTGAGAAGTAAAACGGAAAAGATACTCCTAAGTATTGAGATTTGCTCTCATTCCAAGTTGCTTTCTCTTCCTGGACGATCGCATTTCCGTCATCATCGGGCCTCCGAATAATTTTATTTTCATTCCGAGCACAAGTCCGTCACATCCGTTCTTTGTGTTGTCAGAACAACGACGGCAAGAAAACTATAAAAAACAGAGCGGAGGCGCCTACTTTTCCATGGAATACTAGACGGGTGGGGGCGGAAATGAACTGTCTGTTTATACGCAGAATCACCGGGTCTCGAGCCGCGCGGCCGCCAGTCCTCCATTCTCTTCTTCCCGTGAATTCACTCCCTTCTCTCTCTCTCTCTCTCTCTCCTCGTGATTCAGAAGACGTGCACTATTCTCAATTGCCGCCCTTTTCCTCTTCCCCTATCACAAGGACACCGAAAACTTTTCAGCGTTGGCCACTACGGTAGACACCAGAAACCGAAGAAGGCACGAGCTCGTCTCTCCGCCCACCCGCTTTGTATAATATAATATTTATCACAAGCAAGTCACTCCTCTCTCTCTCTTCTGGCTCAAGTCCTCAAGGTATATATCAAAAGTGGTGCGGGAAAAACTGTTTTCCGATTAGCTCGCTCGTTCGTCATGTACGTCTCTTTCCTTGTGCTCCTTCTGACCGCGCACCTCTGCATTGCCCATCTCCCAAGAAACTGGATGCTCGAGGAGCGTCTTCCGTGGGAGGACGAAACCGATCAATTCTACGACTACCGCAGCTTCATGTCAAGAAGCAGAAGAAGCGACAAGATCACGATCTGCGGGAAGAGACTGTTCAAGATGGTGGCGGCGACGTGCGGAGAAGGATGTACCGGTGAGTGAAGGGGGACTAGTATAATCACGGGGGAGCTGCGAATTCAAGTGCTTCACCGAACATCTATTTCCATTACAGCCAGCGAGGAGAACATTGCGACCAAGTGCTGCGAGAGCAAGTGCACAATGGAGGAGATCACCGGCTTATGCTGCCCCGGACGTTGAGCCCGTTCCCGTTCCGACTTCGAGTTGCCAACCGTTCTTCTACGAGTTATCCAACTCTCTTTCCCATTTTATTCCTCTACCTTTCCTTTTCCAAATAATAAAATGATGTTTGTGAACTCTTTCCACCAACCGTATCACCTTCTGAATGACATCAGAATCTCGAGAACTCTCGGCTCTCCGCCGTGTTTCTATGACGCACTCCTCGCGCGGCTATACTACTGATTGTTATCAGTTAGTTAGCAATACTCGGAAAGATTGTTTACCGGAGCCTCGCGCGAGCTTCTGCCGTATGACACCTTCAGATGACTAACATATATACGAAAGCTTGTGACAACTCGTCGCCAATCACATGGACGATTGAATCACCAAGAGACGACGGCTAATTATAGGCTTCTTGGCAGACGGAATTTCGATAGACAGAGAGGAAAAGAGCCACGCAGAAATCTAGTTGTTAGGCCGACAGATTGCGAACGGAAGAAAGGCTTGATCGTTGGCTGAAACTGTTGTTCCGATTCCAGTAGTAAACAGTACGCGTTTGAACCTCCATTTCGAGGATCAGTATCGCACAAACAAACAGAACAAGTTGGGTACATGGTGGATATTATTTACTTCACGGTTTAGAGTAACATTATAGTCAAATCAAAGGATAAGTTAACCGAGTTTATAAATGCTCTTGAGGCTATGCGACCAGGAAGAAGAGCAGGCTCAGCTTGTCAACGAACCCGGACAGCACGCTCCGATCACGTCTTCCATCGCGCACTGTTTCGTGCAGCAGAGCACGGAGAGATCGACGTTGGATCCTGGAAAATGGCTGATCAATTTGAGATTAAAAAAGACGAGGATGTACCTGGTTTGCACTCTCCGCAAGTGGCGAAGACAAATGCGGCGAGGCGAGCTCCGCAGAAGCGCCTTTTGTTTCCGCGCGCTCTTGATGATCGGGTGTCCAAGTGGATGGATTCAATCCGCCCCAATTCCGACTTCAATTCTTCCAGGATATTGTTCTCGTTGCCGAGCAGCTGAATATGGTCGATCGCGGCTGCCAGAGCGGACAGAGCAAGGAAGAACAGAGCGGTTCTCATGACGAAGGTTGCGAAAGAGTGGAGTGGAAGAGTGGAAGCATGCTGTCCTTCTCGACTTTTATACTGCTTTCGGAGAAAAAAGAAGGCGTGTCCAGACCATTCAAATTAGAGCCCTTCTTATTCGGATTAAAGAGCACGAGGTGAATTAGAGACAGCGGTTGCACAAGAAGCAGACAGGCCGCGCATCGGATTGCGCAAAGGCTGGCGGAGAGTAACAGGTGGGCGGCGAACGGATGCTGAAGCATATGGACGGTGACCGGGACATCTTTTCATCTGTGTCGGAACGCGACGGATTACGTTTGAAAACGTTCCGAGAGCGCACAGGTCGTTACGATGTTCCGCAGCGAGAATACACTCCGTGGAAATGCGTCAAAGGTAAAATTTCAACTAGCCCCATCGGTCCTTGTCTTCTTTGAATGGCTCATAAGCTCAGACGGCTTCAAACTACACGGATCCTTTCGCGAAACGAGAATGTGTTATCCTATTTTTGCTCTTCCCATACGCAGAAGTGTGGGTGATATCGCTCGAAACCCAGTAATTATTTGAGTTGTGTCTCACATTCTCTTCGAAATGACGACGTCACAGTGCCATGAAAATGACTATTATTGTTAATCTGTCTGATTTCAAAGACATTTTCAAATGTTGTTTTGCTGACGTGAAAAGTGCAAGTGATTATGGTCAACAACCCGAGAAAAGTAATGAATCAGAGCAGCAGGAATCCAAATTTGTTCCATGATTTTCCGCGGCCAAATCCGTCGGTTAATCCTTCCAAATTAGTGCGCGCCCTTTCCATTCTTATCCTTTCGGAGCAGTTCGGAAAATTTGCATTCGTTTGTTTCCTCGTCTGCAAACGACCCTTGGCATTTCATCAAAATACGATTGGAGCCCACGGTCGGATGAGCATCCAATTACGTAATCTGAAAGGATTTTGAAAGTGAAGAAGTTTGGAGGGATCGAAAGCGGAAGAATTCCTGTCAGAACTTGTTGATTGTTCGGCGCTAAAAATACTTATTCAAGTGTTGATGACAGCATTCGAAAGTGCATTACAAGTCGTCGCACTTGTATAGAAATCCCCGGATGATATGTAAAATTGTAGGAAGAATGAAAAGAGTAAACAGGTGCTCATGACACGATTGTGTCAGTGAAAGAACATGTTCGGGTGCCAGGGATTCGTGCGCTGAATCGAGGATGCGCAAGTTTTCAGGAAGGAAGTGCATCCGGGAACACAGCGGCGGAACGAAAAATGGCTGCTCGTGCGTGCTTTTTGTGTCTCTTTCATACTTTACATCACAATGAACTCATTTCCAAAAACATTAAGTGAAATAAATCAGTATTCGTCCGACGGCACGCATCTGAAGTTTTGGCGCACAGAAGAAGGTTTGGGAAGCGTGCCCCCGTCCGCCGTCCACGCGCTCCTGTGCACGAGCACGAGCACGAGCAACCATTCTTCGAAAAAAAAACTGTTTTGGCAGTGATCGCTAAACATTTCTGCAAGTTTCTCGTTGCTGCTTGTGAGTTTCCATTACAATGAACTCATTCCCAAAAAATTAGGAAAAATGAATCAGTATTCTGCAAGCAGCACGCATCTGAAGTTCTGGCGCACCCGGCGAAACAGGCAGCCGACAATTCGCGGGACGGTGGCCGAACTTTCTCCTTCTCCTCACTGCACCCTCGCAAAGAATCACCGTGATATATTCAAACGATCAGGTGTTCAAATTATGGCGGCCCATTTGCGGACGGAAATCATGCGGGGGATTCTGATTTGATAAGAGAAGGCGTTGTTTAAATCAACGAACAATCGAAACCTTTCTGAAACACGCGGCATGATGGTTGTTGATGTTCGATTTCGGAAAAGTGCATTTTAGTTAGTCAGATCACGACCAATTTATGTGAAACCTTTTTTTGTGTCTTGGAAGATCATTGTACTAGTTAGGCGAATGTGTTAATGAATTTGGCAAAAGGGGTTTGAATTGAAGGCTGAACACTTGTAGGCTCCAGGGTTTACACATACGTTCGGAGAGAACCTTCCTGGTCTGTATGTACAATCATTAGTTCCGGTAAGGGCCCCACCGACCGATGACTCATGTAATTTTCGGCAAGGGTTCGGCATGACAACAACAGTTTGCTAGAAGACGGCAAGGGATCGGCTAGGGACGGCAAGGGGACGGCGAGGAATCGGCAAACTGTCGATTTTTCAGCAACGTGCCGAAAATTACCTGAGGATTGCCCAGTCATCCAAAGTTCTGAATTCAGAAACCGTTCGTCATTTCCAATGGAATCACTTGTAAACCGAATTCATGTTTTTTCTTTCGGAGTCTTTACCACCCGGAATTAGACATCAACGCCACTACATTCGGTCTTTCCAAACTACACACTCGATATCATTCGTCACAAAACGTTCGTCGTCGGACGAATAGTTCATGAATTCAGAGCGATCAGATCAGTAGAAGTGCGTCGGGCTCTAATTTCGGAGTGATTAGCAGACGTATGACACAAACAAGCGTTGTCTGCGAGCGAAAATGTACATCTGAACTGTGATCGGTTAAAAATTTTAGTTCCAGGTTTGATCAGAAGGGAAGGAAGTGAGATGGTACTGAATCTGCAAAAGAGTAGTGTTGAAGCGACTTCACTTTTCACTTATTTTCGGGAATGATCGCGTATCCTTTCGTGAAACGTAGCTTTGAAATAATCGTATCCGTTAATGAAGCTTCTCCCGAAATACACATTCTCATTAAGACTCATGATCGATTAAAAATGTCAAACCCGTAGCACACATGTTGATTCTCCAGAAGAATCCGAACAAGTGCAAACTACACGAGGAAACACGTTGTTATCCCACGAGCACAATTACACCTTCCGAGAAAAAGTACTTCCGGACTTGAAAACATTGAAACTTCCGGGGCTTGTCAGTCAGCAGTGATCTGTGCTCCAGACTCATCCATCATTGTTTTTTTCTCGTCGAATGAGCAAAGAGTAAAGTGGAACAGGCGGTGCTCCGAGTCACGTGTCTTGCGGAACGGATGCAGAACGGACGCGGAAGGTCGCCCGGAAACACTGCGGGATTGAGCAACCACGAACGCAACGGGCTCCTCTCGGTGCACGGTGTAAAGTGTCTGTAATTCGGACGCCGGATCCGAGGTGTAAAGTGTAAAGTTTCAATACTCAGACACGCGGCGGCGGCGGCGCGGCGGGAAGGATAACCGACAAACAATGCGTCGAGTCTGGATTTTGATCGCGTAAACATTCACGAAACTCTTCGATTGTGATTCAACAAGGGGACTTGGTGGTCCGGAAAAAAACGAAGAACAGACGAATTTTGTATTGAAAATGGCGTCTAGAGGAGGATTGAATGAAAGTAAAAAGCATAAAAAAGGGGTTGATCAGCTGACTCTGACCATTGTTGAATAATTCTGAAGTCACGGTATTTGAGAGATTCTCGAATCGTTTGCACTCGACTAATCCTGAATGGAATCCACATTCATCCACTTGCTCATTCAATTCTTTTGTGCCATTGTCATCTGTAATCCTCGACCGGATCAACATCATCTCCATATTCAATTTGTGCTTTGTGATGCTTCGAGGTACTGTGACCAAATTGTGTTTGTCTTCTTGATAAAGTTGCACATTCTGTTCTCTTTGGTCTCTGTTTTCAGTTATTACAACAACGAATTCAGCTGTTCAGTGATGTGAACGCTTTTGTTTATCAAACAGAGTCGGTTGGTTTTTTCCCAGAGTAATTTCAAAATAACTAATAGATTAAAAGCATAACTTGTGAAATGTATTCTGTAATTCATCACTATTCCAGTTTACGTTACTCGATAGTTCCAGAACAAAAAGTTCCAGCTCCGCTCTTTTTCAACTGCCCTGTTTTGCTTATTCCCCTGTCATTTTCAGTGCCACGGGAACACGTGCTAACACCCGAAAACATGTCAAAAACGAGTAAAAGGGAGAGAGAAAAAGAGCGAGTTGGAGCTGGAACCGAACTTCCGACGAGCATCGTTTGCAGTCTCAAAAGAGGAACTCTTCCTTTCCTATCCTTTTTTGTGCATTTCGATCTGTAATCAAAGATTCGAAGAGAGATGACATCATCGATGATTTTCGGGATGAATGCCTGTTTGTTAGATGTCTAGACAAAACGGAAGAACGAGGGCATCGTCTTTTTTTTCATTAAAATTTTGAGTAGTCTGACTTCTACCCTCTCTAATCCTTTTCACCGTAATCTTGCTATGCTTTCGAGCCGATTCAGCTTTCAATTGATATCATTTTCATCCTAATACCATCCGCTCGTACTCATAATCACTCGGAATCATTTCCCCGGAACCACTGCTTCTCTATTAATCCGTTAATGAATTTTTCAATGCTTTTTGAAGTGCACGTAACAAATACATCAGATTTCGGTGTTTGTACTCAACCGTTTAAGGATTCGTTGGTCTGTTATCCAACGCACGGAACTCGTGAGATCTTTGTCTGCACAAGAACCTCTTTCATTTTATTTTCCCAAATATAAATTGCGGACGCTCTTCTTTTCTTTTCTTTTCTCCAGATGAACTCCTTCCGAAGATGACGTGCTCTCTCTCTCTCGGAGCTACTCCGATCTAATCGCTTCCTCATTTCACCCGGTCCCCCCGGTTGGGTCCTACAAAACGAACTCCGTGCGTGCCTTTTCATTGTCTTCTCCTTTTTCTTGTTCCTCTTCTTCTTCTTCTTTTTGCTCTCAAGAGACTGCTCCTCTTCGTTTTTTCACCCTCTCTCAGAGTTCGTTTCATGATTTAGCACTCTTCAGGGGACACCCCATTCGGCCCACTTTGTCACACACACACACACACCATCTTCACCATCTTCTTACCACTTTCCGAATATCGGGTCTCAGGGTTACTACGTGCGACACTGCTAACGTCTTCGGGATATTCAATTCCATCCTGTCGCCTTCTCCTTTTGTTTTCTACTTTCGAACTTGTCCACTTTTTCGCAGTTTTTGTGTTCCTTCTTCTGTTCCTCCTAAACTACTCCGTCTGACAACCTCACAATGTATCATATTCTCCTACGTCATTCCTATCTGTCTGAGAGCTTCCCCTAACAACAGCATTCATCACTTGGCGAGCATGCCATTTCTCATCGTATTACTATCTGACAAGTACATTCTGGAGAAAAAGGATCGCGACTACATAAACGAAGAATTTATTGAGTCCTGGCAACCAAGTTTTGAGAATGAATTTTATGTGTTTCCTTCTTCTATATCTTTTTTCTTGTCTAGCGACCATGTTTTGTTTGACTCGGAATGGTTTCGGTAGTTGAAAGTTTCTGACATTCTGCCAAGTCCAAACGACTTGTCAGCTGGATGTCACGTACCTCTTTGCCCTCTATCAAATTCGCTTCCAATCATTCAGACAACGACATTTCTCTTCCGGTAACTCAATTAAGTTGTCGGTCCGGTAACCTACTTTTGTTTCTTTTGAGCCCTTCCCTTCCTCTTCCGGTCCCTCCGACAATATTCATTCAATTCACTTAGAGTCGTTTCTGAATTATTCACTTCCCGGACCGGGAACTCTGTGCTCCGTGCTCCGAATTCTGTTTTCTGTCATTTCATGATCACTCCGAAGAACGTCCCCTCTTGCTCTTTTTGTGCGGATCCTGGAAACACGACCGTGCCCCTCACGTGCACGCCACCCGGAAATTAGAAATCCCGGAAACAAGGCGGCCTCCTATCTCTCTCATAACTTCAGTGTGTTTTTGAACCTAAACTTGGGCCGCCTGAGTGCGCACTACAACATAATAGATGTGGCCGAAAACGAAAGGAGGTCCCCCGAAGTGTGACTCGAATTAGAATTGCCTTCGGCCTACTCACGATTGTTTCATTCTTTCATTTGCTCATTGAGCAGACGCGTCACAGCCACCGCCGGTCCTTTTATGACTGGCCAATCAAATCGACTTTGTATCTTGTTTTTTCTCAGCAATCTCGCAAAATGTGCTTCGGAAGAGCTCCGACTCGAATCGCTCCCTTGGTTGCGGAGCCATTTCTGAGGTTTTATGAGCTCATAGGTTATGTCAATTAGATCGCTCCGACTAGTGCTCTCACTCCGTTTTTTCTGTCTCTCTTTCGACATCATTTTGTTATGAGAAGAACAGCACCTGACATCGTTTTCCTCCTCACTCATTACTTCCCACTTTTCTTCCACTTTTCTATACAACAGGTTTTTGTATCTAGCTGTTTGGGTGGCTTTGATGCTCTTGGGTTTGACATTTATTCTACAGTTGTAGGCATAAACAATTACACGAATCCACGCAATTCCCAAAATAGAAATTTCTTGGTAACGACTGAAAACATTGACCGAGTTCTGATTTTGACCAAATGTTGGTTCTCCAGAAGAATCCTCAATTCTTCCTTTCCCAGACATCAACCTGCTTGTGCTCTTTGCACGTGACACTCGGATCTCTGTCTCTCTCTCTTCCTTCTTTTCGTACAAAACCTCTGCACCCGTCGGAATGTATCCTCATCCCACAAATATCATCATCATCCAAATCCGAACACGAAATCCGCCCCTCGTTCTCTTTCTCTCTCTCTCTGTCCTCAGAGCTCATCCGCCCGCTATTGCTTCCTCGTACCGCCTCTTCCCGAATAATTGAGAAAACGAAAACCGACCGCAATTGTCTTATTAGTATAGTGCATTCGTCATAATCTTCTTCGTTTTCTCCTCATTTCCATTCGAATTCAGTTCTTTTTTGCAGTTCATTCACACAAATGTGCGAGGAAGATGGACCGAAATCGACAATATCCTTCGCAATGGTCATTGCCGGTGAGCCATCGCTCGCATGCTCCAAAAGCATAAAAGCGCAATGTAGTCAACTTTATAGGCTCTCTCATTTCCATTATTTCCATCTCCAACAACGTGCTTCTCTTCATTTCCTTGATCCGAAACAACAGATGCTTCAAGTGTTACTTCCACGTGAGTTCTCTCTTCTTTGATCTTTCCAATCCTCTTATTTCAGTTTATCCTGGCTCTTTGCTTTTTTGACATAATAATCTCCGTATGTTACATGCCTGTCATCCTCGTCGATTCCCTAAAAGACTGGACAAAATGGATCGAACTCGCGCGCGCCTGGTGGCCTTTCTTCGTCTACGGTCTGGCGATGACACATGTCTGCATGACAACTGCCTGGTATTCCCACCCCGTCCGTTCTCTCAAATAAAAAAAAACCTCTGTTTTCAGCTACATCCTTATCGCAGTCGCTTACGAACGATATCTGATCACTGTGAGGAGCTACATGCTCAAGCAGTTCCAGAAACGTCGCAGTTGGTGGTGTTTCGGTGAGTAGCGCGCAGATTTGGCTACTTTGACTCGCTCGTGACGCGTAGAGTACTCAGTGTCTTCGGCTTTCCGACGCCTTTCATACTTTGCTCTTCCCTACTTCGATGTATTTTCAGCCTGTCTAGCCTTCGGAATTATAACCAAGGGAGGAATGGTTCTGGAACTGGATGTGTTCCCGAGCGATGACGAAACGTGTAAGAACACCGTCATGGAGTACTATGTAGATGTGACCGAAATCACGAAATCAGTGTGGTACGGTAGCATCTACAAGTTCTGGATTCGCAACATCGCTACCGTATTCCTTCCCTTCTTCCTTCTACTTCTCATAAATCTCGGCATTGTTCTGGAGCTCCGCTCTCAGATGCACCACGCCTTCGGAAACCGTTCCCGACGACGGTTCTCGCTTCGAATGCAGAGCCGAGTAAGTGATTCAGAGGCCCATTATCAGTGAGAAGATCCTCATTTCATTTTCAGACGAACGTGCGTCAGGCGACGGCAACAATGCTATTCATCTGTGTCATTTATCTGATATCCAACGTCGTCAACGTGTTTATCACTGCGTGGGAGTTCATTGATATTGACACACTCCAGACGAGGTAATCCGTTCCAGAAATGAGTGAAAAGGAACAAAGAATAACCGTTTTCAGATTCATTGAGGAGTACATGCTCTCCGCCGATCTCTCTTCCGTTCTCGTCGTCACCGCGTGTGCTCTCCGTCTTCCCATTTACATGGTGAATGAGTGTAACCGTATCATCAAGTACCGTATCCTTTTTCAGCTGTGCAACCCGGAACTCCGAAAAGCTGTCAAACGGTCATTCACCACCAAAAACGAGCACCAGCAGAAAATGCATCAGACTTTCTCTCTAATTGCTAAAATTCTAGTCTAGTTGCCCTCTAGGAACAGTTTTGTTTCGTCATTTCAAATGATACTTCACATGTGATTATTATGCAAAACTCCAACGATTCAACGGGTTCTTGTGCCCCAGTTCTCTCAAATTCCCGTGACCTAAAACTCATAAATATGCAAACGACTTCTTTCTTTTTTTTGTATCATACAATACGTTTGTTTGTGTCCGTTTCCGCCATTACCACGTCATAGTTCAGTGCGTTTCTCGTTTCGTTTCATGAGAAATTTTATTCATAAAGCTTTAAAAGTCGAATGAATTCTACATAAATTATGAGCAAAGTGCGATAAAAATAGATTCAAAGTAGAGAGAAGTGCAGTCTAAACCCGTTTTTGGTCATGAAAGTTAAACGTTCGAACTGGATATCTATCGTAGCTGATTCTAGGCGAATTCGATGAGTCCTGGAAGCTGCCGTGGTCGGTTTGTTTGAGCAGTGAACAAATCTTCGGGGAACTCGTCCGTCGGCTCTTTGTCCACACTGAATTCCACTGATTTCGCCGCAATCTCCTTTTCGTTTCCATTATTCGGCCCGATAATCTCTGCCTCTCCAGACGAACTTCCAGAATGAACTTCTGCTTCTTTCGATTTCACCTCCTCGATTATTTCCCTTTCTTCTGGTCCTTCCTCTCCTTCTGGGAACCATGGTCGAGCTGAAACTCCACTCTGAATCTCTTCTTTTCGGATCTTTGCACTCACGCTTGTGCCGTTCTCCTGCTCCTTCAGTTCCGATCAAAGTCGGCGGACGCGTGATTCCCAACGAGAACGGAGGGGACGGAGGTGGCTGTTGTGGCGGCGGTGGAGGCATCGGCATTCCACGACCTGTAAGAGTGTCAGGAATAGACGTTCAAAGCCCACACAAACACATTGTACGTGCTATTCTGTTCTGAGAGGACAAAACAAAAAGGGAAAGCTGATTGATGCTTGATCGAGATAAGAACGACGCAGAGAAGAACAAAGAGTCTCACCCAGGAAGGAGAAAAAGTTCTTGACGTTGTCGAGGAAACTTCCGAATTGTCCTGCCGGATGCATCGGGTTCGGCTCGTTGCCGAACTGCACCTGACTGCCCATCTCGACGCCTTCTCGTCCTCCTCCGATTCCTCCATCGACCCCGACTCTCTGACCTCCGACAAGCGCGCCGTTGTTTGCTGAAAATGTGCATTTTGGGTTGAGCTCAAAGACCAGTGTGAATTGCTCACATCCCATTGCAAATCCGGCATTGTTTCCACCCAAATTGAAGCTGCGATCTCCACCGAATCCAAGAATGTTGGCCCCCTGTCCCATGCCCATATCAAAGCCGCCTCCATTCTGAGGATGAAGGAAGAAAGAGCCGAGGTTGATTTGCGCCGAACCTGGAATGAAATGTTTCGTACGACGCCACTCTGTCTGCCATCTGATCATGTGTTTTGCCCTTTCGCCCGTACGGTCATTATTACACACCTCTCCGATTCGGCCCTTTGTTCGTTGTCGAGAGTGATTGACTCATTACAACCAAACGAAGGGAATTCTTGAATTGGGAGGTGGTTTCAGATGAAAAGCCGAGAATAAAGGGTGTATAATAGGGCTGTTGTTGCTATTAAATGATGTCATTTATGACGGGAATAGCATACTTTTGGAGAGGAGAGCGATGAAGGAAACACGTACCTCTTTTGATGGATGATAACACAAGTATTAGAAGTGCTGACTTCATTTCGATTCTGAAATAGGAATATGAAAGCTTGAACTGGAATTATCTGCTGAATGACAGTGACAGACAAGCTGAACAAAGATTGAAGTTATAGTATAGGAAGAAGAAGCGAAAGGCGGAGAAAGTGGTAGAAATAAAAGTAGCCGAGTACGGCAGTACGAAACGAGGCGTCGTTTTCAGTTGGGCGAACACGCAAGGCAGAGAGAAGAAGAAGAAAAAGAAGAAGCCACCGTGGTTTGGTCACTTCGAAAAGTGGGTTTCATGACGACAAAGGCGGACCGAGAATTGACCTTGGTCACCTTTTCTCGAGAGACCACGGACAGCAACTGAAAACGCCTCGGCGCGGTGACTGATGGCAGATGAGAAGACTGCCCTCATGCCATTTTACACTTCGTATTGTTAGGCCAATTTGCATTTGCAAACAACGCGAGGAATTTCAAATGGGATGTGTTTAAGACGGCTGAAATCATCGTCGTCGTGTCACAAGATCGGGAAGTTCACTGATTCCTGATTTAAAGCTTGAAATCTGAAATTGAGATGAAGAACAAGGTCTTGACAGGGAATGTGAGTAGCAGACGTGATTGGTCTCTGAGAATATTTCCGAGCGTTCTCTCCCTTTTCCACTCTTTTCACTGCTCGTTCGGACCGATTAGACGTGGTCAGCACAGGCGAAATGAGCATCCGCTTTTGACGCGTTTCGATGTTATCCTAAATGGCACCGCCATCTGTCATCGTTTATGCTTATTGCCTGCGCGTGTGCGACGAGAAACAAAAACATTGATGTTTGATACTCGCAATGGTCACATTTGCACAATAATGTTTTTGAGCAAATATATGTGTTCGACTAATGGTTAGACAGACTAGAAATCTCCGTAATTAATGGAATTGTTAGAGTCTGAGTTTGACGCCCACATAATAACAGGTGCGGGGGAGAATGAGCACGCGCTGGATTTGATTCGTGGAAAAGATAATGTTTTCAGACGAAAGAAGGAAGGTGTTATAAAGAAAACAAAAAAGAAACCTTCTGCCACGTCATCATAAAAACTCAACATCGTATGATTCACGTTCTGCATAGCCGAAAGCAATTCCATCTAGAGCTTCTTCAAATCCTGACGTCTAAGCACTTCTCAAGATTACGCAGTCGTAAGCAGATGGACTGTTTGTTTACGTCTCCCCCTGTACTCCTCTTCTTCCTCTGACATAACCCACATATTCTAACGACCCTAATGATCCATGTACTCCCACACTCCGCAATAAAATGTAATCCGACCTTTCGGAAGATCAAGTGTCTCGAATTTCGAAGAAAAGAACAATCCAATCAAAGCGACTTCTTGTCCCCGTCGGGCCCCGATTCGACCTTCCGTCCCCTGGCAACTGGCCCCTTCCGTGCCCTTGTTCCCTTCCTTGTCAATTCATTTCGCAATCCTTTTGGACTTTCTCTGCGTCTCGTGCTCCATCGCTCATCCGGAGCCCTCCAAGCGTGCGCGAATTCATGCGTCTGGTCTCTCTTGCCTCTCTTTCCCGCACCAATGAAACCTTTTCCCATTTGTCCTTTCTTTCTATTTGGTGGTCCCTTTCTCTTTCGCTCTCTTCATATATCCTGCCCGTTTGTACTATTATTTCATGCCTCGTTTCTTTCAATTCCGCGAGAATCTCGATCCTCCTGATAGAAAATAAGATTTCGAGAGCGAAAAGTTATGAAAACGAGGTACTCCTCGTCGCCTTTTCTATTTCGCACCTCTTCCCACACAATTCAATTTGATTTTTGAGCGCTCTTAAGACAGAGACGAAGCCATCTTCCATCTCCTCTTCAAAATATTATTGAATTCTCTCGTGCTTTCCCATTCGATATTCATATCCTTCGATATTTAAGTACGTGCCACGCCATCACTTTATTACCGCCATAAAGGAATTGAATTTGGAACTGGCAGGAAGCAATTAGGAACATTCCGGGAGCCCGCTCAATTCAATTGGGCCTCCAAGCGGGTGCTCCGCTCGTCCTCGCTGATCCCTCATCCCTTTTCTCATCCAAACTTCTTGCCCATAATAAGCCGATTCGTCCGTCGTAAAGGCGCCTAACTCGCTGCTTTCGAGCCGATAGCCTCCTCCCCGTGTAATTGAGCTCATTTTAATACCAAACGACCTCCCTCTCGCTCCTTCGCTTTCCATTTTTGTGCCCCTCGAGCCTCCTCTCAAAAAGTGAAAGGGGGTACACTCGAATTGTTGGCGGGCCGGAGGTATGCATGACTGCACAATTATGGAGGTGTGCTTGTGCTCGGCGAGCCCGTGTGTCTGCCAAAAACAACGGTCCTCCGCCCGTTTTTGTTCCAGCTCGACGAGTCTCGACCCGACGGCGCGGTGGCTCTCCAACAACTTCCCCAAAGAACTATAGCATAAAAGCAACACACAAAATAAATGTATTCGTCGGCAGCCGCGGCAAAGCGACAGAGCAGCAGCGTTTTTGTGTCGAGATTTGCGATGGCGATAAAAAAGACGAAAAGTGGGCGACGGGTGCCACTTTTCTCTCTTTTGCGCACGTCCAACTTGCTCCCAATTATTTACGGAAAAAAACTGACTACAGCTAAGATTCTCACGGTCGCAACCGTCTGCTGACGTCGTTTCAGACCGGGCGCAGGTGTGTTTTGGCTCAGTTCTGTTTTCCACTCAATTCCCCGGAGACACCGACTGCCGAGTCAACAGAATCTTGTAGAAAGTTCAGTAATTCACCGTATGGAAACTCTTTCGTTCCGACCCTTTCCATCCAATTTCATCAATCTTTTCTAGTGCTCCCTCGATCCGAATCAACACTCCCTGACGCATTCGTTTGAGAACACTTCAAAACTTCTTTTCCTCTGGTCCATCCCCTTGCTCACTTCCAGCCGCGTTCCCATTATTCTCTCGTTCGCCTTTTTGTTTTGTTCCTTTCCATCGTTCAGAGTTCGTTCAGAAATTGACTTGTTCACCCTTTTTCGTCTTATTCGGCCAACGGACACACGAAAAAACAAATAGGCGTACATGATATGCGTCCATGATGGATGAAATACTTGACAATGAGCACGGAAAAAAAGAAAGAAAACCGACTCGTTCCGTATTATTGATGTATGTGTTTGGCGCGTGTGAACAGACTCACAGAGCACCCATTTCAAAAGCTCTGATCTCTTTTTTACTTTTTCAGTTGTTCAACTGCTTGAGAATCCTAAATTTCATTCGTCATTTTGTCAGATTGATCATCTCTAATCCATTTCAAATCCATGTCACTCGTCTTGAATAATCCATCTGAAACTAACATCATTTCGTGTCTTCCTCCTCAGAAATTTCGAAAAGTTATCATGAATCTATCTCAGACAGTCGCTTAATTTGCGTCATAAATCTTCCCACTCATCTGTTCTCTGGTCTGAGCGCTCTTCTCATTAAAAAACTTTCACTGACCTTCCCTTTTTTCCGATATTTCCCTCCCTCTTTCCCTGCCGTTTTTCGTTTTGAGCTCGTAAAACGGCGTGTGCCATTCATGGATGGTTTGTGGCAATTATCCATCCACAAAAACGACATTACTTCCGAGAGCACTCCGCTCTTCTCTCCTTCTCTCCTCGTCCAACTTACCTCCTCTTTTGCTATTTCCTCCGTTTTCTCCGAAGAGAGCCGTGTTAATTAAACGCCTCGGCAAGGCAATCGACGGGAGAAACTGCGCGGGACGACGCCAAAATAACATCTCATTTTGCGTCGTCTTGTTCCGTGACGTGGCAGTGGCGTCAAGTTACATCTAAAATATGTATGCGTTCTCCGAAGGCGTGCCCTTTTGCGAGGCACACGCATTTCAGCCCGCTGATCTTTTCCGTCCTGAATTTCCCACGGTCTCCCTCGGGGCGAATGATTTCAATGGGCGCACGCGTTCTTTCCATGTTTTCTGTACAATACACCTATTCTTTATACGCCTTGAATCTGGATTTGAATAATTAGCCTGGATTTTGATGTTTTTCGAATAGTTTTCAAAAACTGCTCAAAAAACTAACCGCCGGAACCTAGATTTTGTAAAGAAAAATTCAGTGAACTTGTTTATCGTTCATTGGGCTCATGAAATGCAAAATTAGCTGAAATCTGTTCTTCTAACCATTCTTTTCCACCCAATCCGAGAGCGATAATTCGATTCTCACTTGTTCCTTTATCTTGCTCTTTTCGCCTCTTTCTGCCGCCTCTCCCTCTTTTCCATGTCGCATTGCTCAGCCGCCAAAAGTCGCAAGAAAAAGAAGAAGCCGTCAAGTCTTCTGACGCCCTCGGGGTCGCTCCCCTTCACACTTTTTATCGATCGTCGTCTGAGTGAGCATATCCGGCTTCATGAGTCACGCCATCTCCCTCGCGTTTCCGTATTCACCGGCATGAATGGAACTTTTCTCCCTCTTTTTCTCACTTTCATTCAAAACGACACCGTCATCATTTCCACCTCATTCTCGCCAGCTCAACGCTCACTTCTCATTCTTTTTCGTTTTTTTCTGACAGCCCCATTCACATTTTGAGTCGGACAATTTATTTTTGAAAAAAGCAAAACAATTTTTCATTTTTTCAAATTTTTCAAAACAAGACAATTTTGAATAGAAAAATCGAAAATCAAAAGTGATAAGTGAATAAATTACGATGTGTCCGACTTATTGGGTTGATAGTGTTCACTTTGAGCCATTCGAGCCGCTCTTCGCACTCGGACGTGGCTTCTGGTCGCGATAGTCCGGCTTCTCCTTGTCGGAAGTTCGATTCTTCTTCTCGAGCGGCACGAAAGCCTCGTCGTGAAGCAGCTCGGCCTGGTTACGACGCTGAAATTATTCTCATAACCTGATATATTTTGAATCTAATCTTTACCTTGATAGCCTTTTGTGCGCTAGAAGTGGATGGCTGAGCGCTGAGAGTCGGTGGCGGAGTGGCCTCCTGAGCGACGTCCGGCACGGCCGGGGCAGAAGCCGTGGCTTTCTTGGTGGCGCTTTTGCGAGCAGTACGCTTCTTCGGTGGCATTTCTGGAAAGAAAATAACAGATGAAAAAACCGCTTTGAATTTAAAACAAAAGAGAAAAGAAGGATAGAAAGTGAGTGTTCGATTTCGAATTATACCCGTTTCCCGCGCCGTACGCAGCGAAAACAAGTGTTGACAGAACGTTTGATACTCAGCCAGAACGGACAGCGAGTGTGGGCGCCAGGGCCAAGCATAAAAAGAATCGATTGTGGTAACGGGAAGGGACGAGAAGAGTGTGCATCGAGGTGAGAGAACGAGCGTCTGCAAGCGACAGTCGGTGGTGATATGCGGACGGGGAGAAAGGGACGGAAGCGGGACGACGAAGCAAGGGCGGGTGACCGTGATGATAGTGCGTGTGTGGCTAGAGAGAAGAGAACGGAGAGCAGACGAAGAGAGATGGGTCACTGGAAGAGGACCGAGAGATAAGCGATAGGGAGAATACTACCGTATCCTGGGGGACTTCAGACAATGAACGAATTCCCACGTCATCATTCGCAGAGGTCTTCATCAATCCATCCGTCCACTCCTTTCTTCTTCTCGCATGTCCCTTTTTGCTCTTCCGACAATTATTCGTTGGCATGCCAGAAGGCAACCTTGTTTCCATTCTGCGAAGGACGAAGCCAACGAGGCGAGCACACTCGCACGTTGTCGTATGTCAACATCAGGCGAGAGAAAGCCTCTAATTTGTAGCCTCAAGGCGATAATTTGTATTTCTCACACACGCGATTACGACATTCGGGTACCTTCGCACAACAATGTCTTCTGACGTAATCACCCCGGAATGCCAAACTCAAACCGCTTAGCGAAACGAAATGCGCATTCGACGTTCTGTCCGTTGTCGAGAACAGACGGACAGGCAGAAGCTTTCAAATCTGACAAGGCCGTTCAACAGACGACCTCGACAATTTCGTGACTGCGATATTGATAAGATTCGAATGTTTTGAAAACATAACACATATAATTCAATCTAGACAAGAAGACAAGAACAACTTTCTGTTCAATCATCCAAAAGCGTCCTTAAGGACGCTCTTGGGTTGCTTGCGTCCGTATAATTTCCATAGGGGATCTAACTGTTCACTGAACCAGCTGTGCTCGAAACGTGCGACATTTGGCGCACCAGACTAACCCTATTATCACACTCCCTTCGCTCATTTGCTCTGGTATCCGTCTCGCCTTTTCTTTGAATGCGCGACTAAACCTTTTGTACTTTTCCTTCCCCTAACTGAATCCCTCCAATCAAGTCTAACTTCAAAAGCACATTTTCTCTCTCGTGCTTTCGTTTCTCTGCTCGTCTGTCACCATGACGATCATCCGGCAATCCGATCAGATTTCAGTCATTCGCTCTCTTGTTTTTCCTCCGATTCCAGCTCGGGTACGTCAGTCCGATTGCGATCCGCGCCGTCAGTTTGGCGTGCCGCGCGTGCTTCTCAAAAACCAGTTGGATCATCGTGTGTTTCTGACACCTTTCCATCATGACCACGCACTTTTCTCATCTCATTTCTGCTGCCCACACTCATAATCCGATAATCGAATTACCGTAGTTCGCTCGTAAAAACTAACGAGGGGACCGCTCCCGACGCAAAATGGACAAATTTATGGCTTCCTCGAGCGGTTTCCGTTTCTTTCGGAGCCCCCGCTTCCTTTCTCTTCATCTCTCTGCCTCTACAAATCCAAACCGAATTCTCGATAACAAGCTCACATGACCAGGTATATTGGCTGACAGTGTGAGCTGGTTAATTATGGATGAGACATAATATTTATATTGTGTACGTATCACGAATATCGGGTGTCGACGTCCTGCCTTCTTTTTTCCGTTATTGTTGAGAACAAACGGCGAAAGATCGTCTGAATGAGTGTGTCTGCATTCATCGGACCGGAAACAAGTTCAAAAGCCAGTCTATTCAGAATTTCAAAATCACGGTTGTTGATAAGAACTTTTCGACTGAAACCTGTGCAAAAAACCCACACAAAGACTTGTTCTCCTTCATTCGGCTGACTCATCGACCATTTGACCTCTCCTTCGACCGGTCCTCCTTCCGTCTTCCGAGAACCGCGCGCCCCTCCTTCCTCCTTCTTCTTGCTCCACCTCGATTCGCACATGCGTGCTCAACTCTCAACTTCTTTTCCATTTTTTCATGTTCGTGTGTGTGCGCGCCACCTAATTCACAATTCAAGCCAGAAAGTCACGCATGACGGGAGGAGAAGAAGAAGAAGACGAACCTCTTTTTCCTCTTTTTCTTCTTCTCGGATTTCCTCTTTTCAAACTCGTTGTCGCGTCTTCTTCGTCTTCTTCGTTTTCGTCCCTTCATGCTCGACGAGCCCCCACGGCAGCCATGGCAACTCGATATCCGCCTTGCTCTCGCCTTCTCTCTTTTTCGTTTTCATTCTGATAATCGGATGTGGAGAGATTAGCCGGTGTGAGTAGGAGGTGGGGAGCCGGGCACTCGCCTCACTCGCTCCCCCCAGTTCCAGCCTCTTTTGCTCGCCGCGCCGCCTTGCTCGTTCATTTCGCTCGGCTCTCTTTCCAACTCATGCATTCTCTGAATTCCATTTTCCCAATGATGCAAATATTTTATCTCACTGCTTTCGCACTATTCTCTCTCAGATCCTATTATGACGGTATTTCACTGCAATCGCGCTCTGTTGAGAAACTCTTTTTGCAGTGCAAATTGAGTGACTTCGGGGCCGAGTGTGAAAAGTTAGGCCACATTTTCAGTGGAAGATCACTTCGCGGCCTAGAAGTTCGGCCAGATTGCGAACAGAGCGCGATTGCAGAGGAATTCCGCGATAATATCATCACCACTCTAATCAGAACTTTCTGCCTTTCAAGCTTCACACCCCTCAATTATCTTTCGAGTTTATGGTAGCTTTCGTGCCAAACTCTTTTCGCAGCTTCAATGAAAGAAAGAGAGAAAGCTCATTTCTCCTGAATTCCTTCAATATCGTCATTTATTTATAGTTGAAGATGGAGAAGAGGAGGAGAAGGAGAAGGAGGCACGGGTCGACGGTGGCAAAAACAAACCTTTTCTTGACACCTAATTGAAAAATGCTCTGCTTCTTCCCGTGCCATCCTCCGTTTCATTTCAAAATGTTTGTGCCGGAGAGCAACCGGAAAAGTGTGGCGTGACCAGTAGAGCCAAGATCTGAAACGACGAAGAAAAGTGACGTGTGAAGAGAGTGCATTGAGTCATAAGGCAGAAGCGAATGTAGTTCCGTTGGGCGCGCGAGGCGAAAACTACAAATATGTACTAACCTGGTCAACGTCTTTTCGATCAAATCAGAAACTGATTCTCGTCTTCCTCGTCCCCTCCCTCGTTCGTCTCTTTTCTTAACCTGTCGTTCTTCACACTGTTCCCATCTTGTACTTTTTGTTTTTCCCACCTTACTCGCTCCAATCGTCTCTCAGCAATCTCTTCTTCCTCTATTCCGCCTTTTTTCAGAAGCGAATTCCAGCCAAGCGCCCTCTCAAACTCCATCACACATCCTATGCGAACCGCTCACCTTCTTTTCATCGGCGCCCTTTTAGGCGTCTCCCTGGCCAAACACCATCATGCGGCTAGAGGTATTAACGAGCGTTTCCATGATCTTTCCAGTATCTTTCAATTTCAGCTCCGATAATCAACTTGCAAGGAGCTGAAGAGCTCGTCGCCGTCGTGCGCGAGGACGAGAATATCATCTCGACTGTGCCGGATTTTGCGATCCTCTCGGAAACTGGTAAGCAATAAGATTAATGACTTGAAATGCTGAACAAGCGATAAAGAGACACTGTCTATCCCTCCTTCTTGTTTTTCATTATTTTCATGAGAATCTTGTTCACACCAAAAGTTTTCTAGGGAAAGCATCACTAATTAGTCACGGGAGGAAAGCGTGGCCCATACTTCCTTGAAATAATTGACCTCATTACTAGTCATGGCATTTACATTCTCGTGATCCTCTCCTCTTGCTCCCTTACATACACACCTCATTTGCAAGAAATCTCATCAGGAAGGAGTCGGTCGCGGCGTCGCTTCTCATTAATTGTTTCGTCTTTTTCTTCATCTTCTTCTTCTTCTTCTTCTTTTTGCTTCTTCGTCAACGGCTCGAGACACGCAAAGAGATTACAAGCCACCGACGAAGAACACGAAGACGAAGGGGATTGACGTGTGTGTGGGGAGTGGGATTAACTGTGACATGACATGACAGCCGATGAATCGAGAGCACATGAATTGAAAAAGACGCGGGACCTCCTGTTTGATGTGATGGCAATTGGAAATAGAAATGAAAATGAAATTTGAAGAGGAAGAAATGGAATGAATTACAGGACCCGTGTGCAACTACATCCTCACCGCGCAGAACAATGAGCCCGTTCCGTTTGACATCCAGGTCGTCGACAAGTTCACCGGAGCTGCTGTCCTCAGAGTCAAGGTAGACGAAGAAAGGGCGCGTTCGGTTCATTCAGTGAATATTCAGGACGCGGCCACTCTCGACTGCAAGAAGCCCGAGTACAACCTGCAAGTGCAAGCCGTCAAGTGCGATAATGACAACGTGAAGAGCGAGGGAGTCTCCCTCAAGATCCGTGTCAAGGACACCAACAACCATGCCCCTGAAATCGAGAATCCCTGGTACACTTTCCACGTGGAGGAGGGAAAAGTCATTGAAGAAGTGGGTGCTCTGAAAGCTTCTGACAAGGACTGTGGCCATCCGAACGGAGAGATTTGCGAGTACGAGATCACGAACGGTCTCAAGGAGCTTCCGTTCGCCATCAACAACCAAGGAGTGCTCCGCACTACTCAGCCCCTCAATTACACCCAGTCCAAGTCCTACATTCTCACCGTCGTCGCCATCGATTGTGCCATGCGAAAGAGCAAGAGCTCTCTCGTCACCGTCCACGTGGATCAGACGTGCGTTCAGGGAATCGCCGCGATGAATGAGAGAGTCAACTACGCGCCGGGAACAGGTTCCAAGCTGCTGCTGCCGGATGTTTCTCTTGAATTCTGCGAGAAAGAAAGTGTCTGCGTGCCGAAGAGCGTTCAGTCGGTCATCGAACTCCGTGCCGGACACGTCACTCAAGGATGCGCCAGAGATACTGTCTACGACAATCAGACCATTCAGTCGTGCGGACTTTCCACTGCCACCGTCAAACTGCTTAACGAGGAAGCTCTCACCAGCTCTGCTGAAAATCAAATCCTGGCTGACCAGGGAATTGAATTCGACGGAGCCCGCGGATTGAGTGTCTCCGATGAGGTTCATCAGGGACTCATTCCGGATCACTTCACGCTCAGCTTCTCGATGAAGCACGCCGCTGGAACCAAGGATGAGCAGAGCAACAAGCAGAACATTCTCTGCGAAAGCGATGACTTCAGTGAGTTATATCACTCGGTTCCCAGATGAACTCTTTCTTGCAGACATGAACCGTCACCACTTTCCGTCTACATCCGCCACTGCAAACTCGAAATCGTCCTCCGTCGTGAAGCCGGAGCCACCGCAGACTTCCGTGCTGCCGAGTGGCGCTGGTCGATGCCAGAGGTCTGTGACAACGAATGGCACTCGTACTCGCTTCTCTTCAACGGAATCGACGATGTCAACGTGGTTGTCGATGGAAAGAGCTTCAAGGCTGACGAACGCAACCCGGAAATCCTCGACGACTGGCCGCTTCACAAAACGAAAGCCACCAAGACGAAGCTCGTTGTCGGAGCCTGCTGGCACGGACGTCAACAGAAGCTCGCTCAGTTCTTCCGTGGACAACTCTCTTCCCTGTACTTGCTGAACGGAGCTGTCGAGAGCGAGCGTGCTATCAAATGTGCCCATACCTGCCCGGAACAGCTTCAGTTCACTGGAGTCGATGAGCTGCTCGACGGACAGAGCGCCACTTTCTCACCGGATCAGACCACTCTCACGCTCAAGGCCGAAACCTCCAAGCAAATTGGGCAAATGCTCAAGCGCGTCGCATATGTGAACACTCAGGAGAAGCCAGCTCCAGGACACCGTGTCTTCCACGTTGAGACCGAAGTCACTTGCAAACAGGATGACAAGAAGATCAAACTCCCGGAGAGCAAGGGATACGTCTTTGTCCAACAGGTTTCCGAGCCGACTCTCTCGATCTCGGCGTCGTCCCAACTGAAGAGCAACCAGCACATGGTCAAAGTTGGTCAGGCAATGGTCCCGGATCTCACCATCACCATCAGCCAGAACAACGAAGGTATGCTCACGAATCACCGGGGCATCTCATGATCTTTCACTTTACAGACGGAGAGCTCGAAGACGTTACCCAGTCCCACAAGATCGACTACTGCAAAATGCACCTGCAGCCAGCTCGCGACATGGACGTCGAATACTTCTCCTCGCCCGCTTCTCTCATCGCTGCCCTCAACATCGAGTTCGAGCATGACAAAGATGTAAGTGAATCTTGTCGGTATCAATCCCAATTCGCTCGCTCTTCAGGGCATCCTTCTTCGCGGAGAGGAAAGCGCTCAAGGGTACAAGGAAGTGCTCTCGAAGGTCCACTATTTCAACACTCGACCGGAATCGTACGCCAAACGCATCTACACGGTCCAGTGTGCCATGCTTAAGGGACGCGTTCTCAGCAACCAGATTTTTGTCACGGTCAGTTATTCACTTCTTGTTTTCCTTTTTTCTTCGCTCCACAAGCAATACAGCACCAAAGAAGGTTTCCCTGGGATTAAATGGGCGCCTTTTTACTCTCTTCTCCCAATGTGTTCTCTCTTCTGTTTCTTGATGATTTCTGATAAGTTATGTGAGAAAATGAAGATAGGGATTGCTCTTTTTGAAGAATGTATAGGTTAGCAGTCTTGAGCACCCTTCAATGAGTCAACGAGTCATCAATCTTTCTGTTCTTATCCTCTCTCTCTCTCTCTCTCTCTCTCTCTCTCTCTCATTATTCATTCATTCATTCTCTACGCACAAAATCCATTTATGTCGTTGCTCGAAGAGCCTATAATGACTTGCGCCCGTCTGTTTTCATCGCCTCGAAATGGGTTTTCGGGCATGCCGAGAGAGGCGTCTTTCCTCCCCAGAATTGCCCTCATTTGAGCAGACCCCTCCGAAAATGCGCACTCGATTCGTCCTTTTTGTATGTGTCGAGTCGATGATAGACGATTCTCTCTCCGCACCCTGATATCAGCTGAGTTGGTGCCAGGCGCAATGATGTAATCCCTCTGGAAAACGCTCTCAGAGCCGAGCAATAATCCCGTGTAAAGAGCGCCGATAATCTCTTCTTCACTCGCAAAATCGCCCACTGCTCTACGTGCCGGACAAGATCACGGGACTTACCGGAACTCGCGCATTTCTCAGACGCAGCCTCGCGTATATCTCGGCTCGTCGAGCCATAATTGCTCTCGTTTTGCTCATTCCCCGGAGAGCTATGATACATCCAACATGTTGAGTGAGTGGATGAGTGTTGCGTTTCCGACGGCTTGCCAGTCGTCTTTGGAAGTTCAGCACAGCTTTTTTCCTCTTGTTTTAGTTACTAACTTCTGAATCCCTCAAGTTTCTCACGACGAAGCACCCCCTGAAGGCGAAGACTATTTCAAATTTCGGGTATTTCCATCCAATTATTTTCCTTTTAACTGATTCATCCTGCACTTCATTCTCTCTTTGTTCTTTCCATTTTTCGCTCCGACACCTCATTAATTTTTCATCGTTTCCAGTCTCGTCATCATCTAAATCTTAGTCTCTCTCTCTCTTTTTCTTCCAACGGAATTCCGGAGAGGGGCTCGCATCTTAATTGGCATAATTGCGGAATCTTCTCTCTTCTTACACCCACCCCTTTCCTTTTCATCTCATGTTTACATCAAATATGAGCAGAAAAAGACGGAGGAGAGAGAGAGAGAGGAAAAACAACTACGGTACTTGTTATGATTACTTTCATTTTCAGATGACCATCGAGGGAGTCACAACGACCACAACCACGACGACCGAGGCGCCAGCGGTCGCCGCTGCCGCCCAGCCAATTCAGTTCAACTTTAACTCCGGAGAGACGGCTCTCGACAGTCTCGAGCTTATCGAACGACATTTTGAGCCCGCGTTCGACCAGCTCGGAAGCTCACGACTTCAGGTGAGCAGGGTGATCTAAGAATGAGCAAGCGTGTTTACCGGCGCTTCTTCTACAAGGACAATGGGAGTGGGGTGGAGCTGAGAAGTTGGAAGGGAAATGAATGGAAAGTTATGAGCAGGGAAGAGAGCCAATGAGCTCTCGCCGCGGCTCCCCTCCCCCTCCTTTTTCTCATTTTTCAGTGCCTGCTCATTCGTTTCCTTTCTCTGTCAGCAGTTATTCTGATGGACTCGCTCTCCAACTCACATGCACTTTGCCTGTTTCCCCTCCTTTCTCCCAATCTTTGTTTCCAGTCCGATTAGTTTCACCATTCGAAATTGGTTCGTGAGATTCGATGTTCACAAACAACGCTTGTGTGCATTTCAAGCACATGTCTTTCAGATTACTCTGAAAATCGCGCTTCCTCCTATCTATCTCTCTTTTCCCATCTCTTTACGTCGTCGGCGCCAAAACATTTGAAGTGAGCGCCTCGGCGATGCTATGAGAGGGGGGGCATGCGGAGCACGTCGTCAGAAGCAGCAGAAATTCAATTAAAAACAGACGGCTCCACTCTGAAGCCATCTGTCATCACTCATCGTGCCCGCAGGCGAAACCAGATCAAGACACGCCCACTCCTGAAGACTTCGAAGACGTCGTCGGTCCGTTGAGTTCCAGGAAGAATCGCCCGGTCGGCAGGCAATCAGCAGTCTCTTTTGTACCGTTTCAGTTCATTTTGCCGTCTCTCGTGGATCCCTATTTATTTTTGTAAACTGCTAAATGCATTGTAGAGTTTTTTCGGGGAAACCCTTCAAATTAGTCTTCCGGAGAACTTGGTGGTATCATGAATCAGATGTGTGGCCATCTGAAAATACTCGAAAAACTTCTCGCTGTAATCCCATTTCCTATACAATTTCAACGTTACGAAACTCATCCATAACCGGCTTCTTCTCCGAATTCTGGGATTTCTTTGAAATCCATGAACCCACCAATCATCATTCTTCTAAAAATGGAAATTCCATGAAATTTTTCCATCAACTCGATAGCTCCAGAAAGGGATGTCTCTCTCTCTTTCTCTCTTCCAATGAATTATAGATGCGATTCCGCTCCCCTCCTTCTTTTTCTTCCCCCAGATCGTCGTCGTCGTTGCCAGGATTTTCCCTTGTTATTCCGTTCCTCTTCCTCGCTTCTGATCAGTTTGTATCCAGTACACGTCTTCGTAACCCTTTGTTATTTTTCGATTAAAAAAAGCAATTGCTTTTTTATCTCGTCCTCAATCATCGAATCTGTGCCAAGTGCTCGCTTGCTCGCCTGACGTCAACTTGGCAACGCTCTCATATTGGAGTTTTTCCAGCCGTCATCAGACTCCAGAAACGGATCATGTGATATGTGCGCACGCGGCTCTCTCTCTCTCTCTCTCTCTCTCTCTCTCTCTCTCTTTCTCGTATGAATAACAGAGCAGATGAAATAGTTCAATGAAGTTCTGAAGGCCAACTCTGTTTGACAAGTTGCCCATCTCCAGAGACTTCCCACTTATAAGCGGGGGTGGGAAACATAATTCAGAGAGAGAGAGAGAGAGAGAAAGAGAAGAGTTTTTGCAGAAAAAATATGAAAAGCCTGCAAATTTGTGAGATCCACATCATTCCAAAAAAGCAGATGTTGGTCCTTGGAGACGGGAACCGTCAAACCGTGTCCGCATCTTCCGTGCCTCGTCATCATGTGGTCTCTCATCAGCCATTCGTTCTCATTAACCTTGCGTAGTCTTTCTAAGTACACTGGTCGTTCGGTCGCGTGTGCCTCCCTGAACATCACGACAAACTTCTCGACGCTTCTTTTCTTCGGGTGCGCTTGCCGAGAAGAAAAAACATGGGTCTCGCGGGTAACGGAATCTCTGTTCTCCCGCCGAGAGAGACTGCGAAACTCGGACACGCAGAGCACCTCCGGACTCTGTCGGCTTGGCCCCAAAAGAGGGGCGAAGCGGGCAGAGGGCCTCCGTATACACACAACTGCCTCCAAATCTATAAAACTAGAGGAAGAAGGGCGCGAGAAAAGCGGCGCCCCCTTCCGTCGTCTTCTCGCTCTTCCTGCCCCTCCAGCTCCCCCCAGGGCGACACCGCTTCCAGAAGTGAGCAATTCTGTCACCTTGCGTTTCAACAAGTCTGTCGTTCCAGCAGAATTCTGAAAATTACGTCTGTATTCCAGAATGTTCGTGGTAAGTTTCTTGAAGTGCTGACGTGGCATTTAGTCATTCCGACCGGGAAACTATACATTCGTTGTACTCAGAAATTCATTCAAAAGAATTTTGCTGATCCCTCCGACCACCCGTTGACAAAATAATCGTAAATGTATGTCATCGTATTTGTTTTCTTCTCCTCACCAGCTGACCACAACTCTATCGAAGTTTAGTCTTCCTTCTTCTTCTTCTCCTTCTTCCTCTTCTTCTTTTTCTCCTGATCGAAGAATACGTCGAAATATGATCCTTGGACACAAATTGGGCCCGCTCATTCGCTTCTGTGGCGCCGTTGCGCATCAGATTTCCTTACGCAGTCGACCCATTTCTGGCACGGCGGCTCTCGAATGTGCACTACTTCCTTCCTCATTTCCTTTTTCTTCTTTTTCGTTTTTCCGCGAACACATGTGATATTGGAGTGGAGAACCGAATGCCGCTTTTATATAAGCAGGAAATTCGTTTGAGCGATTTCCTGTTTTCTTCCACTTGGTTCCCTTCTGAGTGGCCCTCACTCGAAAAAAAGGAACCGCCCGGGGCGTCGAGTGCCACGTCACATGGGATTCATCATTCGCACGAACCGCCCAACCATCACGCATTCTCGCAAAAATGTTTATGAAGAACGTCGCGGCCGGTGGTCACCCGTAGTGGTGGCGACCACCAAACTTTCTGATTCTGATTTTCGTAACGACGACGCGAGAAGAGGAAAGTCGACAACAAAAACATCTTCTCCTTCGTCTTCTCGTCCCCTCGGAGGCTCCTCAGTCGTCCATCCGAATCTGATTTAATCAAACCATTCGCCGCACCTCTTCTCCTATTTCGCTTCAATTCTCCCCTCTCTTCCCGCCGTCCGCCTCTCGCCTTCCTCGTCGGGAATGGCTTTCTGGCACTCTATGTATTCGTTAGATGAGGTTAAAATTAAGGTGAAACAACTACAACATTCTATCAAAACCTTCCAGCTAATCACGCTAATTATTTACAGAACATTCTGGAGATGGACCTGCCACGTCCGAAAGCGCTTCTCTCGCACCACGGTTACGATGTCGGGCAAGGAGCCATTGCTGGTAAGTGTTTTTCGGGTCCGAACATTCCTAAACCTTTGTATTTCTCAGGTGGAGCCGTCGCCGTCGTCGTCGTTGTTTGTGTCGGTTTCCTGCTGGTGCTGCTCGTGATCGGAGTGCTCAAAATGCGCGACACTCCAATGCCACGAAAACGGCGAGCCAAGAGACAGGTGAGAAAATCATCTGTCATTTGCATATTATCACAAATCACGACTTTTGTGAGTCAATGATAGAGCAGAAAGCAACAAAAAATAGTGATCCTTCTGGCGGGCCTTTTCACTTTTCCCAATCCGTGCTTCTAATCGGATAACGTCCCGCAAATAGACGTGCACTTTGATTCTCGCGAGAAATGGAAATCGAATCTTGACTTGTTTCAGAGCGACGGAGGCATGCACTGGGACGACAGCGGCATGAACATCACCGTCAACCCACTGGATGACGTCGAAAAGAACGGAGGAGTCATTGACGAATTAGCGACGAAGAAGAGGAGGAAGAGAGCGACGGAGAGAGGTAATCGGAAGGGACCAACACTCGATGTGATCATTAGACAAGTTTGCAGCGAGTGCTCATACCGCGACGAGGAGGACGAAGTGTCGGAGGACGAGGAGGACCAGGCCGAGGTGCTCCCGCACATGGACGCCAATCAACGCGTCGTCGGAGGCCTCGAGTGGGACGACGAGGACGCCATTTCGACCAACGCCCGTTCCTATCGTGTCTAATTGTTCCTCTCGTGTTAACTCCCTCTAACTTATGCTCCTTCTCATCCTATCCAACTCGATTCCACTCTTTAATTCTAACCATCCCATCCACTCCCCGTTCATCGATCTCCAATTTCGATTCATTCATGACCGTCCGTTTAGCCTCCTTCCCATCTGATTCTCCCGCATCTCCTCTAATATTTTGTACATTTTGCGTCAAAAAATGTTCTGTTGATTACACTACATATACCCTAAACAAACTCCACAAAAGTAATAACTGTTCCCCCACCGAAAAAACAAATGCAAAAAGAATTCCCCGAAAAACTTCTCCGTCTGTCTTCTTTTCCTCTTCCCCGTTCCTCTCTCTAGTCTATTTACAGATTTCCATTTCTTTTCTCAATAATAAAGTGAGACCGTCCCTTTCCGGAAATCTGACCCCTTCATCGAATCATGAGGGATCTCGACAGCTGAAATATCACCCGTCCTTCTCGGCGCAAAAAGTTGTGAGAAATTGAGAATGTCACGAAAGAAAGACAGAAAACGAATGAAAACTTTACAAAGAAAGGCCAATGCACTTTATGAATCAAAATTCGAATCCGTTCAAGCCGGCTGACTGCCGACGGTCATCAATTTCTTGCTGAGGAACTCGATTTCCATCGATCCGGTGGCAGTCAGAATCATGGGAATCGATAGTAGAAGGACGAGCACAATGAGAAAGCAGACGAGTCCCAACATGAGGGTGTCGCAGCAGTTCGGTCTCTGATAGACGGCCTTCCCGTCGCCGTCCCCGCTCGCTTCCTGGAATTGGAAGGGTATTCAGATGAGTACGAGCGGACGACTCACCTCCTGTTCCGTTTCTTTTGAACGCTTTTTCACCCTCTTCCGATTTCCCATCGTTTAACAAACTTGAGAGTAGAAATAATGAGTGAAAAGACCAAGAAGACGTCGGATTACTATCAGATGGACGGAACGAAACGAGGTTAGGTCAACACGAGGACAGATCTCTCGGAAGTCAGAACGCAATGTCATTTGAAAAACAGGAAAACTACTTTTCACATTTTTAGTGTTCTTACCATAATCTGAACCCTCTTTCTTTTTTCTTCCTTCAGGTTGCGTTCCATCCCTCTGATTGTCCTCGGCTGCTGGCAGATAGCCGTCTGGAAGAACATCTTTTCGTACTCCTTGCTCGCTGCTTGGCTCCTGGCTCGGAGATCGGCCAGTGCCTTCCGAGCATCCTCGAGACGAGCGGCTACGGGGAAATAGGCGGCACGGAGGCAAAATCAAAACATCCAGGCCATCTCTGTGAAGGTCGTTCAGTTCGTGAGCGGCGCCGTTATGTCTACCGAAGGGCACATTAGGGTTTTTCTAGTAATTCAAGCGATTTCACGACGTCTGAATTTCAGCCACAAAACCGCAGTAGCAGCAAGCAGCGCGCGTATAAACGGACAACCGGCGAAGATGAAGTGCGGGTGAAATGCGGGCGAACTGGGAAAAATGAGCGCGAGGACGAAAAGAGCTACTTTTACGGCTGGAAGCTGAGAACAACTGAGAACGAGCGTCTGCAAGTGGTTGTTGTGTATGTTTGAATTGAATTTTCTCGAAGATGAGACGGTTCCTGTACCTCTCATCACGTTTTTTGTGATCTAGAACTTACTTACTTACTTATACTACCTACTTACGTACCAAGTATTCGAGTGGGCCCAATTGAATAAAAACTGAATGAATACGACCAAAGGAAGGTCCTTTCTCGGCCTGAAGTGGAACTGTGTGGTGAGAGTTCGAGTTTTTAGAATTTCAGGTTTACTTCCGAAGGGGGAAGAGAGAGTTGACTTCTTGCATTGCAATAACGTCGGAAGGAGGAAGAGAGAGTTCGACTTGGGCCCCCTAAAATTAAGAAGGAAGTGATTTCGGCCCTGGAAGTGATTTCCAGACCAATATCCAAGAGAATGTGATAATCTAGCTGAATTTCAGCATCAACTCATGTAAGAAAATGGAAATCATAGATTATATTAAGCTTCTACTTCAGCTCAACAGAACGACAATACACATTTAAAAAAAACTCCTGGGACTCTTTTTTTTCTAAGGGGAACATCAAAATACCAGGAGTACCCGGAATACCGAGCAAGCGAAGCCCCTGCCCAATTTTTGGCCGCCCGTGGGTCAAATGAGGGTCTCATGCCGAAAGATGTACCAAACTCACCCTCGCCGACCCGCCGGTTTTGCCTGTGCAATCGGTTCACGTGAAAAGCCCCTCTCTTGGGTAATCATAACACTTTCCAATCCGAAAGAACATTTCGCACACGTGACCTTCAGCAAAAAGCGTCTTCAGAGTGCCGGAGTGTCTCTGCCGGATGCGGCCGTTCTTTGTTTTAGGTAATATATCTGCTTCCAGGGAGCTAAGCTCAAAATTAGGTGCACAGTCTGCTTCTAAATGCGCGGGAGGGGTTTCTGATTCAAGTACTTCCGGGCATACTTTTTTTAGGTAATAAATCTGCTTCCAGGACGCTTAACTGAACATTAGGTGTTTTTTTCGCTCGTCTCGAATTTCGTCTATCGAAAAAAGGCGTTCAAGTGAGAATAAAAAACTCTCTGGTCAGAAACCCCCGTTTCCCCCTCCGTTAGATTTATGGGCGCCGGTTCGTGAGAGTAAGCTACCACAACGTTGCAATGTGCGCATTGACCGTCCTCGTTCCGTCTGTCTTCCCTGTAAAAGTGTCTGGCTACTGCCCCTTCTGAGCCAGACGGCATGACTTGACAAACTGACAGCTTTGAGATGCTATTTATTAGAGAAAATCTAATTGATGACAGTGAAATTTCAAAGAACATTGAATAACGTAATAACTAACATAAGAACACGTTTATCACTTGACGGTCTCTTCCGAGTGCGGCTGATCGACCTGGTCTCCTTCCTTGGAGCCGTCTTGGCTAATTCTCGACTCGTCCACCATCTGAAAATGTGATACTTAATCACTGACCAGACTGTAACTGATATGATAACCCATTTCTACTTCCGTGCCAACCCAACTGACCTTTGTCTCGTTCTCCGCCTTCTGAGCTCGTCCAGTCGCCCCTTTCTTCTGTTTCTCTTGCATGTGGATGATGACATCGGTGATATTCTGGATAAGGACGTCCAGTTTCGACTTTCTTTTCTTCACTTTCCGCATGTATTCCTGTTGTCGTTCGGCCATTTTTATGTAGTAGTCGACAAGCAACGGCTCCTCACATATGCGCAGCGTTCTGATGACAAAATCCTGCTCCGCGCGCCAGTGGGAATCATCAGCCTCCCACGGTCCCAGGTTATCTTCCATGTAGGCTTGCTCGACGAGGAGACGTTTGAGCCATCCGCCGAGATCCTTTAGAAAGTCTACCTGACGAGCCTCGATCTGCTTCCAGACTTCTTCGGTGAGAACCTGTAAGCTCATGGGTTACTGTCTTCATAAAAGTCTCTCCTCTGATTCACTCACCGTCGGAAAGAAGCATCCGTTCATTGGCGGCGGACGCCCGTCGAACTCCATTTGGAAGTGCAGAAGTTGCACCTGAAGAGCCTATTCGTTTGTTCTCTCGACTTTATCGGAAGGAAAAAGGCAGGAAGAAAATGCAGAAAGAAGAAGAGGAAGAAGAAGCGGAGACGGAGAGAACGGGCGAAGACGAAGCGAGGGCGCGCGTCCACCGGAGACAAGTCAGCTATGGCGAGGTGACGAGAGAGCGCGACAGAGCAGACGACGAGAGACCGACGCGGTTTTGTTTTGATGAGGAGGTAGGAAGTGCACGAGATTAGTCGGAAAAGGACATCGAACGGGGTGGGTTGCAGGCAGACGCAGAGGAGGATCCGCATGATGAGAAGGGAAAAGGAAAGATAGAGAGAGAGAGAGGGAGAGTGAGAGGTCCATCTCCTCGGCGACACATTCATTCTTATTGGATTGTGCATCATTCATTCCCTTCGCCGCCGCCGCCGCCGCGCATGCGACGCCAAATGCTAAATGGGAAAAAAGAGCAGAGGACAAAGAGAGAAAGGGAATTGTGAAATTTAGGGCCAATAGGTCTGGCTGGCTGTGTTGACACAGATAGTCGAGTAAACAACTACATTCACCTATTTGGGAATTTCCCTTTTTTATCACCACAGCGTCACCTCCGACACTTTCTCAGTTTGAAGCGCAAAAATAAACAGTTGGAGATCCGACGGTACATGTTTACGATAATATCATAAAGCTACGGTGTGTGAGGGTGAGACGGACGTACATGAAAACATTGAAGAGAATAACCGCGCGGATGGGCATCTACATATCTGACGAGGGAGGAGAGGGCTGGCAGCTGATTCGCGCATGAATTCGCACGTGGAGAAAGCTATAATCTTCTCGAAGATGGAGTTAATTTCCTCCTCGGCAAGTGCTGCACGACAACACTTTGAAAGAAGACTGACGATTATGTGTACAACAGATTTATTTAGTAGCTTACTGAATTCTACGATGAACAAGTGAACATATTCTGCAACCAAAGTCTAACAATAACGAATTGAAACGGAAAACATCAGGGACCACCAGATTGGCTAGCTCATTCATGGTCTTATCGTGACTCTCTAGGTTCTCCTCGAACTGGTCCATGATATCGTGCAACACTTCTTCGAGGAATTCCAGGTCGTGATCGAGGTTTTCATACATGTTAATGACATTTTCAGGAAGACTTTCCAGATGCTCCAGAAGAGTACAGTTCAACGTGGCTCGAAGTTGCTGATCGCGAAGATTGCACAGCCACAGATCGTAAGGAGAAAGAGAAAAGAAATTCGTTTTGGAAAGGTTAGCAGACACGATGAAACCGATTCGACAAGAGAAACTCGGGAAACTTACGCATAAACGAAATAAAACGAATTGCACTTTTTCGGGTTATCGGCTCATTTACAGCTATGAAAGCGAATTATACAGTCGTAAAAGTTGATGAAAGGGGCGACGGAGTTTCCGAAAGAGTTATGGGATAGAGTTTGAAATCGAATGAGATACATTCAGTTGAGTATTATCATTCCAGAGATATTGATCACGCAAAGAAGAAACTTCGTTCTGAATCTCAAAGAAATTCAAGACGCGGTCTTGTGCAACAGTAAACCGACGAATTGCAATTTATCAGAAATTAAGGAAATTTGGGAGATTGTACATAAAAGATATTTTATTCCTGATCGGCGTCAATCATCATGGTCTGTAACATATGCGGTGGCGATGGTTTCCTCATAAATCCGTTTACCAAAATGTCAATATCGGCCTCAAACTCCTTTACATCCTGGGCCTGCTTACGCGCTCTCTTCTTCGTCTCAATGAGTTTCTGGATGTTTCTGCTAATTTCTTCGAATCCGTTCCCGTTCTTCTTCTGTTTTTCCAGACGCTCCAAATAGTTTAGAAGCGTAGTAATGGCGGTGTCAAGCTTGACAATCAAAGCCTGGCACTCAGCCACTGAATCGTCCACTCTTATTCGCAGCAGCAGCGGATCCATTCTGAAATGAGAACTGAACGGAAAGAAAAAAGAATGGGGGTGAAAAATCCAATAAATGGGTCTATCTGTTTCGATGTGCTTTGGTGAGCTTTGAACTATTTGGAATAGAAAAACGGCGATTCATTTGGGCATAAAAATGAAAGAAAAAGGTTCAGTCAATTGTCGACTTCTTCTTCACTGGCCAGAAGTTGTTCATCCTCCCTCTTCTTCTTCTGCTCCTTCTCCAGTTCACTCAACTCCATAAACTTATCCACCATGAGACTTTTCACGAAAAGGATCGACAGTGTATTTGTCATGGCATTCTTCAAAGTTTTCTGGAACGTCAGTCTGTAATTGACGTCGGCGGACGTCTGCTGGAATTCGTGTTCGCAATCAAGCAGTCCTCGGAGACAGTTCTGTTCGAAAGTTCGCATCGCTTCGAGCTCTTTGAGAATGGCAGTTCGTTGGGTGTGGAAGTGACGGGCGTTCATGCTGAAAGAGGAATAAATGAAGAGCAGAGATTAGAAGGGACACGGATACGAATGGATAAAATGCGACCAGAAAAAGAGCGAGAGGTGCTGAAACTATCGACGCACTCCCGATCTGGATAACTGCCGCGGCTCTTCCCCTCCTCCTCTCACTTTTATTTTTTCCTGTTGCGCGAGACGGTAAAAACAAACACATTACAATTGGGCTAAAAGTTATTTTTTCGCCGAAAAACTCAAAATAACAGGTGCTCGTATAGCTGTCACAAATGGCCACGGAGCCGGGATGTGCTCGGAAGTGCGAAGGAATCGAAACGAAACGGACAGAAGCAGACGGCAGCAACCGGAAATTAGAGAACAATTTCTGACTGAAACTGCTGATTAAATGCTTGGGGGACGAACGGAATTGCGCCGGAAGTGAGCGAACAGATGACAATCTTTCGCAGTCGAGTGTTTCAATATTTTCAAAAAATACACTTTCTCTACGCATCAATCTATTTTCTTTCCGATCTTATCTACTTTTCTGATATTCCCGTCTCACGTGGAACTCGTCTAATTTCATCTTTTTTCCCCCTTCCTCCCAATCATTTCCATGTTCATTGGTTCTTTCCCTAAACGGTGAGTGTCCGCTCCTCCTCTCCCCGATTCCATTTTCAGATGCAAGCACCACTGAAACTTCAATTATTCGCGATTCGCCCGCAACCAGCGAACACTCCCGTTAATGGAAAATGTGAAAAGGTTAACAAAGACGATTTGATCAATGAGGACGACCGAAACCTGCACAAAGTCGTCTGCCGTCGCTGCAAATCCGTCATTTTTCCAGAGGACGTTGTGATGACAGTCGACAGTTCGTTCGCTTATTTCCGTTCTTTTCCTAACTTTTCCCATTTTCAGATCAGCCGTACCAGCTCCGCGTGATGACTCACCAGGGAAAGGGAGCGCCGACGTTCGAGAAGATCAGCTGGTGGTGGTACACCGAGAACGACATGGTCTTCGACACCGTCGGCTGGCAGACCATCGACAAGAAGAAAGTGCTCATGTGCGGGGACTGCGAGCTCGGTCCGATCGGCTTCCGTTCCGAGGATAACAAGAAGTTCTGGGTGGCCGTCGAACGCGTCAAATATGAGAAAACCTAGAACCGTTTCCTTCTCCTTTCATCAGAAAACGCACGATTTCAACAATAAAATGTTTTTCAAACAATAACAAAAAGAGAGAGAGCCTAATCTACAGAAAAAAAACAGGAAATCCTAAAACAAAAATCTACTTCTTCTTCTTTTTTCCCTTCTCATTCGGGTCGGCAATTCCGTGAAGTTGTCTCCATTCCGCTTGTACTCTGTCCTGAGCTTCAATCGACGTGGGCGCGTATCTCGAATACTCCATGCTGAACTCTCCCTTTCCTTCCGTCAGTGATCGCAATTCCGAGGTGTATCCGAACATGTCGGAGAGCGGCGCTTCGCAGACGATAGTCGCGTATCCTTCCGTAGAATCCGTTGTGGTGATCAGGGCGTTTCTCTGTGTGAGCGAGGTGACCACATTACCCTGGAACTCTGCCGGAATCGTCACTTCCACCTTCATGATCGGTTCAAGCAGCAACCAATTGGCCTTTTCGAATGCCTCGCGGATCATGTTCTGCATCGTGTTGATCATCGCGATTTCAGTAGAATCAACGGCGTGAGTCGATCCGTCTTGCACACGGACGTGGATTCCGGCAATTCGAGCCTTGATCAAAGGGCCTTCAGTGACAATCGCGTCGAGACCCTTTTTGAGAGCGGGGAACAGATTTTTCGGAATATTGTTTCCGAACGTCTCGTCTGTGAATTCCACGACAGTGTTACGGTCAGACGGCAGCGGGTCGATGACTCCTTCGATTTCTCCGAATTGTCCCTGTCCTCCGGTTTGTTTTTTGTGTCGATAAGCGAATCTGAATGGAAACTTATTTTGAGAAAAAAGACTTTAATAGAAAACTGACTTGTACGGACTTGCCAAGCACTCTCTGTAGGCGACGGATGGTTTTCCCAGTTCCACGGGACAATTGTACTCGCTTTTCATTCGCTGAGCGTAAATCTCAAGATGGAGCTCTCCCATTCCGGATACGATGGTTTCTTTTGCTTCCTGATTATATTCCCTTCGGAACGTCGGATCTTCTTTGGTGAATCGAGTCAGCGCCTTAATGAAATTGTCGGCGTCCTTTCGGTTGACTGGCTTGATGGACATGGAAATGACTGGCTCAGGAATGTGCATAGATTCCTGTAGCAACAGAGTTTATCACTTATTAGTAATGGAGCGCTTACACAATGTGGAGCAAGGTTTGGATCCGTGCAGAATGTCTCTCCCGAATGGCAGTCAAGCCCGAACGTGGCACAGATGTCTCCTGCGTAGGCGGTGGTGATCTCTTCCATGTCGGCCGCGTGCATTCTGACCAGTCTCTGTACCCTGACTTTTCTTCCGTCCCTCGACGCGTACACAGTGTCTCCCTTGCTCAGTTGTCCCTGATACACACGGAAATAGGTGAGTTGTCCGTACTTTCCGGCTTCCAATTTGAAGGCAAGTCCGACGAACGGCTTATCATTGTTACGTTCCGGGGAGAGAATGATTCCTTTCACTTCTCCGGATTCTGTTTTCACAGTTGCTCTGTTGACGACTTCGGAAGGATCCGGAAGGTATTTGACGACTGATTCGATCATTGTCTGCACTCCCTTGTTTTTTAGAGCGGATCCGGAGAGAACAGGGACAAAACTGCGCTGAAAACGTATGTTTTACGGAAATCAGATTTCCCCACGACGTTAACCTTCACAACAGTTCTTCTGATAGCCTCATGAATCTGCTTGACATCTGGCTTCTGGTCGTTCAAGAACATCTCTCCAAGCACCTCGTCCGCGTTGGCAATGTGTTCAATGAGCTCTTGTCTTCTGTCTTCTGCCTCTACTCGCAAATCTTTCGGGATTTCATCCTTCCGGACAATGAGACCGCCTTCTCCCTCGTAATACAACGCATGTCCTTCCACTAAATCGACGATTCCATTGAAGTTTGAATCTTTCCCGATGGGCAAGTGAATGAGTGCTGCGTTGTGATTCAACTTGTTTCTGAGTCCATCCAAAGCCTTCAGAGGAGTTGCTCCATTTCTGTCCATTTTGTTCACAAAGCAGATAAATGGTACATTATAACGAGCGAGTTGTCTGTTGACAGTGAATGTCTGTGACTGGACTCCTCCAACACCGCAGAGCACGAGAACAGCTCCGTCCAGCACACGAAGAGCACGCTCTACTTCTACCGTGAAGTCCACGTGGCCAGGAGTGTCGATGATGTTGATGTTGGTTCCGTGCCAATCGACATAGGTGGCTGCCGACTGGATAGTGATTCCTCTCTGTCGTTCCAGTTCCATGAAGTCCATCGTCGCTCCGACATCATCCTTACCGCGCACCTCGTGCATCGAGTCGATTCTACCCGCGTAGTACAAGATTCGCTCGGTCACCGTTGTTTTGCCGGAATCGATATGAGCAGAAATACCTGAAAAACAAAGTTCAGATAAATTGAGGGTTCTCTTCTCACTCACCGATGTTCCTGATTCTCTCAACAGGCCGGATTCCTGGTACAATGACGGACGGTGCCTCGTTCGAAGCAAACCGACGCCAGACAGCGTTCAGCTAAAATTAACTGTTTGAATTTTTTGGTAAACTTAGAAACAAACCTGTTTCCGACTGTGAGCCACCGCGGAGAACCTCCCGAGAGGACTCATTGTGTATTACCTGCAATATAGGATTTGAGCATCAGAACAGCGTCTAGATTTGATTTTGATCAGAGAGACAAAGTTTCAGAGTAAAGAGCACAAACTTTGAAATTTTTTACACATAAAAAATCTGCAAATACGTTTAGTTTGAGCAAGTAGCAGTCTGTCAAGTGCAAAATGATGCCATAAACTCGTTGTCCACGAGGAATACACAGCGCATGGCCGACGTTTTTCCCGAAAAATGCTAGTTAGGCCATCTCCCGCTGAAATGTTTACGGAATTTTTCAGCTGAAGCTGGACAAAAGAGATCAGTTTTTGTTTAATTTAGAGAACGAATGCCCTTTGCCATCTTAAAACTGTTTTTATATCTGCAATCAATATCGAAAATGTTCATCAAAACAAGCGTTTTCGTTTCATGCCGTTTTCATAAATTTCTGATTGAAACTTTAAAAAAACCTGTAAAACATGGCATTGACAGAAGCTAACCTGAAAGCTAATCTTAATGTTAACAAGTATGTCAATACTCTCTCCAAGAGTCTTCCTTCTCGCCGTTTCCGTTTACACCCTATCTTATCAGTGCAAACTGCTCAATTTTCCTTCTCTCAGTCTTTTTGTTGCTCTTCCAGACAATGGACACTCGAAGGAAAGTGTACCACAAAACGGGTAACAACTCACAGAGAATACAGGAGATCCGAGAGAGCATCAGGGTCCGATCAAGTAAGTTCCCAATGAGACTCCGCCCACTTTAAAGTTTTTTTAATCATTCATTCAGAGAAAGTGAGTGAGAACAGTGACAAGCAAAAAGAAAGGTTTCGGATGAAAGAGGATGTGCAAAAACAGATGAAAGGTGAAGATGCTGACTGAAACAAGCTTCTAGAAAATCATAATTTCAGAAGCTGAGCCATATCTGGCTGCGTCGTACGAAGAAAAATGTGAGTTTCTCAACGGACTCTCAAAGACTATTCTGGAGACGACTATCGAATCACTGACCGATAACGAGTTCTTCGAAGAGATTTGTCACTTGTCCGCATATTCCTTCTTGCTTAAAATAACCAAAAAAAATTCAGAATGCTTAAATTCTGCGAGACGATCATCCGTGTATCCGTGCGATGTGCTTCCATATAGTCAGAAAGTGTACGATGAACGAGCGGAATCTCGTCGTCATTCTCACCACCCACGTCGACATTTACATTGTCAGAGCGATCGACTTGCAAATGGAGAATCAGGCAGAACGGGTGGAAGCGTTCAAGTTGATCATTTGGATGCTGAAGATCTATGAGAAATCGAACTTGAAGAAGTTGATTGACTCTTCTGCAGCCCAGAAAAACGGAAAGTATGAATGGGCAACAATCGTACCATTTCCTATGCCTATTTGCTTTCAGAAAGTACGCCTTCCCTAAATCCATCATGCAACCCATAATCTCTATCGCTCTTTCCGTTTTCGAAGGCCAACAGAACTCAGGAAGCAAAGACAAGTAATTTGCATCGGCTGTTTTCGCATTCCTTTGAAAGCTTCCTGTTACAGATTGTCCCTTCCGTGCGTCGGACTTTTCCTTGAATTCTGTCTCACAGAGCCTGTTCTAATTCTGGAAATGGCTGGAACAGACTGGCTTGTGAAAGTTCTCACAGGAGTTTCGTGCATGAGCAGACGCATTGTCATTCTTGTGTCACACGTCCTTATCGCTTGGCTCGACTCGCCGACGATTCGAATCAAAGCGCATCTGCATTTGGTTATGGAGCAGATATTTGCACCTCTTGTCGAGTTTGGACTCTTCCAGAAAAGAGGAAGCATGATTACGAGTGATTCCGGGTAGACTCATCCTTTTCGTCCCGGAAAATCCTCCCAAGTTCCAGCAATGAAAGCTTCCACATGAACGATTTTCTCGAGAACTTCAAGTGCTCTTTTCTTTGTCTGCTCCGTTCCTGGCCGGGACTATTCGCGTGCGCCGCCGTCGGGCCCAACTCGAACATCCTTCCGTCATCTCCGTTCCGTCTCCTCGACTACCTTGGCCTCGGCACTGTGACTAACGATAATTTGGTAAGAATTCGAGACACAATCGTCGATTTGTGCTGTGAGTTTGTCGATGTTCCGTATGCCAACAAGACCTTCGAGTCTTGGGAGGAAGCGCTGTTGTTTTACAGTGAGTTCTCCCTCCTTCCCGTTTCTTTTCCAATTGTTTTTCTTCCAGAAACCATGCACCTTCCGGACAAGTATAAGAGCAGTCTGAAGCACGATTTCGTCATCGCCCAGAACGATGCAAGACTGAAGAACGATACGGAGAGGCGAAGCCAACTGTAAACCTCCTCGCCGCTTTCCGAGTTCTTTCCCAGTTCGTGCTCATCAACGCTCAGTTGCCACTCTCTCTGGCCCGGCTCATTCTCTCAATGCCTGACTCGTCCAGTGGGCTCAAAGCCACTCTTCTGTTGGCTGACATGCTCCGTCAAGCACCATCCCACGTGCCTGTCGGATGGCGTGCTCCAGTTCTCTCGATGCCAACTCTCGTGCAATCGGCGTGTGAGTCATTGAGCCAGAGCCATGCGATCTCAGCCATCAACGGAACTTTCGATATCAATGCTGTCGTGCAGTACACGTTTCCTCATGCCACGTGAGTTATCCATCTCCAAAACAATAAGTTTCAAACAGCACATTCCAGAAATGCCCAGCTAGTTCTGACTCGTTTCGACAAACTGAATCAGTCGTGGATACGCTCCGCATCTAACTCGTCGACAGTGCTCAAGGAATCTGATCTTCAACTTTTCGTCCCACACATGTCAGATCCCGTGCTTGTACAAGTCCCGATGAAGAAGTCAAAGAGCGAGACATCGTTCCGCGGAGGAGCCAGCATAAAAAGAAACACCTCCCCGGATATTTACGAAGAGGAATATCCTGGTGAGTTCGGAGAAACTGTTCTACGAGGAAAGTACGATAAGAACAAGTTGATGATGATGGATGATACGGATGACTACGACTACACACTTCCCATTACCAGGGACACTTTTGATGACGAAGAGGAGAACGCGAAGAAAATGTTCGTGGATGTGAATGGAGTTTTTGACTGGAATTACATCGAATATTACGTAGAAAATATTGAGGTTAGAGTACCTGGAACGTCTTAAGATATCTCTTCATTCCAGAAAGATGGATACGAGAAGCTTTTGAAGGAATTCTCATCGAACACTATTGAGGATCACATTAAAAGCGTAAATAAAGCTGATAAAACACTCGAATAATAGATAAATTCACAGATTTTCCACTATCTCTCTCCAGCTGAGCAAGAAAAGCACAAACGAAGTCTCGATCGGCAACACGTCATAGTTGCCAGAAGCTTCATCAGACTGCTGCTCCGAGTGTTTCCGAGCAATGAAAGTGTCCGACAAGACTACGCTCCGATTCTGCAGAAGTACGTGGCCAGTTTCCGAGCTGTGTTAGAAGAGGTTCGACAAGCACTCTTTCTGATTTGATCTGATTCGTTACAGCGTGCCAATCTGAACGCCTACTTCGCTCCTCGAAACCTCTCTTACAACAACTCTATGCTCCATTTTGCGATCATCGGAACGTTCACAATGACAAGTCAGGGATTGTCCATTCTGAACGACGTCGGAGTGCTTCACATGTGAGCGTTCATTAGAAATCTTTATTGACATGGCACTGTGCCAGAATATTCGAGGTCTATTGCACAAATTGGGAAAGGGGGAAACGATTGCAAAAGTGAAAAAGTGAGAGACAGAATTATTATGATCAGGAACCCGTTGACGCCTTCATTCAAGGCTTCTGCGAGACGAAGAAGCACTGCTGAATGTGCGACAGTTTGACAAGACACTTGTATTTCTCGGTGAGAAGACCGCCTTCTGGGAGACCAGCCGATGGGTTGCAGTACGGACGGCAGTGCTCGTATCCGGGCTCGAAGACTCCGTACGCCTCGCAGCACTGAGAAGCATCCTGGTATCCAGAGGCGCAGATCATGACGTCTCCTACCTTGCTCAGAGGGCAACGGCCAGTGAGCACAGCTAATTGCATCTGAAGAGGGAAAGACGTGTTAAAAGAGACGGAAAGAATCACTTACAGTAGCAAGAGTAGCATCGTAGTTGCAAAGTGGGGCACAGCCTTCTCCGAGGCGGGAACAGCAATTGCGGAAACGATCGTTGGCAGTATCCTTAGTGATGCACGGCTGCCATCCTGGCTGACGTGGACACTGTGCCTAAAAGTGAATGTTCATCGTGCTCTTGAGTCTACGGCCCGGCTTTTCATACATGCGACAAACGCATCTTTCAATTTATCAACTTATCTTCAGAAATCGAACATAAAGACCTCTTCTTTTTTGGTAAAAGTAAAATTTTCCCATACCTGTGGAGGTGGAGCAAGTGGAGTTCCCTTTCCTGGGTCGACGTATTTCTCAAAGTTGACTGGTCTCGAGTCAACAGACGCGGCAACTGGCTGTGGAAGTGGCTGCGGGCGAGGCTGCTGGACTTGCTGTTGTGGAGCAACTGGGAGTTGTTGCTGCTGTGGAGCTAGCTGTGGCTGATAGTTGTTCTGGTTCTGATACTGCTGTTGAGGCTGTTGCGGTTGTTGGTTATACTGTTGCTGTTGCTGAGTCTGATACTGCGGCTGCGGTGTTTGTTGCGTGTACTGTGGCTGCTGATTGTACTGCTGCGCCTGTTGTGGTTGCTGATTGTATTGCTGCTGCTGGTACTGCTGGTTGTATTGCTGCTGTGGTTGTTGATTGTAATTTTGATTGTAGTTGCCTTGATGCTGTACCTGACCGTACTGTTGTTGTTGTTGCTGTTGCTGCTGCTGAGTCTGCAGAGTGCTAATTCCTTGTTGATTAACAGCCAACGGATTCGCATTCAAGTTGAACAGATTGAATGGATCCAGAGCGGCATTCGTTTGTTGAAGGAACGGTTGGAATGGGTTAAATGCTGGCTGTTGTTGCTGTCCAGCAGCGACGCCTGGAGCTCCGAAAAGTCCTGGCGCTTGTTGTGCAGGTGGAAGTTGGAATGGATTTGGCTGGTTGAAGATGTTATCAACCTGCTGACCGTATCCCTGTTGTGGTGGCTGCGGAAGTCCGAACGCTTGCTGTGGTTGTGGGAATTGAGGAAGCTGAGCTGGTTGTTGATACTGAACTTGGCCCGTTTGGTATTCTGGCAGCGGCTGGGCCAAGTCGGCTGGCTGACGGCTCAAGTTTGGATCGAACGTGGCGACCTTTGGAGGCTCAACAAGCGGAGCAAGAGTAGCGGTTTGAATCTGGCAGGTGCCTGAGCGTGTGGGTACGGGATCTGTTGCCCCTGGTAGTTCGGAGCTGCAAACTGAACTGGTTGAGCATGTGGCTGGAGAGGAATGTTGAGAAGTGGTTGCTGCTGAGCCTGTTGCGGTTGCTGCACAGCTGGCTGCTGGAACTGTTGGAACTGTTGCTGCTGTGGCTGTTGGGGGACTTGTGGGACTTGTGGAACCTGAATACTTCATATTGTTAACAATTCTTCCTAAAACCAAACCTGCTGTTGTGGTTGCGGTCTTGGAACCTGGAGTCCTCCCTCGTTTGATACTTGGCGAGTGTTCACAGACTGAGCGAACTGTGGCTGTGTATTGAATGCCGGTGGTGGCTGTGGTGGTCTCTGAACACCTCCTGCCTGCAAATAGTTCCCATTAACGTTTAATCCTTGTCTGCCGATACCTGAGCGACAGACAGATGTTGTGGTTTGCATCCAGCACACGCCGTCGGACACATCCTATCAATAAAGTCAACTGCGCAATGAACGCATTTGGCACGAGCGCAAGACGGAAGATCCGCGAGTGCGTGCGCTGCCAAGAGCAGTAGGATGCTGATGGCACGTATCGTCGAAACCGACATCGGCCTAGAAAACGAATAAATGAAAATAAACGGTAGGACAGAAAGCCGAAGACGGCAAAGAAAAGAGGGAAAGTGATATGAAAGCAGACGAAAACGGAGGAGACAGCTTTATTGGAGTGATGTCTTCCCGAACGGATTAATGACTTTGGGAACGGAGAGAAGGGTCCGGAGACAGAAACTGCGATCGGCGGTGGTCGGAAAGAGATAAACTGCTGGACGAAAGGCCGCTGTTTGCCTCGCCATCTTGAGGTCGACTGGCCTTGCCTCGCCTCGTTCGCGACGGAGCGAATAACCGGCTTCTGCTTCTTCTGGTCATCCATCGCCTTCTCTCCCTCTTCTTGAGGTGCGCCGCCGCCGGGCGACTGCCCACTGCTGGCCGAATACAAGAAGAAGAAGAAGCAGGAGAGAGAGAGAGATACGGTGACGAAACAACGACGTCGCAAAGAGTTTTTAATTATCCGCTGGGAGGGGAGGATGGAAAGCCGGCTTGGCGGGAGGGTGTTGCGCCATTTTGAGAACGGGCAAAGGAAGGCAGTTGTCACAGTCGGCAGAGAACGATGATCGCGTGTTTAGTCTAAGAAACTTGCTCAATATGACATTTCGACTCAGATTTAAAAAATATGATTCAAAACAGTAGGAAGGTCCTATTCTTCAGATCGATCCGATTTGCATTTCAATTTATTTGCGCTCAAACTAAAGCCACGCCTTCCGCGCATCGAGAGCTCAAAAAATTGCTAACCAGGGGATGGCTGTAAGATCGGATCGGATGGCATTGATAACCTGCTGCGGGAAGGCGCTCGAATGGCGAAAAAAGGAATCAGGAGAATAAGGGGATGACCGATAGAAACTCGTTCCGAATCATCCAGATTGATTCTGATGTTATGATTGATCATTTTTGTGGTATGATGGTTTTTCTAAGAGAAAAAGAAAATAATATATTGAAGACGTCTGGATACGAATTGTTTCCGAATTGAATACCTCTTTCAATTGTCTTCTAGCCTATGCCGAATCTTTCAAAAAGAGTGGAAAAGAAGGTGTGACGGTGACTATTTGCGCAATCCGTCATGCCATTTAGCCAATGTTGTCCGGTCTCCCGGATGAAAGATCTTCCTCCGATCCGCGTGTCAATTCCATTGTTGCATAATTCCAGAATTAAGCGGAGATATCGTGAAACGAAACGAAAATGCGAGGGTGAGCGGATGGAAAAACCTGCTGTCTCGCCAAGAATTATAAGCGTTGGAAACTGACCGATAAGGCAATTATTATTAGATGAGATTTCGAGATGGGCAGGCTTTCCTCGAGGCGTGAGACGGGCGGCCAAAGAAAAGCTGGAGCGATCGGGAGTGGCGGGGAACAGTTTGAAACACAAAACAGAGGGAAGTATTTGGGTCATTCACGCACCGCTTGAAAACATCCACGACGTCACGCATTCAGTGCACATAACTGTCCCTTCTTGCTGTTTATTCGATTGGAAACCGCGTCCGAAGAGGAGAAAAAGGATGTGTATTTGCATAAACTTTCGAATGTGTCGAAGATCGCATGCCTAATTGGGAACCGACTAGTTCCCCCATTTCCATTTCCAATTCAATGAAGATTTTCTTTCAGGTATGTCGACATGATGACTGCGAAAGCTCCACTGGAATACACGAAGGTGATCGTCGCCTCCCTCGACTACACGAATGAAGGGCTCGCTCGTGTCATTCTCAGGAAAGCGCTAACCTCCACCTCGGAAGCTTCGAGAAAATGGGCGACGAGATACCTGGCTGTGCTTGCTTCTACAGATCTTCCGATGTTCTCCGACTGGGGAATCCAATTGATGTTGAGACAGCTAGCCGACGAATCTTCAAAGGTGGTCCGTCACGTCATACGTCTTCTGAATCGCTGGCTCCCTGAGCACCCGTCCAGAAATCTTAGAAAAGTCGAATGGTCTTTGTTTGGAGAAGCTGGGGACCTACTGAAAGCGCACATCTACGCGATGGAATCGGAATGTGCTTCTGACGAAGATGAAGTTCGCGAAGTGGTTCATTTTTGGATGAAAGAGTTCAATAAGAAGTATCTGCAAATCATAGATGAGGAGATGAAAGAGCTGATGTTCCACGTCAAGCGAAGTCTTGATGGATCCTTCTCGAGAGTTAGTTCTGAACGCCCGGACACTTCTCTCGGAGTCCTTGCCCCTCTTCACCTGTTTGCAGCCCTAGGAAAGCACGAAACCGGACGGCGCATTCTGATTGAAGAGAATGTTTGCGAAGATCTGTTGAGAGTATGCAGTAGCGGAAAGTGCTTCGAAGGAGTGAAGTCCAGTCTTCTGGCTGTAGCGAGTATTGGCAGCACAGACGGAGGTTTCGAGATCTTGCCGGTTGACGCAGTTCCCGCAGTTATCAAGATCGCCGAAGAGCACAGTGTCCTGACAGTTCGCGGAATCGCATTTTGGGCACTTGCCACATTCTCGCAATGCATCGAGGGAGCGAAACGAGTCGCCGCTTTCGGATGGGAATGTAATCGATTCCGTTATGCGAGTGATTTGGCGAAAACCAAAGCGTCGGAGGATGAGGGAACAGCGTCTACCCCCGCTGCAGGAACGGCTGCCGGAAGTGTCAGTTCGGCCTGGAGGGTGGCCAGGAAAATCACCCATCAACATCACCGACACTCATCAATTCTCGAAGTGAGTGATAGCGTTTTAGTAGTTATCAAACTTTTATTTTCATTCCAGGTTCAAATCCACGGAAAGCAGAATCGCGCAAAGTCCGAAAGCGCTTTGGTGCGAAGAGGACACAGTAAAGGCCGCCCAAGAAGTCGTTCTGAAGGAGACATTCAATCGGTTTCTCCGAAAAGATCATCAAAGAGCATTGAAATCTGCTGCTTACAGAGACTGTGGAACAGTGAACTGTACTTGTACAAAAGCAGTGGCACTTCAGAGTAGAAAGTGTTTAGTTTTTTATCTTCATCTCTTCAATTTTTCAGCAGCTCCAGTATTCCGTATCACAAACGCACGGTGACCAACTCAAGTTCTGGACATCCGATGCACGAAGAAGTGATTGTTACCGTATCCCCAGCAGTGAATCAGCAGCCAGAAGAGCTCGGGAAGTCAGCTGCCACCTCGCGATTGTCGACTGATCGAAGAAGAGCAAATACGACGAGTTCATTGTTTGATGAAGAGGAAGCTCCGAAGAATCGTGCGTCCACAGTAGTCAGATGCATCAAAGACGGCCTGAAAATATCAAGTGATCAGTTGGAAGCAGAAGGAGTGTTGGCTGACACAATTATGGAGCCACACTTCTCTTGTCGTCTCCGAGAAAAGTATCATCTGCTTCCGTTCCGTGTTCGCTCTTGCCTTCAAATCAACAGACACGTCGGAGAGCCCGTTCGCTATATCTTCATGACGAAAGAGGAGGTATCATTTGAATTCTGAATCTTTAGGGACTTTTGTTTTCAGGAGCGTCATTTCGCAGATTATCGACGTCAAGTGATGAACGATCCCTGGCTGTACAACGAGCTGCTCAAGGAGGACAACGCAGTCAAGAAAACTATCAATGTGGTGCCCCTGCAGACAGTCGCGCTCCCGGCAGAAATCGAAATAATGTGCGGAAACATATTCCCGGCAAAACCGAAAACTGATCTGATATTCTCATTCGAAGAAGAGAACGAGACTGCCAGCGTGGAGGACAGAGGAGCCAGAACGGGACACGCGAGGAGTGGAATACACATTCAGTCGCACTCTACTTACAGATGCTTTCATTGCAGCAGCAATGAAGACAAAGGTTGGATAGGGATGATCTAGATTGAATTTAAACTAATCCATAATGTTTCAGTGAGGACATATCCACATGCGGACGCGCCACAACTCAGAAAAGAGGTCCTCAGTCAAGTGGATATGCTTGAGATCAAAGAGTATCCAGTGAAACGGCTGATTGGGTTAGAAGACAACAAATGAATTGACAGCAAATTTGTTTCTTTCAGGCTCCGCCAACACCATCAGTGGCTCTTTGAGTGGCCGTGCATGTACGCGGATGTGCTCGAACTGCTCGACGAGTATCGTTTCAAACCGCACTCACGAGCCTTCCTCCAGCAAATTTCTACGACGCCCTCCAATTATAAACGTATTTCTCACTGATTCAAGTATTTTCCATGACACCAATTACAGTGCCACTTGAGTGAAACCCATTCTATTCTAGTCGATTTTAATGTAATAATATATAAACACCCATTTAGCTGTGATACCCATGTACTTTCTTCCTTTCCCTCTCACTTGTTCATACACTAACATTCCAAATTTGCCTTTCAATAAATGGAGAAAAGAGCCAAATCCGTCCTCAACGCCGCGCTTTTCCTTCTTTCCATTTCCATTGTTGTCGCAGTTCTCGCTGCTGGATACATCGTTTCGGACGTTTCAGAGTTCCGGAATGGAATTCAGGATGATATGAAAGAGTTCCAGGTAACACGAATTTCAATTTCAAAACCCTTCTTTCTTTTATGCAGTTCTATTCTTCGGATTCATGGAACGTGATGTTGAGCAAAAAAACGGTTGGATTCCGTGTCCGTCGTCAGTATTCGAATGCCCCGGTCGGCGGGGGTGGACAGATCGAGGACGGAACGTGCCAATGCGCGGAGCAGTCCACGGGCTGTCCGCACGGTCCTCCAGGAGCTCCTGGAACACCAGGCCATCCGGGAGACGTCGGAACTGCCGGATCACCAGGGCAACCGGGCTCTCCTGGAATTTCTGAAATGCATGCTTCTCTCATGAACGGCTGTATCACTTGCCCACGAGGACCTCCAGGTTCTCCGGGACCTGATGGTCCTCCCGGCCCTCTCGGTTCGAGTGGAAATGCTGGAAGACCAGGATCCGCGGGACCACAAGGTCGGCCAGGCCCTCCGGGTCAACTTGGCCCGCCAGGTCCAAACGGAAACCCTGGTGCTCCCGGAAACGATGGAACTCCTGGAGTGCCAGGAACACGTCAGTTGAGTCAACGGGGACCTTTTGGCCCTCCTGGACCAATGGGACCGCCTGGTTCACCTGGAAATGACGGACAATTCAGAAACGGACCACCCGGGCCACCGGGAGCAATGGGTAAGTGAACGAGTGAGAATGAGTGCGCCACTGATGAAATTGCTTTCAGGCCCCTCTGGAACCCCCGGAGCTCCTGGCGGTGTAGGATCGAACGGAAATCCAGGAAGTGACGGAATGCCGGGACCGGACGGGGAGTACTGTACTTGTCCGAGGAGAACACCGAACTTGGGAGTTGCTGGGTATCAGCATCACATGGACACGGACACAGGAATCGGATTCTCGAAGAGCAAGATTAAGAAATTGAAGAAGATGATGCGGAAGTTCCAAAAACGATTCTACTCGACGAACGCATAGAGAAACTTCTAACCTCTTTATTAGTTGCATTCCTTCAAAATGTCTCGTTCATTAAAGCATAGTTATCATGTCTCAGATCTCATTGATTCAAAGTGCGGCATCGCCGATAAGCTGCAGAATCGGATCGTCCGTCTTTTGGTGTGCTTTGACCAGCGTCTGGCACGACTTCGGAAGCGTTTCGTCGTTGCCGGTAATCGAGTGCCAATCGGATATGTCGTCTGCGTGCCATTGCACGTACGCCTCCACAATCTCGATCGCATGCCTCGATTCTTCTTCTCCACACATCTGAATGTTTACAAAAATAGAAAAGCAAAGCCTACGGTACCCGCTTACTTCTCGAACGACGGGGGCCATGCACGTCATGTAGCACGTCTGAAACCTGCACAGTTTGTCCAGTTCCGTTTCGTACGTCGACAGTTCCGACGAGACGAAAACTTGGTTTTGATTGTTCGCAGAGCTCTGTTTCAGTTTATCGCTCCGAACGATTTCATCGTGACATTCGTGGTCGCACTTCAGAAAAGTGATCGGCTCGGTCTAAATAGAAGGATCTTTAGAATCATGATTATGAAAATAAAACTCACTTTCGCCATGCATTTCATAGACTTTTCGAACAGAGATCTCTTGAAGTTGCACACGAAATTGGAAGGCGAAAACGAGTTGTCGGCCGCCTGAAATTGAGTTCATTTTCACTCAAACGGATATTTTCGAAAGGCACAAACATAATCACTGCATTTTTCAGCGAAGCACTTGGTTTTCTGTTCCGAAAGTTTGCAATATAATTGGAAAGAGGAGAGATCGAGTACGACGGGATGGAAGGGGAAATCGTAGAAGTCTGCGAGTGACTGATTCAGAGTGTACTCGAACCTCGATCGGTAATCCTGCTGACAATCCTGCAAGAACCCGTCTATTTGCAAGCAGATCCGATCGAAAGGGACTCACTTCGAAGCACTGCGCGTCCGTCATGTTTCCGTCCGTTATGAACATGAAATCCCTCTTGAACCGAGTCTGATAGCACGTCGTGGAAGCCAGCAAGATCAGGAAGATCGATAGAAAGTACAACATATCTCGGAAAATCGAAATCGCAGAAAAATGCGGCGGGCGGGGGATCGGGGGAGGTGACGACACTCCGAACCAGACGAACTGGACGTGTTCTCCTCATCCATCCTTATCATTTCATCAGCTTTTCCTTTCTCACACACACGCTGCGATGACGAGTCGAGGCCCGACGCGATTTTAATGAATCATGCTATTCCATCATCACTTTTGACGAAAAAAACGGAAGGATTCTATCGATGAAAGCATGAACCCTCTAATAGTTTTTAATTCATTGCATTCACCACATAGATATAATACAACTAAAATCCCGAAAAAGAAGAGAGGTGAACTAGATATGAAAAAAATGGACTGGTAAGAAGAGAAATTATGGCGTGTCATTTGGGGGGAAATCTGACAACAGCTGAGAGTGAAACAGGGACCGTGGAATTATATACAACCGGAAAGAGAGGGAGGGGGAAAACACAATGTTACGATATGAAACTGATTAGGAGATGCGTCACAAATGCAGATCGAAACCCTAATATAACTAATATTGACGTATCTAAAAAGGAAAAACTGAAGGAATGGGGTGAAGACGGGAAGAAAAATGAAGAGAAAGTGAATATACATCATGGAACAGCGAGGGGGGAGTGGGCAACAAATGAAAACAAAAGAAGTAACAACAAGTTAAAAAATGAATAGGAATCGAGAAAAGGCGGCTAAAAGAGCTAAAAGCAGAACTAAGTCAGACAACGGAAGAAGTTGTCAGCGTGTCTGTAAAAAATGACAACGATCTGGCCCCCTGAGCCGAATCCAGTCGGACTTCCATGGAGAATCGTATGGAGTTGCTTACTGATCGGAGCCAAATCCACTTTTCCGTGCTTTTGGATCAATTGATCGAACAGCGTGTTGATCTGGAACAGTTTGATGCTTTCAACTCGAAATCGAAAATATATTATACTTCTTGATCCGAGCTCGTCTTCTCGATTTCCCCGATAATCTTCTTTATCACGTCAGCCGGAATGTCGCACACAAGCACTTCTACCTTTGTCTTACTCGAGAATTGACTGACGTAATCAGCCAAGTGCGAAGCAACTTGGCTTTCCACTCGCTTCTTCTCTTTCAGAAACTTATGATGCTTGTCGGAGGAGGTGGCGAAGCACACGTTTATGTTCGCCTGCGAAGCGCACATCGGGCGAATTCCAGTGATGTGCGATGTCGATGCACTTCTGTAAGCTCTGATTGATTGCAGAAACCGCATTCGAAAAGAGAAACTAACTTGGAGGCGAGAACGGGAGTTGTGTTGGCGCTGTGCTCCTCGTAGTGGTTCGCTTCTCCCGGAGTGCTCGCAGATGAAATCGGACCTCCGTTCGGCGTCTGATTAGGTGGCAAATTCGTGAGAGACTGAGTCTCACGACAGACAGTGGAGACTATCTCCGCGAAATCCATTGTCATCGTATGGTGATCGGTCTTGCAGAGGTACTCGCAGTTCTTGCTCATCACCGCAATAATGTGCGAGATCGAAGCGCGGTTTCGGTGCTCCTGAAACAGAGATATTGTAGAATAATCACACAATTGAATTATTTACATTGAGTGACTCCAGATCATCAACTGGTGCGTGGAACACATCCGCTTCGACTCCCAGGCTCCAAAACTTTTTGGCGAGCGAAAATTTCTCGGGGATGAGCTTGCTTCCGCTCTCTTGGACCAACGAGCAAACGAGCACTTTAGGACTGACCCGTGGGGACTTTGCAACCATCGCTGCCTTCACACTGCACGAGTCTTTGATGAATGCGACTGAATCCATTTGAACTCCGAAGCCGGTGATGCAAAGTGGGAGTTCGTACACGAAGTCTCTTGGATGACGTTCGCGAAGAAGCGCAGAGTCGTATCGGCCTCCGCCGAGCAGAAATGCGCCGCGTCCTTTCTTTGCCGAGGTCTCCACTTGAAGTTGGAAAACCAGACCGTCTCCGAATGTCCGTGGACGATAGCAAGTCTGACTGTCGTAGATAATCGAGATCCTTTTCTCCAACTCTTCACTGCGGCAGTGCTTGAAGATCTGAATGATTTCATCCAGATCTTTGATCGCTTTGTCCATTAAATCTTTCGCGGTTTCGACTTTCAGCTTCTTTCGGAAGAGAGCAACTTTCTCTTTGAATGAGTTGAAATTGCTTTCCACGGGAATCGGCAGCTTGCTAATGATGTTGGCTGCCTTCGATCCGATCTTCGGTGTCAGCTTTTCAACCTTCTCTTTCAGCGACGGCTCTAAAAACAAAATCGAAATGTTAGTTTCTGACAGAAAACTTACTTTCAAAAGTGGAGAAAGAGTGAAAGCAATCAAGAAGTTCGGCTCTAACGTCATCCGAGAGATTCAGATGGCGAATCTGAGCTTCCAGAAGGAATGCGTGGCCTACTTTCAGAATCAGCTTCGTTCCGGGCAGGCTCGCCGCAATCATTTCGCACGCAACGAGCAACAATTCTGCCTGAAAATATATACAATCACACAGGAATCAATCATTTTTTGTTGTAATGTCCATCGTTTGTCATTCTTTTTACCCGTCATTTCCCACTTACATCTAACGAAGTCGATGAGCTCTGCGGTCCGATGCAGTCGACACAGCACTCCCATTTCTCGATGGGATGGACATTCGGCGCACTTTGTGAGTAAACTCTTCCGAAATTATATCGTTTGAAGCGTTGAATGCTGTTTCGCACGCAGTATCGAACAAAATTCTGGCGGAGATCCATGGGAAGAGCAACCGGGAGACCGTTTCTGTCCAAAAACTCCACTGGCTTAGTTCTGACAGAAGCCGCGGCCAGTGCGGTCGAAACTGGCATCAAAGTGTGTGTGGCCAGCTTCTCGAACGCATGCACTTTGAGAACTTGGCAAAACTCGTAACGAACTGTCTCAACAAGTGATTCCTTGTTGCTTAACTTGAGACGATCCTGACACAAGTCTATGTCGTAACAGTAGTTTACGGAGGTCGGCACGTCTTCTTGGAACTGTTTTTCCAGCAACCACGCATTCATGCGACTCTCCCTTTTTTTGACGACCTTCTCGCATAGATTACGGAAGGTGGCGTCTTCCTTTGAATGCATGGGAAGGTCTTCGTCATTCAGCAGATCATCTGCGGTCGGTCGCAAATCCGGATTCTTCTGAAGCATTCGTTCGATAGTCTTCTTTGCCAACGCTGCCATTTGACTTTGCAGATCCCTCCCAAAGTCGGCTGGAATCGCCACCTGATTTCTCAGATTGTTCAGTGTCGATACTCTCTCCATGCTCGGCGGCAAAGGACGATAGAACATCTCGAATAACACGACTCCGGCACTGAAGATGTCAATCTTCGAAGTGTACAACTTGTGGGTGGTCGTTTCAGTTTCGAAGAGCTCCGGAGCCATGTAGAGCTGAGTGCCGATATCCTTAGTCTGCTGCACTTCCGGTCCCTTGTTCTTGTGTCCGGGCGGCGAAAGCACCGCTTCGATACTATTGCTCTTGTCAGCAGCTGGTTGAAACGGTCTTCGTTTCGGATTGAAGACATCCAGAGTCGCGAGGCCGAAGTCACCGATTTTTACGCCGTTTTGTGATGTTAGAAAGATGTTGAGAGGCTTGATGTCTCGATGAATGATCGTACTGATTTCGTGCATGTACTTGAGACCGCACAACACTTCCGAGAAGATTCTCCACACTTCGTTCGGTTTGTTGAAGCAGTGGTTATCGTCGATGTACTGTCTGAGAGTTCCTCTGTCGCAATACTCCATCTGAATGCACAGAATACGCGGGTTTCGGTTGATGCTTTCGAATCCTTTGCTCCTGCTTTTGCTCCTTTCCACCACTTTTAAAAGCTGTTTGGCCTCCTCCTTCCTCGAATTAATGTCTTCTGGATTCGGCTCGAATACGATACCATCGTCGTCTTCCGCTGATTTTGAAGTGATCGAACGTTCAAAGACGTCGTCGGATTCTGTCGATTCGATTCTCGGTCTGTCCTCTCCAGTTTCATCGTCCGCATCCGAATCCGAACTGGAAGATTCTTCCTCTTCCTCCTCTTCTTCAATATCTTCATCCCAATCACTTCCTTCGTCGACTTCTTCGTCCTCATCTTCGTATTCCGAAGAACATTCCGAAAGATGCTTCAGGCCGCCACTCGGTGTGCTCCGTTTGCTCTGTCTCATTCGTGAAGCGCATCTTTTATTGTCCTGGAAGACGGAAAACGACCATTCCTTGGCTTCCGCTCCTTTGCTGTCCTTCGAGATTGCTTTCAATCGTGCCGGCAGCAATGAATCTCCTCCTCCCATGTTCGCCATTCGTTCCTCCAATGACTTTGACGCCTTCAATTTCGGTTTCTTCGGAGACTGTTCTTTTCCAGGAATCGGAACTGCGCCGAGTGAGCTGTCGTCATCAGAAGCCTCGCTGACCACCGGAATCAGTTCTTCAGCCCAAGAATTGTAGTATCTTACCAAGTTTTGATGATTCATTTTGGCAAAAAACTTGGCTTCCTTTGTGATTTTCCGATTCACTCTTTCGACATTATTGAGTGGGATGCGTTTGATGGCATAGTCAGTACTGTCCATTTTGTTTCGGACAAGTACGACGTCGCCGAATCCTCCCTTTCCGAGTCCGCGAATGATCACATTCTCGCCCATCATCCTGCCATCCGGGTGCATTGCTCCACCGAACGGAGTGAACAGTCCGTCCTCGCTGTCCGATGGCGGCTCTTCTAAAAAAAGAGTGTGAATTGCTTCCAAGCAAAATACAAAGATAAACAAACCTTTCAGAAACGGTTCATCTTGTATCTGATCGAGATTCTTCGCTTCCTGACATTTTGCTATGAATTTGGAAAGAGAGCTGGAACTGGAATTCTGGAGTCCTTGCACAGGCGTTGAGACTCGGGAGTAGTTTGAACCGCGTGTCTGGAGCTGCGAAAACATTAAAACCGAGCATTGAATCAAGTAATACTTACAGCAAGTACGAGTCCATCGAGCAAGGTTCCGAGTTGGAATAGGTCTTTCCGTCGTCGGTCGCTTTCTTTCTCTTTTTCTTCTTGCGGAACATACTTTCGAGTGCAAATTTCGTTGAACAGCTTGACCAGATCCAAAAGCGGACCCATCGTTCCGAAATCCGAGAATCGGAAGCCGTAGTTGGCCATGCTGTCCCTTGTCCAGACACTCCCGACAGTCAAGTGCTTGTGTGTCATCGAAGATTCATGCAGGTATCGAAGACCGCACATTGCCTGAACGGCCAGAAGACGAAGAAGTTTTGATCTCGGAACGATAACTTCGTAGGCATCTTGCAGATTCTCTTCGTACTGAAAGATTTTCTGCGCCACGAACACTTGCACCAGCACTGAACCCGCAGTACATTTCATCTTCTGAACATGAATGAACTCGTATTCTACCAAATTATGATCGAGGTCTTGAATATCGGGCAGTTTTTTGAATTCGCTGTGCACTGCGTCCAGTTTGTCCAGGAACGGGTGAAATCGAGCGTTTCCGAGTTACGTCCAGCGGAATATCGGAATGTCCACTCCGAAATGAGCAACTGGTTGTTCTGCAATAGACAAACGTAATAACACGACTGCCGATGGATTGATGGACACTTACGTTCCAAAATCCCATCCATTCGTGGCAGATGTTGGAAGGTTTCTGCCGTTTGACCGGGATGTTCGTGAGAACGACGACTCGCCGATTGCCGATAGCCCTGGTCTCTGCTTCCGGACGACATCCATTCAGTGTATTCTCCAGCTCGGTCGCGTTCCGCTGCTTCATTTCCTCTTCGAGTAGCTCGAGTTCCTTTTGTTCCGTATCGAGTCGTTTTCGCTGAAACAACAAACATTCGAAAAGGTCATTTAATGTTGATAGGGGGAATCGTCGCTCACAGCGCCATAAATTTGCATCGATTCTCATACTTTTTTCTCCGCTTCCACCCTTGCTTTGTTGTTTAGCATCTGATCATGGAAACTGCCGACTGGCTGCTGTGGGTTGTGGTCGGTTAAATAGTCATTGATTGTCGTAACAAGCTCGCAGACCATCACAGATCCTTCTAGATTGTCCACCTTTTTTCGAAGATGAACAAGGAGCTTCCGCACATCCTCTTGAGAGATTCCGTGCGGCTCCACCAAATCGACGAAAGGTTTTCTAAAAGGGGAGTGTTTATTGTATGTGGATAATAAACCAACCGCTTCGGATATTCCATGGAACACTTCACAATGAGAACCACACTCACATCCTTCTTTTTGTCCTCGTCTAGAAGACACGAATCATGAGGTCGAACGATGATTCTGACGTCTGTGGGTGATCGAACCTGCCAATGATACGGTAGATTTTATGTATTCAGGACACCTACGTTCCAGACATTCCTGAAGAACTCTACCTGGCGCTCATACATCGACTCTAAAACTGTCCGCTCATGTTCTTGCAGCTCCCAGTTTTCATTCGTCTCCTCGGCCATCACCTGGAATATTTGCAAACATTTGTGGGCTTTGTCGAGAGAAACAAAGTTCCGGAGGTTTAGACGAGGAGAAATCGATCGGAGGGAAAAGAATCACGCGGAATCAGTTTCGGTCGACATTAAACAAAAAAAAATCGGCGGCAGATTGATGGCCAAAAGACGATAAAAGTCGACTGTCAGAAGGCGCTTGTGTGAAAAGCAAAAGTTATGCGTACGTGAATATTGCGTCATATTCGTTAACTGCGGACCGCCATTATTGGCGCGTGTTCAAAATTTGTTTTTATCGGAAGGTTATCGACAAAAGAAGAATGATTTGAAAATTCATTTCAAAACAATTCGAACACTTTATGAAGTTCTTAGCGAGTTCAGTAATTTTTCTTCTTATTCGATCGTCTACAGCCTTAAAGTTTAACCGCAGTTCTGAATCAGGTTGTTCATGAAAAGTTCGAATGAAAAACAGAACAATTCAGGAAAGAATACGCTTAGCTTAGTGACAATCTGCTCAACTTGTGCTCTTTTTGTATTTTCAATTATCACTCTCGTTGTTTCGGCTCTCAGCTTGCTCAAAGCCCGACGGATCCGCCATTTCAAGCTGTCGGAACCGCAGGTTTTCAGACATGAGGAAATTTTGGAAAATTAAGCAGTTCAGACTCAAATTTACTACAAGAATAAAGGAAGGCTCCGAAGTTGAGGCGAAAAGTTTTGGAAGCGATGGATAAAGGCGGATCTGTGAGAAGTCGGCAAGAACAAAGGGAAACACGGCGATGAATCGGAAGAAACCGCCTCGGAATGGAAACGAATGCGACTCGTCACTCAACAGGCCCGTCTCCGCAGAAAGACTTTAGAACTCTTTATTCATCACATTGCAATAAAACTCGTTCCGGATTGCTCGCCCGTGTACCAGTTGACACTTCTCCGGCCGTCCCGGTGCCCTCTACTCGTCTCGTTCCCGCGTCCGACTTCTCAACTCCCGAATTCTCGGACATCGCCGTCCCGTTGCTCCGAATTCCTCCTCCACTTGTGCCAATCAACGAAGTGTTCGGATCGGAAACATCAGCTTTCAGCACGTAATACTCGAACAACTGAAAAGAAAAGTAAATGTTCAGATGATTCAAAAGACAATTCTCACAGTAGGCCTGCTCAGCTCCAGTTTGGGTGATTTGTTCTTTGAAAATAGATTGCACTGAGAATCAAAGTGAAAAGAGTGAGAATGAGAAAAAGAGCGGATTGGACGACGTCGAAGTAGGCGAGGAATGGAATCACTGAAATAATTGAATCGATTCTGCGCTGGAATAGCAAAAGTACCTTCGAAGACAGACGCTGATCTCAAGCAGTTAACAGGCAGCACACTCGCGAAAGTTAGCAAGAATACAGAATGAACAACGCTCATTTCGATTCAGAAATGAAATGTTCTTGATTGCCATGGGCGAGTGGCCTCAAATACCATTTTTCGTTCGATCGATCACGGTCCTTTTCACTCATTTCTGGTTCAGAAGAACAATTGACCGAGTATTTTTGCCAATTCTTTATTTGAAACAAGACTTTTGAAAGCACTTTTACAGAGAGGCAAGGTACAATAGGACAGCTCTGAGTATTTCACGTTAGTAGCGAAACGTCGCGGTTGCGGAATGTAGTGGGCTCGATTACCAAGACGACAAAGTTGACGGTGGTGTATCAGGAGAGGTTGGCGGCCGAGACGAACGGGAACTAAGCGGTTCTACGAGAATTCCTCCTTTTATATCCGAGTTTATTTGAACGTCTTCATTACTTCGATGCCACGTGGAAAACAGACAAACTGTTTTTGCCACGTTTTATTTTTTCACGTGGCAGTTTCTATTTTTAATGGCTCTCTTCCCAACTTTCCAATCAAACAGCATTCTCTGTTGATTCTGATTCCTCTCCCGTGCTTTTCCTTCTCAATTATCGAAATTCTGAACAGACTTTTGATCTTTCTTACTGTGCGCCGTCTCATCACGAGACCCCTCTTCCAATTGATAAAAATCATTCTCACTTGGCTTTTTCGCTCGTTTTCTTATCAACATAAATTAGTTGCTTTTACGAATCCGGAGATGGTTTACGACCCCAGAATGAACCGACTGTGTACCGAAAATGAAATCGGAGGAAGTGGAGTGTACGAGAACTGAAAATGTGTTTACTGTTTGGAGCGAAGTGAGCGGAAGGTCGGAAAGTGGCCAGATTTTTGCCACGTTGATCAGCGCCGGCGTTTAAATTTTAATCGCGAAGATACAAACGAAAGTTGATTGCAGACTAAGACGATTTGGTAACGAATTGAGGACAATGGACGTGGAGGAAAGGGCTTTGCACTTTTTGAGCAAGTTCATTCAGATCAAGGAGACACCACAACTCCGTTTCTTCTTCCGACTTTTCCGCCAATTGGCTCATTCAATTATCAACACAGTTTCCCGGAACCGGTTCCTTCTCGTTTCAATCAGTTTCCCAGGACCACGTACGTCACACCGACACAATCTCCTCCGTTATCAGTGCGCCTGATTTTGATTGAATGCCGTGCCAAGTCTGCTCTCGATACATGGTCTCATCACGAAAGTACAGCTTCCTCGGATACATTCTTCTGGTGGCCCACGTGACACAGATTATTTCTGATTGGTTTTTGATGTGGGGGAGAAGGAGAGGAAACGGAAGAGAAATAAGTTGCTCGTGATGCACGGAGGACCGTGGGAAAGTTAAAATAAACACTTTAGGGTTGTTTGGGGTGAAACTACGAGCAGAAACTCCAATCGTCAACATCCCAAACTCGATCAGAAAACGAAGAACTGGCACATTGTCACCCAAAATTTCGTAACCTTTCGCCGTTTATCACTCGATTGCCCGCCTGTTCCCATGACTGTGCACTTCCGTGTGCCCCCTCCCATCGAGTTAATCCCATTCCAAACATGTACAACAGGTCGCCAACAAGCACAACTTCTCGTGAATCAGAGAGCTACCTCCGGTCACTGCGTCCCTTCTCGAATGTCTCGGACATTCTCTCTGAACTTTGCTTATCAGCCACAGGAAATGTGTGTTTCGCATGTGAATTGTGAATTCGCAAGAACAGGAGCATAGAATAAAATATATTGTACACTCACTTTATTGCCTTTTTATATACATTCAATTCATGACTATGTGACCCGGAATTGTGGAATTATGCAACGATTGTGAAGGAGAAGAGGGAAATGAGTTATGCGCAGAAGGTGGACGACTTCCGAGAGCCGTCCTGCATGTCGTCCATCCAGGAGACCGACTTCCGTTTGCTGGACAGACACGAATCCGTTTTGGAGCGAGTCTTCTTCAGAAACCGCGGTTTCACAGAAGCGTTCGGATTCTTGCCCAAACAAAAATCGATCTTCTGCTTCAACGAAGTCGAAATGTCATCGGTCTCCACTAGAATCGTGAGCAGAATCGATTTGAGTGGCGGGAATTCTTGACGAGCATCTTGCAACAGCTGAAATAGACACTTTTTCTTTGATAAACACCGGGTGGAATGACCAGAATAGAAGCGAAAAAACTGTAAAATTTTATTACCTTAGCGAGAACTCGGTCACGGAAGGCCGTCAATATCAGTTGTTGGACGTCGAATGACGCGTCGATTTCAGCGAGAGGAAAGCACATCGATTGTAGGGAAGGGACCACGAGCTTGTTGAGTTTGAGCCACAACTGTTCCAGAATATCACAGCCACCGTTGAGAAGAAGATCGGTGGTCAGGTTGGAGCAGTTGAACGCTTTGAAGGCGTTGTTCTCCAGAATACCAGACGCATCTCCTTCCGGTTTGAAGAAGTTGACGAGCTTTTGTTTCTCGAGAAGGGTCAGAGCTTGAATCTCAGAAGCACAGTTCCGCATGTCGTCTCCGGAAAGGACATGTCCTTGAAGAGCAGAGAGAAGTATGAGCTCACATCTGAAACTCATATGATGAAAGATAGAGACAGAGAAAGAAAGAAGCACTTACGGGTTGGGGTAATCAGAGAAAGTAGCTCTCGGACTCGGGGTTCTCGGGGAGGAAAGCGTCGAGGAAAGACTGTCGATGGAGCGACGAGACAGCTGCGAAAGCTGCCGAAGAATCGATCGACCCTTCTTCTGCTTCTCCTGCTCGACGCCTGGAACAGTTAGGAAGTTCGACATGAGAAAGGAGACAGGCGGCGGGCGAGCGCCTTTTAAAGAGAGAAAGCATATCGAAAGTGAGTAACGAGGGTGATGTCACTCTGGGAGCACGCGTGTTTTGAAAGTGAGCAAACTAAATATGGGATGGGTGCACTCACACTGTACGTCAATAAAAACGTTTCCTATCGAGTTCTTCTTGCCAAAAATCATCGAGGTTTCAGCGAATCGGAAGTGGATTGGGAAGAGAAGAAACGTCTGAAAGTCAGTTTCAGATTGTGGTTTTGCAGATTCAGCTGACGGAGAAGTCACGAAAGGAGCGTCAAATGGGGTCGCAAGAAATCACAAAGACTGAAATATAAATGCTTTCGTCGCGTTATCTCGCAGTGCGCGCCTCCCCTCAAATATTTTGTGCTTCTCGCTCTCAGCGCATCGGTGTTGATTGCGTGCTCCGCTTCTACTCCCTCCCCTCTTTTCACTTTTGAACCGTCTCCGATAACCTTGGCGAATTGCTGATAGAGACTGCGTGCAACTCTGCGCCTCTCTTTCTCGTGCGCTCTCTCGCACTTTGTAGTTTTTATAGCATTTTCTGAAAGGGTGTCGAGAATGGGGAGAAACGTTTTTGCAGCTATGGGTTGGTCATACTTTGGAGACAAAACTGGTAGCAGAAAAGAGGCGGAACTCAGGAAGTTTCAGGTGCATAGGAACTGTGATGTGATGTCCGATTTTTGAACTTTGAATCCTAGAAAGAACACACTAGGACTTCCAATTCGATTAAATCACCAATAGTGTCCAACACCTTCATTTTCCCTGATTGCATGTTACCCATACCGATTTCCACCAAAATCTGAAGGAATTGTGACGTGTTGTAAACAAAACAGAGTCGAAACTCAATTCACTGCACACATAGTTTAAATCGAATTTATTGAAGAAGCGCCAAATTGAGTACGGATTCCTCTTTGTGATATTCCACGTGGCTCCACGGCGCCGACTCGTCCTTCCAATTCGTGCAGCATAAGTATCGGATCCACAGTAACCCGGTGCACACTTTGATGGGACCGGCGTGCTCCTGGAGATCCGTCGACGGATCGCAACTTTTCTGCCAAAACCATTTGCATTCGGTCCAATCACATTCTTTCTGCAAATGATCTGAATTAGTGTCGAAATGGGAATGTCTCCGACGAACCCAACAAAACGTAATAATGGGCAGCCAAAGAAACAGTAACAGAATTCGCATTTTAACTGTGAAGAAATCAGAAATGAGAGGCTCTTGTTTATTTGAAAGAAAACGAGTATAAATTTAATATAAATCAAGTCAATCCACGGAAAAATACAAGCAGATAAGAATGGAAATGGTTCTTCTTTTTTTATGGGAAAGAGAAGCAATTTACAGAAGGGACTCTACAAACTCGGAAAACTACAGTAAGGGGACGAGGAGGCGGGGATGGAATGGGGCACCGACGGACGGGGAAAAGAAGACGGATGGCAGTGGGAGCGAATCGGCGGAGGGCTTCATGTCGAGCTGACGACGCGCAGACGGTTTCCGTTGCACGTCTTGCACAGGAGGTGCTGCTCGATCGGGTAGCATCCTTGGCCTTCCAGCTGAAATGCAATTTCTTCTTTCTTTCTCATTCAATTTCCGAAGAACAGTCAACCAGTTCTGTACGTCCGGTCATAAACCGAATTGCCCACCTTGGACGACAACTGCATTCCGCAATCCTCACACTTGTAGCACTCGACGTGGAATGACTTGTCCATCGCCACGACGCGCACTGACTCCTTCTCGCCGTCCTGCGGCACGATCGGTTTACTGCAGACGGCACAGCGCGGAGCGAATTTGCTGGAAAAGAAAGAGCGAAAGTTTTGGGAGCGGAAGAGAAAAGGACTGACTCATGGAAGCACGGGACACAGTGCACATTGTTGTCCTTGTCGAGAGTGAACGGAATGCCGTCGAGGGACTTCTTGCAAGAGTGACACGCGAAGCAGTTTACGTGGTAGACGCCGCCGCACGCACGCAGAAGCTTGTCGCTGATCGGCCGGTTGCAGGCGGTACACTTCTCGAGCGAGTTCTGAAAAAGGACACGTCTCCAGGGGACGATTGCTCTTCGGCAAAACGTCAGAGGGCGCCAAGATTGAGTACTTTTTGGGGCCCACCGAAAAGATCTAAGAGAACAAAGAGCGTACCTGATAGCACTGCTCGCACGTCGGCTTCTCGTCGATGTTGTAGAACGAGGCGCCGGCAAGAGTCTTCTGGCATTGGCCGCATTTGAAGCAATCCACGTGGAAGATCTGGTTCATGGCATTGCATCCCGGCTGATCGCCAGTGATCTCTTTGCCGCATCCCACACAAATATCTGCAATTCAAGATTGTTTGTGTCTGCGACGACGCGTTTCGTGGCGGCTTTATTGTGTTTTTTTTGAGCAAAAAACCCGAGTACGAGTGTCAGAATGTCATAAAAAAGACATCACGCCGGGGGGTTCAGTTTCGCCATCTGATCGGAATCAGAAGAACACTCGTGGTTACCGTAAACTTTTTTGTTTCTTCTCCAGAAAATGACGAATGTTTCTTTCGATCTCTTTCCGCAGAAATGTTTATTATTGCGTTGTGACATGGTGGGCGCCCCCGAAGGCAAAACTATGCGAATTCGGTGTAAACTTTGGATTAGCGTTGTAAATACAAGAAATTAGTGCTCATGGGCTTGCATATACTAGGGCTTTGAAATGAAAAAACTTCAGTTTAGAGTCAAAAGGAGCTCAGCTGAGTGTAGTGCACAATTTGAGATTGATAACGACAAAACAAACCTTCTTTCTCCGTCATGACGATTCAGAAGAGCAAAAACGACGAGCGGGTCGAGGAGAAGCGAGAAATCGGAAGACCGACGGAGAATGAGAAGGACAACGTGGGGCGTGGCCCAAAAACGGCCGACAAGACCGCCCACCAAAAGTAGAAGAAGAAAACGAAAAAGACGAAAAGTAAGAAGAAGCCTGAGGAGGAGCCGCTGATAGAGGATGGATGGACAAGGCAGCTGGAGGGAGCAGCGGCGAGTGGATGGCAAAAACGAGTAGGAGGGCGCGGCCCGAGAGAGGAGAGAGCAAGGAACCGTAGTCGAGCAACTGTTGCTCGCTGCGTGTTTGAGGGCGCCCGCGGCTCTGTGCTGCCTGCCTCGCTCTCGGGGCTCTTCCTGATCACTTCGGTGTGCTCTTGGGTGTCATTTATTTTCGGTTCAACACTATTTGTCTTCCGATAGGTTGAGTCGTTGCGTGTAGTAGACAAGCAATCGTGCCCCAGTTTCCACAACCACAACTTGTTGTTCCGGGAGCCACGTCCCTGTTTGAGCACCTGCGGATGCGACGAAGCAGAACTCTGATGAGGATGTTCACTCGGCCTACAGTATGCCCTGCCGCAGACTCGTGATATGTCAGACGCCTTAATTCGCACATCGTCAAAGTGTGGATGGGATCCCCGGAGACATCCAGTTTGTGCTCGAATGCTGATGAACGCATCGTGTGATTGCGAGCCGACTGGCCGGGACCGAGCACATAAATATTTTCGGGAAATCGCAGTCCATCCGGGAGAGTCCTCACCGCGAGACAACCGTCATTTTTCATTACTCGTTTGTTTTGTCGCGTCAAACCGAGCGCCCCCACGTGTCGTTTCTCCCACTAGCTCTCTCTCTCTCCCGGGACCCTTTACGTCACGGCATCGGCAGGCGGGGAGTCAAAACAGAGCGGGAAAAATTGTGGTTAAAGTGCAGCACGACCTTCGGTTCGCCCCCGTTTCCCATCATCTGTGCACCATCGAGAAGAGGACCTTTGGAAGGCAGAACACAATGAATATATAACGAGGCGGCAGGAAGCAGGCGGCGAAAGAGAAGGGGATCAACTCACTGATATTCATGATTTTGCGGGTTGAAGTCGTCGAGGAAGTGGTCGTGGTCTGGTTTGTGAAGTTGGCGGCTCTCTGGAGGTCGTCGTTCTGGCGACGGGGGTACTGGACGATGCTCGGCGAGGTGCTCGTGTCCTGGCTGAGCTTGCTTCTCATCTGGTGAACCAGATGATCCACCTCATCGCCATTGTACGAGTCCTGAAAAATTGAAGTATTGTACATATTGGTTTCAGGTTCAAGGTTTCAGATTAAGTGGTGGATTCTATTTCTGTTTTCTTCAGAATGCTCTCAACGTTTCAAGCCAATCACGCCGCGCCATCTTTCCATCTCCATCTTCTTCCTCCTCTTCTTCTACTTCGTCTTTTTCGTCTTTCTCAATGTTTCAACCTAAACTAAACTTTTGGTGCTCACTGAGCACAACCAGAAAGTTCCCATCTTCTCTCCAATTTTTCATGTGCTTTCCAAAGTTTGCGCTTCGTTTTCCTCCTTCTCCTCGCCCTCCTCGGTCCGCTTCCCAAAAATAGAAAAAAAAAGAAGAAAGGGCGGCGGCGGCGGCGCAGGAAGCGGAATTTTGACGTGAGCTTCTGCGGAGCCACCAAATTAGTATCAGTTTCTCGTGGTGGCTCCCCCGAGAAAACGAGCATCTTGTTGTTTTTTGTCTGATGCCGCGCCACCCTTTGCCATGATTAATTTCATCGAAACAATACATTGCCGAGCTGTTTTTTTTCTCGCCGTCAGTGTTTTGATGTTTGGAGACGTGGAATTGAGGCGGTGGCGGCCGATAAAAACGAAATCGAGCGGCTGCGGAGATGGAAAAAAAACGAAAGAGCGGGGACGTCGAAAAGAAACAAAAACATAAAAATTGGATGGAGGCGAGAGGAAGAGGAGAAGGCACCATTGTTCGGAGGAACACGCACAGCAGAAGTGACAGGATCAGGGGGCATCCAGAGGAGAACTACGGTATCCTGGAGGAAATTCTTCGCCGAGCCCTTGCCACCTTCTCATGTTTCTTTAGAACAAACAAGTGGAGTGCCACGTCAAACATTCAAGCTTGACGAAGCGAAAACGCATCTTTGCATAATTATGGTGTAGGCGCGAGATAACAAGGGAACAAGGCGGCGAGCAACAAAAAGGGAAGAAAGAAGAAGAAGAAGAAGAAGAAGCGCGATGGGAGCAAGAGTTGAGTGCTTGCCCCTGGTAGACACAACAATCGATTCTTTGTCGTCAGGAAGAAGTACGTATATATTGGGTCCGCCCGGAAGACGTGTCGCAGAATGCACGAGAAGGCGTCGCGCGATGACGGCGCCCTCTGTGTGTATGCATTTCAATTTTTCCGAAAAGCCCACACGGCGAAACGAGAAGTGGCGAAATTGGAGCAGGAAACGACACGGAGAAGGACGGACATTGCCAATTGGGAAGAGGAGAAGCAGAAGCGGCACTAGGAGGTATTCGGCCGGAAAATTGAGAGATCCGTCCCACTCCCGTTTCCTTTTTTTTTGATGATAGGGTCTATAGGCAAGATTCGGAATGAATTGAAAGGATCAGAAGAATGGGGACCGGGACGAGTCTGCGTGGAACATTTCTCCACTTCCAATCATTGATCATTGGGTACCAACCAAAATAAACGCTCTCATCAATCACCCTCTCCCTTCCCGTTTATGTGCACTTCGTCACCGAATTGAATGGACGACTCATCTCGCTTTGATTGAAGAGCCTATTCACTCCGAAGACAAAGAAGAACAACCAAAAACACAAACCTTGACAATTCGAGAGACATCGAAGGGAAGCGTCGAGGAGGAAGAGCTCAGAGCGCTCGTCTGATTGCGGTTCGCGGCGCGTTGGCTTTCAGTGAGTCCCTCGTCGCGGAGCTGTCTGGCCAGAGAGTTCTGCAGGAAGTTACGGGCCTGGGTCTTCTGCTGGTAGAGGTCCGGAGGCGGCGGAGGAGGCCGCTGAACTTCGGTGACGTAGTTGGTGGTCGAGTACTCGTGGATCAGTTCCCGAGCGTTTCTGATGGGAGACTGAGAACGACGGTACTTGCTGAAATGGCCGTAATTCTAGGGGAATGGCTCTTTCGAACACACCTCGGATCGTACGGTTCGGACCACTGCACAACCGTCTCGTGATTTCCGCACTTCTTTGAATTGTTGTTCTCAGTGAGCACTGGAGATGTCGATGTAGTGGTGGCTGTGTTAGTGAAGTAGTCGTCGTCTTTGTGGTAGCTTCGGAAGTTTGTAGGGTACGAATATTTGGAAGAATAAGGAGAAACATAGGTGGCTTCATCAGGAACAGATGGCGGAGAAGGGATTTGTTGGCATACTGACTTAAAGTGGATGAGGAGAATTTGTTGATAGGGCTATAATGGGAAGAGTTGGATAGAAGAGCCTCTCGGGATTGCTGGAAAAAAAGAGAAATGAGTGGAAGTTGCGGAATGAGCGAACACCTGGAATTGGCTTAGCGCATCGGGGTCTCGACGAATGTCGCCGATCGGACGAGATTGCACGGAATAAGTGGGCGCAGAAGGAATCTGAAAGCAATTGTGAATACGGTACTGCATCTTACAGAGTCTTGGGACTAACCTCTGCTCCGGTTTTCTCTGGAGCCAGTTGTTGGAGCTGCGCGCGGTACGTCCGATCTCCGTCAGGCACTCGTTGATCCGGTCGGTCCACTCGTCCATCGGGTAGATCCGCGACGTCACTTCGTACCGATTCGTTGTAGCCGGTCTTGCGCAGACGAGCGGCAGCGTGCTGTAATGCCGCAGCGTCCACTGTGGGACGGGACGGCTTGGGCGGCGGAGGTACGGGATTGTGGTTACGTCGTGGTGCATTCTCTGTCTTCCATTGGCGAGATGGTAGTACCGCTCCCTGGAGAAAAAGAAGGAGCGTCAAAAAGAAAAAGGAGGGCGACTTACGGGTGGGAGTACAGGGGGTGGTGGAGGCGGAGGCGGGGGTCCCATAGGTCAGAATCGTCGAACGAACGAGTGCTGTAGGTACGAGCACGGCCCAGGCTGAAAACGCGTCACATGGTTGTCATCACATAAAGAAGACAAGCAACAAACACAAACACAAACAAGACGAAACGAAACCGAAATGAAATGAAATGCAGATGTACCTTGGACTAGAATAGTGAGGAAGGGGGGAAAGGTAGCTCATATTAGGAGCAGCGGGACGTGTTGGCTAGTGTGGGAAACGGGCACCGGTGTTTAGTATGTTTAGAGTCTTTGGAAAGAAGAGCAGCATGACGGGACCCCGGACGATGCGTCGCGAGTCTCTCCGATTGTACGCTCTTTCTCTGGGAGCCCATTTTACACTTTGGCGCTCAGAATTCGACTGATGGCAGGGAAAGGGAGGGGGATTACAAAAAAAGCGAGGCCGTCAACGAGGGATAAGCGGCCGATGGGACAACAACATCTGTCCCGACTGGGAGGAAGAATCGGAAGAATCAAGAAAGATTGATGTGGCACGTGGCAAAAGAGGGACTGAACTGCGACGAAGGAAGGGCACACCTCGGAACGCACTGCAAACAGCGATAAAGCGTCGGAAGAGAAAAGAGGAGAAAAAACGTCTGTGGTTTTTATGTGTTAACGTGTGCACAGAAAGTTTATGGGCGGTTTCGTTGGAATTGAAGACCGCGGCACCGCCCACGCGTTTCCCGCCAAATAAGTTGACTGAAATTCTTTTGATTCTTCCAGAATCAAAAACAAAAATAAAAAAAGAGAGTGAGAGAGAGAGAGAGACAATGGATGGGAAAAGGAAGAAAAATGACTGTTTGTTTCCCGTCTTATTCCGACTCCAAAGGTTACCAGAAAGAACCGGAATTCGGGGAAGAGAGGGAGCAAACAGGGTAAACGATTCTTATGACGTGGCACAATGTATGATCTCTACCAGAAGACATTATCAAAAAGATAAAGACAGGAAAGTAGTTTAACTGCATACCAACCGCAACAAAAACAGTATTATCGGTGACCGGGGATTAACCCAAAAAACGGTGGTTTTGTGACACGAAAAGCGGAAAACTGGCTTATCTGTTTTGAACATCGGTCTCTCGCCCCGGCCACATACGGGACAACTATTACTGTATTCAATGAATGCGCGAAAAGAGAGAAGTTTCGAAGCGAAAGTTCGCTTCCGCGGCGAGAGATAATTGCGGAATTAGGTGTGACTTGGCCACGGCGTTTGCCTGGCAGAAGCATCGAAATTCAAAATTCAGGTCGACATGATAGTGATATGCGAATTTCGAAAGATAATCATTGACAGAAAGAATGGAGATGTGGAAAATGATGCGCGATACGAAACTAGGAATGGGCAGGGCTGAGAGGGACTTGAAAGGGACGGCTATGTGTTCGTTTTTACACTACATTTATAATAGGCAAAGAGAGAGAGAGAGACTCGTATCGATGTACACATACTTTCCATGTTAATTAGCCGGTTTACCTATGTTCGAGTGACTGATTCGACGAGACAGAACACGAACCCAATTAATCAAACACCGCCTATTCGGCGTCTTCAGGAGGTTTCTGTGTTGATGGGCGACACTTATAAGGCTTGTGCCAAACAAAGTGGAAAAAAGGCTGGAAGCAAAGTTATTCTTTCGGGGTGAGTCATCCGGTTGTTCGCGCAAAAGAATTGATAAAAGAGACGCAGCAGTGTCGGCGGCCTCCCGCCGGGACGGAGTGGGTGGATGAGTGAACGGGTGGAAAACACGAGACAAGACGAGACGAGTTGAAATTCAAAGTTAACAGGGATCGGAGGGCAGTCCGCGCGGTCACCGCGGGGTGTGTAATGTGCCCGTCGTAACGCAGGGATGGACGCTTTGTTCTGTGCTCCTCCGGGCAAACATTCGAACTCTGGAGCCGAGTACTCTGAGAGTATTTAGGTGGGAATGTTAGGACGGTCCTTCAAAGGAGTATAACACTCAGATCAACCACCTTCTCGGGCCGTCTTCAGAAATAAATCAGAAATCGCGTTGAGCAAGGGACTTGATAGGGCTCTAGTTGATTGTACATCTGAAGTTTGCAATGTGCTGAATGTGTCACTGTTTGCACAATGACGAAAGGAATGTTTCAAGACTTTGAAGCTCTGAAAATAAGTAATCCATTTTCAGACTATGCACGAATTTAATTCATTCCATTCTACACACATTTTTCCTTTCTTTATCTTTCCTCCATCTTTATACATCTCCGATTCTCCCCACGTTACCAGTTCATTCTTGGCCACCCAGCCCAGTGTATGCAAGTGCGCTCCATCGCACTCACTCCGTTTTCATCAGTATTTCATCGCGATGCATCGACGTTCACCACGTCTTCAGCTTCTCCGAAATGGTGTGCCTGCCGTGCATATTCTTGCCGATTATGATGGCGATTTACATGAAGTTCATCATGCCCTACGTCTACAGGTAATCCCGAAAAATTGAAGCCGAGAACCTCTCCTTTTCAGGGTGCTTCCAGAGAGATGGGTGCACTTCCTGGACCCAATCCTGTACCCTACGTGTCCTGTGAGCATACCTGAAGCTGAGAAGAAAAATGGAGAAGAAACGGGAGAGAGTAAGTTGTTTTTATTAAAGAAATAATGGGGATGAAACTGTGGAATTTCAGCAAAATCATGTTGTTCAACAGCGGAAAGCGGAGAGGAGAGCAAAAAGGACCAATAGGCACTCAATAACTCAGAAGAAACTGTGATTCTAAATATTGAAAATCTCGATCGGAGACAACGGAAACTTTTCGCCATTTTCCTTGTAAATAAAGTGATTAGTGTTAACAGTTGTTGAGAAATACCACGAGTTGTGGTTTCCGTATCGGACAAAGTAGAATCTGTAAAATAGGAAAATGAGAGAACTGACAAAAAGTGTCCACTCACCCATCCATTGGAACTTGATATTTCCATGAATCGATCTGAGAAAGGGCTGGTCTCTCGCATCCGACAGACATCTCCCGCCACGCGTCCATCTCTCTCTGGAATCTTCTTAATACAAAATTAACCACTCAACCGTACCGTATCATCTTCACAATGAAAGAGGAAGTAGTGGAACGAGCTGTCATTGTGCAGGAAGAATTCGATTTCGTCGCCCTGCTTCCAAGAGAACTTCTGAACTGTGTACCTGCCCGCTGGAATACTAATCGGAAGCAGTTCTGTTTTCTCCTTTTCCTCGTTTTTATTGGGCTTTGGGAACGGTGCCAGCGGAGAAGAAATGGGCAATTGTAAATCGCCGCCCAGTTCAGAAGGCAGGAAGGAACGGTCGATGTGCTTGGGAATGGCTTCCAGGGCAGATTCGGAAGTGATTACGATCTTCTCCTTGTAGTCATTTGGCAAGAACGGAGAGCACGCTTGATGAAGAACGTTCACAAACGATGGAGCATTCACGATGATAATCTTCTGAAGCAGCTGCGGATAGTGGTCGAACAGCGTGCCCCACATGATGCGGTACGGTCCAGTGAGCACGGAAATGAGTTTGGGACTGAAGGAGAGTCCCTCCAGGTCCATTATGAAAAGCCCTCCACTCTGCCGGCCAGTCTTCCTTTCCGCGGCCACCACTTTTTGATGGACACTCTCCATCATCTTCAGTTTGATTTGCATGAATTTGTGCATCTGACAGACACACCACCGGGGATTGGAGGAACGAATCAAAACGCCTTTCTTACCAGAACATTATCCACCAGCCCACTAATGTCAATCTTTCCGGTTTTCTCGAACATGAACACCTTGTTGTCATCGAGTTGATTCTGTCCGATCACATCAATCGGAACGTACTTTGCCAGTTCATCCTCTTCCAACTCGGCTTTCTCCACAAACGAGTTCAAATCGATAGTCTTGCGAATGTTTAGATGACGTTTGAGAGCCTAAAAACAAAAATATTTCGACCACGGCAGGACTCGAACCTGCAATCCCCAGATCCGAAGTCTGGTGCCTTATCCATTAGGCCACGCGGCCACGTTTTGAATCGAGGTCGTTTACTCACCACCACCCTCGTCTATATGTACCTAACTGGACTGCGCTAACTAACCTTGGCCGCCTCTTTTTCGTCGTTTCCGTAGGCCACCAGCCATCTGTAGACGTTGAGTTCGTGAGCACAGTAGTCGTCGTCGCGCGCGTCAATCGAGTCAATTATACGGAGAATAGCCTCCTTTTCTGCCGAATTTGGCGACATTTCCAGAAAGAAGTTCAAGTGCAAAGTGAATTCGACACAGTCTTCGGAGGATCAGATTAGATCTCCCGCGGGCCCAGATCGTAGAGATGTAGGATCCAGATAGAATGAACACCTCGTCCTACCGGAATTCTGGCCTTTTTCTCTCCAAATTTGATGCGTTGGAGCTGATTTGCATATCGATTGTGTCGAAAACTCCCCGCGGACGTCAATGATGGATTTATCTGAAGGGTTCAACGAGCCCAGTGCATAAGTGCAATCTCATAGCTTTCCCCTCTTTATTGCTCCAACATTTGGTCGACTTCACAGATGCCTTCTATTCTCTCTCCATCACCCAATAAACTATAAAATGTGGATGAAACTGGTGTGAAATAGAGAGAAGAGATTGTTCTTTTGCAACCAAGTGCAGTTTGGAAGACGCAGACTGCCAGACGCAGCATGTCCATCCGCACAGAGGACAGGGCCGGTTACGATATTTGCGCCCATCCGCCGCTCTTTCCCCCCCACGGCCCGACGCGGTTTCTCTTCTTCTCTCACCTGCGTCTCTTTTCCGTCTTTTCTCTCTTTTTGAGTACTCTTCCTTTTCTCTTTTGCGTGTGTTGCATGCATATTCCGAACAGTTTGTAAGCATTCGTAAAGTTGTTCCATTCTTCACTTTTTGAATTGCCGCATGGAAGTTGAGTTATTTCTGCAATTTCACGTCGTTTCATGGGCGGGAAGTTGCGTACACGGCAGTTGATTTTTTGAAATTAGAAAGTGCCGCCAAATTCTTTTCCCTTTTTTCTCCACTTGAAATTGGAGGTTTTCAATCAACAACGGTTGTTTTTGTTATTTTGTTTTACTAATTTGATTTTAGAAGTAGTTTTGCTACAAATTTCCGTAATTGCCGCCCGAATATCCAGAAGAAGCATGCTCGCATTATTTTTTAAAGCGTCAGCTTGCAAGATGCCAACGTTCTGATCCCGATGTCCATTCCTTCCGGCCGCGGGTGAAATATAATCCGTCGATTGCAATTAGTGTGACATTTGGCACACCAGCCGTCGGCATTATCATAGAAATTCGGGCGGAGACGAAGGGTGCCGTCCGTCCTTCTTGCTTCGTTCCGTTCGTCCGTTCTCTGGCGTTTCCCCTCCTTGCCTACTATTTCGAACCCTCCGTCACTCCAACAACACATACATATAGCAGCACATTTCAATTGCATTGGTCATCGGAGGAGGCTTGGACGGGGACGAAAGGCCCGGGCGAGCGCTCTCTCTGCGGTCTCTTCACGGCCTCCCACTCTCCCCAATTAGCCTCTTTAAATCTTCAGTCGACTGATCTTTCTTCCCGTCGAAGCACACACTCTAGTACTTGAGACCATTTATGTTTTTTGAAACCACCATTATCGCTTTCGTAATTCTCATAACTGGAACACATCCTCTTTCGCAATGCCTCCCCTTTTTTCTGTGACTCCAAATAATTCCTTGTATGGGTGTGTCTGCCAGCGGAAGTAATAGGAATAGACTATGCTGCACATACCCGCAATAATAGACTGATAACCCGATCGTTTTATTTACAATGTATTCCTACTTTTTCGGAATTCCAAACGTCTAGAGGTCACAGCTGCTACCCGTTGAGTGCATTGCTCAGTTTGTTCCGGTCAATAGCCCATTTATGAGTAATAAACGAGGGCGTAAGAGCCACTAGGAAATGCGCTGAGCCAAAACGGGAATGTATCACAAATCTCACATTTCTTTTATAATATATGGTCACATCCAAAAACGCGTCGCGCAATTTGTGTGGATTTTGGAAAGCTCATTTGCCCATTGCTGCTCGAGCCGAGACCACTTCTTCCCTTAATTTGGCTCTCCAAAAATGCTCGTCGTTTGTCTGTCACTCAGCGAAACGACGACGGAAAAAGAAGACAATTGGTGCCCCCTGACACGGACGATCCGTCCGTTCGCACCCTTTTTCGTAAGATTAAGTGTTTTTGTCCTTGATTCGCCGTGTTATTTATCTCTTTCTCCCGATCTTTTCACTCAGACCCTGCCATTTATAAAAACGGAGGAAAGGCTCAGATTGAGAGACGCCCTGAAGATGTATTTCGCAAGAAGTTCTTCCTCCGCACCCTGACTCATTTCCTTTTCGGACGCCTTCTTGCGGTCACTTTTGGCCCAGACAGGCGTCGTCAATCTTCTTCTCGACTGTCCGATCGATACACTCAAACAGAGACGGTCGTGTGAGTTGCTTATCGTTTCTCGGGCGCCGTCTCCCCCCATTCCGACAAGTGTTTTGTTTCGATGCGATCGGTCTCGCCTTCCTCCCCCTCTTTCCGCGCCCATCCGCGTCCTACCGGTTTGGTTCAGTTCACACGCGCCCACCACGAGCTCTTGGTTTTTTTCCTAAGATCTAGCCTATTTTCCGTTTTCTAGCTTGTTAATCGGCAGACGACTAGTGAAATGAGACGAAAACACGCGAGTAAAACATTCGCTCGGTCAGTCGGCGGTTTTATCGTTTTTACGGAGGACCCGATGGCTCGCAAACAAGTTGTAGCGTGCTTCTTCTCATGTTGGGATTAGGCGGCCGTCACCAGAACCCTCCGCAGCTTCTCCAAAGCTTCTTTGCTTCTTTTCTTTTTTTTTGTTACTATATTCTATTTTAAAGTCAGCGTCAAGCTCAGGCGTTAAATGGGGCAGAAGTTGCTGCCAGCGGTGGGCTTCTCGACAATTTTCAGTCAGACAAGGTTGTTTTTATTCCGTTTGTTTTTCTGTGATGTCTCCTAGGAGTCCCTTTCTCTAAATTGTGGCCTCAAAAGTCGTCAGCTACTAGCTATTTCCTCTCCGTCCCCTCGCCGCTCGTTTCCTCGGAACGCGACAAGAAGTGCCTCTGCGGAGTTGTCCGCATTCAAAATTGCATTATCAGGGTTGAAATCGCAGTGAATTCTCGGCGCTCAATCCATGTCGCTGCCACCGAAATGAGCGATGTGTATGAAACGAAAGGGAACGGCATAAGCTGACTACTCAGCGGGCACCCACTAACCCTCTTGAAATATCGCCTCATTTCACGTCTTTCCTTGGTCCGTCATCACCGACTTTACGTTTCTCCCCTCAATTTCTACCTTTGCATGTGTTGTCACACTCGTGGTAGTGGCGGCAGAACAAAAAACAAAGGAGAAGACCGCAAATCATAATAAATGCAAAGCGGTGGACATCGCCTTCCCGCTTCCACTCAATATTAAATGTCAGTCGGATGGAATGCTAGACCGGGTTTTTACTTTCTCCGCGAATCTCTTGTTTGTTCTCTATTTCTTGCTCTTTTCTGGCTCCTTGTGCAAAAATGGAGTTTCTACTGTTTAACTCCCTTTTTCATCTTTAACCCTTTTGTTCTCGACATCTAATCAACTTTGCGCTTTTCTCGAGACAAATGAAGTCAGATGATAACTCTTGAGTTTCGGTCCACACATTTATGACTTCGATGAGATACATTATGAAAAAAGCGGCAAATTGGAGTTAGGGTCTCCCCCAGTGCAAATATTTGGAGGTGCGAGGACGAATCTTCTTTCCGCCATCAGGCAATCAGTTGGCATTTACTTTGTTTGAGATGAGTTCATGCCGGCCCGGCCGACCTACGGGCAAGTTGGTTATCAAAGATGAGAAAGTTGCGCTCTTTCCACCTTCGCTACGTAGTACGAAAACCCACCAGCCCGGTACAACCATGTTTCCGTTCTTAAGATTACTGTTTCGTTCCAACTCGCATTCCCTTTTATAGAAGTGAAAGGGCAAGTGCTCTGCTTATTTTTTATCTTTCCACCTCCGCATTGTCCGTTTCAAAACCGTGTCTCCCCCATGGCAGGTTTTCCTCCGGGAACTCCCCTTTCGTTCACCTATTCTTGTATTAGTATGATTCAATCAAGATGTTTGTTGTGCGGGAGCCCACAACCCGCCAGGAGAGTATGACTCACTCGCCCTCTCTCTGTCTGCGTTTCTCGCCGTTCACCACTCTTTCCATATCACTTTTCTTACTCATGACCTGCCAGTCGTCCTCGTCCGTTTTTTGTTCTTCCGTCGTTTTTCTTTACACGCCTTTTTACTCACTTCTAGTTCGTTTCAGATATACGTTAACATCGGGTCGGACAGCCGTTTCACAAGACGCAACACTACATTCTAATCATTAACCATGTCAACTGCCAAGAGTTCTAAAGTGAGTTTTTTTTAAATTGAAATAATCTTCTTTCAAATTGGCTCTTTTCAGGTACGAATACGCAATTTCATCGGCCGAATTTTCTCGCCGAGTGAAAAAGAGAAAGACGACGAAATGAAGCCCTCTTCATCAGCGATGGATATCAGTCAACCGTACAATACCGTCCATCGGTAAGTTATCCTTTTGAATTATTCATTTCAGCGCGTTGAGTTTTACAGAGTTCACGTCGGATACGATGGTCAGAAATTCAGCGGACTTCCACAACCATGGATGGATATTCTCCTGCGCGATATCAGGTATTTCGAATCGATTACAGAATGTCCTTGTACGAATCGTCAAAGCTGTTTCAGTCTTGCCGATCAAAAGTCAAATCCGAACGCAGTAGTGACGGCGCTGAAGTTCTATGCGCAGTCGATGAAGGAGAACGAAAAGACAAAGTTCATGACGACGAATAGTGTGTTCACGAACAGCGACGATGACGACGTCGACGTGCAATTAACCGGACAAGTCACAGAGCATCTCAGGAAGTTGCGGTGCAGTAATGGTTAGTTTTTGAGAATTGAATTAATAAAGAACAAGCTAATTTGTGTTTAGGATCCGCAGCTTCTCCCTCCCCGACGACATCAGTGACAGCGTCCTCGTCTTCAGCTCGTCCACTGACAAACGGAAACAGCAATTTGTCGATGTCATCAACAGACGCCTCTCTTTCCATTTCGGAACGAAATAACGTTCCGTCACCGGCACCGGTACCGTATAGTGGTGAGTGTAGAACATTTTACAAATATTTCACATGTATCGTTGCAGAAAGTGCTCCACAGTTGAAGACCTTATCCGGAGATGCTCCGAAACTTCACCCGAGGTCACCATTTCCTCAACAGCCGCCAGTGCTGCCACAAAGGAGCAAGAACTCTCTGCCAGTTGCCACCACGTCGTCAAGTCCGGCAACTTCAAATGGAGCTCCAGTTCCCGGAGCACGTGTGCCCCCGAAGGTGCCGCCGAAGCCATCGGTATGTGAAGACTTTCGAGAAAGAATGCACGTTTTCTGGCATCATTCCTCTCTTTCTGAGGCAAACAATAGCAGTTCATTCCGTCGTATGATTGGGTGATAGTGATATGGCCTGGAAAGACAATGTTGCTTCTTCTCCTTCCTTTTCTGCTGCGGAATTTGTGAAGGCGGCGACAGATGATCTTCCCTTTGTGTATCATTTCCTGGGACGTTCGGTTGTGTAACACCATCAAAAATCCACCAATCTGCGCCGTCGTTCATCGTTTCGAGATAATAGTGCGCGAATAGAGCGTCAAAAGACGTTGAAGCCGCGTCGAAAAAACTACGATATATCGGTTTACAGTCAAACGAGATTTTGAGTGAGCGAGTGAAAGGACGACGACAAGCCAATTAATCAATGGCAGTAGTTTTGCTGTTTTTTATCAGTCGATTTTCGAGGTTGATGACGGGACGATTTCGAGGGAGTGACTGGTTTAAAAATGGCAACGCACGCAGCAGGAGGGGAGGACTAAGGTGTTTCTACGTGTGTTTCGACGATGCAAATAGGCTTTCGCCTTGTAGAAACAGAAGGTCTCAGCTTCTGTCATTCATCATTTGCGTGTTCGCTGATTGTATGGTCTTTTGAAGAGGTTTCTCAAATACGGCAAACGTTCTATTCAAGCAAGAAACAACCTTTGAAGCTCGTCTCATTTCCGGTTTTCCGATCAAAAACTTACGCGATCAAAGTCCATAAGGCGCTCCATTTCACCCGTCGACCGCCTCGACTTTACCGCTTTCATTTACCGTTTTCCCAAGATGAACAGATTTACGATTCGTGAATTAGTAGGACAAGTTGTCGAAATCTCAAGGCCAACTCGAAATATATATCTCACATCCTGCTGCTGCTACCTGCCCTATTCTTGTCACCTGGACCTCCTTCCCATTCATCCATTTCGAAATCTGACCTTCCGCCCCTTCAATCTGATCTAGGTTGTCCCTGTATTCATCTTTCTGACGCTTAACGGCATCTGATGCTTCTTCTTCCTTTTTCTTTCCTCATTCCACTCTGCCATCGCTCGTTACCTTCAAAAGTGGCGCAACGGATAGACGGTGTCGCTAATACCAGTCAGTCCGACGAATTATGGTGCGATTTAGACGAATGGGACGTCAGAAAGCTGGTGTTTAGCCATCACTCAAATGAAAGAAACAAGTCAATTGATAGTGTATGTGTGTTTGTATGCATGTACGTGTATCGTGCTGCTTGTAGCACTAGACACAGAATCACAGAGAAGCCTCATAGTCGGCGTCGTCGTCATTGCGAAAGTGAATACATTCGGTGCGCCCGCCGCATTCATTCGCTTTCTCCTCTTCCTCCTACCGAAGAGGGAAAAGCGCGCGGGCGCATCGTCCTGCCCCTCAGTGATATGATTGCCATTCGACAGACGACCCCCTGGCGCGCCGAGGCAACATTGCAAGACCGGTCAGAGGTTTCTTTCTGCATCTGGGCGCCAGGAATAAGGAAGCAGCCTAATCCGTTTCTTGAACACCTTTCGCTCACTCTTTCCGTGTTTGTGTTAGCACTTTCTCTTCGCGCCTAACCCATCTGGTTTTTCCAGTCGCTACCATAGCAATACTCCTGAATGGGAGGCCAGTTGCTCTGCACTATTCCCAATTTCGGAATGGAACCCGTTACGATCGCGCCTATTACTAGAAATTGCCTAAAGAATCAATCACTGGTTTGACCCTAATGACCTTTTCCCCGTCTTCCAGTTCCGCTCAAAAACATAAATGTAGCGACCTTCCTTTGCTTACAGTCGATTGGTCTAAAGTATTTGTTTTGCATAAAGTTTGACGCCTCATTTGGTGTAAGTAGACTTTTGACCCAGCATTTCTTGTCCCATTGCTTCTTCTTCTCCCTTTTCTTTTGCCTTAATCGTTTGTTCCGAACGGCTGGTGCTTCGGTATCTGCGATGAATCCGGCCCTCGTGTCTCCTCATCCCGCCAACCACTGGTGTAATTATACAAGCACTTGTAATCGGCTAATTGGTTCTCTGAGGCTGTACATACATGCCTCATGACACTGGGTGTTTTGTCGGCTTCTGATACCTTTGGCACGCCGAAAAGCTAAAAGACCAACAAATAGCATAGTCCGATTTGAGACTGTTTTCCTCGCTTTTCTTCTTCCTTCTCACTTCCGTTCTTCCCGTGCTGACAACCACGGCCGGACCGATTCATATAATCGGAGAATGACGGTCATAAAAATAATTGAAAAGGTCAGCAACAGTATCAGAATCCAAGTTTTATCCCGCAAGTGGTTATTCTCTCTGCCGCCTGCCGCTTTCGTTCATCGCGCCTTTCCCGTCAGAAGATCATCTGTTTCTTAGGCTATATCAAGTTCTCTCCGCTTTCTCTGTATTCTCTTCTCATTCCTTTTTTCATCGCCCACCTTCCGTAATAACCACACCCTTGATACTGTTTCATTTTTGCTCCTCTCCTTCTCTTCTCGTCTCCGTGAAATGCAATCGCTCGTCCGTACCTAATTTCTTCGTATACAATGCAGTTCAGTCATTCCTTACAGTAGCTAAACAGCAACCTAAATTCGATCACTCTGGACACAGCTGTCCCTCGTTTTTCTCCCATCTGGAGGCACCCCGTATTGCAAATTTTGAAATGTTTCAAAATAGTCCGATGATGTATGACTGGTGGAACGACTCGAAGCCAAAACAGCCGTCTTTGAGCGTTCTATCGCCGTGGGGAGCCTACTTCAATCACATTGGAAATGAACTGCTGGTTTGCCTTGAAAACAGAGACTATTGAGTGGGTTACTGTAGATATGCCATCGCGCGCTTCTACAGTAATTCAAGCACGTCCAAACTGCTTTGTCTAAATTTCCAATTTCCTCTTAAATGTGCATGTCTGTCTGTCTTCAGCACCTCAAAATCGCCTCGTCGACGGTGTCCTCCGGATGCTCGTCCCCACTGCATCATTCGTCGGCTCGCTCCGTCGGCAACTCGCTCTCCAACGGAAGCGTCGTCTCGACGACCTCATCTGATGCCGACGTGCAGTTGTCCAACGTAAGTGCGCCCGTCTGTGCTATCTCCTATCCTTTCGTCGAGTATCAATATTTTACTGATTGCATGAAAGTGAACGAAATGTATTCTCCATTCACATGTGCCAATTTTCAGAAAGAAAACTCGAACGATAAAGCAGTCGGTGACAAGAACGGCAATGATACGACTGACAAAACGGTCGCAGAACCAGCAGTTCCTGAAGAGCCGCCAGTCAGAGTGAGAGCTACTCACCGCGAAAAGCTCTCCGACTCGGAGGTTCTTGATCAGCTTCGCGAGATAGTCAATCCGTGCAATCCACTTGGAAAGTACGAAATGAAGAAGCAGATCGGAGTCGGCGCTTCTGGAACTGTCTTTGTCGCAAACGTTGCCGGCACAAGCGAAGTGGTGGCTGTGAAGCGAATGGCATTCAAGACGCAGCCAAAGAAAGAGATGCTGCTCACCGAGATCAAAGTTATGAAGCAGTACCGACACCCAAATCTTGTCAACTACATTGAATCGTATCTCGTGGATGCTGACGATCTGTGGGTAGTGATGGACTACCTAGAGGGAGGAAATCTGACCGATGTTGTTGTGAAAACCGAGTTAGACGAGGGACAAATTGCCGCCGTGCTTCAAGAATGCCTCAAGGCACTTCACTTCCTTCACAGGTTTGTGTTCTGTTTATTTGTGGTTTCGCCGTTTCGTCAGAACCTGAGAGGGAAAACAGAAAGTGCAAGCTGTTCTGATAATCAAATGATCGCATTATCACGTCTGTTTTCGCCATTAGCCGCAAAAATGACGCGGAAGCCCAATAATGGTCACTGTTCAACTTGCAGGCATTCGATAGTGCATCGAGACATCAAAAGTGACAATGTGCTGCTCGGAATGAACGGGGAAGTGAAGCTGACCGACATGGGCTTCTGTGCCCAGATCCAGCCAGGGTCAAAGAGGTAATGAACACAAAAACAGTTGGAAGTGTACCGAATGAGATAGTTGCAGAGATACTGTTGTCGGAACGCCGTACTGGATGTCTCCGGAGATACTGAATAAGAAGCAGTACAACTACAAAGTGGACATTTGGTCGCTCGGAATCATGGCTCTCGAAATGATTGACGGAGAACCGCCATATTTGAGAGAGACGCCGTTGAAGGTAAGCGGATACAAGAAATTTGAATACGTTTGTATTTGGATTACAGGCCATCTACCTGATTGCTCAAAACGGGAAGCCGGAAATCAAGAGGCGAGATCAGTTGTCTGCCGATTTCAACAACTTCCTCGACAGGTGTCTTGTCGTCGATCCAGATGACAGGTTCGCCAATCTTATTCTGACTTTACCCAATTCTACATTGTTTTAGAGCCGACACGACAGAGCTGCTGAATCATGCGTTCTTGAAGAAGGCGAAGCCGCTTTCCAGTCTCATTCCATACATTCGAGCTGTCAAGGAAAAGTAGCCGTCAGCTCGGCGACGTTCCCTTCCGCCCATCTATATGTATATTTGCCACCGCTCTTCTTGTTCGGCGTCTCCCATCCAATCCCTTCGCTCCCCATTCTTTCCCAGTGAATTATTCGATAGAGTTTTATAAAGAAACAATTCCCTGAATTTATGCTCATAATGGCTCGTTTTTTGAGTTCCAATTGTTCGCCGTCGTGTTGATGACATACGTGTTTTGCTTTCAGTTCCCACTCCACACACACATTACCCTTCCCCAAAGAATTAATCGTTTTCATTATTAATCCCACACAGTTTTCTCGCCCCGTTCCCATTTCCCCGCAGTTTCCTTTCATCTGTTCCATTTTTGATACCAATATTTGGTAGTTTTATTGACATTACGCCACGTACTCATTCTGGGTGTACTAATTATGGATTCGGAGCGCATACCAAATCCACAATTCGTCGATTCGGCGCTAATCACCTCTCATCCACAGAGGTACATCGTTTTATATGTTTTACCACACATACCCACTTCTATCGCGTTTTTCTTCAATATTTTATTGTATGCGAATTTCTTGTGAATTTTGCGCGAAAATTGTGGCGAAAACATTATAATTGTCCCTTTTCTCTCTCCCATCCCTCTCAAACCACAACCACCCGTTTTCTCTTTTCCTTTTTAGCTAGAATTTTCTTGTTGCATTTCTCTATAATATACAAGTGAACCAAATACGAATGTTCAATGTTAATATCCACGCCCTTTCACCAGTTCCAACCTATAAAACTGTAGCATTGAGTTGTATGTGTATGCGTGTGCAAAATGAGGCGGCTTCCAGAAGAGCGAGCTTGTGAGAAAAATTAGCAGAGCTGCTCAACAAAAGCGCTCGATCTTTGTGGAATATCTCCTCGCCTCAAATGACAATCAATGGATGAGCATAGAATCAACTTTTCAGAATTAGAGAATTCGACTTCTGCAGCAGGTGAATTCGGAACGAGAATTGGCCAGAATACCTGTTTTGGAGGGGCTCGGAGACTCGTCGTGCTCTCTCCGTCTCTCTTTCTCTTTCCTCTCTTTTCAACATTTCGATTTGGTTCTGCCAGGCAGCAGCAGAGATGCGAAACGACGACGTCGCGGGAGGAGAGGCAGGGGCGGGCGGCCGTTTTGTATTATAAATATATCGGCCATTCACTCTCCCTCCCTCTCTCTCCTCAGTTTCCCCCCATTCAATTTCCCTTCTTTTTCGTTCCCCGTTTTCATAAATAATCCATACTTATTTCACACGAATGCCGGCCGTCTTTCGAATGCAAACACTGAGTGAGCTCCGCCCGTATTGCTCGCGAACTCTTTTCAGTCTAATTGGCTGTGTTGCTCGCGAGAGACACAGAAAAGGCGGCTAATGAGCTCTGTGAACTCTTGGCTTTCCGGCCGACCGGGTCCATTCAGGTGCAAGCTCTTTCCCACGTCGTCCGCCCAAAAACCTTCTAATTCGTCGTATTCCCTCCGGAAACCGCTCCAATTTCCTTTCTTTCTGTTTCCCGGCCAAGAAGCCATCCATGTCAAACAGAATCGCCTCCCGTCTCGGCGCCCGTTTTTGCTCATTTCGTCGCTCTAATCCACTTCAAATTGAATGTCACCTTTTCGATTTGACTCCGTCTCTTCTCCCCGCACACTCTCTTTCTCTCTCGCAATTAATCCCGACGAGACGTATTTGCGAAGACACGGAGCTTTAGGAGGGCTTCCAAAAATCCTGCGCTTATAGTCAATCAGAACGAATTGTCTCTCTTTCTCATCCTCTTTTTTCACCTCTTTTCAGTCCCGCCATAATCGGCTTTTCGCGGCTTGAGGAGCTCTTCGCCTGCCATGGAAAAATCGCAGAATTCGGTAAGCTTTCGAATAGAACTTCAAAGATCCACAGCCTTGTTCAGATGAGCTTTTCGCAGGAAGGAGGAAGCAATCTGAGCGAGAGAGTGCTTCTGAATGTCGGAGGAAAGAAGTTCGAAACGACGGTGGCCACGTTAACCAGAATTCCGGATACGGTAGAGAGTACGGTAGCCGTTGTTGCCTAGAATTCGGTTGCAGGTGCTTGCTGTGATGGTGAGCGATCGTTGGAAGACTGGGGATGAAATCTTTATCGACCGAGATCCGAAGCACTTCGGAAAAGTTCTCAATTACCTAAGGGATGGGGATCACTTTGTGGTTCCTGCTGACACGGAAGCATGCGACGAATTGAAGAGAGAGGCTCACGTGGGTCATCTGAGAACCTTCAGCTGATGTGAAACCGAAAGTAATTTCAGTTCTACAACATGCCGTTCCTGGCCGAATTGTGTCTTCCGATGAATGTTGACGTGGCTGACATCGTCCAATGGAAACGGGACGCCATCGAGATCTACTGGCGTCCGTTTGTCCGTTACATGGTCGACGACTCCCTTTCTCTTCCCTTTATCTATGATAGGTAAGCACTCTCCACACTCTACACACTTTGCCTTTTCTCCTTTTTCAGAAACAATCACACGCTCGCCAGGTGCATCGCGTGCGAAGAGTTCCAGGATCCAAAGTGCTCGTACCTTTTCGACATCAACTACCAGGCGTGGGAACCAATGAGACACCACATGTACAACATGACGGGAGAAGTCACGCAGGTATTCAAGTAGAGCGGATAAAAAAGGGATTGACTGGCGGATTAGGTGACGTAGAAAAATGGGCAAAAAGTAGGCAAAACACGGAAGAGACGGCAATGCAAGCAATAAATATTTGATTGGTTCGTGGAATAAACAATGCGATTACCGAGCGAAGTTTCAGTTGATGGGCGAGAACTGCTGCATCGTCTCGTGGGACAACGGACAGCAGATCCATCTGCCCAAGTCCGCTCTGATCAAAGTGCCCGGAATGCAACACCAGGGATGATGACGTTCGAGGAAAACTGTAGATGTGAACATGTTTTGAACGCTGATAAATGATTATATTTGTGTGAACAACATCAGGACGCTAGATTTGAGCCAAGAGCTCCGCCTCTTTTGGTTTCATCAGTTGATAAAAGTCACCGGAAACGTGAACCATTCGTAAACTTTTTCCTCTCTCACACTCTCTCTTTCCCCTCGTTTATTGCGAGTTGCTTGCCGGAATTGGTAACGAAATGGAAGACGGAAATTCAGACGAATCCAAGATAGTCAGTCAGATGTCCGACTCAGCAACGATGGAAAACGTCGAGAGAAAGATGGTAAGACACATTTCGCGACAATTGGATCAATTCCGATCTTAGCTTCTTCTGAAAATTGCGGAGAACGAAAGATCGCGTTTCGATGACGTCATCACCGGCGCCGAATCGGATAACGGCTGGGAGGACTGCTGGAAAGAGACGGAGAACAGCGTGACGCAGACTGTCGACGATCTCGACACAAAGAGAAGCGTGCCGTCCGAATGGCTCGACGAGCAGCAGACGACCGTCACGATGTCGTCGGCGACGTTCAACGAGAACGAGCTCTCGGCTCCGCGCAGTTACTACGAACTGCGGGACCTGAACCGGGAGCCCGTGGAGAGCACCGTCCGTCTGGCGCGTGTGCCGTCGCAGTACCAACTGGACGCGCTCTCCGAAATGTTCATTTTTGACGTGCCACAACACTACGCGTAAGACATGAATTTAAGGTGATTCAAGAAGAAAGTATATTCCAGAATCACGAAAGTGACAAACTGTCAGCCAGCGAGCATCAACGTCGTCTCGATGGACCAGGACCGTCCGATCGTGAACGACGGCTCCACTCCGTACTTTGTAAACTCGGAGTACGTCTCCGAACTGCTCATGTGAGCGAGAATCTCATCTGCCAACCGAATGAATAAAAATTTGCTCTTCATTGTTTCTGTTAATGCTTTCTCATGTTTCCGCTGTTGCTCTCCTTCCCTCCCACTCGTTTTTCTTCTCTCTGTCTTTTCTCTCAGCACGTCCGTCACCTGTTATTGATGCATTGATCTTTGAGAAGCTCGCCAAGTTCTCCCACTCACTCTCTCGTTACATATGTTCGATTCATAAACTTCTTCTCATCCGGCCACAAACCCTTCCAAGCTTCCAGATAATGGTGCTTGCTCCGTTCTTCGAAAAGGCTCCTTCCTTGATCATTTCCCCGAATGGATCTGTGCTGTTCGAGTGCATTTGCAATGCCAATCCACAGCCAACTATCAAATGGTAACTGGGAAGATTCATCGAAAAAGATATACATGACGGGAGAAAATTCAGGTTTTTGAAGGACAAAGAGTTGACCGGAGACCGTTATGTTTCAAAGATCAAGAAGATGGTTGGAAAGTTCACTGTCACGTTGCACATCAAGGTGAGCATGGGTACAGAATTGAAATGTCAGCTGAGAAGAAATTATTTGCAGAATCCGACTCAAGAGGATCAAGGAGTCTACAAAGTGACGGCGACGAACACGCACGGATCGCATTCCGTCGAGCAGCAGTACATCTACAAGTGCACCGGAAAAGAGGTCTTCAAGACTCTCGATTGAGTGCATCGCAACTAGAATCTCTTTCGTTTCTTTTTGGTTTTTAAACAGATGAAGTTTGACGTTTGACTGATATCATTTGGAGATGAAAACGTGGTGATCACGAGATGATAGGTAATGGAATCGAACCGAATCAGAAAGTACGAGAGACAACGATCTGACAGATCTTAAGCAAGAATTCGAGGTGAAATGAGAAAAGCATGTTAGATGTGATAGTGCAAGAGAATTATACAGCTCGGAGGAAAGTTCAGCGAATGGTCGAAGTGTAAAGCAATTGGCTTCCGGAAAACGGACTCGTTTACGATGTGTCTCCAGTCTCTCCGAGGGCCGTAGACCTTCCTCATAACACTCGAATCGTCGTCTTTCCGTACAGTAACGACTTCATCTGGCTGATAGCAGAAAGAGTGGGAAGGGGAGAAAACGACGTGTCCGACGGGCAACTGATCCTTCTCCAGTCGTCCCGAACCGAAGAACCGAAACCGTTCTTTCTGAGCGTCTAAGTCTCCCGACATCTCGCATTCTTTGATTTATGCCCGTGTTGCGCAAATCTCGTCTGCCACGCCAAAAAGAAGACAAGTCCCTCCCTGATGTCGAACCATTCCAATCAGTTGATCACTTCCGATTGTCAATGTCTCGAGCAACCCTTTCTTGTTTTCCACTGAAGCTTCTAAAGAGGGTACAAAATTGTTTGTGAGCATATGCTTGAAGGTTTCGCTACCAAAACGGTTTCGTACTATTTCGTATCTAGTATCTCCTTTCTGTGTCGAGTAACTTTAAGTATTTGCCCAATCACCTAGATAATTTTCTCCGTCACACGACGTCAATTGTCTAAGTCAGCGTGTTTTGATCTAACGTCTTCGACGTCATCGACACGGTATGACCTATTTTAACGAGTTCCAACATCGATTCCCGTGTGCACTCAACTCACACTATTACTGTAAATCATTTTGTTTTTGATAACAGCCCCGTCCCGCATGCCTTAATAATAATCGGGCACAAGACAATTCTCCCCTCTTGTCGGAGGTGTAATTAACAAGGGAAATCTCGATGAAAAGTGCGACGACTTCATCTGATTCTGGCCCTATCACACAATCTCAATCACGCAACCAATTGATACGCGGGCGTCTGCAGAACGACTCCGTGCCCTTCGTGACTGTCTGCTTGGATCCAGTTGGATACGCGTATGACCTCCGAAACCAGCTTCTCGAAGGGGCAACCTCAAGGTCTGCGAACGAAGTAGCGGTAGAAGACGGAGAGGAAGAGGGACGTGTCATCTGAAGCTGTAATACTTCTTCTTCTTCTTCTTCTGCTGCTTCTTCTTCTTCTTTTCGTTTTGCCGTCGTTCGATTCCCGATGCGCCCTCCGCCAAACCCGTTTCGCACCTTTTCGCCTCTCTTTTTGGAGTTTCGTTGATGATGTTTGTCAGCAGATATGACAAGATATTAGATCAGAGAAACGACGATTCATATTCAGAAATCCATCGCTTCATCGTCTGATTCTTTTCTTCTTTTCCCTCTCCCTCCTCCGCCCTTTGCCCTTCCGACTCTTGACATCTTCTCGAAAAAGACACCAGTTCTCTCCTCTTTTGTTAGTTTTCGTTCTTTCTCATTCATTCCATCTCATTTCTATTACTTTGTGTTTGTTGCTTGTTAACTCGTTCGTTCGTTGACCACAATAACATCTGGATTGGGCGGCGTTGGAAGATGGAAAGGGCACAACCACAAAATAGAGTATTTAAGGGTACTGGCCTAAACAAGCGGCGCGAGAAGAGCGAGACGGCCAGTTGCAGATGACGACGAGGATGACGACGATGGCGGAGAAGAAGAAGAGAGAGCCGATGAAGTCTCCGATCGAGGATACGGTAGAGAGAATGCTCCGGAGTGAGTCCTCCTTTCTCCAGAATCATCCGATCATTGTTCATTTTCAGTCCGATGGCTTGTTTGCCTCGGAGCACTTCTCCCCGGCGCTGGATGCTATTTCGTGGTGTCCTACACTTACATTTTCCAGTTTGAGAAAGTTTCCAACTTCTCCGAATGCAAAGAGTGTCCCAATTTGAACATGTGAGTGCTTTTGACATGTTTGACTTCATTTATTCTTTTTTTAGTACCTTACCACCGGTCTCCTACTCGATCGGTATTTGGGAGCCTCAAAAGTATATTTGGATGATGATCATGTTCATTCATCTCCCGCCAAGACTCACTTTCCTCACGGTATTCATGGTTTCACTTGCAGGTCACTTTACATCTGAACTTTCCAGCTCTACCGTCGATTGTTCCTCAATTCTGCTCCAAAATCGGAATGGTATCGAAGGATAAACTACATCTACATGCTCACTTTGTGGGCAGAACCGTTCGGACTCATTCTGGTGTCTGTGGTCGATATCAACGGAGGATTCAGTGAGTTCGCCCGCCTAAAACCTTCTGTTCCAATCCTATTTCAGTGTTGCACGCCATCGGATTCGCTATCTGGATCATTTGCTTCAACTTCAACATGCTTTTCAACATCCTTCTCCATCACTTCGGAGGATGTCGTGACGTTCATGATCGGGTAACCTTTGAGAAACCCTCGAGATCCGTTGAAGATACGCTTTCAGATGGAAACGACGTGGCGGATCAAGTGTGTCATCTTCTTGGTCGGATACTTTTGTGCCATCTCAACACCAATAACTTACCCCTATTTCATGGCGCATTGCTCTCCACATGGTTCGTGATCCCTTCCGTTCCTTCAGTTAAAGCTCCTCTCTTTTCTACAGCCTACAACCTATTCTCCCTAGCTGAGCTCATCGAAGTCGGTTGCAACTCCCTGTTCTATGCCATCGCCTACTTTGAATTCCCCAAGACTCGGATCACAATCGGCATCAAAAGTGTGCAGAAGAACCTCGACGAACTCGACAAGAAAGTGCTCCGAATGGCTCCCGCCCTCCTCATAAACCGGTCGTCTGACCTCCTCTCTCCGTCACCTCTTCCTTCTGAAACGGGTTATTTCAGCTCCTTTTCATCATTCGAATCCCATGTGTTTGTACATAGAGTTTTACCGTATTACGAATGAAAACGTGTAACTTTGTGACACCCAGTCTACGAATAAAGATAAAAGATAAGAGAATCCGACGTGAAACAGTCTTTGAAAGGTTTTCGGTTCATTTCGAGAGGACCGGGACACGAAGAATGGCGCCGACCGTAGCTTGTGAGTTCAAGTAATTCTGGAAGAAAAATCATGAGCAGTGTCAGATTTTTAGACCACTTTAAGCAGGTTCCAAATGGTTCAGAATGCTTTCCATTTCCTGAATTCCAGTTAATTTCCTTTTTCAGTTGCCGGAAACGATCAAACCAACTTCGGACAGCGTGAGTTCAATGTGATTCCAATTGAAGTTCCGACCATATTCTTGCAGATGTCATCACGAGTCAAGTTCAAGAAACCGTGCACATCTTCATGGCACTCATAGTCATCATGATTCTCATTTTTCTGGCTGTTCATGTAAGAGAAGAGCAAGTTCAGTCGTAGGACAGTATTAGCTTACAGTTGTTCATTCGATTTCACTACAAGGCCAAGACGGAATACGCTCTCAATGAGCTCAAGGAGAAATTCGAGAAGAACATGAAGGACCGTCTCCGTACGCGCTGCCGAAAGATACGAAGAAAACGAAGGAGACGGGAGTGAAGCCCGTCGAAGTGGTTCTAGAACCGGAGCAGCTCGCGCCGATCATGCACCATGTGGCTCTCGCGGCGCCCGGAAAGATCGAGGAACCCAACAAGAACGTCTACTACAAATCAAATCCCTGAATCCATCACCTTTTTTTCCTTTTTCCCTCCATTTTCTGTTATCACTTTCAAGTAACTGATAAATCGTTTCTGCTCTTTCTCTTTCTCTCTCGAGTTCAAAGGGCTCAACCACGTGCGTGCGGGACAACATGAATGTTCGCAAACTGATCAATGCTGTTTGTTTCTCGGTCTCCGTCTCTCCCCTCTCCCTCCTTTTTCTCTCTTTCTATTTCTCCGTCGCCTGGTATATAAACGTGACAGGCATTGTTGGCAAACCTTCTTATTGTTATTGAGACCACGTTTATTGAGATTATTGTTTTGCTTTTGTCCCCAAGACATTTCAGCAGTCCAATTCCAGAATGAGTGCTTCCTTGGCACGTGGAATGCTCCACAAGATGGGCGGTCACTGCTGTCCGCACCATGCTCCGGCGACCAGTCCGTTCAAGTTGGCCAAACTCCACGGAAACAACAGTAAGTATATTTTTGGTTCTTTTCGTTATTGAGACGTCTAGAGGCTTGAGAATAAAGCTAGAACTTCTTTAAAGGGATGTCTCTTTTCACAGTTTTTGGTTACCGTAACCTGGCAGTACTTAAAAGTGTTGTAATTTGTAGATTTGCTATTCCAGAGTCTACGGAGTATGCATTCGAGATGGTGTGCTCAACTCTTCGTTTCGGAAAAGGAGTCACTCTGGAGGTGATCGACCAGACATCAACAATTGTCATTTGAACATTTTCATTGCAGATCGGATACGACGTCCGCAATCTCGGAGCGAAGAAAACTTTGCTGATCACTGATAAGAATGTACAGAACACCATCGCTTTTAAGTTAGAACTGTTTGTTCGGCATCTCCAACCCATTCTGTTTGTTTCAGGAATGCAGAGCAAGCACTGAAGAATGTGGACATCGAGTACGAAGTGTTTGATGATGTTCTCATTGAGCCGACTGACAAGAGCATGCAGAAAGCGATCGAATTCGCCAAATCGAAGAACTTTGACAGTTTCATCGCAGTCGGAGGAGGATCAGTCATCGATACGACGAAGGCAGCCGCCCTTTACGCCTCCAACCCGGACGCTGATTTCCTTGATTTTGTCGGTCCGCCGTTCGGAAAGTCTCTCCAGCCGAAGAACCCGATGCTTCCTCTGATCGCAGTGCCAACCACCGCCGGAACTGGATCGGAGACCACTGCCGCTTCCATCATGGATCTGCCCGAGCACAAGTGCAAAACAGGGATTCGCCTTCGTTGCATCAAGCCCTACTTGGCCATCGTTGACCCTCTGAACGTGATGAGCATGCCTCGCAACGTGGCTATTTACTCCGGCTTCGATGTGCTTTGTCACGCCCTTGAGAGTTACACCGCCCTTCCGTTCGACCAGAGATCTCCCCGTCCACTTCGTCCGGAAGTGCGCCCGGTTTACCAGGGATCCAACCCGATCAGTGACGTTTGGAGTAGAGAAGCTCTCAGAGTAAGACTAAACCCGAACTGTATTCAAACTGAATTCACCGTATTGTAGATCATCGGCAAGTACTTCCGTCGTTCCATTTTCGATCCGTCCGATGAAGAAGCTCGTACCGAGATGCTCAAAGCCAGCTCGTTCGCTGGAATCGGATTCGGAAACGCCGGAGTGCACTTGTGCCACGGACTGTCGTATCCGATCAGTTCGCAAGCGAAAAAGTGCGTCGCCGACGACTATCCGCAGACAAAGAAGCTGATTCCGCACGGACTGTCCGTGATGACAACTGCAGTCGCCGACTTTGAATTCACGACCGCCGCCTGTCCGGATCGACATTTGACGGCTGCTCAGACACTTGGAGCTGACATTCCAGTGAGAAGCCGTTGGAGTAACGAAAACAACGTCATTTTCAGAATCACGCTGACAACGAGTACATCTCGCGAACTCTCTGCGATCAATTGAGAGGATATATGAAGGATTTCGGAGTGCCGAACGGACTGAAAGGAATGGGATTCGAATTCTCCGATATTGGTGAGTGGCCTAGAATACTTTGGATTAATATCAATCACCCTCATTGCAGACACTTTGACTGAGGCCGCCAGCCATTCCGTTCCGAACATTGCCATCGCTCCCAAATCCACGGACCGTGACATCATCAGCAAACTCTACGAAAAGTCCCTGACCGTCTACTGATCACCTCCTCCCTGCCCTTCCCTTTCCTTCTCTGGTCCCCTACTATCCACACACTTTTTGTTCCATTCTTTCGTTTCCAATTGTATGTTTTGAATGAATAGAGAAACAAAACCGGGGCGCGCGGACAGGTGCCACAGTTTGAATTTGCCCCCAAGGAACCTATAAACGGAGAGAAGAAAAGGCGGCTGTGGCGGCTTACTGTACTAATTAGGACTGGGGACGGATGAAACATTAGGGCCCCCGACACGCAAACATTCCCTTTGAGGCGCCCGTCTTCTCACAACAATTTAGAGACGAAGTCGAGACGAAAGCTGCACGAATAACCTTGGCCAATTAGCCCAATCACAACATTATTCAAAATTTGTCTGAAGGCCAGATGACGATGCAATAACAACGTTTTGTGGGCGGCTGTCGGATCTTTATTTCAGAAAACGCATGGAGAACAAAGAGTTTGTACATGTAAATAGGTCATCAGAAGTAGGTGGTTGAGCAATGAAAGCGACGAAAATAAGTTAGGAAAGAAAACGGTTATGGTTGTGAGATGGATGAAGGAAGGGGAACGAGGGGACGGGCAGGATTTGACTAATCACACACGAAGTCATGAATGTGACTGGAACCACAATTGTCGGATTTTGCCACGTGGCAGCCGACGGAAGGTTCCAGGACACTCCGACTCTCGGAACGGGAGCGGGGGGAGAGGATAACTGGAAATGATAAGCGTAAACTGTTGATTATTGGGAATAACTGGAAGAGAACAAACACCGGTTGAGAAAGGAGAAAGCGTTGAAATAGGGGGTACAATTGGGTGCATAAAAGGGTAATCAAGGACTGGACTTTTTTGAGGTTTTGGCATCGAATCGACGTAGAACTACTTGAGTGGGTGCATAGAATAGTGGGTAGATGTGTGAGGAATTTCTAGAAGTGTTTGAAGATCTTCGGAGGAGTGGAGTCGTCATCCAGACCGCCCGAACTGCAACGACGTCGTTTTTTCTCCGAGGAAGAGGGAGAGGAGACGTCCGAGCAGAACCGGAGTCGTTGAGCGGAGTAGAGGGCGTCTGATCCGACTCGGGAATCTGATCCAAGATTTGAAGAGGGACGGTGTAGTCCTGAGAGGTCGATGGTTCCTTTGGCAGCTCCTCGTGTACTTCCGGTTCTTCTGGAGTCTCGAATCCGGAGATTGTCTCAAGGATCGGCGACAGCTCCTTTGGGGACAGCTCCTGAACTGCAAGCGGTGCTGAGGCTGGAGCTGCAGTTGAAGCTTGAGCCGGTGCCGCTTCCGCTCGGATGCTCTCTTCGGAGCTGTAGATTGGAGCAGGATTCAGGCAGCGCTCAACCATTGGCATGTACGAATCGAGGAGGTTCTGGAAAATCAAGAGTTTAGGATCGTGTCCGATGTATTGTTATGTCTTACCACTTGAAGCTGGAACATGCTCGCAAGAAGGTTTCGGATGGCCAACGCGAGTTCAACGCATGCGTCGTCTCTTCTGGAGACGTAGTAGAGGGCGATGGCGCATTGCATCGAAGGGAACAGCGTCGCCAGTTTGTGCACTGAAAATTGAATCGGTTTAGTCTCATTCATCACTCGGATGCCAATCATCGCTCGCGCGTCTTCGCTTGTTCAAGGTTTCGATTTCCATCATTCACTTCTCATTTCGCGAAGATTTTTTGAGGCAAAGGCCACCCTCACCCCCGTGTGTGTCTTCGTCCGTATTTGAGATGATTATCTCGGAACGAGTCGAATGTCTGCGTCTCCTGCCCCGTTCACACTGTTTTCAGGGGAAAGTGCGCGTTTTCACACCTTGCGGACGAAACATTCTGAGGGAGACAGACGCGCCAAAATCGAATTTTTCGAAACGGAGAAACGGTTAAAGATGGTGGGAGGCCAGTCCGTTGAGACGCTTATCTATGCTAACATAAACTTGGTACTGTAGGTGAAAGGCAAACCGAGGTCGTTCCGTAATGGTTACTTTTTGAAATTTCACACTCCACCGCCAAATTCAGACCCCCGACTCGGAGAGATCTCAACAGTTGGTGACGTAGTGGTTCGGATATCGTCTGACCCTTGGTGACGTAAACTTTGACCCGGATTGCGCCATCGTCATAGCACATTCTTCTCAAAGCTTCTTGCGCATTTCAAATATCAGGCGCAATTAGGGCTTTTACGGCTCGCAGAGCACCTGTTGCCAGTACGGTCTCTGTGTGGAGGATCGCGCAAAAAAACGGACTTGTGTTGCATAATTGAATGCACCGCCGACAGCTGGTCGGTGGCATTAAGACGATGACGATGATGTGCATAGAAATGTGTGTGTGTGTGCGGAAGATTTGAAAACGGATGGAACACATGGACCAATTGGATCACCGGAAGGCTATGAAAGCGCACTTTTTGTGTTCGATGACACGCGCCATCCGTTCCCCGTAAGCCATCGAAAAAGAAAAAAGCACTGGGGTAATTGACCGGAGGAACGAATTTATATTGGTCAAACGGGCGATCTGACCGGATTGATGGCTTCTTCAGCTGCCTACAGTATCCCCGGATGGAAGGAAGGAAGAGAGCCAATTCCAATTCCAATTCAAATTCCGGCACGTCAATCAATTAGGTCAATTTGGTATGCAACATTAATGAGGAGAATAGAATACAGTCCTGTCCCTTGTCATCCTCGAGCTTCATCAGTCGAATTTGAATTTCCATCGGCCAGTTGTCGTCGGTGACCTCGAGGAATTTATTCCATCATAATAATGTACACATGTCGTCGTCGCCGATCAGAAAGAGCCCCGTCCTGTTGCGACAACGCGTAACTTTCTTTGTTGAACCCGCGACGCAACACAACACGGCTCGTCATAAATCAGTGGAAGGGGAAGGAGAATAGTCCGCCCACGCATCCTCCGTTTTCATAATCTAGCCCAAATATCTGCCTTCTGGCATAAATCAACAGTACGGTAGGCACGCGCCAGGTGGGCGCAATGGACATAACTTCATGTTAATCCGTGGAGAGAACATCCATTAGGAGATGTGGAGGAATGGCAAACATACGAGTGATCGATTGCCATTCGCTCATATCATGTTGCAAAGGACCGCCCGTCGGAAGTTAGTTCAAATAAACTGTCGATCATTTACAGTAAGCCAGTCCTCGTCTTGGAGGTCACTTCAAACGGTACGAAGCGAGCGGATTAGGGCGACATGTGTTCAAGGGCTTCTAGACGCCTTCACACGAGCCTTCTAATTGTTGCCTTAGGCGGTGTCAAGTGATCCGTGACAATTAAACGGTTTGGATTTCTAAGAGCTCCGCCGCCGGCCCATCTAGATGGTTATCTGCCAAATTACCGGTGGCGCCCAAATTTCAGGGAATGAAACAAATGGAAACGGCCACCTGTGAGTGCTCCATTAGCGTGTCACGCGCCGTTATTTACAGTCAATCAGCTAATTCCTCCTCATTAGGCCATCATTAAAAGCCACGTCATATGCGTGTATTGTGTGCTCATCGCAGATTGACGGAAGGATTCGATCGGAAGCGGATAGGACTTGTGGCTGATACTGTGGCCGGACAGATGGTCTCCTTCTGGTGGTTGTCACTACGACTCTCTCTCTCAGACCCCCACGGACATAGTCATTTTTTAGAGGGCGCTCTCAGTGTGTCACCCGGCCGGCTGAGAACAAAGGCGAAAAAACGTAGTGGTGTGTACCTGGCACTGACTCACTTTGTATCTGGCGATATCTGTGATGGCGACAAAGGCGCTAAACCTTCACCCAATCCTAGGTCAACGCGTGTCAAATGGCCAATGAGCCGTACGCAAAAACTAACACAAAATCAACTTGTTCCACTGTTTGTCTATGGAAATAGTGTCTTTCTTCTTCTTCTCCTCCTTTTTCCTGCACGCCTTCAGACCAATCGTCAAAAGATGTCCGATGAGGGGGAAGAAAGAGGACTAAGCTCATTAGACACAGACCTCCTGGAGCGAATTCTCAGAACACTAGAACTTGTTTGTTTGCATAGAGGGGTTACGTGGAAGGAAGGATCTGCGGGAGATTAGCGGCAATGACAGTTTCAGACTTTCTTTGTTCTACCAACCAGCTCCTCTACTGGGTAACTCGATTTTCCCTCTTTTTTTCATACTTCTCTCTCTCTCTCTCTCCAGAAGACGTCCCTTTTTTCCTGTGTCGTCTTCAATTGCCAATTTTATGCAAATGCAACGGTGTCTTCCCGTCCCGACCTACCGCACAGCAGAAGGCGGACACCAGCACATAAACGACCACCCATCAAAAAAACTTGTCTGATGCGGGGCGCCTCCCGGGGCACCACCACCCTGGGCGGCCGCAGAAAAAGTACAAAAGACACTGGCCCAAAAGGGGGACAGGAATGGCCAAAAAACTACTTCGATTTTGGAGATTAGAAGACGTACTTAGAACAGGCACGCGCCCGGCGGCGAAACAAAAAACGACTGAAGACGGAAATGGAACTCACTTCGTTGACACTTTTGGACAGTCAGCTGGAACGGTCCACGCAGATTGTGGATCTGTGGGATCCGGGCGGCGAGTTGATCGAAGAAGGAGAAGGCGGTCGGCGACTCGGTCTCCCATTGCAGGGTGGTCACGATGAGCAACTCCCATTGAAGGAGCATATCGATGGGGCAAGTGTTATCCGAGTAGTAGGCGATCTTGGAAGCTGTCAACGGATGAGGAGCCTTCAGTTTACTGGCAATAAACAGAGCAACTCCGGCGATCATCTGCAGGAATAACGGTGTCTTATTTCCAAACTATGCTAACGTTTCTCACCTGAATGTCGTGCTTCAGAATGTTCTGGAACGAAAGGAAGCGGTCGATGATTGCGACGGCGAGCAGGTAGACGTCCCCGTCGCACTTCTCTTCCTGTGCCACGTCGAAGATCCAGTCAACTGCTTGCTCCCTGTGAAACGGAGTGACGTGTTCTTGCACCGCCGTAAAGTAGTGATAGTTGGGCTGAAGAGCCTCCTCGTGCTCCATCAGATTATAGAAAGTGCGCATGTCGTGTTGAATGTGAGGATCTGTGCGGTTGTAGATGAACGTGCGAACGTTGTCGTTGAGCACGGCGGCACTACGATCATCAAGCTGCCAGTTCACATAATTCTGGAACGGAGAAGTATGAGGAATCAATAAAAGAAGAAGTGAGACGGAGGAAAAGGCTAGTCGAGATTCCTCCGATCGCCGAAGATCCCTATCTGCGAGCGAGGAGCGAGGCGCGGAGGCAACGAAAAAGAGGGGGAAGAAGAAGAAGGTGTCGAAAATTGACGGAAGCAAGAAAAAACAGAGAAGGACAAGTCTCCCGCAGTGCGCACACACGCGACCAAATTCTCACTTGCACTTACAGTTTCGGCTTCCATCTTCGGTTGGACTGAAACGGGCACCGATGCGGCGGTCGAAGTGCTCGGCTGTTCCTCGTCAACGAACGGAAACTGCTGCTGCTGCTGCTCGTAGAACATCTGACCGTAGCCGCTCGGACCAGCCGACGACGACTCGGGCGCGAATTCCATCTGAAAGCAAACGACGGTGGTAAAGCATGAGACTATCACAGAGATAAGATGATAATGAGTTGAGAGAAAGCAAGTCAAAACTAATGGTTTGTGGTACTCTGATGGAATGAGGTAGAGCGGAGTGGACGGGGCGGGTGGCTGGACGGCTGCCCTCCTCTCACTCTGTTTGACACCTTGGCTCCGCCCACTTTTTCGGCGCACCCTCCCACCCACAGGCCGTCGTCGACGTCTCCCCCAGAGACAATATTCTTTCCTCCGGTGAAAATGACGAAGAAGTAGGAGAATGCGACTGGGATTCAGATGGTGGGACTGGGCGCAGATGCAAGTCAGCGGGGTACTGGGTCATGGTGAAATATGGATGAAGATGGAATGAGTTGATGAGAGGGAAGTGTGAAAACATGCCACATTCAAAGATAACGGGCGCGTTTGTTTTGTCTGGAAGTCGGCCTGGACTGGTCAAGTTCAACTGAGAGCGTACCAGATTAAATATGATTTATTCTTCGCACCCTAGCTCCAGCCTCCCGATCTTCGGGTGGGTGAGAAGACGTCGCGAAGACCTTGCGAAGGTGAGAAAAGCTCTTCGGACAGCTTTCTTCCGGTTACAAGTGGAGATCCAAGTTGATTATTGTGGTGCGAAGGACGCGACGGACCAGACATGCCGAATGTATTGCAGCAACAAATGTCTGTTGATGAGAAGGATTGAAAACACGCAAATGGCTGCATGATATTTGGGTCCTTGTTCGTGTCATTGTTTTGGGAGCCAATGCCATGGCACAATGCCATTGGAATCTTGTTCCCAAACCAATAAATTGCGGAGACAGGCCAAAGAAGTGACAAGACACAAATCAGATGCGAGCACAACAATTCAAATGGGACACCGGGGCGAGGAAACTAAGGGCGAGAAGAAGATTTAGGAGTGGAGAAGAACAAGAAAAAGAAGCCAGGAGAAAAGTGAAAGTTGTCAAAATTATGGTATTGTTGTGGCTGATAGAATAAGGATGCGCTCGTGCACCAGGTGTTCGGCCAGCTGCCTTCGTCAACCGCCAATTCTGGGTGACCTTCTTCGTTTTCTTTTCCATCATCTTATTGTTAGCCTTCTCCGATTACTTCTCTAACACTCTGGGGACCATATCAGAAACTATCACTTTCCCGCATCACCAAATGCGACACTGATCGCGAGTAATCGGATGACAAGTGAGAAGTGACCCTCAACCTTCCTTCCAGTGTTTGGATAGGAAGGTATCAAAACGTGCACATTACGTGTGGGTAATCGTGAGGTAATAAGTGCATACCAATTGGAGCTCTTAGATCACAGTACGGGGTGGATTGGGACGTTGCGTAACTGAGGCCAATTCCAGCGAGCAAACACTACCAGCCAACAGGCGATTTAGCGGATCGCAACAGGCAGTCTTCTAATATTGTTGTGCGAGCCGACAGACGGTGCCCACAAGGTATGACGTGGACGATCCACGTACAAGATAAAAGGCACTTGAATACGTAATTAGCCGAGGAATTAGCTACTTGTGCAAGCAGATGGGAAACAAATGAATGTTGGGCAACATTAATCTAGAGCGAGAAACTTTGGTTTCGGTAATGGAGGAAAGGAAAAAAGAACACATGTGAACAGATTTGACTTTCTCGGGAGCTCATTATTAACGAACACCCACTTTTCCGGTTCCATTGTGCTCTTTCCGACTCAACAATGTGTCAAATCCTCCAGCTGTTGCAGTACTCACCATGTCGCGGAATTCAAACGGAACAGAGGACCTCTGCAGCCCTCCTTTGCCTTCTTTTCTCTTCTCAACCTCCCATTAATATTATCTCTCGATCGGCACGCGTACGACGGTTTTTGCGCGAATTCCCAACTGCTGACAGATGGCTTCTGCCTCTTGCGACATGGCCCATCGCCGAGTCGGTCGCCGATTAGATTAGGCGTCGGAAGCGAAAAGAGAAGGAGTGGATTCCGAATAAAAAACCAGCGAACAGCAGACAAAGAAGTCGTTTCGTTTCGCGCATTGGGAGGTCGGTTCCTGCCGGCGCCCACCCCACCGTCGTGCACTTTCATGTAAATTACGCAACATTTGTCAGTGTCTCGATCCGTTCGCGCCGACCTCTATGGGTGGCGACAATCCCATTCCGTCCCGTCGATGATAGGTTTCTATGACTGAAATGATGAACGGACACGAAGGTCGCGGCCGCTCCCCGGGGCGCCCGTGCCAGGAACGAAACCGTTTGGCTCGAACGATTGAGTGAACCAGAACGATCTGATTGCGATGCACTCTTAAAAGTACGTGGGAAGTCGAAAGGATAGACGAGCCTAAAGAGGTCATTTATCACCTTTTTATTGCCTGCCGCCCGAGATTTGAACTCGCTTTTGTCCTTTGTTTCTCCTCCGTTCCGTTTCGAAAAAGTGATGTCAAAAAAAGAAAGACAAACGGAAAACTTTCACTTTTCTCCTTTTCTTTTTAGTTCTCGCCGAAAAAGTGCATTCCTCAGTGACCGGGCAGAACTCCTTTTCTGTGTCAACAGGTACCAGGTGATCACGTCATTATTCCCTTTTCGACTTTTCCGACAAACGCACATGACGATGACGATGATGACGAGGACGATGAAGCAGGGAGGAAGAGTTAAGCAATCATCGTAATGGTCAACTCGCGAAGAGTTTCTTATCAGTTTACCGCAGATAGGTCAGGGAGCGAGCCGTCGGCGCCAACGTCCTTCCCACCGCTCATGTGACATTTGTTCGTACCAACACTTCCAAATGACAGCCCATTCACACAAACATTCGTAGCCATTTATGAATGTGTTTGCATTCTAACTCGGCCCAAAGAAGGGCGAAAGAAGAAGAAGAAAGAGGAAACAAAAGTCTCGAGGGGAGCCAATTAGTGAGTGATTGACACCTCTCCTGACTTACCGTATAGTCGCTCGAGATCTGTATCGCCCGTACGGTTGTTGCAGAGGACGATGACGACTGACTGTGAGGTGCGATGTTATCTGGAAATGAACATGTTTATCTGGACAGTAATTGAGTGACGAGAGGTTGGCGCCATTGCTTCGAGGAAGGAAAACGAGGCGTTTCGTTTCCGTCCGGAATGCGTGGCGCCAAATCGGAAGTATAATAGTATCAGAGAATGATGATAAACTGATACAGGTCACGAGAGAAGTTACTAGTTGAGCACAGATAAAAAGTGTATAGTTGGAGGGCGCCAGTTGTCTGAGATTCAGACGTGTCAAACAGTGCTCATTTCTTATTTCCTCAAGACGCCCAGCAACCGAAACTTCTGGCAATCAGCTTAGCAACTGGGTCTAGCAAGCTCCATAACTCTAGACATCTCGAAGAGAAGGTTTTAAAAGTGAACCAATTAGGCCAAATCACTCAGAACTACCTAGATCTACCTCAATCTTGTTTTTGTACCTCACCTGATTCCAATCAATCTCACATCAATCTTCTTCTCGAAGCCTCGTCGGAAGATCGAACTCCGCGATTGTCTCGCGGAAAGGAAGACTGGTGACTCGCGGCATCGGGTCTCTTTCAGCGCCTCTATCAGTGGCACTGCTGGCCGGCACCGACTGTTACTGTCCACCCCGGATTGTTATCAAGTTATCAACTCTGGAAGAAAGCACACGCAGACACTCTTTTGCTCGCCCCGTTTTCCCGCATTCTTCGGGCGCCCCCATTTAAAGTTTTCGCTCAATTGGATCAGGTGTTCTGTTCGTCTCCGTTATCAGTCGATCATTCCCCACGACGACTGCTGATAAGAGGAACGGTGTTTCCGTCGATTGAAGCGCTTCCAGTGAAAACATCGCTGAAATGTGCTGTGGTTTCAGTTTTTATCATTCTCTTGGATGACGGGAGTTTCACGGAAAGAGATCAAAATACTCGAATGATAAGCGTGTTTCCTAAAGTTGCAAAATGTTGCAACCTGAAGTGATTCTGTCTGGAAACTTGCGAATCATTTCGTAAAGTTTGCGTTGACTCGGCCCGTACCTACAGAACGATCCTACACCCTTCATAGTCCATAAAATTACGAAACAACGAGTGTCGCCCAATAACGGCGATCGTCCAAAGGGGACCGCACCTCGTTAACCTCGTGCCGTCCGGGCTCGTTGTGTTGCGTCACCAAAGACGGCTGTGTAGACCACAAATGGAAAGAGAAAATAATAATTGGCTGAGGGCATGACAGGAGACGGTGGGAGACCATAATGGATCACTCAATCGGGATATCATAATGTAACAGGTGCTCTTTGAGGACTACCGAAATGCGCTAAGCAGCCGCTCGAGGAACTGTTCAAGGGGAATGGGGATTGAGATTAATCTTCTTCTTTTGCTTCTGTTTCACGAGTGCCGAAATTCGAGACTGGTCAACTAGTGGTACACGTTTCCAGTCAATCTTTTTCGCAAGAATGGCTCTCTCCTTTCCTTCCTTCGCTTTCAGCTTTTCGATTATCTGCTCCACGTACTCTCTGCACTCCTTCGCTTCTTCGCCAGTCACGGCAATGATCCTCCGAAGACGGTGACCCATCGACTTGTCCGAGATGATTGCCACATCATTTATGGTGTTCACATCGAGAACATGACTGAATTATCGAACTATCTCAACAACTACTTTGCTTTTTACTTACGTTCCGGAACAGCATTCAATCGGTAAATCGTCTCCAGTTCCGAGGCTGACAACTCGGACTGACGATCCTCCGATCTTTTCCTCTTTCACATCCGATTGCAGATTCTCCATCTTTTTCGCTGCTTCCATCGTCACTTTCTTCACCTCTGTCTTTCCACCTTTCGGATGAATTCCCGCATTTTCTCTTCACACTGCTGCAGCATTTCCGTCCTCCGCTCTTTATCGAATGGCTTTTCCGCAGTAGAGTAATCGAACCGAAGCCGGTCGCAGTCTGAAGTCGTAAACTTTCTCACCCTCTTCGGTTTTAATTTCTCACCGACAGACGAGCCCTTCTGTCCGCAACCGAGCCCGCTTTTTCGCAATGCCCAATTGAGCAAATGAGTCGCCGAGTGCGCTCTCATCAGTCCTTCTCTCCTCTTTTCGTCCAGCCGCTGCTCCACTCGCAAATCTCTTTGAATCGGTTGAATTGCCTGTCCGAAGAGAACTGTCACTGCACCGCCTGCCACTTTCTTTGCGTTTTCCACTTGAAACACTTCTGTCTGCAATCAAATCTTTGGCTCGTTTTTGTTAATATTTCTTTGGAACCTCGCCAATCATCAGATGCCCACTGTCACTCATTTGTCCGCCCTGCTCTGCATAAAACTGACAGTTTTCGAGAACAATGAACCCTTTTTCGTTGCTATCCAACCGATGCACCTTTTCCTGATCTCGATAAACTGCTAGAATTCGAGAGTATACATGTGGGATATCTGCAAGTGGTTTTTCTTATGTCGATAAGTATATCATTTAGGCGTACAGTATTTTCCGTTCTCGAGAGAATATTCGTATTTTGACTTGTCGGAATGCGTTGGGAAATCGTGGGCAGAAATAGGCATTTTCAACTGCGACGCCTTTTTGGATAGTTCTTGAGCTTCCAATTGGCACCTCTCGAACTCCTGCTCGTCTACTGATTTCCCGATATTTCTCGCCAATTCAACGGTCACTGAGAGCGGCAAGCCGTACGTTTCGAACAAGTTGAATGCCTGTTTCCCCGAAAAAACGGATGCCTTGCACTCCGTCGCCACGCTGTCAAACATCTTCTTCGCGCGGTCGACGGTCTTCCAGAATAGTGTCTCTTCATCTTGAAATATCCTTTTCACGTTGTCGGCATTGTTTCTTATTTCTGGATAGACTTCTTTCTGAAAAAAAATGATTTAATGAAATTGTCTAACCGCCGTACCATAGTCGAGACGACAGTTGGAATGAGGTCGCTCAGAGCGTGCCTCTCAATTCCTAGTCGCGTAGTTCCTTGAAGAAGCGCTCGTCTTATCATTTTCCGTACGATGAACCCCGCGTCCGTTCCGTCTGGTATGGCGCCATCACTAATTGCAAATGTGGCCGCACGAGTGTGATCGGCGACAAGACGAAGGCAGCGTCTTCGCGGCTCGACAAACTTCCATTGTACTTCAGACGAGCGTTTGTGAGCTGAAAACAGACGAAAGGAGGCGAAACATTTAGAGATCAAATGAGTATCTACTCACATTCGAGATTTTTTCAAGAATTGGCGTGAAGACGTCAGTGTCGAAGTTTGAATGTTTGCCTTGCACAACGGAGAGAAGCCGTTCGAACCCCATTCCGGTGTCGACGTGGTTCTTCCCGAGACTGTGCACCTGACCGGACGAATCTCTCACATTACTCATGAAGACAATGTTCCAGATTTCGACGACCGAATCATCGACGTTCACAAGACGGGAGGCATCTCTCCCTCCGACCTGTCGAAGTGGATCTCTGTGCATGGTCCGCACGGGCCCGCTGCTCCCATCTCCCAAAAGTTCTCGGCGACGAACGGGAGAATGCGATCTCCTGAAACTCCGATCTTCCGCCAAATCTCGCGGCATTCGTGATCCTCCGCCAATCCGAGACTCTCGATTCCTCCGAAGTACGAGACGTACAGCCGATCGGAACTGATTCCGAGCACTTCGACGAGATATTTCCATGCAAACTGACACGCTTCTTCCTGAAATCGGAACACTTTTATTTAGATCTGTAGTGTTTCACTTTGGAGAACGCGTCGTTGAACGACCAATTGCCCATCATTTCAAAGAATGTCTGATGATGCAAGTCTTTTCCGACGTCGTCCAAGTCGTTGTGTTTTCCGCCTGCTCGGATACACTTTTGAATATTCGCTATTCGTCGAGGCTCCGTTGATGTCAGCAGTAAATTCTTGAACTGTAAATGGAAGATAATCTTTTGTCAGAAACCTTCTTTTCGAACTTGATTCATTCCTGCGTTCGTGAATAAAAGTGTTCCGTCGTTTTTATCGGGGATTACGGACGCAGACTTCAGAATTTCATGGTTTTTAGATTTGAAATACTCGTAAAAACTTTTCCGGAGCTAAAAATGTGTTTGGGGCGGTTTTGGGCAAACGAAAGTACCTGCAGATGTGAATGATATAAAGATATTGATGAAGAAGGTCCCGCATAGTTTTTTAATAAATGTGTGCCAACAGCAGTTCGAATATGCTGCATTCTGGTCAAGAAACAAAATTATTTCAGCACGCTCGTAAATCTACACGGTCACATTTTTCCTCGGCCACGGCCATGGAAACAAAAATTTTCAATTAGTGGACGTTGGCAGAACCGGTAATCCCAGGGGTCTGTGGTCATGCGAAATCCCGTCTGAACAAACAACTCTTCCCTTTTCGAAATGACATTTTTTGTAGCGCCCAGAGAGCCATATTTGCGCTGTCGTGACGCCGTATCAATGTCGCTCAATTTTCGCCCTCAACAGCTGACTTTCGGCCGCCTGGTCACAGCTGCAAGGCTTTCTCACTTGCTCCGTTCTCCCAGGGTTCCGAGAGCATTATTCGCTCAGATCGAGAGAGAAGACTATCAATTATCGTCGTTGTCCCTCTTTTAATAACCTCTTCTTTCCTCGGCAGAAAGGGAAACGAATAGCATAAAAAGCGGCTGCTGGCCGGGCAGAGAGTGTTTCCTTGCCTCTTCCTCCTTCTCCTCCTCCTCCCTCTTCTCCCACACAAAAGCCGTTTGGTACATACAGCACTGTCCTCCTCTCCCTCCTCTCCGTCAGCACCGTACACTTGCCCCCGGGGTTCCGTCTGCGTCTCGCTTCCTCTGCACTTCCCACCTCACGATGCAATCCATCTGACACATGTTTCCAAACACCATCGTTTCTATTGATTTGCCCATTATTTTTATTATCAGCTTGTCAATGTGTACATATCAGGTGTTTCGCTTGATCGTATAGTCCGTCGGTCTTGAAGACTTCCGGTTGAATTCATTCCTCCTCTGAAAATGCTTAATCGTGCCTACAAAACCTCTGTGTCTCCCACCCGCCTCGTATTCCTTCCGCTTTCCGCACAATAGCCATCCACTTTTATATATTCTGTTTCCCTTTTTGCAGAAAATGGACACCACAAAACCTCCGGAAACGACTAGACACGACATGAATCTCGGAGAGTTCGAAGATCCTGTGGACGGGTACGCCGACGACGATCTGCTCACACCAGATGATCTAAGTGGTAAGAACTGATATAAGAAACTTCCTATTTTTCCTTTCTTTCAGTGAGTGTCACCGGAATGACACCCTCTCGCTCTTTTCTGGAGACGGAAGAGTTCGAAACGGAACTAGGTGGCGTCGAACCATTCGAAGACCTCTTCAACGACATTTCGGCGCACGAGATCATTCAAGTCATTGCTGATGGAGATCGTGTCGGAAGGTATGCGAGATGAAATTATTTCCAATTCTAAAGCGGAAAGACAATTGCAGGCCAATCGTGGTAGTCTATGCGTATCGTCTGCCGTCCAGCAAGGAGATCGATCACAGCCGTCTTCTTCAGTATCTCACTCAAATCATCGACAAGGTATCGGAACACTTCATGAACTCGTCTAACCTTTTCTCAGATTGTGGACCAGGATTACACCATTGTCTATTTTCATTACGGCCTCCGCAGTCACAACAAACCGCCCGTTCGTTGGCTGTTCCAGGCGTACAAGCAACTCGATCGCAGGTTCGAATTCGATTTCAATCCCATGCTTCTCTCTCTCTCACACCGAAAACCGGTTGCAGATTCAAAAAGAACCTGAAGGCGTTGTACGTGGTGCATCCGACGCGTTTCATCCGCATTATCTTCTCGCTGTTCAAAGGTTTCATATCGAGCAAGTTTGAGAACAAGTTCCACTATGTGATGTGTATCGACGAATTGGAGAACGCGCTTTCCGTTTCAAGGTAAAACTAATCTTTCAGTTTTTCGTCATTTCTTCCCGTTTCTTCACAGACTGAACCTCCCGAGCCCTATTCGCGATCATGACAAGTCCTTTTCGAATCAAACAAATCGTCCGTCAACACCACCTTCCCAACCTCTTCCTACCCAACAATTCGGAGTGCCACTTGAGTTGTAAGTTGTTTTTTATTCGTCACGAAAAAAATATTTTTTTAACTTGCTAATTTCTTGCTGAAGTCGAGCATTCGTTTCTCGGTCCTGTCTGAATCGTTGCTCTTCCGATGCTCGTCGATCTCAACTGAAAGTGTCGTATTTTAAAGGGAAAAAAGCGAAAAGTCACTCTCACGTCGGCAGTGAACTCCAACGTTCTTCTCGTTTCCGCCACATCTCGCGGATTGACGTGGGCGATAAACGTCGTTTTCGACGAGCCAGCTCCCAGATACTCGCGGAGCAACACAGTCAACTTGCTCTCGCGATACGGCACGTGCGCCATCTTCTCGAACTGAGCACGGATGCACTTCTTCAAAACCGTCAGACTTTGGTTAATGTTCGTCAGTTCGGTGAATTGCTTTCCGTGCGCTCTCGACTCTTTGGCACGTTCCGATCCGGCGAGGTCGACGAGGTTCAGACAGCACTTGATCTCCCCAAACGACGAAGATCCGTTACATACAATTGGAAGATTGCATGGGATCTCGAGGACTCTTGGTTGCACGCCGTCGTTCCTGTCGAGCGCTGATTATCAGCAAGAGTTAGGAGCGCATCGACGTCCGGCAGTGCCTTGATCGGAATCTTATGAAGTCCGGGTACAGAAGTAGTAGCGCCAGAGATCTTGACCTGAGATGGGAGAGTTGGTATAAACAAGAGCGGGCGCAACTGACATCCAACTTTCTCCGAGCATCCAGCAAATCGAACACTTCCTCGTTGTACACTTCGATGAAAGAAGCGGAGAAAGAGTAATCCTGCTCCTTGGAATGCTTCAGCAGGAAACGAATCGCTCTCGGGATAATCCCTTCCGTCTCTCCGTCGCCTCCTCGCATCGTAAATGTCTTTCCACTTCCAGTCGGTCCATACGCAATCAGACACACGTTTCTTCCGTGAAGTGCACACAGAATGAGCTCCTTGATCTCATCGAACACTTCGGACTGCTTCTGACTTTGTTGGAAGATGTGCTCGAAACGGAAGAGGTTTGCCTGACCGTTCTGAAATTGGGTTATCACGGAACACAAAAAGGAGCGAAGGGTATTCACCTGCTCGAACTTGATTTCATTCTCACCGGTAAACGTGAACGATGCTCCCGACAGCGTCTCTTTTTCAAAGTGACGAACCTTGACAGCGACACGGATCTGACCTTTCAAGTCGACGACGGTCTCGTTGAGCTTCCGAATGGCGGACTCCATCTCCATGAACTGAATTTTGTATCGTTCAACCATCTTCTCGATCCGGTGCTTCTGATTGGCCATATCCGCCTTCAGCTGTGCATTCACGGCATCCTTTGTCTCGCTCTCTCTTTTCGATTGCTCCAATTGGCTCTTCAGACTCTTTATCAAATCATTCTGATATCTCAGTTTATTAAGAAACGGCTCTTGAGCAGACAGATCGTTCTGTAGATCAGATCTTTCAATTGCTGAAAGAGACGCGTATGGAATTTGAGCAAGTTGTTAATTTCGCCATTACTTTTAATCCCAAACCCACTCATTTGTTTCCGCGGAAAATCGAAAATCGAAAAGCAAAACTAATCATCCACCTTTTCCCAAATCTCCACGTCACAAAAGACACTTCCGAACATCACGTTCTGTTTTTGCAGCATCCTCTCGCACTGCGGCGGAAACATCCCGCCAATCGTCGATCAACTCATCGAATTCCTCGAAGCGCACGCTTTGAACATGGAGGGAGTGTTCCGGAAGAGTGCGAACATCGGAAGCATCAAAAGGTTGCAGGACAGAATCAACAAAGGTACGGTAGTTGAGACCATAGACTGTTACTTATTTCGTACTTTTCAGGAGAGAAGATTGACTTTGAAAACGATCCGGAATACAAAGACAACGAGTACGTGGCGTGTCTGCATGCATCTGTGCTTCTGAAGACGTTCTTCCGAAGTCTCGGAGAACCATTGACTACAAATCGGCTTTACTCGAAACTCGCTGCTCTTTCAGGTGATTATTCAGGTATGGGCTGAAGTCTGAATCATCTCAACTTTCAGAAGTGTCTAAAACTGAAAAAAGTGCAGCCGTGAAGGACTTTGTGAAACTCCTCCCTCGCGACAATTACGTTCTCCTCAAAACGGTGGTCAAGTTCCTGACGAAAGTGGCCGACAATAGCAAGGTGAATCTGATGACGGCCAACAATCTGAGCGTGGTGTTCGGACCGAATCTGACGTGGCCGACGGACCAGGAAGTGCCCATCTCGCAGCTGAACAACCTTAATAACTTCTGCTACAAACTGATTGTCGACTACGATTCCGTGTTCGATCACTAGTCAAAGCCTCGCCTGCATTTTTCTGTATTTATTTTTCTTTACACTATAATTTATTTTCTGCATCCGGATGAAACCTTTTAAAAACGCAGTGAGCGATCACAAGCAAACAGTCAATTGAAGGATAAATGAGAGAGTCGGTAGCGAAGTCGTTTATTTCTTCTCCGACTTGATGATAAGTGGGCCGACGTTGTCTCCGGTCTCTTTGTTGTGGGCTCCGTGCGTACCGTCGCAGTACGGCCACTTCTCGCTTTTCCAGCATCTGCAGAAGGCCTTCTTCTCTCCGATGTCCTCGATATCGACAGAGTCGGCCACCTTCTTCTGGTCGAGCTTGATTTTGGAATTGCAGCGGGCTTTGCGTTGCGCGAGCTTGTATCCGACCTGCAAAAACGGATTTTGATTGTGAAATAGAGCAAAAAGGAAAAAAAAAATGTATAGAATGCTCACAACGTATCCGATAAGGGCTCCTCCAGCAAGCACGGCGAGCGTCGAGGCGATGCAACGCCCGGAAACTTGCGATTGGCACGGCATTTTAGCTGAAAAACTGAATAAATGAGAATAAACCGGAGAAAAGGAGCGGAAAAAACGGATAACAGTTAGGAATGAGACAGATGCGCTAAATTTCTGACCAAAATACATTTGGGAAAGGCGTTTAATGCGCGCGCAGTAAAAGGAGCAAACTATCAACAAATCGATATAAACTTCCATTTTGATCTATTTATTCTCAAATGAATAAATACCAATTTCAGTTGCGCACTCGCCCGGAGTGGCCGGACAACAGTGGTCCTGAACGAGCGAGAGAGTGCAAAAACCGCCGATGGTCATTCCAGTAGAAAATAAACGAAATGTCAGACTATCGATTGATCGCCTTTTGCCGTGGCGACCGGCCGACGAGAAGAAATAAAAATGTAGAATGTAGTGACCGCCAGAAAGAGAGAAGTGAAATAGGCGGTCATTGAAGTAGGGGCGGTCGCCCAGACATCAGTGTCAATAGGAGGCAGAGATGGATGACATCAGAGAAAAGGGGGCACAAAATACAAATGTCCGTGGGAAGCGACGGAAAACAAAAAGTAGTTGGAATTATGGGAAAGAAGATCTTTAATACTTTATTTATTCGAAAAAACAATGAGATTGATTATTATGAACACTTTTCCAAGGTCCGCCTAGAAATGCTCGCATAGGTTTGGCAAAGAAATCATCATACGATAAAACTATCCGATTTTCACAACAACGGAAAAGATGAAGAAGGTGAGGGGGAGAAGGCGTCTGCTCGGGTTTCACACGTGTTTAGAACAAAAAAGAAAAAAAACACAAAACAATCAAAGAAAACTAAAGACTGCTAAGCCTAACCTATAGAAACGGATAACACACAGAAAAGAAATGGAAAATTGTTTGATTGGGTTGGAGGATCCTTATGAACATGGATATGAGATGAATCAGCTCGAATGACCTCCTTCGAAAGACAGCATGAATTTGAAAAGCTCGTAGACGGACCAGGAGAGCGCAGTAGCTGGCACCTAAACGAATAAATGATTGCTCTCTTCCGGTTTCTCTGTTGACATACCTGGAATATGATCCTAGCCTGCAATCCACACGAGAACCCAGCAAGTCCGCGCTGAGAATAGATCGTCCGCACCGCATCCGAAATTCCGCGGTAACGATACCTTGCCTGCAACTCATCCTTTCAGATTAGAGAAGCTAAGGACCGCTTCGAAGTCTCACCTGCAAGAAGATCCGCCTGCTCGATGGATCCGCTTCGGCCGCCTGTTGGGTATTCAGAACAGTCTTCACGCAGTCCATTGGCGTCGTCAGAGCGGCGGCGAGACCTCCAGCAAGACCTCCGGCGATCAGATGCGACTTCGGATCGTACTTGTGCTCCGGATTGAGAACTTGCTGCCAGAACTCGTATGTCATAAAATGGATTGTCTGGAACGGGATATTCATCGCCAACTGAGTCGTGTATGATCTGTAGAAAGCTGCAATTCCTTCACGATTGTAGACGCATCGAACACATTCAAGGGAAGATCCGTAGGGAGAGAAGGCCATCTGCATACGCTGCTTCACCACTTCGGCAGGATTCATGATGGCATCGTGGACGAGTGTGGCCACGATTCCGGATGCTCCATAAGCCAAAGTGTGCTCATGTCCGGCCATATTCCCAGTCAGAAATCCTTTCATTTTCTCATAAACTGTGAAGTAAAGAGCGTGAGCCGGCATCGATCCCGCAGCGACTGCATTCACTCCTCGCAAGGGTCGGAGCCATCCTTCTCTTTTGACCATGCTCATCAACGAGTGCACCGGAGTGGGACACTTCGTTTCGGGACAAGGACACAGAGACTGCATCCGCGTTTTTACCGAATCGAATGGAAACATGACACAATGCTCGACGGCACCGGCAAGAGCTCCTGCAGCCAGATGTACCTGAAGCTAACGAGGTGGTAACTCGAGGATTGAAGTAGATTGAATCGTCACTTACGGGAATGCTGTGCGTGGGAAGCGATTCGTACTCATCTTCACCGCCGCCTCCCATTTTTGCCCAGTACTGAAAATATCCTGAAAAGAGGAAAGATACAAGCGTCGAATTTTGAAAAAGATATTGAGCTCGAAAACTCTAAAAAACGGCAGAAGGCGAATAAAAAGGTAAAAATTCATTTAACAAACAATCGGGTTGGAAAATCAACAGGGCTATGGAGATAAATTACGGAAAGAGAGAAAGAGTCTCATGAAAAATTGATGAATGTAACGAAGAGGAAGTAAGCCGCAAAAGGATTACAAAGGCGGGTTAGGGAGTCTTCTAAAGACAGCGGGCCACTTTTCTCCCGCGTTTCGAGTCACTTTTTGTCCTTCTTCCGTGCTTTCGTACAGCAATTCCACGACCGGATCTGCCTTCATTTCATCATCAGTCAGTCGCTCGTAAAGCGGATGCTCGCTCAGATGCTTTACCATCCAATCATGAAGATCTTTCACATCGGTGATCGTGTAAATGAGGCCTGGAAAGGATCTAACTGAAAATGGGTGGGTTCCCTCTGGACAAACAAATGATGACAATTCCTGGCAACTTGTGCGCACACTTGGACGGCACAAATAGAGGTGGAAAAGAAAAAGAACGGGAGAAAGAGAGAGAGAACTGGTTTTTTAATCGATCACTCCAGCTCCTTTCTTTTTGACCCACGTGCGATGGAATGCCAACTGTTTCCCGAAACTGGCGCCTATTCTAAAGAAGATTGAAGCCTACGTGTTCAATGGAATAAAATCGGACGGCCGTCGGGCGTTCAGAGGTTGAAAAATTGCAAAGATCTATGGGAAGTTAGCGATTTCGGTGATGAAATGTGGCAAAAACTATGACCACGCGGTCGGCGACGAAGAGTGTTTGATAGCGAGAAACGGGGACGCACACACATTTTTCGTCGTTTATACCCGCCTCCCTTATCAGATGAACAGTCCCATTCCGCACTACTAGTGATCACTGGTAACATTGCATGATTAGAAATGCAATCAATCATTGAGCCATATAATATTACCTCCTTCACGAAGAACATATGCATATTCGGCAAGAAGAGTCGGCGTGATAATCCTCCATTTGTGCTTTTTATTCTTGAAGTGTGGATCTGGGAACAGGAAGAACATCTTGGAGAGCTGCCCTTTGTGGAAGTAGTTTGGCATATATTTCATGGCATTTGAGCGGAGAACGGCAATGTTTCGGTAGTGACCGTCTGCTTCGTGGTGCTTTTGCAGAGCATTGATCTTCTCATTCACGTAATCAGAAACTTTGACTCGAATCTCCATTCCGATCATCAAAGTGTCTGGAAACTTAGGAGACAACCTCATCAGAAGGCCTCCGTATCCACATCCAACGTCGGCGAACTCAACAGTGCGGCCATTTGCAAACTCTCCGTACTGTTTCGTCCAATCCATGCTGAGAATCAAAGTTTTGTATCCTTGTGTTTAGAAGGACGAAACCCACTGATTAGGAGAAATGGGATATTCGATGTCATGGTCAGAGTGAGGATTTGAGTGAGCACGCTGCCTGAAAAAAAAATTTCTGGTTTAGCTTTTGCTTACTGGACTTCTTACCGATAATGTTTCTTTTGAGGTAGTCCTGGAACAGTTTCACAGGTCGGTTTGTGGTCTAGCTCCATTTCTGAAGCGTTCTCCATTTCGTCTGAAAAGATAAGTACTTGTGTGGGTAAGCAAAATGTTTGTCTTTCAAAGACGCGAATTTTAGAATAAAAAGCAACAAATAAACACGCAAATTTTAAGAAATAATCTCTAAAAACAGTCTGAAAATTTGCGAAAAAATATCGTGAATTGCGTCAAGTCCAACTTTAATCGCGCCAACAAAACGTAAGGCGTGCTGCTCGTGTCTCGCCTGTCTGCGTCTCCTAGGTTTCGCGCACTCTCTCGCTCCCCAACCAATCCCGTTGCCCCTCTTACAACAAAAAACGGCAGAAGCAGGACAACATCTGTGTTTCTCAGAGACGCATTCATAAATACTTTGGCTTCTCTTTGTCCGTCACTTGTAACTTTCACCTAAACACACCGGCTTCTGCCTGTTTTCCCATTCAACCAACACTCGGCCAATTTTCAGAGTGCAAATGCGTTAATCTTGCTTTAAAAAACCTATAATCTACTTAAAATGAGGACATCTCACTGCATAATACGCAGCTTTTCGCCCAAAAGACTCATTATATTCGTCGCCGTTTCTACTATAATTTATGTTATACTCATGAGGAATTCCACGTTGAACGATGAGAGAAGGTTTGTGGAAGCGAGAAGAGCGCTAAACTAAACATTCATCAGCCTTCAGAATAGCAGCAACCGAAGAACAAATTCGTTCGGTCAATGTTCAACAAGCAAAGAATAGTGTCGTCGCAGAAAGGTACGCGCTTTCCAGATAATTGATTCCAACATAAGATCTTCAGACAGCACGAAATAAAGGATCCGGTCGAACTGGAACTTGCCCGTCAAACGCTTACTTTTCTAAATATGGAAGAAGCCGTAACCAAGCCAAGACCATCTATCAAAATGTAAGAATAGTTAATTAAACGTTGAACTATTGTTATGTTTTCAGTGCCCAAGAAGACGGATCTTGTCCAATCATAGAAAAGATTCCCGATCTGCAAGGAGCTCTGCCACAAGCCGTTCTTTTGATTCAGAATCTTCAAGAAGGCGAAGTTCATGCCGTGCATCCGGAGATTGGCCCGGGAGGAACTTGGAAGCCGAACGACTGCCAAGCTCGCGATAAAATCGCCATAATCATTCCGTACCGAGATCGGCAAACCCATCTCACTCGACTCATCGATTTCCTGATTCCGATTCTTCAAAGACAACGTTTAGACTTTAGATTCATTGTCACTGAGCAGGTGAGACAGTTTTCGATAAAATCGTTGAAAGAATTTGAAGTGTTCAGTACGGAAACGACTTGTTCAACAAAGGACGAATCATGAACGCTGCGTTCATTTTCGCCGAAAGCCTCGGCGTCGATTGCGTTGTCTTTCACGACGTCGACATGTTCCCGCAAAACGACCGGAATCCGTATTCGTGCCCTCCGGGTCCACGTCATCTCGGCGCTTTCGTCAGCAATCTCGGCTATCAGCTGTGGTACAAAGAGATCGTCGGAGGAGTTCTAGCCGTGTCGATGGCCGATTATCGCGCAGTCAACGGGTATTCGAATCAGTTCTGGGCGTGGGGAGGAGAAGACGACGATATGGGACAGCGCATTTTGTCACTTAACTACACAATCGAAAGACCGAATCCGGAGACCGGGAGGTATTCGATGCTGAAACATGTGAAAGGAAACGGACGGCACCGAAGCTGATGTGAGTCATTTCTCAATTAAAACAATGAAAACATAATAATTTCAGTTACAAACTACTCGGAAACAGTGCAAACCGCGTCGCCTATGACGGACTAAACGAGACGGACAAATGGACTATCAGAAAAGTGAGCAATTCTCTTTTACCCCTTCCTTTTATCGTGATTTTCCAGGTCACAACGCGTCCGCTCTACTATCATCTCTACGTCGACGTCGGTCAAGTTCCCGAAGAATGGCGAGCCAAATCATAGCCGCTCCGTGACTTTTTCATCGTCGTTCCGTTTCCCATTTCACTTGCCTTCTTCCTTTCCCTCCACTCCCCCCACTATGGGTCCTTCCCCTCCTTGTTCCCATCGCATAATCGCCCCCTCATCCGAATCTCTCTCACTCCCAAAGCCCTTTATCTGCGACTCGACTAGTCAACGTGTTCTTTTTCGGTACTCATGCTCATACTGTAGAAACTTTGGACAACTTGTAAGATAAAAACGAGCAGTCTAGACAGATAATAATTTATTTGTTTTCAATGTTCATAGCTTCTCTTGTTTGCAACATTTCTCCTGTTTTCTGAGCAACGAGCACTTCTTCTCCTCGCTCACAAACTCGTCTTTCGAGCAGAAGTTGCTCTCAATCGACACGTGGCAAGGTCCCCAGCGACATTTGTCAGCAGTCTGAAAGTCAATGATAAGTTCCAGAAAAAACATGGGTCTTCAGATTGCTCACAGTGCTATTTGACAGTCTGCAGCACAGCTCCTTCTTTTTCAGAAAGCCACACTTGTCCCATTTGACGAGGTAAAAGTCGGAAGGGCACGGAGACGTCGAGAGCATTCCGTGGCATTCTGTGTACCTGCACGCCGTCAGATCGTACTGAATTAGAGAGTCGGAGAAGAAGATTCCAAAGACTTACAACCGAAGTATCAGCGGACAGAACGGCCGAAACGGCCAAAAGTAGAAAGAGCATTTGGAAGAATGGAAAATCAGAAGAGATGGGAAACGGTGCGGGGAGGAATATGATTCGATTAACACTGACAGTTTTATGGGCTCGAGAAGAGATTGAGGAAAACACAGAAAAGAAAGTTCGAGAAAGACAATCAAAGTCAATTCATTCTGGGTCAAAGAAAAGTGCAGGAGAGAATCATTCACAATCAGTTTATTATCATCTTTCGGTCCTCCAATGCCATGTTCAAAATCGAGTTATCTGCAATCAAATCCGTTCATTTCGCCGCCCTTTCTTCCTCGATCGGAAGAACCCACCCGCAACGGCGGTCGGACACCTCAATGTGCGGAGAAATCCAGGGAAGGCATAGGCATTGCGTCGAATTGGGACGGCCTCTCACGTCGAAAGTCATCATGAGTTCGAACGAGGAAATGCACGCGTGCGAGAGGAAAACCGTTGGAGGGATCACGTACTGACGGTTTCTGTAAATCAGGAATCGGCGCTTACGAGCATCTCGGACGACGTAGCAAACCTCTGCAACTCGACGATCATGTGATTCGGCTTCTTCTCGTCAAACGGCATCCGGTTGGTGACCATGACGAATCCGACGACGCCGAGGGACCAGACGTCCGAGAGGAACGGGTTGTAGCCGATGCCACGCAGCAGTTCGGGCGCCGAGTACGACTTGGATCCGCAGAAAGTGTGCGAGACGGTCTGACTGTCGACGGTGCGCACGAAGCCAAAGTCGGAGAGTTTGACGCAGTCGTCGAACAGAATGATGTTCTCGAGTTTGATGTCGCGATGGGCAATCTGTTTCTGAATGGGAAAGAGTTTAACAGAAAAGTCAGGGGTCGGCTCGGACCGTGTGCATGTACTGGAGCCCGCGCATCAGTTGGGACATGAATCTGCCCGCTTTGCTCTCCTCGATCCTCCGTTCTCTTGAACAAAACGGAGCTGAAATCAAAACTCAATTCAATTAGAGAACTGTAATCCGTATTTACCAATCTCCCTGATTGCCGTACTCCATCGACAGGAAGATCATGTTCTGGGCCTCGTACTGAGCATGAAGTCCCACGATGAACGGATTCTTCAGCTTGCGCCAGCAACTGATCTCGCGCGGCAGGAACTTGGTCTTCACGTCGGCCGTCAGCTCGTGAATGTCTATTGCTTTGACGGCTACCTGAATCGGGAGTTCGGGAATCGAGAAGGCGTCGGAACGAATGACTAACGAGTCGATTGTTGGCCTTGTCGACCGCCTTGTACACCTTGCTGTACTTGCCACGTCCCAACTTTTTCGACGTGTCCAACTCCATCCCCTTCTTCTCGAAAGCCTGCAGGAAGTCGTTGATGGTGTAGCGCCTCGTCTGAAATTCCCTTTCAGCCGTGCCACGTTTTGTTTCGAAAAAGCACCTCATTTCTCTTGCGGATGTGGTGAGAACTCGTGTGATGCTGTGCACTTCTCGACGGCATGTACGACGTCTTCGGCGGCACCCCGGCGTATCGGGGGTTCGTGATTGCCGAGTAGGCCGAGTGCCGCGTGTACATCGAACCCGTCGAGTCTGAAACGAACGTCGCCGTTCGGCCGTCTGGAAACTGAAACCCACGTGGCGGGTGCTGTTGCTCACGCGACGACCACGTTCCCGTCGTCTCCTCGGTCGTCATTTTATCTGAGAAATGCGGAGAACCAGTGCACTGACCGCAGAGATCTCTTTCGATGACAACAATTCGTTTATTCGACGTAAACCAGTTTTAATACCGGGACAATACAAAGTTGCTCACGTGTTCCTATTGGCGTGAAATCAAAGAGTTATTGAAGACGATTACTGTACTATGATATCCGATCCTTGGTCGCTCTCCTCTTTCTTCTGCATCTCGTCCATCATGTCATCGATCTCGTGGAGCATTGAACGGACTTCGTGGGGAGACGCGTGGAACTGTTTGGCCACAAGGGAAGTGATCTCGGATACGGTAATGAACTGTCCTCCGATGGCGACCTCCACGTCTCTTCCGAGGAATGGTTGACGGGTGATCATCTGGAAAAAATGGAAATGATTATCCATTCTCAAAAACCACAATTACCTGACTGAAACAGTTGGTGAGATAGGAAATGAGAATGATGTTCAGGATGGTCCCCCACACCAGATAGGCGCTCACTTTCAGAAACTTTTCAAAAGTGCCAATGTCAGGAGTCATGTCCCCGAATCCAACTGTGGCGAAGCTGATGAAACTGAAAGAATTTGAAATGAGCATGGACCGCCAATTGTTTCCGCTCACCTGAAATAGTAATCATCGACAGAATACGCAGCCCCGGAGTGAGGAATAAAGAAGAAACCGATGAAGAAAGTGAGCACGTAGAGGGTGAGAATAACTGGGAACGGAAGGTCCCTGTCGTTCACCAATTGCCGTTCCGTACTTGTCTTGAACAGACATCCTTGTGCCTTCCAGTAGAACTTCGTCAAATACTTTCCAAAGTTTCCGAGAGTCACAATAAGCAGAGGGATTCCGATGAGCGAGAAACCGATGACGAAGGCCTTCGAGGCGGCAGTTTGTGGGAATTGATTTCCGTATCCGATTGTGGAAATTGTGATGAATTCGAAGAACAACACTTTGTAGAATGGCTCCTCTGCCAGAGATGGATCGATCTTTCGAAAGATAACCGCACCAAGACTCATGAATGCCGCGAGAATGAGCAGGATGATGGCTTGAGGAGCGATTCGTCGGAGGAATTTCTGCAAAAAGGGATCTCATACGGGGAAAGTTAATCTTCACACTCATTCAGTAGCAGAACTGGATATAAAATCACCGATTCCCCGCGCGGGCACGAACTCGTGCCGTTTTCAAATGGCGTCCGAGAGCGCGCACCGCTCGACCACTCGGGCGGACAACGGCAGCCTGCAGCGGGTGTTTATAACAGAGCGACCCAACAGAAATATGCGCTCTGACTCTCATCATGTTTTACCCTCTTTCTACGCGGTTTCCGAAGGGAAAAACGTAATTTTAAGTCCGAAAAGCTCACCTCCATGCTGGTTTTGCTAGAGACAGCCGGCATTCTGTCGAATAACGTTAGGGAACGCGTGCCAGATGTCGACGGAACAGTTGGAAAATGTGGAATCAGAACGTGATCAGAATGGAGAGACGCACAGAAAGCAGGCGATGAAAAACAAACTGGGCAGCTGTCTCTGAATAGGGGCAAAAGTAAAGTACCTAAAAGTTACGACCCTCTTACAGTGAAAGGGGCGAAACGAAGAGGAAGACGGCGGTGAAATGGCCGATGGACCGAGAATGAAAAAGAGAAAAAGAGAGAGAAACACAGTTTATTGTGGGAAGATTGATTCGAAATAAAAACCAAAGGAGAGAGAGAGAGAGAGGGAAAAGAATGATTTGATTGTTGGGGAAATGGTCTAGTTGAGGCAGTCGGTCGACTCCCCGGAGAACGATCCGGCCAAGTTGAGCTCTCCGATGTCGAACGTCTTGTCGGCGGTCGCTCCCTCGCTGATGAAGCTCTTTGGGATCTTGATCTTCAGCTTCTTGTAGCAGACCTAAAGAGTCGGATGATACTCAGAAGTCTCATCTCTTGCTCTTACCCCCTTGTAGTTGCACTTGTGGTAGATGTTGACATGGGGGTCGATGGCAGTCACCTCCTTCTTGTTTCCGGCGAGGGTGAAGGTTCCCTTGGCGTCAGTGGATTTCTCATCAAGAAGTTTATCAAGAACTAAAAGAAGACGTTGTGAACTATGGAAAAGAGCCGGAACTCACGGATCTCCTTCTCGTACAGCTTGACCTTGATGTTCTCTGCCGGCTCTCCATTGCAGGTGACCTTTCCGGTGACTCTCACCGCTTGAACGGTTCCGAAGAATGGAAGAGCGGAGACAGTGGAGACGAAAAGAGTGACGAGGAGAAGTTGACGCATTCTGGAATGATTGAAAATAGACGATTGTGAGATGGTTATATACACGGATTGATATGAAAGGGCGAGCGGAAGTGATGCATTCACTGAACAGTATGACTCATAGTATCATGAGTCGGGGGACACTGTATGTCAGTTAAAAGAGAGGTGTCAATGTGTGTGTGCTAAGAGGCAAAACGAAACTGACCACCAACTGTCGAAACGTCGAAATGAGAAAGACGGGAAGGAAAATAAGTTAGTTCTAGTCCCGGCCCCCTCCCACTTCGCATCTCTTCTCATATCAAGACCGAAGAGTGTGGCGAGTCGAGAGACGCAGATCAGTTACACCTTCTTTCTTTTTGTTTTTGGGCAAGGTCAACAAAGTGAGAATGAATGGACAAAGCAAGCCGTTTGACGGTCAGTTTTTGAGTAGGAAGTCAGTTTTCCATCGGCTTGATAACTGCCGTCGAGAATCGGTTTCGCGTAACCTGGCACTCTGACAGAACAATTATCCGGTTTGCTGTAATTACCGGACAATTATGGACGAAATCAAATTTCGAAAATACACGATCGATCAGTAAACCTGTGTGAAAAGATGAAATGCGAGCATGACATCAGGGTTGATCCTGACTTGTTTTTGCAGAAAAACTGATGAAGAGGGAAGTGGGCCTTCGCAAACATCGGCAGAATTTCAGACACTTCTCATGATTTATTTTAATTTCAATTTTGTCTAAGCAACGTGTTTTTAAGGGATGTACTTTTTGACTTGTCAGTTGAAGTCCTTCGATCAGACCCCAACTTTTCCCGACTGTCAGGTTCGGTACGAATCATTTTCAGTGAAAATTTCAGTGCTATCATATCATTTTGATCTCCATTGATTCTCCAGAGCTGAAACTCAAACTGGAAATATTCGATACCAAGACTAATAATCCTACAGATCAGTCCATTTGGAACAGCTCTGTGATTTCTCTGACTCCGGCACTTTCCTACTGCAACAATTCACCTAATTAGTTTCGTGCTAAACATTGCAGTGAGAAGAGATCGACCTTGTTCCAATCCTCTCCGATCTCTTTAGCCACATCTTCTGAGAAGGCGTTGATGAAGATGTTCTGTTCTGCGAGTGATTATTGTAAAGTCCGCTTACCAGGCTGCCTTCTTTCCAATTCGATGCATATCTCATCTCGTTTTACAGCGAGATGTGGGGCCGGTATTCGAAGGTTTACACACTGTTTCGCACCACTACATAACCCGCTTTTTGCTTGAACTTTTTCTGATTTCTCGCTCATTTTTCATGAAGAGATGAGATCCATTCTCCCTTTTTCCCTTCTTTTTCTTCTGTTTTCCATAGGATGTTTCGCTCAAAATGGAGGAATCGCGAAGATGAGAGAGCTCCGAACGAACATCGATCCGATCAGAAGCTTCGATCTGCCCGACGAGGCTCCGAGAGCACGAATAATTTCGACGGATTTCTTGCAGAAAAGCAGCAGAAAAATGATGAATAAAGTGTTCAAGGTGAGCTACGGAAGAGGATTTCTAGAAAAAAATAAATAAACTTCAGGACGATTCCCGACAGGAAGACTTCAGAAGATGGAAGCTGGACGAGCTGACGGATAGAGATATGCGAAGCAGCAAAGAAGTGAAGAGCTCCGCCCATTCGCTGTTCGAAGGCAGAAGCGGAAGTGAGGAAGAGGAGAAGAACATCGGAGAGTTCTTCCCGACAAGAAGATTCCTGAGATTATGATTGACTTGCCTTTTTCCGAAACCTCATTTGTTTGTACATACTGTTTCAATTGTAAATATTATTGTGGTTCAAACTGAACTATCTCAGGGAAATGAAAAAAAGTTGGCACTATTTATCACAGTTACTTATCATTTTACAACAAACTGAGGTGCAGTATAATACAAAATGCGGTTGTTTTTTTTTACATCTTCGAACGGGTCAGCCAAGGATCGGCCTGTGGCTTCCTCTCCGAGTCGGTCGAGATGAGAGCATTGATGACTGTCGGACCGTCCGTTTTCTGGAACGCCTTCTCCAGAGCAGCCTTGATTTCTGGAACGGTTCGCACAACGGTTCCGTCTCCTCCGAAAGCTTGACACATTTGTTCGTAACGGCATTCGGCAGTCAGGGAGAGGACTGGAAGGGCAAGAGTGCGATCTCCCTCGATGGACTTGTCGTCTTCTGGGAGCAGTCCGCGGTAGATTCCCGAGTTGTTGATGATGACGGTGACGACTGGGAGGTTGTATCTGAAAATATAAAGATTAACTTCTAACAGAAGAAAGATGCAAGTTTACCTGGCGATAGTCTCGAGTTCCATAGCGGAGAATCCGAACGCACTGTCTCCTTGCACGACGAGAACCTTCGTTTTCGGGCTGTTATCTCTGGCCCAAAGAGCGGCGGCAAGGGCAAATCCCTGTCCGACTCCCATGGTTCCGAAGGTTCCAGCATCGAGACGGCGCTTTGGAAGGCGGGAAGGCATCATGGTGCGACCGATATCCATGGTGTTGGCACCCTCATTCACTACGATCACGTCGTTATTAGCGAGGAATTCACGGATCGGATGATACGCGGCGTAGTAGTTGAGAGGGGTCGAGTGATCTTCGACGAGCTTCTCAACGGCGACTCTGTTCTTCTCGGCATTCTCTCTGAGCTTCTTGAACCACTCACTCGACTCGTCGTAGGTCCAATCGCCGAGTCTCGGTGTCAGCTCAGCCAGTGTCTCCCCAATGTCTCCCAAAAGTGGCACTTCAGTCTTCACGTTCTGATGGAACTCTTCTGGGCACAAATCGATCTGCACAACCTTTACATCTTCTGGAATCGAGGTGGGAGTCCGAAGTGGAGAATCCAGTTGAAGCGAGCGCCGATTAGAAGGACAGTGTCTGCCTCGCGGAGAGCCAGAGATCTCGCCTGTCCGATGAATCTCGGGTGGAGGTCAGAAGCGACTCCCTTTCCTCCCGGAGTGGCCAGCCATGGCAGTTTGGATTTTGTCAGGAATTGCTGCACTTGAGTGGCTCCGCGTTCCGACCAAGCAGCCCCCTTTCCAACGATGACCAACGGCTTCTTTGCGTCCTTCAATGCGTTGACAGCCTTCTCGATCTCAGCGATTGGAGGAATGGAGACTGGCGGTGGGAGTGGCACTGCCGGCGGGAACTGAATCTCTTCCTCGGTGCTGGTAAGCACGAGATTTCCTGGCAGATCGACGTAGACGGCTCCTGGTCTTCCGTACATTGCACACCGAACTGCCTTCTCTATGTGCGCGGGAATGGTGTGCAAACTGGTTGGCCTGCTAACGTGCTTGCACGAATTGCGCACGGATTCCTGCTGACTCCACTCCTGGAACGCCCCGCGGTTCTCCAAATCCACGTCGGCACTTCCTCCGATGCAGACGACTGGCCAGCAGTTGACGGTGGCGTTGGCGAGTCCTCCGATTGCGTGAAGGATTCCGGGGCCGGAGACGACGAGAAGAGCCACAGGCTTTCCAGTCAGATATCCCATTGCTTGCGCTGCGTAGGCGGCCTGAAATGATACCCATTCCCAGCCCGTTATTCGCATTTTCACCAACCGCCTGCTCATTTCTACATCCGATATACTTGATTCCGTGAGCCTGTGCGGCCATTCCCACCTCGATAACTGGGAATCCGACGACTCCAAACATGTACTCGACACCCTGGAATCAATCGATTCTTATCTTTTCTTATCGTCAATGATAACGGTGAATTATGGTCGTGTTGCGGAAAAAAGGAGAGACCGATAAGTTGTGTCGGCATGCAACCCACGTTGGAAACTACACTTTTTGTTTGGGTGTCACAGCTTGCAACTTTCAAAGTTTGAAAAACTAGAAAAACGTGGCAAATTTGGTTTTCTAGTACAATTACAATGCACGTAACTTACTACTAATAAGTAAACTACTAGTACTAGTAAGTAAATGCATTTTCTAGAAAGACTCTCGAATTTCCAAACTAAAAAGTTAATACAAACCTGAGATTTGAGAGCGGCGGCGGTGATCGCGGCTCCGTCCATGGTTGATCCGTCGTGCGAGCGAAGTTTTCTCGAACTGACGCGGCTGTCTTTGGCCGAATAGTCAGTGATAGTCCGGCACTGCTGCTTATCGATCACGCCGATAAGACCACGTTGTGGTGCGAGAGAGAAACGCGACCTTCGCACCAGAACGGACAGTGATCTACCTGCGAAACGGGTGACTTGGAAAAGAGGAAAAGAAAGCAGCGGCATGAGTTTGTTTTTGAAAAATACAGAATTGTTATGTCGCCTACATTAGGGTCTTGTGTTTTGCAGTTTTGCTTTGTTTGGCAAAAGGAACAGTCTTCTAATGCAATAGAAAACTTACGTGACGAGGCATTTGCGAGAGAAGTTGCCAAAAATCTGGTGGACGACATCTGAAACGAGCGTTTCTGTTTGAATGGTCGACCTGAGAAGGCGTGAGACGATTCTGATTCAGATGATCTTTCTCCCGTTTCTTTCGCCGTCTGCGTCTGCTCGTTCAACGAATTCAACAGCAAAGATGACACCCAATGACGACGGTTTTTCAAAGACTTTTCGAAGACTACGTCAGCAGAATGAAAGAACTCCATCGAGATACAACAGTGAGATGCGTAAACATCTTAGTCGCCTCGCAATGCAACTGAATCTTGATACCGAAGTGATTCATTCGAAATCAGAGAACAGACCAGTATATACGAGTACGGAGGTAGGGCAAGATTCACAGGAAATTTTTTAATTAAGTGAGTGAGTTACTACTACTACAAAGGCTAAACAGGAAAAATGCAAAGAAAAGGGAAAATATTGATTGTACAAGTAGGTGATAACAGTGCGGGTTGACCTGCGGCGATGACTCGAATCATCAGAAGCTCGACTCTGATAACGACGAAGAATTGACCGCTTTGCTCCATTCCGTCTCTATAACTAGGATTAGAGTCATGAGAAGTCAGTTCAAGACTCACGAGTACCGGAATCTCTAGCGTCGTCCTCGTCCTCACTGGATTCGCCCAGAAGGCTCAGATCGTCGTCCGCCACGCCGCTCTTCTTCTCTCTCCGTTCTCCGTCGCCATTCTCTTCTTCTTTCTCCGATTTTGGGCATTCGATCGCCTTTTCGGTCCTGCAAATCTCAGCGTGTCCCCCCTGACCACCTCTACAACGATGCCGTACTTTTTCTCCTGTTCTATTCTTTTCACCTCTTTTTTCGTCACATTCAATTGGATTGCAGGAGGTGGAGGTCGTTCCGGCTCTCCACCTTCCAACCATCCTGCGATTTTTCCGATGCTTGAACTGCAGAACGTGAGCCCTCAAATTAATAAGTTATCAAACATTTGAAATAAAAGAATTGGCTCACAAATGGGTTCATAACTGAAGAACGGAGTACGGACGGTGCCGACCATCAGAATCAGGAAGAATGTCATGACGATTTGGGCTATAAACGGAGCACCATCGTACAAATCTCTGAAAAAGAAGAGTAAGATAGAAATAAAAATTAGCGTGTAATTACCTGAAGAAGTGGTTCAAATGCTTGGCAGAAGCGGACATGAAAGCGAAGAAACCACTGGAAATGGTTTCGGAAAACACTTCGATTATGGAAATTTCGTGGAAGATCGAAATGGTCTGACTCTCGATGTACTTGAGACAATTCGACTTTTGTCTGTACTGGAACGGCGAGGCCACAATCTCAACCATTCGGGAGAGCAGTCCTTCGGGAGCGCACGCGTCTCGTGAACTCTCTTGGAACTGGGCAAACCGACGAGATTCCGCTTCTTGGTACTTTCTGTTGTAGCCAGAATACATTGAAATTATGAGAATTGTCGAGAATACGAGTATCCAGAAGTTTCGAGGACGGACTATCGAACGAATAACGACGACGGCAGCGGCGGGAAGAACGAACAAGTTGAGAGTGAATATGAACGGCTGCAGGAAGATGAATGTGTCGTGCCACGTCGGATCGGGAGCCGCCTCTTTCACAGTGAAAATGTTGGAAAGAGCGGAGCGGACGGCTTCACGATCTTCTGGATTATCAGCTTCCTCGTCGTTCAGATACTTTGAGAGCACTACCATGCTGTGTCGCGAGATTTTGACTCTGGAAATGGGCATTTTTTCGTCTGAGAAACCTCGGACACTTTACTCACTGAACATCGCGCAGCACAGATTCTTCATGTTCATAATCGATATGGAGTTCCAATAGGAGTTGTCGGAGAATCAGACGAAGGCTTTGATCTGGCTGAAACTATCGAAAGGATGACTTTTTGCGTTCAATGTTTTCTCACTTTTTGGTGAACGGCGGGAACATTCGAACTAGAGGGAAGTGGTTTGGAAGGCTGGGAACGGTGCTCGAGCGTCGGGTCATTCGGATCTCTCCACACATCGTTCCCATTTTCTGATTCTGGCTCTGAAAAAAAAGAGCTCTGTCGATACACAAATTAATTGAATACCATGTGCGCTTGTGACCTGCGTCAATAAAACTATCATCGGCCAAAATAACTGCATCTGAAAAAGCCGAATTGTTTTGTTCGTTTGAATAGAATAAAAGCAATAAACTGTGATTTTTTCAGCAGATGTAAGCAAAACGTGACAAAAACGGGATATTGCAGTCAGGAAATCCCATAATGCCTTCACGCATTCCGAAGCGTCATCTTGACAATGGAACCGTCGAGACTGTGTTATTTTGAGAGCAATTCGCCCTTGTCGCTACCTTCTGGAGCAGAAGTTACATCCCAAAAGAGGTTTTCTGTATTTTTTCTATGGGATTCTAATTTTCCGCGAGATTAGCGCATTTTCGAAAAGACTACGGTGGACATTGCCCTGCGCACGCACATATGTCGTCCGTTATTGTGCTTGCGTACCCAGAGCAATTTGCATTTCTTCCTTCCAGAAACGCTTTTCCGCGCTGTTTTCATTGATTTTGAGAATTCTAAGGAATGAAACTGTGGGACGCCCCCCGTACTTCCTTTCCATACTCGTTCGACGAAGTAGTCAGTGCATTCTGGGACAGGTGAACGTGCCGAATGATAATATAGGCTGACTCTCTGAAATTGCAGGTATCCAAACTCGCACGCGAAGCACATCATCTCGGAAGATGTACTGGAACGAAAGATTACTGACAACACAATTGTCACCAAAAAGTTGATTGTCAAACAAGGTGAGTTAATTCGCATGCTCCTTTCACTTCATAAACGGATGTTCAGGCAGTTCAATTCTGAAGAGAGTCCCTCGTTGGATTTCGCGAATGACTGACATCCGAGTGGTCCCGGTCATTGAGGAGAGCGTGTACGATCGTGTCTCGAAGCGACTGGTCACTTACACCCGTAACGTCTCCCATCTGTCGCTTTTCGAGCTTCACGAAAGATGCATTTACAGGCAGCCAGAAGTGAGTTTCTATGTCCGTCCTCTTTCGACGTTTTTCAAGTTCAGGATCAACACCATACTCCTGCTCTCCTCACGGACGTTCTTCGCAGTGTGACAGTTTCTATCGACTGTGGACGAATGAGCTCAGTCTACGAGAAAGTACTCATGATGGGGTTCAAGAAGTCTATCAATAACACGACAAAAGGAATGTTTGAGAAGCTAGAAGAGAAGTTTGGAGTGAAGCATTTGGCCAATGAGAAGATGAAAATGATAAAGGAGAAGATCATCAAATCGTCCTCAAACCTCGTTACTCATGTCAAATGCGAGGAAGATAGTGATTGAATTTATTCTGTGTATTCTCTCTAATACCTTCAACAATCTCAAACAAAAACCAAACTTTTCACTTTTGCGTTTCCCCATTCATTTGGAAAATATCAATTCTTATAGAATTTTAGAATCTTCTGCACATTCGTCCCCACGTCATCTTTCGTTGCCCCATTCGTAGTTGTAGTTCATATCTGAGCCATTCTTTCTGCTTCCTTCTGGCTCTTCCAATAAAATGTACATATCCCTGCGTCTTGTTTATTGGACTCGCGATAACTGGTTATTGACCACTCGTTCTATCTTTTCTCCGTTGCATCATTTCTTCGAATCCCTTAATCGATGATCCTTCAGGTTCTTGGAAAGACTGACAACGAACTTCCCAAAAGTTCTCTCGGACTTTTGACACGTAATGGCGAGTACTATTTACCGGTGAGTGACCGCCCATAACTTTTGGAACACGCCACTTGTCTCGTTTTTTCCCCGCAAAATAAACCATCGATCAGTGAGACGTGGAGCTCGAGAGATAACCACTTGCAGCCTGATCACAATCCTCTCTCTCCTCTCGTTGCTCCATTGTGCCTATTCCGCCGCCCAACATCGCTTCTACCTGCGTCTCACCGAGCAGCCTTTCGTGAATCTTCCAAACGACGTCGTCGCCCAGACGCTGATCTCCCTGATTGCGTTTATCTACGGCACCTCGTACTTGGCGAACCCATTCCAGTACATCAAGAAAGATCAGGTAGGCGCGAAATTTAATGTGACCTTTTCAATCACAATTAATCTCTTTAGCATTTTGACCGAACATGCGACGAAGCGCTCAACTGTCCCTCGTTCATCACCTTCGACAACCGTACGAAGGCCATGTCTCCCGAGTTCTCGATGCTCCGCGCTCTAAAGCAACAACGGCAGAAGCAGCCGAGCACCTCCGCTTCACGGTCTTCGCACAGCGGCCATGTCTCGGAGACCGTTCAAGAGTCGGAAGACTCTACGGACTCCCAGGAATAGCCACCTCTTCCCGCCCGTTCTCCACCAAATCCTCTCCATTCGCCGATAATCGTAATAATTCCAATGATAAGAAGAACACACCTAGTCCATCGCCAGACTTTAGCAATATTCCGGGTGCACGGTAATTCTCTTGTTGTCTTTCACTTGAATCATCTCTTTATATATAAAAACGTTTTCTAGTATACCCAAGTCGAAGCCAAAGAGCACTCGAATACTCGAAATCAGTCAGCCGCAGGCCGATGAGGCGTTCAGAAGTTGTCTTGAAATGGTGCGAAAGCATGACGTCGACAGCTACCTTTCAATTTTGACGATGAACAAAAAAGCACAGCCTGAACTTGTCGCGGTATGTGTTCGATTGATAGAGGGGAAAACCACTAGACTTTTTCAGTTGAACGCACTAAACGTCGAGTTGGCATCAATCCGTGACAAAGTGGACACTCGGAAGGGCGACACTTCTGCCATGTACCGTCTGCAGTTCTGGAAGGACGCCATCTCGTCCATCTACGGTCTTTCCCCTCTCCCAGTCCCTCGTCAACCTGTCGCCATCGCTCTCTGCGTTTTTGCCGGGCGTGCCAACTCGGAAGTTCTTCTGAAACTAGTCGAGACTCGTCAGTCAACAATTGGCGATCGTCAGTTCGCGGACATCAATGCTGTAAGCGTACACCGGCGCAATTTTCAGTTCATGTAATCATTTCAGTTGTGCGAGTATGGCAAGTCAACGATCGGGTCTCTTTTGCGCCTTCAAATCGATGCTCTGGCCAGAACCTCTCCGGGAACAACAGTACTTCCACCGGCCTATGACGTGGCAAAAGATCTGGGTGCCGCGTACGCCATCGCCAACATTCTGCGTGCCACGCATCCGTTATTGGCTCGCGGAATCGTACTTCTTCCTGCTGATGTAATGGCTTTGAACGGTGCCACTCCGGACAGTATTTACAAGAAAAAGAAGCTGGAAGAGACTGCCGGATTGACGAGGGACCTCGTGAATGAGTCGAAAAGATTGCTGGCGGATGCTCGCGATCGGACGGTCATGGTTCCGAAATCAGTGAGACCAGCTCTTGCCGCCATCGGAGCCACCACCGACTACATTCTGAAGACGGTCGAAAAGAACAAATACGACATTTACTCGCCTCATTTACAACGTCGAAACCCCCTCCTTCTCTGGTCTCTTCTGGTTAGAAAACTGCGCTCAAAGTTCTAAACTTCATTTCATTTGTCATTGTGTTTGTGTTCCCTTAATTCTTCTTTTTCCCTTCTTTTTCGTTTTATTCATGACGACCAATAAATTTTCCGAGCTTATACCAATCAGGGAGGGGGGCACTCGTCGGCGCATTGGATAACTGAATAATAACAAGTCAAGGAGTCGGTTCGTATAGAAGAAGAAGCGGCAGAAGGAGAAGAAGAAGAGTGGCAATTTGGAATGCAATACGAGAATATGTACGCAGGCTTCTGCTTATTTTTGTATTGTTGTTGTTGTTATCTGGAATCAAAGGAAAAGAGGCTGGTTCTGGGGGAGAAGAGGGCTCTCATAGAAGACGAATTCTGGATTACTCAAGTACTCTATTTGGGAATACGGTAGATCAGAGCTGTAATTTTTAAAGTGACAATAGAGAGTGACTCATTCTATTATACGTCTTGCTCCCCAAGTTTTGCTCCGTCGACTCCAATTTCCAGAAGATAACTCGAGTTGTTTACCATTCTGGCAGCCCGCAGACAACAATGCGCAATGTTTTCCAGTTTATTTCGCGTTTTTCTCCTCTTCCCTTCCTTTTCAGTTCTCTTCTGTTTAGCTGCTTTTGTTTTCTTCCGGCGCCCCGCCCTCTTCCTTTCCGACGATTTCCAGAAGATTCGCAGAATAGTCAATCAGTGTTTTTGCCACGTCATCTCAAAAGTGTCACGAAATGCTGGAAAAGCAGTCCGATTCGACGGGTGTTTGCACAGTATCCTCCTCCTCGATTCGCTCGGCGTCTCTCCGATCCTCGCGCTCTTTCGTCGCCATCAAACACACCTAGTCGCGCATGTTTTTGTGCGGGAGCCACTCCCTCCCTTTCACACAATCCCTCCTTTTCTACCGTCTACCAACTTCTTCTTTTTGTCCCCTTCGGCTGTCCGTTCGAAGCGACGAGTTCTTGTGATCCCTCCATTCCTGTCTCCAGAATCCAGATCCCACGTCATCTGCCCTCACTTTCTGTCCCTTTTTCTTTTCTTTCTCCCCGATTATCAAGCGTCTTTGTATCGATGATTAAGAACGGATCGAGAAAATCGAAAGTAATTGGCAGATGCCAGTCTCTCGCCGCATTCGAGATGAAGCCGATCAGTGCCCCTCCCACCGGCGCACGCTCCCGATATACCGTACTCCCATCTCTCTCTCTCTCTCTTCTGCCACGTCTTCCACTTTTCGACTCCAGTCTTGTCCACTCCTCCATTTTCACCTTCTTTCCACACTTTCTCCTGTCTGTGGGCGGCAGTGAGAAAGTGACAGTTGCGGACAACCTTATCACCGCTTATTCTTCTCATCCAGCAGCCACAAAAACCAGATCCGAAACATGTTAGCCGGTTCGTGATCCGAGATCGTCGCGCCAAAAACCAAAGAAAAAAAGAAGCGAAGCGAAGGGACGATGATGGATTGCGCAAGGAACGTGGCTTTTATGGGTGGAAGAGGACTGGGAATCGGAGCGAAATTCTGGATAAGCTTTCTATTTTACACACCGGATGGTATGGTTCATCTCTGCCTCCAACACTATCTCGTTTCCTGGTTTCCCTCATTTCAAATACAGTAAACTTCTCAAAAAAACTCTCCGTCCATTTCCGATCGTGCCAGGATATTTCCGTCCTCTCCCGATTGTGAAATACACATTTCTTGTTTCGTGAGTAGTACAAACGAAGCGACCATCCGAGCGCCGGACGAGTGAGGAGGCCATATATACGATATAACAGTGTAAATACAAAACATTCGCCGGGCGCCCGCGCCCTCTTGGACCCCGCCGTCCGCTGAGAAATGGGCGGTCCTCCCGGGGGCAGCAGCAGCAGAAGTAGATTTATTTGACGGGAATATCGGAGGAGGCGGGCGGGCGGGCGACGCAACGGTCTCCGTCCATTCTCCATCGGCGTCGTCGTCGTGTATGTGAGTGTGTGTGTGTATGTAAACTGTGTGGCGCCCGCCGTGCGCGAGAGAGACCGATTGAGGACAGTCGGAGCCACAAATAGAAAGAGGCGGCGAGCCTGGTCGGCCCACGGTCTACACACGGCCTGCCTACGAAGGCCTGAAGTTTCTGAAGCCGTCGGAAGCCGACCGTAACTCCTTCGCTTCGTCCGCCCAGGTCTCCCTTCAGTTGCCCGTGCATCAAGTGGTTCAATTGCCAGTATCTATACAGTTCGCGCACTTTCCCTTCCGCGAGCGCGCGCTCTACTCCTCCTCTTTCTCCGGCTCGGTCCGTCCGAATATCCGACTCACTTACACAAACAAACAAACAAAGTCTTTTGCGAAAAGCACATATACCGGCCACACACAGCCGGCCCGTGGGGCCTATTGATTCCCTCTTCCACCTCAAACGGTCACTCTCTCTCTCTCTCTCTCGCTTCTCAATCCGACCATTTCACGATTCAATGTGTCATCCATACCAGTTTTAGAACTCTTTTCTTCGCCCCTCAATGTTTGCGTCCAAGTGCAGAAATACAAGTGACCGTAACCCTTTTGTAAACTGTCAAATTTCACAATCTCAGTTGGAACTGTCGCTCCAGACGGCTACTGTAGTTTCATTTGATCCGCACGTCAGCACCAGCCACAATCTAAATCTGATCTCTTTGAAATAACCTTGGGATCATCTCATAACTATCACGGTTAACATAATTTCCGCTTCTCCAAATTAGGGAATTTCTGCAAACCTCTCTTTCGTCTTCATCTACTTCTCTTTCTGCAGCATCGTGACCTTCCGCCCTCATGTTCACCTTGAGAACTCGTAACATCGAAACCGTAGTACTCCACGCATTGTCTGGCAAGCTGGTTGTAATCAATTACACTAATTGCCCCTCGCTTCTTCTTGTCTTTTATCATTGTCATTCGGTTCTGACCCCTCAATTCTAGTTCTCTCTTCAGATGGACGAACTGATCACTCTGGAAGGCGCCTCGCAATCCGAGCAGATCATCGGATCCCATGACTTTTGCAACTTCTCCAACATCACGCACCACGAGCACGACGAGCAGTCCATCTCGATCGTCTGGTGGAGCAACGTCGCCGTGCTGCCCATCATCGCTTTGATCGGCCTCGCCTGCAACCTCCTCAACATGGCGGTACTCACGTCGAACAAAGCCGCCCGCCGGATCCCCTCCTGGAACCTTCTGATCGCCTTGGCAGTGTGCGACAGTCTTTTCCTCGTGTTCGCCACTCTCGACGTCACCCCGCTCTCGATCCCCTCGCTCGCATTCTCCACTTCCTTCAACCACTTCTACTCGAGGGTCGTACTGTACATAAGGACGTTGGCATCGACATTCTACAAAAGTAGTGTCTTGTAAGTCGCTCTGTTCTCATTGCTAACTCTTCAATTCTATATTTAGGATCGTGGTGGCCTTCAACATTGAACGCTACCTGTGCGTCGTGTGCCCTCTCAACTCGCATCGTTGGTGTACTTCAAGAAACTCGAAGAATGCGATTGCCACTGCGTTAGTTCCTTTCAAGAGATCAGGGGAACAAAGCCTCCTATCTTACAGGGTCTTCGTTTCGTTCTTGTGCTCAATCCAATGGCCATTGGCCTACGACACAATTCGTTGTTTCGAGAGCAATTCGAACGAGTACTACTACGTGATTCTCATGTCGACGCACCGTGCTCTTCAGGTATTTACTGCTCTTTTCACCGCAATGGCATTGTTTGTATCGGCGCACGGGGGCCGAAACCTGACACCTTTGTAATTAGGACAAATCAATTGGGGAGAGAGAGAGAGAGAGAGAGTCAGAAACGTTTACTTACTGTTTGGGGGCGAAAAGCGTCTCGCCGGGAAACCGCGAAAGAAAGAGATGCGGACGGATTTATTTTTAGCTTTGCAACGATCAAATTGGATCTGCACACACAGAAATGGTTGCGGAGTAAACAGAACACTGTGGGGTTGACAGCCGCTTTCGATGGTGACGATGACGAACTGTTTGTTTCTATAGTAATCGCGCTGATAGGTCAACTGGGGGGCGAGCTACTGGAGACTCTCTTCCCTCTTCCTTACTTCCGATTTTTCAGATCTACTACCGGACCATGGACTACATCTCCTTGATCGCCTTCAACGTTCTCCCGATCATTGGCCTTCTCTACATGAACTCCAGAATCATTTTCACGCTCCGAAGAGTCGTGGACGAAGATTCGAGAAGAGATGAGGAGACGAAGCTCTCCGACGGACTCATCCAGCAAGAGACGCACAACAACCGTACCATGAGAGCCAACGCAATGCTCTTCGCAGTCGTCTTCATGCTCTTCTTTTGCGTTGGTCCCCAGGCGCCGGCTCGTCTGCTCTTTGACATCTACGGACAGTATCACCCGAAAGCCATTCTGTATGTGTGCCTCAGCCAACAGCTCGTTTCCTGAACGCCTCCCTCAACTTCTGTCTCTATTGTGTCGTCTCGAAGAGATATCGGGCACTGATGAGACAGACTCTCAAGAAGTTCATGCACAAACTGGAAGGTAACTCATTCTTGTACTCACTTTCAAGTTCCAGTCGCATTTGTTTCCAGGTGTGGATCGTCCGTTTCAAATCAGTTTGAAGCAGACGAAAAGCAGTTCCGCCCACGTGACTTCGCTCGAAGATCACCATGCTCATCTCATCCAGAACGTCTGATTCCTTCTTTTCCATTAGCTCACAAACGTCTCACTATCCGACGGGTTCCTCCAGTTTCATTCCTAGTTCTTGAATGTGTACATCCTCTAGGTCCACGCTTTATACGTACTTGCTTTACGGGTTTCTATTGTGTAGTTCATGTAAATAGACAATGATGAACCGAATAAAAGTGTTCTTTGACTGTGGTTATTCGTGGACGTTTTCGCAGAAATGTTCTATAGAATCTATAGATCAAACGTTTCTTCTTTCCGTCAAGTCAGCCCCCGTCTTCGGGGCCAAAAGGAAACGACTCGAGGCGTGTCAGTAGTATATAAAATGTTGTTTCTGGGACACTTTTTTGCCGAATTTCATTTATCTGCATTTTCAGACCATTTTGTTGCATAAACAGAACACAACATGTCATTTTCTAAGCCAACAAATTAAAAATAAAAGCATTGATGACTCATTTTACCCGAGTTTTGAAGTTTTGCTTATTATTAAATGGCTACTATTTATCTCCGCAATGACTTGAAGCCTTTAAGTAATCTAGATCTTCTGGATCTAGTAGAAACATTGGAAATCAAGAATTTCCGAGAAATCCTCATGATAGACACTTTGCCAGATAAGATACTACCCAGAGAAGTCGAAATTGTCAATCTTGACTCCAGTAAAGAAAATTGCAACAAAAGTTTTTTGTCGACATGATCTGACAGGTACTGTGATAAGTATTAGGTCAGTGACCACATGGTATGCTCTTTGACTGTGGTTATTCGTGGGCGTTTTCGCAGAAATGTTCTAGATCAAAAGTTTCCTATTTCCGTCAAGTCAGCCCCCGTCCTCGGGGCCAAAAGGAAAAGACTCGAGGCGTGTCTAATCAGCCGATATCATCACGGCTCCTGCGCTTTCCTCTAATACAACACAAATGAATTCCTCGTGCTCGACGACTTTCACTTATTGGGATTCTGTGCAATTTCAAGCTACTTATTCTCACATTCTGATTCTAATTACTCTTCCAATCAATCTATTCGGCGGCTACTGTATCATCAAGAAGACTCCGCGGAATCGCAAGACTGCCAGATGGTATATACTCCATCTTCATGCGTGGTAAGCTCTCAAACACCTTCTGAACAATGACGTCATCGGTTTGGTGTGCAGGACGATTCTGACGGACTTGCTCATCGGCGGCCTGCTCACTCCTTACATGTTCTTTCCGTTGCTCGTCGGAATTCCGGCCGGAGTGCTCAGTTGGCTCTCGGTTCCCGTGTGGATTCAGGTGTTTTTCGCGCAAGTTGGACTAGGCGGTCAGTTGGGAAAACAACGAAGATCAGATGATGCACCACGTGCTGTTCTGTCCCATGAAAACTTGTTTCGCTTTTGAAAACAATGGGGCGCGCTTTCAGGTCTAGCCACATCAATTGTGATGCTTTTCGAGAACCGGCACAACACTTTGGTTCGAGGGAAGTTCAAAATAGAGGCCGAATGGATTCGCTACACTTTCTACGCGCTCAACGGCATCTACTCGCTCCTCTTCCTCCTTCCTTGCTACTTCAGAATCCCCGATCCGACGTGGGCCAAGCCGATTCTCCTAGAAGTAGTCTGTGCTCGTCGCCAACTCTCACACAAACCTCAACCTTTTCAGATCCTGCCTTGTCCTCATCCGTCCTATTTCCAAGACAACGTGTTCGTATTCTCAATGGACATTTCTTCGGTTACCGGCACCGCCGGCTTCTACCTCATGTTCATGCTATTCGAAACGTTCGCTCTTTGCATTCACTCCAGTTATTTCTTGCTCAGTCTGAAGACGCACATGTCTCGGGCGACGAGAAAATTGCAACAAAAGTTTTTTATCGACATGATCTGGCAGGTACTGTGATAAATATTAGGTCAGTGACCACATGGTATGAGTTTGTAGGTATCCATTCCAGTCGGAGTCATCGTTCTCCCGATGCTCTACTGCTTCTACTCGATCGTTCAACAACAGTACAACCAGAGTGAGAATTCGCAGTGGATCAAATTGCATTCTCTGCTAATTTCAGTGTACAACAACATCGCCGTCATCTGCATCTCTCTTCACGGAATGAGCTCGACCCTCACGCTCATTTGGCTCAATCCGACCTATTGTCAATTTGCTCTTAGCGCGCTCACTTGCATGAAGTACAAATCGAGAACACGTGGAAACAGCACCGTCATGACCATGTCGCCCTTGACAATTACCGTAGTCCAGTAGTTCGCAGCATCATGAATAAACATTTCGCTCAATTTGAATCTACCTCTCTCTCTCTTTCTCACTCCAACTCGGTATTTTTGTTCTCATCTGAATTTACAGTCTAGACCCAAAATTTCGATTTCAGAGAATGGTTCTTCCGGTGATAGTTCGTGAAAGTGCAAAGTCCGACTATCGAATTGTGTTCAGAAATACGTCGATCTTTGTCGTGGCAGTAAAGGTTCGAGTCGAAATGAACGTCTTCACTCACTTTGTGTCCAGATAATCAACCCGAATGCGTCGCTGAGACTGGATCGTCACGAGTGTTTCCTTCTCGCCAACAAGTACACCTTCATCAATGTTCTGGACACGCCTGCGAAAGCGGACGTCAAGAAGACGCCTCTGAAGCCAGTTCTCGTCTACTGCCGCGCCATGTACCCGTTCAATCGCAAAAATATCCGACATTGGATCGAGAACCACGTGACGGACAAACCGCAACATCTCGTTCAGACGCTCAACTTCGCCATCGACGATTCCGAGTTTTCGGCGAAGACGGTAAGGGAATCCGATCGATTTCCACTCAATCTCCTTAGGTTATTGTCGACCTGCCCGGAAAATCGACGATGATCGAGTCGACTGGATATGCGATCAAGATGAACAACAGCAAAATGCTCTTGAGAACGTTTTTGGAAAACGGTAACGGATTACGGTATCTACTGAAGATTTAGCATGCTATAGATACTTCTTCTGCCGTTCCGATGGAAGCCAAATCCGTTCTGAAATGTCTTCCGCGAGTTGCCAAGCCGGATAATCGGAACACTGCGAAGCCGGTTCCAAAGGTCCCGATTGAAAATGAGTTAGGAGGGAAAACGGTGTATCCCGATTGCCCATTTCAATTTACAGAGACGCTTGTTTCATTATTCCGTTGTTCAAAGCACTCTGCAACCCAACGACTAAGGTGGAGACTGTCTGAAAAAAAGAGGAATGAGTGAACTGTTTTCACATAAACTTTTTCCAAACGTCTGAATCTGTTAGATATGAAGTTGCGTAGAATACTGTTTTTATGAACAGTTTTGACAGATTTTTTTTCAGAAAATGTACAGGAAGGGTCCACGGGGGGGGAGAGGTAGAAAATTAAACATCGGGAAGAATCGGTCACAACTGAGACCCTGTAGAGAAAGGAATGTTTTCGGGGGTTAGTATGAGGGAAAGAAGGAAAGTGTTTAATAGTGTTTGACGGCATGGAAGAGCCAATTCGTCTTTGTGGACCATGAACTGTTGAAGGTTTCCTCGTAGACGCCTGCGAAGAATTTGCTTGCTTCTTCCTTTGTTTCGGCTTTGCAGCAGAGGGTTTTCTGAAATGAACAGTATTTCAGGCTTTAATATAAGTTTTTAAACCTTCAAATGATCCAAATCTTCTTTGGTAGATAGCTCGGGAAGTTCCATTCCGAGCATGAGAGTGAAGAGCGAAACGAACAGATCTCTGTTCTTCCACATCACATCGTACGCCTCGACGCATAACGACTTGAATCTGCAATAATCAAATTTGTAGTTATAATTAATATTTGTTCCTTACTTCTGAAGTTCATGCGAATTGCCATCCACAGACTTTCCAGATCGAATGACGGTCAGGAAATGCTCTGTGAGCACGAACGGCTGTCGGTCTCTTTGAATTCCAAGCTTCGTCTTTCCATGGCCCAGAATGTGTCCGAAGTCAATGTGGAAGAGTTTTCCGTCCTCGGTCAGCATGATGTTGTCGCTGTGCCGATCCTTGATGCCCATTATGTAGGTGGAGACTGAATATCCGACACACGAATACAGGAACCGGTCGACGCTCTCGAAGTACTTTTTCGTCGCTTGCGCATTCGCAGCCGCATCAAGATCCGTCGGAACTGTTTTCTTGTCCTTTTTCTTCTCTTCTCTGAAATGTTACAGCAATTGAACAAAACTGAACGGTCCTATTACTCTAGGCCGCATTTTTTACGGATCCACTTGTTCATAAAGTTCGGATCAATGCCTCGGACGGCCGTATTCACAATGCCCGATCCACACTGAATTTCGAATATCGTTCTGCAGTTGGGTACCACTTCGATGATTCCGATCATTTCGCCCATTGGAAGAACGGCGTACGGGCTGAGGCAGCAGTCGATGTTGGCTGCTTTCCAGATGTTGTCCATCACTTCGAGCACTTGGAGAACAAGCATATCCTGGCGAAGGTCTGAACTGCCGGGATTAGGCGAGATCTTTCATTTAAACGATTACCATCTCCATTCTTGAAGATCATTTCGCAGTACGGCAAATGGAGGTCGCTCTTCGGATTTTTGTTCTTCCAGACAAGTCGAAGAGGCTGCTTGGCACTTCCCAGCACGATCGCCTTTTCGATACTGGAAAGAAAGAGTTCGAATTGCGGGGAAAGGTGTCTCCATACTGAAGCTCTCCGAGTTTGTAAACTGGATCCAGCGGTGAGTCCATGTTCTCCATCTTGTAACGGATTGATCGCAGCTCTTCTCGAAGCTTCGCTCTCGCCGCCTCCTTCGAAAGTCCTTTGACAAGAGTGCTGATCCGTGTGAGCTCGTCAACCATGTCGACCTGTCGGATGATCGTCTTGATGTGCTCCTCGTTTCCACGCAGATAGGCCTCCATCAGAAGCGAGATACGACGGAATTCTTCACTTTTCATTTCGCAGTCTCTGAAATCATTGAGTGTATACAAACTCGGTGCGAGTGTTCTACCTGAGACGTCCGATTTCTGCGCGAAGAAGCCAGAAGAGACGGTGTCCGACACGATAATCGCTGAGAGCACGCGTGAGCAGCATCATTCCGACTTCGGATTGAGCACGTGGCTCGTACTTCAGCGCCTGTATGAGCGGCAGGATGAAGAGATGGAATGTGGTTGGAGTGAGTTGCTCGTCGAGCTTCTCAACAGCGAACTTTCTGATGACTCGATCTGTACACCGTTTTCCGAGCAATGTCAACGCAGCGGCGACACTCGGAGGCCTCCATCGCTCGAGCATAACATACAGTTCCGAGAAGTTCTCTCGGTCTGTCCACACGAACTTGAGTTCCGAGATTACGGTGAGCAAGTCGGGTTCCTGCTTCTGAATGTATCTCCTCCAATTCCACACGTGCTTCTGCTCATCGCTGTCCAGCGCGGTTCCTTGTTCGTGCTTCTTCACAAGTTGCATGAGCAGTTTGTATCCTGGCTCCCGAATGCATGCTTCGTAGTCGTCGCCCACAATGTTCACAGTCTCTGTCCAGCTGCTCCGATGATCCACAAGATACGTGTATTGTCCCTGACTCGGCATCCGAACCCTTCCGCCGTAATTGGAAATCTCTATTGTCACGGCCGCGGTCGTTCCGATGCGTGCTCCGTTCTCTCCGATTCGACTTCTGTTCGCCGTCGGTTCGGGAGCCCACAGATTGAATGTGAACGTCCCTTGCCTTAGCTCGTCTCGCCAGTCCGTCAGTGACATATTCACCCATCCAACTTCAGCTTCCGGACTATTCAGACGCACTTTTCCGTAGTAGACGCGGACGTTCAGAACGGCCGAGGGCGGCATGTCCTTCATATACAAATCGAAAGTGTACATTTCCTTATTCCATTTCGAGAACTGTGCGTTCACTTTCGTGGATGACTTCGTGGCGAGCACAAGAGTTCCCACGTACACTGTGAAGTCCATTCTCACGTAGATTTCCGATTCGACCGGAAAATCAAAGCCAGTGACAGTGACGGGTCGGATCATTAGATTAGCATCGAGATCCCAAAGAGACACTTGTTTCAGAGAAGCAGTCGGTCGAAAGTCGGTGAGCACTTTGTCGCTGTTCTTGTTCTGCTTCGGAGTTACATCTATTGAAACGCTCAGAACATCAAGTGCCAGTTTCCGCTCGTGAGCACGCACGTAATGGGGTTCGTAGAGGGGCTTCGGACGAACAAAATCCTTTAAAACGAGTGATGCGCGGCGGACAACGAATCCAGGGGAGCGATAGCTTTCCAATTCGGAACGAACTCCCTAAATGAAAAATGTGTTCCTTTCAAGCTCCTTTCAAGCTCTATTTTTCCGTAACTCACATCATACGAGGTTAGTCTGACATCTGGGTTCGTCATGTACGTCGTTCGTCCGGCCAGCTGCAGAATCCATCCTTCGTCAGCCGGATCTTCAATGTCCAGCACGTTCAGACGGTTGATCTCGCGAAGGAATTCGTGCAGCAAAGTTTGCGGGGTGAAGTCGCAGTTGAACTTTATCTCAACTTTAAGCATCTTTTCGCAAACTCCCTGAATTTCTGCTTTTCGTTTTCTCCAGAACAACTGGTAGTTCAGGTTGGCGGCTGAAATAATGTTTTCTCGAAGACTCTTTTCGACGAAAAGGTCAGAATTTCTTCTCATACCTTTCACTTTCGAGTCTAAATCTTTGGGACACTGCTCGGCGACACAAAGGAACTGTTCTTCGGGGAACGCGTAATGACTGGTTCCCTCCAGTCCTCGATTCAGGCAAGTTCTTTTTGTGCGCGTCCAGAGAGAAGCACGGAACTGCCGTAGCTCTTCGTCCAGACTGTCTTCCAGCTTATCCAAAGAGTATCCCAAACAGTGACTGATATCTCGCATCAACTCTTTGTCCCTGTTCATTCCGTCCGGTTGAAGCAAAAAGAGCATTGGGAATGTTCCGTGCAAATCGAGTTTTGACAGTGGTTGCTGAAACAACAAGTTTGCCGTTTTCTCGTTTTTCTCACACTAGTCAGATCTTACGTCGTCATTGAAAATAACTTCGATTTCTCCGAAATTGTTGAGTTGTCTGAACACGTAATCTTGCGGTTTTGTCGAGAATCCCGACCATTTCATTGGAGCGATTTGATCGAAGAGCAAGTTTTTGAACTCAGAGAGCTTAATGTCGAGAGTGGTGCGCACGTTGGCCAGAAACCAAGGAAACACAATACTGATCACTTCCCCTTGCGGAGCGATTTCAATGACGTCGGCGATGCCTTCCGTCTCCAAAAGCAATGATCCCTTTCCGTTCTCGGTTTCCAGAGATGGACTGAAATGAGGAAACCGCAGTGATCATCAAGAATGAAAATGGGATGCAGAACAGGCGCCTAAAATCGCCTGTTTTCCATCCCTATCGAGCACAATTCAGTTTCCGCCTACCGTTCTCTCATCTGCCACTGCTCCACCATCACTTGCAGCTGAGGATGCAGTATGTTCTGGTGCATCTGCGAAAGCCTTCTAGAGCTTCTCGTGTGCCCGGCGATCAGATCGCGTGCTCCATGAGAGCCTGTTCTGTTGCGGAAGTTCGTGGTGGAACTTCGCCCCGACATTCTGTAATTCCGTGGAATTATGGAAGGGAAGGGAGTGGGCTCGGCAGATAAGAGAGGCGATGGAAACGCAGAGCACAGAAAACGAGAACTGATCAGGAAGTTTTGTTTGGGATAGGGAGAATCACAAAGCGGAGACAATTTAGAAATCATAGATTAATTACATAAAAATAAAAGTGAGTGGATGAAAAAGAAGAGGTCATCTGGGCATGTTCATGTGCGGAGGCATCTGATGCATGGGTCTCTGTTGCATTTGATGACCCATCCCCATCGGATTCATGGGTCCCAATCCTGAAAATCTTGCGGACGTTGTTATCGATTCTCTAGGAATTGAAGTGCGCGCGCCATTATGATAAGCTCGCGCTAATCTCGAGATTATTCAAGTGAAAAGAGAGACGAGAGGCTGTTTACTCGCGAAATGGAAATGAGACGAAAAAGAGGAGAGCGGAAATGAGAAGAAATGCACTCGCTGAGAAGACGTACCCATTTGGCTCGGAATCTGAGCATGCATCTGCTGCTGAGGATGCATTTGCTGCTGTGGATGCATTTGCTGCTGCGGATGCATCTGTTGTTGCGGATGAATCTGTTGAGGATGCATCTGTTGAGGATGCATCTGCTGTTGAGAATGTATCTGTTGCTGCTGGTGCGGATGCGGATACTGTGGCTGATGCTGAAGTTGTTGTTGGGGATGTATGTGCTGGAACATCGGCATGTGCCTTGCGGAGGCTGTTGCTGCTGTTGTCCCGGACCCATGAGATGCTGACGGAGCTGTGAATTCTGATAGTCCATGGGCATTTGGTGCTGAATGTTGCTCATCATCTGGGATGCCGGCTGCTGTTGTATTTGTTGAAGAGGAGCCACAGGAGTGGAAGGAACGGGAGTCTGAGCAGGTTGTGGCTGTGGAGGGCCCATGGCGGGGCGGTGAGTGCGCATTCCTTCGCCGGTCAGCACTGATTTCACCAATCTGGCCGTCTCTTCTTTGTTGTGAGCTGGCTGAAAGTGATTTTGTTTTTGAGAGGTACAGAGCGCTTAACCAACTATCAACTATACTAATCAACTAAATCAACTATACAGACGGCTATTTTCTCTCTCAGCTAGTTCCTATTGCTTATTTTCATATTTTTTTTCCAATGTTCCCTTTTCCAGGGGCGATTCCATCGTGAGAACTCCGATCTTTCTCATCTTTTTATCCCATTCATTTCTGTCTGTCCGTCGACCTCGAGACCACGAGGCAATCAAGATAAAATGATGCGGTCGCCGTCTCGCCCTCTTTCAAATCCAATCAGATCTTATCGTAATGCGATTCACAGGCTCTGCGGATCCGAGCGTGTCGATCGACGGTGTAGTAAATCGTCGATCGACGTGGAATAGCTCGGAACACACACAGTCATCGAGCAAAGTTTCGTCATTTTGGGTAGAAGAAGGGAATCGAGTTCGTCAACGCACGCCGGTGAACAAGCAAGTTACCTTCAGGTCTAGAGGACAACGGACTGACAAAGTTGACTCAATTTAATGGAATTGATATTTTTCATAACCCCAGGATTAGAAAGTCGGTGGGCTTACCTTATCAAGAGAGGCTTCAGCGTGCAATCGGTCGATACTGGCCAGATTGGCGAGCAATCCGTCGATGTTCTTGTTGTAGGCAGTCAACTGACGACTGACCAGATCAGCGCCCTTTGACGCTTTCTCCGATTCCAACAAAGCCTCCTCATTCTCCATTTCTGGATTCGCCTTCGTCCGCAGATACTCTGGCACCAGGTCGTGGTTCCACGAGTAAACTCGATTTTGTGTGGCTCTCTGAGAAGTTTTTGCGGTCATTTTAAGGTATTCCCGATTTTCTGTGCTACCTGGAGCGCCTCATCCGGTTCGTACTGCAATCTCTGCGGAACAAGGACATGTGATCGCAGGAACTGTCCGTAGTCCTCGTGTCCGTGCGGAAGTCCGCTTTTTCGAACGGAAGATTGCAGACTCGACATGGCCGACGCCAATGAAGAGAATTTTTCCAGCATGTCAGGCCTGAATAGAACGCAAACTCTCATTCAGGAAAATAATCCAGATTCACATACCACGGACATTTATCCTGCAATTCGAGCATCTGCAGAAGTTCCTCTATCATTTTCCGTGCGTCCGTTGTTCTTTTGATCATCATGTCTGTCGACTGGGCGATCTTCTCCGGCTCTCCCTGATAGTTTGAAGTGACCGGTGGCGGTGGAAAAATGATTCGATCCATTCTGAACTCGAGAACTTTCTTTTACAATAGAAATCAGAGAAGTGCGGAATAAAGGTATTGAGAGCGGAGTTAACCACATTCATATGCGAAAAATAGGCAATGTAGACGAAAATAGAGATTTCATTGAACCCGTTATTTGAAATTTATTTATACAGAAGTTATTTCTTGCGATTCTGAGCCTCGTGTTGGCGGATAAATTCCTCTTGGTCGAACGAGAGCGGAATGAGATTTGTGTACTGTTGCGTGTTCACGTTGACCGCCGTCGCCGCTTGTCGCATAGCTGCTTCTTCGATCAGCTGCTGATTGCTCGTCAGCAAGTCCTTCACAATCTGTGCCGTCGTCGATTCGTGTAGAGCTCCTGAAACTATAAGCACATTAAACACACAACGAACTCTATTTCAGGTCAAAAATAAGTTTTTGTCGGTTTCTGCTGAAAGATTTTGCTAAATACTTACTTGTACTTCCGCTTGATGTACTCGAATTTGTAATCGTATCGTCACTTGTCGGATTTCTCCTCAGATATGACTCGTAAAAGTTGTGTGTCAACGGGACGGGTTTCTTTTCTACATCTCGCAAATATTCCTGGAACTTTTCGTTTTGCTCCATGTCTGTAAATTTAAAAAAGAACGTTTTCTGGCCGCGAAAACAACGGAAAAGCGTTTCTTTTCCCAATGCAATTCTTTAGCAATTTTCGGCTTGTTTTCCATTCGCCGCTGTCTCAATGGAGCGCGTTTGCATCCCTCCGTCGGGGCACAAAATTTGAACGACGTCTGCGCGGGAAGTTAACCCCGTCGTCGCAGTGAACATAAAACCTTCAGATTCCCTGATTTTGCGACATACTTCAGATTCATAAAGTGACCAGAAAACCTTTCATGCGCCGGCAGTTAAGGGAATACGGCAATTTATTTGACAAACAAGTAGCATTAAATAAAACTCTGAAGCAATAAAAGAATCACATCTCGTCGTGCACAATGACATGGTTGAACATCTTCTCGACCTGCTCGATCCATCCAGGATTCTTTCTTCCAAAGATTCTCAGGTCCTTCATAGTCCGCTCGATTGCCTTCACCGCCTTCTCACGGGAAACGTCCTGCAATTCCAACTTCGGACTTTGCACTTCAGATTCTTCCAACCTTGGTCAACTCTTCGACCATCGCTTCCACGAGTTGTGGCCGAGCAGCTCCCTCTTCGAATTTCTGCTCCAAAACGTTCCTCAGCTGAAATAAGTGCTCATCCATCACCTGTCCCCGCTTGCACATTCATTTCCTCACGACCACATGTCCTTCCACTCCCAGATTCTAATCCTGTACCGAGATTGGTCTTTATGTCCACTAATCATCATTTATCCCCTCATTTTTTGTCCTAGCACCATAATAATGAGGGCCCTTCAGTCTCTTTCCATCCACGTAACGTCGTCGTCATTGTGCATTGCGTAATGAGCCAACAGTTCTAGCACCCCATTGTGGACGAGAAACCGACGGGGGACCTTCGCACCGTCTGTTGGTTCATACTTATCTCTGTGGGTCACCTGCTCGCCCAGATGACGTCATGTTTGTTCGACAGATTCCTATCGTAAACCCTTTGTTCGTTACGATAGCCTCTGTTGGGAAAGTCTAGATGTGTGGGATGCGAGGAGGGGAAAAGGATTCCCACATCACCTGGTGGGCCTAATTATGATGGATGGCACAGACGTGTACACTATCTTATCCTTATGGGAATGGAACGCAAAAACAAACGAACCCGTTGGATTTGATAGCGAGTCAGGTAGAAGCCGAGAACTCGATGAACCTTGCGAGTGATATAGTCGAGTTTTCTGGAAGAAATTCATGTTTGCAGAAAGAGGGACTCTTTGGAAAGGACTCTTTGGAAAGGACACTTTGGAAAGGACACATTCCCAGTATGACAAGGCAAACATTCTATCCGTATTTGGTATCAATAAAACAGTCCGAATGAATGATGACGCAAGAAGGGTCAGCGGAAGACTGTAGCTCATACGTATTCTCCCTTCCACACTTGAGATAGGATGGATAGGAATGAAAACTGCGCTTCTCGAGGCTTCCTTCTAGAAGTGCAATCCCATTTCAACGTCGAACGACACCCTTTGGCGCTTTCAGTGTAAGAGATTACACAGCTCTTCCGCCGGCAGCCACACGAACAATGACTCCCCCGTTTTTTGCATTCCGTTCTCGACAGAGGTCATTCTTCCACGTCGCGCCCATCTATTCCGCGAGATACCCCCGAAAAAATGGAACAGCTTGTCCGCTTTCCACTTCCCGTGCGTGTCCGTATAGAGAACGGGCAGAAGCGAGAGAATCGGAAAGAAATCGCCGGGGTCTAGCGGTCATCCGTCCGTCGCCCGTCGCATCCAATTTCCCTCGTCCGCACCGCCAGCTAATCTGTTTCCCAGACCTTCTTCTCCTTTCTTCCTCCCTCTCGCTCTCCTTCTATTCGCTCGGTGGGCCGGCCGGCCGGCCGGCTGACCATCGGTCCACCATTTATCGAGCGCGTCCGTCTGTCCCTTCTGCCCTCCACTCCCCCTCGGACGGCGCGCGCGCGAGCGGTCACATCACACCATTTGTCCGCCCCGCAAAACAGTGTGCAGATGGTAGAGACGCAGAGAAAAAGAGTGCTCTACACCCAACGCGCGCTGCGTTGTGGGCGGAGTCGCGTTGGTGCACCGGGGTCGAGTATAAAAGGGCAAACGAGACCATTCCAAGTCAGTCATTTTCTGTGTTCTCCTCCTATTCAGCTCTGGCTTGCGCAGTCAAGCGGACCAGAGCAGGTGTACGCCTCGTTGATACTCTTGAATAGGTATCACCGGGTTTACATCCGTTCTGGTCTGCAGAGACCTCTTGTTCGCCATCTGCCCTTCATCTATTCTTATTCCTATTCGCTACTGCTTCTGTTCGCCTTCCCTTTATCTCTCGGATCGGGTCGGACCTTTGCCCGTTTCTGCTTCTGTGATACTGCACTATACCATAGCTTATCACCGGGTGGAAACTGGTAGAGGTCCGATCCTTTCCCAGCCCCGACGGGAACCACGCTGCTTTCTGCGCCGGTTATAAGAGCTGAAACCCTCTTATCACCGGGTGGAAACCAGTACGGGTCCCGTCGCGGCTTTTTTCCGAACAATTCCCCAGAGCCAGGACCTACCCCAGCTTCTTTCCTGTTGATAAACCAGCTGTTCTATCACCGGGAGATAAACTGGAGTAGGCCTGTGACTCGGCCAGTGGATGTTCTTCCCCTACCCAACTATTCGCTACTCTGTCTTATTAATCTATTCTCTCGAGTCGGGGGACACAGCCGGTTCACTCCTCAGTGATACGCCCCCTTCAGTCGCTATCACCGGGTGTGAATTTGCTCTGTCCCTCAGACACGCGCCTGTGCCGCGCCCCAGCTGGTGTCTGCCACAGTGATAAAAAGATTCCAAACTTCTATCACCGGGTGTACATCAGTTTGGGTGCGTGCACAGGATTGCTTTGAAGGTGAGTTTGAAGCGAGTCTTCTGGCTTCGATAGGTTCTCGCCGCAGTGATACGAGCAATTCCAACTGCAATATCACCGGGTGAAAATCTATCGAAGCCGGAGAGGAGCCCCTTTCTGTGTTTGCCCGTCCGTCCGTCTGTCCCCAGTTCGGGACACTCGCTTGTTCCAGCCTTCGGTGCTACGAAACAGTAACTCGTATCACCGGGTTGAAACTTGCAAGTGTCTTTGATTGACTGGAATCTTTTCATGTTTCCTCTTCACTCACACTTTATCAAAGTAGAGAGCTCCGAACTCTCTCTTCTGCATTTCCGGCAGTCCTTCCATGAACTTGTCGAGGACTTTTTGAACTTTGTCCTCATCTTTCTCGTTCGAAATGACGTCTTTTGCGAGCTGTAATTGACGACTCTGATGCTTCTGAACATCGTTTCCCATTCGGTTACCTGATGAAGCTGTGCCTCTTCGAGGGAAGTATCCTTGAACAACATTGTCCAATTCATGGACAGCTCGATGTACTTTCCATAGATCCTGTCAGACTCGGGATGGCTAGTTTCGGTGTAGTCATCGGCCTGACACAAAATTGCCAGAAGGGCGAGAATAGCGGCTAATCGGAGAGTCATTGGAGGAGCGATGTGACTGAAATGACCCGGCTTTGAGACGAGAGACCGCCTTTTCCAGGTGCTCAAACAAGTACAGAACCGACCAGGTCAAATGTTTATACAGTTGTGCTACGTATTGTTACAGTTATAATATCATTTTGTACGGATTCAGTATGCCATTTGGATCGAAGATGTTCTTCAGTTTCTTCGTCAGAAGACGCTCCTCCGGCTCTTTTCCGAGTGTTGAGTACGGCAGTTTGAGCTGACCGATTCCGTGCTCCGCCGAGATTGAACCGCCGTGAGCGACGACCCATTCGTAGAGGAACGGATAAAGGCTGCAGAAATGTTTATGGGAAATTGCAGAAAAAAGGGGGTGGCTTACAGTTTCTCCAGTTGTTCGTCATGTTTTTCAGAAGTGATATTCAGATGCGTGTTTCCATCACCCAGATGTCCGTAAGTAACGACCCTCTTCGCGAGATCTCCGCAACGTTCCCGCATCACGTTCGTCAGAACATAATAGCTCTGTAGGGGAAGCGAGACGTCGTGCTTGTAGACGTATCCGTCACGAGAAACTGCCAATGGAGCGCTTTCTCTGAGCTGCCACATCTTGAAGGCGTCGGCAGAAGAGCCGGCGAGCACTCCGTCGGCAATCAGCTGCTTCGAAAGACACTCATCCAGGAAGGCTCCCATCTTTTCCATATCGTGATCTTCGTTCGAACCTGACGTCTCAACGAGAACAGTGAAAGGGGTGGAGGTTCCCAGAACCGGATGTAGATCAAGGTTTGCCTTCAGACAGGCCATGGCTGCCTCGTCCAGAAATTCGAACGAGGAGAGCACTTCGGAAAGACGCGATTTGGCGAGTTTCAGCACTTCACAACAGTTTTCAAATGACTGAACGGCTGAAAATGTGAACGTTTTGAACATCGACTAGACAATCATTATTTTACCGAGCATAGCACTCTGCACACTTTTCGGTCTCGGAACGGCAGTCATCGTGACACTCGTGATGACTCCCAACTGTCCTCACTTCCCAGGAACAAGTGTGGTGTGTGGAGGGAGGTGTTATCCTTCCGAATTCCCGATCCCAGATGAACCACGGTGCCCTGCTCGTCCGGCAGAACGACAGTCAGCCCGAGAAGGTGTGCGTGCAGACTTCCGTACCGAATCAACCGGATGCCGCCGGCACACGTGGCAATGTTTCCTCCGATCTGACACGATCCTTTCGCGCCCAAATCGAACGGCATCATGTAGCCGAGCGGCGCGAGTTTGTTGTCGAGCTCTTCCAGAATGAATCCAGCGTCGCACTGAAGAATGCCCATCGTGTCGTCGAAGTGGAAGTTCTTGTTGATTTTGTTGAGCGAGAGAATCACTTCATCGTGCACTGGAATCGATCCGCCGACTAGTCCAGTGTTTCCGCCTTGTGGAATGACGGCGATTCTGTTTTTGGAGCAGTACGCGAGTATGGCCGACACTTCTTCGGCGCTTTTAGGAAGGAGAACCACACTGCCAGGGCCTGAAAAGGCGGCGTCAGAAATCATCGACTCACTTCTGAATGAAAAGATACCTTTGAACTGTCCGGTCCAATCGGTTGTGTGCTTGAATATCTCGTCCTTCTGAACTCCTTCTTTTCCGAGAAAGTTCTCGAATGCCAGCAGATCCGACTGCAACACCTTCGCAAAGTTCTCATTTCTCTTCGCGAGCACTGCCGCGTAGCATCTGTGCGCCGTTTTGACTCTGGACAATGATTTAAGCATCTGAATGCCAGGTAGATTTAGATTTTTTTAATTTGAAAATGAATAGAGTAAATTAGGCTGGTCGAACAGGCGATTTCAGGCGCCTGTGCCTGTTTTCTCAACGCAAGAACGCAGCGGCGCGTTGAAAAAACAGGCGCCTGAAAAGCAGGCGCCTGTTCGACCAGCCTAGGGTAAATGAAACGATGAAACGTGTAAAGAAGCTCGGTAAGTTGACCGATCTCGTCGCCGAAAAACAAACGGCAAGTGATAAGAAAAAGAAACAGTGAGAGATAAAAAGTGATCATAGTTCATTTTGTGTACTGTCATATCGAGACAAATGTACAGAGAGAGAAAGAGAGATTATTCGTAGTCCTCGAGCACTCCGTCCATGTGCTCGTTCTGGACCTTCTGGTTCAGTCGCCTCTTCACTGCCTTCCTCTTCTGCTGCGACTGCATTCGCGGCTTCGGAGTCAGATCCTTCATCGCGTCGAGTCCCTTCTTCTGCAGATATTCCTCGATTTTCTTCTCGTCCAAATGATCCACGGACACAAGTCTCCATATCTGTTTGAAGTCGTCCTCGAGCTCCGGAAACATGAATTCTCGGTCGTTGTAAAAGACAACACGGTCTTTTTTTTTGTTGACTTGAGTCGGAAGGACTATGACTTCGGCCGCCACTTGCTGCAAATGCATTCAGACTTTCAGAAGAACTACGAACCGGAATACCGTCAACAGTGCGTCGTAATTTGCCACGCATTCCGCCAGATCTGACACGAGGATTCCGCCTTTTCCGTCCTGGTAATGCTTTTTCAGCACTGCCACCAACGACGTCTTTCCTTTGATTTTGTACGGCGGACGAAATGCGAACTTATCATTCTCTGCGATCAGTCGGGGATTTTTGGGGAGAGCTTCTCTCAAGAAGGCTTCGCTTCGTTTCGGAAGATCATAAATTTGCAGTTCGTCGAGAATCTCCTGGAGAGTCAGTGCCCACGGCTGTTGATTCAGATGACGTTTCTGAACGTTCGATTATTTAAATGAAGATATCTCAATGAAAACCTTCATGTAATCCACAATCTTCGCCATTGTACTGAAATTCGTGGCGTTCGAGATAGCATTCGCATTTGTGTAATTATCAAAGTCAGGGACTGAAAGTCGGAACTAAACGATTGGGAAACACTCGTTCCTATTCTAACTTTTCGACAAATTCTGCGTTGGTCCCGAAGCCTTCTTCTTTTTCGCTTTTGCTGCTTCTGATGAGTACGTTGTGTGCGAATTTGCCGACGCCGACTGGAATTGCGCATTTTTCCGATTCTGTTTCGATCTTTCACTCTTACCGGTTTATTCTGAACAGCTACAGTCGTGGCTGCATGTCTTTGGAAGGCTTTTTGCTGTCTGAGCAATTCCGGATCCATCTTTTTGAGTTGCGGAACACTGCGCAAATGAAATGACGAATCAATACACCATCGTCCTCGTTTTTATACCCCTATTCCTCGGCCATGTATTTTCTAGGCCACACGACCCTGTTTGCTCTTACATAAATTATGCAACTTTTGAAATTACATTTGATTTTATCAGAATAACAACAGAATTAACAGTGAGATGACCAAATAATAAAAAAGAGCAGAAAGGGTAGCAATAATACAGACAATAAAGCTCTTTGGTTTTAAGTTTCAAATCTAATAGAGTCAGCACTACTCTTGCTGCTCATCTTCCTCATTGGGCACACGAACGGGCTGAACTGGGACATTGCGTGGCACGTGGACCTGTGGGATGAGAATAGCTTCCGAAAAGTCAGTGAGCAGGCGAACAGTGGAAAGCTGAGCGTCGAGCTCTTGGCGGATGCACATGCTCGATTCCGTCGTGTTACTTGCGGATGCCACCAGTTTCGTCAGTCGGGCCTTTTGCGTCTTCCAAATCTTTTCCAAAAACGCTTTGTAGTAACCGCCTGTAATAAGAGTACTCTTTCCCGACGTCAGCCGGGATAAAAGCGGCACCGCTCACCATAATGACCGTCGAGTTGCGCAAGATGATTGAATGCGTGGTGCAATGGTTCGGCGAGGAACGTAGCCGGCGTTGCCGACCAACGATAAAGGTGAGTGCGCACAATACACACCATCTCGGCGGCTTCCGCCAGGAGGTTCGCATAGTCGGGACGGTGTGGATTGAGGCAAGTGACAAGATATTCACTAAAGAGCCCTGCCGTGTCGATTGCGAGTGACGTTGATGAAGCTATCTCTGACCACGTTCCTTGCATCTCACACACTTCTGAAACAGAGAATACTGACGGATAAAGGAACAAAGCGAGCCCTACCAATAATCCGGAGAAACAGCTGATAGATCTTCTTGCCGTTCCAGGCCATATCAGAATTCTTGGCGTTGTTCATGACACGAAGCGCGCGGATTCCGTTCAATAGGGTCGTCATCATCTTTTTGTAATTGGCCTCGCTCTTTCGCAGAGTCATCTCGCCGCCGTCTTCCACACAAAAGTACGCCCAGTCGATTCGTTCTCCGTTTCTTGACGATTTGGTCGGTCCGAACAACAGATAGTACAGCCTTCCTTGATACTTTTCCATGACGTTGCGAAGAAGAACGGAGAGCCACGAGCCGAATTCGATTATCTGATCGGGTGAGTTCTCGTCGATGTCCTGATTCCGATTGAGAAATAATTCGATGAGTCCTGAACGAACTCTCATTTCGAGGCCGACATACTGGCCCGGTTTCGAAGTGAGCACTTTGATGAGACAACGACGCAGATCCGAATCAATGAGTATTGCCGCCTTGACCATCACACGTCTCTCGGAGAACTTCCAGAACTGGGTTACAGTCTCCAGGAGCCTTCCGAATCCGTGAAGACTTCCGCCGAGTTCATGACGCAGATTCCGACAGATGTTCAAGAAGACTTGCGCTCGAATCTTGGTATCCAAAGTGATGGTGATGGATTTGATGAGAGCACCTGTTTCGATTTAGAATCAGACGTTTGATTGACATTAATAGGTCGACTAACCACATGCGATGAATGGATCATTCTCTTCAAACTCCTCGTCATCTGGGCGGATCGAGCTGTCCATGAAATCAAGATGATCCATTTGGATTCGACGATAGAAGTTGTTGTCAGCCACGTAGCATCTGACACGCGAAGACAAAGTCATAGAAACCAAGGAGAGCGCCGAAACGGAGCGCACTGAAAGCAATGTTTAGAGAAAAGTAACAAAACGATTGCTTACAGTCCAGAATGGTGAGAATATGTGAATAGACATTCTTCGGCAGATTCTCGAGTCCAGCAGGCAACTCGGGATTCGGAACTTCGTACAGATATGGATTCTGTGGAAGACCAAGAAGACGTCGCAGTTCTTCCTGATTGTATTGAGCAGCAGCAACATTCTCCGGAGCTTGTTTGTCTTGTGGAGCATTTGCCAAGTCGGGAGTCTCTGAAATCGACAAACTTTAAAATACAAAACGAATATTCTTCCCAAACCGTCCAGTTTTTGGCTAACATTTTTCGATTCCGAGATGGATCTTTCGCGTTTGACAGAAGCAAAGTACTTGGTTATCGGCGGGGTCGAATCCGAATTTCGCCGTTTCCGAGTCAATAATCTAGTTGACACTTCCATTTTTGTGAGGACAAACAGAAAATGCAATGATTTGTGGACGGAACAATCGGAAAACAGTTTGCAGACAAAATTTTGCAAAACTATGTTTTCGTGGCAAGAGCCCGCGAAATAAGGCAATGCGCCTTTAATGCAGTACTCCACGGCGCCAAAATTGAATTCTAAAGATATATCATATATGGGGGGCAAAGTGTAGTTGAAAACAACAGTAGGTCTGAAATTTCTGCATTTCGTTCCGATAACCCGAAATTTGATCCGAAAATGAGAAAAATTAGGTAAAACAGGGATTGTCAGAATAGTTTATGACAGCTGTGATCTGAAATTAGCGTTTTGCCCCCAAGAAATCGCGCATTTTTCACTTTTCTGTGAATTTCAGTCCGGATCCTCAAAAACTGAAATTTCTCAGTCATTTTTGCATTTTATGGGCCGTCTCTGTGCTCGAAATGACCGCCTTCGAACAATCGTGAGGCAACTGTTTTTTGATTCCGTCAACTGTTTTCTCAAAACTTCCGAAAGTTCGTTTTTTCAAGCCAAATTTTAAAAACGAAATCACTCTTCGAAACGTTTTGAAGAAAAACTGTGCATAATCTGAAAAACTCGGGAAAACAGCGTTTTCAGTTGAAACCCCGTATCCCGTAAATCGACACTGCGAGCCGCACGCAAAAAAGCGCGCGAAAATTTTTTTTCGCCAAAGGGGAGACAGTGCCCGATCGCGCCGGCGCATGTTTGAGGACATGTACCGAGGTCCCCAAACTAAGTACCATATATGGCCATACTCAAAATGTTTTGCTTTATGTAATCGACCATGCTGAATCGAATAAACAACTCAGTTTCCTCAAAAAAAGGCGGAAACGAAAATGAAAGTTAGTCTGAGAGGTCTTGTGGTATGAGTTTATTCAACACGCGGCTTCTTTGAAGTGATTCTGACAGTTTAAGCGTCTGTCTTTCAGACACGTTTCTCACTTGATTACTATATTCGTGTTCATACATATTTATAATGTTTCCTAATGATATCAATTTCATCAGGGAGAATGCTGTTGCTTCCTCAGCATTGCTCTTTCGAAATGTTTGAGACTGGCTCTCCGCTGCGTCATAGCGCAAGCGCGCCCATCGCACAGCGGAAGATCGAACATGCGCTGCGCTTCGGGAGTAAATAGAACGCACTGGAAAGTTCTACGTGGTCAACGCCCTCGCTGTGCGGCACGCTCTCTCGCCCATTTCCTCCGAATTTCTCCGTGTTGCTGACCCATATTTAATCCATCCATCCGATGTATCGTTATCATCTTTTTTGTCCTTCATTTTAACAACATGCTATACTTGTAAGACGTATTTTGTTTACTTGTGAATCATTTCAGATCACTTTCCAAGAATGGGAAAAGATTATTACAAAGCGCTGGGCATTAGCAAAGGTGCCTCTGACGATGAGATCAAGAAGGCCTATCGCAAGATGGCTCTCAAGTACCATCCGGACAAGAACAAGGATCCTGGAGCCGAGAACAAGTTTAAGGTTGGTGTTTCCTTCTTGAAACAGTACGGGAATTATATTTTTTCATTCAGGAAATTGCCGAGGCTTACGATGTTCTGTCAGATGAAAAAAAGAAGAAGATCTACGATCAGTTCGGAGAAGAAGGACTGAAAGAAGGCGGAGCCGGAGGATCAGGAGCAGGCGGCGGCGGCGGAATGCACTACGAGTTCCGTGGAGATCCGATGAACATCTTCTCACAGTTCTTTGGAGGACACGATCCCTTCGGAGCCGGTGGAGCCGGAATGTTTGATATGGGTGGCGGCGGATCTAATATGTTCTTTATGAATCAAGGAGGAATGGACGACGGAATGTTCGGAATGCACGGTGGAGGTGGAAAAAGACATCCCACACGACAGGATCCTCCCGTTCATCACGATCTCCTCGTCACTTTGGAAGATGTTCTGAAAGGAACAACGAAAAAGATGAAAATCACAAGAAAAGTGATGGTGGACAACACCCAACGAATGGAGGATAAAGTGTTGACCGTCACGATCAAACCAGGATGGAAGTCTGGAACGAAGATTACTTTCCCGAAGGAAGGAGATCAGCATCCGAACAGAACACCTGCTGATATTGTTTTGTCATAAAGGACAAACCACACCAGAAGTTCAAGAGAGAAGGATCGGACATCAAGCGAGTCGAGAAGATCTCCCTGAAGAATGCCCTGACTGGCGTAGATCTTATGATCCCTACTCTTGATGGAACCGACTTCCACCTCAAGTTGAATGAGATTGTTAAGCCTGGAACTATGAAACGGTAACTTGAGATACTAGATATAAAATATTGAATTCGGTGTTTTCAGTTTGACCGGACGAGGACTCCCCAATCCGAAGACGCCATCTGTTCGTGGAGACTTGATTGTCGAATTCGACGTGGAGTTCCCAACCCAGTTGACTCCTGGTCAGCGTCAAGCCATTCTAGGGGCGTTCTAATTGATCCCCTCATCTACATAATACCTTTCAGTCGAATCGAGACGGGTACACATTCACCTCATAACCTATCCGTTGTGTGTTTGATTGTTCTTGAATTCGATTCTATTCTGTAATTGATTCATTTAGTCATCACGCGGGTTTCAAAGATTCTGGGACGCCCTTTTATCCTTTTTTAGCTATTTTTGTTATTCATCTCACACTTATCTCCTGTCCAGAGTTATCAGAGCATTTTCTAGCCTTCTATCTAACAACACGAGAACCTTCATAGACATGATACTCGGTGTTTCTGGCCCCTTTCATCTTTCGTTCTTCTGTTTAAATGACCTCTAAAATAAATTTGATTTTTGTAAACGGTTACGTCACTTTCGCTGACCAGTTGACTTGTCTCTTCGTATCGATTGATGTCCTTGGCCACGTGGGGGGAAAAGAGAAGAAAAAGAGATGATATCGGGCGGGGCTGCTGAACGGGTATAGCGACTAGACCGTCATTCTCGGCAGTTTTGCAGACGAAATGTTGACGAGAGGATTCGGAAACGTCGCCATTGGAAAGATCGCCAAACGAGGTACGCACAGTTCAGAATACTTGCACTCATCAATTTTCTCATTTCTGTGCAAATGACGTGTAATTCATCACTGATATCGTTTACGGTAAAGTAAAATAGGTATAATAATTAAAAATTGTCGTTTCTACATTCGAATCATCCAAATAACACCATACTCGCATAGCAAACTTCACAATAGAAAATAGCGAGTACAATGTAATCAGTGCCCTCACGTCAGTTCTCTGACCACACATCACAGATTGTAGGCCTCTCGTCCAGCTTCTACCAGGATGCCTTCCAGCTCTCCGATCAGTTGACCGATGACGAACGGTCTCTGATGCTCTCCGCCAGAGAATACTGCCAAGAGAGACTGTTGCCACGTGTCACTGAAGCGTACAGAAACGAAAGTAACCAATAACACTGCTGCACTTCAGAAATACGAAAACAGCTGATTACAGAGTTCGATCCGTCGCTCATTCCGGAAATGGGAAGCATGGGACTGCTAGGCGCACCGTACCAGGGATACGGATGCGCCGGAACTTCGACAGTCGGCTATGGACTGATTGCGCGTGAAGTGGAACGAGTCGATTCGGGATACCGATCGACGATGAGCGTGCAGACTTCGCTCGTCATCGGGCCAATCTACAACTACGGAAGCGCCGAGCAGAAGGAGAAGTACATCCCAGACTTGGCGAGCGGAAAAAAGATTGGCTGCTTTGGGCTGACTGAGCCGAACCACGGATCGAATCCCGGAGGAATGGAGACGAAAGCCACGTAAGCAGAGAGTAGGAAGTGCAAAGAGTATAGAGTGACTTGCAGATGGGATGAAACCACCAAGACGTACAAATTGAGCGGATCGAAGACGTGGATCTCGAACAGTCCCGTGGCTGATGTAATGGTTGTGTGGGCGAGAAGTGCGCGCCACGGAAACAAGATCAAGGGATTCATTCTGGAAAGAGGAATGAAGGGATTGACGACTCCGAAAATCGAGGGAAAGCTCTCTCTGAGAGCCTCCATTACCGGACAGATTGCCATGGACGAAGTGCCCGTTCCGGAAGAGAATCTTCTGCCGAACGCCGAAGGTCTTCAAGGACCGTTCGGATGCTTAAACAACGCTCGTCTCGGAATCGCGTGGGGAGCCCTCGGAGCAGCTGAGGAGTGCTTCCATCTCGCACGTCAGTACACTTTGGACCGTCAACAATTCGGCCGACCGTTGGCTCAGAATCAGCTGATGCAATTAAAGATGGCCGATATGCTGACTGAAATTTCGCTCGGATTGCAAGGATGTCTTCGTGTTTCCAGGCTGAAGGACGAAGGAAAAGTGCAGCCGGAACAGGTCTCGATCATCAAGCGGAACTCGTGCGGAAAAGCTCTTGAGATTGCCCGCAAAGCGAGAGACATGCTCGGAGGCAATGGAATCGTCGACGAATATCACATCATGCGCCACATGGTCAATCTGGAAACGGTGAACACCTACGAAGGAACGCACGATGTGCACGCACTCATCCTCGGAAGAGCCATCACTGGACTCAACGGATTCTTCTGACCATCTCTCCTCACTTCACTCATGTTCTTTGTGCTAGTCAAAGTCAAATATCAAACACATTTTGTATTAGTCTATAAATTACAATCAAAGAAAAGTACTGCAATTCGAACCAATCAATGATATCCGTAAGACGAAGACGGATGATGATAATAAGAGAGGTCAACGTTCGAATTTGTCATTTCGCTGTTCTGCCGGCTGCGCGAGATGGGAACCTCCCTTTTGTTCACGTACTTCTGGCCAATCAACTGCCGATTCGGAGCCATGTTCACTTGAGGCTTACGCTGATATCTTCCATTCTTTGCGACTGGGCTGAACATCTGAAATGAACGGCAATTGCAATGGTTGAGTAGAAGATGACGCACTCTATGCGGTTCTTCATCACAGAGTCTTAATTCGACTGGAAGCATCTGTAGATCCTCCATTTCAGCAAGAAGTTCTTGCGGAATGTGGATTCCTAGGCCTTGCACAATGTCCAGATTCTGTTTGAGATACAGCATTAAAAGGACTTCTTGCTGCTCAATCGGATCGGCTGTCTGGGGAGAATCTGAAAATGTGATGGATGAAGGGAAGTTGATGTTCCTAAGGAAATCACCTTGTTGAATGAGTCTGTTGATGGAAGTCTGCGTGGGCAGTTGTTGCGGTTTCTGAGCCACTTGTGCTCCGTCGTATCCGCTGGAAATCGTAAGCACGTTCACATTCTGAGTGCCATTCGAAACTGAGACAGAAGCGGACGACGGAGTGGGCGGATAGTGATGGCCGTATCCATTGTGATGGTGGACGGGCGGCCTTGCCGGCTGATTCACAGACGCTTGCCGCAGTTGAATAGCATCTGATTTCGGGGGAAGGGGCGGGGCCATGCTCACAGAGCACATCGAGTCGCGACGGCTGTTGGCAGCGGACCTCCAGTCGCGAGTGGAAGCAGTCTCGAAGAACTCTCTTGACGTGGCAATGTTGGCGATGGACTCGCGGGAGACCGCCGATTTGATCTTCTCCGTGTCATACCACGGACGATAGTCCACTTGCATATTCAGCGAATCCAGGCTCTTTCCTTTCGACAGCTTCCGAGTACTGCTTCCAGCGACCATCTCCGCTTCTTCGTGGATTTCCTTTTTCACTTCAATCGCCTCTCTTTCGGTCTCTTCCATCTTTCGCAGACGTTCTTCTGGAATCCGACTGTCCAGGGGAATCTGAAATTTAAAACAGAGTTTTTAAACACATATTCCAGATTTTATGACTCACCTGAATATTGTTGGAAGCAACGAGTGAAGCGGAAAGCGCGTCCGTCGACCTCCATTTGGGGAATCCGTAGCTCCTCGGCCTCTGTCGTCGCTCTTCCTCCGCCCGCTGTCTCTGCTCGATTTGGATGTTCCGTTCCCAGTAGCCTCGGATATTGTTGGTCCCTCGAACCTGTCCTCCAGACACTCTTCCCTCCATCGCTCTTCCTGACCAACCTTCGAAGTCTGCAATCATCGAATTCGGAGGAGCTGGAAATATTTTAATGGGCGTTGACTATCAAATGAAAAAGATACGAAATGAGCGAAGAAATGGATGATGCTCGGATCGAGAATCTGTCAAAAATGGCGCACTTTGTGTTTGCCCAAGTGACCGAATGTGCGAACACTGAGCGAGAGCCAGAGCCACGTTCTTTCCGGGATCCGAGCATGAAGGAGGACGGGCCGACAGAGCAGAAAGAGGGCAAAACGGCGGCAAGTTGCTTCGCGTGTTTGTATTTTCTGCTGAGTCAACATGCTCCTTCTTCTTCTTCTTCTGCTGCTGCTGCCCGCGCGAGCCTGATTACCGGTCGCCGAGAGAAACGGGGGCGGAACGGCCGAATCGAACTGCCACGAACTTTCAACTTTTTAAGACTAACCTCCTCTCTTGGCTCCTGAAGATCCACTTTTCTCGGTTGCTCTGGACGTGGCTGGTGTGAGTGCTCGAGGCGCATCTGTAAGAATCTTCTCATTTGTATTGTTTCGCAGGAAATCAATTAGAAGAACCTTCGGCACCAGTTCTCTCAGTTTCTCGTTCGGCGTCATCTCGATCTTCTGTGGCAATCCAGAAGTGACTCTGATCATTGTCCCATTTGCAGTGGTTTCTCTTTGCAACTCATGTGGGCTTCTGAATTTTTCATCCTCTTCAAATCTCTTCAAGTGTCAATTACCCCAATGGAATCATCGTGATGTGCTTGTCAATGGAAAGTTGGCTGGAGGTCAGATCATCGGCAGTCCGAACTTTTTTGAGTGACGAGTATATTTCTTCCTGGCAAAAGATACGAGTAGTCGCGGGGATATCACTACTCCGATCGTTCGCTTTCCTTCCCCTGGCCTACCTGTTGTTCGTGGATTGTCGGCGTGTTTGCCGACTGCTGCTGCTGCGACGAGGCGTACGAGACGCAGAACATTCGGGACTTGTTCGAAGGAGCAGCCGAGTCTGGAAAAAGAAGAAATCGGCTCTTTGTGACGTGGCAAATCGGAATGAAGTCAGAAAGAGAGAAATGGAAATGGACTCATTTCGTCATCGTTTCTGACGCGTTTTTGTGCCCGAGCTGACTAAGGAACTAAATTTGACTGATTATGAGATTACTGTAACTTTAAGTACTGTGACTATTTCAAAAACTACAAAAGACAAGTATTGTAATTGAAACAAGTAATACCGTCATTGTTGAAAAGCGCGGATCGATGTGGAATCATGTGGTGCAGGACAGTCCACTAATCAGTGCGACGAGGCGAGTGGCTCGGAGGCTCCCCACCTTTTTGCATCGAGAGGCAGAAGATGAAGATGCGTGAAGTGGCCGAAAGATCCGGCGGCAGCGAGGAGACGCAGAGCTCGCACTGTGAGCATCTCACTCAAAATGTTTCGACCGACGGCCGGACACACACTGATATTTGGATTTGGCTGGGAAAGAGGCAAGACAAGAGGAAGAGCATTTTGGCAATGAAAAACGTGGATTATCCTGTTTCGGGTTTATTAAAATGACGCTTATTATAAAAAAGTAAATGGGGAGAGAAAAAGAATGTCAAAGGTACAGTATTTAACGAGAAAAATTCGGATAGATCGAAAAAGTGAGAAATAAATAACTGTTGGGGCGGGAATCACACGGATGTTCAGATAGACATCATCGAGAAGGGGCGAGTCGGCGGCTTTCGGTTCTCTTTGTCGATTGTCGACTGATCGAGCAGAGTGACCTGACTGTCTGCAGAACTGGACGGAGAAATGCTGATGTGGTCGGCGTCCGCACAATCACGAGCCATCTCGATCTGCAGGTCGCCACGGAAGTTCTTTATCTCGTCGTTCTCTTCTTCGTGTGGGAAGGAAGGAACTGAAAAACAAACAGTTAGAGTGGGAAGAGAAGAGTTTATCGAAGAAAGTTCAATAGAGATCAGAGTGAGTGGCCGAGTTAAGCGAATTGGCGTACGAACCCTTGAAAGCAGGAGAAGGAGTCGTTCCGGTCATCACTTGCGACGACTGCTGCAGGAATGAACTGTGCAAGAAGCTGACGTCCGACGGGTTCGTCAGCGATTCGCCCGCACCGCCGCTCGTCATCGTGACGGGCGTGTTGCTCGATGGCGGCGCAGTCATCATGTAGTTTGGCTGATGGAGATGCGAAGAGGTCATCGACTGATTGATGAAGCTGTACGGCATCGTGAGACTCTGCGGGAACTGCTGCGGATTCTGGTGTGCTTGCTGCTGACGAAGAAGATTGTAGGACTGAAAAAGAGGAGGAAATAGAATGGTTACAGGCGGCACACAAACTCACGTCAAACCCGTTGTTTTGAGAAATCTGTGTTGCTTCGAGTTGCTTCTTGGTGCGACTCAGCTCTTTTCTGTAGTAATCGCGCTCCTTCTTCATGTTGTCCAACTGATGCATCATATTGAGCAATCTGTTTTTCGTGTCGTTATTGTCTCTTTCCATGTCTTTAAACCGCCTCTTCTCCTCCCGTCGCTTCAGTTCCGACTCTTTGTACTTCTGCATATAGTACTTCTGTGATCGTTCCAGGACCTGCAGCGCAAAACGTTTCGAATAAACTTCTAATGGAAATACATACCGCAAACTGGTCCTTCTCGGTGAAATCGTCGTTCTCCGACTCTTCAATTCGGTCTTCGTAGTGCGAGTGCCGACTGCTGTACTGTCCGACTGGCGACGGATCACCACTGCCGTATTCCGACGATTCGCCACGTCTTCTGAAGTCTCCACGGCCGCTGTGATGACGTCTTCCGCCGCTTGATTTGCTGCGGCCTCCCTCGTCGATCGTGTAATTCTGGCGCATAGACTGACTGAGTACGTCACGCCTTCTCGCTGCACTGCTCTTCTTCGAGTGCTTCTCAGACTCGAACGATTGATCCGACTCATCCTGATACCCGCCCGGACAGCTTTGTGGTCCTTTGCGAAGTTTGGGTGCATTTGTGGTATGGTAGGCGGCGGTGGCAGAGAGGGGCGCGTCTTCGGCGAAGTGGGCGACAAGCCGTCTTTGTGATTTCGACGAGGAACTTGGTGCACGGAAAGAACGGCGATTTGACACCTCACGAGCCTGAAAAGTGGAAATTTGCTAGAGAGTTTGCAGTAGGAGAACTTACCAAATCTTCACTATTGTCTTCCTCCTCTTTTTTCGCCTTCTTGCTCTTGAAAATTCGCAATAAGCCAGCCATGTCTGCTGCAAAAAGGAAAGTTTGAATTAGATGATCCGAAAACATCGAAACGAGAGTGAAAGAGAGAACAGTCCATCTATTGAAGGGGACGAGGAAACGAACACGCACTCAGCGGGGCATCAAAGAGAGCCGAACTGGGTGGCCGGAGGGACGACCTTGCCTTGACGCGCGGTGAAATATGAACTGAAGAGGAGGAGGAGGAGGGGTAGGAGGGAAGGAGCAGGAGAGTGCGAACGGTCAGGCAGAGATAGTAGTTTTTGAATTTGTATTTTGCCGCCAAAGCGGGAGTGCAAATAGAGACGAGTAGGCAAGTGAAAACGGTGGGTCAAGCGGGGTACCCTTTGAGATTTGAAATTCGAAAAGGAGAGACGATGGGATAGAAACCACGTAGAAGCACGTGGGACGAGAAGAGCAGTACCGTAAATAGCTCGCGGAGCGTCTACAAATGATGCGACCCCTACGCAACCTTCTCCAAGTGAGTTCAAATACCGTAATCTGATAGGATTAGGGAGGTAAGGGCAAACTCTAGAAGCCACTCAATATTGCGCAATGAACAGGAGAAAACTAATCGGAAATCGTACGCTTACTGCCTCTTAAGGTAATGACAACGAGCGGTGTAGTGTGTCAGTGGTGCAGTCACCAAATGGGCCGTCTCCGCTCGTCTCTCTGCACTGAACCGCCGAGGCTGTCCGTCCGTCCTCCTTTGCGTCTCCTACTCCTTCACACTCTCTCGCCTTGCCCAAACGACGCGCAATCGACGATCAGCATCGTGGCGGCGTGGGGCCTTTGAAGTGGAATTGCATCGTCTGCCCTGCGCGTCTCCCGTCTGCCTCGATTTGAATCGCTATGATTACCGCCACAAACATAACCGCGACGCGGGACCGCGTCGCATCGCCCACAGTTGGAGACGAGGACCGCGATATTCAAATTATGGATGCGGAACTGGGAAATGAGGAGTGACCATAAGCTGGTTGAAAACGAAAGACATGGGAAAGTCTTTTCGAACAAGAACGATGTAGGGATTTGGATAATCCCAGATTTGAAGAAAAACTACAGTAATACGGTAAAATCAGTTTCACACTATCGTAGGAGCTAAGCGCATTCAGAAGGCAATCGTACAAGCGGAATGACTCAAGACGTCGTCAGAACTGAGCATACAAAACCGACAGGAGCAGTTCAAATAAACTTTCGGTGCCCTTTGAGTTGTTCAGAACAATAGGTGCGAATGACGATCGGGAGTCTTTGATGACGGGTAATAAAGGAGGGGCTGTCTGTACGAACGAGCCATCTGATACAAGATTGAAGCTATATTTATGAATGAATCTAATTGCACCGTTTACCAAATGGTTCTGAAGAAGGGACGTTGACCTGTTCAGATAACTGGAACAGAACAAAATGTGGGTTAACAGGTAAGCGGAAGGTGCGATTAAAATGAAAACAGAGGCCGACTGGTGGCGAGCAGCTGTTCTTCCGTGCGGATGACGGCTTCTCTTTGCGGCTTGCTCAACAGGTGTGCGCAGGGCGGATCAGTCGGTACACACTAATTGGACATGGTCCAATTGGATTGTTTGGTTTGGAGAGTCTGAGAAACCACGTTTAATCATGATGAAGTGGGTGTTCACACTTTCCCTATTCCAAATGATCAATCTACACCCCCTTGACCAGGTGATAAGCGGAATGAAATCATCGGTTAGTTTCATTTTTGGTTATCAATAATTTCAGCACCCGACAATTTGCCGACTCGAGTCGCTCATTTGATTATACATTTTCCATTCCGTCTTTGACCGCCACGTCTTTCAAGAACAGTTTCTTTAGAATGAACCGCTTCGCCGCTGCGATTCTTCTGGTTTCTTTCGCTTACGTTAGCGCCAACGGTAAGATTTGAGAATAGGACTTGTCAGACAGACTTTTTCAGTCTGTGACGATGGAACCGGCCATTGGTTCGTGGCCATTGCCGAGGGTGTCACTGACTACGCTTACGGAGGAGCCAGGCTCAACAACCAGTACTACTGCTTCGAGGCATGCCTGAACACTCAGACCGCCCTTCAGAACTATAAGGTCGATCTGGCGGGAACGAATGCGACCATGGTGGAGAGATCCATCTCAGCAAAAGCAATCCGCACTCAGCACAATCAAGTCAGAGGTTGTTCTAACACTCGCGCTATTTCAAACAATGGCTCTCGTTTAGATGACGACCCGAATGCTGAATTCTGTGTTGATCCAGTTCTGAGACAGGACGTCGCCGACGCCATCAGCAAGGCTACTCAGAACAGCTGCAAGGTCAGCTGAGAGCGACTGAGGAGAGAGACTCTATTCAAAAACTTCAGAACATCGTCAACACCCTGGTTCTGAATCTGAACCGTCCTGGATGGGCAATCACTTGCATTCAATTCGACGAGTTCGGACTTGACACCGCCACTTCCGTATGATATTGGCAACAGAAATAGAGAAACGGAGTAACATTTTCAGGACAAGAACTTCTGCAGCTACGACGCCGTCGTCAACAACGAAATCTACACTGTCCGTCTCGCTAAGCTGGACATGAACTAACTTTGAAAAGAAAACGCTTTGCAATGAATAAAACGTCAAATTTAATTTTAAAAGTGTTGTTTTGTTTTTAACAAATTTTGAAAGGAATTTTGCTTTGCTTCGTTGTGTGCCTTTAAAAATTACGGTATGACTTTTCTCCTTTGAAGCCTTCAGAAATTGCATCAGAAAACCTGAATTTCTTCGTTTCCCATATTTTCTTGAGCTAAAAAGATTCTCGAAATGTCAGAAAGGGTAATCGACCCGTGGGTTCGCAAGAATACGAATCCCTTCCAAACGTACAGGTTTGCGGACTTTGAAGTCTCGCATTTAAAATCATCATTTTCAGGGTGGACGGCAGGTTGTACACAATTCCATTCGTTATTTTCCACAATTTGACGTTCATGAAGTCGTCCGATAAGTACATTACTGAATGCCGGCGACTTCCGCATCAGTATTCAGCCGTTTTCGACGAGAAAACAAAGACGATTCTGAAACTGAATCCGCCTATCGAGCTGAACAAAAAGTTGAAAGTTTATCTGCAGGTACTCGAGTAGAAAAGGTTTAGAAACGAACAAATTGGCAGGAGAGCAGCAGTCAGCACATGTCGACGATCCTGGAAGGCGTGGAAGCAGCGAACATGAAGCTGGAAAGTGCAGAGATTCTGGTGACCGGTGAGGCACTCAACAAGATTGCCGGATCCGTGTTCAATCAAGAGAGGAGCTGGAGACTTCGAGCATTCGTGGAGTACGTGCAGGGGACGTCGATTATTGTTCTCTGCGACGACGATTTGACTGAAACGGAACCAAACTCTCAATAGTACTTACGAACTGATTGCTTCGCTCACACAGAAATTATCATTTTTCAGTTTGACAGAATTCCTGAAGGAGCGTACCGACGCAATAAATTTCGCTCAATCATTATGCGAACGTGGCTCAGAAACCAACACGAATCCGCATCTCCGAGGCTGTCTCACAGTGCTCTCTTCGATAAACGATGGTCAGGAGAGCGTGCGTATGGCCGTGGTCAGCGAGGTGGACATGGTGAACGCCCAGCAACGTGAGAAATTGGAGAGTTCATCTGAAAATCGCCAGTTTCAGCTGTGAACGCGTACGTGATGAGCGGAATGGGACGGACTAATCGTCCGAAGATCGATTGGGATGAAGACAGCACGTGAGAGACGGTGAATTCGGAGAAATGTGAGAAAACGTTCCTGTTTCAGCAACAAATGTTTCGAGTATTTGTGGTCCCGTTCCTTCTGGCTTGGCCTCGAAAATTGTCTATTCGGATTGCGCCCTTCGGATGAAGAAGCCGTCCAAACAGTCAGTACATACGGATTTCAACTTAATAATTTTTTTGTCCTTCCAGACGCAGCGCTGCAGTTTGTCCCATTTCTACCGTCAACACCGCCATCGCAACAATCGACTTGCAGATGTCGCCACGAACTGCGTCGCCCGTGTTCTGATACGTCTGCGGGACGCCGTACTCACGAATCCACGTGTCAATTGGATTGTGAACTATGCGGGAGAATGCGGACCGAATGAGCCAGACTACATTCATATCTTCGAAGCTCCCGAATCGTACGGCTTCTGGCTGCTCAGAGAAAAGTATCATATGATGAAAAGGGAAGTGGTAAGCGGGAAACAGCATCGAAATCTCGAATGATTATTCAATTTCAGAAGAAGGAGGTCGAGAAAATGAATTCCGATGATAATGGAGAAGGAGACGCAGAACGAATGATCCGAGTATTTCCAACTCGCAAGAAAGGTCTCCGGATTCGAAGCAAGGGAACTTTGGCACGCCAATTCCGCAGATATATCAGGATGAACTAGATTCTACATATCTATATACAAAATTTATGCAAATGTTTTACAGAATGCAAGCTTTTTTAAATAGTTCCTCGTTATTTTTTGAAAATTTCCAATTTAATAAATAGTTTCTGCGAGCTTTCCTCCTGACTGCGCTATTTGTTAAAATTCATTAAGATTTATTTTTTTGAAGCTTTGAGCAAATTATGACAGCTAACTCGTGATTCAATTTTTCTACAAGTGAACATCGTTTTCGCACGCACAAGACTCTCCAATCTTACTCTTGGAGCACTTCACAACTTGAGTTTCCGACTTGTTAATGTTGATAATAACGGGCGGTTTCGAACAACAGATTAGGGTGCGGATCTGAGTTGTCAGTTGGTCTGTAACGTTTTTGGAACACAAACTGGATGCAGAATTGAATTGCGCTCACTGATTTCATTAGTGGTTTCCGTTGAGAATCCCTTCTTATACTCTGCGGCCAGGTCGCCCATCCGATCGCTTCTTTCCGAGAATCCGTGTTCGAAAGGCCAGGCGACGAGAAGTGCGGCCACCGCCGAACTCGAGAACACCTCCGCAAACCGCGTCCTCCGAATCTCTGCGCAAATCATGCGACACGCCTCGTTCTGGTCGGTCGAGCACTCGGCACACGAGTTTTTCTGATCGGCGTCGAACGTCTTCTGGGTGCAGCACAGAGCGTGTGGGGTGAAGCATTGACCGAACTTCCGGCAGGACAATTGGAACTCTTCTTCTTCGTTTTCTAGCGGATCGCACAGAAGGAACTCCATCCACGAGACGACCGATGTGGCAAAGTTCGAATCGTTCACGTTTACGTAGGCCTTCAGTCCGTACATTATCAGCGGCCGCGTGCCTTTTTTCAATTCAAGTTCCACAAACCCGCGTGGTTTCTTTGTTGATGTATCTACGGAGCAGAGTGCCTTCTGGAGGGATTCCAGCTTGACCCAATGAGGGGGATATCTGCAAGAGTGGAGTTGATTAGGTATCTGGTTGGCATCCTTACTTGAACCGAGCCACATCCATTATCAGAACCTGATCGGAATCGGCGTGATAGGCGGCGAGAGGAGAGAAGTGTCCGGATCCCGTCTGTCCGAGAACACTCCGATCGTAGCTGGCCACGAGAACTTGATCGTCGCTTTTGACAGAAGTGACGAGTGAATTTCGGAACTTCTGGAGGAAATCTGAAATGGAAATGGAGAAAAGTCAAAGAATTCAAGTGAGTTAACCTCCAGATTCTTCGCCATAACTGATGGATGCTTTCAGCCGATTACAAGTGGCTAAACATGTAAATTGCTGGAGAGTTATACCAGATCTGAACGAAACGGAGCGATTTTTAAAATGCGACTAGTAGCGTGACTCACCGTTTGATGTTTTCCAGAGGAACACAACAATCGAGCATCGTTTCGTGATAAAACCTCCACGGTGCTTTCCACACTTTTTCCGGATCCACTTCCAATGCATTCAGAACCATCACTGAAATCATGCAAACATGAAAAAAGTTTTATATACCAAAACTGACCTAGTGTGCTCAATCCGCAATACGCGGGCTCATCTTGTGTCCGAAACTGTGACGCGAGCTTAAAATAAATGTTTGCACAACCTTGGAGGAGAGCTTCAGTGAACAGCTTCTTGCCAAGTTCACTCGAAAACTCAATGCACGTCTCCGGAAGCGGACGGCGGTAGAAGTTCTTCGCTGTGACGGACATTTTGAAGCTTCTGGAGTTGAGAAGAAATGATGAAGTATAACACGAACCACGGAACCTTCTTTGCGACATTGAAACGGACGGAATAATGGAAAGAGGAAGTTGTTATTTGTTGGAGAGAAAAGAGGAGCCAACGAGTCAGGAGAGGGGAGAAGAAGCCCATTCATTTTATTACAATTCAATTGAGTTGTTGCAATTGTCAGGCAGAAAACAACTGGTGGGAAATGGAAGGGAATGGGGTGTAGATAACTATATTTATAAAAGTGTTATTTAAGTGCCTTTTATCGCCTTAACAACGACTTTTTGAACTCGAATGATGGGCATTCGAGTTTTTTTTTATTGTAGCCCGATTTCGAGTTTTATAAACACTTTAAAGGACGAGTGATGAGTCAGCATTAAACAAACTTCGCTTTATGACCAAAGTTCAATCGCGTCGACTTTATTCGCAGCATTTTAGTGGGAAAATGCCGATTGGACAATGCAATCCATCTTCTCACACATGTCGTTTTTTTCGTCGCGACGAAAGAAAAGTGAAGAGGTGATAATAGATAGGGAAAATGCCAGGAAATAATATAATTAATTACGAGATGAACTTCTAGTTTTTATTATCATTTTAAGTTCTTATAACTTTTGCAGAATTTTCTGTTACCAAGGGCATTTTTCTAGCCGTGAAATCGAACTTTTCTGTCACATGGCCGTGGTCGCGCTGCAAGTGGCCTAGGTTTTTCAGACGTTTCGAAATTGTTGCGGCGAAGTTCAAATTTCGGTACGGCGAGACGAGCAAATTTTCTCTTCGAATCATTGATTTTCCCTTTAAACATAGCAATGCGGTGTGATGTGCTCATTCAGTCGGAAAACAACGGGTTTTTTCTAGTTTTTATATTTTCTCCTGTTTCGAATGTGGTTTTTGCGGTAAAAAACGGGGGTTTCCCGACTGAATGAGCGAGTTCCAGTTTTTTCTTCCTCACGGGAATCTGACCACTGTACACAAAGATTGCATCGTTTTCAGGGTTATGAGCAAACGGGACGCACCAAGTCCCAACGAAAACTTGCCACCATCTTCAGGGGACCGCATAGTCAGTAGGATGGGAACACCGGCAAAAAATCTAGATTAGATGACGACGGTTCGTTTTTTTCTGAAATTGATTCCAAAAACAGTCAATAATGTCTTCCAGAACGATTCAAAGTTTCTGGACGCGTCGCTTCAGTTAAACTCCAAAATTTTATGTGTCATGCAAACCTTTTAATCGAATTCAACACGGAAAAAAACAACTGTTTTTACATCGGCGGTCCTAACGGAAGTACGTTTGACCGAGATTTTTCCATATTTTTGTTCTCATTCTTCAGGTGGAAAGAGTGCGTTGTTCGCTGCGATCAACTTGGGTCTCGGAGGAAGAGGATCGGATAACGATCGAGGAAACACCGTCAAAGCGTATATCAAAGATGGAACTTCGTTTGTGGAATGCTTGTCTTGCTCAGGAAAGTTGTTATTTTTGCAGACAGGCTAAAATCACAATCACACTCACAAATGAAGGTCTGAATGCCCATCCGGATTTTGACGAACTGATTTCCGTGGAGCGTACAATCAATCAGACGTCTTCCACTTACGTAATGAAGAGCATCCGCGTGGGGCCGAATGGCCATCAGTCCGAGAGAGTGATCAGTAAGAAGAAGAGCGAAATCGATCGAATCGTCGCCAGATTCAACATTCACCTCTCGAATCCCGCGTTCTGGATGAGTCAGGACAGATCTCGCAGTTTCCTCGCCAATTTCAAGCCTTCTAATGTTTACAAGGTAACAAGAATATCAATATGATCGAAATTCGAACGATTTTTTTCCAGCTCTATCTCGAGTCGACAGATCTCGAGAAGATCCGATTGTCGTATATGAGATTCGCCTCGGTGTTGGAGGAATGCAAAGGAATCACGGAAGAGAAGATCGGTGACATGGCAAAAGAGCAGCGAAGACTGAAAAATATGCTCGAGCAGCGAGAGTTGCAAGAAAAGGTCGAAAACGACAAAGCCACGTTGGCCAGTTACAAATGGAAGATAATCTTTTGCACGCTGCGCGATTTCGAAGACGAAATCAAGCTGAACGAGAGGAAACTGGAAGTGCAGAAGCAATTTCACGAGACTTTAAAGAAGGACTACGGTCAGAACCGTACCGAACGAAATGCATTGGATAAAAAGGCACACGATTTGACCGAGGAAGTGGAAGTGCAGAAGGATGAGATGGAAGAGGCTGTGAGAAATCAGAAAACGGCGAACCAGGCAGTGAAGGAGTTCGAAGAGAAAATCAAAGAGTTTGTGCATGAGAAGAATACGAAGGAGTATGAACTGAAGTCGAAAAAAGATGCTATTCTGAATGCAGAGAAGCATCTGAGACAAGCGATGCAGAAGCAGGGATGCGAAGACATCACGAACAGATTGGAAAAGGCTGAAAATGAGAGTAAAGCTGTGAGCGCGGAAAGAGAGAAAATGGAACTGGGCGGTCAACTGGACAAACTCAAGGAAACTGCTGATGAGATAAAGAGAGAAATAGGAAAGAAAGATGTGGATAAGGTCAATTCGATGAGAGAGATCTATGAAATCAGAAGAGAATTGGAGAATAACATGAGCCTTATGACCAGGGCCAAAGCGATGAAGACGGATTCCATCAACAAGTATGTTGTTATTCTAACGATTTTAGTTTAAATTCGATATTTCCAGGTTCGGCCGTCACATGTCTGATATTCTCAAGGAAATCTCGAGGAATCAGTCAAAGTTCGAGAAATTGCCGAAAGGTCCGATTGGCAAATACATCACATTGACCGATCCGAAGTGGGCTATTCCCGCGGAAGATTGTCTTCGCCACGTTGCTTCAATGTTCCTGTGCAGTTCTCATCGCGATTCGGACACACTCCGCAAGTGCTTCCGAGATCTGAGCATTTCGAATGATGAGCAGCCTGCCGTGGTTATCGCCAACTTTCTTGGAAAACCCTACTCAAATCTGATGGAGCCGAATGCCGAGTACGATACCATCTATAGAAAATTGGAAATTTCCGATCCGGATGTTCAGTAAGTTGACCAGATGATTTGACAGCAACCTAAAACTCCTTCTTCAGCAATCTGATAGTGGACAAAACGTCTTGCGAAAGTATTATTCTCATCGAACAGAAGCTCGATGCGATGAGAATAATGGACAGTGACCATCCTCCGCAAAACGCAGTGAAAGCGTATACCTGTGATGGCGGACAGGCGTACGCAGGTGGACCCACTGGGCAGTACCGCTTTTATGGTGGAAAACCGCGGAGAGACGCCGGCCGACTCTTTGGACCTCAATCAGCGAATCTTGATGAAAAATCACTAATCAAAGATATTGAAATGGCCAAAACCGAAATCGAAAACCGTGAAAGAAATGTGGTGAGGAAAATAGACGAGGAGATGAGACAACTGAAAAAGGATGAATACGAGGCGAGATCGGCGCTCGAAAATTTCGAGAAGAAGCTGACATCGTTGCGCTCGCAAGAGTTGAAAATGGATCGATTGGTGAGGGATTTGAGCGAGCAGCTGAGAAATTCTGCGGAAGCGGAGTCGGTCGAGGCCCTGCAACATCAAATCGACGCACAGAGGAATCATATTCCTGCGATTGAGGACGCAATTCGCGAATTGGATGAGAAGGTGCTCGAGATCAGACAATCTATGGCTCCTGCTTTGAGAGAGAAGAGCGGGGTCGATAAATTGCTCACAAAGATGAAAGTGGAAGTGAGAGGATTTGCGGAAAGAACTACAAAGCTGCAAGCAGAAATGTCTGCATTGGACGAAAAAGGAGACGAGCTTAAACTGCGCATCGACAAGTTGAAGGGAGATGAGACCGTGCTGTACACGAACGACGCGAGACTCAAGACAGAGATGGATGAAGCCATTGCTCAAGTGGAGGCGGAGAAGAAGAACCCGGAAAATGCCATGCCGCCGGGAGAGACGGATCCTCCAGATCTCAGTGATTTTCCACCGACAAAAGACGCTGTACAAAGAATCGAGGAGCTGCAAAAGAAGATCGATTTAGGAACTAACGGTTGTGATATGTCAATCACTGCCAAGTCTATCGCCGATTTCCAAAAAAAGATAAAGATTTGCAAGTACCAATGTAGGAAAGTTAACGAGGTACTCTCCACTCTGGACAAGATTCACATGGTTCGTCTGAAGGCATATCCGTTGTTGAAGAAGTACACGGAGATGAAAGTGTGCGATAAGTTCGAGGATCTGCTCGCAATCCGAGGAAACTTCAAAGGACACCTTGAGTTCGATCACGAGAAGCAGACACTGAACGTGGATGTGCAATCGACCAAGGAGAACGATCCGATGTCACAGCGGGATCGAGGAAATGACGAGGAAGACGATGATGAAGAGGTGTCCGAGAATTCTGACGATAGAGATTCTGACGGACCACGCAGGAAGAAGGCTAAGAAGCAGCCAAAAAAGAAGAAGAAGGCCCGCGATCTGAAGGGTCTTTCCGGTGGAGAGCGATCCTTTGTTACTGCCGCTCTCGTCATGTCTCTCTGGGAAGTTATGGAGCAGCCGTTCCGAATGATGGATGAATTCGATGTCTTCATGGACATGATGAACAGAAAGGTTCTTTTTACTAAAGACTTGTACACTGTTTCTTCATCATCTATTGTTTCAGTTGGTCATGGATCTTCTGGTCGAGTTGGCCACTCAGAAGTTCCCACACAACCAATTCATCTTCTTCACTCCACAAGGAATCAAGGAACTCAATAAAGTGGATGGCCTTCAAATCTTCGAAATGAATAAAGTTCGCGACTGAGCCGTCTTGGATCTCCATTTTTGTTCGCTCTTTCATTAAACTACCTCTATGAAACCACGTTTTTTGTTTTTAAAAAATCTCCAATAATGATCATGCTTTATCTGTCCCCTTTTTATCATTTAACAACACCGGTTTCACTGTAAGCTTTCTAGAATCCAATTTTCTGCTTTATTAAATGTTCTTTTGTTTTGTAATGAAAATGTAAAGGAACCATTGTTCAGAACATTGAGAAACGAGTTGCCACTTTGCCTCATTGCCCGTTCTATCTCTCCCCCACTTTCCTGCTTCTTATCCAACCCCTCAAGATGTTCAGGTACGGGATGGCTTGGACGGCCCATGCCCAGACTTACGACAGAGGTATGCGCTCCAGTCTCCCGGAGCAGCTGGGTACTGTGGCCAAGCTCAGTCGGCTATTCGAAGAGAATCCCATTCCGGTGTTCGTAAACAACATTCTCGTTCGGACTGCCGACTCCTTCAAAGACGGGTTTGTCCTTCAATTTCCCATTGTTTTCTGAATTCTCATAATTTCAGAAATCTCGATCTTCGCATCGCGATCGCCCGATCACTGGGCCAATGTGGTTCCCATCTCACACTCGCCTTCTCAGTTGACCAAATCTTCAAACGCATCCTCACCGTCATCCATTCCAACGATCCGAATGCGCGAGAGACTGTGCTCGATGTGCTGGCCGTGCTGTGCCCTCTGAATCCCGAACACAACCAGTGCCATCATCTCATCTGCGAATCGCTCTCCACTTCCCACGAAGGAGAGTTCCGTGCAGCGTGTGCTGCACTGAAGGCCTTCGCCGCGCATTCTCAGACATTCGCCGAGACGACGGTTCTACAGATCGGAAAGATATTGGAGGACGAAGACGCTCCGGAGAACCGCAAAATCCATCTCTGCTCTGCGATTTCAACAATGAGCGCTACTGCACAGGTCGTCGAGCAAGTGTTCGGGCTTGCAGATACAGTACTCCGACGCACGATCTCCGATGATTACTTCTTCGCATTTCTGGACGCGACAACAAGTTTGTGCGTGGAGATCCGTTTTGCCATTCCGAGACAGATTGACCTTCTGCTAACTCTTTTGAATTCAACTGAAAAGGATCGAAGAAAGCCTTCGAAGGCCCGGAAACTGGCAGTTCTGAAGCAATTGAAAAGATTGTCCTCCTACTCCAACATATGGACTGAAAGACAAATTAAGGTACGGCATGTCTGGGTGCTTTTCTCCTAACAGTTTTCGATTCCAGTTGTTCGTCTCCGCATTGAATCCATCGCTTCCGGATCGCTCTCTCGTCGCCTTCTTCGATACCGTCGTTCATCTCGCCAAAAACTGTCCGCACCCGAATCTGATGGCGCTCAAAAACATGGTGATCGCAAACACTTCCTTCGGAACGGTCGCCAATCCAGAAGTCAGCGTCAGATTCGTTCACCTCGCCGCGCAAGTGCTCTCTTCTCCGAGAGCTTTTGAGGATGAGCCGAGCGAATCCATCGAATCCACGATGACCGCAATTACTGTCGTTGTTGTGAGTGCGTGCAATTGTGGAAAATTGGAAACATCGCTTGCCAATCGAGTAAGAAGCCTTACTTGAAAATTAAATGTTTTGAAAGCATATTCTTCAGATGTTCCGTGCTGTTGGAGACTTCCTCATCGCTTTTCCATATTCGCAGCACGCATTCTCAAAAATGATAATCTCCACAGTGTTCTCGGCTTTTGAATCTCCGGTGCATGACGACAACAATCAGAAAGAACGATTGGAAATGATATGTCGGCTTGTCGATTCGGAGAAGAAGTACATCCCGGAGGTGCACAAATGGGCGTGCGGTGTGATGCGCGACAAGAAGGAGCTCTTCCAGTCCTACCCCAAACAGTTCGCTTACCTGTGCCTGGCTGTCGGCACGGAACTGCCTGCAGAAAGTGAAAAAGTGTTCTACAAACACTCCTCGCTCGCCATGTACGAAACGGCCATGAGCGCTCTTCGTAATGGACACTGGAAAAGTGTGGCGGCTCCGAATCTGGCGAGCATTGATCTGTACAACTTGGATCGGTGTGAAAGGGAATGGTTGGCTGCTCTTCTAGCAGTTGCCGAATCTCAGATGAGCGAAATGAGTCTGGAAGCACTTGAACACCAGGAAACTTATCTCATTTCGGCACTTTCTAATCTGAAAACCGCCAGAACGAGTCCGCGAATGGAGAAAGTCGTGCAGTTCCCAATCCAAATAGTGTCCGCAATGCTGTCGACTTCCCGTGCCCTCTACCACCTGCACTCCGTCATTGTCCCTTTCACAACGTATCTTTCCGGAGCACTAGAACCGAACGATTTCTTCAATCCAGTCGTCGCCAAACGATTTCTCGTCGCATTGAATAACTGCGAAGTTACTGTTGCCGACGCGCTCGCGGAATGGACCGCTCTGTGCCGTGCAAGTTTCTGTGCGGATCCCACTTCCTTCGATCTGATAACTCTCTTCTGTCTCCGAGTTTCCGTTCTTTCTGTGGCGGTGAAGGTCATGCTGAAAAAGCAGTCGCCTGACACGTATGTCTCGTTTTTTTGTGAATTCAACAAGACAATATTAATTCAGACTTGTTCAAATCCCTCCACTTTCAAACAATCGAACTTGTTCCGCTTTGCAACGAGAGAGAATCCAGTGGATTGCTGACAGAATACGCTTTCTGCGATACGACGGAGTTCCGAACATCAAGCTCATCAACTCGTTCCACAGAGTTATCGAACAGATCGCTATGACTCCCTACATGCTTCCAAGATTCTACTTCCAACAATTCTACAACGTGGATATCAAAGTACGCAGTGTGAACTCGCTCAAAACCATAAAATTAATCATTTTACAGATTTCCACGTGTCCAGAAGGCACAAAATCAAAGCCATTCTCAATTGGATCCGGCGAGACCGTTCCCATCAGAGTCGACGGCGCCATAATATCCACACACCCATCGCAAATCCGATCGGTTATCGTTTTCGCTGATATCATCAATCCGGCTAATCATTCAGTACGAAGTTAAACGTTGTTTCTAAATACCCCTTTCATTTCAGTACAATCACACACTGCAAGAAACTGTTCTTCCGAATGAGAGCAACTACTTTAACGCCCAATTCTTGCTCACTTTCAAAACGGTGCGCACGTTTCTTCTTTTCTTTTTACACGGTTTTCCTAATTTTTGCAGTCTTGCGAAGTGAAGTTCCGCATCGAGTTCGTCGACCAAATATCTCGAAAGCAATGGAAATCGGATGGAGGCGAAACGATTCTAGTTAACGTTCGAGAGATTGTTCCGAGCGTGCCACAGGAAAGGCGGAGCGGACCACCTCCAGCTACTTTCACACGGAGCATCTTCTACCCATCGGACACAACTCTTTGAAAAAGATCTCATTCATTTCTGTATTTATATCATTCCGGTTTTATTTATTCTGTATTGAAATTCTATTTTATTTTATTTTTAACGCTAAATATTTTCTCAATGCCAATTTATTTGATGCGGGAGGATGGTCTCGCCACGATTGACGGCCAGTGCAGTTTTCCGCTCCAACGGACGAGCACAACGGGCACATCGACGGCATGACGTGGTTGTATGGACAGCTGAAAAAAGCATTCATTTAAAAGAACGGGCAGAAGAGAAAGTGAACCTCCATCCAAAGCTGCTCCGGAGATGCTTCTCATGGCGTTATCCTGAAGAACGGCGAACTTTCGATCGTACTTCTCGTGCGCTTCTCTCCACGCCGCCTCCACTTTCGGATTCGGCTGCACGATAATCGGACGGCTTTCCGTTCTCTTTGCCAGCGGATAAAGCATCTTCGAGTTCTCGTGCAATTGCTCTCTGATTCTGTCGTATTTAGCCCTCCGATTATCCCTCATAACCATATCATCATGAGCCTGTCGGGCTTTGAACTCTTCCAACATTCCGATTGAATGTCTGCAATTCCCAACTTGCCTTTCTCTATTATCTATCTGCTCACTTGATTGTCTGATTCCTCTCCACCTGATTCGTATGCTTCATTCCTTGCAGCCTCGCATCCCTCCATCCGTGCTCATCCGGCCGTTCCGCCCACCAGAGCCAGTTTTTATCGGACGGCGCCCCCACTCGGTTCATTTCCATCTGGAATTCCAGCTGCTTCCGAGCCATCTCCTTCGCGTGCTCCATCGTTTTCCGTTCCGCTTCTCTCGCATTCGCAAACCTGCAATTTTCAACTGTTCCGGAAGTTCCCCTGATCACTCACTCCAGAGCAGCTCTCGCATTGCTCGTCGCGTCGATCGCCTCGTTCTTCTCGAATTCGGCGATTCGTCGGAGCCTTTTCTCTTCGACCTGTCTGTCCAGTTCTGCGCGGTACACATCCTTCCGCGTGCGCTGTTCCGCATCACGGAGCCGTGGAGATTCGTGCCGGAAGATGTAGTTCTCTTCGATCGGCGACTTCGGTCTCCTCTTCTTCAACTCGATCATCTCTGCGTTCACCCGATCCACGTGCTCCCGCAGCGCCTTGTTCCTTTCGAGCTCGTCCTGCAATCCTGCTATTTCCCATCCCATCTTCTTTTTGGCTCACCCGTCTGAATGCCTCCTCCTTTTGCTTCGTCTCCTGCTCGTAAATCTTCGCTCTTCTCGTTGTCTCGTCGTACTTCCTCCGTTCCTCTTCCGCCGTTCTCCTCATCCGTTCCATGTATTCGTCCTCCGCCTGACATTGCGCGCAAATGTCATGACCGTAATACTCCTCATCCACCATGTACTTGTTCATTTTCGCTTTTTTCTGAACAAAATCCGATTCGTTTCTTGTTATTCCTCTCACCTCTTCTTCACTTTCAAACCGTATATTCCCCAGGTTCTGTTCCATTTCCACCATCGGATCCACGTGGTTTTCTCTCCCCTCCGTACCCGCCCATCACTCCTCTATCAATTTCTTTGCCAATATCTTCTCCCAAGTTGAACTTCATCATTCCGTTCATCGGTGGACTTGAGATGCCACGTGGCATCGGGTCATCGGGATAAACATCGGATGGAAGATCCATTCGATATCTGTCAATGTTCGGAAGGGCCGTCTCTTCGCCGCCCATCAAGTTGGCGGGAAGCACTGAACAAGGGAAACGGATGAGTACGACTACGATAACAGCGCACCCAGACTGCCGTCGTCCCTTCCGAAGTTGGATATGTTCGCCGGAAGGTCCATCATCTCCCTCGTCGGGTCGGAATCCGTCAGAAACTGATGCATTCCGACCACTGGCGGCGTGCCGTTTCCCATCATCGGAGGCGGAGTGTCCAACGGAGAAACTAAAATACATTTCCGCGCATTTCAGTTTATTTCCCGTCTCCTAACTGACATTGTGTCGTATAATTCTTCATCATTCTCGGTTCATCTGGCGGTCGGAATCGTGGTGCGTCAAAGTTTTCGAGTGCTTCTGGGGTATGCCACGTGGGACATCATTCCTTTTTCCGCTCACTAACCTCTGATTTTGTCGGCTTCATTCGGCTCGCGATTGCCCATTCGATCATAGAAGTACACTTTACCGTAGCGCATCGGCAGTATTTAGAGAATAAAATTGAAGTTAACCTAGAAAATTGCAAAACACTAAACTACTAAACGGCACTTTTGCGAAGGTGTGGCGGCGGCTCGCCGAGTCCGCCAATCCAATCAGAGCACGCTTCGGCGCGTCAGCTAAACTTCCGTAAGTATTCGCGAAAGTCGAAAATTGTAAACCGGAAAACATAAATCTCCATTTAGTCACTTTGTGCTATTTCACGATGCCCTAAAGTGACATGAAATGAGAAGAATTCATAATCCGCCCAAAGAGCCGACAGAGGGCACAATTCGTGCAGGCGGACAACGAATAACAAAATCCGATTCCAATCTCTTATTGATTGTAGGCTGATCACAGACTTGAAATTCAAATGCAATAAATATTTTAAGGGGCACATGCGAAAGAGTTAGAATTGCGGGGGAGAGGGGATATTTATCACAGAGGGAGTGAGTGGCAGAGCGAGAACGGCGTACAACTTTACTCGACGGTCACGGACTTGGCCAAGTTGCGTGGTCGGTCGACCTGAAAGGCACATTTGAAGACTTGTAAAAATAGACGAATGAAACTCACGTTGGCTCCGTTCAACTCGGCAATGTGGTAAGAAAGAAGCTGGAGAGGGATGACTGTCAGAATGTTCTGGACACAATCGACAGTCTTTGGCACGCGGAGTATGTGCTTCATTCCGGCAAGGTCGTTTTCTGGGACAGTGCGATCAGCGATGATGATCGGAGTTCCCTTGCGAGCGACGACTTGTTGCAGAGCGTTCAGCGACTTCTGAAAAGAGAATATGACAATTGAACACAAAGAAATTCTATTACCTTGTAGACGTGATCGTTGCAGATAACCATGCAGATGCTGAGGAACTCGTCGACCATGGCGAGAGGTCCGTGCTTCAGTTCTCCGGACATAATTCCTTCACAGTGCATGTAGGAAAGTTCCTTGATCTTGAGAGCTCCCTCGAGGCACGTGGCGAAGTTGAATCCACGCCCCATGATGAGCAGAGACTTCTCCTTGTAGATTTGCTCGGCGATCTGATGAACCAAGTCGTCCAGTTGCAACACTTCACGAATGAGGTTCGGAAGTTCGTTGAGGGCATCGATGATCTCCTCACGTCTTTGGCCATCGACATGCGGTCGTCGGACAAAGTGAGAGCGAACATGAGCAGGGAGAGAATCTGCGAAGTGTATGCCTTGGTGGAGGCTACTCCGATTTCGGGCCCAGCGTTTATGTGGATTCCACAGTGAGACTCGCGACAGATCGATGATCCGACGGTGTTGGTAACTCCGATGGTAAGTGCTCCACGTGGTTTGCAGTATCTCAGAGCCATCAGAGTGTCGGCAGTCTCTCCACTTTGGGATATGAAGAGGCAAACGTCGTCACGGAAATTGGAGTCTGACGGTCCAGGAAGTCCGAAGCGAGCTCGACGACAACTGGCAACTCGGACAGCTCCTCGAGGATTTGACGACATGCGATAGCTGAGTGGTAAGAGGTTCCGCAGGCGACCATGATGAGACGACGGCATCTCTTGATATCCGGGAGGTATTCCTTGATTCCTCCGAGCACCACCTGTCCGGATGGGAGAAGGCGTCCACGCATAGTGTTAACCACCGACTCTGGTTGCTCGAAGATCTCCTTCTGCATGTAGGTCTTGTAAGATCCCTGAAAAATGAAAATAGTGAGAAGTCCTCACCATGACCAGCAAACCTTCATGATCTCCTGCAACTCCATCTCGAGAAGCTGAACCTCTCTCTTCTGCTCGCCGTTGTCGGCGTGTCTCGAGATACGGTGAATGGTGAGTGCTCCATCCTCGACGAAAGCGACATCGTCGTCTTCGAGGAACAGCACTTGCTTCGTGTGCTCTATAATGGCGGCGGCGTCAGAGGCGACGAAGTACTCGACCTCCCAGTCTTCAGAATCGAACGGACGGACGGCTGTCGTACTGTCCGAGATCTCGAGTTTGGCGGATCCATTCGACGATCTGACAGCTATAAAGAAGAAGTTAGCAATTTGAAAAGACGAAGAATCAGTTAACGGATGCGAGAGAATTAGTTAGTTGGTCCCAGGGTCAAGAAGTGGTCAAGATAGACATGCATAATGCAGAAGTACGCTGGTCTACCGTTCAAAGAGTTTAAAAACGCCGACAATCTTCTTTGGGAGTCATCTACAGTAACCGGCAAATTGCAAACTGCTTGGGAATCTAGTACGTTTTCTATTCAGTCACATTGTTCTGAATAGGCGAAGTCACTAACCGATCGACAGATCCAGGATGTTGTTCGGCGTCTCGACGAAAGAGGTCTCATCGCGCACTGAAAATGTCCTGATGAGATGCTACTACTATGAATGGGAAAACTCACAGTGGGTGGCGTGATTGGACATGAAACGGCGTCCTGAAAAGAAAAACGATCATTTGTGAATTGGTAAACGGCAAGCATGCAGGGTTAGTGTAGCACTAGTAATCAAGCAACCGAAACCCGAATCAGAATTAAATTTACCATCAGCCTGCTTTTCGTCTCCCCATTTCCACCCGGCGTCTAAAACATCGCAGTTCGCGATTGAATTTTTGGAAAGGAAGAGAATTCCTCCCACTTTCACAGACACTCACCTTTCGAGAAAGACACTGGGAAGTGGTTCGTCTGGAGCCGGGAGTTGCTCTTGATTCCCACGAGGAGAGGCGATCCGCGGCGGGAAGCAACGAGCTGTCCGGAAAGCGAGACGACTTGAAGGCAAGAGCGAAGGCTCCCTCCAGCTGCTGGATGACAGTCTCGACGAGCTGACGGAACGAGAAGTCCGGGTAGCGGTCGTGGATGTGCTGGGTGAGCTTGGCAATGACCTCCGTATCAGTCTCCGACTCGAACTTGTGTCCCTTCTTCTCGAGATACTCCTTGATCTCGCGGTAGTTGGTGATGATTCCATTGTGCACCACCAGGAACTCGTTCTTGTCGTTGCTGCGATGTGGATGCGAGTTGACATCACGTGGCGATCCGTGCGTGGCCCAGCGGGTGTGAGCGATTCCGCAGTGGATGTTGTACTCCATGTCCATGTCGAGGTCCGACGAGCATTCCTTGATGTAGTCATTCAGGACCGACACCTTTCCGGCTTTACGGAGCAGAGCAACGCGCGAATGGGGCGCCTCGATGTCGTTGGATCCATCGATGGCGATTCCAGCAGAGTCGTATCCTCTGTACTCCATTCTTTGCAGTCCTTGCACCAAAATGTCCACAATTTCCGATCGCTTCTTCGGCGTCAGGAAGTTGAGGTAAGCGAAGATTCCGCACATTTTGGAAGAGTTAGTAAACGGTGATACCCTGCAAAAGGAAAAATTTTGGTATGCAAATGAGACAACACAACGTGCAGAAACTGAGGGAACAGCGAACGGACAATGAATATGAATGAATGGATGAATGAGATGGATGGAGGGGATTGCGACAAGTCCAGTGTAAACACGGCGAGGGATGACCCGAGAAACGGCCGCTCCTCTGTCCACAGCAAGATACCATCTCAATACTGACGAAACGAGCAGCCTCTTGATTCTCTCGTGTGCCCTTCAAAGAAAAGAAAGGCACTAGACGACAGAGAGACACTTTTTCATTTCATTTGGACCACCCCAAAAGAAGCAATGAAAGGCGGAGGGAACAAGCGGAGCGGGAGGGCAGATGGAAAGCAAAGAGCGAGAGACGCAGAGAGACGAGGCGAAAACACGTGGAATGCTTTTCTAATGGTAGGACTGGGAGTTTGCAGAAAATATACGAAAACGTCTAGAGTAGACTATCTTTGCAGCGACAGCCAAGGGAATTAAGTAAAAGTTTGGCGGGAATTGAATCGCAGATAAGCCTTCCGAGGAGTGGTTCCAGGCTTCCGGTGCACCACTGATCAGCAACAGAACAAACAGTGTCCCACGCGCTTCTAAATGATATCAAAACAGAGCACTTTTCTTTCCGCCTCACGCCACCTCAATAAAAAATGATTGAAGGCGTTGAAAGTGAAATCGTGGAAAGAAGATCTCCGGCCGATTGATAACAGTTGGCAGACAAAGGTCATCATCCATTACGCACTCACTTTTTGATTCTCGCCGACCACCGCTGGCTGCAAACTAAAACAAGACGGCCCGGCGAGCGATCAGAGGATGAAAATGAGAGGAATAGACACACAAAAAGGCAATGAATTTGCATGATAAACGACCTCGTTTTATATTCCAAGCTGACGTCTTATAACACGTGGCGCAAAGAGTATGGAAAAACGAGAGAAAGCGAAGCAATCGAGCCGAAGTGACCGGATTTCCTCCTTTTATAGGCGGTCCCGATCAAACTACACGCTTTTGTTGCCGCGCACTGTTCTGATGAACTATCAAAAGCGACCAAGTGATCAAAAACTCACGAAAAGAATTGTCGGACGTGTGGACAGTAGATCAAATGGGAAAACTTGGTAATGCTCCTTTAAGCTATCGTTACGGGACCACTGCATTTGGCGGTTATTTAAATTTTAGATTTCACGACGAATAACCACCTTCTGATGAGAAAAGTGGGCGGAGATTGCATCAGCATTCGCAAAATTCTAAGAAATTCCAAGAAAAAACCAAAAGGCGATCGAGATCTTCTGCAATCTGATGACCCTCTTCACGTGAAACACATCAATGCCCAGAACCAAAATATTGTTATTTGCTGTCAAAAACGGCACGAACGCACGGAAAACCGGACAATTTCACTTTGAAAATATGGGAGGTCGATACAAGCGATCAAAATTATGATAAAAATGAAAAGGAAGATTAGGCAGTGAGAATTAGTCAACTTTCAAATTGACTTCGGCGAAGAATGCCTTGATAAAGTGAATCCATTGGGCGTCGAGACCGAGTTCTCCTCCGATTTCGTCGAAACTAGTGAAGAATTCGTGGAAGCTGGTGATTTCGTTCAATTTGACAGCTGCTTGAGAGAGAAGAATGAAAAACTGTGGCAAGTAAAGACTGCGGATGGCATTGATCTCATTCCGATGGTGGCGCATCGGATCTCCGCTCTCGAGCGGGCGCAAGAAGTATTCAGTCCGCACTCCGATGTTGTTTACGAGTCCGCGGAGCATCGGGAGCACACTCTGTAATTCAAATTTTTTTTGTCAAATTTAGAGTTTGCGAGCAAACATCCAAATGCTGTTGAACCATTCCGAGACGCGCATTGTGATCGACAGCCTTCCTTTTCAGCACCTCCTCTCGCAATGTTTGCTCCGCCCGAGCGCGGAGTCTCAAAGACGCCTCCCAATCGGACGGATTTGTTTTATCCATCCGTTTCACCCCCTCTGATCATCGACATTTCATCTTCTGTAATCGGAGTGTACTTGAACATCAGTCCGAGTTTGAGAGCAATTGTGATCATGAAATTGTTCACGTCCTGGAAAAAAGCCAGTCAGAAATTATTGGTAATAGCGGAGACATACAACGAAAGAGCAGAGTCCGTAGAATTCAAGAGCGGTGTGCTCGATTCGGTCGGTAGTCCGCTCGGACTTGAGGTCCTGCTCGAAATGCTGCGTTTCCTGACACAGCGAGAGAATTCTTTCGCCGTTGACGACCGCGTTCGAAAGAGTCTTCGGAAGGTCGTGTTGGAGGGCCAATCGGATGATTCTTCTGACCATGGCCTCATCGAGCGGCGCCTTGAGCATAACTTTCCGGAGCAATCGGTTGCACTCCTCGAGAGCGGGCAATGCAGTCTCTTCTCCTCCGATCAGCAGCCAACTCCAGTGCTCGAGTTGAGACTCAAGAGACAGAACGTTGCTCTGGAAATACGAATTGTACATTCTGAACTTGGAATCATCTTGCCCACCTCATCGGCTCTCCTGCATTCCTGAATTAGCATGCATGCGCACTGTCCGAAGTCAATCTCATATTGTCGAAGCGACTCGACGAACTGCACTCTCTCTTTATCGGCATCGACCACTGAAAACAGTAATGAAAATCTATTTTTTTAAATTTGATGCTGAATACATTTCATGGTCTCTACAATCTCGGGCAGTTTCATGTCTTCCGGAAGGAATCTCGAGTAGAATGCAGCCATTCGTTTGTGAGATGTCGTAGCATTTCGCGCACGGAGATCATCGAATTGAAGCGCAACGACTCCATTTCCATCGTCGTTTGGCTCGAATCCACTGGCGTACGCAACTGCGATCAGATGGAAGAAGATGTCCAGTCCGAGCATGTTCACTTCGCAATTAGAGTCATTTGGAACGTATTCTGCCACAGTCTCGCTGGCGAACTTGTACAAATCTTCAATGTCGTCGTTCAGCATGTCATCGACGACCCGCAGAAGGATGAGTGCATCTCCGGTACGATCGTTTTCCTGAAACAAACACAAGCTTTGCCAGTTTTGTTCAGTTTGGAATCACTCACCGCACTCAACTCATCGAGAATCGATTTGGCGGTCAACGGAACATTGAACAACGTGGCAATCTGTTCCTGGCTCATGGCTCCTTCGGCGGCCAGCATTCTCGCGAGAAAGGCCGAATTGGCGTATGCCCATACTTTCTCGATAACTGTCTTCGCTGCTTTGAGCATTGGCGCGATATTTCCACGTATTGCGGATATCACCAACCAGTAGGCGTCACTCTCATTGCCTTTCGACTTCTCAATCAGTTTCTGTGTCATCTCGAAGTACTTGGCACGACGGATTCTTTTGTAGTCTCCAAAGTTTTGCTTCGTCGTCTCCAGTGGAACATCCAAAGGATTGCGCAGCATTGCGTGCACTTGCAGTTGTGCCCCGATGGCCGACATTCCAAGCTCAACTGCAATGTTGGCGGCTTTTGCGGTTTCGCCGCTTCTGATAAGCTGGAAGAATGTGGTCAACGCCATCTGCTCTAAAGCCTGATCTTCTTTTGTGCCCGGAGCATCAGGGTCGAGAGAAGCGTCTTTGGGAGCTCCAGCTGCGAAACTCGGACGCTTCAAGGCCATAATAGAGTTGAGTCGGGCTGCCTTTGTGCTCTCGAGCTTCCGAACTCTGTCTCCAAGACCATTCTCGTACAACTGCTCACTGATTGCCTTCTCGCTCCATAGGAGGAGAGCCTGAAATATAACTGTTTGACAAAGAACTTCAGAGGGTCAGCGTACATAGATTCGTCTGAATTCCACGTCTTCTACGACAAGTTTGCTGAGCAGGGACACATCCTGAGTCTCGTCGTATTCGTGAGCCAGAGCTGTGTAGATCGAGAGGACACTAGCAATCTGAACCGCTTCATTTGCATATTTTTGCGAAGCCACTGCGTATTTCGCTCCGTTTGGCAGCTTTCTAGTCTGCATTTCCACGTCCGAGTAAATCTGTAACCATTTCAGTGTATACTGCTTTTCTGTGAACCTTACCTCATGCAGCCTGGTCCACATGACTGGCGATATCTGTCCTCCGGCAATATCAAACTCTCCGCAGGAGAGAGCGCTGAGTTCGTTGAAAATCTTCTCGGAGAGTGTGTTATGAACTGAAATCTGCGTGTTTCAATTGTAACAAAGATTTTACACTTACAGATTGTGGTGTATTTGAAAGAAATCTCATTTTTGCGAGTGATTTCGTCTATCGAATCTCCATCGTAGGAACCGAACGAGTCCTCTCTTCGATTTGAGTAACTGGGCATTTTCTGAATAAATAATTTTTGAACAATTAAACATCTACAAAAAACTAGAAAAGCAGATGTGGAACTGATGAAATTGTTTTGAAAAAGAGAGGAACAATTGCAAATTCAAATAAAATGCAAAATTTTGATGTGTCATGCAAGTGCGCCCCATTGAGATTTCAATGCGCGCGCGTTCAAAAAAAGTTTTGTAAACTTTAAACTGTAAGTAAACTGTAAAATCTGTAAATAAGAGAGGGTGACACAAAATAGCGGAAAAACCAGAAATCGCGAATGCCAAAATAGCGAATGCCAAATAAGCGAAAAAAATTCCTAAAGAGCGAAAACGAACATCTCTTATTTTAGGACACTAAATTGCAATATATCATCACTTCACCGCTATCTATTTTGAACGCTTCAATTGTTGAATAGTCTCACAATTTACTGTCACAAGAATGTCCCACTCAGGAAAAAGTCGCCGGCGCCTTTTTTTCCTGAGCAATTAGCCCATAAACACGTCAGGATTTGAAATTTAAAGCGAATGTTCATTTCCGCTCTTTTGGCATCCGCGATTTTTGGTTTTTTCGCTATTTTGTCACCCTCTCGTAGATAACCCGTTTTTCTCGACAGACATGATCCCATTTCCTTACTTGGAAAATGTACTCAGCCCACCGAACATGGAATCCAAGCTGGAAAATGTCTCGTAAGTTTTTCTTGGTTTTTTTTTCCTATTTCATTCTGGAAATTGGAAGTGTTCAAAAAATGCAGTAGGCCGCCAGACTATAAAAAAAGCATTGAATCAAATGAAATCAACGCTATCTAACTTCGTAGCTTTTTTCACACGAAAACCAAAAACTTTCGTAATCTGTCCTCCGTTTTCTGCTCCCCTCGTGCGCTCTTTCTATTTTTTCACGGCTTCAAAACGTTATCCATCATATAAATTACACGGCTTCCAAAACCAGTGCGTGCGTATGCTGCACCTCTTCTCTGCACAATCTTTCGCCGCCGTCGCCTTTCTCTCGCTCACTATTTTCCTTTCCTGGCTGCTCCCATTGCATCGCTTGTGTCTCGCCGTGATAGTCCTTCGTTGTCCACGGCTTCTCCTTGTTTTAATCCCCTGCTTCCCGTGAACTTATCAGAATTGTCCGGTTTAGTGATCCGCGCGGAAGACGTCGCGACCCAGCTGCCAAAATCGTCAAATCATACTCAGCTCGAGGATATATCTACCCGAAGTCAACGGCGACGACCGCAGACCGACAGCGTCGCGCTCTGGATCCACGGGACGAGTCATGGCCTAATAAAAGGTGGGTGCAAATGTTTTCAGCAGAAAAACTCCAGAAACTTGATAGCCCGCGAGCATATCGAATTTCTAACAACATGTTCAAATTGGCGGAAAACCCGTGGACGCCTCCAACTTTTCGTTCAGCTGGTGTTTTTTTAAAGCTTTTGTGCAAATATTGTACAAAGTTGTAGTGAAAGTGATGTTGTAAATAGTTTCGAAATGTGGTGTTCTTTTGATTAAGCGCATTACGTCACCTTTTCCAACCCCCCAGACTCATGAAAATTTCGAAAGCGACATTATAATTAGCAATACGACTCGCCCGACGAGACCACTGTCATCTCACTCCGCAGTGAGTTTTCACAGAGAAATCTCTCCGCCACCGCCGCCTTCTTCTTCCGGTGTCTCGCTGCGGATCCGAACACAAACGGTGCTCGACGAGCCAACTCCCTCTCTCTCTCTCTCCGAGGGCATCCAGCCAGTGGGCGAGAGCCCCTCACAGAGCACTTCCATAGTAGAGACGGCCGACGAAAGATCGGCGATCAGCGCTTGTTCTGAGCAGACACAGACATGACGGGAGCCCGGACGCGATCCTGCGGGAAGTGTGTAAAGGGCTCCCGCGCTCTCGCTCTCTCCGTTGTTTCGCAGTCAAAGAGCACATCCAGAGCGGCAGCAGCAGTCTCCTCTTTTCTAATAACTTTGGAGAGCGCTCCCCTCGCCTCCCGCATCCGATTGTTTCACTCACACCGCATTTTATTATGCCAACTCGCACTTTGTTTATATTCGAAAGTTTAAAACGTAACGCGCCTCCATGTTTCGCAACTGTGATAACGTTTTCACAACTGTGATAACGTTTTTAGCCTAGTTTTGTGAAAATAAAAATGCAAAATAATAAGTTCCAATTACAGAATGCGCAAAACTGATGAAGGAGGCGGAAGTGGTCCATCTTACGGCCGCCTTTCCAGTTCGTGTTCATCAATTCGCAGCCACAACTACACACCTCAGCGATCCTACACTCCGAGGTAAGAAAACTCGGTTGTCATGCCGACGTCATTCTCTCCGCGACGGATTAACTGCGGCGAGAGGGGGATCGAGAAATCGCGGTGAAGTCGAGTAGAAATTCATTGGAAGCTATAGCTGCAGCCTTCCATTCCAGTGTCCACACGCATTATTACTCTTCGTGCTACTGCCGCCTCTCAGCTTTCTTCCCCACCTGCCCGTTTCAGTTTCTGATTAGCAATGCAACGTCGCTCTGCTGATAAATGCCTTCTGACTTTCCTTCTTTCGGGAAACATTAACTTTATACACGCGAAGAGTGATAAGCGGGACAAAGCTGACCACTTTTTTTAGCGTTGCCATTGTGCAAACACTGGAAGACACGCAGACTGAGAAGGAGACGGACAAGTTTCCTTGGCATCATCATCGATTGAAGCAGAAGCAAATAAACAAGACATAACCGCTTGTTGTATTTCTCCGTTCTGTTTCTACGTGTCTCTAGACTCTCCCTCTCTTTCTCTTACACTCTCCAGAAGTCATTTTTTATACTGCAAAAAGATTGAACTTATCAAATTTCAATTTCAGCTTCAACACATTCAAGTGGTCGCCGGCTTCCTACACACCCAACATATCGCGCAATCTGAATTCGACGTATTCCGGGTCGGCGGCCGACTCGGTGCCTGCCTTGTCCTCGTCGTCGACCGCTCGCTCCCGTCTTTCATTCACCACTCCCTCTACCACCTCAACGAATTTGTCACGTGCATCCACCACGTCCCACAAAACTCTGTACAGTAGCCCTGCGGCCGCCCGAGTGTCAGTGTCTTCAAATGACGGCCTCTCCGGCACGTCTTCTGCTCCAACACACGTTTATGGAGGAATCAGAAAGTACAGTACGACCGAGCGCACTTCGGATGTAAAGCCGTACTACTCGTCAGTCGCATCTTCGTACTCTAGCACTTATGACAGCAGACGACAGTCACGAAGCGACCGAGATCGATTGGCCTCCACGCTTCCTGATGTGAAGATTGAATCGGGACCGACAACGAGGACTCACATGGTGCATCCGACATCTTCACACATCAGAAGTCGCTCTTCTTAGTAAGCTTTATAATGTTATTCGCAACTTGTGAAAAGCAAATCTTTCAGTTCTCGCGGAAACACGGTTGCAATGTTCACACAACAAGCGAAAGAAAGGGCAGATCGAGAGGAAAAAGACCGTGATTATAAGGAATGGATGCAGCGAGAGAAGGATCGGGAAGCCGAGTTGGGGCTGGAAACCCTTTATCCGGTCACCTCCACGGTTACCTCGCCGCCCTCTTCTGCACAGTCCGACTACCGTCGCTCGGTTGCAAACGCTTCTACCACGCCATCGGCCACGTCTTCCCCATATCGCTCCAATCGTTATTCCTCGGCGACGCGGCTTTCTACCAGTTCGGGACCTATCGACGATGTCATGTCTACTTCGTACTCGAGCGTGGCAGCTACACCTCCTCCCGCTTATTCTCAACTTTCCACGTCGACATCCACCCTTCTTCGCAACCGAAGAGCGAAGTTGGAGCAGGAGGAAGAGAGCAGAAATTCCTCTTTGACTCCTCAGCCATCTCAAGCTCCGGCGCCCGTGCCGCCACCTCCTCCGCCTCCACCACCGCCAATAAAAAGCCCTTATCTACCGAGAAGCGTGTCTGCTGCCGTTCTTTCTTCCGCTTCCAGCTATAGCAAGCCAACAGCGAATGTAATTCCAGCCATTTTGCTCGTTATTCAGTTCTGATTCGAATTTCAGGTGCCTCCGTACGAAGAGGATCGTGAAAGTCTGGACGTCGTGGAGCAAGGTTTCACAGGACTCCTCAACTTTGGCAACACGTGTTTCATGAATGCCGTTCTTCAGATGCTCGTGAATAACGTGGAACTTCGCGAGTTTTTCCTCGGTGACCACTATAAAGCGGAAATCAATGTATCGAATCCGCTCGGGTCGGAAGGACGACTTGCCAACGCTTTTGCCGATTTCATGAAACTAATGTGGAGCGGTCGCTACAAACAACTCGAACCACGCCAAATCAAGAACATTGTATCGGAGAAAGCGTCTCAGTTTGCCAATTCGCTTCAGCATGATGCACACGAATTCCTATCTTTCTTGCTGGACGGACTCCATGAAGATGTGAACAGAGTGAAGAAGAAGCCGTTGACCGGGACTGTCGAGAGTCACGGAAGACACGACTTTGACGTTTCAGAGGAGGCGTGGAGGAACCACGTCCTGCGAAATGACTCCATTTTTGTCGACCTTTTCCACGGACAATTGAAGAGTCACGTGCAGTGTCCCTATTGTGATAGAGTCAGTAGTTCCTTTTATGTTTTCAATAATTTAGCAACTTTATTTTCAGGTGTCAATCACATTCGATCCGTTCGTTTACCTTCCTGTTCCCTTTCCAAAGCGGAAAAAGTCGTCAACTATCATCTTCTGGCCTCTAGAAAACCAAACTCAACCGTACAAACTCTCGGTCAGCTATTCGGCCGAAGGAACCGTCGCCGATCTTCTTTCCGCTGTCAGTGAAGCTGTACGAGTACCAACACGAAATTTGCGAGCCTGTGAAGTCATCTGTCACCGATTCGACTGCATCTACGAGAATGACATGAAAGTGTCCGATATCATTTTTCCGGAGAACTTGTTCGTTTTCCAAATTCACGATGAGTCGGAATGCAAAGAAGACGTGCTGGTCCTCTATGTTCTTCAGCGCCAACTCTACAGGGACACACTGAAGTACGCCTGCCACGAATGCGGAAAGAGCCAAGTGAAGCTGAAGTCGTGCGATCAGTGCTACGACGCCTTCTATTGCTCGAAAGAATGCCAACTTGCCAACTGGTCAACTGGTGGACATAGAGACGCTTGCGCAAAGAGAATGATCAGCGCGATGGTCGGATTTCCATTCATCGTCTCTTTGCCCCGTTCTCAGCTGACCTATCAGCACCTTTATCGCGTGCTCGAGGCCAAGAGTCGGCACTCCGTCACAGTGTTCCAAGCGGCACCGTGCGACGGAGAAGGCGGAGAAAATGATTCGCTGCAAATGTCTTCCTCAGATTCGTTGAAGAAGCGGAACGGAGGAGTCGGAGCACCGCCGTCGTTCCTCCAACCGCCGGAGATCAGGCCGCCTCTACCAGTATCTCTTATACCCCTCGTAGGAAAAGTGTTATAGCAGAGCCGCGTTCTCGAACTCAGAAGATGTTTGAAATCCGAAAGCTCAGAGATCGACTCGACTCCTTCGGGGCCACTAGCATTGGAGACGACGAAGCGTGTCAGTCCTTAGAAACCAAAACTTTCATTTCGATAAACTGGATGAATCTACGGCACGGAAAGCCATACATCACTGTCGGAAATCGATCGGAAATCGATGTGAATGCGGAGAAAAGCAGACAGATGACTATTTCCAGCTCTAACAGCTTCGAAAGAAACGGAACCAATTGCGACACGAATCCTCATCTCACGCAGATGCTCGGCCTTTTCTCGGAAACCGAACGCTTGAAGCCCGAAGAGAGCTGGTACTGTTCGACGTGCAAAGAACACGTGGAAGCGACGAAAAGACTGCAGCTGTACCGGCTTCCTCCTGTGCTGATCATTCAACTGAAGAGATTTGTCTACACAGGTACGGTGATATCATCCTCAGAGTGTCCCTCATTTTGATAGATGATTCCATTACAGCCTTATCAGCTGGACACCGACGGTCCAAAGACGAGAGGACCGTGGAGTATCCGCTAGAGAGCCTCGACATGTCTCCTTTCCTGGCTGAAACTGCGCCGAACAAGAGTTCAACGGTAAACTCGCTCTTCTCATTCGCCCTCCGCCCAACCACATATAGCTTCAGATTTACGATCTGACAGGAGTTGTATGCCACAACGGAAGCAGTACCTTCGGGCACTACAACAGTATTGGACGACTGGCAGATTTCGATTCGTCAAAAACCAAAATCGAATGGCGGCTGTTTGACGATCGAAGTGTGTCGCGAAAGTCGCCGAATAATCTGCAAACGGACGACGCCTACCTTCTCTTCTATAAATTGAGAGATCCCTCGGTGACCAGAAGCATATTCAAGTGAGTCGAAAATAAGAAAATATACTCTTTCGAACAAAAATTGTAGTAGTATGCGTAAGAGTCGTCGTCAGAAAAAGTCAGAGCCGAAAACAGAAGGAAGCGAATGAGAGCGAATAACACTTTTGTGGGATGATAACAGGGGTTACGGTAGTAGGTTCTCCTTCGACTAGAAATCATTCCGTCGCTCTGATAACTGCACTTTGCGATAAAAGGGCATCAATTTAACGGTTATTTTTCAGACGACACTACTCGTTCGACCCGGACAACCAAGTCGACGTCAAGATTTAGTCACGTTAATATGCAGCAATTTTCGATCATTTTTTCTGTTCCCCATCCTCACCCCCACATCTCACGTGTCTTTGAACCATCTTCTTTCTACTCCCAATCATCACAATATTGTTCCTTCAACTTATTCTAGTCACTTGGAGCATCCACCCCCGTTCTAGCCATTTTCACAAATATTTTAATATTTACACCTATACCGTATTGGGAGTTCAATTGCACTAAATTAATCGTTTGTTGAATAGTGTTTTGCTTGACCTGAAAACCGGTTCCCCCTTCAATTTTCACAATTTGACACCGACTCAATGAAACGCTTATATTTCTGCGTCAAGTTTAGTATTGATAAACCGATCGAAAAGACAAACATAGGGCACGCACACAAAATGAGGAGATAACCGAAAACGGACACTCGAGAGTGTCCGATTGATTAGATTGCCACGTCATCTCAATGCGAACCCCCATTTTGACCTTGATCGTAGCGTGCAGCGATCATTCGTTCAGCCGCAAAACCGTCTGCAAAAAAGAACAGTCTTTGACCTCTCATCGAGTCTTTTCTCGTCTGAATCTCTCCATTTCGCACAATATATTCGTTTCCGTTCAGTTTGTCTCAATTCAGGATTAATGGCCGGTCAAAACCAACAACGCATCGTCATTTTTGGAAGCATCGTTCAGGATCTCGTGAGGTGCCGTTCCGATGACTAAACTCTCTTCAGATCCATACATTTTCAGCTACACGGATCGGTTCCCGCGTCCCGGCGAGTCTGTGCGCGGCAACCTTTTCAAGGCTGGCTCCGGCGGGAAGGGGGCCAATCAGGCGGTCGCCGCCGCCCGTCTCGGAGCCAACGTGGCAATGATCGGAATGGTCGGAGAGGACATGTTCGGTGACTCGAACATCAAGGATCTGAGTGCGAACGGAGTGGATACGAGTTGTGTGGGACGCTCGAAAAACACGCACACGGCGACAGCAACGATCACGGTGAACAAGGAAGGTGAGCGAGCCATTGTGCGGTGTTCCCCGCATTCATCCATTCCTCTTCTCGGAAAAGTGTTACTTTCACGACGACGAGAACGAGGACGCCAAAATTGTTTTCGTGTCGGGAGAAACCTTGAGCGGTGGTGATTTAACGCGCGAATGTTGCAGCCGAGAACAACATCGTCGTCACGCTCGGAGCGAATCTCGAACTGTGTCCGGCGGTGGCCGACGCGAACATTCCACTGATCGCCGCGTCTCGGATGGTCATTTGTCAGGGCGAGATTGACGAAATAGGAAATCGACGGGCGTTCGAGATTGCCAGAGAGCACGGAGTCACCACGTTCCTGAACCCGGCTCCAGGCGACGCGAACATGGACAAGAGCATCCTGTCCCTCGTGGACATTATCTGTACTAATGAGAACGAGGTACACATGCTTTGCATATTTCATTACTAATTTCAATTTCGCTTTCGTTTTCAATTTCAGGCCGAATTCATCACAGGAATCGCCCAAAATAGCGTGGAAGACGCTGAGAAAGCGGCGAGAGCGATGCTCGAAATGGGTCCGCAGCATGCGATTGTGACTCTCGGTTCCAAAGGTGAAATGCTTGTTTTTGAAACGAGCTCTTCTGAGAAACGACTCGATTTCAGGTGTACTTCTGGCGACCAAAGGTATCGAACGCATCGAGCGTATTGCCGTTGGAAAAGTCGAAGCGGTCGACACAACGGTTGAATTATTCACTATTTCTGGAGATTAACTCTTCACTTTCAGGGCGCCGGGGACTGTTTTTGTGGATCGCTCGCCGCCCTTCTGGTGGCCGGACATCCGATTTCCGTTTCCGTTCGATCGGCTGCCAACCTGGCAACTCTGTCGGTCACCCGCCAGGGAACTCAGGCCAGTTACTGGAAAATAGAGGAGATCCGGTCTAAACATCCCAACTCCCTGCCGTGATTTGGTTCTTTAGTCTAGAGCCGCGGCTCGAGCCGGAAGTAAGTCATAACAAAAGAGAGCGTTCATAAATAAATAAATCCACTTTATTCTCATTCTGTTTTCGTGTTTTGGGTGGGTGGTGTTCTTCCTCTTTTCTTTCTCCGTATTTCATACAAACGAAATGCAAGAATAAGTAATGGAAAGATGGGAAATTGACAAAAAAAAGTGGAGTGGGGGAAGCTGTAAAACCAACAAGAGAGGGGCGAGATGATGTGAGAAATGAGAAAACATAGATCCGATATAATATGAGAGAGAATTATTGTCTAGTAAAAGAGATTACTGAGAAACGAACACAGAGAAACGTGGCAATTTTCCAATGATCAATTTGTCGAATACAATTACGACGGGAATGGTGAATGGGAGGGATAAAACCGGGGAGTGTCCGTAGGTGTGGGGATAATACAAAAATGGATGGAAGGGGAGAGGTAAAGTCTGAAAAAAGTACCGAGTTTTTCTTGTGTTAAGTTAATTCACCCATAATTCAAATTAAAACACATATCTATGTCAATAAATCGGGTCGAAATTACAGACGAAGAGTTAGAACAATGATAGAAATAAATAGGATAAAACGGGGCGGCATAGAGGTTGCGTTGACGACAAGATTGCACATTTGTTGAGGATCGGCATTTACTTAAATTGGCAGCAAAAAAAGAGAAAGAAAAAGAACAAGAGGGTCGAGCAAGAGGAATGCCTAGGATTTTATCTCTGGAACTGGGATCGGAGGTTCGGTGGAAGTTGGCGGCATGGACATGTTTGGCTCCGTTTTGTCGTTGGTGAAAACGATGAACAGAAAGCGAACCTAAAAAATGAGATGAGTGAGAATAAAGACTGACTTTCGGACTCACGTTGCTTCTGGAAAGATACATGTACATGCTGGGTGCCAGCTCGGCCAGATAACGACTGACGAGCTCTCCGGGAGCGAAGACATGAACTCGAGCACTTTTCAGCGACTGAAATATTGAATTGAACATCAGAAATGTCGGATCGAACTATACCGTTTCATCTTCGAAACATGAAATTCCAGCAATCTGCTTCTTGCTCAGGTAGTCAATGAACGACGATTTAAGAGCCGTCTCGTTTTTGGTGAGATTGGCGAGGTCAGTGGCCGAGGCGAGACCGATGCAGCAGGCATAGTCGGGATTGGTCAAGATCCGATGGATGTCTGAAATTCATTGTCTTGTTTTTCATTGTTCTTTCCCTCTCTATGTATGCGTGAATGACTGCGCGTGTCGGTAGAATGCAGTAGCAGCAAAAAAGAGCGGGATTATTTTCGAAAAACATGAGTCAGAGGAGAGGCGGGCGGAAAAAAGAAGAGAGAAGGCGGAAGTCGGCCGAACGAATGGGTCTCCCGTCAAAACAAAAAGTGCACGACGGCCCCTTCCTCGATTCTATCGAAACCCGTGCTTCGTTTTCGGAGAACGAAACCGACCGACGAACAATTTCGCTCTTTCGGAAATGCGATCGCAACAGTGATGGAATGCATCTCAAGAGAACTGCGATCAACAAAATGTTGCGATTGTATTCAGATCAAAATAGAAAATAGTTAATTTGCATCGTTCTTTTCCAAATTGCAAAGCCATTCTAATGAGAGAATGCAATTTTAAGCACAAAAATCTCCCGTCATTATAATTTTCTCTATTTTCATTCGTTCCCACCAAAGGAAGTCCCCGTGCACTCCTCGTCTTTCAGTCGATCACCGCTCGGCACTGGGACGTTTGTTTGCAAAAACAACTAAAAATTGAGACAGTAGGGAGAGATACTGCCAAAACAACATGCAAAGTACATTCCAGCGGCGGCGGCGGTGCTGACTGCGGCGGCTGCTACCCATGATGTCCTGTTTTTCAGCGCCAAACACGGTTGATTAAAACTCACGTTCGACTTGTCCGTTGTCCAAACGGAGACGCTGAGTGATGCGCACAAACTCGCGTCGATTCTGCGGATCATCGGTAGTTCGAGCGCCGAGGACATCGTACAGGAATGCCTCGGATCCGTTGATGAGATGCAGATTAATGGAAGTCTCCGAAGATTTGAGAGCCAATCGACCATTCCAAATTATAGGGAAATGCTGAAAATTCATGATTAACTTTTGCCAACCTTCTGCTCATGCAGAATTATGTCTTATTTTAATAGGCAGTTTGGTGCCATGAACTGATGTTTCCCCTCACATTTCTTCAAAAATGTTTTTCTTTTGCGCATTCGAGCTTTCCGAGCGGACAGGAGACGTACGAAAACAAACGCGTAACCACGTATACACAATATTGTGTTCGATATATCTATCTGCTATATATATGTGCTAATGAGAATCTGCGAGAGACCAGGCAAACTAGGAACATTCCGAGAACCAGAGGGCTGTTTTTTTTGCTCGAGGAGCCGGCCTGCGCGCCCGTTCCGTGCTGACTCACTTCTTGTTTTTCCCCTTCATCATCATCGTCGTCATCGTCGTTGTTCGAAGACGACGACGAATGTGGAGGAGGAAACGAGGAACTGAGTTCAAAAACAAGCTCTCCGCTTCTATACGACTTCCCTCTTCTCTTTTCCCAAATGCTCCTTCGGTCGCTTTACAGCAAAGATCCCTTCTTTCCGTCACGACCCCCTCGCACTTTTACATCATTCCCGGATGGACGGGCATTACACATACCCGGTCGTGTTGGAGAAAAAGAGAGAAGAGAAGAAGGACAGAAAGAACAGAGACACTCCCAAAGGAAACGAAAGAAATCTGCCCCGTCAATGCCATTCGCGGCGGAATGCAACAAGCAAAAGAAAGTGTAAACAATTTGCGCAAGTGAAAGTGCAAAGTTATCTTCATCCCCGCACTGGTCTCTCTCCGTTTGAAAGACACCTGACTGACCGACAAAGGAGACCAAAAACCAACCTGCAAGAACGCCGCTTCGTCAACAGTGTTCAGCGAAAGTGCTTCTGATTTCGACACTTCCTTGTGTTTGATAGCGACGTTTGTTAGCATTTCCAAAAATTCGGCGCTCAGAGGATCCCCCTCCAGCGGCGGTGAATCTGGTCCGCTGGAGAGCGAGCTCGTCGACGGCGTTGTGGTACCAGAAGCAGAGGGAGAGCCCGAGTTGTTGCCCATTGTAGAGCTGCGCGACAGTATCCGACGAAAGGCACTGCCCGCCGCACCCATCGATTCGGTCTTGGCTTCGTCGGTATCATCTTCGTCAGAAGTTGGAACCTGCTTCATGTCAATTTTCTTCTCGTCTTCCTCGTCTTCAGCTCCTAGTTCTTCAAGAAGAATGATATCTAGCCGTCGAAGGATTTCCACGCGAAACTTCTCGTTTTCCTCTTTCACCTTGGGTGGCAGGTTCGCGAACATTGATTTCAACGGAGGAGAAGGAGATCGTGGTGCAACTGGAGGAGGCGCCACAACCTGCTGCGCTTGTTGCTGTCCTTGATGTTCCCCACTGACCATCGCCAGCGGTGGACACGATTTCTTCCTGTCCGCCACGCCTACGGCAATCTGATCCTTGCTGCTCCGCTTCAGAGACATATGCGGAACCGATTGGGGAACAGCGAAACCGCCTTGCTGTTGAGCCGTTTGCTGCTGTTGCTGTTGCGGACCGGGCAGTTGGAAAGGCATTGCGTTCCGTGCCGCGAGAAGAGTCATCAATGCTTCTTGCTGGTTCATAGTTGCAAGAAGTTCAGATGTTTGATGAGTGGCTAGCATCTGTCCCATGTTCATTGTGAGCAGAACTCTAGCAATGCCTTGATAAACGGGACTTGATTGGTTCAGAGAGGAAGTGAGGGCAAGCATCGACAGTGGGTTGAGCGCTCCAGAAGCGGCGAAATTTGCCAGTGATGCCGTGTTGAGTAGGGCTTCAAGGTTGGCAAGCGGGTTTGATGTCGATGTCGTAACAGGAATCGAGGGAGCCTGCTGCCGAGCTGCTTGAGCAGCATGCATAGCAGTGAGCTGCTGGATCATGGCTGTGAGGTCAGGAGCGGAGGAAACCGGAGGTAGAGCCGTAATCGGAGCTGCCGCAATCGCAGCTGATGGTTCTTCGGCACTCATCATACAAGTCTATATGTACGACTGATGGAGCGATTGAATAGCAGCAGTGATGTAGGACGACACGAAGAAGAAGAAGAAGAAGAAGACAGGCGGGCCGCTTCGTCCTCCCGAGGTCTCTCTATCTCTCTGCCAACCGATGTGCTATTTCGCAAACCGACAACGGGCAAAATCAACAACAAAACGAAAGAGACGGGAGGGGAGAGAGAGAGTGGAGCGTGGGACGTTGAAAGTGCAGTCAAAGTGCACTCGTCAATCAAATGGTCGCAAAAAATATGTAGAGGTTGGAAGAGACGAGACGTGTGTTCAGGCTGTCGATTGAGCGAGAATCTCGCGCCTGATGAAGATACCAGACGATTCGAAGTGACAGATAAGAGCGGCGTGTACTTCTGTTATCAGCAAAGGACGATTTGGCAACACGAGTAGGTTCTGGCCGACTTCCTTGTAGAAATAATAAAGAATAATAATTAGATTATGAGGTAGAGCTCAGGAATAGGTTGAGGTAAAATAATAGTGAGATATTATGGCGAGTGATGAGGTAGGTCTGGATGAGGTAGTGGGAGATACTGAAGCCGGCGAATCAAATCAGATCATCGTCGTGCAGTCCGTATGCCAGTGGGGGCAGAACTTGTTGCCGTAGTGGAACACTCCGACCAAAAATGTATATGCTAGCTGCCGGAGCGGGCGGGACGGGTGCTTCTGCTTCTACTGGCTGGCCGCTGCGCCCGAGTAGCGAGTGGCGAGAGAACGACAATTGACAGTGGTTGGCGACAGAGAGCGCGCGACAACATAACACCGAAAAGTGGGCGGGACCTTCCTAGGAGTGAGCGCGGGCGCGCGCGACCGACTGAGCGAATGAGCGTGCGCCGCGCTCCAAAACAACAGCGCCACGCATGGAGGCCGCAGGCACAACTTATAGTGCATCTCCGCCGCGAAGCCTCGAACATCGTCGCCGCATCAACAACTGGGATAGACGCAGACGGCAGCGCAAGCGGGCGCGCGCCCGAGGCGCCTCCAAGTACACAGCACACAGCGAGATGTTGCGAACAACGTTCTCTCGTGTCTCTCGTCTCCAGCTCGTCTTTCCCCCGTCGCCTCCACTTTCTCTGCCCGTTCGCGTCGCCGCGCCGAGGAAGAGAAGCGAAGGAATGGCGGCACCAGGCACAGATTGACACGGTGCGGCCGCGTCCAGGCCACTCTCCCGCCTCTCTGCTATTGCTCGCCATCTCGCGCCAGCCACCTCCCTGGCACCCTGCAGACTCGGACGACGTCGAAGAACAGCATTCGCCGCCTCTGCCGGGGCGGCGGTCCTTCGGCGTAAACAAACAACAAAATGGCACTAGGGTTCGTACTAGGGGGAAACACGTCGCCAGCGCTCAAATCATCTAGTATGGTCTTTTGCGATTGGGGAAAGCGAAGAGGAAGCGCGACGTATTCAACACAAACAGAAGAACATGCGGAAATATTTTCAACCTTGAAAGTTAAGAAGGGAAACGCGTGTCTGAGAAAGTACGCAACCTTGTCGATGAATAACGGAAATGCAATCTTAGGCAGTGTCCCTCTGCTACACCGTACCCGGGAACCACTTTGGCATTGTGCCAGTCCGTCGTTTTGGTCGGCCGAACCCATTCCCATTTCCCATTGCCCTTTCGACCACATTTCCCTTTCGTCCTTCTCTCTCCCAGATGACGACGATAATGGGAAGTGCGTGTGCGTAAGGGAAGGGCGTCGTTGGCACGATGCCAACATTGTTAGTTTCATTATTCATGGCGCCACACGATACATTCGCAAGTCCATTCAATTCCGCACTAGAGGGTCGAATAAAAGAGAGGATCAAACCAAACCACTACAGCTATAGGACGTTCGTTTTTGCGTCTCTCGCGCCCCGCGCAAGTCCGTCGTCAATATTTACCCAGATTACACCAGTTCATGGCACCGAACTCCGTTCTCGTGCCGGAGTTCGCCGCGCCGCGAAAAGGTAACGCAAACAAACGGAGAAAACAGTAAAAAAGAAAACGCACCCGGTAAAACCACTGCTGCACTTCGATCGGACCACCAGCGTTCGCTCTGACGGGGACTGGTGCCGCCAACACGTTAGGGGTTCCAGAAGCGGATTGGTATTGTCCATTGACCTGTGTCTGAAAATGTGTTTTCTTGTTTCAATTCCGGTCCTTCCCGACATTTGGTTCAGTTTTAATCACGATGATGCACACGGAGAGGGAGCAGGAGAGAGCATTATCATCGTGTCTCGCTCATGCTCCCCCTACTCAATTTCCTCAACTTGTTTGTGTGCCCTCTTTCGCAGCAGCGCCGCGACTAGCAAAATGCAACATGCGAAAGAGCTGGCGCTCGCGTGTGTATGTATGTGTGTGCTGTTGCTCCTCGGGGAAAACGTTGCAACCTCGAAGACGACAACGTGAAAGCGACCCGCGGAGGGGCGGAAGAGAGCGAAGGAATGTGTTTGTGAGGGCACGGGCTCCCGGGAGCGACGCACACACACACACACACACACACACACTGAACCATTAATTTTCGCACTACTTTGTTTCTCAAGCAATAGAGAGCACATTCATCGATTTAACCGACAGGAGGGAAACGCGTCTGTGCAGCCATTCATTCATGGATCAAATGCCTGTCATCTACTAGAGTGTGGTTGAGAATTGACGTGTCTTATACAAAGGTAGAATAATTTTTATAGAAACTAACCGCGTCTTGACCTCTCGAAAGATCAATGCCGAGACGGTTGAAATATGCTCTGGCTTCCGGAGGCAGCAATCCCATAATAGCCATCTGAAATTAAACCATACTTATTCATGCTGTAGCAATGCAATCGCTCACGTTTTGAAACTGAATTCTTCTATTCTCCTCTTCTTGAAGTCTCTGCCGACGGAGATTTTCTTCCCGTCGTCGGGCTTCTTCGGCTTGTCTCCGTTCCGCACCAAGACGTGCTTCTTCGGTCTTTTTCCGTTCCGCAGCCAGACGTTCTTCTTCGATTCTTCTCTGCTCCTGCTTCTCCCGTTCCCGTCTCTCTTCTTCACCTTTCTTGACCCGTGCGGCTTCGCGTGCCCACAGTTTTTGTTGCAGTTTTTGTAAATCACTATGCAACTGTAGAAATTCACTTGATGACGGCGTGACTTTCCCTTCCGCGGAAAGGAAGAGGTGTGTCTGAAGTCGTCCCATGAGTTCCGGGCCTTCGGACGTGAAATCATTTCGGTAGGCTTCATCACGAAAAAGCCTGTTGAGAATTTCATTGAACTCTTTCTGTATGGCCAAGTATGCTGCTTCCTGTGCCGTGTTTGGCGCGAAGGACGGATTGTCGGGACGTGGCTGTTGCACAACAGAGACAGGCTGCCCAGCGATCGGCTGTGCTCCAGGAGGAGCAGCAGCACGTGGCGACGGTTGCACAACTTGCGGCTGCTGAAGTTGTTGATGGAACTGCTGCGAGTTGTGATTTGAAACCGATATTCCGAGTGGTGCATGCGGTTGGATCGGTGTGTGCACCGACTGGTATTGCGGATGATGTACAGCCGCTGGAGCTTCGACTTCCGACGATGGCACGTTCGGAGCAATGCTGTGATCAGCAGGAGTTTTATCAGGATTCTTTTGGCTTGGCAGATGATTTTGCTCAGCTTGATTGATCACACCTTCATTTTTCAGGACAGCTTCTTGTGCAACGTTATCCGACAGCGATTTCTGCATCACTTCGATGACTTCAACCTCTTCCGACTGTTTCCTCTGGTCTTTAGAGTTTTGCGTAGTTGCGGCGGCTTGCAGAGGCTCGTTCTTTTTCTTTTCATTGGACGTCGTCGTTGAACTCGGATGTGATTGGGGAACACAAATGATGTCGTCATCGACTATCACAGACTGCGGCGAATCGGTTCTCGGATTGCTCGGTGACAGAGAACCGACAATATGTTGTCGATCGTTCGATGAAGACGTTGCAGCCGAGTGTGTTGGTTTCTCTTCCACGCGTGGCCCAGGTGACGGCACTCCATTGAACTCGTGGGCATGTTCCTTTTCGGCAGTGTCTTTTTGCTCTTTGGGCATACCAAAATCGGGATACTGAGGGAAGTCGTCTGCTTCTTCTTCGTCGAAAAATCGACTGAACTGCTTGATCGGTTTCCTGTAATTCAGAAATTAATAACCAGCTATTTGCGCCCATGGAGACTAAAGACACAAGTGACAACTACAATGAAATTCAGTGAAAGGAACACATTTAAGCAGCGTTGTGTGCCAACGCCTCATGCGAACTACATACCTGATCAGAAATCAAAGAGTGCGTCGGCTGCGAGGCTCTCTCTGGAATCGGGACAGCCTCCGGAGCCGGTGGTCTAGGATCACACTGCTTTTCTTCAACAATCACTGCGGGAGCATGCGAGTCAATCACAGGTTCTACCAAAGTCTGTTCCTCTCTTCGTGAAGCTTCCTCCGATTCAGCAGTCGCAGGTCCCGCTTTGTCCTCTTTCTCAACAATTGTAACCTCATGATCGGAAATGTACTGTTCCCTTTCAGGGGTTTCTGGCTGCACTTCAGGTGATCGACGGGCTTGTCGCTCAATGGCTACAGGTGAAGGCGACGCATCTATCTCTAAAATGTCTGGCGACGGAGACGATTGCTCTGATAGAACTAGTCCCGGCGAAGCATCTTGAGCTGCCAGAACGGGAGGTTGAGGCAGTGGCGGTGGTGGAATGAACAACGGAGAAGGCTGATTATCTTCCTCGATGCTTTGGACAGATTCCGCATCATCAGCAGCGTCACCAACACCAGCATCCGCCGGAATGGAGGATAGTGCAGGCTCAGGTGGTTGTAACGTTTCTTCATCGGAACTGTCATCGGAAGAGGTTGAAGATGACGAAGTGGTTGCAGACGACGAGGACGACGAATCATGCGAATTCGTTGACTTGCTCCGCTAAAAGAACATAAAGCGTAACAGACCATACAACATCAACAGCTCATACAGACATCATCATACCGAGCAAGAAGGCATTACAACAGTTTCTACGGAACTTACTTTCTTTTGTGGTGACGGCTGGAACGATTTCATCGCTGCCTTCGTGAGTACCATCGGACGACCTGTAGCGCTCATCGGGCTGGCGGCTGCTGATGTGGCACTCAAATCCTCTCGAAGGCCAAGATCGTCGATTGACGAAACACTGCTCTTGGCGGTGACTGCAGGCGAGAGAGGTGGCTTCTCCTGATGTAATGCTTCGTGTCTTGACGCCGTCGTAGCCGTCGACGTGGATGAAGTCGTCCGATTCCTCGCTTTTGGTGATAGCAACGACTCGTGATCGCTATTGATAGATGGACGTTTCGCGAAAGAGGTTGCAGTTTTTGGAGAGAGAATTTTCGGAGATTGAAGAGGAGTAACTGTAGGAGTCACCACTCGCAACGGCGTTTTCTCAATCGTCCCTCTCTTCTCATGACCAGTCATTCCCGTACTGGCTGTACTGCTTGTGGACGGTCTGCGGACCTTCGGAGGCTCTTCGACCTCTTCCTCATCCGACACGTCTTCCAATTGCACATCGCGGAAATCACGCTTCGCTTTTCGTCTCAGTTCGTCCTCCGAGCTTCGGCGGTGTTCCAGCTTTCGCTTTCTCAGTTTTTCTGCCTCTTTCGCTTCCCATGCTTTCTTTCTCCTCCTCTGCAAATAACCGCATTGCTCACATTTCACTCTTATCTATTTCACTCACCTCTTCACTGTCTTCTCTTCTCTTTCGCTTCACGGCGTTCTTACTGCCCGTGTGATCGTCCGAAGAGTAGCTAGTTCCGCTCTTTTGTCTTTTCCGATTCTCCCGAACCACTTGTTTCCTCCGTTGCCTTTCAAGCTCTTTCTCCCGCTTCTTCTCCTCTTCATCTTCGGATGAAGATGTCAGTTCGCCCTTTTCCCGCTCTTTGTGTACTTTCACCTTTTCCTTCACGACGACGGGAGATTGCATTGTAGGCGGACGCAAGAAAGTTTGCTCAGTTTCGGTGGCTTCGTCACTCGTGGAACCAGACTTCTCCTTTTCTTCCTCCTCCTCTTCTTCGTCCTCGTCGTCGTCTCCACCGCCAGCTCCATTATCATCGTCGGATGACTCGATGAGGACCCGTCTCTGTAAAGTCTGCACCGAAAATAGCATTTGAGTGTTCCCCTCCCCTCCCTTTACTTACTGGTAAAGTCACTTGACTCTTCTGTCGCAGCTTTTCGAAAGACTCCGTGCTTCGCTTCTCGGTCCTTCGCCGCGACTTCAGATTTTCAATTATGCTTCCTTTGGAGAGAATGAGTGCCAATTGGTGATCTTTCTCCTCTTGGGTCATTTCTTTGGTCGTCTTTCGGGTGTCCAGATCGATGTCATCACTGTCAGTTGATTCGGTTTCCTCACTGTCTTCGTCTCTATGCCGTCTCTTCTTCTTCGGTTTCCCTTTTTCAGCCTTTCGTCGCTCTTTTTCTCTCTCCTTTTCCTTTCCCTTCTCTTTCTCGCGCATTAATTGTTTCGCCCGTTTTCGTTCTCGTCGTTCCTCTTCCTCTCGTTTTGTCTTCTCCATCTCTTTCCGCTTCTGCCGTTCTTCCTTCGTCTCCTTCCTCTTCATTTCCTTTCGCGCTTCCCTTTCCTTTTCTAATTCTCGTTCTTTTCGTTTCTTTTCCATAATCGATTTCTCCTTCTCCCGTTCTTTGTCTTTTAACATCATTGCAGGATGGGAAGAAGAAGAGGATGACGACGGAAGAGCCGAGGATGTCGTGAAAGTGCCCGGTTGCTGTTCTCTTAGCGCATTGTTTATGAGAGCAGACGGCTTCTTCTCTATTCGAGGAAGCTTCTTCAATCCCATACTCGGCTGGTTCGACATGATTTGATCAATCAAATCGCTTCCAGCATCGCGAACAACTGGAGTCGGTGGCAGGCTCTTCTTAGATTCGAGAACAGATATCGATTGAGATCTTGCTTGGAGAGCACTGGCAGCCGCGGAAGGTCCCGGTTTCGAGATCGAATCATGCCTCACTTGGATTTTCTCGGGTGGACGAGATGAACTAACCGGCGTTTTAGGAGTGTGCGGTTGTTGCAACGTCGGCGTGAGCGTCGGTTCAGAGTGACCTGGCGTGCCAGAGAAGGAATGACGAGGCGTGGACGCCGTTGATGAAGAGACGGAGGGTGTGCCAGTCGGAGTTCCAAAGTGAGGGTTTTGAGAATGAGCATTAGCGAGCGGCGTCTGCGGTTGTTTCGTGAAAGGAGGACTCCGCAATGGCATTATCGTCTCGGAGCTCCGTCTGGACGTTGAACCGTCTTTCGGTGGGGACATCATCTCATCGTGACTGGGTAAGATCGGTGGTGGTGGGACCGAGACGTCGGGCGGAAATATCACATTTTGTGGACGCAGTCCTTGGATACTTGCCGGTTTTCCAGTTGATGACATCGAACCGTGGCGAGACTGAAAAGTAAATTTTGTGTTGACACTACCGATACTCAATAAACGCTGTTATCTCTCTTGCGGGGTCGTTCAGAGTACATGCGCACTCTCTCGTCTCCATTCGGCGCTATCCGACTTACCACAGGTGACGGCATCAGTAGAGAATGAGAGCTACGCGGAGTTATCACTGCTGCCGGACTTTCCAATGGTATTTCATAGGACTCATCGTCTACGTCATCGTCCGCAAGATCCACGTACAGCGGCGATTTTTGATGTAAACCGGGAGTGGTTGCGACGAAACCGAAGGAATGTGACCGCTGAACCAATTCGGGGGACGAGAAGTTGGCGGAGTCGAAAGACAGCTGAAAAATGACAGGCTCGAAAGGAAACGGCACTTCGTCACCAACCCGTGTGCCCCGCGGCTCATCGAAGCTTAGACGTCTCTCAGAATCGTCGGGCACCTTCAAAACTTCTCGGGCATCCACTGTTCGAAAATCTTCGATGACTTCACCGACGTCACACAATCTTTTCCACTCTCGCTGCTTGATTTCCAAATCATGACATGGATACTCGAACAGAATCTCTCTGATTTCGTACGTGAACCAATTGCGTTGTTTCAGTTCGTCTTCATTTGAAAATCGAGGTAACGGACGGCCCATCGCTTTTTCGAAATCCGCACGAGCATTGATATTCCGAATGATGAGCTCATCCAGCTGCCTGGGAATATTGGACATATTAAAAAACTTCCAGTGCATTTTATCCATCATTCGGGTCATTGCAGTTGGAAGCATTGGTAAAACTTCCTTGACGTAGGCAGGATACGGAGGAGCTACGGGGGCTGCCACCCTTATTTTGAAAGTCTCCCTCCGCAGATTCCTGCAAAACCTCAAAATTTATGGTTTCTCAGCTAATGCACAAACCGTCTTCGTTCTTGCTCTTTCAATATTTCACTTTGTCGCGCACTATCCGGTTTATCGTTTTCCGAGCGTACCACGAATGACGTGGATGGCCTAACGCCTTCTTCCTCTTCCTCGTCTTTCACTGAAAACAACGTATGCTCGGGATGTTTCTCATTTCTTATCAAATAACTCACGGTCTGTGCGATCCGCTGCATCCTCATCAGCGTCGATTTCTGACGAACTGTGCTCATCCTCTCCGTCTCCGGCGTTATCGCGGTTCCTCTCGCCGTTCTCGTCTCCGTCGCCATCGCCTTCTCCTCCTCCCTCGCCGCCTCCTCTTCCCTCTCCGCCGCCACCTTCGCCTTCGATGTCATCGTTATGCTCGTCTCCATCATCGTGGTATTCATCATTTCCACTGTTTCCATCCTCGTCCGCATCGTAATGTTCGCTGCCGTCCGAGCCGTCGTCTCCCGCGAGTTCGTCATCTCTGATGTTGACAACAGAAGCTTCCGCGGCCAAAACGTTGAAATTGTCGTGGTAGGACAAATTCGAATCAGCGAAATCGAGATAGCGAAGATCGGGGGTTCCGAGGAGCTCTTTCATCGCCTCATTAAGCTTTTGCACACTGATATCTTCTTCTTCTTCCTCGTCATCATCACCAATTTCTTCACCGTCTATCCTTCCGTCCAAACCGTTGAATTGTGATGTTTCGTCATGTATTTCTGCGTCCGACAATTCATCATCAGTATTTGAATAGACATCGTCGGGACCATCGTCATCTGCGTGCTCGCTTTCGTCGTCCCTGTCAACGATGCCGGAAGTCGAGGGAACGCCATTCGAACTACAACAAGCCCTGAAAGAACAGTATTACGGTAGTTTTCAAAATACAAATGTATATTGTGTGTCTATGCTAAACAAAAATTTCTTTTCTCGACGCAAGGTCACAGACAGTCGTTATGAAAATATATTCCAGCCAATCTAATCGAATTTAGCCTCCCCTTTTTCTTTTTGTTTTCGCTCTCCACTCACTTTTCTCCTGTGCCATTCGATCGCTGTTCGAACGACCGTCTCTCTGGTCGTTGCTCTCGTGACCAAGACGACATCGTCCTGCCATTTCGATACGACTGCTGCTGCCGATGACGCATCCCTGCCGTTTCTTCTCTGGACGTGGACGGAGGCGCTACGCGTTTCGCTTGTGTTGGCGCGGTGACCGCTGCTCTGTGATGGCGCTCGTTCCTTGGTGGTTGGCGGCGCCAAACGTTTTCGTGGTGGTATTGACGAGGACTCTGCGCAGCTGATACCCGTGGTTCTCCCGATGACCTGAAGCGAATGATTTGAATATTGAGAAAAATTGAATTAAATTATTTGGTATGTTCATAACTCTATCGTGCAATTGTAGCCAGAGTCGACAAGGCTAGAGCTCTTTAAAAATGCGATTATGGGGAAGGGAAACGGGCTCGAGCTCACGACACGACGAGATTATCGGAAAAAGAGAAATGCCGATGACGTGAATTACCTCTTGAGCACTTCGCAGACGAAATGGGAACATGGAGTGGAGCAAGCTTTAATTTTTCCCATGTCGAATAATAGGTGGGTGGTGGAAATGGGTAGGGTGGAAAGAACGCTTGCCTTTCCTTTCCCTTTTGCGCCCAGGCGCAGCGACCGAATGGGTGTCCCCTTCAGGCCAACTGGCCCCGCCCCCACCCCGCCAAACCAACAATTGTATGCGAGGCGAGAGACGTGAGAGGCGCAGACAAAAGGCGGCGGTCAGAAATGAGCGTCGTCGCGCCACGAAGCGCAGCTCGGTTTCTGGCTCGAAGTATCTTCATACCGCTTCTCGCCGAGCCTACACTAATTGCAAACAACGCCGTCGATCGATATGCACGCATACGGCTATAATTTCGAGAGCACTAGAGCATAAATCGACGTCTCGTTATGCTTTCGGCTTTCGTTTTCGTTACTTTTTCAACGCTTTAGAAACACTATGACGACGTCAACGCTAGAGAAAAACGTTCTCCGACTATCAAAAAAGAAAAAGCCACGTACCACCATTTCGGCATGTGCATGATCATCATCATAGTGAAGGCAGTGCTTCCTTTTTGCTCGCTTACAACGCACACGTCTTCTCTCCGCTCCCTTCTCCGGCAAAAAAAGAAGAGCGAGGATGTGTACATGTGTTAGAGAGTGTGAGAGTGAGAGAAAGAGCCTATCGCACGCGCGTTTCTTGGGAGACCGCCTTAGTAAAAAAAGAAGACGACGGGTATCCGTCGTAGAACACGAATGTATCACTGGCTTAACTTGTCCGATAGGGTCAAACACATATTTTTTATTGTTTTTGCGCCGCTCACCATTGCATTCGGTTTATCGTTCTGTTCACTTTCCGCGCCTCCTCGATGCTTTGCAGCCCGATGGTTGCAACACGCGTTGCCCAGTCGACTTCAAGGCTCATAGTATGATCGGAGACTTCGTTGAGCTCGGTCAGAACAGCGAATACTTCTTTCCAATCATCTATCACTATTTCCAAGTTTACGAATCTTCCTTTCCGATAAAAACAATGATAAAAGTGATCCGGCGCCATACTTTCAAACGAGCAGGACGCATGAACCACGTGTTCTGGCTTAATCTGGTGTGAGGTGGACGGAAAGCATTTCGGGTGGCTTTCTGATCTGTTTGCGCTACAAACGGAGAAATATTATTTTTTGGAAAGCAAAAGGACGTTTTACTTTCGGTGATAAACTCGGAAAGCGGAATGAATACCGTAGAAAACGTGTCTTTCTACTTGTAGTTTTGGTTCGTCAATTCTAAAAACAAATTAGATGAATGATAATCACAAGATAAAGCAATTTACTTGGCAAAATAGATGCGTGTTGTTATCCAGTCAGTATCTTCCGTCGGTTCTGACACGATGTATACAGACCGGCCGAACTTTTTGGAATGCTCCGCAACCGTGTTGACGACTTCCTCTTCGGTGCGCCTCTCCGAGCACACTTCGAAAACGACACACACGTTGGCGTTTTCAGGAACCACGACACTTCAGGCCTGTAATGAAGAGATTATTGGTATTGTAGAAAGACAGAAAATGGCCTTTGGCAGAGTGCCAATTGTGTGGCCGGCAGACGCTTCCGTCCGCTCCGTTTTTTTTTTTGATGGACTGTATGTGGGAGAGAGAGAGCGAAGAAACGGCGGCGGGCGAAAATCTTCGTGAATCGCAGAAAAATTGGCCGAGAGAAAAAGACAGGGCAAAAAAGTCTGGTGTGCGCGACCCGCGCGGGGTCGCCGCCGCCTCGACTAGGGTCAACAATCTCGCCCTGTTCGTCCTTCTCTCCGTCTCGCGTCTTCGCATTGTCTCTCTAGTTCTTACCAGAAATCTCGGGGAAGCCTCTGCACTGATGGACGTTCCGGTGAGCGTGGTGCCACGGTCTTCTTCTCTTCCGGCTTCCGACTGAAACAGGTCACAGTGACATCTTCTTCACAATCGCTCTCATTTGATTTTTCCGAAATACACTCGCTTTCCGGCGAGGAGCTACGACTCGACGACGGTGACAAGGAAGCCCTAGTTCTGCAAGACTCCGATTTTTGGAAAGCAGAACGCGTCAATAAATACTTACTTTTTGTATTTTGAAGAGTAATCAACAATACAGCACTTTCGTCGTTCCTCGATGAAAGATTGAACTGAATTTTTGATTGCATTGGGTGATCTGAAATTGGGTCAAATGGGTACACTTGCAAGTAAAAGAACTCGTTCAACTCGCTTCCTCGAGCAGAAATGGGTTAATTACCTTTTCAAATTTTCAATTCCATTTTGTCTGAGGGGGTTGTGACCACGAAGTGCCAGATGGCGGTCCCTCAAACCGTTGGTTGAAGGTAGTTGCACCATTTCAACATTGCAAATCACGGTGTCTGGAAGTTTTCGTTTGAGATTGTAACATTTAAAGTTGTAAAAGCGACGCAAGTAACGATAAATCGCTACAGACCGATAAAATCTCGGATTTCAACGACAGAGCACACGTGGTGTACGGTGTGTGTGTGTGCAAAAAGGAGCTGAAGGGGGAGTGCGAGAGTTAGAGAACCGTGCCGGAGACGATAGACACGTCGATCGAGGGGGACACTCGACGGGTGTCTGGGTGGGCGACGGGGCATTGGCGGGAGGTCGTCGGCCCCCCTCTTCTCCGAATCTACTCACATACGCTCATACCACTCACAAGCAACATGACGGTCGCGCTCGCGGGAGGCCCCCGTCGCGTTGTCATTCACTCGCTTCGCATCGCTCGCACAAACGGCGGCCCACCAGTCGTCGCTCTCTAAATTCCTGAGTCTCCGATTCCGACGTTGTATGCTTCCCGGCCGTAACTGTCTGCCGCATACTATTTCTGTTACTCGTACACAGGCACTCCGCACGCCCGCCCATGTCTCTTCGTTCCCCGACGCAGTCGGCCTTGCCTCTTCCCTCTATTTCCCCCCAGTCATCATCATCCTTCGTCGACCCCATACACACACAACACATACGCGCTTTGCCGTGGAGTCCTCTTCTCGTCCAGCTTCAAATATACCCAACCGAAAACGCATCTGTCCTCATCCTTTTTTATCGAAAACATGGAGCCGTCCGCTCTCCGCTGAATATTTTAGGGTCTCACTATTCGTTTTTTTCTCGCTGTGCCCTTACTCTTGTAAGAAAAATTACGTCAAATTTTCGTCAATTTTATTGTTTTTGGAGTGGGAAATGTGTTGGGAACAGTGCCACGTCATTCCAAAGTCTCGTCCCAGTGAAAATAGAAATTCCCAGCGATAATAACTGTTTGTAGTACCAAAACAATAATTATCCGTTGGCCGCCTAGTCATTGTATTCGTCCTCGAGCCCATATTATATGCGACGGCAGCTTCTCATATTTTCAAAGGAGATTAGAGAGGCTTTAGACAGCCGCCAGGGAAAAGAGGAAGGAGACCGCTAGGAGCGACGAGTGTTTTGATTCGACGGGCCGGGCCGGCCGGCTGCGAGCGAAGAAAGAATACGCGCGAGACGGAGAGCGAATCGCTCTTTGGTCAGCGAATTGAGGCGAGCGAAAGACCACTGGCCGGAGGGAGAACGCAGACTCTCGACGGGGGTCGGACTGCAAATGCTAGTGCGGCCGGGTGTGTGGCGAGGGAGTATTTGCTGCGCTGCGAGGGCAACCACACACCCCAGCCGCTCCCATCCATTTCCATTCGTACACACACACTGCATACGTCAGTTTGGGTTGCACGCTCTCACCAAAAAATTCCGATTCCACCTGCTTTTACGCTTGGCTTTCATTTCTATCACAAGTTACACGTGCGGAATACGAGAGGGGAGGAGAGAAGCGAGTCGGTTTGCAATACTAATCATTTGGTGTGAGACATCTCACGTGCCACATGCAAATGAGACCCTTTTGTTTGAGCGTGCACGCCCCATCATTGGACTTGCCACCGGTCGGGGGACGGGCCACGACAATTTTGCTTTTTTGATAGAAAAAGGAAAAACTCACTATTATCGTTTCTAGGCTTCTGTTGGTTGCGTTTCTTGCGTTGGTGACTGTTTACAGGCTACGAGACGGACAATATACCTAAAGTTGTTTTCCCCAAATGTAGCTGCTGCTTGCTTGCGGTCACGAGTAAACGGATTGCGAAATTTTTGAGGAAACCCCCTTTACTTCCACTCACAGCTTGAGAAAAATCGAGGGGGTTGAGTGTTACTTATTCCGAGAAAACTCGTCATCGCACGTACGGATCCTAATCCTTTTCTAAGCGCTCAGATGAAGCTCAAAAGACCTCCAGACCGTCTGGGCTTCTTCAGCCCGTTCCCAGCCACATTTATCATTTCCACGTCATCGTTTCCTTCCTCTCCGTCTGCGTCTTTTTTAATCGCTGAATCATCAGTCGTATTGCGTCTAGTGTGGGAGAAAGAGAGAAAGAAAAAGAGTGGCCGGGGTCGTCGTTCAAACAAACAGATGCATCCTCTCCCTTCCTTTCTCTCCGTCTCTTCTCCGCTAACGTTCTATCGCATCGGCCAACAATCAATAAAATACTGATGGCCGCCTGCTCCCTTCTCTCTTTCTCTCACCGACACCATCTGCTGCAGCGGAGAGGAAGCAACTGGCGACCTTCAGGAGAAAACGCGTCGAATGGGCCGGGGCCGCCCCGAAAATGAACCGCGAACAATACGTCATTAATTGCAACGGCGGCGGTAAAACGAGGAGAAAGAAAAGTCGTTAGTCCTTCCACGCTGCGCAAATGTCAGGAAAGTGCAAGACAAGCCGTACTCACACAATAGCCGATCCGGACGAAAGATTAGTAATTTTCCGGTTTTTGGAGGTTTTCGTTTTACTATTTTTTAAAACAAGAAACGTACCTTTTTCAATATCACTCTTTCGCTTTCCACAATTGAATAGAACAAATATAAGCCAGTTGTGAATAGAAAATTAAGCCAAAAAAGCCAAGAAATGAAATTTTATTATTGGCTGTGCATTTTTCCGTGAGCGTTCCATTGCGTACTCGCGCCGCCAAACGTAACCCCGGCTCAACTTCCTCATTTTTCTGCTCCGACAACCTTCCGATGCTCGATTTTTGCAAAAACGCCTTTTTTCCCACCCAATTTGTCCTTTTTCGGTTATCGCACACTCAACTCGAATTCGATAGTCGGTATTACGTGACTTTTTGCAGCTCAGAATTACGCCCGATCAATGGATCCTATTCGTTTCTTCTTTGTCACACATTCCCAGTTGCGCATTCCAGACGTTTTTTTTTCTGATAAACCAATTGTCCGCGTCTGTCGCTCTCTTCTCTTTTCCAATCATCTCATTCCCTATTCACTTTTTATCATTCAAAAATAATGGTGACACACAGAAGATTGCAATAATACACACAATGAAAGGGGCAGCAGTCTGTTTGTCTTCTCCATTGTTCTTCTTCGTCTATATCTTTACAGATTTTGAATTTACACAGGTTATGAAGGCAACGCGGGGAGTGTAAAAATGGAGGGGTTTGCGAACAATTTCAGATGGAGAAAACAGGGAATTTTTGGGAATAAGAACAGATATGCAGAACCCATTGAAGGTATAATTTGGAGCAATTCTCGTCGGCAGGTGGCCTAGCGCGCGGATTCGGATGCAGACGGAGCCTTTCATTGTACCCGCTTCGCCCGTGGATGTCTGGGTTTCGAGGATAATTGGCTCTTCTTCGGCGGACGGCGGAAACACGGCCAAAATGAGCTTTACGAGGCTTTCCGATTATTATTATGCTTATACAGAAAAATGATGGCTGGGGGATTTGAGAATCACAAGAGACGTCTGGAAAATGAAAATAGTACAGAAAAACCGAACACAATAAGACAGAAAAACAGAGAGAAACAATTGCAGGAAGCTTCCGGAAGGGTTACTGGTGAAAACGAAAATACATTCCAAATGTTTCTGAGAAAAAAAACTTCGCGCTCCGTTGATGTGGAAGTAGGAAAAGTCATCCGTATCTTCCATTCCGTCAGAAAGCACACTCAAAATTATCGTACTCTTTTTGTAAAATTCAGGGAGGGGTTTAGCGAACTCCTGTTATTGTTATGAAATTGTAACTTGAACCACTCTGCGCTTTGTACGCTCTCAAATAGTTTATTTTTAATTATTTTGCTCCATGCGAGCTCCATGGGGTTGTACAAGTTACATGAAAATTGTCAAGTTTAGAGAAGTGTAATATTCAGTAATTCGATGTTCGTGCTTCGAGGATAGCCTGATTCGCAGGTGCACCACAGCTGCTAGAAGTTGTTCATAACGACCATTGAGAGACTTGTGGCAAGATGATCGAAAGTTTCAGTCATTTCATTTCAACTGGGGGCTTTTCTCGAGAGAAAATGCTGGAAATTCTCTCGGAAAGACCTGTTGAACTATTTCGGTCATTTCTGAACGGGCTCTAGGAGACGAAATGTGAAACTTTGAAGGGCGCAGAACCAAGTGCTCAAGAATATTTGAAGCAGACATATCTCAGAAGGGCTTTTATCCCACTTCGCTGTGAAAAAGAGGAAGATGATTGGTAGCACAAAGCACAGTGAGTGGTGTCGGATATTAAATAGCAATAACGAGTCCATCTCATTCTAGAAGCGCGGAGAATATGGTTTTACAGATAGGAAAACAATATGACAGTTGCAGTCCGGAGAATAGCGCAAAACTCACGCAGCTCCTATCTGATCATCCCGTCGTGGTACAGGAAGGTTCCGAACGGTTTCACAGAGGCCTCACTACCAGTCAGAGTTGAGCGCAATTCCGTCTTCCGTCTGCCGTCTTCCGTGATTTTTTCTTCTTACCGTAAAAGAGTAATGGCTTTTCAGAAGCCATTTACTAGCCCCGAAGAACGCGAATTTCCACGGGAAGTGACCCAGATCCATAATTTTTGTTGCTGAGTTATTTTTTCAAAAAAAAACCGGAGAAAAAGGTTCTGCATTGACGATTTTTTTTGTTCCGTCTTCCGTCTGCCGTCTTCCGGGAAAAAAATTTTCTTCCGTCTGCCGTCTGCCGTTTTCCGGATTTCAAAATTCCATTTCCGCTCAACTCTGGTCTTCCCCCTCTGATTGCTCGGGACGGTTTTACAGAGAGGCAAGGTACAACATAATAGTCACGGAGAACTACTACGATTACCGGCTCCCCGACATTTCACAACTCGACGTTTTGAAACCCCGACGAAGTGCAATATACCGCTGAGCAGTTCACGTTAGTATCGAAACATCGCGGTTGCGAAAAGTGGAGTGGCGAAATGTCGGGGAGCACGATGACCAAGACGGCGAAGATGGTTCTTCAAGAATTCTTCCTTTTGTATCCAAGTTTATCTGATCGTCCCTTTTTAACCAGGGTTACTTCCACGTGGATTTTCGTTAAAAAAAACAACGTCAGTTTATTACTGATTTCCTAAGGTTTTTTTTTTGAAAATAATTGCGTACTGTACTCGTTTTCCAGTCGTTGACGTTATAGCTGGCATTCTGAATAGTGAGCGACCTGAATGAATTATTTGAGTCCACTGGCTCCCATCATCCGACTCCTGGCCCTCCTGCTCATTGTGGAATGCAGAATGTGTTGTGAAGCAACAGATGAGACTACCGTAATCTCCTGGGCGCCACAGTTCTGTCCATTGGCGCATGCGGATGTCTTCGTTTTGATTGTTTCAATACAATTTCCATTCCACGGGCCGGCAAAGCATACGTAGGAGTGGAAATTGTGAAGCTGTAACTTCTCTCAGAAACCTTACATTTATGTACCTCTGACCTGGCTCATTTTGAAGAACCCAGTAAAATTGAACTCTTATCAAAAAAATCAGAGGTCCCGCCAGCCGTCACGTTCTCTAGTCAGTTCACATTCGTTACAAGGTGATAAATCATCGAGAAATCACGTTTTTCCCTGCGTTTCTCAGATTTCCCTTCTGTTTCCCACTCCACACTGTCTATTTTTGGCGTCTTCGCGCTCTTTGAAGATGTTCTCTGCGTCGTTGTTCCACGCGCACTCTCTCTCTTTTCTGCGCGGCGCTAACTTCCGGCGGTTACTGTAATAAAGGGAAGAGATCGAAGCGGTCACAATCAGTCGTCTCTTCGCCCGCTTTTATACCGCCCGTCTCTCACTCTCTACCGTATTCTTTTTTCTAAAACGAGGCGGAGTTCTAACTTTGATCTCGCTGATTAATGAACTTTGATAGGCTGACGGCTTTGCCCCCGCCTGTCGATGCGGTTTGATCACTTCGCGTACAACACCGATCGGACCGAAATGGTTGCAGAACTCTCGACGTCCTCAGAGGGCATGATGAAACTTGCACATGTCGCCAGTTGACCGCAAAGTTGGACGATGACGTTATGAAAATGGATTTATGGTATTGTGACGTGTGGATTCGAATGATATCATACATAGAAGTGTCTGGGAAAGAATCAGTGCCAGCTGAAGCAGTTTGCCAATGACTTTCGATTGTCAGTAGTGACAGACAAACACACTAGTTACCATGTAGTCGCCGGCAAATAATCATCATCATGAGACGATGCATTCGCTGAAATAGCATCCGTCCATTGGGTTCTATTCTCTGCATTCTGAACGGTATTCTTGTTCCTTCCCTCCCTCGTCTTCTTCTTTTGCAACTTCCGGTCTTCGAAAGTTCTGAACTTTCAACTTGTCACCACAGATTACTCCCTTCCCCTCATTCCAACCCTCCGTCTCGGTCCAACTGTCCATCTTTCCTTTCATATTTTTCCGCTTATCAAATCCAATTCGACATCAAAATCAGCGAATCCAAAATAGATTTATGGGAAACTCGTCGCCGCGCGCGCCTCGAAAGATAACCGAACTGTGCTTGTGACGTCGTCTGTTCGGCGTCTCCGCGCGCCGTCGTACTCTTTCTTTCTGGAATCTCCTCTTGATCTTCCAACGATGAAAGACTAAGCCCGTGTCGCGGCTGGCCCCGCCCCCCTTCTGCGAATTATATTAGACCGTCGAAAGTGTCAATCGGCGGACTCGTCAAAATCGGACCGGGTTACGGTGGCGGCCGTTTCAACTGATCTGCTGGTTTTTCAAGGTTCGAGGATTTTTCAGGGCAAACTTTTGCATCTCCGCCCCCGCTCTGGGCTCCTTATCATTTGATGACGTGGCAAGCCTACCGTACCCAAATATTTGCCCTCTCGTCCCCCGCCCTTCTCACCTTATCTCGCCCCCATAACCTCTCAGGCGTCTTATCGGTGTCGTCGCCTTCACCGGCGCTAGTCACTGCTTTTCCCTCTCCCTCATTATTGCTTGAACCAGTTATCATTGTGTGGGAACCGTCCGCGTCTCCTCCCCCGCCACTATCTCTTGCCACTCTCGATTTCGTGACTGAAACATTGTAACAATACTCGATTGCAGCCTCGTGGGTCTCATTCTTCTTCCCCACTCTCGCAAACTGACATCTACAATCGTCTTCCGATGCTTCTCTTCGTTCTCCCATTGCTTCTTCTGACGACGGCTCACGCCGACGCCGAAGTCATCGTTTCGGTGACTCCGAAGGCCGTCGCCCACCTCTTCAAAAAGGAAATCTCTTCACTTCACAAGTCGCTTCTCCGACTCGAACCTTCCGCATTCCGTGCCAAGTACCTCGGTCTTGATGTCACCATCGACAAGTTCCAAGTGGTCGATCTTAAAATGCCTAGAATTACCTATGAGGTTAGTCCCTTCTGCAACTCTCTCCCCTTATCAATTCGCTCTTTCCAGACCTCCCCCGCTTCCTCCTTCATCACTTTCAAACTGCTCGGCGGCTCTGCCCGTGTCATTGGACAGTACTCAGCGGTTTACAAAACGAAGAGAGAAGGCCAGTTCGAGATGTCTCTTGAGCACTTTCATCTGGCCATTCCGGTGCAAAGAACCGGTCTCCTCAAGTTTGTGAGTCTCCCATTCCGCTCTCTAAGCACTTTCAGTCCCCTCGCCTCGTAATCGTAATCGTAATCCCCATAGGAATGTGTGAATGCGATGTCTTTCGTAACAACCGTCAACAATCTTTCAGACGCCCTCTTCTGACTCGTGCACTCTCGAAGTCGACGAAACGATGATCTCTCTGACGCCAGCGCTTCCGGAGCAAATTTCTGTGAAGATCAAGAACGACCTTCTGGAGCAGTTGCGCCGTGATTCGTGCGCACGCGCCAACGCCTTCTTCTCCAAGCTGAACTCTCAGTTGAACAACTTTGTCGAGAGCACTGACATCACTCAGGGAGGCCATCCATCCCACATCGCAGTGGATCTGCAGCTCCAGTCTGCTTCGATCGAGGACGACTCAGCTGTCCACGTGGAAATCACCGAGAGTGTTATCAATGCGGAGCTGTCGAAGCTGTTCTCATCCGCCAACACCCGATTCCTCTGGAATGACGTGCCGGAGATCAAGGCGCTTTTGAAGAATTGCGATAGTGCGGAGTGCCGGCTGCTCGAGGACGGGGACCTGGCTTCCTCCTTCTTCGACCGCCCATCCGTCAAGATCAACTCGGACGACTCCGCTTCGGTCCGTCTGCCGCTTTCCACTGTTCTGACCACTTCCAACGGAAAAGAACTGTTCCGAATTCAATCGGAACTTCATCTGGATCTGGAAGACATATTAGTCGAGCAGCCAGAGCAAGGAGCGATTGCCTGGAGTGCCAAGTTCCGTGTGAAGAAGGTCGACATTCAGAAGACGACAAGCTCCAGAAGTATTCAGAAGTTCATGGCGAAGTTAGAGTCGTGGATTGGAGAGAACAAGTCTTTCATTGAGGTCAGTTACCATATATCGACTCGCATTTTCTAACTGTTTCTATTTTCAGAATCTTCTCTCCTTCTACCTCCGCGGAAACCTTCCGATCCAACTGCGATCTCCGATCACCTGGTCTCATCGTCTTCATGCCCGACCTGACTCCTCTTCCTCTTCCGTTCGTCTTCAGCTCCATCCCCATTTCTCCCCGTCCCTTCTAGTCTGAATCCATTCCTATCCTATTTATCTGTAGATGGTAAACCTTCCCTCATTGCCTCGATCTCTGACTGCCCAGATCCTCAACTTCAAAACAAACTGGTCGTTCTTTTTCTTCCTCTCCTAATAAACAGTTTTACTGATTGCAATTATCACAATAATAAAAAAAGAGCCTAAAAGTGACTGGAAATTACAAAGATCATCCAGTGAACCCAGCGCTCGTGTCTTTCGACCGCATCGCATCCATGATCTCTTTTGCTCGATCCGCATACTTTTTCGCCTCGTCGAGATCCTTCGGCACGCCATCGCCCAGTTTGAAAATCCGGGACACGTTTGCGCAGCTCTGCGGGATGTCGAAGTCGCACGCACGTCTCGCAAACTCCAGACTTTTCTCCATGTCCCGAGAGAGTTGGCCGAGTTCCGATCGGTCGAGCTCCTGAAATATTACGATTATGATGTTCGTAAAACGAAGAAGTGACGACGTCACTTGTCTTGTGTTATCGATACGATTTTAATCCTTTCATGTTTTCAACATTCCTCACATACTTGTAAGGGCCATGGGACAGTCCAGTGACCGAAAAAGAGAGAAAATAAGAATGGGGCCGGGGAGGCAAATTGTTTCAATCCTAACTCGAACACGATTTCCAGTAGACCATGAAGCAAAATCTGACACGGCCTACCTTGGCTTCTCCGGAAGCGGTGGTCTTGAACTTTTCCTTGTTGCCCATGTACCAGGTGCTCAGCAGCCAACACGCCTCGCCGTCCTCCAGCTCGCACGCCTTCCTCATGTACTTCTCCGCCTTCGCCGAGTCCGCTTTCCGCCCTTTCTCTCCGTTCCAGTGCACAAGTGACAAGTACCTGCAACCCTGGGGAATGTCTGCTTCGCAAGCCACCGTCATCGGACGGATCATCTTCGAAAGGCTCGTTTCGTCGGCTTTTCCTGCCAGCATGTACATTCCGTATTTGAAGCACGACTTCGGGTAACTGTTTTCGTCACAGTTCTTCTTGAAAATGGCGAGAGCGGCAGAGAAATTCTGTTGAAGAGCTTCCATATATTCTCCGAGCAACTGACACGATTCTGGCCGTTTCTCCTGAATTCCTTCTCTTCACTTTTACGTCTCCAGGCTCTTTTACCTCGTAGCAACCGAATCTGTACTCGATGCCGATGTTCTTCACGTATTCCGCCCGTTCCTCCTGCTCTGCCATTGCTTCTTCACTTATTTTCCCCGACATCTTCGGAAAAGTCAACGCAGTTTATTTCGAACAAACCAACTGTCACAGTATGAGAATACGTAATCGTACACCGCTTACACATAGAAGAACCAACTCTTAATACAGGCTTTATTCGTCAATATCATGACATTCAGAAAAATGAATCTCAAGAATCATGTCTTAAAAAAGAATCGCATGCGAGGGCGAGAGAGAAGTTTGACGAAGAGTTGAAGGGAGGATGGGGATGCCACACGAGTTTCGACACAATAAGCCCTACCGGTAGCGGGGACGAATAGCATAGGGGTGGAGAAGGATCTTTCTCTCAAATGTATAGACAAGTATATTAAACAGAAAACTCAACATTAGCGGGAAACTGATTGTTTTCTGGAGGTGTGTAAGATGAGACAGGGAGCATTACAAAAATGGAGAGATGAATAAATTATTGTTTACTGATGATTTTGGTTGCTCGAAACGTTGTCTGGATAATAGTGGGCAAGAAGTCAAGCTTACAGATCATCCTGAAAAAATAAGGTTACGGTATATCATAAAAATTGATTAATTTACTTACCATGGAGCTGAAAATGAAGTTGATGGCAGCTTCCTCGTCCTTATCGCATGCGAAATACGCCTCCACAACAATAGCTTCTGGAGCATTGACAACAATAGCTTTGATTCTCTCGATAGCGGCGGCTTCTTCTGGACTGAGATGAATCACGTGACGACGTGGTACTCGACCGGCTCCTCCGGCACCAGCTCCGGCTCCCGCAGCACCACCTCCAGCGGCATTCGCACCTCCGTTGAGAATATCCATGAAAGCTTGCTGGTTATTCTGGATAGTTTGCACGAGTCTCGGATTGACGGTGGCCAATTGCTGGAGAACGGCAGCGAGCATCTCAGGGTTCTGCTGGATCATTCCGCGGATCTCGTTCAGCTGTGGCATGTTGGCGAGCATATTAAGATCTTCGTTGGCTTCATCATCGAGTCCCTCAGCATTCGCGGGATCAAGTCCGAGTCCCGGCTCTTGGTCGACCAAATCATCTGGTATTCCGTTCAAAAGGAACTCGACAGCACGGTCGGCGTTCCAGAAAGCAACGCGAAGGGCAGCCAGCGATTGCTCACGGTCATATCCCATCCCGGTGATAGCAGCAAGTGATGCTTCTTGCTCGGCAGTCAGAGCCTCAGCGACAGCCGGAGCAGCCGGAGCGGCAGCAGCTGGAGGAGCGGCGACAGGAGCCGCAGCAGGAGCAGGCTCTGCGGCAGGAGCCGGCGCAGGAGCAGCAGCTTCAGCGGGTGCCACTTTTTTCTAGAAAAAATTGATGAACATGTGATATTCTTTGTCAAGAAAACTCACTTTGGTTAACATCACGACCACAAACTTTGAAGATTCAAATCCAACGTCCCCGACTTTGGCGGCATCATCAAGAACCTGAAGGAAGACTTGTGACACATTAAATTTCTTTTTACCAAAGTCTCACCTTTCCATTGTAGATTAGCTTTTGATTTTCGACGGCATAGTCTTCTCCTCGTTCCTCAGCGAGCTTGGTCTTAATCTCAGCAATCTGGAATTTTCGAAATATTACGAAGCTTCAAAAATTAAAGCAAACCGTCTGATCCTCGTCCAATTCCAGGATGAAGTTCTGTTGAGTGAGGGTCCTGAATGTTACGGAGATTGGCATTGTAATTATCTGAAACAGGTAATTCATGAAATATCACGGATTTGAAAAAAAAAACACTGGCTGTCGAGGAGAGATGTTTTGTGAGACGATGTTGTGTAAAATCAATAAGGAACAAGAGTAAAGGAAGGCAGTATACATAACATATGAAATGAGCTCTACTATTCACTCCAATTTTGCTCTAATTATGCCCTGCAATTGCAGAAAACAAAAATGGAATTAAAAGCTGAAGGAATCAGCACCGAAACGCAAACAAACAAGCACTCGCGAGCGCTGGAAAAACACTTGGGCCAATGCCGGTTTAAAGGCGCACATGATTTAAACGCGGTGCGTGGCGAGACCCGCCGAATTGTCATTGTGTCGATTTACGGCGAATTTTTTCAAGTCAACAGCAAATTTAGTTTTCTTTTACAAATTACAATTCTTAAAAATTTGGGGATCTGCAAAACATCGTAACATTTTTTTTCTAAAAGTCGATATTTGCAGAAAATGTCTGCCGCTCACAAAAATCTTCTGGCGCTCTGGTCTCAGGAGCCAAAGAACATTGCTTCAATTGAGAAGGCTCTCAACGATTTACAGGTGCCAATTTTGATAGAGTAGAAAAACTATTATTTAGTAATTTTCAGATTGCTCTCGGTGGTCGCAGTGATTTGAATGACAAGCAAGCGGCGTGTGCATCGAAGTAAAACAACGCCAAAAAAATTTGAAGTATGTATTTTTTCAGAGACTTGTACGAAATTTCGGTGCTTTTGGCTATTCTGAAGCACGACTTCGACACTTTCGACGACTTTATTAATCAGGTTAGCGAGCAACTGAATTTGAAAGTTAATTTTTATCAATCCAGGTACTGACGTTCTACACGATGGTGCCAGAGCATTCGGAGAACAAGTATCTGATGACTGGGCTGCACCTCATGTTTCTTCTTGCCAGAAACCGACTCTCCGACTTCCACATGCTGCTCGAGCAAGTGCCTCAACGCGAGCAGACCTCGAACGCCTACATTTCTACTCCGGTCCGTATCGAGCAGAGTCTGATGGAAGGCGCCTACAATAAGGTCGTTTTGACCGAGAAGAACATCCCAAATCCTTTCTACTCTGTCTTATTCGCATCATGCTCGACACGATCCGCCGTGAGATCGCCTCGTCCATCGAGAAGTCGTTCAAAGTGTTGACGGCGAAGGACGCCACTGTCATGCTGCTTTTCGAGAACGACAAGCAGATGCTCAAGTACGCTGAAGACGTGAGTTGAAGAAAACATTGATATTCAGTAACTTATTTTATTCAGAGAAAGTGGCATCTGGACGGTGAGCGCTTCGTTTTCGAGGTCGAAGTGGCTCAAGAGAAACCTGTGAATCTGGACACAGTGCGAATCGCCACGCAAACTATTTTCTACGCTAAACAACTCGAGCAGATCGTCTAACCGCATCATTTTCACCAATGTTTTATGTATTTGTACAGCGATCCTGTTTAATTTATTTCTTCTTTTCTACGGATCTTCAAATTTTCGTCCTGTCCTCTATGAAAACTTATCCGTTCCCCCAAATTGTTAACACCTATACAAGTTTGTGGTAACACAAAGCAGAAGACGACAATTTTGAGGGCGGTCCAACATAATAGAACTGGGCAGAATAGAACCGCGACACAATAGAACCGGCCACAATATAACTGTTTGGAGCGCCTTTTAAACCTTTCTGTAGAATAATTGTTTCGTAGAAAAAGATAATTTTTTAATCTCGTGATCGATTTATTGCATTCATCAATTTCACTTCCGTCGTGATCCCTCTTCTCTACGGCAACGAAAACCCACAGAAAATAATTTCATTGTACTATCAAAAACGAAAGGAAACCAATTTTTAGGTATAAACTGTGGTCTTCCGCTTAATTGTTCAAGAGACGAAAAATTTTGCGAAAGTTAATTGAAAGGAACGAACAAAATGCTCATATAAATGCACAAATACAGTTCTATTATGTCGCGGTTCTATTGTGTCGCGGTTCTATTCTGCGCAGTTCTATTATGTTGGACCGCCATTTTAAATAAGTGGGTCGAGGAGTGATTCATTTGAACGAATTGATGGAATGATCAGACATCTATCAATATGATATACCGAAACATTACAGTTGAGAAGGAGTACATAAAAAGGAAATTACATAAGGTTGCTGTTGTTTGGAACAATATATACAGCTAAAGACACAAAATTAGTAGTATCGCAGAGTGCGAGAGAAGTCTGAGGATGAGATAAAGCCCGCCAATCGGAGTTGGCTTTTTGCCCGTATTTCGTTGTTTACCACACGACGCATCGTTTCGTGGGGTTCATCGGCGACCCGGCCGGGCACTTGAATGCTTCCGCGAACTCCGGCTGGTTTGAAAGGACAGTGTTAACTCTGGAAACAATTGAATTGACAGCCGAATGCGAGCAAAAATGGGATTACCTAGCGGTTTCTGGGGAGTGCGGATCAGTGAGCAGGAGAAGAGTCTTCGTCTCGGGCGTCTTGGCTCCACACCAGACCTGAGCGTATCCGACGAAGAAGAGCTGCTCGTTGGTGAGCGATTCGAATTGCGGAACCCGCGGCTCTTGGCCTCCGTGTTTCTCGAGGAACGATTTGTAGGCTTTGAACGCCTGCTTGACTCCTCCGTTGTCCGCAATGTTCTCTCCTTGAGTCAGCTTTCCGTTGATGCGAAGATCCGTTCCGCTGAGTTGCACATCGGCATACTGCTCGATGATGCACTGTGCGCGCTCGGTGAACTTGGCAGAAGTGGTGTTGTCCCACCAGTCACGGAGGTTTCCGACATTGTCGAACTGTCGTCCGGTGTCATCGAATCCATGCGTGATCTCGTGTCCGATGACTGCTCCGATTCCTCCGTAGTTGAGTGCCTTCGGGAAGCGAGCATCGAAGAATGGCTGTTGGAGAATTCCAGCTGGGAAGGCGATCGCGTTTCTAGTTGGCGAGTAGAAGGCGTTCACAACGGCGGCGCTCGAAATGAACTCGTGTCTGTTGACGGGCTCCAGAAGACGGCGGTAGTAGAAGTTGTTGCGCCACTGAATGCTCTTCTCGACGAGCTGACTGAACGTGTCCTCCGGCGCTCCCTCGAGTCCCTTGTACCAATCGTCGAGCTTCTCGTCGTTCAGGATAAAGTCGGGGTATCCGATCTGCTTGAGCATCTGGTCTCCCTTCTCCAAAGCGTACTTTTTCGTCTCCGCATCCATCCAATCATTGGCATGCATCATGTTACGGAAAGCTTCCTGAAGATCGGAGATCATGTCGAGGGTGGTGTTCTTGGCGTTGGCGTCGAAGTACTTGCGGACGTACATTGATCCTGAAAACAACGTTGGACTTTGCTATTCGGGTGCAACTCACCAGAAGCATAGCTCAATTTTCCGCCGGCGCTGCTGACACAATCCTTCCAACGTGGCTGCCTCTGTTTGCGTCCGTACATTTGGAAGGCGAATTCCTGCTGAAGATCTTCGTACTTTCTTCCGATTTCCTGACTCCAAGATCCGGCCCAACGAAGCAGAACGTAGTTGGTGACAATGCGCGGGTCGGTTTCCTGGAGAAGAGTGTTCATCTTTTGAAGGTATTCAATGTCCGAGATAATGATAATTGGGTTGGTCTTGAGGTATGAATGGACAAGGTATGGGGTGGTCGAGAGAGCGAGTCTCTTCCAGTCAATCTGAAAAACGACACGAATTAGATACTTTTCAGAGTTTCAATTCAAACGCACGATTGGCATGAACTCCTTCAGATCGTCGAACTGTTTTACATTGTACAGTTTCGTGTAATTGCGTCTGTTCTCCTCGGCAACCAGAATCGCGGCCCACTTCTTTTCGAACTCGATGATCTCGTCGACGTCCGCCTCGATCTTGGTCTCGTTAATGGTCAACCCAGCATCCTGAGTGTACAGACGGACCTTTCCGATCGTATACTTCCGATAGGCCTTCATTTGCTTCTCATACTTTTTCTCGTCCAAATAGTAATCACGAGTAGAGTATCCGAGTCCGAGACTTCCTTGATCGAAGCTCAGAAGTCGCCGAGACACATTGCGTGAGTCCTCGGCCGGTCCGTAATCGAAGAAAACGGACACATCGCGCGACTGAATGGTATTCGAGAGCAGCTTTGTCAGATCGAACGAGCTCTCCCTCCACTTCTCGTTGTGCACCATCGGCCAGTATCCGAACGTCTTGATCTTCTCGAGCAGGTCACGTGCTCCCACGGCATTGTGCTTCTCAGTGTCCATGCAGCTTTTGTAGATTTGCTTGACGAGAGCGATCGACTTGGAAGTTGGAGTGCTCGAGTTATCTTCGTAGAGTTGTCTCATTTCGGAAATCACCTTTTCGCGAGTAGCTGTGAATTGGGAGAAGGAGGTAAGATCGTCCGGAATCGGGTGAGAATCGATCCAGGATCGGCACGCGTATTCGAAGAAGTCATCGCACGGATCCATGGTCAAATTAAGACTCTGCTGAAGAAGACGCGAGGCCTCCTGAAAGCCATCCGAATCTCCGACGTTGTACGTCTTCAGCGTCGTCGATTCTTCCGTCACTGTGCCATCTGTGGTCTCGTTCGTTTCTGTGCCATTTTTGGGATCATCGTTGACAAAAGGAACTCTGGGCAGAGAGTAGGCGCCGCCGAGAAGCAACGTACAGAGTGTTAACGCCGACCAGATTCGAATCTCTACCATGACCCCTGCAAGAGTATAATTATGAAAAGAGTTGCTTGAAATCGGAAGAGTAAGAAGGACGTGTAAATTTTGAAAAGATCAAGATAACTGAAACTGAGAGACCTCGCGTCATTCGATGAGGGAAAGGTCAGTGCAGGGGAACTGGTTTCCTGGGTTAGTGGAGACGTGGCCAGAAAACGGTGCCTTCAACAATATGTGAGCTTTTAAATCGGTTAATTCGAAAATATTGCCGCAACTGAAGAGATTAGCCGATGTATAGAAAAAACCGTCTAATCTTCTTCCTTGTCAAACGAGAGCGGCTAGTGACAACTGCGGGAGAAGGGAGTGCGCGGGAATAAGATGCGCTGGACAATAATCGTGAAAGGGACAGTCCTCTTCGCTGATAACTAACCAAATCGGACGGCTAGCCGAATGACTGACCGATAGCCGACGCCATGGACACATTTATCGCTGCGAGGGGGCGGCGTCACCCTCCCCTTATTCTACCGACGACGAACAGGACTGGGCGACGAGCAAATATTTGGAGTGCGTGTTTTGACCCGTTTTGGAGTTTTGGAAGAGCTGATGGAGCACCGCACAGGGCAGTGGCCACGAAAAATCGGCTTTTAGAGCAACAGCAGTGGGCGGAGACTGCATGGAGAACAAACTTTCCGCGCGGAACAGAAAAAAGTCAGGTTAAAGGCAGCCGGAACGGCATGAGAGAAAAAGGACGCGTACTGAAATAGAATAGAAACAAACGGAGAACTTTTTGCTCTGCAGAGCTCCGTGTGCATTGTCTCCAACGAGAGAAAGAGAAGAGACAATTGTCAAAAAGTGCCGAGATGTCTGCTCTGCATGACCAGGAGCAAAGATGGAGGTCAAAATCTGCGGGCATTCTGTTTCATGTCGAGTAAGAACGAAACGAAATTTATGCACTTCGGTCTAGGGCTGGCCAAGGCGCGAATCGGCAAATATTTGACGCTTGTCTCTGAACGACAAGACACATAAATACAAGAAGATTGTGTCCGGAGCAAAGTTCAACATTTCATCGAGAATATAAGACAGAATAGCTTCTATTTTAAAAATGAAATAAAAAAAATAATTTGTTTGTGGGATTAGGCACATTGTGTGTAGATTTGCGTGAGTGTACTGTCAGGCGGCATTTCAAATCCAACAAAAACATTGACGAACTGTATTTATTTAATTTAAGATAAAAGAACGGGTAAATGGAAGAGTAGATTAACAGTAAATAAACATTTTGAGTATTTTCCAGTATTCGATAGAAAACTCGAGATGAAATTGCTGGTTTTATATGCTCCGGGCTCCTACGTCAATGCAAATAATAAACGAGGGAAAAGAGAGCATCTGGAACCTATAATTTAGGCAGAAAGCTTTCGATTCTTTTCAACCGGAAGAAGCCCACAAACCCTTCTGAATTTCTAATGTGGGAAACACCAAAGTGTCGTCACTCACGTTTCATAGTACGAGAGCGAAAAAAAAACAAAAGTGTTTGGTAGGTAGATGGAAATGTCAAAAAAAGTGAATGGACCGTGACGGCTGAAGCCACTTGTCTTTAAAATCGTCGCCAAAAAAAAGTATCTCAGAAGAATCTCCTTCTGTTTGCCTTTGTTTCTTCTGTCCGCTCAGTGTCAATAAACATTCGTTCGTCAAATTGGAAAAATCAGAAAAGGAGGATGGGAATGGAGCATGACTTGGATTAGCTCAAATTTCGGAGTTAAAAACAGATGATTATGGTAATTTGGACGCCGGAAACTGAGCGTCTTCTAGTTTTAGTGAAACGGCCAATATTTATTTCAGCTCAATCGGACCAGGCACATATATATTTACATGAAACATTGAAACGACGTCTTGGTTAACTTGTAAAATCTAGAATAACCGATACAGAATAAAAACAAAATGATAATAAAATAGGAAATATTTTCCAAGATAAAGAAGAAGTGATAAAAGAGATCAACGAGCAGAGTAATGACCGAATGAGAGATCTAATACCATGCGAGATAGGTCGGCGGCATCCTTGCCAGGTTGTCCGAATCCTTGGCCCGGCTGATCAGCGACACGCAGTCGTCCTTCCTGATTTTCGCGTCCGCACTGTTCGTGTTCTTCAGCTTGTTCGAAACACCCGTAACATACGAGTTGGCCGCGTGGCACACGTACACCTGCTTATCCTTATGACGTTATTTATTTTATCTCACTGTTCCTCAACTTACCATGTTCTCCGATTCCACGTTGTTCGCATACTCGTCCCAAAGCAACGGACGCATCACGATCTCCGGCTCTTTCCTCAGCAGACACTTCGACGCGGCCGCCATGCTCCACAGTAAATCTCCGTCTTGAGCCACACCGACCATAATCGAGAGATTCGGAGTGAGCCGGAATGGCACCTCGTGTCCGAAATGCTGTATTTCCTGCAGACTACGTCCTTTGCCCAGTTCGAAACGGTAGAACGGATTGCTCATCACTCCCGTATTAAGGGTGATCATCATTTGATGAGGTCCCATCGGCGTCAGATTGCAATGATATTCGATTGTAGAGAGGACGGCGAGACTGTGAATGAACTGCTTCCGCATTGTGTAGTACATGACTGGTTCCGGGTAGCGGGTGGCCAGGTAGTCGTAAAGGAGACGGAATGGAATCATGTCTCTCGCAAAGTCTCTGTAAACATTCTCATTGTTGATTGAAACTTTTGATTGAAAAGGAGACTCACTCATAAATGATATTCTTGATGTGATGGGACTCGGTAAGTCGTGGGGCAGATTGGGATGCACCCTCTGTCGGCAGATTTGGCAGTGGTTGTCCGATGGAAGCAGCACTTTGGGCGAATCTTTCAAGAAGTGAAGAACCATTTCATCTGGAGAAGAGTTTCCGAACGCGGTGGTCACAACGTCATACGGATGACAGATATCAATTTGGGATGCCGGATAATTTCTGGTGACATCTGCTGGAATTGCGTACGGCTGAACAGAGACGATCTCGTAGAGCATTGTATTCTTTCCAAGTCTCATTTGATGAACCATCGGAGCAGCTAGATGACGTCGGCAGGATTCTCTGTCCGTATGAAGAACATGATCGAGATGTTTGAGCATTTGTGGCACGCGGTTCGTCTTTACGTCTTGCACCGACTTCACGAGATAGAAGGCGGCACTCTTTCCGGTCTGTCCTCTCATGTAGATCTTGCGCATCACTTGGCCTCCTTTCACAACAATTTCAAAGAACGGCTCGAAACGAGACATCATCGAGATGTACTGCCCGGTCAGATTGGTGGCCATCAAATTGTGGTTTTTCGGACGGAGCCCATTCAACAGGTCGAACGGCATTTCAATGCATCCAGTTTGGTGACTGAATCGGGCAAGGTACGGGCTAGATGGCTCCGTGGGCACTTTCTTTGGAAGGAGATCCAAACGAGTGCGAATAATTTTGATCCAGTGAACTACGGAGCGAATGTACATCTGAGGATGGGCGGTATCGGGAGCGGTCACATCGAGATATGGCAGTATGATTCCGGTGACGTTCTTCACAAACACCTGCTCGTCTTCCATGCCTGGCGGATCAGAAAACACTTGGCTGATTTCCTTCTCGAACATTATATGACTCTTTTCAGAACCCATGAATCCTTTCGTCACGTTCATTTTCCGTTTGTTACGAAGCAGAAGCATGTCAAGTGCGTAGTTCTCTTCGTAGTATTTCAGGTCTTCTAGCAGTTGCTCTTTCCATTGTGCCGTCAATAATTTCACTTTATCCGAGAACTGCATCTCGTTGAAATGAGCATCCAGTTGCTCGGAGAAGTCTTCGAACATCTGGTTTTTGATGGCGAGTGCGAATCGGAGATGTCTCTCCACCCAGGTCTCAGCCATCTCCTCCATTTCTTTGAGAAGACGATGGAAGACGCGAACGTCGGTCGGTCGATACTTGAGGCAAGTCTTTAAGATTCGGACAAAGGGTTCGTCGTTGGCAAATGCTTCATCATCGGACGCGTCCATGGACATCTCCTTATCACTGTAGTCTTCCCGGAAAACTGCGTCGATCGCTTCATTCGACACGGCTTCGCGAAGATAATAAAACACTTGCAGTGGATGCGCAGAGGCTATCTGAAAAGAAAATGTTGGAGAAATTAGTTTTTAGGAGAGGGTAGCTTACTCTAATAAGAATGAGCACAAAGTTGGAAGAGGGTTTATGGCGGACTTCGGTGACCAACTGGGGCAGCCAATAGACCCAGTTGAAGAGGTTCAGAGAGTGCAGTTGCGACTTGATCACCCGGTTCAATGCTTCATTCGATCCGCACACAGACAAGTGCTTCGCCAGCCACAGAATCTTTGCAATCGGTTTGCGAGCTTTGATGTCCGACTCGACGCGGGCGGCGATGAAGTAGCAAGAGAGTGCCTGTCGTCCGTAGTTGTTGCCCGTCTCCTTGCAGACTGTCGTCGAGAAGAATCGATTGTAGAGGTGGTGACCCCAGTTTTTCATCAGTTTAATGCCGGTTATGTTTACGTTGCTATGCAGATCGACCAGTTGGGCGGCCGCTGAGAACGTGGCATCGGCATTATGGCTTCTGTAACTTGAATTCTGTGGTTACGAGGGTTCTTAGAAAGGCACTTACTGGTCGAGAACCGAGTGCACATTTGCGCGATGATAAAGCAACGTGGCGACCTGATCCTTCTGCAAATCGTCTATGCGAACATCCTCGAGCACTTCGAGAGCTTCGTGCAACAGTTCGCTTCTCAATTTCTCGTCCGTCGTGTTTATCGCCATGTCTCTGAGTGTCTTTCCGTACGTGCACACCTTGTCCAGCGCATCCATCATCGGAATCGCAGTCAATCCGGCCAGTTTGTTGAGGAGATCTTTAGCCAGACTGTGGAATCCTTGATGCTTTGCGTGTTTGGCCACAAAAGCTGTGCTTGAGCCATCGAGTGTATCGGAACGATGGATTGATTCCCCGTTCCGGCAACGTTGAGCTTAAACGTTTTCTAATCATAGAGACGCATTCTTTTTTCAGAAACTTACTCCAGACTTGTCCCAGAAGTCAAATCTCTGCAGCATCATTCCGTGAATCTGATTTCTCCAGTCATACCAGGTAGCAACGGCGCTCATATCGTCAGAAGTGGTAGCACCTCGGTTACGGAACACTTTCATCAGAGTCTTCATGTCGGCCATCAATCCAGGATCCGTCTTATTTGGCGGGTCGAGTAGCGCCAGTCGAATTTCAGTCGACTCCTCGATCTCTCTAATCAGATTCATCGACTGGAGCAATTTCACGTGTCCATAGGAAACAATTGACGGGAGAGCTCTCCAGCGACTGATGTGCGCGTCTATAGCCTCTTGAACGGCAGATTTGCATCTGTCCTTGCTTGCCGTCGTGCTGTCCGTGATTCGCTTAAATGTTAAGATGAATTGAATGCTTTGACGAAAAAAAAAAATATTTTCCTCACCATCACAGTGCTCATCAGATTGAACATGGTGTACTCGAGATGAAAGTTCGGAGGGATACAACCGGCGATTTGATTCTTGCACTCTTCGACCACTGCCCAATCGGGAATGTGCGAAGCGGCGGTTATGAGTCCTCGCACGTTCTGCATGTCCTTGCTGTTCGACACATCGGCGACAGTCTGCCATTGGAGAAGTTCCGAGCAGCTGGTGATGTACATATCCATCCAGTGATCGTATTCCTTGTCAATGATCGGCGAGACATGCTTTTCCGAATTCGAAGTTCCATTCGCTGAAATGTATTGGTTAAGAAAGGAAGAGAACCGTCAAGTGCAACTTACGATTGATGGTCGGAGCAAGTGCCTCAAACTGCGCAGTCATCATCTTTTCGAGAGTGACGGCTGCCTGTTCAATGTCTCCCAGCTGCATCATCCCCATTACTTTCATTGTCTCCGGGAAAACAGCTCGACGCTCCCAAATGGCTGCAAACTGATCAAACTCCGAAATTTCTTGATACAATGCGCCCAGAGATTCCAGAGTCTCGATATCAGTGGCCAACAATGGAGAGACGTTCATTTCGCGGAGCAAATGATTGTTCAACTGCTTCGGAATCGTCCATATGCTATTCTCAAGAAGTCTGATTCCAGTGTGCCAGCACTCGTGCTTCGAAGAGATGAACTCCACAAGTCTGGACGGAAGGGGCATTGCGTCTCCAACGGCTTCTAGCCAAACTGCCAGAACACTGTCCTGCAGGCCGCTCTGGTAGTAGTTATGCACTCCGCTGCTCAGGAACGGTACGATCAAAACTTTGAACTCGTCGATTTCCGACGGTGACAAGGAGGCCCAGAACGATTTGAACAGCACGATCCACATTTTGCCCGTCACTTTTGTATCTGAAAAAAGGTACGTTTTTTCCCTTATCTCTGAAATATTCTCACCGCTAAGCCCGAAAGTTATCTGAGAAACTGTATCGAGAGCATCTGCGAAGTCATATTTAGCGGCTTCTTCGAGCAATTCCTGTTGCTCGCTGAGCAACGTGTCCAGTGTCAGTTTCTCTCTTTCTTTCGGGTGATCTTTGGTTTCTCTATTTTCGCCTTCCTCCATCGGCTCCGGCACCTCTTGCTTCGGTTCCACGTCCATCGGAACATTCTGTTGTTGTTGCCTCATCTTTACCGCGTATTCCATCGTTCTCCACGGAGATGCGCAATTGAATAGAATCACCTTCTTTCTGCGATTGTTCGGATCCGTCGGTCGTCTCGCAATCGTTCGCAGCATTCCCCAAAGTGCAAACTTCAGCCAGAATGCATGTTTGAATTTGGACCAATCCTGATTCTGCATGATGAACTTCATTCGATGCACCATGTCGACAGTGGTCATGTGCGGCCACGTCATTTCCCAAACAACCAAGAAGTTATCTCTCGTCTGCGAATCGCTGCTTTTCAGTCCCCAGAAGAATCCTTCCCACAAGTGGTTTCCAGCCTCCGAACCGCGGTAGTCAGCGTTTTCGAACACTTTGATTATGACGACCAGGAAATCGGTTATCAGATCTTTGCTGCTCTTAAATTTGTTCATAATAAGATTCTGAATTCGAACAAGCGTCGGGAGGACTGTGCCAATCGTGAAATCGTGATGTGCTTGATCCTTCTGGCTCATCATTGATCCGAGCAGTTTGACCGCCCATTGAACAATCTTGTCAGAACTGGTTTTGATAACGAGATCCGAGATAATCGTGGCAATCGCTCGTTTCGTTTCAACATTAATGAAGTCGACTCTCGGCCGGACGAGCTCCATGGCAATGCACAAAAGATCGGAAAGATCTAAAACTGGAAGAAGGTTTTCGGGCTTTTAAAAAGTTGACTTACGTCTGATAACATTTGGATCGCTCACAGTTTGCACCTGGTTGATATGCTCTTTGCACGCTCTATCCATGATCATCACGAATTGCGAAAGGAAGTGGTGGAGATAGGCGGGTTGGTGAGTGCACATCGTCCGGAGCAGCGAGAAGGCTCCGAGAACAGAGAGGACTGCGGTATTCAGGTTTCTGGAACTGTTTTTAATGCTATCGGATAGAGATGCGATTGCAAACTTGGATATCATGCTGAACTGTTCGCCGATGAATTGTTGAATGTATTTGTTCAGTGTTTCTAGCTCGTCCAAACCGTTCGCCGACGAATGCGTTTTCTCAAGGAGACGACCGACGATTTGGGTGATAAGACGCACAACCTTAAAAATATAAAACTCTTTGACAGTGAAATTTAACCTGTTTTCCAGTTTACCTGAGCATTTCCTGTAGAGAGACACGAAACGAGTGATTTCTGAAGGTTTCGCACCAATGTCATCAGATTTGCTTTTGGCATGACGATGATCACTACACTGAGCATTTCTAAAGCAAATTGAGCATTCTGACAGGTGACAGAATGTGAATAATGACCTCCATCATATCGCATGTATCCTTCCTGGCCGATCGTCAAGTACTTTTCGAGCATCGCAATTCGAATTTGCACAAACTCTCCCCACAAACTCGGACGGAGCGAGGCGCGTAGAAGCATCTGACTCTTCCTCGTCAACTCTGGCCCTTGCTGAACCGCAGTAACGCCTGCGGAAACCGGCTGATTCTGGAAGCTGATGCAGAACCTGATGAGCATGTTGACGATGGTGTCCACGTGTTCCTGTCTGATCGGCCGTTGCGAGTCCGGCATGTTCAATTTGCCCTGCGACTCTTCGAACTCGTATCGATCCGACGCAGAGGAGGAGCGCAGCTTGTCCAGTTGTCTGTCCACTTCGTAAGCTTCTTCGTCTGTGATTACATGGTCCGGCTTCATATTTTTGAAGAGTTCCCATTTGACGACCATTTCGCAAATTTCTATCGCATGCTTACGGATTGCCCATCTGAAATTGAAGGTTTGTGGGGGGAAGGGCCAGAGACTTTTCTGACGTTTCTAAACTACTGTTCGGCATGACGAGAGCTCTCTGAACGGCGTTGAGCAGAGGAGTGAGAAGTTCGTGGCGGACATGGTAGTAGACACGGTAGTTACGAACGACCATATGGCTGAAAACACAAGTAAAATAGCCGAGTTATGAAGAGAGTTGCTTACAAAATATGTTGAATGTGTTGAAGATTGTGGCACTCTTCTATGAGCACTTTCTTCACATTCGACAAGATCTGCTGATGCCCGTCCTCCATTCGCGTCTTCACGGCCGGCGTCAGAATGTCGATAGCCTTTCTGATCTGATCTCTCGTGTCTTGTTGATAGGTTGTTGTGAGACAATGAAACACTTGCAGCACAATCTTCCGATTTATAGTGAACCGCTCGATAATGTTGGAGAGGAAGAAGAAGCCAGTGAATCGCATTGTCGGGTCCTGGTGGTTGGCGAGAGTGAGACATGGCCACGCGAAGAGCATGAAAATGCGGAGACGTCCTCCCTGTTTCTTGCAGTTGTTGTTGTGTATGTGATCGGAGGCGTGCTGGACGAACAGAGTGCACAACTGATAGAACACGATGACCATTCCGTCGCTAAGCTTCTGTCGGTGAGCATCAATGACGGAAGCGAGTCGTCCGACCAAATTCTCCATGTTCGCAGACGAGTCCGCATCCATCGACGTCTCCGAATCGTCTATAGGAGCCGTTCCCACAATCTCGTCCGTATCGTACCTTTCGAAGGCCCATTGGAGAGAAGGAATCACGAGATATTGCAGAGTTTTCACCATTCCCATGTCAATGGCTACTTTTTTACCGTCCGTCTCAAACTTTTCCATCACTTTGATGAATAATTCGCGTCTCCAGTTGAGTGGCATCGTCGGAATCACTTCTTGTTCGATATATTCACGCACGAAACCGAAATCGGTGATGTGGTTTCCAATGAACACTGAGACGACGACAAAGAACATTTCGTAGTCGTAGATGTTTAGTCTGAAAGGAGATGTTCGAATTTAGTTGTGTGCCAATCAGAAAATCGATTTACCTCAAATACCGCAGGAAGATATTGATGATGAGTTTGGGCACTTTGTACTTGTGCTCCGTCATCGCCATCACTTTGATCTCTTTCATTTCCTCTCCATTCACTTCACGAACCACATATCTCTGCTTGAAGTCAGGATGCTTGTTGAGCTCCTTGAGCTTTGGAATCGGTGACAAAGGAGACGTGAGCCACTCTTTGCAGGAGCGGGAGATACGGTCAACTAGGGACAATGCGTACATTTCTCGATCCCAAATGTCCAACTCGGCTTCATCCTTCCACATTTCCGAATCCACATCGATCAGTCGTTCCAGGAATTCCGGATTGTCAATGAAAGCTTGCCGTAACGGCTCGCTTTGAGGATACGTAATGAGTCGGCGGACAAGAGCACGACGCGCTGGATCATGAACCGACTCCTTCGTCATGAAGAACTTCCAAACTTCGACAGGGCTCTTGCTCAGAATATTGGCCACGTCATCAATCCAGTTGACGAGCACATCTTGAGAGTAGGTGTATTCGAAGTGCGCGGCGAAACGGGCCAACTCGACGACCATGGTGTCAGTGAGAATGTTCATTGAGCAAGAAGCGAGCATGTTAGCAATCTGTCCAATCGACTCCAACTCGCGAACTCCTTTTAGTTTATCTTGATCGTATGCTTCAACTTCCTCTTCGGTCGCTTTTGGTGGAAGACTCAACACTTTCGAAATCTTCTCGCTCATTTTGTAATTGACCACTTGATTCGCAAGGTTCTGAGCCATATTCTTTCCCAGAATCTTCATATTCAACTCCATCAAACACTTGAACTTGGAGATATCCGAGTACGAAATAACACGCTCCTCTTCGGAAAGACTCTCATCATTGGCACGATTTATGTTGCGAATCTGGGTGGCTCCGAAAGTTGCGATGATGTTCGTGGGGATGGGTGACACTTTCAGAAGTCCTGGATGAAGCTTCTGTGCAATTTCCGGACAGTCCAAGTCGGTGTCTGCTCTCAAAAGCACAGTCATCAGTCGCCGCCAGGTCTCCTTGTTCTCGAAAACCATTTCCACTGTGATTTTTGGAGCTCTCAACGCCATGATCTCAATCATTGCCTCTTCGGTCTGTTCAATGTCCATTCCTGATTCGTCCATTCTCTCTTCGTACTCTTTCTTCATTTGGCTATACGCAACCACGATGCACTGAAGGGCGTGTGTACGCATGTTGTCGAGATGTTGTATGATTGAGAAAGGAGGCAGGAAGTGCGACGGACAGGTCTCGCACTTTTTGAACTTAATCCGTTGACTGAGAGTGTACGTGTCGGTCTGAGCAACGTCGAGCAAGTAGTTCAGGAATCGCTTGTACATTTCCGGGTCCTCTTCGAAATCAAATCCAATCGGACAGGCGACCACGAAGGAATGAAGAGCGGCGAAGCTTGCAACGGAATCGGATAGGGACATTGAGGGGGCGGTCGACAGAATCCGAATGACTTCCGGCTCGAAAAAGTGTTTGAATCGGAAAAGGAACTTTTCGATAGTCGGTTCGATATTTGACTGTTCCAGACAATACTCCATCAGCTTGAACATGAACACTCTGACTCTTTCGTTGTAATGGAAGAAGTTTTTGGCGATGACGGCGAGGAAAATAGCGACCAGAGTCTCGTTCTCTTCGCTCTTCTCGATATCCTTGATGAAATAGACTCGCATCATCTTCTTTAGTGTATCGAACGCGAGATCGGCCGATCCACTCGAGATCTCTTCACATGTCCCCAGAATAACTTCAATCATTGCATCAACGACGTCAAGCACGAAGTCCATCACAAATCTGCGAGGGAACGAATCGATCATGAACCCGAGGGCGGTGATTCCTCCTGTTCTGGCGAACCAGGCTGGTCCATAGCACAATTTCAGCACTTTCTCCATCAAGTAGCGGCACATTGGCACTTTTGACATCTGATTAACATCCGGGAGAGCGAGACAAACGGTGTCGCACACGTGACGAAGAGACATTATTCCCGCATATATGAAGCTGTTCGCAGTCTCGGAAAGACAGGTAACGATGACTTCGATCATGACGGAAGAATCCAGGCACAGTCCGATGACGCCGTCCTTCTCTGCCTCTCGGATCCATTCGTTTCCGCCCACGTATTCGAGAACTCCGACCAACGCGAACTGTCGCACCACTTTGACGAAGAATTTGCTGTACATGTGCCGGAAATTGTCCTTGTTCCATATTCCATCTGAATAAAATATTTTAAATGAAAGCGAAATTGAAACGAGTGGATAACGTACAGGCCATGGCTAGAATGGCATTGACGAACAGTTCCCGATCGTTTTCCCGTTGACAGATGAAGATTTCGGTCGTTCGCTTGGTCGGATCAAATTCAGTGAGAAGCTTCTTGATCAACTGTGGAAGACCTCCGTGAGGAGCAAAATGGCTACCAGACGAGCCGAGACCAGCCAGAAGAACCGACTTCGACAGTTCCATGCACCATCTCTTCATTTGGGAGCTCGGAGGAGCAGTCGGACTCGGATTGAGCAGCATGTCGCCGGGATAACGCATCTGGTCGCAGGCTATTCTCATCAATTCGGAAAGTGGCAATTGGAGACTGTGGTTGCCGTCGAGTCCCATTCGTGAGAATTCCATGTTGATGTAAGACTGAACTCTCTGGGCGGGTAAGCGTTAGTAAACTGTAAAGGTGCGGGAACTTACGTCAGTTAGTTTAACGACGTTCAAAATCTGTGGCTGCCACAAGTACTTCCGGTTCGAGCCTCCGAACTTTCCGAGAATTCTGAATGCGGCGGTCATGGATGTGGTGTCCGGAGCTTTGGAGACAACACGCCATAGACCTTGCATGAGAGCCCCACGAACTGGGACCATGTTCTCGAGCAAGTACTCCGGTTGAAGGTTGTCCACACACAATTCGAGAGTCCGCAGACCTTGGGTGACTATATTCGGGCTGCCGTGCATTGCGCAAACCAACGGATCCATCAGTAGCGGCAAATAGGGAAGGAGTGAGCTGAGACGAACTGGCACAGTTAGGCAGAGTTCAATGAAGAGCTCTCGCATTTGTATACGATGATGGCATGACTGAAAACCACATTTTTCTATTAATCCAACCGAAAATAACTAACCGTCAGTTTATTGAGGAACTGAAGAAGATTCGGCAGTAACTGCAGGAACTTCCCGTACAAAACATCTTGAGCCCCTCCTCCAATAGAACGAAACAGTGATCGGAGCAGAAGGAAGTAGTTGAGTGGTTCTTTTGCGGTCAGCGCCAGAATTGTCGACTGCCTCAGAAGTTCCGGAAGGTAATTTGTGAGCATTTTGTCGCCGTGCACCCCCGCACTGTTAGTTCCTATCGCAGAGAAGATTATCTTGAAGAGCTTCACGTAGAGCGTCGTTTTGTCGTTGCTCTGCTCCAGAAGTTTCATCCGAGACATGAGGAAGGAGAGCATCGTGGAGGCGAAGAACGGGACCTCGTTCCGCACGAGGAAAGTGTTGACCATGAGTTGTAACGGATAATTTCTGCTGCAATCCTCACTTAACATTGCTGAAAGACCGGGAACAAATAAAAAATAAACTAACTTATAGATTCTCTCTATCAAAAAGTCCATGTACTTTTCGAATATCTCCCTGAAGATGGCGTGGTCTATCGTAGTGAACACATTCGCCAGTGACTCTAAAGTGTCCTTCTCGTCCTTCGTTCTCATGGTAGACGATGACGATGTCGACTGTTGACTCCGACTCGTGGGCAGCACGAAGACGTCCATGCACATCACTCCGTATCGGAGAAGTCTCTCGAACATGTCTCGTTCTCTCACAACGTGATACATTTCTGTCGGTGGTCTGCTCATTCGAAGCTGGCCCGTCACAAATTTACACGAGTGCATAATATACTTTACGAGATTCCGAGAGTCCGCAAGAGCTAAGGGAGGCGCTGGAAGAGCAGCCATATTGGAGAGAATAGTCTCCGGAGACGTCAGTTTCGTCCCTTCCTTCGTCGGCTGCGGCAGTTTGTCCTTTTCAGAAGACGTGGACGGTTCGTTGGAGAGGAACTCAAACTCTTCCACTGAGTCAATCGAAAGACGGCGAGTTCTTCTTTTCGGAACTCCTCTGATGGTGTCTTTCGGAATGTTGACTCCCGGCCTCTCTCCATCTCTTTCAAAAGTCTTGTAGTCGTAGTCGATGTCTGCTCCGTATTGCTGGAAGAGAATTGGCATATGATAGACAGCCATATTCTTGAGCTTGGCGATGTTTGCCTCTAGAATGTCGAGGAGTAGCTCTCTTGTCTGAAATCGGAAAGTTTGTTGAGTTTCTCAAAGGTTCCTGGCGTACCGTGTCAGTAGCATCCATTTTTACCAACGACTCGGCCAGAGAATTGAGAAGACGGACAGCCATAATTTGCACTTGAGCGGAGTTCGTTGAATCGTGCAAAGTGCGACAGAAGATGTATGTTACGCTGAAAAACATTTAAAGAATTTCGTCACGCATTTTCTAGTTGAAATTACTGTGAGAGCATTTCGAAATCGATAGTGTTCCGCATGTGATGGAGGAGATCGGCGAGCATCTGATACATGAACACTCTGAGATGATCGATGGCTGTGAAGCCTGTTCCGAGAACGACTTTCTCGGATAACAAACGTGGAAGCGTCGGGAAGAACTTTTTCTTCATATCTCCGGAAGTGAAGTACTTGAGTGCCATTAGCACTTCTCGGCGGACAGTGATCAGATCTGCCGGACAACGATCGAGCATCTGCATAGTTCCGGTGACGAGGAGATTGCCGTTGTTCATGATCAACTCCATGAACTGAAAAAGGAACAATCAATCTGACTAGAAAGTAAGATCTCCCTCACCGCTGGAATTTTCGCCATGATATTAACGAAAGAGAGAAACTTCGATTGAGCACAGACAAAGTCATCGGCCAGGGCTTGATTGATGCTCTGATTCGGATCCTTTGGAATGGTGACATTGAGAAAATCGAGCCCGAGACGCATGAAATCGAGTGCTTCTGTTTGAACTGAAGTTTTGAAGTGCTGATAGAAAAATACAACGAGATATGGTATTTCCAGAAGAACTTTGATAGACTGATGAGCCGATGGGATCATGTTGTACTTTAACGGCGCTTTCCCATCCGGTCCGTTGAGAAGAACCGTCTGACTGTAATAGCACGTCTTCAGATATTCTGTGATGAGCTGCTCATCGGAACTCGACGGCGACGGCACTTGATGTTCTCTGTTGATGAACATGTCGACAGTCCGGCCATTGATAGTCAAATCAGCGACCATCTTTTTAAAGGCATTCATGACGGATGTGACTTCTGGATGATACACCATTTTCCCCGCGCTTCTTCCTTGATCCGTGACAATTTTTATGGCGAGGCACGCGTTCTCCTCGTTCTCCACAGCAATCAACCGCATCATTTGCTTTATGATGTCTCTGCTCAACACTTTCATTGCTTCGACATTTGACAGGCGCAGAATGATTTCTAGCATCAATTTGCGCAATTGTTGTGTGTTGTTCTCAGCAATGAACTGAGGGCTGGTACTGCAGAAGACATTGAGAAAGGCCTTGATAAGTTTGATAACGACTGCTTCGTGTGTGTTCAACATGAAATCGTTCTCGATGCTCACCCAAATTTCCTAAAACCAGATAATTTTTCATCAATCTGCTGAGCTACCACGAAAACCTGTAACGTTTTGAGCTTGACATCGTCTCGTTGTCCGCCATCAGACAAACTCTGGATACGATTTTCGAGTTCAGTTTGAGAATTATTGCCGCCCGACGGATGAGATCGATACACTGGTAACGGTGGTTCCATTCTAGAACGGTGACCAGCACCAGAAAACTATCAAATGGTATGGGTAACTGAAATGCGGAAACCATGATTAAACGAACGAGGAATGGCAAAATAATAGGGATATTGCGTAGGAATAAAGGTGAAAATGATGCTAAACTAGATTTGCATGGTTTCAACTGTAAATAATAATTAGAAATGAACAGAATTCTGGAGTTGTGAGTCAGAGGAAAAATCAAAATTTGAACAGAAGTGGATTCACTGCTGACCCGCGATTGCGCACCAAAAAAGCGACGATAGTGGCGCGTTCTCGGTGCGTTGCCACGAGAAATTGGTACAAGTGTACATCTTGATACGCTTTCAATGACCTCGTTAATTATTCGATGTGATTACAAAAAAGCAGATTATCAACTTTCAGACTAATGGGGGCAGTGATAACCAAAGAGACGGTTCTCCAGGACAATGTGTACCTGAAGAAGTTGAGTGGTTTGGAACCGATTGATGATTACGAACCGTTTTGGAACAAGCTGCTCTCTTTCAATCTGAAATTTGATGACGATGACGAGTGAGTTTTGAAATCGCACAAAACAAGTCATCTGGGAAGTTTTAGAGACACTAGGAACGCACTGGAATCCGCGTTGGACGATCACCTTCAATGCCTGATGTACAACACTCAAACCACCGGAAACTTTGCCGCTTTTATCCGTCTCTTTCTCAGAAGATCGACAGAACTGAAAGTATCTGAACAGTGCGAAAAGTAAGCATTCGAACGCTGTTCAGCTATGGAAATTGTATTCATTTTCAGCAAAATCTATCTATGGCAGACTTCTAATGCTCTCCTTATATTACGGTACATTGCAAGGTTCTTAACTCAAAGGATGACTGAGAAAGAGTTTGTGAGGATTTTTGCAAAGAATCGGGAGGCCATGGAAAATGAATCTTCGTCGACGTCTTCATCGTCGGAAGACGAAGACGACGAACAGAATGACAGAGGGGAGGGAAATGGAAATAATAACGAAGGTGAGTGAACCTGAAAGTATAACGAGTGATCAAACGAAAACGTCAGAAGCGAAAGAAACTCCAATTGTTTTTCAAAACACTGCAGAAGAGTTCACCTACGAACTAGTCTCTATTCTAATTGGCATTCCAGTCAAGTGAGATAATCATAAGCAGTTTTCATGTAAATACTTAATGATTCAGTGATGCGACTCTGGCAATTCACGTGGAAGCAGTCCGATGCCTTCTCACTCTGCTCAGCTCTCAACTCTACAACGAATCCATCGTGAACACTTCTATCGTTTTCCGATTCTTCATAGACGGCGCTTGTGCTCAGCACGCGGCCACTCTGACCAAAACTCTTCTGCTCAATTACCTTCTTCACAATTCTGAGTACCATGTGACTGTTCAGAAGCCACAGGAGAGCATTGTTTTTGGATTAGCCTGTAAGACATCAAATCTGTAAAGATGAGAAAATAGGTGTTTATTTCAGCATCCATGTGGTCTATGGTACAAATGGCCGCCGGATTGGACAGCTCGGAAGACGAGAAGCCACCTCCACTGACCCTCGGCAACTTGAGCATTCTCCTCCTTCTGAATCTCTCGTGTCATCAGCCGCTCAACGCCTCCAACCCGTTCAAAGAGACTCTGGCTCTCTTCCAAAATGCGCAGGAAGTGTCCACTCTGCCCACCCAAGTCGTGTCTTTCAAAATAGATTACAATGGACTGTACGAGAGATTGTGTGCCACTGCGAGCCAAGAGCCGCCCATGCTCCTCCTGTACATGCTTCTGCAGGCCAATTCAGGCTTCCGCAACTACGTTCTCTCACGGATTAACCTCGAGAATCTTGTCGTTCCTGTTCTCAGAATTCTGCACGACGGCGTTGCTACGTCAAACAACTCACACCATGTGTATCTCGCTCTGATTGTCACCTTGATTCTCAGCGAAGACGACATTTTCTGCAAGATCATTCACGAAACGGTGAGATAGTTCAAACAATTACGAAGAAATTGTAAAGTTTCAGATGATAAAAGACATCAATTGGCTGGACAGCGACTTCAGTGTCCGTGAAATTTCCCTCGGAGGTCTCAGTGCTCTCGTTTTCATCAGAGCTATTCAGAAGAATGCTCTCAAAACAAGAGTAACTAGTTCAATTCTGTTCATTTTCTGTATATTTTATAGTTTCAGGACCGATATCTGCACACAAACTGCCTCGCCGCTCTCGCCAACATGTCTGCCTTCTTCAAGAATCTAGCTCCGATTGTTTGTCAGAGACTTATTTCTCTGCTTGATGTATGTACTGCACGATTTGGATTATTTCCTAGTTCTCTTTTTCAGCTTCTCACCAAAGGCACGCTAAAATGGTCGACCACATGAGAGTGAGCAGCCAGAATGATGTCGCCGGAGGTCAGCCAATCAACTTTGTAAGTCCACTTCGAATCCTTCTGAATTGAGAGTGGCTATGACTTCAGCACGACGACATCACCGCACTGGAAGAGGGAATCCGCACTCTTCTGGAGATAATCAACAGCGCTCTGTGCGGCGGTCTCCGTCACAACACTCACCTCATCTACAACCTGCTCTACCATCGTGCCCTCTTTGACGCGTACATGCAGCATCCGATGTTCCAGGATCTTCTCGTCAACATCGCCGCCGTCATCTCGCACTTCTCTGCAAAAGTGGTCCACGTGCCAGCTGGAGACGGTTTCACGATTCTCCAAATAATTGAGAAAGAGGCAAACGTGTGGCCTACGGACAAGCTGGCCAAATTCCCAGAGCTGAAGTTCCGATACGTGGAGGACGAGTACACAGTCGACTTTTTCGTTCCCTACGTGTGGAGACTGTCCGTTCAACACTCAGGAATTCACTTCGAAACTTCAAGAATCAAAATCTTCAACGCACAAAGTATTGCATGATCCAGCCGTTTACGCCGGGAAGATAAAGTGCCGGTATCATTTATTCGAGGAAATATGAAAAGAAAAGTGTCCTTAATCTTGTGATAATGACGAAAAATCTTAATAATGTACAATAAATATTTATCTGATCTAATTACAGGCCTTTATTATAATAGACAACTTTCGGCGGGTTCGGCAGCTTGTTGATGTGCTCCTGAAGCGACAACTCCAACTGATTCACGTGGATTGAGCTTTTTTGAGGGAAAAGAGCGCAGCAAACGGGAGTAGAAAAGGCGAGCATGAATCCGCAGAGAGCAGTTTGTAGGTAGACGGCCATCCAAGGAGAGTACCAGGCGGCACGAGAAAGCTGATCGAAGATTACCGGGCCGAGCATCATATTCGGGACGGCCATTCCGACACGACTGAGCACGACCTGCGGGATCGCGTGGCCGGGAGCGACCGTCGAGAAGCCGAGGGTGCGGCCATCGATGTCCTCCACGGGGATTCCGTTTGTGAACTCTCTGAAAGAAGTATTTGGAGAATTAACGGCACAAAAGGACGCTGACTTGTTTCTCATCATCGGAATGTTTATGGCGTTGGCGAAAGCGATGGCGGCGAACGGAACGAAACGGGCGAGAAGGGGCGGCGCGGTCTTCCATTTCTTGAGCAGATAATTGAAGGATAGAGCACAGGAGAGGGCGCCAGTGGTGGCTCCGCAATACGAAAGAATGAGAGTTCGGTCGTCCTGCTTGTGGGTGCCGCTCCGGTTCGTGTAGTTGACGATGGCGTTGAAGGACTGATTGATCCAGTGGAAAAAGATCACGTGTGGGAGCCTGAATGAAACGGAATGAAACGAAACAGAAGAAAAGGACCGACTTCTGATAGAAAGTGAGCATTCCTCCGGTGATGAGCATGTTGCACGGCACCTGCGCACTCATCCTCCCGAGCAGAAACATCTTCTCGCCAGTGTCCGGATGGAACGCCGAGTCGTAGAGTGTCTTGGCCTCCCACAGCTCCTCCACGGTCATGTTCGGATCGTACTTTCCCTGTTTGTACTCGAGCACAATGCTCCGAGCTCTGTCCAGTTTCGCGTTGCTCGCCAACAATTTCAGGCAATTGGCAGTTGAGAAAAAGTGATACATTCTTCCTAAGCAGTTTTCCGTGAAACATTTTCTGTAAACTATTTAATACCTTGAAAAGTATTCTGATCCCATCGCGGTCTCGAAATATCCGGCAACTTCTCGCATTTCGACAGCGTCTGCGTCATTTTGTTGGGCCGGCTGCTGTCAGAGTAAAAGTGAGAAGTGAGTTGGCAGAAGAAGGAGCGGAAGGGTCACGCCGTAATGTGCTAATTTAGCTGAAAGCGTTCGTGTCCCGGGGGAAAAGAGAAGGAGATCGCGTTATTCACGTGATTTATTATATCGATTTGGAGAGCGAGAAAACGCAGTTGTCGAGTCGAGAATGAATTTGATTTGAAGAACATTTAGAAACTAGTGGGACTCAAAAAACACTCGACGAGGGGGAATATAGAGAAGGGAATGGATTATTCGCTTTTAGGGCCTACAGGAATGAAGAGAGGAGCAGTTTCTGGAGGAGTCTCGTCGATCGCCATCATCTCAATATCATTTCTCGGCTCCGTCGGATTCTTTCCCCTCTGCGCGCGGTCGCTTTTTCCAGAGATTTCGGTTTCTCGACGAATACGTGTCCTGACCCCCTGAAATCTGCCTATCACTAGTTCCCAAGAAGCTCTTTCGTGAACGCACCTCATCACGAACCAGAAAGCACATCACGCAGAAAATGAAGATGATAATGATGAAGCCGAAGAGGATCACGAGCCACGTGGAATACTTGAAGCCCTGCGTCAGAACGGGCAGCGTGTGCTTGGACATTCTCTCCATCACTTGCTGCCTGGTTCCAGAGCTCTCGGTGGTGAAATGGTAGGTTATACGGTAGTTGGATCTCTCGCCAGAGTACGACTCATTCGCCAGATAAGCGCGGAAATCGATGTCGGGCGGGAGCTCTGGGCTCGCGTGAATCAGCTGATCGGCGCAGTCCATCATGAGTCCTGAAAAAGATGAAGATGAAAGAGTCTTTCGGCGGTAGTTAGCTTACCCTCATAGAGGTATCCAGTTCCGTTCTTTCTCTCCAGATCGACTTGAATGCACGAATACTGGCACTGCACCATGTTCATTTTTCCCTTTGCGCAGTCGGTGCCCTCCCATTGCTGGACCCATCCCATCGACATTCCTCGTTGCGAATCCTGCATCAACCATTGCTTCAGGAGCTGAAAACCAGGAGAAATCAGTGAAGAATCGAAGGAAAATGACTCACAAAGTGTCCGGAAACGCACTGGGCACACTCTCTGAATCCCAGTTCGGATTCGGCGGCGTCGACGCCGACGAGCAAGGCCAAAGCGAGCAGCTTCAGCCAGATCATCGCTGAAAATGAGAAAAAATAGTGAAGAAGCAAGGACAGAAGAAAGAGATTTAATAAAGTCGGAATGCAATTTCAGACAGGCGCAAAGAATGATAATATTGGAATAGGGAAGATGTGGGGGAGCTTGGAATGCTTCTGCTCAAAAGTTTGAGAACTGACGATTGTCGTCCGAGTTAAATACTGCCCGAAAAAACGGAGAAGTCTAGACAGAAGGGGCGAATGTTTACAATGTTATGACGGTGTCGGCAGCAGACAGTGCTGAGCGGCAATTTTTTCGAAGAATGATTTGTGTATGCTTCTTTCTTCAGAGTCTACTCGGGCCAAGGACGTTGAGGGAGGGACATATTGGAACGGATTCGAAAAAGAGTGATTCACAGAGGAGAGAGAGAGAGAGAGAGAGAGAGGAGCTGTTTCGAAATAGAATAGACAGTTTATCGCTTTGGAAGAAAGCTGCGAGATTTTTTCATTCCGCAGCTGGCTGTCTGCCTTCGAAAACAATTTTGTTATTTGTTTGTTTTTGTCACAGGGACACCTAAAAGATGTAAGTTGGAAACTACAGTATTCCTTTCCCATCGCATAAACATTGCATGTCATGGGACGGCTCCTTTTGAACGGATTGCGTCCGAACAAAACATTTATTGAGCAGTGAGACAGAACAAAATTAGGATGAAGAAATATTTGAAAAAAGAGGGACGAGGGGGTGGACGGTGAAAGATCACTGGTAAAAGACGCGAATGGCGTGGCGACGGCGGTTGTTCGATTGGAAAAACCGTGGGAAGAAGGAGGAGATAGAGGAGGAGAATCGCTGAGGGATCGAGGTGTAGTCGATAGCCAGCTGCAAGGTTATTTAAGGGGGTATTGTGAATCAGTAGAGGGACCTTGTCGATGGACTTTCCGGGATCGCCGCTTTCATCAAAGTGCTTCTCAGTCACACCGACCCGCATTGTCATCGACTGACCGCTCAGAAGGACTCCAGTTGTCGGGGCGGCAATCAGGTGAGTGTCAGCGTTCGTCTGGAAATCAAGTTGGAGTTGAAACTGGCAAAGTGAATACCTTGAGAGCGAACATGATGTGAAGGGGCGAAACGTTGGTGACTTGAATCTGAGCCGAGCGATTGTCCGATGAGAAAACGAGGCGATCCGCGGGGACCGTCACAATGTCGGGCGCCCCGCTCACAGTCATCGTCATCGCCGACATCGTCTCGTACTGCTGCTGCATCTTCGGACGCATTCTGATGGTCGACGGAGGCTCCGTCGCTTCATTCTCCACTTGCATCGTTTGCGGCGTCGCCGTCTTGCACACGTAGTCGGGCGACATCTTCTGAGTGGTTTGCATGGAAGGAGAAGGCAAGAAACTGACAGCAGTGCTGACGTCCATCGCATTCTCTTCCAGATCAGAAGACGTCGACAGTTCGTAAATGGTCTCATCGTCCGAGAAATGAGTTGGTGTTGGAGAGTTGGGGACGAAATGAGACGAGTCTGTCTTCTTGATGAAACCCCGAGAATCATAGCGGGAGAAAATCGAGGAGAGGATCTCAGCAGTCGCTTGATCGTCCATCCAGGAACGAGGAATCGAAGAGGGGTTGAGACGGACTGCGTGGAGGAAGACGGCGCCGAGCACACCACTTTTGAGTAGGTTGTATCCTTGCGCGGTCCCGACGAACTGGTCGATGACGGTGAGAATACCGTAGAGAGTCCAGTAGAAGAGAATGGAATGCTGAAAAGAATTAATGAATCTAGAGAACTAGAGAATGTCGAACTGACGTATCCGTCCTTCGACGTCTTCCGATTCATCAGAACTCGATAGGAGAAGACGGCTGGAGGGACCGAAGTCACAGCAGTGGACAGTATCTTTAAGAAACATTCATATTCCGGAAGTTTCCGGACTGACCCACTTGAGCATACTCGCCGTTGATCAGGTACAAAGCGACCGCGATAACGGTCATCATGCCCAGCTCCTTGTTTCCGATCAATCCTCCCAAGAAACGACGTTCTGCGTTTCCGTTTCCGACCACGGAGTCCCTCTCCACCATTTCCACGTTCAGATGATTCTCTTCGCGACTGTTACGATGAACTTTCGAGAAGTTATTCAAACTGTCGCCGGCGGCGTAGTCTGAAAGAACAGTTCTGAAAGATCGGGGATCTTTTCATTTCGTTCTTACGATGGTCATTATGAAAACTTCTTTTTCCGTTGCTTGCTAGCGCCATGCTCGAAACTGAACTCTTGCAGAAAACGCAAAATGAGCGGTTTTAGTCATTATCGGACGTAATGGGATTCACGTGACGTTGAAGCGGAATACGTGACATTTGCAGATAACTTTTATAAGGATGTGATCTACAGTAATCCGGGCATGCTGCGAAAGGCGTCCAAGAGAAACCAGTGTGCCGAGCCCAAAGATTACGGTCTGTTCGCACTAATCATGTGCTTGCCGTTTTCGCTTCCAAGCTGTTTCGTTCAAGTGGTTTCGGGTGGTGAGGGGTCGCAAAAAGTAATTGGCCATCCTCCATCCGTCGGTCGGTCCGTCCGCGTGTGCTCTGCAGCTCCCGGCTTTCCGAGAGAGCACAACTGGCTGACGAGCGCAAAGAGAACGGCTCTCAAAGAGACGCAGACGCACGGGACGGTGTAACATCACACTGAAAACAGAACTGAGAGCGGCGAAGAGAAAGTGTCATCCGGACGGAATAACTGACCACCGCGGCTCTTCTCGGTACTTTCGTGTCAGTACAGAACACAGACCATGCTCGAGAATGTTTCTGTCGTGTTTGCCCAACAATCAGCCGCGTTTCCTCCATCATTGCGGTTGGTTACCTTCCGACAGTTTCGAGTGTCAGAAGAAGAGGGAACGGGACAGCTGAGAGAAATCTCTTTTGTGAGAGGATTAGCTCAAAGAGAGAGGATTAGTCATCTCTCGCTCCTCATGACTTCTTGGATTCGACCAAGATCCTACAGTTCTCACACGTTTCCCGTCTTCCATCGTTCTGCGAAAAAGAGAAAAGATCAGAATTCACATCTGATTCGGGAAAAAAAGAATCTTTATCTCGTGAAATCCTCGGGATCTCATAACTTTTCCTGACTCATCCGCTTTGTTTTCATCTCAAAGAGCATCTTCCTGAGCAGCTGACTGCCGATCGCCCCGAGGGTCCATCGAATACTGACTCATTATATGTGTTACACCGTCACAAGATCACTTATTTATTATCAAAATCGCTGTTCTTCTCGCCCCGGCGGCCACTCGGCGCCTCTGTTTCACTTTTTGCCTTCGCCATCGTCGTCGACAAAGGGCCGCTCATTTGAGTAAACATCCACGGGCGGCCTTTCCTCGAAAGCTCTGATTGCCGATTGGCCGTCGTCCGCAGTCGCAAAGGATATCATGCGGACACGGCAAATCTATCACTCCCCGAGAGTTTCTCCCTCGCACACCAATCTTTTTTCGCCTCCATTTCCTCAGCTGACGTCATTCGGTCATTTCATTTCATTTCAGACATTATGGCGAGCCCCGAACTCGCTGAAAAGCTGAAGAAGCGTCTGGATGAGCACCCAGAAAAGGAAGAGGCAGTCCATTTTGAACCGCCTCCACCGGCACCAATCATACCTCTGAAAGTAAGTGAGTGTTTAGAATGTCCGATGTATTATAGAAGGTTTCAGATTGTTGAAAATCCGTACGTCCCGAAAGCCGAGACCTCAATTGATGATTTGATTTTCAAAGCATTAGAGAAGAAAGAGGAAAACAACAACAATCAAGTGACGGCCCCTCTGAAAGTGGAAACGGAATCTGTGGTCCCTCCGGTTCCCACTCATCAGAAGCCAATCAACGTGGATCCTCGCAGTCCTCCTCCCAAACGATCCATTCAAGAACTGCTGGAAAGGGAGCGATTGGAGCAGGAACAGAAGCAACAGAATGCGCCGGTCCCGAAGACGCCGGTGATGGTCATCTCGAAAGGCGCGTTCCCGAGAAGTGCATCGCCGAGACGACAACAGTTTGTGAGGGAGAACGAGGATGGAAACGAGCTGGAGAAGAAGTTGGCGGCGCAGAGAACGAAAAAGTACACGGAGGAGTTGGAAGCGCTCAAACAGAAGCCAGTCGACGTGCTCGACGAAATAATGAGGAGTGTAAGTTGGGGCGGATTGAAAAGGGATTGAATTACTAACAATGGGTGTTGTGAACCAAACAGGTAGACCACATTTATTTTCTTTATGTCTTCCAATCACACAAATTCTCTCGTTTCCAGCCTCCTCCACCAGCACAATCCCAACCACAACTGCCTAAGAGTCCTCCTCCGCCAACGCCTCCAGCCAGAATCACCAGTGTCCGTTCAGACGAATCATTGGAAGAAGAGGACCGTCAGAGGAAAGAAACGGAAGAAACAGCTACATTTGAAGAGTTGGAGGCGGAGATAATGCGAATCTCGAGAAGTCCAGTGCCCCCGCCAGTGCTCAGCATCCCACCTCCGCCTCCTCCGAGCATTCCTCTTCCTCCGACTCCTCAGCTGATCCCATCTCCACCGTCTCCACGTCCGACGAGTGTGCCCCCACCAATTCCGAGTCCAGGGCCTTTTGAAGATGTCAACGTGGATGAGCTCATCGAATCCTTCACTGATTCGGTTATTATCAACTCCTTTTCTCCGCCTCCGCCACTTCCGCCGCTTCGGGAATCTTCACTGGAAGCGGAACCAATAGAGAACACGCCGGAAGATCCAACTCCGGCGCCATTAGCTGAACAAGAAGCTGTAGAACCAGAAACTGCCCCGGAGGTTCCGAAAGCATCCCAAAATGCTTCAGAATCTAAAGCAGACGTCATCGAGGTTCCCGAGGATCGGCCAAAGGCTCCGACGCCAATCCGTGACTCATCGCTCCCACCTCCACCTCCTCCGAAGCCAGAGACTCCATTGGCCATCCGTAGGGCCGGCCCGATTCCAACACCCCAGCTGCTCGAGATGATTCACCAGGAAGACTCGTAAGAAAACATATGGAAACCGTTTAAAAGTCTGGAATTCCTTTTCAGCGCCCGCCCTTCCTCGCCCACACTCCCCTCTCAGTCTCACAGTCGTCCACAGTCTCCGGCAGTTCCCAAAGTATGTTTTCCTTATTTCCCATTCAATCAAAACATTTCCGCAATGCTTCTTTTTCGCAGAAGCCGTCAGTGGTCAGTCCATTGGGCCTCCTCTGTGATCCACATTTGTCGCTGGAGAAGTCGTCAGGTGCTCCTCCAGAAGACGTTCCGTCAAACCAATGGACCCAGTGCCAGTGGCCCCCCGTCGATGAGAAAGAGTTGAACGATGCATTGGAAAGAAGAAATAAGATTCTGGAAGGTGAGTGTATTCCGGAAATCATTGAGAGCCTAGGCAAATTTTTGTTTTTGTTCATCGAATCTTCCGAAAAAAAGCGGGGGCAAGCGTAAAGTGTCTAATGAAATGTCAACATATCACTTATTCCGGCTCCTTCTGGTCACCTCCTCCTCATCTTCTTCTTCCTTTTTCCTAATCTCTGCGCTTCTTCGTCTCTAGCCATTCCTAAGAAGTTTCTCCGGAACAGACGTGTAATTGCGAGAACACATCGTTCAGATTTGACCGATGTTGGTGGCGGTAGGCCGCGCATCATAAACAATAGTTGATTATGTCTGTGTCTCTTCATCCCGCACACTCTCTCTCTCCTCGTCTTGTTGATCACCGTCGATTCCACCGTCACACGCAACATTAGTCATCGTCCTCTGGTTCATTTCCGAGCTTATTTTTGTCTTCTGTTGTACTCAGCCGACCCAATTACCGCTTCATTTCCTGGCAACCGATAAAGTATTTCGAAACTCTGCGCGTCTCCGACTTCCGCTTCTGCTCTTCTCCATTCTCCATACGGATTTCGCAAGCAGGCGAATCAGATCCGCAGTTGTTTTTTTGCATTCAAAATAGCATAGTTTCGCGCCATAGATTCGTCATCTCGGACAAGGTCGCTCACCTTTTCGCGCCGGTTGTTTCTCTCCCTCTCGTGACTCGTTCTCCTTCCGTTTTCTTCTATTTTTCTTGACCGAAGGCCCGGAATTTCAGCAGTGATCATGTTTGACGAGAACTTTTCGAGATTCGGTAAGACCGCCTACACTAATTCTCTATCTTCTCGCATCTAAAACCATTCTCTTTCAGGCGAGAGCGTGCCGTTGAAGATGAACAAGAAGATCTCGTTGTACGCCGAATTCAACGAGTTCTCGCGCAACAGATCCAGTACTTCGTGGATACGTTCAAGAAATACGACGAGGATCAGGACAACTTTATCGATTTCAACGAGCTGAAGCGCATGATGGAGAAGCTCGGCGAGGCGCAGACGCATATCGCACTCAAGGAGCTCATCAAGAAGGTCGACGAGGATCAAGACGGAAAGATCTCGCAGCGAGAGTTCCTGCTCATCTTTCGACTGGCGGCCACTGGAGAACTCTCGTGCTCAGAAGTCTTCAAGACTCTTGCCGACAGCGTCGACGTCTCCAAAGAAGGCGTGCTCGGAGCCGCCAACTTCTTCCAGGCCAAGGTAACTCGGAATGAACGTAAACTTCTCAATAACATTGTGCTTCAGATTGAAGAACAGACGAAACTGTCGCGCTTTGAAGAGGAGATGAAGCAGGAGAAGGAGGAGAAGCAGCGGCAGGAAGAGGAGAAGCGGATACGCCGTGAGAAGTTCCTGGCTAGCAAGTCGATCTTCCACTGAGCCTCCAGTCCAATCCAATTACTCATTCGTCAATCCAAAAGTTTAACTTTTTCACTCATTTTCTCATTTTCCTTCCTCGCCCTGTTCATGTCACATTCTCCCCTACCGTATTTATTTCTCTCTCTTTCTCCTTCATTCTCATGTATTTACACTCGCATTTCATTTTCTTTTCTTTTCACCTTTTCACCTTTGCTCACCCCATTTGTCATTAATACGTCACGTAATAAAAAAGTGTTTTCCACGTCTACAGTATTCGTACATTTCCGCTCATCTTGCACGACACGTCCATTTCTGTCGAAAACAAATCAACAAGTCCACTCGCAGACGTCTTGACACCTTTGGGGGTGGATGCAAATGGGACGGCCGGGTCCGGAGGGCACTAAAAGCCATCAGTGGTCCGTCGGTTTTTCTCACACTAGTCCCCCGCCCGTCTCTTCTTGCCTTTTCCTCCTCGATTTCTTCTTTTTTTGCCGGCAACGACTTCTCCTTCTCTCATTTGAGAGTTGCATACGGGAGAGTGATTCGCTCGCATGACGACACGTAATGCAGATGAGAGGATGAATGAGCTGACACGCAAAACGAATAGATGAGCCGACCGGAAGTGAGGAGAGAAAGAAGACTATAGCTTTTCCAGTCGGGTGGTCCAATTAGGCCGTCTGTGCTCTTAGAGCATCTTTCTGCAGAGACGACTGACGTCAAAAATCGGATGATATCAGTGATGATGATGGCGTGACTGACTGAATTCCACGTCTGGTGTAGTTTGAAATCATTCTCATTGGAGCAAAGTTGTGAAGAAACAGGTGAACAGTAACCATTTCTCTTAATTATTTCCCTTCCAGCCGGTTTTCGGCTCTCCATTCCATTCATCCCATCGTTTCTTGCCCATCTCCATCGGAATTTCCAAAAAGAAAAAGAGGAAATTCCTCGCCGAGAAACGCTTCCGAATCCTCTCGAATTTCCAGAAGAAAACAAACAGACACATTGAAAATTCGCACATTCGCTGCTCGCGGCACAATTCATTAAAAATTTTGCTCATTCTCCATTCACATTCCGAGCAAATAAATAATAACTGATCCATCTCCTTTTCTTTCCGATTTCGCCCCTTCTTCTTCGTTTCATCGACGACAGAAGTGAGGCTCGGCGAGTTTTGATTGCATTTCAAGTGTCGGAGCCTGTCGTGTTTATGTGCCTTGTCATATCGTCAAAGTATGTGTTGGGATGAGAGGGCGGACATACTCGAAGGCTTATATGGCAATTCTCGACTCTCACAACAATTGTATTAACCAAACGGATAAGAAGGCGTGCTGCGCGCACGTGCTTGAGCCGACGAAACGACCGTATCCGAAGAGCATACATCTCATCTGAGAATGCTTGTAAGTTGCTCATATTCTGCACTTTCCTCCCAAAAATCATCCGCCCCGCCGTTTTCTTCTTCTTCTTTCCCTTCTTCTGCTCCAAATCCAATTGTCGATCCGAGTGAAACCTTCGTGCAAACTCCAATCACATTCCTTTCGATTCTTTCACTTCCCCGTTCATCCCACGGCTACTGTCGAGCGAGAGAAGCACTCCGTTTCGGCTTTTCGCGCAATCACTTCACAGTAAAGTATTTACCGTTTCATACGGTCTGCGTCTCTCCATCTCGCGCACTCTCTCGCCTCGTGATTTGCTCTCTCAAGATGGCGGGTGAACCATCCAAACACTGCAGAAAACAGCAGAAAGACGATGGTTGGATGGATAGTTAGTACCAAAAAGTGAGATTCACGCCTCACAGAACACTTTGGCAGTCTTGGTCTTGTGGCAAGTCCTTTCGGATGATTCCCCCCCTTCACAGGATTCTTTTTTTCCTCCTCCTCCTTCTTCTTCTTCTTCTCCTTCTGGAATATTTGATTTGTGCCTTTTGCACATTCTTCTTCTCCCCCTTTTTTGCGAGGGAAGAAGAGCAGACAAGTCAAGCTCTTCCCATTATCTCGAGAGCCGTGTCCTTTTTGCTCTTTTCCATTGTGCTAATTGCCCGCAATCGGGAGTATGACTCCGGCATAACAAGTACCGTACTCTTCAGTCCATTTTCGAAATTAACTAGGTGCCATCGGCTGAATTGATGAGAGCCAATCCCCTCTAATGGTACGCGTTTTGTCCCGAAGAGCATCAGCTGACCATTTCTTTTATGCAAAAGGGGCGGAGCTTGATCTAAAATTAGGTTTTAATGAAGATTACCCTAATGAAAGTTCTTTCACATTCTACCGTAACCGCCTGCCACGTGCTTTCCATTCTCGAATACCACGCCATAAATCACTTGCTCCAACTAGCCACTTCCCGATATTATGCATTCAAAAGTGCTCCACTCTCCTCGTTTTCCATTTCGTTTTTTGTGCGGCTCTTCCCTCCATCAGTCCATCAATCAATGTCGGCGCCATCTATTTGTACTAAATCTCACGTCTTGGATAAACTTTGTCGAGAGAAAGAAAACAAGAAGATCAACATAATGATGCGACACGCTCTCTTTCTCTCTTCGACTCCCCCGATCTCGGCTCTACACCTGTCGCCACCCCGATTTGTTGGCAGTGCGCCAAAAAGTTGCTCCGATTGTTGTTCTGCTCGTCGGAGGCTCCGGAAAAGGAGCAACAGCCAGCCAGCCATCCATCCGTCACCACAAACCAATTCGAATTTGAATGTTTATGTTGCGTATCCATTCTTCGTTCCTTCCCCTCTCCTCCCCCGCTGTCGCCGCCGTCGTCGTCGTTGACTTCTCCGAATTTCTAATCTCCTTATTTTATTTTGTTTGTATTTTGCAGTCCTCTTCCTTCTCCTCCTCCCGCCCAAGACGTGTGTGTGCTTCCAAGATAAACAAAAAACAAAGGAGGAGCCAGGGGACAGCCGGGGCAGAAGTCGTCGGATTTCCCATGCGACCAGAACTACTGTTCTCCCTCATTCTATCGTTCGTGGTGAGCCTATTGAGTACGGTACATCTGAAGACGTTAGGTGATTTCAGATAGAATCAGATGCAGTTCATCCGGTGGTTCTGGAGACGAAACTAGGCGACATTCAAGGCAATGAATTCTTCTTTTTGTCAAAGAAAATTCGGACTTTCTTCGGGTAACTTACTTTTCCAATTGATCAATCTTTCTAAGTATTTCAGAGTTCCTTTCGCCGAAGCGCCCATCGAAGAGTTCCGATTCCGAAAGCCACGTCAGAAAAAGCCATGGAAGGGACTTTTCGATGCGACGAAACCTGCGAACGCCTGTTTTCAAGTGACTTTCAATCATTGACCAACAAATATAGTCTGTTTCAGACAAGAGATAACTACAACACGACGTTCTGGGGAAGCGAGATGTGGAATGCGAATACTCCGATCAGTGAGGACTGTCTCTATCTGAACATTTGGGCACCGGCGGATGCATAGTGAGCAAGAGGACCGGAGAGAGAAAAAGAAGTTGATTTTCAGCAATTTGACGGTGATGGTTTGGATCTTCGGAGGCGGTTTTTACGCGGGCAGTCCGTCTTTGAACATCTACGATGGAAGAGCTCTCAGCTCCACCCAAAACGTTATAGTCGTGAACATCAACTACCGTCTGGGCCCTTTCGGATTTCTCTACCTGGACCACCCAGATGCGCCGGGCAATATGGGCCTTTTGGACCAGGTGAGAGAGTCCCTTTTTGTCTCTGCACCTTTCCACATTTTTTCCCCTTTTCGCTCTTGGCCCTATTATTATTATTCGCAGCTTTTCACGCACGTTTCGCATCCATTCACACCCTCGCACAAAGTGCACATAGACATGCGAAACACTCGCCACAAAAACTTGCTCTCACGTCGCCCCTCTTCAGAGAGTAATTTTTCACATTGCTCCTCGCCTTCGCCAACTGCTCCACCCGAGACTCGGTGCCGCTCACTGCTCCGGAATTCTGAACTCTGGCTGCTCTGATTAGGTCCCCGGAGACAACTTTTTCTTTTTTTCAGCAATTGGCGCTTCATTGGATTCGACAAAATATTGTGTCGTTTGGCGGAAATCCGGACAAGGTTTGGTTCTCTCTTTTCCGAGAAAACGACCCTCTTTCTCTCTCACCGACGCCTTCTTTTCTGCAGGTGGCCGTCTTCGGGCAGTCCGCCGGAGCCGCTTCCATTGTCGCGCATCTGATAGCTCCCGGATCCCGAGGGTAACACAATTAGAACGACGAGAACAACTCTCGTTCAATCATTCCTTCGTTTCAGTCTCTTTCGGAACGCGATTCTGCAGTCGGGAAGTGTCGAGAACACGTGGGCAATCAATTCGCCGTTCCGAGCGAAACAAAAGTCGGAGAGGCTTCTGGAGCTCGTCGGTTGCAACAAGACTACTGTAAGTGAACGTGTTCCACTCTGGAAAAGAGTTCCTCTCAGACCGAGAACTCCCTGTCGTGTCTGCGTCTCGTGTCTCCGGAGCAGCTGAGCATGAGCACATGGAATCTGTCCCTGACCTACCTCGAATTTCCGTTCGTCATTGTCTCACGGTCAGTTTTCTCTTTGTGATCCCCTCGAATATTCATAATCTTCTCCTTTTCCTTCTTCAGAGACAACCACTTCTTCGGTCATCTGGACGCGCGTGCGGCGTTGCGTGAAGGCGATTTCAATGGAGACGTGAACTTGATGATTGGCATGAACAAGGACGAAGGTTCGTGAAGAGAGAGAGAGAGAGAGAGAGGGGGGATGAGCGAGAAGGCGGCGGGGGTGGAGCCGCAGAATTGGCTCGAATTGGGAGGGTGGAAGAAGGAGTGTCAAAGTGTCAGAAACAGTCGGAAAGAGAGAAGAGCTTTCATTCTCAGGCAACTATTGGAATATCTATCACTTGCCGCAGTACTTCGATTCGTCCGAGCCGCCCGAGTTGACCAGGTTTGTTTGGGGGAAGATTTCTAGGAATGGATGCTCAGTGAGCACATGAATAGAATAGTTGATTTGGGGGGAATTGAGGAACTCAGCATGACCGTGGGAACCTGGAAGCTTCTTCTTATGCAGCTCTATCTTTTAAAGATTAACTTTGTGCATTCAGACATCAATTCGATTCCCTGGTGGACTCGACGTTTGCCATTCAGCCGGACATCATCCGATCCGCCGCCAAGTACATCTACTCGGATCCGAACTGCACGGACCACGGCCGCAAGACCCGATTCTACGGGAACCAAATGAATCAGATAGTCGGCGACTATTTCTTCTCGTGCGATTCATTGTGGCTCGCCGATCAGGTACCTCCCCCTAATTGCCTCAATTCTTCTCTCGGCGAGCTCTCACTTTTTTTCGCATTTTGCAGTTTCGTTCTCTGAGTATCAAATCGACGAATTCCATCCCAACTTCTAAAGTCTTTGTCTACTATTTCACACAGTCATCGAGGTTTTTTTTTTGCGAATTTCAGTTAAACACGTCACACTTCCGAATTTCAGTGCGAATCCGTGGCCAAAGTGGACTGGCGCGATGCACGGATACGAAATCGAGTACGTCTTTGGAATGCCGTTGAGTTATTCGAAGAATTATAAGCGCAGAGAGCAGATATTCTCTCGCAAAATTATGCAGTTTTGGGCGAGTTTTGCCAAAAATGGGTGAGTTTAGAGAGTGCGGGACAAGCGGAGAAATTGAGAGGAAACGAACGGAACTTGTGCGTTTTCTTTCAGAATTCCGAAATTGCGCATTTTGAAGAACACCGAGCACTGGCCAGAGTTCACAGAGCAGAATAAGTACAGGTACGTATTTCCTTATTTCACTTCTTCTCTTTATGCCGTTTTTCGGTCAGATGGATGCAGTTGAGAAGTGGATCGAACATCCGACCGATCAAACCGAAGAAGCAAATGGAGTGCCAGTTCTGGAGACGAGTCAAGGAGACCGAATACACTGCTTACTGTAAACGACATAGAGAAGATTCTCGGCAAAACACCCAAATGCTTTCATTTTCAGTGACACAAGAGTACGCCTCCTCGAGCAGCCGTCTGAATACGTATTGGCAGCTGATTCTGCCCTTCTTCCTATTCGTTTTCTCAATCATTTTCTAATTCTCGACCTCCTAAAGTCTCTCTCTCTCTCCCTCTCTCTCCCTCTCTCTTCCCGATCCAGTTTTGTTTCCTCAGCGGGCTTCCCCTTGATCTCTGCCTAAATAAACTCCGATTAATTCGAACTCTCGATTCATTCGGCATGATCTTCCCGTTCTTTGATCAGCACGTTCCTTCTCTTTCTCTCTTTCTCTCCGTCTCCCGCATTCTCTCTATCTCTCTCTCTCTCTCTAACTTTTTCTCTTTCTAACGTGTCGTGTTTGAGGGTCAGTCTTGCCACGCGAGAAGCTGTGATCATCGCGAGGAGGGCGGATGCGTCGTCGTCGTGTCTTGCTACTTCTGCTGTCGACCACGGCACTCCTCGTCTCGACGCAGCAGGTTAATCCGTTCTAACTTTCAGCCTGACAATATCTGACAAATCACTAACCGCCTGTCTCTCTTTTAGGACGACTCTAAGGCGGGCGTCGTTGAAGTTCAGACAAAACTCGGAACTGTTCGAGGAGCGGAATCCGATCATGGAAACAAGAGAGTTCGATCATTCTTGGGGTAAATTTCGGAGATGTCAACTATTTTAGAGTATTCCTTTCAGAGTACCGTTCGCGGAGCCCCCAATCAATGAGCACCGCTTCAAGAAACCGACTCCGAAGAGGCCGTGGAATGGGACGCTATCAGCGGATACACTGGCTCCCGCATGCTTCCAGGGAAGGGATACCTATGATCCGAACTTCTGGGGAAGCGAAATGTGGAATGCGAACACTCCTGTCAGCGAGGACTGTCTCTACGTGAACATTTGGGCACCAGCTGAAGCTTAGTGAGTGAATGCGACACTTTCAGAACGTCTTCGTTACTTTTCAGCAACCTGACCGTCGTTGTTTGGCTGTTCGGCGGCGGCTTCTACTCCGGATCGCCTTCTCTGATTCTTTATGACGGAAAGGAGTTGGCAACACGTGGTAACGTCATCGTAGTCAACATAAACTATCGTGTTGGCCCGTTCGGATACCTTTATTTGGGACATGACGACGTGCCAGGCAACATGGGAATGCTCGATCAGCAGTTGGCTCTCTATTGGATCAGAGATCACATCTTCTCGTTTGGCGGCGACCCCGCCAGAATCTCTCTAGTCGGCGAATCAGCTGGCGCCGCTTCTATTGTGGCTCATTTGATTGCTCCTGCTTCCAAGGGACTCTTCCAGAATGGAATTCTTCAGTCTGGTTCTTTAGATAACAAGTGGTCGATGGATACGCCGAAAAGAGCGAAGCAAAAGTCAATGACTCTAGCCGGATTGGTGGGATGCAATCAGACGAAGACGACCGACGTCATCCACTGTCTCCGTCATACTCCTGCCCAAACTCTCGTCGATAATATCTGGAGCGTCGGGCTCAACTTCCTCGAGTTTCCCTTTGCAATCGTCTCGAGAGACCGTAACTTCTTCAAACACCTCGACGGATTCATAGCTCTCCGCGATGGGACCTATTCAACAGATGTCAACCTCATGTTCGGAATTAACCACGACGAGGGCAACTTTTGGAATATCTACAATCTCGGAAAGTTCTTCGACAAGCAACCAGTGAAGCCTCAAATGGATCGGGTTCAATTCCACGAATGCGTCGAAACGGCGTTTGCAGTTCAGCCCGAACTAGTGCGAAGTGCCGCCAAGTACGTGTACTCGGATCCGAAGTGCACAGATCCTCTGCAGAAGACCGAGTTCTACGCGGAGCAGGTGAATCAGATGGTCGGAGATTACTTCTTCACCTGTGACAGCATCTGGTTCGCTCACAACTACCCGAAGCTCGCCGGAAACCGCTCGAATGTCTTTGTTTATTACTTTGATCAGCCGTCCAGGTAAGAAGCGTCCGGCCTGCCAACTGCTGACGTTTTCCGATTTCAGTGCGAATCCGTGGCCGAAATGGACGGGAGTGATGCACGGATACGAGATCGAGTACGTGTTCGGAGTGCCTCTTTACAACAAGACCGCCGGATACACAAAAGAGGAAATGGATTTGTCGGAGAAAGTGATAGACTTTTGGACGAGTTTTGCAAACCACGGGTAATGAAACAGCACACGTCTATTTCAAGAGAAATATTACTCTCTTTCAGAGTTCCCTCACTTCGAAAGCCGTCTGTCGGAACGTCGAAAAAGGTCACGTGGGAGAGGTACGACGGAACGGATCACACAAAGTGGATGAACATCAAAGTGGGCTCGTTCCGAATGATTCAAGAGATCAAAAAGGTCGAGTGTGACCTGTGGAGGAACGCGAAAGACATGGAATACAGTGCCTATAGTGAGTCCGATCCAGACAGCTTCACGTCGAACTTTGAAACTTCAGAAGAAGAGCTCACCGCCTCCTCGTCGCCAAACACCCACTACACTATAGTTCTTCTTCTCCTGCTAGCCGTCTATTCAGTGGTGTTCGACACGTTCTAACCTCTCTAAATATTCTTGTACGCCCCGAAATAATTCCGTCAATTACATGTGTGCTCACTTACAATACATTCAATCTTTCGTCTTCGTTTCCAGCATTTTCCGATGTCTTCTCAGGGAGTAGTCATGTTGGATCTCTTCTTCTTCTTCTTCTTCTTCTTCTTCTTCTTCTTCTTCTTCTTCCACCTTCCTCCTTTCTAGCCTCTTTCAGTCATTCCCCCCATTCATTCATTTTCTGAATTACACATATCATTAGTCAATTGTATAGGCCGCGCATTTAGAGATTTGTACTGAAATTTTCACGTTTTGTCAATTTTCAATTCAATGAATTTTCCAATTTTCCCATTTTCAATTCTGGTCGCATACGAAATTCATTAAAAATCAGGAGGCGATTTGCTGCGCCGATAATACGAAATGGGCGGTCAAAAAGCGCGAGCCACCGGAAATTCGATGCACTTCACTCGCGGCTGCGGCTCTCCAATGTTGCCGTTTCGCCGCTGCTCCCTCATGTTCCAGATGGCCGAATTCGCGTGTGAAGCGCACGCTTCAAAAAAACGTGTAAGAGCTCGGCGAGCCGCTTCACGAAATTTCATTTAGTCTTTCTTTTTCTCGCTCTCTCGCTCTCGATGGGCACGAAAGAGCTCTTTGTCTTTCCTAGTCATTGAAATTTATTGCATAGACCTCAAATGGAATGATTTGTGACATTCTCAATGGATTCGTGATGGTTGGAATGGTATCTGGCAGCTGTTTTGTTTGCTCTTCGCCAAATATTGAGAACGTAAGTTGTCTTATGTATCTTATGGTCAGTTTAAAAAGAAAAGAAAGTCCTACGTGACTAGGGTAATAATGAGATGAAAGCGAGCCCACAGTGTAACCACTTCACTCTCTCAAGTGCCATTATATACAGCATTACGGATCATTCTTCGAGAACCCGCGGGAGATCCAGCCGGCTTACATTGGTCGCGTTATTGACTGCGAAAAGAACGAATTCAAAACACAGGACTGTCCCGGCGCCTGCTTTTCATTGAACGTCTCCAGCTCCACGACTGATTCGGACTTTGGTGAGATAAGAAACACGAGCTTTTGAGCACCAATGTCTTCAGGAACGTCCTACGGCTGCTCCACCGCTCTGGTCCCTGATGATGTGGACATGGAAGAATCTTGCACGACAAAAACTATCTCGATAAGGTTAGTAATGATTTCAAGCAGAATTATAGCTCCCAACTGAAAGATTGCTCGTTCAGAACGTCTCCAGTATATTCGGTGACGGCAACGTACTGCCTGTGCTCGGAAAACAACTGTAATCCCCCGATACATCCGGTGATCCGACGGCGAACGAAAACAATGAAATCAGGCGGAAAAACGGCTTACCATTCGAATAAATTTGACGAATTCTCGAATGCTTGTTGTCCGCTCTCTCTCCAAAGGCTTTTCGTCACACTTTCAACGCTATTTTCAGTTCAGTTAGTTCTAAACTCAAAATAAAAGTTCCTCCTCTTTTCGTTTTGTGTTTTGGAAAATAAGAATGAATGCGCCGTCAGAGTACGGTAGCGATGTTTATCTGAGATCCGTGACATTGACAATAGTGAAGTTTGTATCGCTTCGCTCCGAACGACCTTGCACGGAAAAGACGAGACGACTGATCAGTGGTCAAAAGAACAAAATGCCGATGGAGTACGGTATTTTTAAAACTTCAAACATGTCATTTGTTTTTCCATTGTGTCGGATTCGATTTCAAGTGCTTCGTAGACGGAGAGCATGTCGCGGTAGGCGTCGAAAATCGGACCAATCAGAAGGATCAGCTCGGCCATTCGCGTGGCGATCTCATTTGATGTCAAGGGGGTGTGCTTCTGGAAGAAAAACATAATAATAAGATCTTTCGAATCGAAACATACCTGATAATATTTGTTCAGCGCTGAAGTGACACCTCCGTATTGTTCTTGTGAGACAGTTTTGAGAGTGAGCGTCGAGTCGAGCATCGCCAGTTTCCAGATGCAGAACGATTTGAGCGCGGCGTACTCGAAAACCTCGAGCCGCAGTCGAAAAAGAGCAGCGCCGACGGTTGAAGAGAATCGGTTAACGAACGAGGAAAGTATGCCGGTCGACTTGACGTGTTCTGATAATTCTGAGTTCATCCACGCAGAGTCCATCCAGATATTGGCAAAAGAGCAATAGCGGAAGAGTATCGAGAGGTCGTCTTTGTCCAGAAGGTCCGTGCCCGGACAGGAAGTGCATATTTGAAAGGCAAAATGATCACCGACAGACTTTCGTTTCATAAATTCTAGAAGAGAGAACTGAAAAAAACAAGTGTTCTTCATAATTCCACGCTTCAAATTGGTACCTTATTGAATCCCAAAGATTGATGATGAGAGGATGTTTGCACTTGGCTCATGTAATAATCGAGAAGTTCACCGTGAGTTACATTCAGGATGGAACTGAACTCTGTCAGCTCGACAGCACATTCTTCATCAGACTGCGAGCCAGTCTCCATTGATTCCGTGCACACTGGGCCTACGGTACACGTGGCATATACTCGAACGATGTCAACGACGCCTTCTTCTCTGGATCTGAGCACATATTTGGGGATCCGATTCGTGGCGCGAGGTTCTTGAACCACTGAAAGTTTTTCGTTAAGAGTCTTTGCTCAATTGATGAAACTCTCTTACATTCCCGTCTCATCCCGACGGATTCGCACCGATCATAGCGACATGCTCTGCAGAAGATCCTTCCTCCTTGGCCCATTGTGCATACTTTCTGGTACTTGCAAACGAATCGGATGCCCAAAGAAACGGTTCTTCGGAAGAAGGCGGCACACGCTTGACAGACTCTCGAGCCAAAGTGCATGTGGGTGGTGTCAGTGGTGGCGCACACCGAGCAGCTTTTATCGGCCATCTTTTGAGATTGTCAGAGACCGAAATAAAACGAATAGGTGTGAAATGAAACGCACTCTAGTTCGCTTCCTTTTATTGTGTTCCTCATCTTCATTTTATCGGATCGATACAACAATGTATGCGTCTATGGGTTCACAAAAAATGAGCGGGGAAGAAACACAACGATTTCATCGGTGATCGGAGCAAAAAAACTCCGCGCCAATCCATTTGGAACGAATAAAAAGTGTGGCGTGGATGGTTATCTTGGTACTAATCGGACAACCGACGAATTCGCTGATCTCGCGACCGTCCGAAGACCCGAAAACGTAAGACGACGGTTCCGTGATTGACCTGGAATGTTGCAGAACGTGTGAGGATTGTGCTAGGTCCCCAATTGTCACTATTTGATACACCGAAAGTGTGCAACTTTTCGCCTTTCGCCTTTCGTTTGCTCACCTGCGCCGCCGGCTCAAAGTCCCATTTTCAGGGTGGCAATGTTCGCGCACTCTGACTTCCCGTCCCATGCGGGCTCCCATTCCTCCCATTCCTCTTCTTCTTCTTCTTTTTCTCGCATTCTTTCGAAGTGTCCACTTGTGTCGATCCGATGGAAAGTACTGTACGACTGTGATGGCGACGTCGTTTCTTTCCAAAAGCAGTCTGGAGTACAAGTGTCAGTTTCCGATCTTCATTGCGAAAAGCGACATTCTCTCGTTGGATGCGACGGTCTCCGTGACCATGAAGATCGGAGAGTACTGTCAGAAGACGTGCTGCTCGGTCATGCAGACCACTCAACCGACCACTCCGTCCACTTCTCCATCAACTACAACTCCAACCACCACCCCGGAGCCCACAACCACCACTACTGTCTACGTATCCACTTTCCTCATTTCATATTCGTTCCTTCTAATTTCAGCAGTCTCCATTGGACAAATTCAATGCAGTGATGAATGCGGACGGCGCGTTCAAGTCGCTTATGGACGAAATCAGTACGCAAAACTTTCATGCCCTTCCCTTTTAGCCGTCTCCTTTCCAGACTTTTCCTCGTCGGCGTCAGAAGGATTGGAAAGGTATCAGGTTTATTCGGAGACCAAAAAGCAGGTTGATGAGCATAATATCGCGTACAATCTCGGGCTTTCTACTTTCGAAATGACTGTCAACTCTTTTTCCGTCGCGGTAACTGCTTGAACGAACGAAATGAAATAGGAGTGAGATTGTTTTCCAGTTGGAAGGGGAAGTGGCTCCGTTGACTCTTTCTCTTGACGCCCTCCAGCCAACAGCTACAGCATCCCCGAGTACTGTAGTTGCGCGGAAGAAGAGAGACACTGCGGTTACTGTCGACTGGAGACCGTACATGAAACCGATTCTGAACCAGCTGACGTGTGGCGGCTGCTGGGCCTTCTCGATGGTCGCAATGGTCGAGGGATTCTTTGCCATCCAGGGCTACAACACCTCCAGTCTCTCCGTGCAACAACTGCTCACGTGTGACACTTCTACGGATCCTACTTATGGAATAGCGAACATCGGATGCAAAGGAGGGTACTTTCAGGTGGCGGGCACGTATCTGGAAGCCTCTGCGGAGAGGAATTCGGAGGATATTCCGTTTGATTTGGAGGTGAGCATCTTAGTCATATCTTCCATAATATTTCCGTAGGACACCGACTGTGACACTTCCTCCTTCGCTCCAGTGGTTCCAACAATTCTCCAGTTTGACGACGGTTTTGTTTCCGGGAATCTGACCGCTTCTCAGCTGATTACAATGGAAGAAGACATTGAGGAAAAGGTCCGGAAAGGACCAGTTTCAGTGGGAATGGCAGTCAGTCAGGATATCTACAGTTATTCCAGCGGTAGGCGACAGAAGATGCCAATTGTTTCGAGAAAAAAAGAGCACTTCTTCAGGAGTTTATGACGGAGACTGTGGAAGCACCATCAACCACGCGGTCGTTATCGTCGGATTCACAGATGACTATTGGATTATCAGAAACAGGTTTGAAACAACACCACTTTTGCCTTTTGACCCGGTTGTTTATCTTCTTTGCAGCTGGGGAGACACGTGGGGAGAGGACGGATACTTCCGAGTGAAACGGGCGGCCGGCAGGGATCCATGCAAACTGTACAGCTACTGGTCACAGGCCACTGCCATCGGATCCGAAGAGTCCTACGTTCCCCCGAAGGCCAGTGGCGGAGAGTTCGTGGTGCCGAGCACTCACACGATCACTCAGACGACGGATCGAATTAGTACGGATGAATGTGGAGAGACTCCTTGTGAAGAACAATGTGATTGTGACGATGATGAAGATGATTATTATTATGAAGAGGAGGACGGAGAGGTACTTGAACTTTGAGGTCTACTGCACAACACTCGTTTCAGACAAGCACAACGTCTCCAACATCTTCCACAACAGCTTCAACTACTTCTTATTCCACTACATCTCAAACCACATCCTCCAGTACAACTTCTTCAACTCCTACTACATCTGCATTTCTGGAGACCGCTAGAACCAGTACTAGCAGAAAAACGACTAGAAAGCCCACAACCACTACGACTACTGCTAGAAGAACGACCACCACTACTCGCCAGTCCATCCTCGATAAATGGTCTGACGGATGGAACAATTTTTGGGGTTGATTCACGTACAATAAATGTTCAAATCAGTTACCAATGATTTTTTATAAAAACGAGTTTCGCGCCAAGTCTTTTTGTTGACGCGCTTGCAGTGCCTTTGCGAGGTTCGCGCCTCGAAAATTCACTTTTACATCATTTTTACATCATTTTTAATTCTTTCTCCGTGTTTTGCTCTAATTTCAGCTGAAAACGTTACCTTTTTCATTAGGAATGCCAGTACCATCCGGATACTCAGCTGTTCCACATGGAAACACGCCATCATGCTTCGATAAGGTAATTTTTCAAAAACTTTGTCAGGCCATGCAAATCATAAAGGAGATGAAACGCTACAACGAAGTAGAACTTGCACGGAATGGAACTGTTACGATTTGGAACTCGCAACTTTAAAACTGTGAGTTCCAAATCGCAACAGTTCCATTCCGTGCGAGTTCTACTTCATTGTAGCGCTGATGATGAAAGTTTGTTGATGAAGAGTCACTTACTTTTTTTTCTTTTGAAATGAGCTGCTACACTTCTTGATAGCATCTTCTATTACACCACTGAGACAGTACCTGTTTCGTTTGGCATCGAGAAAACAGACGTTTTCCTTTGCCGTTTCCGCTGAAACATTCGCTTTCCTTTTAAATTCAATTCACTGAATTCATACATTTGCAGATCAGAATGGGACTGATGATGGGAGCGATGATCGGTGGCGCGACAGGAATTCTTCTCGGCGGATTCATGAGCTTCCGATCGGGGCTACGTGGCAAGGAGCTCCTACTGCAGACCGGCAAGACTGTCGCACAGTCCGGTGGATCGTTCAGCGTCTTCATGGGAGTGGCTCAAGGCCTCCGTTGTTAACCTGGTCTCTGTTTTCGTTTCTCTTTGCCCTGTTTTACTTCTTTTCGATGAATTTTTGCTAGATCTTTCGTAGAGCACATAAATGAACACTTCCATTCACTAGCAGAAAGCAAAAACGGTCTCGAAAATTTATTGAGGGTACACAAAACGTACATATTCAACATCTCTCATCGTCGCCAAATGAGATCTATTATTCGTGTGCCTTTAGGTCTGATTCAAGAGAGTGGGAGAGAGAAACAGGGAAGAATAGAAGGGGAGTGGTTGCCGGATTGGGGAGAAAGTGTTATTACAGTTAACACGTGTGAAATAAGGGTGGACAAAGGAAAAGTAACTAGAAGGCATTTAGGCCATCGGATGAAGGACCCGCCGCTCTCTCTCTTCAATGAGCACAGTTACTGATCGAGCGGAGCACTCCGTCCAAATCGCACGAACGTCTGTCCACGCTTTCCGAAGCGAACGAAAGTCTGTGCTCTCTTTCCGAATCGCACAAACGTCTGTGCTCGTTTAGCTGGTCGTTCGGCGAACAGCGAACCATCCTCGGGAAGGGCCGTCTCGTCGGCGGACACTCCGTACTGGGAGGCATAATCTGGAAAAAGAGAGGTTACGTCATCAGAAGGAAAGAATTAGGAGAGGGATGAAGAGGAGGCGGAGGCGCGAGAGTCGGTTATTTTGCTGTGGCGGGAAAAAGTTTTAATTAAAGTTGTGGATGCCTTTTTCTCTTTTCGCCGCTCGCCTCTGATCCCGACAACTATGAAAAGTCGAGCCAATGAGCGAGCGCCTTGTTTGCCTGCCACGCGATTGATCAGAGCACATTACTTCCGGAGCATTCGTCGGAATTCGTCAAGAGTATTTACAAGAGGGCTCGCGCGTGGCGAGCAACATTCCGAACAGATCCTCCCCAATTCATCATCATCCCGCCGACAGACCGCTCGATCAAAGTCGGTTGCTAGGCGCCTTTTTGCAGCTGCTTTCGAAGGACAACTCACCGACTGGCAGCACTGCCGCAGAGGACAATTGCAGGAGAAGAAGCACGACGGCGATGATCGAAGAGAGTTCGAATCCGGAGAAGTTCATCTTTGCGTCGGGAGTCGTGTGTGTGTGTGTGTGATTACCTAGAAGACGCGAAAAAGTTGGAAAAGAACAAAAAACAAAGAGAGAGAAGAATGCTAAAATGCTGAATGGAAGGGAGCCGGAAGGCAAGGAAAGGAAAATAAGGCGTTCCCACACCATCTCATGCATATTCATCTACTCCGTTCCTTTGAGTTGTCACTCAAGGTGTGCGTGAGCCACAAACGGAATGGTGCTCAAGGGAGTTGGCTCGAACTCGGCTCAGCCTCCGTCCGAATGGTGCGGTGGCGCCCCGAGATGCAGGGGCGGAGTCTCTCCCTCTGCCCCGCGCGCACACGATGACGTTTTTCAGTTGACGGCGTGGGGAGAAATGGGCGGCGCTTCAGGTTTCGAAGAGGAGCACTTGTGACGTGGCAGTGAGAAGGGTTCAAAAAGTGGCCGCGCTAATAAGAATAATATTAAGCCACGGAGCAGGAGAACAGAAGACGTGGGCAAGAACGGAACAGCTAGTTCGTTTTGCTCACTTCCGCTTTCTGCAGTCAACCGGAATTCCCCCCAAGAATTTGCAAAAGTATTCCGGAAATCAACGAAAATTTGAAGTCACCGACGATACAAAAAACACGATAAGGAGTCAGAAACCAGTCGAGGCTCCGTCGAATTCGACAAAGAAGGATAATCTCTGAGATTTGCACACGCAGGTGGAAACCCGCCAATGATCTAGTTGCACACCCACCAAAGAGCTAATTCTTCGTTTTTCTCTCTCAACTGTCCACGTCATTCATTCTATCAGTTCTCAGTTTCAGAGAAGAAGAAGAAGAGTGAGGGAGGAGGAGTACGTGCTCTTCTCATTAATTATAGAAATAGAAAAGCCTTCGTGTGAGACCAAGTGTGAACAAAAGTTGGAGAGAAAGAGAGAACGAGTTCTTAGAATTTGTTCAGAGCATTTAACAAAGTTGAGCTATAAAAGTACCCTAATTCGCAAATTGGCCATTCAACTTTCACGAGCTTGCTCCGCTCCAACTACAGTAATCCTTGCTAATGGAATCCACAATGCGGGCAATCAAGAACGTTTTCTGGTTGTCCAAACTTTGGCAGGGAAGGAAGAACGTCGAGATTTTACAGAAAATGAGTTAAAACACAGATGAAATTGGCGGTTCGAAGAAAAAACAACCTGAATGTTCGGATATTTCAGGGAGGAAAAAAAGAGAGAGAGAGAGAGAGAGAGAGGAAGAGGAAGAAGTTGTGTCAAACGTTATCAAGTGAAGCATGCAGTGCACGACGGAGGAAATGAAAATAGGGAAGATTTAGAATTGAACCCGAATAGTACCGCACGGCTACATTTGGCATTCCTCAGGTTTGTAGGGGCAGTGCCATCCGACCGACCGGCTCATTTGCTCATTCATCCATGAGGTGAACACTTCAAAAACTGAAAGTGTCTGCGGCTAGAAGCTCTAGAAGCCAGAAGCTAGCCAGCACTTTCAGTCCTCTAAATTGTTTTCCCTTCGTGGCAACGCACTTTCGTTGCTCTCTTCCCGTCTTAAAACGTCTCATTTTTGAGCACTTTTGAAATCCGTTCGGGCAGAAAAGTGAAAAATGGAAGAGTAATGCACTCTTTTTCATCTTTGTGCGCCGCTTTTTGATTGGTTCTCTTTCGAAGGAGAACGAAACGAAACGAAGACGGAACTCTTTTTTTTTTTTGAGGCAGAAGGGCAACGCAACTGCGCCACCGGATATGGTCCGATGAAACACTTTATGGGGGACATTCGAAACTTCCGCCCCTCCCAAAAAGGACCTCGTGCTTTGGCCCACGTGAATCATGGACCGACTTTGGCTTCTCCTCCAAAATTCGACGGAAGCCGCACGTACTCAAGTGAGATCAAGAGATTCGAAAAAAGTGAAGACGATCCGGATGATCTTTTGAATCTATCAAATTCCGATGAAAGTAGGAGAGTGGGCCAGTTTCCGAGAAGCATTTTGACACGCAAAAAGATTGGCTCCAGATTATAATGAAATCGCCGAGCTGACTTGGAGCCGCGCGGACAACGGTTAATGGGGTGCGAATTGGAATTGGGTGAAGGTGATTGGATTGTCTAGAAAGTGTGGTGTATTTGAGGGAGCCCGTCAATAATCGGTGACCGGCAGAGCTGGGCTCAGGGCTCTGAAACCTGATTCCATTTGAGCAAAAGCTCTGCAGAGATTTGCAGCCAAGTTGGAAGATCTTCCGAACGATATCATGTTCCCCAAGATCGAACATCCCTCGCTAGTACCCTTAGTCTAAGTGCGGAGTGCTACGCTGACGCGCTGGTCACCTAAAGATCATTGGATACTTTGAAGCCTTAGTGAGTGATTCAGATTCAAAAGACATTTCGTGTTCTCGAGAGCAGAAATCGTCGGCTGTTTTCGACTAGACAAATATTTGAATGTAAGTCAGAAAGCGATTCAAACTAGATTCTCAACCAACTACTGTTGATCTGTGCTCTGTGCGCGATGCTCGATGCTCTATGCCATTTCCCTAATTCACCGTCGCTTCCTTTTCCTGGCCGCGAACCGAAAAGTCTTTGAGGTGTCACCTACACGATGTGCTAATCACATCTCGTGCATATTTGCATTACTTCCGTTTCTCCTCTACACAACGCACTACATTTGTATGTAAAAAAAGTAACACACTTTGAAATTGTGGGCGTGGGTGGCCGGAAAGAGTGCGGGTGACAAGTGAGGGTGGAAGGACACGTCACGCCTAAAATAGACCGAAGGACAGGTCACAAGAGGAGTCAGATCAGAAGTTGGCGAGGATTTGGAGCTCAGAAGCGGGACAATGTAGTTGCAAATGAACGGATTATGTACGGATATTCAGAAGGGATTAGCCGTCTATTTAGGGAAAATCGGCTCGAATCTTCTTTTTGGTTTTGCAGGCAAGTGTAAGGTCAGCACGCAGAGAAAGAGTTGGAAGATCAAGTGGAAATGGTGAAAGAGTAGAGGGACAGGTGATAACTAAAAGGGATTTGCGATGCATCAGAATTTCTGGTTCTGGACGCCGCTTCGGGTTACGGTAGCTCTTTCGCAATCTTAGTGGTCCCGAAGTGATTCACTTCCAAAAGTGACGATGTTTTTGCTTCTTCTGAATGTCACACTCTCTTTCGCCGCCACATCATCACTCTCCAAACTAACTCAGAATTCAGAATCGATGAAAAAACATGAATCTTAATAGGTTCGGGGGCATCTCAACGTCAGACGACTTGCTTGTTGCGAGGGAGAAAATCATTAACAGGTGGTTCTGTTCAGAGCATTCAGAATACTTCGTCATTCTAAATTTGACGAATAGAACAATAGGAGCACTACACACTTGACTATTGTTCACTTCACGCTTCTCACACGCGTTTTGTGACTTTTGAGGGGACCTTTTCGGAGAAAAATGTCAGCAGGTTAATCGGATACTCTTTCACGAATGGACGCATCCTTTGAGCGGCGAGAAAAAGAGGGAGCGAGTCGATTAAAACAACTTTGAAAGACGTTTTAATCGAGCAGTTTAGTGCTCGAATGAGCACAGATCGGTTGCCGTAAATAGAATTTGGATGGCGGGCGGGCGGGGGTAGTGGGAGGCAAATCGGGTGGTTTTCGACTACGTAAAAGGTACTGCCGGATGTGTCGGGGGTGTCGTGAGTGACCTTCCGAAATCAGGAGGAAGCTGAGCTAAAAAGAGGTAAACTGAAATCTCTATTTTCTATCGCGTATTCATCAATAATATAAAATGAGCGGCTAGTCTGGGAGAGAACGAATACTTGGGATTAGAATGCTCTAATGATAAATTCGCGATCTGTGAGGCAGAGCTCAGTGAGCCGCGCAAACCTGATGAGTGCCCTTCTCGGGAGCACAAGAAGATGGAGAAGATGAGGGAGATGAAGTGAGCGACACGAAGAGCCGCGAAGACAAATGTGCTCAGAAATGCATGGATCAACCATTTTTATGTGAAAAAACGGGAAAAAAAACCTTATAGTTTTTGTGCTCCGCTTGCTCCTGACGATCCTTCTGATGACATGGAACTCGGCACGAACGAACTCTCCAGAATCCATTCGTTTCCGATGATTCATGAGCCGCCGGCGACCGGGACGAGCTCGCCGGACTCTCAGAAACGTCGCATAAAACTGACGGATGAAAAATTGGAAAAGCGGATTATATTTTGGCTGTTTTCGGCGACATTGCAATGATAAATTGAGTCTGCGGGTCGGGTCGGCAAAGTGATCTAGAGCAAAACTACAGTATCCTCGGGTTACTGTACTTTGCCCAACGCTCAAGCCTTGTGGATATTCCGATCTCAGACACAAACTACTAAACTATTAGTACCAAAAAATTTCGTCTTCTGAGATCAGAACGGACAGTGGAAAGATGTCCCAAACAAAGGAATGCCGCCTCCTCGCAATCCCCTTCCTCAAAGCTTTTCGTCACTTTTCGATCGGATTTTCCTTCCGGGCTTGACTCCATCCGCCACGCAATTAACTCGCAGTTCTTCCTCTTCTCGCCGCCGTTTTTCGTGTGTGCTCTTTCTATTTTGCAACAAAGAAAATGCATAAATGTATGAAAGAAAGCGACGGAAACCGACGCACAAAAGAGGACATAACACAAACCACGGAAGGATTGGCGGGGATGGACGGTGCGAAGGGAGCCACGTCATCTTTCGATTGATTCTTGACTCTTCTAACTACACTCCCACCTAATCTTTTCTTGATTCAATTCCAACTGAATTAATTAGCATCTCCTACTTCTTTTACCCAATCTATTTTCGAACGAGGATGCTCTCGCAGTCAGTGCATTCCGACCACTTTTTCTTCGTCGTCAGAATCGCCAGAATAGCCAACCAACGTCGTCGGCAACAAACAGACTCGTAAAAGCGCGCCGAAATCTATCCATATAAAGTCACAGAAAACGGGCTTGTTTTGCGGGTAGTGCCCAAGAACACTTTTGCGAGGGAAATCAATGAGAAATACAACTTTGAGTAGGGCGTCCTCGATGGCCACATAAATCGGCCGAAGAGTGAGCCTAATCGGATTCGGAGCCGAGCGAAAAAACAAAAACGTTGATCGACGGGTTTGTGGGGGGTGCTGCATGAATATATTTAGTAATGAAGTTTGAGAACTGAAAATGAAATGCGCGGATGGGATGTTCCGAGAACGGACGATCGGACATCGGGATGATCTCGAGGGGAACGGAGACGTCACATTTTCGAGGAATTGTAAGCGGAGTTCTGCAGAATTACGATGGGTCCATTTGCTCGGAAGTGCTTCATAAATGGAGAAGAGATGATTTTTGATTTGACATCATATAGTGAGAATCACAAATTCATCTCCTCTTTTTGTATTCGAAAAGCGCACATTCCGATTGTTGTTTGAATTCTTCAGATTTCGCACAGATATTCCGCGTCACTCGTATTTCCAGACATTCCAATCTGACATCCGAATCTTTGCTTTTCCCCAATTTCCAAACTGGGGAAAAGGGGGAAAAAGTGACCTTTATTGCTTGTTTTCTGATAAAATAAAGCGATAAATCGTAAAATGACATATAACTCGCAGCAAGTTGATTGACAGGAAAAACAAGGAGAAGAAGCGGGAGCCAATCACCTGGGGAAAAGTCCAAAACTGCGGCAACCGAAAACAAAGCGATAAGAAGGCGTCGGCGCGGAGTAAAACGGATAACTATTGGGCGAGGGATCGCGTGTGTTTAATTTGTTTTCCTTTACTCATTGCCTACGTGGACACATAATTCTGTGCTCCGATGAATAATTGATCGGAAAGAAAAGAAAAAGAAACGCCATCTTCGGAGACGTGAAAATACTTTTTAGGCAGTCTTTTGAGAAAAGCGAGACGCTTCGGGAGTACAAAGATCTTTTCTGTAGAAGGGAGCAGCCCACTTCCTGTTTTTATCGCGGATGTGGTGAAATGGAAACGAAGTCGACTTCCGAAGTCTGGAACTTGACATTTTCAGATTCTGACTCACACGGTCTCATTCGAACAATGATCATTTTGAGGAAAAAAGAGAAGCTAAAAAATAAAATAGAACGGTGAAGGGCGAAAGAATGACAGGATTGAACTGAAATGTCTCCGTGGAGTGCTCCTAATAAAATTATAAATTATGATGAGCATGTGTGTCACTTTTTATTTGCTTGTCTGGCTCAGACCATGACACATGTTTTGTTAATTAATCAAAGAGTTCTTCGAGATCCTTCTCCAACTGTTTATCGATCTCCTCGTCCGTATTGAGTTCTTCCTCCTCTTGCTCTCCGCTTTCTTCTTCTGACACTTCTCCCGACTCTAGTTCTTCTTCGTCTTCCTCTTTTCCATCGGCTTCGGATCCGGCGGTGTCATCGACTTTTCTCCATCGAGCTCGCCGTCCTCCAATTCTTCCGGAACCCTCTCGGGCCCATCCTCCACTTCTTCCGTTCCAGATCGTTCTGCTTCAGTTTCCTCAGCTTCTTCTTCCATTTTCTTTTCTTCCTCCTCCTCCTCCTCTTCTTCCGAACTCGACGACTCTTCCAGATTCTCTCCGGTCAGCACGGCCAGCAGTCGTTTCTTTGACATTCCGTCAATTTCGGCCAGCAACAACTGCTTCACGTCTTCTTTAGATTTGCCTCTCAGCATGCGTGGCATCAACACTTCGACGGCCTCCCATTCGACGGAACTCATCGTGTGCTCTGCCAGTTGATCCGGATGATCCACGAAATGGGAAAGCGAGGCGAGCAGGGGGTTCACTTCGTCAGAATTTGACATTTTCGGGCTGAAAGGAGTTTTGCATAAATGCAGTTCACTTGCCGCTCGCGCGCCCCACCCTTGCCGACAATTACCTGAGATGTAATGTTTCATGTTGCATTAGAAAATAAAGAGACTGAATGAAGACAGAAAATGTTCGAATGAAATTCGGTAACTGAAATACGATAAACATCTTTAATAAAATTTTAAAACTCTAAAACAAAGAACGAAGTGGAACGTCGGAAGGAGAGAAAAAGTCAATTAACCCATAGTGCTAACAGAAATTCTATATTTAGCAAATCAGGAAACCGGGAGAAATGGTTATTTTAAATGAAATTAAAACATGATATGTTACGTATATGAAATCGATGTTTTTGTGACATGATACAGATGGAAAAGTGTTAATTGATAATATATAATTCAAGCGTTTTTGAGGAAATTGTCCACTTGGTAATCGTCGTACTGACTCTCGTCCCACATGCTCGCCAGGTCGATTTCTTCAGCACTGCCTCCTGCTCCTGATGGCGTGGCTCTGAATGAAACGGGGTAAATTTGGAGAGTCCAAATAACTTTGCACTCACTTTCTTGACTTTTTGACCGTCGGCTCCCAATCACTGTTCTTCTCATCTCCGTCCAAAGTGAACATATTCATCAGCTCGCCCGTCTCCATCGTCAGCATCGACGTGTTTTCCGACCCGATGAGCGCATTCGCCGTGTTAAGTTTGAACTTGGCCAGACTCATCACTTTCTCTTCGACAGTTCCCTGCGTTATCAGTCGATAGACGTTCACATTCCGAGTCTGTCCGAGCCGATGCGCACGGTCAATCGCTTGCAGATCTTTCATTGGGTTCCAGTCGTGATCCAGGAAGATTACAGTGTCTGCGCCGGTCAAATTGAGACCAACTCCTCCGACCTGAAATACAGCATATCTAATTAGTTTCAATTGATAAAACGCACGTGAGTTGTCAGCACGAGGACGTCGATGGTCTTGTCCTCATTGAACCGTTGCACTACTTTCATTCGGTCTCCAGCCGGAACATTCCCATCGAGCACCAGATGAGGGACAACACTTCCGAACTCTCCACTGCTCAGTTTCTTGGAGACGAGCTTGGCCGACGCCTTCCATTGGCAGAAAATGAGGGCTCGATGACCTGCTCCGACCTCACTCAATCCTCCAATTTCATCTTTTTCAGCTTCTTCCTCATCTGGATTCTTGCAAATCTCGCATTCGATGAGCAGTTGTTTCAGTGCATCCATCTTTCCAGATTTCGCCGTCCGCGCCTTGTCGATGAGCTCTTTCGGTGCTCCGATGTTTGTCAAGGTGTTCAGCACGAGAACCGTGTGATCCGTCAGTCTTCGCAGAGCAACAAGACACACGAGACTGGAGATGCCCGTTCTGTTCTTCAGCTCTTCCGGATGGGCCGTACATTTGTTGACCAAGAACCGATAGATCTCCTTTTGGTCGTCAGTCAATTCGCATTCGTAATCTTGCACGTTCTTCTCCGGAAGCTCCGTGAGAACTTCTGTCTTCAGCCGACGGAGCACGAACGGAAGAATGAGCTTGTGCAGTTGCTCTATCGCCGCCGCGCCTGATTTCAACTCCTGTTCGTTGGCTTTTGCGAGTCGACATTTCATGATTTTCTTGAGGAATTGGTTACGGAACTTTTTCTCACATCCCAGATATCCGGGCATGAGCCACGAGAAAAGAGACCATAGATCGGCAGGACTGAAAGAAATATTGAAATATCTGAGAGTAAAGGCGAGTCTTACGAATTCTGAACGGGCGTTCCCGAGAGGATGAGTCTGCTGTTGCACACGAGTTGGTTTGCGAACCTCCACGCGCGCAATTTGGAGTTTCGCATGACGTGGCCTTCGTCTAGAACTACGTAATTCCAGACGCGGTTTCTGGAAAGCCCTTTTACGTTGAAGCGCTTCAGTATAGAAAGTGACTCACTGAATGAATGGACTTTTCAAGTCTTCGTAGGCAATGACGCAGATCTCCGAACCTTTGCACGTCTTCGGATTTTTTGAAGCCGGCATTCGTCTCGGGAAAAACTTGTTCCATTCCAAGCACCAGTGATCGACGAGAGTTCGCGGGCAAATGATGAGAGAGCACATCTGCGCAGTCTCCAGATGATCTTTGTCGTTCGATAGGGCAATGGCGCACATCGTCTGAAGAGTCTTTCCGAGGCCCATGTCATCTGCGAGAATGCCGTGCAACCCGTACGTGCGCAGAAAGCGAATCCACGTGATTCCCTCGAGCTGATATTCTCGCAGCATGCTCGGATCGAATCCTCCACGTATATCTTCACGAGCGACACGTGGCAAGTTGCTTGGAGCGCCGAGAACGTTGATAAAATTGGAGTATTCTCCTCGTTTCGCTGAAAGTTCTTCGCTGAGTCCTTCGATTTGAACGCTAGAGTTTTCGACGGTCACTACTGGGATGAGGCGACGAAAAGCTTCGCCAGCGGCATCTCGAACCGACTCGCATTGATCAGTGAGAAGATGGAAAACGAGTGGAGCCAGGAGGGTCGCCCAGCCGTTGAGGAACGTGGTATCCATCATGGAGAGCCGCAGAAACACTTCGACTGCAGAGAGCCGCGAGTTCACGTTGTTAAGATCACGGGAGAGAATGACAAGTCTTCCGTAGCACTTGGACAACGTGTCTCCGCAGTTGGACTTGCAAAAAGTGACGATCGCTTTTGCGAAGGCGAACCGAATGGCTGGATCTTCGTTCGGAACCAATGCGAATATTTTTTCGGTCGATTGATCCGAGAGTCGGGAGCCAACGCGGTGCCACAGACTGTTGTGGAGCTCCAGACGGAGCAGAAACGTCTCGAGGTCGACTTCTTCGCTGAGATCGAAGTGTGAGAAAAACTCGGAGAGCTGGCTTGCATTGAACTGACAGAGAATCTGAACATATGTTGGCTTTCGTTAGTCAAACTGATTAGAATACCGTCATGAGCAACTCGGCGTTCCTGCTCTCCGCTGAAATTTTGCCATTCTCCTCCTCAAATCCTTCTTCCGTTTCGTTTCCCCATATTCTAAGCATGCTTATTATGGCTTCTGGATTGTCCGTCGCCCTAGGCTTCGGCATTCGAATGGAACAATCGGAGAACGACTTGAACACTTTCGCAAGCACTTTTACGTACGGACGAGGGGTTCTCGGCCAACTGAAGACAACAAGAAGAGGGACGGCTCCACGGAACACTTCGGATGCCATCGCGTCGTTCTCTTCCGTCTGCATCGTTTCGACGATCGGACGGATTTGAGGACTCAGCTTCTCGGGGGCGTGGCCAAAGTACAAGAGAGTCGAGGAGAGCAAAGCGTTGATACGGCTGAAAATTAATCAATTTCCGGGTGAATTACAAGAAGTTAAACCGACATTGCATTCGATTTGATGTTAGCTTTTGCATTTTCGATGGACCTCATCAAGCTGCTGTATTTCGATTTGACCGATTCCTGCTGTTTATCCGTCTTCAGGTTCGGAAGGACAGTTTCGTACGCCAGTTTGCTGATTTCTTCGATCGGCACGTGTCCATTCGCTTCGGCAGCGTTCTTGTCAAATCCTCGGATCACGCAAAACTGAATAAAGTCATTGCAGTCCTTCGTCAACCCCTGCACTATCGTAGTCATTTCGTCGTACTGTTTGGGCGGTCCAGTGACGATCGCATCCGCCAATTGAACAATAGTCATCGGCGGCTGCTTTTCCGTTATTTTGGAGTTGCTTGATGCTCTGTATTGAGCCGCCCATTCATTCACAACTATCGAAATTCCGAGGTTGTGCATTATGGATTTCGATTGAAATAAAGGAACGAAGAGAAGTTGGACGGCAACGTCACTGAAAAACGGAAATGTCAACTTGAAAAATGACTAGAATGTACACTTTCTGTTCTTGAATTTCTGCACTGGACTCGTAAAGCGACTCGAGAATGATGGCGAGGAATTTGGCACAGAGGATCTTTCTCGTCAGATAAACTTTATCTTTTTCCCTCTCGCCGAGAAACCGCATCTCTTCCGAGCACATGAGCTCTGTCGGCGAGGTTTTCATACTGGCGAATCCGTCCACATCACACCCGAACACGTCGATTTGCGGATTCCGATGATCGAGAAGAAGGCAGCCGATCCAGTTGCCGATCTTCAGACTCACATCTCCTTTGTCAATCAATTCTTTTCTGAAATCTTAGTTTTTTACTGTTTAACGACGAGATAAACTAACTGATAAATCCGATATATTTTGCTGAACGTGAGAAACGTTTTCTCGAGGTAGGCAAGGGAGTCAGATGGAGGCGAGAAGAGCAGAATCCGATACAATTGCTTTACAATCCGAAAGACGTCGTCGGCTGTCAGTTTTTCGTTCTGCGGTCGATCCATGTCTGCATCCAACAGTCGCACGATTTTCTCGCAACGAACAGGGAACGAGACATCGAGCATCGAACAGATTGTGAGCAAACTGTCCCGAGTGATGCCGGTCTGCTGGTTCCAAGTCAGCCAAAGTTCCACGATCTCGAGAAGATCAATGCAAAGAGCATCGAGTCCTGCCCTCAGCTGCTCCTTCGACGCTTCCAATTCCAAAAGCTTCCAGATGTGACACATCACTTTTTTGACGAGCTCATTCATCTCATCCGCCGGGATCTCCTTGTTAGACAGAATTGACGAAAGCGTCTTTACAGCACATCCAGTGACGTCATCGACAGAGTCATCCAGTGATTGGATGACAAGGTCGAAGCACCGATCGAACGTGTTCTGTTGGCCGTCGTTCCGTGCAATGGCGAAGTAATACTTGAGAATGAGCAACCCTGATTGCCGAACGTTCCAGTTGTTATCTCCGGGTGTCTCGACCATTTGCACGACAATCTGCAGGAGCAGTTCTCTCCGTTTTTGATCTGTGCCGCGGAGCATGTGCACAAGTGCCTGGGCACATTGCTCCCGAACTGGAGCAGTTGCATTTCGGCCCGAGATGAAGTCGTTGAACTTGTCAAGAATGAGCACGTGGATCAGAAGGTACAACGTGGAATCGATTAGATCGTTCGAGAGTCGGTTGAATGAAGTGGTTGCGATGTGGCAAATGGCGATGGCGCTGCCGTGCCGAGTATACCACTGCTGCTCCGATACCAGGTTGACAAACTCGCGCAGTATCCTCCAGAACGTCTTCTTCCTTTCGATCACGGTCTCCGCTGATTCTCCATCACCTTCCGCACTTTCTTTTTTTGTCACTTGTGCCAATTCCTGACTCGTCGCTTCATCTGCTCCGGCAGTCTCTGGCACTTCCGTCGTTCCTATTATAAATTCGTCGTCGCTCAAAAACTTCCGCTGAAATGTCATTTTTCAGATATGGAACAAAAATCCAGCTGACTCACAGAGCTCATTCCTGTTATTTGCGAATACTCGAGGTGCTCATCGATGATTTCTCGTTGTTTCTGATTGTTCAACGGCTCTTTTTCCAACTTCTTTATAGCCAATTCTGATTCACTGTAATTAATCGATTTTTTGGACCGATACGTGAAAAACTCACCTGAGCAAAGGCTTGAAAGTCTGCAAAACTCTCATTACGTTGATATTTTTTAGCTGCTCGAAAGCCGTTGAATCGGTGTCATTCTGAAGCTCGCTTTAGTTAAATGTTAATTTTGCAAAACATTTCCGAAACTTGCCTTTTTATCGTCGAAATCTTGACAATTAAGGAGCACAGCCTGAAGAGCCCGTCCAGCGGAAACTCTGGTATCCCAGTTCTGCGAGGTCAGATGTTTTTTGAGAATCTGCAGTCTATCGTTAACATTTTACGATCACATTCCGCAAACCTCAACGACTTTCCCGTCGAATATGGAGAACTTGCCAAATGCGGCGGCCGCCTCGTTCCGTACGTTGGGATTCTTCGCCTCGAGTAGCGGATTGAGCTGCTGGAGGCGATTCGACGTGTCGGCGCTCATCTGCCGCTGAAACGGACAATATAACTACTGTAAATTTGCCAGATTTGTCGGAAATCGCTCAAATCTCCCGAGCAAATCGTTTTCAGGAATTTTGGATATATTCGCAGGGCAGACAGCAAGTGCGCTCTACCGCACTTTAAAGGAATTCCTGCCGTATCCGCTATTGAGTATTCACGACTGCTTTGCAGAAGACGGACGATATGAAATCAGATGGAATCAACTTTTCAAGAAATGAAAGAAATATCTGCTATCCATTTTATTATTGTCAATTAAAAAGTAATACAATACAGTACGGGGGTTACAGTTGCCGTTCAGGTTGCCATGCGAAATTTATAAAAGGATTTGGGTGGTGAGTGGGGGCAGTATACTTGGAAGATGATTGGGAAGGGACGAAGAGGAGTGGATAACAGATAGAGAAGCGGAGCGCGAATAACTTATTGGATCTGGATTCCAGAGAGCTCGATGTCTCCGGAGATCTGGAGTCCGGCGATGTCGTGCGGGTCGGCACGGTGAGCGAACGAGGCGAAGCGCTCTCCGTTGACGAACACCTGGAAGGCGTACTCCTCGTTCTGGATGGCCAGGTCGAATCCGACTCCCTTCTCGAACGGAATCTTGCCCTCGCGTTCCTCATTTCCCCACTCGTTGGCGGCGAGCGAGTTGCGGATGACGTGCTGAAAAGTGGAAGAATTTCGACGTGTTTGCTGCACTTTCACTTGATCTCGCTCGACACAAACTGTTCGGCAACACAAAAATGATGTTTGTGGAGCAGACGCCTTATTTGCACGTTGGCAATGGTGCAAACACACAGGGGAATTCTTTCTTACCTTCTCATCGAAACGCGGGTTGAAGTGGAACGAGATGTCTCCGTTCTTGCGGAGAAGGTTCAGGTGGAAGCGCTTGGCCTTCTTCTCGACGGTTCCGAAGACCAGAAGGGTCTTTCCGACCGGGAGTCCGTTGGCAAGTCCGCTTTCGTATGGGACCGGGTAGTACTTTCCTCCCCAGTGGACGTGGTTCAGGTAAAGGTCTCCGTCGATCGAAAGATGCGAGATGGACGAGAGCGGCAGGCGGTGCTCATAGTCCTTGAACTCCTTGTGGTCGACGATGATCTGAAAATTGAAGGTTCAGTTTGAGCGGATACATGGAATGCTTTCACCTGGAAGCGGTCATCGTGAGCACGGATGCGGATGTCGAAGGAGTCTCCCTTCTTGATCGGGTTCGACTTGCGCTCTTCCTTGCCCCACTCTCCGTTGGAGAACGAGTTCAGGACAATCTTTCCCTCGTCGAAGCGGACGGAGACGTGGAGCGGGACGTCGTTTCCGGAGAAGTCAGCGGTCTTCGAGTGGAGGTTGATGGTGAAGCGCTGCGACTCGTCGATGGTCGATCCCTTGACGATGAGGGTTTGTCCTGGCTCGAACTTCTCCTGGAGCACCGAGCGGTATGGCACCGGCTGAAAGCGAACAGATTGAGTTGGGAGAGGGGAGTGCAGAAGAGAGAAACCATCTTATCTTCCTCTTCTATGTGCCATCTTAGAATGTTCAGTAGGGTGATCATGTCAGAAAAAGGGACTCGCCGAGCTTGCGTGACACTAGCGAACAGAATAAGCAAGCGAGCAAGTAGCGACCCATGGAGCCGGAAGAGCAGTTATCCAATCTGTCTCGCCAATCTTCGCGCGCTCTCCCTACACATCTGAAGGCGTCGACAAACGTTTTCTTTGTTTGTTTGCTGTGTTTTTTCGGTGCTGTTGCATTTCCACACAAGAATCCGTGTCATTCCATTGTGATAATGGAATAGAAACGACCGAGAAAAAGCGTAGGCGAAAGGAGCGATAACAGCAAAATTTGTCAGTTCCCAGATGATTCTTAAAGTGTTCCGGCGGAAGGTGAGTCATACAAAAACATTTTCTCGAAAGAGAATGGGAATCGTTCCTACTATAGCTTTAAAATCTATATAGGTGTTTGTCGGGATCAACTGAAATCACAGTCACGAGCTTTCCCAATTTGGAACTCAATATATGTGGAATGCAGTAGAGCGGAATTGGCAGGCAAAAGTAATTTAATTAGCGAAAGTCTCTTCAGGTGTCCGCTGTGCTCACCTTCTCCTGATCGTACCAACGAAGGAATGCAGGAGTTGACATGACGAAGGAGGCAGCGAGCGAGCTTGCAGTCAGAGCGAGAGAAGGCGACCGTCCAGGACGAGTGCCAAGCGAGAAACTAACGCCCGGTAACAGTTTCAATACAAGCTGGGAGAGACGCGGACGACGCAGACAACGAAACACTCATAACATTTGCAAGCTCCGCCCACTTCGAGGCGAGAGAACGCGCAGAGGTGAGAGAGACGCGCAGAAGCACAGTCAGAAAATGTTTCTTTTTGTGCGTGTCTGCTTCTCCGTTCACATGTGTGCTCTCTCGTCGACGTCGTCCCAGCAATGATTCATCGGTATTAGGCGGACGAAGGAAGAAAAGAACGTTCTGGAGCAGATCAATCGATCACAAATTCGTGTCCACGAAGTATATTCAATACGGAATTGCGGGCACAAACGCATGAACCTCTTCCAATTGTTGCTCAATATTTGCGGCGACGCATTACTGTTTACCGCCTTTCTCCGACGGTCACGTGCAAACTTCAGAGGCGCGAAACGGCGGGAAATGAATCGAAATGCTTCAAACACGGCACCTGCTATTTCAACTTTGCAGATTTCAACTCGCAGACAAGAGGAATTTGAGCGAGGCAATCGATGCGTGACGCGGATAGGCAGATGAGGTTCCCACGAGTCGTGGCTTCCTGATTCTGTTCTGTTCGAATAATTGCGATTCGACTTTCAAAACCGGAAAAGAACAAGGGTCGAGGGAAGACATGAAGCACCGTTTTCACTTGAATTCTCGGTAATTCTCGGTCGAATTCATCGAAGGGGAAAGAGAAGACCAAAAACAAGCAGACCAGAAGGGCAAAATGGACTATTCGGAAGGACTTTTGTGAAGTAGTAAAGCTGCCGAGAAGGGGAAATTCCATTTCGCATCGAAAGATCCCTTTGGTTGCAAAATTTGATCACTTGCTGCCATAAAACTTGACATTTCGAAACGATCCCGTCCGCTCACTTTACTGTTTTCGATACATTCCCCCGTGCTGATTCAACAACAAACCGGCCAAACATCAATGCACTTTCCGGCACGGGGAACTTTCTAATTTAACATTTCCGTCGGTTTTCTTCTCTCGCCTGCGCATTCTTTCTGATTCACTCATCTCCAGTCGCCTATTGCATCATCCGTCACATATTGTGAAAGCGGAGCGAGGGGTAAGAAAAAACATTGATACAGTACGCTGACTCATCTCGTTTTTCTTCTTTCTTCTCTCTCACTCTCTCCTACTTTCCCTTTTTTCTCCAACTTACGTAGGACTTTGGCTCTTCGGCGGACATTTTCGAAGTTTCTGGAAGCGGCACGGGGGAAGGTTCCTGTAAATGAATTCCAATGATGATTGATATTGAGACGTGAGAAAAGGCGCGCGATAACGAAGAAGACGAGGGCTAAAGAGCGACAACAATGGCAATAAAAGCGGCGCGGACGAAAAGAAGAGCGTTTTGTAAATACGAAGAGACAGAAGAGACAACAGACGTGTCAACAAGGGCTGAAGGAGCAGGCGGCCGGAGGAGACGTCGAGAGGGAAACCATGGTGATAAAATGAGAGAAATGGAGAGCGAGATGTGTTTATGATGAGGTGACACATCGAGAAAGTGGAGTGTCGACATTTGCATTTCCCCATTCATGGAGTACTTTAGGGGGAAGTTTGCACAACGGGCAAGCTGTTTCAGAGCGATGGAAACTTCAAGACGTCCAGTACGAGCAGTACGGCCTAATCGAAAAAGAGCAGTTGGGGAAGAAAAGTTTTCCAACGAGTTTTCGTTTCGAGTGTTTTCCCAGTGTCCTCTCAAGTGCAGATGTTTGCTACTTTTCCTCGTAAACAGACTGCCCGATCACACATGTGGCTTTCATCTGGCGCTTCGATTCGGAAATGTTGCTACATACGCACACATACACGCACCACACCCTAAATTCGTTGCATTTCACTCCCTCAACTTGGCGTGTGTCGAAACAAGTTCAAAACGCTTCAAACATCAAAAATGGATGCGAATAAGCGGTGCGCGAGCGGCGTAGCGGGTGAAATGTGGCGGGAAATCCGTCACAATTATTATACTTTCAAGAGAGTTCGAAGAGTGCGATGCAATCGTTCGGGGCAGAATGCGTACAAAAATTCGGTACGGGGTAGTGTCGATTTGGCCGGGGTAGGGGGGTCTTTTCTGAAGTGTTCTCCATCTCTTTTATCGTCGAAGAAACGGTGGGCGGCGCCGAACCATTTCTTCATCTCGCCCCTTGCCCGCATCTCCCTGCCTCCTCGGCATTTTATTTGCTGACGAATTTGATGATTTATAGTACTAGTACCGAGTAATATCGATACGGAGCACAATGCATTGTTTAACATTGGCTGTACGATTCTTCTTTTTTCTTCAGCAAAAACGAGAGAACGGATTGGGAAAATGTTTTTGTAGATGTGGAGGATGTGAAGAAAACAAAATATTGTAGGGTTCTCTGATTGGAAAATGAATCGCAACGCGTACAGTGTGAATGCACACTTTCATGGAGATAAGACGGGGACTGATAGCGACTTCTTGATATTTACATAAGGTTCTAGCATATTCTAGTTTCTTTTTCAGACTTGAAAAATTCAGCAACTTTTACTGAATTCGTGACAAAACCTTTGGTCGAAAGCGAGCGCCCAAGCGAAACAAATATTATTCAGCTGAATATGGAAAACAGGGAACAGGGAACAACAAGAGTGTTGTCCGGCAATCGTGGGAACTATTGGAATTGACGGACGGCGCACAGCAATCGCAATTGTTGCCAACAAAGCGGGGGACAAAACCGAAAGGAACGAATTTCGGTTGGCTTGAGGGGCGCCATCCACTCTCTTTCTCTCACAAACAACAAGAAGGTGGGCGATACGAGGAGAGAGAAGGCGAAAAGGTCGACGCGGGGGACACTTTGTTTACGCTGTCCCTCGCCGTTTCGAAACTATGTCGGAACCTGTGTCGATGATCGATTAGCCGGAAGGATGAGTGAGCGGGAGAGAGCCACCAGAACTTGAGCAGCCACCTCTGAATGTATCGGATGACGCCTTCTCGCAGCTTCTCTCGTAACCGCAGAAATGCGAAATTTGGAGTGAATTGTGTGCGGCCATTGGCTTCTCGGCGAACAATTGCAGTGTGTGTGTGTGGCAGAGCGAGTGCGTAGTTTATCGGAGACAACTGGAGCGGGAGGGAGTGCTTTACGGCCGTGTCAGTGGCAACTTTAGCAGAAGAAAGAGAAGGGGAAGAAGACGTTTGAGTTCAAGGAAAGGTCGCGTGAAGGACGTCTTCTCTTCGGCCGGCGCGGTTTAATTGGATTCGCTGCTTTGCTTCGGTGGCGCGCGTCGACTCAAGGAGAACGGAATGAATTGATGAGATGGGAGTGATTAAAGAACGAAATTAATGGCTTTATGGAGAGGAAAACAAAGGAAAATTCAGAAAACGTCTTTTGCGGGCGGTCGAAAGCAATCGGAGAAGACGTGCGAAAGCGGAGAAAAGGCGAGAGAGCAGTTGATAAACAAGAGGCGCTGAGAGAAATACGAAACGAGGCGCCAAAATCCCGGCAGGGATCGGGGTTTATCGTAAATCTACACGAATTTTTAAAATTTTGTTTTTGTTGAATTCCGATTTTGGTCTTAAAAAATGTATTTAGCCGTACGCTTTTCCAGATGCTGAAAGCATTCACGGTCAGAACTTCGTTGCAAAGAGCAGCCTCCACAAGACAGCTGGTCTACGAAGGATATGGAAATCCGCCAGAAGTATTTTTAAAGTTTGAAAACGTTGAAAAAAAAATATTTTTTAGGCTATCCAACTGAAAAGAGCTACGATAAAAGACAAGCCGTCGAACGATCAAATTCTCGTCAAATGGATTGCAGCTCCTATCAACCCAGCAGATTTGAATCAGATTCAAGGTGCCCAGTTCAGAAACGCTCTTATTTCTGAAAAATATTGCATTGCAGGTGTTTACCCAGTAAAACCGACACTGCCAGCGATTGGAGGAAACGAGGGATTCGGTAAAGTGCTGAGTGTGGGCTTGAATGTGAGCAGTATCAAAGTGGGAGACCACGTAATCCCCAATAAATCGGGACTGGGAACATGGCGAGAACTCGGTCTACACTCTGAATCTGACGTTTTCCCCATCGACAACGCGATTCCTCTGGAATTTGCTGCTACTTTCCAAGTAAGAAAAGGTTGTCTAGCATCTAAAAGCTGAATAATTGCAGGTTAATCCTCCAACCGCCTACCGTATGCTGAAGGACTTCATCAACCTGAAGAAGGGCGACACAATCGTTCAGAACGGAGCGAATTCTGCCGTCGGCAAACAAGTCATTCAAATCTGCCGAATTCTCGGAGTCAAATCGGTCAACGTGGTTCGAAACAGGGAGAATCTCGGCGAGTTGGTGGACGAACTGAAAGATTTGGGAGCTGATGACGTTATCACTCAAGAAGAACTCTATGGGAGGAAGAAGAAATTCCCGGGAGTGAAACTGGCTCTCAACTGTGTTGGCGGACGCAGTTCCCTCTTCCTCGCCAGTCTTCTCGATCACGGAGGTTGCATGGTGACCTACGGAGGAATGAGCAAGCAGCCGGTCGAGTCGCCCACGGGACCGCTCATTTTTAAGGACATCTCCCTTCGAGGCTTCTGGATGTCGAGATGGTACGATGTTCAAGAAACTCCGCAAAAGAGACATGAAATGTACACGGAGCTGGGGGAGTGGATGAAGAGCGGAGAGATAAAGATGCAGGAGTTCGTCAGAAATCGACTGGATGACCACGTGAAGGCCATCGAGGAGGCGCAGACAAAGTTCGACAAGAAGCAGCTTTTCCTTCTCGATTGACTCTGTATTATTTATAACCTTGTATTTTTTTAGTTTGTAGTCACACGAGTTAGTTGTAATTTATATGCTCTATCTACGTGTCCTCGAACGTGTTTCTGGTCAATTTCCTCGCACAAACACGCCTCATCTAACCGTTTCCTTATTTTGGAAATGTTGAAATCATGCTCAACAATTCGATCGGTTCTCTCGAGATCGATCTCAACTCGTCAGCTGATCTATGAAACTCACGGAGCGCCCGAGAAGATGATTAAATTGAAAAGAGTCGAGTTGCCGGACAAGTTGGAATCGGAGCAAGTGCTCGTGGAGTGGAAGGCCAGTCCGATCAACCCGGCGGACATTAACCACGTGCAGGGGGTGTACGCGGACAAACCGAATCTGCCGGCCAATGCAGGAATGGAAGGAGTCGCCCGAGTCGCGAAGGTTTGTCGCGGTCAGAAGTCGGAGACAACTGAACACCTTTCCAGGTGGGCTCAGCCGTAAAATCTCTGAAAGAAGGCGACCAAGTAATTATTGACTACCATGTCATCGGCTCGTGGGCGGAGCACGGAATCTACTCCGAGAAGGATCTGATTCCCATTGACAACGGCCTTCCGTTGGAGTACGCGGCCTTTCTGAAAGTGAATCCGCCGTCCGCGTACTTTATGCTCAAGGAGTTTGCTAATCTGAAGCCCGGCGATTGGGTTCTTCAGAATTGTGCAAACTCGGCAGTAGGAAAGCAGGTCATTCAGGTGCAGAGAAGAAAAGATTGAAGCTTCTCATAACATGAATCACTTTAAGATCTCAAGAATTCTCGGTTTCAAGACGTTCAACGTTGTCCGTAATCGTGAGAATATCGAAGGCCTTGTGAGGGAAATGAAGGGCTTGGGCGCGGACGAGGTGATCACGGAAGAGGAGATGTTCGACCGGAAGAAGACAAAACTGCCACGTGTCAAGCTGGCGCTGAACGGAGTCGGAGGAAAGAGCTCTGTGTTCCTGGCGAGTGCCCTCAAGCCCGGCGGATGCATGGTGACGTACGGAGGAATGAGCAAACAGACCACCCAGGTTCCCTTTCGTTTTCTCATCCCAATTGACCTTTCACTTCAGTCACCGACGGCTTCTCTCATCTTCAACGACATTTCGTTGCGCGGATTCTGGCTCAAGCCGTGGAGCCATCAGAAAAAGGCCGGAGGGGAGCTGCAGAAAGTCTTCAACAAACTTTCCGGATGGATGAAGAGCGGCGAGATTGTGAAGCCCGACTTTGTGGAGAGATCCTTGGAGGAGCACGTGGAAGCACTCGCCGAAGCGCAGATCAAGTTCGACAGGAAGCAGCTCTTTTTCATGAACAAGAGCAGTTAGCACAGGCGGTCGGAGAGAGCCCGTGTTGAATAAAAGTGAGCACGCACACACATAATCACAATCACGTCGAGTTTTTCTGTGTGGAGCCGCTTGAGTTGAGAGCACCGTTGCCCTGGCGACACGTCTTTCAGAAGAGGGTGGAGCCGAGTGCATTCCGCCCGACTCCTCGCCTTCTGTCGCTGTTTCCAGTTTCTCCCTCCTCTTCGTTCGCTTCTTTTTTCAATTTTTTAATACGCGTTTGGTCTCCAAGGATGTATCCGTTCTTCCACGATGATTGGACGATGACTCCACGAATGACGCATTCACGCACGAGCGATTCCCCATCTGAAAGGAAGTCGTCTTGTCATCTCTGAGAGTTGATAGTATTTCCTCACTTTCACCCAATTAGGACGTTTCGCCAGCTTCGCTAGCCCGAAGACGTCATTCCGTTGTTTTCACGAGATGTCCCCTCTTTCTCCTTGGCTAACAGAGTCTCCATCATCTATTTCTGTCTGATTCGGTTCTTGCAGATTTGAGATGAAAAGTTCTGGCAATTCGAAATCATCACTTCAAAAACCGTAAGTCATTTGAATACAAATCCACGTCTCCCTTGTTTTTTTTTCACGAATTGACCGAATTTCATCGGAATGTTCAATTTATTAACATGAAACCGAGTTGAAAACATGCACTTTTCGAAAAGTGTATTCCCAGTTGTATTCCGAGGAATGATCAGCTGGTCTGTTCAGAGAAACGAGTTATTTTCGTGATGAGAAATCTTTGAGAATATGACTCAGATTCTAGAATTTTCCATTCCAAACCCGCCAATTTCAGTCAAACGATCCGCGCGAGAGCTGGCAGCACGCCGGGCTTGGACAGCCGACAAATTCACTCTCTTATCAACCGGAACAACGCGTTCACTCGCATCCTTTGCAAAGATTCGGACACCGTCGGTGAGTGCGAGAACTTGCCCCGATCTTTCCACCGATCATCTTCACAGACTCGCCCATTCCGACCCTTCCATCGACGCGTTCCTCCTCTGTCATCTCAATTATATCATCGGCTTCTTTTGTCGATGGATCTCAAAGCTCCGGACGGCTGATCAAAGTGGCACCCGCCAAGGTGCGCCATTCGAAATCGGCCAGTCGCTGGCAGGGCCTCTGCCATTCAGTTGTGAGCTCCAAACTTATCTTCGCACCTTTTGAGGGGGTATTTATGTGCACGAGGGGGTGATAATTGAAATCGAATAGGGCCCGGAAGTACAGCTCGAAATGGAGTTATCACGAGGCTAGAGTGCGTGTATTTGGGGAAGCTGTGGCAAAACGGAAAGCCCGTGCACAGATCACAGACACGCCTAAAAGGGCAGCAGGTGTTGAGGGTTCATTCCTCCGTGCATTCTCTCACTTTCCCCCCTGCACGCCTTCTTCCCTTTCCATTCTCTTTTTCTTCAGCAAGACACCGTATCCCTCCTTTCCGATGATTCTTCCTCCCTTTCCGATACTCCAAGGACAATCACCTCAGCTTCGAACATTGAATTCACGGACGACGACTCCCTTTCCCTCGAAACCCTCTCCCCGACCTCCCTCAATTCGCCAACTGACAGTCCTGATGAAGTATTCGAGAAGGTGAAAAGTGCAATCGCATCGGGATCTTCCACCCCGCCCGCCCTCCGTTCCTCGCTCCCATTCCGATCGTTGTACTTGGACGAAGTGGTCTGGCAGATCGACGATGTTGTCTTCGCCTCCGCCATCGACGCCGTCAACAACAACTCGCTGATGTGCCGTCTCAACATCGAGTTTATTTGCGAGATTGCCGACGAGAACGCAGATCACGTGCAAGAGACGAGGTGAGCTCTGTGTGTTTTGTGCTGACTGGACGCGGTGTGTTGTTGTTGCTTTCCAGACGCCAGAATCGTGGCTTCGACTGTCCGTGCTTCTGCAGTCGCGCGAGCAGCCACTTCCGTTACTACCTCTCCTACAGCCTTCCAGAAACGGAGCAGCGGTGCATGCAGGTGCGAAGAGTCTTTTCCTTTTAAAAGTTCCCCTTTTCTTTTTCAGCTGTCCACAGAGGACACCAAACTCAACGAGATGTTTGAGGGATTCATCGACCTCGTTCATCGGGCTCAAAAGGCGCGCAAAAATGTGCTCGTGTGCAGTACACGGGGACGGAACAGGGCTCCCGCCTTCGCGTCCGCCTATCTCATGAAGAAAGAGCTGATTTCGAGACAGACGGCCGTTGCGAAAGTGAGAACCGCCATGAACACTATGAGACCGCCCGTGAATATTTCGGATTTTATGCAGAGAAAGTTGATGAGGTACGTTGTTTTAATAACGTCTAAAAGCAAAAAGTGTCTTTTCAGATTCCAGCAACACATTGGAGTCGACCCCTCAAATGCCTATGATCCAGCTCACACTCTCCCACTTTTCCAAGTGAAGCGCTCCGCGTGGACATGAACTTCTCGCGTGTATTTGGTATTATGCAATCATTCTTCGTTATTTCCGTTTATTGAACGTTGACCTTTTGACCTTTGAATCTTTTGACAATAAATTGAGGCCCGAAACATCTACTCATGTGATCTTCTAGATCCTTAACATTTGGGACTACAATATACCGGTGATTGCGGTTGTACAGAAGGGGTGGAATAAAAATCAGCTTAGTGGGCCTTTCTGGATTCGCTTCTGCTGCCATCGTGTCCATGGAGGGACAGACCGGTTCCGCGCTCTCCCGAGAAGTTGCAGCAGGCCGCCGAAGAAGGAGAAGAAGAGGACGTCCTCCTCCTACGTCTCCCGCCGTCTCCTAGCCACTTTTTGTCTCTTCCCGGCTTCTTCTCCCGCCATCTTTCACGCCGGCACTTCCATCCTTATCAGCTTGATTTTGATTCGATATTGCGCTTCTCGCGGGCGACGGCTAACTAGCTTGCCACGTCAGTCCGTGCATGGTGATTTTTGCTAATACTCGTCAATGATGGATGTTGGTTGGACTTTGATTGTTCCCTGTTTTGCCGTTCTCTCGAGCATGGGAGACCACGTGACTCTACATTCTCCACGTTCGAATTCTCGTCTCTTTTCAGTTTCTGAGTGTGTTTTGATGCTTCTCCTCCTCCCGCCATCTCATAATTTATTCAATTGTCGTCGGGACACCATACCTCCTTCTTCTCCTTCTCTCCGTTCGTCGGAACGGTCAATTATGGGGAGACACAAGGGAAGCTTCCAGAATCCGTCCGTACTCAAAGTGTCCTTTCACAGGATGGGACTGACGGACGGACGGCGCGGCGTGGCGTGGCGTGGCGACGGACGGCTAATGCTAATTCGTGTCGGCTTGCTGCCCGCCGGGAAGTCGCTGGGAGAATGGATGCTTGACAACGGAAGGAATGAGCGAAGAAAAAAGAGTAAGGGAAGAGGATGGCAGTTACAATGACACTTTGGGCGGAGGAGGACACAATGGGGGAATGTCTTCCGGAAAGTTAGTTGCGTGGGTGGTTCTCCCTGATCATCGGATGTTTCAGTAGCTTCCAAAGACCTCTGGTCCTTTCTAAAACAGTCCCATTCTGGTATACTCTTCCACCTGCCATTCCTCTGCACCGTTCTCCTCCATTTCTGCCGAATCTTCTCACCTGCGTCGTGATCAATAGCAAGTTTCTTTTGATTCCTCTTCATCTTATTCTTCTCCTCCTTCCATAACTACCGCTTCTTCTTCTTCTTCTTCTTCATCTTCAGCTAGATAGCAGCGATTGCGTAGGCACCTTGACGGCTTCTCTGCCTCCTTTCAAACGAAGAAAAAAGACAAAGAGTGAGAGGGAGAACGAGACAACCAACACAGGCTATTACGTGCATACGTTTCGAGAGGATCCCTCCGATGATGCCGAAGAGGACTGGTTTTGCGGCGGATGAGGTGTGTGCGGCGGTCCCGGGGAGGCGAATACTAGTACTTTGCTAATTGGCAAACTGAGATTCGAAGCCTACAGTAATCCGCGGGGCAGAAGCCGAAGCAGCGGCTCTTCCAGCCAACCCATCTCCGTCGTTCCCCTCGCCTCCTCGATATCTAGATCCAGGAGGACAAGTCCTTTTAGGCTTCTCTTTTGCCGTTTCGTGTTTGTGTATTGCCAATTGATCTTAATCGCATTGATGCAATAGTCTGGCATTGCTTCTCTCTCTCTCTTCTCCTTCTTCTTCGGCTTCTTCCAGTCCGGTTCCACTCCTTTTTTGCCCTTTCGCTCTTAATTTTTCACTCGGCCGCTCCCCCCGGCGCACGTTCGTTTCCCTCATTACAGTGGATTTCCAAAGGAAGGAGGAAACGCGCGCGCATATTACACAGTCCCTTCTTAATCTGAACCTTATTTCCCTTTTCGGTCACTCGCAAACATGCCTGTTCCGTCCTGTTACGCAATCGGCTAACGATGGCTTCAAGTTGGTCGGCCTCCTCATTCCGCTTCCGTCGGTTTCGCCTCGAACGGATCACATGCCCCCGTGAACGATCAGCTGCTAAGTGCCCCGGCCGGTGGTGTAATGATACTCTGCTCCTCTCTTATCATCTGACTTTTTCAACCTTCTCATTGTCATTACTTCCAGTCTCGACCGGTTCTCCGTCTCATTCTCTTTTCCTCTGTTATGTTATTCTCCGTCACTCAAAGTACACATTTTCCCACCTCTCTTTTTTCCATCGCCGCCACAATTTTTTCACAACCTAATCGTCGCGACCCGTCCCAGTTTCAGTTAACCCACCCAAATCCGCTCTGACCCCCGGCTTTGATCTGACCGAATCGTTGAATTTCATCGAAAACTGTTCAGGTTCTTTATCGCGTCATTTCAGGGTCGTTAAAACTGACAAGACAGTGTGCACATCTTCGGAAAGAAGTGCCGTTCGTGGGATCTTCTGATATACTAATCACATCACATAACCACGGAAGGATGAGCAAAGCGAAAGAGTGAGTGTCGTCTCTGACTATTCTAGAACTGAACCTGAGCAGAGACCTAATCTCTGGTCAGGACCAGCCTGAAGGGAACATGTACAAGTGCACTCCTCTTGCTTCGGAGGCGGACACAATCAATCCTGTTCTTTATCACTCGAACGGTTTTATTCGCGAGATAGCGCCACTAAAAACTGGCAATGATACTTCCGCGCAACACTGTCACTTTCCCCCCACTGATAACCAAAGTAAGCTTGCAGGGATCTCGGCAAGTCGGACAAGCGTCCGCCGTCTTCGCTCTCCACCGGATCCGCCGACAGCGGCGTTTTCTCGTCCGGCGTGCACGTCTCGCCGAGCCACAGCCAACGCAGCGAGGGATCGTCGGACTCGCAGAGCGGACCGCCCAGCCCGACCGCCCAACTCAACTCGCTGATCTTCCAGACGGCCAACCTGATCGCCGTGAACGAGCAGCTTCGGAAGGAGATTGCCGAGTCAGGAGAATGAGAGACGGGAGTGCTCAGAGAAACAGAGACTGATTGCAGGAACAAACAGATCCAGAACATCCAAATGCGCGCGCTCAATCGGCTCTCCGCTCCGCCCGATCAGTCGTTCGTCCATCCGCATCAGACGGGCTTTCCTCACTCGCGTGCGCCACGTGGCGAGCGTCGAATGCAGAAGCCCGAGTCGTACAAGACGGTGATTTGTCAGGCGTGGCTCGAGTCGAAGACGTGCACGTTCGCAGAAAACTGTCGATTCGCGCACGGAGAGGAAGAGCTGCGTCCTTCGAAGTGAGCAGGGAAAGCTGGAGTCGGGGGTGTAATCGTTGAGCAGTTTCAGAATTGAACCACGTCAGAACAATAAGTACAAAACGAAATTGTGTGACAAGTACACCACAACGGGTCTGTGTCCTTACGGGAAACGGTGTCTGTTCATTCATCCGGATCACGGACCCAATGCATACATTCGAGCTGACAAGCTCTTTGAGGTTCCGTTCCGCGGTGCTCGAAACTTATAGAAGTTGTTTCTTAATTTCAGGTCTCACAGCGCCATGCTCTCGCCGATCTGAGGGATCAAATGGAGACGCAGATCATGACGGGCGGTCGGAATTCTTTCACCCAACTGCCTCCTCCTCTGATTCCCGAAGCACAGTTCGTCGGAAAACCACCTCAGATGGAAGCGAAGGCCAATTATGGGAATGTGCGGGCTCCGGTGCCCCAGATGAGTTGTGAAAGTGCCCGGCCGCACCCCAGTTGGCCGCTCGAGTCTTCTTCGCTTTTCTCGCCTCCAGAATCCTCGTTGAGATCCAACGGAACGATCAGTCCGTTCGAGCAAGTCTTCCCCGGACAAACCGGAATTCAACAGTATTTTATGCCAGGTAATCTTTCAAAAATTGAAAAAGATTTTCTTGAATTTCAGGGAAACCAGGCGACTTGTTCCACTCGAACCAACTGCTAAATCCGTTGCAATCAGAAGACGATTCTCTGTCGACCATTCCGGGATTCGACCATCTCGCTGAGGATATGGCCAAACATCTGGAGCTGTGGTGACGAAGAAGCAATAATTTATGTTAAATTTAATATTTTGAGACAATCAGTTCTTGATCGATTGTTTGTTTCTTTTCATGTCTGTGTATTGTCCGATGATTATTTTCTTCTTTTTTTTACTTTCGCTTAGATTTTCTCTTACTAATAATCGACAGCCTGAAAAAATGCAAAAATAAGATAATAAGACCAACTGTCGCTTTCCCCCATCCCCCGTCAAACTAATATTTTAATGGTTTCGTCTAATATTGTCATTTTTCTTCTTCTTTTTGAATAAATGTTCGAAGCCTAATGCGATCAAAACGTTTTTCTATTTACTTCACACACGGATAATACACGTTGCAAAAATCCTAAGCTTCTTTCTACCATAATAAATGAATAAGGATGAGGTGGCGCGAAACGGAACAAACCGGAGGGAGAAAGGGGCGGAGCGAGAGGGAGATTAAAATGGAACGAGGGTGCGGGTCAAACGGCAACAAAATTGATGCATACTCACTACGATTACAACAAAACAGAGAAACGACGCGAATCTAGACCAATTCGGAAACAAACAATGTACAACTGAATTGGATGGAACGGATGGATACGTGAGGTCGATCGAGATGCTCCGCGGGCTGTTCACTTGCCAATCCTTTGACGCACTTTGTTGTACTTGTCCGTCAGACGGTCTACTCCTGTCGCAAATCGTCGGTAGCCGTTCTGTAGATGTGCAACAACCGCCAGAATAATGTAGTACGTCTCCTGGGTCAGCTTCACACCGTACAGAATGACGTCTTTCGTCACCGTGTATAGAAGAACCTGTAACAGAATAAGTAAATTAGAGAAATTAGGATAGAAAATAACGTTACAAAGAAAAAACATACCACAGCCTTGGTGATGGCGGCCGAACGGATAATTCCAGAGACTTGCGATGGGTAAGACTGCACAGATTCAACCCATGTGTCACGCTCCCAGACACCAACTCCGCGACGATCGGCAATCTTAGAAGTGTGAATAAATTGACAATTATTTATTGTGCTGAAAAATCACTCACTTTCTCACTCATTAGCAGGCGGCTAATGAGTCTGGAGTAAGCAGGCACCGACTGTAACGCCTTCAGATGCTTCGTTTGATCGGGAGCTGGCACGCGTGCGTATCCACGTCGAACAACTTCCGTATTCAGATTGGTACGGCCGAATGCCGTTCTTTTGACGGTAACATCAGCATCGACGACGTCAGGAGCTCCGTCGACATTCTGAAAACAGTTCCGCATGAAAACATTTAGAGAAACAACCAAAATTTACCTTTATTACGGTAAAAGTGACTGGCTTGTTGGTGAGCCTCAAATCCTTTGCCAGGAACTGTTGTCCCGACTGGGAGAGCTCCACTCCGGCCAGCCGGAGATTCAGCAGACCTGGATTGGAGTTCTTTCGTTTTGGAAGAAACGGAATCTTCATGAGGGGCTCATGTTCAACACGCAATTCTCCGGAAGGGAGCACTTCGCGGACACGCCCCTTCAGTTCCAGTTCTTTGCGAATGAAATCCTTTGGGATCTGATTTACATGTTGGAATTTGTGGAACTGTAAAAATTCGTTGATTTTATGAATAAGTCTACAAATTTTTTTTTACCAATCTCGAGTTTCTCAAGTAAATAATAACTCCAGCGAGACCGACTCCGACGATCGTTCCCTGAAGAGAAACGCGTTGGCTGATTATTGAAACAATGCAGATACTTACCCGAACGGCAAGAGCCGTGTATTTGTCGATAGGATCGATCAGTTTTCCGCCGTCTGAGGTCGATATGGCGGGTGGATTAGCTTGCCCATGGTCCGGGTGTGTGGCGGATGCATCCGCTTCCGCCATTTTCTGGAAATAAGGCATAAAATGAAAAGAAAGAAAAAGAAGAGTCAGGTAAGAGATTGAGTGATTTTTGATGCTCGAAAACTTCGGAAAACACAGCGTCGTCATCCGAAAAGTGCTGCAGCAACAGCCGGCCGGGGCACGAGAATCGCGTCAAGGAACGTAATCGTGCCAGCGAAACCTTGGCGCAGGACGAGGTTCCGACAAATTATCTCGGCCGCGGCCATGAAAACGCGGGAAGCTGAAAATTGTTTTCCCGATTTGTCTTCTTTTTCTCTAGTTCAGTTGCGAATCGGTTCCAGTTTTTAAATCGCAAGCTAAAATGAAATTTTTAGATGAGCGCAGACAAAGATGACTTGCTCACTGCGAAATTGGCTCCGAAAAAGCGAGAAGAACTGCAAATTCACAACAAAAAGTTGGGAGAGGTGAAATAGTCGGATCTAAAAAACTGCTTACTTCGAAATTTCTGTTTCAGTTGGCTCAATGGCTGAAAAATGCATTTCCCAGTAAATACGGAGGCCTTCCGTGCGCACTGTTTCTCACTGGACCCACTGGATCTGGAAAGTCGACGGCAGTTGAAGTGCTCTGCAAAGAAAATAATGTCGAAGTGATCGATTACACGCCGGAATTGTTGTACAACGAGAAAATGGAGCACGAGAAACCCGATTCGAGTCAATTAATTCGATTTCTATCTCGGAGACACGGCAGTTTGACGAGCTGCTCTCGGAAACGTCTGCTTCTCGTCACTGAACTTCCAGATCAATCGTATCAGTCAGTCATCGGAATAACGTCAAATTGATTTTATGATTTCTGTTGCAGTGACGCCGAAAAGTTTCGAGAAGAGCTCGCCGAAGCATTCCAGTCCATCTGGCACCCAGTCATCTTCTGCTTGTCCAATGAGGTCGCCATATGGAAACTCAATCCGATGCGGCTTTTCACCGAAGTTTTTCTGCAAGTGAGCCAAGGAATTCCATGTTGGTTCACTAATCGCTTTCAGAAAAACGGCGTGGACTTTGTTTCATTCAACTCGGTCGCCGATACTTTTATGAAAAAAGCCATCAGAAGGGCGTCCAACCTGCTCAATTACTCGGTGAGAAAATAGGCTGTACAGTAAACATTTTCGTATGTCTCATCGTCACAATTACAGTTATCAGAAGCCAAACTGAACGTGTTAGCAGAAGAAGCACGCGGAGATCTGAGAATGGCGATGAACATGCTGCAAATGAACACGATCGGACGGAATACTGACCGTCAAAGTGGGACCAAAATGATTTGTGCGGCGAAAGCAAACAAGGAAGAGGCGTTTCACATGATCGGACGAATTCTCTATGCGAAAAGAGTCAATCCGAATGCGCCTAAGCCGTCGCGCAATCTTCATAAGAAACGGAAGTCTGCACCGATTCCTGAGCCAAAGGAACGAACAGAGTTGGAGCACGAGCCGACCGATATTATTGCCATGTCGAGCATGTCCTCTGATAAGGTTTTTATATGGACCAGCTCTTCTAGATCATGATTTTTCAGCTCGTCAGTTTCCTATTCGAAAATGAACCATTTTTCTGCTCGGATATGGCCAAATACCGTCGAGTCACCGATTCGTTTTCCCTTTGCGATGCAATGACGGCGAGTGGAGCACAAAAATGGAGCTCCCGGACGAGTATTGCTCAGAAGTCGCAGTTCGCAGTGTGATGTGGAATAACTATAAATGTGGTGAGCTTATAAGCTAAGCTCTTAAATTCTCTCAGAATTACGTTTGTTTCAGAAAGACCGAGAACCCTGTTTTGTGTCCATCGGCCGATATTGAAAGACCTCGAAAAGAGCATTCAGACGACACAATGCGAAATGCAAAGGCTTCCGATTGTCGGAGTCAAATACTTTTCCTCTTTGTACGTCATCTGAAAGCACCTCATAAAACTGATTGATTTTTGCAGAACAGCTCCCTATTCATTAATAATCAAAAAGCTCGTTGATCCGCACAGAATGGAGTGTTTTCTTTCGAGACCAATGTCCATTTCGTGGAAGTACGGACGAGATCAAATTGACGAACAAATTGAGAAAAAGTTGACTATGCACAACCGATATAGGCCGAAGAAATTGAAAGCCGAAAAAGAGAAACTGGAGAGCGAAAAAGAGGAGGAAGAAGAAGAAGAAGAGGAGGAGAAGTTTACAATTGAAGAGTGGAGTGACGACAGTTTCGATGAAATGTGACTAAATTCTATCTCTTTTATCAGCATTTACATGTGCCATTTACTTTCCCAGTACAATCTTACGTGAACATGTGAATTGTGGTAGAGCGCGATTATTCTTCAAATTTATCGCATTCATGAATTCCTTTTCCCGTTGGATACCGTAGATCTTCCTACGAAACCTTTTGGTTCCTCCACCTCTTAGATAGACACAAAGAGTATGACAATCAATTGTAGCGCTATGATAATCGAGAATTGTGTGTGCAGAACACGATATCACAAATCACGCCGTTAATTAGATCAAGTTGTTCGCCACCGGGTGTAGGTGGATGAGAAGAAAGTGATAAGAATGGAAAGGAATGTGTTTATTTTATTAGCATATCACCGAATCCTTCGGTGATCATTATTATAATTACAAGTAGTAGGAGAAGAGCGAAAAAAAGCGAACCCATAAATGACATGTAGCGTAAGAAGAAGTAAGAAGGCGTCGGGAAAGTGCTTAGGACAGCCAGCTGGGAGAAGCGAACACAGTGACCATTGCTCCGTCGGATCCCCAGGCAGGACTGAGAGCGTATGGAGAAAGAACGACGGCAGTGATGTATTGGGGAGAAAGAATGGTCGGAGAGAGAACGAACGGAGAAAGAACCAGCGGACTGAGAGCCAACGGGTTGAGGATAATGGGACCGAGGCAGAAGGGAGTCAGGATGAGGGGGGTAAGGACCTGTGGGGAAAGGATGAACGGAGCGAAGACCAGGGGCGAAAGGACAAAGGATTCATGGATCCGGGGCAGAGAATGAAGGGGTTGAAGGCCAGCGGCGACACGATAATGGGCACCATCAGGAAGGGATTAATGACGACGGGGGAGAGGACACGGGGCGAAAGGATGACCGGGACCATCAGCCACGGCGACATGACCATCACTCCGTAGATGGCCGGAGAGAGGACCAGAGAACACAGCATGATGGGCGAAAGGATCGTCGGTTGGGAGACGGACTGCAAATGTTGGATTTGTGAAGCGACTGGAAAGGGCTTCAACTCACCACCGGATCCAGGATGAAGTTGGTGAAAGTGACCGGCGACAGAACGATGTCGTTCTTTCTCGCCTCGAACTTCACCTTTTCTCTCGCCAAATCCTTGATCGTGCTCATGATGGCTCTGTCGATCTGCGGTCTGCTCAATGCTTTCGCTGTCTCCAAGAACTTCCGATTCTCCCCGACGGACCCCTTCCCGTAGATCAGATCCATCTGATCGTGTCTCATAATTGTGTAGCCAGTTCTGTTCATTTCTTTCAACTGCTCATCCGAATACGTCTTGTCGAGTGCCTCGAACATTTCGATCTTCTTCGCCTCGTGCGGGTACTTCTCCGTCACATTATCCCTCGTGAAGTAGAGGGGCTGTCCTTCAGGCCCTCTGCCCATCGCGTCGTCCTTCAGCCTACGGTACTCTCCGATCTTTTTCTGAAATGATTAGATCTCGTTGGAAAGTTCTTCTCAAACGAATACCGTACTTCTACTCTTGTCATAGCCTCATTCACACCGGTGGCTTCTACAATGAAATCCAAAAAGTCTTGAGAGTCCTTGTTATCGGTCAGAGATCCCAGAAGGTTGTTCAACGACGCCTGCTTCTCAACACCCGATCCGTCTTCATGGAGAGCGAAGAGTGAGGGCGAGAGCACGTCGATCTGCGAAGAACACGATGTAAAGTAGCCCCAGGCTTCAGAAATATTCTCACCTCATTCTGTTTGGCCTCTTCCTCCTGTGGGATCACACTCATAATCCGGGGACTGGCAATTCGCACGACTTTCTTATCAAAGTCCGTCGTATTGTATCCATTCATAGAGAGTCCCAACTTGGCCGCGTTTCTGATCATTTGAATGGGAATGAGCATCATTTTCTCCTGTTCGCTCATGCTTCCCGCCTTGTTTCGCAGCATGTCCTTGATCTGATCGTTGTCAATGTACTGCTCCAAATCGGCCAACTCTTTCAAACTCTCATCCTTCGCCATCTTCTTGTTCTTCTGCATTTTGGCGGCCGCGTCCGTGAATATGCTCAGTCTTTTCTGCATGAAATCCTCCATCTTCTTTTGCTCTTTGATCTCTCTGGCTTTTTCGGAAATGCGTCCGATCGTGTCTTGCCACTTCGAAATCGAGTCCGTCTTTTTAATCATTTTAATCGCACTCGTGAGATGTTTGGTAATCAATCCAAATGGAGTCCTACAATATAATAATGACAATGAAATTGCCAGGCCATGCGCTCACATCTCCTTCTGTCCCTTCAAAGTGTAACTGTCTCTCGTGTGCACCTTGATTTCTCTCTTTGCTCGGAACCGGAACGATCCCACCCACTCCTTCTCCTTCTTAACCTCTTCCACGCTCATCGGAGCCATCGTTGTTTTGGTGACCATCTTGTCGATCTTACGGCGCATGTCTGAAACATTTAAGAATGTGATTATTACTGATTAGGATGTCCTACTTCTGCTGAACAGCTTCTTTCGATGAATAAGTACATTGCGATGAGCGTCTTCTTCCAATTGAATCAGACATTTTGCGTGCTCCGAAAGAGTTTCAGCCTCCGATGAGCACTTCTCGTGGGCTTTTCTCTGATATTCTTCAACCAGTGGCAGTCTAAATTACGGCGGGTTTTTGGAGCAGATGATCAGTTTCTGTGCTCACCTTCTCGTCGCAATCGCGGCCACGACTCCGGAGAATCCCTGAGTGGCCCAGTGTTCGAGGAGCTCCTCTCCGGAGTCTGTCGACATGGGCACATTGAAAACTTTGTCCTTGTAGTGGGGAGACTTGAGAATCTCTTTCTGAGTGAGCCCAAACTTGGTCACGTCGACTTCTGACTTAATTTTGAGGCCGGCACATTGGCAAACGAGAGAGGAGAAGAGAAATAGGAGGATTGGCGGGCCCATTTCGAAACAGAGATCTGCTCAGGGGACTACCGTTGATTTTATGGATCTTCGGAAGCCGGGTGGGCGTGTTCGTTCGAAAGTTCACCTCGAAACGTGGTGGATAATCAGGGATGTCCGAAAAGTGGGCGGAGCAAACTGGCCAACTGATACGCGGGGGGCGATGTTCTCAAAGGGCGGTCACCCCACGTTGATCTGGTTGAACCACGCCGCTCGACCACATTTTGATCCTGATTTCCAACGCATTCAAATGAGATATCACGTGAGAGGCGGGCTTCGGAAACGTGGAATTCGCATTGGTTCAATGATGTTTCTCGTTGTTGCAAAAGTGTTTCTTGTTTTGATTTGCGCCCTCATAATAGCGGAACAAACAACTACTACTGTGATCTTCGTCCGAATTTCGTTCTTTGGGGACTTTTCGGCAGAGAATCGGGAAAAGGAGAAGGAGAAGAAGAAGGTGCAGTGACGTAAAGGAAGACGAACCGGGGTTACTGTAGAGATATGTGTAGGCTGATTGGACCTCAATGTACCTGTTCGATGTTGTTCTTAATTGAAGCTGACAAGAAGGTCATTCTACAGTATGCCTCAAATGCGCTTTGAACTGTGATTAAGTACGTAAACTCTCTGGCTACTCGCTAAAGATGGCTCAAAACCGAAGCCACCAATCACATCGCACCTACCGTAATCCTCCCCCCATCTCCCTTTCACTCTCACCCAAACTGACCTACTTCTCCCCTTTTCGGCCCTCGTTTGCCCCTATCACATACTTATCATGTACCGTACTCCGAGCGGTCATGTTTGTCCAACAATGAACGAATTTAGATGAAACAATCCGACCTCTCCCCTTCGTTCTCCTTCTTTGTCCGAGTGGTGCGCACCAAACATCCCTTCCTCTTTTGCGTTGTTTTCCAGAATAATATACAAGCAGGTTCAAACCGTTTCATTTCGAGCAGAGAACACTTTCCATCTCGGACGGATAGGAGGAGGAGGTGATAGTTCTCTATGCATGAAATGGAAACATGTATCGTCAGATACGAGAAATAAGGTCGAGTGTGTGTTGGCTGCTTATCACTTATCACTTCTTCACATCAAAATGTTTCATGCGCCGCTTTGAATAGTTAATCACATCCGAGAACAACAAAGGATTCAGCTGATGAAATATGAAAACAGATCCTGATGTTTATGCATGCATCCTCCGAGACCTTTGTAGTTCCAACAAAGCCTCTAGGTATTTCAGAACTCTCCCGCCGGTTTGCAGCCAGTTCCCGTTTGCATGTACCTGTTCTTATCATCACATGGCCCCTCTCGGTACGCATTGTATCCGATTTCCATTCTCGTCTTTGCCTCTTCCTGCTTCCAAAACAACTGCAAATGACGATAATCGGACTGGACATTCTCGGATTTTAGGGAATCGAAGAGTGACGTGGCGCGCTGAGATTGAACATTGCACACCTTTCTCAGAGCTTTAGGTTCTGTGAAGAAAATGTGTGGTTCTCACTAAAAAAACGTTTGAAGACCACATAAAAGTGTTCTGCCGAAAAACGGCACACAAGTACCGTCCATTGAAACCAATGTATCTCAGCTGTCTGTGAATGTATCCAAAAGTGGTCAACTAATAAAATGTACAAAATGTCCTAATGATAAATGTGTTTGTTGGCAATGTTTAAGTATCTTCAACGGCAGCTGAGATATATCGTCCAAGAGTTTTACGACTTTCCCGGAGTCAACCAAACTTTTGAAACCAACCGGGAACCCGAAAATTGATTGTGAAAACAAGAGGCTTTTCCCTAAAATGAATCACAATGACTACGATCAACTTCTTTTGTAGTCTACGTGTTGTTTCGAGACCATCGGAAGAAATGAACACGCTTCAATTAACACCCACAATTCGGAGGATGTTTCGAAATAAATCTGATAACAAAGCCGACCAAAATTGCATGAAAACAGTATGTGTTGAATGGTGTTTTACTTTACTTTTTTCAAATTCAATCAAAATCCACGAAAAATACGAGCATGGAATAAGAGCACAAATTGAGAGGAGGGTATTCTAACCTATCAGAACTGAAATTGGGCGGGCGAATGAGATTTTATGGAAGGGAGCGATGGGAACTGAAGAATCTGAAGAAGAGCGGAGAGAGAGAGAGAGAGAAGAGGGAATAACTCGTACTAGACACTGTAAACTTTGATGGGGAAGCTCGACGAGTTTTCTTCTGGTTGCACACATGATGAGAGAGGGGTAGAATGGGCGGGATCTCGAGGCGAATCACGGGAGAGACGGGTATCCGATTGGAAGACAAAGAACTGTTGGGAATGACTGGAAAATTGTCCTAAGATTTAAAGGGCGGTGTGACCGATTGGGACGGAATGGACGAATAAGTTAGCAGGGAATATGTATGGCAGTTGTCGCTGAGAATTGAGAGAATGTGGGAAGAAGACCATGGCTCCTAGTCGTCCGAATCGGCGCCTCCGTCAATGAGCCTGTAGACGGAGCAAGAGGGCTCCGGCTCCTGCGACACTTCGAAAACGAAACAGAGCACCATGAGCAGCTCCTCTGTTTCACTATTGGTCACAATCTGAACAGAGCACAGCATTCATGAATAGAAGATGAAGTAATAAAGTTACCTGTAAAACTGTGAAGTTCTCCAGCACATTGTTCATCGTCTCAATTGTGTTCAACTTCTTCAATTCGGCTATAAACTTGACCATGTAGTCGCACATCGGCGAGTTTGCCAACATGAACGAGTACGATCCGTCCACCTCATTCGGGAAGTATTGCTGAAAAGGAATGAGATGAAGAATCGAGAGGATGTGCTTGGTTGAATGTTACCTCGATCTTCTCAACCGCCTGGCTTCCAAACGAACATGCCATTGTGGAGACCTTTAGCTGGAACTTTTCGCGGCTCGAGTAGAACGAATCGACCGCATATTGACAGTTTCTAAATGATCATGCGTGAGTTTCAACGATCTCATTCGGATAAACATACTGCACATCATCCGAAACATTGATATTCGCCCAGCATTTGGCCAAAAAGAAGACGTCCTTCTTCTCGGAGCTCTCAAAGAGCTTCCGAAGCGACGGCGGGTACTTCTCGTAGAAGAGAGAAATGTCAATGTCATCCTTTTCTAACGTGTTGTCAATCTTCACCAACTCTGTCCTCTGATTCGTTTTGTTGCAGTGCACGTAGGCGGAGAAGCCGAGTAGCGACAGTTTAGAGGAGGAGATCGGCTTGTTGCACTCGGCAATTATCGACTCCGGCTTCTTTGCTTGAACGACGAGATGGGAAAGATCCATTCCGAACGGAATGCCGGCGGTTTGAGGGAACGCCGTCCAGAGGGGAAGGGCTGAAAACGGGAAGAATAGTAGGAATGAGGCAGGGGTTGCTCGCTCACATTGGAGAAGAAGTTGCTGGGAAATCTGATCGGGTTCCACCTTCGGAACGATCGTCGGGTAGTTGCTCCGCGGAGCAATGGCAGCTGCGGCGGCGACGGCAGTGGCTGTGACTGGAACTGACGGAAGCACGGAGGAGGGAGAGAGTGTGGGGACTCCGGGGGGCGAAGACTGCTGAGAGATGCTCGGAGTATCGCCCTGGAAACGAAACGAAGGAATGGTAACGGTAACAGTCCTACAGTAATCCTTACCTTTTTCTTAGCCTGCTCGTCTCTGGCTTTCTTCCTAGCAAGCACCTGAATATGCGATGACACTTGTTTCCGAGTTCGCGTCTTGCCACATCTCAATTTGATATACCTAGCGATCAGTTCGTTTCGTCCTGAAAATAAAAACAATGAAAATGCATGAGTTTCAATCAAGCAGCCGGTTTAAAAGGTTCTCGGCGAGCAGCTGAAAATGCGAAAGCGAGGGAGGAAAAGTGAATGGGAATTGACGCACGAATGGCGCATTTGTGATTCTGGGACTGACGTTTTCTGTTGAATTCAGAAATCTGGTGACGTTTTGGCAGGTGGAAAGGGCCCAATATTGCATGAGAGAGGAGTTTGAGCCAGGAGTAGAAGAAGAAAGAAGCAGGTCAGTTTGACCAGGCCAGAGTTCTTTGCCGACTATGCTCACAGTGTTGAAAAGACGAGAAAAATTTTACTCAAAGACAACCAACTCAAACAGTTTTAAACAGTCAAACCAAACAAAGTATTGTGGTTTGTGACGTGGCTTCTCCCCCTTATATTGTCGTTTTACCAACACAGCTCAATATTCTCTAGTGCCCATCTAAGGATCATGTTGCTCCTGCCAATCCAATCCCTGCTCCATCTCACATCCAAATTTCGGTTAGTTTTGATTGCTCGCGCGAGAGGGTCAAAAAGTCAGCGAGAGAAAGAGAGCGCCGCCCGTGTGTCCCGCAGCGAAAATAAACAAATGTATGGAGAAGAAGTGGCAGGAGAAGCACAGAACCCCCGGGAGCCTAATCCGGCAGAAGCCGCCTTTGTCGGTTCGGTTCGTCAATCCGTTTACATCATCAGAACATACATAATAATAATAAATATAGAAGAAGTTTGAGTTTGTCCTCCCTCCGAACGGGGCAGATGTTGGACAAGAAGCGAAGCGGGCAGATGTACAGTAATGCGCATCCACTTGGCTCCACTAATTATGGACACAGGACACACGCCACTTCTTTGAATGCAAAGAGTACTCACCATACATCTTTCCCTCGTCGCTGATGATAATTTTCCGTCGTCCGCACGGCGGATAAATAGCCAGCGCTTCTTGGAAAGCCTGGAAATTGGTGGAGACGTTGGAGAAGACGGGCCTGGAGGACTCACTTGATCGATGTCTATACTCCAAACACCTTCAGCATCGCCGGAGATGTCGGAAACGGAAGACGTGGATTCGGGAGCCGTGGAGCCGGCCGAGCCGGGACCATCGCCTGCGGGAGGGGAGAGCGTCATCATTTGTCCGCCAGAGTTCGTGGTGGGCGTCGTTCCTGCTGCTGCTGCGGCGAGCCAATCTTTCCGGAAATGATTGTTGGGCGGAGTTCTGTAACGATCTTCAATCATATTTCTGTTCTATTTCGGAGCAACGCATCGAGCAAGATGTGCTCAAGCTCCGCCCACTACTGGGAACATTGAAAAAGAGGAACTGACCCGTTGAGAAGTGTCTGAGCAGTGACGGCGACGTCTTCTGACATCTGAAATACGAGAAAAAGTTGGGTCTACCGTAATCCATCAAAAAAAGTGACTGGCAGGCGGTTGGAGATATGGAATCTCAGGAAAAGTATGCGAAGAGAGTTTGCCTTTTTTTCGCGCGTTCGGTATCTCAAATTGCAATCTGAGGGCTCCGAAGAGCTCCCGCGACAGAGATGAGCGCGACTTGATAATTACCGGAAAAAGAGAAAACCGAGTGGGTGTGACGTGGCGCGGAAAGGGCTGAAAGTCATGTGACTGGAAAGGGAGAAGGAGGGAGCGAGTGGAGCGGGGAGACGCAGAATGGCGAACAGATTGATAAGAAAACTCTTTTTTGAGCAGCAAATCGATGCAATCGGGTGACTCACGTTGTCGGAGAAAGAAGAAGAAGGAGAAGAAGAAGAATAAAAAATAGGGGGAGATGATTGCGTTTTGCACAGAACAAGAATACAATAATCGGAAGTGGAAGAAAGAGAATCGAGTGTGCGTGGTGTCTGTCGGTTTCCAGACAAACGGACGATTGTTTCACGAGATGGACGGTCATTGTTGGAAGACGAGGAAGAGGGCATTCGGACGGGCAAACGAGAAGCGGAAAGTGGCAAGGAGACGTGGCAATTGAACTGGAAAGAGGAGAAGTACCGCTCATTCTAGACAGTATATTTCAGCTGTCATTGAAGATATCAAAACATTGTCAACTAACAAATTGCTCATCAGAAAATTTTGAACATTTTATTAGTTAGCCACTTTGTGATTCCGTTACAGAAAGCTGAGATACATCGTTTTGAATAGACGGTATTGTGGTGCCAAAGGTTGAAGCTTAAAATGCTCCAGTGAGAACTAATCGTAAAAGTGCGGCAACTGGCAGCCGTAACAGGTCTTTTTTGGTCGTCTATGGCACTTGTTGGACAAACAGACCAGACTAAATAAATGAAGCTTTTTAGGAGGGAAGGACGTGTCGGAGGCAGGTGGAAGAGACTAATGGAGTAATTAGTGATACTTGATCAGATTGAATAAAACGAGTAAAAAAAAAGAAGAAGAGGATGAGGAGGAAGAGAAGAAGTTGGTGAATGGATGAGGGGGGATTTAGAAGGGAAAGAAGGCGACGGATGACGCATCGGATCGTCTCGATCGGGAAGAAAGCGAAGATGCGTTCGAACAGATAAACGAGCGAACGAATGAACGAACGGAGGGGGGGACCGGGACGCATCAGCACCGTGACGGCACGTTTATGCGCCCCACGCTTTTCATTTTTTCTTGTGAATGTTCAGAAGTCAAATGGATTGATACCAGAAAGGGAAGTGTACTGTTGACAAATGTGCTCTAATGAGCTAACCCCCGAGGGATTATGCAAACATGCTCCAGTGCCCCGAACTACTATTTAGGAAGACACCCATCCGCCTAATAAACCGAGATTCAATGCATAATTCAAAACAAATCTGTCAGTTTGATTGACTGCTCCTTCTTCTGCTCACTCTGCTAGGTTAATTGGCTTGGCCACCAGTGTGACGGTTATTCAAATGAGTGCTCACGGAGAGCCGAGAAGCCGGTGGGCTCGGGCAGGAGTCATGGAAGTGATTGAGACGAAGAAAACAAGAAAGCAGCAGATGAGATAGGAGACAACCAGCTGTTCGATCAATCGATAATCAGTTGGAGGTGATAAGGACCCGCGAGACTTAGAGTGTCAGAGAGGAAACAGACCGAGAAACTCGCGTTTTCGTGTCAAGAGAGACACGAAACTAGGCGGCCGCCCATCTCCTTCTTCTTCTTCTTCCCGCGGTGATATTGCGCCAAGACAGTGCCCCGAATGGTGACCTTCGCCGCGAAACAGCACGGGGATCGGCGGACACGCAGACATCTCGCGCAAGTTGTCGCATCTTCGGAAATAGTACGGACGAATGGACAAAGACATCATAAAGTGGCTGTTGTTTGGAATGGGGGGCACCACCACCACCACCACCTTGACAGATATTACCGTGGCACTGAGTAATCAAAATGGAAGGAAGGAAAATGGAGGAGAAGGCGAACTAATTGGGATGCCCCCCACCGGAATACAACGGAGATTGAAAAGTGTATGGAAACATTTGTAGGAGAATGAATAAGAAGAAGAAAAAGAAGAAGAGGAAGGTAATCGAGACGGGAAAGTAGGACGACATTTGCAGCTGCTCGACGAATCACGCCTCTTATAGGCTCAGGTAAACTTTGTAAACCTAGAGCAGAATTCAACAATCAAAAGGGTACTTCAAAAAGTGAGCTTCAAGTCGGGTTTTCTAGAAAGACAAGAGTTTGGGCTTCTGATTGAAGTTAACTGTGTACTTCACTCGAGTTACCGTAACTTGGGCCTTCTGAGAGCCCTCCAGAAGAGCTGTCCTTTTAGGAACAAGAAGGGAAACAGAAGAGAACAGAAAAAGGAGAAATAATGGAATGGTATGCAGAATAGTGAAGAAATGCAGATGGCGAGGTCCGGTGTGGTGCGGTCAATCCACCCGAACACACGGACAGATGGTTTTCGAATGGAGTGGAATCGAGCGAGAGAGCGTGCGAAGCGAAGAGGTGGCAGAGACGAGCACATGCTTGTGTATGTGCATAGGCAGGCATCCAATCTATCACATTACTGTATTACCCGCCCGACGATGGGTTCACGGTCCTTTAATAATAAAGAAGGAAGCGAATCGTGAAGGGATGAAGTGGGCGGACAGGTGGGAAGATCATAATTGTGGCCGAGTTCTGACTTATGGCGCCAAGCCGAGAATCTCAGATCCCCTGGAAGACAGTGCCATTGGGCAGAAGTGAAGAGAGACGCAGACACCCCCATCAATTCAGGTCATCACGCGGCGCCGACACCGACGGCGGCTTCTCTCTTATCATCACCAATTTGCCCGATCCACGCCCGAGTGACGTCGGGAAGGGATGCGAACTCTTTGCTCCGTCTGTTTTTGTGATGCTCCTCCTCCTGCCGGAGGAGAAGACACTTGATGAGTGTAATCTTACGAGGAAAAGAAAAGAAAAGAAAAGAAGGTAATGATGATGATTGCGAAATGATAACGCCTGAAATTGAGAAAGGAAAGTACAGTAATCCAATTAGGTAGTGAAGTGCCTCAAGCCGAACCGTTTATCATTTGAAGAAGAAAAAGAAGAAGAAGAAGACGTCAAGAATCAAGTGGTTGATGAGTAATCGGTGTGACGTCATCCGCTCCTTGTTCGGTAGAGCGCGGATGATCAATTGGGAGAAATTATAGAGAAGAAACAAAACGAGAGGAAGAAGAGCAAAACGGTAAGAGTCATGTTCATGTCACTCACGTACGTACTCAAACAAATGATAGAAGTGGCAAGTGTGTTCTTCCGGTCGAGAGTGAGAAAGAGAAAAGTGTGAAGAGAAGGTGAAGCTTCACGGATCTTGGAAAATGAGAACTTCTGGAGCATGGCCACGTGTGAATTCATTGCTACGGGTGTCACATGGAAAGAAATGTAGAAGTGTACAGTATCTAGACTACTGCAAATGCTCACATTCCCGTTGGCTCCGCCGCCCGGAGCAGGTTCTCTTTGCTCCAAAAAGGCAACAGTGCGCGGCGAGGCAAAACTCGCGCATGTCCTTTCTCTCTCTCTCTCTCTCTCTGGCTGCTGCTGCTGCTGTTGCTGGTAGGTAAAAGAGCGGGTCGTTCGTGGAGAAGAAAGAGTGTCTAAAGTCAAGACCACCCGAGACGAGTGTGTATGTTTTGCGAAACACTCTCTTTCTCTCTCTCTATGTCCTCCCGGGAGCGTGTCAGAGGAGAGTGATAGAGGGAACCGAGGGAGAGACGCAGACACTCGACAGTTTCTTCCTTCCCGTCTCGAAACCCGTTCTGTTCATTTCAATTGTTGCTGGCTGAGGCTGTGACACCCCCTCTTTTGCCGCCCGGAGACACTTGTTGGTAGTGGCTCCCTCGGAAGACGGAGGACAGGTGATGGGAAGGGCAAAATGTAGGTTGCAGAAATGAAATGATCAAGTGTCTTCTTTGGCGTTTCTTCCGGGGACAGGTGCCCAAGAAACCTTGAGAAAGAGCCAGACGGTGAGGTTCTAATTAGTGCTGCGCCTTCAAATTCTCCGTATATTCTTCCTTCTTCCTTTCTCACGTTTCCAGCTCTCCCCTCTTGTTTCAAAGTGACATTCGATTGTCAAATGACTCATAAAAGTCGTGTTGGCACGAAGAATCGAATGTTTCTTCTTCTTCTTCTTCTTCTTCTTTTTCTTCTTCCCATCGCACCATCATATAGGTGTGTAAAAACAAAAATATGAACAAAAAAAAATAGGAGAGAAGAGAGCAATATCGGCGGGTTTTGTGCTGTTTTGCAATTACATCACTGTTATTGTGCACAATTCGGCACGTAGTCTAGCTAGAACTGTTTCAGAACTTTTAAAGCGCATTCCGGAAGGATCAATGATTTTACTAATGGTCAGTTTAGTTCTCGAATAGTCTGAAAAGCGGAAAAAACGTGGGGAAGAAGAAGAGAGACGGAGAGAGCGAAAGATGATGAAGCCGCGGAGATAAGAGTGTTTGCCCCCGGGGCCCCGTGTGCCTTTCCAAGTCGAAACGATTATGTATTGTGGAGGAGCGAGGAGGCGAGCAGGTAACACAACATTGTGACGGACGGAAATAGTGGGCGGGCGCAGAAAGTTATGCATTTCGGAAAGGAGCCACCACCTTCTTGTGGGGAGCCAACTTGTTCGCCGGCCAACTCAACCGGGTTACTGTTGACTGACCGATTTCAGTTTGGACTTCCAGACTTGTTTGCTTGTTCTGGTACAAACTTGAATGATTGCGTAACTTGGAACCATATCATTCATATCAGTGCACAAACAGAACTCGCCCCGATCGATTCGGGTCAATTGCATTGCAGAGAGTGCTTTTCGTCGTCAATTGGAGGTGCTAATGACACGTTTCGACAGGAGACACGAACTACTTTGCACCACAACGTTTTGAGTTGACTCATGTTAACTCGTCAAACGTCGGCGGCGACGACGATGAAATATGAGAGCAGCAAGTGACACACTCGGGCGAGCAGACATCACAGGAACAGTCAGAGGCGAATCACGAGAATATCATTCCGGATGAGTTAGGGGATCTTAGGAGATCAAGGTTTCCTAGAAATACAATCATTCTAAGAACATAATTATCAATCATGAGCTACCTGGTTCAGAAGATTTTGCCAAGAGATCAAACGCTTTCCACTTTCCACGAAAAGTATCGTTATTCGAACGTTTATCAAGCTTCAGAAGGAAGTTCGCAGATAGATTTGAGTCCGTTCGTACGAGGAAAACTGCTCAATTTCAGGGTGAATTTAGAGGTTCAGTGGCTGGTAACTTGCCAGTCAATTTCAGAAAGATCTCTTATGTCACCTGTGAGCTTTTCTAGGACAAACTCGATCATGTAAGCTCTACTACAGTATCCCAGCGCTTTTGTCCCGGCTCCGTCGCACATAATGAACCGTGCCGTCCGTCCGAAAAGGTGTCCACATTCAACAATTCTCGCGGCAGCGGCGGCGGCCAGGTGCATATATTTCGTTCCCCAATTCTTTCATGGCCCCCTCGTTCTTTGCCCGTTAATTGAACCCCTCCGTTGCCCAATTTCCCCTCAGGCTACAAAAATGAGAAAATTGGTAATTGATGAAAGAAGGCGTGTGAACGTGCCAGGTCGGCTGAGAAAAGATACTTACGAAAGTTGGAAGGGCAGCAGATTGGGGAAGATCGACGACATCCTCGGAACACTTTCAGGCGTTGGGTGGTTGGATTGAGGCCTTCTGAAAGTCGGACAGGTATGTTTTCGAAAAGGGAAAGGGACGAGAAGAAGAAGAAGAAAGGTGTGTCTCCCATAAAAATATGTATCGAATGCATAAAAAATCAGAAAATAGTGAGAGAAGGGTGGGTGGTCCGCCTGAAAACACGTTATGCATATTAAACGGAGCAAAAGAGCCCGCCCATCCGAGCACACCTTCTCGCCCCGCCCACTTTTGGCGTGGCGGCATTGGCGCAGGGATTACGGTGCAAGGAAGCGTTTGATGAATCCTGTGAATGTGATACTGTGCCAGTCAGTGCTCGAGCCAAGCTAGATGGGAACTGGCTTACGTGCTCATCTCGTCGTCATTCCGAAACGCTCAAAAATCTGCGCAACTCCGTAGAAATTCGGGCGGAAAAGACCGGACGGAGCGGTGAACGAGTGTTGCCCGGGGGGAGCCGCATGGTCCTCTCTAATGGACCCGGTGGCCGAGAGAGTGTGCGTCGCCACGGGACGCCGAGAGAAACTGCACTTTCGGCCGCCCATCGCGCGCTTCTTCGCTCCTTTCTTCGTTTGACCTACTCTATCATCGAACGGCAATTCGGCTCGAAGCGGGTTCCCTATAATTTCGAATGCGGTAACCACTTACGCCATTCGGTGGCGGTGCGGATCTTTTCGAAACGAAATGACATGCTTTGCGGACTACGGTAGCAGATGGATATCATCGGCAAGAATGGCAGACACGAATGGCAAGTTTTTCGTGTTTTATGTTGACATTTTTTCAGCGGCGAGAAACGATGATTGAGAAGGTGATCGGGACTCAAAACATCCACGAAATGGCATTCAACAATGCAAAACAAAAAAGGAATTTCAAGCCCTCTTTTCGACGGTCCAAAATACCATCTCTCTGCAAAAAGAGTCGCGAATCATTTCTCTTTTAAACCGAATATTTCTGCGCTTTTACGATCGTTTTCGGTGTTTTCATCGATGAAGCCCGCGCGCGATGGTTTTGTAGCGAAAGTTTACGAGAATTCGGATTGTGTGCGGGCATTTTTAGTGCTCAATGAGCAGGCAGCCAGAAGCCGCAAACCGTTTAATTGCGAAAACGAAAACCTCTGCGAGAAATGACGAAATATCGGTAGGTCCGTACAGCCGTGAAGCCTGTAATAGAACGACACTACAATAGCGTCTATTCAAAGGGATGCATCTCAGCTGTCTGCGGAGATATCAGAAAGTGATCAATTGATAAAATGTTCATAATATTTCAATAAGTAATTTATTGGTTAGCAACTTTTTCATATCTCCACAGACAGCTGAGATATATCGGTTTGAATGAACAGTCTTTGTGTGTGCAGTTCTATAACAGAGCAATATCCTGAAGGGGGGAAAGAAAGGAACACAATACCGAGACGGACGGTATCTAACTCATCACAGTCGTCGCCGGCGCCGTCTTCTTCCAAAAAAGGCGTCGATGATTCTTGGGGGGCTGAGACGCAGAAGTGTTTCATCATTAGCCGGGTGGAACACTCTCTCTCTCCTTCTTTCCCTCCGTCTCTTCCGTCTCTCCGCTCTCTACAGTAATCAAATCACTGCCCGAATCACCGTTTTGTTTTTGAAGAAATCAAAATGAGAGAGAATCGAAAAGTTTGCGAAATGAACGCAAAATTCCCGTTTTTCTCGACGGATTCTTACACTTGAAGCCGTCGCCGAGGTCGTCGGAAGGCGAGAAATAACAAAAAAAAGGTGAAATAAATCAGAAGTCGTTCAAAAATAAACTGCAGGAGCAGGCCGATATCAGCTGCTTCGACTGACCCCTACACCCTCACACGAATGTGCGTCAATCGGGAAGGGCGCCTGAAACCGGAACAAAGAACTGGTTTCTCTCGTCCGTTTCCTGATTACTTTTTCGGTCAATTTTCATTCAACAGGGATCAGTAATTCCGAAATTGGAAGCGACAAAGTAGAGAAGAGGATGGAAGTGAACAATAGAATGAGAAGGGGGCGCAAAAAAGAACTCGTCGATGAAGAAGATGATGTTGATAAGCCATGATAAGGCAGAAAAGGATGGACAACAGAAAAGAGAATACATCAAATTAGAAGAGGAAAAGACAATGATAAAGTGACAAATGGGGGGAGGCGAGGGAGAGATCCAAAGGGGAATCGTCAGTGGGCGAGAGCAGACTGTAACAAAACGGAGGAATGCGGAGCACATTCTCCAGGATTACACTTCCGAGGAGCCGCTGCAGCTCGAATCGTCGAACAATGGTTTTGCCTGGCGTGCAGTGGCGGCAGCACGTTTTTCTTTGTATTTGGTGGTTGTCTGAAAAAAGGATCTTCTAAAACGTCAAAAATTATTTTGAGTTACCTCCTTGATGATCATGGAACGTCTTCCTTTCGGGAAGTTTCTGACTCCTGGGACTCTTCTCAACTCGGTCGGGCTGGCCTTCGTATCCGATGAGATGCCACTCTTGTACTTGGCCCCTGAAAAATCATTATTATAGGAACCAGGCGATTGTCTACACTCACGTTTAACAGCCGGATTCACGAGAGCGGGAGTTTTGAGAGCGAGAGTCTCCTCCTCGAGCTGCCGATCTTCAGAAGTTCTTTTCTTTCCGACGCCAGAAGAAGTAGAAGGAGACGTGGAGGAAGATTCTGGAGACGCCGGAATAGTGATAGAAACTGGCACTTGGTTTGATTTGTTCATCGATAGACGCTTGTATTTCTGCTCTATTTTCCTTGCAATTTTGTTGGACGAAGCTGTGGAAGACGTCACTCCGAGATGCATTCCCGGCTTCCTGAGTCCCACTCGGATCGAACTTGGTGTTTTCGGTGTCCCTTGCTCCGATCGTTCTTCTTCCTCTTCGACTCTTCTGCGCGATTTCGTTGGCTTCGGAGCAGAGACGAGCTCCTCTTCGTCGTCTTCATCTTCATCGACGAACACTCTTCGAGGCTTGGTTTGTATTCTGGACGACGACTTCTTAGGCTTCTGCTCTTCCTCCTTTTCCTGATCCTCATCGTCACTCTGCACTATTCTTCTAGATTTAGACGGCGTTTTCGACTTCTTCGGCTTTTCTTTCTTCTCTTCCTCGTCGTTCTTCTTCGTTCTCTCACTTCTGGAAGGAGTCGGTTTTGTTTTCGGCTTCACAACTTCTTCCTTTTCATCTTCGTCGTCTTCTTCTTCGACATGTCTCGCTGGTCTTCTGGAGCTCTTTCTTGGCGTCGAAGATTCTGGGACATCGTCTGAAAATGTTTCGTAATATTTTTCAATTCCCGTTTTCTGAATTCCCAACCCGTCGCCTTCTTCTTCTTGCCCGCCTTATCACTTTCCGGCACCTTCTGGATCGCGTCGGTCACCAGTTTTTTCAGCTTTTCCATGTCCACTTTGCTTGTATAATTCGTCGTCATCGCCACGTTGAATATGGTCGTAAGACACGAAATAACGGCCGACGAATGGGTCTACAATTGGATTATGATGGCTACCGGATAATTGAAGCACAATCGCGTGAGCAATCATCACGGCTTCATGTTTTGAGAATCGCGGAACCCATAATTTAGGAATGGCAAACGAGTCGTAAAGTTACCGTAGAGAAGTGACACGAAATGGGTAATGGGGTGGAAAAGCGGAAAGGGAGACGAACCTTGAGTACACTTTGCAAAGTGCCGGGCAGTCCTGAGATGAACTTCTGTTTCGCGTCGAACACTTTGTCCGGGGACGCCTCCAACGCCAGCCAGGGCAGAGTTCCGGTCAACCACATGATTACATTGTACGCCAGAATCTCAACGTCTCCACGGTACGACGGGTTGTTTCCCCGATGAGCATCGGTCGAAGTGAAGATGCAAGTGCCGTTGTGAGCTCGCTTTTTGTCCGGCTTGTCCACATTGTTCGTGGTCCGAAAAGCCAATCCGAAGTCGACGAGCACGGAAGAAGAGAAGACGTTCTCTTTTTCGAGCAGAATATTGGCTGCTTTTACGTCGGCGTGAGTATAGTCCTGAAAAAAGGCTAGAAAGTGTCAAAGAAGTTCAGAATCACTCACCACTTCGTGCAGATATTCCAAAGCTCCCAAAATGCAATTAGTGACCGTCAACGCATCCCTGACTGCCAATATTCCTCCGTTCGCTTCTCTGGCTCCTTCCAACGACATCGCATACTTCGGAATGATCATATACCTCATTTTATCCGAGTTGTATGTGAAGTAACCGTTGGCAATTATGTACGGAAGACCGATCCACGAGATCTTCTTCTTTTTCTTGTACGCCTCCAAATGCTCTTTCTTCAGAATTCGATTGAAAACGACTACTTCGGTCAGGAGAGGTCCGTTGGTCAACGGCTCAATCTTCATGACCATCTGATGCGATTTTCCCTCCTCGGTACACGTGTGAATGCGTCCGAAACCGCCGGTGGCAAACTGTTTCCCGACGATGAACGTCTTCTTGCTGTTGTCGGCGATTTTGGTTCCGACACAAACCTCTGCTCCCAATTCGTGCAGTTTTTTCGCCGGCGCTTTTTTCGGCGGCATTTTTGTTGCTAGTTTCTAAATAAACACGAAATTGAGATTTTCGAAAAGATTTCAAAGCGAAGGACTGGACATAGTGCAAGAAGGCAATCGTTTGAAAACGTTTTTATCAATGATAACGCTTTGAAAAAGCACGGCTTCTGATGAAAATCGATATACGCGTAGAGACGAAAAAGATATGTCTGATTGAGAGGATTCTGTTTGAATATCCGCAATTTCGTAACAACTGCGGTGGAGCGCATTTGCATTTTTTTGTTGCTAACTAAAGTTCCGACATCAAATAAATTTTTGTTTAAACTGACGACTGTGCCGATAAGAAACTCCCATTTCAATCATTTATTACACCAGAAATGTTGGAATTAAGCTCCAAATTACCAAGTATTTCTGAAATGTGAATCGATAGTCAGCTACTTTTCTGTATTAATGAGAAGGGGATAAAGTGGCAATCAATTCGATATAATGGGGAAACAGCTTGCATAAGACAGCGGTGTAGAAACTGAAAAAGAACAGTAATCCGGGGGGGGGGGCAATAGTACATACTTCCGATTACAAAAAGGTGCCATCGGAAGGGGAGAACTCTGAAAATTCGCTCGTTTTCAGAACACAATTCACAGGTGGAAAGGCATTTCGAAAAAGGGAAGGGTTAGTAAGAAAAATGGAAATTTGAAGAATGAAGTAGGTGAGAAACGAGAATACAATCTAAACGGCAAAGAAGAAGCGGAGCAATTGATAAACACCGAAAAATAACTAAACCGGTGGGAGAACTACTTAAGTACTAAACTGAACATGTATTGCTATTCTCAATTTACCACTCTTGCCCCCTTAAGCCTGATTTCAGAAATGTTGGCTTGAGTGCAAAGGAGCAATAGCGGTGTATTGAGTTTACCGCCGACAAAAACCAACAAAAAGAAAAACATAGAATTACACAAAATTATTTGCGACTAACCTGAGAAAAATTTGGGGAATTATATAAATAAAGAAGGGAAGATACCACAGAACTGGCCATATGGAAACAGCGTAAAGGAATAACAACTATGAAACGAATAAAGAGGAGAAATTGGAAAAAATTGCATCTAAACGGGCATCTGGTCATTTCTTCAGAGTCTTTGCTTTTAACGAAGTGGACAGCCCGTCACGCTCCAGAATCGGATCGACTTGCGGGCACGTCCGCGGGCGGGAATGCGACGTTCGTGTGGAAGCGGAGGACGACGGACGGGAAGTGACTTGCCGCGCGGAAGACGGACGCGAGGGCCCGGGCGCGCGGACACGGCGCGGATAGTCGAATGCCTCGGCGTCCGCGTCCACAAAGGACTTGACAGGCAGCTAAAATCAAGAAATGTTGAGATGACGCGGCTTCTTCAGACTCACTTTATTTTTAGTTTTCAGGTAAAACGCCAGTGCTTTGTATATGAACTGGTATTGTTGTTCCGTCTGAACAAGTCCGATCGGTATGTGCGGACGTACTTGACCATTTTGTACACGTCCACCGGGCACAACGGTCCCATTTTCTCGATCTGCGACAGAAGGGCGTCCAGCACGAGGATAGTGCCGGTTCTTCCGATGCCCGCACTGCAATGCACCACAATCGGCCCTTGCGGATGAGCACTGGCGGCTGCCTGCTTATCGAAATACTCGTAATCTTTGTCGACGTCTTCAAGGAAGTTGATAACGGCGTACGGATGGACGGGGCATCCGTGGTCCGGCCAGGTCAAGTACTGCAGCTGCCGCACTTCTCTGGTCTCTCTTCCTTTCCGAATGAGGAAAGTTCGGAGAGTGTAGCTGACACCGTCTCCGTTCAGCTCCTGCTCCGGAACGAGTCCCTTCGCCAGTCGGTTCGCCTTCTCCTGTTCCAATTCGTCCTTCACTTCATCCGAAACCGCACGTTGCATCGTTTTCTCCATCGTTAAAGTCACCGAAATGGGCCCGTAATGTTGAAGTTTTTCCATTTCTCTTGGCCAGTATCTCGCGCACTTCTCCTTCCGCTCGTTCTCCATCGTCGGCATTACAATCACCCGCGAGTTCTCCTGCCAGACCATACGCCAGAAGTCCTCGATTGTATTTTCCAGACATCCTTGCGTGGCTATGAACGACTTTTCGCACGCGAAAGTCACGTTTTTCGTTCGTTGACTGTTCTCGAAACGAACGTAGCTCGCATTTATATAATCACTTCCTGGCTGGTTGGGCTGATCGTTGAGGATGACACGAGTGTGATCAAATGGCACTATGTTCTTGTAGCGATTCTTCTCGATGTTGATCGCACGCCGTCCTTCTCTCTTCGACAGATATTGCTCAGCTGGGAGAGCTTCTTGGGTCAGACGCTGAAAAAAAAGAAATTCAAAATGAAATGAAAGTATTTGTTACGTCAAATTCCTCGGAGATGCCCGTCTTTTCTGTCGACTCTCTGGCATTCAGTGGTCTTCTCAAGATTTCGTATCGATCAACTAGAAGGTCCGCTTCGACGAAAGTATTGAACAGAGGCTGGAATGAATCTTGCTTCGGTTTTGCTCGTCCTGTTTCCCTCAAACCCTACATTTTCTAGGTAGACCACCCGACTGATCCCTCCTTTTTCGACGATCGGATTCTTCGCGTACGAATCGATGAGAAGCCACGCATTCTGGAACTTGGTCCGATCTCCGTCAATGTTGAACTTTCCCGTGTACGGATCCTGATAGATGGTCAGATGCACAACGTTGCCATCCGTTTTCGTCGAGATGACGAGAGCTCCGGGGATGTGCTGGCTCGCTCTCACCAGATAAGTGTTGTTCTTCTCGGACTGCAAAAGCTTATTGGCACTGCTCGCCGGCAGGTTTCCATGCCACCAACGGTACAATTGAGTGCGTCGCTGCTCTTCGGCGCAGCTCTCCACCTGGTACGGAATGGGAACTGGCCTCTTCAGCTCGAGAAACACCCCGTTCTTCTCGCGAAGCTTTTCCGGAAACTCCATATAGAACTCGACAAGCTCGGTGATCGAATTAAACTCGTTCGGAGTCGTCCGCTGATCCTCGAAGATGCTCAACATGTCATTATCGAACTTTGTCACCTTGATATGCAGGATCTTGTCTTCGGCCACTCTGAAACCGTAGTTTTGAAGAGGATCTCGTTAGAGAATGTTTTGACTCACTTGACAGAGATGGAAAAGTTTTGAGTGTTCGATTCGCTATACCGCACCAGAAAGTCTCCCTCGAGGCCATACTGTCTCAGCAGTTGTTCGGCCGTTTCGCCATTCACGCGGTAATAGTAGCTGTATTGGCTGAAATTGAGGTGTTCAGAAAAGTATCAGATATCAAAATTTACCGCAGCGCTAGGCGTGGCATTTGCTCAGAGACGAGGTCTGGTTCAGAGGTGTTTGGAGACTTTCCGGGAGGAATTCAACCTGAATTAGTCGAATGTATGCGATGCGTTGCAGGTAAGCGATTAACGAGAAGAGAAAGCGATAAAGGCGGGATTCAGGAATCCGAGTATCGCTTAGCACCGATATGGGTGGTCTTTATTGGCGAAAAAACCGAAATTCCGACGCGATTTTTCCATTGTTCGAATTTTCGGAACGGCCGACGACGCTCCGAAATAACGGCTGCGCGCAGTTTAGCGCCCAGTCGCCGATGAACATCGGCTTTATTTCGCCGTCGGAAAAGTGCGCACGCATGACTCCGACGCACTTTTAGACCGAATCGGAGATCTTTTCTCGTTTTTGCGATTATTGTGACAGAACAGAACAGAAAAAGGCAAGACGTCTTTAGGAAAGTACAGAAAGCAAAAAAAAAACGGAGAGAAACCTACATTACACATCATATCTATCAAATATGCAAGAGAAATCGGGAGAGAACGAGAGAGAAAACGACAAATCACATGATATCAAATCCGGATTAGACATGTCGCGAGAAATCGATTCGGTCGTCGGCGAGAATCTTGCGGAACTCACGATTCAGAAGCTCGTCGAGCAGTTCGCCGTCGTGCGAGTACGCCCAACTGAAACAACTTTTTCGGTCACTTTTTTGCCAGCTCCGCCCATCGCTTGCACTAAGAAGATGAGACATTCTGCGTGATTACTCATCTAATCTCATTTTTCGTCGTGTCTTTCTGTCTGCACATGGATATATCCCCGCGCGTGAAACCTTGCGCTACACACAAATGAGCAAAGAGATCACTTTCGGTCTGGTGGGATTTGCACGTTTAATCAGAAGAAGTTCAAGATATCACATTTACACCGGATTCGATTCTCCAGAATCTCTCACTGACCTCCCTCCCTCCTGCAGATCGTATCTCTTCGGTCCGGACAACGGACTGGACAGCCAGATCTGTTTGTTCGGGGACTGCTTGTTGATGACGTAGGTGCCTAGAGAACAAAAGTTTCATTCTGGAAGTGCGCTCCATTGACAACAATCGTACCGACGGTCTTCGAGACGGCGACGGTCAGAACTCCCATCGCGTGCGAAACGTCGAATTGTTCAGAGACCGCAAAGTTGTCAGCGATTTGATCAAAGTAATCTGATAACCTGAACATGCGCTCGTTATAAATGTGTTCGTTAGAGCGCACTTCCAATACCTTTCGAGCGTCTGATCGGCAGCCACTTCGTACTCATTTTGACTGAAAACTCTGGCTGAAAATGTTCGCGTCGGAATGTGTGCGAATCTGCTCCGAAGAATACTTGAAATCATCTGAAAAGCCACACTTTTCGTCTGCGAATTCTTAACTCTAATCAATATGATGGAAACTCCGAATCCGAATATCTTATCTGAAAAAAAAACCATCGGCAAAAAACTTAACGAATTTATTAGTGAACTGAACTTCAGTCATTTAAACTCATTAATTATTATCACAAAAGTGCATGATAATATGTGTCTGAATGAAAACACTTCAAGTAAAGATTGGTTTTTCAGATATCAAATCACCCGTAAATGTGAAATGATTAGGGTTGAAATAAAGAATGAGGCTAACTGAGCGAGACCCGAAAAAGTGGTGGATTCTGATGATGTGGACGGCGGGGGAACGAGTTGATCACAGAAAAACTGGGTGGGATCATGAGGAGGATATGATAGGAGAGAAATCAGCATTTGGGGGGAAGGATGCGGCCGCCCCACGCCAGATGGAACACATTGTTGCGCCAGCGGATCGTCGGCACCATCAGAGCTTTCACAAAGACGAGCGGAGCTGAGAGCTCGCGGAGCAGCCAGATGAGCACGAACTGCAACGGCGAGAAGCGGAGCTTTCCGTTCTGAAAACAAAGAAAATTGAAGGGAGAGTACGGTAGCTGACGGCTACCTGCATGCTGGTCATTAACGAGAAATCCATGCTAATCCAGAAGATCGTGTGCAGCAACAACGTCATCTTCATGTCGAATCCGGTCAAGTAGTTGAGACTGAACGTCATGATGAGTCCAGAAGGGAAGCAGTCTTGGAGGGGCTCGACGACGATTATATGCGGAAGCATCGCGATCCGAAGTTTGACCCATCTGCATATCCTGTCGAGGAACGACGAAATCGGGACAGGGGCGGAGTTCTGAAGGGCCGGATGGGTGGAAATGGCCGACTTGTATCCACGGTTGGCGAGTTCGCGTCCGAAGAAGAAATCCTCGGCGAGGTAGCCTCCGAAGCTCGCAATTCCTCCGCACTCGTCCAGAGCCTTTTTCTTCATCATCGACGACATTCCGGTGGAACAGACAAAGTCCATGCAGTTGGCGGCCAGGTAGATTCGGCCGTGCGAGGTACCGAAGTAGAGCTGCAATGCAATTGGGATGGTTACTTGAAAGCGACCAAAATTCTGCTCACCTGCTCAAATGCGGCGTCGAATCCGTCCCGATCTTTGCAGTAGGGCGTCTGTGTCACCAACGCCATCTTCTCGTGACTCATCATCGTCGTCGCCATATCGAGGATTCCGTCCGGTCGCATGAAAATGCCGCTGTCGCTGACGAGAATAAGCGGATAGCGAGCGGCCCGGTACGCCGGCATCATGTTGTTGATCTTCGGATTCAAACCGACGTTCTCTCCTTCTGGAAGCCATCACAGTTCTCGGTTGGGGCTTCAGAGATTCGAGTGACTTACTGAAGAACATCTTGGCGTCGACGTTCGGGTACTTCCGCATCAGATTCATGACCACTTCGACGGCGGCGTCATCAGATGAGTGGAAGCAGAAGAGCAGCTCGAATTTGTGGTATTGAGTGGTGAAGAAGGACTCTAAGTTTCCATGGAGATGACTGTCCGTGCCTACAATCGGTTTGATGACCGAAACGCCGGGAAGGGACGGGTCCGGAGTGACTGGGTGATGTAGCCGATACCTTCTGAAATGAAGACGTGAAGAGAAACAAAAAGCACAATAAGAACTCACGCATAGCAAAGTGCAATGATGTGAATGAGATAGAGGCAAAACACGAAGACGAAGCCGACAATAGCCAACGAAGTGGTCAGATCGAGGTGGGCGGCCATCCGCCGCGTACCGGCTATGAACGAGGGCGGTGGCTGGAGCCGGAGCAACTGGCGGAACGGCACCTCGAGCAGCAGGAACGACGACGATGAGGATGGCTGCTCGGAGGCTGCTGCTGCTGCCGCCGCGCCGATTATCGACGATGTTGATGACGCCACGGCTGAAAATGTAGAGAAATTCATTTGAAGTTGAACATTTGATCTCAATAATTGAGAGAGACTAGTAAATTGGGTCAAGTTCTGACAAATCGGAAAATGTTTAATGAGTGCTAATCACTTGCTAAACTTACATTCCTTGTTTCAGGAGTCAGATAAAAGTGCAGAGGGACGGAGAGAGAGAGAGAGAGAGAGAGAGGGAATGAGAAGAAGGCGCCCGCTTTGATAGGCAATCAATGCATTTTGCACGCAATGAAAGTGAAAAGGGGTTCGGAAAGGATTAGCGGAGCAGGATGGCCGAGAGACTGTCTGCGTCTGGGGAAATGCACGAAAAGAGTTCAGAAAACCGATGATGGAAGAGAGAATGTTCCGTCCGTCTTGCCATCGTTTTATTACTTTCCTTTTTTCAATGTTCGCCTATCCAAACAGCAAAAAGGCGCCATTTTTACAAAGACGGCAAAGTCAAATATGAAGATACGCGAAGGCGTCTGCGTCACGTGAACCTCGCATTGTAAGCAAGACAACGCAGTCGGCAGAAGAAGATTCGACTGTCTTCTGTTGTTTTCAGCCTTATCATACTCAGCTGATGATCGCCGTTTCATGTGAATTAGAGCAGAGAACGTGAGCAAGGACAGACTACGAACTAGACAAAGTGATAACCGGTGAGCACGGTACAAGACAGACGGCTATTTGACGACTGATAACCGTCAGAAATCATGATAGCATCACGGTATGCTTTAAAATTAAGAAATGTATTCTGTCAATTTCAGATCAATTCAAATTTGAAGTTAGAATCACGCCATCCGTCCGTCTGCTAACCCTAATTTCTGAAGAGATTCCAAATTTCGATAGGTCGCCCGATACCCATCTAACCTTAATTCAAACCCAGAAAAAAACGAGGCAGTAGGTCAACTTTTTAGCTCTCTGAGTGGTTTAGAAGTGTGCCGACTCTCTTAAATCCAACGTAATTACCAAAAAGCTCATTTTATCTTTTGGGCGGGGCGGTGCTGCGGGAGCAAAAAGATAAATTTAGTGCGTTTAATTCTTGCAGCGCTTCTTTCATGCGTAACAATTATTGGTGTTGATCTCTGTTCTACGGGAAATTCATATTTGAAAGAGCAAGGAGCAAGGAGCTAGCGCGTCTGTCTATGGAAGAGTCTGAAAGTTAAATTCATAAAACCTATTTCAACAATTTATGATCGAGAGTGATTCATTCATTGAATGAAACATGTTGGCAACTAGTTTATGGAAAGAGGAAAAAAGTCAGTGTGTTTTGAATATGCAAAAAGATTAGGACGACTTTGATGGAGACCGAATCAAACGAACAAAAACATCAGAATAGTTTGTGTTGCCGACTTTGAATTATTATAGTTTTTGAAACGCTTGCTAGAACAGCTGAATACGTGGCGAGAGTCGAAGGGAGCGAGAGAGACGGAAGAGAAATAAAGAGCGAAATGGAGAAGAGTCTCGGTCAGAAACCAGTTATTTTCGAGGCGGAAATTTATTGGACACCAGCCTTTGAGGAGAGAAATCTCAACTTCCAGACACAGAAGCTGCGCCAATAATTCATGCGAATCGCATGTTTATTTATATTCTCTCTGCCGTTTCCTCTCATTTATCTATCCGCTGTCTCTGTCTCCGTCTCTCCGAAGCTCTCGGATTTCTAATTCTCCCAGAGTCCCACCGAATTAAATCAAAACCCAACAAAATTGTGTAAAACTAATTAATGTGCCGTCTAGAGCGTGTCTCATTCCGAAATGCTCCGTCCGTTTGTCTGCTCCTCTCATTCTCGCCCACTCTCGCGCCGTTTCTATCGCAACGCGTCAACGGAGCAAAAACGGATTTAGGATCAGACGAAAGATGCCGAACACTCACTTTTGAGTACTGTCGAGTTGACGACAGAAGAGTTCAAATTCGCCACGTGTCTAGCGGCGTCCATCGGATGCGTTCGAAAAGGGTCGAAGGGAGTCGGGCGGTGGAAGATGGATCGGTCTGAAACCAAAAATGTGGATAAGATGCTTAGAAGTAGGGCTTAGAGAGATTACGCTCAGGACGACTGTACTTTGGTTCAATTCAGTCACGTGTTCACTTTCCAGAACCGACAAAAAGAGAGCGCGAAACTCTCTCGCCGACAAAAGTAATATGAAGTGTGTGAGCGAGTGAATCACACATTTCTCTGCGTCTCCGACTGATAACTATCTCTAGCTGGCGCTCCGTCATATTATAATCATCGGGTTGGAAAACATATAGTTAGCGGCGATGACGGCTGCACAAAAACCACGCCATATTCGGCTGCTGATAAAAGGTGCAAACAGGAAGGATGGAAAAGAGAGAATTTTGAAAAAAGGTAAGAAGACGACGGAAAGAGTGGAAAAATGAAGAGGCAGAGAGGAAAGAGCAAATATAGTAGATATGTAAACACATTGAAATACCGTCGTGAATCACGCATCACAAGGCATTGGCGAACAACAACAAAAGTGCGCGGGAGTTCTGGACGAGGAGGCAGCGGGCAGGGCGGAGAGACGCAGAAGGGGAAAGAGAGAGAGCAAAGGCTCTTGTTTATCTTTTGCCAAAAAATGTTCAAAACGTGAATTATTCACATGTTTTCAATGTGGAAACCTTTTTTTTAATCTTTTCTTCTTGCTTGTTTGCATTTCTAGTTTTAGAATAATGCCAGAAAAGTGAGTGAGAGAGATAGACAAATCTATGTTCATTGAAAGTGACAGATGAAGCGTGACGAGTCGTCGTCGTGACTTTCTTGTTGTCAGAATTCAGATGAGAATGTTCTGGAGTGAGTCGGGCCCGCAACTTTTATAAAAGCCAGACTCCACCCACAATACAGTCGTATTCTTTTGCCGCTTCTGATAACTTTTTCGTATGTTCTTCGTCACAAAAAGTGAGTCATTTGGAATCGGAGCAAAAGCAGAAACAACGAAAAGACCCAGAGATGGCAAATATGAGCCGAACGACGTGGCAATGAGTGCCGAAGGACACAAAATTAGGGCCAGCGGAGGACAAACTACAAAATATTGAGCAAGAAATGATGAAAATACAAATTATTCAGCTCTAGTTTTATGCCCTCAAAATCGGATTCGGAAGACCTACCTTTCTGCTAGCTTCTCTAATTGACACGCGACGCTTTCTTCCTCTCATACACTTTTTTCGATCGATCTATTGTTAGAAATGACGTTTTTTTTTGAGTGTTAGAAAGGAAGCAAAGAAGTATTGTGCCAAAACTGCTCTGAAACAGTTTCAAGTGTCAACTTCCCATTTATTTTTTCTATAGAAATTCTTCATTAAAATTTTGGGGTGCTCGATAAATAGAATATATGAAACTGCATGATCAAGGAGGGAAATCATCGGATTCTAAGTGCACAAAGTGGTGAGGGGAAACCCAGGGAAGAGTTACAAAAGGAGTGGATGCGACAAAGTTATGGAAAGGATCGGAACGAGAGTAGCGCCATTTACAAAGGAATTGTTGTTTGTGAATATTCTCAAAGTATGGGGAGAAATAGATATGGCAAGGCGGGTGCACACACAAATTACTGTATTAATCTGGAGGGAGAGGGGCTCAAAAACCGGACTTAGTTGGCTATTAAATAAGAGAATCGCGCGGTTTCTAATCTCTATCACAATCAATCATCGAGTCAATTTCGGGGGGAATCTATCACATATTCAGAAGAACAGACACTTTAATTACATTCACATAATTTGAACATTTTCATCTAGAGTCCCTCGTTTCCAAGCGGCGGCTGAGGGAGTTCGGGTTCCGGAGGAGACGTTTGATTGGCGGACGCCACACTCAGTTTCGCCAACTGAAGACGTCGAATCGCTTCTCCGAGCTGCTTCTCCAGGCTATCCGCTTCAGCGGAGACGTCGAGTTGCACGGCATTGTCCTGGGTGAGAGAGATCAGCTCTTCTATGTGCTCCACGTTGACCTGGGAAACGGTGAGATTATGGTGGGGATTCCGAAGAATCGGATACCTCTGGACACTGATCTTCGTAGTAGTAGGTGTAAGCGGATAGCAGCATTATGTAGAGCTGCTGTTGCACGAGCGGCTCCAGACATTCTCTCGCAATTTTGGCGGCTTTCCTCAAAATGTCCACGACCTTCTTGCCATTTCTCAACTTCTGCCCGTTCGTCTCCAGCGTTTGGCCGTGCCAGAAAAGTGTCGCAGCTGTGACAAGAGACCTCACTTGATCCGGCTTCTTGAACATCTTGGCGGCTGCGAGCACTGTCTGACTGGCCAGTGGCTGCCAGTTTTCATCCGGCAAATGCGTCGTTTTCAGAAGAGTTCCAACGGTGAGCTGAAGACATCTGACACGGTCCCTCGAGTCGACGACGTCGTCCTCCAGAATCGACATTGCTTTCGAGACAAACTCATAGACTACAGTGTGATTGTCCTCGAATGGCACACGGTCCGCCGTGATCGCCCCGTTTAGGTACAGCTTGAGAGGGAGCTCCGCGAGCTCTGCGGTCGATACGAGTGCTCCTATCGTGCCCATCGCACAGACGAACATCTTCCGGATCTTTGCGTCCCATTTCTCGTCCTCGCCCTTCATCTCTGCGAACTTCAGCACGAGACGGTAAAGCTCGAAGATGATGGGAGGAAGAGTGTAACGGAGACGATGACGACCGCCTTCTCCTAACACTTTGCGAGCCCCGTTGAGCAGCTGAAAAGAGGAAGTATGACAGAATTAAATAACTTTGAATCTAACCAAGTACTGGGAATCTACGTCGTCGGCTCGAATCAAATGGAGCAATCTAGCTACGAGATTCTGCTCATCTGCAAATTCTTCCGACTCATGAGCATTTTGTGGTTGATTGGGGTGATCTTTGAGAAGTGAAGAGATCATAGAGAATGCCGCCGTAACATCTTCTTGTTGCCGGAGAACCGTCTCCTCGTCGAGCATATTCTGCACCATGTACGCGGCAATATTGCACTGTCCCCGGTAGTCGAAAAAATTCATAACTTTAACATATTCAGGAAGCTCGGAGAGTCGCAGCACGTTCTTGTACTCGTCGATCGGGATGTTCAGAAGCTTCGTCAACTCACGGCCGACCTTTCCAAATGCTTCAATTCTGAAAACCGTGGAACTTTTGGTGGATGAATGGGTTATCTGTTTGACGTGCTTACTCGGTGATTCCCTTCTCTTCGATCACTTGTCTCAGTCCCAAAAAGGTCATGTTCGCGTAGTCGAGGCGATCCGGGTAGCACTTGACGGCAAGGGAGACGAGCGAAACGTGAAGAGCCACGATGTCATCCAATGGCATCTCCGGCCGATTCTTGATCAGAGTCGTCGCCTGCTCACTGAAGATCTCGAACAATTGCATCTTCGTCGGCGCAGGTTGTCCTTCTATGGAAGTCGTCGTGTACAGAGCGAGACGATCGACGAGCGCAATCAGAAGAATCTTGATGTTCACTTCCTGCTGCAGTTGTCCGCACGCATTCAAGAACTCATTCAACGTCGCCAAATGAAAGTCGTCGGCAAAGACTTGAATGACGCATTCCATCAGATACTCCTGCGAGATGGCGTCTCGACACGACACAATTTGCTCGAGAATACTCGGAAGCACATCTCGTACGTACATTTCCTCGGTGAGCGCCTCCAACTGAGCCAAACGGACGAGGTTCGTTCCCACGAGAATACGCAGTTCGAGTCGGTCCTTTTCCCGTTTTTCCTTTTCCTTTGACGGTCCTTGATGCTGCATTCGAACCCACAATTTGTTCATTTCGGCAAAATTTATGAGTACAAAGTCGATCGTGTCCTCTACAGTTCCGTCTCGCGGCTTCAGTTTTGGAGCTCCTTTGGGCAGAGTGCTATTGTGAGCCACGAGCATCTCTTCCGTTTCGGGGAAGTCGGGAAGCACGGAACGCGTGCACTGCATCAGGTAATTGCGGAGAAACAGTCCTCGGAGCGGATGCTGCACTCCACGACACATTTCCACGAGGTCTTTGAGCAACTCCTTACGGGAACCCAGGCCGCATTTGATGAAAACGCCACCGATTGTGACGAGGAGGTATCTGAAAGAAAAAATAGATAATTTCAATTTTCACTTTAAAATGCTCACTCACAGTCTGGGAATAATTGCCGACGCGTACTGGACACATTCGTACAAATTGCCAAGTTTGGCCGGATCCGCCGCGTACTCCTGCACGAGATTCACCTCCAGACACTGCAATTCGTGCATCGAGTCCATATCTGAACAGTTTTTTGTTGTTTACAATTACAAATAACTGATTTAAATAATTCTCACATAATCTGTAGTAGAACTTTGGCGACAAATCAGCGGTGCGCATCTCATTAAGCATCTGGAGAGCGTGCTTCAATGCGTCCATCGTCTTCCCCTGCAAGAGTATCGATTTTACACCACAAATCAGCGCATTTATCTTTTTTCTTTGAAAATGTTGGGGAAAATAAAAATTACCTTGTCGAGACATCGTTTCATCTCGAATGACTCGGCTTTGACAACCCGAATCGACATATCGAGACATTTCTCCTGGTCTGATGTGTTCCCCGGGTTTTCGTACATTTTACTGTAAAAATCAACAAATTCACACGAAAATTAGACATTAAAGTGCAAAAACAGTGAGATGAGTCATCAATGTGTTGAAACACCGACGAGCGTCAAGCAGAAAAATCGCCGACAAACACTCGTTGCCAGGAAAATTTAGCGGTTCGGTAGAGCGCAAATGCACCCGCGAAATAGGACCCGAGAAAGAATTGATAAACAAATGCGGGTCTGTGTCCGCAGAATATTGTTTATTTCGAGTTGACGGCTCACACTTATAATAATAATAATTAAATGAATGCATATAAAACAATGGGGGTAAAGGAGGACAGGGAACGTGAGAGAACATGCACAAGAGAGTGGAGTGGAAGACGTACACGTGGCTTTTGCGGTTTAGAAGACATCCGACGGCTCAATGACCTCGTAACCTTAAATGATAAACAAATACCACACTTTGTTTACATTTTGTGCAAAACGAACCAGCGGACACGTAGAATGTCACTCTGGCGTTCTTCGAGAATGTATATCTCTGCACAGTGAGCACTTCGTACCGACCATCCATCGTCATTTCGCCAGTTTGTGTAACGGTCTTCGTCAGAAGGCTACACTTGCCTCCTGTTGCTGCTGAAACCATCATTTAAATACCAGGATTTGTGAGGGGAACAGCTCACATCGGCTGGCTGCGTCCGGCTCATTCAGCAGCGCTTCCTTGCAGTACTTTCTCATGCCCTCGAACTTTTCCGTATCCGCTGTGACTCAATTGTTAGAGCTGGCTCCAATAAACTCAACTTACCAACGCTGCAATTGATGTACAGCTTGAGTGTGGGCCCGGAGGTGGGAACAAAAAACTGTTTTACGAGTGTTCCGCTTCCAATCTTCATGTTCGCAGTTTCCGAATAGTAAACCTTTCTCGAAGTGATCGATATTTCGCACATCTCTTCTGCAATAACCATTTTCTATTCTTAATTCAGAAAATAACCTACTCACCTGGATTTACTGTTTCCTGCGTTACTTTTTCGTTCCGAAATGCTTCTCTCTCAAAGGTTCGCCAGTTGTTCTTTGATATTTTCGGAGTTTCAGAACATTTTAGCGTTTTCTCCAAAGGCAGTATCCATTCTTCTGGGGTGTTAGACGCCGGCCACCAGCGCTCGCTCTCTGGAAACACCTGCAACACTAGAATCTCATTTTTTCATTCTGATTCTGGCTTTTTTCACCTCTTGAGATACAGATTCATCGCTTCTGCCAATAGTTGAACTCCCAATCCGTTCGTTTTGAAATCTGTAAAAGGGCGGACCGACCATCGATCTGCACTACTGCCCCTCGAACCGAATAGACGGCAAGAACCTGAAAGTATTAGAATATTTATGTTTAATTGTTATATTCATAGCAAAAAAACGCGTTCGAAAACGAAAAAATCTAGAATCCCTAGAAAAGTCGATTTGAAAATCTGGAATTCGTCAACTGCCGATTTAAAGGAGCATGCAGATTTGCGCTGGGTCTTGGCACGAAAATAGCAAATTACTGTAATTTTGCGCATATTGAAAAGTTTGGATAAAAGCGAATTGCTTGAACAAATTGAAAAAAAGTTAATAACGAAAATTTATTTTTTTTTCTTGGGTCTTGAAACAGGTTTCTTTTTCGGAGCACTCTTCTTGGCAGTGCTCTTCTTCGGTTTCGTCTTCGTCCCTTTCGATTTGCCTTTCGGTTTCGATCTTTTCGCAGTAGGTTTTTTCGATGGCTTTCGTGCCGCTGGAGCTTTTGCCGGCTTTTGGACGGTTTCTTCGCTACCTTTCATCCGAATTCGACTGTTTTCCAGAACTTCCAGGTGCGGCGACCTGATTTCTCAACAGATTATCCGCGTCAATCACAATCATTTCTTCAGACGGCGCTGCGGAAATATTGCCGACGATTTTAGTGGAAGAAGCCGACGCAGACGTGGTAGCTGTCCCATTTTCCTCTTTCCCAGTGGAGGTAGTTCCGTCTGATGCCTTGCTACTTGCCGTTTCTCCGTTAGTCACAAACTCGACGTCCGATGGTCCTCCTGGAACTTCCACTTCTGGAGGCTGCACCTCGCCCTCTTCTTCTTCTTCTTTGGGCTGACTAGAAGACTCTGACTGCAGAAGTTCAGGATTCAAAGTCTGAATTCAGAACAAATGGAAATCGTGAGTCGTGGAGTCTTGACAAAACCTTCAGAAGTTTTTTCGGATCAGGTTGTCCAACATCCAGAAGCCACGCGTACGAGTATTCCGACAGTTCCAGACGAGCTCCGTGCAACGTGGCACTTGCAGTGACGAGAATCTGCGTAAGAATGAGCCCGCACAAATGGAATCCCAGAATGAGAATCATCAGAAAGTCGTTGACGTTCTGTTCAGAGAATCCGAAGGAGAAAAATGCGCGGTCCATCTCTTTGACACAACCTGAAATTGTTGAACGTTCAAAACTATCCAGCTCTTCTCTTGAGCACCTCTCTTATTGAACCACTTCTCCATTATTTTCACCGGATCCCATCCATCCACCAGAAATTCCACTTTCTGGGAGCACGACGTCGATTTGCAGCAGCTCAACGGGACACTACAGTACTCCCATTCGTTGCAAGACCACAGTCTCGTCTGCGGCGGCAGCTTTTCGTCCACTTCTGACAAATCGACGAGATCCTCGATCGAATTGACCCCGCAGCAAGAGTATTCCATCTGAACGTTTGATGATACATTCATTGTCATGTCTTCTGACCAACATGTATTCGATCGACGAGCGTCTGACTTTCCTTCGACCTTTCATAGTTCAAATAACTCTGTTTGCACACAAGCATGTTATGAATGACACAGTTTTTTGCGTTCACCCACCCTCATCAAAAGACTGGTCATTTTATGGTCAAACTCGGTGGAGAGACGGAGCGAAAGGGCGAAACTGAGCACGCAGAGAACGAAAGAGACGAGCAGAAGGTAGATGGACGACTGGAAGCGACGGTATTCGTGGCGAGACCCGAAGACTCACCGAGTAGTCGCTCATTTCCACGTGGAACTCCTCATTCTCCTGCGAAACCGCCACGTCGAACACGAAAACGAGCAAGGAAACGGAAAAGAGCAAGAGCCCGCCGACGATGAATCCGGAGCAAAGGAACAGAGAATCGTGCTCCCACAGATAGGAATAGACTCCGAGACTGCAAACGATATCGTGGATTCGGATTCTGGAGAGCTGCTCACCTGTGAAACTCACAAATCTTATCGATTTTGAGCAATACTAGAAACGTTTCGAGAAAAATCAAAGTGACGATCAGAACCGCGTCGAAAATCGCGATTATTTTGCGAGATTTCGAAGAGATTCGCATGAGACAAACAACCATTTTGAATTAAAAACTGAGAAACGATTTATGGAAAATGAAGTGAGAAAACAACGAAAAGTAAAGAGTTTTTGGGAGAGAAATGAGGGTACGCGTAAATAGAAAAGAGGTTTCGAAATCAGAAAAATGATCGGGATTGGGTGTCCGGGGTGCGAGCCACTTTAGGACGGCTTCCGAACACGGCGGTGTAGTCTTCCGGGCTGCTGGAACAGAAAAGAAGGTCTAGAGAGCCGGGGAACACTCACCTGGACGCTTCGACGGTGTAAAAGTAGGACGACAAGACTATAGTCTCGTTGGATCCCTTGAAGTCCCCATTGTTGTTGTTTTTCTCGGGTGGCAGACAGTCACGGATCTCGGGCAATGAGGCTGGAAAACCCAAATGTGTTCACTGCAGACAAGAATCAAAAAACCTACGTTTCTTGCTCAGTGATAGTCTGGATTCGTTAGCCTTCCTGCTCATAAACTTCTCGATCAACGGCGACGAGGACTCGGAGAGTTCCTTCCGGAGCAAAGAGGGCGCCTTCCGGGACGTCAGCTGAATGTGTCGCAACGCCTTCATCTTCTGCTTCTCCTTCTCCTCCTTCTCCTTTCGCTTCCGATTCTCCTCGTCCTCCCTCTTCTTCGTGATCTCATCCTGCACCTTCTTGTACTCTGACGCCGCGTCGCTCAGGCCAATGTTGATCATCAGAGGTCTGCGTCGCTCCGTCTCGATCACAAACGTGTGTTGTGACGTGGCAGTGCCGATCCGTCCGTCATTTCCAGCGCCCTTGCGTCCTCTGGCCCCACGGGCGCTCGTCTTGCTCGCCGTCGTCGCAAAGCCCATTCCGTCCTTTGAACTGCCCATCGAATCGTTTATCTGAGAGCCGGCTGCTGCCTCTTTATAGGCCTTTCTGATGAGCAAACGAGCACCGCTGAGCTCGTTGGTCGACGGACGCAACGGGTCGAGCGAGTCGATCTCCCGTTCACACGAACTGCCGGCCTGCAAAAATGGAATGAACGATTCCGATTCTGAGACGATTCTGGCAACGCGGATTTGTAGTTTCTCAGTCAAACGTGCGCACAGATTAGCGGCATTTGAAGCCTGCTTTTGGTCAGATTCGATCGAAAAGCTCAAGAGTTCAGAAAGTCCATATTTCACATTTACATTTCCACTTTTCAATTGTCAGCTGAAAGATGATTCAAAAGTGACCTCGCAAAGTGCAGTGAAATTCGCGGACTCTCATTATCAGCAGCAATAATGTTTTGCACTTTTTATCCGAAATGTCCTTTTCTACCAGTCATTGACTCCCAACTGTCTCCCATCTTATCTTTTACAGTACTCACCTTATCAGCCTCGCCATCTGTAGGTGTTAGCGGCACTCGTGTGTATTCGACTTCTGAAAGTACATACCCGGTTGCCCACGTTCAACACGTTTCTCTTATCTAGACCCTGATTTTAAAGGAAATGCAACTGCTCTTGGAGCGTCCTGGTACCCGGAGAGCCCAGGTGTGAAGCATCAAAAGTACACTCACACTTGAGGTCTCAGGGAGCAGGCCGTGAGCATCTAAAGGGAAAACCAACCGAATCTTAGGGGGATTACTGTAGAGGGAAGAAAGGAATGGGGAGAAGGGAGCGACCGACCGATTGGAAAGGGACGAGTGAGGAGTGACCGTCGTCGGAGTCTGGGAGCGGTGGGGCGGGAAGATGGACGGATGGGCGGAGGAGGGATGGAAGTATGGGGGGACTGGGTCACTCGGCTGTGTCGCGTTTCGTTATTCTTTTTTGCTGCCGCACTCCTCGCTCCTCTCTTTTCTCTGTCTCCGCGCGCGCGTAGCGAAGAGGCGAGAGGGGCGGAAAGCGGGCACACGCAGCGAGCACGGGGCGGCACGAGCGCGGCGCCCTGCAAGTCTCTCCGCGAGGCTGGCACCACCACCGCTTGGCGTCCGTCCGCGTCGCGCCGAGACAGCGTGTCGCCCCGCTGAGACGCAGAGAAGCCCCGCTCGCACTCTTCTTTTTGCAGTACGGGGGAGCGGCGTCTCGGCGACTCGCACGCTCTCTCGTCGCTCTCTGACCTTTCTGGGCGGCTTCGGTGGTAAGCGGTGCGGATGGAAAAGAGAGAGAGAGAGAGGTCGTGCAATTTTGATTGTCCCCTGTGTCCGTTTCGACTGGACAGCTATTGCACCGGCTGGTACTACACACTAACGTTTTCACATTTCGAATTTCGTGCCCAACGGGCCCCGCCGGGAACCACAGCCAATCGGGCGATCGTGGGGAGGTAAACGTCGTTGAAATACAGTATTCGGCGGGAATTTTGGAGAGGAGGCAAATTTCGCAATGTTCTATGGGAGACTAGGTTTGGAGCAATACACTCTGGAAAGTTTGTATTCTTTTGAAAAAATATGCTTGATGACTCTCCTCAGCATGGAAATTTATCAAAAATTGGAAAAATCTGAATAAAACTATGGGGTTATTCAGCAATGTCAGAAAATGGAATCAACAGTGCACGAGTTGCGTTCTTTTTTCCATTTTTTGACATTGCTGAATAGCCCATTAAAGCTTGCATGGAAGTTAGAACAAAACGATATTTTGTCTCAAATGGTGTCCCAAATGCGCTCAGTGAGCTCAATTGGAAAAATGATTCGGAATGGAACAAAGCGAAGAACTAGATAGTTCGGCAATCGAGAACATTACACGAATAGAACAAATTGTGAAACGGGCGAAATCTCGTGATGATCGCATCGCGTGATAACCGTTACCGTATGCCCGAAGTAACCCGATAATTTTGCAAAATTTAGAGCATTAGCGTACGAATTGTAACGATTGTCGAGAAAAAGCCGCGACGTTTTGTTAGTCAACACTTTCGAAATGTTTCAGGGCGACTCTTCTGGCGTCGCTGGCGCCAGAGACCTCTTTCTTATCAGTGCCGACGCCCCGATTGGCATACGACAGAATGGCGAAGTAAGAGCATAAAAAGTACTCGGATGGCACTCGGTTTCTGGCTAAATTTGAATCGGATGGGAGTGGTTGTGATTGAGAATGACCGCTGCTGAGCCACTGCTAAGGCCCATCCGTCTGAATTTAAATGAGACAGGTGCTTCTCTGTGTCCGCTGGCTCCCATGCTCTCTCGTCAGGGGACACAATATTTGGATGGGTTCGAATGAGAAACAGTTTGAAAAACGAAGAAGAAGAAGGAGAAGGAGAAGAAGGAGAAGTCAGGGGATGGCAATGTTTTTGGCGCCGCGTCTCTCTCCGCACGCTCATCCACTTCTCTCCGTCTAAATATTTTCAGTGCTCTCTTCCAACTCTTCCTCTCGTTCCTCTCGTTCTTCTCGTTTTCGGAACACACTGAACACTCTTAAACTTCTCTCTTTCTCTCTCCTTCCTCCTGGATACCCGTTCTTTCTCGACCCTCTTTGTTACCTTTTAGACGAATAAAGAAGCGGGCGCGAGGTGCGGGAGACACAAATATTTTCCTCCCGAGTCACGTCAATTCGATCAGAGATAATGACGAAAGAGGAGACGGAGAGAAACGGGTTACGGTATCCCCGAAAGACGATTGGCAGCGGCAGAAAACGGTCGAAGAAAAGTGAGAATCGGAGGGGGAAAAGCCACGAAGACTTGGAACTGTTCAGGTTATCAGCAGCAGAATCGGACAGCTAACAGAGAGAATGGGCAGGACATGACCATGTCGTCGACTGCCGCTCTTTCTCTCTTCCTCTCTTTCTGGCGCACTCGGAGAGTGAAAGTGAAACCTCCCGGTTATCATTGAGGTGATGGAGCGAATACCGATTGGGAAAGAAATGGAGAGGCAGGAGGAGGAAGGTTCTGGATTGTGGCACTGATTCACTTCTTCCGGTGACGTGGCAATTGTCCACTTCACAGATCAAACAGTTCATCGCTCTCAAATGTTGACCTTTTTCTGTGTGTTCAGCGCCATGACGCGACAATGTTTTCGTAACAAAATCACTTCCTTATCGAGTGAGAGCGAAGGGCTCTCTTTGTTCAGATCCGTACGGGGGTGTCCTTTCCCCCTTTCCCTCCCATTCCCATTCTCACTTTCCGTCGACGCGTCCAGGCACCCGAGGTCGCCCGGCGCCGACGTCTTACGTATGTTTTTTGTTTGATCCGGACACATTTGCGAGAAACCAATTGGTCAGCGGGGGACTAAACTGACCGACTGACCTCAATTTGTGCAAGATGCAAACGAAAATGAAGAGCGAAAAAGGAAAAGGAAAAGGAAAACAGAACAAAACAAACACAACTGTTTTCGGGGGGACGCGGGGGAGTTGGCTAGGCTATCAAGATTCGGTTGGTTTCACAATTGCTACATTTCCCATATTTTCTCTACTCACCTTGATGAACGACGGCGATCAGGAACGGCACGTGTAAATTGCAGAGCGGACACGTTCGGCGGGTCTCGAGACGAATGCGGATCGCGTCGAGCAGTTTGGTGTCCTTGGCGCGGAGACGAATGCGAGGGCACGAAAGGACGGAGAGCAGGAGTGTGTTGTAGAGGGAGCAGGAGGGCTGGAAGAGAAGAGCAACAATATTATAATGAGGTTCGGGAGGAGGATCGAGTTACTGGAGGGGCAAGAGGAAGGAGAGTGTTCTGGAAAAGAGAATTCCACCTTCGCGGAATGCGGAATGCGGGTAGGCAGATAGGTTCTAACTAAATCAATCAAGTTATCTTATTGAAACTAAAAGAAACCTAGTTCTGAATTAGAACTCAAATCTACAATGATAGGCACATCAATCAAGTTAGAAGTTCGAGCTGAAGTTCAACTAGTTGGGAACGGCTTTTCATTGAAACTAGTCTCTTATTCTAGAATTAGAACTAGAACCCGGAGCTTCTACTCAAAAGTAAAGAATTCGCGAAACGCAAAGCGCTCGACTAAAGCTGTCACATAAGAAGCGAATGAGGGAATAAGCGAGCGCCTGGCACAAGGAGCAGGCAAAACAAAACGCGGGAGGAAGCGGCCTAATGAGGAGAGGACGCAGAAGAAGATGAGGAGGGAGCGGGAGCCAGAGAAGGAGGAGCGAGCATCTACTGTCCGCCTGGCACCACGTTTAATTGAAAGTCGGAGAGCATTCATTGCGATAGAAGCGAAGAGCAACTCACGCCGTGAGACATTCTGACGACCAGGTTGGCGATGGAATTGGCGATGGAGTCAGCGAGGCGGGTCATCAGAGGGTGGCTTAGGGACTGGAACGAAGAGATTCGGAATAGATTTGGAAGGAGAAAAATGCATTTACATTTGTGGACAAGTTGACAATCAGAGCCGCCAGATACTCGAATGCGTAGTTGTTGAGCTTTTGATCCAAATGGTTCACTGCCCACTCCAACATCCCATTTTGAATTAGCTCCTTTTGACACGTCGCCCTGCAAATGCAAAACATTCAGCTTTTGCTCCGCCTTTTGCTCCTACCGTATGCTCATCTTCTGCACGCACGCAATCAACTGATCGTGAGTGGTCGAAGGAAGTCGTTTTCCACGTAGAACCGCAATCAGACACGGCAGGAACGTCTTGTGGTGCACTGTGAAATAGCTTCTTCCGCTTGTGTAACTGGCCATCGTGTTGATGAGTCGAGCCATTTGCTCGCGGGAATCCACGCCGTCGGCTCCGAGCACACGAACGAATAGGCTCTGGAAACGGCATTGAGAACTTTACGAAAAATGGAATAAGCAACTCACATTCTTCTTCATTTTAAGCATCAGAGTGTCGTGAGCTACAACCCATTCAAGGGAATCGCGGACGTATTCGTCTAGCGTCGCCACAGACATTTGCTGCAAAGTTTTGATGACTCCCCGGCGTTTTGGAACAGCGACGATTTGCAACTAGCGTGAACTACTTAGCGACAAATTGCATTGAGACGTCGCGGTTTCGAGTTGTGAAATGTCGGGGAACTGTTTTGACAATTCCTTCGCCAGAAAACTGATGCTCACCTGTCTCAAAGCCTGTAATAGAAGAGCAGAAGAACGAGCGGAAGGATGGCCACTGATCAGCATCACCAGCTTCTTGTCGTCGATTTCTCGGAGAAGACATTGGACACTTCTGAAACAACCACATGTCAGTTTTAGGCGAAAATTTCAGTCCGAAGACAACAAAACAATGAATAATCCTTACACTTCTTCACTTTTCAATCTGGTCCTCGGGTCCGGAGGCGCTTCTTCAATGTCTTCCATTTCTGAGCCCGTTCCTGAACACAACTTCTGTTACTGATTCCGAGTTTCGCTTACTTTTAGGGCATGCAATGGTAGTTGTCGGTCGTTTTGTCGGTTTTCTCGCAGTTGGCGGCTTCATTGAAAGCTGCTGGAAAAAACGAGAGCGAATGGATGGCGAAAGTTGCGAAGGCGACCAGAAAGCGATTAATTATAGATAAGCTGCGAGTGAAATATGTAAAAGAACACCTGGAAACCGAGGAATTCCCAATTGGCTTCACTTCTTCTTCTTCTTTTTCTGTCAAGCGTTAAAAGAGCAAATCGGGAGTGGAAGAGGAAGAAAACGCGCGAGAAGAAGAGGTAAACGGTTGTGTGAAAAACGGAAACGTACGAAGCAATTATGAGTAGAGCAAGTGGCTGACAAGTTGAGCTCTCAACCGCTGACAGGTGTTTTGATATACGCGCCAGGCGACTGGCACCAAAAAAGAGCCATTTGTGATAACAAGTAGCACGAGAGTGGGAGAAACGGAGAAAAAGAGCAGGAAAAGAGCGCCGACGGCTTCCGGTTAATTAGCTCAGAGTGCAGTAAGAGAGAGAGAAAGAGCTGAGGCCTATTTGGTTCCTGCTCACAAATGAATCCGTCATTGTTTGTCACTAACAACTGATTAGTGATACGCTTCTGAGAAATCTGAAGGCGTCCTCCTCAATTAAATTGGCTCTAAGAATAGAGAAAGCCTAAAGGGCCACGAGGAAACGAAAAGAAAGCTCAGTCATCAAAGAGCAAATCTATCGAATTCGAAACGTTTTTCTATTTTTTTCTGGTGACGAAGGTAGCCGAAAGTGGAGAACGGAAGCAGGGGAAAGAAAACTGGAGAAAAGTGAAAATCAATTGGTTACGCAGTTTTAGGTCGAAGCGGAGAATCAAGAACAAGAATCCAAGCTGAGGTTGCCGTTGAATGCGAGAAAATGAGCACCCGACGTCATCATGAGAAAATGAGAGTTCAAGTTGAAGTCCAAGCTCTCGGAGAAGTTATCAACAAAAGGGTCGCCTTTCCTCCAAACATTTCCGAAATGGGTGGATGACGAAGAAACGGGCACCGGAATCGGGGGGAAATGAGTGGAATGGGCCCGTAGAAGGTGTGTGCCTCCGTGCTCTCTCACGGACGATTACCATTGAAATGCGGGGCGGCGAGCCGGACGAAACGAGGCGACAATGGTTGCCGTGACGACGTGTTGCTTACCCATTTCATCCTTTATCTTTGCTCACATTCTTGTGGTTTGATTTTTGGAACGAATGTTTGAGCCTCCACTGAGTTCACACTCAATGTTTCTGAATCAGTCGTTGTTTTATGGAAGCGAAAAGCTAAAAGCTAGAAGCCATACATTAAAAGTGAGCCGACAATTGAAACTTGTACTAGTTATAAGTGGCTCAGCTGTAATTTCCATGAAAACCATCAAAACAAGCGGCTCCTCTCTCTCTCCCATGCTTTTCAATAATTAATAGGTGGCCAGTTATTTTGAAAAGCTCTCTCTCTCTTTCTTGTTTACTAGAAATCGCTCGTTTTTTCCGTTCTAATTCGGTATTCGTTTAGTCACGAGCAGTCGGCCAGACACTTGCAAAACATCAGGTGGAAAGAGATCAGCACCGGCGGGGATTCTGTAATTGGGTCAAGCAGGTGGAAAAGTATTCAGGAGTGAATGGAGGAAGAGGACAAGGAGTGGGCGAGAGAGTGTACCGATTGTGTTCAGATGGATACAATGTCTGAAATGGTAGCACAAGCTGACAAGGTTGTGGATCGTATAGTAATAGACGATATTGTTGATGAAGAAGTATTGCGTGCTCTTCTTCTCTCTTCTTTTTCATTCAAAATGCATAGAAAGAGGCGGAGTTCGAGAAAATGCATGTTTATTCTTTTTACATCTCTTCACAAACTTTCTTTCTTCTTATTCTTTGTTTCTTCTTATTCACACAAAAGCTCGATTGGAAAAGGGCACAAAAAGACTATCACTAACCACGGAAAAGGACAAGAATGGGAAGGAAAGGAGAAGGGGCAGAAGATACAAACAGGGAGAGAGAGAGAGAGGCGAATTCAGAATATAAATTATTTGAAGGAGAGGAAATGCTAAATATCACAAAATGAGTGGGCATCAATGGGTATCGTTGGGGCGAAGAAAATCAGAACACAAGTACCACGGGAGAATGGAAGGGAAACGATCACGGGGCGAGCAATCAGGGGAGGGAGGGGTCGGAGGGGATCTCAGTCGGCGGATGGATGTACATATTATGAGAGGAAGGTGACGTGGCAACGCATTTTCGAAATACTGATGGGGAGGGGGAGAAAGTATACAAAGACGAAGAAGTAAAGCGTTTTCAAATCACAGGGATGGTGTTGCGTGCCACGTCACACTGATATTATGCCAAGTTGCAGTCGTCTTCGCCTCATCCCCATCGAAGAACGATGCGGGGAGGTAGGCGGAAAGACGCGCGGAAAGAGTCGGTGACGTGGACTCGTCCGGCGACGACGACGACGGCGTTGGCGGCGACTGAGATTCTCCGGCGCACCGTCAACTGGGCGACGATTCCTGGAAATTGAACGTGAGGTTACGCGACACGAGGCCGGTGCTCACTTCTTCTCCGATCTCGAGGATCTCCGGGTGTCTCTCGATGACACGCATCAGGATTCCGTTAATGTACACACGCAACTTTGGTTGCAAATCTCTTGTTCCCGAAGAGCATCGAGCAGCTGGGAAGAGTCCCCGCCGGCCAATTCATCGGCAAGCGAAGGGGTGTCTGCGATCAGGGACCTGCAAATCACTCATTCAAATCTATTCAAATCACAGTCCCCGAGCCTACCTTCCCCGTTCGACAGAAGTGGCCAACAGCTGATCGGCCATCTCCTCTTTCTCCCTCATCAACTCTGCGACTTTGGCTCTCAGCGCATCCATCTCCTCGTTCATGTCCCCGATGTGATCGGAAATGCTCCCGGACCTGGGACCGTCCACTTTCCTCCTCAATTCTTCCGTCTCCATTGTGAGCACTTCGACCATCTCGCTGCTCGAGTCAATGTCCTGCTGTGCCTCTTCCTTGTACTTTTTGAACTGTCTCTCCAGCTTGATCCGTTCCTCTTCCATTCCCTCGATGAGCAGCTGGGACTCTTCCAGCTTGTTCGCCGTCTTCTCCAGCTCCTGCTTCACTCTCTTCGTCTCCTCGTTCGCTCTTTCGACATCTTTCTTCGCGGACACCAGGTCCTTTTCGAGCATCTGATACTTCAGGTTCCAGCTCTCCGTCTCCAGTTCCTTCTCTCTTTTCAGTCGCGACATCGATTCAGTGCCACGTGTCTTCTCGTCTGAGAGTAGCTGCTTGTACCGGTCCTCGTTGTCCGTCAACTGCTCCTCCAGATTGTGCATCCGCTCCTTGAGCACTGAGTTCTCCGTCTTCAGACGGGTTCGCTCGTCGGAAAGATTCATGTTGCGCTCCTCGAGCTCCGAGTAACGCTTCGTGAACGAGTTCAGGTGATTCATCTGAAACCAAGATTTATATGGAAATGCACTTCAAATCAATCAGAATCTCTTACTTGTGAACTGAATTCGTTCATGGCGTCGCTGTCACCTCCGAACGCAATCAAATCGCTTTCGGAAGAGCTGCCTCCGAGACTGTCTCTTCTCGATCGGGTACCGTATAACCTGGAGGCGACCGACGCGCTGCTCGCCGAGCTGCCTTGTAATCGCATAGGCGAGTCCTGAAAGAATGAAATGAAGAGAGCGGGAATTGATCGTGGAATGAAGGGGGAATGAAACTTCTTCCGCTTGGATCAAATTCCAAAGCAAAGAAATGTAAATGAAATTAGGAGTGATTGACTGATCGAGAATGAGTGGACGAATGGAAGAAACCGTATCAAATTAGCATCTCGTTCCGTTCTCCTCCTCATTCAGCCGTCCAAATGAATTCCTTCGGACAGGAAAAGTAGAAAAAGAAACGAAAGAAGGTGGGTGGTTGAGGACGGAAGCGAGGTTGGCACAGCTGCTCAAATTGTGCTCACTTCCCGTGGAGCTCACGTTGGTTTGCGGCGGCGAGAGCAGGAAAGGCTATTGTTAGAGGATGGATGAACAAGTACTTGTGGTTTGGGAGGCATGTAGGGAGAGGCTGCGAAAGGGATGAACTGGTCTCGGAGGATTATGTTCGATTAGTGGAGTATTGATCCGATGGATAGAGCGAAAAACATTGGAAAGGATTGAGAACTTCACATCCTTTTCTCTTTACTGTGGATTTGTCCTCATTCCAAGACTTCTTAGACAGAGTATACGTAGTAGAGTAACATTAAGAGGAAGTCTAGTTTCATTCTAGAAACATAAAAAGAACATTGGGACAAACATCACTGCATCATCTATTCTACGCGCTCAAACTTACATCAATGAGGTAATGCTTTTTCTGATATTCGTCAATTTTGACTGGGAAGAATCCGCCGGCAGGTGACAAGCCGACAGACCAAATATGAGCCGAAATGAGAGCGGATTGCGAAAGGCGTGCTCCCGATGCTCTGCGTCTCTCAGTTTCCCATACTCTCTCGATTGTAAGCTTCTCTTCGCTTTCAGTCTCGGTTTCTATGACGACTAGAAGAAAGAGACGGAGAGAATGAGAAGCGAAGCGTGAGCGTGAGCGGATGAGGATGACGCAAGTGGAATGAGGAATTCGGAATTTGTATGAAAGCACGTAACGAGGAATAGAAAGCGGGCGGAAACTGAATACCCATGAACTTCACTCGAAACTGCCCTCCGGCTTCCGTTTTCCTCTCAAAAACATTCGCAACATGTCATGTTCTGTGTGACAAGCTTCCGAGACCCACCTGAGCAGTGATAAGAGAGAAAGAAAGCGCAGACGGGGAGAGAAGGTATGAGTCAATTTCTTTGAGTGGCGGGCGTATGAGTCAGAGATCTTTAGACCTGATGCTTTTGGGCTGGAACTCTAGAATTTTCAGCGGCACTCAAAGTACGTCAAAAGTGATGCGTGAGTCAGAGAAAAGTTCAAAAACCCGCAGCCAATTTTTGTTATTTGACACCTTTGTGAGGTCTGCGAGATCACCTGAGGATTAGCGATCAACCAGATCGAAATGGGCACATTTCGAACAAGTTCTGGAAAATGTTTCATACCTCGTATAATTGGAGCATTCGCGTGTTTTGTCGTTGTCACAAATATCAAGTAATATTTAGTTCCAAAAGGGAATACCAGCAGTTTTCACCGCTCTCAATGGAAAATGCCGGGGCGCTCACTCGGGAAGGGATATCAAGTGACGCGAATGACGCGGGAGGCGCTCCGTTAGAGGGCCGGAACACACACACACACAGGCAAAAAACCGCGACGTATTTGTCGTTCCGCACGGTTTTCCGCGCGGATTCCGGAAGGGAACAAAAACATACACACATAGAGAGAGACGCGGCGGCGGCGGCAGAACATGCGCGTTTTTGGAGGGAGAAAGCGACAGAAAAACGAGTGACGAGGATATGACAAAGAGGAACGGTTTGTGATGCCTTTTAGCCGAAGCTGGACACACGCATGGCCCACGCCTGGACTTTCAATCCATTCGCGATTATTCTATCGGACCCAGGCTTCTTGGATTTGAGTTTCAGACCGTTCGGATATTTTGGGCCGGAGATATGTGGAATAGAGGCCGAAAAAGCCGAAAGCTTTGCAAAAACCAGGCCTTTTCGGCTTCTAAGACCCAAAACACTTCAATCCAAGTCCAAAAAGCCTGCAAAGTGAGCCAAAAGTCCAGGCATTTCGCCCAGCCCTACATTTTCTTTGATTTGGTGTGACTAATGGATCGAACGGACACGTAATGCCACACTAACGTCTTGACAAAAAAAGATATTCAAAAATTGGTGAATGGGAAACGAGAATAAATATTTGCCAGTTGTATCACTTTTTTGTGCCTCTACAAAACTCGAAATGGAGCAGAACTCTGACTCATCTCCAGTCGTTACAGACTTTGTTTTATTATCCAATCAACCAAAAGATCAACAAGAGAATCTTCTTGAGTATGCTATTTGTGTTGTTCTCAACACGAAAAACAAACAGATTCAGCCGAGCCGTTCACAAATTCGAAATCATTCACTACTCATAGACTATGACGTGGCAACACATCACAACCAATGATCAGAGAAAAGGTCAACAAGATTGTTCGGCAAATACTTACAGGTACATAGAAGATCTAGAACAAAGAGTGGAAATGAGACTGAGAGAGTGAGAAAGAAAGCGTCTCGTCTTCTCACATAATTATGGACTAGAAAGTTGGAAAGGCGGAAAATGGCCTTTTGCTGACGTTAAGAGGGTGTATCGAAATACGGTTTTCGAGTGGAAAAGCCTCCTGGAAGGGGGAGAGAGTGTGCGGGAAAGAGAGACGCAGAGCGAGAGAGCAAACACGACAAAAGGGATGGTCTTTTGGAGGGAGGAAGACCGTTTTCAGTGACTCATTTGATGGAACGAATGAGGGAAACCAGCGCTGAATGGGTGGGAGTTTGTTTGCAAACAAAAATTGGAACCAGGAATTTATCATTCTGAAAGAGATGCTGAACCAATGGATCTACAATAAGGAACCCTCGGTGTGACGACTATTTCAGAAACATTTTGAACTTACTTGCAGATTCTGCCACTAATGCGCTATAATCTGTCCGTGTTTCTAGTTCTAATACTCTTGCATCTTTTCCCGTTGCCCTTTCACGTACAAAGTCAACACACTTACCGCATACTTGGACTCCTCTTCTGACACGAATTCGGTAGTCATACTGGCAAACGGTTGGGCCGAATCGATGCGCCAAACAACGAAGAAGTGTACTGCGTAGAAGGGAAAAGACCGAAGAAGGAAGGCACTGTTATCAATTTCGAAACCGCCTTTCCTTCTCTCACTCTCTCGGCTTCTCCTCTTCTCTCTCTCTCTCACTCTCTTTCTCCTAGTTTATCTTTTCAGTCACGGTCATCAGGTTGAGGTTGTAAACCCTCGTGAAGGCAAAAAAACGAAGAAGCAGAAGAGAGGAAGGAGGAAGGAGACGATTGCGAAATCAGTGAGGCGAATCCGGTTTTTCGGTGTGTGTGTGTGTTCACTTGTACGTCTTCTTTTTCACAGACTAAGCAAATCGATCGGACAGTTCAGTTCGCGATGGGTGGGAAAGCATTACCACACCCAAGTACACGTGATAAGGAAGAGAGTTATAGGGTCAACACACTTTTGTGAATCAAACAAGTGGTCAGAAGATCGGTAGGAACTATCAAGTTTGGCGTTGCCACGTCATCTGACGCATCTAGAATTGCCAGAAGGGTTTAAAGGTCGATCTAGCTTCAAGATCAGTGCAAACTTCTGATCTGTAGGTTGTATTCATAGAATCTCCTAAACTCGTTGACAGACTTGGCCTATTCACATATAAAGTGCTTGCCACGTCACAACCGATTAGTCAGAAATGGTTTTTTCCTCTCGAAAAGCCTATTTGGAATGGGTTTATGGTCATTAGTCGGGCCGTCCAAAAGTGACCAATCGCAAAGAATGAACCGCAAAAACAGAAAAACGAAGAGCGATTGCTTTTGTTGTGTGAAGAAGACCTCTCAAGAAGATGGTCATTTATGGAAAGATGGAGGAAAGAGTGAAGTATAATTTGAGGAGGATTGGGGACATCTACAATAGACAGACTGGAGATAAAGTGGAGGCGAGTAGTACAAATGAAATGTGAACATTCTCTCTCTCTCTCTCTCTCTCTTTCCGACTCGCTTTTGTTGTTATGTGAACAAGGCTCAGGTTACTTGTACGAGAGGGAGCGAGAGAGTACGGAAAGAGGAGAGACACAGAGAGGGAGCAGGTAGAATAGTCAAGTCAATGTGTACTCGCGAACTGAGCACTGAGATTCTCTCGATTGGGAGCGAGAGTGAGAGCGACGTGGCACGCACTACTGTACTAACTAATTAGTGTATGGATATTGTGTTGTTTTTGTAATGATTGTCTGGGAGGACTAGTACGAAAAATATCAGTGATCCGGCACGCAAATATGTACATGTACAGACCGAAAGTCAATATGGAACGAAAAAGACGGAGAAGCAGTGGTACCTCTCTGGCAGGCGACTCGTAGACGTCGGTCATGATGTCGTCGGCAGGCAGAAGACGTTCGTTCGTGTCGAGAATGGAATTCTGCAACAAAAATGAGTGAAAATGTACAGTACAGCGGAAGAAGGGAGGTACTGAAAATAGAGGGAACAGTACATACAAAAGCATGTTGAAACTACTGGTACTAGAGCAAATATTGGGGGTGAGAATGGGAGAAGAGAGCAAGAGAGAAAGAGATTGTCCTCCTGGAAGAAGCTTTGTGAAATATGTGAAAACATGAATCTCGTTCGGCGAGAATGGGGTGCGAAAAGTCATTCATTCTCCCTCTCTCTCTCTCTCTAGCTTTCCCACTTTTTGTATACTATAATTTATGTGTGTGTGTGTGTGAAATGGAAACGAAATGGAGTGAACGACGGAACTGCGGGAAAACGGACGACGACTACTAGTTTCGGGCGGTGGTGGTGGTCAGTTTTGAGTAAAGTTTGGTGAGGTGGAAACGGAAGAGACCACTTGCCGAGTGAATGGGACTGGGAAAAGGTAGTTGTGAAATATTTGAGGGGTATGAAGTCTATTTCACTACTGAAAGTGGGTCAAAAAACTTTTATATATCTACCTGTGTTCACAGTGTGCTCATGAGAAATTTCTTAATCGACGACTTTTTTATAGCTCTGAAGGAAGCTAAGATACAGCAAAAATTGTATTAGAAGGGTTTCCCAATTCAAGACGATGTATCTCAACTGTCTGTGGAGATATCGAAAAATTGTTCATGGTAAAAAGATAGGTAATGTCTTTCTGAAGAATTTATCAGTTGACACCTTTGTGTTATCTCTTCAAACAGCTCAGATATATTGTCATGAATCAACGGTTAGGAAGACCTATAAACAATCGTTCGTTTCCACGAAATTTAGGGCTAAAACTGAACACGTTCTTTGGCATATGTCCATTTGATACGGAAATGTTAGCAAACTGAACTGTCACGTCATCTAAGCTGAACTTGGCAAGTAGAAATGCTAGAAAGAAGAAAAACATTGTGGAATGCTTGCGCAATTGGCATTCATCCGCTCGATAAAATCTCGAAAAACGGGGGGGGGGGCCGCTTCGCTTTTCCGATTTCATTACACCCCACTGACTTTTCGTCCCATTTTTCCAGATGCAAAAGGTGGAAAAGAAAAAGAAAAAGAAAAGCTGATGAATAATGAATGGAATAGAGAGCGCCATGAGCAGCGGAAGGAGAAGAAGTCATGGCAACTGAGAGCAAGTGGAGAGAGAAAAAGAAGAAGAAGAAGAAGAAGAAAAAGCGAACTTTCGTTGGGAAGTGCCGAACGGATGATCTTGAAGACCAACAATAGCATCGGTCCTATCATCATGAACATAAATGGACGACCAACTTTTCGGAGTTTTTTTTCATAACGGCCAAAGAAACGGAGACTGTGTGAATGTGGCATCTCTCCTCTTTTCCCGCCAAAATCAAACATTTCAACGGCGCGCAGAGAGTGCTTGAGAACGAGAGACCGCGTTGCTCCGGCAAGTAGGTCGAAGGACTGGATTCGCGCCGGTGAAACTGTCGATTGATCGCGCCAAAAGTAGGAGAGAAGAGGAGAAAAAGAGAAAGAGGAAGAGAAAGAGGAAAAGGTCTTCTGGAAATGGGTACTTGTTCAGAAGCTCCCAACTTTTTGTAATTCAAATTGCCAAACTAGCATTCTTGGCTTGTACTAGCTGATTTCAATGAAAAAAGCAGTTTTCAGAGTGAAAAGTCTCAAAAATTGATGATTTTTCTCGAAAAATGTGAACTCGGGCCGATTTTCGACAAGTCTGCTTGGAACTTGGAACTCTTGGAGCCGAAATGCCGAACGCTGTGCGAAGCAGAATCAAACAAGCAAAACACAGACTTCCCACCGACAATAACACCAACACCAAGACACCAAAATATCATTTGGGAACGGAGTTCTAGGAGACGGAAGTCGGAAGTTGGAATTTCGCTCAAATTCACAAAAAAACCGGAGAAAGTTATGAATGTGGTCAGGAAAGTGCACAGAGTACAACAAACCGCACAAAGTTTTGGGAAAGTTTGGAAAGAGAAGAAAAATAATAATAATTCATGTGTGAATGGAAACGAAGAAGACCCCCGGGAAAATGAAAGATGACACTTCTCCCTCTTGCTCTCGGAGAAGCCAGAAGACGACGAACAAACTGTTGATTTATTAGACGGGTGCAAGAAAATACTCGACGCCTTCTGATGATAAAGATCTATAGATCTAGATGGATCGGAGAGACACGTGTACCTTCCTCAAACTTTCACGCACAGACGGATCATCTTTCAACGATGAAACGGAGAAAAAAAGGTGAGAAGCCGAGTGAATTGATATAAAAAGTTGTTTTATCGGGGGGCCGGAAGCTCTTCCTGTTTGCTCGTTTGCTCGCGGAGCCCATGACTCCCTCTCTCTTTCACTCTCGATCTGTTTATTATATACTTCCTCTTCTTCTTCTCTTTCACACGTTTAGGAGCGGTGCTTACCGGAAATTGGCAGAAGTGAACCGCCCCGAAATGAGGAAGAGTCGGATTGGAAATAGGCGGGGGAGGACGACGAATGGATAAAATATGCATTCAACGACCTTACTTCTGAGAATGGTTTTGACGAATAAAACAGAGGAAAACACGAATAAACTGGGCAAAAAGTGGGCAGAAGAGGTGGCAAACCAAATGAAACCGCAATGAACGGGGGCCCGAGAGAGGGATTCTGAAGAGACGCAGTCATGCAAATTACGGTAGACGAAGGTCATGCCGACAGGGAGGCAATTACGGATAAGGAGGGCGATGAATCTATTGTGAGGTGGGGACCGAATGCAAATTCGCTCTGATGAGAATCGAGGAGGAAGCGGGTATACCTCGGTTAAGAGTCGGAATGCCCTTGAGGACCGGACAGGGCCACCTAAAATGGGAAATTTTGTCTCGATCCTCGGTTCTCTCGGTCCACAACACTCTATTCCCGACGCTTGACACCCTACTCATTAAATTTTCATGAAAATTCAAAACGCGAGCCTCGGCAGCCTTCCTTTTTACTGCCACTTCTCGCACCTTTCAGCGTAATGACAAGAAGTGAATGGGGGGAAATGTAATCTGAGTTCTTCTGAATGTTATTCGTTATTTTTGAAGTGAATACGTCAAACAGAATAATACGGAAAACACCTGGACGTGGGCGTGTGGAGCTCGGCTTCTGATTCAGAAAGAACAGAAAACAAGGAAAATGAGTGGCCTGGAAGCGGCGGATGAAGTGAAATCGTGAAATCATGGAATTATGAGGATGTGCGGCGTCGAAATGCGCGCCAATCAACAGCCTCGATCTGTAGATTCGACGGCTTCTGGAGACAATAAATCTCCATTGTTTCGGACGATAATTCACACAAACAAAGCGCCCGCAAACGACCGAGGATTCGGCCGATGATTGCCATCATATTTTGACACAACATAGTTCGATTTGAGAACACTTTTTCGCGTCATTTCTTCTTCATCATGCTATTCCAAAAGTACCTCGAGAACCAATGATTATTTCAAAACAACGTCAATTGCAAAGTTGTTCATAATTTTGTGCTCAATAAGATTGTAGGTAGCCGGACTGCTCAAGAACGTTTCATTCTCGAGTCGAGCGCAGATTCTTAAAACAGTATTCGAAAACTGAACGAATGGTGCAAGTTTGAGCTACCGAACGAGAATGCGTAGAAGGTGTGGGAGCAAAAGGAACTTTGCTTCTCTACCACCTCCTCCCCTCCAACAACACCATCATCATCACCGTCGTCGTCGTCGTCCACAAAAGCGTTGCGCCTCTTCATCGTGAGTGGAATGGAAGAGGAGCGACGGAGGTGGAATAATTGAAACAGTCTGTGTATCGACGGAGAATGGAGGACAATTATTGAGAAACCAGTTGGTTGACGGGCTGGCGGCAAGGAAGGCGACACACAAAAAATGAATGGGGGGAAGAGGGAGAAGAAGAAGAAGAAGAAGAAGACGAGGATCGGAGTGCACTCTGGGGAGTTGGGAGACCTCACTTTCGGGGACAAGTCACACTATGAGTTATAGGTCGTCGCTTGAACTTTCACCATGTTTTGAACTCTCCAGACGATTCGTGTCTCTCGAAACGTCGGAAGATCGGAGAGTATGCAAACTACTTACGTGATGACAAAACAAAACAAAGCAAAAGATTCCCTTTAGAGACCGCCCATAAATCTGGTGGTGTGACGTGGCTTTTACAAGACAAAAGCGAAGCGAGTAAATGGGAAAAGAAGAGGGGAACACGCGCTGAATAGTTCGGAGGGAAAAGAAATCCGTCGGCGACCGAGGCCGGATGTGTTTTATAAACTTTTTGCGTCGAGAAAAGTGCCGCGAGCGAATCGCATCGTAAAATCGGTGTGGAATTAGAAGCACATGTTGCAGAAGGGAAGAAAAACGAATGGAAGATTTGGGAACAGCTTAGAAAGAAGAAGAAGACGAAGAAGAGGAAGATGGAGGTAAAACGGGGGGTCAGTCGAGGTTATTATTTGTCCGGGTGACCCGCTTTGCCTTCTATGTGCCACCCACCTGGACAGATATCAGAGAGCGCCGAGCACACGGAGAAGCAGACGCGCAGAGAAGGTGCTTGAGACGGAAGCATCGAGCGGAAGCGCTCTGCCGCCAGATTAGACGACACACCTTCGTGTGGGAAAGCAAAGAGGAAAGGACTGGATATGGAACGGCGATTGATGTACTCTTCAAAATGCGACTATTCCTACGTGAACGTCATCCTTACCTTATCATCTTCTTCCTCTCCATTACTTGAAAATGCTGACCGTCGTGCGTCGCTTCTCGCGTTCTGCCACTTGCTCCAAGCAAATATTCATCGGACACAACAATATTGACGTCGTCACGAATGTGCAGGATCGCGAGAACGACGCATTCTGGAAGGCGGTATGACGGGCTCCTCAGTCTCTTTTTACGATGTTTCGCTCTCAGGTCGGATCGAATCGGACCGACTTGAAATCAACGGATCTGAAGAAGTTCAAAGAGGCTTGGGGACCGGATTTCCTGCAGACGATGACATTTCTGAAGGACACTGACAGACTGGTCTCATCGAATGCTCACACCGTCTACCGTCCGTTGGAGTCGGAGAAGAAGAAGGGAAACGATGAGAATGTGACGTTCATGGGACACTTTTGGGTGTGTCCGGACGTGCGTGGCAAGCAGATACTCGAGATCAACTCCCAACAGTGCTACGACGTCGGATGCGGCGTCGGCAAGTCGATGGCCTGCTGCACGAAGGCGTCGGAGAAGTGGGCCTCCCGGCTGACCGGATTGGACGGAGGGCAGGAATATCTCATGAAGTACTACATATCTCACTACGATTTTGCGGACTTGCGCATTCCGAAACACTTGAAATTTGATAATATCACTGTGAAAGTGAGCAGTTTAATTGTATTTATGATAAACACGTTCATCTTCGTCTTCCAGAATGCTCGCGACGTCCCGGACAACGACATTCTGAACTACGACGCCAATTGCTTCAAATACGAGAGATCCAAGTACATTTTGGGGCAATTGAGGGACGATTTCGGAAGAGTCGCCTACGACAAGAACGGAGAAGTGATCGGATTCGGGGCCGTGTCGGTGTACCCCTCCGGCGAGTGCGTGATCACTCCGATGTACGCCGATGAGAAGAGAGTTGCTCAGGCGATTCTGAAGAATATTCTGGAGGAAATGACGCTGAATCCGGACAAATACTGGCGATTGCAAGTCCGCTCGAACGACTATTTTGACGACAGTTATGGGTATGAAATGAGGGGATGGATAATAGAGAAGGGAGTGGTTTCAGATGGATCCGTCCGTTCGTGAAGACGATGACGCATCGGAACGAGCTGTGCAAACTGTTCTCTGATCATAAACTCGTCGGAATGGACTTTTCGAAAGTGTTCTGCAACTTCCATCCGACCAATTGTCCCATGTGATTAAAGAAAGTGTTGGCAAATGAAGACCATCTTTTTATTTCTAGTTTAGAGGTCGTACAAAGCAGAGTTTTATAAAACTAAGATTTATTGAGCTACACGAGGAACAACTGAGCGTGAGTCGGACAGTAAACCTTCGAAAAGTCAATGTCTCTGGGAGCCCAGTGCTTGTAGACGAGGTTGCAGACGTGCTCTCTGCTCGGTTTGCACTTGAGGAACGGGGTGATCCAACTGAAACTCGTTCTCTTTTTGTCCTTGCCTATTTTCATCTCGCTTACTGGAAACTGTCCTTGCACAACTGTCCGGATCTCACTTCGAACTGAGTCACAGTCTTCCCCGACGCCCGAATATCCTTCAGAATGCTCGCGAACATTGCCTGCACGACGCGTGTGCTTTCTCCGTACAACGGACCGATGTTGCAGTCGCCGGCCGGATAAATGACCGCCTGAGCAATGCCGCACACCTTTCCGTCGTCGTCGTAAGCCACTTTTCCGAAGCCGTCACGGTCGTGAAGGTGCGAGATGATGTAGCGTTCGCGGTGGTACGGATGGATCTTCTGATCGTACCGGATGATGTCCTTCTTCGGAACGTCTCTCGCATTCTGCACGGTGATGTCCTCCACGCCCAGGTTCTTTGGCATTTGGATGAGATCCGATTTGTAGAAGCTCTTGTATCCGACCTCCATTGCTCCGGATCCTATGTCCTCATCGTCCGGTTTGTTGCACATGTAGTGCCAGAATGCGCGGCCAGGCTCATCTGGAAACAAAGTGAAGCACGATCCGATATCAGCCAGGATCAGACTGACTGATTTGAGAGACAATGTTGGTCTTCTCATTTGGAACCTTCTCCAGACACATCTGGTTGAGCACCGGAGCCACTCCCAACTTGCGGAACTCCTCGTCAATCCAACCGAATCCCATGAACAGAATCGGCTTGTTGACGGCCTTGAGCGGTCGGAAGACACACGTGTGGCTCGTCGCCACCGGCCTCGTCGTCCCTTTCAAACACATCAGCATCCAAGTGTAGTCGTCGTCGAAACTGTTCTGCCACTGAGCAAGGTCGCCGCTCTTGAAGACCGTACGATATTGGCCGTGCTGAAAAACGAATGAATGGATGAGAGAAGAGTTTCAGAGAAAGTTCCAACGTATTTCATGAAGTCGTCCATGTACTTCTCGGGAGGATTCCAGAGAAAATCGACGTCATCTCGAGTCAATCTGGACGGAATGGACGAATGAGAAGAGGAGAAGAAGCGGAGAGAAGACGTCGGAAGACGGAGACGACGAGAGACGAGCATCGCGGAAGAGAATACCGAAATGAGGATGATAACGATTAGGATAACGATGATAATGGTGAACTTTGACGTGAACCGCCGGTGGTGAGAAGTTTCAGAGTTCTGAGGTCAGATCGATCGAACTTTTTTGACAGTCCATCATCAGAAGAAGAACAAAAACAATTATACAAACAAGAGTTTGTTAGTAGTCAGTCTTTATTAGTCAAAACTCGAGTCAAGCGGCACTAGTTGTATACGGCACATTAGCGAACACTTTTTTGTAGTTGACCTTCGGAAGATGGGTCACGTAGCACAAGTATCCCATAATCTGCTTGCGGATCGGATTCTTCACAAACGGCTGGATCCACTCGTAACCACCCTCACAACGATCGATGGATCTGATCTGGAATCTGAGAAGCTTCTTGTCGTCCAGTGGGATCTCCTGCAGGATGCTCTTGAAGATCGCCTGAGCAACCGTCTTGTCATCGGCGTACAACGGAGTGAGCACACACTCGCCCGACGGGTAGATCACCACGGTGCCCAGTCCCACCACTTTTCCATTTCATCGTATGCAACCTAGACATTTTATTGTATTCAAAAAAAAGAGATATTGTCTGCTTACTTTTCCGAATCCGTCTGGATCTCTGAGGTGTTTCAGCATGTACTTGACTCTGTCGTACGGGAAAACCGTCTGATCGTACTTGACAATGTCCTCGTCCGGCACCTCATGCGCACTTTTCACGAATATCCCGTCAAATTTCAGCTCCTCCGGCACTCGCATCTCATCCGGCTGATAGTAGGACACGTACATGGTGTGTCCAATGTCCGCGTGTCCGTAGATCTTGCCCCACATATTCATCGTCTGCGGCATGCACTGCGCCACCGCGTTGTCCGTCACGTTCTTCAACATGTTCTTCACGATATAGTCGGTGATCTTCATGCTGTCCACCCCGCGGAACTCCTCGTCGATCCAGAAGAATCCCTGATACTGATGGGTGGTGTCGACGTGCGGAGCGACTGCCTCGTAGTTGATGAAGTGAGAAGTGTGAATGGCTCTTTTCGAGCCCTTCAAACAGACGAACGCCGTCGTGTAACGATCTTTGAAGCATTCTCGCCACGTGTCGATGTCGTTGCGTTTGAAGTTCAATCTCTGCTTTCCGTACTACAAAAAACTCGGAATTCTCATCAAAAAAGAAGCTTCCCGAACACTCGCCCCTTTCATGAACTCATCCAAATACTCGTCATTGGGGTTGATGACAACGTCCACGTCATGTATCGTGAGCCATTTCCTCTGAGGCTTTCCTTTTGTGATGTACGACGTTCGGACGGCTTCCACGGCTGAAGTGGCTTTCAGAAGATTGCAGACTGGCTTGGAGACGACCATTCGAGTAGAGTTGAGTGGTCAGTCGGAAAATAATGAAAGTTAAAACAATATGGAGAAAGGTTAGTGGGGCAGGGTGGTTCGGGTGGACACGGCCCTTCTTCTGGACGTTTTATATTGTGAAACGTGTCTAAGTGCGTTATCCGAAACTAACCTGATCACCCGGGATCCATAATCCGGGACAATGTTCCGAAGAGGACACGAGGATATCTCAAATGGACGACAGAACATTTCAGTTCAATAGGGCAACAGTTCGACTTGATCGAAAAAATCATCAGAAGATCCAGAGAACAACAAAAGAGAAATGTGGGTTCACATCTTCATTAACCTAGTTCGCAGGCTCTCCTTTCGCCTCTTTCTTCGCCTCTTTCCTCGCTTCAACCGCATCGATCTCCGGCTCGATCACTTCAGCCTTCACGGTGGCAGCCGCCCTTTTCTCGCTCCTGAAAGATTTCATATTTCTTGCTCGTCCATGATCGACTTCACTCACGCATTCGCCTTCCACAGTCTCGTGTGCTTGTTGAAGTCACGGACAGTACTGCACATTCCGTCCTGCAACTTTCACAAATTTTTTCGAACACCCAAAATCAAATCGAGTTCAAAATGTGGTCTGAATGTTCACTCACGAATTTTGTGTGCTTCATTTGTCTGACCCTTTTGAATGCGATGACGTTGTCAACGGAAACATCGTTTCTTGGTCGCTTCGACATTCTCTTCTCGGAAATAATTTTTGTTTCTTTGTTTTTTCGATCCATACAGAATTGCACGTGTTTCTGTTTAACCTGGTTTCTGAAGTAAAGGTCAAAAAGGGCACATAAGGAATGAGAGAGAGAGAGAGAGAGTTTCTTGGCAAAAGGGTTTCCGGAGAGAACGGGCAGTATGATATCATTCGGACAGACGAGGTTCTTCTCGAGCACTTGCCGCAGCTTCGTTTCTTTTGTTCCCGTCGGCCGACGATGATCTTCTGGAGAAGCGGAACGAAAAGGGACTGATCGTGGAGCCCAACTTCTTGTGCCCAATTATTCCGTTGATTTTGGTGAACTGCATCAAGGAAACGGGCACGTTGGACGGACTCGTCGAAGAGTTTGAACAACTCGTAGTCGCCATTTACATTGGAATAGAACTGCCCAACGCGGAGATTCTCGTCGTCGCCATTTACATTGGAATATTCGATCGATCTCGAACTTTTTGAAGCTCGCTAAATCGCGCTTCGAACGGTTTGTCATGTAGAAGTTGCGCGTGAGCACATCGGGAATTCGGATGCACTTCAGAAAGAGATCCGCCACGTCACGACCCCATTGCGGCAGTTTTCTGCAAAGAAATTCGGCATACTTGGAAAAATTCTCGAAAAAAATAGAATTGTGTGAAACAGTAAAAATACTGAGCCGAGTGGAAATGTGTTATCAAGCGTTGCAAAATAGTATCCAATTGTTAATGTTCAAAGGTCGCCAACTTGGAGAACTGCCCGGATTTTGAGAAGAGGTCGGCGACGGAAGGCGTACCTGGAAGAAGGGAAATCGTTGGAGGAATATCACCTTGCTTTCTTTCCCATTCATTTCACCGCAAAAGATGGGAACTTCAACAGTTTCCCATGGCTGCCCAACTGTTCACTTCTCTTTGCTTCCCCATTCGTTCTGAAAATGTTCCGAGCTTCTGGTTTACTGAAATCTTCGCTTCGAACCAGTTGCGGTAAAATTCGTGTCTCTGATCGTCTCGAGGATTACGATGTGATTGTGAATCCCTCTTCTCGACTTGTTGACGTTTTCATGGCAGCGGTAAGATTCTTCTCTTCCTCTAGAAGCTCTGTTTGTACCCCTTCAGCACGGCGGAAATCGTCCAGACTTTAAGAGAGACGACATTGCCACGTGGAAGAGCGCATGGGGAGACGATTACCGTTCGGGTTGATCTTTCTGAAAGGAACTGAAGATCTTGTGTTCACCTTCAACACCGTCCAATACAAGTCTCTGGGCCGGCAGCCAGACTTTCAGCAGTTGGGAATGGCGTGGATACCTGAAAAGTACAGAGGAAAGGAGATTCTGGCAGTGGTGACCGAGTACTTGACACGAGAAGAGGGCATGAAGACACGGAACATGCTGGCCTGCAACACGCACTGGTCTCAGAACTTTTGGAAGCAAGCGACTGGCAACAGTGACATCAGTTCATGCACTTACTACATCACACATTATGACGTGGATGAGTTCCAAGTGCCAAAGATCAAAGACGAAGGAATCGTTGTGAGGGTGAGTGATCAATGAATAAATGGAGATCAGTGTTCAGTTGAAGTGCATTCACAACGAGACCATGAACAATGCTGTGGATTATGATCAGACGGTGTTTCCATTCAAAAGAGACCGCTGGATGAGAGCCCTTTTTGAGGAAGGAATTGGACGGATCGCCTATGATTTAGAAGGCAAAGTGGTCGGAATCGGATGCGTTTCCATTTATCCGTCCGGAGAATGCGTCATCAGTCCGTTGTACGCCGACAGCAAGTTGGTCGCGCAAATGATATTCCGGAGCATTCTGAAGGAGCTTCTTCTGACGAAAAAGAAGAAGTTGTGGAGAATGCAAGTGAGGTCAAATGATCAGTGCAGAGAGAGTTTTGAGTGAGAATTCATCATTTCGTATACACTTCAATACCCTCATTTCAGATGGATCGAACCGTTCCTCAATTGCCCGCTCCGTCGCGTTCACCTCTCCAACCTCAGCTACTCCATCTACCCTCCCAAACACTTTTTCGACTTCTCCAAAATATTTGTCAACGCCCACCCGACCAACGGTCCGTGCTAACAATATATTTGTTGTATTATGAACTTAACGGTCACTGTATATCAATCATGAACACAAATGGGTGTTTACCTCGTGTCGATCTGTCTGCGTACGCGCCACCGCCACGTGACACTGGAGAGAGAAAGAAAGTGAAGGAAGCATAACAGGGCGACAGCCGGCACATGACTCTTTTCTGATATCAAAAGACTTCAGTTTATTTGTTTAGACCAGGCTTTTTCCAATGAGATTTCAATTTATCTTTGAAGCGATTTCAGATCATCGGGTGTTAATTTTTATGTACCTAACCAGTATAATCTATGGTTGTCTCTCTTAGAACCGATTTTTTCGGTTTTTATTTGAAAAATGTGCGAACAGGGCTCGAATTCCAAGCTCGCCGAGCACCAGATGACCATTCTCCATGAAATGTTGCAAACGCGCTCCACCGAACTGGTCATTTGATTCCATTCGGTTCTCCGGAAAATTGGCAACTCCGGGAGCAGAAAAGCCGACAAACGGCTGCTCTTTTTTCGGAAAATTCCCACCGAAAATTTGATTTGTTTCCTCGGCGCAAAAGAGTGACAGAGTCGATCTCTCCCGCCCGCTGATAACCCTATTATTTCGCCCTTTTTTTCTCTGCACACTCTTTTCTCTTCGCCGGTCTTCTTCGCGAACTTTGAGCATCTTGTTCCAGCGGTTCCACCTCGATTCAAACAACTCAAAGGAATGAAATGAACGATGAATCGATTGAGTCTTGGAGGTAAGCTCTGTTGTTCTGAGAAAAGGATTCACACCGAGTTTTCTGTGATTCTTAAAGGCGCAATCCGTCTTCATGACCTTCTGGAGGCATCTGACGACGAGTACGGATTCGTGAGAACTGAAATCGAACGAGCGTTGGACTGCCGAGATGCAACAGAAGAGGAGATAATGAGGGAATCGCCTGCCAAACTTTCTCACAGGGTAGGTGAAGCGAAACACGAAAAACTGGCAGAAAAAGAGTTCAAATGGACTGAAGAAATCAGAAAAGTGTCAAATTGATCTAGAAACGTCACTGGGTGATCTAAATAGAATAACACTTTATCTTTGACGTTTGAAATGCAAAAAAGAGTGCGGAACGTCAGTTTTCCAGTATTGGTCACCCAGGGACCGATTTGAACGCGCTCACATGTTACTTTTCTATCCAATGTCGAAAGAATGGGGTAAAGTGCAGAACGGCGATAAACAGAACGCAATGTCAACAAGTCGGTCTTTCCAATGACCATCGATCGATTTCTGACTTGTTTTCGTTCGTTCCCAAAATTCCACCTCCTCGTTCCAATGTCAGTAATCACTCTCATTCCTCTTTCGTCTACATGGATTCACTAAACCCGAACGAATTCGCAGCCGATCGCATTGAAATCGCGGTGCTCACCGAATCAGAAGAAGAGTTTGTGGTAAGTGTGTCTGCACAAACACACAAAGTTTCGAGTAGGCCTAATGTATGCAAATTCCGATGTTTCGCATCAGAAAATCGAACTTTTTTCCGTTTTTTACGCTATTCGGCTGTCCATCAGCCGTCACTGATAACGGGTTATCATCAGAGTTTCCATTCGATTATTTGTCGATCTGACTCATTTCTTGTTGGTTTTCGCCCAGTGGAAGCGAAGAAAAAACGGGAAAAGGCAAAAAGCAGCAAGTGAAATACACGTCCTCTTCTGTACATTTCTATCCTTCCATGTCTTCAACTTTCCGAAAAGTAATGAGGAAATTCAGTCGAACTGGAGTTGGCGACGAGTATCCTGTGAGTTTTTATTCGTGTTCACCCAAGAAACTACTGCCACAAACGAAAACGTTCCGTACGAATCTCCACGCGGCAGTTTCAAACTGGCGCTCTCAAATCCAATTTTTTTTTCATTTGTTGGATTTTGATCAGAAAATGTAGTCGAAAAGATTTGTATGTGGTGAGTGTTGAAGTTGCGGCACCGTACCGTAGTTTCATCGTGACGCCTTCTGAATTCGCTTCACGCGTTTTCCCATCGTGAGCCTTCGAGAGCGTGAGTCAGTTGGAAGAAGAGCCGCCTCTTCTCACTCTTTTCTGAAGAGCACACACACACGAAAACACGGAATTGTCCTCATCATTCTTGCTCTTTCTCTCTCCGTTTTTGCTCACAGATTCATTCTGTCCTTCCGTCTTCTTCTTCTCTTCTCCTCTCCACAAATTCATTTGCTTCTGCTCTTTTGAGCTCTAGACACACACAAGGAGAGCTCATAAATCAAATGGCTCGTGAAAGGTGTAGGCTCCGTAGATTTGTCATAGTTGGAAAGGCAGTGCCAATTTTAATGCAATTGCACGGGGAGAAAAGAGAAGAAGAGAAATCGAGAGAAATTGAGAAATTGGCTTCGTTTCGAGATTATGCATTTCTTCTTCTGCTCACTCACTCTTTCTGGTTTCTAAAGCGTTTTTTTGCTCTCTGATCATTCTAAAGCTAGAAACTGGATTATCGCGCACTCAACAGGATACGGTTGAACGAGCAAGCTCATCACTTGATGAGCTAATACTTCTGAAACTTTGGAAGGCTCTTCATACTCTCCTTTTCTCTCAATACTGAAAACAGGTAGAAGCGTCTTTTCTGCTTTGCCTCGTCTCCTTTCCCACCACAAAAACGAGCAAAACTCGATTTCTGATGTTTTTCCGGTTCGTCAACTCTTGCCGTCTTCATATTCTCAATTCTCTGTCGTCTAACTCTTGACACGTTCTCTCTATTAATTCGGCATGACAAAAGTGAAAGAGGAGGAGATTAGGACAAGAGAAGAAGGAGATGTTACCCCAGGCAACCTCTCCTCTTCGGCTGACGATGAGAGGTTTTCTGAAACCAAGAAAGCGCTCAAACATTTCTGTCGTTGTCGTCGTCTCCAGAATGCTATTGTTGACGTACTCGAGAGCGGGAGGGACAAACCTAGGTGTCCGTTTTCATTCGATTCCTTCTCCACCTCTTATTTTCTCCTTCACCCCTTCCGTTTTCCTTTTCCGAAGACCAAAAACCCCATTGTTTTTTACATAGGTAATCATAATCGCTGAAAGTAGAAGCCGGTCGAAGGGACGCCGCGAAAAGTGGCTGGTATGAAATGGTGATGTTGTGAAACTTGTGACAAATCAGAAAAATGAGGAGAATTATTATTTTTCCAGCTTCCTGAAGAGCATGTCATTCCGGCGGGTGGCGAGCTTCCGAAAACGTCGTCGTCTGGATCTGTTGACGATAGTGAGCAGAAAGACAAAGTGTCGATCGGGTCGAATGAATCGGGAAAGGTATGATTGCTCATTTTTCCTAATCACATTACCATTGTTTTGTTTAGAAAGAAACAAGTTCGGAGCAGAGTAAAATCGGAGCGCTGTTCGATAAGGCTAAAAAGAAAGGACACAAGTTGGTCTCGAGCAGAAAGAAAACCAATTCGGAGTGCGCAGTCAACGAGATCTCCCCGCACGCATCTGTAAAGTCACTGGAGTCGATGAGCAGGTCGGAGGAGAGGATCGCATCGAGGCGGTCTTCCGGAGGATCCGGGGAGCAGTTGAAGCAGACGGCGACAGGGATGGAGGAGAAGGAAGTTGAGGAGGAGACGAGAGAAGAAACAGAGAGAAAAGTGAATCAGGTGGGCAGGAGAGAGGTTACGACGCCTGTGGAGTCAATCATTCAGACACTCGTGGACCCGGCAGACCCCTCCGATCCGTTCCTCATCCAGTCGCTCATTCACAAATGCCGTGTGCTTCCCTTCTTCCGAGCCCGCCTCGTTGTCTTCGGCACTCTCGTCGCCCTCACCATCGCTTCTCCGGGATTCATCACTGGTGTGCTCTGGGGATTCTACTCCACCGTCATCGGATTCCTTTATTTCTTCGTCAGCGAACCGAAGCCCAAGGAGGAAGTGCGCGACGAGTGGTTCGCCGATGAAGAAGTGGGAGAGAGAGCGTCTGGAAGGGCAGAGAACATTGACGATCAGGGATTCGGTTTGGGAGAAGGAGTGGTGTACAGAGGGTGGATGAACGAACTGAGGACGAGATATTCTCCCGCCAACTACCACGTCAACTCTTCGCAATCTGTGCTCGTCCGACTGGAAGGATCTATGCTGCGGATCTGCCGACCCGCGAAAGCAGTTCTCAAGCATGCATTCTACGATGATCCGACACTCAAGCAATCACAACCGTCGATGGTTTCTCAGGTGATATACGATATGAAGGACGCCCAAGTATCCCTTCGTCCGAAACGGCTGGCTCGCCGACGATGGTGGAGTCGGAAGTACCCGATCCACATTCGATTCGCACACTCCTCGAGTTCTCTCGTGGAAATTGACCACTCATCGACGGCAAAGTCACGCGGAATATCCCGTTCCGCTTCGATGGCTCCGCACCCGAACATATCAGAAACAGACGGAGATCGTCAGTTCACGGACAACGAATCCGACGGGTACAGTGCGGAGAGCGAAACGGAAGCGGAAGAGAGCGGAACTGGTGAAAAGCGGAAACTGCTGCGCGCCAACTCTGCATCGGATATCAACGAGTTCAAGGAGAGCAAGGTGCACAAAAAACGCGGAAGGAGCATTTATTTGTTTGTGAGAGCAGCCAGAGAGAAGGAGAGATGGTTCCATCTGTGAGTTTGAATTCGTCCCCGCTTAAACTGACTTTTCTCTTTTTCAGACTCCGAGAAGCGTGTGCTCGTGCTCGAAACAGTCCGAAAACGCGCAGATGCATGTCAATGATCATCAAATCCCGCTCGTCCGCTTCGCTTCCCGGTGAAATCCGGCCAGCCGAAGAAGACGCAACGAATACGAGTGTGGCCGTTGAAGCACTAGTGGCCGAGGTTGTTCCCTAAAAGAGACATCAGATTCACATACGGTTTATTCAATTTCAGAACGAAAACTTCAGCGAGTCAGTGTTCAACTCTCCAAAAGTGACCCGTCTCCCGAAAGAGTACGAGTTCCTCAAGTACCGCAGCAACTACGCGTCGTTCGTCAAGGAGATCGCCTCGATTCTGTCGATTCAAGTGCCGCCGCGTCCCGAAAAGAACAGCACGGTGTCCGTCGATCTGGGAACGATGAAGTGGGCTCCGGGAGCTCAACAAATCTCTTCGGAACTCGTGGACAGTATAAACGTGCTCGCCACTCGCATATTCTTCGATTTCTGCCGCGACGAATTCTGGATTCGTCAGGTGAAGCAGAAGATTCAGAGCAAACTGGCCACCATTCATTTGCCGTACTTTATTGAAAAACTCGAGTTGGGAGAGCTGAAATTTGGAACGAAAGCACCGAGAGTCACTGCGGTTTATACGCCGAAAGTGGATGAATGGGGCACTTGGGTGGACTTTGAGGCAAGCCATAATCTCAGAATTATCTTTGAAAATGATTATTTTCAGATGAAGTACAAAGGAGGCATTCGTCTGGTTCTGCAAACAAGTGTCAATCTATTAAAGCTGCAAAGCGGAGCCCTCCAGGTGAAAACGGAAAACGAGTGAGCCGATGGACGGAATCCGTCCGCGTGACCCGATACTCCGACTCTGACCTACCGGAGAGTCCGGAGAGCAGTCCGGATGAAGATTTCGGAGCCAAGAACAACTCTGAAGGAACGACGAAGGAGAGGACGGGAAAGAAGATTCTGTCGATCGTCGAGCGGGCGGCACAAAGCTCATTGTTCCAGAAGGCAGCCAAACTGCAGGCAGTTGCACGGGTGAGAACACAATCCGTGCTCGCAGAGAATAAAGGTTCTATTTGCAGCTGATAGAAGACGTATCGACGACGCCATTGATGTTGAATGTGGAAGTAGAGGAGGTCGAAGGACCGATGACCTGTAACATTCCGCCTCCGCCCAGTGATCGGTTATGGTGAGTATTGTCCTTTTCCCTTTCCTCCAATAATTTCTCTTCTTCCAGGTACGCCTTCCGTCGCCGACCTCTTCTCAAAATCCGAGCAGTTCCCCAAGTTGGCGACCGTTCCGTCGATCTTTCGACCGTCTCCGAATGGATCGAAACGAAGCTGCGGCAAGTGCTCGAGAAGAACCTCGTCTGTCCGAACATGGATGATATCATACTGCCCGTTCTCTCCGGAAATCCTCTTCTACATATGGGATACAATAAATGAAACTGAAGTCTTCAGAATTTGTCCCTTGTTTGTATATTTATTGCATGCGTTTCCTAACCAATTGCCAGCCGTTCCTACCCATTTTCCTCGCCCATTCATTCCTTTTCGATTACAAACGTTCGGTGTTCCCTGATTGTTGATAGCCTTTATTTCGTCCACTTCATTCCCTTTTTTGCTTATTTCTTGGCCCTTCGCTTTAAAGCCCCTATGAAAACGTTCTCTTTTTTCTTCTCTCTTTCTCCCATTTTTGCTCTTATTGCACATTCTCTTCTGGGTCGTTTTATCGAGCATCCGTATATTGTCTGTTTGTGTAAGAACTCATAAATAAACTTTGCACATTCTGTACTTTGGAAACGCTGAACAACAACAAGCTGAGAAAACGACTCTTGAAAAGAATCCAGAGAATTACAGTGAGTGTGGGAGGTTTGAGGAGAGATGAGAGACTACCAAAAGTGAACGATGATCTAGTGTGCTCACTCGTTTATCTTTCTTTTTCCTGTTGTGCACATTGAGCAACTCTCTATTGTTGTCCATTTCTGTCTGAAAGTGTCTCAAGTTGAGAGGGAAATCGCTAGATTGTTTACGTTTGTGTCGAAACGTGTCGAATTGTAAGGGAGCCGAGAAAACTGGGGGTTCCCTCTGTATGCCTAGCGAAATGATCTCTCAAATGTGTTTTTCCATAGTTTCTCTTACTATTAGTCGCATATCCTCACATTATTGTTGGCTTTCGCGCGTTCTGTAGACCGTAAACTCAGCTCTTTCTGCTTTTGCTGAAAACATGATACTTGCAAAAAGCGAAAAAAAATTGTGTTTGCATCATCTTAATTGGTAATTTCGAGAGGTCCAACTCAGAATCCTGCGCCATTGAGAGCAGAGAACCTCTTTTCAGATCTTTTCAGATCCGTCCTAAATACGGACAGACGCCGGCAATCTGTTCTACAGGAAGCAGTCATGGCTATCTCTGCCGAAAGAACAGACCCACATAGTAAGAATTTGGTGCTTTTGACAACATAAACTTACGTAGGTTTCCACACACTTCTTTCTTTTCCGCGATCCATTGCACTATGTTTAGGGGGCGCAACAAAGGGGGCGTGGCCTGACGAATTTTCTCCCGATTTTCGCGCGCGCGTGTTTGACGGTCTGTACCGAGGTCCCCAAATGAAGTACCATACCCAAAAAGTTTTACTTTATGTAATCGACCATGCTGAATCCAATGAACAACTCCATTTCACGTGAAAACGTACCGTTCTCTTGAAAAACCGCGAAAACGAAAATGGAAGTCAGTCTGAGAGCCTGTGTGGCCAAGTTTATGGCTACACGCGCCTACTTTTAACTGTTTCCGACAGTTTAAGGGATGGGGAATCCGTTTTTGAAGTCAGATTCGGGCTCCCTAGTACCCGAAAGTTTTTACAGATCCTCAAACTGCCAGAAAAGTTAGTGGAAAATTTTCAGCGTTGACCATACTTTTTTATTTTTGGAATCCATAGATAAAGTCAATGAGAACCCAAATATAAATTTTCAGAGCTCTAGACCCACTAGGACCAGATTTGTGCTCGTTTGAGTAGGGCCCATTCGGCCGAAATTGTAGTTTTCGGGAGATTTGAGGGTCACAGGTACCTTACACGCGGCTAATTTTTACAGAATCGGATTCAGCATCAAATTTCCGACCGATCCATGTTAAACTTTCTCATCTACCTAGTACCCAAAAAAAGTTACAGTCAGTTATGTTATGGATTTCAGCCCACAAAGGCACTAATTTCGCAGTTGGAAAGGGCCGCGCACAGCGAGCTTCTCTACGCCAATGGCGGTGGGCGCGCCACCGCCCGGTTGGCGCAGTGGCAAAGTGATCGCTCGGCAGTCTGGGGGTGCCGGGTTCAAAACTTTTGTCCTCGAAAGTTGTTTAGCTTTTTTTAAGAACATCATGCCTGTTCATTTTTTTTGTTGCATATTTGGCTTGGTCCGTCAGAAAAGGACAAAAAACCGCTCGCGGCGCACTTGCTGGCGAAGCTCCGCCCCCTCCTCGACCGCCGACCGGGGAGAAAACAGGCCAACTTTGAAGGGGTGTAACTCGGGATGTACCGAAAATTTTCGAGAAAAAAGTTGGGAGCGTACTCATATAGAGTAGGGGAACACATTCCAACAAGAATTTTGTGGAAATTCGGAGTTTTGCGAAACCCGTTGCGGTACCTAACTATGTTTGCATCGGAGATATCGCAGTTGTTAGTCATTCTAGAAATTCGAAATGGCATTTTTGGCATGACTATTCTTTGATAAGGAATATACTATTATGGGGCTATTCAGACTGTGAAAAAAATGATTGTTTTCCGTTTTTTTCGTTTTTTTACGTCAAAAAATCCAATTCAGCGATGTAAAAAAACAAAAAAAACGGAAAACAAACATACGCTGAATAGTCCCATTAAACGTGTTCCTGCTAATTTTATTTTTACACGAAGTTTATTCTACACAGCCGAAAAGTTCACCTAATTAACGCAACATGTGATGTGACTTTCTGCGCATATATCACCGGCCCGGGCTTTTTGAAGGCATTTTGCCTGGACTTCTGACCCACTCGCAATATTCCGAACGGACCCAAACATTGCAGTTCCAGACACTCAAATGAAAAAGAAAGGTTTATGAAAAGTTAAGAGAACATGTAGAAAACAGAGATTCATGAGATTCACATCTTATGCACTTTTTAAAATCCAAACAATCAACAACAAAGTTGAGCTGAGCCAAAGGCTTTCGGGCATAGATCTAGAAGAATTACAGTAATCCGTGGTGCAGCAGCAGGTTTTATAGTCGTCTCCATCGTCTGAGCAGGTTGGTTGCTGGAATCAGAAGACTGATTACGGTAGAAGCAAAACCGACTCACCGAGCAAATCTGCATGCTCCCGCAGCCATACGAATATATGAATAACCTTGACTTCTTGATCACCTGGGCCTGTCTGGAAGACGTTCCTGGAATGAAAGCGTGCTCCATCGAACTCACTTGAAACAGAAGAAATCATTCGGACAGTTTATGCGTACAATATTCGAAGCATGTGTGTTTCCGACGGTTTGATCCACTCCTGAAGTCATGTATTCATTCACTGTGTCCAAATTCTGAAAACAAATCGTACCTTACCGTAATAACAATCTATTGCTCCGAGCACGGGAAGCATAAAGGCGAGAAAAGCAGAGAAAGACAGCAGGAGATGCTTCATCGCTTCATTTGATGACAAAAATTTGAGAGAAAAAAAACGAAAAATCGTTGTGCTCTGCGCTTTCTTATCAGTATGAAAGAGCATCCACAGCTGAACAAACATGCTTTGGAAGATTGAAAAACTTGACAGATTAATCGAAAGTATGAGGTTTCTATTGCAAACTGACAAGCCAACACTTTTGAAGTGATCTGTGATACATAAAAACGGTCAAATGACAAATGTCATCGCTCTTTTATCAGTTTGTCAATGCCAATGAATCATTCGACATTTGCCCATTCTGTAACCCAAACTTGTTTGCTCCAGACACTCAAATGGGAAAGAAAGGCTTATGAAAAGTTAAGAGAACATGTAGAAAACAGAAACCAAGAGGGCGAGAATAGAGGTCTTCGAGTAGGTGAACCCGGAGTTGCACAGCGTGCCCGAGCAACAGCACTGTCCGTATCCGTTGCCGTAGTTTATGCAACCGCTTCTCTGAAAAGGAACGAGTGAGTGAGAAGAGCTAACGAACGTTTCGAGTACTCACCCCACAATGAAAGTCTCCGCATGAGTAGGTGTTGTAGTTGTAATTGGAAGACTTCTCGGCGTAGTAGACCCTGTGGAAAGATTATAATATAATAGTTTCTTGAAAGATGTCGATGACTTACTTCATACAGTAATTAGAGTCTGGACAATAAAAAGATGACACACTTCCAGTTCTAGTGTTCCCAATTTGATTGATCTGTCCTGAAGTTACGAGAAGTAAGCAAGTATTGTGCACTTCCAACTAACCATAATAACATGAAATGGCAGCAAATGCTCCAGCAGTGAGAGCCGAAAAGAGAACGAAAGAGGCAAGAGCGCCTCTTGTCATTTTCTAGTCTGCCAGAGTCTGAACTAAACTCCTTTATCACTTAAAATACGGTGAAAATCACCTCTTATCACTGCTCTTTTCCTCACTTCTCCTCTCCATTTCAATCGTAAACTTTTTTGCGGCGGTTTTTCACTCTGACAATGTCTGACAAAGATGCATACACACGGTGATTCATTGCGAGGATGCAGTGAGGAGAGGAAGAACGTGTCCGGCGCCCTCTTCAAACCTTTTTCCGTGCGCCAGAACTTCAGATGCGTGCTGTTTGCAGAATACTGATTCATTTTTCTTAATTTTTTGGGAATGAGTTCATTGTAATGGAAACTCACAACAGCAACGAGAAACTCGCACAAATGTCTTGGGATCACTGCCAAAACATCATCTTCGAATTTAACCTGCGTTCGACTCTGGAAGCCGGTATGCACGGAGACAACGCCTCCGGAAACAGTCTCAATTTGGTGATCATCGAGCCGAACGAGACGGTATTTAAGGGACCAATCGTGCCGGAATTCTGCAAGCGGCCAGAGCCCAACGACCTGGTCTACAAGTTCCAGCCGGGAGCCACCATTGATTTCCTTATCATCTAGCCGATCCCTCGTGTGTGTATTCATTTCCCTCAATCCTTATTTATTTTCTCCATTTCGTTCTTGTGTTGTCGCTGATTTTTTTGTTTTTTCGCATCCCCATACACCGTTTTACAACCCTGTCTTATAATTTTTCAATAAACTGCACTAAAATGCGATTTGCAGCTATTTAGAAAGTGTTGATATCAAATTATCAACTTTTTATTGGCTTATTAAAGTTAACATTTGTTTCCGTTAATTTCTCGGTGATTTTTACCCCAAAACCTCGCTCGCCCCAACCCAGAAATGTGCGTGTCGGAAATTGAATCGCCGCGCACAGAGTTAGATGTGCAGGTTAGTGCGACAAATAAGCTCCGCCCACTTGGCTGCAGCGGCGGCAAAATTCGAGTTCGGCGCGCTTTGCAAATCTTTGTCATCACCCTCTCCGTTTCGCACGTTTGCTCCCTCTGTTTCAGATGCCTCATCGCTTTCTTATCTTTTTCCAGCACGGGAATTCCAATCACGTCGCATTTTTATCAGCTTTTACACGGCGTGTTCCAAAACGTCCCTTAGCCACGGGTTGATTTGGTTTGTTTGTTGGCAAATTGTTATTTCGCGCAAATTTTGTGAGAAAACGAACAAGTGGTGAGTTGACTTGTCAGTTTTTGGGCGAACCATTAATGTTTGATAAGTTCATCCGCCGATTGCGAAATCCGCCTAGAATTTCGAAACAATCTACTGTTCTCTGGGTCAGTTTCTCTGGGTAGTTTCTCAGGGTCATCTCCGTTCTCTTGTCCATTTTCCCAGTTGGCTCGCGCTGGCTTTTTGTTTCAAAACCGCTCTCCTCGGGAGCTGTGCTATTTCATCATTGTTTCTTTTTGCAATCAATGAGTTGGCCGCTGTCCGTTGTCTGTGCGTCCAGATGGCTGTTGTCCTTCTCCTTCCACACACCCGCCCGTTTTTTTTTGTCCTTTCTCTCCGCATACACAGACCCGCTTCGGTTGGTTGGCCGAATCGGGCGGTGTTAGCCTACTAAGCCCCCCTCTTTTACCCATCTCATTTCCTTTCGTTCCTTTTCTTCGCGCTAAAATCAATTGTCGCCAACTTGTTCCAATCTTTTTGTTTGCAGAAAAGAATGCGTGAGGTTATCTCGATCCACGTCGGACAGGCCGGAGTCCAAATCGGAAACGCTTGCTGGGAGCTTTACTGCCTCGAGCACGGAATCCAGCCCGATGGAACGATGCCAACGCAGTCAACGAACGTGGGCGAGTCCTTCACCACTTTCTTCTCGGACACTGGATCCGGCCGTTACGTCCCAAGATCGATTTTTGTCGATCTTGAGCCAACTGTCGTCGACGAGATCCGCACCGGAACCTACAAGAAGCTCTTCCACCCAGAGCAGATGATCACCGGAAAGGAAGATGCCGCCAACAATTACGCTCGTGGACACTACACCGTCGGAAAGGAGCTCATCGACACCGTGCTCGATCGCATTCGTCGTCTTGCCGACAACTGCAGTGGACTTCAAGGATTCTTCGTCTTCCACTCGTTCGGAGGAGGAACTGGATCCGGATTCACTTCCCTTCTCATGGAGCGTCTTTCCGTCGACTACGGAAAGAAGTCCAAGCTCGAGTTCTCGATCTACCCGGCCCCACAGGTCTCAACTGCCGTCGTTGAGCCATACAACTCCATTCTGACCACCCACACCACCTTGGAGCACTCCGACTGTGCGTTCATGGTTGACAACGAGGCCATCTACGACATCTGCAGAAGAAACTTGGACGTTGAGCGCCCAAGCTACACTAACCTTAACAGAATCATCTCTCAGGTATACCAGATCGACTCCATATTACAGAAGGATCATTCAACGCTTTCAGGTCGTCTCCTCGATCACTGCCTCTCTGAGATTCGCTGGAGCCCTCAACGTCGATCTCAACGAGTTCCAGACCAACTTGGTGCCATACCCAAGAATCCACTTCCCACTCGTCGCCTACACTCCGCTGATCTCCGCTGAGAAAGCTTACCACGAGGCGCTCTCCGTCAGCGACATCACAAACAGCTGCTTCGAGCCAGCCAACCAGATGGTCAAGTGCGATCCACGCCACGGAAAGTACATGGCTGTGTGCCTCCTGTACAGAGGGGACGTCGTTCCGCAGGACGTCAACACTGCCATCGCTGCCATTAAGACCAAGAGAAGCATCCAGTTCGTTGACTGGTGCCCAACCGGATTCAAGGTCGGAATCAACTATCAGCCCCCAACCGTTATTCCGGGAGGAGATCTCGCCAAGGTGCCACGCGCCGTCTGCATGCTCTCCAACACCACCGCCATCGCTGAGGCCTGGTCTCGTCTTGACTACAAATTCGATCTGATGTACGCCAAGCGCGCCTTCGTCCACTGGTAAGACTGACAATTCAGAGAATATTATCATGTAATCCTCTTTTTCCAGGTACGTCGGAGAAGGAATGGAGGAGGGGGAGTTCACCGAGGCCCGTGAGGACTTGGCTGCTCTTGAGAAGGACTACGAGGAGGTCGGCGCCGACTCAAACGAGGGAGGAGAGGTGGGAGAGGAATATTGAACGCTTCCCACACCACTCTGATATGAACTCGGAATATTTATTATAAACCTTTGTATTATATCCACGAACCTCTTGTTTAATAATAATACCTCATTTATTCGCTTCGACCACCAGAAAATTTACAGAAGAAGAGTGAGATATAAATAGTGGGTGGAGGAGGGAATAATGACTAAAATGACCATTGGCCGGCAATAGCCATAGGTCAAGTAGAATACAATATACAAGAGGGAATCTTTTCTATGCGCGTCGCAAAAGCCTCAGGCGACAGTCTTTCGGGAAACATTTTGGCCACTCGGTTCCATAAGGCAAGATGGGTATGCAAGAAAGAGTCATGGGGTAGGCCTAGAGAGGAGAGAAGATATTTGTTTTTTCTGATTCAGGAAAGTCAAGTTACTTTGTGTATACCGGGTCCCTCCCAAATGTAACAAACGACTCAAAGCAGGTGCTCACAAGTGCCGCAAAAGTAAATAACGGCGATAGGGGTTTAAGGACATATTTGAACAGCTTTGTCTCGTTTTTCGCTGTTTGTGCCGCAATTTTCTTTCATTTGGTAGAATGAGGAATTTCAAAATTTGCAGTCAAAAGAATCCATGACTACTACGGCGGCACAATTGAACGGAACTCCGTCCTCTTCTCCGACCAGTTCGCCGATGGTCTCTCCGCCGATTCCGAACGTGGGCGACGAAGAGGAAGGTGTGGTGCATTTGATAACGGATCTCAAGGACAAGGGGACGAATTTTGTGTTGTTGAAGAAGACTCCACAGATTCTGGAGTTGCAAACCATTCTCAAAGACAAGTTGGAACTGCAATAGTGTCCAGAAAGTGGAGTAATTGTTCAGAACGACGACGCACTCCGATTTCGTGCTCAACGCCGATCGTCTGATGCGTTTGGTGATTGAAGAGGGACTGAATCATCTGCCGTACTCGGATCACTCGGTGATCACGCCAACGGGCTTCAAATACGAAGGAATACAGTTCAATTGCGGCAATTGCGGAGTGTCGTTGTGTCGGAGCGGAGAAGCGATGGAAATTGCTCTGCGACAGTGCTGTTGGAGCTAGGCTGGTCGAACAGGCGATTTCAGGCGTCTGTTTTTTCAGGCGCCTGTTTTCTCAACGCAGGGACGCGGCGGCGCGTTGAAAAAACAGGCGCCTGAAAAACAGGTTCGACCAGCCCCGTCGATAGCTGCCTTCTCGTCCGGGCCAATCGAGATCTACGGCAAACTGTCGGTGACGCGCGGAGATGCGGAAATGGTGAGTTTTCTTCACTAGAAATCATTAAAATATTGATTTTTCAGCGTTCGAATCGGCGTGATGAACTGGAATAAGTGAAGAAACTTCCGTTCGAAAGTGCTCGCCCCGTCCACGTTCCTCTCGATGAACTATACTGTCATCTAATAGGTTTGTAACATTAATAACAAAGTAAAAAGGAAAAAACTAGAAAAGAAACTATAGAAGCTGGTTCGCCAGCCCACGTCTGGGTCCCTGCAAAAGTCTGGAAGAGGAGAGATCGGAATGCATAGAATGCGCGTTGTTCTGCATTCCTAGTCGTGCAAAACTTTCTCTTCAGCTTGTTGTAACGGGCATGCAGTGCCTCAATTCCTTGTTCGCTCGTACGAGCCCAAGACTTGTTCTCTTCGACGAAAGGCATGACGTGCTCCGCCAACCAGTGAAGTTTGGGGGTTACAGGTCTCTCAGCGGCAAACTGCTTCAAATGGTACAATACTTTGTCCTAAAAAAAATAATATGCTGTTTTGTACATCTCCCCGTGTCAATTTTACAATAATCGTGTCCATATCGTAGATCTCTTGTGCGGTAAGGGAACGCGTGACACACAATCGTTGCAATCTTCCCAAATTGACCATGAACTGCTTGAGATGGTCAAGCTCTTTCGTTTTCGGGAAGATGTCAATGTACTGGCTAACAGCGTCCTCGTCGAGAAGCTTCAGAACGTGATTTCCAACGAAATTCTGTTGCCAACAGCTCATATCCGCCCCCAATTTTTTCCATTCGGACTCCGTGTTCTGAATAAATTTTAAAAATCACAAATTCCCTCATTTAATCACCACGAAGGAGGTTTCTGCTCCGTCCCGCTCCGTTTTCAAAATTTCTAGGTTACTTCGATAAAATTTCTTATTCACGACGATGATTCGCTTCAGTTTTCGAACTTCTTCTCGTGTTTCTTTCAGTTGTTCACGTTGTTTTCGGTAAATGTTAATAATGCGAGTGTTCTCTCTCCCCATCTTTCCGATTTCGCACCTGAGGTAGCGAATGGTGACCGTCGGATTGGGATCCGCCATTTCATACGACTGAAAAAGCTGGTCGACAAGAACTAACTGCGAATTAGTTGCATGAAATAGATTTGAGAATCTTTGCAACCCGAAAAACTTTTAAAAAACGCTAAGTAAATGATGAAAGGAAATACTTTATTTTCAGCAGTCAACGTTCGAGTGGAACATGGAAATCGGCCAACCGGTCCGTGGGCAATGCGTCGTTTCCAGGTGAATCTGATGTTTCCTTTCCTAATCTCAAAAGAAATTATTTCAGAACACAGTCCGAGCAAGTTACAAGTCAACAACATTCTTCTCACACGCGTATCGTCGAATGATGAATAAATTTAATTATGTATTAGTTTATAAAAAAAAAACGCAATTTAATTAATTTCTTCGCAATCCACGTCTTCATGGTTTCCTCCTCGGGGGATGCCCCATCACCGCTGCCTGCTGTTACTGTGCAATGATGGCGTGCCGAATATCCACTTCAATTGGGTCGCCGTGTGAGATTTCTGTACCTGAAAATAACAACAATACTCTCGGGGGGTAAATCAATGTACTCTCAAACGGTCACCCCGCTTTCCGACGTACTCTTCGGCGACGACGTCCTCCATCTCCGCTATTTCTGTCGCATTCAGCAGCTCGGTCTTCCGCATTCGCACTGTCTCTCTTCTAAATGACGACGTCGCGGATGTGCTCTGTGCCGGAGGAGGCAGCTATCGACGTGGCGAGCACTCTCGAACGGAAGTTTCCTCACTTATTCCAGTCCATCACGCCGATTCGAACGCTGAAAAATCAATATTTTAATGATTTCTAGTGAAGAAAACCTCACTTTTTGTCCCGAGGTGACCACAATTATCTTTTCGACTTGCACGATCGTCGATGGCGTAATCAGATTTGGCGAAAGCGGAGCACTCTGAAAAATAACAGTTTAAATATTCAAAGAGCAAAGTATCATCATCGCCGGCATAAACTCATTCAAACGTGTCAATAACTTGCGGAAAATCGATTTGGACGATTACGAGTGAAACACACACATTTTCGGTTACCGCACTTCTAATACAGACGAATAATTTACGGAACACGAAAATCATGGCGAAAAATATGTTCAACGTTCATTTTATTGCTCAAAGTGCAGAGAAACAATGCATGAACAGAAATTTTTATGGCGGGAGTTCTGAACGTATCTACAGTCGGATCGTTTCGAGACCCATTCGCCAATTATTCGTTTTGTTGTTGAATGTGTTAAGCTCATTTTCAAAGGGAAACCATGCGTTGTGAGTGCTCAATAAAGAGAACAGCAGTCGTTTATTAAAAGAGGAACACACAAAAGTTACTGGGAAATACAAGAAAACCAAAATAACATCATTTTTTCGGGCGAAATTACGCTTTTTTCGGGAGGTGACAAAATTGTGCTGAAATTGATAGAAAAAAGAAATGGAAGCGAGCACATGCAGAAAAAAGACTGGATCTCGTCGTCCTTCTCGTCCAATTGCTGGTACAGCTTTACCCGCTCCTCCTCGTACAGGCCGATTTGTTCGTGTAACGCGAGAATTGACACACCTGTGCACGTCTGAAACATTCAATTGTTATGGTTCTTATACTGCTTGCAAACTCACAAAGTGCTCGGCGGAATGCGCCTCCCTCCTACTCTATCAGATCCTAATGACTGACACTTCGAAAAGTGGCAGTCACTGCTTGCATCAAGAGTGGGAAGTTTCGTGACTGTTCTTCGCCCTGTTCTTCGTCATCATCTCCTTGCCCTCCTGCTGCTTGTCGTCGGCCTCTCTCTGAATGCGCGAGTTCTCTTCGCGGATGATCTCCTCGTTCTCGCGCATCGTCTGCAGTGCCTCCTCTTGCAGAAGCACCTGTTGTCGGAGCTTCTCGAGCTCCTGCGACACCTTCTGGATCTCGTCGTTCTTCTCGTCCAATTGCTGGTACAGCTTTACCCGCTCCTCCTCGTACAGGCCGATTTGTGCGTGTAACGCGAGAATTGACACACCTGTGCACGTCTGAAACATTCAATTGTTATGGTTCTTATTCTGCTTGCAAACTCACAAAGTGCTCGGCGAAATGCGCCTCCCTCCTACTCTATCAGATCCTAATGACTGACACTTCGAAAAGTGGCAGTCACTGCTTGCATCAAGAGTGGGAAGTTTCGTGACTGTTCTTCGCCCTGTTCTTCGTCATCATCTCCTTGCCCTCCTGCTGCTTGTCGTCGGCCTCTCTCTGAATGCGCGAGTTCTCTTCGCGGATGATCTCCTCGTTCTCGCGCATCGTCTGCAGTGCCTCCTCTTGCAGAAGCACCTGTTGTCGGAGCTTCTCGAGCTCCTGCGACACCTTCTGGATCTCGTCGTTCTTCTCGTCCAATTGCTGGTACAGCTTTACCCGCTCCTCCTCGTACAGGCCGATTTGTGCGTGTAACGCGAGAATTGACACACCTGTGCACGTCTGAAACATTCAATTGTTATGGTTCTTATTCTGCTTGCAAACTCACAAAGTGCTCGGCGAAATGCGCCTCCCTCCTACTCTATCAGATCCTAATGACTGACACTTCGAAAAGTGGCAGTCACTGCTTGCATCAAGAGTGGGAAGTTTCGTGACTGTTCTTCGCCCTGTTCTTCGTCATCATCTCCTTGCCCTCCTGCTGCTTGTCGTCGGCCTCTCTCTGAATGCGCGAGTTCTCTTCGCGGATGATCTCCTCGTTCTCGCGCATCGTCTGCAGTGCCTCCTCTTGCAGAAGCACCTGTTGTCGGAGCTTCTCGAGCTCCTGCGACACCTTCTGGATCTCGTCGTTCTTCTCGTCCAATTGCTGGTACAGCTTTTACCCGCTCCTCCTCGTACAGGCCGATTTGTGCGTGTAACGCGAGAATTGACACACCTGTGCACGTCTGAAACATTCAATTGTTATGGTTCTTATTCTGCTTGCAAACTCACAAAGTGCTCGGCGAAATGCGCCTCCCTCCTACTCTATCAGATCCTAATGACTGACACTTCGAAAAGTGGCAGTCACTGCTTGCATCAAGAGTGGGAAGTTTCGTGACTGTTCTTCGCCCTGTTCTTCGTCATCATCTCCTTGCCCTCCTGCTGCTTGTCGTCGGCCTCTCTCTGAATGCGCGAGTTCTCTTCGCGGATGATCTCCTCGTTCTCGCGCATCGTCTGCAGTGCCTCCTCTTGCAGAAGCACCTGTTGTCGGAGCTTCTCGAGCTCCTGCGACACCTTCTGGATCTCGTCGTTCTTCTCGTCCAATTGCTGGTACAGCTTTACCCGCTCCTCCTCGTACAGGCCGATTTGTGCGTGTAACGCGAGAATTGACACACCTGTGCACGTCTGAAACATTCAATTGTTATGGTTCTTATTCTGCTTGCAAACTCACAAAGTGCTCGGCGAAATGCGCCTCCCTCCTACTCTATCAGATCCTAATGACTGACACTTCGAAAAGTGGCAGTCACTGCTTGCATCAAGAGTGGGAAGTTTCGTGACTGTTCTTCGCCCTGTTCTTCGTCATCATCTCCTTGCCCTCCTGCTGCTTGTCGTCGGCTCTCTCTGAATGCGCGAGTTCTCTTCGCGGATGATCTCCTCGTTCTCGCGCATCGTCTGCAGTGCCTCCTCTTGCAGAAGCACCTGTTGTCGGAGCTTCTCGAGCTCCTGCGACACCTTCTGGATCTCGTCGTTCTTCTCGTCCAATTGCTGGTACAGCTTTACCCGCTCCTCCTCGTACAGGCCGATTTGTGCGTGTAACGCGAGAATTGACACACCTGTGCACGTCTGAAACATTCAATTGTTATGGTTCTTATTCTGCTTGCAAACTCACAAAGTGCTCGGCGAAATGCGCCTCCCTCCTACTCTATCAGATCCCTAATGACTGACACTTCGAAAAGTGGCAGTCACTGCTTGCATCAAGAGTGGGAAGTTTCGTGACTGTTCTTCGCCCTGTTCTTCGTCATCATCTCCTTGCCCTCCTGCTGCTTGTCGTCGGCCTCTCTCTGAATGCGCGAGTTCTCTTCGCGGATGATCTCCTCGTTCTCGCGCATCGTCTGCAGTGCCTCCTCTTGCAGAAGCACCTGTTGTCGGAGCTTCTCGAGCTCCTGCGACACCTTCTGGATCTCGTCGTTCTTCTCGTCCAATTGCTGGTACAGCTTTACCCTGCTCCTCCTCGTACAGGCCGATTTGTGCGTGTAACGCGAGAATTGACACACCTGTGCACGTCTGAAACATTCAATTGTTATGGTTCTTATTCTGCTTGCAAACTCACAAAGTGCTCGGCGAAATGCGCCTCCCTCCTACTCTATCAGATCCTAATGACTGACACTTCGAAAAAGTGGCAGTCACTGCTTGCATCAAGAGTGGGAAGTTTCGTGACTGTTCTTCGCCCTGTTCTTCGTCATCATCTCCTTGCCCTCCTGCTGCTTGTCGTCGGCCTCTCTCTGAATGCGCGAGTTCTCTTCGCGGATGATCTCCTCGTTCTCGCGCATCGTCTGCAGTGCCTCCTCTTGCAGAAGCACCTGTTGTCGGAGCTCTCGAGCTCCTGCGACACCTTCTGGATCTCGTCGTTCTTCTCGTCCAATTGCTGGTACAGCTTTACCCTGCTCCTCCTCGTACAGGCCGATTTGTGCGTGTAACGCGAGAATTGACACACCTGTGCACGTCTGAAACATTCAATTGTTATGGTTCTTATTCTGCTTGCAAACTCACAAAGTGCTCGGCGAAATGCGCCTCCCTCCTACTCTATCAGATCCTAATGACTGACACTTCGAAAAGTGGCAGTCACTGCTTGCATCAAGAGTGGGAAGTTTCGTGACTGTTCTTCGCCCTGTTCTTCGTCATCATCTCCTTGCCCTCCTGCTGCTTGTCGTCGGCCTCTCTCTGAATGCGCGAGTTCTCTTCGCGGATGATCTCCTCGTTCTCGCGCATCGTCTGCAGTGCCTCCTCTTGCAGAAGCACCTGTTGTCGGAGCTTCTCGAGCTCCTGCGACACCTTCTGGATCTCGTCGTTCTTCTCGTCCAATTGCTGGTACAGCTTTACCCGCTCCTCCTCGTACAGGCCGATTTGTGCGTGTAACGCGAGAATTGACACACCTGTGCACGTCTGAAACATTCAATTGTTATGGTTCTTATTCTGCTTGCAAACTCACAAAGTGCTCGGCGAAATGCGCCTCCCTCCTACTCTATCAGATCCTAATGACTGACACTTCGAAAAGTGGCAGTCACTGCTTGCATCAAGAGTGGGAAGTTTCGTGACTGTTCTTCGCCCTGTTCTTCGTCATCATCTCCTTGCCCTCCTGCTGCTTGTCGTCGGCCTCTCTCTGAATGCGCGAGTTCTCTTCGCGGATGATCTCCTCGTTCTCGCGCATCGTCTGCAGTGCCTCCTCTTGCAGAAGCACCTGTTGTCGGAGCTTCTCGAGCTCCTGCGACACCTTCTGGATCTCGTCGTTCTTCTCGTCCAATTGCTGGTACAGCTTTACCCGCTCCTCCTCGTACAGGCCGATTTGTGCGTGTAACGCGAGAATTGACACACCTGTGCACGTCTGAAACATTCAATTGTTATGGTTCTTATTCTGCTTGCAAACTCACAAAGTGCTCGGCGAAATGCGCCTCCCTCCTACTCTATCAGATCCTAATGACTGACACTTCGAAAAGTGGCAGTCACTGCTTGCATCAAGAGTGGGAAGTTTCGTGACTGTTCTTCGCCCTGTTCTTCGTCATCATCTCCTTGCCCTCCTGCTGCTTGTCGTCGGCCTCTCTCTGAATGCGCGAGTTCTCTTCGCGGATGATCTCCTCGTTCTCGCGCATCGTCTGCAGTGCCTCCTCTTGCAGAAGCACCTGTTGTCGGAGCTTCTCGAGCTCCTGCGACACCTTCTGGATCTCGTCGTTCTTCTCGTCCAATTGCTGGTACAGCTTTACCCGCTCCTCCTCGTACAGGCCGATTTGTGCGTGTAACGCGAGAATTGACACACCTGTGCACGTCTGAAACATTCAATTGTTATGGTTCTTATTCTGCTTGCAAACTCACAAAGTGCTCGGCGAAATGCGCCTCCCTCCTACTCTATCAGATCCTAATGACTGACACTTCGAAAAGTGGCAGTCACTGCTTGCATCAAGAGTGGGAAGTTTCGTGACTGTTCTTCGCCCTGTTCTTCGTCATCATCTCCTTGCCCTCCTGCTGCTTGTCGTCGGCCTCTCTCTGAATGCGCGAGTTCTCTTCGCGGATGATCTCCTCGTTCTCGCGCATCGTCTGCAGTGCCTCCTCTTGCAGAAGCACCTGTTGTCGGAGCTTCTCGAGCTCCTGCGACACCTTCTGGATCTCGTCGTTCTTCTCGTCCAATTGCTGGTACAGCTTTTACCCGCTCCTCCTCGTACAGGCCGATTTGTGCGTGTAACGCGAGAATTGACACACCTGTGCACGTCTGAAACATTCAATTGTTATGGTTCTTATTCTGCTTGCAAACTCACAAAGTGCTCGGCGAAATGCGCCTCCCTCCTACTCTATCAGATCCTAATGACTGACACTTCGAAAAGTGGCAGTCACTGCTTGCATCAAGAGTGGGAAGTTTCGTGACTGTTCTTCGCCCTGTTCTTCGTCATCATCTCCTTGCCCTCCTGCTGCTTGTCGTCGGCCTCTCTCTGAATGCGCGAGTTCTCTTCGCGGATGATCTCCTCGTTCTCGCGCATCGTCTGCAGTGCCTCCTCTTGCAGAAGCACCTGTTGTCGGAGCTTCTCGAGCTCCTGCGACACCTTCTGGATCTCGTCGTTCTTCTCGTCCAATTGCTGGTACAGCTTTACCCGCTCCTCCTCGTACAGGCCGATTTGTGCGTGTAACGCGAGAATTGACACACCTGTGCACGTCTGAAACATTCAATTGTTATGGTTCTTATTCTGCTTGCAAACTCACAAAGTGCTCGGCGAAATGCGCCTCCCTCCTACTCTATCAGATCCTAATGACTGACACTTCGAAAAGTGGCAGTCACTGCTTGCATCAAGAGTGGGAAGTTTCGTGACTGTTCTTCGCCCTGTTCTTCGTCATCATCTCCTTGCCCTCCTGCTGCTTGTCGTCGGCCTCTCTCTGAATGCGCGAGTTCTCTTCGCGGATGATCTCCTCGTTCTCGCGCATCGTCTGCAGTGCCTCCTCTTGCAGAAGCACCTGTTGTCGGAGCTTCTCGAGCTCCTGCGACACCTTCTGGATCTCGTCGTTCTTCTCGTCCAATTGCTGGTACAGCTTTACCCGCTCCTCCTCGTACAGGCCGATTTGTGCGTGTAACGCGAGAATTGACACACCTGTGCACGTCTGAAACATTCAATTGTTATGGTTCTTATTCTGCTTGCAAACTCACAAAGTGCTCGGCGAAATGCGCCTCCCTCCTACTCTATCAGATCCTAATGACTGACACTTCGAAAAGTGGCAGTCACTGCTTGCATCAAGAGTGGGAAGTTTCGTGACTGTTCTTCGCCCTGTTCTTCGTCATCATCTCCTTGCCCTCCTGCTGCTTGTCGTCGGCCTCTCTCTGAATGCGCGAGTTCTCTTCGCGGATGATCTCCTCGTTCTCGCGCATCGTCTGCAGTGCCTCCTCTTGCAGAAGCACCTGTTGTCGGAGCTTCTCGAGCTCCTGCGACACCTTCTGGATCTCGTCGTTCTTCTCGTCCAATTGCTGGTACAGCTTTACCCGCTCCTCCTCGTACAGGCCGATTTGTGCGTGTAACGCGAGAATTGACACACCTGTGCACGTCTGAAACATTCAATTGTTATGGTTCTTATTCTGCTTGCAAACTCACAAAGTGCTCGGCGAAATGCGCCTCCCTCCTACTCTATCAGATCCTAATGACTGACACTTCGAAAAGTGGCAGTCACTGCTTGCATCAAGAGTGGGAAGTTTCGTGACTGTTCTTCGCCCTGTTCTTCGTCATCATCTCCTTGCCCTCCTGCTGCTTGTCGTCGGCCTCTCTCTGAATGCGCGAGTTCTCTTCGCGGATGATCTCCTCGTTCTCGCGCATCGTCTGCAGTGCCTCCTCTTGCAGAAGCACCTGTTGTCGGAGCTTCTCGAGCTCCTGCGACACCTTCTGGATCTCGTCGTTCTTCTCGTCCAATTGCTGGTACAGCTTTACCCGCTCCTCCTCGTACAGGCCGATTTGTGCGTGTAACGCGAGAATTGACACACCTGTGCACGTCTGAAACATTCAATTGTTATGGTTCTTATTCTGCTTGCAAACTCACAAAGTGCTCGGCGAAATGCGCCTCCCTCCTACTCTATCAGATCCTAATGACTGACACTTCGAAAAGTGGCAGTCACTGCTTGCATCAAGAGTGGGAAGTTTCGTGACTATTCCTCGCCTTCCGAAGATCCTTGTGGGTTCTCGTGTCCGACGTAGCGAGAGAAGAGAGAGAGAGTTTAAGTAGGGTGTGGCAGTTTCTTCTACTAACTAAAATTCTAACATGTAAGTCATATGCGCGCAAGAGGTTAACCCCAAAGAGTGCCCGTCTCTGTCTGCCCACATCCCTCTCATCTCAGGCTTCCTTCAAGAAGTTATCGTTAGGGTCACTTGAAGGGATCTGATCCGTAAGGACCGTGCAACTCCGCATCAAGTACCCACGGTCCGCAGAGCCGCCGCCCCGTAGAGAAGGGGGTCAACCACGCCACGTGTAAGGTGGGGGCGGTGATTTTTTTCCTCCGTGACAGGGGCAAATCACGTCACGAAGGTCACCGCTGTGGCCCTACTCAGAGAAGGACGTACAGACGGATACTCCCGAGGAATACACCTCTTCTAAGCTATTGTAGTCACATAAAAGTTCTATTAATTCGAAAAGACACCACTGGTAGGCAAGATTTTGTTTAAAATTGATCGCAGGGAGAAGAGAATTACTCAGAAATGTACGCAATTTTTACTGTTTGCCACACCCTACACTATGCCCAACTCATTGAGCACCGATCTGAACGACAAAAAGTGAGCATTTGTTCCGGTTTTCACAAAATACATAGGAATAACAGGACGGTTTGTTTCTACTACATATAGAGGCATCCGAGAGTTCAGCGCAGTTTTTTCAGAAACTCTCCCAAATGTGATATCCTGTGAGCATTTAGAAGCAAAATGAAATTTATGCAACTTTTGTCGGATAAGAAAGGAACTTTACAGAGATCACAGCTGAAATAGCTTCGGAATAGAGTGCACTTCACTTCCGTATGGACTTGACATATGAAAGAGAAAATGAAGTAACGGAGAGAAAGGGGAGAAAGAACAAGTGGAAAAATATCGGATCGATATCGATTAGCAGAGGGTCTGGAAAGTCCGCCCGCCCAAAACGCGGGCAGAACGAGACGATCCGACCGTCCGCCAAGTCGGTATGTCCGAATGAATGGCTATTCTTTCCCACGGGGGCCCTTTTATACTTACTCCTCACATATCGAGTAGATCAAATGGCCCTTTCTCTCCATTTCTGTGTGTAGTCTGTTAGGATTATGAATGTGTAGTCTGTTAGGATTATGAGTGTGTAGTCTGTTAGGTCTACTCGATATGTGAGGTGCGTCACGGATGGATGAACTGCTCTGTCTCTCGATAGAGCGATTTTATAGGCTATTAGGAATTTTTTAAGAGCAAGAACGTTAATCTTGGTCTAGTCGCAAATCACATTTATCCGTTTGAAGGTTTTTTTGTTAAAACTGCGTGAATTTCAGTTGCTTTTCGGTAGTTTTCGCGGTTCGAGCGCTCAAAATTCTTGTATTTACGTGATTTATCATTCTCAAAACCAATTCTGTCTGAAAACGGTCAAAAAATCGCAAAATGAGAAGTGCGGTTTTGAGGCGGCGAAGGCGAAAAAGCAAAGTCCGCGAAAAATGCGCCAAAACGTCATTAATTCTGAGAATTAGTGTATTTTCATGGCGAAAAATCACTTTTCATCGCCTTTGACCACAAAAATCAGAGAAAACCTGCTCAATTCATGAAAACGCCATTTGGCCGAGGTCACGCCCATATTGTCAGCTCTGGAGACCGTGAGATAAATTTTACGAGGAAATTGACTCACATTTCGGTCGTCAACGTGTTAGTTGGCTGTAGTTATCAAGCATTTGATGAAAATTGATGACGTTTGAACGGATTTTCTGGAAAAAATTAACAAATGCAAATAGAATTGTGAATTTGCGCTGAAAAAGTGTTCAATAAGTTTGCAATTGCCAGCTTCTACAGTAGGTCTTTTTAAAGGCGCATTTCCAAAGAGTCTTTGACCTCCACCCGCTATCTTTCGATTTTGGCTTCACTCTTTTCAATTTTTCATTTTTTCACTAACTTGTTTTCCGAAAACTTGAGGACCGATGAATCGGTGACTCGAAATTCCCGATACTCTTTTATTTTCTGACTTCTCCCGCATTTAAATGTGGCCCCAAAATTCCAAATATTTACTTTTCCGTTCATTTCGATCACTTTTCCACTCGATTTCCGCCAGAAATTGAACGAACGCGTCGTCAAATTCGGTATTTCATCTCTTTTTTTTTCTTGAAAACAGTTAACTGTTTCGAGATAGGCAACAATTGTTGCCTATCTCGAATCTCTTTCAATTCAATCGTATTACTTTCAGAAGTAACTTTCGTTTTTTCCGGTTTCCTTATAATTTTTCGTGTTCTTTTTGCGTTGCGGTGCCATGAGCTTTCAACGTGAGAATGCGATGAGTACGGAGTCTGACTCATAAAACATTCATTAAACGATAAAACTTTCAAAAATCAATATATTCCAGAATGATTAAAAAATAGCGAGGCGAATCCTCTCATTGGAGGAGCAATTCGACACCTGACCTCTGGGTTGGGTGGATGCTCCGCATGATCGCATCGAAGTTGGCCGCGAACTTGTCCTTGATGTCCTTCACGGACAGCCTCTCGAGGACTGAACCGTCTCTCGTCACCAGTAGATGTTTGTGGCAGACGGTGACGGAGCAGTTTCGGTCGTGACGGTACATCATCCTGAAGTTGCTGGCGGCGGCGTGCAGAAATGCGTCCCTGGTCCGCGATTCCTTTGTGTCGTGGAGCTCGACAATGACGTACTTCTGCAAAGCTTCGTGGTCAAAAACTGACATTCTCTTTTCGAAAAATAAACAAACCTCTACGTTATTGCCGTACTCCAGCTGATTGAAGCTGTCCAGGTGTTCTGAGACGGCCCGCCCGATCTCCTCCGCCACTGCTTTCGGAACCTCCACGATGGTCCAGAAGATTGGAGAGATCGGGTGTTGCCGTCCCCGCGAGGCGTTCGGGAACGTTGCCGCGTGCCAATCCAAATCGATTCTGTAAATAATGAGTGTTTAGTCAGTTTTTGGCGCTTGAAATCATGAAATCTTACCCAAGTCGGCCCAGTATGTCGCCGATTCGTGCTCGGAACTCGTCGTCCGACGGATCGATTTGGAACTCAAGGTTCCCGAACACGATCTGCTGCCGACCGGGCGCTGGCGCCGAGCATCGGGTTCTCTTCTAAAAAAAACAAATTTTCAGCTCGAAATTCCGGTATCGGCATTGCATACCCTCTTCCGGTTCGTCCTGTTCGGGACTCCGACATTCAGCAGAGTCGGTCGAACAAGACGATCCCTCAGATTGTACACCGTCGCCGTCGACCGCAGCGAATTGTTTGTGAGTGCTGGGGCCAGCGGCGACGGTGTCCTCCCGCAGCTTGGTCGTGACGGCGGCGACTGTGGAGACGGTGGCGTGTGAAAGCCTCTGGGAGCTGGCGCCGGCGAGTCATAATCGAGGTCGGACACACGGCGTGGGTGTTGTGGTGTGCCCACTGTATCCGGGTCCTCGGACTCGCTGCTCCGACGCCTTTTCGGTGAGCATGCAGAGTCTTCCTCGCTCTCGTCCCTGTCATCGCCTCCTCCTGGCGCTCCCGCTCCCCGCGCCTGCTCCTCCTGAGCTTCTTCTCCGCGCCGTTGCTCCTCTTGAGCTCTCCGCGGCTCCTCTCTCTCTTGCTCCATCGCCGACTCCGAGTACTCCTCCTCCCGAGCCGTTGATCCACGAGCCTGCTGCTCCATGCGCTCGTCCTGGGTCTCCTGACGGTCCTCCATCGGCCCTGGCGCCTGCTCCTCCTCCATTGGCTCCGCCTCGTCCGGGATCTGAGCGAGCTGCTCGTCAGACTGCCCGTCTCTCGGAGTTTCCGCCTCTTGCGGATCGGATTCTGTTTCAGAGCCCGTGAAGTGCTGAAAGTAAGCATTTTCCGTAAGTTTTATTTCAGAGATTGTATCAACTCACCGTCCGATCGATTTGTGACTTCTGCACACCCGAATCCGCCGTCCCAGCCACTTCTGATGTTGGTGAAGTGACCGAATCCGAATGCACATTGGCCAGCCCTTGATCGTCCGCCTCCTCGCGAGCCGTTTCCGATCCATTCAAAGCTCCCTCCGAGCTCCGAGCGAGCACTCGTTCCACTTCTTCAGCAATCGGCTGCTCCGCCTGCTGATCCGTCTGCAGTTCGTCCCTCGTGGCGTCTCCCGAATCTGAGGCCGAGTAGTTCTGAAAGTAAGATTTTTCGCGAGTTTAGTTCAAACTTTGAAACAACTCACTTCCCGATCGCTTGTTCTCCTGGGCGCTTCCGAATCCGCCGCGTTGGCCACTTCTGATGTTGGGGAAGTGGCCGGATTCGTCCGCGCACTGGCCAACTCACGATCATCTGTCTCCTCGTTCGCCCCCTCCGATCCGTTCGACGCCTGAGCCGAGCTCCGCCGAGCACTCAGTCGTGCTTCGACCTCTTGAAGGCGGCGCTCGAGGGACCTGCGCTCTTCCGCCCGGTTCTCTCGCTCCCTCTCTCCGTCGGCCACCAGACCCTCGATCATGGCCTCGAGTGCCCTGTTCCTGGCGACGAATACCTGGTGCCGAGCATCGAGTTCCTCCTCCCTGACGGCCGCGGTCCTCTCCCGATCGACTCGCTCGTTCCGTTCGGCCGCCAGGGCCTCCAATCTCTCCTCGAGCGCCCGCTGCCTCTGCCGCAGCTCGTTCTCCGTGGCGGCTCTTTCGGCGGCCGCCTCCCTTTCCTCTTCTCTCTGGGCCTCGACGGTCCGCTCGAGGTAGGCACGGGCCACCTGCAAAAGAACGTAAAATTCACATTAACTTGTCTCTAAACAGTTTCTTTTCGTCTCGTTCTCTCCAACATGCATACCTTTTTTGCTTGTTTCTACAAAATCTCTATTTTCAGGCACTCACGTCGGAAGGGCAACTGAGCCCGTGCTGCCGTGTGAGACCGTGCATCACGCGGTGGAGTTGATGGAAACCGCCGCGCCGCCCGTTCTCCCTCGTCATGAACTCCACTATGAACGAGTGGAGAACGGCGGCGGTCTCCTGGTGCTCCAGCATGTGCGCCACGATCCCCTCCGGTTCGTCGACGATCCGAGCGGAGCAGCACCCGCACTGCCACTCCTGCTCCTCGAACGTCGACTCCTGCAAAGCGATCGGTCAGTCGTAAGTCTCTTTTTCACGGTGCCGCACCAAATGGGAAACTATCGGAACAGAGTTCCAGTTCGATAGACTCTTTTTGGGGTGGCATCTTTCTGGCCCGCCCCAGCTTGACAGTATTCCATCTTCAGACGTCCGTTTTACATGAGACTGTCCGAGTCTCACATAAAACGGTCCGGTGGAGCTGGAGTATGACCCTCTTGTTTGGTCGGACCGTCTTCCGGCCTCAGAAGTCTGTTTGATTAGAGCTTTGAGCAAAATGTTCCTCGTTCCACTATGCAGCAGATCAAAGGGACTTCTGGATACCGACAGCTTTACTTTCTTTTTTAAATATTATTCTTTCAAGAAACTCACCAGCACGTCAGCTCGTCCCTCCGCCTCCTCTCGCGGATTTTGGCGCTCCGTCGCCTCCTCCGGCCTTTGCGGCCACCGCCGGTCCTTGTATCCGTGCGGCTCCAACGGGTTCTCCTGGAGCTCGAAAGTGCGCTCCAGAAGACTAGGGCGCCGGCCGCGAAGCGCCACCCTTCTCAATAGCCCGTTTGCCTCGGCGGCAATTCTCAACAGAATTGTGAGCAAGACGCTCATTTCTCGAGCTTTGCCTGGAAAAAAAACAGGTTTGGATGCGGTTTTCAGTTTCAATTTCACAATGTTCGCAAAAAAGCACAAAAAGCTGGTTTTAGAATATCAATCAATAATTTTTCATTAACTACACGGTAGATCAAGTTTGTGGCGCTGTTCTCTTCCCTCATTATTGTCCTCTTTAAGATGTCGGTCTACTGACGGACGGAGAAATAGGCGATTCACATTCCCCAGTATTGTGAGTCCTTTTTCTTTTGTTTACAGTCTCTTTTCTGACAAAGAAAGTAACGAAAATGTCCAGGAATTTTCAGGGATAGTCACGAGGACATGAAGTTGTTGATCCATCGGAAGAACGGAACTTCCGTTACGGAAGACAAATAGAACGAGGAATCAGCAGAAGAGTGCCTTCGAATTGAACATCTGAAAGAGAGCCGGAGCTGGTTCCTTTTGCACAAGAAAATTGGTCGGCCCACACGAATTCCAGAACTCACGATAGGGCGTGGCCTCCTCCTTTTCGAAGATTTTGCGGTCGGAAACTATACTTCGACAGAAAAAGTGCCAGTTATCGCAATTTTTGACATTTTGGTACATTTTCTGCTGAGCCCAAGCACGTGGCCAACAATACTGCAGTCAACAATGTTTTAGGCAAAAATCTTCAAACGGGCTTGACCAAATTCGAGGGCCTTGCGCTTCAAAAATTTCGTTTGACCTACTCAATTATAAGATCGCAGCGCAAATTGGAAATTGACAAGTTTTCGCGGCGGACTTTGCAAAAATTGCAAAAAAGTAAAATAAAATTTGAATTTCGCCTTTGCGTCGGCCCGCTGATAGACGGAAGAATCGGTGATTCACATTTTTCCCGGGGTTGTGAATCCCTTTTCTTTTGTTCACAGTCATTTTGACGATACTTTTATTCGATTATTTTCTCTTTTTATCAATCGGCGCCTCCGCCATCGTCTTCTTGCTCCAATCGACGTCGGGAGTCATCTGAAGAGTGTCGTACGTCGAACTGTCCGCCACTTTTGTCGCCTAAAAGCGAAGAATTTCCGAAATAATCCAATTTCTTCAGTTATTTACAGTGTCGCTGGGCGGATGAATGTCCGGAACGCCGGAAATCGGATTCCTCGGCGCCGGATTTGCACCGGGCGTCGGGCCGAGAACTGTGGGCGGTCCGTGCTTCGACAAGTACTTTATTCCGTCGTCTTGAGACTCGAAAGTCTGAGTGATGGTGCGAGTTTTCGGGGCAGGACCCAACAGAATACGCGAATCTTCGTCGGAATTCTGGAAAAAATAACTGAAAAGTTTGAAATGTTCAAATTCTGCTCAAAAGTTCCCTGTTTTAAGTTTTCCCGTAAAAATTCCCCGCTTAAAGTCGCGTATTCAACAAGAACCTACATTTTCAGACAAAAACGGCGCAACAAGTGATATAACCAAACCCATTCTTTGGCTGTTTGTTTTAAATGCGAAAAATGACAACACCCCGCCCCAGCACTCAAAACAAAACGTCTATCTTCGGTGAAAAGTTCACGAAATATCAACTTTACGGCAAAAAACAGATCTAAAAGTTTATTGAGAGTTAAAACTGCGCAGTGACATACAAAAACATGGCTTTTCTATTCAAGAAATGGGGATTTTCGAGAAACGAACCGGAAACGTTTATTCCTTCCTTCCGACGGCTTTTCCGTTCTCCCAGATCGCGAGCCTACTCCTGTTCGACCAGCCTAAACCTGAATAAATTGCGAAAGAAAAAGGTTTCTAGTTAAGCTCGCTGATTGGTCAATCATACGTCAATTGCAGCCTAACTGCGCGTTTCCCAATTCGCACTGTATAATTGATCAATCCGCTACTGTCCGGCTCGCGGGTTGATGTATCATTCGTCTATCATTGGTCCCCCTGTATAATTCGTCAACCGCAGTTCACCCGTGCAGCTACGTGGCAACCAGAGTTGAGCGGAAATGGACTTTGAAATCCGGAAGACGGTGGACGGCAGACGGAAGAAAATTTTTTTACGAAAAACGGAAGACGGAAGACGGAAGAAAACCTTTTTCCCGGAAGACGGAAGACGGAAGAAAACCTTTTTCCCGGAAGACGGAACAAAAAAACCACGGAAGACGGCAGACGAAATTCCGCTCAACACTGGTGGCAACTATTAACTGTTTCAAACTCTGAAGATCTCCCCCGGGACCGCTGGTCATTGAAGTTATAAATGGCTCATTTTTTGGTTTTCCAAAAATTTGTGTGCGAAATTTCCGGATTCTCAAAAGGCGAATGATTGGATTTGGGCGACGGCCAACAAGTGACAATTTCGAATGGGAAAGTGTAATGTAGGCACAGATTTGAATGGATGTCTCCGGGGAAATGAGGATGAAAACGTCTCGAGAAGTGTGAGTTTTTGGAGGAGAAAGTTTCGGTTTCAGAGTGGTTTTGCGCTGTGAAAACGTTGACAAGTCCCTATGCTCCGGACTCATAAATCTTCGCATTGATGTGTCTGTCAGTTTTTGGTCGAACGGGAATACTGCTCAATCAAAGATTTCTCGTTCTCGTCTCAAAAAATAGGCAAAAAAAAAGTCAGCCAAATCGTGTTTTAGGACAGAAATTTGCCATTCTAAGAGTGTTCTGCTGAATCGGTCGTGATGGAGCAAATTTCATCAGGCCCTTCGAGTCCAAACCTTGTCAAAGTGGATATTGCAGACATTTTCGAACACCTACCGAATGGATACTGTCGTCGAGAAGAAGAAGTTCGTACCTCGTTGTATACCCTTCCCGGCCCGTTTCGTTCTGTCCACAGTTGTCACTACTCCCTTCGGCAGCTCATAAATCTTCGTATCCGCCTCTTTTTTGGACAAAAAAACTTGAAAAAGCGCCGGAGGGTGTCATATTTTGGAAGCGCAACACGTCTCCTCCTCGCCTAACCAGCCGCTAAAATCTGCAATCTTCTCCGCCTTCTTCCATTTGCCCACGTCTTCTTCGTCGTTTCTCGTCTCTGGAGACCATGAAGACATTTTCGGACGGCCGAAAACTCGGAAGAGGAGTCACGGGCGGCCCGCTCTTCCGCCCGTAAACAGACGTTTTTCCGCCGCCGCCGCCGCCGTCTCATTCATTTTCCTCATCAACGCTTTCCTTCTTTCCTTCTTTCCTTCACCAACTTTTCTTTTCAAAAAGTGTAGGGTGGGAAAGAAGACGAAAAAGAAAACGAAGAAACAGAGTATTCGGCGCACCTATTTGCATAAAAAGCGACGTCCAGTACGTCCAAAAGTTGTGTGTGTGTGTGTGTGTGTGTTGAGAGGGGCAAAAATTTATGGGTGACATTTCTGTGGAAACTCTGGAAGAACACGGACGAGCTACTAGTTACGCATTCCCGGAACTTCCACCGTTTTTTTGGCATACATAAATTCGTAGGCTCCTCGTCAGGAGCATTTAAAATGAAATGGTTAGTGGTGCTTTCGGAGGGAGGCGTAGGCGTCAATGGCGTCGCTTTTCTATGACGCGACTCTACCGCACAGTCCGCGGCGGTGACCGAGTTTTGAGAGTTGGGCCAGAAAGTTTGCGTCTAATTGAGTGTTGTACAAGTACCCCTACCGTACCACTTCCACTTCTTCATCCTCTTCTTCAAGTCGCAAATTTCAAATGGCTCCTTTATCCAATTAATTTGTTCCCTTTCCCTTTTCCCTCCCTAAACCACTTACCATTTTCTCTGCGCCTCCGTCGCTTCTTTGTTCCACTACTTCTTTTTATGCATAATTTTGTGTGTGTGTGTGTGCCGGCATTGAAGAGCAAAAACAGACAGGAGCCGAGGAGGACAATGGGACTCTCTTTTCTTTTTATGCCGTCCCATTCTTCCGAAGACGCATCTATCTGTGAGCTTTTGGAGTCGGTAAACAATTTGTGCGTTGTCTGAAGCCCTAAAGTGACAAGAATGTTATTTCATTTCCCAACTCTTTCTCTGTCTTTCTTAATCTAATAAGGTTAACTCATAATAATGAGCTCTTCGCCAAAAAGAAAGAGCTCTGCAAGTTCTCTTCCTAATACTTCCTAATCCGGGTTAAGCACTTCTTCCACTTTTTTGGCGGTAACTTGATACTCGTGGAGCACCTTTGGCTTTCCCTCGCTTTTTGCTCAAATCAAATGTTCGAACGAGAAAAAGAATGGAAAAGCTTCGACTCATTTCAAAGTATTATCTTAGGCTCGCGCGGACCGGACGGGCGGCTCAACTTTGTTTTTTTCTTCCGTCCCGCCCATCCTTTTTCGTTTCGTTCTTTTGCCCGTCGCCACCACTTTTTATGGGTTAGGGATTTGCAAACGAAGCCACTCCCGACTTCTTCTTCTTTATTAGTTTCGTTTTTCCACTTTCACTTTGAGCTTCTTGAAACGACCGTATGACTGCAAGTCCGAAAAGAGTAGGCGTTGGAAATGTTTTTACATTTTCGAGAAAAAAAAAGGAAAAAGCGGAGGTGCTCGTAGATTCAAATTATAGACTGCCGTCCTTCCGACACCACAAAATGATTAGGGGTTTCTTGGGAACTACCGTGTTCTTATCTGCTCCACCCTTGAATTGAAAGCAAAAGAGAAAGACGAGATGAAAGTGTGAAGAGTTTCATTCGAAGCACGAAGCACAATCAATCAACCATCAGGGACCAACTGCCCCCATCTCTCAATGTTCCCGATCGTTTTGATTGAGAGAGCAAGATATCATTGGATATATATCTTAATGGGTTCAACATGTCTTTTTCCCGTTCTCTTGTTGCTTCGGATCGCTTCTGGAAAGTCCTAATCATGGGGCTTCCGATGCGATTTCTCAAAACTTCACTTTTTTCAATGAAAGGTTCCCCGCAACGATGAGCACTGTGAATTTGCAGGCGCTCTTCCATTCTTGCCTAATTCTAAATAGGTCAGCCGCCTGAATTTTAGAAGAAAAGCGTTTATTTTCCGAAGAAATTCAAATTCCGTGGGTTTTTGGTGGCGTAGAAACGCACGCGGCCGCGGCCTGAGCAACAGCGCACGTTTGCCCCCAAAATAGAAACACACTGAGAACTCTACAAGCAAAACTGCAGTTTTACTACTCAAATCTCCCGCACACTATTGAATGATTCATCGGATTCGGATTAGTTATCAAAAATTACGAGCCGCCTCGCTTCTTTCTCCGTTTCGAGCATTCCCACGAGTTCCATCAATTGCTGCCCGCCCGAGAGATTCCATTCAATTTCCCATCCATTTTGCCCGATTAAATCGGTGCTCTTTTTGCGTCCCCCTCCTAGATTTCTGTGCATGATTCTCGGCAGCATTTTAATTGAAAACGGCTGCATGCGTGTGTGTGTGTGTGTTTTTTTGTGCGAACCAACCAACATTTCGACTCGCTTCTCTATTCGATTGTAAGCCGATTTTCTCTTCTCGGCCTTTGCTAACCAATTTCCTCGTTTTTCAGAAGCCGATGATCTGAACGTCGTTCCGCAAAACGAAAAAGATTCAGAAGACGTCACTCACTATGGTCGGCGCTTCGTTGCTCCAATCCGACGATGATTCCGATGTTCCCGACTTGGACCTGCGCGGATCCAACTCCAGACGCCGAAACTTCTTCAACAAGTTTGTGGCTAATACGTTTTCCTGTTCAAAATACTCGAAATTCAGATCGGGCGGTGGTGACTACGAAGAGATTCGGCATCGACGCAAAACGTACAAAACCATCTTCCTCTTCAGTTTCTTGTTCGTCTTCCTGGTCGCTCTCTACTTTTGTATACAGCGGTGGCACGAATTCGAGTGCTTTCCGATGAAATCAAAGGTTTCTTTCGATATTATGACAGTTTTCTAATGAACTATTGCTTAGGACTGCATCAAAGTCTGGAAAACGTGCAGGAGATTCAGCTCGAGCTGCGAAGGGTCAGAATGCAGTTTGAAGTGATTCGGGAGGGCGAGATGGAGCGCAGCGAGAACGGGACGAGAGGAAGTACGACGGAAATGATCTACGACAAACTGGCGAACATTTCCGGCAGATTCGACGTGCTTTCCGATGGATTTCAGAAGGTGAGAAGCCGTCTGGATATGTTCCAGATTCAAATATTCCAGAATTCGATGAGCATGGAAGACGTGACGTCGCGGATGTCTCGAGTGGAGAACAAATGTCTGGCAGTGTGTCAGCAACATGAACCGATGGACAGTTCGCTGGAAAGATCGGCGGTGCCACGTGGCAGGGAGCAACCACGGAGAAGGCAGGCGGCCGGGAAACGAGCAAAGCAGGAGGAGGAGACGAGATTGTGTTCAGGAGAAATGACTGATGCTTCTTCATTTATACAATTAATTCGGGTCACCCAAACATCGCTCTCTCCCACTATTTTGCCAACTTTTAAAATTCCTTTATTATTTATGTACACAACCAAGGTCCAATTTCCAACTTACATTTGTTTTGAATCGAATAAAAGATGAAAGATATATCTTCCGGCTGCCCGGTTTCACAGCTCTATGTACTTGATGTTCTCCTTTGCTCATTTTGGAATCGGACCCGATGGTAGAGCGTCAGCGATCGGATCCATGCCTGCTCATTACCCCACTTGATCTTGTACACCCCCGATCCGGGCATCCGCAGTCGCAGGTAGTCCACAGTGGGCATTCCTGAAAGAATCAGGGCTCTGCGGGATCACCAGCTCAACCAAACCTGGATAATCAAAGTCCGGAGCCAGCTCCTTCATCTCTTCCAACTCCGAATTCTCGTCGTTCCCATGCCAAATGCCCATGCCGAACGTCCGGTCGCAGTATCTGAAATAGAATCATTGGGGGAATGATCAAAAGTCGCTCAGATGCTACCTGTTGATTACTATGTAGACCGGTTCGGTGACGCTCGTGTCCACAATGTACGTGAAAACAGCCGACTTGCCCGCTCCGATGTTCGTGCAAACGAGGTCGTTGACGGCCGGCGTCTCGTCGTTCGGCGTCCAGTAGAGCTCCTGGGGAATCGAGTCGAACGGGATGTTGAGGATGTCACGGCACATTCCGTCGCCGTTCTTGTCCACGAGGTTTCCGCCCCAGTGCTTCGGAATGTTGTCGATGTGCGCGTGCTGGAAAAAGGAAATGAAAGAGGGAAATGAAGAGAGCCCACCTTTTGCACGGCGGATTTCCAATCGGAGGTGCCTGCACAAATCCTGACCTTATTACGAGTTCTCTCCGGAAGAAGCGGTCCGATCGCCTGGAAGTACCACTTTTTCCGGAGCTCCCGACAATTTGTTCGACTTACCTTCCAAATCAGTGACATAAACGACGGCGTTGATGAGGAACAAAGTGTTGATCCATTCCGGGTAGGCGGTGTAAACGGACGCCCACAGAATACGGTACGGTCCTGTCACGACGTTGAGGAGAGTTGGGTCGAATTTGAGTCCCTCCAGATCCAGAATGTAGATGACCGAGCACTGAAATAATCCGTTCTTTTAGTCTCCGCATCCCCTTTCCCTACCTGTGTTCCGTGTTTCCTCTCCATTTCGTTCATCGCCGCCAACATTTTCTCTTGAAACTTGAACCTTCAAAATACTCAAAAGTACACGGTAATTGGAGTCAATCATTGCGTACCTCTGAATCAGAAAGTCGGACAAGTGGACCGACTTGAGGATGCCCATCAGGTCGATTCGGCCGGCGCACTCGATCACGAGCAGCTGATTGTCTTTGCCAGTCTCGCCTGAAAATGGAGCGAGTTCTACGGCAGAGGAGGCAGTCACGTACCCACTAGACCAATCGGGAAGTACTTTTTGAGGATAGGGTGATCCTTGACGTTTGTCAGGATGTTGTCGAGGTCATAGTACTGACGGAAACGAAGATGGCGACGGAGCTCGGCGACAGCCTCTTCCTTATCGAATCCGTGCCCTTGAGCCCATCGGAGCAGGTTGAAGTCCGTGTCGTAGTACTCGGTAAGCAGGTCTTTGCACTGAAAACTCATTTCCATGCCACATGATGATTCTTCTACACGAAAACATACCTCGTGCCGAAGAAAATCGACAAATTCACGCTCTCGCTGGTTCATTTCGGATGGATGATGGCGCGGTGGTCGACCTTCAAAACTGATTTTGTTTTTGGAAATGGGAAATCCATTTGAAAACTACTGATAACGATTCAATTGAGAACAGCCGGCAAAGGATGAGAAGAAGAAGAAGAAGAAGAAGAAGAAGAAGACAGAAAAAGTGCAAAGTGGAAATGAGAATTGGGAATGGGCGGGAGTGATTCTCGAGAGAGAGAGAGAGAGAGTGACGCACAAGACAAGAATCGAGGAAGACGATGGGATGAGCGGGACAACCAGTTATTTCAGAGCGCCCGCGCTATTTTGAAACTTTGCCTCTTTTCGTCTTCCATTGGCAAAGAGTGAGACGAGATGGGGCGGACGAGATTAGTTCTGCGCGTCGAACACAAGCACATCAGATGCTGTTTTTACCTGTGGAAAGTGAGGCAGAGATTGGCATCAAAAGAAGTAATGTGAATGGGGAGGGGGTCAGCTGGAACCAGCTTTGGGGGCTTAGAGAGTACTTCCCCCAATCATTTGAAGGGACGAACGACGATCAAGAGAGGCGAGGACTGTTATGACCTAGTTATCCGTCCGTTATCACTCGGTTCGGGTGTGTGTGTTTATCATCTGTAAAAGACAGAATCGGAGAAAAGAGATGCGAAACGGATCGAAGATTGACGCGGTTCGAGTGTATTTTGAAGTGGACGCTTCCGTTCTTGATCCTCCGTGAGCAGTCATGTGAGACGGGTAAGTAGGCCATCAGACAGGTTGGATAACACTTTTGCCCATTGAGGAGAAAGTTTTATAGTTCTTTTTGGCTGAGAGCGTTGAGAAATGATGAAGACCTGTGTGAAAGTGGGAAGCGGAAGTAGGAAAAAAGCAAAAGTAAAAAATATTTTCGATCACACTGTTCATCTGATTGATTCTCAAGATAACGACGTCATCCTCGGCGGTCGGGGACAAGTTTGAGCATGTTTTAGGCAACCTTTATCTAGAAATTGCTTGAGCGTTGCCTGAGGTTCGCTCAAAGTTTGTTATATATCACTCGAAAACAAAAATACAGTTTTCGACTTCATTATAATCTGCCGCAAATTCATCCGCCATTCTTTTCACTCGTTGCCGACGCCTTGCTTCCGTAGAGCTCGCAGTGCCGTGCCTTGTTCACCACCATTTTGTCCGTCGGTTTGCACGTGAATGCCTCGGCGAACTCGTCCATCTGCGACATGACCGAATTGACTCTCTGATAGGCGTTGAGTGCGGATCCATCGAGTAATACTTGTTTTTGAGCCCGTTCTCTTCACAGAACACGACGGCGGCTCCGTAGAAGAAAAGCTGCTTCTTGTCGAGCGCTTCATAGTTTTCCACTCGCGTTTTCCTCTGATACGCCTTCCGATAGAGGTCCCAGACGATTCGGTAGGCGGCCATGTCGGCGGCGTCTTCCTCAAATGTCCGACGAGCGTCACAAGTCTGAAGTGAACTGATAATGAGAATGGCAGTGAGTGTTTACCGCAGTCGGGAACGTCTCGCAAGTCTTCAGATTCTGTTCCTCAACGCATTTGTAATCCTTCGTCCAAAACGGAACCAACGACTTGTTACTGGCGATGTCGAGGTCGTCAAACACAAAAGTGTGCATGATTTCGTGGGTCAACATGAAGCCCACGCTTCCGTACTGAAACAATGATATCTGGAACGAAAAAGAATGGAAATTACCAGGTCAGACAGGTAATCTGTGTTCATCAGGAGCATGATGTCGTTTCCCATGTAGACGCGATCCTGAAAACAGTTTAAACATGAGCAGAAAACTAGAAACTGAATGGGAAACCCGTACATCTTTAGAATTGAACACACTTATGCGGTCGGCAAGAATCTCATCCCAATCTTGCGCGTAAATTTTATCGATCGGTCTGTGGAGAGCGCGTTTGGCTGCTCCGGAAGCGATCACGTCGCAGATGATGTTCCTCCTCTCCTCGTCAACTTCTTCTCCCAATCTAAAGGAAACTCTCAAATGTAATCCCATTGTTCACTTACTGTTTTAAGCACTTTTCGGTTATCGAAGAGTGAATCTGAAAGGCCGTCGTTGAAGTGTTCCGTGCATCGGCGAACGTGGTGAATATGATCTTGTTGAGTGCGTGCAAGTACTTGCTGACTGCTCGATTGTTCTTCGCCCACGGGGTTCTCTTGATCGCCGAACGCACCGCGTTTTTCAGTTTATTGTAGAAAATGCGAACTTTGTGATCCAACACATGCGCCTGCTGATTGGCAATGTGGGCATTGAGCGCCAAGGAGAGCTCTCGACGCGTGGCCTCCTGAAACATTTGAAAGATGGAAATACAGGGCAGAACAGGGAACGAACGTAGAGAACGGCCGGATCCTCGAGATCCGTTACCATTTTCAGTTTATCCTCACAACTCATATTGTTGAAGGTGTCCAGACCCTCCTGGTCTCCAGGATAGATCGTGACGAATTGGCGGGAAAAGTTCGACATCACTTTCTCGCTGACTTGGCACAGATTTTTGAAGCTCCGGGATTTGATTATTCTTCTCAGAGTCTCTAATTTCTGCTCGAAATCCGCAGCATCCCTTCGCTGATCGCTGTGCCTGAACTCTCCGACTATTTTCGCTTTCAAGGCGGCAAGTTCCACGAAGAATCGTCCTTTGGTCGAGGCTGGACACACGTGGGCGAAGAAGTCATCGCAAGGATCCACGGAGAAGTCGGCGTGTCTGAATGCATCGTATTCCGGAGCTAAATAGAGCAAAAACGTACTGTTTGATGTACTCTTGGACAATATTTTTGGGAAGATCGGGCGAGGAATTCGTGTTTTTCGATGCGAACGCACGTGGAATGAGGATGGGAAGAAGGGCGAGAAAGAGGAAAATGCGCGCATTTCGCGACGGAAAGTGAGGGGAATCGACAGTTTTAGGGCGTTTTATGAGTTGCTCATTCGATTAGGCGCGTTGGCGGCAATGTGTCTGGGAATCTTTGGAAAACATGGAAAGGGACACTTTTTATTTTTTTTATTTTTGTGTAAGTTGTATCTGGTAGAGTTTCGATGGATGGTCTGTTCAAAGGTCCCCTCGCATATCTTCAGTGAACAACACATTTCATTTCAGAATCACTCCTTCTTCTTCTTCTCAGTGCAACCCGGATATCCATTGCATCAGCCACTTGCTCGCGGAGCATTACGAAACGTCGAACTCCAAAATCCATCTCTTTCTCTCTTTCTCCCCTGAATTTGTCGTCATTGGAAACTTGAAAGCGCTTTTCCCTTCACTTTAGTTCTCGATTGTTGCTCTCGGTCAAAGTGTGCGTCATCCTCGCGAGTTGATTGTCATCCGAAGTATCCCGGTTTCATGATCAAAGCCCATCGCCCCCGAGATCCTCTGGTCTCTCCCATGTGTCGTTGAGAAGAACATTCCGGAAAACAGAGAGAGAGAGAGAGAGAGGGTGTAATGCAATGCGAATAAATCCGCGAGGAATTCCCAATCAACAACTCATTTATCTTGCCAATTGGCCCATCGAGGAGCTCCTCGCCGATGCTCGAAAGTGTGCCATTTGGCTGTGTGTCACGTAACCTCGCTCACCGTTTTTCCCTCAACGTTTTGTTTTGGTTTTGAAAAATGGATTTCAGAATGATAACCACCCTGCTTTGCCTATCATTGGCCACCTTGGCATCGTGCCAGGGAAACGCCGCCGATCCGAAAGAGACCAATTACAAGAAGTTCATCGGAGAGCAGGACTACGTGAGTACGGGGGAGAGTTCTTGAACATTGGGTCATCTTCAGAAGCTTCCGTTCAAGACCCGCGTCAGTGAGCCACTGGCCGTCGGACAGACCATCCACGCAGTCGGAACCCTCTCGGACAAGCCCACCAGAGTCGACTTCAACTTCCACAAGGGATCCGGCAAGGAGGCCGACCTCCCACTCCACTTCTCCATCCGTTTCAACGAAGGTATCCAAAAAATCCAGTGAGCGGTTCGATTGAAACCGTCATTTAGGACTTCTTGGAAGCGGAAAGCTCATCTATAACACTTTCGAGAACGGAAACTGGTCGGAGAACGAGCAGAGAATCAGCAATCCGTTCAAGGCCGGACAAGAGTTCGACCTGCGCGTTCGCATCCTCGAGGGCAAGTTCCAGGTTTTCGCCAACCGTGCCGAGATCGGAGTCTTCACCCAACGCCTCCCACTCGACGGAGTGAGTTGGACAATGAATAACTTTTGAGCGTGGGCGTTTCACATTCAGATCGACCACGTCTCGATCCGCGGAGATCTGTCGAAGCTCCGTCTCTTCCACTACGGCGGCAGAATCTTCCCGAACCCGTACATGGCGGTCGCCGGACTCACTCCCGGAAAGAGACTCGACATTTCCGCTCTGCCGAAGGGTAAGGACCCTGAATCTGACGATATCGATAATAATAAGTGCATTTAAGGAAAGAGAGTCAACATCAACCTGTACCGTGAGAACAAGGAGTACGCCCTTCAGGTCTCGATCCGCTACAACGAGGGAGCCGTCGTCAGAAATGCGATGACGAGCAACGTGTGGGGCAAGGAAGAGAGAGACGGAAAGCTGACTTTGGACAAGAAGCAAGTCTTCGACATCACCATCATCAACGAGGAGTTCTCCTTCCAAATCTTCCTCAACAACCAGAGATTCACCACTTTCGCTCACCGCGGCTCTCCGTCCGACATCAAGACTCTCGAGATCGACGGAGACGTCGAAATCCAGACGGTCACCATCAACGACGCTCCGGGAGTCTAACTCTCTAACCTCTTGTCTTTTGTTTTCTGCAATATTTTTCGCTAGTTCGCATAAAGTATTCTTTCACATTTCTTCTGTTTCTACACGAATTCCCCGATTGCATTGGGCACTCCCGTTTTGCAATCTTCTCGCCAAAATCTGCAATTTTACGTGTCGGTGCAAGGTTTGCAGAACACCGAAATTGACGAGCTGAGCTCCCGTGTTGCCTTTATTGGATTTCAGCGCTGAATTCAAATTTGAACAAAATGAAAGTTGATGAAGTTCTCATCAACAACGCCCAAAAAACGATCGATCGATTGATCAGGCAGTTGACAGAGATTGACAACGAAAAGTGAGTTATTTTCAACGTTTTTGACGAGAAACCTGGAATTACAGAGACTCACTCAGCGAGAAAGAGTACAAGGAATTGAGAGAAGACACTGTCAATCAGCTTGAAGTAATCCATTTCTATAAAACGCATCTACCGGAGTTCTGCTTCAGGAATTCGGAAAAATAGTGGAACGCCTTCAAGGCGGGGACGTTTCTCTAATTGATAACCTGACGGCAACAAAAATCGCTATCCGAGCAGCCATCAGCAAGGCGTTCAAGACTCCAGAAGTGATGGCTCTTTTTGCAGGAAAAAAGACCGGCTTGCTCAGGGAAAAGCTCATGATGGTGAGAAAAGGATAATGAAAATCAAGCTGACAATGAATAGTTTCAGACGGAAAACAACTATCGTGCACAGAAGATCTCAAAGCAAGAGTATCTGGAAAGGAAGTTCGAGATTCTGATGGCCCTGCGTCGGCTTGAGGAACCTCTGACTGAAGAGGAGAAGAAGTTCCTGAGCGAGCGACTGGAGACCCCTGAATTCCAGTTGATTGAGGCAAATGCCAATCGGGTTTTCGGCGGAAACCTTTGAGAAATCCAAAAATTGTTGTTCTGTAAATACATAAACTACTGTTATTTGCTCTTTTGCTCCCTCCGTCAATTCAATTTTTCCGACAATGGCTGCTTTTCCCATCTTATCTTTAAACCACAATCATCTGTTTTCAGTCTTTCATTTTCCGTCTAACTTTTTCTCTATTGTTTTTATCATTTTCACTTCTTTTTTGAATTTCACAGTTAGGAATATCGGAAAATGACTGAGAAAAAGAAGCGATTAGATGACGAGAGTACGAGGATATCTCCGCCGTGGGAAGCGTGGTTACACCTCGAGCGCGACCGCGCTTTCTATTTTAACCGGGAAACGAAGGAAACCACGTGGACTCATCCGAAGGGTCTGAAAGACGTTCCGAAGGATAAATTCTATAAAAAAGAAAAGAAAAAACAGAAAAAAGGTGACGAAAGTCCGATCAAAAAAAGAATCTGAAGGCTTGTGCCGAAGTGCCAAGACAAGAAAAAAGATCGCTGAAGAGAAGGGCGAGAGAAGAAGCGACGGACGCGGATGATAAAATGGTAAGCGTGGAATCAGAACATTCCGGAAATGTTCAGCATTTTCTAGGAAGTTGATGATGCTCTCCCGCCAAAACGAAAAGCAGCATGGGGTACGGAGAATGAGAACGAAGACGACGAAACGGTCGCCAAGAGAATAAGAATCGCCGACTTTCCTGTCATCCCGATACTTCCCCGAGTGAACGCACTAGTCCCAGATGCTCCAGCAATTCAAGTACGTTCTGCTCTTCATCTTAATCAATACAAAGCCAAAATCTTCCAGACTGTTCAGAAAGCGCATCCAAAAGTGTCATGGGCTTCCGAGACGCATTCGTTTAACCTGGTTCCCTACAAAGGCTGCGTCGTCTTTGACACCAATTCTCTCATCTCCGAGCCATGCATTATCGATGACGCTATTCAGAGTATCTAAAAAGATCTTCAGCTTTTCCCAAACAGTTTTTTTTGCAGATCAAGTACTCGTAGTGATTCCGTGCACTGTGCTCAGTGAGCTCGACGGGCTTAAAAAAAACGCAGAACTGCAAGAATCGATAAGCAGTGTGTCGAGAAGAATTCGAGCGTTGGCCGAAGAGAAAAACTGTTATTTGCACATGGAGACGAGATCAGAGTTGTACATGAAATTACCGGGTTGCAACGTCAATATGGCTGATAATGACCACCAAATTATTAAATGTGCACTCCGAATTAAGGCCGAACGTAAAATTTTTGCATACTTTCAACTTTTAACTTGTATTTTTTCAGTTCTTTCGCTTAAACCCTGGCTAAACATCAACGAAGAGTCGATTTTCTTTGTCAGCAATGATAATAATTGCGCCTCCATAGCTAATGGCCTTGGCGTCAAGACGAGCAGCACTGAAAAGTTTTTGAATATAATAAAAGGAGTGGAAGAGAAGAAGATCAGCACTCCGATTCCTCGTCGAGTGTCCCCTGAAAGAGAAGCTCATCGGAGGGATGTTCGGGAAGAGAAGCGCCACGATCGGCAGAGTGAGAGACGGAGTGAACCGCGCAGTGAACCACATAAAGAACGACAATACGATTCACGGGACCGACCGAGCAGTTCATACTGTAGAAGATCGGAAGCGACGACGACGTCCACAAGGAGTTACTCGAACGAGTACGCAAAAGAATACGGAAACGATTACGACGCCAGAAAGAGATGTATAGTTCAGCAAACGCGAAAAGACAGAGAAATGCACGATTGGATCAGAAAATCGCTTAAGAATAGTGCTGCGAGAGAGAAGAAATTTGAGAAAAACGAGAAGATGGAGTAGGAAGTGCCGGGGGCAGGCTGGCCGAACCAGCCCCGGCCTCCTGTCCGAAGGTCTATGGACCTTAGCCAAGAAGACACGGGTTCAGTGGAACAGGTTTATTGTGGATTGGACAATCAGGGAACCGCCTAGTCGGCGGGGCATGGGGAATTATATAGGGGCGGCTGGAATGTGGAGCTGGCCGGAAGTGACGCGGTGAGATCGGGAGGGCCGAGCGGAGGCGGCTGGAATGTCGGCGCGGAGATCACGTGAAGCGGCGGGATCGTGGGCGAGCCGGATGTCGGAGGTGCTCTGGAATGTGATCGGTTTGTAGTGGGTGAGATCAGTGGATGGTGTGAGCTTCCGGGGAAGGATCGGTGGGTTGGGGAGGGCGAGGGACGAGCCCTCATATTCGAAAAGTGGGCCCTGGCGTATGGTCCGGTTACCTGTGGTTACGGGACACCTTGGTCCCTTACACCTCCCACCTTTCGAATAGGACCGTCCCTGGTCCGGTGTGAAAATGGCGGAGGGCCGGTGGGTAGTGGAGCGGGCCGGCGAACAGGAAGAATTTGAAGCAATTTGGGAGACAGCGTAACTGCGCCAGCTACCCTCCGAAGAGGATATGCTCGCGCTGCTGATCCCTTGTTGCCTCCTCTGTTTTGCACCGTGAAGGTGTGCTCGGTCCACTACCTATCTGGTCATCTCCTGGATACGCCGCCAATAGGTTGTGCCGGCGATGACCTCTGCGCTGGCAACCACGAAACACCAATCTTTGGTGCGGCTGAGTGCGACGTTGACGCGTCGCGGGTCGTCGATAAACGATGATTGTCCGTCCGACCGTGTGAGCAGGACGAACACGGTGTCGAATTCTCTGCCCTGGCTGCAGTCGACCGTGCCAATGAAGAGCTCGCTCCGTTCCTCGTGATGGGACAGCGCCTTCACGATCACCGGCTTCTGGGCTCCGTAGAAGGAGAGGACGGCGACTGTTCCGGTGTAGTTCGAGGCGAACAGTGCGTCGATGTGCTTCGTCACGATCTCGGCCTCCTTCGTGTTGACCAGGCTGCTCCCTGCCTGACGATGTGACCTGGCGGGGATCTCGATCCATTGCACTGACGAGCGTGACGTGTGATTGCTGAGCTCTCGTGGCAGATGTTGGCCGTGGTCGTTGGCGGATCGCATAGCCCGCAGTTCTCCCGAGTAGAAACTCTTCGAGAGTACGTTGGTGATGTCTCTCGGGCAGCGGAAACTTTCACGGAAGGCGATCGTGGGGAATCGGTCTCCGTCCGATGCGTGGCTGAGGGCTGAATCCGTGCCGAGGCGTGAGATCACTCCGAGTCCGCTTCGCTTCTTGTCGGTTTCAGGCGTCAGTGGTGGTAGTTGCCGGCGATCTCCAACCATTGTGACGACCGCGTTGGGGAACACCAGTGTTATCGCCTGGTAGGTCGCGACGGGGATTTGTGAGGCCTCGTCGCATTGCACGAGCTTGACGAGCTTTGCCAAGTCCGGTGCGTGCTCGTGGAAGAACGTGAGGGCCGATGTGATCGTGGCGGCCATGATTCTCTTGTTCAGCTGGCGTAGGTAGGCGACGGCGACGGTCTTGAATGATGGCCGCTTCGGTGTGTGCTGCTTCAACGAGTGAACCCATTTGTCCGTGCGTGGAAGTTTCTTCAGCAGGCCGCGATGGAACCCGTGGATGAGCAGGGTCTTCTCGTTCTCAGTCCACTCGGATCCGGGGGGCGCGTCGTCCAGGTTTTTGACTGCCTCGCCAATACGTACTGGGAGATCGGCTTTGGTGATGAGGTTGAAGTCGAGCTCGTCTCTGTGGCGCTCCGTTATGATCCGCACCAGTCCGGAGATTCCGTGCTTGTCGGCGACCTGGCAGAGGTTGACGACTGCCGCATTTGACGTGGCGAGGAGTAGCTGGCAAGCGTCGCCGGGGAGTGTCCGTGCCGTGATGACCATTGTGGTACTCTTGCCGCCTCCGAAGCCGCACTCGGCGATGAGTCCTCTGGTCTTTGAGAAGCGGATGGTATTCACGTATCTCGCCTGGCTCTCCGTCAGGTTGTCGGGTTGGAAGAGGGATCCCGGCGTGAGCAGCTCGAGTGGCTCCGAACCGAAGAGCGCTTTGTTGACGGCGAAGTTGTCGTCCTCGTGGTTCATTGTTTCCTGGGCCAATAGGACCGTGACGACCGGGTTGTGGCTCGGCTCCTCCGCTTGTTGCTGCATGATGATTACGTTGTCCGCGCTCCGGAGTAGGATCGTTCCGAATCGGTCGCTGTTGAATCGATTGACTACCGCCTTCAGCTCCATTGACTCCGTGCGGTTGAAAATCGGGATGCCGGATGTTGCGGGGATGACGAGCTTGTCCGACAGCGTGAGGTCTATCTCTTTCGCTTGTCCCCAAGCGACCTTGTCGGGAGCGATTCCGAAGAATCTGGCGACCAATGTGAGCTGGATTGTGCCTCGGCCGGTCTGTCTGGAGTCGATGATCCGAGTTGTGTACGGGCGCAGGTCCGCAGGGCCGTTGACGAGAATCTGGACAGCGTGGGTTGCCAGGGCTCCCATCTGGCGGAGGACGACCTCGTTTTCGGGAGCGGGGTCGTTGAGCGCCGAGAGGATGGTTCGGGTGACCTTCTGTGACTCAGCCGGGAGGTTGCGGATGTTTCGTAGGGTCCCGCGAGCGAGTCCGTGCACTGGGATCTTCGATACGCTTTTCTTCGCGCGGAGCTTCATGTTGAGCGATCCGAGGAAGCTGTTTGTCTTCACTGGCGAGATGACGTCGGCGATCATGGGTCGCATGGACACCGGCTTCGGGAACTCGGCCGCGGGTACTTTTATCTCCGAGAAGATTCCTTGCGCGACGCAATGCAGCGTCGTAGTGGTCTTTGCCGTCGGGTGGCACAACACGTCGCGAACTCTGAGTCTTGGTAGCAGAATGAAGGACTTAACCGTGTAAAGCGTTGTTGCGTTCGCGTCAGCCGTGTTGGACCACTGGACCGTTTGCGGCTCCTCCTCGAAGCGGGAGTTCCGGTAGAGGGCTGTGATCCAGACGATGTCTCCTTCGAGTAGCAGTTTGGGTGAGCCGATGTCTCCGTTTGGCTGGAGTGGGCATCCGGAGCGGGATGTGATCTTGACGTTGCGGACGTCCGGGCGGTCGGTGAACGTCTCGTAGAAGATCGCGGCTGCCGTGTGCGAGGTCCCGACGGCGTGGATGATGCGGTAGGGCGCACCGGGGCCTGGAGGAAGAGTTCCGATCTCCATGGGCTCGCCTTTCGTCAACGCTTCGACGCTGTCGTCTCGTTCCAGCTCTCCGTTGTCGACCACTTCAGCGATAAATCGGGCGGCGTCCTCTGTCGAGAAATTGGCTTCGACGTCGTTCACCAGCTTCTGCGGGTTGTCGGTGTAGTCGTCTTTGAGGGCCGCGACTGATGTCCCGTGCGAATAGTACTCGTACCATGGATGAGGTGGGATGAATTTCACCGTCGGCTCCGCTGCCATCGGGTCGTTGTCCGCTGCTTGCACGACGAGTGGGGCGACCGGTGTCTGTGTGGTGGAGGCGTCCACCGGCTCGGCGTCCGGGCGGAGGAGTTCTTCTTCCGGGATCAGCTCCTCTGTGGTCGGGGCTTGTTCGTCGACGTTGACGACCAGGTCCTCTACGATGTCCTCGGTGTAGTCGAGTTCTTCGGGCACCGGGTCGTGTGTTGCTAGTGGAGCGAAGGTGATTTGCTCCGGGGCAGGTCCAGTGTCTGCTCCTGGATTGTCCTGGGCAACGGGGTTGTCTTGCGGCTGCATGGTGGTTAGGTGACAGAGTTCGGAACCGAGGATGCGGGCCTATGTGAGCAGGGTGCTACACTGGGACACCGCGGGGAGAACTGAGTTGGAGAAATCGGTTTCTTGGTTGGGAACTGACCTAAGTCGTAGTAGGAATTCGAAATGTTGGGGGAAAAGAGGCGAGGATGCGGGCCTATGTGAGCGGGTGCTGCACTGGGACACCGCGGGGAGAACTGAGTTGGAGAGGGGGAAAAGCGGCGTCTGATTGGAATTTTTTTTTTGAGAGAAAGTTCAAGGACGTGCGCTTATGTCTGGTAAACAGAATGGAATGACGAGGTTGGGTCACCGCGAGAGGGCGGGACGGGGCGTGGGCTGGACTGTCCGGCGTGCGCTGTTACAACGCGCGTGCTTTGTCGTTCGATGACGTTGTGGTCGAGCCCTGAGATCGCTCCGCGGGGAACGGTATGGTTGTAATGGTCAATTATCTAATGGTGGCGCGGACGCAGATTGTAACGTGCGGGGGTGTTTGCAGGCTCGGCTGGGGGCCGGGCTCGAGGTGACTGTACTATGACCGGAGGAGGAGCGGGGTGAAGGCGTGGGCTGCGGCGGATCACCTGGGGGTTTGGCGGTGGCTCCTGCACGTCGGTGAACGGGGTTTCCGGTACTGATGGGGGCGGCGTGGTGGATTCAGGTTTGCGCTCAGCCCGAGTGTCTTCCGGTTGCTCATCTTCCGTCTCGTCTTCCGGCGTGGTGTGGGCTGGCCCTTCGGGTTCCACGAATTTCTTGATTTGGTCGAGGTGGACGGTACGCGTCGGCTTCGTGGGTCGTCGGATGTCTTGGATGGTGGCCAAGGGACGATTTACTTTAAGTACGCGGAATTGACCCTTCCATGGCATTACCAGTTTTCTGGACAGCTTGGTTTTCGCGCCGTAGTTCTTCATCAGCACCCGATCTCCTGGTTTGATGTCCGATGGTTTCACGGCGGTGTCTGCATTCGCCTTGAAGGTTTCCTGAGCCTTGACGGCGTGCTCGCGGGCGGTCGTCCAGGCTTCTTGCAGTGTCGTTGTGAGTGACTCGCGGAGTTGTTCTGCATCGATGGTCTTGAGCGCCGTTGGTTCGGGATTCAAGATCCTGTCCACGTGAAATACTGGGTCTCTTCCGAACATCAGGTAGAACGGAGTTTCCTGCGTCGTGGAGTGAGTGGACGTGTTGTAGCAGAACGTGATGGCGGGGAGGAGCAGGTCCCAGTCCGTGTGTTTCTCGTTCACGTACTTGGCCATGATGGAGTGGAACGTCCGGAAGGTGCGTTCCGTGGCTCCGTTGCCTCGGGAATGGTGTGGGATGGAGACGTGCTGCCCTAGCTTGAGGAGGTCGCAGAATTCCTTGAAGGCGGCCGAGGTAAAGTACGAGCCGCCATCGGTGATGATTTCCGACATCGCCCCATACTTGAGAACGCACTCGTTGAGTACTGCGCGTGCGACCGTTTCTGAGCGACAATCGGGTAATGGGACGGAGATCACGTATTTGGAGAACCAGCAGATGAGGTTTGCGTAGTACTTGTTCCCGCGTGGTGTGGATGTCAGGGGTCCTGTCAGATCGATGCCAACCTTCTCGAACACTCGCGACGTGGGTACTGTTAGTAGCTCTTCGCGGTTGGGTGGGTTCGGGTTCCTTTTCTCCTGGCATTTGGGGCAGGCGATGCACTTTTCGAATGTGTCGCGTCTCATTCCGGGCCAGAAGAACCGCTTCTGCATTTTGTGGAGGGTCTTCCGCCAGCTGAAGTGTCCTCCGGCCAGTGCGTTTGTGTGGAACGCTTCGAAGAGTAGCTCAATCAGCTTGGTGGGGATCACTGTTTTCGGCAGGTTGGCAGGAGGGAAGGAGACGACGAGGAGTCCTCTTGCTGAGATGCTGCAGTATTCGATCAGTGGAAGCCACGATTCGGGGAGCTCCTCGATCTGGGCTGTTTTGTTTGTGAGGAATTGCCTCACTTTCCCCAGCTCGGCGTCGTCTTGTTGCTCCTTGAGCAGATTCAGCGGTCTGCCGTTCCTTGGCGTGAACGCTGCGATTTCTGGTAGACGTTTGGCTTCGAGGTCTGCTGACGTCATGCACACTGGGAAATCGATTATGTCCTTGAGTTCGACTCCGTCCAGGGGTGCGACCTCGTCCTTGGCTCTTGACAGGCAGTCGGCGACGGTGTTTTTCTTACCGTCGATGTGGACGATCGTCACGTCGTATTGTTGTAACTCGATGAGCCACCTGGAAAGGTTGTCGTGGGTCTTACTTTTGGACAGGAGGTAGCTCAGCGGCTTGTGGTCGCAATGTAGGACGATCTTCGACATGCACACGTAGGGGCGGAACTGACGTAGGGCAAAGATGATGGCGCCTAACTCCACTTGGATTGCTGGCCATCTCGTCTCGGTGTCAGCGAGCGTGCGGCTAGTGTAGGCGATGACGGTGTACGACTTCTCGTCGTCTTGTCTTGTCTGCATGAGGGCTGCTCCTTGGGCTACTGCGCTAGCGTCGGTGAAGATGTGAAACGGCTTGTCGTAATCTGGGAAACCGAGGATGGGTTCCTCGACCAGGGCCTTCTTCAGTGTTTGGTATGCGTCTTCTTGCGGTTGGTCCCACTCGAACTTCACGTTCTTTCGTGACATCTTAGTGAGTGGTTCCGCGATCCCGGCGAAGTCCTTGATGAACTTCCTGAAGAAGCCGGCCATTCCTACAAAACGCCTCACTTCTTCCGAATTTTTGGGAGTGGGGAATGCTGCTATGGCTGCCACATTTGACTTGAGGGGGTAGTAGCCGTTTCTGGTGATCTCGTGTCCCAAGAATGAGATGGTTCTTTTTGCGAATTCGCATTTCTTCGGAGAGGCTTTTAAGTTGAACTCGCGGAATCGGGCCAAGACTTTCTCGATGGATGCCAGGTGTTGGTCGAAGTCCTTGCTGTACACCAATATGTCGTCGATGTAGACCAGTACTTCGTCGTCTAATCCTCCGAGTACTGCCTTCAATGCTCTTTGAAAGTACGAGGCTGCCGACCGGAGGCCAAAGGGAAGATGGGTGTATGCGTACACTTTATTCTCCGTCGTGAATCCGCATTTGTACGATGAACTCGCGTCGAGTCGGAGTTGCAAGTAGCCGTTCGCCATGTCCAAGCTGGAAAAATAGCTACTGCCTCCCACCTTTTCGAGGATCGCTTCTATCCGTGGGAGTGGGAAGTTGTCGGGGATCGTTACTTCGTTGAGCCGGCGGAAGTCCAAGCAGACTCTCATTGATCCGTTCTTTTTCTTGACGAGAACCAGGGGAGAGGTCCACGGCGTGTTGCTCTCCGTGATCCTTCCTGATCGCAGTAGGCCGTTGATGTGCTGCTCGAGCTCGGCCTGGAACTTGGTCGGTACTCGGTACGGCCTTCCTCTAATGGGAATTTCAGTGTTGGTGTAGATGTGCACTGGATCTGTTCTGGAACTCCCGAGGTCGTAAGCGTTTCTGGAGAAAACGTCTGCAAATCGTTCGATTAGCGCGCTCAGGGCGCTTCTTTCGTCGTCGGAAAGGCTGTTGTTTTCGAGGTTAACGTGGAATTCGGGGTCAAGTGGCTGAAGATCTTCTTGGTCAGTCGGTGAAGCGACACTGTGCTTCTCCGAACAGACCGCGTTGATCTCGGCGCCGCCAATATACCAGGTGGCCTTACCTAGGACTTCTTTCTCGTACAGGGTGATAGCCGCGTCTGTGGGGTTCGTTACTAACAGACGGGGGTGCCAGGTATCGAAAACCGCGGGGGTGACTACTAGGTCCTCTCTCCCTTCTTTAACGCTCTGGGTGGTCATGACTGCTGGGTACACGAACGACATTAAATCGGTGGCGCACCTAACGAACGCTTCGGAATGCGGCGGGACTACCGTGGTTCGTAGTGCCCGTACCTTGAATTGATCGTCGTTGTTCCGCGGGTGTGGTGAGTACCAGAGGTGACCGAGCGGGATGTGGTGCTTTCCTACGATGAACCGGTTGGCTGCGTAGTCGAGATGGAAACGCGGCAGGCGGCGTAAGAAGTCGTTGCCCAGGATGACGTTGTAAGTCGTTGGTCCTTTCGGGATGCAGTCGTTCTTGGTGAAGTGGACCTCGTGTTGGTATTGTGTACCGGCCACTTCGATGCTCATTGCTGCCATCCCTGCCATCTCGACGTGTCCACCTCCGAACGCCACGGCCGATTCCGTGGGTGATGTTGTCAGTTGGTAGACGCCGAAAAGGGGACATAAGCTGGCGCTTGTGACCGTGAAGCTGGCGCCGGTGTCGACCAGAGCCAAAATTGACACTCCGTTGCACTTGAGGGGAATGTGCGCCGTGAAGAATCGCGGGCGCTCCGGGACTGGTTGGGCGATGGTGTTGACAACGACGATCTCCGAGTAATCCACGACCGCCCCGATGTGGTTGGGTGGTCTCTGTGTCTTTTTCCATGGCGTCGGGATCCGTTGCATGATTGGAGCGACGTACTGCTGAGCGAGGAAGGAGATCACCATCGCGGCCACGAAGAGTGTGACGACGATGTTTGTCGCAACTGTCCAAATCGTCAGCCCGATTTGCCACAGCCACTGGACGCGTTCCCAGAGGGAAAGGATTTCCTCCATTTTGTGAGCTGTGATCGGTCCGTCCCGAGGGTCGCCGTTGTGGCTCACGATCCTGGTCAGTGCTTCGGGGTTCCCTTGAAGTGCCTTGTAAAAGTCCTCCACGTGGCGTGGCGCTGTGTCTTCCGAGATTGTGGCCATGATGAGGTTCGAGAAAATGGTCGGGGCCACGTCGGCGTCTGACGATGTCAGGCCATCCACTGTGAACGTGACCGGGAGAAAGTCTTCCACTTGTGTCCTTTCGAGGGAGAACGGGTTGAGTCTCGACAGTTTTCCGTCCGAAAGGAACTCAAAGTCGGTGGTTAATGCGCACGGGAGTTCGTGAGCCCGTGAGGTCAGGATGCTGGTGACCGGATCCAGGAACATGGTTACCGACGTGTTTCCCAGGAGTTGTACTTTGGCCAGCGGCTTCGAGAAGCACTTCTCCTCGAATGGCAGCAGCTTGAACGCAATCGGAGGGACTCGGTGGCACTGTCTAACCGCCAACACTCCGTCTCCGAGGTAGTTTGCTGCCAGGTCGGTCCTGTTGAGCAAATGGCGGATCACCAAATCCGGGCTGGACGCTGCTGCGGCGCTGGCTGCTGCCGAGACGGTGTTCAACGATAGGCACCAGGCGTGGAAGTGTCGTGTGAACCATTCCTTCGAGTGTTCGATAGCGGCTGCCTCGGCGGCGAGTAGCTGGGCGGAATGTTGGGTGGAGTAGACGATGCCCACCATCTTCTTCATCTCCGGGTCCAGCTCTCTCTTCTTTCGCATGACGTGGTCCTTGAATGCGATTCCCTGCTCGGTCAGCTGTAGGCTGCGCTGACAGTCTGTTATCGTTGCCGTTGAGTTGGGGAACGAGAGGGCAATCTGCTTGTCCTCCGAGATCCAGATGTTCCCTTTTTGGAATCCCTTGAAGCGGCCAACTCTGATGAAGCGGCATTTCTGGTCGACTGATGGGGACCAGATCAGGGCGGATCCTTGCGCATTGTTGCAGAATCCTTCCTGGTACTCGCATCCTGTCATGATCGCCACGGTGGTCGATGGCTTGGTGCTTCCGAAGTGGGCAATCACTTCTGTTGGCATGTAGAAGCAATTGAATGTTTCCGAGGTCTTCGTCTGGAAGGCTCCGAGTGGTGCTGATGGCCATTCCATAACGTGGTCGTTTGTTGTCTTGTAGACTCCGTCAATCTCTCTCAGCTCTCCGTGGTTGCACTTGTGATGTTTGGACATCTGTCTGCATTCCTCCGGTGAGACGATGAGTTCTTGGTTCGATGTGTTTTCGTGCTGCACTCCCACCAGGTTGATCCAGTACTCCGAAAAGGTGCGGACGATTCGGCAAAACATTCCCGGTGATGAGTATTCGACGGTGTTGGGGCGGTAGAGTGTCAGCGTGCGTGTCTGGAGATCTTCCGTCTTCAAGTCGAACAGCGGTGAGCAATCGATCGTTGGTGGAAGGCGGTGGTACGTTTCCTTCGCGGTTGGTAGACACAACAGGGGGTCCGATGCCGATGCGACACAGACTAGCGCGCAGATTGTGAGCCAGAATGCCGGTTTACTTACGGCGCTCAACACGTTGATCGACGGGTGGTATGCCGATGCGGCCAACTCCTCATTCCTTGCTTTGAGGGCTTCGATTTGCTGGAGCATCAATTCTCTCTCCGACGTGTCCATTCGTTCTCCGATGGCCTGGACCTTTCCGTATGGTTGAGGGGCCACCCGGTGGTTGAGGGTGGGGTCCTGACGTTGGAACTGCGGCTGTCGTTGGTTGGACTGTGGGTTGTTCTGTGCTCGCTGGTAGGTTCCGCGTTCGATGTCAATTGCCTTCCGCCGGCAATCGATAGCCAGATGTCCCTTGATTCCGCAATAGAAACACGTGCGTGACTCCCTCTGTCCGTAGTTGCCGGGGTATTGCGGTCTGCTGTCTCCTCGTTGCGTGTTGTCTCTGCTTGACCGCTGGTTGTTCCACTGTTCTCTCGGTCGTCGCTGTTCGGCCGTCTGTTGCCGGGGTTCCTCACTGAGTTGTTGACGAGCTAGGACTGCTTCGATGGCTGCGTACGGTCTCACGGTGTTCGTCCTGGCTGTCTCTTGGAGGAGGAGCTCGTATTGCAAGGCGGCGGCCAGTGCTTCTCTGAGCGTTTTGGGGGAACGACCTCTGGTGTGGAACTTGATGTCCGGAAGAAGGCCATCCACGAAGGACTCCATCGTTTTGTCCTCGACGACTGATCGGTTGCCTCCGTAGGCCGTGTAGGCCAGCTTATGGGTCCTTACGCAGAAGGCGTCGACTGATTCACCGGCGGCCTGGGTACAGATACGTAGAGCTTGTCGAGCTATCTCTGCGCGGCACGGATCCGTCGATTCCTGTCGAAGGTGTTCCACCAACTGCGTGAACGTAGCGTTCGCGTTCGCTTCCAAGAAGTCCTCGGCCATGTCCCTTGCTCGGTCTCTCAGGTAAGCCAAGAGGTAATTCTTCTTGTTGTCGCTGGTGAGAGGCGGGGTGCAAAGTGCGACGTTGTCGTTGAAGCTTCTGAGGAACTTCTCGAATTGCTCGCCTGGTGCGCCCGTGAACGGCTGGATTCCTTGAGTTGGCTTGAGTGGCGTTGTGAAAGTCAGGATCCTGGCGGGGGTCGCATCGTCGGTATTCGTCCCGAGAGCGGCTCGGGTCTTCGAACGAGTGTTGTTGGAGATCGGCTCCTCTTGTCGGCTGCGCTCTTCGGTTTCGGCAATGTTGGAGGACGACGTGCTCAGTACCATATGCGAATTACCAGGGGGCAAGCTCGCTCCGCACTGTGGAGCGTTCAATACTCCGATGACTTTCTTGATGACCGTGTGCGTGGTCATAAAGTCGGTGATCGCTGCATCTCGTACTGCTGTGATGGTCTCAATGTTGGCTTTTGCCTTCTGCGGTATCGCGTCCGCTAGGGCCAGGGTGAAGGCTGGTACGATCGCGCCGATCTGCTCAGGAGTGAGGCGGAAGAGGCCGGGCGGGGTGGAAGCGGTTCTCGAACGCTTTCTTGCCGGTTGCGGTGGGAGCGGTGACTCAACGGTTGGTTGAAGGGTCTGATCGGGGTCGTCGATTCTCTCGGTGGATGCACTCCTTGGCGGTATCAGCGGCTGGTCCATGTTGGGATGGGTAGTTGTTGGTTTGTGGGGAACACGACACGCCCAGGAAGCACTACGTGCTTGCAACGGAACGTACGGATTCAAAAACGACGGGAAACGAACGAGATAGGGAGCTGTGGGACCGACGGGGGTCGAAGACGGTTGAAACAGGGCTGGATGAACTAAAACGAATGACGTCACGAAACTTTCTGAGGCTATCGGATAAGATGACGAGTAATAAAACGTGAGGGATAAGCAAGATATGAACGGAACAACTGATCGGGATGATAACTGGTGAGAATGGCTACTAATAAGGGAAGGACGACGGTCGGATCCTGTGACCCCTGGCATTCTCTCTCTCTCTCCCCCAGACTCTCGCTTTGTCTGGGGGTGTCGCATGATAACGGTCTCTCTCTCTCTCAGACCGGACAAATAAAACAACGGGACCGAGCTTTTGATCTCTCGTGCGCCCTCGCCTACGTCACCTCGGACCTTACTAAACGCTGCTTACCCGAATAGGGGCCGCTTGGGTGGTGGGGCTTGTGCCAGGCTAACATCATGCGACAACTCAAAGTGTCTTTCCATCTGGCTATGCACGGTACAACTCACTACGGGGATAGGGGCTAAACTAACGCAGCGGGGTTTCACATCTGCGGGCGGGGGAAAAGAAACTATACTAAGGAAAGAGCAGGAAAAACGGTGAGCCGCTTACGAACACTTCTCGACGCCTGCAGGGCTTCTCGGGACTCGGTAGACAGGAGAGATAGGACAGAAAAAGGAAAGAAGACCTGATTGTCTCCATAAACCGTCCGGAATTGTGCGGCCAAGGTAGAGGGCTGAATAATAGGTCGATGGACGGGTGACCCCGGAGGTCACCAAGCTCGCTGCTACCAGTAGGAAGTGCCGGGGGCAGGCTGGCCGAACCAGCCCCGGCCTCCTGTCCGAAGGTCTATGGACCTTAGCCAAGAAGACACGGGTTCAGTGGAACAGGTTTATTGTGGATTGGACAATCAGGGAACCGCCTAGTCGGCGGGGCATGGGGAATTATATAGGGGCGGCTGGAATGTGGAGCTGGCCGGAAGTGACGCGGTGAGATCGGGGGCCGAGCGGAGGCGGCTGGAATGTCGGCGCGGAGATCACGTGAAGCGGCGGGATCGTGGGCGAGCCGGATGTCGGAGGTGCTCTGGAATGTGATCGGTTTGTAGTGGGTGAGATCAGTGGATGGTGTGAGCTTCCGGGGAAGGATCGGTGGGTTGGGGAGGGCGAGGGACGAGCCCTCATATTCGAAAAGTGGGCCCTGGCGTATGGTCCGGTTACCTGTGGTTACGGGACACCTTGGTCCCTTACAATGGAAACAATTGAAAAGGTAAAAAAATTAGGTAGCTGAAGAATGAATTAGCGTTTTGTTTCAGAGAACATCACGCCCATCGATCCCACTGGCCGACGAATACTCTCCTTCGAAGCCAGAACCTCAATCTCGCCCTCATACGGTATCCATACCGATGAGAAGTATGAGCACCCCAGCCGCCAGAAGTGTCCAACCCGAAAGAGTTACGAGAGCCCGCCCGCAAATGCCATTGAGCTTGTCCGACGATGAAGAAGCCGGCGCCGACGACGGAATGGATTGCACGTAGCCATCGGTTGGCACAAAACAAAGACGATGCAGTTGTCGCCCAACGGTCGGAGCACCCCTCACATTTCCTGCCATATACACTCCATTAATAGCACTATCGTGTAATCGTTTATTTATTATAAAATGATCTCCCATCCAAAACCCGCATATGTCGCCGTGGGCAGCACAAAAAATGTTTCTTACGGCCAACTCGTCAGATAAGTATGCCATAGGTTTTCACCGATATGGTTGCGCAGTGACCAAGGCTGGGCACTCGGACCCAACTTTACAGGTTCTAGTTTCAGGACGATTCAATTATCTGCTCCGGGGATAAGTTTAATGGATGTACTATAGTGTTTGGAGTGCCTTTTAAACCTTTCAAATAATGTTATTGTACTATCAAAAACGAAAGGAAACTAATTTTCTAGGTATAAACTGTGGTATTCTGCATAATTGTTCGAGAGACGAAAAATTTTGCGAAAGTTAATTGAAAGGAACGGACAAAATGCTCATATAAATACACAAAAACAGTTAGATTATGTCGCGGTTCTATTCTGCGCAGTTCTATTATGTCTCGGTTCTATTGTGTCGCAGTTCTACTCTGCCCAGTTCTATGTTGGACCGCCAAAAAATTAAAGGACGAATGGCCGAGAATTTCGAATATGGCCTAGAAATCCTATGGCCGAATTATTTTGCGCGACCAAATTTCCACCGAAATTTGCTCAAAGTTTGCTCGCAGAAAGAGCATCGATTTGCTCTTTTCAATTAGTTGTTTTTGTTAAAAAAGCAATTTTTTTTTACTTTGGAAACAATGAATACAAAATCAATTCGCTCTAGATTTCGCAATATCCGTTTTTCGTCATACTCGCTTTGAAAATTCACAAATTGCAAAAAAAAGTTGCAGGTAATGTCAGGCACAGCGAGTTTAGTTCACAATCTGCCGGCCAGTGGCGACAACAATCATCGTGGATTGCATAGTTGTAAGTGAATTGGTTACATTGCGGATAGCGATTGAAAATTTAATTTCAGTGAAGAATCCGCGACGCGCCGCCGACAATGAGCCACTTCTTCGATTCCGAGAAGCGAAAAAGGTTCTGGGCGATGTGTACAGTGAACTGAAGGATAATGTGGGCGAGTTGGAAGGTGTATACAAAGGTTGGTATTCGAAAATTTCAAGTCAATTCAAAAGGAGTTTCAGACATCAAGGAAAACGATTTCGTGAGCGTAGAACAGAGAGAAGAAGTCGAGTCGATAAGGGATTCGATAAAAACAATAATGGACACGTTCCAAAGAGACAACATGAAAGTGGTGTTCTTCGGAAGAACGAGTAACGGAAAGAGTACAACGATCAATGCGATGCTTCACGAAAAAGTGCTCCCGCAAGGAATGGGTCACACGACGTGCTGTTTCTTGCAAGTGGAGGGTTCCGAAGAAGAAGTTGGACACCTTCAACTGGACGACAATCCGCAAAAGATTGATATGAAGAAGTTGGGAAAGCTTGGGCACGCGTTGAGTGACGAGAACTCTGATCTGCCAGCTATGGGGCAAGACTCGCTGCTCCGTGTGTTCCATCCGAAGAAGAGCGAATCGGGAGAGTGCCGACTTCTGCAGAATGACGTCGTCATACTCGACAGTCCTGGAGTCGACTTGTCGCCCGAATTCGACAGTTGGATTGATAAGCATTGCCTCGACGCCGACGTGTTCGTGCTCGTCTCCAATGCCGAATCCACTCTGACACAAGCTGAGAAGAATTTTTTCCATCGTGTTGCGAAAAAGTTGAGCAAACCAAATGTGTTCATTCTCAACAATCGATGGGATGCGAGCGCCTCCGAGACGGAGAACATTGAAGACGTCAAGAAGCAGCATTTGACACGTTTTAGACAGTTTTTGGTAGACGAACTGGAAGTGTGCTCGGAAAGAGAAGTCAACGACCGCATCTTCTTTGTCTCTTCGAGAGAAGTTCTTGAGGCAAGACTCAAAGCTCGGGGACTCGTTCAGAAGGCCTATCAGGCCGAGGGACACGGAACGCGAGCTCTTGAATTCCAAAACTTCGAGCGTCACTTCGAGCAGTGCATCTCCCGTTCTGCAATTCACACCAAGTTCGAAGCACATAATCGGCGTGCTCACGAAATGATCGGAAAGATGCGGCTCAATCTGAACAGCGTGCTCACTTCGGCCGCGGAGCAACGCAACAAACTACAGAACAATTTGAACGAATCGACGCGACTTTTCAATGAATGTCGTGTCAATTTCACTCAGTTTGAGAAGGCATATCGCGAACAAACAGAACGACTTCGCGCGGAGGTTCATCTAAAAGTCTCTGCCGACTTTTTCGAGGAAATAGCTCGTCTCGATGCGATCATCGACCGATTCGATCAGTCGTTTGACGGAAGCTCCACGGGCATGGTTCAGTACAAACAGGACTTGGCAGTGTTCGTAGACAAGTGCTTGAGCACGGACCTGGAAGCTAGATGCACTGGAGGGCTCATGTCGAGAATCTGGAATCTCGAGAATGATATGTTCCGTGAGTTATAGAGTTTGTAAATAGTTAACATGGAAATCCGCATGTTTCAGAATACGTTACAAAGATTCTTGCGGAGCCCTATCAAAATAAACTGGAGGAAGTCTGGCGGTACCGTGCTCCGTTCAAATTCAGCATTTGCGTGGATGTTCCAGCGCTTGTGAAGTAATCGTTAGATTGATGTTGTTTGAACCAAATCGTTTAATTTTCAGCGATTTCCACGAGGATCTCGAGTTCCGTTTCACGTTCGGTCTCCACGCAATGATCCGCCGAATCATCGCCTACCGTAGTGGGCAGCCCGTCACCGCCATCAACACGAATCTGTTGACGCCGCTTTCTCTGAAACCGAACGAGAAGAACGTGGTGCGAGACGCGGAATCGACGGCAGCCGCTGAAGAGCAGGCGATGATGACGCAGATGGTGCTGACTTCGGCCGCCTTCCTCGCGAACGGCAGTCTCGGAGTGCTCGTCGTCGGAGGAATCGTCTACAAAGCAGTCGGATGGAGGGTTTGTCTTTTGCAGGATCCTACAGAATTTTGATTAACTCTTTTTTCAGGTCATTGCCGTCGGTGGAGCCGCCTACGCAGGATTGTACGCGTGGGAACGAATGCGTTGGAACTCGAGTGCCAAAGAACAGCATCTAAAGGAACAGTTCCGTTCGCATTTGGCCGCCCGTATGCAACAAGTATCCACTGCCCACACTCAACATTGCGAGACACAAGCAATGAGGTACTGTTCAAAATAACTCAATTGCGGTGTGGAACCCCTGTTTTACAGGGAAATGGACCAAGTGTTCGACGGATTGAAAGCGACTGTCGGCGGAGTGCACAGAGAAATGAAGAACGATTTGGACGGACAGAAGACGCAGATCGACGCAGTCGACTCGACAATTCGCACGCTAGGAACCATAAAGTAAACGAAATTTCAAAGCTTTCAGAATCTAATTTTTCTCATTTTCAGAGGAAAAGCAGTGTTTCTTCTGCGCAATCTGGAGCAATTCGCCTCCTCGTACCTCCGCTCCGATTCTCCGTCGTCGCCATGAAACTCTTAACTGGTTTTTTCCCTTTTTCAAATATATTGGTGCTTTTCTCTCTCGATTTTAGCTTTTCGTGTGTTTGTGAGCTTGGAATAAGCGACAATGTAGATATTTCGATGAGCTCTCCCTTTAGGTGTTAGTAGACGAACGTTTTAGTGATTATTATAACACAACCAGGTTATTAATAAAGCATATTTTTTAAAACTAATTCTAAGAACTTTAATTAGCTGAGTTATAGGTATTCAGTTTCCACGTATTTTTGTTTTAATTTCTAAAATTTTTGAATAAGAGTCTTTTTAGCAATGAAAGAGGACGAAGAAGATGGCGGAATTGCGATGGAGTTCGATCAGTGCGCACAGGAGACCATGTTCTACGCCTCGTGCGTCGAAGATCGGGGCGACGGAAACATCTCGCGCACCGACTCGGCCGTTTCCATGAACAGAGAACCGCCCCCAGTCGTTTTACAGGTCCGGTTTTTCCTGAAAACCGTACGAAAACCATTCTTCGTGGATTTCAGAAGTTCAACTCGTCGCGGCGAGACCATCACTTGCGCACTTTTCACGAAATTAACGTTAAACGGTGTCAGGCGTATCGGAAAGAAATGGAGGAGCAACGCAAAGGGTTGGGAATTGTGAATTCAGATGAAAAGGGGAGGAGAGTTGATTTTCAGAACGGACACTTACTTGCTCACTCAACAGAAACTCGCCGTTCACCTCATTGACTTCATCGATGTGCCACTTAAGGTAGGCAGTGCTTCTAGAAGTTTCTATTGATTCTCCTCCGGCATGGCTTCGTCTTCTTTGCATCTTTCCCCCGCAGGTGAAGCATCCGGTGTGCTGTGCTTGTTTCTCTCTTCATGATTACATTTCGTGCTCTTCGTCATTTTTTCCATTTCAGAAGACGACTCAACGCAGAATATGGACTGATCGCGTCACGACTCCGCTGTATTCGATGACAGGAAGCGGTTTAGAAGTGAGCGGAGACTATTTCTTCCCTATGGAATCTCCGTACGCGACTATTCAGAGATCCTATGTGAGCTTCTTCTTATTCTTCCTTTTTCCTCAACTCCACCAGTTCAGCTACGTTCCCTGGCCGACAATCTAACCAGAACTTACCGGAAAATTGTCGAAATTAACGAGTTTGTGGAAAAGTGCTCCGAACACAGCCAACTGATGCTTCCGATGCTCATGGCTGTGCTCTGCGACTGGGCGAAAGAGTTTCTCCGAGATCATGCGAGAAGGCTGGACGAACTGAGGGCAGAACGACTCGTGGATCCTCTGCAGACGCTGGCTCGGTTGAATCCGATGGTCGAAGACGTGGAAGTGGTGCGGGAGATGCTCGGAGAAGACACTGGAAAGAGTGTGTGGCTGTGGGAGGATATTGAGAAGTCGTGGAATCGAATATTCTTGCTCACGCAAAGAGAGGCGCTCGTGAAGAAGAGGGAAGTCGTCCGACGGCTGCAGAGCCGATGGATCGGAGCCCTTCTCTCCACTATGGATCACATTTTCGAAGTGGGAAGAGTACCCGCGGAAGCGATTCATTTTGTGTTGCATAAGTGAGTTTTAAAGATTTCAAAGGCATTTATTCGGGGTTTGAGCACATAAATATAAAGAGAAAATAAATAGGAGACATTGTCTAGTGACGTCTGTTTCTGTAGCCCTGGTTGGCGTTGACTGGGGCGCTGTCGTGTCTCTGTGGGCACGGACAGTACTCCGCGTCGGTTCCTGGCTCTCCCTCCTCTCCGGCGGCTCCAGCGGCTCCGTTCTCTCCGTTGTCTCCGTTCTCTCCGCGTGGTCCGCGCTCTCCTGGTGGTCCAGCGATTCCCTGGGCGCCAGTGTCTCCCTGCGGTCCCTGGTCTCCTGGCTCTCCGGTTGGTCCGGAAACTCCTTTGGTCCTGGAAGTCCGACCTGGTGCTCGGTATCGGCTCCTGGCTCTCCGTCCTGTCCTGGCTCTCCCTGTGGTCCGAGTCCTCCGACTCCTCCGAGAGTTCCTGGCTGTCCTGGAGTTCCGTCTCTTCCTGGCATGGCTCCCTGTCCGCGAGCTCCGCGCATTCCACGCACTCCTGGCTTTCCTTGTGGTCCTGGTGGTCCCTGTGGTCCCTGTGGGCAGGTAAAGCATCCAGCGTACTGCTGAGTCTGAGCTTGCGCGTCGTCGGCGTCCTGTCCGTCGATTCCTGGTACTCCTGGAATTCCGTCGATTCCATCGGCTCCTGGGGCTCCCTTTGGTCCGGATGGTCCGGCTGGGCACGAGTTATCAGCGTTGCAGTTGCAGGAACCTCCTGGAGTTGGCTCTCCGGAAGCTGGGTTGAATTGTGGTGGGATTCCAACGACTCCTGGGAAGCCTCCGGGGGTCTGTGGGGCAGCTCCACCTGGGAATCCTCCCTGTGGAGTCGGGTTCGGGGCGGCGGCTCCGTATCCACCGTACTGTCTCTTCACACGTCCGAACTTTTTCATTTCGAGGTAGAGGCTGTCGGTTTCGAACTGAAAAGAAAAAAGAAACTGATAAGGTATGAAAAAGTGAAACGAACCCTCCAAGCATCCATTTCGACGTTCATCTCATTACGGATCTCTTCAATGCTGGAGCTGATGTGCGGAATGGCGAAGAGCACGCATCCGATCGAGAAGAGGCCGAAAGAGATGGCCGTGTAAGCGGAGAGACTCGACATGATGACGAATCTTGACGAATCCTCCCACCTCGATTCCTTTTATATTCAGCTGGACATTGCCATTCCTGTTTTAGGTCTCCTCCCAAATTCCTTCCGCCCGCCCGGCTTTCAAATTTCACTCGCAAAAACGAAAATCTCTGCGTTTTTTAATTTGATTGACGACTGAGATATTATGCAAATTTGAGAGGGTCTCTCATTTGCATATCTGTCATTTCCACTCGGATGACCGTCAAACGGAACCGGGTTGATATGGTGATGAGATAATAAGTGATAAGAAATGGTGTTTGAGGTGTGATAAACAGATCGATTGGTGGGAAATTTGAAAACGAAAACAGAAGCTATTTTCAGTGACTCCAATCCAGAAGCCGAGTTGCTCCTCTGTCGAGATATCACAGAAGTAGGATCCTTGCTCTGGGATGAGCACCTAATCGAGACGATCCTCGAGGCGGCCAAGTGTCGTGTGCGGATAGGAACCATCGAATTCCCACTAAGAACCTTCACTAATGCCTTCCACTCCCTTCTGGCTGCCACCAAATTCAAGCAGGACCTTCTTCCGTTCGACGAGTTCCGCTCTCTTTTCCTGGACACGTGCGTCCATCTGAAAGATCGATTCGCCGATGAGTTGCTTGACGAGTTGCACAAAAACGAGCGATTCGGCAACTTGTGGGCCGATTTAGAGGCACGTAATATTCGCGAACTGATAAGAAAATGTTATCAGTTTGCGTAGCGTAATTGATGTTGAAACGACAATTTTTCAGAACGTCGTAATAGGTTCCATATCTCAACAGTACGCAACGACGGTTTTCCGATCAGATTCCAATGTAACCAACTTCTCCGACGCCTTCTGGCTTGCCTCACGCGACAGAATGAGCAAGGAGAACATGACGCTCTTCTCGTGGATCGCCAACAAATCGGAATTCTCGTGCAAGTTGGATCACTTGCTCGCGTCGTTCATCCGGCCGGAACTGATTGACGTGATGAATCAGTGCATGAGGTTCGCTCACAGTGCCTACCGTACTCGAGAGCTTCTTGTCACAATGGCCAATGACAGTGAGTTAGAGAACAATACTCATTTATACTAATTTCACTTACAGAAGAGCTCATGTCCCGAATGACATGCCCACAATCCTCGTTCGACGTCTCCATAGTGCACAGTCAACAAGCGGAAAACATGAACAAAGCTCTTCGGACTCGCCTCCGATTCTTTGTTTTCACTCTCGAACAGATTGTGTCCCACTTCAGAGAACTTTTCGCTGAGAAGGTCGCAATTTCATAGTGCATCCTTTTCTGACAGAATCACCCTTTCAGGTCCGATACGTATTCCAAACGAAACGTGACGAGATTGTGAATGCGAGCAGTCTGAAAGAGGTGGAGACGGCGGTGGCGGAAGGACATCGCAATCTGACGGAGATAGTCGTGAGAACGGGCGTTCGAAGAATGGTGCACGAGACGATGGACATGTTTATGAGCATGACTGATGAGATACGGTTGAGGTACTGAAGCACACAAAACAAATGATTTATTTTTCTTTCATTTTAGATCCGTCTCGAACACTCTCGATTTGGATTATCTGCAGCGGTGCGAAGAGAGCGTCCGCAAGACCCTCAACACCCTGCTCTCACTCCACGCCAGCTGGGGAAACGACAAGGACTCGATCTTTTTCCACTTGTCCGTTCGGCTCGGAAAACTCAATAAGGGTGTCTAGTCCAGTCCATTTTGTATCTATATCTAATTCTGCCTTTTTGCCTTTCTCTGCTTCGCATAATCAACATTTCAACATGGGTCTCAGTCGAATAATAGTTTTTATCAATACGTTTTATTCCATTTTCCCTTTTTCGTTAACTTTCGCGTTTCCCATACGCTTTTACTTCCTTTCATTTTCACAACTATTCACCTGAAACTGATTCAGATGACACTCGAATTCTACAGTGGAATCGAAAACATTCGAAGAATTCTGAGCCAACATGCGGCGGACGTGCTCTACGTGCATCAGCACAATGAGTTCGGCGACGAGGACGAGGCGAAAAAGTGCAAAAACGAACTGATGACGGACGTGATGGACATGATGGGAACCGACACGGAAGCGGCCATGCTGGGGATGGCGTACAGGGCGCTCAACTTGGAAACCGCTAATATGGACGTTCCGAGTGTACGCCATGAGCTTGTTCTGAAATGGAAACGCTTTTTTCCAGGATGATAGAATGTTGGAGCTTGTGGAAGAAGCAAAGGAGAAAGTGAAGGAAGATGTGAAGCAGGGCGCCAACCGAAAGTATTTCAAAAATATTGTGAAGGAGATCAGAGACGGAAAAGCCGAGGAGGAGGAGATGGAAGTGATGCAGGTGCAGCACAGCCGAAAAGACCCGATCTCGAAGAAGGATATCGTCTACCCGGTCATCAATAAGGTACGGATGACACCAAGGCTGTGCAAACAACGAGTCATTGTTTATTTGCTCTTCGAAGACAAAATGCAACCATTCTGTGTTTTCAGAAGTGCGGCCATGTGTACGATAAAGAGTCGATCATGGAATTCGCGAACAGAAAGAAGACGATAAAGTGCGCGATGCAAGGATGCTCGGAGACCATCAAGATCGCGGTCTTATCGACTATCCAGAGTACTGGAACATCATAAAACAGCAGACCCGTGATTCTCTGCTTCTCCCTCTATCAAACAACTCTAAATTATGAGTATCTCCCCTTCCACACCTCTCATTTCACAACCTTTTCTTCTTATCGATCTGCTTCTCTCTCACTCGTGTTTCTTTTTTGCGTGTCGTTTCATAAACATTCGCTCCTGCTGTCCAGCCGTCCGTCCGCCCGGCCGCTGCCGGGGTGGCCGACAAAAACCAGTTTGTCATTCGTTCGTTCGTGCGATGAGTCGTTGAAATACGAATGCAATACTCCTCTCTCTCTCTCTCTCTCGCCACTATTTTATTTCCATTCTTTTTAGAACACTCGATTGCAGGGCAGATGTCGGCCACGGCGACAATCAGTCCTCCGGCTCGAGAACTCAAAACTTCGTCGATCTGCGGATACTTGCACCGAGTACGGATGGCTCTTTCTCGAAAGTTAATTGAGAACAAACTGCTTACAGATCGAAGTTCGCTCGATCGGCCTGATCACTCGCCGTCGGTACTGGTTCGCTCTGTGCGACACGACCCCCTATCTCTATTGGTACAAAGATTCGGACGACGTGAAATGCATCGGAAGAGTGTCGCTGAGCGGAGCAGCATTCACTTATGACCCGAAAGAGAAGGGACGGTTCGAAATTCAGTTAGTTATCAAATTTTAAAGAGAACTTCATAGGTGCGGGATCTTTGAAAAACATTTAAAATGTCCGGGTCCTAGTGGGTTCGAATGAGTGGAAACTGAACGACAATGACCCATAGAAGTAATTCGGACAGTTAGAACCTAACGACTGCCAATTTTTTTTCCGAACCAGGCCCCTCCCACTCGCCTGTCCGTTACTGCTGGCGCTAAAATCAAAACACCAATGGGGAACATGAAATGACATTGTTTGCAGTTCGAACAACGAAGTGATCGTGTTGGAATGCAGTTCGGATAAACAGCGAAACGAATGGATGAAGGCTTTGCAAAGCACGCGGAAACGGAGTTGGAAAGCGGCGAAGTCGAAGTCCGACTCTTGCCTCGATATCTCTTCGCTCACGGGACGAAACTCGGCGGCCGTGTTCGAAGAACCCAGTTCTCCGTCCCCTGTTCCGCCGCCGAGAAGTCCGAAGCCGAAGAAGCGGACACAGATTCCGACGAATCCAGAAGAATCCACGGAAACTCCAGAAGAAACAGCCGGAGAAGATGAACCGAGAGAAGAAGTAGGAGAACCCGAGAAAGCCGAAAGAGAAGAAGCAGGGAATGAGAGGACAGAATCAGCGCAGACACCAGAAGCATCCACAACTGAATGGTACCTAAATCCGAACGGTCAGCTCAATGAACGGTCGCTTCAGATGCCCAAAGTGAGACTTTGTTTTTCTAAACAGAACAAGTAATCCGGGAAAAAAGTTTAAGACAATCGAAAGCCCGGAAAGTGTGCTGAAAAGGCTGGCCGATCAGAGCATTGAAGCTCCGATGCGAGCGATCCGACGGAATCTGAGCGTCTGGAAAAGCGGAAGCAGCCGGCAGAATACCGGCGATGAGCCGATTGTGAGCAACAGAGTGAGTATTCTGTCTTGCTCAATTCTGGAGACGTGTTGTGAAAGTTTCAGAAAGGAACAGTGTCTTCGGTGGACTTGACGCCAGAGGAGAAGTGCATTGAATTGACGGATAAAGTGACAAGTTTGGAAGAAGTCGTCGACTCGCTCCGAGCGGCACTTCTGTTGGCTCAGAGGAACAATGAAGCACTGTGGGTGTTTCTAGAATCTTTTCATCATCTGAATTTCTATTTTCCAGTAAAAAGATAGAAGATATGGGTGAAAACAACGAGGAAATGAGGGAATATCTGCTGGAAAAGGAGCGACAAGTCACCGAATTGCACATCTCGAACAGTATGAATGCTCGAAGAGTCCGGGATCTCGAAGATCAGAATGTGAAGCTGGAGGACACGATAAACGATCTGCAGCAGTCGGTGGAGGCCTTCCGAGAGTCGCTCCGAACGAAAGAAGAGCTGATACTTCGGATGTGCGAAGAGGAGAATCGGGACGATCTGCTCGGACCCGCGACGAGTGCGGCCAACTCGGAAAGGAATATGAGTTTGTTAGCCGACGCGAATGGAATAGTTTCGGACGTGGAAGTTCCCGAAGGCATTCTGGTCGACGTGACTTCCATCGACTACGAGGAAGCGACACGAAGAGTTCTCGACGAAGAAAACGTAAAGGACATTGGAGAACTGCAGGATCTTGTGGAGGGATACCGCACTCAGAACCAATTCCTCAATGCTGAAATCGTCGAATTGCACGCCATAATTCAATCCTTGGAAGACCGCGAGAAGAAACTGATCCGTCAGAATTTCGACCTGGAAGCATGCTACTATCAGCTCAAAAGTCGGTATCTGATGGTTCTGAACCACTTCAAATCCCCAACAAAACCTGGAAAAAGTAAGTTTCCTGCTCTGCTTCCACTTATTCACATAGTTTCCTTTCCAGTAATGGAGCCGGGTGTTCTAAAGGAGCTGCTGGAAGAGTCGGCCCGGACGCCCCGAGAATCTCAACAGAATCTGACCGATCAGCTCGGATTCTACAAGAAAGACCTCATTGGAGAAAGCGACGATCTTCTGGACACGGCCACGTTTTATATGAAGAAAGCGAATGACATTACGGAAGCGACGAAGTTGGAACAATCGGAAGAGTACATGAAATGGCTGCAGTCATGGGATTCCTTCCTCGTCAACAACACCGTCTCCCGACAGGTCGCGATAATGTCGTCGCCCGATCTGAAGACGTTGATTCGGACTGGAGTTCCGCCTGCTTATCGCGGACGCGTCTGGAAGAGCATCGTGACGCATTGGGTGAAGGACGCGCAGGCGGAACTCGGCAACGGGTACTACGGGAGCATGCTGAAGAAGGCGAGCGCCAAGAAGCAGGACGGAAGCTACGATGCCGCCATCAAACAGGTCTGCTCACAATTACTCGTTTCCTTCACTGCTTTATTTCAGATAGACCTCGATCTCGCCCGCACTCTCCCCACCAATAAACTATTCGATGAGCCCGATTCTGCGAACATTGAGAAGCTCCGAAACGTGCTCTACGCCTTCCGATACCACAATTCGCACGTCGGCTACTGCCAGGGACTCAACCGACTCGCCGCCATCGCCCTTTTGTACCTGGACGAGCAGGACGCCTTCTGGTTCCTGATAGCCTGCGTGGAGCACTTGCAGCCGGAAGGATACTACACGAGCTCTCTCATCGGAGCAGTCGCTGATCAGAAGGTTCTCCGTGACCTGGTCGCCGAGAAGCTGCCCAAACTGGCCGCCCATCTGCGGTCCCTTGAAGTCGACCTCTCGCTGTTCGCCCTCTGCTGGTTCCTCACCTGCTTCGTCGACGTTCTTCCGCACTCTATCTACCTGACCATATTCGACGCGTTTCTCTACGAAGGAAACAAAGTGCTCTTCCGGTTCGCACTGGCTCTTCTCAAGATTTGCGAACCGCACGTTCTTCAATGCAAAACTATTGGTACGGTTTTACTTGTTTGCAACATCCTCAATCCTCTCGATCTTTCAGGAACAGTTCATCAGTGTCTGAGCAAAGCGCAGGATCACATAACCGATTTTAAATCGCTGGCGCAGGTCGCCTTCAACGAGCTGAACCCGTTCCCGCAGAAGAGCATCGAAACGAAGAGACAATTGTACGTCAGCCAGCTGAAGGACACCGGCCACTGTATGTAATATGCCCCTCTTGTACATTATTTCTGTAATTTTGATTTCCCCACCCTCACATAACCACTATTCGTTCCGGCATAATCTATTCTCATTTCCTTTTCTGTGTTATCATTCTCTACCATTTTCACTTCCGTCTACGGTTCCACACTATTCGCTTCCATGTGCTATAAACGAAATGGCTAAAATGTGTGTTCATCTGAAAGTCAAATAAATATAAGACATGCTCTAAAATTGAAATATCGCGACTAGTTATTGCTGTTTTTCACATCCTAAACAAGTGAGTCAATTGGAGAAAAGGGAAGACAATCTAATAAATTATCGAATATTTAGAAATTGCAAAAATAAATTATGTCGGCGACTTGGCACGGGGGACAATTTCGGCAAATTTAGGGGCGGGGGGCTTTACTGGCTGGCAACTAGTTACATCTACATTTTATCAGTTGAACGCGGATCCAAAGTCGGCGAAGTTTGCGAATCCAGCAGCTGGAGGAGCTTGACCTTGTGATGGACTGAAAGAAAAACAAATTGGAATCCACTTGGGATGAGAAGGAGTTCTCACGCAAACGGATCATTGACGGGCGTTTCCCGGTTGGATTTCGGTGGCGCAGGGCGTGGCGGAGCAGGTCTTGCGGGTCCAGATGGAGCAAAAGCTGCATCCGCAGGGAATCCCTGGGCGAACGGATCAGCCGGGAACGCGGCGTCGAAGTGGCCGGCAGAACCGAATTGATCCACTTGGGCGAATGGATCGGCAGCCGGGTCTGGAAAGATAGATGGTTTAGAAGAATGAAGAATAGAGGTCACTCACTTGTTCTGGCAGATGCGAACGGATCTGGCGGCTGTTGAACATGATTCTGCGAGGCTCCAGCCGTCTCTCCGTACACCGTATCATCCGAGAGGAGTGTTCCGTCCATTGACGCATTAAGAAGATTCGGATGTCCTCGCAGCGCTTCCACCATTTCAGCTTCCGGTTTCTCGACCGCTCCGGACACTTGCTCGGTCAGACTTTTCGTCTTTTCGATCTCAGAGTCCAACTTGTCCATCTGCAGCTGATCGCGCACTTCTCGTCTCTCGAGCGTCGTCAATTCGGCCACCATCCGCTCGCGTTCTCCCGTCTCTTTGACCACTTCGCCCTTGATCGTCTTGAACTGTGCGTCGAGCATTTCGATTTCTCTCTTCAGTTCTTCCATCTCCTTCTCGTCGTTCGCTTTGCACTCCTCCGCATTCTTCGCTTCCTCGTCAATCTGCCTCATCCTTTTTTCCGTCTCTTCTTTCTTCTCGCTTTGCGCCTTGCACGCCGTCTCTAGCTGCTCGATCTGAGTGTCGTAGTCGCCTAATCTTCTCGTCGCTTCGGTTTTTTGCCGTTCCAATTGTTTGACTGTCGATTCGAGAGTGGCCAATTCAACTTGCAAGTTCTTGATCCGCGAGTTCTTCACAGTCATGTCGGCTTCCAATTGAACGACGGCTTCTTCGGCGGTTTTCCGCTCAACAATCATCGATTGAATGGCCTCCGCCAGCTGCCGCATCTCTTCGTTTTCTCCTTCCAACGCTTCCTTGATTTCCATGGAAGTGGCCTCTGGAAGCTGCGGGGTCGACACGGATTGTTGTGGCTGGTGGGGAAGAGCCGGTGGGAGATCCGTGGGTCGGGAGGAGGGAGGAATGAGATGCGCGGGAAGTTCGACTGGTATCGGCTCTCCTCGCTTCGCCATTTCTAGCAGATGCATTCTGGAAAAAGATTACGGTTGAAGCAATGAATATGTAGATTAGCAAAATTTTCAAAACTCACGTGACTGCAAATTGCTCTAAATTGAGCTGACCGCACTTCTTTGTGTCGGCGAGAGCCCAGACATGAGCCAAAATCTGAGGAGTGAGCCCGGTGGCCATCATGGGACCGCGCATGTCCTGTCCATCCACCAATCCGTCTCTGTTCGTGTCGATTTGAGCGAACTGATCGGCGTGATCGGCTGGGTTGATTGTCCACTCATTGCCGGCGAACGAGTGAATGGAATGAGAAGAGGAGAGCGGAGTGGATGCTCCGCTGGCTCTTGCTCCGTTAACGTGTGCTCGAGACCCCGGTGGCGGCGGCTGAGATCTCGGCATGGTCGCAGAATACGACTGATTCATGTGAACCTCATCCAGAGAGGTTACGGAGCCGGCTCGCGAGCCAAACATCGGACGAGGAGGGTGCGTGGGCGGGGCAAAGTTCGGAGACCGTTGAGCGAACATGGCCTTTGACGGATGGATGAGAGACGGCGGAAGTTGAGCGGGGATCGGTTCCGATTGGAGGGAACGGTACACGAGATGCAGGGCGACGGACATCTCAATTCGGTCCAGGCTTCCGTCTTTGTCTTGATCGGCCAGTTCCCAGATTCGTGCAAGGGAGTGTGAATCGAGCCCAGAATTCATGAGCACCGGACGCACATGCGCTCCCGAGAGCTTTCCGTTCACAGGATTCAACGATTGGAATATCGAGTCGTACTTTGCCTAAAATAGAAGTTATCATAGGAAATGTGAGGATTCACCAACCTGATCGGTGGGAGTGATCGGCCAACTCGGCGGGAACTGAGGAGCATAATGGTGAGAAGGTGAGGACTGCTGAGACGAAACAGCCGAATGAGTGTGTGACGGCTGCGGCGGCGGAGGGACGGGAGGAGCACGGCCGGGCTGAAAACAAAAAAAGATTGAGCCAATTAAAAGGAGAAATGCTGGACTGACCGACGGGAATGCGGGCTGGAAATGGTGTTGCATGCTGGCCGGTGGGACGGGCGGTCCCCCGAAGCGAGGAGCTTGAAGAGAAGAGTCGTAGAGGACGGAGTTCGCGAGGGGCTTGCCTGCAAACGGAAATGCGCTTGAATTTGCATTTTTGGGCGATGACACATGTCACAGAAAGGCGGACACTTTCCTCGTTTTCTCCAGATAATTCTAACCTTGTTGAGCGGCCGCCACCAGTTTCATCGCCACGAACGCGCCTCGTTTGTCAAGTGAGCCGACCTTCTGCGAATCGCTGAATTCCCATATCTGGCCGAGGATCGGCATCGCGAGATTCGACTTTTTCAAGAAGTTGGCGGCGTCTACGGCACCGATTCTGGGAGCCCCGTGCGGATTCATCTGAACACATGTTTTGCAGAACAGAACAGAACAGCTATAAAATAATTAAATAAGTACCTCTGCGAATGCCTGATTGAAGACGTCGTTGTGCGGCGACGCTATCGCATACGAATCGTCCATTTTGGCTGTAAATGAAGAGATTTCAAAGGTTCAAAGGGTGTAAAATGTATTGAAGAAGCGTAGAAAAGGCGGAGAAGAGGAAAAGGAAGGGAATAACGACGAGTCTTTTCTGGATTGCGCCACTTCTCTGCGTCTCCAGGCTCTCACTCCCAGCACTCTAGTACATCGATTTTCCGTCTCTGCAAAGCTCGCTTTTCCTTTTCCGTCCCTCATTCTTGTCGGTTATTTGACCAAACCGAAAAGGAGCAAAAGAAAAGTAGGAAAAGGGAAGCGGAATGCGAAATGTGCAAATGTATCATGTTTCGCAGGGGACCGAAATGATAATAACGTCGGAGGGAATCGATTTCCGATAAACTTTAGAGTGTTGTCAATGCGTCCGTTTATATAAACAGAAGTTTGCGAAGGCGAAAGAACAGAGAAAGATTGTCGAATCCCGAATCGGATGACTAATTGCCGCATTTTCTCGTCGCAGTGTTTGCACACCCTTTCGAAAGATAATCCGATTTGGAGAGCGTAAACTTGAGTTGGAACATCGAACACAAAAGAAGAGAAGCCGAAAAAGCACAAAATGATCTGAAAAGTGAGCAAATCATATTCCAGCAAGAATAAATACACAGTGTTCGTTGGGAACAGCTATGTTTATTTATTACAGTGGTTTTTGAAATAAATGGGAAAATATTGGAATCTTCGCTTTCCAAATCAAGTATTACCGAAAGGAAAGGACCAAAAAGTATACATGCAAAGACCGTTCGTTACTTTTCCGATGAATAAAGTGCATTTTCTGGATCCTGCTCGGTCATCTGTCGCCTGAATCCGATTCTCGATTCGATCGGCTGATCTTCCAGACTCTAGTATATTTTCCTCAAAGTTCCCGATCCCCTCTGATCTTCAATACTCTTACACTTTTTCTCATTCGTCTAGCTGGCGCCTGATTTATGGATGGGGTATAACCAGAGTGACTGGACGAGTGATGATATTTTTAAACGAACTCATTGAGGCCCACGAAATGAGCCAATTTGTGGCGGGAATGAGATTGTTGGGCCAGGTGAGTCAGACGAAATAAAGAAGAAGAAGAAGAGTGTGGGCGAGATTCTGATTCACGATTCCTCAACGAGCCGCTCATTTCCGAGCACTTTCTTGCCAGTCGTTCGATATTCTCGGGAAACATCACCCGATTCAGAACTTTTGCACTTTTAGGAACCCCCCATACATGAAAAACGATGCCGCCCGTTAAAAAACTCGTCACTCGTCTTATCGTCTGTTTCCGTATTTTTATGAATCAGACGAGGTCGCTTTGCACGTTTCGAAACCATTTGCGTAATAAATACTCCACCCCATCCTGTTTTCGCCTTCATTTTCGACATTCCTCCGCGGCTCTGTCATACTTTTTACGAGCGTCGGAAGAGAAAGAAGATCGGCTGGAAAACAGGGAAAGAGGATTACTGTAGAGAGGGTGTAAACCTGAGGGCAAATACTCGAAAAAGTGGTAATCGCGCTGCATTTTCACACTGTTTTCGAGAATGATTAACAAATAGAAATTAGTGGGAGCACAAAACAAGAATCGACTTGATTCCTTGTTTTCCTTGCTTCTTGGATACCTGTCATAAATCAAGTTCAACGGGTCCATCTTGTACATTCTTTCTCTCTCTCTCTCTCTCTTCTTCTTCTTGCCGAGAGAGAGAGAGAAGAGGGAGCAAGAAAGTGGGCGGAGCTTGGAGGATGGCTCAAAAAGTTTCAGACATCGGCTCATCTTTCTCGGGTGTCAATTTCGAGCATTGAAAACTGAAATCCTCTTAAACTCGTCTTCATTCTCTCGTGCCGGGTAAGTGCGACGTTAAGCCGAGAGAGTCTAGCCTACAGTAATTCGTTTGTCATTCGATTCCGTTCACCAGGCTACAAAAACTTTGTACTGAAAAGTACAGGAAGGTGCAAGCAAATAGTTTTGAGAAAGGACATACGTCAGCTGTCCAGCCAGCACGCGGTTTCCTTCTAGCTTCTGCCAATGCCAGACCAGAGTTGAAAGGAATTGCGCCTTCCGCATTCCGTTTTCCGATTTCCGCTTTCCGATTTCCTACTTCTATAACCGATTTCCGTCTTCCGTCTTTCCAAGAAAGCTATTAACCCTGGTCCACACTTTATGTGCAAACACGTCCACGACGAAGTGCACGAGCCTCATACCGTAATCGTGCTGCAAACCGTTTTGTGCTCTGCTCGCTCTACTCTATTCTTCTTCTTCTTCTTCTTCTTCTTGTGCTCTCTTACTATCACTCCTCTCGCTCTTCTTCTCCATCTCTCAATGAACCGATAACTGATAACCCCGCCGCCGGGAAGGGGTTGGGCAGAATTCATGGAATTTGCTTTCGCCTCACTCGCGCTCATCTCGCCCATTTTGACGTCGAAAAATGCGTGATTTTTCGCGCGTCGTCAACCTATTTTAGGCCTTTTTAATGAATTGGAGGAGGAAATGATTGACTTTTCGATCACGTAAACTTCTTGGCTACTTCCTGCATTTCTTGAGCTACAATGCCTATACACCGCTTGCCCGAAAACCAGCTTCTGCCACGTCATAAACCGAAACGAACACATTCAACTACAGTAATCTCCCCCCAAAGCACTTCTTCTGATTTAACAACCGTCTCTTTGTATCTATCACCAATTCTCTTCCCCCCACTTTTATAGCATGTTCCCATAAACCAGCTGTTGTTCTTGTCTACCGTAGTCCGCCTCGTAAATCCACGTCATCTCCTTTCGTTTCTTCCATTTCTTCTCTCCTCCACACCTGCTTCTCAGCCCTCTTTTTCCTCTTTTTTTTTGGGTTTTCAAACGGACACAAGTGTCCGTGCGTTTACTCAAGGCCGTCTGTCTGAAGTACGGAGAACGCACCGTTTCGTAGTAATCTTTGCCCTAATTGGCTCTCATTTTTCGTGGCCTTCTTCTGCTCGAATAATACTCGAATACAAACGTGACCTCCGCCGATTCGCAATCATAAACCTCAAGGTCTGAAAAGTCTAAAAATGGATTGCAAACACAACACAAACTTTCCTCGTTTTGATTGGCTTATCAGCCTCTTTCTCGCCCGTGCCCTCCAAACAATTAGCGACGTTTTTGTCGTTTCCAGACCCAACACACAGTTTGCCACCATGCGGCTCCTGTTCCTGTGCGCGTTGATCGCCGTCGCCTCCGCCTCCATCTACCATCATCATCACAATCGACGGCGCAGTTTTCAGAGACATGTGAGTACTGTAGGCTTCTTCCTGAGCTGTAAGATTCACATATCTGTTTGTTAAAGTCGATGTATCTTAAAAATCTTAAATTGAACCTTTTTATTTCATCATATCACAAGATCAGATCATCCACCAAACGAACTAACAAAGCTAGGATGATTCTAGTTGGATCAATGAGCTTATCGGCTCCCAGACTTTTCAGCCCCGAATATCATAGAGTCTTGCAGCGAGTCCGTTCCCCGGCCGCTCGGATCCACGTGAGATCAGAGCGCAAGTCGGAAGAGTGCCAGAAGCACGAGCATCATCTGATTTGCGGACCCGAACGACACTGCGACAAGACTTGTGACAACATGTTCAGGTGTGTCTGAGCAAACTCAAATGAGCCGAAGAATTTGATAATAGGAAGAGAGTCAGCACAACGGGTCGCGTTGATCACTTAGATTACGGGCAGGGAATTTCAGGAATTTTGCAACATTTTGAGAGATTCCAAAGATTATATCTCAGTTACGTGTTGAGCTATAAAAAAGTGGTCAACTGAGAAAATGTACACAATTTTCCAACAAACAATTCCCTAGTTGACAATTTTTTGGAATCTTCCCCGCCAGCTGAGATATTCGCTCTTAAAGAGTGTTGTTTCTGTTCTGCACTGAATACAGAGCCAATTCTACAGTAATCCCAATTCCAGCCCTCCCCAATGCGTGAACACCCTCCATCACGCCAAGTGCTACTTCCCCCGATGCGTGTGCAATGACGGCTACGTTCGGGACGAGCACGGTCTCTGCATCCGACCCTCGCATTGTCCGAACACCTACTACGAGCCGGCGTCGATGCTCGTCGAGGGCAATCAGGTGAGCATTCTACCGTATGCCCGGCCGTTTCTACGTCAAGTGGTCAAGAACCAAAAGGTGTCAAAACAGAGCTCGTCGCGTCCCCATTAAAATTACCATAAAATTTTACTGCGAATTGCCATCTTTTGGGCTCTTTTTATCGGTCTTCGCTTTACGAGGTGATTCGAAAATTGATGGTGTTTGCACACAGAACACTTCATTCGACGGGCGACTTGCATTTCGAAATCCGATTGCGAACTTTTTGACTTGCACGTGCCGAACATAATCAGCCGAGCACCATATATATAAGCGCCTTAAGGGTGTTAAATAACCTTTGAATGTTCCGGAACTCTTTTGTCTCTCTAAAACGCTAAAAATTGACAGGACAACGACATGATGATCCAGTTCGAACCGGTCAAGTTCTCGCGGATCGGCAACCATCGAGTGCTGAGAATCTCGCGCAAATCGCCTCGCGAATATCAGCCATCCAACCTGAGCATTCGGATTTAGAACGACTCTCTCTTTTCTTATTATCGTGCTTCTCTTTCTTCTTCTCCCTGTGAAAATCAAGTTCATAATATTTGGTAGATCTTCTGTATTTAGATCATGTTCTGTATGTTTCAATGAAATTGTTTATGGCCTCATCGACCACTCGCATATTTGATGAGAGGAATTAGAGTGCAGATTCCGAAGAACATCCACATTTGGAGCACATAACTCGATGTGTCCGAGTAGGAAATTTGGGCGGTCTCAATGGATTCGGCCAGCATTCCGGAGCGGTCGCATTCATCACACAGACTTCTCCTTTCTTGCACCTCCTGTTTTACGCCATATTCAGAATCTTCAGAATCTTTGTGCACTCACACGTCTCCTTCACAATTTTCCGGTTTCCACTTCGAATAACTCCTATGTATCTTGCTCGAATACATCAATTCTCGACCGGCAAACACGACTAGCCGGGTCTCCGAATCACAAAAAGCGAGGGTCCAATTCGAAGGAAGTGGGCATTTCGGATTGCATCGAGCACGTGTCACATAGGGCTTTGTCATGTTCACTGAAAGAGTACTGTAAAGAGGGAAGGATTACGGTAGGGTGTACAGGCCGGACAGCAGAATCCTTTGAAGCAAGTGCCCGACGGATGGAAGCAAGTTCCGGAGGTGTCACTTCCGGGAACCGATCCGAGACACTTTTGCTCGTGGCCCACTGGGACCGGGTTGCCAGGACAGAGAATGACATGAGGCGGCAGGCTGTGGAGACCGTCTGCAGGTTGATGTTCAATAAAATTTGAATCTCGCTGCACCAACCAGTATCGCACTTTTCAAAGTTCGCCGGATCGTAGTTGGACAACGGATCCTTCTGGAAGTCTCTTGTGATATTCCGTTCTGGGCATACTTCAGAACCGTTGATAATCGGACATTTCGGCGTTTCGTAGCACTCGGATTCCGTCGAATCGCTATTGTTATAAAGTGCTTTGAGCCATCCATTCGGGCCACAATCGGAGCGGGCTGGAAAGAACGGTTTGCGAAAGAAAAGTGAGGGAAAGGGCTTACAGACGAACTCTTTTCTGGTGTTCAAATTGGAGTACACAGAGGAAACGATAAGCAGATGAACGCATATGAACAACGGGAAACTTTGTGACATTTGGAGGAGAAACTGACTATAAGCGCTGGAACGCTTTTCAAAAGATCACGGAGGTGGTCACGGAGAAACATTAAAACAAAACTTTATTTGCCAAATTCATATAAAAACTTGTTAACCCATTTTGCTGGTTCCGTTCCGGGCGAAATGAGAGAGAAGGAGGCGAGAGATGACCATCCGCTGGATCTGCGAAGTTCCTTCGTAGATCTGATAGATCTTCGCGTCGCGCATCAACTTTTCCACCGGGTAATCGCAGTTGAAACCGGCGCCTCCGAAGATCTAAAACTAGAAAAGTCAACGAGAATCCACGTGATTCATGTCCTACCTGACACGCATTCGCGGCCGCAATGTTGGCAGTGTCCGCGGCGAAGCACTTGGCGATTGAGGCAAAGTAGGAAGAGTTGGATCCGAGATCGGTGTCGACGGCCGAACGGTAGGTGATGAGACGGGCCAGCTCTAAGTTGCTCGCCATGTCGGACAGCATGAACGCCACTCCTTGGTGCTGAAATTAAAAATTTATGAGTGAGGGATGAGAAGATAACTTACATTAGCGATCGGCGTTCCGAAAGCCTTTCTCTCCATCGCGTACTTCACCGATTCGTCGAGAGCCCTCCAGGAGAGACCGACTGCTCCGGCAGCAACTTGGGGCGGGTCAGGTCGAACGCGCCCATTGCAACTTTGAAACCGGCTCCCGGGACGCCGAGCACATTCTCTTTGGGCACACGGACGTCTTCGAAGGTGATTGTGCGGGTGTCGGAGCACCGCTGTCCCATGTTGTTCTCCTTCTTACCTCTCGTGATGCCCGGCGTGTCTCCGTCCACAATGAACGCGGTGAACGCCTTTCCGGCCGGCGTTTCGGGTCGTCCTCAGTTCTCGCGAGCACGAAGAACCACTTGGCGTGTCCTCCGCCCGTGATCCACGCCTTCGATCCGTTGATCACGTACTCGTCGCCCTTCTTCACCGCCTTGTCTTCGTGCCCGCCACGTCGGATCCGGCTCCCGGCTCCGTGACTGCGTACGAGGCGATCAACGGCTCCGCGGCCAGCATTCCCAGATATTTCTTTTTCTGTTCTTCAGTACCGGCCAGGAAAACTGGAGCGACTGCGAGCGACGGTCCGACGATCGCCAGCTGGATTCCGGTGCATCCGTAGGCTAGCGCTTCGACCACAAGACACGTGTTGATTCCGTCCATTCCAGGGCCACCGTACTTCTCCGGAATGATCGGGTTCATGAATCCGAGTCCGTGAGCCTGACGGACAATTTCCCACGGGAACTCGCCGCTTCTATCGTACTTGGCGGCGTTCGGGAGGAGCACTTCTTTAGAGAACTGGAGGGCAGCCGCTTGGATCTCTTTCTGAGTGTCCGAGAGCTCTGAAACATTAGAACTTCAGCGGCGATTCTCAATGAACCACACTTACGAAATGACATGTGCCGCCACTGAACGCCCATTCGGGTTCGAGCGATTCCGGACGATTGGAGAGCGTAACGTGACAGCATTTCCAGGTGGTAATGCGCTTTTTTAGCAGTAAACTGTTGCCTGTTTGAGCATTACAGGCGGTGCCACGCGTGGCGGAGCATGTCAAAGGGCGCCACGCCACTTTCGATCAATGTTTTGTTTTATTATAAAAAGAAAAAGCTTCGCGTAAATTAGATAAATACAATCAAAAGCGGTCATATTTTTCGACGCCAGCGTCGTTTCGTAAATGCATTAAAGAAGAAAAGCACCTAAAAATTGAAAAGGCATAATCGTTCGTCGGTTTGATTTGAAAGAGGCTGAAGCGGAGGCAGAGGCACGACTATAATGAAAGTTGAACTTTTGAGAAAATGGAGAAATTCTAGCAAAGTCTAGCGAATTAATTGAATCGTGAAAATCGTATACATATTTGTGAAGTTGTCAAGGGGACTGAACCATCGTTTTCCGCTTCTAAAAAGTTTGCATTAGAGCGCAGTTGCCTTTCTGTTCACTTACTCCTATAAGGGCATCCGTGTTGGGCGAGAGGCTGGCTCCCGGAATGACCGGATGCTCCCTGCGCGGCCGGATATCGTAGCTCCGACCGTTGGCGCAAAGCTCGACGCGGACACCAGAGGAAGGATACGGGCGGGGCCGGGAAACCTGAATCTTCCTGAGCGACGACGTCGACTTGGACGAGGAGGGCGTGGAGAGAATGCGGCGAGGCGGCCGGCTTTCGGCGGTCAGCGTGCATTTCGAAATCTGGATTCACATTCTTTATTTGATAGAAGATGGTTGTACTAAATTGTAAACTGTTAGATGCAGAATATAAAGATTTTCGGAATGAGTGAAATGAACAACAAGAAGTATTGGGAGCAAAGAAAATTGAGAAAATTGAGCACACACGACGAAAACTAAAAGAGGCATTCGTGAAAAGAGCGTTTAGTAGGAGATTTCGAGATTTGTGGGAAATTTTGAGTTTTTGAGGTCAGCAGATCTTGAGAGGCTGGCTCGTGTGTACAGTGAAAATATGTACAGAATGAGAAGGGGCGGCACGAAACGACAGTCAGAAAAAGAGAGAAGATCATTTGCGCTTGCGCACACTGCTCCTTGTCTGATAAACCGACGGAGCGGTCTGTATGGTGGTGGTATTGGTGATGTCTCGAGCCTTCCTCTGAGTGTGGAACGGCTGTTGTACGGACGAGTGGTTGCGTGGCGAGAGTGGAGCACGATGATGATGAGCAGAAGGCGCGTAGTTGACGAGCGCCGGAGAGTCGGGCGACACGCGAACTAGTCCGAACTGCAACGATACAACACAGTCACTGCCACGTCACGAAATATTGAGAAAGGGATTCTGGAGCATGCAGGTGGAGGATCATGCGAGAGAATGAAGAAAAAGAAAATGAGAGATTACTTCTGCTCAGAGTTAATTTACTTTTAATGTTCTACCCCTAATGCTCACCTGTGGCTGGAGAGAAGTTGCCTGCGGGCCTCGCAGTCTCGTCTTGTACCCGTCAGAGTCCGGATACATCGCCGGCGACATCGGCTTTATAGGCGTTGTCGGCGACAGATATCTCGTCGCTTCGCTTCTTCGAGACGCCATCGACGGGAAAATTGCGGAGGCGGGCTGAAAAAGAAGGAATGAGAACTGAAAGGACCCGGAATGATTGGGCCGGTTAAGATGAAAGCCTTTAGGGTAAGGAAAATGTGAACTGAGGACACACAAAACAGCGGGATACCTCATAAAGCAACGAGTTGTGGAATCTGTAGCTCTCGTTGCCCTGAAACTTGTCTTAGTCTACGGTGCCTCGATATCCTTTAAACATCCCTAAATCTGAAAGTACATACCGTTCTGCTGAGTGCTCCCGCCGCACTTCCCGATGTTGTTCTCGTCCGGTACGCAACACCTCCGTTTGGAGTCGTTCTCAATTGACGGCTTCCGGAAGACGCGGAAGACGTGACTTTCGGAGTCGCTGGCTCTCTGTTCCGATTGAGATACGCCTGACTCGGCACCGTGATCTGAGGGGGCGAGCTTCTGACGTGTCGTCGGCTCGAAGAACTTGTGGGCAGCTCGATAGGATGCTCCTGCTGATGCTTGGCCTTTAGAGCCAGGAGACGATCTCCTTGTGATCTTCCTTGAGCGTCAAGAGCGGTCTCGTCGATTTGAGCACGAGAAGAGGAAGCCGCAGGAGTTCCGGCAGAAGTTTTCGTGTTCTGAACCTGAACTCTTCTCCTCAATATATTCGGCCGAGTGCTCTCTCTGCTCCTCGGAACGACTGCCCTCTCCTCGCCAATGCATATGTCGTCGACCTGATTGACAAGTCTGCGGACGCTCCGTTTCTCCTCCTTTTTCGGCGAGAGATGCACCCTGTTTGACGTGGAAAGTGACCAGCACATCTTCTGCTTCTCCACCAAAAACATTTGCTGCGGTCCGATGACAGATCCGGGCCGGCACACTCTCATCCATCCCATGCATTCGGCAGCAGTCAATCCGAACTCCTTCATCATCCAACATGCGATCAGAGTTCCAGTCCGTCCGAGTCCTGCTTTGCAGTGCACGGCGACTCCTCCTTTTGCGTTATCAACGAGACTGATGAATTTGATCATTATCTCATCGGACGGAGTGCTTCCATCCAAGAAGAACAGATCCACGTGTTCGAAGCCAGCACGGGTGAATTTTGAGGCGTCGTAGTTCTTGGCGTTGAGCCTGACGATTGTGGAAACTCCATTTTCCCGAAAGTAATTGAAATATACTTCCGGAGAGTGGTACGGACGGCCATTCTCTTCTCGGCTCTCATTGTGCGGTCCACAGAAGCTCAGAACTTTTCCCGGAATGATCCAGTTGAAGTCTCCGTTCTCGACTCGCTCGTAGTATTCGTACTCTTCGTAGTCAAAGTCTTGGAAGTCGAGCCAGCCGAATTTGAGCGCCTTTTCGATGCCGCGAAGGACGTCGTGCAGGTGGAGCAAGTACTGTGGATTGCCCATGGAAGCATCTCGGAAGCCGACGAACTTGATGCCGCCCCCAGAAGAGACTTTGAGATAAGCGTCGTCTGCAGAGAATCCTTGATAAATTATCTGAAAAAATGAAAGGGTTGGAGGCGTACAGTGTCTGCTTCTGCTACCAAATAGGCTCCGAGGACATAGGCGGTGTTGACGCGGATTTTCTCATACTGACCGCTCTCGTCTTCTTGGCAGAAGAGCACAACCCTTCGGCCCCTTTTCTCTTCTATCTGCAATCATTATTTTAATCTGATTATTACCATCGTTTGAGAACGTACCTCCAAAAGCTCATCAATTTGTACACAGAACCTGTAGAGGACTGACAAGTTCCAGGGGCCGAAGTCCTCGTAAAATGGCTCATAGTGAAACTTGTTATGGATAGGAATGAATATCGTCTTCTTGGCGATCTTGTCATTCTTGTCGATGCTTGCATCGCTGTGAGGGAAACATCCGAAGTAGAGCTGTCCCGGAAGAAGCTGCAAACCGGGAAATTCAGAAGAAAACTCGATAATCGACTGATTACCTCGGTCAAGTTGTTTTCGGTGATGGTGTATGCATGGGGATTAGTATGATTACTACGCCGTGGAGAATGTTCTTCCTTCATTCTTCTTTATTACAAACTCTTATTATTAGTTGCCGGGGCGGCCACTTCAAAAATACACCTTTTCCTCTAGCAGCTAGCGAACATTGCCTCTCGAAACGCTACGCCTGCAACGAAAAAGTGATTGTGTTTGTGCTCTTGTGCTCTTCTTTTGCGCACAAATATTTAGAAACGGATGCGGCTCAGCTGTTTTCCCAATTGTGTTCAATTCGACAAAACAAGGCACGCGCCTTCGACTCTAAACTCCAAATTTCAAATTTTCGAATGTAAAAAAGGAAAGATTGAATTTGAAATGCTCGTTTGGTTATCGATTAATGATGGGAAATGTGACAACATGTTGGTTGGTGGAAGAGCGAAATAAACACGGGTCGTCTCCCGAATCTATCTATCCGTTTGAATGATGATGCACTAGTACTTGGCCCTGAGAAAACGACAAAACAGTGTTTGAGAAGGCGAGATGCAGGGGAGTTAGAAGAAGAAGCGTTTGGCAGAGTGCCAATTTTCCTGCCACTCGTGGCCGCACCCACATTGACAGTCGCCGCCGATCAATTTGAAATCAGTCTCCGTGGAGCGCACTTGCATTCTCTCTTCCGTCTTCTCCTAGAATCTCCCAGTTTTTTGCATTTCAGTTTTGAAAATGAATCACAAATATTCGCCGGTGGATCTCCCACAAAAGAAAAAGTGGACGGAAGAAGAACGGAATGCTCTTGCCCAAAAACTTGACGATGACCTCGAACAGTTCATGCAAGAAATGGCTTCGAGAAAAGTGAGTTTTTTGAGGATATCCGGAAACAAACTGAATGTATAACTGTCTTAGTCTGAAAAACAAGAGGAGAAGAAGGCGTTCGATTTCGATGAATGGTGCAAGGAAATCGATCAGCATCCGGCGTTCATGACGGAAATGCCGACGGACGGAAAGTACAAGGACACGATCGAAGCGTTGCAGTCAATGAAATACGACAAAGAAGACGACGAGGACAGGCAGATGAATGCGGAGCACCACAAAAACGAAGGGAACAAGCACTTCAAGTACAAGAAATATCGGTGGGCGACAGATTGCTACTCAAACGGAATAAAAGAGCAGTGCTTGGATCGGAAACTGAACGCAGTGCTCTATTTCAACCGTGCGGCGGCTCAGAAGCACATTGGAAATCTGCGATCGGCGATTAAGGACTGCTCAATGGGACGGAAGTTCGATCCGACGCATTTAAAGGGGCTATCCGTGGAGCAGAGTGTCTTCTGGAACTCGAATACGCGAAAGACGCGCTGAATTGGATTGAGAGCAGCAAAAAGGCGTTTGCTTTTGTAAAAGAAACTTCTGACAATCGTAAGTTTCTCGGATATTCTTTAGAGCTTAATGGTTTTTGAATTTCAGCAGACTTGACGGAAGAGGAGAAGAAATATGTGGACGAGTTGGAGAAAGTTCGCGAAAAGGCAGTTGAGCTATCGTTGAAAGAGGAAAGGAATAAACGGAAATCTCGGGCGGAGGAACGAAAAGAAACGGAGGCGAAGAAGAAGTTGTTGGATGCTTTGAAGGAGAGAAATCTGAATCTGAGCCCGAGAGTTCCGTTCAATCATCCAGAGCTCATGGATATGGCCAGGCTGACCGTTTCCCTCCCGCTCATGCAATCGGTACTGGCATACTTAGTTTGTATTCATTATAATAATTTCCAGCACGAATGCGTAAAATTCGACGACGACTCCAACCTAGTGTGGCCTGTGCTTCTTCAGTATTCGGAGGCCGGACAGACGGATGTTTTGACCGAAACGAGCGAGTTGACGGCGGTCGGAACTCTGCTGCAAGAGGTGCTCCGCGAGCCGGCCGAATGGGATCCGGAGCACAAGTTCAAGTTCGAAAATGTTCGATTCTTTGTTTCCGATCAGTATGACGAGTATTTGATGGAAGTTTACGAGTGGAATGATTTCAAAACGGTCTTCAGTATGCCCGGCTATCAAATCAAACAGGGACTTCCCGTTATCATGGTCAGTTTGGGAACGCAAATTTCATCTTCTTCAGCTAATTTTTCAGATACTCACAAAAGAAAAAGCATCAAAATCATTGGAGGCGATTGCGGAAAACGAGAATCGATACGTCGCCAAATAAAATGAAATTGCCCTAATTTGTTACTAATTTACTCGTTGTTCGTGTTGACTCGTCCTGGTTTTTTTCTTTGAACTTTTTCCGAAACAATGCATTCTGTGATCTATTCTCCCGTACAAATGTTGAATGCTCGCGGGTTCGCTCACCGTTTTCACATTCTGACTGTTCTTATTGTGATTCAATTGTTTTTTGTTCATTCTGATTTCAGATGACTGGGAAGAAGATCAAGAGAAAGCTGAACGGAGACGCAAAAAAGCCGAATGCGAAGAGGAAGAGTGCCCTGTTCCCCATCGAAATCAATCCGCAATATCTGAGCCAGGAATATGAAAAGACGTTTTTGAAAGGATTCGGCAATAATGGTTTTAAAAAACAGCATGTGCAATAAAAATTAACCGTAATTTGTAGGAAAAGCTCATCCATTTCCCCATTGGCAACTTCGAAACTTCGTGGACAATAGCGAGAATGTAGTGGAGAAGATTGAAGAAGAACTGCAGAATTTCGAGAGCTGGACTCGAAAAGAGAACGATTTGTACTCGCTGCACCAGACGGACGATCTGAAGTCGCTGAATGAGGCCGATAATCCGGCGATCTGCTCGTTCCGCACTTTTCTGAACACAAAAGTGAAGGAGTGGCTTCAGAAGACGTCGCACGTCGAACTGATCGAACAGGTCGACTGCAACGGGAGTCTGTACGCTGAGAATGACACGCTTCTTCCGCATAATGATTTGGTTAGAAGACAGTGATTATGATTATGATTTTTCAAATTTTAATTTCAGATTGACACTCGTCGCTTTGCTTTCGTCTACTATCTGACAGAAGCCAATTGGGATTCGAAGACGAACGGAGGAGATTTGCTTCTGTTCAATCATAATGGTTTGTCAGAACAAAAAAAACTGTCTCATCTTTTTTTTTCAGAAAATCTGCTTCCAGTCAGTGTCGCCGCCCGATTCGCCCCTCTCCGCAACTCTCTGATGCTCTTCGAAGTGTCCGAAACGTCGTGGCACCGGGTCGCGGAGATGATCTCCGACGAGCCGCGTCTCTCAATCAACGGATGGTTTCATTCGACGCGTCGGATCGAAGTGGAGCAGCCGGAGGTGGAGATCCTGCCCCGATTCGTTCCGACGTTCCGTAAACGTCTCGGCAAACTGATCAGTGCAGAGTACCTCAAGCAAAAAAGACAGACCGAAGTGTCGCAGATCTTCAGCGACACTTCTGAACTCAGTCTGAAGAACTTTCTGGTCGATGAAGTACATCAGAATGTGTACGAAGAGCTGTCTGCCAATCCGGACGTGTTCAACCTAATCGGACCGCTCAACAAAAGAATGATCTCTCGGCTCGACAAGAACAAAGCGAGCAGTTTGGAGGTGACGAACGCGGTGCGAAAGTGTCTCAAATCCAAGTCGTTCGCCGATTTCGTGTTCAAATTGACGGAGGTAAACGTGGCCGACGCGCAAGCGAGCGTGACCGTCAGCCGCGTGGAGCACGGATCCTATTGGGTGCTCGGGGACGAGGACGCCGAGCAGACATTCCACGACGGATACTCCCTCGACTTTCACATTTTCGTGCAGAAAGAAGCGTGGCCAGAGAAAGCCGGAGGAGATGTGATCTACATTGCGGAGGGCGACGCGGAAGAGGTAGAAAGAAAGCTCCAGGATTGGTTAAATACCTAACTTTGCAGTTGCTCTGCGTCACGGCTTCACCCAACATGGCGTCCGTTGTTTTCTGCGAACAGAACGTGCTCTCGTTCCTCAAGTACGCCAACGCAAAGGCCGCCGACCCGTTCTTCCTGTTCACCGTTTCCTATTACAACGTTAAAGTTGTCGACTAATCTTGTTATTTAAATACTTTGTTAAATGTTGATCTACATTGTTGTTTTCGCTTTTTTACCTGTTCTGTTCTTAATTCTATGCGTCATTTTATGAAACTCATTTGTCCCACTCCCACTGACCCCTATCCATTTTTCCTAAATTTCATTCGCACAATGTTCGTTGCAGTATTATTATTCGTCGTCCGATTCGGCCTTTCCCTCGTGCACCGCCAAAGAGTCAATCACGAGCCGCTTCCTGCCCTCTTCCTGAAGTTCGATGAAAATAGCATCGAAAGGAGTGCGCCGAGTGAAGGAATCGTTGAGACGCACCGATTCAGTGAACTGAACCGTCTTTCCGTCCTTGACGTCTCCGAAACGGGAGAGCTGGAAAAATGGTAATTCGGAGCAAACGAACGAAAGAATTTACCGAGTAGGTGGCAGCTTGCTCGGCCGTCAGCTTCTTCATGAACTTTCTGTACCAATCTAAAGTTTTTTGTATTTGAAACTAGTTGCTTGTAATGTCTTTCTGACCATTAGCATCAAAACTCTCTGAAAAGTAGGCCCCGAAATCTGTGTCGCTCTGATTTCGGACCGAATTCTCAATTCCCATGAGGGTGACGTCCACTTCCGAATTGTAATCGATTGGCGGATCCTAATGATTAAAATTAGAATTTCAGTAAAAAACTAGACTTACTTTTACTAGCTTTGCACAATTGATGATCAGAACAAAGAGGGTTAAACAGACAAAAGAAACAGAATGCATGAGGTGACGATGAACACTGAAATTTACAGGTTTTCACTGAATTCGACCAATTTTAAAGTGCCCATTTCGCCCGCTGACAAACTTGTTTTGTCCGTGATCAAATTGAAAGTGCTAAATTCGATGAAATATCAAAGGATCTCCAGTTTTTTGTCACTTTCCGAACTTGCGAATGGGCCTAGTAAAAGTGGGCGGAGCCTAGGTACACACAAAAGATAACGGGCGGCGGAACCCGCGAGGTGTCGGCTGCTGCGGGGAAACGCCTGCGCGCTGGGAACTTTGGGCTCACCCGTGATGAAGAAATTAGATCCAACTCCCAGTCCAGTTGATTCGTCTTCTGGTGCATGCCGATAAAGGCGAACGAGCGGGTTTCCGTTGAATTTAGAATTTTGTTTTTATTGTTTCACACAAACAAATGGCAGAGGAATAGGAAAACAATGATTATTCGGACTTCGGAGAGCTTTCCGTCGTAGTTGTCATCGAGCAGAGACAAGTTCTGCGACACCACAGAAACTGCGTGGCTTGATTCGTTTCGCAAAAGCCAGCGTTCTTCCACGCGCCACACTTCAGAGGGAATTCGTCGACCGCCGTGGAGCAGTCGATGCCCGATTCTGGTGGTTTTGCGCCCTTTCGCAGCTTTTTCAGGTCTTGATCGGCTAAAAATTGAAGATGCTGTTAGGGAATGAAGATTTTGTATGCTTACCATGTAACTCATCCAAAATATGTCCCCTATTTCTCTTGTTCTGATCCAATTTCTCTTTGGAAGTGAGATAATCGAAATTGCGTCCCTTCTTGTCTCCCTTCTTTCCCTTCTTCTTCTTCTTCTTCTTCCTCTTGTCCTTCTTCGCCTTCTTCTTCTTTTTCTTCTTGCTCTTTTTCTTCTCTTCCTCTTCCTCATCCTCTTCCTCATTTTCCTCCTCTTCATCTTCTTCTTTCTCTTTACAATCCATATTCTCAAAATCGTGGTAATCATCCTGAAAATTAACCGTAATCTCTTAAATTGAAGTCACTTGGAATGCTTCCAAGGGATTCAACCATTTCTAAGATGAAACGTTATACAAAAAACTGTTCTTCTAAAAAGAAGACTCACCCGAACACCAGTTACATATCCATTCTGCACCGTCGTTGTCGTTGTCGTCGAAGGCGTCGTCGTCGGGTATCCATAGACATCTGGGTGCGGGTACGGTACTTGGTTCGGCGGGACCGTCGGATGATGCGGAGATTGTGGATCTGGCCGCTGCTGAGGTGGAGGGCACGAGGGCTTCGGCTTCTTCTTCTTCTCTTTCTTCTTTGTCTCTTCTTCTTCTTCTTCTTCGTCTTCTTCATCTCCATCTTCATCCGCCTCTTTCTTTTTCTTTCCCTTTTTCTTTTTCGGCTCATCGTCTTCCTCTTCCTCTACTTCTTCGTCTTCTTCTTCTTCATCTTCTTCTTCTTCTTCACCATCCTCATTATCCGTATCTCCGTCCACTGCCTTCTGAATTTTCACTTCTCCCTCCACCTTCTTCAACTCCCCATTCTCATCGTCTTCTTGTTCTTCTTCTTCTTCTTCCTGATTCTCATCCTCCTTCTTGTTTCCCTTTTTCTTGCTCTTCCTCTCACCTTGTCCTTCTTTCTGCTTTCCTTTCCTGACAGTTCCCTCCTTCTCTTTGTCTTCCTCTTCCTCTTTCTTTTTTCCTTTCTTCGGCTTCTTCTTCTTCTTCTTTCCCTCGTTGTCATCTTCGTCTTCTGGAGTTTCCTCTTCATCTTCCGCTGTCTTATCACCAGTTTGCTTTCCTTTCCCGTGCGTTCTCAGCATCTGAAATTCTGATTTGTTAGTTTCCCGTCTCGTACTGTTTAGAAATTTGATTATAATTCAAAAACGACAAGGTTTGGAGTAAAGTGATCAATTGCAAAGTTATAGAGCACAAAATTTGCAACAAGTTTCCAGTTGACCACTTTTTAAAATAACTAACATGAACTCCTTGTTTCTTGACATCCGCCAGGTCCACCAACTCGTTCTTTGTCTCATCCGCCTCTCCGACTCCTTCTTCTTCTTCTTCTTCTTCATGTTTCATTCCCTCATCGTCCTCCTTCTCCTCCTTTTTCTTGTTCTTCTTCCCTTCGTGTGCTTTCGTCGTCGTCACTGCCGGTTTCCGGGACGTCGGCTCCTCCTTCTTTCCTTCCGAATCTCCCTTTCCGTCTCCCGCTTCCACTTTCGTTCCTTCTCCGTCTCCGGCGAAATCGCCTCCTCCGGCACCGTCCGCGTTCTCCAAAAGTTCCTCGGCTTTGATTCTGACCGGAGCCATCGGAGCCGGCGGACGTCTTCCTCTCCCTCCCGGAGGTCGTCTGAAAATTTCAGTCTGTCTGGTTCATATTATTTTGCATTAAAATGAGAGAAGCAAGCAGTCAACGGATTCGTGGATTCGTGCTCACTGACCTTCCCCTGACTCTCGAAGGCGGCGCTTCGTCGTAGTCTGATCCTTGGCCTTCCGAGTATCCTTCCACGTCGCTGAATCTTAAATGCGCACAGGTGCAAACAGAGCATGCAAGAAAGCATTCCATTCATGCTCCACTCCCCCCTCCCGCCCACTCACTTCTGGTACCACGGCGCTCCCGGTCGCTGCCTTCCTCGCACCCACAAACCGTCGTCGTCGTCGTTTTCGGCTTTCTCGTCGTCGTCGTGTAGCCGGGACGGACGCGATGCGACGGAAGATCGTCCCAAATCAGAAATTGGCCTTCCGACTGGTGCTTCACGTTGTGCACCACCGAATTGACGGACGCGAGCGGCATTCCGTCGGCCCTCGCGTAGACGTTTCGGTAGAATGGGTCTTGATCGCGAGGGTCTTGTTCGAGTACTGAAAGCGATTCGGTCTACGGTTGTTAAGTACGCTACGAGACGCATGTTCTTTTGGCCCAGTTATTTATCTACTTTTCGAACGGACCCAAACTTTGCAGACTTCTTGGACTTGGGCTGAAGTATCTAGACCGATCGGATCATCTGGTCCGGATTGATTTGAGGCCGATTAGGCCAGGTCTAGATTATCCGATCGGTCTGAAACTTGGACCCAAGGCACTTCAACCCAAGTCCAAGAAGTTTGCAAAGTTTGGGTTCGATCGGAAGATAGGGTATGACAACTGGGCCAAAAGTAGAGGCTTTTCGGCCCAAATTACTATATCTCCAGATGATCCGATCGGGCTGAAACTTTCAAAATACATACTTCAAACCCAGACTGACAATATTGCAAAGTTAGGGCCTGCTCGGATAAAGTTCTCGCCCTAAAAGGCCTATGCTCAGAGAAGGGGCTCAATCTCTACCAAGAAAACGTTTCAAACACCTCTAAAAACTCACCGATATTGCCAACATTCGACATTTGGTGCGGTTGACTCTGAACTCGAGCGAACACAGTCACAAGCAGAGCGAGAAACGCTTCCGAATCTCGCATGACTGATAAAATAAATGGGAAAGAAGGAAAAGAAGCGGCTAGTGCATCGAGGCGAATCCTTCGCTTTCCCTCTCTCTCTCTCTCTTTAAAACGGTTTCAGTCGGTTTTGTCGAGAAAAAGAGTCAAGAACGGGACGGAATGTGAGTGTGTTGAGTGCGTGGGAGGAGCGGCTGCCAACTGAGAAAGAGACTCTATTATGGAACCCGTTCATCCATTATCATTAGCGCCATTAGCAGCACGCAGTAGAGGTGTGAAACCGAACGGAGTGGACGAGTTATTCCGAGTAGGAGAGGGACGAAGAAGAAGAAGAAGAAGTAGGAGAGGGAGACAAGCACTCGATCCACATCTTTGTTGTTATTATGAAAATGCAGCCGCCGACGGAGGAACGGAGGGAAAATATGCTGAAAGTGAGAAATCCTACAGCTCTAGAAATTGAACTTTGTTTTTCTAGTTGCCAACTTTCTCGAACAACCAACTCTTGAAGTACTGTAACACTTGAAAGTGGATTGCTTTCAAAATCTGTACTTCCAAGTGTTGCAGTAGAAAAACAGAAAATACAGTTAGTTTTAGAACTGAAAATGTTGTCAAAAAACAGTTTTCACGGCATTCTTTCACTTCCAACAAAACTGGAAGGTTCTGAAAAGTCAATATCCCCCTATACCTGGTCTATTTCTGAAGCGTTCGTCCACACTTTTCCATGCCTCATCTTTCCATGACTCACCATCTCAATCTACTTCCGAACTCTTCCTCCGACCGTATCGCATCCCTTACAGACCATTTTCTTCCACGCAATTGCCTCTTGTTTCCCCCCGTTTCCAATTCCCTAATTGGCCAATACCGTAAAATGCGCGTCATCGTCCCAGTATGACATCATCTTGTTGTCCGGGGTAACATTTTCAACAAAAAAGATGTGCTTTCACACGATGTACTTGAGATGGACTGAAGGAAAAAGTGGGAGAGAAGGGCGCATGGTTGTCACGAGAAAACAGAGCTTGGAGCATTTGCCGGCAAGATCTGAACTACTGTACATTCCTGATTTATAGAAGCACATTATGAAGTATAGAAACAGTGCGACAGTCCCTTAATTTAGCGGCCATCTGATCGGTTTGCACCCAAACCGTGAACCAAACGGTTTCCGTTGATGCGTCTGCGTCTCGCCCCTTTCGGACATTCAAAAGACGAAAAGAAGAACCTATTTGGGAAAATGAAGGCAAAGAACGGAAGACGTGTACGTCAGAGACGACGAACTTGTCATCTTCAATCGTATCGGGACGCACGTTGTCTGGTTTTCCCTCTCTTGCGGGATGACTTTCGAAAATGCATTCGACAAGAGCGTACTTGCTTGCCGTCCGTTCATTTCATTCCATTTGTTATCAATCAAACGAACTAGCACAGCACCTTTTGGAAGAGAAAAACAAGAGATTACGGTAGGTTTGCAGCTGACGGACAAGGTCGGAAAGCCAGTTCTCAACCTTTAAAAGATCTTGTTTCACTTTCAACTTTGGTACATTTTAGAGAACTTCCGATATTGATGCATTTTGTAAAGTATTGTCCATTCAAGACAGTGTGTCTCAGCTGCCGGTAGATATATCGAAAAGTTGTCAACTGACAAAATGTTTCTAAAGAAATTCTGTACATTTCATCTGTTGCCAACTTTTTGAAATATCTACCGGCTGCTGAGATACAGGGCGCCCGAAATTATCTGTGTGCACTCTGAAGAAAAATCAGTTTTTAATAAATTATCAATAAACTTGTTTATTGATAAGACAGGTTCAATATATTGCAGTTTATCAAAAGAAGGACTCTTTAGAATGTAAACCTTTTTATTGCGCTCGTTCATAAATATCGAAAAATCCAAAAGTCATAGTTCAAAAACCTTATCATATGGGAAAAGGTGTCTCAGAGATCGTCGTCGATGGTAAATGACCCGTGGCTGGGAAGGGAAAGTTGAAAAGGGACCGGAAAATATGTACAGACACAAAATTGAGGGGCTAGACGACCAAATGAGCGAGATCGCAAGAGTTGAGCTCTACGGGCGGCGAGCAGTGCACCGGAGCCCGATTCTGTTGGAGCCGCACGAGAGCTTCTTCGTAGGACGGCGGCGGAACGTCGATCGACATCACCTGCAAACGGATCTTTCAGTTCCGTTTGTTTCAAAAGCTCGCGGATCACTCACTTGATTGTAATTCGGCGGCGGTTTACTGTAGGCTCGCAAATTCAACTGTTTGATGATGTCGAAAGTGGTGGAGAACATGGTGTGAATCTCGAGAATGAAGAAGACGATCGAGATGGTGAGCCACACAAAAATGGCCGAATTGGAGGTGGTCTCGGCCATCTGGAGGCCGTAGAAAAGGGCCGATGAGGAGAGAATGATTTTGAGGAGGACGTTGGGCGAGAGGAAGACGGGACGGAATTGTAGAGGCCGTACATGGAGAGAAACACGACGAACGTGTTGATGAAGAACATGAGGAGCGTCATCTGGAAGGGATTCTGGGTTACGGTAGGTTCGAAAGAAGGATGGGGACTTACGTTCGAATCCTCGCCGCAAATCTCAAGTGTCAGAATGACACTGTTCACAAAGTTGATCATGACGAGCATCAGAAGACACATGCGGCTCTGAAAGAGCTTTCTGCGACTGCGCAGCCAGTTGTGCAGGCGGAATCGTGTCGAATGATCCATTTCTGAACGCGAATTATTGTACTTGTATTTGGTTCTGGTTTCGGTTTCATTTCGTTTTCAGCGGCCCTCCAAAACTACATTCCAAACACGTGTTGTCGGAGGGTTTAGGCAAATTTTGTAAGAGCGAAAAGGGAGGACGTAAATAACATTGTATCAGTAACTATTTGAAGGGGAGGCGAAAAAAACAGAACAGCAAAAAGATAAGATGATGTTTTGGTATGAAAAAGATGAATGATGGGATCAAATTGGAGGGCGTGGAGGAGAAGAAAGAGGCGGAGAGAAGGAAGAAGAAGAAGAAGAAGAAGAAGAAGAAGAAGAAGAAGAAGAAGAAGAAGAAGAAGAAGAAGAAGAAGAAGAAGAAGAAGAAAATGAAAGTGTGAGAAAATCGAAAAGGTAACCAAGTGGCTAACACTCGGAATGAACAAGGACATTACCGATAATGACTGCGCACCGCTTTCTGATTAGATGTGTTCGGCGGCTTCTGCCTAATAGGATGAAACAAGAAGCGGAAGGCAAAAACAAGAAGAGGGAGAAGAAGTTGGCAATTTTTCTTTCGGTTTTTTTCATGGCTAGTCGAAACAGTCTCAAGTTTCATTCTAGAGGCTTTGCCAGTTCATTTCAGCTCCGATTTGACAAAATTTACAAGTTTAAGCTTCTGTACTTTCAGATAATCCTGACTAGACTCAAAATGCTCACAAATTCCGATTCTCCAGACTTTGAATGGATCTTTGAGGAAGAGCAAAGGGATTGGAGCATCTCTGGAGCTTAGCACAAAATTCAGGGCCCAGATTAACAAACGAGCTCCACTATATTCAAGATTTCAAACTATAAGTTCAAAAGATATTGTGCAAATCCATGGGAAGTCATCGGAGAGCTCAATTCTGACTTTTGAGGTCCATTTTCTCAGATAATCTCTTAAAACTTGAACGTTTTCTTCTCTTAAATCATTCGAAGTAAACTTTGGAAAAGAGTTTAGGGACTGGATTAGTCAACGCATTCTGAACTGCAAAACCTCGTTATAGTAAGGAAAAATTTTTGTCAAAACTCAATGAAAGCCTCAAAGATCTGATCGAGGTAACTTTGAAGCTCTCACGGCGCTCTCAAATACCGTGTGACTCAATGCGAACGGCTAGACACCCCCCATGGAACTGAAAACTGAAAACTGAACAACTGCTCCTCTGCTCCTCTGATCACATGATCCAATGGGAATATGACGGTTAGTCTGGACGCGTGTACGTCCGTACTTCTTCCTCGGAATACTGATCAGGTCGGGAACGTGCAGAAAAGACGACCGACGAAAGAGGTGACCTTAAAGCTGAGATGTCAATTTTCCAGCTGCTTGCTTTTCTTTTCAGCTTCGGACACTCGCGAATCTAATCTAGGCCCACTTTCTTAGGAACAACCCGCGCCGAAAACAGCGAAGAACTTTCCGAGAACTTGTTTTTTTTTTTGGGTACATTCCATTCAATTAGAGAGATTTTTAGCAGTTCTGACGCAAAAGTACAGTAATCAGGAAGTGGAAAGGAAAGGGGTGACAAACAAGTCGAAACAGAATCCAATAATCACATCCGCTCGTGCTCATGCCAATATTTATATAGCGAGAAGGTTCCGGAAGAAAATGGAAGGGAAAGGCAATGTTATGGAATAAAACTGCATCATATTTACGTACACTTCACTTCTCCAATCCAATTCTCGGAGATAAGAGAGCCCAAATTGGTTTTCCGCGTTGAGGGGGCGAGCAGGAACAAAAAAAGGAAAGGGGATTCTAGAGAGAACTTGTGAATTATTCACCACAACTCAGAGATGCGCTTAATTGGAAACGGATGAAATCACACGAGGGACCGAAGGGTGAGCACCCAAATACAGTTTATTCAAATCGATGTATCTCAGTTGTTGTGAAGATATCCAAAAGCTGTCAACTGCTAAAATGTGTAAAATTTCTTAATGAGTAATTTGTTTGTTGACGACTTCTTGCTGCCTCTTCACACAGCCGAGATACTTTGTCTTGAATGAACAGTATTTGGAGTGGAATGTTCAGTTCAGTGCTTCCACAAGAGACCAAACTACGGGAATATCACTCAGAAGTGGATCAGAAGCCCTTTCTCCCAAAAGAGCCAACCTAATTACTTCTCCGCTCTCTTTTTCTCTGTTTTTTCCCATTACACACTTCTTTTTCCGCCTTCAAAACTATCAGTTTTCTGAGGAGAAAAACACGGAAAATGAATGTGCTTGCATTTCGCTGCCACAATTCACACTTGTTCCCGATACGAACGGGGATCCAAAAAAACGGGAAAAAAAGGTTTTTTGTTTGGCCTGCGAGGGAGTTTGCCCTTTTGTGTTTTCAATGAATTCGAAACGAGCACTCGACGTGCACTTTTCTCGCCTTTCAACAATTTCGCCGTGTTTTCGGCGCGCCTGACTCGGAAATTAGCGGTTAATGAGCTTTGAGACTTCTTTTCGAGCGATTTTGAGCTCTCATCGAGTGGTTTTCCCGCATTTTCACACTCAAAATGGCGTGGCTTCGCCGGCCTAGAGAAGAAGAATGGAAATTTCGAAAAGGGGAATTCGGCGCCGAAGGGAGAATTCAATTTATCTTCGTGAAATGCAAAAAGTTCTGTTGGTGCACACACAAAACACGAAACCTGACGCCAAATTGTGGACCTACCGTAATCCTGACTAGCCGAGCGGGTGGGTAATCGAATCTGATAGTTATTGGTAATCAAATCCGGCGGCGGTGGCGGCGGTCATAATTTGACCCAATTACATAAAATGCGTACAACTGGAAGCGAAGCGGATCAAAAGTGCGACCGTACTACTACTATTCGATCCCTTATCTTTGATACAATTTATCTTATCAGCAGATGAAGGAATCAAAGTTGAAAGTTGAGAAATCGGTCGTGGCCCGACCAAACCGGATGCCCTTATATACGCGTGACCCCGGTCGGCGCCGCCCCTTTTCGAGGTAAGAAGCTGCCGTTTCTGTATGCATCACTCCGTCGCCACGTCTTCCGCGCGGCTGCCATTCACTCGTCTCGAAGTAAACCCGGCTGCGTCTCTTCGTCTCGCACACTCTCTCGCCCCTTACAGAAGACTCACTCAGACTCGTTTCGGTTCTTTTGCGGCGCAAGGGGATTTGGAGACGCAGATTTGTATCAGAAACCGGATGGCAGACACGAAGGAAGGCTAGAAGAAGGGCATAACAAGCCAAAGCCAAATGGTTTCAAGTCGGTGTCGAATTACGCGACGACGAGATGAATAATATATATAATACCAGTGGAGAGTTGAATTGGATCTGTAGGAGGCGATTAAACAGATTAGAACGGACCGAACGTGTTGGCGAATCAACGGCATTGTATCGTTTTCAGAATTTGAGCCCAAACGGATTTGGTTATATCTCGGGTTCAACTTTCAGACCGATCGGACTGAAACTAGGACCCAAGATACTTCAATCCAAGTCTAAGAAGCCGGGGCAAAGTTGGATCAAAAGCCTGGCGCCTTCCTGTTTTAGGGTCCAAACAAATTGAATCTGACGTACTCGCTACGGAGCCAAATTGTACAATGATTACAAATCCGTACTAGCAGCTCCACACTTTTGTACCACCACCACCACCAGATATAGCTACAACTGCTGCTATTTTTGCATTCTCAGGTGGAATATTGCTCTGGAAAAGAAGCTCTTCTGGGAGCCGCAGTGTTTTTTGGCAGAAAAAGGGGGTAAACAAGATCAGTTTTGAGTGGAATGTCTGGTCTGAAAGTTCGGACGTTCGTATGGATCCCAGACAGCCTACAAATGAGGGGACGCACGAGGGGCACGGCTACATTGTGACACGATGCGGACAGATGAGTTTATTGGAGTTTTTTGATTACTGTAGCAGAATGCGACGTCATGGATGTAGAAGTCAGGTTGTTTAGTCAGCTCGACCAGTTTGGTTGCTATTATCAATCATTCTGGCTGGCTCTAACTTGGTATAGGGCATTCTATGTAGAATTAGACTGAAATACACCAAAAAGACAAAGTGTTGCTAGAAATACGGGTTTTTTTTAGCTAAAACTCCAGATTAGATCGTTCTTCATACCTTGACTGATAAATGTGCAAAGATAGAGTCGCGAGCGGATAATTTGAATGAGCCAGGAACAAATTGATACCTAAGGCCTCATTATTCCAATATTTCTATCCAAGTTGTTATAAATGCAACCTACCAGGTTAAAAAGGTGAGGAAACTGAAAAAGCCGATGGGCTTGAGTTCAAAAAGCTCAAGACGTAAATCCTGGGAACTTTCCCAGGAACATGATGTCTTCGGGTCGGAAACCAACGTCAGTAAGATACTTTGTACACTTTTTCTTCCCGCGAGTATCCAATTTCAGCATGTGATAAGTGAGTTTGCGATATTATCCACTTCCTTCTCCTTGTCCTCATTCTCATTCCCATCATTCGATTATTGCCTCGCTCATCTTCATCCATCACCATTTTCAGCCCCAAAAAACGGAGAATGATGATTGCATAACGAGGGGGGAATGATAAATAGAAGCGTCTGATTAATTATATTACAAAACAAGAATTTATGTCAGCGATAAGCGATGACGACGTTTGGCATTTGAACGATCAGAGACTGTAAGAGTTTACGGCCTTGACGGGGGGGATTTGTAAGAGTGGAAATGGAGGACGGGAACGGGATAAACGGGCTGAAAGGGAGGGGGTATTTTGGACTTGTGAGATCATCAAATCAGCGAAAGTATCCCTCTTCTTTCACTTTTCATCTTCACTTTTGTTTCCCTCTTCCGCTTCCACTTTCGAACGATTCAGATTCGCTGAAACAAAGGCACGTTCCCATGGAGCCTGTCAACAAGTACCTGTTAGAATCTCGACGATCAGGAGCAGCGAGGCGATGAATGCTCCGAACAAATGGATCATGAATATGGAAGAGAGTTGATTCAAAGTGACAGACGCCCTCGACGGCTTTTCGAAAAGGGTCAGAACGGGGTAGGAGGGTGTGTAGTGGTTGTCGATTGTCTGGAATTTCGGAACAGTGCTGGGCAGAGAGTGATTTGGGTTTACACTGAAAGCTGGAAGGATTTTGATGATCGCCTTGTTCAGTTCTTCCAAGTACGGGAAGTTGGGCCGGACGATGTAGGCAGCAGGGCACACCTGAAAACAATTGAAGTTGAGCGTCTTCATTGAAAGCTTCAGTTTCAATGTGTTATTATAGATGTAGTGGAAGAAAGCCGAAGCATTTCGCAGAAAGATATCTTTACATACCAAGACTGATAATAGAACCAAGTTTGAGGCTAATAGGGCTAAACAAAGGACTTTCCAGAGATTTTCGGAATTCGTATATGGTTTTTGCACAAATTTTAAGATTTTCGAACTTGAAAGACTATAGCAGATGATTTCATAGGGCTGAAACTTTCAGGATAGATATTTTTGCAGATTTAGGCAACCTAGACCCACCGGAAAGTCTTTGATGAGCCACACTTTCGAGTGAAACAGTTCCTGAGTCCAAATTGAGAACTTTGAAGAGATGCGCTGAGCCGGATACCAACCGAACGCAACCAATGGGACTTTCTGCTGCAAAACACGAAAAAGGTATTGCAACTCATTATCCGATCATACCGAAGCCACATAATCAAGGTCATTCAGTTGGTTCAAGTCTCCAAACTCGGGAGGATGGCGGGAAAGAATATCGGAAAAGATTGAGATGCACTTTTCGGTTGAAATCTCCCGAGGACATTCGGGGATACGATCCGGGGAAGTCGTGAACAGGCGGTACGTTCCTTTCCTGGAAGCAAAGTATGTACGCTCAACTCCTGGGACCCTGACCTCAGTTGCTCAATGAGCCCATAAAAGTCCTCGAAAGGCATCTGTTTCTTGTCGGACACGACGAGCATTCCACTCAATTCGGACGTGTAATAGTCGATGAAGACGTGGAACCAGGCGAGCAGCCAGATGGCGGAGAACAACTGAAACACACGCGATTACTGTAGCTGATCGGCACGAGACCCGTCTCGTCTTCCGGAATTTGGCGTCAGTGAACAAACGGAAAAGTACGTGGAAAGCGAAGAACGTCGACTTCTGCTTCACACGGATCTCGACGTTGAAGGTGGTGAGGAGCACTTGCGAGATGCTGTTCTGCACGCATCTGAAAGCTTCGGAGGCATCGGGAGATCCTGAAGATCCATGTGGGACCGTACGAATAGATGGTCTCTCTGGAGGATCGGAACTCGACGACTCGCAGGATGAAAAAGACGACGGAGACGAGGAGAATGGTCAAAGAGAGAAGAATCCAGACGACGGTGGAGAAGGGCCGGAACAGGAAGCCGACATCCTCCGACTTGCGGATCCGCAATCAGATAGACCTGGTTAACCTCGAATTGAGTGGGGTAGGTGAAGGTGACGATGTGAGCACGGTCGGCGGTCATTCGAATCTGCCGCACGCCATGTCGAGACGCCCCCGCTGGATGTCGCCGAGCATTCCTGAACCGTTCCGATTTGAAAGTGGGCTCTATTGGACTCTTCTCGTACCGGTGGCCGTTTGGTTGTCGAGCACGTGTCCGATCTGATTGCTGTACTGCACAAACTCGAACGTCCACCGCAACGCCTTCATGAGTGTCTCGCATTGTTCAATTTCCAGCCCGACCTGATGGCCCACTTTGTACGTGGATCCTGAACTGTTCGGTGGAGCGCACTTGCTTCTGCTCTTCCGCACTTACCTTTATTGTTCAGTGTGGAATCGACGCCGATTTTGAGGTGCGGACGGACATTCATTCCGAATGAGAACTCCTTTCCTTCGTGTTGTTGTTGCTTTTTTCTCTCACTCAAATTTCCTCCGCGAATCTCGAGTTTCATTCAACACAATCACTTAGGCGAAAAGTGAGAGAAAATAGCAAGTGGGTCATTTGATTGAGAACAAGGGATGGAAGTTATAATAAAAAAGAAGAAAGAGAAGAAAATAAACGGGGCCGGGATGTTACACGTAAAACGGGGCGCGGACGGGAGGGGCGAAATCTACGGAGAGCTGCTTCGCTTCTCAATTGAATAGGCACCTATCAAAACCGGTTATTTGAAAAAGTGAAAAGCTAAAGATTCCATTAAAATCTTGGCCATGGTCCTCCTGGTCCTCCGGGTCCGGGCGGTCCAGGCGGCGGTCCTCTCCAGCTGTTGTTCATTCCGCCACGTGGCGGGAATCCTCCGGGCGGTCCTCCACGTCCTCGTGGTGAATCTGAATCAATTCAAACAGTTCAATTAATTAAAATTTTTAAAGCTCACTCTGAAAGAACTTTGGCGGTGGCATGCCTCCTCTGGGCGGTCCTCCGAAGCCTCCTCGCATCGGAGATCCTCTCATCAACGGCGGCATTCCTCTTGCAGACGGATGTGGTCCCCCCCGGAACATGGGCGGTCCACCCCTCATCGGAGGCCCTCCTCTCATCGGTGATCCGCGTGGCGGTCCTCCTCCTCTCGGCGGCGGTGGTGGTCCTCCTCTTCCTCGCATCGGAGGCATCCCTCTGATCAGCGGTCCTGCGCCTCTTCCTCCCCTCATCATTGGCGGCGGTCCTCCACGTCCTCCACGCATCATTGGCGGCGGCATTCCTCCATTCATCTGCATGTTCGGTGGTACTGGTGGCAGAAGCATCTCTTTGCTCTCGTCATCGTCCATCTCCATATCATCTTTATATTGATGTGGCGGACGAAACTCCCTCTGCTCAATGGGCATCGGTGGCGGTGGAGGCGGGCATATCATGGACGGAGAGAACATCGGCGGAGGCGGCGGCACGGGCTGCGGCATTCCTCCCGGTGCTCTTTGAATGACTGGCATTGGTGGTGGCGGAAGAAGCCGGGAGTCTGGCGGCGGCGGAGGTGGAGGTGGCGGCGGAAGTGGTGGAGACGGGGAAGAACTGCGGCTGGTGGAAGCCTCATCAGATTCCGAGTCGTCAATGTCCATCGATTCGCTTGTTATGCGACGTTTCCCGCGCGTCTTCCTCACGTTTCGCCGCTTATTTCCAATGTCGTTAGGCGGAGCAAAGACGGGCGGTGGGACGGGCGCTAAAAAACCTTCGAAAGGGATTAGAATGTCTGATCGTTCATTCTCACCTGGATCCATCGGTCTGACCGCGTGGTTATTATTATCATTCAAATGCATTTGCGGATGTGGGTGTGGATATGGATACGGATGTGGCGGTGGATGCATCGTATTCATGTTCCCGGCGGCTGACGTCGTCGGAACCATCGGATCCATTCTCTCGGCAATGCTATGCCGCTCGTCTTCGTTCTGTTGAGTCCGATGCTTCCTTCTTTCTTCGGCCTTATCCATATCCTTCATAAATCTCTTCTCCATCTCAATCCGTCTCTCCATTTCCATCAGTTTCCGCATGTCATTCTCCAGCGACGAGTTCATCATGCCTGTAGCCGAAACCAACGGATGAGGTCCGCGAATGTGTCCGGGCCCAGTGGCGGATGACATGAGCAGTTCTTGTGGGATAGGAGCGACCATCCCACGTCGGATCGCATCTGCGACGATCTCGTTATCGGTCATTCCGAGTCCTTCTATGAACTGAGGTTGCGGAGGAGGAGGAGGAGGAGGCGGCGGTGGAACAGGCGGTGGGACAGGAGGTGGCAGGAATTGCAGTGGACCGGCCGGGGCGGCGATCGGAACGATACGCGATGGCATAGGAGTGACCTGATCCATTGGAGGTGGTAGCGGAGGAAGTGGAAGTCTCGGAGCAGGATCCATTGGAACGACCGGAAGAATCGGAGGAGGACGAGTGAAATCTAAAGCGGTTTGTGTTACCGGGACCATTTGAGGAGCTGGAGTGGATGGGCCAGTGGAGGCCTTTCCGTTCGTGGCGAGATGAGCTTCTTGGGTGGTTTCTTGCTGCTGCTGCTGCTGCTGCTCCCTTTCTTTGATCTTCTGATCGATTAAATCCCTGATTCTGTCTTTGTCCGCATCAGAAACATCCGGATCATGCATGAAATCGTTTGCAGAAGAGACTATGTCAGCTGAAACATGAGAGATTTTCAAAAACGTTATGAAACGTGAACACTTACAGAAATTCTGTCTGCTGTTGATGATTTGAAGAATGAAATAGACCTTCTTCGACGCCAAATCGTCCGAAGCAGGCGGTTCGACCGGAAGAGGTTCGACTGTGGGTGGCCGATGATGCTCTTCCACTTCTCGTTCAGGCGACGTTTCCGAAGTCCGTCTCCCTCTCCTCTGTCCACTGTCTCTTGGTTCTTGCGTAGATCTCCACGAGGTGAGCATCTGTTTCTCGCGTTCTATCCGCAGCACCTGCTCTTTCATTACTATATCGCTGACACGCACCGAGTACTGGAAGCGTTCTCCGTATTCGGGGCGCAGTACGACGATGAGCATGAAGCAGCTTTGCGCAGTTCCAATGTTGTACTTGACCGGCGCGAAAGTGTCGTGAAGAATTTCGGATCCTTTGTGCGGGAACAGGAAGATCGAGATGATCTCATCGCCAACCGGAAAATCCAATTGGTACACGTTGTCCTGGTCGATGCTGTACTTCAGAACGTCATCGTAGCTGCGAACCGAGCCTGTCGCGGTGAGTTTGAGCACTGCGAACGCGCACGTGTGCGTCTTATTGAGTGCACTCGATGAAGTCGTAATGAAGCTCGGAATGCGTCGTGGGGTGTGCAATTTGAACGTTTGCTCTGCCATCAAACGATAAAAAAGACGGAACATCGGGCGATTGTCATCGGTTTGGGTGAAGATGGGCGTGACGATCGAGTCGAATGGCTTGTCGGCCATGTAGATTCGAATCGGGAAGTCCCATTCTCCACGTGGCGGCGCTTCCTCTGTTCTGGCCTTGTCTGAAGGGCCGTTAAAGTCGTAGATCGGAGTGTTGTAGTCGCCGCCGCCGTAGTCCTCCTCCTCCCGCTGCTGTTCCATCTCTTCCCGCTGCTTCCGCTGTCTTTCCAGTGCTTCCCGTTCGTCCTCCTTCTTCCGCCTCTGATTTTCCTCGTGTGCTCTCTTCCGTTTTTCGTAATCATCCGCCCGAATCGATTCCATGAGAAGTCTGTTCTGTTCTCTTCGCTCGCTGATTTCCTTTTCTTCCTTTTGTTTTCTCAGTTTCTCTTCGGCAGCTTCCAGTTGCTTGCTCTGGCACACTTTGCAGGTTTTCGAAAACGAATGGGACATGTGCTCGGAGGTCGTGTCACGGGTATCATCGAGAATCGCATCGAGCGGCTGAAAAAAAGTTGTCTCGACTACATGTAAAAGGTTGTCAGGTTGCCCTAAGTGTCTCCATTACTTCTATGGGCTATTTTCTTCTAGCTTTGTCTCAATTGGATACACGAGAACACTTGGAGAAAATGTTTTGGCGTTTCTCAAACATCCCGCACCTATGCTAGACAACTCACATTCCTCGCCACAGTGCTTTTTCTCTTCTGCTGAATAGGAATTCCGACTGGTTTCGTCTTCCAACTCGCTGGATTTCTCAAAGTATTCGCGTCGAAGGAGACAAGCTTCTCCACTGACAATCGCTTCAAAACGACCGCAAACACGAATTCCTTGGCACTCTCCGCTTCAAAGTTATGCACGAACTGCTGCTTCCACACTCTGTATTTCGGATGGGAAATGTTGCGATCGCACTTGTCAAAGAGTTTCTCCTCGATTTGCTCGACAAGATCTTTGACCTGTCTTCTGTCGATGCCTTTGATGTGCAGTCGGTCGACGCGTTGATTCATCGCATTTTCCATGTGACTCCGGTTGGTTTGCCGCGTGGATTCCGTCGTTTCGGGCTTCTTTTTGGGGATCGGCTTCGAGAGCGCCGCATTCTTTCTCCTTTCCTCCAGCTCCCGTTCGTGTTGTTCTTTCGCCTTCTCGCGCTCTTTCACAATCTGCGGAGTCTTCTTTTTGACGACTTCTGGGGCAGCAGTGGGCACAATGCTGAACGGCATCCAATGCGGAGAGAGGAGGAAGAAGGAGCGGAGTTCCCGCGTGTACAGGCCCGAATTCACAGTTTCTCCCGTCAACGCATTCATCACCGTCACCATTTCCGCTTCAGGATTCGTCTGGAAGTGCCAATTTCGATCATGAAATGTCCGAAACCTTCCACTCACCCTCATCACTTTGGTAACCTTCCCGGAAATACATTTTACAGAGCAATAGTAGCTGTTCGCGCCCAAATACTTCTTCCAAGTGCTCGAAGGCACCAGTGAGAGCATTTTGTCGCAGTTGACGCATTTGCTGGAATGAATAGAATTTTAGGATGGAAATTCAGGTTGAGTGCTCACTTTCTGAGATGCGAACTGGTCGGAGTGTCGTTCACTGGAGGCGTCCATTTCTTCCGGGCTTCTTGATAAAGAGCGGAGAACGGTCTGGAAAGCAACATTGAGAAGGGTGCATTTAAAGACAAAAGACAAACTGTTTATAAATGAGCAAGAAAGGGCATGCTTCGGAGTCGCAGGTGAGCAGCTGCTCTTCCGGGAACTGTTGAATGTCTTCCAGATAGTTCGGCGGCTGCCCGTACTCTTTGAGCATCTCTCGTTCTTCAATAAACTCTTTGTACTCTTTAAATTCCGAAAGCGGAGCCGCGACACAATTGAACTCGGCGAGCAGCTGTTTTCGGCTCTTTCCGGAGCAGTCGCGTTCTTGCAGCACGACGCTTTTGCTTGCAGACGAAGAAGAGTCACGGCGCGTTCTGGAATGAGAAATCTGTCGAAATGTGTTAATGAAAAAGGGGAACATACGTGATATCTGCAGCGGAAGGGCCTTCTCCACTGTCACTCTCCACCGTATCCTTTCGTTTTCTCTTTCTATCACTCTCCTCCGATTGTTTCTTCTTTTTCTTGGCCGACAATTCTTCCGCCGACCGTCTCTTTTCTGCCTTTTCCTTCTGCTTCCTCTTCTCTCTTGCTTTCTCTTTCTCCTGCTTTGCTCTTTTCTCTTTTTCGGTTTCGTCGTCTTCCTTCTCCTCATCTGAGTCCAACGCCTTCTTCTTTTTCTTAGGGGACATCATCTCGCTGTCAGAATCTGAATCGAGTGCCGCGGGTATTGGAGAAGACGTGCTCTCCTCGTTTTTTCTGCGCTTCTCTCGAGCAGAAGACGTGGGCGTCGATTCCTCTTCTGAAATTGGGAAAAATGTCGAAAATGGTCGTAATTTTTAATTGCTCACTTGTTTTCCGTTTCTTCTCCTCTTTTTTGCTCTTTTTCGCGCTTTTCGGTTCGTTTTTGATTAGCTGACATGCCATCGGATACTGGAATTAAATTAATCGAGAATTGTCTGAATTTCACTTTGAAAACAAGACTTACCGTAGCGAACATCGCATTTCTGAGCACTGAAAATGCTTCTGCAGTCACCACTTCTAACATTACATTTTGATCTGAATCCATTACCTGAAAATTGAAGTTGGGCAATTAATATTAAGCGAGCGGATGAGAAAATAGTCGAGATATGAAACATCGAAGTAACGGATAGAAAAGAGACAGGGAGTCGAAAAAAAACCATTTATATACAGAAAACCGAAGAGAATCAATCGGAATCGGAAAACGAAGAGACCGATTCGCCGGAAGAGTCATAATCGGGAGGCAGCTGAATCTGGAGAATTGACGGCTCATCGCCACGTTGGAGAATCGACGGATCGACGCCTTCTGACGCCATTTTCTGGATGACTCCTGCTTCCGGAACGCCCTGAACAGAGCATTTAGGAAATTTAACTGAAATCCTTTTTTTACCATTTTGAGCATTTTGAAGTACTTCGCGAACGCTGGATCATCCTTGATCAACGCAGTTTGAGACGTTGACGTGGAAGGTTCCGGGGAATTCATTTCTACAACTGCTGGAGTAGTCTCAGCAACGACTTCTGGCTTTTTCGCTTCTGGAGCTGATGTCGAGGCTTCTGTCGCTTCAGACGACGTCGCTGGCGGCTTCTGGACGTTATTTGTCTCTGGTTCCAGCTGCACATCCTCCAGTTTAGCCTCGAGTAGCCGGAGCTTTCGGTCGGCGGTGGTCAGTGAGCTATCGGCTCTTTCCAACACTTCTTCCATTTCATTTCCGAAATGATTGAGAATCTCGAGCATTTTGAGAATGAGACAGTTGAAAGTGACGGCGGTCCGATGATGATCCAATCCAGGAACCTGAAAACCTATATTTCTGGGAAAGAATGTTGTAAGAAAAGGCTCACCTTATTGAGGTCGATATCTGTTTTCGTTTTCCGTTCCGTTGTGCTCATCTGTGAATCATTGAGTGAGTTTGAATTCGGTCGATTTTAAAGAAAAGGTATTCAAAAGGTGGAAAACCTTCGGGAATCCAAGAAAAGAGAAGGGTTGACGGTCAGCAGTTTATGATGGAGTGAGGAGAAGAAAATAGCGAATACTTTAAACTTGAGAAAATAGGGATGAATCACAAGAGAGCAATGAAAATATGAAATTGCGAAGGGGAACAGATCAGTGAAAGGCAGCCACCAGGGCTCAGGAAAGAGGATGATGAAGGGGGGAATCATTTCGACATATCGACCACTCGGATCTCTTCGATCGGCTCGATCGCATGATGACGTGGCGTGCTCTGAAGAGAACTGTCACTGCTCGGAACGGGCGATCGGTCGAGCACGGAGCCGAGGTTGAGAGGGGGAAGACGTTCTTCTGGCACGAGAATCTCGTTGAGCGTCTCGACCATTGGCACTATTTCTTCGAGAAGAAGCTGGAAAATTGAACGTCTCGATGATGAAACTCATAAATTCTTACCTGAATTCTGCAAATGTCCTCGTGTAATTGATTGAGACCGCTCAATGCGCCGACGAATCCGTCGTGCATCGCCTTATGAGCCTTCGTTTCTTCGAATAATCGAATCATTTTCGCTTCGACACTTTTAATGTTGCCCGGAATTTTCGATTGGTCCGCCGCCACTGCTTTTGCATTCATTGCAAAATGCTCTTGGAGACGGGTCGCCAATCTGAACAGTTTGTTTTTTATTCCGAAAATGAAGCTAAAGAGTTACTTGAAAAACGGGCGTGAACTCATTTTCTGATGAGTGTACGAAGCGGCGTGATTAATTTGCGGCTCTTTTTTGCCGATGACTGACGGAATGACGGGCAGAAAACGGGGAATTTCCGAGAATCGCTTGTAAATTTCATCATCCTCTATCTTTTCTTGTGGAATATTGCCGTCTTTCACTGTTACTATGCCTTTCGAGCGTTTTGTGCTTGTTCTTGTGAGAAAAGAGAACGAAGAGGATGACTGCTGACCGGGAGGATTAGAGGCGCCACCCGACGACGAGGCGCTTTGTTCGTTGCCCATCTGAAAATGTTAAAATCAATCGATACATTGTTATCTCGCATTCATTCATACAATCGATTAGTTTTTAGGATTGACGCTGCTGGGTCCCATCTGAATTTGATCGATGCCTGTCTCGCTCCACGTGGTGTTCGGATCTGGCTGTTGACGAGCGTTGCTCGGAATAGCGTCCGCGTCGCAGTCGGGCTCGAATTCACGCGGGATTTGCACTTCGGTCTGCATTTTATCGACTTTTTCGGAGAAATTATGATGCAACAGCTACCTTGGGCAGTCTCTGAAAGATCCACTCTCTGTCCCAATCGAGAAACGTGTGATTCAGTCGAACTTCGGATGGGACGAACGACATACGAGAGAAGTTCGCTCTGCAAGCTGTGACGCTGAAAAATGCACGTATTTTATCGATTTGTAGTAATTTTCCGTTGCTTGATTTTGATGCAATTCAATAACAAACAAAAAACGCGCGTGCAGGCGGGTTTTCCGATCGAACTCGCGGCGATTAGGCGATCGGCCGAAAAACTCGATAATAATGCAAGCGCGCCCCAACGCGATGGCCGAGTAGATTTTTCTAGTCCTCCGTCCGCGAACATCAAAAATTTCAAAACTGCTTATTGAATTTTAACGCTTTTCTGCACTTTTCCGTTCATGTTTCGACGTTTAAATATGAGATGAGCGGAGGAAAACACGGATCGAAACTAGATGTAAGTGAACACACAAAAATGTTAAGAAAAATTTACGGAAAAATCAGTTTTCCAGAATTTCCGAATCATCGAACAAATTGGGGAAGGCGGATTCGGTGTTGTGTATTCCGCGGAACGAGAAAATGGCGAAAAGGTGGCGATCAAAAAGGTAAATGATAATTAACTTGAACAACTATTGCACGGTTGCTCTTTTTTTCAGATATCTCGGCGGGCTCTCCAGTCTCGAGTCACTGCTGAAATTCAGGCGATGAAAAAGATGAAGCACCGGAATATCGTGCAGTATATCGATGATTTCACAGAAAACGGAGAGACGTACGTGGTCATGGAACTCTGTGAACACGGCTCTTTACGAAGTTACGTAAAAGAGCACGGGCCCCTGAGTGAACCGTCGGCTGTTTATGTCTTTCGCCAACTGCACGCCGCCGTCAGCTACATGCACAGAGACAAGCTCATCCATCGGGATCTCTCCGCCGGGAACGTATTCATCAAGGAGATCCGGCAGACCGATCGATTGATTGTGAAAATCGGAGACTTTGGTCTCGCGACGAACCTCGGCCGAGGGGAGATCGCTCAGACAATCGTCGGCACTCCCGGCTACATTGCTCCGGACGTAATGCGTCAGAATTACAGTCAGGGAGCCGATGTGTACTCGCTCGGGAAGGTGCTTTATACAATGCTCACTGCCAAGGATCCTCCTCAAAATGGACGATTGTCGACTGAGGATTTGTCCCCGAACGCTGCCGATTTGATAAAGGAGATGACGAATCCAGACGAGACGAGGAGAATTCGACTGTCAGAGATTGTGATGAGGGACTTTATGAAAGAAAATACCGACGACAAATCTCGACAGTTCTCGAGGGATTCTAAGGATGCGCGGCTTCGCTCACGGTCACGCGACGGACAGTCGCAGGACAGAAGACTTCTCGCGAGGTCGTGTAGTCAACCGGCAGTGCTCTCCGGAAGGGGAATGGGCATCACGAACCGTCCCGTTCATGACAGGGTACGTCGCGGACGCAGTTAGGGCCATTAATCCTTTCGATTTCAGAGACCAACAACATCTGGACGAGCAATGGAATTGGATCGTTACGAGAGAGGACGAGGGCTCGAAAGACCGAGAGAACGGCGGGATCCGGAAGAAAAAGAAGGCATCTGGCCGCTGCGAATGGATCGATTGAGTGGACAGAGAGTGCGAACGGACGGCGGGCGGTACATTGTGGAGATGGACACTAGGTGCCGGTTCGAAGTGGCTGCTAAGGGGAACATTATCAGTCGCATTCTGGTTGTGGACTTTGATCAGCATCACAGGAGGCAAAAGGTCTATGTGCATCGGATTGGAAGGCGACAAGTACGAGAGAGGGAGGAGGGAGACGATCTGATCGAACTGACCTCCGACCCGGAAGTCTTTACAGAGTAAGTGAAGAGAATGGAACTCTAAATCTACAATCTTTATTTGTTTTCTCGAACATTAGGCTTCTAGTATCCTGGCGCGGTTCTCGGTGTCGGGCAGTGCTCGCATCCTCCTCCGCTTCCTGGCTCTCCAGGTGGTCCCGGCTGTCCTGCTCTTCCTGGCTGACCATCTTTTCCGTCTCTTCCCGGATCTCCGGCTGGCCCTTGTTCTCCGTCTTGTCCTGGATTTCCAGGAGTTCCGGGCAGTCCATCTGGTCCAGGAAGTCCCGGAGGTCCTGGTCTTCCCGGCGGTCCTTGAGCCACATTAACTTCATCGCATTTGCCTGGCTCTCCGTTGTCTCCAGGGAATCCTGGATCTCCGTCTTCGCCGGACTCTCCGTCCTCTCCTGGTTCTCCCGGTTGTCCTGGCAATCCTGGAACTCCGGGCAGTCCGTCCTTTCCGTTCCGTCCGTTTTGTCCCTTCGGTCCGAGGTTTCCTGGTGGTCCTGGTGGTCCTACGGGGCAATCATAGCACGGCGGAGAAGCGTCGCGACGTGGCGCCGAGTCCTTCGCGTCGTTTCCGTCCTCTCCGTTCAGTCCTGGCTTTCCGTCTCTTCCGTCCCTTCCGTCTTCTCCTGGAGGACCCGGCGGGCCGGCTGGACCGGACTTGCAAGAACAGCACTGACCGCTTGGGGCCAGAGAGGACTTGCTGCTGCTGAATCCGGACTCTTGGTTAGTGTTCGACTCTGCGAAATCGTATCCCGCCTGCTTTTTCACAATGATTCTTCGTCCCTTGATTCCCGAGGCGGCCTGCATTCTCTCGTACTGAATGAACAGTCCGACAGTTCGGTGACGGCAGAAGTCGATTTCACTGTGCAAGTTAGTCTGGATGTGCTGCATGTAGTTGTACAGAAGAGGGATGGCGACGATGCAAGTGAGCGTGGAAACGGTACTGTAAGACCACAGTGTTAGGATAGAAGTCCCCAGGGGACTTGGTTGTGTTACCTGATGCAAATGCCAAGGAAGGCGACTTTTCGAAGCATGGAAGCCTCATGATTGAGTTCCTTCTCGTCCATGATTGAACTGGAAACGATGGATGCCTGCAACTTCGCATACCGTTCCCTTTATACCCAAAACCGATTCTTTCCCGTTTGTTATCTCCGAAACACTTTTTTCAACTTTTTACCCATTGCAAAACAGAATCTTCTTTGATATAGCCGTGTCTGAGGTTCCCCATTTCGAAATAGGTCACTTCTGGCGTACACCTTTCTCTCCGTCTTCTTATCATTCGAGATCTGTCTGCTAACGTTCCGCTTAGCATGTTTCTCGTTTCACTTTCTTACCTTTTTTGTGTAGTTTTCTGGCGAATGAAAAGAGATCCACAAACATTCCTATTATTTTTGATTCGAATAGAAGAAGAGAATGGATCAAAATCGAGTTACTCATTTTCAGACTGTCTCTGATGCCAGCCGATGTGCGCAATGACTACCAACGCCTTCACAAAATGATAGTCTCGACGTTGCGCGCCCGCGTCGCCAAGATCACATTCCGTCGGCCACCACAGTTCCCGGACGCCATCGCTCAGCTCATGGAGAACGGAAACCTCCGCATCAAGTTCGCAAGATGTACAACCGTTTTTATGCTCCTCATTATAATTCAATTTCCCCCATTTGCAGCAGTGATTGTTCGAAAAGTGGAGAACGGCGAGATCTTCAACTGCATCGATGGAACTCGCAACAAACGGGAAGCGGTGAACGAGGCGACGATGCAGAAAGTGAACGAAGTGTACGATTACCTCGTCCGATTCGAGCGATGTCTCGGCGGAATGGGTGAACTCACTTGCTTTCCGATCGTTTTCAGTGCGGGACCTAATATGTAATACTAGCAATCATTTACAGATTATGTATTCCGTTTTTTGTTCTAGAGGTGCAACTTGTAATAACTCGCCTTCTTCTTTGATGCCCTCTACGTCTTCTCGATTCGCCTTCAGTAACATCTCGAACACCCAACAGTCGCTGATGCCCCGTTCGGCCCCGTTCCTCACGAAACCTCATTCCGCCGCTTCACGTCCTCCGTCGACGGACGCCGCTTCGAGAAGAGGCACGAACGACGAGAACTCGGGCTCCGGATGGATTCCGCCGAAATACAAGTTCAGAATGGTAAGCATTCCACGTGTTTTCGGTGCAGAAATGCGATTGATGGCGACGGGAGATGTAAACGCGCCCCATCGCACATTATTGGTTTCGCAACTGCGGGGAAAATTAAACGGGATTTTACTTTTGTTCTGACTCATTTCACTTTCATTTGTTCGAAAATAAGTTTAGTGAACGAAAAATTTTAATGTAGTGGTGAATTTTGTACTCTTCATACGCAATTGTGCAAAACTCGCGCTATTCTGGTCAAATTAATTCAGATTCACCTATTTTCCCCTAAAATCACCTTTGCAGGATTCCCAACGACGAATAATCTCAATCGAAGCCTCGGACGGTCGAGTTCTCCGACATTCGACCCGAATTACCGATCAGTTCATTTTCATGGATCCGGCTATTCGGCCAGATGAACAGAGGTTCCTGAGGAGCGATCGGGTGCCTGAAAGGGCCGTCGAACTGCTCAAAAACCTTTTGGCACAGCGAAGTAGGAACCCACAAATATAGTAATAATGGTTCCCTCGTCCTTTTTCTTCTCAAAAGTGCCTTTTTATCCTTTGCTCCACTTGATCTCTTTATCCTTTCTGCTCTTGTGAATTCTCTTGTTGTCTTTCTTTCATTCCTACCATCAAATAGCCTTTTTCTACCATTTTTGCATAAAATATTCATCCTTTTAGATGTCTGCTCTCCGTGATTGTCTTTTCATATGGTTTGCCACCTATTATCTTATCTCTTCCCTTATCTATTGTCTTTCCTAACGCATTCCCTTATTTATTTGTTTATTCAGAATGGCGTTCCGTTTCGGCCGCAGCCACTGGCAGGATGCGGACCGTCTCAATCTGATGCTTGTTTGTCAGCAACACCAGCAATGGGATCAGCGGTTGAAAGCGATGAGAGAAATCTACACAAAGGCGAACTACCCACCCGGTTACTTCACTGAAAACGTAAGTTCATCCTCACTTTCTCAATCACGATCGCTTCATTGCAGTCTTGCCGCGAAGAGCTGGAGAGATTGATGAGTCTTCCGACTCCGAACCTCCGTCTCGACGTGTCCACACACTTTGTCTACAGCCGAAAGATAATGATGGAGAAATGGGTAGAGCACTTCACTTCGGAAGTTCGCAAACAACAGAAGACACAGTCGGAAGTGTCGCTCGTCACGGTGCGCAACAACACGAAACTCATACAGGAAGCGTTCGATCCGAACACTTCGCAAGAACGTATTCTAGAATTGGTGACGATCGCGAAACAGTGCGCGGACAAGCACAAGAACGACGGAAACTACAAGAGAATCGTGGGGTCGTTGGATGCTTGCATAAAGGACAAAATGCAGAGAAATGGCACGCCAGACCTGGCAGCCTTCGAGTTGCCGCCCACGAAACCGCCTGGAGATGACGTGAAAATGGGAACGAGAGGATTCCTGACGCCCACCCGTTCCATGACCATGTAAACAAGATTCACACGAATTATCCTGTGAAATTCTGCATTTTCAGCCTCGACTTCAACATGGTTCCAATGCTGTCCATCGCAGACGCAGTCCGAGAAGCCGCTCCGCTCCCCATTCAGCCAGAACCCGCGGAGCCCGAAATTCCTTCATTGTCTTCTCTTCCTTCTTCCTCTTCTATTCCCGATGAAATTTTGGAACCGGAATTCGAGCCGCCAGTTCCGACTTCGAAATCACCCGTAAAGAGCAAGGAAACGAAGAAAGAGAGGGAGAAGCCAGTAGAGAAGGAGCCGGAACCAAAAGAAACGAAGAAAGACATTGTGCAGAAGGAGAAGACGGCCACTCCGGCTGCTTCTCCGCAGAAGTCCGCCGTTCCGGAGTCTCCGAAGCCAGTCAGCCAGCCACTAGTTCTTCAGAAGGTTGCTCCGGCTCAGAAACACCCCAAAAGAAGAAGGAAGTCACGCCGCCACCACCACCGGCAGTTGTCATTCCGGAACCGCAGATGAAGGAACCATCGCCGCTTGAAGTGAAACTTGAGGAGACGTCGATCAAGGAAGAAGAGGATATTGGCGGGATGACGCCTTCGCAGAACCTAGCCGCCGAAGGTCCAGTGCCGATGGCACGTGGAAGGGGCCGACCGAGATCTGTCAGAACATTCCCGCATCATCAGTCGAATAAGAAAGACGAAATGGTCCAAAATTCGTCTGCTGTCTCCACGCCGTCTACTTCTGCTTCGGCTGCTCCAACCAACCCTTCTAAGAAGTCTGAGAAGCTTCCAGAAAAGGTCGATAAGGGTGAAAAGGCAGTGAAGACCGAAAAAGCAGAGACTCCGACCGTACCGGACACTGCGGAAACCACTCCGGCTCCGATTCCTTCTGTTTCTGCGAAGAAACGAGTCAACGAGAGCTCCACGGAGCCAGCGGCAAGCAGTTGCAAGAAATCGCGTATTCTATTTCCTCGAAGAAAGAAGGAGGGCACCGACGAGCCTCCGAGCTCCTCGACTCCTTCCTCCATTCCTCCGGTGCCTCGATCCGATGGCTCTTTCGACACAGCGTCCGCAGGCCCGGCGACTCCGGGCACTTCGAGCACGACTGCAGAGATTGAGGTGCAGACGGACATCACCATCAGACAGATGATCAGCGATATCTCGATGGGAGAACGTCGTCGGACCTTCGTGTCGGCTCAACCAATCCGCAAGGGAAGAAAGTCTCAGCTGACTGCCGAGTCCGGCCGTTCTCACTCTCGTGCCTCTTCTTCTGCTTCTACTTCAAGTCGACGCGAGCGCTCGCACAGCCCACGCACTACGCGCAGTGCATTCTGTCAGACAAACGTCCGATTCGATCTGGAGAAAGATGACGTAGTGGTGATGAGAGTGGATCCGCTGCCGAGAGTGTTCTATACTGTCTACGATCTGGATACCACCAGAAAAATTGTGGTCAACGAGGAGACGTGCAAAGAGATCGCGGCGGAGAATGCGGCACTCACCGATCACAGCTACGATGTGGGCAAGAGAGCGGCGAAGGTGGACGGAAAGAGGGAGATGGTGTTCATTGTGGAGTCGAAGGACTGCGTCGGACAGAGTAAGATCTACAGAATACGTACAGACTATGATAGAACTTTTTTAGGATTGATAACCGAGAAGAACTACCAGCTCGTGTCCCAAACGTGCGATCTTCCATCTTCTGGGCCGAATGAGTCGCCTGTCAAGCGTCCCCGCCGAGATGAGAAGACGAAGGAAGATGGTACTAATATTAAAGTACGTTCAGAATTTCATTTCTATTTTTATGACGCTCTTCTCTTTCAGTATCAATTGAACAATATGTTCCGTGCTCTTTACGACTGTCCGTGGGCGGAGCCATTCAAGAAGCCGGTGCCGTATGCAGAGACCGGATACGATCTGGGAGTCCGTCAGCGCGTGGATTTGAGCATGATTAAGCGGGAGATCGAGAACGGAGTCATCACGACGACGTGTGGATTCCTGCACAGAGCCTATCGAATGCTCTCAAACGCTCTCATGTACAACGGATTCGATCACGAAGTCTATGGGCAAGCCAAGAAGATTGTGGATCGGGTCATGATTGACATCACGTCTTCGCTGCAAGACGAGCGTCGCGGATCTCAAAGTCGCCGTGGTCGTCAGGATAACGATCAGAGACCGACTTCGCGTTCCGGATCGATGGAGCCGGAGCCAATGACTCCGTTGGGAGCGGTCGGAACGAAGAGAGCCATGTTCCGCAAGAATCCGAACGTGGGCAACCTGACATCGACGTCCGGAAGCATCAAGAGCAAGAAGAGCTCGAAATGAATCAACAGTTTTTTTTTGGTTTCCCATAATAATAATAATACTCTTGTATTCTAATCGATTTTCGTTAAAATCACAAGTGAGCAAATTGCGAACTCCACTTTTTTTTTACATGGTCTTGATGTTTTCTCCACAATTGTTTCTTCTGTCTAAAAATAAATGAACTGAAGATGTCCCGTTAATCTTTAGAAAATTATTTCGTTCACAAAATTCGATAATTTCATACTTTCTTCATCAAAGACCATCGTAACAGGTCCTTTTTTGGCGGGAGGTGGACAAGTGCGCTCCACCGCACTCAGCCGCCACCTTCGAATTTGGCGCAACAACGAGCACGGCGCGGCTTTTGCGACGTTCACCAAACGTTTGATCCTCAGTCTGTGCATTTTGACACGCCGGTGTTGCTCTGCGTACAGTGCATTTTATGTTACGCGCAAAGTTCATTTTTTTTAGTTTTTGATTAATTTTCTCCAAAAATTCATCTCTTTAAAGCATTTTTCTCCACTTTCTTCCTTAATTAGACCTTTTTACAGATTCCAGATGAAGTAATACGCGAAAAGAAGTCGACGCGATGAAAAGAAACGCGTAAGTAAATGGAAGTAATGTTTTATTCAGAAAATATACGATTTCTCGAAAAAAACGTCTCTAGATCTTCTAATCTTTTTAATTTAAAAAGTTCACTAACATGACTGTGAATGTCTTCGAATCAAAAAAAGTAGAGTGACAGCTCGATTTCGCGTAAAAAAATTGGTTTTTTTGCCGGAAAAACAGTGACATTTCGTTGAAAAATTTTTTTCTCAAAAAAACCGTCTCTAGATTTGCTACTTTTTTTTGTTTAAATAGTTCACTTACATGACTGTGAATGTTTTCGAACCAAAAATTAGAGTGACAGTTCGTAGAAGCAAAAAAATTTTTTTTTCAACGAAATGTCACTGTTTTCCGGCAAAAAAACCAATTTTTTTACGCGAAATCGAGCTGTCACTCTACTTTTTTTTCGATTCGAAGACATTCACAGTCATGTTAGTGAACTTTTTAAATCAAAAAGATTAGAAGATCTAGAGACGTTTTTTTTCGAGAAATCGTATATTTTCTGAATAAAACATTACTTCCATTTACTTACGCGTTTCTTTTCATCGCATCGACTTCTTTTTCGCGTATTACTTTATCTGGAATCTGTAAAAAGGTCTAATTAAGGTAGAAAGCAGAGAAAAACGCTTTAAAGAGATGAATATTTGGAGAAAATGCATCAACAACTAAAAAAAATGACTTTTGCGCGTAACATAAAATGCACTGTACGCAGAGCAACACCGGCGCGCAAAAATGCATACCATTTTGCTGCGTATGTTGCGAAAGCCGCGCCGTTAACGAGGTAGAACTCGCACGAAATAGCGTTACGCTTTGAAATTCGCAGTTGTATATTAACGTTGTGAGTTCCAAATCGTAACAGTTCTCTTCCGTGCGAGTTCTATTCTGTTGCTGCGCCTCGAATTTATTTATTGAACGACGTGACAATTCCGTTTTCCTCTACTTCTCGGCTCTTCGCAATGTCATTTTCTATTTCTAGACACTCACTAGCACTGACCAATCACAAATGGACGGAATTCACATCGACGAAATGGCTAACACGCAGCCGCACAATCATATGCCGCAGCATTTCCGTAAGCTCTTGGATTTTCTCATTTAGACCCAAAATCATTTGATATTCAGATCAGAAGCTCGGAAAACCAACGGATTTAGGCCAGAAAACGCCGTTGCGTGCCGGTCTCGGAATGGTCATCAACGAATCGAAAACAGTCAGTGCTGAATGGCTGAAAAGAGAGTTAATTTGAATTTGAATTTTAGCCGGGCGCAAAGTCACTGCAGAGCATCGCTTCGACTCGCAAAGCGCCGTCGTCGACGATGAAGAACACACTTCCGATCGGCGGCTTCGAAATCTTCCAGGACGACAGCTACGAAGAGGAAGCGGAGCCGGTCAGAAAGATCCAGGTGAGCACTTTCGGTCTTCATAAAGGTTCACATTCTTTCTGATTTCAGCCGGAGCGTGTGTGTTCTCCGATCGATCCATGCAATCGATGGGATAATCACGACTCGTTGGCTGCTGATATTGCCGATGATATGCTCGAATGGCAGGACGACGTGAAGCTCTCCGAAGCGAGTCCCACGGGCGTCTATATTGATCCGGCGGGCACGGAGGACGAGGAGCTCGTCGCACTCGAAATCGAGGATTGGGACGAGATTCCGCCGGTGGACACTGCCACGAAGTTCTGCGATGACTTCAATTATGCGATAAGCGCCGAGGAGTTCGGCCACTGCGATGACGCGATTCTCGAGGAGGGCGACTATCCGCAGTTGTTCGCCGACTTCGACCACATGGGAATCGACAAAAAGGACGCCGACAATTGGTTCGACGACAACGCTTCCGAAGTGGACGATATCAGCATGGAGGCGTTGCTCGAAGAGATGAAGAACATTCCAGCAGTCTAACCATTCCTCATTATTTTTTTGTGTATAGTGTGCCATTCTCCTACGGTTTCAAATTCCCCCTTGAGTATTCCTGTCCTATTGACTACTGACATTCTGTGCGATCGCACTTATTTTGAGTATAGTTAACGGTGGATGAACATGTTTTACCATCTTTTTGTGTGGGAATCATTAAAATTTCATTGAAAAGTAAAGTGAACGTGTTTTGACATTAGCTCTCTCGATTTTTGTGTTCACGGTATACTGTTTCACATTCTTCACACATATGGCTGTGCTTCGGAGCGGTCGGAGGCAAATCAAAGCCGTCGTCGATCGACACGTTTAGATCAGAGTTGAGCGGAAATGGAATTTCGAAATCCGGAAGACGGCAGACGGCAGACGGAAGAAAATTTTTTTACGGAAAGCGGAAGACGGAAGAAAACCTTTTTCCCGGAAGACGGCAGACGGAAGACGGAACAAAAAAATCCACGGAAGACGGAAGACGGCAGACGGCATTCCGCTCAACTCTGGTTTAGATGCAATAAATTTTCAAACTACAACTTTCTGAATTGAACCCGGAAAGGTCAAGAAGGGGAGAAATGGAGATGGACAAACAAACGGCAAAATGACTAGAAACTATTGCAACTTTGGGAAGGCAAGTGAGACCAATTGAATAGAAAACCGTATGGATAATATAGAAATTATGAAGAGTAGATGACGTCTAGCTGCTGAGCCAACTGCGCACGAATTCGTCCTTTTCGCATTGCGACTCATCGTCGAACCATTTCCAGACGTTTTCGTACTGAAATTCAACTGTCTCTTGCAACGTTGCTCTATTGCGAATGCTCACCGCTTTGTGCTCGGTTCCGTTTTCGTTGCTCTGCCAAAGCAGCTCGCAGACCCGGCAGACGCCGTTTCGATAACCGGGAGAGTTCCACGGAGCCGTCGTCCACGTGCCCTTCTGGCGCCATTCGAAGTATTCCGAAAAGGCAGTGCTGAAAAGGTTTTGAATTGGAGAAGCCTATCAGGCCGGAGGAACTGACGAATTGGTCTCGAGAGCTCTCAGATGGTCGGCCATTTCACGTGGATTCTTGTAGTCGTCCATTGCGATGAATGACTTTGGCGGCAGAACACTACAACATTTCAAAGTTTTCTATATTGAAAATCTGAACTTTTCTCACTTTTTGTACACTTTTCTCTTCATCACAATCGGTATGCTCGGCACACTGATTCTATTCCAGATCTTTTCGGTCACATAATCATTGCACACCTGCAAAAGTGGGAGAGGTTTGAGTAAAAAAGTGGACATTTAGTTAACCGTATTCTCGATGGCAATGTAGAATGGATACTGTTCAAAGACGTCGAGACATTCGGTGCCCGGCGGGCAGATCGACTTATAGCGCTCGTCCGATGCACACTTTCCGCCGATTGTCACGTTTATGTGCCTGTAAGTGTTGCCACGTGGATCTCTCTCTCTCCCTCTCTCTCTCCTCGACTCACTTTCCGAGTTCCTGAAGCGCAAGTTCTCGTTTCGACGTCGTGTGACAATTGGAAATGAGTCCGAACACTCCGCTTCTCGTCTTCCGAAGTCGTTTCGGCTGCACGTAGAAGCTTGACACTTTGAATCCGCGGCTTTCGGCGATTTGAGTCGGAATCAGGAACGATCCGTACTTGTGAATGGCGTCCGAGGAGTATAAATGCGTGGAGGTCCAGTTGAAAAATGATTCTGGAAAGAAGGAAATGTGCGAAAAGGTGTCTAGACTCTAGAGTACTAGTACCTGGAACTGCGAATCGACCACTGTTATCTGGGTTTCCATCGAGTTGAAAACGAACATTTGTTCCGGTTTGCGAGAAATCGGAAGAGGGAATCTGGAGAGGTCGGCCGCGTGGAAGATGACCGCGTCGGCCGAATCGAGTTTGTGACGATCAGTGTCGATCACACAACGGTCCTGAAAACGACATTTCCTATATATTTCAGTATTCGGCAGTACTGTCAATCCGGGACAATCGGAGAGGCCCAACGGCGAGACGGTTGCCCCGAACACGGTCGTCCAGTAGAGAATCCGCTTCGGAGCCAACTTCTCGAATCGACTGCCAATGCGATCTTTGGAAACTGTCAGGTAGAGATGACGTTGCGGGCGGTGCACCGGAACGTGCGAGCCGTCGTCATAGCCGATGATTCCGTAGATCGCGTAGAGACAGAAGAGTACTCCGATCGCCAAAATCAAGTATCGGTAGAAACTTGCTGGCCGAACCCTCATCTGAGCTGAAAAGGCAGTTGGAAGAGGGGAAAGAAGGGAAACAGAAGGGAAGAAAAGACATACACACAAGGATAGATTCACCTCATCGTAGCAAGAAAAACGAGGAGACGTGATGAAAAATATATGCTTTCATTGTTATCACAAGGTGAGATAAGTTCTTTAAAGTTGATCAGAAGAGTGCTCCCTCTCGGTTGCGCGTGTGTGGTTCTTGATCCTTCGTCTCCAGCTTCTCCTTCTTGACGCGAGCCTCTAAAGAGTTGAAAAGGCTTTGAGCGGTCCATGGAGTGTCCTCGTCCTTCATTTTCTCCTTCGGGAATGCCCGCGCCAAAATCGAGATGTCTGAAATACGATAATTTGAAATTCTGAGCTAAAACTGAAACTAACCAACGTCGCCGACTTTGAAAAGACGCGTCATCGGATGCATTGAGTTCATCGCGAACTTTGGCGCATCGCTGAGTGTCAGTTTGCTGCCCGAGTCCGAATTGCGATCGCGGAGCGGCGAATCTTCGGCGTTCAGCTCGACGCTCTCCAGGGTTGCCACTACAACAAAATACATAAAATTCGGAAACCTTTCGAAACTCTTACCAACGCGTGGCATGTTCGGGAAGCTCGTGGGCGGCGCGGCAATCGTCGGCTCCACAACTTCTTCTTCTTCCTTCTTCTTTGGCGCTTTTCCGGTTTTCCGGAACATTCCGGTCAGCGGACGCTTCAGTGCTTCAGTGTTGAATCCCTTTATCGGATTATCCTGAAATTTCAGAATTCATAAGTGAACTGAGAGAATCCAGGCGAGTACCTTGAGAAAACCAGTAAATCTGGCCTTCCGGGAAGACTCTCCCTCGGCCTGAGTCTTCTCCTGAGCTTTGATGTTCGGCTCGGCGGATTCATCTTCTGAAAACGTGACGTCATTTTCGAAGTTGGGTAAAACTATGAAATCGATACACGTCACGATAACAGAAACGGGTGAAAGTGCGGAAAGTGCTGCACTAAACGACAGTCAAAACTTTCTGGGATGAGCTGGCTCAAAAATAGGCGGTTGTGGAGGTCTTCGTTGCATTTTTAGATGATTTTTCTTGAAAAAAAGTATTTTTTCGACGGAATGAATCTGGATACGGAATTCACGGATTATTACAAGTTTCTGTCAGTTTCAGAACATGTAAATAGAGATTTTTACATAGAAATGAATTAAAGAATCACTGGAATACATTTTACACAATTTCAGATCAGATTTTGAAATGTAAAACTTTTTTCCAGAAAAATATGGTTTTGGTATCAAATTGTAGAGCAGGTTCCGGCGATTCTTTTGATATACTTTTTTCCTGATAAATTGCGCATAATCACTGTGAAATTCGGGCTGAAAGTCGATGAAACAAAATCATTATCGACCGCGACGCGTCCCCTCTCGCGTCGCGTGCGTTCGGGCGGGACTTGGCCGTCATTCAACCATTCAGCGCGCTGCAGCAGGCGGATTCGACCAATCAATGAAGAGCAGCTGTCTCGTGGCGGGTATAAAAGGAGGAGAGTCGCGCGCGCGCGTTCAGTCGCCCAGCTCGGGCAGTGAATGGATGGTCGCTTGCGCTGCGTTGTCGACCCTCCAGCCTCCAAACCACTTGGCGGCGTCGATGGCTGCGGTTGCTCAGACTGTCGAAGATATCAAGCAGCGGCTTACCGCAGCTGTTGAAAAAGTAAGCCCTGTCCCGTCAAAATCACACCTAAAATAAGTACATATCGCAAAAATCGATAATTTCACAATAAAAGAGTGCAAAATCATTGCGGCGAGCAAAAATTGTGCGGACTTTGGGCATTTTAAGCATGTAAATTCGTTTTCAGGAACACACTTTCTCGTATTTTTTGTTCATCATCGATTTCTCTGTATTCTGTCTCAATAAAATACAATTAAAGATTTATTTTTGATTAATCTGTTTATTCAATTTTTGATTTTTGTGTTATGTTTTGCAATGCAATGCCGCCGTCTTTTGAGGAAAGCCTAAAAATCTGCGGAAAATCTAAAAAAAAGTATTCCATTCCAATCCCAATCCGATTTTACCTGTTGCAAATGAACGTGTTTCTCTTCAGGATGATCAGACGTTATGCGAATCGTTGCTCAACGAGGTTCGACCGTTAGTGACGACCCGAGAAATTCTGGAGGTAGGTGATTCCCGTCTGTCTATACGTTTCCTCGTATTTCGTCGGCGTGAAGCCAGCCCCCCTGAGAGAGGAGGCAGCCTCCTCGGACGGGCTGCTTCGCCCCGAATGACTAGTCGTGCCGAGGAGATGCCACTCTCCGTCTCTCGCTCCTCTCGCCTGTCTGCCCTGTACTCTCTCATCGCCCACTTTTTCTTTTCCTCACTCTATTCGTAAACACTAGGAAAAGGCGATCGATGACGGGACTATAGTCTGGTCGGTGAAGATGGCGAGAGAGAAGGGGTTCTAGAAAAAAGAAAATGATTGGTGGATTATTAAAGTTAAGTAAAACTAATAAGCCCCTAAATTCAGGAAACTCGCATCGGATTCATCGTCAACCAACTTCGTCGTCAGTACTTCAAGAAATGGCCAACACTTTTGCGAATAAGTCGAGAAGTGATCAAATCGTGGTCGGAGATTGTGTGCGATGAGGTAATGAATAAAGAAAGCTCTAGAATTGGGACGTCACCTGTCCTTTCCGGCAGCATGCAACTATATGCCAGCATTTCCACCTCATAAATTGCAGGTTAAACGTCCGCAGAGTGGAGCCTCTTCTCGCAACACGACTCCGAATGTGCTTTCGCCGAGTGTCGCCAAGTTGATGCAGAGAGGGAATCACGCCGAACACGCCTGCCGGACGACGAGTCACTTCCACCGGGCTCCAAGGTTTGTCCCAATCAGAACAACGACAGAAGCTGCAAGAATGCATTTAGGCTCACAGGGAAGACTTGTCTCTCCAGCCAACGGCTCCTACGCTCCTCGTAGTCAGGTCTCTCCGGGCGAGGCGACTCCCACGGCTGCTGCCAACGGAATACACAAATCGGCGTCAGTGGGCGGTGATCTCCTAAAGCACGCGTCGGGTGCACTGTCCGCGAAGCCAATTACGCCGAAGGAAAACGGAAAGAGAAAGGCGACAGACGACGGAACGGCGCCGTCGATGAAAAGAACGAAGACGGTCGCTGGCTCTCTTTCGGTCTCTGTCACTCCGGGAACTCCGACGACTGCGGCGCCGTCCCAGCAGACACCGCCGACGACGTCCGTACTGGCGCAGAGACAGGCCGTGCAGAGCACCAGCGAGCTGTTTGCTCAGATGAGTCAGACCCTTCCTGGTCACATCGATATCGGTACGGATATTAGAGAGCACGAGGAGAAGGTGAAGAGAGAAATGAAGGACGAGGAGGTAAAAACGGAGCGAATTGAGTGTGTAAAGTAGTATTTGGTTTACAGCTGGCGCACAGTCTTCAGGCTTCCGCGAGTTTCGTAAACGTGCCGCTCGAACGGAAAAAGAGAAAGTACGAGCGGAAAAGCCAGAAGGGCACCGCGCCGGGCACTCCGGCCGCCGTCGCCTCGCCCATGTTGCAGACTTTGTCGGTCACGCCTTCTTCGCTTTCCTCAAGTGAGTTGTTTTTCTCTGCTCCTCTTCGCGCGCTATTGGCGGCTATTCGTCATTCGTTCGCAAAACATCGCTTCTCTTGTTGAGAAGAAGAAGAAGAGAACAAATGGGTGTGTGAGGGAAAGGGCTCAACCGGTAAACAAGGGGGGAAACAAAGATGATGGAAAGGAAGGATGACGGTTGAATACGAATGAGAAGGAAGGGGAAACTGAACAATTGAGAATAATGGAAGACAATTCGGAGGGAATCATGAACAAAAAACACAAAAAAGGGGCGATGGAAACGCAGACATATAGGAAGAAGGGCGGTATATTGGGAAATGAGTCATGAAATGGAAGGAATGAGAGACTGTCGGGTGACAGGCACAACCGGAAATATGAACTTCTGCAACAAACTTATAATTTTGCAGATGCCAATGAAGAGCGTCTCCCGTCCCTCGTGTTCCGCTTCCCAAAGAACGGACTCACCTCCACCGCCTCCACTCCGACCGTCTCGACGATCAGCCCAGATGACAATGCCACTTCGTCAAAGCGAAAGTACGAGAAGAGCATTCGCTCAATAGCCCGACCGACGACGCCTCCACCAACTGTCGTCGCCAGGAAGGCGGAAAAAGAAAAAGAGAAAGAAAGAGAGCGAGAAAAGGAAAGAAGAGAGGCAATTGAAAGGAAGGCGAAGGAGGAGCAGGAACAAGAGGAGGAGGAGGATTATGTCGAGGAGGAGAAACCGAAACCGGTGCTCAGCAAGCTTAAGGACTGGAAGTCGCTGATTCCGTCGATGGAAGAGTTGCGCCTGCGGGCGGAACTCGCCGAGAAGGAAACCAAAAAGGTGGTGGAGGCGACTGCCGTCGAGACGAAGAAGGATCCGACGAAGGTGCAGCTCGTCAAGAACTTCCGACGCCCCATTCTCATCCTACCGTACCTCGAGAACCCGACCGGACCGGACTTTCTGTTGCACAAGTGAGTTGTGCATCCTCGGAGTGATCATTCTATTTTGTCCTTTTTCAGGTATCCGAATCGTCTACAGTACTACTCGGAAGATAATTTCCGTTTCGGAGAGAAGAGACCCACAGAGTGAACTCCTCGGCTTTCCCCCTTTCCCATCCGATGATTCGTCAATCATCTTCATCGCTTATCACCTCAATTTCAATTGTTTTAATAACTACTCTTCTTCCTCCCTTTTCATATTGTTATCCATAATTTTGACACAAAAATGTCCTCAAAATCAGGGGTTTTGTCCCCGCCAAAAAATAAAAGTACGGGTAACAGCCACCCACTTCCCACTCCCACTGTTGTTTTTCCCTTTCTCCGCTTTGTGTTAAAGTGTTGTACTAATATGGCAATTTCTTTTTCGCCCGCAATTCTTTCCCCCGCTCCTTTGTATGACTCCCATGCCCCTCAATCTCTGGTATCGTCTTTAATAACTGGAAAATGTAAAAAAAAATCAGCCCAAAAAATCGAAAACCGCTCAAAAAAAGTTCGGTGATGATCTCTCTCCTATTCTCGCTTCTTTCAGTCCTTCTGATTCTTTTTGTTGTCTAGCGCCAAATTTTCTATGACGTGGCGAATCGTCTTGCCACGTCTTTCTCCCCTTTTATCACTTTTCTCCTTTTCCATTTTTGTAGATATTCATACCCATTTCGCTCTCTCTTTCCTCCTCCCTCTTCCCGCCTTCCTTTTCCGTCCGCCCTTCTTCCTCCCATTTGTGTCCTACTGATGTTTTATCACACTATTTTCTTCCTAGGTTCCACTGATTTTCCTTCCTATTTCAGCTCTAGGGTTTTCCAATTTCGTTCCCCCTCCTCAGTATGGTTAACGCATTTCATTTCCTTTTTCCTTCTTTTTCTGTATTTTCCTTTCCTCGTCGCGCTCCCACGAGAGCCATCGAGTTTTGTTGATGTGTCTTATAATAATAAAAAACATTTTCAAAACGAGATTTACATACGCAGAACAGAAAAACAGGGCACCATAAAACTCTGACAAGAACTGTCAATTGACTGATAGTGCGAGACATTTCTTTTGGATATTATTGGCCTCCGATTGCATAACACCCTCTTCTTCATCATGCCATAATTAGCCTCACTTTCCCTTTTTCCCTGTCTTGTTTCATCGCCCTTCGCATCTTCTTATCATCCGATTATTCTAATCAACATGTCCTTTTTCGTCGCTTCCTTTCTTTTTCTCCTCTTCCATTCCATCTATTCGGCTCCACCGAAAGGATCCTTCTTCTGGAGTGAGTTCCGATCATCCGAACGCTTTTTCCCAGAAAAGGCTCACTTCTCCCATCGAGTTGAAGCACTGAAGACCTATAAAGATTAGGGTCCGCTCGAAAATCCTGTCTTGTGTTGTATTGTCTGGTCCCGAGATATTAGCGAAAAGTTTGATATATTGAAACCTAAACATCTCGGGACCAGATAATCCAAACGGCCTGAATATTGCCAATTGGATCAAAAGTCCATACTTTGTTGTGTTCCAGCGGATCGTGAGATATCATGTGTTTCGTACGCCGTCAACCAGACCCGTTGCGTTTTGAATCACCCGCAATTGGGTCCCGAACAGAATCCCGAATGTTTCGATGAAGTCGACGAAAACGGAAAGAAGCTGAAGACGTACTGTGCGTTGGGATGTGAGGAATCTCTGGAAGCCACTCTGGTACCGTAATCCTTTCGTTCAATCCCATCCGTTTAATTTCATTTCAGGTCAAGAAGATTCCTTCGTCGAGCCGCGCGTGCGTTCAACATTACACTTATAATCTGGAGCGGAAGCGGCAGGATTGGTTCCTTTGGCGGAACGGTACTTGTCTGGACACGACGATTCGGTTCCACTTGATCTGCGGAACTCCGACCAATCCGAAAGTTTTCTACCGTCAAAACGAGGAGCTTTTCCTTTACGAGGACGCCGTGAACTGACGTGAACTTGTTGTTTCCACTATGATATCATCAATCAATTTCAAATAAAAGTAATTTATTCTCAGCAATCCATTCCACTTTTAACTTACTCAAAAGATGAACGCAACGACGGAAGAAGTGTCCGTACACGATCCGGATTTTGAGCAGAAATGTGAGCACTGCGAGTTCCAGCTCTGCTTCAAATGCGCTCCATTCCAGACACTTACACGTTGCACGTGGAGCTCTCGTTGCAGCTCTTTATGGGTCTCACGTGTGCGTTCATTTTGACGATGGTCGGAATCATGATGGCGTTCCGTTGGTACTACCGTCAGATGCTCGAGATTCGGCTCAAAGAGCTTCAGAGTACCTACGAGCCGGGGCGCATCTTTTGTGAGTTCACTGTGGAGTTCGTGAACGTGAATCGCTTCCAATCATTTCAGTGATCGAGAATGCGGGCAACGAGGTGGTGCAGGTTCGTCCGGGACCGTTGTCGCCGCCGCTCTCCGATCAGACCGAGTACAACGTGGTGGCCGGGTATCTGCGCGACGATCGGAAGGGACAACTCTTCTGATTGCTCACTTTCTTTTCTCGTTTTTATTGTTTTCTATTACACGCACACAAATTAATCGAATAAATACACAAAACCAAGCCTACAATATCGTTTTGCGCCTCGTCACCACTAATCGTCTCTCCACTCGGGATAATAGTGTTGACGGATACGGTCACAGTAGGCACGGACGCGTGGAAAGTCGTCCTCGAGAAGATCGCTGATTTGTTGACGGTACGGCAGATAGAAGACGGCGGCGAGCTGACCGAACACGGCGCAGTCCGTCTGGAATTTGAGAATTGAGTTATTATTGAGAGCACATTTTCTAACCGATGTGATACGATCGCCGAACAGGAACTTCTTATCGCCCAGAATGTCGTCGAGAGCACGGATGTCACGTCGGAGCAGTTCCTTTTGCTCCGGCTCGTCGAGCTTTCCGAGCACCGCATTCACACGCTTCTTGATCTAAAAATGAAACGATTCCGATGTGATCTACAGTGATCCGCTACCGTCTGACTGAATCCTTTGGCGAGATAGTTGGTGATAAAGCCCGGGAGCGGCACGTTGCTCACTTGTCTCGCGAGGAGAAGATGCGCGTTGTTGGCCGATTTGTCAACGAGCAGTGCACTGAAAAAGGAGGAAATTTGAGAATTCCGCTGAATTGGCAGCTTAGGAACTAGTATTTAAAACTGCAAAAGAGTGTTGTCTGTCTCGGTGGGTGCTGTCTTTCTGGACCGCCGTTAGTTCCGGAAACGATACCAGACATCCGGGCGGCTCATCGGCACACATCTCGGCCGATTTCAGGACCCCTGCACAATTCGTCATTGACAGAAACACCCGAGGGTCGAACCCCGGGCGTCTATTTACTATTCAAATGTGTACACCATTTGGTCATGTGACACATTGAGGATGGAGGTGACAAATGGCTGAGGAGAGAGGACGCAGATGACTCAAGGACGTCTCCCCTTAATACCATTTTTAGACCTCAACATGAATAACTCACTAGTTGGTCGACAAGTCAATCATCCTCTCGACGGCCCGGGCCGTTCCCCTCTCCGCGCCTTCGAGTTTGTCGTCGAGCTCAAAATGCTTCTGAAGTTTCCAGACGATCACTTGCGAGTCGGCGATTTGCTGTCCGTTCAGTTCGATGAACGGAAGGAGTCCGCGCGGAGACTGGCGCGCGGTCAGCCACGTGCCAATCACTTCGTGCTTGATGCGATTCGCGCGCAGAAAAGTCTCGAGCTTCAGGCAGAACGGCGAGAGATTCGGTTGCCGATTGGCGGGGCGCGGGAACTGATAAAGGTAGACGACGTCCTGTTTCCAGTTCGTTTTCAGCGGTCCTTTGCCCTGGAGACTGGTGCTCGCCGCGCGGAGCCAAGTGCTCCATTGAGCCGCCGACGCAGTTTTACCCAAGCTCAGAACTGTCTGCATTCTGGAAATATTTAAAATTGGAGCGGATAAAAAGAAAGTGGAATAATATCTGTTCGGGAATAACCGAGAATAATTGAGAATTGAGAATCTCGAGAACAAGACTACTTTGTAAATATTCATTTCAACCCGTTAAGAGAACGTTAAAAAATCAACAAAAAAATCCTACGAAAAAAAAGTCAATAATTCTGAATTCAAGCTAAGAATTGGCCGCTTTGTACTCTTCGTATCGTTGTTTCTGCAGCTCGTACTCTTCCATGTTCGCGTGCTGTTGGATGGCGTTCAGTCGATACTTGACGCCTTCTTGTCGCCGTTCCTTCTGACGTCGTTCGTCCCAGAGAACTGCGACTGAAGCAAACATTTGAGGAAACTGGGAGTACTTCGGAACTCACAAATGGTGACTGTGGTGAAGATGCACGAGGCGACGAATACTCGGAATCCGAACCGATGCTTCGGCGGCGCGGCCGACAACATCTGTAACGTCTAGCTCGGATTTTGACCCGAGTTCAAGTCAATTTCAGTATTGGAATGGGTTCAAGAACCCGTGAGCATCGAAAATACCAGTTAACAATTGAATTTATGTTCAAAAATACACGAAGAAAATAGGATTTGAAAGCGAATTGTTCCCAGCACATGCGCAATAACTGAACCAAGTAAGGATTGTATCACAGGGGACCGGATAAAAGGTAGAAAAGACTAAAGCATTGTTGGATAGAAGAAACTGGGTAGGAGGATGAGGAGAAAATGACATCATCAAATGAAAACGGAAAGGAATTTCTGATTGCACACAAACACACAAAACACTAGACGAGAATGATCACCAGTTCCTAAATGAGTTATGTTAGAAAAGGAGAATAGAAACTGAACAGAAGACTAGTCCTATAAATGGTGAAGAAGCGAATACCGGTGATGTTATAAATGTGGATAAGAAGATGTGAAATAGAATTACAGTTAATCGGGGATTCTCTCCGTATCGAACAGAGACTTGGTCCACGCCACGTCGTTCAGCGTTCGCTTGTTGTGGTCGTAGAGCTGTTTGGCGCGGAGCATTTTGTCCGCGAGACGACGTGCCACTTCGACGCGACTACACCAGACGTGGATTTGACGGAGACGAACGTCTTCCATGTCCAGACTCACTTCTGCAATTCCTTCTCACTTTGTTACCACTTTCTCTTGCAGAATAGCTCACCAATACTCGCAAGACTGTTCTCCAGCGGAGGTCTCGCCACGACATTCTTTAGGAATTTGTAGGCGATGCGTTGAATCACAATCGAGTTCTCTCCGTTCGTCTTAAATGAGCCCTCAAGTTTCGATTAGAATGGGAAATTGTATTCTGAATGCTTACCCGTCGACAAACATAGCATTGTTTCGTCGAAATGAGCACGTACTGCCGAATGACTCTGTCTTCACTACTCGATTCCACGTGTTCGAGACACGTTTCCAAATCGAGCAGTTGTTCGCGCGACGAGTATCCGTTGATTCGGAGGAGCTCAAGTTGAGCATGAGCCAGATTTGTGTCGTAGGCGGGCAGGAGGTGGTAGAGATTACGACAGAGACGGGGAATTCGGACTCGGCTGAAGAAAATCAAATATTGATTGGACTAGCTTTGCTAATTGAAATTACCTTTGAGCCGTAGCTCTTCTCACTCCGGTCGCCGGCATCGCGAACTCTTTCATCGCCGACGCGGTCCCCTCGACGAAATCGAAAACTCCTTGGACTGGCTTCGTCACTGTGTCCACCACTCCGGTCGCCATTCCCCACACCATTCCCTTCATTAATCCGCTCTTCCGACTCTCCGACGCGACATTCGTGAACATGGCAGTTGCTCCGCCGAGCACTCCGACACCGAGTCCTTTCACTCCTGAATACAGATGAGTGAGGGGTGTCGAGGAAGACGAATGCGAGCGGATCATGTTGTGCCGTCTTTTCTGTTCGTGATCCTGATCGAAAGTGAGCGCTCCGACTCCGGAAGCCATTGACGATGCGACTTTAGAGACACTGTTCGAGAGTCCGTAGCCGAGTCCGGCCACGAATCTTTGGACGTCTCCTTCGATGAACAGGCCTTGAAATGAGTCTTTGAGGTCGGTGACAAGACCGAGCGGGTTTCCGAAGGCATCGAGTGTCACAATGATGCTGAGCGTCTGCTTCTGCAGTTCGGCGAGATAGAACTTCTGAAGGGACTCCAGAAGGAAGGAGGACGTCTCAAAATAGTGGTATTGACGGAAAGGGGGCAGGGCGACGGAAGCGTTCTCGAACGAGATCAGTTTCACATTGAACTGCTGCTTCAGAAGACGGAGATCTCGGGGAAGACCGGATTTCGGGACAGTTACCACTGAAAATAGGAAACAGATAGAAAAATTAGCGGAAAGAACTAACCACTCAATCCAACGTGTCCCATTTCGAGATCCAAAGTTCCAAAGTACCATCGTCTCGTTCGGAGTGGATCGTGTCGCTCGAGTTCTGTGTTCGGCGGCAGGTTGAGAGCACGCTGTTGAACTGACGAGGCTACGTCCGACGATTGAGCCATTTGGACAATCTTCCAGAGAAGAAGCTCATCGAGTTGAACACTCATGTCGCACACTTTCAGACGGAAACACTGAAGTGTAGAGGGTTCTAATACGTGCAGTACTACAATAAATCACTGACATCAAACGAATCATAGTGTTTCATAGAAGTGCAGTTCATTTCGAGTTCAAAGCAGGCCTGCCAGTGACCGGAACTCCAGCTGGCAGCTCAATTTGATCGTCGTAGTTTTGTGCGGTGTCCGGTTGGCAGTAGACCACTTGCCATCGATCCGAGGAGAGCAGTTGGTTGTCGATCTGAATGACGTTCACGCTGCACGTCATCTGATAGGTCTTGTCGACGCGGTGCGCGTTCACGGCGATTCCGCCAAAGTGTGCGTAGATGAGCTCTTCTTGGATACCGTTGACGACCGAGATTCCGAGACCTCCGCGCATTGTGATGTTCACGTCGAGCACGGAAATCTTGCCCGCTGCCAAGATGGTCGGTTCGGAGATGGCTCTTGTCTGCAGCTCTCGGTCCGTGATTCTGATGACGACTGTCGGCCCGGAATGGAGAAATTCCACTCCCAAGGTGCCACTTCCGGGTCGCTGTCTCTGCACTCTCCATATCTGCGTCACTGCCACGCCGTCTTCTCCCTTCTGCGCCGCTCTGTCCGCTTCCACAACCACCACTTCCGTCTGCTTCGACGTCATCATGAGGTGCGGGCTGTCGAGAAGACACAGCCGTCCGTCGGGCATCCACGTCCACCGCTGCCAACGATTCCGCCGCTGATCTCTTTCCATCATCATGAGCCGACCGCCCGTTTTCTCGAGCACATCGAGCACGAGTCGGGAGTCACTCCGATTCCGCAAACTCATTCCGACGTTTTCGATGCATCCATCGGGGCACAGTCTCCACAACTGATTTCCTCCGTTGCCGTCGGTTCTGCTTTGCTTGTTCAACATCACTTTTCCCTTCTGCATTGTTTCGAGAACCAGTTCCTGCTCGTCCGTGAACCCGCTCATCGACAATCCACTTTTGAACTGGAAGCTGTGAGCAAGCTGAATGAACGAGTTGTTCTCATAAGTGAGCGGATCTGCTGGCCCGGGAACTCCGGTTTCGTACGATTTACTTCTGTTTTCGAACACTTGGAGCACCATTTTCTTCGTTCCGTACAGGTCATCCCACGCGTAGTCCACAAAACTTTTCGATTTGCAAATCGTTCGGAGATGACGGCGAGCCGGAGTGTTACTCTCTTGCTGGTAGAGCACCGGCACATCGGTCAGATTCTCGATACGAATGGCGGTGGATAGAAGTCCGCATTTGTGAATGTGATTTGGAAGAGCGCAGAGTTGAGGATGATTTCGACGCGAATAAAGCGAGGCGTCTCGTCGGCGTCTCTCATTGTGACATGGAAAGATCCGATGCGATCGATGCGGAACGGACAGCTCCAGTGCTTCACATCCGCCCGTCGCACACAGAGAATCTGGCGACCGGCGAACTTTTCGTTCCAAGTGGTCGACGACTGTGCCGCCAGGTGCACGTGCTCCTTTTCCTTGTCAATCAGATCGTTATGACAAACGGAGAGGGCGACGGACGATTGATTCTGGAGCACGAAGCGGGAAGTGAGCAGGACGACCTGCGTATCCTTGTACCGTCCGGTGCCTGCCCGAACTTCCACTCCGACATTGAAGAAGATCGTCGGCTGGGTTTTGTGCTCAACTCGCAGCTTCAGTGCTTGAACTCCGGGCGTCAACGTGAATTTGTCGCTGAGCGCCGGCCGGTATCCTTTCTCGCGAATGAATGCGTTTCCGAGTCGAACTCGACACGCTTTCGGGCAGTTCTCATCCGCAAACGAGAACATGAGCGGATGCCTGTCCTTTGCTTTCTCATGCTCTTCCATTTGTCCGGCTGCTTCTGCTTTCACGGCGTCTTGTTGAATGATCAGCGGCAGTCCCGACTTGTTCACCACCCAATAGGGGACCCAGAAGGAGACCAAGATCGCGTGAGCGACTCCCAATCTCACGTGGCAGTACATGTCGAGAAGGTGTCCGTTGCAATCGGCCATTTTCGTCGAGAGAAGCGCTCCCTCTCCGATCGCCGATTTATTGATGAGCACAGGAGTTTGGGAGGTGAGCCGATCCGTGGCTACCGTAACCGAGAGCTCTTTGGTGATGTCCACAGATGTGATGAGCATCGACTTGCCGGCTGCTATCGCGAACACGTTGTCCTGGATCTTGATTTCGACATCTATTGGCAGCAGATTCTGGAGGGAAAGCGGTGCGACGAGATGGATGGAGTGACCGGGAAGCGATTCGAACTCGTGCTCCGGATAGTACTCCCTTCGGATCGCCGTGCACACCCAATAGTATCTATTGAGGTTCGAATCGGAGCGGGTCTTCAGTTTCTGCGTCTGATTGACCACCTCCCCCGCTATCCGCACTTTCTTCCACGAGAGTTCCGCACATTCGATGGTCGGAACAGGTCCGAGCGGATAGGAATTGAGTGCACAGTGCGCGTATTCGAGAGGGATCGAGATGACTCCGTTCGGTTCCACGTTGATCATTTCTCCTTCTGGAACTTTGAATATGGTTGAAAACTTTTTTGTGTCTCGCTGCGGAAAACTCACTGACTCCTCCCTCGGTTTGCACTGCGATCGGGTGCGGAAGATGATTGGTGACGTCGATGGACGACTTCAGAGTGACCACTTTCTTTCCGTCCTTCTCCATCGTCACCGAGATCAGAAGACGTGCATTCTTGAGTTCTGGTCGAATGGCTTTCACCACTCGGAAGTACGTTCCGCACGAATCCACATTCACCGGCGATATTTCATCCCATCCGGCCACTCGGACTATCAGTTGCCGCGGAGGTTCTCTCTCCAGATGAGAGTAGAGAAGAAGGCGTGCGGGGAACTCGAAGTTCTGCTCTCCACCTCTCGCCACTGTTCTCCACCTCGTCGTCGACTTCCGCTGCTCCGATCGCGCGGAAAGGACGTCTTCGACTGCCGTTGTGAAGTGCACTTCGCATCCCGTCAAGTTCTTCATTACGTACGGTAGATGGTCGCTGCTCGATCGTGTGCACTGATTGCGGAAATCGTCGCGTTCGAACGAGGCAAGAATGGCCGGCAGTTTGGCGTTCCACTGGATCGACTGCTGAATGAGCTGCTCGGTGACGTTGATGTTCAGCGTGCACTTCGTCTCTGCAACCAGCTCGACCGTCTGTTTCATATCTTTCCATTTCGAACTGAATCGAAGGATTCTCCACTCTTCGATGACTGGTTCCCATCCGAAGATGCGTTGATTGAAGTAGTCCATGGAGACGTGGAAGCGAGATTTGATCTCTTCGCCAGTCTTTTTCAGTTCCAAATCTGGAAAGGGGATTTTCAATGAAAGATAACAGCTGAAATAACTGACTGGCAACGGATAATCTCAAAAGAGGGATCGAGTTGGATTGAAGATCATCGAGAATCCACAGATCCGCGTGCTCGGTCTCAATCGTGTACGTTTCAATGTCGAGAGCTGAAAATGGAAGAAATTGTACTGCCTATTCCGATTTCGGTTACGTTTCGATGGCGGCGGAGGCACAATTATCGGAATGAGCGACTTTCGCTGAACTTCCACAAAGTTCTTCAGGTATCCAGTGACGATGGCTTTCAGAGCACGCGCATCTTTGTACGAAAGCCGACAGATCATTTTGTGGACGTCGATCTGAATGTGTGGAAGGTTTGCGACGAGAAAGAGAGGGTGTAACTGAGAGTGTAGGACCGAACTGAACAACATGTACATCCCAGACTAAACACCCGAAAATTTTGAGACTGAAGGTGAAGATGAACGAAAAAATGAATGGAAAGTTAGTAAAGCTGCCCAATTTTTCGCTGTGATCTTCACAAACCTCTACTGAAAATTTCAACGGAGTCAGCTGCTTGTAATTCTGTATTTGTACTTTTGGATTGACTTATAAACTTTCCACGATACAAGCTTCTGAATCTTACCTTAAATGCGTGTCTGACCGGCGGCGTGATCGCCACTCCCTTCTTCTGATGCGCAGAGATCACAAAAGAATCGGCTTTGAGCGATATCGTGATAGAAAAGTCATTGGAGCACAGGTTCCGTGTCTGCTTCTCGTGCTGCATCGCACACCATCCGAGTCGCACCGACTGGATTTCCAGATCGGCCGACATGTAGCCGCCCGCGTCGTTCATGTTCAGCACCGCCGTCGTCGAAGCTATCAGCGCAAAACTGTTCTTCACCGACGGATTCTCCATTATGTAGAGATCCGAGTCTCGGAGCGTGATTTTGACTGAAAATGTCGGCGCTCCGGGCGTCGTCTGCACTTGGAGCGGAGCACTGTGAATTCGTTCGACGATGGTTCCGTCGTGAGTGGTTGTGAACGCTTGACGACGTCCCGAAGTTTTTGTCTCATACGAAATCTCATCGGAATCTGGAAAAACAAAGCAAAATAATGATCATGGTTGGAAGGAAAAGGGCACACATTTTGGAACAAAATCAGTGTAGAGCATGAGGAACTGCTTCAGATCGTCGAGCCAATCGTAGGCGAGGATGACTCGGGCGTTGCAGAGCACAAGAGTGAGCACCGGGCACTCGTCCTTCCGCATCATGATGTGCGTCTCGAGCATCAGAGAAGAAGTGATGGAAGAGGTAGCAGGAGTGGCGGGACGGGATCTGAAACGGAAAAGATTGAATTAATGGTCTCAAGTGGGTCACAAACTGTTTTCCAGTGTCCGTGTGCTGCAGAATGACCGGGAAAAAGTTGTTAGGTCCGGTCGTCGTCGTGTCCATCAATTCCACTTTCTCGCAAATCAGATCGAGCTCAGATTGCCCGTCATCGAACGCGTCGAACGATATCCGAGCACTCTCCAGTTTGACGTTCGCAAACGGTTGCCATTCTCCGTTCGCAATAGCTTTTGGCTGCTCTCCGAGTCTTTTGGGGACCTCCAGATTCAGATCGACATCTTCAAAGACCATTCGGAAAGAGAGCGTCGCGTACTTGTTGTGGCTCTCCACTTCGACGGCTTCTGTCGGCAGTTGGAGGATCTCGATGGGAATCGTTTCCGGATCTGGGATCAACGGCTCTCCAAGGTTCTTCTCAAGGACTCCGCGCATGAGCACGTAGAACTGAGTGCTCATTCTCCATTTCAGTCCGCTGATTCGAGTGATTATCGTCAGATCGGGAGCGTTCCGAGAGAATACAGAGTCGAGGTTGCGGAGAAACTTGTTGTTGAGATCGAATCTCCTGGAGAAGACGTTGGGGCTGGTGAGCACGAAGGCAGTCTGTAGGAACGCTTTCTCTCCGACCATCTTCAGATGTTTCTGGTTGTGAAGACGATCAATTTGACGGGCTTCGTGAGCTCGCACATTCGAAAGGAGCATTTCTCCGTAGTCGAGAAGACAGTCGACGGCGGCGTCAAATCCGTAGTCGGTCTCCACCGAATACTTGTCAAAGATATCCATTCGGAGGGCGGACAGCGTCTTGAAACTGTTCTTCAGTCTCATCGAATCCGCCTGCCACAGAAGGATGTCGGGCGACGTCGAGTTCATCGGCATCAGGAATGACGTGGCACATTGAATGTCGACGTCCAATGCGCATTTCGCTCTCGCTCCCTCCTCAATATGCAATTTTTTGCTCTTCGAAACCAAATTCATGAGCTCGTTGAATTGCATCCAGAAATCCATGAGACCACAGAAGAAGCGATGGGTGTGAACGTAGTAGAACTTCTGATTCGGCGGCACGAAGAATCGGATGGAGACGTCGCACTCGCGTTTCGAATCTTCGCCGGGGTACTTGACGACGTCGATGACGATTCGTTTCGAGTCCTCCAGACGTCTTTTCGGCGAGGAGCCGAGTCCGAACGCGTTGGAGGACTGCTCAGCGTGCTCGTCGAGCATGATAAGACGTTCCGGGTACAATTCTGTAAATGGATCGGTTCGAAGATGAAATAAACATTCGAGCTTCCGCCCCCGTCTTTTGAATTTCGAGTTGCATAAATTAGAGGACGAGGGACGATATATGTATAGACGCAAAGGGTAATTAGGTTTTAGATACAACTGGTGGCTAATTTGGGGTTTCTGGCTCTACATGTCAAACTTTCTTCGTTTCAATCTAACCTGAATAGCACGGTGTACAATCCTCGATGCGCATTCCGTCGACCGCCAATCTCATCGCCAACGTGTTCGAGTTGGTCTCGTTCAGTTCCATCGTCGACTCCACTTCTGTATTCGCCAATGAAATCACGCCCAATCTCGTGCGACTCCTCGGGAACGGCATTCCGAGTCGCCAGTTTTTCGCCCGCAAAGTGCATCCGACTCTGAACGATCCCTTCGACGTCGCCGCCTTCTGAGCTTCGGCGTCGGGCAGTTCGTGCTCGTCGTCGCCCAGAATACCGCCCATCTCGAGAAGCGCCGTCCACGTGCGTCGATTCATTTGCATTTCCATCTCGTCCATCTCAATTTCGATTGAACAATTGCGCTGCAAAAAGAGAGGTTCTGTCGTCATTTTTACACTCATTCCATATTCCACGTATATATGTTTGTTTCATTCTTTTGCCTTCCCTTTTTTGTTCCCCCTCCCATTTCCCTTTTATTCTTCGCCCATTCATCATCATCCTTTGACGAATGAAGATATTTTTGGTCACCGGGTTCAGAAATACGAAAATCTCGGGGGTGGAAACGTCGGATTTGTGTGTGTACCCTTTCCGAGAGGTCCCTTCAATGTCATTTCGGGTGCTATTTGACCGTGAAAAATTGCCGCTTGGTCGGTCTGAGGGACGAGTCTTTGCATGCTAGTGAGGCTGGTCAACAATATGCGAAGGCGGACCCGGAACAGGATTTCATCCGACATTGTGACACTTTTTGGACGCGGCTGGAAACAGATTGTACCCCGGGAAAAGTTTGTACGAGAAGCCCAACGAATCTTCGTTTATTCTGATGTCTCCAGGCGGGAAATTAGGTTTCCTCTGCAAGTTCCGCTTCTGATTCTTCTAAATCTGATGCCGATCATAGTCCAGTCTCTATCTTCAATGTATTCCAACGTCACGGAGTGTTTCGATGCTCTATTCTGATTTTTTGGATTAGAAGATCCGAATCGCTTGTGACCTACTCAACCTACAAACCCAGCTCAAATCCGCTTCAATCTCCAGATTCTGTTAGTCGAGAAAACAAAGAGCGAACACTCCGTCTCCAGAATGACATCACAACCATCATCATCATTCTTTCGCGCGTGCTCCACGCACACACAGGCTCCGCCCCTTTCAATTCCATCGAAAAGGGGCGGGACTTAGGAGGGAGGGTGGCTCGGCGACTTCTGGGCTCACTTCACTTTGGTGTCACTATCTGTACACTCCACACTCCTCCTTCGTCAGGAATCATCCTCAGAATGTTCTCGCTCAATCATCTCATCTGCCTCCTTCTTACTGTCGCCATCGCTTTGATGACAACTTCGTCAGCTCAGGTGAGAAAAGCGAAACCCATTCCCGTGCTCTTCTTTGTTTTTTTCAACAAAAAGACCGAACTCCTAGAGACAAAACGAACGGAAGCGGGAAAAATACAGCCGACACTATTACATTAGGCGGTGGTCGGAATCGAATCGAGAAATTAAAACCGAATTTCTCGTCCCCTAAAATGCAGTCGTGCGTCCACTTTCCACTTTTTGCTTTTTCGTCTCAAACTTTACAAGAGACGGAAAAACAGGATCATTATGGGGCGTGACAATGGGCTATTGTGATCCGATGACTGGAAATGGGGAACTTGGGACCAATCAAGTCATCATCTCAGGGTTCTTTTCGAGCGCTCTTGACGATTTCCGAACTTCGAACCCTTTAAATTATCCGATTAGGCACTTTAGTACTACTAGGTGGAACCGGAAATGCGAAATGAAAAGAAGGGGGAGGCGGTGGCGAAACCGAACATTATGGAGATTAGTGGCTGCGGCGTAGGCGAACGGCTGCAGCGGGACAAATCTCGAATCTGCCACTTCTAATTAGGGGATGACGTGGCCGAAAACCCATTAAATCGAGCAGCTCAAATGGTCGGGATCACAAATGAATGTGAATTTGCAGCCAATCGACACGGACCGTCCGATATTCATGGAGCGTCGTGAGGCGTCGGCTTTCGGCGACATCATCGGAGAGCTGAAGGGCAAAGGGCTCGGCGGACGAATGAGGTAATCCTAGTACTCTACATGTCATTTCCGACGCTGCCCAATCCCTTAGAATCGGAATTTCCGGTCCGTTTCATAGAGTCCAGAAATGCTTTCAAGCGTGGTGCCGAAATCAAATTCGAACCTCCCAGGGGGTGAAGATTCAGAAGCTTCTTTCTGTGAAGAATCTCTCTCATTGTCATGCATTTCTGACAACGCGCAGTATTTGTGAATTCTTTTAATGCATCGCCACCTATTCTTTGTTCGCGTCAAAAACAAAACAACTAAGAACAAGCCAATCATCGAAAATGTTCAGATTCGGAAAGCGTTCCTCGTCGCCCGAAATGAGTCTATCGGAGCTGCGCGCCATCTACGGCGGAGGACCGTTGGAACTGGTTCAGTATTGAGTGGCCGACAACGTTCCCACCACGATCATCCTCTCCCCGACCACCCCGACCACCATCCAGCTCACTTCTCCCTCCACGAATCCATCTGTGATTTGACCAGTTACTACTTTTCCCCGCCAAACCAATCCAAAAAAGCGCTCTCTTCTCTTTTCTCTTGTCAGTTTGCCGTCGATTTGTGTCAGTGTACAGACATACCACCACTTGATAACCGTCTCTTTTCGAATAAATCTTCGTGTGTTAATAATAATATGAGCTGCTTTCTTTTTTCTAAACTGAAGCACAGACGGGCGGTGACATAATCCCACCATCATCCGCCGTCGCCCTAAAAATGAATTTCGTCGGAACCGAGGAGATTGTTTGCTTCTCTTTGCTACTCACATCCAAACAAAAACATTGCGTGTATAATTTTATCCGCAAAGAGGAAATGCTTTAAGTATGCATAGAAGAAGTGAACTTTCGGGATAATTAGTCTCTTCTCATGATGCGATCGACGGGGATCACCGTGTCAACAAGGTTCATGCTCCCAAGATTACTGTAGGTCGAAGCTCGCTCAATTCGGCATTGCAATCTCTCATACCCACGCCTCTTTCCCTTCCAAGAACGAACGAGACGATGTCTGAACGCGTCATGGTACTACAGTACTTTAATCCAACATGAAGTTCTGAAAACAAGTGTGGGAACTCTACGTTCTTGTTCTATTTTCGAAAGTGAGTGAGCACAACAAGTCTCGTTCTCTGGACATGACCGCGCTATCACCAAAATACTTTTGAATTCTGCGTCTGGGTCGGCGGGACCCAGTTCAGATGAGTTCGGCGCTTCAATAGGGTCACGTACACCGGAAATATTGGATTATTTCGAGTTTTTTTTGCTGCGGGAGAGTAGAGCATGATGTGGCATTACAAAGGGAAAGGTCATGTGGAAGAGGTTGACCTCGCTTTCTAAAAAACTCGTGGTCCATGTACCTTGACATCACTTTCTACCGTACTCGTCTCCGCGCGCCGTCTGTTATCAGTTATCGCTCGCCCGTCACATCCTATGATCAGTCTTGTTAATTTCCTGTCCGCGCACGCATTTCGGCGGAAATTGGAAAATTGAGCTCGCGGCTCCCGTCGTCGTGTGATGATCGGCCCTCGTTTGCCTGCTGATCGTTGCCGTCATTCGGCAGGAAAGGGGGCTAAATACCGGAATATCATCATCGGCAGGCGGCCGCCTTCGGATTCCGATAACGGAAGAGTTGGCAGAAGAAGGGTAAACAGTGGGTTGGTCAGGGACCTAGCAACTAGAAAAAAGATTCCCTGATGTTTGAAACTAAATCGGAAATTATATCATTGAAACTTTAGTGATGTGATTTCGTAGCGTGAATGGTTAATTTCGCCAAGACCTTCTAGGATTGTCATCACCAACCTTTTTTTCTTTTTCCTCTTCCTCGTAAATTTCATAATGCATACATTAGCTACACTTTTCAGTACTAATTTTTGTTTGTAAGCGAAATAGCCCATTTTCCGAATTCGTTTAAACACACGTTATGTTTTCAAGAACGATTCAAATCTTTAGATCAGTTCACAAATCTTGCATCTGAAAGACTTTACCGCGAAAACAAGCGGGACAATCTGTCCGGATCTCAATGCTAATCTCTCAAACTCGACGAATACTCGGAACCGAACAACATCAGTGTCTATTCTATTTTGAATCAGTCATGATGTTGAATCGGATGTCAGAAGGGAGACACGGGTACATCCCGATCAGCTCAGAAGCTGCCTGCATACATAATGATACCTTTTTGTACTTTCGCTCGAATTGCGCGTGCTGCTTGTCAACATAGGTCGCTTTGATCGTCACTTCGGGCTTCGCAATCTGTCCGCCATTTCCTCCGGAAGCGGGAATCGGGGGCGTCGGAGCGCCCGTCACCGGCGGATTGTCGACTGAAGTGGCAGACGTGATTGTCATCAGATTCACTGCAAACGATTGGAAAGTTCTCGATGCGGCGGAAGCTGGTGGAACGTACGTGGTTTCGCATATTCTGGAAAAGTGTGATCTGGAACCGAAGAAGAGACGACTCCTGGATAGTGCTGATGGGAAGATTTCGATGATTTGGCCGGGATTGGCTTGTTGTCAGCCTTCAGGAAATCGGGACACGAATTGGAGAGCGTTTTGAGTTGCGAACATTGAGAAGTGGTCGTCAGCAGTGGATAAACAGTGTTTTCGATCATATCGCGCATTTCCACGTGGCCAATTACGAGTTTCAACTGGAAAAAATGAATTTGTCGATAAAGTTCCGTAAACTTACAATAGTCAAATGTTGTTCTCTTGAGACAACACTGAAATTGAGTCTATCCGCATTGAGACAAGCGATGGGCTCTCCGGGCTCCCAGATGGTCGTCGGCCGCATTTCTCGTTTCGTCCATCCCCGCCCACGCACTTCCATTCGGACGGCCGGCAGCTCCAGATTCACGAATACGTGCGATTCGATTATGGATATCTGCTCACTGCTCACTTTCATATCAATCAACTCGTCTTCCGTCGACGCTTCCTTCAATTTACTCTTGAGGATCTCATCGAACATCGTGGGATCGTCAGTGAAAAGTGTGGAGAGTCCGTCGAGAGCTCCTTCTTCGTACACAATGCTCACCGGCCGGAGCCGACAGTTGACAGTGTGTCGGACGATGAGTCGGGGCGCTTTTCGACTGTAATGCATACTGAACATGGGCACTTTCGACGAAACGGCGTCTTCTCCGTCCCTTCCCACTGTCAATAGCATCTTGGTGCTTTCTGCGGTCGAATAGAGCAATGATTCGGTGATCTCGGCGAGTTTGCTCTTCGGCCGCGGATGTCCGGATCGCAGTCGTTGGACACTCATATCGTTGACAGTGAGGTCGACGGAGATGTAGTGCTGCTTGGGACTGAGCTCCCAGCGAGAGCTCACTCCGGAGAGCTCTAAAGCCAGCACTCTCTGTTGTTCAATTCCATCGTGCACCTCTCCGTCCACGAATCGTAGTGTCAGGTGCTCTAAACGAAGCGAGATCTGAGCCAACAGAGCATCCCTTCTCAACAGTGTCACATCATCCCATGATTCGTGCAGCACATCCAGAATCTCTTCTTCCATCTCCTTCACGTTCTCTTTCAGCTCTCCGACGTCCACATTTCCGAAATCGAACTTGTTATCCTCCGGTTTCTCGTCCTGTTGCGCTTGTCCGAAGAATCCGGTAATCCATCCGTAGAGTCCTCCGCTCGCCGGTTCTGTAGCGGCAGCTGTCGGCTCTTCCACCGGAATCTCGTCCGGAGGCGGTTCAAGTGATTCGAACGGCTCTTCGGAATCCGTGTTCGTCGACGCCGCCACTATTCCCAACTCCAGCTCTTTTTCTCGAAGAAGTCGCCGGAAGACTGTTTCTCGGAAGAGATGGAGCTCGTGGTACGTGTAATGGGAGTCCCTCTCTATCTGCTTCATTATCACGTGGCATTCCGCTGAAGGCGTCGATGGAATGCCGTTGGAACTGGCGGAAGACGGTGGAATGACGGCGAGAGCAGTGGAAGTGGACGGGGCGGAAGAGGAAGAGGGATCTGTCGGCGGTTGCGTCGCATTCGGATTGGCGATCATTCCGACGAGTCGTTTGCGGTAAGCACGGCAGTAGGCGTTGAAACGGGCGGCTCGTTCGTGGGCGAATTCCCAAGTTCGGTTCGCATTCGCTCGACGACTCTCCTCGAGCACACGGTTGTACGCGAACCTCCACCACTCTTTTGCGCTGAAAATCACTTTTTTTCCGATATTTAACTACAGTAGCCCACTTTTCTCCGATCGTGCACAACGGTCTCCACTTCCTGTGCTGTCGTGCTCTCTCGAATCGCGCCCATTCTCTGTTGACCGCCCGCAATTCGGTCATCTGATGTCTCGTCAATTCGCAGGCGATTATGTCGGGTCTCATGAAGAACTTGAACCTCGGAATTTTCGCTTTCAGCGGGAACTTGCTCGAATTCTTTTCCATTCTCAACTCGGCACTGCACGGCTGAATAATGTAGGCGTTCGAGGAGGTTTCCGGTGCCAGAATGTCCTTCAGCTGCTTCGAATCGTCGATGTTCTCCGTCATCGCCGCTTTCGAGTTCCAATAGATGCTGAATCCGGTCAATTCGAGCTTTTTGAACGTGTTCACTCCTTTCTGCGGCTCTGCGAATCCGGGTTTCCAGTGTGCATTTGTCGTTTGCATTGTCATTTTCTGAATTCGAATTCCGCAATTGAAGGTTTGGCCGTGAATTGTCGAGTTGTCTTCGTATCGAATGTGCACGTTGTTCAGAATTAATTGAATATTATTGAGCACAGTCGAAATGAGCGATGCTCCCCACCACGAATCCTGAGATTCGGGCAGCGGAATCCCGCACAGATCGAGCAGCGCCGTTTTGTGTCTCAACTCGAGCTCGTCGAGCATTTGCTCTTTTCTCTGCTGCTCCACCTGCTCCACAGCTTCCACGTCGTATCGTTTTTCGCTGGATAGCGGCCCGACAATGATGAGCACGTCGCTGAGCTGGAAACAAGGAATTGCGAAGGTTAGGGAAGGCGGAGGGCCGCACCTTGAGGGTCCATGGCTCGGATCGGAGATGTGTGATCGGGACGGAGAGGGTCAGTTTGCCGAGAAGACCGGATTTTACTTCCAGTGGAAGATCTAGTTTTCGTAGCGCTGTCTTTTTTAGGGGCACATTTTCCAGTTCTACTTGGCCTAAAAATCGATTAAATGAAGCAGTTGAAGCTGTTTTCCATCCCAAACCTGATAAAAGCGCCACTGACAACTGATCGGTGTTCAAATCCTCCAAATATTCGCCAATGTAGTTGTTCAACACCCACGCGACTACATTTTCCAACATTTTAGGGTCTGAAACTGCATTATGCCCATTTTTGTTGCGAAATTCCACAATTGCTCACTTTGTTTGCACTGTTAAAATGTTGTAACGATCAGCATGAATAATCGGGCAATTTTCGGGTGACCGATGACGAAAAATCTGAAAAGCAGTTTGAATTAAATGGGTTTTAGCCACGTGGCAGAACGGATCACGCGTGTTTTGGAGAGTAAATCACGTGCAAACGAGCTGTGACATGTGTGTACTTTGATGTATTCACAAAGGACCGACGGACGGCCGCCACGCATTGTGTGGCCGGGTGGCCGCCGGATTTCACGGCCATTACGCTTTTTGGACATTTCTGAGCTCGCTCTGCTGAGATCTGGAGCATTTTTGGCGATATTAAAGTCATAAAAGATATAGACACACGATCCAGAAGCATCACACTATAAAAACTCGAAAATCGTTTCCACAAATCAACTGTAACTTTTATTTGATTCGGACCAAGGACCAATTCTCTAAGTGCACTTTTGGCTTGATATTTACACTCTAAAAACAGAGAAAAATGAGGAAAAGAGCACTAGACAAAGGGAGAAGAAGAAATTAGAAGGTGAAAAATGAAGAGAGAAACAATAAAAAAACGGTCGAGACTACAGAAAACACTATTCGAAGGGATCCGGATGGAGATGGCTGCTTGGACGACGAAGGTCGATTCGATTCATACAACAACTGCGATCAGTCGGAGGAAGCTGTAAAAAATGTAATTGGAGACGGGGCCAGTGGCGCACTTTGTTTTTATTTCTGAGAATTTCTATCAGAAAATCTAGGGATACATAATAAAAAAATGTTGGCAACTCCTCCGATGGTCAACTCGGCTCAGCTGAGAGAAATTTCAATAATTTCCTAATCCTCCCCGCGTTAAACATGAACTCACAATCACTGAGCATAGTGTCCGTGCTGCTCGTACTGGTCTCTCATGCGCAGAACATGCCATCTGCCGTAATCGACCCAGGTGGAAGAGACTGGCTGGTAGCTCCAGCCCTTGTAGTCCCATCGTTCACCCTCAAGATGCTTCACACGCTCCTCGATTTGTCTGAAACATTTATTTCCATTGTTTTCAAACAAAAAGAACACCTACCTCCATCTAGCCAGAATGCCCTGCTTCTCGTAGTAAGCCAAATTTCTCTCGTGGTGCTCGACATCCGACACTCCGAACCATTTGGCCCACCATTGGCGGATTGGCGTGCGCTCGAATTGCCAGTGGTGTGGAGCTGGTCCCTGAAAACTCATAAAACCTTCAAATGTTTAGAAATAGGCTCAAAACTCACTTCAGTCGGATAATCCTTCAGTTCGCACGATCCGTAGACGATGTGGTTGTAGGCGAGGCACAACAGAACCGGAAGGAAACCGATGCCGACGAAGTAGAAGTGACAGACGTCCTATAAACATTTTCGTGAAGAATTCAATCCAAAAACATCAGTCTTACCTTGATTCTGTTGACAATCAACTGTCCGGGACGCTTTCGGAAAACAGCAGCGTGAGAGCTTCGAATAGCCGGAATCAGGCTCGTCGACGGCTTCAGAAGACCGCTGCGGCAGTAGCAGACAGCCGTCGGCGCCATTTTACTCATCAACGCCATGCTCGCGATAAGCCAATCACCTGAAAACTTTAAAAATTGTGGAGAAACAACACATTTCATGTAGAGTTTGTTTTAGAGGGCTAATCGCTTATTTTTTCGGGCGATTACTTGCTAACTTATTAGTTAAAGAGTTTGAGTATCATAAAATCAAATTATTAAAACTAAAACGTATCAAAAACTTTAAAAATGAGAGCTCAAACAATAAAAAAAAGAATTCCGGTTGCGGCAGGGTAAAGGGGGCGGAGCAATCCCATCTTTTGCAACGCTGCGGCACACTTTTTACCACATTTTATTTGCCGCAGTGTAATAAAATTTTTATCGTTAAAGAAGGCTTTGTTCCCTGTTGTTGGGGTCAAATCTTTGTTTTCCGGCCGCAACATGTTTAAAAAACCGTTCAACATAAAGAAAAACACAAATCAACGAAATTCCGACTCGTAAGTCATCAAGTTTTTTGCAGTTATTCGAAAACTTTTCTTGCAGACGAAAATTGTTCAACAGACTGAAAGATGAAGTGAATGCAAACACGAATATCAATAAAAAGGGGCAGGTAAGCAACGAGAATGTTTTTAAAAGATATTAACTGTTTTTCAGGTCGCCCAAGTGAAAATCATGAATTCGGAAGGAACACAAATGCACATTTACACCGTCGACAAAGTGCCGATGCTTTTCGATTTCAGCGAAGCCGGCAACATTTATCCGACTATATACTATCTGTGGAACAATCCGAAAGCGTTTCCAGTGATAATTTGCCACGATCCAGTGTTCGGTTACCTAGAGAACGGCGCCGATTTGATGCTGCCCGGAGTGATTCGTTCGGCCAATTTCCGCTTCCCCAGTTTCCAAAAGGGCGTCCCTCTCGCCATCGCCTTCTATTCTTCGGAAAAGGAAACAGTGTCGGGACCTTCGGCGGTCGGAGTCTCTTTAATGTCCTCCGAAGACATGTTCGCGTGCGGATTCAAGGGAAAAGGAGTCCAAGTTCTACACGTGTTCAGAGACCAACTCTGGGAGTTCGGACCGAAAGGACTGCCGCCAGTTTTGAGCTTGGAAGAGTGGTCTGAGATTGGAGAGGAACCTTCAGGGGACATTTTACTGGAGGAAGAGGAAGAAGAAGGATCTTCGGCGGATAAGGACCAAGAGCCAGAAGAAGAGCAGAAAAAGGAGGATACGGATGAAGATGAGATAACAGAAACCATGGAGCACTTGCTCACTCGCTGTTTCCTGGCAGGGCTCAAACACCGTTTCACGCGTGGGCTCCTTCCGATCGACGTCGGCCAGTTCTACACTCAATGCGTTCTCGCGTGTGTTCCCGACGGCCGGCGGCTGGATATGAAGAAGACGAGCTACAAGAAATTCGGAACGTTTCTGCAGGAAATCAACAAGGAGACCGACGAATGGATCATCCGAACGGCGGCGAGCAAAGATAAAAAGGGGGCGGATGTGGTGACGGAGGTTAACTTTTCTAATAGAATGTTCCGAGACTTCCAAGTGAGCGACGAGCGGATTGTGGACGAGGCGCCGGATGTGAAGCGAAAGTTCGAGTCTCCCTCCATTGCCGAATGCTTTTCGATCACCGAACCTGTATCCGCTCTCTTCCGAAACCACAACAAAGGGGACATTGTAACTTTGAAGGAGACCAGAGAAATTCTGACGAAATATATCAATGATAATGTAAGAATGAACTGTTGGCGTTAAATCTTTCAATAACAAATATATTCCAGAAGCTGAATGCTGCGAAGTCAGTGCGTTTGGATCCGCTCCTCAGCAAAATCACGCATCTTCAAGGTGAAACTGCGGATTGGGTGGATATCATGAGCCAGATCCACATGAGAATGACCGCCACGTGGTACATCAGATGGCCGGACGGAAGAGAAGTCGTCAGAAAGGTAACGTGTCCGAAGATCGAGTTCAAGATTGAGAATCGAGCAGGAAACAAGAAAGTGACGCTGATCAACGGACTCGCACTGTTCGGCATTGATATTCGAGCGATTTGCCATCATATTCAGGTTTCTAGAAGCTTCCGATCGTTCCATTTCCACGTGTCCTTTTGCAGACAGGCGTGGCAACGAGTGTGACGAGCCAGTGGGGCGTGCCGGGCGTCGAAGGACCGCAAGTGCTCGTGCAGGGAAATCAGATCCACTTCGTCTCGGACCTCCTCATCAAATCTTACAAAATCGACAAAAAGTTCATGAAAGGCCTCGAGTTGGCCGTCAAAAAGAAGAAATGATTGTTATGTTATTACTTGTTCTATTTGTATTTATCTCTCGTTATTCTCCAGGGTCTTTCTATTTATTTTTTGAACACACACACACACACACAAATACTTTTCCTGTGTACCTCCTCCCTAACGGTTTGATAAAACTTGGCATATTCCCTAAATGTTGAAGTTTAAAAGTTCGATATGTTTTCTTGCATGCATATTTACACTCTTTTCGATAATTTCTGCTAAAATCTTTCCCCAATCCCTTCAGAAAATGACCGGAAGTACCTGCAGTTGGCGAAAGAGATTGTGAAGAATTTCGGAACAAAAGGCCAATTCGGTACGCGGCCGGAGCCGGGAACGCGAGAGCCGTGCACGCGGAAGACGGAAACATTCGCGTCGAGTTTGAGGTGGAAAAGGACCAGACGAACCACTTCGAGACGCTGCACGGAGGCTGCACTGCCACGCTCATCGACAACTTCACCACGGCGGCGCTTCTGCTCACCAAACAGGCGCGGCCGGGAGTTTCCGTCGACTTGCACGTCACGTGAGTGTGCCTAATCGAATTGTAAGCATGGGAATCCGATGCTTGCAGGTATCTGACGGCGGCGAAGATCGGAGAGACCCTCGTGCTCGACTCGACCGTCACCAAGCAAGGACGCACTCTCGCATTCACCAAGGTTAACAATTGTGGAATTCTGAGCCATATTTAGGTAGAAACTTTTCAAATAAACAAATTTCAGGCGGAACTGTACCGCAAACGCGACAACGTGATGATTGCCACCGGAGTGCACACGAAGGCGTTCCCGGCGATGAAGAAGAGCGAATAAGCCGAAAATGTTCATAAGAATGTTAAATATTATTATTGGGGCACCGGACAGAAAGGGCGCGCTGTTCGCAATCTGGCCGAATTTCTAGGCCGCGAAGTAATTTTCTACTGAAAACATGGCCTAACTTTTCAAACTCGGCCCCGAGGTCGCTAAATTTGCACTGCAAAAAGAGTTTCTCGACCGAGCGCCATTTCTGTGCGGTGCCCCTATAATAGCACGTAATGTATTCCCGACTGAATTTAAAACGTTTTACTTATTAATAGTTAGAAATAGAAATCCGCTAAATTTCTGAGCTGCCTGATAACAATCGAAGGGCGCTTTGAGAAGTTTGTCGTTTTGTGGAGAGTAATCTCCAGTTCTTCTTGCTCTCCGACCTCATCGCATTCTGAATCTGAATTTCTTTTCACTATCCATTCGGTTGGGGCCTTCTGAATAGTCGTGTTCTTTAGAAGTGAGAGCAGTTCCGGAAGCGGGCAGTTGATGACAATGTTGTACTGACTTATAAAGGGAAGGGCTTCAGATCCAGATCGAGACTTCCAGCTCTGAAAAGAAAGAGTACGATGATAAGTGTGACTTTCAAAAGTTTATACTTGGAGAAAGATAGCGAAATCTTGAGCAGTCAGCTGATTCGCCCCTAGTTCCAGAAAGTTTCCTCGGAATTTTCGGAACTGATCACCGGAAAGTGAGCGATAGAAATGACGAGATTCCTGGCCGCCGACGGTCAGAGAATTCAGCTGAAACCTCAATTGCCGAAAAAAGAGGCAATGCGCCAACCTTTCCCATGTGTAATTGCTCGAAAAAGTTCTCTGGCACGTGGAATCTCCAGTCGACCAGCAGTTCCGTGCACTTTACCGACTCCATGAGCTTTGTCAATTTGTCCACATCACATTCCATTCGGGAGCTTCCCAATTTCATGCAATTCACACTACTGAAACTGGGGATCAGTGACTGAAGCACGGAGATCGGCTCGTTTCGGTTCCGATCGCTTCCAGCCACAGTAGGTCGATCTGGGCGCCGCGGAGAAAGAGATCCACGTGTTCGGGGCTCAGAGAGCACACTTCCGACGAGTTGACCAGCGTGAAGCTTACCTTTTCCTAAAGATTTGATAAATCCAAGAACGGCGTGGCTTTTGTGGCTTACAGGAGTCACGAGCATTTGTCGGATCGGAACAGGAAGCAGATACTTCTTGTACACTTTTATGAACTTTTTGACGCGTCTCGACACACACTTCATACTTTGAACGGTCCGGAATTCCGTCTGAAAACAATGTGTCTCTTTCTGTTGACGACGCCCGCTATCATCACTCGGGGGGTATTCCCCGAGTGAAAAAGAAAACAAAAGGGGGTGTCAGGTGGCGGAGTACGATGAGCGAAATCATGTGAAACGGAGAGAAGATCTTCGGGAAAACCGTTGATGGTTTGATTTTTGGAGTGATCTCAAGGAAGTATATGGTAGTTCTGTAGAGTTCGAACGAACGGAAGAATTGCGAATCAGTTCTTCGCGTACTTCCGTTTCAAAAAGTCTGGCAAACGCGCTCTATTGCTCCACACGCGGCCGTGGCCGAGGGATTGCGAGCGGCAGAGTTCTGCGACTTTAACAATGTGCTTTGTCGAACATTTTACCGGAAGACTGTCATTTCGTGTAATGGCTTCTGTTTCGAATTGTTTTTATTTTTTTATTTTTTTTATTTGACTACTCATCCACATTTTTACATCTCCGACTAACCTTCTTCAAAATCTCCAATTGCATTTCGTTGGGAAGCAGCTCGAAATCGAACATTCTCGTTGTTTAGTCACTCGCTCACTTACTCACTCACTCAAAAAGTATCAACTCAATGGGAATCTGATGCAATGCCGTCGAAATCGTCGGAAGAGAAGTGGGCGGAGCCTGGCCGATCGCATGCTTCGAGTTCAAACGCTTAGAAAATGTGAGATGACTTCGATCTTTCGCACGTCGGCACGGTCAACATGTTTAATGATGGCCTATAAAGTATCGGGAAGGAACGGGCTGAAAATAACAGCGAACGGGCGGAAACAAAGATCCGAAAATGGAGTTCCTAGGAAATTTCTTATGCATTTGAAAGCAATGCATGACAGGTCCAATAGCGATAGAATCAGAAAACTTCAAAAAAGTTTTCAGTGAAAGCCTAATCAAGAATCAAAGATCCCAAAAAGTTTGCTTGTACTTTCGCATCCAGTACTTTGTTTTTGTGTTTGACAATTGTTGTGCCATCACTGGCAAGATATTTTGTAGCCCATTTCGAAAGTCATCGCTTTTTGATTTACAATATGAGCTTTTTGAAACGAAAATGAAAAAAATTAATAAGCCAAGGACGTAAACGCTTGGAAAAGTGCACATTCTTATGCTCCAAATTTTTCAGACAAACCTCTACGTGCATTAGCTCAATTCAAATCCACCCGAAGATCTTGTACATTAATCGTTCATATTTAACAATGTTTGTACTTTAAAAATGCTGAAAATCGCTCCATATTGTAGGCAATTGAAAAGTGGGCGGAGTCTCGCGCGCTCAAATGATAGCGGGCAGCGGAACCCGCGAGACGTCGGCTGCTGCGGGAAATGACCTGCGGCGGCGCGCGCGTGCGCGTGGCGATGACGATCACAAATCCGTGTTTCTGACGAGAGATTGACGATGGAAAAACGGCTGAGCCAACATTTTTGACATTGATAAACCTGGTCAGAAGGATCAGGATGAAGTTAAGCAAGTTTTCTGAAAAATGTAGTACTTTTCCGGGCAATCCCCAAATATTTCCCAGTTCTTTTCCGTCGGTCTTGTTCTGCCTGACTCATACACACATCGCCGTCGTTTTTTTTCGCACCTCCATTGTACGGAAGGCAAAAATGGGTGTGGACCGGTGTGACGTCACACGGATAGTTTCTGGGCAGAGAAAGCAAATAAATACGGGGGCCAGCGGAGCGTGTATTCGCTCGCTTTTCCCCCATGTGTTCATCCCTTATCTGATGTGTTCTCTGCCGTTTTCCTTCTAAAAACGACGACGTCACACAAACTTTCTCGTTGTACTAGCCTACAGTATGACTCAGAAGGAAACAACAAAAAAAAGTAATCACGATCGGTCAGACAGTTCATTCAGATGAGTACGATGATAAGAAAGGCGTCCAAAAACAACTTTTTTTTTTGTTCCATTCGAATTGTACAAATTCAAAGTGCGCTCACAAAGTACCAATTTTCTCGTCATTCTCGGCATAAACTGGACGCAATCGACTGGAAGAATCCGTGTAATAATGGACGGAATATTGCGAATAATTGGATCTCGCGCGATTTTTATGAAATCGTTTTCTTCTTCTTTCTTTCTTTTGCCTTTCCGAAGCGATTTCTGGACTGGATTGCCAGGAATGGCCGCCGTGTTCGGTTCGTCCCCGAACCGGTCCTTTCGACCACCGATTCGCCCCCTTTTTCCCTTTTTTACTCCATTTTCTGTCATCATCTCTTCGTCGTCGTCGTTGGCAGCCGTGCAGGTCAATTACATATTCGTTCGTTCGCTGCTCTTCGCCCTTTTTACGACGGAAAAGCGAAACGAGGAAGAATTCGAAAAATGTTCCCGAAAGATGTATATCTTTTGCCCATCAGCTGCTGTCCTTCTCTCTTTTTCTCTTTCTGTTTCTCTCGGAACCGCCGCGATTGCACGCATCTGTTTCGTTCCGTTTCCGATCATTTCAAAGGTGAATCTCTTTCGAAATTATCCGGTTTCTTCAAAAAGTGTATGAAAAAGTTTAGAATTTTGTATTTTTGGACGTTTTCTCACTTGATTTCCTGAATTATTACTTAAACATTTCAAAAAAAAAACTTCAAAATGAGGCTCTGAAGCGTTTTTCTTGGAAAAATAGTGATCTTGTTGCAACATTTCGCAAGCGCGGCTTACAGTACGTTTAAAGGCGCATAACGAAGTTTCGGCAAACTTTGCAGGTCTGGCCTGCAAGTGTCGAAATTTCCAATTTCTCAGAGCTTTTGCAGCGCTAACGTTCCGTGAATGGATAATATAATCGTGTCTCTTCCTTCTCCTCCGCTTCTCCATTTCCCATTTCACTAATTGAGTTCATTTCTGCAGCATCTTGCTCATTTCCCCCTTTCTCTCCGTCTCTCTCCGTCGCTTTTACCGTAAAATGCGTCCACTTGAGGGAATATAAAGAGAAAAAGAGAAGAAGTGCGAATGAAGAACGGAAAAACGGGTGAAGAGCTCTTCAAAAAAAGACACAAAAAGTGAGCGGAAAGAGGAAGAAAGCGAATACTTTGCATAACATAATCATGGTCGCTTTGGTCGCCTTGACCTTCCGCCGCATCCGTCTCCGTCTCGTGATCTCTCGTCGCATTCAGAATAAGAAGAAGAAGAAGAAGAAGAAGAAGAGGAGAGGCAAGAATAACTCATCTTGAATGCATTCTCCCCTCCTTCTTCTCTTTGTCTTCCTTCTCCTAACAAGCCGTCTCTTCCTTTTCGCCGAATGGCAAATGCGTAAAAGTGGGACTCTTAGACTGTACTAGACTTTTACTTTTTTTAGTTTCTTCCGTCTCTTAGTTCACTTTTTCATGTCAAATATCAGTTTTGGTCCCTGAAAGTTGGATTTAACCTTAAAAAAATGCGTGCAGAAGTGAACTCTCTAACTTGACCAAAAATAGTCACAATTCACCGATTTTTTAACGCTCCCCTACAATATCAGTCCCATCCTTCTGAAAACTGCTTTCAAACTACAAAAAGAGTTGCTCGGGATCTCTTTCGTGCTCATAATTCACGAAAACGAGGTCTTGAGCCGGCCCGCCGGAATAATTCATTCATTTCTCCTGGCAACGGTTTCCGTGAGTCACGAGCACAAAATGATGTTGTTCGGTGCTCCGATGAACTCGAAACATTCATTCATTGTTTTTTCTTTTTTTCAAAAATCATTCTCTCCGTAAGTCGCCGCACTTCCAAATGCATATTTAAATTCGAAATCGAATTCAAATTCAAATTCCATTTCGCCCCCCCAACGCACTCTTTTCTGTTTATTTCCATTCTCTCTCTCTCTCTCTCTTTTCATATATTATCTATCCTTAGGAATAGTAGATCAGAAAAAAGAATTCCATCCCATCGCATCCTTTTGCGCCGCCGTTATTGACAGAAATTTGGGCGCGCAGAGACGATGAGATCCAATTAATTTCCTGTCTTCGTTCTCAATTCCAATTGCTTCATTGTGGCGCCAGAAGACGTCGCGTCGCTCCAAAATTGTTTTTTCTGAGTTCTCCATGGGTTTTATACTATTTTTGTAGTTGATCACTTTTTTGTGCAATCATTTCTAAAGCTACGAACAGCAGCAGCGCACTAAAAAATATTGTCCATTCAAGACGATGTATCTCAGCTGTCTGTAGAGATATCAAAAAGTTGTAAATTGATAAAATGTGCAACATTTATTGATGAACAATTTGTTAGTTGACAATTTTTAGATAACTCTACCGACAGTTGAAATATATCGTTTTGAATGAACGGTATTCAGGTGCTCTTCTATTTCAGACTTCCAAAAGCCGTATTAGCCTTAAGAATGGTTGCACAAAAAAGTGATGAACTACAAAAACAGTGTAAAAGACCTGCCAAATCTATACAAAATGTTTTTGGAGTGATGTAACGTCTTCTGGTTACAGTACGATCGTTCAACTTCCCTTCAAGTACCCAACCTTTCCCTCTTTCTCTCTCTCGCTCTTTCCCTTCTTCTCTCAACTTCTCCTCCGATTTGTTACCAAAAACAAACAGAAATCCGCTGTCCGCCGCCTCCTTTCCGCATTGTTTCCGCTCGTGACCCCTCTCCGAACCGTTTTACGTCGTTCTCTCCGCTCAAAGTGCACTTTCCAGACGCTTCGCCCACTTTTCCATGGCTCACGGCGGTTGACCGAAACAGATTTTCTTCGGTCAGTTCGTTCTTACCATCAACGAAAATGCGCTTTACGGTAGAGCGCATTTGTCAAAAAAGTGTTCATCAAATCGAATTTGTGTGTGTGTGTGTGTGCCTCAAATTGTGTTATTCTGTTGCATTCGCGGCAAGCGCCTCTGCCCGCTTTTCGCCTCTTTTTTCGCAGTCAAAACAATTTTCGGAGGCTCTTCTTCTCCGTCGATTCTTCAACCGAAAGAGCCCAAACAACGGGGCTCACACGCAGTTGCGCAAACACGAGCCATCCCAAAACGTCCCTGCTCCATAGATGGAATCGTTCCAGAGACACTTTTAGTTGTTAAGGGATCAGGAGATTTAGGAGTGACGGGATTATATATACACTTTTTTGTTTCTGTAGGGAATAGGGGGCCGTGTTGACTGAAAGTAGAAAATGTCGAATTCGGAACCACCCAAGTACAATAGCGTTCGTTCAGAAGTATATATCTCAGCTGCCAAAAGAGATAAAAACACGTTGTCAACTGAAGAATTGCTCAGAAAGACGTTGCGCACATTTTATTAGTTGACACCTTTTGGATATCTCCACTGACAGCTGGGGGAGGAACAACGCGATGCACACTGTACTTTTCTAATCACTTTGTTTTCTGTCTTACTCTATGAACTATCCAGTGAGATTTTAAGTTTGCACTAGCATGAAGATCATGATCCGATTTGAGTCCAGTCCAGATTATCCATACCAAGTGTTAGAATTACGGCGGTCACTTGAACTTTTGTTGCTTTTGCTCAAAGTTTCCGCAACTTTGGCTGACAAGATTGGAAGGGTTGCTCAAATGTTACAGAGGTAAAAACTTCCGTTTCCGTCGTTTTTTCTTCTTTCAGCTCTCTCTCTCTCTCTCTCTCTCTCTCTCTCTCTCTCTTTTTCTCTTTCTCTTTCACATCCGAGAGAAGCTGCTGAAAAGCTGAAAAGACGGATTTGGTGTTCGGCTTGGGGAAGAGGGTGGGAACTTTTGAAGAAGAAAATCTTGAGACACATCGAAATCTAAAGCTCTTTTTTAGCTGCCGGTCCATGCTTTTGCGAAGGCTTTAGGCCTCAAAAAACCGCGGTCCTGATTGTATTTAGTGTATATAGCAATGGATCAAACTTTGTTTCCGAAAGTGTCGCGAACTTTGTGCACCTGCTCCCTTCCCCGCCGATCCGTGCGCATTATTTTTTGGCGAAAACTCAACAAAAATGTTCGATTTTTATATGTTTTCGATGGCCAAAAACGTATATAAAACTCGTGTTCTTCTCGCCTTCCCCCTCACTTTTCCCATCGTTTCATTTCTAGAAAAATCGTCGCGAATCGTTTTGAAGCCCGAAAATGCTGGAGATTTCGCCGTGGGAGACGCTCGTGAAACTGCTCACCGACTCGCTGCTCAACTGCACCGGAGCCCATGAGGACGTGCCGCATTCGAAGCATTTTCTCAGATGTGAGTACGCCGCCCGCGGCGAGCTCTCTTTTTGAACTTTTTGGTGTGTTCAGCCCTCACGACGACGTACATCGCCTCGTTGGCAGTGGCGACGGCGGTCACGGTGGGCACAATCTGTCTGGCGGTCCTTCATTTGGTCTACATCTCCTTCTACATCACACACTCGAACCGACGCCTTCTGATTGTCCTTCTGGCATGCACGGCGCCGGTAGGGACCGTCTAAAACTACAGTACTCCTCCCATCTCCTACTTCTTCTTCTTCTTTCAGCTCGTCTCGATTCTGGCGCTCGTGGCGATGTACATGCCACGTGTGTGGTTTCTCTCGCACCTCCTCTCGTTTCTCTACTTCTCCTTCGCCCTCTGGGTCATCATCTGCCTCCTTTTGCACATTTTCGGCGGCCATCACGCGCTCGTCTCGAAAATGATGCAGCGGTTACAGTACGTCGAGATCGCGACACCGCCGTTTTGTTGTCTGTTTCCGTGCCTGCCCAAGGTCCGGCTCGAGGGGTGAGTCAGCTGGGAACGCGAAACGAATGACATCATTCCGGTGTTGTAGGAAGAAGATCCGCTGGTGCGAACTGATGGTCCTGCAGGCGCCCGTCGTCCGTCTCTTCGCCACACTCATCTCGCTGATCATCTACTTTGAGTATCAGGATCAGGGTCTTGTGTAAGTCGCCCACCAACCACGGACCACTTGCAAATGGCGCTTTTAAGACCGCTCAAAGTGCTCGACTTCATCACCCTGCCCTCCCTTTTGGCCGGAATCTACGGCACCCACATGCTCGTCACGACCGTCTCCCGAATGGTTCGTTGCCTTCCTCTTTCGCCCTTTCCCACGTACATCTACCGTAATCTCAGGATGAACTCGTCTCGTACCGGTACGTCGTCGTCTTCCGACTTTTGGACTTCTTCTTCATGGTCTTCGGTCTCCAGCAGCCCGTCTTTGATTTTCTCGCGCGATACGGAGCGTTCGGCTGCGGAACGGTTCTGCCCGCCATCGAAACATCTTTCTGTAAGTACGCTCTACCGAAATCTGGGCGGAACTTTGAATCTGTCGCAAAAAGAGCCGCATTTATATATTTTTTTGATGGAAAATTGAAATCTAGCACTGAAAATGGTTGAATTTCAGTGTTCGAACACTTAAAATGCCTGTTTTTGTTTGAAAATCAATCGATAACACGTTGCAGACTGGAAGAACTTCTTCACGGTGATGGAGGCGTTCTGCGTGACGCTGATCAGCACGGTCCTCCTGCAGCCGTCCAAGTCCTCGTTCTTTGACAAGCACCCGTCGTGCCGCTCGATGAGCTCCGCGCGGAGCACAATAACCGAAGTGGACACGGACGAGTCGACCACTTGAGAAATGGAACAACTTCTCCCTCCCCCACCGCACTCTCGCTCTTTCCTACTGCATTTTCTAGTCAACTGATTGATTGTCCTCTCTAGTTTCCACTAACTTTTCCTGTGAAACCATCTCACTCAAACACACCAACTCTCTGTCAAAAGACTGGCACCCCCATCGAAAACGTGTAAATCTTGTGTGAATGAAAAAGCACATTTTGCGAATCACATTCGAAAATGCATTATTCATATTGTGCGCGCGGAAGAAAACAAAACAGTGCCAAAGAAATACGTGCCATATCAAGAAGAGCGTAGAATGGGAAAACGATGGAAGTTAGCAAAAATGAGGGAAACAATAAAATAATCTACCAGTGGGGAATTCGGTTGTGTATACCGTCTGGACGGGTTTTGATTAGGAAGCTGAAGTGCTAAATTATTGAATTGGGGGGAATGGACACGTAATAAAAAACAAGAAAATGAATTGAATTGGTATCAGAAGATCAACAGACTGTTTCAGGAAGGAGTATTAGAGACAGAAAGGGTACATAGAATAATGTAAACGACGAAATCGTAATAAATAGAGAAGTGCGTTAGGGGGATCGGCCGGGTCAGATAATTTCACCGCAATTAGTGGTGGCTTCCAGCATTCTGCTGCTGGGGCGTTCCTCCGTGCTGTTGCCAGTAGTTCGACCACTGCTGCATCAGTTGGGGATTGTTGTAGTACTGGGCGTAGTACTGCCAGTACTGGCTGTTCGCGTTTGAGGCCTGGCCTTGCTGCTGGCTTTGACCACCACCTTGAGCTCCGCCGGATCCTCCGTAGCCAGAGTATCCGGGGTATGCCTGCGAGTTGCCACCGCCCGAGCCGTGACCTCCGTATCCGTAGCCGTAACCGCCTCCAGATGGCTTTCCCGTCTGTAACTTTTCGATATTGTTTTCGGTCGACTCGCGCACAATACTTACATCTCCTGTCTTTCCCCAGCTGCAACGGATCTGATGACCGGAAACCTCCTGATTGTTCATCTGCACGATCGCCTTGGCGGCAGCGTCCTTGTGATCGAACTTCACGAAAGCGTAACCTTGCATCTTGAAGATGCGAACCTCCGAGATGCGTCCGAAACACGCGAACGCTTGACGAATCTCGTCCTCCGACAACGACGCGATGTTGCCGACGTACACGGAAGTGTTGTCGGCCGAAGTCTGATTGAACACCTCGTCGTACGACTTCTCGTTGTGCAGCGTCGGTCTCTCCGAATCTCCCGGCTTTCTCGTCGCCCAATTGGTTCTGATTGTGCGCCTTCCGAGCCACTGTCCGTTCATTTGCTCGATGGCTCTCTCGGCTTCTTCTCTTTTCGGATACGAGACGAAACCGTATCCTTTCGACTTGTTCGTGTTCGTGTCGCGAATGACTTTGGCGTCAGAGACATCTCCGAACGGCAGGAATGCCTCGCGGAGCTTCTGGTTGTCGACTTCCGAAGAAAGATCTCCGACGAAGACATGGAAGTGTCTGGTAGTATCCACTCTCGATTGCTGCTGTCCTGGCTCGACGGCCCAGTTCACCTTCATTTCCTGCAAGAAAAAATTGACCACTGAAATTCTGAGCTAAAACTCACTCTGTCGAGAAGAAGCCGCTTGTTCATCGTTTGCAGTGCTTGCGACGCCTGCTGATGATCCGCGAATTCGACAAAGGCGTATGGATCATTCGAGCCCTGGAAATATCAATTTTGTTGTGTCAATCGAACGTTTCAAACAGTTTTCCTAGATTTTCAAAACGCGGTGTTTTCACACTCAGACTGAACAAAAATTAATTTTAAATGAAAAATTATATACACTGTCTCAGTGTCGGTGTGTTGGTTGCCGCCTTGTGCATTTGTAGCCAGGTACCCCTCACCAAGTCCTGTGAAATTAGAAAAAATCAGTTTAAAATTTGTCACAGAGGAGAAAAAATCAATAAAAGCGGAGGAAAATTGCACGTACCGCGGAAATTTCTGGTTTTCTGCAATGGTTTAGTGGGTCAAGGCTTTTTCGGCAAACTCACGTCAAATATCACTTTCGTCTTGGTCACGGCTCCTATCTGGTTGAACAGCGTCGATATGAGATCCTCAGAAATCGAAGGATCAAGATTTCCGACGTACCTTAAGAGCCAAATCACCTACGTGTTTTGAAAAGCCAACTTACAAGGTTCTCGGGTCGTCGGAGCCATTTCCGAGATGGAAGCCTTCCTTCTCGGCCAGTTTGGAGTGAGTTCTCGGATTATATCCGGTGTACTCCTCATGATAGCCCGTATTCACACCGAAGAATGACATGTTTGAAGAGAAATTGACCCTGCAAATATTGGAACGTTATGAAGGTAAAAAACGGAGGATTGCGAATAAAATGAGTCGAAAATAACGAACAGAACCTCTTTTTCAAAGAAAAATGAGCGCATGACCCAAATAAATCGATAAGAATGCGCGAAAATGGGGCGGAAACCGACTGCGAACAGAGGTTTTTGGACTCAAAACAATGCGATGCGAGTGCCGTCGCACGCGCTGCGGTCGCGCGACGCGGCAAACCTGCGTATCTAACTCGGATTTCGGCGGCAACTCAAACACAACCTCCTATATTACGTATTTCTGCGGAATTTACAGGTTTCCGGCCCGTTTCTCCATAAAATGGTGAGTATTCATTCGAAAAATTGAGATAAAATACAAGAGAAAAATAAAGGAAGCCAGAAAATGTACGGAAATGCATTAAAAGTGGTAAAAATAATTTTTTTCGAGGCGAAGAACTCTCCGAAGCGTTCTTAATTGGCAGGAAAGTGTGAATGGCGGGCAAAATGCTGTTTTCTATAATGTATCTGCAAGAAAAGGATTAGATTGAGCGGGAACCGGTAGATAAACTCACGGTGGAGGATAACGAAGATTATTAGGCTAAAATTCCTAAAGTGAGTAGAAAAGAGACCAAAATGAACGAGGAAACCAGGAAAATTGGTCCGAAATTCCGCAAATCCGCTTTTCTTTGTAATATTTATAATGGCCATCCGGCATGTCTCTGAAATTCCGAAATGAATACCAAAATTCCTCTAAATTCTGAGACTCACGTGCCAAAACTGACAACAGTAGAAGTTGCGGACCTGTCTGACAAGTTATCCATTTTCCGTCCTAAACTCGTAAAGAAATTTGAGAAATAGTGCCAAATTCTATAAAATATGCAAAAAAAGGACGGAAAGTGAGTCATACCGCACACAATTGCGTTGCTTTCTTATCAGCTGAGAGAAAAGTAGAAGTGACTAACACGCTTTGTATTTATATTCGAACCAATTTCAACGGAAAATAAACACGCAAAATGTCATTTGCAGGTGCTGACGGCCGAGGAATCGGCTCTCGTTAATCAGATCGTCAGAATCGCTTCGCTGAAGAAGGAGGACAGGGAGAAGCCACCGCAGAGAATCCCACAGATCTCTCCGAGATCATACAGAAATGGATTGGCGAGCAGGTTCGGAACATAGTTTCAGAGGAAACCTTAAAAAGAAAACATTTTCTTTCAGCATCCACTGAGAACAGAGGCGGCTGTTCTTCACGGATTCTGCTTTGTCGCCCACAGAAATGTGGTTGTGCTCTGGAAGAAGGCGAACCAGCTGGCAGACCGCCTGAAAGAAATGGATCTCACCGTACGGACAATTAAACTGGTGACAGAGAATCCGGGTCTCGTTGAGTGTGAATTCGACCAGAAAGTGAGGACTGAGCAGCTTTCGTTGATAAACTGCTAAATTATCTTTTGTTAATTGCAGAAGCTGTTGAAATTCACGGCTGAAAGAAAAGAAATCACGATAATTGATGCGACCGCCGTCGACTTTTTCCAGGCTTTCGGGGCAGTCGACATGGCCGACGATCTTCTCCCCGGAGACCCTGCCGACTATGATCTTCGTAAGCGTTTCTTTCCAACAACAATCTGGATAAAAGGTGAAATTTCAGTTCTCGAAGACATCAGAAGAGCGTCAGCGACGCCCAGCTCCCAGGAGCCAATCGACGAGCAGGACGCTCTTTCGGACAGCGAACCCACTTACGCCGATCTGTTGGTTTCTTCTAAATCACTGCTTTTATTCGAACATTTTCAGGAGCATTTGGTGCAGAGAAGAGACCGAGGGAGTGGAGAATCTGAATCCGGGACCAGTTTCCTGCTCCTCATCTCAAGAGGCATTGGATTCGTACGATTCTGGGCTCGGAATGAGCGCCCTCTCTCTTTCGATGTAAGAAAACGATTCGTGATGTATAAAATCAGAAGTTTTCAGCGACACACACTACCACTTCCAGCAGCCGAGGTCCAGTGCCGAATCGGATGCGAATTTTCATCAGTACTTTCAGATTTTTGAAAACTTGAAAAAAGTGTTTTGCAGGGACTCGCCACAAACGAACATGATGCTGACGCCAGTCATGGAGTCTCCGCGTGTGCCGGGAATTCGAGGATCTTCGAGACGAAGGTAGATAAGCTTTCAGTTCGGATCAGACGGGAATTCTCGATTTCCAGAACACGCTCACCGAGCCAACATCTTTCACCGATTCGAGAGGACGTGGGCGAGCCAGGAGAAGTCGATGACGTTGAAGAGGAAATGTAATACCATAAAACTTTATTCGATTTTGAAAAAAAAAAGGATTCAGAATCTTCAATCCGCCGGTTACTTCAACTCCATTGAAAAGGCGAGAACAGCGCGTAAAGCTGGAAAAGAAAGAGTTCACTCCGGAGATGATTCCAAAGAAAAAGCGACGAATCGGACAGAAGAAGGCGAAAAAGAAAGAAGACGGCGTGAAGATCAAAGAGAAGAAGCCGAGATCGAAGAGAGCTACCAGAAGAGCCAGCCTGCCGCCACAACGAGACGAACCGGAGGATCAGGGACCGGTTGATGAAGATCCTGAAGTGCCGGCGGAGCAAGACCGTCAGAGTCCCGTGACCGATCGTGATGGATCCGTCGACCGAGTTGAAATGGCTCGCGACCCTGACTTCGACTTTCACTTCCATTTCGATGCGCCAGATCTTATGGATGTCGACCAAGCTCCGCCAATCGACGATGAGCACGTCCTGCCGCACAGTCGTCAGAGAACCCCGCCAAATCATGAAGTTCTCCAGAATCCGGACGAAGAGTCGGAATCTCTTGACGTTTTCATGGATATTGCCCACGTCGACGATATAGGGGAGCCGTCAGAAGCTCCGCCAATCGATGAAATGCGGCACAGTCGTCAGAGGACTCCGTCAAATAGCGACGAAGTTCTGAAAGATCCAAATCAAGAATCAGAATCGCTCGACGTTTTTATGGATGTATTGCACGTCGACTTGGTCGGGGAGCAGCCGCAGCCAATCAACGAAGAGCAGCATACTCGTCACATAACTCCTCTAAATTACGATGAAGTTCTGCAGAATCAGACTCCGGAGCCGAGTGAAGAATCGGAAGTTTTCGACGAGATTAAACAGAAAGTTCTGAATGCAATCAATAAAAGCGACGAAGCGGTGAGCTTTTTCTTTTTTTTTCTCACAAATTAGGCCATTAGTCCGTTGAAAAATGTGAAATCCGACCCCTCCCCTCCTACTTAATTCTGCTCATTTTTCAGCTCATTTCCTTCTCGCCGCTCCTCTTGAGCATCTGTCCACAGCCCAACGCAAAATCGGCGGCTCGTGGCTTCATGAGCATTCTGGAGCTCGCGAAGACTCGTCAAATTGCTCCGCCCGTTCAAGAAGAGCCATTCGGAGCGATTATGCTCTCCGCTAACCCGACTAACCCTCCTTTACCCTCTTCTTCATCATAAATTATGCTCACCCTAATAATTCCTCTCTAACATTTGGTTTTTTATGTTAAAATTGAAATTCCTGTAAAATATCTATTGCTTTACGTTAGGAAATTGCCCTCGCTGACCCTGTCCACCCTTTTCCCGCGTAGTTTTTAGGCCACGGCAGGTTCAATCGATTTTTCACTTGCCCGCTCGGTTTGCCATGTTCTCAGGCCCCCTGTGCTTTTTCGCATATTTTCCCGTCCATTTTCCATTTCCTGTGTTATCGATTCGGTTACCGCCCGAAAAATCTGGTGTCTGCGCAATAACTATGTACTTTTTGTGATAATAATGAAAAAATTGTGGTTTTTTCGTCGTTTCCCACTCTTTTATGCGTTTTTCCAACGTGTCAATATATTTTTAGTTTGATTGCTTTTTGTTATCCCACTCTTTTCATTGAAATGTTCACTTTTCAGATGGTTCGCAAAATGAACAACCTGGCGAAGCGTCTCGCCGCCAACTCAAAAAGACAACGGCAACCGGAGCCCGAGGTGAGCAAACTGATTCTGTTTTTTTGCTAAGATTTGAGTCCAGAGCGATTCCGATGGCTCGGATTTCGATTTCGACAATGCGATCGTTGAGGAGAAGGCGATGGGAAAGCCGCTGGACGAGATGGAAGTCGACGAGGATTCCGACGGAGACGAAGAGAAAGAAGTGAGATTTAAAGAAAACAAACGAGGTTCTCAACGCAAAAATGTTTGTTCCGGCGAAAAAAGCGCATAAAAACCACAGTTTTCTTCCGATTCTTCTAAGGAATATGTTTTCAGCTGCAAGCAGCGTTCGCCGCCGGTCTTCTGAAGGATGGACTCAACATCCAAGTGGCCAAGAAGCGGCCGATCATCAACAAATCGGCAGAGATGAAGGAGAAGTTGGCCGAGATGACGAAAGATCTTCCGTGGGTGGAGACGCTTGAAGTGGTCACTCCGCACGTGGAAATGGACAAGAAGGTGGAGAATGACGACTTTCAGAGAGAGCTCAACTTGTGAGTTAATCCATTTCCAGAATAATTCTAATTAAAAATGATTTTTAGCTACAAACAAGCGGAGAAGGCGGTTCAAATTGCGTATCCACGTCTTCTGAATCTGAATATCAAGGTGTTGAGACCGACGGATTACTACGCGGAGATGGCGAAGACCGACTTGCACATGCAGAAGGTGCGGAAGCGTCTCGTTGACATCCAGGAGATGAAGGAGCGTCAGGAGGCGTTCCGACGCATCCGAGAGGAGAAGAAGTTCGCGGTGAAGGTGCAGAAGGAGGCGATCGCCAACAAGAATTCTGAGAAGAAGAAATTGGCGGACGCGGTGAAGAAGCACAAGAAGGGAATGAAGCAGCAACTGGAGGACATGCTCAACAACGTGAAAAGACACGGTCTCGATCAGGACGACGACGAGCGACCGTCGGGTGGAAGGGGCGGACGAGGCGGAGCCGGAGCCGGAAGGGGCGGGTCGATGAGAAACGCCGGAGAGCTCAAGAGGAAACTCAAGTCGGACAAGTTCGGATACGGTGGAAAGAAGAAGGGAATGAAGAGAAACAACAAGGAGAGGTAGAGATTATACATTCACGAAGGAACACCAATCTATTCTTATATTTTCAGTTTCAACGATCTGTTCGGAGCCCCGCGTGGCGGATTCGGTGGTCGTGGTCGTGGTGGTGGACGCGGAGGCCGCGGAGGACGCGGAAGACGCTAATATCCCAATATGCATCATTTGTTGATCCTTTTTATTGTCGTTTTGTTGATTTTGTTACTGTTATCATCTTTTTCTGCTTTTCTTTACCCCTAATTGAAGTTTCAATAAAATTTTGAAAGTTTTTCAAATTCTACCGACGGATTCGTTCCCAACGATATTGTTATTCCTTTGTCGCGTGAAAAATGTGCGCAAAAAGCGAGGCTTTCAGAAAATGCGCTGAAATGGAGCAATTCCTGTTCATGAGCACTTCGGCGTTCGCCGTCTTCATCCTTCTGCTCATCTCTACCTCCATTCCGTACACTTTTCTGCGAAACTGTTGTGTGTGAGTGGAGGGGATTCCGAATTGCACATAAAAACCGCTGATTTCCGTTCAGAAATGCCTCGAAAACGTCGATCTCATTCCTGGGATGCGCATCGTGCGGCGTCTTCATCGCCACGTGCTTCCTCGGCCTCGTTCCGCACGTCCGACATCAGGAGATGCATCTGAGGGGAAATCAGACGATCGCGGAGACCTACGGATGGATTCCGTCCACCGATCAGCTCGTGATCATCGGATTCCTTATCATTCTGATCACCGAGCAGGTAGACGACTTTTAGAAGACATTTGAGCCCGAACTCTTGCAGATAATCCACGGAATCGGACATTCGATCGGCGGTCATTCGCACGGAGAGCATCGGCCTTTGGCGACGGGCGAATCGATAAAAATGAACAAGTTTCATCATGATGTACGTGAAATTTGAAATTTAAAACATTCCTGGAATTGGATTTGCAGCAGACTTGTCACGGGCCGGGTCTATATTTTTTTTCCAATAGAAGCCTATTTTAGTCTGGTTTTCAGGAAGAAGAGGGCGAAGATCACGTGCCGCTGGTGGCGATGGACGACGACGCCGACGACATAATCTTCCGGCAGAACTCTAGTCCGCACCATCATCCGTCCTCTTCGGGACACTGCCGCTCCTCGCCGCACGGCTCTTCGATGAACATCCGCGTGTGGTTCCTGTTGCTCGGAATGTCCGTTCACTCGTTCTTGAAGGCGTCGCGCTCGGCGTTCAAAACGACACCAACGCCTTCTGGCAGATTCTGATCGCCGTCCTCTTCCACGAGGTTCTGTGCTGTGTCTCGTACGGAGTGCAGTTGGCGAAGCACAACGCGTCGAGAAAGTACGCGTGGACGTCTTCCATATTCCTGTCCGCCACGATTCCAGCAGGAATGGTACTGGCGACTATGGTAGGGGATCTCGGGAAGCTCGGAAAGTTCAAATAAAACTTCAGATCGATGGAATCGAGAATGACATGTGGCAGCGGATGGGACGGTATTGGCTGGAAGGACTGGCCGCCGGGACGTTCGTCCACGTGGCACTCGTCGAGTTGCTTCCGATGGAATTGCATTCGGACGAGGACGGAGAAGGAGGGCACGGGCATTCTCACGTGAGTCTCGGATTGGACCACCTCTTGGGGGACCTAGACTTGAGAATGAAACCTGCTGCAGAACTAGAATCGGTTGAAAATCGTTTCCTTGCAGAACGTGATCGCAGACACCTCGTCTTCCCATCCGAAATCCGGCCACTCTCATTGGAATTCCTTCTTCAAATCGCTCTTCGTCGCCGCCGGAATCGCTCTGTTCGTATTCATCAAATCTTTGATCGGAGACCATCATTAATTTTATAATGTTTACCCCTCCCCCAATAATTTCAAAGCCATAATTTGTTGTGAATTGATATAGTCGTGCATAATTTTGATTATTGTCGTGAATTGATCTCGGTTCGGTACGAAAACAAATAAAAATGTATTTTTTCTTGGCGAATATTCGAAGAAATTGTCGATAAAATCTCTTTAAATATATTTTCAGACAAAAGCGGAAAATACCAAAATCCAATACCAGATGTCCATAATCCACGTGGAATCCGAGTTTGCGATCATCGACGAGCAACAGTTTTACGAGAAAGTTTTCGAGAAATCAAAGTGGGCGTATCTATCTCTTTTTTCTAGAAATGTCTCGATTTCAGCCTAAAAATGCGTCCGGAATTCTTCGAAATTCACTCGGAATTCATGCCGGATTCGCAATTTGAAGCCATCAAAAAACGGGGAGTCAGCACGGGTCGGAAGCGGACGAATAGCCAGACGCATTCAGAAGACGTCACGTGGATTCGCGAGATTTCGACGAGAATACGCACGGCCGGACAGGATTCCGGATATTTTAAGAGCAGAGAACCGGCGACGGACAACAACAAAACGGCGAGAGAAGCGGCCGCGCGGGCCGTCGTCGTGAGGGTGCCTTCTGGAGCAATGACGTCATCGGAGCAAGTGGTCGAAGTGGAGAAACGGGAGCGCGTGGAGGATCTGATGTGCAACGGAATGATCAGCAATTGGATACGATTCCAGAACAACAGTCCGGTGGGCATCATTAGGAATTCAGGTTATAGTCTCGGCGAATCTCTCCAATACTTGAGTACTTTCAGACGGAATCCAGTTCTTCCTTCCGCCAAATTCCACTTTCCACGTGGGCGACGTCGCCGACATTGAGCAGTTCTCCGCGATCCACGACGTTCTGTTCGACCTAGTCGTCGCCGATCCACCCTGGTTTTGCCGATCGGTCAAACGAACGAGAATGTTGGAAATCCTCCAGAATTTCACGCATTTCTTTTGAAATTCAGGTACGACATGAACGAGCAGGTGCTCGAGCGACTGGATCCGTCAAAATTCGCCGCTCCGGAAGCGTTGCTCGTTTTTTGGGTGACAAATCGGCGAGGCATCGAGGAGGAAATGGAGAAGCGAATCGAGAAGTGGGACATGGAAGTGATCGCCACGTGGAAGTGGCTGAAAGTAACGTTTTTTGATGGAAACTTTGCAATAAAACCGACCATTTTTGAGGTGACCACGCAAGGAGATCCGGTGTACAATTTCGAGAATCCAAGCCACAAAGTTCCATTCGAAAACGTGATGTTTGCAATGAGAAAAGGCGCAGAAAGGCCTTCGAAGTTCGCTCTTCCCGAGAAGTTCGTGTTCGCCAGGTAATTCACGATTTTTGAAATTTTACACAAGTCTGCTTTTACAGCGTCCCGATGGCTGTTCACTCGCACAAACCGCCACTTTTCGATCTTCTCCGACACTTTGGCGTCGAGTTCTCCAGGTACTCAATCAAACGATCAGACCCCTCCGAACCGTCCGTCATTTTCAGACCGCTCGAATTGTTCGCCCGTTCTCTGCTGCCCGCCACTCACAGCGTCGGATTCGAGCCGTTTCTGTTGCAATCGGAGCGCGTTTTTGTGCTCAAATAATTTATTTCGTGCCAAAAAAGAATGTAATTTCCTCCAAAAAACATTAGTGAATGAATTGGGGTTGCGCGAAAAGAAAGGGGGCTTACAGAATAGGCGACTATAGAGAAACACAGCTCTGCGTGGGGGGAGTTTGGGTGGAAGTTGTGAACGGAACGAATAAATTAATTATGTATGTAGTCGTGGTGTGGTGGTGGAGAAATATTGTGCAAATAAATATAAATTCAATAAATTAGCGCTGTAAGTGACAGAGGGAAGGATTGGGGGGAAACGACGGAAAAAGACCAACTACGCCCTATGGATAATGGAGGGATAAAAAATGTGTATTGTGGCCTAGTAGGAGTTGAGAGAAAAGGGAAACTACGCGCTTTTAAAAGTTCTTTTATTGCGTTCGGAATCGAGGAATCGGGAACGGATACGGATTAGCAATTGCACTGCTGCTGAGCTGGCTTCTGGGTCGGATTCGCCTCGAGTTTCTGTCCCTTCGGCTGCTGCTGCGGGTCCTTGTCCAGGCTCTCGGCCATTTTGTCACAAATGATCTCGACGAGCTTCTCGAACACCGCCTTCACGTTGATGTTCTCTTTTGCCGAAGTTTCGAAGAACTCGAGTCCTGTAAAGAAAATAGTTGTTTTATTTTGAAGGGATATTGTGGGATACCAAGTTGATCGGCCAGCTGACGTCCTCTGTCCATGGACACCACTCTCTCCGCATCCATATCGCACTTGTTTCCCACCAAAACGACCTGCGCGTTCTCCCACGAGTACGTCTTGATTTGAGTGCACCTACAATATCTCTAGTTTCCCTGAAAGGGACCAAAAAGCTAGAAGACGAACCAATCCTGAACACTGTTGAACGACTCCTCGTTGGTGATGTCGTACATCAGAATGAATCCCATCGCGCCTCGGTAGTAGGCGGTCGTGATCGTGCGGTACCTCTCTTGTCCGGCCGTGTCCTGAAAAGAGTACCGTCGGTTTTCGGGGACCGAAGGATTATGGTACCCAGATTTGAAGCTTGACACGTTTGTCGCCACGGAACACGGTCTTGACTTTGAAGTCGATGCCGACGGTGGAGACGAACGCGGAGGTGAACGAGTCGTCGCAGTAGCGGAACAGGAACGACGTCTTTCCGACCGACGAGTTTCCGATGATCAGCAGCTGAAAGCCAACACAAAGTAGCCCTTCTTCTCGTTTTTCGTTTTTCGCTCGACGGTTCGCTCTGGTTTGTCAAATAAAATATGAAACCAGAGACTTTTGGCGCGCGGACGCCACCACCACCAACCCATCGATTTTGGGGGAGAGTGGCGGCGGCGAAGAAAGAAAAGTGAAAGTTTTTCACGAATTTCCCCCCCGCCGCCACCGCCGACGTCTTCTTCTTTTGGGAGCCGAGCGAGGGGAAGAGAAAAGAGAGTGGTCGAGTGGAAATTGGAATGGGAAATGGGCGTCAAAAAAGAGAAAGAGAGGGTGTAATTAGCGCTCACCTTGAACATGTAGTCAAAGTTCTGATCGGGTTGTCCCGGCGCAGCGCCTTGAGGTTGTCCACCAGCCGCCATCTGAAAATGCTCAAAGTTCACTTGTTTTACTCTGTTTCTATCGCCCAGAACGCGATGAAAATATCTAATTTCCCCAGAGACACAGACACGAAAACGAAAATAGTTATTAAAAAAATGATCGGGCGAGACGTGTCGCTTATCACTCATTTTATCAGCTGTCTCAACGGAGACAAGTGTCCGACTACAACTAGGCGAAAAAAAAAAGAAGAAGAAGAATGAAGGAAGAGTGAGTGGGAAACGACGGAGCTCTCTGGCTTCTCTCTCTCCATGTGTGTGTGTGTGTGTGTGTGTGTGCTCGTGGGGGCCGAGCCCATGTGTGAAGCTGTTGTGTGGTGAGCCCAGGCAGCCACGAATGGATCGATGCGCGGCCACTCGCATGAGGAGCTCACCGAGCATGCACAACCGCTTCTTCTTCTTCTTCTTCTTTTCCTTCTTCTTCTTTTTCAATACACTTGTGTGCGTGTGCGGCGCGGGTTTCGCAAGAGAAAAGAGCTCTCTTGGGTGCGTGTGTGTGTGTGGGGCTCCGAGAGCACCGAGAGCACCGATTTAATAGGGGCACCTCTTGCCTTTCTTTCATTTTTTCACTACTCCATTCCTTTTTGCAAACGAACGGAATGGAAAGGGTTAGAAGCAAATAACCAAAGATGAAAGTTGTGTACCACACTCGAGTGCATGTATAATACTAAAAAATGGATAAATGTATGCCACGAGCAGCGGACGAAGGCGACGGCGAAGAAAAACGAAAAACGAGGGGAAAGAGATTGACGGGCCCTGCGGATGACGTGTCCGAAGACGACAATTACCTCTTCGGCGGCCTTCTTGCACCGATCACACTGGCAACCGACCGATTTCGACTTTTTCAGCTTCTTCACCTTGTTCTTCAGCTTCTGGTGCACCTTCTCCTTCTCCTTCTTCTCCACTTTCACCTCTTCTTTCAGCTCCACCGACATTTTCAGCGGAATAGGGGGTTGAAGGGTTGCAAGGACGGAGCGATCGGAAGGAATGGAACCGTTTGTTCTTCGCTTTCCGTTCCGATTTCCCATAAAACCATAAAAAAGTGGGGGGAATCGGCTGGAATTGCACATGATGCACGCCCCCGGTTCATGCGATTCCGATCGTTAAAATCGCTCGCTCTTGTGCGGAGGACGTTTTGCGGAGCGGAAGGAAGAAACATGAAGAAGGAGTGGGAGGCGTACTGTAGAACTGATAATTTCCGAAGAACTTTTCATAAAACGGAATTTGCTTAGTGCTCATTGCTGCACAAGGCACCATAAATACTGTAATAGTAGGACACTCTAGTATTGTCCATTCAAAACCGTTTATCTCGGTTGTCAGTAAAGATATCAAAACGTTGTCAACTAATAAAATATTCATCAAGACATTCTCTACATTTTTTCAGTTGACCACTTTTTGATATCTCTACTGACAGACTAGATACATTGCTTTGAATAAACATTACAGTGGTTGCGGTAACCTAAAATCATGTTTCAGATGCGTTTTATAGATCGGCAACAAAATTGAAGAACACTTTTGGAATGAGATTTTCGTGGTACTGTTTCACACTGTAAATTAAGCACCGTACTTTGCTCTAGAATAAATCTCTCAAAGATCTCATCTGCAATTCAAAAACTAAAAATGCATACTCGTTGGCGGGCCGATGCGATGGCAGCTTGTTGATTATTCATCTCCGTTTCCGCCTGAAATCTGTCACATTTCTAGTATCGCGTCTTCCAACCAAAATAGTAAAAAGTGTGGACACAAAAACGGCGTCGGAAACAGAATTGCTGAATAGGAATAATCCAGCAGGGAAGGGGGGCAAAGTGAGTGGAAATCCGAGGAGCCGCCCGAAGGAAGACCGGATTTGGCGGCCGACGAGCACGAAAACGGAGAGCCGAAAGGCTTTTGTTTCGCGCCATAAATCTGATAAAAATTGTGAGCACGCGGCGAGAGAGCATCGAAAACGGAGAGGACGCAGAGAAACAGAGGAGGCGGAGAAGACTCGGAAAGGCAAGGCATAAACGACTTCTTCTTTTCCGTCGAAAGAAAAAAGCAACGAAACGTCGAATCGATATCAAAAATTGTGGAGGGGGGCAAACGAACAGCGGAAAACAGTGCGAGTTTCGCACGAATCATCACTTTGCCGCTTCGAATATCAAATATTTATGGATTCCTCTCTCTTTCGCTCTCTCTCTTTGTTTCGACTATTTCGTAATCAAAACTCACGTCGGAAAGGTTCGAGCATCGGACGAGATATCCATTGATCGAGTAGGTGAACTCGGCACACACCATTTCGGAAGTTGCGGGGTAAAAAGAGAAAATTGAAAGGGGTGATGATGACCAGGTTATGGGGATTAACCCATTTATTTATAAGTTGTAGTGTGTACAGACTCAGGCTTGGCTTTTTTTGAGGTTTGAACGTTTAGCATTGAAGTTTCTGGATGGAAGATCAATAAGACCTCGAATACCGTTCATTTATGATATCATATCTTTGCTGCGGGTAAAGATATCAAAAAGTTGTCAACTGAGAAATTACTCAAAAAGACATTGTGCACATTTTGTATGTTGACAACATTTTGATATCTCTAAAAGCAACTGAGATACATCGTTTTGAATTGACAATATTTGGATGCCCGTGTTTACAGTATTCAGGAAGCAGATAATCTGATCGTTCTGATGCTTGAACCCAACAAACATCAAGTCAAATTCAACAAGCCTGCAAAGTTTGTTCCCGATCGGGAATCTGATTATCGACAGTGGACCAAAAGTTAAGTTTTGGACTGAGAAAGCTGATCTTGTTCACTAAAACCCCAAACTTTTCCGTTTCAGGAAACTTTCAAGAACTCTCAATTTTATCAATTAGACTGTTAGTTCATTTTTGGACATAATATTCGCAGAGGTCGTTTGCACAGCACGCCTACAGTACTCCCGCCCGTCCCTTTCTCTCTCGCCACCACATTATTCATCCCATTCCATCTCGGCCGTCGTCATAATTTGAATTCCCGCCGGTGGGGGAGGGGGGGGGGGGAGAGCGTCGCGTTTTACAGGGAGACGCGGTGATCGATATGCACAATTGCGGTCCGAGCGTATTCGGCCGATGTGCTCACTCGCCCCGCACTCGCGCATTCCTCTCCCTTTCCTCTCCCTCCCAACTTTGATCGAATAACGCATTTTCCATCGATTTTCCCCCCTTTTCACTGGTCGAATACAGTAATCGAGAGGGCATTCCGTTCGCTGGTTTTCTGTGAAATTTGCAGCCAAAACGTTTGTTTTCGTTTTCAGATTAACTATAAAACCAAATCGGAAATACATCGAAATGCCCCTGCAATCAAGTAAGAATCGACAACTTGATGGCGTCAGACAAGAAAATGAGTTAGTTTTAGCTCTTTTTTTTTTTTAGAGAAATTATTCAACATTTTGCAGAGAAGTCGAAGTTGTGAACCAAGGAATCGACGAGAATCAAGTGCCGGAAGCCGATGTTCCGCCAGTTACGATCGAGAGCAAGCAGGCGCTCCAGCGAAAGGCTCAGGCCAAAAAGGAGCAGCAGAAGAAGGCGATTGTCGAGATGGATTTCGTGGGCACAACGTACCCGGGGATCACAGTTTCCGCAGTGACCAGAGACCATCTCAAGGTGGAGCACTTCGAGCCGAGGAACGAGCAGACTTCTGCAGAGTTTGTCGCCGAGGAGGTCGAGAAATGCGTCATCTGCCACAGTGTGGAGAATGAGCAGAACGAGGAGCTCATCGATTGTCAGGGACTCATGAACGGAGCCAGCAGACGGATGAACTGCAAAAGCAGGTTCCACCAGACCTGCATGATCGTGAGTTGTGACTCCTTTCATCCCTTTGCGGAACTTCGATTAATAGGTATCGTTTTCAGAACTACAATCACGGCGGCTTCATGTTTCAATACTCCGCCCGTCCGGAGTGCCAGAACAAACTTCTGTGCCCTCTTCACAGCTGCGTCGAGTGCAGCATCGTCCACAAGAAGCAAGCGGCGTACGTCGGAGCCATCGTCGAGTGCCTCGTCTGTCTCCGAGGCTTCCACACCGAGTGCGTTCCGGTCGGCGCCAAGATGATCACCGTCGACATTCCGTCGTTTGAACGCGGATTCAAGCTGGACATGATGGTTTGCCCGTCGCACGCATCTCTCAAGTCCACCGGCAGCAACATTTCGGTGTGCTACGATTGCGACGAGAAAGACGGCGTCCTCATCAAGTGCAGTACGTGCCTCCGCTCATTCCACGAGGCATGTCGCGAGACGAAGCAGCTCGACGGTCAAGCTCTGGACTCGACCCGCTGCTGCTTCTGTCTCTGCGCCGACACCGTCAAGGTCGACACGCCGGTCATCGCCAGATGGAGAGGGAACACCTTCTACCTCGCGATCACTCGGGACTGGAAAGAGTATCCGAAAAGTCAGAGATCGTCGGCGACAAAGTTCAAGACGCTCGGATACACGGTCGTCGAGTGGAAGAAAGAGGGAAGCAAATCGATTCTGCCGATCAGCGACATCTGCAAACTGACGACAACCAACGTGAAAGCGGCGGCGAAGGAGGTGGCCGAGGAATGGCAGGAGGCGTTGAACGAGCAAGCCAACAATCTGCCTCCGGTGGTCTACAAAGAAGTCCTGAGAACCGGACAGGTGAGAGTGACGCTTTGCACTTGACAAGTGTTGATGTATAAACCCAAATTCTTTCAGACATCACGCTACCTGAACGGAAAGCCTCCGAAGACGGACGAACGAGTCGAAGAGGTCGGAATCTGCTCATGCACCGGCCCGAATCGGTGCACCACCGACGATTGCATCTACTTCGCGATGAACAACGAATGCCCGCCAGAGTGTGGCAGAGACGGGCGCATCTGCAAGAATCGGAACGTTTCCGACAAGAACCTGCACCCGCACATCGAGCGCAGGGAGACCCTCGACAAGGGCTTCGGCGTCTTCGCCACGAAACCCATCCAAAGAGGCGAGTTCCTGTCGGAGTACGTCGGAGAGATCATCGACAAAGCGGAAAAGGCTCGACGGTGGGATGTGATAATCAAATCGTCCGACTTCGAGGTCAACATCTTCATGATGGACCTCAAAAATGGATTAACTGTGGATGCGGCTCGGTACGGAAATATTTCGCGGTACATAAACCACTCCTGCGATCCCAATTGTGAAGTGGACATCACGCACATCTTCGTGAGGGAGGAAAAAAATCACAAATGGTACGAGGAGCGGGCCTACATAAAAGCAGCTCGGCCCATCGCGGAAGGTGATGAAATCACGTTCAACTACGACTTCGACACGAACATGAAAACTGTGTGTTACTGCGAAGCCGAGAATTGCACCGGCGTGATCGGAGCGGCCGACAGAAGGCAAAGAGCGCGGAAACGTCAGAAAGCTCCGAAGAATGCCGTGCAGCCGACGACTTCTTCCGCTTCGAAGCGGCGCATCGAGAGGACTGAGGAAGAGCAGCCGGTCCAGAAGAAGAGCCGCACCGAGAGAACGGTTAGTTGATGCGTTTCATTGCATTCTATTCCATAATTCATGTTTCAGGCCCCGATCGCACCGAACCTTCTCCACTCGAACCGTGCGAGACCAACAGCCGCCACCCCGATCGAGCCGAGAACCGTCTTCGCAGCTCCGCCGCCGGCTCCAGCTCCAGAAGTCGCCACTGTGAGCCCGATGGCTCCGAGACCTCAGCGCCGGTCTCAAATCCGCGCACTAGAAGTCAGAAGTAGACCGGTAATCACCGGTAATATTGAATATTTTGATGTTTTCCCCTACCACTCGTTCCCTGTTTGTTGATTTCCCCCCCGTTCCCCGTTCCTTAGTATTAGAATTTAAATTTTCATAGTCGAAATCCGCTCGCCCACCCACCTAGACTTTTAAATCATTTTTGAAACATGTTAAAATAATAATAGAATCGTCGAGAAACAGTGTAGTTGGTTTCTGACCCGTTTCCATTGTTTTGCCCCCACTCTTTATTGTGTGTGTGTGCTCCGTGCTCCGTGCTCATTTCCCGTCCATTTCCCCCCCCCCACCAATAATTACTGTCGTCGTGCCGAATTCGTTCCATTCAGCTGTTTTGTGCGCCGGGCCTTATCCATCACCGAATGAATTGACTCTTCCGCTCGAATGAATGGTTGCCAAAAACGGCGAAACGATTACTGTAGAGAGTTGCACGTCATCCGCTGCGAATCGTTTGATGATTATGACGCAAGTTTGCGGAACGCTAACAAGTCAAACACATAATGGGCTGACGAGTTCGAGTGCGCTCGGCTCTCTTTTTAGGGTGCCCGATTGCGTGCTCCCCAGAAACGTTTAGTAATTGGAGAGTGTGACCACATGTCAAGTCAATCGACCTACCGTACACCTCACAGAATCCGCTTCATTTCCTCTCAATTTAGTGTCAATTAAAGTTATCTAAGCGGTTGCTCAACGAGTGAGCAATTGAGCCGGATCACTCGTCAAATACACACGCTTTCGCCCGCGAATTACATAATCATCGAGGTGGTCGTCGTGTGTGTATATTTAGCACATCTGTTGGCTTATCTGATTACTGTAGACGGGTGCGAATGATTGGCTCACAGAGATGTTTGCACTTGAAAGAACGGCAACAAATGGAGAGATGAAAAGGTGGTAATTGGGGTGAAAATGTATACATGAAGGCAGAAAAGTATGTAATAGCAGAGCGCCACAATATTGTCCATTCAAATGATGTAACTCAGTTGTCTCTAGAGATATCAGAAAGTTGTCAACTGATAAAATGTGCACAATGTCTTTTTGAGTAATGGCTCAGTTGACAACTTTTTGATATCTCTGCCGGCAACTGAGATATCTTGTCATGAAAAAACAGTACTGGGATGCCCTTCTATTACATTATTTACAATAATTCAAATTTCAGTTTCATGATGTCTTCACTTATTACCTGAAACGTTCCGATCATTTCAAGAGTACATCTTTGTACGCTATTCAGTGTGGTTGCGAAATGGCCTAGTGGCAAAGTGTCTCGTAAATCACAAGTCAAACATTGTGGGTCTCGAAACGACAAACAGCTTGACAGTACTGTAGGCTACAAAAGTTGTTCGCTTTCGTGTCGAGACCCAGAAAATAATGGATTTTACCGTAATTTCCAGATCTTTCAGATTTCAGGGTCGGATTACGGATTCCAGTTTCAAAGAAGACAAAGTGACTTGAAACCGAGTTTCCCGATTCGATGGAACTTGCCGTTATCGTTCCTCCCGCCCGAATGCCACGTGTCACCCGCCCGTCTTCTCGTCGCTCTAATCTGCGCGCACTCAAGTGTTCCTGTCCGTAATTGGAGGATGATGTAACCAAGTGTCTTCTGAAGAAAACTCTCGAGTACACACACACACACACACACACAAACTATCCGGTTACTGTAGATCCCCTGGCACTTCACCTAATTAATCTGATACCTCCTTCTTCGTCATTGGATTAGAACAGAAGCAAACAAGAAAAATGGGGGAAGAGAGGAAGAGAGAGGAAGAGAGAAAGAGAGGAAGAGAGAGAAGAAGTGTCACGCAAAGGATGTCTTCTGATTCCACCTGCCATGTCACGCAATGACCCTGTTTTGGGATGGGTGGCAGAGTGAAAGAATGAAAAGAAGATCGATGATGATTTGGTATGCAGCCAAATATTGTACACTTCTTGGAGAGGTATCAAAACAGTTATAGAGCAACTTTTATTAAATGCTATGGAATCCGTCAGTGTGAAAAACTGAAAAATTTGAGCGATACCTGAAACCGAAATGATTTGTTATTGTTTTTGGGACCGTTTGCATTTCGTTGACTATCAAAATACTAAACTTTTATCAGAAATTCATTCAATTGGAAGAGGACAGCGCATCAGATAAATTATTTAAAAAAGTAGTTGAAACACTTGAAAAGGTACTGAAACTGTAGTCATGTATTTATTGTATTTATAGAATCTGATATTCTTATGCATTCCACGAACTCAAAAATTTGGTACTTTGGCTCCGAATAGGCTGAATAGTGATGATGCAATAATTCTGAAACTAAAACTGATATCAGGATGGGAAAATGTGAAAAAATGCACCGAATCATCATTGCGATTTGACAAAACTGCACGGTTTCAAGTGTCCATCTTTGTTCCCCTTTCCTCAATTGTTAGATGAAAGGATGTGTGCAAATCATGCCCTCCGGTTCGAATGTTGTCAGGGAAAGTGTGCCAAATGAGGGAAATTCATGGGATTACTCGCCTGTTTTCGCTCCATTCATCGCCCTCCGTGAGCTTGTAATCCGTGCAAAGAAACAATGGAGCGAGTGATTAATTTCGGGTCGAATAGCTCGCAGACTTGCTAATTATGGAGACACTGTTTACTGTTTACGAGCCCCTCTGAATGAACGATTCGATGGGCTCCACTTCGGCTCCTTGGGAAACCGCTTCTGGAGTTTCGGTTTCAATGAGCAAAATGTCATCCTAATTTCAGCTTAGCAGCATGATATTCTCAACAGAAACAGTTCTTTTCAATCTTCTCCCGGTTTTCCCTCAATTCCATCCGTCGCCTAATGATCTCCCGTCGTTCGTCCGATCGTATCTTCGCTCGCAACATCATAATTCGCGTCGTGCCGGCACTAAAACGGGCGGTGCCTTTAGTAACACGACCCGCTAATGTACTCGTTACCCAATCGAGAAACGAGATTCCAATCAGTTTTGGTTGAAAGTTGCCGCATGCCTATCTCGGCACTTAATCGCCCGCCGGACATGTGTTCGTCTCTTTGCGGTATCTCGATGATACCGGAAGTAAATCAGCAGTTGTTTTTGCGACATGTCCGATCTGACGGAATGTTTGTTTGAGATAACCGTCTTGTGAGCCGATAGATACCCTTCGATAGTTATGAATATAAAGAATGAGTACATGCAAGTGGAAAATTACAGTTTCAGACTTCTCAGATACATGAGTCTACGTTTTAGCTCTTTGCTAGGATTCGCTAAATGCTTCGTGGTGAGACCTTACAATCCGGTATTGTAAATCTCCAAAACAGTAACAGTAAGCCTTTCGGAGCCTTTGAACAGTACATAGGTCTCAAACAGTTAGTTCCACACTTTCCCAGAACCAGATGACTTGTTTCCCTAATCCAATAACGCTCTTTCAACCTATTTATCTCCAAAGGTGTCACATTTTGTCACTTTTTGCATGTCATACCATCCATCCACTCGTGTGCCTGTCGTTTTCTTGTAAACATGGACATGAGAATGGATAATCAGCTGCTGCGTGCGCGGGAGCCATCCGGAACAAGAGAGAGAGAGACGGAGTGTGTGTGTGTTGCGGGGAGACGCAGAGAGTGCACCTGCTTGTACAGACCCATGTGTGTCCGTTGATTAATGCGTTGTTCCCCTACTGAATAGTTATTTGTTGTGGTTCCTTAATGGCTTCTGCCCGTGTTGATCATGCAACGGATCGAATGACCTTTTATGGCACATTTCGGACCACAAAATACAGGTCGACCTGCGCGCGCATCTGTCCGCGAATTTGTGTGCGTGTGCACCGGAATATGAGCACAAAAGTTGTTACTCTGCTAGTGAAATGTGAATTGGAGAGTAAAGCCACCGACCACTTTGAAACTGTAATTGCTTGACATGGTAAGAACTGTTCAAGAACGCATAAAGTGTGAAATTTGCAATGAAGGAGCCTAACAGAAACAGGGAAATCACGGTCTCCAGAGCTGCTGACAATGGGCCCAATAGAGCGATACATTGGCGCGAAATTCAAATTTTAACAGAAAAATTTGTGCTTTTTGCCAGATTAGCCACGAAAAACCGATAATTTCTCATTTGTCTCTCGTTAGACCGATTGTATAGGCTATTACGAATTTTTTAAGCGCAAGAGCGTTAAATTTGGTCAAGTCGCAAATTAAATTTATCCGTTTGAAGGTTTTTGGCTAAAACTGCGTGCATTTCAGTTGCTTTTCGGTAGTTTTCGCGGTTCGAGCGCTCAAAATGCTTGTATTTACGTGATTTATCGCTCTCAAAACTAATTCTGTCTGAAAACGGTCAAGAAAGCGCAAAATGAGAAGTGCGGTTTTTAGGCGGCGAAGGCGAAAAAGCAAAGTCCGCGAAAAATGCGCCAAAACGTCATAAATTCTGAGAATTAGTGTGTTTTCATGTCGAACAATCATTTTTCATCGCCTTTGACCACAAAAATCAGAGAAAACCCCCTGCTCAATTCATGAAAACGCCATTTGGCCGAGGCCACGCTCAGCTCTGGAGATCATGGATAATGAAAGTGGAATTGAGAAAGAGATAAAGTTTAGAGCTCTTGAGATCTCCCCGAAACGGTTAAGTTTGAAAATTTCTCGTCAGTCAGTCGAACTGGCGTGATCAGGATCAAAATGACGGGCCCTTAACTTTTGGCCCACTCAAAATCTACATCAACCTCTTGAAACACACACATTTTTTGGGAACCTTTAGTTCGATGTAATTGAGTGTAATAGGAAAGCGTCTCGGCAATATAATAACAGTTTGAAACATGAAATTATGTTGTGGGCTTGTCAGAATAGAGCCGATGAAAGTGTTAAAGCCCTTAGAAAACTTTGCAAAGGATTTTTGGCCACGATCTGTCAAAAAAAAAACGAATACAGTTTCACATTTCTCATTTAGCACCGAGATAGAGCCCAAAAATCTGGTAGGTATGTGTTAGGAGGTCCAATCTGTGCTCCCGAACCCGGCACTCAGTGAAATGAAAACACAAGTCAATGTAGATCATAAAACCCTTCAATCGCCTCCCTCTTCTCCTTTTTATTCGTCTCTATTGTATGTTCATGACCCAGAAATGGTGCCAGCCGTTGGGCACGGATTATTAATAAGGTTTCCCCTCGGGGAGAGGGGGTCCAAAGACACCAAGGTCTTTCGCCATTTAATAGGCTAATAGAAGTCGACTTTTCTCGAGATTATACGTTTATAGAGCGGAAAAACAAAAATAAACAAGCAAACGAATGAGGGACCCGTACAACAAAACACCTAAAAGTTGGGAAAAAAAGGCACAAAGGCGAAGCTATATCAGTGATGGAAATGAGAATAATTGACCGTGGCGCCGGTCGGATAGCACATTTGAGTGGGCGAATAGGAAGAGGAAGAAACGGAGGAAGTTGGAGAGGAAGTTGAGGGCGAAAAGTGATGCGAAGCGCCGGATTGGCTCATCGGGACCTGCTGCGGCATCTGGTAGTTCTGCGGCAGGTACATGGAGAACTCCTCTTTGACCGGAAAGTGCGAGAAGTTGGAGGAGGAGGAGGAGGAGCCGGACGAGTTCATCTGGTAATCCGTGGAACTCGAGGACACTGCAAGGAGATGAAGGGTTACGGACTGTCCAAAGATCTAGTGGATCTTACCGGATGGCTGTTGTGGATCCGAGTTGAGCAGGTAGGCGAGGTGTTTGATGTATCGGGCGGCTTCTCGAAGCGTGTCCGCCTTGCTCAGCTTCTTGTTCACATTCTTCGGCTGGACACGGTCCCGGAGCACTTCGAAGCCGTGATTGACCTGGAAAACGGTCGAGTTTAGTTAGGTACGGTGGAAAAAAGTTGAAAAAAAAGTGACAAACCTGATGAACTCTCTTGCGTTCCCGTTCATTTCTCGCGACTTGATTCTTCTTGGCCATAGCTTCTTTCGGAAAAAAGGAATAGGAGGAAAAGGGTGGAGTGGTTGGGTGTACCGAATGAATAGGCTAATGCACGGGACGGGAAGGCAGGGCCGGAGGAGGAGGAGGACGAGGAGGAGGAGGGCGGGAGAAAGTGGGCGGGGCTTATGGGACGGGTGGACACACCACGGACACTGTACGTTGTTGCACCAAAACAAAGAAAGAAGAGCAGAGAAGTCGGAAAAGGTGCTGAATTTCAATTTCAGGTTACTTTCTCGTCGTTTCGTTTTTAACGAACGAAGAAAAGTGGGAGAAATATTACATGGTCTAGTTGAAACAGAAATGAGTTTCCACTCAAAACCAAACAGAACAGGAGTGATAGATAATCAGAAAATCAACACTGTATGGGATTCGAGCTATACAAAATACGGAACAGGAGTAAAAAACGACTCTTTTCGACAGCGCGTTAAACAAAAAATGAACGCCCAACTCTTAGGATCATTTTGAAACTGTACAATTCTTGAAAATCCAAAGACCAAAGAAAGGATAATTTTTGTTGAATTTGAGAGGAAGTAAGTATCCGAACCATCTATTGTACTTTTACAGTTTCATGAACTTTACAAATTACCTTAAACTTCAGACTAGACTATGTAAAATGCAATGCAAAAAAGAATATTCCGATTCAAAATCTCATTGAAACTGGGTGACAAGGTCGCTCATTTTGGGTCACTCACTCCTCTTTCCAAACTGTTTTCCTTCTTCTTCTTCTTCTTCTTCAAACACCGCAAACTGATCAATCGTTTTCCGCTCCGAGAATATTTCGAAAAGAGGAGGACAAGGACGCCGAACCAGCGGATCCGTGATTATTATTTTTGCGAAGAAGAACTCTTTCTTCCGTCCACTTCCGTGCCCTTGACTTAACTGGCGTTTCATTGACCGCCACGAGTTGTTACGTAATCCGGGCGGGCGGCAAAACCGAAATGAAACATAAAAAAGTAGTTGAGGAGGGGCGGGCGGCTATGAAAAGACGGGCGGCCGCCGGTTTGATGTGTGGGTGTGACACGTGCAAAGTGCTGTTTCTGGAATGTCACTTGAGGTTTGAGATATTGTTGTAGGTTACGGTATAAATTCAGTTTTTGAAATGAAAATAACGAATTGCAACGAATTCAACTTGAATTGAAAAAACGAGTTGAGGACATTTTGAAACGGAGAAAATCGCTTTTTTCGGTTTCAAGACGTAAAGAAGTCAAAAACTGAATTACAGCCGGCAGTTGGTCCGCGAGGGATTGTTCGTGCTTGACGATGTTCTGGAACCTTCTATAAGCTCATTTTGTATTGAAAATGGACAGAAACCTTCCATTCCATTCGGTTCTTCTCCAGATTTCAAAAAAGTTGCATTCAGCCTCGTCAATCTCCTTTTACCGCCCAGAGACGAAACGGAAATCCGCAGGAGACACCGAAAAAAGTTCTGTTTGGCGGGAGAAATCACATTTCCGCCAAAAGAAGACCGATCGAGGGGTGAAAGTGATTGGATCGGGGCAAATGTGTCGTTTCGAATGAAAAAGTTTACTCAAAAACCGAACTTGATCGGTTTTTCCTAGTTTCTAAGACTCAAAATAATCACGCAAAATGCTATCGACTGCCGATTTCAATTCAATTTTTGAGTTCTAGACATCTTGAAACCCAAATGAATGTGTAGCAAAAATTCAGAAAACATCATCAACCGGAATGGTCGGAAAGCAGGATTTTCAGCGTTTTTCAAATACCAGAAGGCGTGACTTGCAAACGCAAGCAAAAATTCCAAAAACGCACGACTTTCTAACCGACACGAACTTCTTGCTTCACATTAACGGTTTCATAGACTTCAGAAGTTCAGAAGTTACTGTAAAAACGACTGTAGTGTATGTTTCTTCCCAATCCACGAAGAGCCGCTGATCCAAAAGGCACCGCTCCACTTCAATTTCTTGCAAAAACGTCCTTGGTGCTTGCGATGGGGTGGACCAACCATCCCGATGATTTATGGCTCCTTTCCCCCCTCCCTGTATAATTTCTTCATCACAATGGAAATGCGCGAAAAAGAAAACACTTGAGAAGCGGCCGGGAGCCTCTAATTATCGGGGACCGGGTGGGTGCCGCCGCGATCATCTAGCGCTCCGTGTTGTGTTAGCAAACAGTCTTCGATTGGGGAAAGAAGAGATCAAAGGCGGTCGGCGGCCAATCATTTTGGATTTTACACGCTTCTCGGCCCATTTCGCGCCTTCCGCAGATGTCGTTTCGACGCGAAATGGAGTGAGACCATCGAAATCAGAAGGCGACGGCTAAACGAATTATCATCTGCTGTCGGTTCGGCTTAATTTCGATTCGATCCGAGGAGAAGACACGCACTTATCCGCGTGTCACTTCACATTTGAATTCAGTCCAAAATTGGCGTGTAATCCGATTGCGAAATCGGAGAAAAAGAGGAGGGCTAGGTATCCGAACAGCTCTAATACCATACATTTAAAGCAGGTTATCTCAGCTGTCTGTTTAGATATCAAGAAGTTGTCAACTAATAAAATGTACAGAAAGACATTTTGTACATTTTATCAGTTGGCCACATTTTCATATCTCCATTGACAGCAGAGTTGAGCGGAACAGCTCAACGGAAGAACACGGAAGAATTTTTATCTTTTTTAGAAAATTTTTTCATGAAATGTGATCAACTGACAAAATGTATAGCAAAGTGAACTCTGCTCGTAAAAAAATAATTGTAAATTTAGCTTTTAATACCAAAAAGTTAGGGCTAACGGAAGACGGAAGGACATTTTCACGCAACAACTCGCATAACTTTTTTGAATGAAAAGTTAAATTTACAATTATTTTTCTATGAGCAGAGTCCACTTTGCTATACATTTTGTCAGTTGATCACATTCCATGAAAAAATTTTCTAAAAAAGATACAAATTCTTCCGTGTTCTTCCGTTAAGTTCGTCCGCTCAACTCTGATTGACAGCTGTGATACACCGTCTTGAATGGACAGTATCAAAGTTTTTACTGTAACTGTGTTAATAGAGAAGCCTAGATCTGGAATCTTTGGAATCCAACTATAAGACCTCAGTCAAGCAGATATCCCTCTAGCTTTAAGAAAAGTTGAATCTACAGTACTTTCATAGGATCTAGCCGACCGAGAAGTAGACAATATTTACCTTGTGCATATCATACCACTACTGTTAGCTAATCCAATCCGATTCTGACCTTTCGCTTGTCCTCAGATGACTTACCGCATTGCGCAACGCAAAGCCACCGTCCTCATCCCGCCTACCGTAATCCCCTCCCCCCCTCTTCCTTCCCATTTATCCTTGTTTGCCAACACTGTCTTTGTCGGTACAACTTGTTCGCTCCTTCCATGTTTCACGACAATATTTGTCCTTCCTATTTAGTCAAACACAATTAATCGGGGTGGGGGGCGAAAGAGAATACCTGGCCGGCGTGCTAATTGACTTGGTCCGCCAAAAAGCGAAAAAGCGAAAGGGTAAGCGGATTCGGGGCACGAAAGGAATAATTACGGGCGGCACGCTTTGAGTGCGCTACCCATTGATAAGTCGGTTAATTGAGGGCGAGATTCGGAGGTTACCGTCAAGAAATAAGGACGAAGTTGGACTTTTTCGATTTTAGTTGGAAAATTCTGGAAAAATGACTGACAAAGTATCTATGTCTATCTTTTGAATACTTCTAGGCAATCAGTAACAGTAATGTTTTGTGGAAAAGTCGCAAAAAGTAGAAAATGTGTTTCCAAGGCTCTAGCAGCTGGAAAAACGGTCCCAGAAAGCCAATAGGGTCCGGAACCCAAAAAAAATCGAAGATAACTATAATTGAAGCTTACATGAACAACTCGAAACGGCAACATTTTGAAAATTAGTAAGTGAAGCGCTCATTGAGATAATAAGGGGCACGTGAGATCCAAAGAGTTATGGAGCAGTTGAAACGGTAATGCACAAATTATCACCCATGTCACTGTTTGCCCAGTTTTAATCGCTACGAATACAAATTCTGAATGGCCGACGCACAACACATTCATTTGAAACCGTAAAACATGAATTTGGCGGTGATGCGGCCGTTCGCATCCAGAATCCGATCCTCTGTCACTTTTCCGCGTCCGAACGTCTTAATTCTGTGAAAGATGCAACTCTTTCCGGCGATTTCCCGGCCTCCCGCGTGGTTTGCGTGGATCTACAGTATCTAGGGTTGCCACGTCATCACCGGCGAACACCTACGGTATACTCTTCTCCGGGCGGAATGATGATTCCGAGCGGAACAGGCGTCGGTGGCACCGTATCGACTCCGTCGACGACGCGAACGAACAGAAAGTCGTCGATGCAGCGGGGCTGGAATTCCAGCGGTATTGTAGGCTTCTGTGAAGACACTCACCTTATCATAGTGATTGTTCTTGAGCGTAATGTAGTTGTCATGAGAGTCCAAGATGGAAATGTCCTTGTTCCACGTGGAACAGTATTCGGAATGCTCATTGCGGACGGAGATTTCACTGTATTCCACGTCGTCTTCGTCTTTTTTGTGTTGAACTTGCGCCTGTTTCAACAAGGCCTTGATCTCAGAGATCTCATCGATTTCGTCCTCGTAATGCACTTTTTTCTTGTCCAGAATCGGCGTCTCTTTCGATGGAGCCTCCAGCTCGGCAATCCTGGCACGAAGTTCGCGATTCTCGACGTACAGGATGGATGTCTGCGTCTCCGACTTTTCTCGGCCCTCTCGCACGATGTCCAACTCGATTTTCAGTCGTGCCAACTCACTTTGCAATCGAACATTCTCCAGTTTCAGTTGATCGTTTTCTTGAATCTGCTTCAGCATTGTGTACGGCTGAAAAGAGGAAGAATGAAGAAGAAGAAGAAGAAGAAGAAGAAGAATGAGAGTAAGAAAGAGCAACGGTGATAAGAAGTCAATGAATGAAGTGTTAATGATGTCACCACGAATCACGAGTTTTTCCCCGGTAAACATACTCGAAACATGGAATGCGATGGACATTTTTATCAGTTTACTAGCGAAAAATCTACCCGTCACCGTTAGGAAGAAGAAAGAGCAAAAATGCATTTCTAACAGCTCTTCGGAAAACGTGAAAAGTCCATTTATTACGGTTGAATGTAAAAAGTGAAGCTCACAATAAGGCAATCTTAAAGAAACATCCTTGAAACTGAAATTTCTGTTTCACAACACTTCGACTGTTATGGTTCCTTTGTAAGGTTTCAAATCGATATAACTCAGCTGTCTGTGGAGATATCAAAAGTTTTAAACTGATGAAATGTACACAATGTCTTAATGAACATTTTGTTAGTTGACTGCTTTTTGATATCTCTGCAGACAAATGAGATAAAGCTCTTCTATTTATGGTTTAGCTCTCAGTGTACCAAACTTCGAATAACTTTCAAGTACAAATAGATATAATGTCTCAAAACATTTTTGCCTGTTATTCTGCTTAGATAGCTGTAAATAAGGGATTCTTCCCAACAGGGACCGGAAAGTGAGGTGTCAGATTGGCCACTTCCACTTGACACTTTTCGATGAGCGATTAGAGATGACATGGCAATTGAGTCTACTTTTATAATTAGTTTACATAACTCGAAGTGTGTCTAATCAACGTGAATTGAATTGTCAGTGAACTTTTTGCCATTGTTTGAAACTGTTTTCATCTGTTTCCTAGGATATTGTTAACATAAGGCCACAATTATGCACATTTTCTGTTTCATCACTGTACTATTATCATTTAGAAGTTGTACATTGGTAATGTTAGTCTAATTTGCTTACCACCAAACAAACCACATCCTCAACTTTGACAAAGAGACCGTAAAGCAAGTGCCGTCCATTCAAAACGATTTATCTCGGCTGTCTGTAGATATATCAAAAAGTTGCCAACTGATAAATTGTTCATTAAGACATTGTGTACAATTTTTCAATTGACCGCTTTCTCATAGTTTTACAGACAACTGAGATAGATAGCTTGATGTAAATCTATCTATGAAAAAAAAACTCAATTTGTCATGAAAATGTTCTCGGTTTCAGCGGCATTATATTGGTTTGCACATCTACAATCACGCCCATTCTTCTCCCATTGTCTCCTTCTTTCATTGTCTTCCAATGATCCCGTCTCAAAAACTTTCGCACCTTCTAATTAGGCTCAAATGACCTCCTCTCCATTATGCCTTTTCCCCATTTTTTTTCCATAAAAAGACACCTGCCTCGAGCCTAATCACACCCTTTTCCCTTGCTTCCAATAAATCAGTGACGTCACAGTGCTTTTCTGGCTGTAAACCGGTTGTAACTGTGTTGCGTGAGCGGCCAATTAACCGAAAGATCGTTGGCGTATCGATTGCCCGATAAAATCTGGGGCAGGAAGTGCGCGGCGGAGAGGGGAGGCAGGTGCTCTCGGCTCGGCTAATTATGGAGAGGACGAATGAAAGAAACGAACACCTGCCCGGAGAGCCGTATCGCCTGCACATCTCTATGCAGTTATTGTAGGAAAGATAAGTGGGACACGACATACTTGGGGACATTTATCGGCTATGTTGGTTTAACAATGCGTGTTCGAGGGAGGGATTTCAGAGCCAGCAGGTGAAAGTGAAGAGTTTCATTGAGGACTCGAAACGGAGAATTTTGTAATGACTAGAAAATGTTGTTATTGGAGCAATGAAAGGTTTGGTTTGAAGCAGAAAGGAGGAAACCTAAAATTGTGGTTTTCCGAAAGCCTGCTACTTCATTTCATGTTTGAAACAGTAATTTCAGTACTTGAAAGAATAACTTTGCGGCCTAACAGTTTCATGAAACTGTGAATTACCCTCTGTTTCCTTAACTAACTACTGGATCTTTATGCCGTTTTATTATTGATCTTCATCACAAGCAGGGCGGATCTCACGGCTTCTTGAAACCGTAAATTCACGTTTTTACAGATACGTAAAAAGAATGCAACGCCCAGGCTCTCTGATCACAAGTTAATCTAGTACTTCTTGAGCGTAATTGGGCCGCCAAACAATTTTGTGAGTTGGTTTACTGAATAAATCTATGAGCCGTCAGTTTGAACATGTTTTTGAAAAAGGTTTGAGAGTAGATAGATTCTATTGTCGTTTTGCAAAGATTTCTGCTTCATTTAGTATATGAAAGTTGTGGCTTGAAAGTAGGGACAATCAAAACAAGTTCTGCTTCAATGCAAATAAACCAGATGACAATAGAGCATCGAAGATGGCAAGAAATTGCAAAAATTTTAGAGTTTCTTGAAACCGTGAATTTATTTTCTTTTCCCAACGTTTCGCTATCGAAAGAAATACAATTTGAATCTAAAAGTAGCACTCATTGTTCCAGCATTTCTTGCAGTTTTTGAAACATATATACTTTCATTGCGCTTACCTCATACTCGGTTTGAACTGCTGATAAGGAAAAAGGAACAGATTAGAGGTCAATTTTAGAATGAAGGCGCTGAGAAAGAGGCCTTGCGCAAGATCTAGTTTTCAAGTAGGTTCGCTTAGCAATTTCGGTCAGTTTTGAACTTGAGAGAAGTTCCGTTGTGGCAAAATGCTGAACGACTGAACGAATTGCTGGTGGTCGAAGCGAATAAATGAGTAATTGAGTAAAAAATTGCCACTTCCAGAAAGTCCCCGCCATTTGTGAGTCTGCTGAAACCGTCTCCTTGCTATTCTCTTGTTTCGCGTATGCTCGGCACGTTGTTATCGCACTTTCTGATGTCATTTCGATGAGAAGGCCGATGAAATTTCAGGCATATGCTTTGAGCAAACTTGAGAGTGAAAAGTGTCTGATTTGACTGAAAATGTCAGAGATAAGAGGATTCGGAAGAGGGTTGTGAGACCAAGTTCAGTTTCAATTCAACATTGTTTGCCGCGTTTCCGATTTAACTGCTTCTTCGCTCGTTTCTGCACCAAAGATACGCATGAAAACGGAAGAATTCAATTGACGACACTGCAACTATTCCTCACTCCTAATTTTTATCACCACACGCTCTCGCCCGCGGTATTTACCACAGATAATGGCGAATAGAGTCTTAAGAGCAAAAGAGGATTGGAGTTGTAGAGTGTTTGTGGAATGGGGGAAATGAAAAATTACAGCTTCAGTCACAGATTATAGTAGTTTCCGTAATTAGTTTGGAACGAAACGCTAGCTTCTGTGAGCGAGAGCACCGCATCCTCGTCGCATTCGTCGACTGGCGAACGGAGAGAATCTGAAAAAATGGCAGGCGGAGAAGTATTTGCCATTCTGTTCAACTAACCGACTTTTCTTCGTTTTTTTGTGCAAAACGGCGAAATATTGGTCGATACGCTGAAAATTTGCGCTTTGTATTGCGAAGACAGCGGATAATGATTCGTTTTTACGAATTTAAACAGGAACAGAGACTATAATCATTAAAGAAAAGAGAACGAGTGAAAAACGCAAACAAAGAGATAACAATTGTGTTGGCGGCAAAAATGACGGGAAAACTCGGATCTACTAGGTTTCCACTTAGGCCACGGCCATTTCTGTCAAAATCCGTTTCGACGCGCTTACTTCTCATCCAACAGCAAAAATTTGAATTTTCTCAAGAGGGTTTTTAATCGTCAATATATTTCAAAGCATTCAACGATTTTTCATTTCAAAATTGAGTCCGGCTTTAAAAACAAAAAGAGTGTGTGGAATGGGGGAAATGAAAGATTACAGCTTCAGTGACAGATTAAAGCAGTTTCATTATTTCTGGGCGCCCGGTGATGTGCTCATAACCAATTAATCTTTCAGTTTTGAGCAGACTTGCCAGATTTCGGGCCGGCCATGCGGGCCGGGCCGGGCCGGGTCGGTGAAGTGCCGGCCCGGTTCAAAAGGCGGGAATTCAAATTTTCGCGGAAATTTTTTTTTCGTTATTACAAAAAAAATTTTCGAACTAAAGTTTTAGTGTTTCTTCTTTGTTTTTTTGCTATTATGAATTTTCTATGAGAAATACATTTGTTTTTCAATGTTCGCTTGCAAAAAATCCCTAATTCTACAAAAAATGGCTTCATGCGATCAATAATTCAATTTTTGAATTCCCGCTTTTTAAACCGGGCCGACCGGGCCGGGCCGGGCCGGAGTTTTGGAAATTTCGGCCCGGCCCGGCCCGTGGCAACTATGGTTTTGAGTGTTTGTCACATGAAAGCTGGACTAAACTAGACCCGAACACATTTTTTCCTATAAATTTTGCCCCATTTCAATAGCCTGACTTTATTCGGTTTTCAACAAAACGACATTCCTCTCCTTCTTTCCTCCTTCAAAACCTCTTTTGCTCATTTTCAATCTCATTTTACAACTGGAAACTCGGAAAGTTCACCTGAAACTTGACTATAGTTTGCGTAGAAATAAGTTGAAAACGTTTGTAGATTACAAAAAAAAATTGATTTCCGTTTCATGGAGTTCATAATCGAAAGGATTCTGTTTGGCTTTCCAATAATAACGACAGTTTAACTTGTTGATAGGGACGGAAACAATGCGTTTGGTTGCAAGATATTACGATTGGCTCTTTTCAGCTTCCCATCCACATGAAACCGGTGTAAATCATCGGATCGATTTGAAACTTGAACCCGAGATACATCAATCAAAGTCCAAACAATCTGCAAAGTTAAAAAAGTCCCCGAAACGCCTGGATCGGCCTTAAAACGTACTGCCTAATTGACCTATTTAACACGAGTTGGGAAGAATATAGAATTGCGAAGTAATTCGAACATTCAGAAAGAGTTTGAAACTGAAAAGTTACACACCGTTTCAACAATCCTATTTATGACGTGTCTGTTCGAAATCTACACTCTGACCGGGAATACGCACCTTTTTTGGAGGTGAACACAAGACAAGAACATCCCATTTTTCCCTCTAAAATCACTTTTTTGTTGTTTTGATCATTTACGAGTTGTTCGATATTCTTCGATATTCTCCTTTTCTCGCCCACTTTTCCGCCATTCCTTCGTCATCTTTCCGTTGCCAACTCGGTTGAGTTTCTCTGCGTCTCCCCCTCCCACACACACTATTTCGCGCCCGACCGCGAATCTGTTTACAAATGTGCTCTTTCGGTTGAAGCCGAACTGATAAAAGCGTACTCCAATTCCTAGTAGAGCCTTCTTATCGCACCGAGAAAGGAGGAATCGGCACGGAGGGGTTTCAGGAAGGGAATCGAGTGGAATGCGACGGGAATGAGTCATTTTGAGGTTGGAATTGAAAGAGAAAGTTCATTAGTAACTGAAGAATGAGTCAGTGAGATGCAAAAAATAAAAAGTTTGAAACTGGAAAACTTCACATTTTTCAGCATAAGGCTGAAAGTAGAGAAAGGGCGTGGCGCCACTGATAATTAAGGAAAAAAAAGTTGCATGTTTCAAAGAGCACATAATAGTAGAAAATGGAAGGGTTGAGCTTGGGTAAGTTTTGCGTTTCATCTCAAAGCAGAAGGAAGTTCAGCTCCAACGCGATCTTTCAGTGATAGCATTCATTTCGGTAAAGGCGGCGCATAGAAATAAGCCAAAAAGGGGGCATTCCTAATTGATATCGTGAATTCACTGTTTCAATGTTGGCATGAAGTTGCTATTATGCAATTAATCGCCATTTGTGTTGTTTTTCAACATTGATTCCAACAAACTTTTGCTTGATCCTAACCCACTTTCTTTTTGAAAAACTAAGGAATTCCATAAAGTTTTCTCACTTTTACTCTCTCTCTCTCTCTCTCTCTCCCTCTTTTCATCGTTTGCTGATAAAGCTCCATAAAAGAGAGTGGAATCGGGCGCACTGATAACACTCTCTTTCCCCTTCTTTCCCAAATGCCATTCTCCTGCGGCCAACCTCTCTTTGTACGATTCGACCGTGTCTCGCTCATTTTCATTTTTACTACATTCTCACCGTTTTTTTTTCCGACTCTTTTAAGGTGTGAAACTTGTTATGTGTTTAGGTTTAGACTCTTTTGGTATCAAAAAGTAAATAGAAGCGCCCAAAAAGTTTAACAGTTTTTTTTGTTGAAGGCTGCTTCGACATGGCGACTCAATACTCGATGCACAGGTCGACGACGTCGACCACCTACTCCCAAGGTACGCGACGACGAACGGGTCCATCTGATCTTGGTCCTTCTAGATCCGTTTTTGTCGGCTCACACTAGAAGGGTCCGGGCTGCGCAATAGTTCACTTTATGAGAAGTTTCGAGAAGTTGTACTCTTTGTGTACTCTTTAGAAATATGATTAACTGACAACTGTCTAGAATGGAAAGTATAAATGTATTCTGAACAGAATTGAAATTTCATACCTGAAACAGATATTATTAGTTGCAAACCACTAGAAAAACGCAAGTATTTTTGAGAATACAAGTGTCTAACCTAAAAGTTTTATCACATAACTCTGCAACAGTACAATCTAGTTCGGAAGCATCCGAAACTATTCACTTTCAGTGGGATCGGCGACCCATGCCGCTGAGGAGTTTGTCGCCTCGGCCGAGCGCGAGAAGCAGGAGATGCAGCAGCTGAACGTGCGGCTCGAGGCCTACATCAGCCGGGTCCGTCAGCTCGAGGACCGCAACAAGGAGCTCGTCGTCGAGTTGGACTCTCTGCGCGGATCGCTGGGCACCGACATCGGACAGATCAAGGTATTCTGGCTTCTGATCTCACGTGTTGACGACTCGTTTTCCGCCCCCCTTATCTCTCTCGTTTCCCCGTCTAAATTCCTTGCGCCTTGGTTTGCCCGCTTTGTTTGAGAGAACCACTGATATCACTGATAAGCGCGCCCTCCTCCGACAGTAAATGCAACAGAGTTTTTAAGTTCAAATTCAACGACAATCTCGTGAAAGCTCGGCGCGATATCAGTGACGCACACGCCGGAACCATCGGGTTGAGGTGAAGGTGAACAGGCTGCGAGACGATCTGAATGACTACAGACACAGGTGAGAACACTCGATCGATTCTCAAGGCAACGTCATCATTTCCCTTTCAGATACGAAGAGGCTCGCCGTGAGGTGGAACGCGAGAAGACCACGTGGGGAGGAGCGATCTCTCAGGCTCAGGCCGAACTCGACAACAACAAGTCCCGGTACGCGGCCATCTTGGACGAGGAGCGACGACTTTACGCCGAGCAGGACGGCCTCTACGGACAGCTCTCGCAGGCCAAGGACGAGCTCGACGCGGCGATCGCCGACCGGCTCCGGCTTCAGGCCGAGGAGGACGATCTCAAGATCGAGCTCGAGTTCCTCGGAAGAATCCACGCGCAGGAGATCACCGAACTGCGCGCACTGCTCACTCAGGCGCCCGCCGACACGCGAGAGTTCTTCAAGAACGAGTTGGCGTTGGCGATCCGAGAGATCAAGGCCGAGTACGACAAGATCATCCAGACGACGAAGGTGGACCTGGAGACCATCTTCCAGACGAAGGTGGCCGCTGTCGAGGCGTCGGTCGCCTCGAAGAACGAGGCGGCGACGTTCCGACAGGAGGAGATCCGCAAGATGAACGAGAGCATCACGACGTTGAGGGCGAAGCTCTCGGAGCTCGAAGCCCGCAACGCCGCACTCGAACGCGAGGCGAACGCCCTTCAAATCCAACTCGGAGAGGACCAGAGAGCCTACGAAGCGGAGCTCATCAAGCGAGATAATGCTCTTCGCTTCATGCGAGAGGACTGCCAGACTCTGATCGCCGAGCTCCAGGCGCTGCTCAACACCAAACAGACCCTCGACACCGAGATCGCCATCTACAGAAAGCTGGTCGAGTCGGAGGAGGGAAGGTGAGCACGGAGGGGTACTGTAGGCGACGAGATTACTGTAGATGACTGTGAAGTACTCTCAATATTTTCACAGATTTACCCACATCGGACAAGGGTTGTTCTTCGTCAGGATACTACGCAAAGGTTCGGCCTCCGATAGCTGCTCGCCTTTTTTTTTCTTTTTTTGCTTCTTTAGCTTTTTTGTCTTCACTTAGAGCATAGGCTACTGTAGTTTTGGATTACTGTAAGGGTTACAGAAGTCAAGAATCGTCTTCTCTTTCTTCCATTCAAGTTTCCGACGAACGGTACTGTAGCTAGATTAGATTCGGGCCAATATTGTTGATCTTTTCAGAGTTTCCCATCCACAAGGCACTTTGAGGTACTTACCGTAGTCCTAGTAGTTATCTCAAAGAGTTCTTTTCTAGACCTGGCCGAGGTACGACAATCTTTGTGCCAGATGAGAGGTCAGGGTTACTGTAGGGGTTACTGTAGGCTGGGGGCTTCGCTCTCACATGCACTCGCCTACTTGCACACACTTTACAGCCTGCTGCTTTTCAGATTTTTCGAATTTTCGCTTCACACACATTCCCTTTGCTCCCTGTTTTCAATCGATGGGCTCTTTCAGATTGGTGCCAGCCGAGAAGGATCACTGGACCAGGGAGAAGTGAAAACTCGCGTGACGTTCAAAGACACGCCAAGGGAAACGTGAGCATCGTTGAGTGCGATCCCACCGGAAAGTACATCATTCTCGAGAACACGAGCGGCGCGGTGGTAGGCCTGAACAGTCGGAGAAGCGGAAAATAATGGGAATTCCAATGATTTTATAGGCGGAGGATGTGAGCAACTTCGAGATTCGTCGTGTCATCGACGGAGTTGAGTCGTTCACCTACCGAATCCCGCACATTACCATCCAACCGCACGGACATCTTAAGGTACGACGACTTTCGACGGTCCCTAGAAAGCCAAGCACTTTATTTTACTAGTTGACAGCCAAACAAGTTTGCACTGAAATTCGTGAGCTTAGGAGTGAGGTTACAAGAAAGTTCGAGGTGTCAACACTTCACAAAACCATTTTCAGAGCTTTAAGAAGCATTAGAGCCGCACTGAAAGTTGAAATATTGTAGGTGTACGGTCGTAACGGCGGCGGAATCCACTCGCCGCCAGACTCGATCGTCATGGACTCGCATTCATCGTGGGGACACGGCACCCATGTGCAGACGTTCCTGTACAACACTCAAGGTGTCGAGAAGGCATCGCACATCCAGACGACCTCCACCTAGTCGCACTGAGCCCCTCTCGCCCCTCTTCTAGCCGTCGAACCCATTCCCTTTCGTTGACACTTCCACACACACACACACTCACACGTACATACTTCTATACATTCCAATCCAATTGTTCTTGAATAAATGAGAATTTGTGAATGAATGTGAATGTCCCTCTCAAAAACTGTCCATTTGCAATTCAAACGGTGGTTGGTGGTCGTTGCGCGTAGGTAGGTTGTCAAATGTTTGCAAAATGGCTGAAGAAGCTTACCGACGACTACGCTTCTACAATTAATTCCACCCCTTCCCGACCAACCAACCCGCGCCACTGAGAGAGCAAGCAAAAAATTTCGAAATTTGCAGTGTGTTTCGAAAAACTGGACCGACTTGGCGCTCTTTCTTTGCAAATTGCCGCTTAATGATCAGTGATGAGGTGATCGGCAGAAGCGAAGACAAAGGGATCAACGAGTGTGAACTTCAACGGCATGCATCTCAGTTGTTTGGGGAGATATCAAAAAGTGGTCAACTGATGAAATGTACACAATGTCTTGGAGAACAATTTTTTAGTTGACAACTTTTTGATATTTCTACAGACAGCTGAGATATATCGATTTGAATAGACGGTACTGTTGGTCTCAGAATTACTGGTTTTACGGTTCTTCATCAGCTTCTAAGGAACCATGATGTAACTGTAAAAGTTGGCAGGCAAATTACACTTTGCAACGATTCGGGGTCTACAAATGGACACTTTGCAACCATGTCACAAATTGCATGACACAAAACACAGAACAAGATCAGTCCTGTGTTACTCGGTCTAGAAATTTGTTGAATCAATTCTGGACATCTCGCAACCAAAACCAAATGGTTACAAAATGTCCAGTTCCATCAGAATCGTGTCGAAATTGCCCGTTTTGCAACCACATACCCTGTGCATTCACAGAATTTTCTCGGTTTCATAATGCGTACTGTTCCATTCCATTCGTTGTCCTATTGTGATTGACCATTGTTTCCAACTCTTTTTTACCACTTGTGTCACGTACTTTTGCCCCAAATCCTGCTTCTTTCCACCCACACACACACACATTTCCACTCCAATATTTGCCTTCCTTCGACCCATTCCATTCCGATGAGCCGAAACGAGACGAAAGGCACCACCGAAAAAGCGAACCAATGTTCCACTAATCCGACGATGAAACAGTGTGTTATTGGCGTCGAAAAAAAGAAAGTTTGTGGCGGAAAATGGGATCGAAACCGAATAAGATTTAAAATCAATGAGTAATGGAAATGTGGGGAAAAGAAAAAGGTTATAGACTTTGTGAAACAGAGCTTTTTTACAGTTTCTAATTCTGCATTTGAAACGTTCACAAGTTATGCTCAGTGCTCACAATTCTAGAAACTCTCACAACCATAATTCTACAAACAGAAGGCTAATTTTAAGGTTTTAAAAAAGAAAAACGAAAATTCCTTCCAGTGGGGATCGAACTCAAACCGACCGATCCCACGCAAAAACGCGACCACTGCGCCACGCTCACCTCCAGCCAGACTATCTTTCAGGGCGAACATATTTGGGCGCCGGGCACCGTTCCTCCCAACGGGATCCATGGTTGCAAAACGTCCATCAGTTGCAAAATGTCCATTCCTTCTTCTCTTTTCCTTCTTTTTCTCCCAAATCCCTACCAGTTCCCTTCTTTTTTGCCAACTCTCTGAGATTTCACAAAAAGTGTGGTGGCGTGTGCGATCGTTATGTAAAAGTGAGGTATTTGTCATGAATCAACATCTATTTGTAAATGCGCCTAACTCGGAAAAGAGAGAGAGAGAGAGAGAGAGAGAGAGAGAGCTGCCATCGGAAGCGGAGAGTGCGCAGAACCGGCTTATACGGTACGGGCGCTTCGGAATTATACTGCCGAGTAGGTTTCGATCGAAAACCGCCTACATTCAGCACGTTGGATTACTGTTTCATCACGTTTCTTTATGAGAAGGCTTCCGTTTTCGAATGTTCTTAAGCTTCTTTCGTAGATATGAAAAGTCCATGAGAGCCATTTGATTCCCTGCATCTCCGAGTCCATTACAGGCATTTTTATTCAAAAACGTAGTCTAGAACATATTCGTATTCGGCAAGTATTAAAAATCAACTTTCTCATAACAATTTCCGATTTTGGCGCCGAAAAAAGGACGGAACTGGTCGATGATGAGTGTCCAGAGGAGAGAGAGGCCAATTAGAAAAGGAAAAGACGGAGAAGAAGAGAAGGCGTTCCTCTTCGCATTTTCATCATTTTCCACCTCAAAAAGAGGAGACACACCCAGTTGTGAGTCATCGGAACGCGAGAAGATACCTATTGGTATAAAACCGGGAACGAATTCGATTCCTCTCATTTCGCACTCCTCCTCCGCCCTCTTTTCCTCCTCTTTTCCTCCTCTTTTCAATGCTAACCATGTCGTCCGCGGCCGCAGATTCGATTCGAATCAAGCGGGTCATTCGGAACAATCGCGCATGTGTACAGTACTTACACGATTACATTTTATTTGCATTTTCGACTCTCTCTCTCTCTCTCTTTTTCGCGCTCTTCCGGTTTTTAGTCGGGATTGAGTTAACATTTCGGGTTTCAGTACGTTCTCATAAATATTCTCATTTGCTCTAACAGAGCTGTTACTGGCAAAAAAGCATAGCTTTCATTAATGTATAAAAGTTTCAGATTGAGAACTTTTCCAACCACTTTTTGAGTTTGTCTGTGGAAATTATAGCAAAAATGCACGGGAACATCCCCGCCCTGAAAGCCTTTCGTGGCGCAGTGGACGAGCTGTTGCCTATCAGATAGTTCGTTTTGGATCAATTTTTCACCGAGAAGAAACGTTTTCGCTCTTTTTTTTGGGATTTTTTTGAACTCGGCAATTTAATTAATGTTTCAAGTTGTGAAGATAGTTGTGCTAGCGTTGTAACCGACAATATGAACAAAATTTATCAACATGTTCAAGACCAAAAAGTTTATAGCTTCTGTAACAATTGACCAGTACCCGGCTCAATCTGAGCACCATCTGAAACTGAAAATTCTCAAAAATTGTGCGAATATCTCGTATTTTTGAGAAAACTCTCAAAAAAGTATATTTTGAAGCCAGAAATGAGTCCCATTTCGCGACGAAACAGTTCCGAACCAATTTCTCGCACTTTTTCTGCCTTCGCCCACTTTTCTTTGCTTTTTCGTTTCGTTTCGTCCTCGTTCCGATTGAAAGAAAATTGGGCGTCGTCCGTCCCGTTTCTGAATAGAAAATGGGTGGAATCCAGTTGACGGACAGAGGCAAAAAGACGAAGAAGAAGAAGAAGAGGAAGAAGAAGAAGAAGAAGAGGAAGAGGGAGGACGTCGGCCAACCGTAAAACGCCCCCCGCCTTTTCAAGGTTTAGCCCCGCTTGTCATGCCTCGAGAATCCGAGAATCGTCACTTCCTCACAAAGTCCAAAGAAGCGCGTTTACCCTTTGAAAATAATGCGTCTGCCGGCTAATCCATCCGTCTTTCGTTTTTTTCCGTCTTTAAACCCCAAAAACTGGTATTATAATAATAATTGGAGTGGGTAGGTAGGTCGCTGCAAAAAAGAGACTTATGACTGGTACGAATTCGATCGGTGCACCGCGTACATCCTTGCCCTGGGAGCGACGAGAAGGCGTTGCACGCGTGGCGCTGTGGCTGCGCTTTTGTCCCAGCACTCCAATCGGTCTGTTTTGGTTCGGTCCCCACTGCGGCCAAACTTTTTTTTGCATAGTCTTTCCCACACATAAACCCTAACGGACACGTCGTTTTCGTCGCCCACCCCATCCTCCGTCCCGCCCGTCCTTGGCTGTGATAATCCTTTTCTGATGTCGTCGAACTTTTCGAAGGAGGAAAAGTGGGAGGATGGGATGGATGGGCGCCCCCAAAGAAAAAAGAGGAGGAACGCAAATAGGAGTAGCAGCGGTAGCAGCAGCAGCTCGTTTTTCTCCGTTTCGGCAACAAAATGCGGGGGCGGAGCTTCTTCTTCTTCCTCTTCTTCTTCTTCTTCTTCTTCTTCTTCGCTCGCGCACTCCCTCCCTCCCTCCCTCCCTCCCGCCACCACAATACCCTTTCGGTTGGTATTCTGTATGTGTGCCTTTCCGATTTCATTTTTACTCGGGTTTTTCCGACGAGAAGCTTGTCTTTGCCCACAAATTTCACTTGGCTGGCCGCCTCTCAGTTCCCTCATTGAGCGCGGTGACTAATGGGGCGGTTCATTTAAGTGTCAATTTGGTTGGGTCATGTAAATGAGTCATTGAGAAACGCCCGCGCACGCCGCTAATTTGCTCAAAAGTTGCACACAATGCGCTGAAACCCAATCCATTTCCACTCGAACTTCCTCGGCCGCCGGCAGGTTTGAGTCATGGAAAAGGGGCGGAGCCGCAAAACTTTCCATGTTTGTTTTCGGTGTGTTTTTTCTGTTGGGGGGAGGGTGTACTCAAATGTTCGACATTCAACATTCTCCTCCACAGGTGACATTCTCTCCCCTCAATTTTGTTTGTATAAAACCGGCCACACACAACACCACACCAAACACAATATTGGGGCGTTTTTTGATAAGGACACCCCTCCTACTCCTTCTGAAACTGAAACTCTTCCTCTTCTGCTTCTTCTGAAACTGCTCATTTTCTATTCGAACCCAAATCGAATAACTTTCAGGCGAGTTTTTCCGGACCGTCTGAAAATGTCGTCGCAAAAGGAGTCTTCCGAGTACGAGATCCAGTACAGATCGACGATTCAGCCGAGGACCGCCGTCCGATCGCAATCGCGCCAGTCTGGAAATTATGTGTCCGGAGGAGGTGGCGCCGCTTCTGGAGGTCAGTTTTTTTGAGATTTAAACTACTGGGAGAGTTATCACTTGTTATCACTGTTGGACCTAGAATACATAGCCTTTCTGAAACAGAAATATATAATTTCGAAAGCTATTTAGGTCCAGTAGACCCTTTGAACTTATTATAAAGTTCGGACTGTTCACAAAAGTGACTGTTAGAAGTCTCCACTCAAATGGACCACTGACACTTCTGTAACTACTGTAATAGAAGAGCTTCCCAATGCCTTTCATTCAAGACGATGCATCTCAGTTGTGGGTGAAGATATCAAAAAGGTGTCAACTGACAAATTGATCAGAAAGACATTGCGCACATTTTATTAGTTGACAACTTGTTGATATCTCTACCGACAGCCGAGTTACATCGTCCGTAATTTCAAGTTCTCCAAAGAACACGGAAATCTTTCCCTGTTTTAATGGCTGGTCTTAGAATGAGCTTGTTGCTTCGGAAATACGTTTTGAATTGATCACAGTTTCAACTATTCTCTTCGTCGAACTGTCAGACCTCGAAACTTTGGTCCAGTTCTCTGAAGCTGACCCTAATTCGAGGTGACACCCCCATTAACTGAACTATCGTTCCCTTCTCTCTCTCTCTCTCTCTCTCTCTCTCTCTCTCTCTCTCTTTTCTCTCTCTTTACAAACAAATTTATAATAATTATGTGTGTTTGGATCGAATTAGCGAACGCACGGGCGCCCATTCCTCCTTTTATCCCTGCCCGTGAACACTTTCCAATGGGATCAACAACAAAAAAAAAGAGAGAGAGAGAGAAGGAACTGAAGTAAATATTGGTTTTTGTACTAAACTCTCTCTCTCTCTCTCTCTCTTTTTCTCTCCAGGCGAATGTGCTCGTTATCAGTGCGAAAATGAAGAGATCGAACGCTTTTGGCGCAAAAAAAAACCCGGGGCGAAAAGTATAGATACTTGAGGAAGAAGTGTGACGTGGCAAACAAAGGGACAAAGTTTAGAGATCGACGAGAGGGAATTTCTGTCTTGTGACGTGGCAAACGTCAAAAAATCATAAGCCAGCAACAAGATTACGATGAAAATGAATTGAATTGAGCCCAGTTTTGCACTTTGCAAAAATTTACCGTTTCTAAAGGTTTTCATGTGGAATCGAAGCTAACCTTTCATGTTTTAATGACGACTTTTATTGAAAATAACTTATTGAAGCTAGAAGTCACTATTTCTCGGCTCTCAGTGAACCGATCGGGACCAAACTTGGAAGATGGACCATATAGGGTGTAGAGAAGACACTTTTAAAGTATGGTACGGATCGGCTCAGTTTGAGGGGTACTTTATTGTACTAGAAAATATTTTGAGCGACGCCAAGCGCCCTATGATATGTTAGCCCTGTGAGCTGCTGACTGCTTTGTGCCGTATAGCGCAGTGGTAGACTTTTTGCGTTTCAAGCGGCGGTCGCGTTGGGTTCGATTCCCCGTGGGCTGAAATTTCTTTTGCTTTTTCAAATCTACAGAATAATGATGTTGAGGAACGATTTCTGGTTTCCCATAACGTTTTTTTGGTCAAAATTGTCGATCCCGAAATGCCCATTTACCCATCGAAAATCGCATAAATCTCGTCGAGATGTCCTCCAAACCATTCCGACCCTCTTTTGCATAATCTCCACCGCCCTTTTTTTCGCCATTTTGTCCGGAAATGATACCATTCGATGGATCACACGCAAATAAGCCGTTTGGCAACATTTCGAGCCATAAAATGATTGTGTAAACAGGACGAAAACTGTGGATTGGGTCAATAGAAACGATAGAATTTCAGACGAGTATGGAATCGAATTCAAACTTATAAAAGAGACATTGAGCCGTCCGTGATGTTTCGGGTCGATTGTGTCAACATGGCACACAAAAGTTTCTGTGTCCCCCCCTGTTTCTTGAGCACTTTCGGAGCACTTGAGAAAGTTGTGCCGGCGAGAGAAACACAGAGACGCATTCATTTAATCCGTTTTTTTCTAATCGAAATTCACTTTTTTAGCCCTTCAAACGACTGCGACCCATTAGGAAAGTAGTTGCGAAACGATAGAATGAGAGGGGGCCGGCCACACCCTGTTTTGAGAAATGAAGGGGGGGAAACAGCCCCCGATTAGTCATCTGATTGATGTTCAACACTTTCAAATTTGAAATGGGCGGAAATGAAGTTTTGTGATGAGAAATGATGACGTGGCAATCGTAGAAGTCTCAAGTTATCTAACAAGTGAATAAAATCGAATTAGGTTCCAAGTATTTGAAAAGTTGATGAAACAACGATGAACTTTTAGTGTTTCAACTAGTTTACTTTTCAGTTTTTGGGTTCTCCGTTTCTGTTACGCGTTGTTTACATACTTTTGTGGTTTATTAAAGTTTCAAAACGTTTTTCCAAGAAAAACTAGAAATTTCACCTTTTCCATGAAAAAACGGAGACTTTAAGTGGGTATTTTGCTCTAAACATAAGGGAATATAAATCTTGATTCCTTAGACTTTAACTTTTCAGTTGACACTTTATTCATGGGACCACTCCCACAAGTACTGTAGCTCCCGGAAGTTGGGCGCCACTCTTTTTTGAACAGTGCTAACTTCTAGGCACCACAGTAGTCTTGGAGTGGTGCGACGAAAAAAGTGTAAACTACAAAAATGTAGTACTAGGTCTAGAGATTTCACTCAACATACGACTTCTCGGTCCCTCAAAGTTGGTCCCCCAAAGTTGGCTCTACGAAACCAACTAAAAAGCCATTCCAAAACGTTGAAATCTTTCGTTTAATTGAAAAGATAAGAAGAAATGATGAGATTGGAGGAGATGATTATCATCCAGAGAGTCCCCGCCCGTCCAACCTTGACATCTTCTTCTTCTTCTTCTTCTTCTTCTTCTTCTTCGTCTTCTCTCGCAGCCTCCCAATCGTATTGTCCGTCCCGTTTATCAGAATATCATCATGAGATGATCGGAAATGAAATCGGACACACCTTCTCTCTCTCTCTCTCTCTCTTTCTCCTTTTTTCTGTGTTTTCGGGTGGAGAGGACCGCCCGTCCTACCGATCAAACCGTTGTTTTGCATATATACGTTTACACCCTTCTTTTTTCTTTTTCTCGACACTTGTAAATCGATAATACTTCAAGAGTTAACAAATGGACGCTGACACACCACAACAGCCCTTGTCTGGAGGTAAACTACTAGTTATATTGTTACCCTAGTTTTGACCTACAGTAATATTTGATCTATAAGCTTCCTATTTGTCCTCATTTCTAGTCGTTAGAGAGTCAGGAAGGAGTGCATTTTTTTTGTGTATCAGCGGCAGGTACTATTATCGATTTCTACACGAATTTCGTCTCATAAATCCCTAACAATTACAAAACAACTAGTGGCCGTTTCAAAAAGTTTTGAAATTGGGAAGAGGCCCCCCCTACAATTCGCATTCAATCATCTTCTCACCAAACCAATAAATGATTGCAGGACGTGTCCTCAAGATGGTCACCGAAATGGGATCGGCGACGGTCGGAGGCATCTCGCCGGCGCTCTCCGCCAACGCGGCCAAGTCCTTTTTGGAGGCGACGGATAAGGAGAAGAAGACGCTGCAGGGCCTCAACGACCGTCTCGGAAACTACATTGATCGCGTCAAGAAGCTCGAGGAGCAGAACAGAAAACTCGTCGCCGATCTCGATGAGCTCCGCGGAAAGTGGGGAAAGGACACCTCCGAGATTAAGGTTCGTGTTGAGAAGCGCTGGTCCGAAGATTGTATGCTTCAAGTGAAATGGATATGTATAACGTTTTGGAAACAACCAATGAAATTTGCAGATCAAGTACTCGGAATCCCTGTCGACCGCCCGTAAGGACATCGACGACGCGGCGCGCAGAAAGGCCGAGATCGATGTGAAAGTGGCGCGTCTGCGTGACGATCTCGCCGAGTACAGATCCAGATACGAAGACATCCAGCACCGCCGCGAAGGGGACCGCGAGAAGATCAGCCAGTGGACGAACGCGATCGCCGATGCGCAGTCCGAGCTCGAGATGCTCCGCGCGCGCTACAAGCAGCTGAGCGACGAGGAGAAGCGTCTGAACGGAGACAACGCGCGCATCTGGGAGGAGCTGCAGAAGGCGCGTAGCGATTTGGACGACGAGACCGTCGGCCGAATCGACTTCCAGAACCAGGTGCAGACGCTGATGGAGGAGCTCGAGTTCCTGAGAAGAGTGCACGAGCAGGAGGTGAAGGAACTCAACGCGCTGCTGGCTCAGGCGCCCGCCGACACGCGAGAGTTCTTCAAGAACGAGCTGGCCCTCGCGATCCGTGACATCAAGGACGAGTACGACTATATTGCAAAGCAAGGAAAGCAGGACATGGAGTCGTGGTACAAGCTCAAGGTTTCCGAAGTGCAAGGATCCGCCAATCGTGCCGCCATGGAGTCGAACTTCCAAAGAGACGAGGTGAAGAGGATGAGGGACAACATCGGAGACTTGCGCGGAAAGCTCGGCGACCTCGAGAGCAAAAACTCGCTGCTGGAGAAGGAGGTGCAGAACCTGAACTATCAGCTGGCCGACGATCAGAGACAGTACGAGGCGGCGCTGAACGACAGAGACGCGACGCTGAGAAGAATGCGCGAGGAGTGCCAGACGCTCGTCGCCGAACTGCAAGCGCTTCTCGACACAAAGCAGATGCTCGACGCCGAGATCGCCATCTACAGAAAGATGCTCGAGGGCGAGGAGACGCGCGTCGGACTCACTCAGATGGTCGAGCAGGCGGTCAAGACGCACTCGCTGCAGCAGCAGGAGAACACCGATTCGACGCGTTCGGTGCGCGGCGAGGTCTCGACGAAGACGACGTTCCAGCGGTCCGCCAAGGGAAACGTGACCATCGCCGAGACGGATCCCAACGGAAAGTTTATCGTTTTGGAGAACACGCACAGAAACAAGGTAGGAGCGGTGTGGAAAAGGAAACGAATGCAATGATTTCAGGATGAGAATGTTGGCGAGCACAAATTAGAAGAAAGTTGGACGGAAGACGCGAGATCGTCTACACCATCCCGGCCAATGTGACCCTCAAGGCCGGAAAGACCATCAAGGTAAGGGGGATTCTAGTCAAAACAAGGATTAGTGCTAGAACAAGCGGCGACGCATGTGTTGTGATGAAACTGAAGACTGATGTGGAAAAGAGTCACAATTTAACTAGTCTAGTATTCAAATAAACCTGGAATGGTCAAGTAAAGTGCTAAAAATGAAAACAGTCGAAAATGTTTGCAGATCTACGCCCGCGACCAGGGAGGCATCAACAACCCGCCCGAGTCGTTGGTCTTCGACGGCGAGAACACATGGGGCATCGGCGCGAACGTTGTGACGAGTCTGGTGAACAAGGACGGCGAGGAGCGTGCCACGCACACCCAGAAGACCATCCAATCCGGACAATAAGCGCCCCCCTTCGCTCCCAGTTTTTCTCTAGTTTCTGTCCATAATTCTTCACTTTTCTCTTCAACCCCCTTCAATTCCGCATCATTCGTAAGCATAAAAGACTGCCTTAAAGACCAAAATATTGAAGAATTCCCCCTCCCCTCGCTACGCCCCCCGCACTTCATAAACACACTGCTTTCCCCCCTTTCCCCCCCCGCTCATTCATTCATTTCGCGCCCAAATCCACTTTCTGTTTAATAAATCTTTATTCAAAATCAGTTTTACATAGTTGAGGTACATCATTCAGTATTAGACGGTCTCGTTTTTGCGATTCTCCTCCTCCGCCTCGTCGCCCTTCAGAATCTGGCTGCAGTCGAGCGGCGCGGTTTGCGGGAAGATGGTGCCTGATGTGCCGGCGGATGACGTGGCATTGAAAAAGGGCGCGGGGGCGGCGAGACTGGCCGCCGAGGCAAAGTCCGGAATTGCTGCGGGCGTGCCGAACGCAAAGTGCGGCATGACTGGAAACACTGAAAGTTGGATTGAGAGCACTTTGGGGCGGAATACTCAAAACAAAAAACTCACTTGGCATCCGCATAAACTGTCGATTGTACATCATTGGTCCGAAGAGTTGCATTGGCGGGAATCCATTCGCGCGGAATACCGATCCGCCCGGAAGCGGCGCCACCGGATTGGCATCAGCGGCGGCCGGCGGAGACGTGGAAGTGCTCCCGAGCTTCTCGGAGCCCGTTGGAGAGCTCGGCGAGCTTCGCATCCCCACGAGGTCTTCCTCTTTTCCATCTAAAAGGTTAAAAACGCGTTAGAAAGGTCAGGAACGGTTAATTGACTTTTCCACTAATCCCATCAATATTGTGAGCGATTTGCTTATCCTCGTTCACACCTGCCCTCCACTACAGTGCTCACACTAATTGACTTGCGCAATCAGGTGCTGCTTCACTCTACACAACCGTTACCGGATTAGTGGCGAGCGAGCACCTGGCGAGAAGAGCGCACAGCAAAAAGCGATACTAGCACGAGTGGGGTTCGAACCCACGAGGAATTGTCTTCCATTGGAACTTAAGTCCAACGCCTTAACCACTCGGCCATCGTGCTGCCGTTCTCTCGCGCTCTCCGAGGCGATGACATGTAGTGTGTGGGTGTGTGTGCGGCGAAGAGCGCGCTCTCGCCCGACTCACCCGAATTGTTGTTGTTGTGCGTTTTCGGCGAGACGGCCACCAAATTCTGAGGCTGTTGGTCTCCAGAATCCCTGCGCAGAATGTCCAGGAGTTCATTTGCTGCAAACGGAGAGAGAGAGAGTCGGAACGAGAGCGAGAGAGCGAGAGAAAGAGAGAACAATGGAAGAGGACGAGGAGCATACAAACATGACCCGGAGCGAACTATTAGAAGAGTAACAAGTAGCACGAAGGTGTCACATTAGGCTCATATTACCCAATGCTTATGGCATAAAAGAAGAACACCTCATCAGCTACTGTTACCACTATTTGCATCGGGAAAACGCGTTTTTGCTCATCACAAAATGAAGCTGATGCGATCGCGCGGATTTTTCAGAAAAAAAAAACGAGAAAAAAGCCTACCATTTCCAGTGGTGCCGAGCAGTAATTCCAGGTCCCGCGCGTCCTTCTCCTCTTGAGATTGCTGCCGACGGAGGGCCACTTGGGCGGCCATCACACGCTGTCTTTCGGCTATCAGAGTACACTTTGCACACATGCAATCTTTCCAACGACAGAAACGTTTGTGACCTGAAATCACACATCTCTCGTTTCGTCACAACTTCATAGATAGCACAGGCCGTCTGAACGGTAAAGCGCTAACTTTCCACTGAAACTTGGTTCGTTTTGAAGAAAATAATACAGTTGAAATCGTGTCAAACTGGCAGACATTTCAGGAGTCAAATTGAACGTCAGTGATATTTGAATAGAAAATGAGTTGAATTGATGAATACTGTTTCAGTTTGGACACATTTTCCGGGGAAGTAGTGCGGTTTTCTGATTAACGAACCGGCAAAGCATACGGAGGAGTGGAAATTGTGAAACTGTAACTTCTCTCAGAAACCTTACATTTACCTTTGACCTGGCTCATTTTGAAGAACCCAGTAAAATTGAACTCTTATCAAAAAATCAGAGGTGCCTATGTTCGATTTCTGAAGATATATCGAAAAAACCGAAAGTCCTATGTATTGTTTATTCAAGACGATATATTTCAACTGCGTGTTGAGCTATCAAAAAGTCGTCAACCGATAAATTGTTGGTTAAGAAATTGTGAACATTTTATCAGTTTACCACTTTTTGATATCTCTACAGACAGCTGTGCAAAATGCCTTGAAAACAGGCGGTGAAGAACTGTAGTCAACTATGTGTTGTCAATGAAACAGCAAGAATGTCTGCGCAGAATGGAAGCCCTCGAAATTTTTTTTTGCTAATTCTGACTAATCGAGACTCGTTTCAAAGTAGTAACTACATTGCTGTTTCAGTTACATTTCAAAGGTGAGAGACTCTAAAATTTAACAGTCGATATCCACCTTTGGCTTGAATCGGATAACGTGATTATGAGTCACTCTAAACTCATTTTCGCGTTGTCTTTCATCACAATAAACGCAAGAGATTACTACTTCCTACGCTTGTTTCGAAAACAAAACTTTCCAGTTTCACCACGTCCTCATGCACCCGAATTCCCTCGTTCCCCCACTAAAACGCTACATAAAAATCGTCCAGGCCAACCTTTCAACGCCGAAACGGTGCCGTGATTCCTGCAGCGGGCACATTTGGGAGTCCGCTGATTCCTTTCTGCTCGGCTCCTCAAATACTGTTCGAGACTGGCCTGCGGGAGCACTGCGGTCGAACACGAAGAAGAAGATGAAGATGAAGATGGAGAGGGCATTGCTAGAGAACAACAATATGATATAATATCAAATAGGCGAAGAAGGTAAAGGTTGCGACAAGGAAAAGAAGAAGAAGAAGAAGGCCACGCCCCCTTTTGACGGACCACCAACCGGAAGGTCCCAAGAAACGCCCCGCCCACTTTTGAAGAGGGTGCTAGAGAGGGATACTGTAGGATTAGCATGGGTATTTATAAACATTGGATAATGGAGAGGGCGACGATAAGAACTAGTCCGAACTGATATTGTCCAATAAGGGGAAGTGGTCAAGAGCAGGCGACTTTCGAAATCAATGTAACGTGAGGCCGGCGTATCACGTGAACCACGAGGTTTCCGAAATCACCTGTCCACAAATCATAGTGTCATTTTACTACGAATTTCGGAAGAAGAGAGCCAAAACCAAAACAAACTCGAAAATGTGTGTGTGTGTGCACCTCTCTAATTACGGCCAACCCGTAATCATACTCAGTGCGGGCAAGCTTGCATAACAACAATCATCAACATACGGGGACCTCTTCACGGTTAGGCCTCCTTGTAATTAGAAATCGAAATGTTTTGATTGGATTCGAGGCCGCCCTTTTATATGTAGATCCTATTAATAATGAAGTGAGCGGATGGAGCGCATACTCACTTTTGGCTTTGAAACTTGTCTCAGAGTCAAGAAAAATGGTTTCGGTTTCATGATCGCCACAAATTGTTCGAATGCCAGGTACCGACAGTTTGCATACCCATGAAAACTAGCCTATTATGCGTCTTGCGGATCTCTGATTATCGGAAAAGATGTGATCTTTTTTCTAAAACGTTTTTACCTGTTTCACAAAGTTGTGATAACTTTCAGTTAAAGGCGTCTAATAATAAATAATTCCTTGCTGTCTCATATTACACTCATTTCCGAGAAGATTTCGCTCGGACCAGCACTTTAATGTTAACGAATATTGTTTCAGTTTCACGAATACCACCAAACATTTTGCTGTAGGGTATCAACATTTCATGCGTTGAGTACCAGACTTGAGCGGAAATGGAATTTTGAAATCCGGAAGACGGCAGACGGAAGACGGAAGAAAATTTTTCTCCCGGAAGACGGAAGACGGAACAAAAAAATCGTCAATGCAGCACCTTTTTCTCCGGTTTTTTTTTTCAAAAAAATAACTAAAGCAACAAAAATTTTGGATCTGGGTCAGTGCCCGTGGAAATTCGCGTTCTTCGGGGCTAGTAAATGGCTTCTGAAAAGCTATTACTCTTTTACGGTAAGAAGAAAAAATTCCGGAAGACGGCAGACGGAAGACGGAATTCCGCTTTCAAAATTTTCATATGAAAAACTGTACTTCTTCTACAAATTGGTGACGTTGATTGAAGAAAGGTTCAATCAATACGAACTGTTTCGTAAAGGGATTAATTCAGTTGTGAGGTGATAAACTCAAGCCCTAACCAGCGTTTTGAAGCTTACGGATTTAAGCACGACTAACAATAAAGAAAAAGTCTGTTTCAGCAACTTCTGATAGTTTCTGGCTATTTCGGGAAGTTTCAGTTATTTTATTGCTTCTAATTCGAAACTTGACGTCGACTGTTTCACAAATCGGATGAAGGTTGCCCAGTGAACTCGGTACAAACAGAAGACATGGTAACTTGGTTGAGATATTTCTAGGCCACGGCCACCAGTTTAGGAGAAAAATGCTCACCAAGAGTGTGAAAACTAACAGCACGAGTGGTGGCCGTGGCCTAGAAAATCAAGCTTATTGTTCTTGCTTCGCAGTCTGTAAAGTTGTCAAACAAGTGAAAACGATTGAAAGTTGCCAGTGAAGGGCTCGACCCATGCTCATCCGCGTCCTAAAACCTCGTGTAAAAGACTTCTTCTCTCTGACCGTTCCCATCTGGAACTCTATACTCTCCAACACCTCCACTTTCCTCTCCCCTCTCCAGTTCGAACTATCAATCAACTCCTCCATTACCCTCCCTCTTACAATTAAAAAAGAAAAGAGCTCGACCTGAAACTGCAAAACTTTTCAAAAAGAGTGTATGGAACTCATATAATCTACAGTAACCCAAACCACTTTTTATTGTTTTGCACAGGTGTCATCCTCTCTCTCTCTCTCTCTCTTTCTCTATATATTAGCGTAATGTGCAAACTCGATGCTCTTCACGCGATTACTGTAAACACAGAGCACATTGTTGTGGGGTGAATAGGAAAAAGTCTTTAGAATACAACATAAATAAGAGATTGAAGAAGAAGAAGAAGAAGAAGAAGAAGAAGTCGAGAGCATCTGTGTGCATTTCTCGCGACTCTTCACTATAATTGTTTTCGATTCGATTTCACTCTGTTGAGTTGAGTTTCCTGCCTCGCTCCGTTCGTTCGGGGCGACGAGGATTACGGTACAAATGGATTTCAATGTTTCGGGTAAAAAGGAGAAGTCCATGTCCCAAAAAACCGTTCAGTTTCACCATGAAAAGTATGTTTCAAGTTCAGAATGACATGGTCCTCACGGTTATAGCAATGTTTCCGCGGTCAAATTGTTCCCAAACAAATGAAAATGATTGTTCAAGCTAATTTGAGACTATTGAAACTGTATGTATGTCTGATACACGGAACCCCAGCATTCCAATGCGCAAGCAAGTTGTCAATGGGGCGCGCTTGCATCCACCGTCGGCTCGGAGTTTCTTTTTTCAATTGAAACCCAGAATTCTTTCGTTTTTCTCTTAATAAACACTCAAATTTTGTTCTTTGCGAACCGTGGGGCGATTGTGTGAGTTAAAAGCATCGATTTAAGCGCGAAACGGAGCAGATTCGTTCAGAATTGACCAAATTGAGGGATTTTGTCGAAAACTACTGAAAAAACGGAGTTTTAACGATCATTTGCCGAATCGAGTTCGGACACTGGCATTCGAACCGTCCAGTCAACAAAGAGTTTATTGCGCATCTTTTAAGCGCTCAACCGTCGAAAAATATACAGAATTGAGATAATTGAGGCAAATTTTCGATTCCAACAGGAAAAAAATTCTGTAATTTTCACATAAAACGTTTCGAAATTGATGACGAAGCAGTTAAAATTTTATTTTTTATTCATTTCTAATCATTATCATAAGTTTTGACACTGATTGGTTCTGAAAAGATGGGAATAATGCAAAAAAAGGGAAAATTGAAATGAGAAATTCTACAACGACGCTTCGAAATTACGCGTTACGCGCCTTGTTTAGCGCACCTGAATTGCGCCAAGGGAATTTTTTATTGGAAGGCTGGGGTTCCGTGTGATAGTGTACTACTTTGTGGCAAATTCCAAATTTCGGTTCATGAAAATGTAAATCAAAGCGATAGGCAAAGCGAAAAACTGTAGGGAAAGATCGAAGAAACAATTCAGCCCGTTTTGAAACCGTAACTTTTTGAAAAGTTATCGATTTTTACATTTTCAAGTCCCCCGTATACTTTGCTTTTGGAGAAACCCTACAAGATGGCAAAAAGAACATTCAGTTCATTTCAGACACTTTATAGACACTGTGAAGTAGGCGAAGTTTCTGTTTCAGGTGACTTTTATTACAGAAAGTCGAGGCTTCTAGATATTTCTGTCATATTTCACAGGTACACGAAACAGAGCGCATTACTTTCACAGTTTCGACGAATCCATATCACAGTACCGAATCCCGTCACTTTATTTGTTCGTTCCACTCATCCTTCGTGTTGAACAAGGTGTCAAATCCTCTTGATCTCTTTCAGTTTCCGTCTTCCAACCGGGGGACCGCCACAGTCTGTTTACAACACTTCAATTAGACGAGAAGGAGGTGTTCGACGCCAGTTGCACAATGTTTGACACAAGAAGAGAGCACACACAAAACACACCTGGATGAGAGGAGGAAGAAGAAGAAGAAGAAGAAGAAGGAGAAGGTGTTAGGTCATAATGGAGAGCGAACGGGACAACCGGAAGGATAATATCAGTATGCTAGTTTCGATAGTAATTTGAAACAGAAACCATACTAGAAAGATCGCCGAAAAGTTTTTCATTTTCACACACACCTCATAAGGAATTCGTGGCATTGTTCCTCTGGTGTTAGACTAACGTACGCGTTCAATGACGGTGAAAATCTGTGAAAACGAATAAATTCACTCGCAGAAATGAAGACAGTACTTCAGGATTCAGAATTTTCAAGAAAATGTCTGTTTCAGCAAGTTCTGAAACGTCTCAGTGTGAATTTTTATGTGTTTCTCAATGTTTCATCAGTTTCGTCTGCGTTGGAAATTTTTAGGTAGCACGCATGAAACACGAAATGTTTTTTACAGAGTATTTCTGGTTTCAAATTGAGCCAGTTTGGGATAAGCGAAAGAAAATGCAAATATGGTCATGTGGGAGGTCAAAAAAGCACATCAACTTTTTCTGATGCTGAAACTTTGGAAAGTTCCAGAAAATCCAAAAAAAAAAACGGCAAAATTCTGAAAAAATTCGAGCGTGCTATTCACAATTTTTCTGATTTTTCAGATTTTTTTCAGAATTTTTCAACCTTCCCTTGTCAAACGGCTCTCCAAGAGGATTTGTCTTTCCGGTCGGATTCTGCGTCGATTCATGTAAAACCATTCATAACGTTGGAATTAGTTTACCGCCCCTCTTCACAGTTAAAGATGGAGAACTTGAAACCGAAAGTGTTCTCTCCGTCCTTTGTCCCCCCCATTTCCCTCCCGTTTTCCAATTCCAAACCGGCGGCTCTTCTTCTCTGCTCCAGAGAACCGCCGCCGCCGCCGGTGCTCAGTGACCTCATCACTGTCTGCGCCCTCTCTTTTCCGCGCACTCTCTCACGTTGAGTACTCTGTGGGGCAGCTGGAGCAACGAAAAGAAGCGACGGCTCCCCGCTCTCACTTCCTCCTCCTCCTCTCCGTCTCTCCACTCTCTCTCTCTCTCTCTCTAACGATCGGCTATTCATGGAGAAATGCTGAAAATGACATGGAGATAAGGAAAAGCTTTCATGTCTGAAAAAGAGCCAGGAAGCGGCACAGATATTGATTTTCCGGTTTCTGAAGCTTCAAAAGTCGGCGAGCAGACTAGAAAGAGCGCCGGAGCCCGAGTGATCTTTGCAATTTTTGAACTCTGTGCACCGAATAAACCATACATTGAAATTTTGAAAATTTTGAAAATAAATTTTCGGTTTCATGAAACCGTAATAACTTTTTTTGTTTGTATTGTTTCAAATTCTGCAATTATTGGGGCACCGGACAGAAAGGGCGCGCTGTTCGCAATCTGGCCAAACTTCCCGGCCGCGAAGTAATTCTTCACTGAAAACGTGGCCTAACTTTTCAAACTCGGCCCCGAAAAAAAAGAAAAAAAGCGGTGTCTTTGAGTGCAACTATGAACGGATTTTTTATCATTTCTCCACTTATTTTCGCATGTTTTCCGGGTCCAACTCATCCGTCATTTCGTCATATTCTCCCAAGACTTTACACCTTCCTTCCTCCATTTTCCTCTTCTTCTGGTCCCTCCACATTCTTCTGGACCTTTCTGTCAACAAAAAACTCTTTTTGTCTGTTTTTGAGAATACGCCTGTGAGAATTTGACAAACTCGCGAAAAGTGGCGTTTCGTTTCCGTCTCAATTATTCATTGTTTTCCCCGTTGTCGTTTAACCAATTTTTTTCCGGAGCTTTTCGAGAGTTGACGTCAGCGAGCGAGTTTAGAATGCGTGAGAATCGAAAGGAAATCCCACGGCGCCCGCGCTCTTATCACGATTATCGCACCCGCTGTAGCTTCGCGTCCCGGTGGTTCAGCCGGTGACACTTTCGACCGCAACTCGGCATATCCCAGTTCAATTCCGCGTAGTTCAAAAAGATACCAAATTTCCTTTTGTCTTTCTTGAAATGACGATAGAGTCAACATGCGGTCATGTATAATTAGGGACCGCAACGGGTTTCGCAAAACTCCGAATTTCCATAAAATTTTTGTTGGAATGTGTTCCCCTACTCTATATGAGTACGCTCCCAATTTTTTTTTCCAAAATTTTCGGTACATCCCGAGTTACACCCGTTCAAAGTTGCCCTGTTTTCTCCCGGGTCGGCGGCTGAGGAGGGGCGTGGCCTCGCTTGCAAGTTTGCCGCACGCGTTTTTTCTCATTATCTGGTGGACCAAACCAAAGAGTCAACATTTTAAATGAACAGAAATGATGTTCTAAAAAAGCAAAACCACTTTTGAGGTCAAAAGTTTCGAACCCGACACCTCAAAACAGCCGAGCGAGCACTCTGCCACTGCGCCACCCAGGCGGAGGCGCGCCCACCGCCAATCACGTTGAAAAGCTCGGTGTGCGCGGCCCCTTACAGGGGTGAAGTAAGTGCATTTTCGCGCTGAAATTCGAAACATATCTGACTGTAACTTTTTTCGGCAACGTGGAAAATTGCCATTTTAAACGGAATTTTGTCGAGAATTTCACGCAGAATCCGATTCCGTAAAAATTAGCCGTGTGAACGGTACCTGTGACCATCAAATCCTCGAAAAAAACTAAAAATTTCGTCTGAATAGGCGTTACTCAATCGAACACAAAAAAATGCTCCTAGGGTGTCTAGAGCTCTGAAAAATTTATATTTGGGTTCTCAGAGAGTGTATCTATAGATTCCGAAAATAAAAAAAAGGGGTCATCGCTGAAAATTTTCCGCTAACTTTTTTGGCAGTTTGAGGATCTGTAAAAAATTTCGGCAACGTGGAAATCTAAATTTTACTTCAAAAACGGATTCCCCATCTCTTAAACTATCGGAATCACTTGAAAATAGGCGTGTGATCCCATAAACTTGGCCACACAGGCTCTCAGACTGAGTTTCATTTTCGTGTTCGCCGTTTTTTGGAAAAACGGTGCGTTTTCCCGGGAAACTGAGTTGTTCATTGGATTCAGCATGGTCGATTACATAAAGTAAACCGTTTTGGGTATGGTACTTCATTTGGGAACCTCGGTACAGACCGCCAAACACGCGCGCGCGAAAATCGGGAGAAAATTCGTCAGGCCACGCCCCCTTTGTTGCGCCCCCTATGTATAATGCATGTCCTCGAAATCCTCTTCATCCAAACGTCTAATGAGCCCATTTGTTTGCTCTTTTGCATATATATCGGATATCGTAATGACTCACTTTCTCATCTCCAATATCACAGAAAAACACGTGGAAAAGGAAGCTCGTAAGAAGTGAGGAATTTCCCGGTTATAATCCGATCTGCGTCTCTTCCTGCTCCCAATTTTTTCTACTATTTGTTTGTTCCTTCTTCTTCTTCCGTTACCATTGCCAAAACATTGAATTTTCGACGAAAAAGAGAGAGAGAGGAAAACGAGTCATCCATTTTGTGCGCTGTTCCATGTTCTGAGAAAACGACAAAAAATGGGCGAGTTGGGGGGGGGGTGCTCATCTTCGCGTGTTTGTTCTTGTTTTGGGCTCTCCTATGGGAATCGCACTTGCTTTTCGATCACCAGGACTAGTTCCGCAAAGACGTTCTAAAAAGAACAAAAAATTGCGCCGGCCGGGAATCGAACCCGGGCCGCCCGCGTGGCAGGCGAGCATTCTACCACTGAACCACCGGCGCTGCGAAATCAGGAGGGTAGGAGGGTGGTGAAGTGAACGCGCGCGTGTCGCCTTTTCCGCGTGTGCAAACTAGTTTCGCTTGTTTTGTTTTCGCGTCTAACTTCCCAATTCTCTCATAAATGATCGGAATTCCCATTTCTGGAGGGCAAGATCATAGATCAAAACATTTCCAAGTGTACGTTTTTCGAAAACACTTTTCTCTTGCCTTTTCCTTCACTCCTTCCAATTCCATTCAATTTCCAGATTCTCAAATGCCCATTTTTCCAGATCCGACCTGACATCTCTTCGTCTCGCACTCCTCTAATCACTTTTCGGCCCTTCTGAATGTCGTCAGCAGTTCCCCCGATTGCCACGTCATCATCGTCTTCATCTTCATCGTCAGCCGCAGGAGTAGCCGTGCCTTCAGAAGCGGACGATCTCTCGCTCGCCGTCTGACCGTCTGCGTCTCCTCGTTTCGCACGCTCTCCTCCGCATCCGGCCGCTCGGCGTCTATCGTCGCGCGAAAAAGGGGTTTCCCCGACGTCTGCCCCTCATTTCCACTCTGTTTTTCTTTTCGTTTGGCCCCGAAAGGAGTGAAATAACAATATTTTCACCTGGTGAGTGGCAAGCGAAATCAAAGAACACAAAAAAAGGGTTTGCAGAAGACGAAAATGTCGGCGACGATGGAGGAGAAGAAGTTTCTGATCACTCCGATCACCCTGTCGGACCTGGAGACGTCCGCGGCCGCCCACGCAAATCACACTTATGAGGGGAGCGATCCGGAAGAGTCGGAAGACGTGGAGATTCAGATGGGACACGACACGGAGAGTCTGTGCGTGTCCGCACGGGGAGAGGACGACGGAGGACGGTCCATCACACCAAATACGATGGCCTACGAGTTCATACCGCTCATTTATAGGTGAGAGAATCCGAACTTTCCTAGTTCCAGTCCCGGGCCGATGCATTCCTTTATGACTTTCAGCGAACCGGCGCTCTTCAACATGCCCGACATCGCCTACAACCTCCAAAAGTCGTTCGCCGCCAGCGACACACTTCTGCCGCACATGAGAGTGGTGGCGGACGAGATGCGCAACGCTTCCGCGTCCGTCACCGCCGAGCCGGAGCCCAGTGTTTCGCACGCGCCGAGCGTGATCACGGTGACGGCGGAGGGCGAAAAGAACATGTACCAATCGGACATTTCCATGTACGGGTGAGTACTAACACGGAACCGCCGACCGCCTCTAATCCCCAACCACATCCGCCCTGCTCATTGGCTCTCAGCGTGCTCAACTCGTTCTATTTTCAGCCGTCAAGGCCACAAGCCCTCTTTTTCGACGCGTGAGATCCGTGAGCAGCACCAGAAAGTGCAGCAAAAGTATCGTGACGTGACGAAAAAAGAGCGAAAAGAGGGAAAGCCGACGGATCCGATCGATTTCGAGGGAATCCTCAACATCATCGGCGGGTGTCGCTGGTGGCAGATTTGGATTTACGTGCTGATCGCACTGCAACAGATTCCGCACGCCATGTTCAATTTGAACGTCGTCTACATGATGTACGACCCGGAATTTCAGTGCATGGTACGTGAGGGAACACCGTCTCAATGGCTATTGTAGGAATGCAACGTTTCCTGTTTCAATGACACGTTGTATAGTTTCACTTGGAAACGCGAGCGCTCTTCTAATATCTGGAAAAATTTTTGAAAATCTACTTCAACATTAAAAATTACCCCCCCGGGAACATGTTTTGAGGGATTAGACGAGTCTCTTCAGGTTCCCGGCTTCAACGACACCAACGACACGTCGATCGCCTCTTTGGGACCGTACCTATGGGGCGTCGATGACATCAAGAACATCTCGTTCGTCTTTCCGAACGCCAACAGCCAAGGCGACTACAAACGGGACTCGGTAGGCCAACCGAACCCCTCTTCTACCGTACCCACCCCCCACCCCCTTTCCAGTGCTACTTCTACGAACGCTCCGAAGACCGCTACCGTCAACTGCGTCGGATGCCCCTACACACGGCGATGAAAGAGGCGTGGAAGGACGTGGCGCCGAAGAGAAAGTGTCAATCGTATCACTTCGAGAAGGACGTGATGATCGAGACGATCGTCACCGACTTTAACCTGGTGTGCGATAGTTGGCTCGCAAAAGGACACGCCCACATGTTCTACTCGATCGGATACTTGCTCGGGTGTGTGTTGGGTGGAATCGCCAGCGACAGGTCAGTCTTTTACTGTTTCACAATGATCACTTCTAGATGTTTGTTAGGATTATTAAACTCGCTCAATTTCTAATAGAGTCTTCTGCAGAATTGGCCGTAAACCGACAATAATCGGCTTCGGCATCCTCTCCTCCATGTTCGGCGTCTTCCTTCCGTTCAACGACTACTACCCCATGTTCCTCTTCATGCGTCTGCTCTCGGCCATCTGCAACGAAGCGGCCGACCTCGCCGCCTACACACTCTGTATGGAAATCACGGGAATGAAGTACCGCGCGATGGTCGGCTCGATGCTCCAGGCGCCGTGGGCTCTCGGCTACGCGCTTCTCGCGCTCATCGCCTATTTGACAAAGAGCTGGAAGACTATTCAGGTGAACAGTTTTTTTGCTGTTTCAAGAACCTTTCTAAAGAAGATCTCTTCCCTTCATTTGATCTTTATTCTCTCGAACACTCTCAAACTTGGGTAATTAAACCATGAATTAACATTATAACAGACGAGGAGACGATAGTAATAACGCCTACTCTCAAGCAACAATTTAACTTAAATAAGAGTCATTACTACAATTGAGAACGAAGGAAATGAGTGGGAACTAACACAAGAGATCTCAATCGAGCAGTAAACAGCTCACTGAAACACCTAGAATTGGCGGGCTAAAGCTTGCGTATATTGGCGCGGGGGCGCATGATAATACGCGCAATTGCGGACTTAGTATGAAATAGGTCTGAAGTGGGTGGGGTTGGGGAACATTTGATAGGAGGAAGGGGTCAAAGTATTCTGAGTGCTAGAAGATCTTGCACACTTTCTTCACCTATTTGGTTAATATTGCAGGTGATCGCGGCGGGACTCCACTTCCTCTCGATCATCTTCATCTGCTCGATTCCCGAATCGCCGCGATGGCTAATGGTCCAGAACCGAGTGTCGGAAGCGGAAGAGGTGATTCGGAAGGCGTGCCGAGAGCCGCCGTTCCCCTTCAACATGTGCACCACTTCAAAGTGCGGAAACCTTCCGTCCGACCTCGAATTGGTGTCCCATCGCGAGAGGAAGTTGAATAAAAAGGTACCGAAACGTTTGCATCCCACAATTTCCATGTCTGACTGTCCAGAACGGCGGCAAAATCAGTTTCCTGGACCTGTTCACAATGAAAGAACTCCGCTACCGCACCATCTCCGTCTGCATTGTGTTCATGGCGACGGCGCTCGTGTACTACGGACTCGTCATGGCGCTTTCGGACCAATCGGCGCCCGGCAGAACCCTCTTCACCGGCTACTTCCATCTGAACAACGGAATCGCCGGCGCCATCGAGATCCCGACCCTCTTCGCCTGCGTTTGGATGATGCAGTTGGGCAGGAAAAAGTTAGTAGAGGCTCGATCGATTTATAGTTTAAAAGTGAATGATTTGCAGAGCCCTAATGCTAACCCTCACCACCTCGGGCCTCTTCATCATCATCGCAATGCTCTCAATGACCGCCGGCCAGTACATGTGGGCGCTGGCGTGCATGTACTTGGGAAAGATCGCCGTGCAGGGCGCCTTCAACATCCTCTACATTTTCACGAGCGAACTCTACCCCACAGTCATCAGGAACACGGCCGTCGGCGTCACTTCGATGGTCGCCCGCTTCGGCTCGGGCCTCTCCTCCTACATTGCGCTCCTCTCCAACATTTCGCTGCCCATCGTCCCGATGATCATCTTCGCCGTCTTCTCACTTTTCGCCGGAATGCTCGTCTTCGTGTTGCCGGAGACGAGCGAGAAACCGCTGCCGGAGACGTTGGATGTGAGTTGGAAACAAAAAAAAAGAAAGCGGCTTTCGTTTGAAACTTGGCGCCGCAATAAATGGAAAACCGTAAACGTTGCACAGTAATGAAATGCCCATTTAGGACGCGATAAACTTTCTGGAGCCGACAAAGCAAGTGAACTGTATGATTGGCCGATTCGGAGTGTTCCGCCACCACAAAATGACGAAAAGTATCAGTTTGACGGAGAATCCGAGCTCCAGTGACGTCGCCGAGTGGGTTTTGAGCACTGTTCAGCCGCAATTTACCGCTTCGTTTTCAGTCTAAAACCAATGAGCCGCCGATCTTCGGCCATCACGCGAAGAATGGCCGAACGAGCAAGTGTCATCTATTCTAGAAATGTAAGAGGATTTGAGAGACTCGAAAAACTTTGATGGACAATATCGTTTCAGACGAGTCGCACGAATTCGATAGTGCAAGACATTCAGGACATTCAAATTCCATCGGACCTCAAACTGCCCGATTTGGTATCCACCGACGAGTAATTTCCCATTCTTTTCGAGCTTTTCCCCCCCCCGATCATTTCATCCATTTTGACACAAATCTACGAGTATTTCCCTTTTCCTTTTTCAGTTTTATTCATTTTCTCGCGCCGGGTTCGCTTTCCTATTCCTTCTAGTCATCATCAGAAAAACAAAGACCACGTCAGTTGACTCCCGATCGGCCGGTACCCTTTTTTTCGTTTTCCGACTGTAATTCGATCGATAGTGCCTGTTTTCCCAGTGAACGCTTGTCCAGAGATTATCATTTTTTTGTTCAGTTTCATTGCCACACCATAAATATCTGCTTTTTTGATTTAAGAAGTTGGAATAGCTGGTTCAAATCAATCATTTTTTCGGTTTCGTTCCAACCTGACAAAATGATGGCCGCGAAGTTTTCTAGGCCACGGCCTTCAACTGCACAGTATTACAGAGTTCCCAAGAAGCGTCGTCTCACAATAGACGCGAAGTGTATCAGTTTTATTAATTTTACATTGTGAAACAGAGATCTCATGATGTTCTGCTGTGATTAGAAGAAACGGACAATATTGATATATTGTAGAAGTGTTGAAACTGTTTTATATTGTCCGTTTGCTTCAAAGGTACATGTATTTTAGCAAAATAAGTGAGAAAACACCGGAAAGTGGACTAATTTCCTGTCTAGAATTGTGTATAGCAGTAACAATAACGTTAGTTATCAGTTTCATAATTTTCCGTTTTTTTTTCGGTTTTTTACATATCTCAATTGGGTTTTTTGACACATTTTTAATCAATTATCGCTTCGGCACGAGTGCTCTTCCGTAACTTGAATTCAAGCGAACTTTCGGACCCCAATGGCAGTGATTTCTCACTCTATTTTCATGAAAAAGAGGCATGAGAAAAAAGTCTCGGCTCCGTTTCATTTGCACACAAAAAGTTAAGTTTGAGTTTCAGCTTCCCTATGAAAGATCCTCAACCAATATGAGAGTGATTGAAGAGATCTTTCACATTCCCAACTTAAAAACCATTTCGATTGCTCTTTTCGCTCCCTTTACACCAAGCACAATGTCTCCTTTTCGACTTTTCCAGAAAATGATTCCAAAACACGCGAGAATCCGATGCAGTCGACCGCCGAAATCCGCGATTCGCACACTTCTGGAGGCTTTTTCGAGGCGAGTCAGCTATTCAATTTTGCGCCATCCAGAACAACTTTGTCACAAATCAAAAACAGAAAAAGTTATGGTTTTAAAAAACGTTTGCAAATTTCGAAACTGCTGCACAAAAACTGTGGTCATTCTCTGGACCAGTTATTCTCAATCAGAATAAAGAAAGTTCTTCCCTTTGTTTGATCCTTTATTCTCAAACTCAAACTTGGGTAATTAAACCTATTACAGACGAAGAGACGATACTCTCAAAACCTACTCTCAAACAACAATTAACTTAAATAGGAGACACTACTACAATTGAGAACGAAGGAAATGAGTGCGAACTAACACAAGAGATCTCAATCGAGCAGTAAACAATCAAAATAAAACCCGAATTTGGCGGGCGGACGAAACCAGTGTATAAATGCGCGGGGGCGCCTTATTCTACGCGCAACTACGTACTCTTAGTGACGCGCGTCTAGAAACCTAAACCACTTGGGGAACTTATAACCAGACTTGCCAAATCCCGGGCCGGCCCGGTCGGCCCGGCTCCGCCCACTCTTGAGAAAATTTTCGTAATTTTTGTGAAAATTTTGCGTCTTTAAACAGCAATTTCTATTTTTTAACAGGTTTTTATGCTATAACATTGCCTTTTTAAGTCTATAAAATTTTAAGTCTATAAAATTATGTTCGTTTCGAAGTTCTAGTTCGCTTTGAATTTTTAGGTGCATCCTCCCGGGCCGACCGGGCCGGGCTGGGCCGGAAAATTTCCAATTTTGGCCCGGCCCGGCCCGTTGCAAGTCTGCTTATAACTACTCAATGATTGGGGGGTGGAAACGGATTTCTTATGATAAACTGATGGAGGGGGAAAGGAGAGTGATAGATAGGAATCTCTAACGCAGAAGTCAATCCTTTAAAAGTTCGGAGAACCTGTAAAACATGTGTGAGAAACAGGAATCTTGCAGAGTAGTGTTGCACGAGGAGTCGGAGGAAATGGATCTGTCCGAGCAGGAGTACCTCCACTGGTTCGTCAGCCGTCTGCTCACTCTCGACTCGTTTTCCGAGCTCGTCGCGTTCGTAATTCTCTGTTTTTGGTGTGGCGGAGGTCTCCTCTTCTTTTCCCTTCTTTTCATTCATTTCTTCTCACAGATCGTGTATAAATGAGTCAACTTTTGATGAGTAAATGTTTCATTGGAATGGAATTGGCATGGAACACTGAAAGCAAATTGTTTTTGTAAAAACTTGTGTATTTTCGTACTCTTTCACTCATTTCACAAAGATACCGCCCGAAAACAACAACAACAACAGTTTTTACAAAAAACACTGAAAAATGGATGAAGTGGGGGGTAAAGGTGGTCGTCATGCGACACACCAACCCCTCCTCCGATCATTTCGTATGCATCCGTTTTCGCTCGCTCTTCCGCTTTTTCGAAACGGTCGTCCGGGGCGAAATGGTCGGTATGGAGACGGCGAAAACCAATGCCAACAACCTTTCCGCGATCCATTCGTCTCTAGCTTTCATTTTCATTTTTCAGCACACGCATGAACTGTTTCAAGTTTGATTGTGCCGACAAACAGTGCAAGTTCCACGCGGAAGCCCATTTGCACTGCGGACATAAACGGTAAGACGCGTCGCTTGAAACTAGCGTACTCTTCTCTCTGTCTGTTCAGTTGCCATTTCGCCTCCAACGATTCGCTGCTCATCTCCAACCATTTGACCGTATTCCACACGCGAACAACGCTATTCCCGAGGACCGTCACTTCTATCACATCGACGTCGAGTGCCCGTCTGCCACGTGTCAATTCAACCGAAGCAGCTCGCATTGGCATTGTGCCACGTGTCAAGGGGTACGGTAGCATACTGTAGGAGGCAAGTGAGAACGATGGCGTCGTTTCAGGGATTCGAGATTGTCGGTCTACACTGTTGTGCGACCGCCGCCGGTAAGAAGATCGATGTGAGTGGCGACTAGCATCCAGCTGTTCCTTTTTGTGCATATTTCAGTGTTGCTCTCGTCCGTTCTGTAAGCTGAAGAAGAAGACGCACTTTCACTGCAAAATATGCGATCAGGGCTTCTCGAACACGGCGAAACTGATGAATCACACGCATCATCGGACCGTTGTCCGAAAGCCAGTCGGTCGGAAATTGAAGAAGCCCGAATTCGAGCACTGTTTCGAACTCCGCGAGCCCATCATTTTCACGTTGGAAGACAAAACGGCTAAATAGGGAGGGTTTACTGTTTCAATGTACTTTTGATTTCTAATTCTGATTAAGACTTATATTCGAAGACCTGTATCTTCTAAACTTGTGAACAAAAAAGCTCTACACCTTTGCAATTGAGCATTAAGTTCATTTTGCGCGTGTTCAGCGTATATTTGTTTTCCGCTTTTTTTTAAATCGCTGAATTGGATTTTTTGACGTAGAAAAAACGGAAAACAATCATTTTTCACAGCCTAAATAACTACATTGCAAAGCGTACCTATTGCACGGATAGAACGCACAATAATATTATGATCGTTTTGAAACGGCACTCGTTTTTCAATTCATCTCCATCCGCGCTCTTCAGACGTACCCTGGCAACCCCATAAATCTCAACGACACTCGATTTGATCGGAGGAGAGAAAGATAGAGTACACTGAGAACAACAACACAATAACTCTGCGTCTCAATAGAGAGTATGGGAGAGTGAGAGACGCAGAGAGAGAGAGAGAGAAAGAGTGTCAGTTGTCTTTCGATCCGCATCGGCTCACTTTTGACGTTCTCCTGCCATTCGACGACAATCGGATCAGATCGGGAGGCGGAAGACGGAGAAACGGCCACGAACATGTCTCTTTTTTCTTCTGTTTTCTCGTTTTATTTATTGCTTTGAAGCGCCCATCCGATTTGTGCTCTTTTCCAGAATGAAATCCTCAATTCTACAGCTCGCTTTGATGTGCGGACTCTTTTTTCGAGGTTAGTGTGAGAAATGAGTGAAGTAAGCGGGCGAAGAAAGTGGTTGAACAAATGGACATTTTGAAGCTGAACATTTCTAGCCGTTTTCGGCGTTTCAGGAAGATCCGATCGGTCTGAAAATTGAACCCAACGTTATAAGTGTCTCTCTGCGGTAATTTCTGTACTAGTTTAGTGAAATCTCGAATCTTGAATCTCCTTCACGTTGACTGGACGTCCAAAAATTATTTCCAATACATTTCCAGTTAGGCATGCGCTAATAACAAAGGTTTGAAAGGGAGAAGTGAACTTTAGTTGCGTTTTGACAGACTTGCGGACTCCAACTTGATCTTACTGTTGCCGCAAAGCCAACGGCTCTAATGGATCGTATAAAACCGTTTCTTTTCCAGGCCACACGCTTGGATGCATGAAGAAAGTGTGTGGAAACAACGCGAGAAACGAGTTCCGTCGATGCCCGGACGTGGACGGATCCTGTGGAAACTACCACACGGAACGGTGAGAAAGAACAAGTTTATGAGTACCCGGGGGGAGCCGAAGCAACAATCAGACATAGAAAATGGCGTGATCGATCTCCTTAGTGCACCGTTGTCTGTTGCGCACGAGTTGCGCCTCGCTCGACACGATAATGCAACGGACGAAAGTGGAGAGGAGGAACAGGACGATGCCCAGGACGGTGAGCGCGCCCAATCGGATCGTTTCGAACGCGCCGTTCACCAGATCGTTGTAGAAACCGGCGAAGAACAAGTGGAAGAGGGGCGAGAGGAGGCAGAAAATGAGGGTTTGGGTGAAGAGTCGGGGATTGAGGGCACGGATCGAGTAGAGTTCGAGGAAAAGACCGAGGACGGCCAGAAACGGGTACTTGTCATCGGGTACATTCGACAGAAAATCCGAGTCGTGGAGGATGGTGTAGTGGATCAGGAGTTGAAGGATCGAGATGAGCAGCGAGTGCTGGTAGAGGTAGATGAGCAGCCGATCGATAACAGAACATCTGTGCAGCAATGGGGTGTCTGAAACGAACGACGGAACGTTTTTTCGAGACGGTCCCGACGGGCTCACTCACCTTGAAATGCCTTGTCGAAATTGCCGTACAAAATGTAGACGAGCAGTTGAAAATCGGGAATTTCCAGTTTCGAAACAGTGGCCGTCGGTCGTTTCATTCGATTTAATCAATTTTCGAGTGAAACGCCACGAAAAACGAGCCGAGCGGACCGGGAAGCAGAGGGATAGTGAGGGTGATATCACACTTTCGCTTCACGACAAAAACAATCGACCCGGGGAGACATGTGGCGGCTCGCCGCGAGCGTCTACTCTTTTTGTTGAACTTTCTAGACTTGCAGGTGACACGAGTAACCTTTGAATTGCATTTTTAAGCCGTAGAAATACGATTGAAACGTCCAAATTTCCAACGGAATTTCCTATTTCCGTAGAGATTTCTGTCGCTTTGCCCGCTCTTATCTTGGCCCTGCCGACCGCGTTTCCCGTCGGCCGCCATAGCTCAGTCGGTTAGAGCGTGGGTCTAATAAGCCCAAGGTCGCAGGTTCGACCCCTGCTGGCGGCAAATCTTTTTTTAATTTTACAAATTTTCAGAACTTCTGGCGAGATTATTGATGGCGTGGACGTCCGGTGTCACGTCGGAGAGCCGGTTTACGCGCCGATCGAGGGAGAAATGTACTTCTGGAGGCCGTACGGAGGAAAACGAGAGAAATCTTGTGCGGATCAAGGAGTGAGAATCGAAGGAACCGGACAATGGCAGGGTAAGGTCTACTTTTGACTTTGACTGTAAACTTTATAGAATTCAATTTTTTCAGGGTATGCGGCGCACATTTCCTCGGTGAAACTCTCTTCGTTCGGAGGACACGTGGAGGCAGGAGATGAGATCGGAGAGGCACTCAATCGGTACTGCTTCAACGATCGGGGACAGCAGGATGTGGAACCGCATGTCGAAGTGAAATTGTACAAGGAAGGACGGCTCATCGACCCGACACATCATCTGCAGAATTGTAAGAGAGCCGGAGAAAGTAAAGAGAGATGAGAGATTGATTTGTTTTGAGGTATGTGCACTGGCCAGATCTGTGAATCCAACACCCGAAACGTTCTGCTGGGCGATCCTTTCAAAACTGACAAGTGAGTTTTCCAATCTTGAGCTACAATGCATTTAAAGACGGTTCAGACGTTTCAACGGAGTGCGTGGATGGGACATCGAGTGCCAGATGATCAACGACGACGACGAGGACCCGCGCGCGCCGATGGTCTACTCGCCGATCGCCGGAGAGACGGTCGGCCGGATCCGTCTGTTCACAGATGCGAACGGCGCGTACACCGGATGCGACAACGACGGAATCTTCATTGTCGGCATCGACGATTGGATGGGCTACGAGGCCCGGCTCTACAATGTGAAGGCTCGCGCCGACATCGGATTCGGACGGAAGCGCATTGTGCAGGGAGAGCCGATTGCGACGAGATTGGACTGCGAGAACAGTCCGGACAGTGTGTTCCTCGAGGTACGTGCAAAGGAAACTTGGCCTACACTTAGAAAGACTGCAGTTTTTAAGTCAAACTACTGATGATCGCATACTGATGATAAACTTCCATCGAACCTGAATTATTTTGAAGAACAGTGTAGAATTGAAATTTTTATCAAAAATCAGCGATGTCCATGTTTGATTACACATTTCTCAAAAATGTTCTGCTTCAAACATATCTTAATTCACGGTCTCCAGAGCTGACAATGCCCGCCCAATAGAGCGATACATTGGCGCGAAATTCAAATTTTAACAGCAAACTTTGTGTTTTTTGCCAGATTAGCCACGAAAAACCGATAATTTCTCATTTGTCTCTCGATAGACCGATTGTATAGGCTATTACGAATTTTTTAAGCGCAAGAGCGTTAAATTTGGTCAAGTCGCAAATCAAATTTATCCGTTTGAAGGTTTTTGGCTAAAACTGCGTGAATTTCAGTTGCATTTCGGTAGTTTTCGCGGTTCGAGCGCTCAAAATGCTTGTATTTACGTGATTTATCATTCTCAAACCCAATTCTGTCTGAAAACGGTCGAAAAAGCGCAAAATGAGAAGTGCGGTTTCGGCGGCGAAGGCGAAAAAGCAAAGTCCGCGAAAAATGCGCAAAAACGTCACGAATTCTGAGAATTAGTGTGTTTTCATGTCGAACAATCATTTTTCATCGCCTTTGACCACAAAAATCAGAGAAAACCCCCTGCTCAATTCATGAAAACGCCATTTGGCCGAGGCCACGCCCATATTGTCATCTCTGGAGACTGTGTAATTGTAAAAAAAAAATGCAAAAAAAAGCCCATTTATTGCAGATTCGCTACGAAGGAAGAGTGGTCAATATCACGGATATCATCACTGCTGCCAACTGCAAAACGCCCAACTTCCCCGTTTTCTAACTTTATCCGTACTCTTTCACAAATATTTTACTGTTTCGCCCCCCGCTCAAAATGTTTCGTTCTGCTGCTCTCAATAATAACTCAATAATAAATCAATAACTCAATAATAACTGAGGCGATTTTATTGGACACTGTTAAATACAGAATAGGCGCATATAAGTAGCGATTTCGTCTCGTGCGGTTCCCTCAACGCGTTTACGGGTTTCCGCTGATGAATCCTCCGACGTAGACGTTTCCGTCGTCGGCGAGCGCGTCGGCGGCCTTGAGCATGGATCCGGCCGCGTAGACGTCTCTGTTGACGGTCAGAGTGCACACTTGCTCGACCTGCGCGAACTGTTTGACGGACGGCGCGGTCCAGCAGCCGAACGCGCGGAAGTCGGCGAAAGTGGCCGGCGTCTCTCCGTTGACGCCACCGCCGAGCACGTTCCAGTACCAGAGGAGCACGTCGCTTCCGATGCTGCTCCAGCCGTTCGTGATCTGGTTCCAGTCGTAGTAGGAGGTGTAGATTCCGACCGTCATTCCGTATTGCTGAAAAGAGTTCCGTTTCACGTTGACTACATCGACAACTGTGTTCCGGTTGGAATTCACTCGCTAGTCACTATCAGCCACGAATGTTTTAATCGTCTCAAAAGTTCACCGTACTGATACGCGGTTTCGGTACAAGAATCTCGAACAAATTAACGTACTCTGGCTCTCGAGACGATGCTGTTGATGAAGTTGATGTTGGTGGTCGGGTTAGACGGCCAGTTGGTTGGCGAAGTGACCTGTAGAACCGTACCGTTCGTGGTAATGAATGTTCAGAAGTGTTTACCTGAATCCAAATGGATCGGACGGTGATTCCCTTGGCGGTGAGTCCCTGATAGATCTCGTCCAACTGCTGGTATCCCTGCTTCGACGACGCCGGCTGCGGAGTCATGTAGATCTCGGTGCCGAGTCCGGCTGAACAGAAACAGAATGAGTGTCAAGGAATTGGAAAGGACGAACCAGAGTACGCGTTTTGGATGGTGTTGCACGCGTTGGTGTCGAAGGCTCCCTGACCGGATGGATTGTAAGCACTGCAATGCGAACATCATCACCGTTTCAGAAAGTAGATATGAAAGTGTGCTTTTCCTACTGTTTAATCGGTCACACGTCTTTTTTTTTTTTGAATTAACAAGAAAAAGAAAAGCGGAAACTGAAAAAGTTTTGCCCGGTGGGTTTCGAAACCGCGATAATCAGTTTACAATTGCAAAAAAGAACCACTGCGCCACAGATGCTCTTTGCGAACCTGTCGTCTAAACAAGTGACAAGCAGGCAAGAAAAGCACTATGATTTCAGAAACGGCCAAATGTTACGATTTTAAGCACTTTTTTTGCACGAACCGAATGAAGACGGCCGAGTATCCGGCCTGTTTGATGCACTGCAACTGGCTCAGAGACGCCGGCACCGAAAGATCGACGGCGAAAGCGTAAGAGGCCAAATTGGCCGGAACTCTCGGAGCCGCCTCGGCGATCACCTGACGAAAAGTGAGCGGAAGCGACGAGTCGACGAACGGAAGGAATTTGACGACGGCCGTCTGGCCAAGCACCGCCAGAACACTCACGAGAACGACCGATTTGAGAAGCATTCTGAAAATGCGGTAAAAATTAATATTTTTAAAAAGAAACGGTTTAAAATGGGCAGAAACGAGCGGGCTTCGTGATTTATAGACTTATAGTCGGCGGCTTATCAGAGAATTAGTTAGCACCGCCTGTCCATTTGATTTTACCGAAACGAATGATATCACACGCTTATCAGTCGCATGTTTACACACTCTTTCGGGCTCGAATCGATGATGAGAATTGAGCGAATTGAGAGAAAGTTTCCGGAACAGTGCGTGGTTATCAACTTGAACTCTCAGGTTTCAGCTTCACTTTTAGCTACTCGCCTACAATAGAAACGGAAAAGTGATGGGTGTTCGATGGATGATTTCAGTCACTAGATTCTTTTATATTCGATGCCGATTTGCAGGTGCACAAACACTGCCCGCCATACATGGCATCATCGTTTTATTTTGTGACATGTCTGTTCAAACTGTACTGCTACTACTACTGGCCGTTTCGAACCGAACCGTTCCGTTCCTCCACTCCCCGTTTGTTTGTTATGAGATCAAATCCATGTATCTGCTATTTTTACAGTTTCAACGGATTTCCGAGTGAAGATCGGTGAAGAATGATGTCATTTTCATGGCAAACAAGGTGTTTGAGCAGCTGGAAGTTTGGCTAGGAACTCAGACTGAGACTCGGCCAGGACGATCCGTTAGTTTCAGATTCTTCAGAGTTTGTAGTGTATTGTTCATGTGAATATTTCGCTAATTGATTGCTTTTCAAAATCCCCCAGTCTTTACAATTCTTCGAAACGGAAATCACCGTTTCGACGCCTTTTGGAAATGAAAATTCTAACGAAAAATCCAACTAGGTGCCGATAAAAAACTCGGAAAATCATTTTCAACATTTACAGTTGCACCAACTGGATGAGTGCTTCGACAACTTTAACATTTCAGTCTAGGCACTCTTCTTATTTTAAAAATCCATTTCCGCTCAACTCTAATCTCCGAATAAACGTTTGCCAGTTGCCAGACACAATTCCAGTGAAAATATGCAAAACCAACACAGCATGTGTTCGCCAAACAAACACGCGCACACTTTATTATCATAAGTGATCGCAAATCGGGTGACGTCATCTCACTTGGCCTTCTGATCCTTCTCCTCCTTCTCCTTCTCCTCCTTCTTCGTGAACAGCTCGACGGCTCCGCGTTGATCCGATTTCGGCAGTTTTCGTTCGGCGATCTGGTACCAGAGAGTCGTCGCCTGCTTGTGATACGTGCCCATGATCATGAACGCGTTTTGAATCTCGAGCAGATGCGCCGACTTTCCGCTCGTGTACTTCTCGTCCACGATCCGCTTGATCTTGGCGGTCAGATCGTCGCGCGCCTTCTTGTTGTCCGGCGACTTCTTCACCACCTTCGCCAGATCCTTCTTCAGTTCCACGTAGCGCGGATAGTGCAAATGGATGAAGCGTGCGATCTTCGGGAACGAATTGCCGCCCTGCGTCTGCATGATCCGCTCGTGCGTGCCCAGCAGTTCCGTGTTCTGGAAGATGGACGTGTTCATCTCCGGCTGCAGCTTCGTGTCCGTCTTCCAAAAGTTCTCCGTCTGCAGCACGTGCTTCGACAGCTTCTCGGGCGCCGAATAGCCTTTTTCGGTGGTGAAGTGGTACAGATCGGTCGTTCCGTTGCCACGTCGCATCATGAGCAGTTGCGTGTTGTGGATTTGATGCAGGGCGATCTAAAAAGAGGATGAGGTAGTCAAAGAGAGAATGGGAATACTTTGTACTCCTCGAAGAGTTTGCACACGGCATGCATCGAAGGATCCAGTTGACAGGCAGCCAGTTCTGTCTCGTTCTTTCTGAAAATCGCATAATCTCAGAATGGTCCCTTTTTTGGATGTACCCCTACGGAGTGGGAAAGTTGAAGGCCATCTTGGATCCCTGCTCGCTGTTCTGCAGCTTCGACTTCTCCGCCGTCGGCTTCGGCGCTCTCATCGACGATTTCCGGTCGACGTTCCCGGCGGACGGCTTCTTCGGACCCCTCCGACCGGTCTTCTCCTTCTCGCGAACCGACAGTCCCGTCTCCCGAATTGAAGCTCCGCGCGGCGCCGACAGCTCCATCCGCTCGATCTTCTTCTCCTCCTTCCCGCGCGCTTTCGCTTTCGTAGTCGGCCCCGGAGACACTGGCGGCGGTCCCTCTTCGTCCTCAAAAGTTCTCTACAGATGCATCAGAATTCAGAGCCGAACCTTCTTTTCGTCTTTTTCCGAAGTTCCAGCACTAGCCATTTACCTGAACACTTTCCGGTTTTCAGATTCCTTTCCCAAATTCCAATTCTCACCTTTTTGTTGAAACCGATGCTCAAATTGAATAGCAATGAGGTGGCATTCACGTGTGACCGTCGAATTGAGAACAAGAAAACGGGGAGGGTATCAAGTGGAAATTAATTATGCGTGAGGGGCGGAATTGGGAAGGGTATGCGCGGTATCCGATGACAGACGTAAGAAACGGACTCGAGCGAGCCGAATCTATACTAGGTGGTCGTGCCACGTCATCACTGTTTCACTCGCTTCGTATAGTTCCACCGAAGCTACTCCTCGCCAGTTTCTCATCCTTGCAACCGGAAAAAGTTGCAGAAAATGTCGGCGGGATTCGAGAATCTGCGAGCAGTCGGCTACCAAACCGACGTTCCCTACGTCCAACTCTCCAACCTTTGCTGGTCGTTCTTGTGTCCGAAACCTGGCGCCGAAGTCGAATTTCTCGACCTCACTTTTCAATTGATGAACTCAACAGCCACTATTGTGCAGATCGACGCGGACATCGATCAGTCGATTAATATGGTAAGGCGTTTAGACCCAACTATCACCGAATCGGTTTTAGGTTGGAAATGGAACAGCAGATATTACTCTGGTGACCGCTCGACAGACATTGGAAAGAATGAAGCAGGTCGGAGGAGGGAGAATGATTTGTTTTGGCTACCGTAATCTTTTCAGGTCGACTTTACCACCCCCATCGGCTTCGTTTATTACGGTTACTTGCTCAGGGAAGTTCCAGAAATCGCCGTCGCCGATTATATCATCAGAATCTTTTATCTGGATGTAACGGAAGTTGCTAAAACGTATCGACAAACAGAGTTTTCAGACCCTCGCCATCCTCATTGCTTTCGGCATTATTATCGGATCGCTTGTCTACCTTTACACGTGGATTTTCGACCAGAGAATCCGATCCATTTGGGACTGGATGATCATCAGTTGTTCGGGTACTCTCAAGACACAAGCCAACCCCGAATACCGTTCAAATGTCAGGTATAATCCGTCAATTCATGTTCAAAATCTCGTCGCCAATCTGCGCCCTCGTTGTCATCGGTTTCTGGCTCTGGTGCTGTCAAGTGATCATCACCTACTACGAGGCGAAACTCAAGAGCTTCCTTCTTCTCTCCCATCACCGCGGGACCATATTCAACACTTTGGACGGGGTGCTCGAGGCCGTCGAGCACAAGGGATGGACCCTCGTCATACAGGAACGCGGCTACACTCCGTATCTCTGGTGCAATGCGGTTCAGTGTGCCCGATTGGATCGCTTGAAGTCAAAGTGAGTTGGGAAAAAAAGGTGCCAGAAGTCGGAAGTCGGAATAACCATAATCCCGAGGATAAGAAGTCCGTTTGAAACTCGAACAGTTCAAAGATCTGACATAGGTGACCAACAAACCAAAAATGAAAACTTTTCCGTTTGACCGTCCTAGTATTAACTAATTTTTGTGTTCAGAGCAAATTTGCCAGAAGTTACAATTAGGGAATCACGGTCTCCAGAGCTGACAATGGCCGCAAGTGCGCCCCGCCCAATAGATCGATACATTGGCGCGAAATTCAAATTTTAACAGCAAAATTTGTGTTTTTTGCCAGATTAGCCACGAAAAACCGATAATTTCTCAATTTTCTCTCGATAGACCGATTGTATAGGCTATTACGAATTTTTTAAGCGCTAGAGCGTTAAATTTGGTCAAGTCGCAAATCAAATTTATCCGTTTGAAGGTTTTTGGCTAAAACTGCGTGAATTTCAGTTGCTTTTCGGTAGTTTTCGCCGTTCGAGCGCTAAAAATGTTTGTATTTACGTGATTTATCATTCTCAAAACCAATTCTGTCTGAAAACGGTCAAGAAAGCGCAAAATGAGAAGAGGAACCCAGCCTTCCACTCGTTTCGCGTGCAAAAATTTCGTGCTGCGCCTTTAAAAGACTACCGTAATTTGCGAATTTCTGGATTTCTGTGTTAAATTAGCGAAACAACAGTGAAATGTGATGCAATTTGTTGTAGTTTGTATTATTTACCTTAGACCCGTTTCAGAATAGTGTACATCGGCGCCGACGCGGATCTGAACGCCCTTCTGACGCAGGACAAACACGTGGGCTTCACGGCGGTCGCCAGCGATCTGGCCCAATCGGACATCACCTATTTCGACTATCACTCGAGAATTCTCTTCGTCCGCGATAAAATAATGGCGCCCGAGTACCTTGCGTACGCGGTAAACAAGTACGTTTTCGCCCTTTTTGCCTCGCTGTCTCTCCTCGCGGCGCCCTCAAAACGACAAACGGAGGGGAGCGGAGACAGCGGGTCCTGTGGTGTAGTGGTTATCACGTCTGCTTCACACGCAGAAGGTCGCCGGTTCGATCCCGGCCAGGACCTACCTTGTTTTGCACTTTTTCTTCTCTTCAGAAACGTGAAGGGCCTTCGTGAGAAGTTTAATCGAGCAGTCGCCTATACCAAGAGTGGATACGATACTGTCCGCTCAAGATACATCGCAGCGTTTTCAGCGTATAACTCGGTGACGTCACAATCGCAAACTATAAGTATACCACCTGAAATCTGAAAATATCTGAAATTTTTCAGGCAAATGTACTTCAAACCACGCATTTTGTGCAACTCTACAAGTTTTGTCTGGTCTTGTACGGGATCGCGTCAATCGTACTGTTTTTAGGTAGTCGCCAGATTACTGTAGTCTCTAGCTCTTCAAAATTATTTTCAGAAATCCTAACATTCCGTCTAAGCCGTCACTTCGAAGTGTTCGGCCACCGCTACACTTACCAATTGGCCGGTTTCGATTGGCGATTCGCCCGACCCAAATGGACCCATTTTCCACGCCGAAATACAGTAATCCTGCCACTTTCGCGCGGATATAGCCCAGAAAGAAACCGTCGGATTACTGTAGGATAACGTTTATTGTTTGACCACTTGAAGAATACTGTGTCGATGTGACGAAAAGTAGTACTTTTGGGAGGTAATAATACTAGGCGAAATGGATGGCAATACAATAAATATTACTGATGGTTGTTGTTAGTTAATGAATGAATGATTCGGGTTCGTTTTGTACAGACAAATTGAGTTTTTTGGTCCCTCCTCAGGAATTGGTTCGTTTACTGAAAAGTGAGAGTTGTAGTTCAGGTTTTTTTCGGGAATCTTACCAGCTTCGCTTGACGCTCAACCCATCCGTCAATGGCGGATCCGATCTTCTCCTCGTCCTCGTTCTCCTCGTCGCCCTCGCTCTTCTGCTGCTTCCTCGCCTTCACGGGCATCGCGACGGCCGCGGCTGGCCAGTTGGCCGTCATTCTGGCGACGTCCGGCCAGTTGGCTGGCACCGGCGGCACGTAGTTGTAGAATGGAGCGGCCGGGCGCCACGCGGCTCCGTACGTCGACCCTGAAACGTGTAAAGTGCGGAAGAGATGAAAAGGAGAGGGAACAAATATTGACTGCCCCCCCGGAAGTCTCTTTTTTGCTCAAAAGAAAGGCAGCAGCCGCCTGTGTGTTGACACTTTGCGCCGCGTCGATTCACACTGTTAATGTTGGCTACAACACGGATCTCCACTTACAGATTGGGCAGCAAAAGTATGGTCCGATGTCGACCGAATTGGTGGCGTAGCAGTAGGATTGTGGCGGGCACTGTGGCCACGGTCTCTTCGGATCGCACTCAATTGGAAGCGATGGTCCGCCGGGGCACTGTCCGACTGGCGCCACGACTGGCGCGACAACGGCCGGCTGCTGGAGAAGTGGGGCCGGGGCGGCGGCCACTGGGACCGGGGCGTATGCCGGACGCACTAGGGCTGGAGCTGGAGCCGCGAAGAGCACAGGGTTACGCGGCACTTGCGCGGCTCCCGCCAGCGGGGTGATGTATTGACGACGCTTGCTGCTCTTGCCTTCTTCTGAAATGATACGACTGTTTCACGAAAGTCATGAAGCGGACGGTCGCTTTAATATTTTGGTACACAAGCTAAGCGGATCGCAAGAGGACTCACCAGTGGAAGGCGCAGCAAGTGCGAGCGCGACTAAAACCGAAGTCGTCAACACTTTTCCGAACATGATTGGCGGAAATGAACGAACAAAAGCTGATATTCTCCTCATTGGCATGCCGCGAGCGTTTTATACTCGCCGCGTCCGCCGCGGTTCCGTCCGCGCGCCCCCACTCCGCCCCGATTCCTCTTCCGCGCGCGCGGAGAAAAGTTACGTGGAAGTGTCAAATTCTGGTTTTTTCGACAGCTTTTTGGCGGATGCATAAGGGGGGCGTACGTGGCAACGTGTCAAAGGTTAAAACGAGTGAGTCACCGCGAAGAATCTGGTTTTTTCGGAGCTCTCAAAACGGCTACCGACCAGAGTTGAGCGGAAGAACACGGAAGAATTTTTATCTTTTTTAGAAAATTTTTTCATGGAATGTGATCAACTGACGAAATGTATAGCAAAGTGAATTCTGCCCATAGAAAAATAATTGTAAATTTAACTTTTCATACAAAAAAGTTAGGGCTAACGGAAGACGGAAGGGCATTCTCACGGAACAACTCGAATAACTTTTTTGTATGAAAAGCTAAATTTACAATTATTTTTCTATAGGCAGAGTTCACTTTGCTATACATTTCGTCAGTTGATCACATTTCATGAAAAAATTTTCTAAAAAAGATAAAAATTCTTCCGTTGAGTTATTCCGCTCAACTCTGCTACCGACACCTCTGACTCCTCTTTTTTTCAGACATTCCCATGACGTTTTGCGGCCTTTGTTATCATTTTTCAGTGATTATCCCAACATGCTTCATCTTCTTCTTCTTCTTCTTGTCCTTTCTTGTGTGCGCGACTACTTACGGCACGCCGCGCACTCGCCAAACAATCCACGTGTGGTCAGCGGCGGCCGAGAACAATGGATTCGAGAGGCCCCCGCTGATGATGGCGAAATGGCAAAAACGGTCTGTGATTGAGGAATTTGGGACACAGCAAACTACACTTGTGGGAGAATGTTTTCATTGTGTTCTTTTGCATGTTGACCGACAGTTAGCGCATATCATTTTTTTTTGGAAAAAATACAATACGTGTACGGTAACAGGCGTTGAAAAAACGGCAAAAAGGGCGTCTTGTTCAAGAATTCCGGTCAGTACAAACATAAACTGTTACAGCTACAAGACAAGTGATTGTCATTTTGGAATATAATCGATTCGAAGAGCGATAAAGTGGGTAGTTCTGGAGGTTTCTCATTTTCATTCGCCATTAGTTTAAAAAGTGTAGTAGATGTATTGAAACATGAAAGAAAACGTGCTGGCAAATAATTTTCGGAGATAGCATTGGTATAGTGAGTTTAGAAACTACAAACAGTAAGGATTCCCTATGCTACAAGTACAATTCTATAAAAAGCGTTGGCTAACCATGCACCCCCTACGAATCTTTGCTCTTTTTTCAAGTAGGCGCCAACCAAACACTTATCACATCCGTTCCATTCCCTCCATTTCCGGCGACATCCAATCAGATCGGATCAGTTTCCGGCTCAAAAAGTGGGCCGAATGTTCGCGAAGTTTGGAGTTAATATGACCTCACTTTGGGAATCAACGATCGGCGACGAAATCGGATATTCGGGATCGAGTGGGTAAGGCAAACACGTATACCACTGGAGAACGTGAATGAAATTCGAGGGGGACTGGAAATGGACAATAACGATTTGCCTCAGTGGATGGCTGGTCCGATAGACTTTGTAAATTATTCCCATCTACGTTAAAACGGAACAGACTGAGTCCAGAGAATCTGGTAAAAGCTTAAAACGATCTCGAAACTGTAATTCGCACAAAGTCACAACTTCTCTGTTTCACGAACTTTCTATATTTTTGTGCTAATCCTCCCATCTTTTACTTTCACCAGTCCACTTTTTCCTTCACTTCCAACCAAAAATCCAGTCTGGCCCGCATTGCATTGCTCCTTCATCAAATTGATATCAATCAGTTCTCTCTTCAAAGGTGTCAAGTTGCTCCGAGACTCTCGGCCACCGTTTTCGACGTGTAACCGGACCGGAATGAGCAAAAAGAGCACACGGAAAACGGTGGAGAGACGGAGAGAGAGAGAGTGAGAGAGAAAGAGAGAGAGAGAGAGAGAGAGAGAGAGAGAGTGGTGTTGACACACTTTCACGCGGAATAATGAGGGGAAGAAAAAGACGGGCTAGCCATTTTGAAATTAAAACGAAACACTTGGAAGATCACTTGATGACGGGTTGAAACACAAAGTGACAATTTGAGTGAATCAACAGTGCTCAGTTTATGCTCAGTTTTGACAAGCACTTTGAACGTTAGAAATTCCGAATTCTCTCAAGAAGGGTCCGATTTTCGACTCGAAACATGCATCGATCATTACGGTTTCATTTGTAAGTTATATCGTTGAGAGTGTACCTGAAAAATCGATAAATTGGCAATGGCAATCAAAAAAGAGCGGAAATGGAATTTTGATGCCGTCTTCCGGATTTCTTTAAATTTAAATAACTAAACAACAAAAATTTTGGATCTGGGTCACTGCCCGTGGAAATTCGCGTGCTTCGGGGCTAGTAAATGGCTTCTGAAAAGCTATTACTCTTTTACGGTAAGAAGAAAAAATTCCGGAAGACGGAAGACGGAACAAAAAACCACGGAAGACGGAAGACGGAAGACGTAACTCCGCTCAACACTGGTGGCAATGCTGAAAAGAAAGCAATTCTTCTAGAAACACAACTTTATTCGATTTGACAAAAAACAACGAGAACCCGTTCGTACTTCCGCCCCACAATCATCGCGTTCAAAGTCTGCTCGGCTCGTCGGACTTTGTCCTGACGATGGCTTCCTGCTGACAACTGGCAATGAGCACTCCGTCCCTCCGCCAGATTCTTCCCTCGATCGTCGCGCGTGCTCCCGAAGCGATGCGCGACTTGCACTCGAACAGAAGCCACTCGTCGGCGCGCACTTCGGGCCGATGGAACCAGACGCAGTGGTCGAGCGAGAACAGCATCGAGGGCATGAATCCGGAGGCGTAGTGCGCCGAAACGGCAGTCGAGACGAGCAGAGAATCACTGTTGTAGGCGACGAGCCATCTGAAATTTGAGGAGGTTAGGCTAGGCAATGATCTCAAGAACAGAAAAGTTGGTCCTTTGGGACCAGACATACGTGCTTTCTATGTTTGCTTTCGAAGCATGTAGTTCAGCCAACTTATCCAACTTCGGATGGAATTTGAACAATTCTCATCATGACCAGCTGCTACAGTAATCCACAGAATCTCACCTGTGAAGCCTCTCATCGTCGCTCAAATCGCCCCTCGCTCTCATCCAAAAACACATTTCCGGCTTCTGATCGCTCGCAAACCCGTAATAGTTCCCCAGATTCGTACATCTCATCTGAAACATTGTCGTCCATGCAAAAGTTTGCTAACTCCCGCGTACCTCAAAAAGGTCCTGATCGTCAGAATACACTTGCGTATCGTAGTTCTGCAGTCTTCTGAGCATCGCCGGCGGCGGAGTCACTTCGCCCTTCTCGACGAGCTCCTTCATGTACGGCACGGCGTCGCGCATGCTCATCAGCACTTCCGGCGCCGGCACTTTCGGCATTTCCGACTGATGAACGATCGAATCCCGCTCTTGCACGTGGAAAGAGCACTGGAGCACGAAGCAGACGGCGCCTTTTTGGACGGCTTCCACAGTTCGAGTGATGAACGAACGACCGTCCCGGGCACGGCGCACGTTGTACGAGATCGGCTCTTTTGTGTCCACTGAAAATGCGGTTTATGATTTCTGCTCATCAAAAGTTGATCTTTCAGTTTCAATAATTCAGAAACCATGTGAAACAGAACAGAAACTGACCGTTGAGTATGAAATACGAGTGCGTTGAGTGCGGCTTGAACTTCTCCTCCACAGTCTTCTCGGCGGCGGCGAGAGCCTGCGCGAAAATGAGTCCTCCGTAGGCGGCCGCGTGATGCGCTTGACGGCCGTTTGTCAGAGTTGCCGGACTGAACAGAACAACTTGAAACCAAATTTTTTAAAGGTGTTTGTTACCTGAAAGAGTCCTTGTTGGTTTCGGTGAAATCGAAGAATCGCTTGGCGATTTGCTCGTAGTTCTCCACCTTTTTGAAATCGGACTTTCGCGGCACCGAGCACATTATTCTGATGGAATAATAACAATTTGGACGCGAAATTACATGGCTTTTATCAGTGGGTGTGTGTAGTCACTTTTCTGCTTCTCTGGTGTCTCTCAAGGTCAGTAGACTATCTCGTTTGTAGTCTTATTCGGGTAATCGGAAGGTTTCGTAGGCAATCGGTTGGCTAGAGTGTATCCGAAATGACACGGTTGTAACTAGATCAAGCGGAACTTGTGAAAATAATCTATGGACCTCATGAAACAGTGATATCAAATCAAATGAGAAATGCTATATTTTGAGCATATTTCAGTTTCATGTTTCATTAATTTCCAATGCGTTTCTTGTAGTTTAGTGAGCACCATACGTTAATAATAACGACGCCGTGTTGAATCAAAAACTGTTAAAGATGGAAAAAGTGTTTTGAAAGCGAAACTGACACTTTTTCCCGTTTCACTAAGGATACAGTAACGGCTCTTATGTTGTCGCACAGATAATATTTTAAAAGGACATTGAATATCTATTCTGCGACTCTGTCAAACTGTCAGAAGAGAACAATATCAGTTTCATCAGTTCCATATACGTTAACAAACACAATAATGGCACATTATTTTCAAAAACCGAAGAACACTCACCCTCTTCTCGTGATTGATGAGGTGACAATCGGCGCAAGTTTGCGCACGAAGGACATTCCTTCGGCTCGAATTCAGAGTACAAAATGTTCAGTTTACGTGGAATGCAAAGCGAAAAAGTTCACGATTTTAGGAAGGAGAAGTGCCAAGAAACAAAGAGTTTATAAAGAGAGAGAGAGAGAGGGGGGAAAGAGACGCAGACAGAGAAAGGATGAGAAAACAGGCACACATGTTGAGGTGATCTGGGGTGTGCGGTCATTGATTTATGGCTAACGTGTAGTCTGTTTCAACAGGACCATTTCACAAGTTGGCAATGGAAAGCAACGGTGGGTTCTTACAAAAACAAAACAGATTTTCGTGCAGTGGGGTTCGAACTTCGGACGCCCAAAGTTTACAAATGCAAAAGGCTACCACTAAGCCACAGGGGCACCACGGGTCCTTGGGTGTACAGGGTAATAACATTCTCGGTGTTTGTCACACTGTTTCATGGTTTCGATTTATTGAGCACATTTCAGGGTAAAAAAAGCAAAACCAATCTAAATCTTGGAGCTCTGTCCGTCCTTGCCTCTGACGATCGCTTCCTGGCCACAACTGGCCACCAACACCCCGTCCCTCGTCCATATTCTTCCCTGAATGAAGCACCGCGCACCGGCCGAGATGGTCGACCGCGACTCGCAAAGCAACCACTCATCCGCTCGGAAATCCGTCCGATGGAAGTAGAGCGAGTGGTCCAGAGAGACGTGGAGCGTGTCTTCGAAGCCTTGGCTGCAAACGGATGGGTAGGGAGGAAAAAGAAAGAGAGGGACTCACGAGAAATGAGGAGTCATGGCACTGACAATGAGGATGGAGTCACTCATGCAGGCGATCAGCCATCTGGAATACGGTATGCAATTCAACTGCTCGAGAAGGCATTGAAATCAAACTTTGATCTTACAGATTTCGACCGCAGTTGTAGAGAATTAATTCCGTTTTCCTTTTCCCGAAAACTTTTTTTCCTAAAACAAGGGAACAAGGAATTTCGTTCATTTTGTGCTCATTCTGCTCCAACAAACTCTGCTTCAATTCAAACATTTCGTTGAAGCGTATCACAAATGAAGAACTATTCCTTTTTTATTTGTTTTTTTTTTTGGCTAATAAAATATATCAAACGGACTCTTTCAGCAAGTTTCGGATAAGCGAAAGAAAATCCAAATACGGTCACGTGGGAGGTCAAAAAAAAGCACTTCCACTTTTTTAATGCTGAAACTTTGGAACGTTCCAGAAAATCCAAAAAAATCGACTTTTCCTAGTAAGTCGATTGTATTTGCGAATTAACAACAAGTAAACATAATTTTGTACATTTTTCCAGTTTTCCGCAAAAAAAAAATGTTTTCGGAACAGCAAAATTCACTTTAGACACATCTCTGATTCCGATTTTTGTAAAACCATACATGTTCTCTGTTTCATAACACCCATAAAGTTTTCATTTTTGGTTTAAACACATTCATTTCTATTCTCTCTTTATGAGGCTATTCGGCGTACGTTTGTTTTCCGTTTTTTTCGTTTTTTTACACCGCAAAATACGGAAAAAAAAATCATTTTTTTCATAGCCTGAATAGCCCCATTAAGAATATTGCAGAGTTGCCACGGGCCGGGCCAAAATTTTCAAAACTCCGGCCCGGCCCGGCCCGGTCGGCCCGGTTCAAAAAGGGCCGGGCCAGCAAATGCCCGCCGGGCCGGCCCGTAATTTGGCAAGTCTGGAATATTGATTACCTGTGCAATCGCTCATCGTCTCCCAGTCTCTGTTTCGTTTTCATCCAAAAACACATTTCCGGTCTCAGATCGCTCGCAAATCCGTAATAGTTCCCGAGATTCGCACACCTCATCTATAAAATCATTCGCTTTTCAAAATTCTTCTCATTTGTGACCTCGAACACATCCTCCTGATTGATGTAAGCCTTGTTGTCGAGCACCATCAATCGATGGAACATTGCCGGGCTCAAAGTGATGAGCCGTTCGTTCACAAGCCGTTTCATCTCAATCACCGCCTCTTTCATGTCTTTCAATCCTTCCGGACGGGGCACTTGCGGCATGAGATCCTGATGGATCAGACTCTCCGTTTCCGGCTGAAATGTTCAACAAATGCATGTAGATGACCTATCAACCGATGCGAACCTTGTGAAAAGAAACTTGGAGCATGAAACAGAGTTTTCCATTTTGAACGCCTTCCACCGATCTTTGTACGAACGACCTTCCCTCTTTCAACTTGTTCACATTGTAAGTGATCGGTTCGGCGGCGAGCACTGGAAATACCGAACGGCCCGGATACTTCAAAATCGACTCACCCGCCGACAAAAAGTACGAGTGCATGGAATGTGGCTTGAATTGTGTCTCTACAGTATTCTCGGCCGCCGCCACTGCTTGCGCGAAGATCAGACCTCCGTAAGCGACTCCGGAAGGGGTCTGACGGGTGTGGAACAGATGGAACGATCTGAAGAGTCAGACAGTAATGGAGGTGTGAATAAGAGGCTCACGAACTTGAAAGAATCCTCTTGAATCCTTGTCAACTTGAACATTGTATCCGTTGACAGTACTGGTTGTGTCATTCTCACTGAAAAATAGTGCTAAAGACTTTGTAAAGCAGTGGTATTCGAGAATGAATGAAAAAATGACTTTCTTGCCGGGATGACATCGAACTGCTCGCAGACAGACACCGAATCGACAGTTTTGATGATAACGGCTCAAAAACACTGAAATGCCTGGTTTTTACGAGTGATAACGGCCTGTTTTTCGATCAGACGTCTACCCGGACTGTCATTCACTTTTTTTTGATCATCGGTTGTAGATTGATCTTCGTTTCTACTTTTCGTTCCCCTCGGAGTTCACTTCGCAATTGCTGATCCGCTCCCTACACGTAATAGGACTAGAAAAAGAAATTTCGCCCCAGTGGGGATCGAGCCATGACCGACCGTTTGAAACGCAAAAACACTGTCACTGCGCCAAGCGCGCCACAGGATCCTCAGCTCCCAGGGCAAAAATATCATACCCTTTTCACCCACAAAAGATCCCCCAATTCCTCAATTCTCTCATTTTCCGTACCCAAACCGACACAAAAACAGTTTCGAACAAAAGTTCGCCAAGTCGTTTCTTTTCTTTTTCGGCGCCGACGAGAGTTGCGTGTTTTGAAGGTTATACCCAATATTTTTGCGATTTGAATGATGACCTCGATGGCCTGTTGCGATAGATATGCGTTACTTTGTGGCAAATTGATGACACAAACAAATCGGATCGGCGTCGTGTTTCAAAGTGTACCATTCAATTGAGTAATGGGAAAATGAAATTTAGGTTGACCGCTGGTCTTGAAGCGAAACACGACTTTCGGAAGTCGGAAGTCGGAAGTCGGAATTCCGCTCAGCTCTTCTTCATTATCTACCCAGAATCTCTCAATCTCCCTTGCCCTTTCCATCTTCCTTTTCTCGTATCCACGGCGGTGACATCAGAAAAAGCTCCCCAATGTCGTTTGTTATTTACTGTCTACCACAAGTACGACACCCACGTGGGACCTTCCCCCGCAAAACGACGATGACGGCACAGACAGTAGGAGGCGAAGAAAACAGTCGGTCCCTGTTGGGGGCGCTATGAAAATAAAAATACGGCAAAGTTCGCATGTTCTCTCCGAGAATACTATCCAAGTGAAGTGTAAACAACGTGTCGACAGGCACCGGCAAGTACCGATTAGAAGACAAAACGATGTTGTCCGTTTTTTGGTTGAAGGAATTGGAACAAGATGGAGGCGAGGAGTGTGCGATCCGAGCGATCCGTATCCGGTTTCGCCTGCAAAAGTTGCGCTTTCCCCAGAGGAATTTTGACGTTTGAGCGGCGCACTTTCACGAGTCTAGAATTGAATAATAGCAATGAGAGTGCCCGCCGTCGACACTTTCAAACTTTTCGTGCTGCTGAAACAGGCAGTGTCCCTTATCATGCACTAGCACCCGCTAATCCAACTGTCTACACTGCAAAACACACTGTGTGATTAGTCTGGACAGTTCGTGACAAAATGGAAGAGCATTATACGAAGTTACAAGTGTTTACAAGAAAAGTACTGGGAACAAAGTATGGCGAGTTGTTGACCATCATTCGCGGTTTCATGGAGGAGACAACTATAAAAAATGCAAAAACTGTTAATTTCACTGAGTTATGTATTGTAATAGAAGAGCATCTGAAAACCGTACATTAAAAACGATGTATCTCAGTTGTCGGTAGAGATATCAAAAAGTTGTCAACTAACTAATTGCTCACCGAGAAATTATGTACATTTCATCAATTGACAACTTGTTGATATCTCAACGGACAGCTGAGATACATGGTTTTGAATGGACAATAGTTGACTTGACTCATTGAATTTGAGAAAATGTCCATCTGTAGCATGTCAGTTTGGATGGCCGGACGTGGAATTTCAGTCATTTTCAAGACACTCTGACATCATCATTGTGTAACCTGAACCGTATCCGGAATCCAGAAATACCTCACCGCCCACCCACCCACCACTTGTTTCCAACTTTTGCCTCACAGACTCCCTCACATCGTTATCACCCCCCAAAAATGTTGCCAAATGCTTTTCCAAACGTGCGCTTATCAATTTGTTTCGAATCGACCGATCAGCTGATGATTTATTTCATTTAATTTTCAACAGAACTCGGAAGAAGCGGGGAGGATCGGATAGGCGAGGATCGGAACGGGCGGTTGGGATTCTTAGAAACTGTCTTCCGGAGCAGACGATCCGCACGCGGCGACCATCTCCGAAAAGTCGCAATTCTCTTTGCAGCACCGACTTGCCAGCTGTCGCATCGTGTCTGAAACGGACCAGATTCGGAAACGGATGACACGTGGCACCACACTCACCGAGTTCCGATTGTCCGTTGCACAGTTCGGTGAGCGATTTGACGACCTGATGGACGCATCGGGCGTGCTTGTTCGCACTCGGACTCGCCTCTGACGCCAGAAATGCGATGGAGCAGATGAGAAGGAGGAAGACGAGGACGGAGGTGGACGGGCGCATGATCCGAGTTGGAGAAGGAAAGGAACCCAAACGAGAACGAGTTTCTCCGCACTCCACACCGCCCTTTTATAAGCCTTCGTGTGGGCGGCGAGAAGAGAGACAATGGGCGGGGCTCGGCCAAGTTTGGAAACTGGGGAGCGGCGCCAAACAAGGAAATGCAACAATATGGACATGGACCTGAACTATCCAAGGTTTATTGCGCTTCGGATTCTGGTAGTACAGACAAAAAAAAACGTTGTTAATGTCTCACAAATGTTTATTATGGAAGTAGCTACGGAGAGACGAAGAGCAACGTGTTATGACAAAGAGGGTACAGAGAATTGTCCTATTTCGGATTCATTTGCGCATTTCGTCGATGCTCGTGGCCACCACACAGAACGTCATCATCTCGGTCAGATCGCAGTTTTTGTGACAGCAACGGGCCGCCGACTCTTCGAGGTAGGCTGCAAACGAATGAGCTCTAAAACTCTTCTCGAATGAATCCTACAATACTTACCACTGTGCTCGGGACGTGTGCACATTGTCTTGAGCGATTCGTACAGTTTCTCCGAGCAATTCGCATGACGTCCGGCTCGCGGCTTACTTTCGCCGCCGGTAAAAGCACTGGAGAGGAGGAGAACGACGAAGATGAGGGGGAAAGATTGCATGATAGTGGAACACTTGTTTTCTGTTTTTCGCCCACTATTCACATATTTATAGCTGAGCAGCGAAAGAGGGCGGAGCTTGTGATAAATGGCGACGAGCGGGCGGAGAGGGGAGCATTTGTGGAAAGGGCGCATACACAAGAACTTGGAGTAAAACTCTAGAACAACAGGAATGACGTCAGAGAGATGAAAGAGCAGTGGAGCAGAGCAGAAAGGACAAAATGACCGTGTCCGAGTGAACTGATAAGGGATTCCCGGAGGAGAAGGCCACGATGATAGCTGTTTATAGTCCGGACGCTCTGATCCTGATCCTCCCGTAATCCCGAAATCCCGAAATTGCCTTACCTCTCTTGGCTCTTCGCCCACCTGTTTCCGAGAAGAACTATTGTATTTGTTTTCCCGCACTCCTCCCCCCCTGGAGAATCTGACGTCGGTCTTCTGTTCCGATCAACGAGAGTGCTCCACGACAAAAAAGGGGACAGAATGACACCCACTTTTTTTTTAGAGTTTACTCCCTTATCAATAGGCTTTCAAATCAAAGCACATCTTCGGGAAAAATGCAAAAAAAAATTGACTCATTTCGTTGTTTTTTTGTGTGTGCTCCTAATCGGCTCCGCGTGACTTCCGGTGAGTTGAAAATTGGCGAATCAACCGGATTGTTTATGAGTTTCAAACCGCCCACACAGGGTAAACCACGTGGCTGCCTGGTTTTTGAGCTCAAAATGAGAGCCGGAGCAAGTCTTGCGGCTGACTGACTTCAAAAAGTACGGAAACTTGTGTTTTAGAGTCGAGAGAAGACAAACACATGACTAAAGTACGTTTTACTGGTCTTGATAACATTAATACGAATGGAACACGATTTTTATTACACGACAGATTCATTTCCGAACGGTATTTGTATTCTGGGGTCCTCCAAATCTCAGTTTGTGCCACTCGAGGCGTTGTCGCTTCCGGAACTTTCCAAGGCACGCATTTCCCTGAAGAAATGAAGATAACGGAAGAAACGAAGAATAAACTTACAGCTCCAGCTTTTTATTGGCCAATGGAGCGGTACCAACTGACGAATCTTGTTAGGCGGACCTCCAGATGACCGCGACGGCGCCAGAAGTGGAACTGCGCGGAGCCGTGTCCACTTCGGTGCAAGGCCAAGGTGAACGGTGTCTAGATCCGATTCATCTGTTCTTGGCTCAAGTGTCCGAAGAAAGGCGAGTTTCATTGTCGGCTCCATTAGCAAATCCAAGAGGGCTTGGACGTCCGATCGGGATCGTCGGTTCTATCAGCGAGGCCCCAAGAATCATGACCGGAAGAGAAAGGTCCTGAGCACTTTTCGATCGATTACACACGATTTTCGTTGTCTCGGAAACTCCAAATCTCATTTTATGTTCTTCGAACAGCTCCGTGAGCTTTTGAACGTACGTCTTATGCAGCTGCTCAATCTGCTCTTCGCTCCGATCTTCCACTCGTTCCACTCGAATCGAAGGAGAGCGAACCGGCCGAGGAATGCAGGAATCCGCGTCCTTTTACGATCGGAAGCGACGTTCCCATCACTTTCAGAGCGTGCTCCGGAAGTTTGGAGCCCACCGGGTTGCTCACCTGAAATGGATCGGAAAAGTTAGTGAATGCATTGTTCTCTCCGAAAGAGTGACGAGTGCCCACCGAAAGAATCCCTTCCGAGACTTGAGCATTCTGTGCTTCGGCTGCTCCGCTTCTCTCCGAGCGCACAACGAATGGATTCGCGGGAACGGTCAATGGACCCGAAGAGCAACAATAAAATCTCCCAACGAATGGATAAAAACAACTGCATTCCGAGGGGGTACAGGTTGAAATGAATTCCAGGAAACTGAAAAAGAGCGTCTTGAAACTATACAAAGACCATTCACAATGATTCCCGCTCTCATCGTTTATCGTCTGAAACTAACTGGACCTTCACAAATCTTCCGAGACCCAATGGTTTCCCGTGTCTACCATTCCCCCCCTCCTTCATGTTTTTTTTCCCGCCAACATCATTGACCACACTCCAAACACCGCGGTGTTTCCCACCTGTCACTGTTTTCTCCGCTGTTTAGTTTTGCCGTCCTCATCGGTTCGTGGCGACACTCTGGTCGGTCGACAAACAGTTGTGTAACACCTGCTTTTCTCTTTTCTCTTCACTTACTCGCCTCTCATTTCTCATCTATCAGAATCACGCAGTTCAGTTCACGGTGAACCCACGTGGATTCTCTTCGTAATCCAAAAACGTTTCCTCTAATGATGATCACTTCAGAATGCTAAAAATCCCCCGGAACGTTGTCTCTTCGATCTCTCCGCTTTCCACGGCTGCCACGTGGAACTCATCTTCTCGAGTCCCTCCACTTCAGCATCTTTCCGATCATGAACAGAAACTTGTGGATAAAGGTGAGCAATTGTCTCCAATGTCTGTAAACTTTGCAACTTTTCAGTGAGAAACTTCGCGAAGACATCTGTGAAGCCATTGGTTCGAGAGATGGACACAAATGCGAAAACCGACGAGAAACTGGTGAAAGAGGTGTTCGAACTGAAGCTGATGGGTCTGGAAGTGCCGGAGAAGTACGGCGGCTCCTCATCCACGTTCTTCGACGTGGCACTCGCTGTGGAGGAGCTGTCGAAGGTGGACCCGGGATTCGCGTTGACTGTCCACCTTCAGAACGGTCTGATTGTTCCGATGCTCATGGAGTACGGGAATGAAGGGCAGAAGGAAAAGTACCTGAGGAGAGTGTGCAAGGATACGGTAGGCCGGAACTCTTTAAATACATCAGGCGCATTCCCTTCTCGGTTCAGATTGGAGCATTCGCCCTCACCGAAACCACCTCGGGTTCCGACGCGTTCGCAATGAAAACGACGGCCACGAAAGACGGAGACGAGTTTGTGCTGAACGGATCGAAATGGGCAATCAGCAACGGACCACTCGCCGACTTTTTTCTGATTATGGCGAACGCTGAGCCGGAGAAGGGGTACAGAGGGATCACGTGTTTCCTCGTCGACAAAAATACGAGCGGATTGAGTTTGGGGGCTCGCGACGAGAATATGGGCATGCGGGCATTGGCCACGTGTCAAGTACACTTGCAGAATGTGCGAGTTCCCAAGACGGCGATTCTTGGAGAGTACGGAAAAGGTTGGTGTCGTTTGAGGCGTGAATTGAAACAGAACAAAATGATTTCAGCCTACAAGTACGCGATCAGTGTGCTCAACGCGAGCAGAATCCTGATCGGAGCTCAGATGGTCGGACTTGCGCAGGGATGTTTCGACGAGACGATTCCGTACTTGCGCGAGAGGAAACAGTTCGGAAGCCGGCTCATTGACTTCCAGGTGAGTTGGCGCCCGAAAAAGAAGCTCATTAAAGTCATTTCCAGGGCCTCCAGCACCAAATCGCTCAAATCCGAACTGAAATCGAAGTGGCCCGTCTGCTCGTTTACAACTCGGCCAGAATGAAAGACTTCGGCGCGCCCTTTGTTCGAGAAGCTTCCATGGCCAAGTACTACGCTCCGGAGGTAAATAAATTCTATTCGAAATGCGGTCGGTGACAATTATTTCGTGCTCAGGTTGCGTGCAAAACGACCAAAAGATGCATCGAATGGCTCGGAGGAGTCGGATTCTCGAAGAAGTTCACGGCCGAAAAGTTCTATCGGGATGCGGTCATCGGAGGAATTTATGAGGGAACATCCAACATCCAACTGAATACCATCGCCAAGTTTGTGGACAACGAGTATAAGATTTGAACTATTGGACTATATTTGAACTGATGTATTATGGAAATGAATTTTGAACACATTTCTGTTTTCGTTTTTCATGATATACGGTTTCCAGAGCTGACAATATGGGCGTGGCCTCGGCCAAATGGCGTTTTCATGAATTGAGCACGTTTTCTCTGATTTTTGTGGTCAAAGGCGATGAAAAATGATTGTTCGACATGAAAACACACTAATTCTCAGAATTAATGACATTTTGGCGCATTTTTCGCGGACTTTGCTTCTTCGCCTTCGCCGCCGATAGCCGCCTAAAAACCGCACTTCTCATTTTGCGCTTTTTTGACCGTTTTCAGACAGAATTGGTTTTGAGAATGATAAATCACGTAAATACAAGCATTTTGAGCGCTCGAACCGCGAAAACTACCGAAAAGAAACTGAAATTCATGCAGTTTTAGCCAAAAACCTTCAAACGGATAAATGTAATTTGCGACTTGACCAAATTTAACGCTCTTGCGCTTAAAAAATTCGTAATAGCCTATACAATCGGTCTCTCGAGAGACAAATCAGAAATTATCGGTTTTTCGTGGCTAATCTGGCAAAAAACACAAATTTTGCTGTTAAAACTTGAATTTCGCGCCAATTTATCGCTCTATTGGGCGGGGCACACTTGCGCCCATTGTCAGCAGCTCTGGAGACCGAGCCCCGTCACACCTAAGTGGAACTTCCTTCTTTCTCCCATTAGGAGCTTCGGCCGATTATCTTCGTTAGACAGTAGGTTGAATATGAGAAGGAGAACGGAGCGATGCTCGAGATGGAGATCCCATTCGGGCCGTTCGACACGATCAAGAATCATTTGTGCGTGGTTGTTAACAAAATGAATGGGTACTAGTTGTTTAGAATTTTATCACGATTTATTAAAAGGAACCAATAAAACAGAGAGCGATAATACAAGCGTTATCATAAAGAAAACATGATCAATAAGGAGCGAATTTCTTTCCGCGGGCTCCTCTTCCTCCGCGCGCCGGTCCGTTCACATACACATACTTGACGATGACGGCGTTGTGTCCCTTGTGAAATCCTCGCACTGCTCCTCCTCCTCCTCTTCCGAAGTGTCCGCCGCGAGCAGCCATCCCCGGCTTGTTCGTCCTCTTCGCCTCCACTTTCACGATCCGATCTCTCATCTCGGCTCCGGACATCTTCAGCGCGTTCTGCTGTCCTTCGACGCTCGCGAACTCGACGTACGCGAGTCCCTTGGCTCTTCCCGTGTGGCGGCACTTGGGCAGCGTGATGCGGACGATGGCTCCGCACCCGTGGAACAGCTTCTCCAAGTCGGCGCTCGTCGAATCCCAGTCCACGTTGCCCACGTACACCGATCTTGCGTCGATCTCCTCCTGCTCGGCCGGCGCGATCGGCTTCTTCGGCACCGGAAGATTCATCTTCTTCTCGAGTGATGCCTGGATGTTTTGGAAGATGGCCGTCTCGTTCGCAATCTCAATCTCTTCAACGGTTTGTGGAGCCATATTGGTTGGATAGTTGAAGAGGAATCAAAGGAAAGTGAGTGAATGAATGAAATGAAGACGGGTATTTATACAGAGCCATACCTCCACCTTAGAGAACGCCCTTGCTAGGGAATGTATGTAGGTGAAGACGTTTCATTGGCAGAGATACGCTGACCTCTGGTTCGAAGGGGGAGCAACGCGAAGGAAGTGTTGGGAAAGGGTACGACGGAGAGGGGGGACACAGAAAAACACCGACGGGAAGCACAAGTTCAGAGTTCTCCCGGCTTAACATTTGAAAGAGCTTTTTGGTAGGAAAATGAACGTGCAATGAATGACCTAAGCACACTCAGGGAACAATGAATGGAAACAGATATGGTCGGCAAGTGATATGCACCTAAAGTGTGCTCCTTTTAATGTGATTCGCTCTGTCTCGCCTCTTCAAAGCCAAACGAGGCCGACAGAGGGTCGTAAGCCGTGTGCCATCCAACATTTACCTAAATTCATTTTGTGCAGTTCAGATCGGAAATCTTTGTGGTATTCCGATGTTCCTAAACTCCATAAGACCATAAATCACACACACATTCCTGAAACTCGTGACGAACATCTATAACACCCCGGCGAATGTTCATAAAAATAACGAACATCGGAGTTTGGCCGTTCCCTACCCCCTTTTCTGAGGCACCGGGCTCTTCTTCGACGCCTCAAACTGAAGGTACTTTGTACCGAATCCCAAAGAAACCGAGAACGTCGCCAGAAGCAGCGGCACTTCCTGCGATATCAGCAGCAAACAGTGAGTATTGTATGTATTTTTCAACAAACATTGTCTTTGCACAAAAACTGCACAAAATGAATTTAGGTAAATGTTGGATGTCACACTGATTACGACCCTCTGTCGGCCTCGTTTGGCTTTGAAGAGGCGAGACAGAGCGAATCACATTAAAAGGAGCACACTTTAGGTGCATATCACTTGCCGACCATATCTGTTTCCATTCATTGTTCCCTGAGTGTGCTTAGGTCATTCATTGCACGTTCATTTTCATACCAAAAAGCACTTTCAAATGTTAAGCCGGGAGAACTCTGAACTTGTGCTTCCCGTCGGTGTTTTTCTGTGTCCCCCCTCTCCGTCGTACCCTTTCCCAACACTTCCTTCGCGTTGCTCCCCCTTCGAACCAGAGGTCAGCGTATCTCTGCCAATGAAACGTCTTCACCTACATACATTCCCTAGCAAGGGCGTTCTCTAAGGTGGAGGTGGGACTCAGTATAAATTCCCGTCTTCATTTCATTCATTCACTCACTTTCCTTTGATTCCTCTTCAACTATCCAACCAATATGGCTCCACAAACCGTTGAAGAGATTGAGATTGCGAACGAGACGGCCATCTTCCAAAACATCCAGGCATCACTCGAGAAGAAGATGAATCTTCCGGTGCCGAAGAAGCCGATTGCGCCGGCCGAGCAGGAGGAGATCGACGCAAGATCGGTGTACGTGGGCAACGTGGACTGGGATTCGACGAGCGCCGACTTGGAGAAGCTGTTCCACGGGTGCGGAGCCATCGTCCGCATCACGCTGCCCAAGTGCCGCCACACGGGAAGAGCCAAGGGACTCGCGTACGTCGAGTTCGCGAGCGTCGAAGGACAGCAGAACGCGCTGAAGATGTCCGGAGCCGAGATGAGAGATCGGATCGTGAAAGTGGAGGCGAAGAGGACGAACAAGCCGGGGATGGCTGCTCGCGGCGGACACTTCGGAAGAGGAGGAGGAGGAGCAGTGCGAGGATTTCACAAGGGACACAACGCCGTCATCGTCAAGTATGTGTATGTGAACGGACCGGCGCGCGGAGGAAGAGGAGCCCGCGGAAAGAGATTCGCTCCTTATTGATCATGTTTTCTTTATGATAACGCTTGTATTATCACTCTCTGTTTTATTGTTTCTTTTTAATAAATGGTGATAAAATTCTAAACAACTAGTACCCATTCATTTTGTTAACAACCTCGCACAAATGATTCTTGATCGTGTCGAACGGCCCGAATGGGATGCCCATCTCGTGCATCGCTCCGTTCTCCTTCTCATATTCAACCTACTGTCCAACGAGGATAATCGGCCGAAGCTCCGAATGGGAGAAAGAAGGAAGTTCCTTTCGTAACGGGTTCTGCTGCCACTTCAGGTGTGACGGGGCACGGTCTCCACAGCTGACAATGGAGCGATAAATTGGCGCGAAATTTGTGTTTTTTGCCAGATTAGCCACGATAAACCGATAATTTCTGATTTGTCTCTCGAGAGACCGATTATATAGGCTATTACGAATTTTTTAAGCGCTAGAGCGTTAAATTTGGTCAAGTCGCAAATCACATTAATCCGTTTGAAGGTTTTTGGCTAAAACTGCGTGAATTTCAGTTGCTTTTCGGAAATTTTCTCGGTTCGAGCTCTCAAAATGCTTGTATTTACGTGATTTATCATTCTCAAAACCAATTCTGTTTGAATTCTGTTGGTTGGCGATCGGCGGCGAAGGCGAAAAAGCAAAGTCCGCGGAAAATGCGCCATAACGTAATTAATTCTGAGAATTAGTGTGTTTTCATGTCGAACAATCATTTTTCATCGTCGTTGACCACAAAAATCAGAGAAAACCTGCTCAATTCATGAAAACGCCATTTGGCCGAGGCCACGCCCATATTGAGGTCGAATCTAAATGTCCGGTAAGCGTCCAGATGATGATAAAACATAAGAAAACACGAGCACTTTGAGATTTCGAGCATTTTTTGCACAAAACTGATTGAGAAAACAAAAGTATCGTTGGTTTTCCGGTTGATGCGGGGCCTCGTCGACTGCTTGGGACGCGGGCATTCTTGCCACACCATCAACAGTCGTGGATTCAACACAGCCACGCCTCAAAGAACCGGTAAGCCTCGAGATGCTTTGAAACAAATAGAACACGATGCCCGCAGATGACCGGAGAGCTGGAGGACAATGACAAACTTGAGGCCGAAATAATCAAGAGTTGAAAAAAATAAAATTTATTATCAGAGTTGCGAATAAAAAAAAGCAGGAAACAGAAACAATTTACAAGCGCTCGTAGACGCGGAGACAGAAGCAGTCCGAGTCCCGGTTGAAGATGTGCAGCTGTCCGTTCTCGATGAGCCTCTCCACTCGGCTGTACTCCTCCTTCGTGTTCAGCCTTCTCTTGACGCTCGTCAGTATGTTGTCGATGACGGTTGTGAGGACCAGACTGTTCGAGCACCGATCCTCGACTCCCATCTCGAAGCGCCACGTGTGAACGCGCTTACCGTCCAGCGCCGTATACGTGTCGAAGCGATCTCCGTTGGCCATATATCCGAGCGTTCCGACGCGCCAACGGTGTTGCTCCACCTCGTTGAGACCGCATTTCTTAAGGTACGCTTCGAGGTTCACGGAAGAGACCATCTTCCATCGTCCGATAATCGCCTGCTGGATTGTTTTGTACTCTGGATTCGGCGCCACGCTCTTCGGCACAATCTTCTCGTATATACGAGTACACGTCACGTCCATATGCTGCAACTCGAAGTGCAACTTCCCGTTCTCCACCCATCGCTTCTCGACCTTTTCCTCCAAATTCTCCTCGATCGTCACCGATTTGAAGATTCCGTCCTCGACGAAAATCGCCTTTGCCACTTGTCCGTCCATGTATATTTCGCCGACCGTGGCTGTTATTTTGTCGTGGATCTTGCCGAGCAGCTCCGTGTGCATCATTACGTCGTATCTGTCCACACTGAAGTGAAGGGTTCCCAACTGGAACACAACGTCTTCGATCTCCTCGTCGGCTCGCTTCTTCAGGTACTTGTCGACGTTCTTCGAGGAGACCATCTTCCATCCTCCGTGCAGTTCGTTCATCGTCGGAATCATGGACTGAAAATAAATGTAGAATTAGGTACTTGTTGCCTTACAAAATTGTGCTTTACCTCTTTATTCCGACTTTCCATAGCCTTGACCATGTTATCCATGTTCTGCTGGTTCAGCAGAGTCCTCAGCCGGCAGTTCTCCTTCCTCAACGTCTTCACGACGAGATCGTGCTCCTGGAGGTTCAGCATCAACTTGCTGACCTCCGCCATGACCTGTCGCAAGAAGCAGCTCTCCTGGCGCAACTCTTGCACTTCGTCGCAAATTGTGCGCGTGAGGTACGACTGGTTGTTGCCTTGCTTCTTCAATTGCGAGTAAATATCATGACGCGTCACGCGGGTCGGACGATTTCTCTCCGCTTCATCGGACGTGTCTGAGTCCTTCGAGTCCTCCGAGTCCTTCGAGTCCTCCGAGTCCTCCGAGTCTTGCGAGTCCTCCGAGTACACACTGCACTCCGAATGATCCACTTCACAAGTGAAACGTCCCGGCGAACCACCAACTATGTCCACGTTGATTTCAACCTCCTCCTCCTCCTCCGCGACGGGCAGTTCGTTCCGGGCTTCGCACACCGGCTCCTCCCACCAATTCCATTCGTTCGGCGTCTCAAAGGCGCTCTCGTCATTGGATGACTGCTCGGATTCGATCATTTCGAAGCTCGATGAGGAACTACGTCCGTTCGACATTATTTGAGACGGTTTTCTGGAAAATGGTATATTGGTAAGGAGTAGAAAACAGAAAGGAAGAAGGAGAAGAGCGTGTGGTCAACGCGCGGGGGGAATGAATGAATGAGCGCACCCCGAGCGAGCGAGCGAGCGGGCGGGTGGGCGGGCGGACCATCAGTCCGCCCAACGGTTGACCCCGCACTCTTTCTCTGCTCTCTCTCATAATCACACACTCTTTCGTCGAGGTGCACCGCGCGAGATGACCTGCGCGAGATACGACAAGAGGGGCCGGGTGTGCGCAATGGGAAGGGGGTCAATGTGGACCGTCTGAGAGAGGTCGGGAAAGACGGTCCAAAAAAGACATTAGGATGGCAGACAAACACGGTACAAGCGAATGCGTATTGAAATTGTTCTAGTTCTGGAATCTTCCACCGCGTTGGTAAAGAAGATTCGTACCAGACAAGAGTTTCAGCATACGTCTACACGACGTAACAGAAATGTAAAAGTGTATGTAGCCCAAATGCTGGTCCGAAAGATCCAGAACACCAGACCAATTTCAGTAGTCTTTCAATGTTTCATTTAGATGAGTTTAACAATAATTTTATTCAACATTTGACAATTAAAGTCGATCTTGGTCCGTCAGACGTCACACCAGAAGAACAGTTGCTTGTCTGTGCAGCCTATGGCACAGCAGTCGAGCACATTTAGCACCTCGCTTCGGATGGATCCTCCGTTGCACAGAAATGAGACACGACGGATGAGAGCTTCGCCGCAGGACTGAAAAAAAATCGGGCGATATTGTATGTTTCCCCAACGGTTAACTTCTGGACTGACCCTGTACACATGGTGCTTGTTGTCATGTGGTTGGAACATTTCCGCGAAGGAGAATGAAGTGAAGAGAATGAGAGCAATGAGCAAGAAGAAGGACTTCATGATGACTGACGGTTTACTAGCAGAGTTTTTAGGCTAAAGCAGTGTCATTTATACCGATTGCCGACTACGATATATTGTATCTCTAGATATATATATATTACGGGGAAAACAGGGGGCAAATTGGAGTTGTTCGATTGGGAAAACAAGACAATTTACGGTGCGATTTGACAGAGATCAAGACGAATTCGTGTGCTTTTTCATTGTACAAAACATTTTGAGATGTGCCTTCGAGCAGTGGGTTGAGCAGCACTTTGACAGGAGGATTGGGATCTCTGAACGTTTGAAAAACCGTTACCAGTTGGAATCAAACTACTCACTTTCCTCCGCAATTCCATACGTGCAAATCTTGGTAATCTTCGCAATGAACTTCACCGCGCATTCGACTTCCTTCGTGCTCGCGGAGCCAATCAATATCAGAATGATCAAGAGAGTTTTCCGATGTATCATATCTTGTTGCGTGAAAGTTGACGAATGAAACGGGCGGGTCTGAAGAGAAAACAAGGAAGTTGGAGTGGTTTCTGACCGAGTGTATCAGGCGGATTATTCTCTGACTCTTCTACTTTCGGGGTTAGTCATCGAAGCTCTCGTTTCCGGATTAGTACATGATGTGGTGGGAATAAAAGAAGCGAAAATCATGGCTGATATTGAAATCATCAACTTTTCAACCAACTTTTGCTCCACCGCACCCAGCGACTCACAATATCTTCTAATTCCGAGTAGGTAAACAAGGCGACGTCATTGTGAAGTCACAAGATTATTAAAAGTTATCAGATGCACATGACTACTCGCTTCTTCTTCAGACGGTGACGACGAAAAAGGCATGACTGGCACAGAACTTTGTAAAGCTGTAAAAATGTTATTAAAAGCCGTTCCTTCGCAACTGAATTCACTGGAAACCGGACGAATTGAGGCACTGACGGCTTTTGAAACTTGTACTCTGCTGCTCTGAATTCACAGCTAACATGCCATAAGGATTGTCATTTCAGTAATCACATCGGCTTAGAGCATGTTCATGAAACAGTACAAACTTTGCAAAAGTTTCATAGAATCATCATTGACAGGATAGGATCTCTTACGTGAACACCCATCCGGCCGGCTTCCGAAAGAAGAAAGGGAACGTGAAAATGCCTCATTTCACATTGGAATTGGAATTTTGTTCTGAAACTCTCACATTTCAAGTTTTATTGCCGTCGGAACATGGGAACGAGTTTAAAAGGTGACCCGGCCGGCTTCAGATGATCTTTGAGGTTCCAGTTGGGCACGTTTTCAGATAATAGTGAGAATCAAGTGAATGGAGCGATCGAACTGGCGAACGGATTCCGAATTGTCGACTACAAAGTGGTCAAGTTCATCGCCAAAGGAGCGTTCGGCGCCGTTTATCAGGTAAAAGTTGCAGAGATTCACCGAGCGCCCAGATTACAGGTCGATCACATCAATACTCTCTCGTTCGCGCTCAAAATCGAAAACCGGAAAGCCGACGTGAAGAATCTGAAGATGGAGGCCGTCGTGCTCAAGTTCCAGCCGTTCCAGAAGCTTCCCCAACAATCCGGCTGTTTTCAGAGACCTCGCGCCCCTTCGTTCTTCCAATTTCTGCCGTGTCTACTTCTCCGGACGCGCCGAAACGTTCAACTTTATCATAATGACGCTGGTCGGAAAGAATCTGAACGAGCTGAGAGCCAATTGTGCGCATCAGAAGTTCTCGAAGAGCACCGGCCTTCAGACGGCCATTCAAGTCGTCAGCGTCGTTCAGAAACTTCATTCCATCGGCTACATCCATCGCGACGTCAAGCCGGCCAACTTCTGCGTGAGCCTCGAGGACGCCCGCCAACTGGTCATGGTCGACTTTGGAATGTGTCGGAAGTACGTGTCGAACGGCCAGCTCAGACATCCGAGATGGTTCGTTCGTGGCTTCAAAGGGACCGTCCGGTACGCTTCGTTGGCCGCCCATCACGGAAGAGAAACGAGCAGGAAGGATGACTTGGAGTCGGCGTTCTACTTGATCGTAGGAGACATCTGGAAGTGAAGTGAATCGAGTGATCAGATGATGTTTAGGTGGAGCTGCTCGTCGGAACGCTTCCGTGGATGACAATGGAAGATCCGATCCACGCGGAGCACGCCAAACAGATCGCCAGAACCACCAGTGAGCCGCGGGGGTCCGATTTGTAATCCAACGTACCCCCCAGATCTTCGCGAGTTTCTGTCCGGCTGCCCGAAAGAGCTCATCCACGTCCTTATGTACATCGACAGTCTCAACTTTTACGATGCTCCGGATTACGCGCTCATTCGTGGCCTTTTGAAGTCGGTTTCCAACGGATTTTCTGAAAATTTTCGGTTTTTTTTTCAGCCGCGCTCTGGAAAAAGCGCCGAAGGAGAGCGCGTTCGAGTGGGAGGAAGAGATGAAGAATGAGAGAAAGTCGAGAGAAACGTTGAGATCAAAAGAGGAAGTTGAACTGGAGGACGGCTGAAAGTGAGACAAAAGACAACGATTTGATAAACCATGAACTCGACTTTATGTGCCATTGACAATAACTAAAAACCTCGAAACGGGCGGAGTTGAACTACAATTCCATTCCAAATAGGCACACAATTATCCAGAAGTGCAATATCCGCAAGTTCTTGGACACTGTTGTCTCATCAGAGTGAGATAGGCGGAATTGGTGCAGTAGGACTTCATTCCGGGGCAGTCACTGGTTCCGGTCGACGGGTTCGTGAGGTCGACGCAAGTCGAAGAGGTACGGGTCGTCGTGGCCACGGAGCCGGAGCCTGGAAGTTGGAGGTTTGCCAGCAAAGGGTCAATTTTCAAAAATTTGTGCTACAAGACAGTGTGAAAGTTATTATAGATTTGGATATGATCCTTACGGTTTTCTTCTCTGTTCATGCCCGTTTCAAGGCATTATGATCTATTGTCTTATTATAATTTCGGATACTTCCAAAACTGACACATTTGTTTATCACCTTGTCAAAACGTAGTTGTCTTGCTGACAACCGCCATGACCGTAATCTGGATTGGGACGGAAAGTTTCCCGGATAAGTCCGACGCAAACTTACAATATCCGCAAGTTCTTGGGCACTGCTGTCTCATCAAAGTCAGGTAGACAGCGTTGGTGCAATAAGATGCCATTCCAGGACAGTCACTGACTCCAGTCGATGGGTTGGTGAGGTCCACGCATGTGGTGGAAGTGGAAGTAGTGGTGGCCGAGGAGGTACCTTACAAAAATGTCTTTGAAGCCCTCTCTCTCTCTCTTTTATCAATACAACTTACAGTATCCACAAGTCTTGGGGCACTGCTGCTTCATGAGGCTCAAGTAGATGGAATTGGTGCAATAGGCCTTCATCCCGGGGCAGTCACTGGTCCCAGTCGATGGGTTCGTGAGGTCGACACACGTGGAAGAGGTCACAGATCTCGTGGTGGTGGTGGTGGCGGCGACTGTGGTGGTGATGGTGAAGAGGTCGGTGTCTGGACAGCATCCGCTTCCGGTGATGAGCGTGGTGCTCGGAGGACACGCCCCGTTGAGGTCGGGAAGTGGAGTGGAAGTGCATCCGAGGTTCTGTTGGACTGTGAAAGTCACGGAAAGGGCCAGTATAAGCAGTTGGAGCATTCTAGTCGGCGGGTATGAAACTACAGTAACCGTGTTGGATCAACTGCGAACGAGTGGCCTTTTAAACCGAATCTCCGCAAATATCACACTTTGATGGTTTGGCTGTTTGAGCAGCAAAACGAAATGATAGTTTGGGACGGAATGGACATCTGTATCAACACGTTCATGTAGGAGTATGGGCAGTGGAGGATGATGGCATTCGAGCAAAGTTCGGAGGGCCGGCTTTGGGCTGAAGGGAGAGAGAAGCCAATAATATTTTATTGTTTTTGACTCATTTTTATTAGAATGCATCGTATTCTTGTTCAGTTTCAGGCTTCCAGAGAATGATTTTCAAAAAGCACATAAGTTACCCCTGAAACCAATTGGAATAAAAACTGAAACTTTGCAAAAGCAAGAGCTCACAAATTCTTGAGCACTATAAGAGACCGAAAAAGAATTGGCAAGTAAACGTTTCATTGTTCTCATCAGCTGGGTTATTCGGTAATATACAAAAACAGTTGGTGTTGATGGAAACCCCTTCAAGCGCTCTTCTCATTGTTCAGAAGGGCGGACGGTGCGGCGAAGGCGCGTGGAGCATCCTCCTTGTTCTTGTTCGATCCCCAAGCCCAGACGGACGGATAGGCGGCGGCGGCGGCGACGTACGGAGAGTAGACGGACGGGTATGCGAAGGCGGAAGGGACGTAGGCGGCCGAGTAGGCAGGCACCACCACTTGCTCATGCGATCCGACGATCATGGCGCAAAGGAGGACGGCGGTGAAGCTGGAATAAAGAAAGAGATTCAGATGAAAAACGGAGAAGGAGACTTACCACTTGGCGAACATGTTGAATTGAATGGGAGAGGAACTTGGAAGTTGCAATGTCTTTCCGCCTGATACTCTGCTCTTTTATACCAAGCCACAAGCATCAGAGAACCGAGTATCAGACTAGTTTCCCGGTTCACTTCTCATTCGTTTCTATATTTATTCTCTACTCGACAAAGAAAGATAAGCGAACAGCTATGAAAAACAAGGAAACGAGCCAATATTTGCCGCCTGCTACCACCTATAACTTTTTAACCGAGCCGACGCATGTGCCAACTACTTGAATAAATATAGTAGCAAAAACGACCGCGCGGAGGGAGGAACTGGCTCGACGCACCGAGTTTTTTGGTGTTCTGTCTTGGTATAAAAGAGCAGAGTATCAGGCAGAAAGACATTGCAACTTCCAAGTTCCATTCCCATTCAATTCAACATGTTCGCCAAGTGGTAAGTCTCCTTCTCCGCTTTTCATCTGAATCTTCTTTCAGCTTCGCCGCCGTCCTCCTCTGCGCCATGATCGTCGGATCGCATCAGCAAGTGGTGGTGCCTGCCTACTCGGCCGCCTACGTCCCTTCCGCCTACGCATACCCGTCCGTCTACTCTCCGTACGTCGCCGCCGCCGCCTATCCGTCCGTCTGGGCTTGGGGATCGAACAAGAACAAGGAGGATGCTCCACGCGCCTTCGCCGCACCTTCCGCCCTTCTGAACAATGAGAAGAGCGCTTGAAGGGGTTTCCATCATCAACACCAACTGTTTTTGTATATTACCGAATAACCCATCTGATGAGAACAATGAAACTGTATTTTACAAACTCTACTCATCTTTTCGGTTTCCGAGAACCGATAATTTTTTGTACTGCTCTAATGTGCGGTGGTGGCTTTTCCCGATGTATTCATTCTCTACATTCACTCCATCAGAGCGCAAACTACAGTAATTTAGAGGCCGTTTAGGTGCAGTATCCGCAAGTTTTCGGGCACTGCTGTTTCATGAGGGTCAAATAGACGGCATTCGTACAGTAAGATGCCATTCCTGGACAGTCACTGACACCAGTGGAAGAGTTGACAAGATCGACGCAAGTGGTGGAAGAAGACGTTGAAGAGGTGCCTGGAGTGGATGTTCCTGTTTATATGGACTCATTAAACTGGACTCACAGTATCCGCAAGTCTTTGGGCATTGCTGCTTCATCAAGGTCAAGTAGACAGCATTGGTGCAATAGGAAGCCATTCCTGGACAGTCACTGACTCCAGTCGAAGGATTGGTGAGGTCAACGCAAGTGGAGGAGGAAGAGGAAACGGTAGTGGTTGCGGAAGAAGAGGTACCTGAAGAGAGATTTATAGTTTCAAGTTAAAGATTTAGTAACCTACAGTATCCACAAGTCTTCGGACACTGTTGTTTCATGACAGTCAGGTAGACAGTGTTGGTACAGTAAGAAGCCATTCCGGGGCAATCACTGACTCCAGTCGAAGGATTCGTCAAATCGACACAAGTGGAAGAGGAAGAGGAGGCGGTGGTGGTGGCAGACGAAGTACCTGAAGGGAGATTTACAGTTTCAAGTTCAGGATTTAGTAACTTACAGTATCCACAAGTCTTCGGGCACTGCTGCTTCATCAGGGTCAGGTAGACAGCGTTGGTGCAGTAAGATGCCATTCCAGGACAGTCACTGACTCCAGTAGATGGGTTTGTCAGGTCGACGCAAGTGGTGGAAGTGGTAGTGGTGGTTGTCGCGGCAGCAGTTGTGGTGATGGCTGTAAGGAACGTTGTCTAGAAGTCTCTCTTCAAAAGTGTATATTCCTACTGTAGGTGTCCGCAGCCGGACAACATCCACTGTCGGTTATGTAGGTGTACGTATCCGGACAGGCACCATTGAGGTCCGGTTCGGGAGTGGAAGTGCATCCATAGGTCTGTTGAAGGGTCTTGGAGATGAGGAATGAGAAAATGAAGAGGGATTGGAATTGGAACATTACTGTTAATCCCCGGCACCGAAATGTGCTTTCACTGTTCCGGCGCGGTCCTTTTAAACACGAATAACGCAAATATGACACTTTTTCAAATCAAAACTTTCTATTTGAGCAGCAAAAGATGCGCGGGGCGATTGAGAATTAAAGTTCTACAACATTTCCGGAACACATCGTGAAAGAGATGCGACGAGATTTCGAAATTCGAAAACTACACTACACTGTTTCACTTTTGTGACTTTTGCGTTTTATGTGCTTCACAAATGGGCCTATTCAGGGGATGAAAAAATGATTGTTTTCCGTTTTTTTCCCTATTCAGCGATGTCAAAAAATGGAAAAAAACGGAAAGAAATGCATCGCTCGCAGCGTTTTTTTCCGGCGGGTCTCGCAGCGATTTCCCGGACGCGATGCATGCGGCTACTGTAAGTGGCGTTTAATGAGTGGATTTACGAGAAGGGGCGGAGTTTTTTTTCTAATTTTTCAGCGAAATTGCCACGTTTTACCGCTTTTTTCAACCGATTTTCAACGGAATTTCAGTTCTTGTTTATCTGTTATGGTAACTGATGCGAAATTGCCAAGTTTACCGCTATTTCCGACCGATATCGCTTGAATTTTATCGTTTTTAGGCCGTGGTTGTAAGTTTTTATGTAAGTTTTTATAGGGTAAACATGGACGACGATGAGTTGCACGAGAATCCCGAGAAGGTTCCCCCTCCGACGCTTATTGAACGGGAGAGCGCGGATAGAAGAAGTGGAAGAAAATCAAATTTACATTTATTACATTTATTATGCTGGATTTTTTATCTTTACCACTAAAATTTTCTTTTTTTTGGATAGTTTCGAGTGCCTCGTCATATCGTTCAAAACGTTGAGCTTTTGGTGAAAATCGGTTCAAAATAGCGGGGAAACGTGCCAATTTTGCTGAAATTCGCTGAAGAAAGCTGTAATTTCGCTGAAAAATCAGTAACATTTTCGAAAATCCTCCCCTTCTCGTAAATCCACTCATTAAACGCCACTTACAGTAGCCGCATGCATCGCGTCCGGGAAATCGCTGCGAGACCCGCCGGAAAAAAACGCTGCGAGCGATGCATTTCTTTCCGTTTTTTTCCATTTTTTGACATCGCTGAATAGGGAAAAAAACGGAAAACAATCATTTTTTCATCCCCTGAATAGGCCCAAAATTGATGTGTCACTCGTAGTGCTACATTTTTTCAAAAAATCGCATCTCCGTCAAATTTGTACTTAACGAGATGAGCTTTATGAGAAAAGATATGAAACGTGATGAACAATATTCGGATAGAAGTTCAATTTATCGCTTTTCCGCAATAATGAGCTGGACTTTTTAGGAACCAGGAAAGTTTTGTTCTAGGCCTTGTGATCTTTTCCGGATTTATTTTTTGCGTTCGGCACAATCTTCATACGTTGCAAAACATTCACACAAATCAGCAAGAGCATCGAACTGCTCACAGGGAAGAGTTTTCACACCGGAGTTTCCCCGGCCACGGCCACAACTTCAACTGCACGCCGTTTCGTTCATTGGCATTTCTGTGAGAGTCAGCATTTCACCAGTGTATGAGGCAATAAGAGACAATTCAAACAAACACTCAAAAAATTTCCCTGGTCGATTAACTTCTTCGGAGATTAACTGTTTGACAGAATCTGCTGATCACACACTTTATTTGTCCATTTCAATCCATTTCACTACTTCAATAGGTGACTACATAAAATGGGACGCATAGATAAAAGCGAAAGAAACGTGTGAATTATCCGGAGGTACAGTATCCGCAAGTCTTTGGACACTGCTGCTTCATGAGCGTCAGGTAGACCGAGTTGGTGCAATATGCGGCCATTTTGGGGCAGTCGCTGGTGCCAGTCGCCGCGTTCGTCAGGTCGACGCACGTGGAAGAGGAGGCGGTCGTCGAGGAAGACGAAGAAGACGTCGACGAGGAGGAGGTGCCTGCAAACAAACTCCAATCGGTTTCAGAATCAACTTGAAACGACGAGTTCTGTTTTAGAACTATTCCTCTGAATATTTTCAATGCACACTAAAGTATGAGCATCTCGGCAAATCTCTGCAACTTTTGCGCAAAACTTACGCAACTTTAGCTGCGTAAATTCTACAGAGGTTTGCCGAGATATCACAAGAGCCTAAAAAGGACAGAAATGAGCCACTAAGCCAAGGTAAAACACAGCGAATTCATGTGCAGTTTGAAGCGGAAAAGTTTAAATATTCCCAGAAAACTCGACCACGACCCAGGCGTTTTGAAGACTTGTCGAGGCCCCCACTTTCGGACCCAAACTTTGCAGACTTCTAGGACTTGGATTGAAGTATAGAGGGCCCAGTCACTCACAATATCCGCAAGTTTTCGGGCACTGGGTCTTCATCAAGCTCAAGTAGACCGAGTTGGTACAATAGGCGGCCATCTTGGGGCAGTCGCTGGTCCCCGTCGAAGGATTCGTCAAATCGACACAAGCCGAGGAGACGGTGTGGACGGCGGTGAGAGCGAGAAGGATTACGGTAGTCGAGTGCATTCTTTGCCAGACAATGTAACAATTTTACTGTTAGTCTGCCTTTTATAGCGACCGCCCGGCTATTTGTACAGAAGGACGATTCTGTCTGTTTCGATTTCTACTCCTCCTCCTCCGAAAACTTCCACAACATTTCCATTATTTATCTTTATGTTTTAATCATCAAAGTTTGAAACGAAACGAGCCAGAACTATGCGCGAAATTCGCCGCCGGAAATCGAAATGACCGAACTCTTTTTGTGCAGATTCTTCGAGGCGACGCACGCCGGCTGAATGTCGTTGTTGCAGAGGAGCATGAGCATTCTGGAAAGAGTAGTTCTGGAATTCGAAAAAGTGACCGAAATGGGTACCCATCGAGAAGAGCCAGAAACGGCAGAGAGAGAAGAGCGACGAGAACGGAGGAAAAGAGCCGGAAGGCGGCAGCGAGGACACGAGGAAGACGTCGAGCACGGACAGCACCGATTGGAGCAACACCTGAAACTGTGAATTGGAAAAGTATTCTTGTGGTGCTAATACTTTAACTTTTAAAAACAGAGTTTGAACAAAAAAGTAACGAAAATTCGATTTCTCTGTTTCATTACCCTTATTTTAGCTTTTTGTGACTGTTTCGATTATTATAACGAATGTGTCTTCTCATGAACCGAACCGTCCGGAGTCTGCGCGTCCCGTCACCATTTTTTCTCACTTTCTCCTCATTTTCTCATTAATCCGGCGGCCTAGACTTCTCCGTAATTTGCTCACCTGCACAAACATTTTCGCGTTTCTCTGCTTCCTGCGTGACGCATTCCCGCATGCGAAACTGATTGATTTCTGAAATCTAATTCATTTTTTGACTTTCATTGTCCCATTTCGCCACTCTATTTGCTCCTAGTCTCTAGTCGCTCACCGCTCCGCCGCAAATAATAATGAGAAAGGAAATGGTGTTGAGCATGTTGGCGACCATCATGAGCACGAATGCGCAGTACACCTGGAGCTGGTAGTTGGCCACGTGGCACTCGTCGTGAAATTGGAATGTGAGCGACTGGGTCGAGAAGGAACACGTGCATTCCGGGTAGCCCATGAGGGTCCAGAGGATCGTCGCGAACCAGGACGAGAAGATTCCCAAAGAGATCAGATCCGTGTTCTTCCGTTTGTTACCGCCCATGAAACAGATTGTAGCGAAGCGGTTTACGGAAAGGAAACATTGGGTCAAGTTGCCTGAAACCGTTTAGTCACTTTAGTTCCAGGCACATACATCGATACCTTGAATATAAAGTCCGAAAAGCAAAAGTTGGCTCAGAATGATATTAAAGTGGTCGGTCACCAGATTGCTGTTCGCGAACACCGCTGGAACCATCCAGAAGAACACGAGTGAGCTCGTCAAAATGTTCGAGCATGTTTTGGAGACGGAAAAGATGAAGAAGCCGCCACGGAAGCGAATTCCGAACATGAATCCGGAGGCGATGTACGCGTTGATCCCTCCGCCCACGCAACTTATCTGAAAGTCATCCGATGAAGAGCTGTGACGTCACTTTTCGGCTCACCAGAACCAGCAAAATGGCCGCCCATTTCCGGTCGTCCGACTGAATTTCGGCCGTCGAATTGAATTGATAATACATTGCTGTTCTAGATTATTCAGAAAATCGAAAAACAAATGTGTGAGCTGGAAGAAAAAAAAAAGAAATGGAATGATATGTGTGATCAGTGGGGCGTGGCACAACCTCATTTTTCTGCTGAAAACGCATTGTCCTGGAAAATTGGATATTGGACGGCCTAATTGTTGACTTGTAGCCCTGATCGGTATCGTGAGCAGGAAAAGCGGGCAATCCGGAGAACACATGAAGCGATCTGTTGAAATGAGAAAAAATCGGCGGAAAAGTGACATGAAAATTTTGCATTTTATTCGGTTAATAAATTTTTTTCAGATTTCTCCTAAAAATTCCGCTTTTGCTTTATGAAACTGCTAGAATTTCCTGTGAAATTTAAAATTTCAAACTCTCTCCAACGCACGTGGCCTAGCACTTCTTCGGTCACGCGGCCGTGTACTCCACGTGGACAAACCGTTTCGCAATGGATTCTCATCATTTTCGACAGAACAGCCATGGAAGCCGAGTCGATTTTGGACTTCCACACTGAGCACGAGGAGATTCTCGTAAGTTTCCAGCTTTTTTGTTTCTTTTGGTGGAAATTATCCGTTTCAGGCTGCCCGACAGCGCTCCGTCACCCGCGAAAACCAGATTCTGCTGGCGATCGCCCTCGTCGGCTCAGAAAAGCAATCCGAGATTCGGGAAGGCGTCTCCATTCTTGAAGGTGAGCGAAACACCGCAAGCGTTCCCATGATTCCGTTGGAAACCCCGGTTTTCTACCAATTCTGAGCAATATTTCGCAATAACCTGGAAAAATGTTATTTTTTGCAGAAATAGTCAAGGACTCCATTCACAGCGAGGATTCGAGAGTCTGTGTGCACTACCTTGCTCTTGGACATGCCCGTCTTCAGGTAATTCGCGAAATTTCAAAAAAATTCTGGATATTTTTAAATGTTCATTTCAGAACTATGACAAATCGGTGCATCTGCTGGACGCCCTCCTACGGACGGAACCGGCGAACATGCAGGCGACGGAGCTGCGACGTGTCATCGGAAAGAAAATGAAAAAAGACGGACTGCTCGGACTCGGACTGCTCGGAGGCGCCGCCGCCATCGTCGGAGGCCTCATGATCGCCGGATTGGCCCTGAAGAAAAAGTGAACATCTGCCAAGAATACGAACGAAGAAGAAACAGTCAATCAGTGCCAGACATTCCAGCGATTTCCCGGATCAAAAATCTCTTTTGCATGTAAATTATTCACCGATAAATTTTGTGTAAATTTAATTTTTATCGCTTTGTTTTTCCGTGTTCGTTAATTGCTTTTCCCCTTGTTTTCCGGAAGTCGCGAGAGAAATGCATTTCATCATTGACTCACAAAAAAGGAAACTTCCCATGCCGGGAATCGAACCCGGGCCGCCACAGGTGAAATGCGGAGGGAGCATACAGGAAAAACGCGAACAGCGAAGAATCACTGAAGGATTAGATACGCTAACCACTGAGCGTGAACAATCGGCAACTGAACTCCCGTTTCGCCGATTACTGACTCCTCAGTGATTCCTCACTTCCCAGCGTTCCGCTCTTCTCGTTCACGTCGCTCATAGCTCGCTTGTTTTCTGTTTCACTTCAGTCTTTGCCTTTTTTCACTCGGACCAAGGTAGCTTTGTGATGGTTCAAATAACAATTATAGGAAAATTGAGAACAAGTCCAAGTAGTCAAAGGACATGAATGATATCGCAGTGTTTTGCCCTTGCGGTCAGAAAACTGCTCGTCGCTTTCGTTCTTATGGGGTTATTCAGGCTGTGAAAAAAATAATTGTTTTCCGTTTTTTTCGTTTTTTCACGTCAAAAAATCCAATTCAGCGATGTAAAAAACGAAAAAAAAACGGAAAACAAACATATTATAGGGGCACCGGACAGAAAGGGCGCGCTGTTCGCAATCTGGCCGAATTTCTAGGCCACGAAGTAATTTTCCACTGAAAATGTGGCCTAACTTTTCAAACTCGACCCCGAGGTCGCTCAATTTGCACTGCAAAAAGAGTTTCTCAACAGAGCACCATTTCTGTGCGGTGCCCCTATAATAAATTCCCGTATTTTTGAAATGTTTACTATTTCAACGTGGTGATTTAATATGGTGAACTCGTGAACGACTTTCGTTATCCTATGGGTTTTTTCTGCGTTTGTCAGATAAATGTTTAAAAGGAAATATAACGGCCAAGTTAAATAAAAAACTTCAGTTTCAGAGAGGTCTCATCTGCATAACCTTACACTCAACTACGCTCATACTATTATGTTCATACCCTTTCTCCAAACTTGTTCATCTGACGTTTTCCTTCAGAATATTCAAAACAGTCCTCAAAAACGACATTTCTCGTGCGAGACAGTATCAAAGACCACCAACCGACCATGCCATTTGCGTGCTCTTCTCCTCCGTTTCCTCTCCGTCTGCGTCGCCGATCCCTCTCGCTCGTTTTCTCTGCACCCTCTCAATTCTCCACACTCTCTCTCTCTGTCCTATCTTTTGCCAATTCCTAACTAAATACCCCCTTCGGTCATGTCATCTTTCAGTTTTTTCAACGTTTTTGCTCCGAATTCGAGTCGATTCGACGGTCTCAAGTTTTGAAATAATACTGTTTCATCTAGCCTAGATCTAGGTGCTACATTTTTCAAGATGATTTTTCTTTTTGCGCTATTCTAAATTTCGATTCAGGGTCAATTATGTCCACCGGAATCCGTCGGCGACATGCCGACGAAAAGCAGAAGAACCTTCTGGATCCGAGTGTGAACGAAGAAGCGCAGAGGGACCAGGAGCGTTTGGATCCGAGTTTACTAACGTACTGACGGGCCGGATGGCCGAGATTTCTAAATGACATTTCTAGGTCATCGCACTGGAAATTCATCGCACTTTTCTACCTGGCACTCATCTGTGCAACCACTTTCCTGCACAAATGTCTGCCAGAACCAAAGGATTCGAACGACGGTAACTCTTTTCATATCCCCATAATTAATACCATTAAAATCAGCAGACGAAACTCAATTCTCGGAGAAAAGAGCGGTGAAAGTGCTGCAAGAGCTGTCGGATTTCGGCTGGAAACCGGCGGGAAGTTACAATTGCGAAGAGCTCACGAGGAATCGGATTCTCAGAGAACTGCACGACATTCGAGCACAAAACGACGCCGTTGCGGGTCTGCGATTCGATATTGACACGCAGTACGTCTCCGGATGCTTCGATATTCCAGTGCATGACACCGAGGGAATGAACATTTGCTATCGGAATGTGGGTTTTTGAGGGGATTTCGAGGAGAAGAATGATATGAATTGCAGGTGTCAAATGTGATGGCGAGGCTCGGGAAGGGAGAGAAAAAGGATCAGATCTCTGTGCTTCTCAACTGCCATTACGATAGTTGGCCGACGAGTAATGGTGAGATTTTACTGTTGCACCCGGCCATTTTTAGTAGTGCGCGAACTGTTTTCTTTTCAGCCGGAAGCGACGACCTCTCCTCGTGCGCTCTGATGCTCGAGCTCATTCGTCTCTACTCCCGCAACCCGCGCCTCCTCAACCATGACGTCATCTTCCTGTTCAACGGTGCCGAAGAGTCGTCGCTTTTGGCGGCTCACGGATTCATCACTCAGCACAGTTGGAGACACGAGATCCGCGCATTTATAAACCTGGAGGCGAGTGGATCCGGCGGACGGGAACTGCTGTTTCAGGCCGGTCCCGCTAACCAATGGCTTTTGAACTCGTACCTGGAGGCTGCCGTTCATCCGCATTGCAGTGTGATCGGACAGGAAGTGAGTTGGAAAGGAACACTTTGAATGACTGGAAAGTTGGTTCAGGTCTTCCAATCGGGGGTCTATCCGGGAGACACCGACTTTCGAATCTTCCGTGATCATGGCCGAGTGCCGGGCCTCGATCTCGCCTTTGTCCAGAACGGATATTGGTGGCACACGGAGTTCGATACGGCCGAACGGATAACGAGCGGATCTTTGCAAAGAGCCGGCGAGAATGTGTTCGCCACTCTGAACCATCTGCTCAAGAGTCCGTACTTGGAGAGCCCCGCGGAGTATGCCGATCGGAAAACGGTATTTTTCGATTTTCTAGGTATCGTTTCACTTTCCTTCCTCTTCGTCTAGTACTCTGTTCCTTTTCAGGTCTGTTCGTCGTGATCTACCCCCTTTCCTTCGCCCATTTCATCAATCTAACATCGATTCTCACCACCTTCTCCCTCACCCTTCACCAATTGTACACTCGTCCCGCTCAAACTCTCCTCGCCCTCCGCGACTATATTCTGACGATTCTGACGATGGCGGCGGTCCTCAAAGCCATGACATTCATGTCTCTTTTCACGTACGGAGCACTCCGATGGTACACGAGGCACTGGCTGGCGCTGCTGGCCTACGGACTGCCGTGCATTTGGGCCGGCATCTCGGTCCAAGGCCTTTTGTCGGCTAGACTGGCCCCGAAGGCCCGGGTCGAGTACGCATCCGCTCTGGAACTTGTTCATTTGACACTGATCTCGGGCATTCTGCTGGTTTTCACTTATTACGACGTCGCCAGCGGATTCCTGTTCGCCCTGCTGCTGGTCCCACTGATCAAGGCGCTCGCTGTTCACTTCGGAGCCTGGCCGACGCGACCGAACCTCAACACCCTCCTGACGCTGGCCATTTCCGTTCCGGGCTGTGCGATGGCAATCTACACCACCGAAATGCTCCTCTCCACTTTCATTCCGATCATGGGCAGAAGTTCGTACAACCCGGAGCCAGTTGTCTCTTTTTTTGTCGCCTTCTCGGCCGCATGTATTGTTTTGTCGTTGGTTAGTAGTACATTTCTTTACATTTTCTTTGGCTCAACTTTATGTTTCAGGCCGGATTGGTTGCCAGAAGTCGGAACTCGAGGCCCGTCAGCGAGGCCGGATTCCTCGAGTTCTTGTACAATCTGATGGGCGTCCTACTGGTCACCCTCACAATTTTGTACGTGTTCTCCAGCTTCTGGCCCTCTCCCTACCGCTTCGACGAACGATATCCGACCGCAAAACGGACCCAGTTCTTTGTGAGTCTTTTCGAAGTCGGGTTCTTCTGAATTGAATGATTTGCAGCACGTCAATCAAATGTTCTACGATCGAAACGGACAATTGTCGGTGAACGAGACGCGGTTCTACGCGATTTCGCACGATTTCCGCGGCGCCGAAGACATTCCGTTCGTGAAGAGCGATGCGGAATACACGGGACTTCAGTGCCATTACGAGAACAATCCGTGGTGCGAGGTTCCGTTTCTGTTTCCCACGAAACGACGGCTCAACGATCGGAACGTGAGAGTTCGGGTGATCGAGGAGAGACTGAAATTCCGGAATGGAGTCAAGATTCTCGGGGTTTCGAAGAGACACGGCGTTGCGGAAGGCGGAAATGGCAACATCGAGTACACGTTCTCGGTGATCGGAACCGGTCAGATCTCGGCCTACATCATCCCGGATGCCACGTGGCTCATCACGAACACCTCTGTCACTCAACCAACGGTCCCCCAGGAGAATATGTTCCTCTACTTCACATGCTCCACGCCCAACAACGTTTGTGAATGGATCTTTAGGATTACTATCAAAGTAAGTGCCACTGTATAATGACTTTGAGAAATAATCCACATGATTTCCAGAAAACCACGCAAACCCCATCGGACGAGAAGCCGCTTTTGGTCGGAATCTCGAGTCACCACTTGCACGGACCGCAAATGCAGTCCGAATCGATCAAGAACATGATCAGCAGGATCAGAGAGAACCGGGTGCACAGCCCCGAATGGACTGTGACCGCCAGTGCGTGGAATGTCGATCAGGTCTACAAGTACTTCTAGGCTTTGTTTTGTTGATTGATTATGTGTTAAAAATTACGGTTTCAATACTTCTACTTCACTTTACTTCACTTGAATAAAACTTTTATGACACGTAAAAGTAACGTTCAAACTCGTTGCTCATCCGACGGAGCAACTTTTGCCTCCCATTCCGGCTTCGTGTAGTCGGCGGCTTCCATCGTCGCGAGAAACGGAAACGGAATGTTCATCACGATCACCCAGATTCCGACGGCAATGTAAAAGACCGCCCACTCGTCGGCAGTGTGATTCGGACACGCGATTCCGATCATTATGGGAAGAACGAAGATGGCGCCCCAGGCACTCAGCGAAATCACGGCCATCACAAAGTGCACGTACTGACGGGCAACCTGAAAGAAGGCGTTGAGTGGAAGTTTAGAAGACGAGAAGATGAGGACCATTTGGGCACACTTCACAACTCCGACAATATTGATACCGGCGAGGACAATGGCACACGTGTACGCGATTTGAGCGACAACTCTTGAGGTCGTGAGCGCCATTACGAAGAATCCGATCGCCAGACCGCCCTGAGAGACCGCGGCGAAGAAGACCATTCGCCAGACCTCGGGGATGAATGTCAGGTGATCCGAGAGCGGTCCGGCGACGAACTTGACCGCCGCTGCCAGAATGTAAGGGACCGCGTTCGAGAAGCCCGTCTCGCGGACGTCCAGGCCCAGCACTTTGTTCAGATAAGTGGGACCGTAGGTCATCAGCGTCATTAGCGACATGTTTCCTCCGATTGCCTGGAAAATTGTGTTCCATTTCTTAAAGTCAGACCATAAACACTAACCGCTGCCCAAATCGATAAAACCACTTTATCCTTACAAATGGCCAGGTAGGGAACCGATTGTCTTCCAGAAGTTGGAAGCCGTCCAGTTGAGATCTTTCGTAGCTCTTTATGGCTCACATTTCTGAAAGTACGGACAATGATGGCCGGCCGTGTCCTAGAAAAGCCACCTGTGGACTGCGGCCGAATCGCGGAAAAATGAGAAAAATGCAATGTTGGCGAGCACGGCAACGCCTCCGAACAGATAATAAATGGAGCGCCAACCCCAGTTGGACTCGCAAAGAACGCCCGAAACTGGCATCGAGATGATGTTGCTGATCTGAAGGAAAATGAATGTATCTCGGCTTTCTGTAGAGATATCAAAACGCTGTCAACTATCGAAATGTACAAAATATTGACAACGTTTTGATATCTCCATCAGCATCTGAGATATACTGTCCAGAAAGAGCAGTATTGAGTTACCTGAAAGCCAGAGGACAAAAATGCGACATAAGTACTGATTTCCGAGATAGGAGACCATCCTTCGGAAATGCTTCCGATCGATGAGAAGAGAATCGAGGCTCCGAAGCCCTAGAGATCTTGTAGTCGGACAATATTCACTTGGAAAACGTACCTGGATCATTCTGGCAGCAATCACAGAGTAATAGCCCAAGGAGACTGCGAATGGGATTGCCAATGTGGCCAAAGCGGAGAGCAAACCGTAGAAAGATAGGACATTTCTGAAAGGGAACAGTATCTGAGGGGTTACAGTGAATTGGAGGTACCTGACACCGAACCGAGTGGTCAGGGGGACCGAGGGAATGAGTCCGATGATGGCTCCAACTGCCCCGGCCGAGAAGATGAACGAGACGTCCGCAGTGTTCTCGAGCCAATCTGACAATAGATTTGTGTGCTCTTTCAATGCAATAAAACGCTTACGAGTTTGGTTAGCAACCGATTGTTTCTCTATCACATCTTGCATACAAATCACCGTAAAGTTGATCGTATTGTAGTTGCCATTTGTGCACACGATGCACCATAGGCTACAACAATAGGATAGCCGAATTGTTTCGCTTACAGTGTAACTCACCCGACAGCCAGCACCAAATAGCGTGTCTTGTCTCCGAAAGTGATCGTATTCTTCTCCATTTTCACATTGACTTGTGTCGCCGAGAATGATTTGCACCGCACCTCTCCTTTCTGCCACTTTGACATCATCCGCCGGGATTTGCATACATTTTATGGAAATTTAGGCGGCGCGTCGATTTTTTGAACGTCGCCACGGCGAGAACTGTGATGACATCGAAGTGGAAGAGGTGTCTGTGAGTCGCCGAGTTTCATTTTTGGAATAATGGTAAAGTTTATAGAAATTGGGAAACAGAGAGTGTTAAGAGGAGAAAATATGGCATCTCACGTCTCGCAAACGTCCGTCACTTTCTGCTGTCCCCACCCGGGTTTTGTATAGTGCGCGGCTTCGGTGGTCGCCAAAAACGGGAACGGAATGTTCATAATGATGACCCAAATGCCACCGGCAATGTAGAAAACGGACCACTCGTCGGCCGAGTGATTCGGACACAGATAGCCGATTATTATGGGCAGGATGAAGATGGCGATCCAGGAGATCAGAGAGTTCACTGCCATCACAAAGTGAATGTATTGTCGGGAGACCTGGAAGCATTGCGGAAGGAAGAGAAAGGGAAAACGGTTACCATTTGAGCACACTTGACCACTCCGACCATGTTCACTCCGGCCAGCACGATGGCGGCGGTGTAGGCGATTTGTGCAATCAGTTTTACACGAGTCTGCAAGACACACTTTGCAATCGTCAGAACGTCTTCCGAAACGCACCAACGCCATCACGAAGAATCCGCAGGCCATGCCGCCCTGCGAGACCGCTCCGAAGAAGATCATCTTCCACGTGTCGGGCACACTTGTCAATTTGTCTGACAATGGTCCCGCGACGAACTTGACCGCAGTCGCCAGAACGTACGGAATCGCGTTGGCAAATCCAGTGTCTTTCACGTCGAAACCCAGCACTTTGTTGAGATATGTCGGTCCGTAGATCATTAGCGTCATCAGGGACATGTTCCCTCCAAGCGCCGAAGCCCAGATCGCCAGTACAACTTTATCCTTACAAACTGCCAAGTAGGGAACTTGACGTCTTCGTGAAGTCGGAGATCTTCCCTGACTGATCTTCCCGAGCTCCTTTGCACTCACATTTCTACAATCTAAATCCTTAAAAGCAGAAGATCGCTGGCAGAAAACCTATGCACTTCTGCGGAATCTCTGAAGAACCCAAAGAAGATAAAGGTGACGAGCAGGGCGGTGCTTCCGTAGATGTAGTAAATGGACCGCCAGCCGAGATCCGATTCACAAAGGATTCCGGACAAAGGCATCGTGATGATGTTGCTCAGTTGGAAACCAGCAGACAGGAAGGCGATGTAAGTACTGATTTCCGAGATCGGAGACCATCCTTCCGAAATGCTTCCGATCGAGGAGAAGAGAATCGAGGCACCAAAGCCCTAGCAAGATGCTCGTGGACGGATGATATATTCATTAGAAACGGGTACCTGAAGCATTCGGGCAATGATCACTGGAACATAGCCAATGGAAACTGCGAGAGGGATGAACAAAGTAGAGACGGAAGAGAGAAGAGCGTAGAAGGAGAGCACGTTGCGGATTCCGAATCTCGACGTCAACGGGACCGAGGGAATGAGTCCGATGATGGCTCCGATTGCTCCGGAGGAAAAGACAAATGAGACGTCCGCAGAGTTTTGGAGCCAATCTGACAAACCGACAATACAGTACGAGTTCAAGTTCAAGCCCAACCACTCACGAGTTTCATTCCTAGCCACATGCTCCTGAATGACATCCTGCATACAAATGACCGTGAAGCTGATGGTCGTGTACGTACCGTGATTACAGATGATACAAAGGATTCTGAGGTGGATTATTCGAGAAAAAATGTGCGCAAACCCAAAGAGTACCCAAGGAAAAGCACGACGAATCTGGTTTTATTCGCGAACGTCACTCGACTCGGCGTCTTCTCGGACGACACCATTTTTGAGTTGAACAAAAAGTTAAACTGAACAGCAAATTGCCGTTTTTCAAGATCTTTTGACTCTTTGACTTTCACATTTGCATAAGCTCTGTTTTGATACGTGCCGGAGCGAGTCTGACGCAAGAGGCGCCGACAATCTCGAAGGGTGACACTGATCTGAAGTGCTGCTACATTGTATGCACTTTTTTGCGGGGAATCAATACTATTCCCATATTTGAATAAATGGCAGAATGAAGTGCTTTTATTACAAGCGGTAGTGATTGAAATTGCTGTTTTTACTTTGGAATCTACGAATTTCATTGCGTTTTCCATATTCCACGAACAATTGCGATGCCAAACATTCAGAAATCTTCGCGAAGGGTACATCGAAGAATATAGTAGTCCAGCTAGGGATCCATGAATGTCTGCGGGACCAACGAATATAGAAGAACAAAGAGCACGTGTAAATGAGAGAATCACGAACAGTTCTTGGTCAATTTGCACACTTTAGAGCACAATTCTGATTGAAGGTCTAAAGAAATATTAGAAAAAGCAAATAATATTTATTAATAGCGTGATCTTGAAACATGAAAAAGTCAATTCATTCAATTGTTTCTCGGCTCTCCCTGGCCTCTTTGCTGATTGCCGGAAACGGACACATTTCTGTATCCTCCAGTCACTCCGGTCAGTCCGTTCGGAGGTCCGCCCGTCCAGTTTCCGACGAGCCCTGCCTGTCCGCCATTCGACGGTCCGCCCGTCACATTTCGGAATCCTCGGCTGAATCCAGAAGGCGTCGATCCTTTGTTGTTGCCTTGACCGTTCTTTCCGCCGTTTGCATTCGCAGTCAGCGCGAGGACGGCGAGGACGAGAAGAAGAAAGAGTTTAGTGGAGAACATGATTTGTGAATTTGACAATATTCATTCGGTTTTTATACGAGCAAAATGTTGGCGATCTGGACAGTGGTCGTGGTTAATTGAATGTAAATCCATTTGTGGTCTGCCGAGGCGCAAATTTGTCATCGAACTGTTTTTGAACTCTAACGGCTAAAGAACTCGAACATTTCCGTTCCTTTGGTCATATTCATTCAGTTTTCACTCAATTGGACCCGCTAGACTATCCGGTACAAGCACTTGAGTCACTAATGGCCAGATTGCAGATTTTCGGCCTTTCAACCAGTATATCTCGGTACCAGATGATCCCATCGGTCTGAAACTTGGACCCAAATGATTCCAATCCAAGTCCAAGGAGCCTGCAAGGTTTGGGTCTAATAGGCTTATTGCACGTGGGCCAAAAGAACCGGCTATTTGCCCTGAAACTTTGTTTTGTGATCCCGAAGGTCTGACCGGTTACTCGAACAATATCAACTGGGTCACAAGTCAATAACTTTCAGACAACTCCTACTATGGCGTCAAGTGACCTTCCTCTTCCATTCACTTTCACTTTCACTCCCCCTCCCAACCTAATAAACCATTATTTTCCAATCAAATCTCTTCGTTATGTACAAAGAAGAAGAAGAAGAAGAAGAAGAAGAACTTTTAGTCGTGGTGCCGCCGGTCCGATGACGTCATCGCGTGTCTCATCGAGAGAGAGAGAGAGAGAGAGAGACACGCACCGTCTCCTTCCTCTTTCTTTTTCTCTCTTTCTCTCACTCGCCCCCCGCCCGCCCACACACGGTTTCCAATCGTAATTTGTCCCGAAAAACAGAGAGACACGCTTGTTTCGTGTTCGCTTTTGACGGCGCCATGATATCTTCGGTAAATTCGTGGCGACAGGGCTCGCCGGACTTTGACGAGTTTCCCGACGAGCCGAAATGGTTCACACTGCAATTTTTGGACGTTCCCGACATGTGAGTTGCGCTTTTTTGGCAGAAAACAAAAACCAATGAGACAAGCACGTTTAGAATCGACTTTTCGCTGTGCTCCGCGAGGGCCCGGGACGCTGTGAGAGCTCTGAAGCACCGAGAAATGAGAATTGCGGCGCAGGTGGCTGAGCGTGGAGTTATTCAAATTTCGAGTGGAGAAAAGGACGGCTCGAAGCCGCTCTTCGAGTGGACCATCAATAAAGCGCCGTTCGAAGGCGGTCTACCGTCCAAGTACCTGAACGGAGTCAAGCTGGAGACAGAGTACGGTTCTTCTTCTTCTTCTTCCCTTATTTTAGTCTGCTAATACCGGTTGCAAGTAGATCACATGATAACATTCGGTTCGATCGTTTTTCTTATCGCGGGCCGAAGAACTGATGTCCCCAGAGTGTAAATCGATGCGAAAAGAGAGATATTTTGGGGAGAAGGTCGGCGAATTGACGGTTGAAGGCCCATAATACTGATCTGTGATCTTCAAGTTAACTAATGATCCACTTGAACCAGATTAGGACTTGATACGAGACTTGTCCTTATCAGGACTGGGTAAAAGGCCAGGCTTTTCGAAAACCTGCCAAGTATCTTGGGGTCCCCAATACCGTTCGTTAAACTCGGTGTATCTCAGCTGCCGGTAAAGATATCAGTAAGTTGTCAACTGAGAAATTGTTCATTAAGACATTTTGTACATTTTGTTAGTTGACCATTATTTGATATCTTTACAGGCAGCCAAGATACAGCTTAAAATCAAACTAGTACGGTTTCAAAGTGTCTTAATCACTTGCCAGTTCCATGAGTTAAAACAATCTGAACAGATTCAATTCAGAAAGCCCCGCGATGGAATCCGTTTCACCTCGCGCGCCCCGTACATCGAAGAAGCGATGATCGGCGTGATCACCTACTTCTCCGACCTCTTCCAAACGCACATTCACACGTTCATGGGCAAACTGGAAGATCAGGCGACGTTCAGTCGTCTCCTCACCGCGCTGGGGAAATGCGAGAAAGTGACGATCACGATTGGACAGGACAGAGATGTCATATTCCGACAGGCGCTTGAAAGTCTGAGTGTGTCGGAAGTGCTCGAGGTGACCGGAGGTCCGAAGCCCAGTTTCAAGATTGATAAGGTAAGGATGATCAGAAAGGCAAAACGTTTTGATTGCTGACTTCAGGTGTTCCGAACGAAGCAACTATTGTTCAAAGACGCCCGATGGGTCACCCGGGCCAACTTCCTGAACATGCAATGCGATACGATCGTTCTCCATCGTTGCCTGCTCACCGTTGCCGACTTTAAAGTGTTCTTGGAGCGATGGGCGAGCGGAACCAACAAATCCTTCTACTTTTTGTTCGTTGTGCTCGAGGACAGCGATATGAATCTGGAACCGCTGGTCCTGGACAAACGGGCGAGGTACGGAGGCATCAAGGTCGCCCCGTGGGACCGACGGAAGAGGGGACGGTTTTACAAGTGAGTTTATGACTTTGACGCCATCATTTTCAAGTTTACGCTTCAGTACTTTGGACCTGGGCGACGGTTTGGACATCGAGAGACCCGATGGACGCTTGGGGACCTTCGGAGCTCTCCGCAACAACTTCTTTTTTGTCACCTGGAAGAATCGGTTCCCGAAAAAGATCAAAAACGGCGGCGCCTACTAATTCGACAACTTTCCTCACATTTTCCTGACCGCTAGTTCGGTGCTCTTCCATGTTCGTAGTGCTATATTGTTGTGCCAATAAACGTCTTGTCACCTCAACTCTCAACCTCTCAATCTTTGGTCATTAACACGGCTCCTGACGTGATTGCTTGCTATTCTTTCACAACCACTGATAACGTTTACACGCACAACTGCAGTGGAATTCGCAAAAAAGAATGGAAGAGCAGGGTGGGGCAGGTGTGCATTGGTCAGCCGAAACAATAAAAGTAGAGGGACTGATAGCGAGAATTCCAGACATTTACAGTCCACAAATAGAAGAGCCGACGCGTAGTTTGTCGGCCCAGGATTCTATCAATCGCCATCTTATCTGACACTTTCAGTTTCCAGTTTCAGTTTCAGACTCTTAAGTTTGTTTGTTCCGTTGTTCGCAGCATTCAACTCCATGAAACACGTTTCAGTATTCGTGTTTCAGCTCTGTTCTTTCTATTTGTCAATGGTTTTCCTTAAACATTGGAGTATTATGGAATCTACGGTTGCATTTTAGTAATTTTATAGCATCCATTCACATGAAAAGTCCTATCACCCGTAGAACTTGATTTCAAGCTCCAGTTAGTCATTCAACTATTCTCTCCAAAGTTTGAACAAATTTGAGTGAGTCATAATCTAGCTGACCATTTCGACAAAGCGACCGAAGATCATTGCGACTTCCGATTGTGCTGAGCCGACAGACTCGTAAGGGAAGAAGTATGAAATTAGTACAGTCCCCCCCTCCTCGATTGTCGAAAAGTGCCCCACCGCTGCAAACATTTAAGCGATAAGAAGTTTCGAACTGAAAATTGGAATCGGCATCGGGCATCGGTGATAATGCGCGTGCCAACCGACTCTACTCTTCCTCCTTCTTTCACTTCTCCTACCTCTTTTGTGCAGGGGGAAATGCGAGCGTTTGTGAAATTCTTTGACATTATTCTCACTTTGCCTTTCCCCTTCACCGTTTCCTTATCGCTCTGAGGCTTCGGAACATGGCGCACAAGCATAAGGTGACGTTTCATCAAGTGTTTCCAGATAATCCAGGCGATTATCAACACTTTCCTTCTGCCATCACGGCGCACCGATTAAAAGTTAAAAAAGAATACACACATAGAAGAAGAACTGACATTTAGCGAGTTTTACAACTGATAAGGAGCCCCCCTCCCCTCCCAGAACCACACCTTTCATTCCATCGTGCAACACGCTTCACCACGCTTTTGTTTCACTCTTCTGACTCACCGCCAATTGCTTGCAGGTTCTAGTGGTCGGAAAGAGCGATGTTCCGCGACCTTGGCAGGGTCCACATCGCCTCTTTCGCCGTCGGAATCGTCGGCTTAGTCGTCGGCATCGTCGGCATCGTTCTCGCCATTGTTTTTGGCACCGGTGAGTGGATACTGTCACTAGTTGAACTTGTTTCGTAAGACTCTAGAAGGGTAGCTCTAGAAAGACGGACAGTTCTCACTTCCTCGAGGTACAGTACTCTTCCCTAAGACCTGGTCAACTGGAAAGAACAATCTTTGGACACAGATGTAAATGCTCAAAGTTGAAGACTGTTGGGATTTGACCCACAATCTTGAAACCGTACACAATTGTGCCCAAAGCTGATTTGTCATCATTAGAGGGAATTTCGCCGAGTTTCAGAGCATCGTTTTAGAGTTTTGATTGTTCGTTCATAGATATTGATTAACAAAAGCTTGTGTAAACCTGATACACAACAAATACTTTCCCAACTCCTAGCCTTTTCTCTTCAAAGAAGGCGTCGCACTATCAAATTAGCGTTCAAGCTACTTGTACCAATAAATGAAGTTAAATCGGGTCGCAGTACATCCTTTTCGTCAAGGATCATGGTTCCTCAAAGTACTTTTCGTCGCATCTTTTGCCATGATTATGATTTCGCAGGGCTTTCTTCAAATAACTTTAAAATGAGTTCACTTTCGTTAAATGACTGCACCGAAACAGTAGTCGCAATCACTTTCCGTTCATTTTCAGCCTCCTGCGCCACTCCGACCACACCTGCTCCCGTCACGTGCCCTCCGATCATCGCTACACCATGCAGTGCCAAACTCTTCTCTATTTCGACCGGAATTACCGATATGCCATGGAACGAGACGTATTCAGATACTACGAATCCGATGACTCAAAACGCGATCAAAAACATTCAAGACTCGCTTCAAACAACTCTTAATTCTGGACTCAACACTCAAAGTTCGTCGTCGTCGCTTCTTCGGATTCTGGCAGCCACGACGGGACCGACTAGCAACAACGCGATCGTCTCGATCTCTAGATTAGAGTTGGTTTCCGTGACGTTTGGGCAGTTTTTTCCAGAAAGCTTGTTATTACAGAAGAACATTCGATAGTAATGGCAATCAAATTGTGGCGGCAATCGGAAACGGAGCCGTCTCAGCTGCCACAGATGTGAACTTGATTCCAAATCAGGATGTGATAAAGTCAGTGATCAAACAAGACCCAACATATGCCCCCGACACAGTTGAAAGTATTGAAATCGCTGTCTTAGAGCAGTTAAAAGAATACAGCTTTCAGCGAGTTCACAAGTCTGTAACATAACCAGTCCTTTAACCACCGACGCTCCGATCACTAGTTCGAGTTTGGCTCCGACGACTTGTCCGGTCTGTCCATCATCGACTCCAGCGATTGCGACCACGTGCCCAGCGTGTCCATCATCGACGTGTGCGACGGTCCCTTCTACCACGTGTCCGGCTTGTCCGACTTCGACGTGTCCGACACTTCCGGCGACGACATCGTGTCCATCGGTCACTTGCCCGGCCTGTCCGACTCTGGATCCGGTGACATGTCCAACGGCTCCGACGTCACCGACTCCAGCGGCAACTACAACTCAAGGTATTCCGAGCCTCGCCACGACACCAGGATCACCAATCACAAGCACCCAAGGTAGTTCCAGCACTATCCCCGGAGTATCTAGTACTTCTCCCACAAGCCAACGCACCTCTAGCACTACACAGAGCTCCTCCTCAGGAGCTCCAATCACTAGCACCAGCACCAACATCCCCTTCACAAGTCAAGGAGTCTACAGTACAACCCAATCGAGCCCAGGAGTCCCCACCAGTTCCCCTGTTCCCTATCAATCCACGCCCGCACCTTCAGTCCCAACCATCGCGCCCGGTCAGTGCTATTATCAATCGAACATCGCCGTCGCCGTTGAGTTGACCGATCCGTACTCGGCGTTGGACACGAAAATCCAGAACTTCATCACCAACACCCTCCTTTTCTATCCCGGAAATCCGTACCAACTCGGCGGCGCCGACAGTTCGCTGACCAAATTGGCTCTGGTTCCGTATCCGACGAATGTTGACATCGAGAGTTTGATGTCTTACGGCGCGGCTGAGTGAGTTTCCCGAGCTATTGGAAGATTTTTGTGAAGTTTGTCTTTTCAGTAATCAAGAGAAAATCAATCGTCTATTCTATAACTTTGGTATCTTCGCCTCCGAAGAACCGAACATATATGAGTGAGTTCATCGGCGTCAAACTCTTGGAAAAGTGCTAAATTTTGAGAGCTTTGGACTTTATCTCCACATTGAAACCGACTGGACAACCGGGATTCGTCGTCATTGTTGGAAACAAGTGCGTTGTTTCCGTGTCTAGGTCCATAAATAACTTGTTTTTTCAGCGGAAGCACGATCGGCCAATCCACGACGTCTTCTCAAGCTCTTCAAAACCTCGGCTTCAACGTCATCACCATCGGATACACGTCTTCTGATGATTTCAGTCCGTTGGCTTCTAACGCGGCCTGGTCGTTTAAGATCAGTCAGGATTCGGATGAACTGACGGTGGCCCAACAAATAGGAACACTTTTGAGTGAGTTTTGTTGAAGCGAAAGAAGTGCTCCCTAAAGCTGAGATTCAGATTCCACATTCTGCTCCCCGTCTGGATCTTCCACGATTGCTCCGATCACCTCTTCATCGTCGCCGATCCCAGTGGCTTCCACCTCGGCTTCGACTCCGTCGGTGGCTCCTCCGATCACGTCTATCTCTACTCAAACTGTTCCGGTGGTCACGATCACAACTGCCACGTCACAACCTCCGGTCACTTCGCCAACTCAATCCACTCCGGCAGCAGCTCAATCCTCAAGCACACAAGGAGGAGGAGTCACGAGTACCGTGCTCAGTTCGAGTACGGTTCCGACACAAGGAGTTGCTAGTTCGACTCAAGGTACCCAGACAGTGCCCACCAGTTCACAAGGAGTCCCCAGTACATCCCCGATTCCGAGTTCCACCCAAACTGTCCCTAGTACCAGCCAAGGAGTCTCCAGTACATCTTCCCAATCCCCTGTTCCCACTACGACTGCAGCAACTTCAGCCCCAACTCTCTCGCCCGAAACCCCGTATTATCAATCGAACGTGGCCGTCGCTTTTGAACTAACCAACGCGACTTCGGATCTGGATGCTCAGATCCAGACGTTCATCGCCGACAACTTGTTCTTCTACAATGGAGCTCCGTATGAGCTCGGAGGCAAAGATGACGGAAAAACAGCTGTAAGTTTAATGAAAACATGTGATTTCAATAAATGAATATGGGTTTTCAGTTGTCACTGGTGCCCTATCCGAATGATCGAACTCTGATCTCATTGTCGAGCTACGGAGCGGCTCAAACGTCCTCGCAAATCACTTTGGCTATCAACGTCTTCTCTTCGCTAGCCAAAGAGCCTGCTACAATTGCCGACGCCTTCAACATCCTGCCAGATGTTTCGAGAACCGGACCGCCTGGATTCGTGATTCTCGTTGCTAACTCGTTAGTTCTAAATATCAACTATACATCTCCATATCAACTTTTCAGTGCGGATTCTGTGAACGCCGCCGTTGACTCTGCAAACAGTCTGAAGAGCCAGGGCTTCAACATCATCACAGTGGCCTTCAAATCGGATGGATCTTTCAATTCGCTGGCCTCCCAAGACAGTTGGAACTTCAAGATTGGCCAAGACTCGGATCAGAGTACGGTTGCTGCACAGATTGGAAACATTTTGAGTTAGTTTCCAAAGTTTCTGTTCTTTTATAACGTCTCTCTGTTTTTAGATTCCACATACTGGAGTGGTACAACTACCGGGTACACCGGGTCGACTGTGACTCTCCCGACTACCGTAGCCACTACAGTAACTCCTGGAGGATCCTCTTCTGCATCCACTTCCACTGAAACCGTTCCGACTACTGTCCCATCGCAGTCAACTTCACAAGGAACTTCTCCAGGAAGCAGCAGTTCCAGTGGGACCAGCACACAACCAGTGCCTTCCAGCTCCCAGTCCCCAACAGCCAGTCCCTCTGGTTCTACCACCCAAGGCACGTCTCCAGGAATTTCCAGTACCCCACAAGTTCCCACTAGTTCCCGGTCTCCCAGTACCGGTCCCGTTCTAACTTCTTCCACCCAAGAAGCGCAGAGCACGACCCTTATTACTTCGCCAGTCCCATCGACAACACAAGGAGTCCCCAGCACCTCACAGCTTCCGAGCTCGAACCCTAGCACTCTCTCCACTTCCCTTGCACCCAGCACATCCCTTTCTTCAACAGCCGGAACTTCAGCTCCGCTACCGCAACTCTACTATCAATCGAATGTCGCCGTCGCTTTCGAGTTGACCAGCCAGACTTCCGATCTGGACTCTCAGATCAGAAACTTCATCTCGGATAATCTGTTCTTCTATAATGGAAATCCGTATGAACTCGGCGGCAAAGACGACGGAAAAACAGCGGTTTGTTAATGGAAATCAAGTTGAGAAGGGTAAAAAAGTGTAAAGTTTTGCAGTTATCCCTGGTACCGTACCCCGTGAACTCGCTGACATCCTTGATGAGTTACGGAGCCGCCCATTCATCCGCCGACATTGCCTCGTACACCGAAGCGTTTTCGCTGTATGCCACAGATCCGGCAAACATCTCGGACGCCTTCACTTATCTGCCAAGTGTCGAGAGAACAGGACCGCCCGGATTTGTGATTCTTGTTGCGAACAGTGCGGACTACGTGGACTCCGCCGCCGCTTCTGCCAACAACCTGAAGGCCCTTGGCTTCAACATCGTCACAATCGCTTTCAAATCGGACGGAAACTTCAACTCGTTGTCCTCTCAGGATGGCTGGAACTTCAGAATCACTCAAGATTCTGATTTGAACACGGTGGCTGCACAGGTCGGAAACGTTCTCAGTAGGTATCGTGCCTGGGTGCTTTTTGAGATCGTCGTTTTCAGATTCTACGTTCTGGAGTGGAGGCGTTACGGGAACAACTGTGACTCCCCCGTCTACCGTAATCACTACAGTAACCACCGGTGCATCTTCGTCCACGGGAACGGTTCCGACTACTGTCGCATCCCAATCAACTTCTCCAGAAAGCAGCAGTTCTAGCGCTCAACCAGTACCCTCCAGTTCTCCAGGTGTTACTAGCACTCCCGGCACGTCTTCAGGAACTTCCAGTACCCCACAGGGTTCCACTAGTTCCTCCAGTGGATCCCCCAGCACCAACCCCGTCATAACGTCTACAACTCAAGCCGTTCAGAGCACGACCCTCGTCACATCTCCATTCCCCTCAACGACACAAGGAGTCCCTAGCACCAGTGTCCCGACCATTTCATCCACCCAACCAGTCCCCAGCACCTCACCGCTTCCGAGCTCGAGCCCCAACATCCCATCGAGCACATCCCAGTCCCCCTCTTCAACAAGCGTAACTTCAGCTGTCGGATCAACAGTCACACAGTCGGGAAGCTCTTCTTCAATCGGCTCAACGGTCACTCTTCCGGGAGGTTCATCTACAATCGGATCCACTGTGACAGTGCCGGAAAGCTCTTCAACTCTCGGATCTTCCACAGGATACACCAGCACAACTTCCGGATCAACTACCTCGCAAATCTGCCCCAATCAGCAGGTCGTGTTCAACGGACAGATCGGCGTGATCTTCGAGCTGCTGCCGTCGACGTCTTCCACTCAGCAAGATACGATCAACGCGTTCGTGGAGAACATTCTTCTGAACTCCAACTTCTACGGATTGGCGGTGGATAACTTGACGGGCGCGAATAGAACTCTCGTTACTTCAATACCGTATCCGTCCACTTCACAATACAACGTGCAAGGGTTTGGAAGTGCGAGAAGTGTATCTGAGTTCAAGAGCCAAGTGGATGCGTTCAATAGAGTTATTAAGCCAGTCACAGCCACCAGTGACATTTCCGAGTGAGCCTTTTTTTTTCTTTTTCTCTAGATCCCCCGACAAATCACTTGTTTCAGTGCTCTCTTGTACGTCGTTTCCAACTTGCCCGCCCCAGGAACTACCCCATCTGCTTTGATCATCGTCGGAAGCAGCAAAGCGATGCTTGACAACGCAGCTTCTCCGTTGGCGGATAGTCTGAAGGCCTCGTACAGTATCTACACGATTTCGATCGGAGACGTCGACTTGTCGCCACTCTCTTCCGGTGCCGGATTCTCATTTACGGATACTTCTCAGCAGACTGCCAATCAGATTGCTCAGAGTTTGGAGGCTTCTAATCCAGTCGTCTACTGCCCACCGCCAGTTCCGTCCACTTCTGCTCCGAGTACCTCCACTTTTGCCCAAACTTCTACAGTTCCCATCACGACTAGCGTAATCTCTACGACTACCGTAACCACTGCCAGACCGACAGTCGGTCCGTGTCAGTGCACCGGAAGATGGGTGTACAACGGAGATCTGGCTATCGCTTTCGAGTTGGTCACCAACCCCAATCAGGTACTTGGAACTTAGAGCTCGCCTTTCAAAGTTTTGAATTTAGGGTGTGATTGACTTCTTGAACAGTACACTTCTGAAGAATCCAGACTCGTACGGACTCGGTACTGATGTGAATGGAAACCAGCCGTCGAAACTGAACTTGATGCCATATCCAGGGACGAGCACTTTCCCGATCGTCGGATACGGAGGTGTTAAGTGAGCTTACACTCGAAACCTCCAAACGTTTTAACACAAATACTGTTCAGAACCCCTCAAGACATTGGAAACTTATTGGATCCTTACATAACTCTTGCCAATCAGAACGGTAACACGGATCCGTCGATCGTCGATGCTCTCACCTACATCGAGCGAAACCCGGGACAATCGGCAGTGAAGACTGTTCTTCTGGTTGGTGCCAATGGATCAGATGTTCAGGCCGCTGTTAGCACTGCTACCGCCCTTAAAAACGCAGGATTCCTGGTGATCACAGTTGCGCAGACTGCTTCAGCTGACGCCTTCCGACCATTGGCATCTGGAGATCAGTACGCGCTGCACATTGGCGACGGACAGGATGACGTCGTGGCCGCACAGATTGCTAGTTTCCTTCTGGAGAGGAGCTTTGTCTGTTTTGACGATGGCTCAAGCACTGCGGCTCCGGTGACCAGATGTCCGGGAACACAAGGAACTACTCAGCCGGGCAATACGGCGACGTCAGCGCCAGTTGCTAGCACCACTCAACCAGCGCCTAACACTGAATCGACAACTATTGGATCTTCAACGGCAGCTAACACCGCCTCCACAACCATCGGATCATCCACGGCCGCATACACCGGCTCCAGTACCATTGGGTCTTCGACAGTCGTCAATACCGGCTCAACTACAAGCGGACCGTCCACTGTAGCTTATACAGGATCCACAACAAGTGTCGGAAACACTGGATCAACAACCATTGGATCGTCTACTGCTGTCAACACAGGGTCCACTACGATCGGATCGTCTACGGTTGCTAACACAGGATCAACGACGAGTGGGCCATCCACTGCAGCCTATACCGGATCCACAACAGTCGGCTCTTCAACTGTCGCAAATACGGGATCTACGACGATTGGATCATCAACGGCCGCTAACACTGAATCGACTACAATTGGATCTTCCACTGTAGCCAACACCGGGTCTACAACTGTCGGATCTTCTACATCTTCATACACGGGCTCCAGTACCCTTGGGTCTTCGACAGTCGTCAATACTGGCTCAACTACAAGCGGACCGTCTACTGTAGCTTATACAGGATCCACAACAAGTGTCGGATCATCAACCGTCCAGTCTTCGACCGTTCCCGTTCCAACAACTTCCCTGCCAGCGTGTGCATCTCCGTTCGCCGGAAAGATTGCAGTTGTCTTCGAATTGAACGCAGTCAACGCACCAATTCAAGTAAGTGATTCTCTAATTTCAGAAGTATTGTATGTTTCCAGGACGTTGTCACCTTCGTGAGCACCAATCTGTACAACTCTCCAAACTATGACTTCACAACGACGACACAGGCAATCAATGTTCCGTACGCCAACACCGATAACTATGCGACGGACATTCTCCAGTTCACCGATGCGAAATCCTTGAATGCTCTTCAAACCAACATTGATTTGTTGTACGAAAATGCAGTTTTTACCACAACGTCGACTGTGTCTGAGTGAGTCAACAATGTGTAACAATGGAACACTACAATATTCGTTTCAGCGGTCTCAACTTCCTTTTCACTAGCAGACCTCCAGGTGCCTCGAACAATGTGCTTATTGTTGTTGGAAATCAGTAAGAGTCACAGTGTGCATTTGATACATCGCAAAGTTCATGATCCGTTCAGAAACGATGACAACAGTGGACTGACTGAAGTGTGGCTTGAGAACTTGAGAAACAACCAGGGCTACCAAGTGCTCTCAGTATCGGTCGGAGCCAACGCAGGAGATCTCTCCTCGATTGCCGACAAACCCGAGTGGTACTTCCAAGTTGGCGATTCGAACGGACAATCCGTCGCCGATCAGATTGCTTCCATTGTCTGCAACCTGCAAACTCCAGGAACTGCAGGCACCACGGTGGCTAACACCGGCTCAACTGTGACGCAGGGATCTTCGTCTGCAGCCAACACTGGATCTACAACCATTGGATCCTCAACTGCTGTGAACACAGCATCCTCGACAGTCGGATCATCTACTGCTGCCTACACCGGATCGACTACGCCTGCGCCATTGTCGTCAAGTACTGCTGTCAACACAGGGTCCACTACGATCGGATCATCTACAGTTGCTTACACAGGCTCAACCACAAGTGGGCCATCCACTGCAGCCTATACCGGATCTACTACGATTGGATCATCCACTGTTGCCAATACTGGCTCCACTACAATCGGATCGTCTACAGTTGCCAACACTGGATCGACTACGATTGGATCATCGACGGCAGCGAACACTGGTTCCACAACGATTGGATCTTCTACTGTAGCCAACACCGGGTCTACAACTGTCGGATCTTCAACAGCCTCATACACGGGCTCCAGTACTCTTGGGTCTTCGACAGTCGTCAATACTGGCTCAACTACAAGCGGACCGTCCACTGTAGCTTATACAGGATCCACAACAACTGTCGGAAACACTGGATCAACAACCATTGGATCCTCTACTGCTGTCAACACAGGGTCCACTACGATCGGATCGTCTACGGTTGCTAACACTGGATCAACGACGAGTGGGCCATCCACTGCAGCCTACACCGGATCTACAACAATTGGCTCTTCAACTGTCGCGAATACGGGATCAACCGCTGCTAACACTGGTTCCACAACCATCGGGTCTTCCACAGTAGCCAACACCGGCTCGACTACAAGTGGGCCATCGACCGTCGCTAACACTGGATCCACGACCGTAGGCTCGACAGTGACCGGAGGATCAACCACGATCGGATCATCCACAGTTGCCAACACTGGATCAACTACTAGCGGGCCATCCACTGTGCCCTATACCGGATCTACAACAATTGGCTCTTCAACAGTCGCGAATACGGGATCTACGACGATTGGATCATCGACGGCCGCTAACACTGGTTCCACGACAATCGGATCCTCTACGGTTGCTAACACTGGATCTTCGACAGTCGGAAACACCGGATCAACCACAATCGGATCATCCACTGTTGCTAATACTGGTTCGACTACGATCGGATCTTCTACGGCTGTCAACACCGGATCCACCAATTCCGTGGCCTCAACGTCCCCCGTTCCGACATGCACTTCTCCGTACCAAGGAAAGATTGCTGTTGTGTTCGAGTTGAACAAAAACGAAGCGGACCAGGTGAACTTTGAAACACTTTTTTCCAGCGATAACCCATGTTTTTCTTTCAGAGCGTTGTCAATTTCGTGAGAAACAACCTGTATAACTCTACAAACTACAACTTTGGAACCGATACCGAGGCGATCAGTGTGCCGTATCCAGGCACCGATACGACGTATGGAGAGACAATTCTGTTCTTTGATGACGATGCAAAGTGAGCATTTACTTTTTTTTTTGAAAGTATTTATAGAAGTTCTTAGGAGTTTGGCTGATTTGCAAACAAATATCGACAATCTACAAGCCTTGGTAACTGACAATGCGACTCCCGAAATATCAGAGTATGGCGCTAGTTATGAATCCATTTGAAACCTTTTATTTCAGCGGTCTTTCATGGCTATTCTCGGGCAGGGATACCGAAAAGACGAAAGCTGTTCTCATCGTTGTCGGAAATCAGTAAGAAATCTTCAATGTGTACCGTGAACTAAACTGTTTTCAGGGCCGACGACAATTCAGGCACCACTACTATGTGGCTTAAGAATTTGAGGAACACACAGGGCTACCAAGTGCTCTCAGTGTCCGTTGGAGCCAACGCAGGAGACCTCTCCTCGATTGCCGACAAACCCGAGTGGTACTTCCAAGTTGGCGACTCGAACGGACAATCCGTCGCCGATCAGATCTCTTTCATACTTTGTAACTTGTAAACTATCTCTTCTCCGATATTCATTTTCTCCCCAAGTCATGTTCAATTGCTCACCCGTTTCTTTCACATATGAATTTGTCTTTACTTGTCTCATAAACTATTTGAAGTCCATCCATACACGCGCGGTGTTCCCCTAGCGCAATGGAGCGCATTTGCACCTTTCCCAATTATCGTTGCGGCCGCTGGTTGCCAGGGCGATGGCAAGCGCACGCGGAGGGAAAGGAAACACACAAATCGAATACTCATTTGCCAAGGTTTTGCAATGGAACGCCCGTCAACTGCTTCTTCCCGTCCTCGGACTTCGACTGGACGTGCTCCTTCGGCGAGAGCAAGACCACCGTCGGCCATGAGGGGTAGGCTTCCGGCATCATTCAACTAGTAAACGAAGCGGTTTCAGCGTCGGCACCTCCGACCGATAGCCGTCCAACTTCTGTAATGTACACTGCGAACGGTGGACCTCCGTCTATGCAAGTACCGCCTTCGCGGAATGGAGGAATCCCAGTGCCGCCGTCGAGATCCGGAGGTCCGCCGGCGCCAATGCCCATGTCGAGAGCAGGAGGACCGCCGAGGGCTCCAACTTCTGTAAGACAACTAGTTTGTAGCCGAAGAAACCATAATTCCAGATGGGCGGTCGTCCGACTACTGGAATGGCTCGTCCGCCAACCACCGGTCTCCGGCCGGTAACTCAGCAAGGACTGAGAGCTCCGCCGTCGAGAATGGGGACTGGAAGTGAGGAAGCCTTCTTTCCAAACATGTTAATATTATCTTCTTTTTCAGATACCCGTCAAGTGTTCGACAAAACCTACTACATCGGAGTGTTGCGTGCGAAGCAGAACGCGATCAAAGTGGAGATCTCGCGGATGAAGGAGAAGAGGGATAAAGGGATGAAGGATCGGAATGAACTGCACGCCTACGAGTCGAGAGCATCGGCACAAGCGCAAGAGATCGGAGAGCTGCAGGGCAAGCTGCTGGATCTGAATAAGATTATGGAGAAGATCCATTTGAACGGAGACATGTCGGACATCGAGATGGAGGCGAGCAAGATGAAGGAAGAGGCGGATGCGATGCGATTGAGTGCCGATGAAGCGTTCAATGAGAGAAGGATCAAGGAGGAAGAGCTGAATCAACTGGAGGAGGAGCTCGAGGAGCAGAAGAAGCTGAACGATGCGGTGACACATGCGATGGATCCGCAGATGAAGGAGAAGTACGAGAACCTCAAGTCGGAGGCCGAACTTTTGCGGGAACGAGTGGTCAAGATGGAGGCGGATATCTATGATTTGGACGAACGGATCGCCAACTATGAGATGGAAATTCGTTCGAATCCACTCAAGAAACGGGCGGTCGCACTGCAAGACACTCTTGACGCACTGAAGAAGCAGGAGGAGAAACTGATGGCGGACATGCAGAGTGCTCTGACGCCGGAGGCTCGCAAGGAGAAGATGGTCGAGAATATGAAGCAGTTGAACGCGGATCTTGTGGTGATCGAGAAGCAGCACAAGGCCGTCAAGGACCAGATTTCGTTGGCGTCGGAGGAGTTGCACGAGTATGATTCTCAAGGAGAGGCGCAGATTAGTAAGTTTGCAGAATTATTATTAATCCGATTTGAATGACTGCTCTCAGTGGCCCATCACACCAAGTACTTGGAGCTGCTCTCGAAGAGCACAATGCTCGACGACACGACGGAGAACTATCCGCAACAGATTGTGCTCCTTCAGCAGGACATTGAAGAGTTCTCCGATGCGATCATTCTCAATTTGCGAAGGATTTCGGCGAATTTGAAGAAGGTGAACTTGGGCGATCAAATAACGGATTTGGACGAGCGGGGACTCAATTTGAAGACTGGCAATGTGGGAGAACTCAAAGAAAGTGAGCGCCCGAGCACTTTTCCGAGAATCTTTTTGATTTTTCCGAATTTCAGTGCACATTCGCCTGCAAGAAGAGCTAATTTCCACCGAGGATATGGAGTTCTCGTTGAATGAGGAGATTGATCATCTGGAAAGTGAGCAGAAGAATGTGGACGAGGAGTTGGCGGGTATTCAGAAGGACGTGAGCTCGGACGGCTACAGACAGGACCTGGAAGACCGCCAGAAGACGTTGGAGTCCGAAGCGCCGGTGTTGACGGACGAAATGCAAAGATTGGAAGCCAACGTGGCGACTCTGAGGAACGAATTGCACTCCGTTCCCGGATATGCACAGCAAAAAGTGATTCGGGACAAGTTGACGGCGGTCGAGAAGCGAGTTGCCGCCAAAACGCTCGACATGTCGCTGAGGAAGAACGAGGCGGACTATCAGCCGATTAAAGAACAGGTTCCAGACACTTTCTCTCTCAAAGTTTTCAAGATTTGGTTTGGTTTCAGGCACTCAAGCTGCAGGAGGAATACAACGAACTTCTTCTCGCCAATCCAGTGCAGAGATTTATTTGATTTCGGCTTTTTCCGCTTGTGTATAAAGTGCTACTAAAATCTGAAATTTCGGTGAACTTCCGGACAACCGTATTTAATTCAAGGCACACACCAGAATTTTTAAGCGAGTCCCGCCACGAAAAGTGAATCTCTCGATTTTCAGCGGAAGTTTTCGGTTTTTCGGTTTTTTTCTTCAAAACAATTTCGCGCTTTCTTAGTTTAACGATCAATTGATAGTAATTCAACTTTTACTGAAGATATGCTCACTTTTACACAATTTTTTCCTTCTTTTCAGTATTTTTACTGTTATTCTCGCCAAAAATCGCAAAAATTCGATTAAAACTGCTTCCACAAAAAATCAAACCATCTCTTTTTCTGAAGGTCATGTTTCCCTTTTTTTTACCGATCTTCATGATTGATAAGTGCGCCGAAAACAAGGCCATCCGCCAGTGAATGTTCCATTTTTGTCCGATTATCGAAGCATTTCCGTCGTCCGTCAATTTCAGTCTTTCTCCCCGCTTCTTCTTTTTTCTCGGCCGTTGTCCTGCGATGACGAAGAACGATGATAAAACTGTTGCAATATTTTGGTTTCTAACACAAAAGGGCGTTATCAATTGATTGTTTCAAGACGATTTCCCGCTTCGGTCCCCTGTGTCTCGCTTTCAGATATGGAATTCGCCGAAAAATTGCCGTTTGAACTCCGACGTTTTTCGACAGCAGAAAACGAAATTATAGGGTTCTGCACGCGTTTCCACTCGACAAAGTCAATTTTTGAACGAAAAAAGCTTGGTGCTTGAAGATTTGTTATTTTCTCAAAACCAACGGAAAAATATCGGAATAAAAACTTTTTTCTTCAAAACTAACTTTGAATTACAGCTCTCTGCCACATGCTCCGTCGTATTTCTCATCACCGATTCCGCGTGGAGAAGCGACAAAAAATCAGGCGCGTCGCGGTTATCGACCGCGACGCGCGCGCCATGTCTCTGCGTCTCACGGGCCCACGTGCTCTTTGGTGCCGTCAGCGAGAAGCCCAGTGAGCGGTGAGGCGCAGACAATCGAGAGAACATTCTGTCCGCCACCAGTCGCCCGGCAGTTGAGTATGACCACCAACGCCACTCGCAAAAACCTTTTCCTTCCGGTTTCCCTTCGAAAAACGCCAAAATCTGCCTGCTTTTCAAAAAATTCGTCCGGCTCGTGGAGTGCGTGGCCGTACTGACAAGCTCGCCTGTCTCTCGTCCGCCACGTCACACTGTTTTCTGCGTCTCTGCCGTCGCAACGCACTTTCTCGGCGGCGGCCGAGGTTCTGCACTCGGAGATTTCTCGGCCGCTGGCCGAATTACACCAGCCGAGTCCTAAACATTTCTGGCCTAAACCTCGTCGACTTTTCTCGATTTCCGCTTTATTTCCGCTCATGTTTCGCATAATTTTGATAATTTCTCGATTCAGACGTAATAATGATCGATTTTCATTCAGAACTTACTCAAAATGTCGTCAGTTTCGTCCGCCGAGCCAAACTTCAACCCTAGCTGGTGAGTTTCAAAATGAAAATAATTGAGTTACGTAATTATGCGATGAGTCATCGAAAGAAAAAAAACGGGCACAGAAAGTGCGATCGATTGCACTTCCATTTTTCATACCGAGAAATCCGAAAATAGCGTGTAATTATTTTCGCGTGCAGCTGAAAATTTTGGAATTATTCCAATAATTTTGGTCGAAAGAACGTGTACCAACATCGTCAAGTGATTCCAGGATGCGCCATAATGTTTCTGCCACTCGCGGCGGTCTCTCGTCTTCTGGAGGCAATCGTCTCGGTTCTGGTGCCGGCGGCGGTGGATCCGGCTTTGATGAAGGTGGCGAAGTGAGTACCAAACTATTGGGAAATCTTCTAACAACTATGGGAACGTGAATACTCGACGACATCCGAGAAATCTCAGCGATTTCGTCGAGAATTCCGTTCTTTCCCCTTCCTGCACTCGTTCATTGTCCATTCATTCCCATTGCCTGGTTGGTCCCGCTTTTTCTCTAACTCTCGTTTCCAACTCATCACCACACTTCATTTCTCCTCCTCCCTCCAAATCAGAAAAAAACTGGAATTTTTTGTGACAAAAACTGAAGCTTTACCTATTAGGATCACTCTTCTGCTCAAGCCGCTGCTGTCGCTCAGGCCGCCACGATCCTTTCGACGCCCATCATTTCGGACTATTCGTACACGCGCGAACGTCTTCTCGAGTTGGCGCCGACTGCATCCAAGATGCCGGAGGCGCTGCGCGATTCGCTGTTTTTCAACGAAAACAATCTACCGCTCGTGTCGACCACGCCGCTCACCGATCTTGAACAGGTAGGCTGAGTCATTTGATGCTAAAAATTGTTTTTCGAGTTCTGAAAAGCAAAAAAACGTGAAGCGAATCGCCCTCGGAGGGAGGAGGGCGCACATAAAGTATATTGTCGTCTTTAAACGGAACCTCTTCTTTTTCCCCTTTTCCCCTTACCCATTGATATTCTCCCCCTTCTCAGTTCTTCTCTCATTTTTCAATCAGTGTTGTCCAGTGCCTTTCTTTTTTTTCGCTGTGTAGTGACAATCAGAATTCGTATCGGCTGGCCACTTGGGCAAACACACACACACACAGACACCCACACAAAAAGAACGAAGACAAAAAGAAGAAAAGAAGAAGATTGAGTAGTTGGCGCTGGTTGGTAGTAGGCCCCGAGAAGGGAAATGAAGTACAGAAATGGACTTCGAAGAAGACGAAGCCAATGCATTATTGATCAGAGGCGGCCTGAGCCGTCCCCCTTTTCAATGTTTCGCTTTGAACATCTCACACCTACCTTTTATGTCTTTCTTCCTCTAAAATTATAGGTTTCACTGCACTACACAGCTCTCTTAAAGAATTGCTAGTGCCGCCGCTGAATTCTGGGAAACAAAATTTGTGAAAAATTAACTTTCTTTCAGTAATTTTTCAAAGTTTCAGCGTCTTCAACACAACGTGAACTCTTCGAAAGCGATGTCTCTGTTGTCTCACGCGGATCGCGCTTCTATCGCCGCCGGAGCCGCCTACGGAAGCGGTTACGGGGGCGGTGGCATCGCCGGAGTCGGAGCACTCCAGAACGGACAATCGCCGACCAATCGATGGACTCCGAAAGCGTCGTGGAGCAGTAAGGAGCATTTCAAACAGTTTTCCTACAATTTCCCCTTATTATTTTAGGCAAAACAACTCCAGATCGATCGCTGGGCGGCATGACTCCGCGTGGCGGCGGATCGGCCGGACGTGCCGGTGCGGGGACGTTCTTCTCGGCCGGAAGGGGCGGCGGACGAATCGGCGGCGATAACGGGTTTGGCGGATCGTCGGGTGGTGCACTGACGAACGACGAACCGTCTTCCGGAGTGTACACCCCCAAGTTTGGTGGCCTTCGTCGCGGAGGCGGCGCGGGAGGCGTCGGACGTGGTGGCAGCACTGCCGGCGCGTCATTCAACACGAGAGCCGACGCATTGTACAACCCGAACGATCCAACTGGTAACAGTGAAAAGAATTTCCAAATTTTTAATTCTCTTTTTCCAGATCGTCCAAAGGCTGTGAACACTTCGGTGACTCGCAGTGAGAGCGACGGCGAGGAGGAGGAAGGCTGGTCGAAGGTGGGCGCCGCTCCCCGCCACAGCAGCTCCACGACGTCGACGGAACGTCCTGCGTGGGCGCGCTCCGAATCGTGGATCCAGCGGGCGCAGCAGCAACAACAGCAGCAGGCGGCGGCTCAACAACAGCAGCAGCCTCCGATCAGCCACTGGAACAACCGGGATGCGACCGGAGGCGCCGATTCGGCCGCGTGGAGGGATAGGAATCAGATGGTTGCGGCCGCGAATGTGAAGAAGAATTCCATCGAGCATCCGCCCGCTCAACAGCAGCCGCCGCAGCAACCGCCGGCGCCGACGTCTTCCGGGTCTGCAGAAAGAGAGGTGACGGACATTCCGATGCCCGCCTACACTCCGAACGCGACGACGTGGTCGAACAACGGGTTGGGCGGTGGAATGGGAGTGTTCTATCAACCGCCAGTGCAGCAACATCAGCCAGCTCCGCAGCCACCGCCGCCAGCGCCTGCCGCGGAGGAGGTCATCGAATTCTACTATCTCGATCCGGAGGGAGTCCGTCGGGGACCGTTTGCGAAGGAGCAGATGGTTGTGTGGTTCAAAGCGGGATACTTTACGGATGAAGCTCTGAAAATCCTTAAAGGAGACAAGGGAGAGTACAAAACTATCGGTAAACTTTTAAAAAAGTTATATTCATTATATGGATTTTCAGGCGAGCTCAAAAAGCTAAACGGACTGCAGACGCCGTTCGATTATCCGGAGGACGAAAAGAAGCAGGCGGCTCCGATTCCGCCGATTCCACCGGTAGCTCCAACCCCAGCACCATCCATGGCTCCGTTCCCGTCGGCGGTCGCGAATCCAATGTACCAGCAACAGCAGCCGCAGCAACAGTTCGGATCCATCGGAATGTGGTCGCAGCCTCCTGACATGTTTACAATGATTCAATCGACGTTCGAGCAACAGATGATTGCCGAGAGACAGCGGCTGATGGATGAGCACAACCGACGGCTCGCGGAAGAGGCCAAGAAGATGGCCGAATTCCAGGAAGCCATGTACAGACAGATGACTATCCAGCAGGAGATGACCCAGCAACAGCTTCGGGAGCAGGAACTCGCTTTGCAACGACACCGCGAAGAGCTGGAGAGACGAGATGCGGAGCTGAAGCAGGAGGCGCTGGCTAGACAGCAGAAGATGGAGTCGGAAGCGAGAGAACTCGAGGAGAGGAAGGCGGCCATCGAAGCCGAGGAACGTCGGAAGCACCAGGCGGAAGAGATGATGAAGCTGAAAGAAGAGGAGGCCAAAAGGCTGACGCAGGAGAATACCGAACGGACGAGACGAGCCGAGGAAGCGGCCGAGCGGGAGAGAAAGCGATTGGAAGTGGAATCTCGCCAGGCGGAGGAGGTTATCAGACAGAAGCTCCGCACGGAACGCGAGAATCGGGAGAGAGAAGATGCCCGCAGACAGATGGAAGAGCGCGAGAAACTGGCCAAGGAGGCGGCTGCGAAGTTACAGGCCGCCAAACAGCAGGCCGAACTAGAAGCAACCTGGGCTGCGAAAAGGACAACGACTGTGAGCACGGCTTCAGCTGCGACTGCTGTTGCCCCAGCGACTGGAGGTCCGAAACAGATTTCGCCGAGTGGAAGCAATGACTCCTCCGAGGGATGGACTGCCATCTCGAAGGAGTCGAAGCACACGAAGGCAGCTCCGTGGGCGGCGAAAGTTGAGGTTGTTGCGAAGTCCGATAAGACGCTTCTCGAGATTCAGCGAGAGGAGGAGCGGCAGATGAAGGCCGAACGGGAGCTGCTGGCGAAGCAAAAGGCAAAGGAACAGGTCTCAAATCTGGGATCGGCTGTGGTCGAGAAGGAGAAGAGCAGCGCTTCGTGGGGAACCAAGACTTGGGCGGCTCCGGAGCAAAACACCTCTTCGAAAAACTTCGTGTCGCCGTTCTTTGACGGACCGTCTTTGGAGGCTGCCAACAAGGTAACCATATTACTGTTGCATAAATATACCAATTTTTGCAGATGGCTCTTCAGAAGAAGAACTCGCAATCAAAGGTCGTAACTCCCGCTAAGCCTGCTCCGGCTGTTTCGGCTGCCAAGAGCAAGCAGGCCACGACTTCATCTGCGAAGGCTGCGCCTCCAAGTGCGAGCCAGAAGAAGACGAAGCAGGAGATTGCTTCGGAAGAGCTCGAGAACTGGTTCATCAAGCGATTCCATCAGTTCAACGCTGAAATCGACGCGCAAACTCTGCTCGCAGCCATCATTCACACCGAGAACCCCAATGAGGTTGGTTTCACTTTCGAAGTTATATTATTAACTTAATAATGACGCGCGTTTTGCATTCCATATCGACCGTTTAACTTCTAGTTCTCATTTTGAATTTCCTGCTCTAATTTGCGCACTCTTATTATCCCATTCACAATATTAATTCCGTCGAATGCTCATAAACTGCGCAATTTCATTACATCTTTGTGCAATATATAATTTTTGTTCCCCGTCCACACATCTTCTGCTCATTCGTCACCCTTTCCGTTGTTTTTTTCGTCTAGACGGACGTTCGATTCTCAGTAGAAGGATTAGAGAGCCGATCTTTGAAAAATCTCGTGTCTGTGTCCTTCTAAAATTGGATTCTTCCCGGAGTCTGTCTATTGTTCTCTGAAAAAAGAGAGTAATTTCTGTGGAAACACGGAAAACTCCTGAAAATGCGTATTCAAAGAGCACTTTTCCACTTGGATCCCTCCCGATGTTTTAGTACATGAAAGGGCAGGGAAAGAGGGAGACCACCGAAAAGTGCATGTTATTGAGGACTTTGTGGTGGTCGTCTCTTCTTCGTTTTCCCCTTTTCAGTCCGTCTCTTCTCCCTTTTCACCTTTCTGACCAACTATACTTTTCGCTATTTTTAGCGATTCGTCTCGCGCGAAAAAAAATTGAGCCTCAATTTGGGCGCCGATTGAAAAGAGGAAAAAGAAGTTATATAGCTTGTAACAATAATCACATGGCACATAAACACGCTCTCCTCCTTCTCCTCGTCTCTTATGCACATGTGGATGACTAAGCGGAGAGCGAGACGGACGGGATCACGAGATGAAGCTGAAATTGAAAATAGAGTTCTCGCCCCGTCTCTCACGCTACTATACGAATGGAGGAAATGTGTCATTGTTGTTATTACTATGGATAGACGGGAAGATGGCAAAAATAGAACGGAAAAGTCAGATGACTGGATGATTTTGGACGCCGATTTTTTTGCTTTGTCTTGTGCTCTTTTCTCAGGCCCAATTTGTTTTTATGTCTAGACATTCGGCTGAGAAGAGAGAAGTTTGACTAATGGAAGGGTCTGTGGCCTTTTGCGTAGACTTTAGAAAAGAGCAAATCCTTCCAAGAAAACGGCTAACCTTTCTGGTGAAATGCTCGATGATCTGTGAGAGTTCCGTATATTCCTATCGAATTCCATAACGTTTTTCTGATTCTTCCAAGTCCTTAAAGTTTCAGAGAACTTCAAAGCGTCAATACGATGTATGTAATAGTAGACTTCAGGTTTTTGTCTGAAAGAACTCCTTCAGTAGTTTTTGTGCCTTTCTGATCCTAGGAATGTCCGAATGGCTTCTGTCTCTCCAGGATTTCCAAATTTAGACGCTCTTTGGTTTGCTTATTTTCAATGTCTGCTGTTCTTGTCCTAAATGCGCACCAGCTCTGCCTGAAAGCCGCATTCCCCCAATTTTCATCTCATTTCTTCCGCGGAGACCGAGCGGATTTGGCCAACCAGGTTAAAAGTGGAGCTATACGAAAAAGCGAAAAGAAAAAAGCTCTCGAGATTTTCAAGCCGATTATCGTAGACGCTTAGTCATCAGAAGCGCGTGTTTTCTCATTTTCAGTTCAGTTCTTAGCTGCTATCCGCTTCCGCGATACATTTTTAGGCTTAATTTCGCTATTCGGTTTGAGCGAATAATATAAAAATGGGCGGAACTGAATTTGAAAATGAGGAAGAGGGTGGTCTAAAAATAGGGTTCGTCAGTCGCTTTTTCCGCGGCGCCCTCCGCTTGTTTTCGATGCCAACAGCCCCACAAGGAGACACTCTCCAACCACTCGGCGCCGTCCAGTAACACTCAGAGTACTAGTAGTGGTCGGCGTCGGAGAGCCGGCCAATTCGTACAAATGTTGTGTGTTTCTGCTCACTCCTCGCCTCCCATTCCGTCGTTTTTTTGCTGCTGCTGGAGCCAACGAGGGTGCCTTTTCATTTATTGGTTCTCCCTCTCGCCGTCCTTTCTCTCGTCCTCCCGCTGCCGCCGCTCGTTTTGTCTATTTTTGGACTCCCCTTTTGCAAACAAGAGTCTTCCGCAATGCAACGGGAATAGAATGCCATTCCCCCCTTCGATTCGCCCCTATTTCATCCTCTTCGATGATACCATTCATCCACAATGGTACTTGTTGTTTGTCGGTCGTCTCTAGTTTTCATTTTATTTTATTAGAAGTGCGTTCACGACAAAGTTGTGCTTGCCATTCTTAAATTGTCTAGTCGTGTTTTCCTCAAGTGCCCCACACGTTCTGAGAACATTTGTACGAAAGCGCACTGTTATTTAGATGAACAGACGTCTTCCGAGAATCTCTCTTGTATATCTACAGTAATGCGCCGAATAACAGGAATGTAGGCACTTTTCATAGTTTATGTGCCTTTCTGATCCTCTGAATGTCCGAATGGCTTCGTTCTCGCTGTCGGATTTCCGAATTTAGACGCTCTTTGGTTTGCTCTTTCTCAATGTTCGAAGTTCTCTTCGATGTGTCCACCCACCGACTAATTTTATCAGTATCAGTAAACAATTCTGTCGGTTTCATTTGCTCACAAATCCCCGCCGCTTCCTCTTTCATAGTATTGCCTACGTGTAGAACTTCGCCGTTCTTGTTTGCAAATCAGCGCGCTAGATTATTGGAAAGTGAGCTCTGGTGCCGGCCGTGTTCAGTTGTTAACACTAATCGCCGAATTAGAATCCTAATTGAATGGCTAGACTGAAAACACAAGATTATAAAGTCGATTCGCGGAAAAACGGAGAAAGAAGTGGCTGATATTTGATTTATATTTACTCAATTCGGTTCTTGGTATGCGCAAAAGTGCGAACTAAGAGAGAATGTGTCCGATTTCTAATGTACAGTAGTCTCTAGTCACCACGAGTTGCACTGAGGCCTATAAACTACAGAAAATCAAGAGAACGGGCCCACGCGTCTCGTGCTGCTCAGAGCCTATCACGTGTAATTACTCTTCTCAATCTCATGTTCTCACTCGGCATTTTCTCGATCAGCGAGTCCAAAACAGCCTATAATTTTCGCCTCACTCGCCTCTATTTCTGGTCAATTCTGGCTCAGCGTCACTTTCAACTTTGATTTCCTGTTGAATATATTTCGAAATTGGAGCGGTGCCTATTTTTAGCGCGTTTCATGACCTCTTCCGTGGTGATAGTCATCGCTAGAAAGGTAGTCGGACGGGTAAAAATAGACGCGGTTCTATTGACTGACCGTTTCCTTTTTCCCTATCCAGAGACGAGTAATTCATGATGATAGACGTTCTATTTCGGGATTTCTCGCACGGATTCGTTTCAGCTTATCACTGAAAACGAAGCGAGTGGGAGAGAATTATCAGTGGAATATTTTGAGGAATATTTTTAGAATGGACGTGAAGACGGAAAAAAAAATGATAAAGTGACCTATTTTGGGATAAAAAGACGGTCGTTTCTTGTTCTTTGTCATTCGCTAATCAATTCTTTCCTATCACTCTGTCCTCAGAATATAAAAATACAATAATTTCAGGTCGAAGACATCGTCATGTCGTACTTGGAGGAATCGAAGACTGTTAAGGAGTTCGTCCGCGAATTCATCAAGAGACGCATCGCCATGCGCGCTGCCGGAGGTCGTCCGGATGTGGATGTAAGCAGTCGAGTTCAGCTCTCTCGAGCACACGTTACTTTTTTTGCAGGATCTGACTTCGGCCCGCACCGCTTCGGCTGCTCCGTCCGACTCCAACTCGGGCTCCAACTCCAACTCTGGCAACGGACAAGGAAAGAAGAAGAAGAAGGTACTGTAACCCACGAAGCTCATTTCCAACTCGAACTTTACCTTTTTCAGAACCAGAAGCAAGTGCTCGACGGCAACATTCTGGGATTCCGTGGCGCCGCCGCTTCGGATCGTCTCAACAAGGGCGAGATCGACGCGGTGCCGACGACTCCGGTCAACCCGTCGCGCCGTTAAATCTCTTCTTCTCCCTAATTTCCGCCGCGTTCTTCCCTTCCTTTTCCCCTGTTTCTCTGCCTTTTCTTTCCCATCCCATTCCGTCCCCGTTTCCATCGTAACTTATGATTTCATTTAGCAGCATTGTGAACGAAATTGCAGATAGTTCTGAAATAGTGACTCGTTAAGAATTGCTGTCATTTTGCTCTAAATGCTCCATCTTCTGGGTTAATTTTTTCTCAATCTCCGCAATGCGTGTAGTCGTTCCTTCTGTTCATCGTATGCTTTTTCTGTCCTCAGTTCCTCCAACCATTTCAGCCCCGTTTCCCGTTAGATTCCGATTTTCGCCCCGAACATTAATTGGCTTCATATGCTATTCCTCCTCTTATCTAGTGATTTCATATCTGTTTTGTGTTGGTTTTTCGGTCGCCATTCTCTCGCAAATATAATGATTCGCGAAAATCACCGGCCGACTTAACACTCACTATTCTGTTGTTTTCTTGCTCTTTCTTGGTTAATTTCTTATACTATTTTGCTTCTCCTCTCTCTCTCTCTCTCGGCTATCCGAAGACGTCCCTTCCCCCCTATCTTCAGCTATTTTTCATGTTATCATTCAGCTCTCTATCCGTTCCCTTTTCGATCAGTCTCTCTGTCCCCCCTATCTATCCTGTTCCGCTCGCCAAACTTTTGCCTCTTCCACTCGGCCCCGGGGCTCTTCTCCAGAGCTCTCTTTTGCCTTCTTGTTGCCCAGTGAAATTGTGCAAAAGTTGATATCGACAAAGTTTCGTTGTGTTTTTCTTGTATCAATCTTTGGCGATGCAGAAACATGAATTGTTGTCGTTTTATTCGCGAGATCCGAACTTGTCAGTGTTTTGTCTAATTTTAAAATTCAGAATTTAGAATTTCGTGGCAGGACCCACTCGTCGCACCTCGCCCACCCGCGCCAAAAACGGGAAAGGAAGATTGGAGAGAAGGACGAAAACGGCGACGCAGAGGTAGAATCGCGACCATTCGGCGTGCGTGTTGTTCGGGCAAACGATGCCGATGACGATGGGAAGCACGAAGGCGGCGAGCCAGGAGCTCATCGAAATCACCGCCATTATCAGCGACAAGTGCTCTTTGGCCACCTGGAAGTGAGCAAAAATTGGAGAGCAGTTTGAATGGGAACTCACAATTTGTGCGCATTTGACCATTCCAATCACGTTAAGACCGGCCAAAACGACGGAAACCGTGTAGGCGAGCTGCGCGACGATGACGTCGTTTGTCTGAAAATCGGAAAGTTCTGGAAAGAGCTGGAATGGATGGGCTCACGAATGACATGACGAGGAAGCCGGCGGCCATCGTTATCTGCGGGATCAACGCGAAAATTATGAGACGGGTCTGGAAGGGGGGGGGGAATTGAAAAGAAAAAAGGAGAAGAGATTTTTGATCGGCAAAACGTACCCTTTCGGGAATATGGGCCATCCGGTCGGTGACTGGTCCCGCAGCGAACTTGACAATAGCGGCGAAGAAGTAGGGGATCGCATTCGAGTAGCCCGTTTCGCGAATGTTCAGGCCGAGCACCTGGAAATTATATTTTTGTTGATGAACGTTCACAAGTTTTTCTCGAGTTAGAACCGGTTTTTTTTACAAAACCCGTCATTCAAATCGATGTATCTCTGCTGCCGATGGAGATATCAAAAAGTTGTCAACTGATGAAATGTACACAATTTCTTGTTGAACACTTTGTCAGTTGACAATTTTTTGATATCTTTAACGGTAGCTGAGATATTTTTCAGCGTGCCTTCTCACCTTGTTCAGATAAATGGGACCATAGTTGTTGAGGCAAATGACAGCGGCGCTCCCTCCGATTATCTGAAATCATCTTTCGTTTTTCGCTTCCTTCCGAATTTCCCTCTCAACTCACCGCAAACGTAATCTCGAGCACTTCCCAATCGCTGAAAATGCGCGAGAAGCGGACTTTGACGAGAGCCCTCGAAGTGCTCGGTTTTCCGTCCCGAATCTTCTTGAGTTCTTTGCTGCTCACATGTCTGTGATTTTCCGGTGAATCTCGATAATAACAGTAGAAAAGAGCATATAGAACTGCAGTGATCGCTCCGAAAATGTAGTAAATGGATCGCCAGCCCAGGGTCGATTCGCAGAGAAGCCCCGCCGAGGGCATCGTGACGATGTTGCTGATCTGAAAGGCCGACGACAGAAATGCCACGTAGGTTCCGATCTCGGCAATCGGACTCCATGATTCGGAGACGGTTCCGATGGACGAATAGAGCACGGAGGCGCCGATTCCCTGCAAGAACCGGGCGACGAGCACCGGAATCTGGCCGCAAGCCACCGAGAACGGCATGAGCAGAGTGCCGCCCGCCGAGAGCAACCCATAAATCGTGAGCACTCTTCTGAAAATCAGAGAATCATCATCGCTTCCAGAAGCCTCATGGCCTACCGTATTCCATATTTCGAAATCAGAGTCACTGCGGGCACGGTGCCGAAGATCGCGCCGATCGCAGCGGCGGAGAACGTCAGCGAGATGTCCGAGGACTTTTCAAGCCAATCTGAAACAGAATATCCGAAATGGTACCAAATTTCCAGACGTACGTGTAGAATTTCCATCTGTTTTCTGTTCGACAATCACGTCATTCATGCAAATCACGGTGAAATTCATCAGAATCATGTTGGCATTCGTGCATGTGATACACACTAATCTGCAAGGAAAGGTCACATAACAAGTCGTCACAAACAGAGTGTCCAACTAGTGGAACCGGAAAGAAATCGACTCTGCTACCGTTTCCAGAACTTTTCTTAAAAGTGTGCTCACCAACATTTCCGTTTTTCACCCTTACTGTTCATAAACTCGCTCCTAACTCGAGAAATCAGAATTTTCGTGTAAAATTGTCAACTACAAAGTTGTAGAGCACAAAATTTCCCACAACTTTTCAGTTGACCTCTTTTCAAAAAACCAATTGATTCTTGAGATATTCTTAAAGATATACTCACCCAAAAAGACAAATCAAGAACCGCGTCCTGTCCCAGCATTTCCAGGACTCCTTCTCCTTCTGTGCCACGTCTCCAGTCTGAAATTCAATTTTTCTTGAAGCAACCGATATTTAGAACAATTTGACCTCGAAATCGGTTTGTTTGTAGTCGAAACTCATCTATTTGTGCTCTCTCTCTCTCTCTCTCTCTCTCTCTTGACAGGCGATTCACGGTCGGAACACTGGAACACTAGAAACTGAGAAACGAATGAAAAAGAGAGAGAAGAAGAAGAAGAAAGAGTAAAAGATAAAGATGATATTGTTGATTCGGAGTGTGATCGTCGATTGATAAGACGGCCAAATTTCGGGTACACTCTGAGAACTTGAAAACGAAAGTGAAAGTGAAAAGTGTGATCATGTGTGACGTTTCAATTTGATATCTGATAACTTGATACAGTACCCCCGACGACACTAAAGTTGAAAAACAACGAAAATGATTGATGGCGGGCTGAAAAAGTGAAGAGTGTTCGACAAACTGGCTTCGAGAAAGGGGCGGTCACTTTTTTGAAGAAACTAGAAAGTCTAGAGAAGATTCTGGAAATGGGATGACTCAAATGACACTGAAAGACCGAGTATGGCTCAAAATATCTCAATGTTTCAAATCTAAGCGAAGCTATCCTGCTGAAACTCGCGAAAATCACAGTCTAGCTCCTTTTTATACTAGAACTCGTATCTTTCTGGTCGAACTCTCACTCCCTCTCGCAAGTTCATCGACTAATCCGGCGTCCGTTTGCACCGAATAAGCTCCTGAAGTTATGTGCATACCAAATCAACCACTTCCACATGTTTTCCATCCTCTTCCCCTTGTTTTCCACGATTCGCCTCCCCCCCTCCTCAATTTGCATACCATCGTAAACAGAAGAATGCGGTTTCGAAACTTTGGGCGAGTTCACCAAAAAGTGATCGAAATGATCGAAGATAGAAGAGATAAAAGGAGGAGATCAAAGTGTACGGACGGACAGACGGACGGACGGGCTCCAGAGTGCCAGGTGTCAGGTTTGGAGCACAAAAAGAGCAAACAACGGAGGGGGAAAGGAGGAGGAGGCGACAAAACAATGGACAATCGGAGAGCAACGGACGACCGATTGGGTTTCTCGAGAAAAGACATTCCTGAAACTATTCGCAACCATGAGATTACCGTTCATCCTCTTCTTTGCCCTCTTCCCGTTTCCCGCCTACGCATTCATTGTCGGCGGGTGCATTGGTCCCAAGTCGGTGCTCGAGAGGTTTTTGAACGATAAGCAGAAGACGGAATTGAGGAAGTTGGTGCATAACAAGTTCGACGGATCCAATGCTGAACAGGTGAGTTCGAACATTACTAATATGTTCAGTTTTTTTCGTTTCAAATAAATCAACATTGCAAAGTTAGGGTCCGATTTAATGATAGACAATAGCTAGTGGGTTCAATGCACCATAATTGCTCCAGATTCTCGAAGAAACGAATCGATATGTTTACGGCCACGTCACCGAAGAGCAATGGCACTCCATTGTCCCCGAACTCGCGGAATATCAAGCCAAGAAGCACGAGTGCTCAGTTTACGCCCAACTTTTACCCAAACAACTCTACCAACAGCTTCTGGTACGGTTTCTGTACAACATTTGCACGTGTTTCGACCCTTTTTGTTCTAGAAATCAGTGCTTAGAGCTTCCGAGATGGGCGCTTCGAAGTACGACGTCAAACGGCTCGTTGACGACTATGTGGAGCGGCTCGCCAAGAATGGAGTACTTCCGGATGTGATGGATAAGACACCTACAGTAATCCTCCGCGTATTTTCAGTCTATATGACTCTTTCTCTTCCAGATGCCACGTGTCACACTTCCAGAATCCGAAATCGCATCGCAAAGTTACCGGAAATACCCGAAAAAGCCAAAGATGCCACAAACAAACAAAAATAACGGAAGGGGTGTCATGTAAGTGACAAATTATGTTTCATTTTTCATAAAAATGACTTTTCCAGTCATCCAACATTGATTGGATATCCAGAAGGTCAGAGAAGACCGAATAACCGAGAGGGAAAGAAGATAAACGGGCAGAATATGGGCAAGAACTCGGGCAGAATGGGCGGAGTCCTGCCGGATAATCTGGGCATTCCAATGTTCCCGATTGCCAGACCGTAAGCGCACACGTCCAACTGATACAGTAATCTGTTTCTTTAGAACATCATTCGACCTTGGTGAGTTTATGGAACGAGGCTCCAACAACGGAAGAGCCAACCATCGAACACCGCAGAACTTCCGACGATTCCCGGAGCATGAGTGTGACTACTACGCAGGACCCTGCTCCACGTCATTCTAGGGATACTGTAGGACTAGCGCATATTATCGTTCAAATTACGTGTATCTCATCGAGGGTGCCTTCAATTCCGCCTTTTCCTTTTGCTTTGCTTCGCTTTATTGAACTCCAATGAACTTAACAGATTGCTCACAAGTTACAAAGTATGAAAGAGATCTGATCGGCGACGGATTGTCCGTTCGAATCGCCAACTTGGAAGTACCACTCGGGTTTGTCGGCAATCGAGGAGAGGTCTCCTGCGTTGGCTCCAACGGACACTGAGAGCACTTGGTAGCCCTGTGTGCTCCTCAAATAGAGTAGCCACATAGTAGTGGTGCCTGAATTGTCGTCGGCCCTGAAAACAGTTTAGTTCACGGTACACATTGAAGATTTCTTACTGATTTCCGACAACGATGAGAACAGCTTTCGTCTTTTCGGTATTCCTGTCCGAGAATAGCCATGAAAGACCGCTGAAATAAAAGGTTTCAAATGGATTCATAACTAGCGCCATACTCTGATATTTCGGGAGTCGCATTGTCAGTTACCAAGGCTTGTAGATTGTCGATATTTGTTTGCAAATCAGCCAAACTCCTAAGAACTTCTATAAATACTTTCAAAAAAAAAAGTAAATGCTCACTTTGCATTGTCATCAAAGAACAGAATTTTGTCTCCATACGTCGTATCGGTGCCTGGATACGGCACACTGATCGCCTCGGTATCGGTTTCAAAGTTGTAGTTTGTAGAGTTATACAGGTTGTTTCTCACGAAATTGACAACGCTCTGAAAGAAAAACATGGGTTATCACTGGAAAAAAAGTATTTCAAAGTTCACCTGATCCGCTTCGTTTTTGTTCAACTCGAACACAACAGCAATCTTTCCTTGGTACGGAGAAGCACAAACTGGAATCGGAGAAGTTGTTGGACAATTGAACCCCGGGCTCAAGTTCGCCAAACTTTGGGCAATTTGATCGGCAATTTGTTGTGAGTACCCATTGAAATAGTAACCAGCCCCTGGAAAACGTTTTCAATCAAAAAGCGATGGAACATTAAAATGATACCGGAGGAAAGTGGCGATAAATCCACTGCATTGTAGCCTAGAGACACAGTGAATATCTTGAATGACTTTTTCAAGTCTTCCGAGAGATCGAGGGCAGATTGATCGAGCATAGCTTTGCTGTTTCCGACAATGACGAGAGCTGATGGGGTAGTTCCGGATGGAAGTTGAGTTGCCACAAAGAGCAGAGCACTGGAGTCACAATACCTGTTCATCATCGAAATCTTAGACTAACCTGGTGAGATCACTTGTAACCGTAACCGGCTGAATGTTTTCATTGAACGTGTCCACTTGATTTTTGAACTCTACAATACTTCTGGCACTTCCATACCCTTGCACATTGTACTGAAAAGTTGAAGGATAAGGGATGGCAGTGACAAGAGTTCTGTTCTCTCCGGTCAACGCGTCCGGCGCCAATCCGTAGAAATTGGAGTTTAGGAGAATGTTCTCCACGAATGCGTTGATCGTATCTTGCTGAGTGGAAGACGTCGACGGCAGCAGCTCGAAGATCACTCCGAGCTGACCACGGAAGACTACTTGTTGATTGGAACATGCTGGAACTTTGAGGTTAGGTACCGAACTAGAATTCTAAGCGCCCGGGTGCTTCTGGATGGTGTTTTATGTTAGTTGAGGTGGAATGAGCGGGCTGTCTTCTCTTATCACTTCATTTCGATCGATCACAAATGTAAACAGAATTGTTAAAAGTTACAAATAATGCGTGCAATCTGATCGGCGACGGATTGTCCGTTCGAATCGCCAACTTGGAAGTACCACTCGGGTTTGTCGGCAATCGAGGAGAGATCTCCTGCGTTGGCTCCAATCGATACTGAGAGCACTTTGTAGCCCTGGTCGTTCCTTAATTGCTCAAGCCACACTTCAGTCAGTCCACTGTTGTCATCGTTTCTGAACGGATCATGAACTTTGCGATGTATCAAATGCACACTGTGACTCTTACTGATTTCCAACAACAATAAGCACATTGTTCGAGGCACCTGGAGGACTGCTGCTTGTGAAAAGGAACTTGAGACCGCTGAAACGAATATTGTAGTGTTCCATTGTTACACATTGTTGACTCACTCAGACACCGTCGCCGTTGTGTCCAGAAGTGCATTGTCGTACAACAAATCAATGTTGGTTTGAAGAGCATTCAAGGATTTCGCAAATGTAAATTGAAGAATCATCGACGCATAGAAATCGGTGTTGCCGTACGGAACATTGATGGCGTGTGTCGTCGTTGTGAAGTCATAGTTTGAAGAGTTGTACAGATTGGTGCTCACGAAGGTGACAACGTCCTGGAAACATACAATACTTCTGAAATTAGAGAATCACTTACTTGAATTGGTGCGTTGACTGCGTTCAATTCGAAGACAACTGCAATCTTTCCGGCGAACGGAGATGCACACGCTGGCAGGGTCGTGGAACCGGTCGGTGTGGCAGTGGTTACGGTAGTCGTAGAGGACGGAACTGGCGGTGGACAGTAGACGACTGGATTAGAAGCCTCCAAACTCTGAGCAATCTGATTGGCAGTCTGCTGAGAAGTATCCGTAAATGAGAATCCGGCACCGGAAGAGAGTGGCGACAAGTCGACGTCTCCGATCGAAATCGTGTAGATACTGTAAAAGATCTTCAGATCATCCGCCAACGGAGAAGCTCCGTTGTCAAGCATCGCTTTGCTGCTTCCGACAATGATCAAAGCAGATGGGGTATTTCCTGGGGCGGACAAGTTGAAAGCGACGTACAAGAGAGCACTGAAACAAGTGATTTGTCGGGGGATCTAGAGAAAAAGAAAAAAAAAGGCTCACTCGGAAATGTCACTGGTGGCTGTGACTGGCTTAATAACTCCATTGAACGCATCCACTTGGCTCTTGAACTCAGATACACTTCTCGCACTTCCAAACCCTTGCACGTTGTATTGTGAAGTGGACGGATACGGTATTGAAGTAACGAGAGTTCTATTCGCGCCCGTCAAGTTATCCACCGCCAATCCGTAGAAGTTGGAGTTTAGGAGAATGTTCTCCACGAATGCGTTGATCGTATCTTGCTGAGTGGAAGACGTCGACGGCAGCAGCTCGAAGATCACTCCGAGCTGACCACGGAAGACTACTTGTTGATTGGAACATGCTGGAACTTTGAGGTTAGGTACCGAACTAGAATTCTAAGCGCCCGGGTGCTTCTGGATGGTGTTTTATGTTAGTTGAGGTGGAATGAGCGGGCTGTCTTCTCTTATCACTTCATTTTGATCGATCACAAATGTAAACAGAATTGTTAAAAGTTACAAATAATGCGTGCAATCTGATCGGCGACGGATTGTCCGTTCGAATTGCCAACTTCAAAGTACCACTCGGGTTTGTCGGCAATCGAGGAGAGGTCTCCTGCGTTGGCTCCAATCGATACTGAGAGCACTTTGTAGCCCTGGTCGTTCCTTAATTGCTCAAGGAACATTTGAGTTGTATCACTATCATAATCGTTTCTGAAATCATCATGAACTGTGCGGTTTTCAAATAAAATATGATTCTTACTGATTTCCGACAACAATGAGCACATTCTTCGAGACACCCGGAGGTCTGTCATGGAACAGAAAAAAGAGACCACTGAAACTGTCACATTGTAGCATTGTAAACATTGTTGACTTACTCGGATACATTCGAAGTTGTGTCCGGAAGCGCATTGTTGTTCATCAAATCAATGTTGCTCTGAAGATCGTCCAAAGATTTCGCAAATGTAAATTGAAGAATCATCGACGCATAGAAATCGGTGTTGCCGTACGGAACATTGATGGCGTGTGTCGACGTTGTGAAGTCATAGTTTGGAGAGTTGTACAGATTGGTGCTCACGAAGGTGACAACGTCCTGGAAACATACAATACTTCTGAAATTAGAGAATCACTTACTTGAATTTGTGCGTTGACTGCGTTCAATTCGAAGACAACTGCAATCTTTCCGGCGAACGGAGATGCACACGCTGGCAGGGAAGTTGTTGGAGCTGGGACCGGGACCGTCGACGCTGGAACTTTGAACGGTTAGACACTGAGCTAGAATTTGTGGGGCCTGGGCGCTTCTGGATGGCATTTTGTGTTAATGAATGGATCTGGCCGGTGTGCTGAAAGATGATTTGTCTTATCACTACTTCATTCTCATCAATCATCAACGCAAACACAACTATCACAAGTTACAAATGATGCGTGAAATCTGCTCGGCGACCCATTCGCCGTTCGAGTCCGTCGCCTTGAAATACCAGTCCTCGCTCTCGGCCAACGCCTTCAATCCACTCCAGTTCGGTCCGATTGAGACGACGAGCGATCGGAATCCGTACTTGAGCTGGAGACGGTGCAGGTAGTACGTGGAACTGCCGTCGTTCACGTAGAAATCACTGAGATGTACTTGGAGGCAGCAGGTCGGTTTGAACAGAACTTACTCGATACCCACTGTTATCAGCACGTTCGTGGCACCATTTCCAGGGTCACGCTCCTCGTAAATGTACTCGTAACCTCTGAGATTCGGGTAACAGGTCAAAGTGTCAACTTTCACTAATACCTGGCAATCTTAGCATCGGTATACGCTGTTTCGACCTCACTATCCAGTTGATCAATGTTGATCGCCAATAGTTCCACATTCCTGAACGTTTCTGAATCAAACCTAGCTCTATATAAACCCACGTGGCATCCGGATAGTGCAAAATGTAATTTGCATAGACTCCCGAATCCGGATACGGTACATTTATAGCCTGAGTGGTGCCGTCCTCAAACTTGTAATTTGTCGAATTGTACAGATACGTCTGGATAAAGTGCATGATTTTCTTAGTCCTTTCCAGCGTTGTCATTTCGAATGCCAACGCGATTTTTCCGTTGAACGGTTTGGAACATGGTGGTAGAGTTACTGAAAGTTAGGGCTGAGGAAGTCTGAAAACGCGCGTGCTGGCTGGCTAGTGCGTTTGAGTGCGAATCGTGTGGATGTTATCAGTATTTATGAGGAGCACACGAGTCAGGAAATGATTTTTTGCTCGTCGAGAAAGTTGAAAGACTATCGGACAACGTTTATTGGTTTGGATGAGAAATCGGAATAGAATGACGATCAAATGGTCTAATCGCATTGTGACATTCTCAAATCATCCGGGTAATCTTATCGCTTTCAAGTTTTGAAGAATGACAAACATCCGATGGTTTTTGGCTGTGATTTTTCTCGTTAGGGACAGTAGGAACGAGTCGATATTGAGGCATTTGGCAGTACACGAATTCATGCATTTCCGTACGGACCGGTCTGCTTTTAGAATGGCACTTTGGAAGAGCCGAGCTCGACCAGAGCGGCACAGGGACCCCCTCTACTGTAGATCAAAAAATCCCGACTCGAATCCCATGGGTACTTCCCTTGCCAGAAACCCCCTTTTCCAATACTATCCAATTGTTTTCATCATAACAATTAATTCTATCCAATTGCATTCATTCATTCAGTGATAAGAAGGTCATGACCGATTTCCTGCGCCGTCCGAATGATTGATGAGATCATTGCGACGTGATCCTTCTCGAATGTACTTGTGAATCAATCATGAGAAACACACGACGATTCTTCATTATTCTTATTAATAATTACACTTATTAGGTGGGTCAACAATATAATATGATACTAGAGAAAGAAAGAGCGGAATGGTTTGGGAAACGAACGAGAAAACCCTTAGCAACTGCCGGAAAGATCATAATGAGGGGGAGTAGAGGCGAACGGAGAATCACTGTGTGAACTTGCGCAGGTGATAGTATCCGCCGTTGTTTTTGTGCTCGCTGAACGAGTTTTCAGTTCCGTATCCGTCGTTTTGGCTTTGGGGGACCGACGCGGCCGCAGAACTGTCGGATCCCGATTCTTGGGGACCGTATGAGCCGCCTGTCGCTCCTGGGGCCACCTGAACATGTACAAAAGTTGAATAAGACTGCACCTTTGGAAAGTGATGACTCACATTGTCTCTTGGCGCCGGAATCCTGCCCTTCTCGTCGTTCATCACCACTTCCGTATCCTGACAGACACAAGTGCCAGGAGTTCCAGAAGGTCCTTGCTCTCCAGTCGGTCCCAGCGGTCCTGCCAATCCCATCGGTCCCGGCGATCCTGGCGGTCCTGGCCATCCTTTCTCTCCGGGCGTTCCGGCGTATCCGTCTTCTCCGGGCATTCCAGCGGATCCCGGTGGTCCCCATGGTCCTGGTGGTCCAGAGTCTCCTGGCGGTCCTGGAATGACATGCGCTTCGGGGGTCCTTCCTTTGTCTCCGATCGGTCCGGATTCGCCGGGTGATCCGACTGGTCCAGCGAGTCCTGGCTCTCCCGGCTTTCCGGGCATTCCATCGGATCCCGGTCGTCCGCCGATTCCCGGTTCTCCGTAATCTCCAGGGAATCCCGGATGTCCGGGCACTCCACGTGGTCCCTGTGGACATGGCAGACATGGTGGCGGCTCGAAGACTCTTTCAGGAATGCACGAGGCGTTCGGAGTGGTTCCTGGTCGTCCGGGGGCTCCATCTGGACCCGGTGATCCTGGAAGAGCCGGAAGTCCGGGATCTCCGGATGGTCCACGCTCTCCCGGTATACAACAGGCTGAAAATCGAGGGCTAGATGTAAAAAATTCTCAAAAAACTCACCAGGACACTCCTGGAACTGTGGTGAGTCGGAGGCCAAAAGCGACGGATTGTAGTGACCGTATCCGGCGGCCCTTTTCGTCACATTTCGGCCCTTCAGAAGCCCCTCTCGCACCGACATCATCTCCGTTTCGAGCTCATCTGCCGACGTCTACAAACTTCATTTCGAAGACGTTGTAGGAAAGAAAGCGTACCTGACAAAACTCAAAGTCTCGCCTTGAGAATCGTGAAATATTGTCGACATAGTTGTACATGGAGGGGACGAAGACGACGAGAATCAGCAAGGAAACGATCGAAAGCACTCCGGACACGGTGATCAGCACTTGGTACCCTTTTTCGCGGTCCTGCAAGGATTTTCTTTGTTGAGAGAATGATCCGTTGGTCAACTCACCTCATTGAATTCTTCGGGGTCCACATACCCACTGGTCTGCGATTTCATTTCGAGAAACCTGAAAGTACGATTGAAAAATGTGAAAGGGAAAAGTCGAAAGAAAAAGAAAAGGAAATGGGGTCCAAATCGCATTCGATGAGTATCATCATCACGCATCCCGAAGAAAGGGGGGTCAAACCTCTTTCCTCTCTCTCTCTCTCTCTCTCTCACTCTCTCTCTCTCTCTCTCTCTCTCTCTCTCTCGAAATGTCGTTTCCGAAGAATACAATATCCGATCCAGAAGGGGCAGAAATATGTGACGACCTGTGCGGGCGACAACGACGGAGATAACGGGGAAAGTTGAAAGAATGGGGTCACGTTGCTGATTATCACTTTTGGGTAGGGAAAAGGTGGAAAAGAAGAAGAAGGAGGAGGAGGAGGCAAAAAAGCAGAGATTTCACTTTCTGGTGGCGAATTTTTCGGTTTGTTGCACGATAGATTGATTGAGAATGATAGGAATTCGGGGGAAAGTTCTGGAAAGATCTTTGAGACTTTAGGGATCTGGGCAACGTTTGAAGAAGGTTCTGGAACATTTTATAGACCTTTTAGGGGCTCGGATTACTGTACATTGTCCTATCACATGAGCAGAAGGTTCTCAAAAGTTCATTTCAGATCTTCCGGGACCGCTAGGACCATTGGGACCTCCGGGCTCTGCTGGAACACCTGGAACCATTGGATCGATGGAACCAATTGGATTTCCAGGACCATTAAGACCGGATCAATAATCTGCAACTCCTAATTTTATGACCCGATTGTTGGCCCGACCGCCGCCCGATCATTATTATTGTTGTTATTGTCGGTGTTCGCGCGAGAATGAAACATCCCCCCCCGGATTGATGTTATCAAGGTCGAGTATCTTTCCGCGTTCATTTCCACTTTCCGCATTCACTCGATTCGCATTCCATATCATCCTTCTCAATTTCAACTTTCCACCGTCAACTTTCAGGCTTCACACCTCTTCGTACTCTACAGTAACCGGATGAATCCGGTGAGCACCTTTTTGAAGCTAAAGTGATCCGGTATCCGCTAGAAATAGGAATAGAAAACGAGGAAAGAAACGAAAGGAAAGTTTTTTGACCTATAAAGTCCTGCCCCTTGATATCAGCGGACTTTTCTTGAGAACCTGACCCCGATAGGATGATAACGTAACCCAATTTTTTGTGTCTTTCGTGCGCCGGCGCCGCCGCCGCCGCCGCCACCCTTTCACTTTTCGATCCACACACTCGTACACATACCGTACCTACCTGCCGCCCGTTATCTTTTCCTGAAGAAGAAGAAGAAGAAGAAGAATACGGAGAAGGGGGGGGGGAGAAGAGAGATGATCCAATCATTCGCGCGCGATCTGTTTTGTCGCCCTTCCTTCCTCTCACGACTTTTGGCCCCGTTTTTGTCCCCCCCAACAACACTTCGGTTTTGCTTTTCAGGTAACCGAGGTTGTCGAAGAAATCATCGTCATTGCCCCTGCTCCAGAATCGGAAAAGAAGAAGGCGAAGAAGTCGGTGAAGCAGGTGAAACGAGCGAAAACTAAAAAGGACGAGAACCAAAAGTGAGTCGCACCCGGCTATTGTCCTTTTCCCGAACCTTACCGCTTTTCCGCTTTCAGCGACATCCCTGACACTCCGCGCACGTTTCTCTGCATCCCGATCGGCCGTCCAAACGTTCTGAAAAAGGGCCGAAAGGCGTCGTACACGTTGTCCACTGAGGATTTGAGAAAAGAAGAGCCGCACCAGAACAAATCGTTTTTCGCGTTTCTCAACGCCCCCCTCAGCAAAGATGAGAAAAGACGGCAGAGAAGAGTGAGTTCTACGAGGGTTCACCTCAAAATCTGTTCGAATTTTCATTTCAGCTGTCCAATGTCCTCGCTGACATCGAACTATTCGCGTCAGATGATGTACCGGTGTGTCAGCGCACTTCAAATCGCATTTAGGTACGTCTCGGCTATCAGTTTCCTCCGTTATTATCCATTTTTCAGTTTGTTCTCCCTTGTCATCGTGTGCGTCGTCCTTCCGATCATGTACAATCACGTGCAGAACACGATCGCCTACGTTGACCGCGAAATGGCCTATTGCGAGCGATCGAACGACGAGGCGGCGCTGGAAGTGCAATTCGGAAAGATGCGACTTTCCGGAAACCGTACTGCTCGTGGGGCGTACGGAAGCGGAGCCTCGCATGGATTCAGACCGACCGCCTACGGGGATGAGATCACCGGATCGCCGCTGGAGACCGAATGCCCGGGATGTTGCATTCCTGGCCCACCGGGACCACGTGGACCTTCTGGAACGCCAGGAAAGCCCGGACTTCCGGGACTGGCTGGAAAGCCCGGAATGCCAGGAACCACACCGAACCAGACGTGCCCGCTCAACCAGGTTCGCGAGCCACCACCGTGCCGTCCATGTCCAAAGGGACCGCCGGGAATCAAGGGATGGCCAGGATTCCCGGGAGACGTCGGACCGCCAGGACCACCGGGACTCAAGGGAATCGACGGAGAAGACGGTGCGCCTGGAGAGACTGGACCCGTCGGACCGCCAGGATATCGAGGAGGACCAGGAGCCCCCGGAGACAAGGGACCTACCCCAGAAGGTGATCTGAAAGAGGGTCCACCTGGAGACGAGGGACCGCCAGGACCCATTGGAGCCCCAGGAATGCCAGGACTGCCAGGAAGGAACGGACTAACGGGACCGCAGGGAGAACGCGGATGGCCAGGAGTGTCCGGAGAGTCCGGAGAGTCCGGATACCCGGGACCAGAGGGACCGATGGGCGGACAAGGACCACCAGGTGAGTACGGGGGACCAAAACTTCTCTATCGATCCATTTGCAGGAGAACCGGGAGTGTGCGTGTGCCAGAACGTCGACAGCATTCTGCTGATCAACCCGGGACCACAGCCACGCATCCGCGCCGACGACTACAGCGCCGACGAGCAGGGTTACGGTGGACAGGAGGGAGCCAGAGGACACGGCGGATATCAGGGTTACGGTAGAAAGTGAGCAACTATGAAAAATGCTCCAAAAAGAAAGACAGACCTCCTCTCCTTGTGACTTCTCAATGAAATGAAACGTGTACATCTTGTTGTCCTTTTTCGTCCCCCCTTCCTTTAGTTACACACCAAATAATTCGATAATAATTTGTTGTAAACACCTAATAATTTTCTGTATTTTTTAATAAATCCATCCCTCTGTCCGGGATCATATGTCAATTGGAAATCCGACACTCTTGCTCCTCACTTTTACAACAACTATATACATTTGTGAGCCGCGGAGAGCTCTCGCCGAGAAAGTGATCATCAAGAGCAGGAGCGACGCCGCCGCCGCCAAAATTGAATTTCGGAAAAGAGGCGGACGCGCACAAAACGAAACGATGGACTTCTCCGGCTTCACTTGTCACTTTTCAGTCTATTCTACAATGCTTTTGCCCCCCCTCCTCCGTGTAATCTTTTTATCTCGAGAACTCAAGAGCTTATTCACTGTACGTTTTACAAAAAAAGAACAACAGTAAATTTTTCTGGTGGTCGAAGCGAATACATGAGTTGCTGTCATTATTATAGTACTGCAATAACAATCAATTTGTTAGCAGTAGCTGAAACAGAAAAAGTTTCGAACCGTATCAACTATTAGAGTTGTACTGGAGAAAAGTGACGGAAACGCTTATTTTTCGAGCCAAAAACGTTTGCATTCCGATATCATCGCCATCAGAGTTGAGCGGAAGAGCTCAACGCAAGAACACGAAAGAATTTTTATATTTTTTAGAAAATTTTTTCATGAAATGTGATCAACTGACGAAATGTATAGCAATGTGAACTGTGCTCATAGAAAAATAATTGTAAATTTAGCTTTTTATACAAAAAAGTTAGGACTAACGGGGAAGACGGAAGGACATTTTCACGGAACACCTCGAATAACTTTTTTGTATGAAAAGCTAAATTTACAATTATTTTTCTATGAGCACAGTTCACTTTTCTATACATTTCGTCAGTTGATCACATTTCATGAAAAAATTTTCTAAAAAAGATAAAAAATTCTTGCGTGTTCTTGCGTTGAGTTCTTCCGCTCAACTCTGATCGCCATCATAATACTGCTCTCGGCGTATAGAAAAGCAAAAAAAGTTTCGGACCAATCTTTTGTTTCTCTTTTTCCTCCCCTCTGCTTCTTCACATCGATCTCTGACCGCTCTGCGTCTTCTGTCATCTCCACACTTCTTCTTCTTCTTCTCCTTCTTCTTCTTCTTCTTCTTGTGCTCGGCGGTGGGGCTCACGGAGCACACACACACACACACATACGGATTGAGAGAAGAAGAAGAGAATAAAGTGTGTGTGTGTGGAAGAAGGTCCGAGTGAGCCATGAGCTCTGCTGCTCCCCCCACCACTGCTCCCTTTCACACTTTTTTGTGCGAATTTCCGGTGTCTGACAAGATTCACTGCGATTCTTCGAACAAACCGCACACTTTTTTGTCACTACTCTTCTTTTCATCATGTCACTATCAGAGCGATTTTAGAGAAGACGAGTGCACTTTTCTTGTCTGAAATGTTTCTGAAACTGAAGTTTCTGCTTCAGAACTTTGATATTTTTCGCGGCTTTCGCCTAACAGGCTGACTATGAGCCTTTTTCAGAGCCTTTTTCAAGAAATTCTCAGACTTTTTCCAGAAATTCTTAAACTTCTAAAAAAAAAAAGAAAAGTTTGAAATTTTACCGGAGGAATTCGCAAAGTTAAACAGAGACTTGAAACCGATTTGTTTCGGCTTATTCAGTCGGCTAAAAACATGCTGAAACACTGTTTTTTCCGTTTTTTTTTCCTGTAAAAATAATGAAAACCCGGTTTTTACCGGTTTGACCAGAAAGATTCAAGTACTTTCGATACCTTTTTTGCCGGAAACGTCTTTACCCTGAGAGCTGCAGGGAGGAGTGGCGCGCGTGGCAGGGAGGAGTGGCGCGCGATGATATCACTTTTGGTCATCACGATAACGGTTTTTGGTTCGTGCCCCACTGGTGTGAAACTTTTTTTGCTTTCCTGGGATAGGAAAACTGTAGCCAGTTTTATCGAAACTCTCAAATTTGTCAATCACTTTGTGGTCCTCAACTGTACTTTGGTAAAATTTTCAGTTTCAACTGCTCGGATCAATTTTCAAAGTCGTTTAAGATGCAAAAGTTTGCCTTTTCTAACACACACATTTCTGTTTCAACCATCCGTCATGGACTTTCAGGCGTATTTATAATAGCAATAAATTTTTAACTCTCACTTTCGTACCCGGATTGTCCTCTCTCTCTCTCTCTCTCTCTCTCTCTCTCTCTCTCTCTTCCTCTCTGACCCATCCCCGCACATTACACCCCGTTTTCGCATTTCTTTGCTCCCCAAAAACCTCTCTTTCGAATGTTGCCGAACCGAGCCGAACCGTCCGTCAATCATTCATTCATTTCTCGTGTCTGCGTCTCTTCGCTCCGTCCGCTCTCTCTCTAATCCACGCCAAAAGTATATTCATTCTTGTCCCGTCTCGACTCCACTTTCTTTTGCCTTTTCCATTCCAAAATAGTATATACTCTGACTGGCGTGTGGCTTGGCTCAATGAGCCGGAAAATTAAAGAAATGTGCGAAAATCCGGGGGGCGGGGCGTGGCGGGGCGGGGAGCCACGAGAATTTGTTCTCTTCTCACACTTCTCACGGCTCCGCGGAAAAAGAGAATTTTTGACGGATGACATTTGGCGCCGCGCTCTTTCTCTCTCTCTCTCTCTCTCTCTTTTCGTCGGCTCCCGGAGCCCGCCAATTAATCACCGGAGCACCCGATACGGGGCAGAGAGCACGCGGAGCCGAGAGACGCAGACACGGCCCGGCGTGTGTTGATGAAACTCTTTTATTGTTCTTCTCTCGCTCTCTCGCTCTCCGACACAAGCACATTTTTTAGTGGGTACGTGTGTGTGTTGCCAACTTTTCTTATTGAATTGCTCGCGCCTAGAACGATGATAGTGAAAATGTTGGATGTCTGGTGTTCCGTTGCCTCTTTAAACCAATTTCTCTCCAAATCGATGTCTTTGGGACTAGTCACTACACAATAACGGAAGTAGCCAAAAGAAAACTTTAGTGACACGCAGAAACAGTACTGTTTCAAAATGTCAACGTATTTTTTTTTCGAATCGAATTAAGAGTATTCAGGTGTAATTCTATTATTCAAAATGAGCATGAATACCTGGAAATTTAACTGCAAAACATTAAAAAACTATTTTTCAGTTTCAGGAAACGTATTTGGTTTTCAAGTTATATTACGCAAAGATCCTCTTCGATGCTGTTCCTTTTTGAGAACGTTGTACTTTCAAGGCCTGTATCTCGAGAACCCATATTTATTTTGAAAAGTGATCAACTAAAAAATTGTTCCAAATCTCGTGCTCAATAACTTTGTAGTTGAACATTTTGTCCGAACACTCATACTTTTCGAGTTACAAGCCTATTTCCAAACTGTGTTTTTTCAAGGGGTCTGATATTGTCTGTTTCAAAGAGTCCATGAAGCCTAACTCTTTTTCCACTCTTACTCTTCTATTTCCAGGAGCACGTAAGCACCCATCATGTTCTTTTTTTATCGTACCGCTCAAAATCTCTAATCCGTTCATCGTTCTGTCGGTTTGCCATCGAAAAAATGTCAATTTGGGTTGCGGATTTCCCCAGGGAAAGGCTCGGGCGCCCCGAAAAAAGTGGGAGGGGAGATTCGGCGGAGAAGATTTCTCTTCCAAATTCGCTTTTCATTCTCCGAAATTGGATTCCCGCTCAAGAATGGGCGCTCGGTCACATTAGGAAGAAGAAGAAGAAGAAGGAGAAGAAGAAGAAGAAGAAAGAGTTGTAAAGTTGTACTGAGTTCACTGTGATTTTGAGCGGATTAGGAAGGCTTTCGAAGTTTTGAATGAAACAAACGTTTTATTGTCGAAATCAGGAGATGTTGAAGCAGTAAAACGTGTTCACAGTTTCAAGTTTGTGTTTTGTGAGCACATTTCCCCAGTGTCTTTTCAATATTACGCGTTTTAGTTGCTTGTAAAATGTACAAAATGTCCTAACTTATTAGTTGACAACTGTTTGATATCTCCATAGGCAGCTGAGATTTATCGGTTCGAACACGGGTTCACAGAGTGGTACCGTAAATATTGTGGGAAATGTAACTCGGCTGCTTGTGAAGATATCAAAAATTTGTCAACGGACAAAATGTACAAAATGTTTTAATGAGCATTTTGTTAGTTGACAACTTTTTGATATTTCAACAGACAGCTGAGATATATCGTTTTGAAAGAACAATACGCTCTGAACCGTGCCTCATTCGATCTTTCTGCTATAATCTTTCTCTTTTCCTCTGCTCATTCCCCATCCAATCCCATCCAATTTTTCGTTTCATGACCTCAACTTGATTGATCACTTTCTCACCTCTCTCTCTCTCTCTCCCCCCCATCTCGCATCCGAATATCAATCAAAAGTGATTCGCGTCCGGAATTGCGCCTCCGTCCGAGCACTAATCGCTTTTTGAGGGCCCGAATCGGCTACCGTAATCCCGCCGTGCCGCCACATAATTGATGCGATGCCGTGCTCTTTTTAGCCCAAAGTCTTCAATATTTCAGATGAGATAGATTGCAGCGAGACGCCGCAAAACGATAAGTTCAAAGTGTTTTCTGCAGAAAAGAGCGCCCCACAACTACATGATTGCTTGCCGCCGGTCTGAAGGTAAACCATAAACATCGAAGCAAAAAAACGAATAGATTTTGCAGGTCAATGGGTGTTTTTTTGCGTCGCGACAACATCAATCTCATCACGAATCATCGACGATCAATGGGACAGCGGCAGGCGAAGCAACACATGCAGGTGAGCACACTTTCTCCCTCCTCATTCTCACTCAAAAAGTTTACCGTTTCTGTTAGTTGACAAAATTGGTTGTCTTCTATTTTCAAGGTTCTTCGGTAATAATTCGTATTTCTTTGAGTTTACAAGTTTACCGCACGACACGGTGCGTTTTGGATATTTCTAATCTAGTATGTACTGTAATGGGGCTATTCAGCGTATGTTTGTTTTCCGTTTTTTTTTTCATTTTTTTACATCGCTGAATTGAATTTTTTGACGTAAAAAAACGAAAAAAATGGAAAAAAAAACGAAAAAAATGGAAAAAAAAACGAAAAAAATGGAAAAAAAAACGAAAAAAATGGAAAAAAAACGAAAAAAATGGAAAAAAAACGAAAAAAATGGAAAAAAAAATATTTTTTTCACAGCCTGAATAACCCCATAATCGTTCCAACCATTCCCGTTTCATGAAGTTTACGAGTTCATCTCACAATTGAGCAGAAACAATTGAAATTCGGAAGGAATTTTTGCTTCTCTTATTAGTCACGGACCTATTCAGTCCAGTAAAATACTGGTATTTTACGCAAAAAACCCTATTCAAATGAGCAAAAAAACCCCGGGAGAAGAGGTTTTTTTTTGCTGTGTGGAAACCCTGTTCGTTGCGAGACCCGTGCTAATAGAGACATGAGCCTTTAAACACAACCGGGCGGTTATTTAAATTGTTTAAAGGCTCATGCCTTTATTTAGCACGGATCTCGCAACGAACTGGTTTTTTGCGTAAAAAAACAGTAAAATACTCGACTGAATAGATCCATCAGTTATTCGTATAATTGGAATGCTTTCTTATTGCAGGCTGGCGTCAAACTCTATCATCAACGACATTATGCTCAGGCGATCAACAAGTGGAGACAGTCTCTGAATAGGTTGAAGTAAGCCCCCTCCCCGCCTTTTCCAACCCTACAATATCTCATTTTCAGTAATGCCGAGGACCGTTTCATCACACTCGGATACCTGGCGCAGGCGCTTTGCGATCAGGGCGAATACGAGGGAATGCTCTCGTACGCACTGTCCCAAATGCAACTGGCCACCGATCAGAACGACTCGGCGATGAAGTGCGAGGCGTTTTTGAATCTGGCCAAGGCGTACGAACGACTCGCCGACTTCACAAAGGCTTTGCAGTACGGAAAAGCGTCGCTCGAGCATCCGTCGATGGATCCGAGGACTCCTGGATATGCGAATTTGAGTAGGAACACACGGAGCTGGATGATATCTGACGGGAAAACGAATGAATTTCAGCGATAGCCCTTGCCCATCTCGGAATGTCGCAGTTTCAACAGTGCCTCGAGAGCTTCGAGTCGGCGATGAACGTGGCCAACGAGACTTCGGATCGGCTGCTCGAATTGCAGATTTGTGTCGGACTCGGCTCGCTTTTCACCCTTTTACGGTCAGTTTTTCACGGCTTTCAACCAGAAACACTCGTTCATGACACGCAAAAGGATCGAAGAAAACGAATGGAGTACAATAACTACGAAGCAGATTGACTAAGTATTTTGATAGAAGTTTATAAATTTTGAGGACATTTTGAAACTGTCAACTGCCAACTTTCAAAAAAAAAAGAAGAAGCATTCGTCGCGGTTTCACATTGTCTCAATATTTGGACCGTTTGGAGAATTCGATAATTTACAAACCTTTCAATATAGTTTCATTTTCGTACAATTCCCCCATTTCAGAGACATCACAAAAGCGCTGATCTTTCTGCGAAACGCGCTGGCCATCGTCCAATCCGTGACGGTGGACGACGTGCACGCCAAGTACCGCTGTCTCATTCTCTACCATTTATCCGTGGCGCTCCGCATGAAAGGATCGTTGGTGGACGCGAAGGAAGCGTGCGACGAGGCCTCGCAACTCGCCGTCGAGATGGGAAATCGGGCGATCCACGCGCGGTGCATGTGCAGTTTGGCGGATATCTATCGCGAATTGGGAGAGAGCGAGGCCAAGGAGACGATTACGGTAACGGTTACGGCTGCGGGAACGGCTACTGTACGTACGTGAGTGTTTTAGAAGTCGTGGGCGAGGTACGAGGACGCCTACCGAGTGATGCGCGGAGCCAACGACAAAATGGGCGAGGTACGGTAATTGTCATAACTGCCGGAAGCCATAAAACCGACTTTTATGGCCCGTGAATGGAGCCGAGCAATTGGCTCAGGACTCGGAGAGCTCCGAACGAGAAGGAAAAGGGAACTAACTTTTGCAGGTGCTCGTGCTCTCTTCAATGGCCAAAAGCGCATCGGAATCGCGATCCCATTACACCGGACAATGCGAATGTCAGGCGATTCAGCTGAACAAAAAGTGCATCGAGATTGCCAATCAAATCGGCTGCAAAGTACCGCACCCGAGATCCTGTACACCTTTAGCGGTCATGTTTTCAGCACGTGGTTCTGAAATGTCACTTGCGGCTCGCGGAGCTCTACTCGCAGCTCAACGACGACGATTCGGAGGAGACGGCGAGACGGGCGGCCTCGCGGCTCACACAGGAAATGCAACTGTTCTGCAACTTTTGCGGACAGCGATACGGACTCAAGGACGAGAGTTTACAGGCCCTCCGGTGCTCGCATATCTTCCATGAAAAGTTGGAAACTTACATGCATCTAAAACATGGAAGAGTACGGATTTCAGGTGTCTACACACGTACTTGCTGCAGAGAACTGACCAAAATTGTCCGAAATGTCGGTGTAGAGCTGTTCTATCGGACAATATCTCGATTCGCAGTTCGATCGCTTCGACGGCAGACGTGCAAAGTCCGAGCAGTGAGTTTTTCGGTTTCTTTGAGGACTTAGGCTCTTAAACATTTTTTTTTTGGGTAATCATTATGTCTAGTACAACGTCTTACTAGTTGACATCTTTTTTTGACTATTGTATTGCTCGGAAGTTAGCTATCCACAAATACTGTAACACTGTTCTCTCAAGACGATGCATCTCAGCTGTCTGTAGAGAAATCAAGATGTTGTCAACTGACAAAATGTACAAAATGTTGATAACTTTTTGATTTCCTCACCGGCAACTGAGATACATCGTGTTGAAGTCAGTTTTCTGAAATTTTATGTTTCAAGTACTTGACTTGAGCTGATCTTTTTATTGCTTTGCACTAATATAGGCCGAGCTTCTTTTCAATATCGCTTTCCTTTACATAAATCATATTTCTTGGGGTGTCTTTCTATTACAGTATTTCCAAGCACTACAAGAGCTCTTCGAGTGGTCGTACAAAGAATTTGTCAACTAGTAAACTAAGAAACGTTCTAAACCCTCTCCTTACAGCTTCTTTCGCTCCTCCGGGCGGTGTTCCCACTCCGCTCGTCTCCGCGGCCGCCGAACTCGGAGACATCACCCCAACGGCCACGTTAACCCGTCGGAATCCGGCCCAAACCGACCGAATCCTGCGTGGCGCCGAAAAAGACATTGATCGAGTGGATCGGAGTCTGGCCCGACTCAAATCCCAGCAATCGTCAGTTGCCGTGACGTCATCCGACGGTGCCACGGAGGTCATGACGACTTCTTCGGCGTCGTCGGCGGCTTCTCAGCAGACTGTGGCCCAGGCGAACCACAAACCGCCGCCGCCGCCCCGAAAACCATGTTGCTCACAGGTAAGAGATGTACTCGGACTACCGTAATCTACCGTAATCTGTGCTCAGGCTGCTCTGCCGCCCTCTTCGATTGTGGCCCTTCCGCCGGCGATGCCGCTCGCCGAGGACGGTCCCTTGGTGATCACGCACACGCCCACAGTTACCGATGTCTGAACTTGTGATCGATTTTTCTGCTAGGAATCATGCGAACCGTATTCCCTTTCATTTCTAAATGTCTTCTAGTCGCCCGCCGCCCTTTCTTTCCTGCTCATTTTCACTTTTACCTAATTTCCTTCATTTTTATCATTATGAACAACTTTCCCATTCATTTTTAGCAGCAATTCCCACCAATATCCTTATCCAATGCGTTCTTTTCTAGTTTTCTTCTGTTTTTTTTTAAGATCTCAATCTCAATGCGTTCATTTAATATAAAGAATACAAACATTTGAGAGCAAACTGAAACTGAAACAATAATCAAGATGAATAGTAAGAGGACAGGTCAAATACACGCATTTACGCATTAATGTCCATGTTAAGTTCCTGCAAATATAACAAAGAGATGAAACAGTCCAACTATAGTCCACTTCCATTTTCTCCTTCTAATTCTCACGTCTCCGTCTCCTCATTATTTCCGATCGGACAGCGATTCCATGTCAAGGACGATTCTCTCTCTCTCTCTCTCTCTTTCTCTCTCTCTTTCTCTCTCGCCCGAATTCGATCTCAACTTCTTCTTCTTTTCGGGTTTCAATCTACACTCATTCCTCTTCGAAATGGCGTTTCCGTGGATTCTGGAGCCAGAAGACGAAAGTGCTCTGAGTCCGTTCGAGCTGAAAATGAGACATTTGCTCTCGCTCACGTTCCGCTTCGTTTTAGCGGTTTTCACCGTTTCGCATTTGTTTGATTTCATGTTCTCCAGGTTGGTTTTCAGTCTTTCCCTCTTATTTGTTCCATTTATTTTCAGTATCTGGATGCACGGATACGTGTGGACGCTGAACCTGCCCATCGATTTGGACATGACGGATAAACCGGCGGGCGCACTCGTTCGGCACCAATTGGATAACATGGGACACTTTGAGCGAACTCTCCAGTCCGTTCTCATCGTTCTCGCCGTCGTAATGCTCCTTTTGTGAGTTTCTCTTTTCATGTAATCCAATTTTCCTGTTTCTCGAAGATAATGACCCAAATCTGCTGCGCATTCGAAAGAGCATACAGTGAAACCGAAAACGTTCACCTGACAATTTATGGATAATTCTGGAGATTTTTAGATTGTATCTCTACTTGAAACTACTGTTTCAGAGCGCAAGGATACACTCGGAAGGCCGGCAGAACTGTGTGGGACCTCTTCCGAACGTCGGCAGTCGTCGGATTGATCTGTGGACTGGTCCGGCCGGTTCAGGTACTCGAATCCTCCCAATTTCCCCTCGAACTCCTCGTTTTCAGCTGCAACAACGCTTTTTCTCGAGTCTCCACGAAGGATTCTACTGCTATTTCCTCTTTTTCGTCACCTCTTTCATTCTGACGATTCGATTTGATGAGACGATTGAGAAAGAGACGATTTCATGTGAAAATGGCAAGAAAACACAATGAATGACGGTGCTTGTACAAACGTTTGCATTATTTTATATGTGATTGCAATTCGGGTAAATAAATATGTTTCAACAGCAAACTTCGTTTCGAATTAACGGCAAAAAATTGAAATCTGGGCGTGATTAGATGGAGTTGAAACAGGAAAAGTCTCTTTTTTGTCGCCGCCAAACATATCCTATTCATGTAAGTTCTAAGCATAGATCTCACTATTTTGTGACAATTTTGTTTGGTGCAGGCACCACAAACGTACACTTTTTTTTGAGAAATTGACACAAGACAGGATAGTCTCAAAAGATCACAGTATTATGGGCCACTCTTTAGCGGTCTGTACTCGTACTGAAAGTCAAGATCAAGCAAATTTTTTGTCATTTTGCTCTACGAGACGTTTCCGTCTTCACTGAGCTCGCCTTGCTTTTAGGAATTCAGGAAAAGGCCCTAAATTGTAGGTCTCAACACGAAAAGTGCTCAAAAAGAAGGCGATAAAAGAAGTCGAATGGATCGAAACTCACAATAACTCGTTGCGCCCCTCTCGCGCGTCCTTCCGACCATTTTCCGGTTCGGAAAGGCGTCTGACCGTTGGCCGTCGGCGTGTTTGTGCCGGTGCAACAATCAGAGACTCTCGCCGGCCATTAAAATATGTTTAATGGCCACTTTTAATTACCCAAAGTCGACGTGTGTTACGCGTTTCTTCCACTTATCACTCGACGACCGTCTATTTCGGCTTCTTGTCGTTTCACCCACTTTTTTTGCGCGAAAATTATAGTTGCAATTTAGTAGAATGGTCGAGTTGAACAATCAGGACAAAGTGTTTCTCGGGGCCTCTTTCGCAACGGCTGTGAGTTTTTTTTTCAACGGAAACCTACAATATCCGCTCCCTTTAGATCATCGGAATCGTTCTGATTGTCATTGGATTCGTGTTCAGGTTTGGTAATGGCTTCGGCACGTTTGCCACGTATGCCAAGCAGGTACGGTATCTACCGTAACCCTCTAGTACTCGCTTTGTTTTTTGAGGACAATGACTTCCTGGAGCTCAAAAGATTGGACATGATCTTTGGGCTTTTCGTCGCCGCCGCCGGAGTTCTGATCCTTTCGTTTCTGGTCGCCGGGGTGTCGGTTTTGAAGCATAATAAGTTCCTTTTGAAAGCGGTGAGTTGAATACGGTCAAAAGCAACCCGACTACAGTAATCTTCTAGTACTGTGCGATGATCGGACTCATGATCGTGGTCCAACTCGTCGACGGTCTTTTGGCTTTCACATATTCGGATCAGATCAACCAGTTGGCGTCGGATGACATCATGTACGAGTCATTGTACAAAGCTGCTCAAAAGTAGGCAATTCCAAGGCAAAGCACCCTTTTTATACCCATTTTCGTTGCAGGACCCAACCACCGATCAACAGTGTTCCCAACGACGCCGAGGCTCAATTCTGGAGTCATACTCAGGATACGGTAGGCTTCGGGAACCTGAAAAATGAGAAATATATCGTACAAAGTTCAGTTCGGGTGCTGTGGAGTGTACAACTCTTCGGATTGGTCCGTCGCCTGGGGGATCACCGCCACACAGGCCAACTTGGAGACTTTGCACTGCTATCAGAAACACTATAACGACGTGAGAGCGATGGAATCAAGGGATCATCACTGAAGTAATTCTGTTGCAGGGTTGCGAGAAACTGGTCAGGAATCGCATTTCGTCGGATGCGCAATACTTGGGCGCCGCCTCGATGGGAGTGCTTGTTGTTGAGGTGAGATATCTTGGCTATGAGTGGAGATAGGAAAAAGTTGTCAACTAATGAATTAAGCATTAGGAAATTGTGCACATTCTATCAGTTGACAACTTTTTGATATCTCTGCAGGCGGCTGAGTTTCAGTGGCTCTGAATCGACGAATGTGTGGTGCCGGGGCAATCAAACAGTTCCGTTTCGGTGATTTGATGAAAATGAAACGAAAAAGAGTCAAACATTAATTTCACACCATGAAAATTGAAACTTGACATACTTTTCCTACCAAATGTGGTCGTTTTGTCTGTGAACAATTCTTAATCCAATCGAGAACGGCACTCATTGGAAATTTCCAGTATTCGCTTTATTTTGAACTTTTCCGCTTCATAGACTTGTCAAAATGCATAGGTTACAAGTTTCACCCTAATCCAGTCGATTTTCTTGGACGCACGGTCTCCAGACCTTTCAGAATTTGGCGTGAGCTTTGGAGACCGTATCCTCTGAACATTCGTGACGTGCCAAACATCAGAATCAGTCGGAGACACGTGTTGGGCGGAGAAGAGCACGAGATCAAACTCATTCTCGGGTAGTTTATGATGCTCTCGCGGGCAGGGGAACCTCATAAAAATGCGCGCGTGACGATAAGAGAAGCGCCGCATACTCGTGTGCACGTAAAGGTGAGACATTTTGCAGATTATTGCGAGTTTTCTGGCCGGATATCGGGCGTACACACTGGCTCATCCGGAATTCCAGGACAAATAAGCTTTTTGTACATTGCTAGAGCATATATAAACGATTTTATTTATACAAAAGTTTCGAGATGATAATTGCGGTTGTCGGTGAGATAAGGCGTGCTCAGAATGAGAGGTTCCGTCGAGTCGGAGCGTCGGAACGAGCGAAAAAATGAGAGAAACGAGGCGGAGTACTGTAGGTGCTTATCGAAAGAACGGAAAACAAGACGAGGAGGTGCGGTTGACGACCGCCCGGCTCAGAGTGCAAATGAGCAGCAGCTTGAGCGGCAGCGCAATCTCCGACGAGAAAGAGAGCCGTCCGTCAGCGCTCAGCACCGCCAGTTGCCTCTGCGCATTCTTCTCGCACACCACTCGCCACGTGGATCCGCCCGATGGGTCCGGCTCGCAGAAGGCCTTCGCGATTGGCTCGTGTCGAGTGTCTTGCACTTCGATCCCGTCGCTTCCTGCAAAAAAAAATGAAGAAATTAGCTAGTACAGACTCAAAAAACATGTTTTCAAATGTAGAAAAAACCCGATCCGATCGGGCTGGCCCGCGACAAGTCTGCTTTTAGCTGATTTTAGAAACGGAAAGAAATGGGAAAAGATACACGTTTTTGATTAAACAGTAGCTTCGTGTGACGGAACTCACCAAGAGCATAGTATCCGAGAACCTCTCCGTTCCAATCGATGATCGAGAAGGTCGGAACGGTCCGTCGCGGTCGGAAGAACGGAATGAGGAGGGAGAGGATGGATCGCGGCGCCGTGTCGGTCACCACTGCCACCCTCCGGCCGTACGACTCGATGATCCAGAACGGCGCCTCGTCGCACACGTTCTCGGACCAAATGTCGAGAAGGGGAAAGTCGGACGGATCGGTTACCTGGAAATGAGAGGAGGATTGTCGGTTTGAGGTTTGACGGGACAACAAACTGACCTGCAGCTCGGAGCCCTGATGGTTCAGTCGAAGGTGCGTACTCGTGGAGACGTAGAACAGCACCTGGGACTTGGACGGAACGATGACTTGTTTGCAAGAGTGCGACAGTTCCTCCTCGATGTCCGTGTCGCCGTCGTTGATGTCGACGGCCGTTTCGAGTCGGTCCGGTTGCGATGAGCCCGGCTGAAAAGTGCGAAGTGTCTCTGGAGACCTTCTGGAACGATTACGGTACCTGAACGACGGTGACGTGCCCGTTTGCCTGAGTCATTTCGTACGGATAACGCGAGCACGAGGGGAAACCGTTTGCGGATCTGAAAATGAAAATATGTGGGTTTACGGTTTCAACTAGTTTCGGAAACTTTTCGATTACTATGCAAGACGGTAGCATGGAGAACTAGAATTTGTTTTGCCTTTCCTGTCTCGACTGGTGACATTTCTAGATGCTTTTTTGGGGGCGAAAGCAAATGAAGCGGAATGAGAAGGCGTGTGACTTGAAACCCACGAAAAAAGTGAAAATAACGACGTCATCAAACGTTGTACGAAACAAAATGAAACTTCTGGGCGGGGGGAACGTAGAAAAGAGCATTGTTGTTGTTTTGACGTCCACAACGTCTTCTACTCCTTCTGTTTCGCCGGCAATCCAATTAAAATGAAAGCGTTTCTTCTCGGCCGGCCCAAGGAGCTCTAATGAGCGAAAGGAGCTGTGGAGGAGGCGGAGAAAAGTGAGAGCGCGACCAAAATTTGTCTATTTTGTTGTCAAAAGATCCCGGAGACGTTAATTAGACTTTGGAACGAGAGAATGACGGCGTCGAAGAGAGTTAGAGAAACGAAAAGACAATTCGAAGATGTTTTGATGGATGAAAACTGACATGGAAATTGAACTGGGCACGGGGAAAATGAAAATGAAAATATATCATTATTACGGCTATTATTATTGCTACACGGATCGGATTACTGATGAAATATTCATCAATCCAGGAAAAGATGGCGGCCAACTCCTCTCATAAAATGTCATCGACGCCCGTGCTGCGCCTTTAAATCTACCGTATCCTTTTTTTGAAAATTTTTTGAACAGTTAAGTGCTTAAAAATAGCGAAACGCGTGTTCTCCCGAAGAACGTATACGGTAAGTTTAAAGGCGCAGCACTAATTTTTCGCTAAAATTGTCAAACTCGCTTTTTGAGACGTAGAAAATTGAAATTTCGCGGGCAAAGTCCTGAGACACGGAAAAAACAGCAAAACATGCCGGTTTTTCGGCGAAAACTAATAAAAATTTGATGGTTCTCACAGCGCCCCCGAAAAGCACTACCTTCTCGAGCATTCCAGCCGTGGAAACTAGTAAAATGGGGCAGAAGAATGAGGAAAAATGGAGGAGGAGAAGGAGAAGAAGAAGAAGAAGAAGTGTAAAGTGTTTAGTGCTCCTCTTCTTCGTTGTGCTCCGCCTTTTCAATTGAGCACCTCTTCATTCGGTTCGGTTTAAACGGAAACAACTTGTGAATGCATTGTTTTTCAGAGCCAATCTTGAAATTTTCAGAGCCAATCTTGAAAAGAGCTCGCGGCGCGCACGGACCCGAAAAATCCAAATGAAAAAGTGCCAAAGTTTGCGCATCTTCTCTCGCCCAAAAATGAAATATTTGAAATGGAGGAGGAGGAGGAGGAAAGCCCTTCGGAATAGGGCGAAAAAGAAATAAATTAGAAAATATTGATAGAAACGCAAACGAAAACGAAAACGAGGGCGCCAGAAGACGGCCGGCGGCAAGCCAACTGGAAATGATTCGTGGCTTCCGATGGAATGAAGAAAAGGGGCGGGGCGTAGCCGTTTTTGAATTCGACCGAATTTCAAAGGCGCTCACTCGTTGAACTCGGTGGTCAGTTGATGATGATGATGGTTGCGTCCCGTCCGTTCGCCGACATCCGACGCCGAACTCGAAGACGCCAAATTCGAATTGTACTCGTCCAAAAGTGCCGTTTCGCCGTCCATCTTTCTGAAAATTTTCGTTTGACTAGAGAGAAGTTTGAGCAGAAAAAGCGAGAAACTCGTAAATTTTTAATGCGATTTTTTTTGAGCGCCGAAATTTTAATGAGTTTTGGGTGCAAATGAGCGAAAGAAAACGGATAATCTTGAGACGAAATCTTCTCTCTCTCTCTCTCTCTCTCTCTCTCTCTCTCTCTCTCTCTCTCACTCACCTCACACGGATCGAATTTCACTCACACACAACTTTTCTTTGGCGTTTCGCGAAATTCGAAATTCGAGAGTGTTGTCGAAATTTGTTTGTCTCACAAGGAATTAGGCGATGGATTCTTTTCACTAAACAAATTTGGGATCAAAGTTGGCAAAAAGGAAAAGAAAAAGAGAACCGCGTAACCGTGACCGTCAAGGAGTCCATGCTAATTTTTAAAAATAGCCGCGTACCCGTGACCGTCAAGGGGTCCATGCTAATTTTTAAAAATTGCCGCGTACCCGTGACCGTCAAGGTGTCCATGCCAATTTTTAAAAATTGGCGCGTACCCGTGACCGTCAAGGGGTCCATGCTAATTTTTAAAAATTGCCGCGTACCCGTGACCGTCAAGGGGTCCATGCTAATTTTTAAAAATTGCCGCGTACCCGTGACCGTCAAGGGGTCCATGCCAATTTTTAAAAATTGCCGCGTACCCGTGACCGTCAAGGTGTCCATGCCAATTTTTAAAAATTCGGTCCGAAAACGAGCGCGTCAACACAATTTCCGTGAAGAAAGTGGCCGTTTGTGGGTGGGTGGCAAACTCAAAGTGACCCTTTCTTTCCAAAATTGAGACAAATCGAGCGAAAGCGCTCTTATGTGTGCTCATGCTCAATTTGCTGCTCATTTGTTCGTGGTCACTTTGAGAAACGGGGGGGAAGGATGCGTGACCATTGAGAAGGACCACCCGGGGACCACTCGGGAATCACTAATGAGCACACACTTCGGGAGAGGAAATGCGAAAGGGCATGAGAAAGTTGGAACCGGGAACTAACTCTGATATTGTCGTATTTTTCATTTTCTCGCCACCCCAGCCATATAATATAATTCATCCATTTGGCCTTATCTTGGCCCCAAAATCCTCGTTTTCCTTTCCCTATTTTCCCATCCATTTTTCACCATTTCTGTCTGTCACACACGTAAATTGAATGAAATATCGAGAGAACGATTTATAGGAGGACGAATGGAAGGAAAGAAGGCGCATTTTTTCAGGCCAGCGAAACGTAATATTGGGCAAAAAAGAAGCGAATTGTTGCGGGCGGGCGCGGCTCACGAGGGGCAAATCAATTATTGGAAGCAAGGAGAATTCCGGTGGGAATTCAGGAACATGTTCACGGAAAACGAGTACGAGTTGTACTTTTTACCCGACTTCTTCTGTTTCTTGTAGTTTATGAAAGTGGCGGCGGCCGTGCAAAGTTCGTTGATAACCCAATACAACAGCAACCTTTTGAAAACTGGAATATAAGTTTTGAAAGTCCGTTTGTGCTGGAGATAACAACCACTTAAAAGGTTCCTTTGTTAGTGCAGAAAGGGGATTATTAGATCGCAGACAAGACCACGATGTTTGAGTACTTGATGAAACAGCGAGAACTTGGAAAATGAGAGCATGCACTTAAAAACTGAAATCACCTTGTCGAGAAGATTCTAGATATTGGCGGGTACGTAGGTTTAGTCCCCAAACTATTATCATTCTTATTCATTAAAAAACTAACGGCGTCTGTGAACAGCGTTGTACACAAAAAGCACGTAGTTGAGCAAATGACGCAAACGACCCGAATTGAGATTGAGACAAATGAAGCGAGAAATAAAAGGAAAAGTGGGCGGGACGGAGAGCTCATGCTCAATTTGCTCATAAGTGCACCGGGCGGCTCCGATTGATCAATGAGGTGTGGAAAGAGTGTGGGAAAGTTTCAGCGTTCTTTGTCACAAAATATAATAAAATAGCGGTGGGCTCTAGGAGCAACGGCTCGTCCGGAAGCCGCCCGCCCGCCATTCAATGGCCAATTGAGGCACGTCCGGAAGGAACTCGGCGAGCTTCCGGCCATTATAGGCAGAGCACGAGATATGAAAGAAAAAGACCAAAAAGTGGGGAGGATGGAAATGGAAATGGCGGCGTTCGCGTAAAAATGTGAGTGATTTATGCGACTTTTACTGGACACCCGAACATTTTCGCGAAAATTGAAGTTATCCATCGAAAAGAGAGAAAGAGTAAGGAATAAGGTTTCAGTGGAGTGTTAAGGGTTTGGTGAAACTGAAAAGTTAAATGGTACTTGAAAGACAGCAGTTCTTTTCTGTCACACAATATCCATTTGTTGCCACGTGTCGTTTCACTGGATTTTGTTATGAATGTGTGAGAAATGATCAGAACCAAGACACAAAATCTTGTTATTTTAGGTTATCCGACGAAATGCAGTTAAACATTTTTTCTAATGATTTTTGGTTACTCTTGCTAGATATGTGTAATTCTATTATATCATTATTTTATGAGTTTTTGCTCAAAATTCATTGGGTTTTCGAAACGGAAAAGTTGGGTGCTCATATTGACTGATTTCAGTATGAAAATTCGAAATCTGCGGCCGACCACCGGTAATATATACGGCCTGGGAGGGGCGCCGAGCGACGGCGCGCGCGGCGCAGTGGTAGAGCTGTTGATCGTAGCGATTTGAGGCGTTTTGGTTCGATCCCAACCAGAGTGAAACTTCCTTTGCAAAAAAAGTTTTGCTAGTACTCAAAAACAAGGAAGCCTAGGCCAAAAAGTGGAAGATGCAATCGCAAGTAAAACGCGAGTGTAAACCACATGTTTCCGCCGGGTACATGTTGTTCGGCGATATGAAATAACGAGAAAACAGGGGGTCCGTGCGGCTGATTGACAACTTCCCGCCTCGGCCTCCTTCTTTCCGGTGGTCCTGCTTGTTTTCGAGCCGAAGAACACCAGAAATCGGGGAACAAGATGGATGGAAAAGCGGATATGAGCGGGGAATCAGCGAAACGGAAAGTTACATTCATTTTTGATTTTGTACACTTTCAAGGTTTTCTTTAACTATTATTACAGTTTCAAAAGGTACACAGCATTTGCAACGTTTCATATACGCAGTGGGTAATCAGTTCCTTGAAAAAATCTGATAAATCTGTTCGGAACGTTCGTTTGTATTGTGAAATAAAGTATGATAGCTGTAGGATCCGTTTTTCAACACTTTGGACGTTAATGAACACTTTCAGAGATTGAAACTTTTCCTATTTGCCCTACATGACAGCCCTCGAAATTATTTGGTCCAAATGTTATTCCAAATCCGAACTTTATCCTTTCACCAGTCCGAGAAACAGTGATAAATGTGTACAAAAGATTGTCATTTCGCCAAAAAAAAAGTTTACTTTTACAGTTTCATTGAACGCACAAGTATTTCTTTTGTTTTTGAAGTTTTAGTACTAGAACCAGGCTACGACACGGTCTTCAGAGCTGACAATATGGGCGTGGCCTCGGCGGCCAAATGGCGTTTTCATGAATTGAGCACGTTTTCTCTGATTTTTGTGGTCAAAGGCGATGAAAAGTGATTGTTCGACATGAAAACACGCTAATTCTCAGAATTCGTGACGTTTTGGCGCATTTTTCGCGGACTTTGCTTTTCGCCTTCGCCGCCGATATCCGCCTAAAAACCGCACTTTTCATTTTGCGCTTTCTTGACCGTTTTCAGACAGAATTGGTTTTGAGAATGATAAATCACGTAAATACAAGCATTTTGAGCGCTCGAACTGCGAAAATTATCGAAAAGCAACTGAAATTCACGCAGTTTTAGCCAAAAACATTCAAACGGATAAATTTAATTTGCGACTTGACCAAATTTAACGCTCTAGCGCTTAAAAAATTCGTAATAACCTATAGAATCGGTCTATCGAGAGACAAATGAGAAATTATCGGTTTTTCGTGGCTAATCTGGCAAAAAACACAAATTTTGCTGTTAAAATTTGAATTTCGCGCCAATGTATCGCTCTATTGGGCGGGGCGCACTTGCGCCCATTCCCATTGTCAACTCTCGATACCGTGAGGAGCTTAAATCGGCTCTACCGGATTCAGAAATGATTTCTAGACGCGTGTCGAATAGGATTTCCGTTTTCTAATCACATTTCGCTTCGGGATGTGAAAAAAACTTCAATACTTTTGAAATTCGTTTACTATCCTATTTGGGACTTCGACGAAACTGTAAAACAGTTTCAATGCCCTATAAAGTCGAGTTTTTCAGCAAAAATCTCGCCAATTCCTTATCAAAGTATACAAAATCTAGTACACTACATTCGAGCCGGTTGTACGCTCGAAAAATTCGCAAAAGTGTCAGTTTCCGGACTGTTTTATAGAAAACCATCAAAATTCGTGAAACTAGTCGACTATCCCATCCAACCAGGTGTACTTTTCCGTTTCAAATCCTTCACAACTATCCCATTTTCAAGCACTAAAATGTGTGTTGCTCTCCGAAATCGGCCCCCATTTCCCCACTCGACAATCGGTCATTTTGACGTGTTCACACCATTTTCTTTCATCAAAAACGGATTCAGCGAGGAAGAGAGAAGAAGAAGAAGAAGAAGAAGAAGGGATTCCCACGAGATTTCATTCGAATGAGTCGAATAACGGACGGAGAAGACGGAAAAATGAACTTTTTCGCTGATGTCCGCGGTCCCCCCGGGGGCGCCGGGGATCATAAAAACAGTTGTAAAAAGTTGCTTCTTCATTAATATCATCGGAATACTGGGAGGGAATTTGGGACGGAAAGGAAGCGGAGAGAGAGAGATGGAAAAGATGACAGGCGTCACGTGCAAACAATGCGTTTTGTTTGCGAGCCGAACAGAAATGAGCGAAATCTCGGATCGACAATATCTACCTTTATTGTTTTCTCGGATCAACGACTAGCAGATCAAGCGCACCACTCGGTGAAATGAGTTTTGTGAAGCGGAAACGTCTAGACGTGCCAACTATTCGGACATTCGGACCGACAATATCCGATTTCGAGAAGATTCTTCGCCTACACATTCAGAACTCTTTTCCCTTTCAACTATCAACACAAATGTTGACTTTTCAGATCGCATTTCATAAGAATAGCCTCAAAATGTCAGTTTTCAATCTTCAGTCTCAAGATCAAGTCAAGTTTGTTTGTTTTTGATTGAAAAGTGATCTTTATTAGCTCTGGAAAACATTGAACATTTTCATTAAAAATGCGGAATGCGGAACGGAATTCTGGTGCGAACTTCACAGACCCGGCCCCGCACCGGGAATGTCTTCACCCTGAGAGCCACAGAGAAGTTGGTACGCGTGGCACAGAGGTAAAAGTGTTGGTCGGCAATTTTGCAGTTTTGGTTCGATCCCCGCTGGGTTAGGAATGTTTTTTCTTCGGTTTTGTCGAGTTTTTGCAACTTTTAAGGAATTTTTCGGCATTTCTGACTTTAATCAACATTTCTGTTTCTAGAAGCGCACTTTCGAACTTGAAATGAATAAAACATGATTCTCCAAATACGGAAAGAGCAATTTTTCAAAATTTCATAAGAAAACTCACCTCAACAAATGAATTTCTCGCTCGAAACTTCGCAGTCGATTATTAGCCGCTTGACGCATCGCTCTCGCTTCCTTTTCTGGGTGCTCTGCGTCGAAAAAAAGTGAAAAATGACGATGGGATGGCGAATAAAATGTCGTCGTCTCGGGGAAAAGGGGGGCAAACCCACGGAGACCTTGGTGTGGACCTCCAGAAATCAGAAGAGAGAGAGAGAGAGAGAAAGAGACGGAGAAAGAGTCGGGGAGAGCCGGAGAGAGAAAGAGAGAGAGAGACGGAGAGAAGCCGCATTGTGTTGTTGTTGTGGGAGGCCAGAAGAAGAGGAAGAAGAAGAAGAAGAAGAAGGGCGAAAGGGTATGAGTAGTAGTAGTAGTAGTAGTGAAAGAAGAAGAAGAAGAAGAAAAAGGGGGAGAGTTACTCACGGACCACCCACTACATTCCAATGAATCAGCTAATCAACGCACACACACACTTGTCACAACTTTTGATGAAGAAGAGCGAGCGGGAGAGAGAGAGAGAGAGAGAGAGAGAGAGAGAGAGAAAGAGCAACGGAGCATGAAAGGACACGCATTTCGAATCGACGTGTTCAATTGAATCGAAGAGTACAGTTTCAGAAATGAGACTTAAAGTTTGAGATAAATTAGACGTTCACTAGTCGACTGGCAACCAGAGCTTAGCGGAAATGGAATTTTGAAATCCGGAAGACGGCAGACGGAAGAACATTTTTCTCACGGAAGACGGAAGACGGAAGAAAAAAATCGTCAATGCAGAACCTTTTTCTCCGGTTTTTTTTAATAACTAAACAACAAAAATTTTGGATCTGGGTCACTGCCCGTGGAAATTCGCGATCTTTGGGGCTAGTAAATGGCTTCTGAAAAGCTATTACTCTTTTACGGTAAGACGAAAACATTCCGGAAGACGGAAGACGGAATTCCGCTCAACTCTGCTGGCAACTTTCAAAAGGTATTAATTTGAATAATTAACATTGTTCGTGAATTTGAAAAACATTCATTTCAAATCACAACGGATACTTTCGGAAGTTCCACGGCTTATAACCCGGAGTGCAGTTCAACGCAAAGTCCCGTTTCAAATGCTCTTTGTGATAGACGACCTGAACTTGAGATTTGATATTATAAGTACTACATATCATTTACATTGACCATATTCGTGTAATAGTCTTCCTCCAATGGATGATCCTCCTGGCCCAAAAACGTCCGATTGAAGAGCAACTCGGCGGTGCATTCGACTATTGAGTAGTCGAAGGAGGGCATCATCTGCAAATGGTTTCAGTTTCAGACACTTCATTTGTTCCGATCGTGTTTTTGAATAACAATATGTATAGAGTTGACCACCGTTACCCGTACAAAAGTTTCACGCGGCGCGCGTAGGTACTGACGCAATTCTGGTGTGGACCTAATTCAAAATTTTGTATATTATCATGTTCCAAACTATTTGGCCAAGTCTCAGACGAAACGGATTTGTTTCAGCCAAATTGCACCGATTAGTCTGCACCCCGTTCCCATAATAAATCACTCTAAAAAGGGTCTTACAGGCCAATATAAAGGCTAAACCGCAGACAAGTAGGGGAGTGATAAAAAAAAAAGAATATTGTTAGGATTGTTAGGAAAGGAGGTCGGGTGCATCACTATTAGCTTATAAATATCGTCAAACATCTTAACAAACGTTTTGCGAAGTCTCATGTCTTTCTGACTTCTAGTTTTGCAATTACACACTTTTATTTTGTACGGGTAACGGTGGACCACCCACATTGTAAGAGAAGGATTTTAAAACTTGTTGGTACCTTATTGAACATCAAATTAGGCATCCGAGCCACCACCGGAAAGTCCTCGAGACCCATAATACACACTCCGTGTCTCACTCTCTGACTCCCGCACTTTTTGTCCTTCTCGTCCGTGAATGCCCATTTACTCCATCTGCAAGGGAACTCAACTAGTAGGACCGTCTTCATGGGACCTTTAACCCGAACTTGAAACCGAAAACGAACCTGGAAATGAAATCCGTCCGTTTTCCGGTCTCCTTCACACATTCGCCCGTAAAATGGCCGGGCATCGCCAGAAACTCGTTGGATTGAAACGTGGCCAGCCATTGCTCATCGACACCGTAACCCTCAAAAGATTACTGTAGACGAGATCCTGCGGGTTACGGTACCCACTCCCTGATTCCATTGATTCAGAAATGTGCTCGGATTCACAGTCACTACCATCCATTCGACAGCGGGCCGGGACAGAGATCCTTGAACGGATCCCTTCGCGATTTGTAGGGATTTATTGAGAAATTCAGGTGGAATAGAGGATTCTGAACTTGAATTCTATTGTAAAAACTGATTTGAAAGGCAGATTACCATCTCGAAACAGTTGTAAACTTTCCAAATCCCATCGGAATTTCTTATCAACTCTGCCGAATTCCTTGTCAATTTCGACGTCATTCGCACCGCCCAGCAGCTCGAAAATGCGAGACAATTCGTAGATTGACTTGCCGATGACGTCATGATTCTGAAAATTGGATTACGGTAGCCACTTTTCTTCTATTAAATGTACTGTATAAAAAAAAATCAGATTTTGTTCATTTTGCCTGTGAAAAGCTTCAGATGCAATTCAAAGTTGACAAAAGTGTTTGGACGTACAAAAATGCACAATAGCATCAAATATCCGGTACATTTGTGAAATGTAGTCCATTTTAATTGCATGAAAGTTCGCTCACCTGCATCAGAACCAAATAGTCCCAATTGGGAATGTTGATGAGCGTTTTCATGCACTCAAAATGAGCGAAATTCATGTTATGACCAGCCGAATCGATTGGAAGCTCCTCTGAAAATTGAAAAGGCTATAAAAGAATTCAACTACGCGCAATTATTAGTTAACAAGTGTCGAAAGTTTTATGAGAACTCTCTGAAACTGTAATTTTCTCATTCCGCTGCTTTTTTCTGACGATCTCTCTATTTTTTTTGCAAATCAAAATCAGTTTCAAAAGTGTTTGATCAGAATTAAAATAGGTGACCTCTCCGTTTGCTAACGGTTTTTCGAAAACATTTCAAATATTATGGATCCGCTGAAACGGACAAACAACTCACCGTCCAACACGATCACATTCGGCAGACACCGTCCGATCCGCCGAATGCGCCACTTCAAATCCACGTCGGCCTTCGAGTCGAGGCCAAAACAAAAGTGATTTTGAGGATGATACGACATTTGCACTTGTTTCTCCAGAAACTCGTAGTCCTTGTAGACGACTCGCGCGAACGCCACGCCCACTTTCAACGGTTTCAATCGGTACCGAAATGGGACTATTCTGGCCTGAATGGCCCGACACGACATGTCCAGATAATCGAGATTCGGGACAAGGGCTATGCGCGCTTCACCTGTGAACTTTTGGATGTAGGACTGAAAAATCGAAGGCTACTAGACATCACGAGAGTCTGGAAATATCTGAAACCTTGTCATTTTTCAGAATCCTCGCACAGTCTAAACTCTCAGTTTCGGCACGTCTCCATAGGATGTCGTCGGTTTCCGAGTGCCAAAACATTCGGATCCGCGGAGCCATTGAGTAGATAAAAACGGAAGAAAAGGAAATGAAGATGAGGGTTCGGGAGCACATAAACATTTGTGGAAGAGCACACAAACGGAAGGGAAATGGCGGAGCAGCGGCAGCAGATGGAGCCATACATTTCAAAACATTTCCCCCCAACGCTTTACACTTTCCATACACACACACACACACATTTTTCAGATATTTCATTCGTTCCAACCCGTAAGAAACCCAACACTAAAGCAATAGTAATCCTGCTCTATAATGGATATTGTCGTTCGGCCCATCGCGTGTAACTCGGCGTACAATTCAACTTGAAGCCCGGCTCTTTGTGGTGTTTGTGGTAGAGCACCTGGAAAAAAAAGTTCAAGACGATTCGTTAGAGCTCAAACTGACATTGACCATATTCGTGTAATAGTCTTCCTCCAACGGATGATCCTCCTGACCCAAAAACGTCCGATTGAAGAGCAACTCGGCGGTGCATTCGACTATTGAGTAGTCGAAGGAGGGCATCATCTGCAAATGGTTTCAGTTTCAGACAGAGCGCTTGTAAGGGTTGCTTTTTGAATAAAAACCATTTGTGATCTTGTTTGACGTTCCCGATTTATTTCCCAATGAAACCCACCGGTTTTTGGGTCAATTATTGTTAGTTTCGTGTCTATTAACGCGCGCCACGGTCTCCAGATCTGACAATATGAGCGTGGCCTCGGCGGCCAAATGGCGTTTTCATGAATTGAGCACGTGTTCTCTGATTTTTTGTGGTCAACGACGATGAAAAATGATTTTTTGACAAGGAAAACACACTAATTCTCAGAATTAATGACGTTTTGGCGCATTTTTCGCGGACTTTGCTTTTTCGCCTTCGCCGCCTCAAAACCGCACTTCTCATTTTGCGTTTTTTTTACCGTTTTCAAACAGAATTGGTTTTGAGAATGATAAATCACGTAAATACAAGCATTTTGAGCGCTCGAACCGCGAAAATTACCGAAAAGCAACTGAAATTCACGCAGTTTTAGCCAAAAACCTTCAAACGGATAAATTTGATTTGCGACTTGACCAAATTTAACGCTCTAGCGCTTAAAAAATTCGTAATAGCCTATACAATCGGTCTATCGAGAGACAAATGAGAAATTATCGGTTTTTCGTGGCCCATCTGGCAAAAAACACAAATTTTGCAGTTAAAATTTGAATTTCGCGCCAATGTATCGCTCTATTGGGCGGGCGGGCGCACTTGCACCCATTGTCAGCAGCTCTGGAGACCGTGTGACGGATTAAGAATTTCATTTATGGTGTATGCCCACTAGAGTTCTGCAATGTTGCCAGAATAGTTGTAAAGCCGTTAAAACAGAAAAAAAGGTGGAAAGCGTTTCTCAAACGGCAAATTATTGTGAACATCCAGTTTTAGTACGTTTGTTTTTCTTGGATTTCAATCAAATTTTTCCAGATTTTCTGCAAGTCCTCACACTTTACGCGCACGAGAAACCGAACCTTGTTGAACATGAGATTCGGATACGCGGCGACCGTCCGTAGATCCTCGATTCCCAGCAGACAGATCGCGTGCCTGATCGTCTTGGATCCGCACTTTTCGGCGCCTCCGTACATCCACTGGGACATTCTCGAGACGAAGTCGGTGTTCTTGTGCACTTTGAGACATTCGTCGGTGAAGTGGCCGGGCATTCCGAGCTCGGCGCTCACTTGGAAACTCTGAATGAACTGCTCGTCGACTCCGAAACCCTGAAATTGATGCGTGTTTTGTTGAAACGAGCGCTTGAAAAGTACTCCAGAATTCCATTGAGCGATGTAGGTGGACAGATCGGCGGTGCGGACCATCCAATCGACGGCGGCGCGGGACAAAGAGCCCTGCGCGGCGCCCTTCGCGAACTTCATTCTAGTTGTCAGCACCTTTTCGTCGATGCCAGTCTCTGAAAATGTCTTTGATTGGTTCTTGAACCCTAGAATCCATACCATTTCGGAACATCTTCAACGACTTCGGATCCCAACTCAGCTTCTTGTCGAGTCTTCCCGCTTCGGGCGTGATCTCGACGTCGTTGGCTCCGCCGAGCCACTCGTACACTTGCTCCAGCTCGTAAACCGATTTGATGATGACGTCGTGGTTCTGCAGAAGAATCGCGTAGCTCCAGCCGGGTTTGTTGATGAGCACACGCAGACAATTGTAGTGGGCGAGGTTGATGTTGTGGCCCGCGGAGTCGACCGGTTCCTCATCTGGAAATCGAAGGGAATGGCGAATCGAATTATTGGCAAAACTCAACGCTCAAATCTGTGTCAACAGTTTCAGAGCTCAAATATCTGACCTGGTAAGAGAAGAATGTTGGGCAAACACTCGGCCATCGCCCTCAATCTCTCGTGGAACTTGGGCGCCGCTTTCCGATCGATGGCGAAACAGAACGTGTTTTGTGGATGGTAGGACATCTGCACCTGCTTCTCGATCATCTCATAGTCCGCGTACACGATCCGCGCGAACGCCACTCCCTTCTCCAATGGCCGCAGAACGGTCCCCGACGGAAGAACTCGGTCCATAATCGCCGAACACGACATGTCGAGGCCCTGATTCTCGACAATCTTCACTCGATTCTTTCCGGATACGGTCTCTAGATACGGCTTATCGCCAGAAAGTATCCTTCCGCAGTCAATGTGCTGTGTTTCGGGTCGTTTTCGGTAGGATGGCTTCTGAAATTTCAAGTTATTACTGTAAAAACTGTGCAGCCTAATAACGTCCAATGTATCTCGGATGCCGGTAAAGATATCAAAAAGTTGTCAACTGATGAATTGTACACCATGTTTTAAGGAGCAATTTGTTAGTTGACAACTTTTGGATATCTCCAGCGAAAGCCGAGATATATCGTTCTGAATAAATGGTATTATGGTACTGCTCTCGGTCTTGCTGCTTGTAATTCTAGGCCCCTGTTTCAATACTTTTTGAAAACTAAAGATTAATAGTGCCATCTGCTTAATTATTTACTAGTATCCAAGCGCTTTTTCAAAAGAAAACCAGTTGGTACCAGGTCAGATTTGATATCCAAATGCTGAAAATCCTTCTGCAACTCCGTGATAATCTTGTTTCTCTCTTTAATTTCATTCCGCAACTCGTCCATCACTTGCTCGTAGGTCATCGGATTCCGCACATCTGGTATCAGTGTATCTGAAATTGAAATGAACATTGTAAACGTTTTTGTAAAAAAAAACTGTCGCCTACTGATCATAGAGTTTTTACTCTCGGAAATGAAGATGTAGACGAGAATACAGGCAGTCAGGAAGAGAAATAACCAGAGGAAACGGCAAGTTTTCGGTGCGCTCGACGCCTCCAGAAGTTGATAACGCACTTTGCTTCGCATCTGGAAATAGAACGTTGAAAAACGATGATTGACAATAGCAAGTAATCCCTCCGAAAAACGAGGAAAACGTTTGCGTAAAAGCAATGTCAGGTAAAGAAACCGACAATAAACACACGCTTTTATTGTTGTTCGCCACTCGGAACCGAAAGGAATCTCACTTTTGCTAGATATTCTTCCTCATCGTCATTAGGCTACAAGTTTGACACGTTTCGGCTCAAGTCTAAACTTAGCCACACTCAAAAGCGTAAAAGTGAACGTGTGCCGCGCAAAAACCAAAGTTTGAAACGGAGCAAGTCATGGAAACAAAGACGCAAATGAATTCGGCGGCGGAAGGAACGAACAGACGGGACCGCGTTTCTATGGAAACTCAAGAAAACGGGATTAGGGATTAGCGCGATTCGGAATAATAAAGGAATAAAGTTACTTACTCGAAAACAGACGTGGCAAAACGCAGAACTAACTGATTAGCATTCTGTTAACAGGAAAAAATAGTGTGCAAGGGTCAAATGTTGAGATTTTTCAGTTTCAATTAGTGCTCTAACTCTCCGCTACTTACTATGATTTACTACAATTTCAAAAAAGTGTATTTCACGGTCTCCAGATCTGACAATATGAGCGTGGCCTCAGCCATTTTCATGAATTCAGCAGGTTTTCTCTGATTTTTTGTGGCCAACGACGATGAAAAATGATTGTTCGACAAGGAAAACACACTAATTCTCAGAATTAATGACGTTTTGGCGCATTTTTCGCGGACGTTGCTACCGCTCTTCTCATTTTGCCCTTTTTAACCGTTTTCAGACAGAATTGATTTTGAGAATGATAAATCACGTAAATACAAACATTTTGAGCGCTCGAACCGCGAAAACTACCGAAAAGCAACTGAAATTCACGCAGATTTAGCCAAAAACCTTCAAACGGATAAATTTAATTTGCGACTTGACCAAATTTAACGCTCTTGCGCTTAAAAAATTCGTAATAGCCTATACAATCGGTCTATCGAGAGACAAATCAGAAAATATCGGTTTTTCGTGGCTAATCTGGCAAGAAAACACAAATTTTGCTGTTAAAATTTGAATTTCGCGCCAATGTATCGCTCTATTGGGCGGGCGGGCGCACTTGCGCCCTTTGTCAGCAGCTCTGGAGACCGTGACGTGTATGAAGTGAGAAAAGTGTGAGGCTAGTAGATAGTAAAAGTAAAAGTAACTATTTCTCTCCCTTCTCTCTCTCTCCCAAGTTTGCGCTTTCTGCTGGAAGCAAACATCGCCATGTACGTGTCTTTTTGCGTCTGCGGTCGGTTTACTGATAACTCTCCCTCTTCGCCGTGAATGATAACAGGGCACATTACACAGCATTTCGAGCCATTACTTACTTTGCAGATGGGAGAGGAGGTGTTGTGAGGAGAAAGGAAGGAATTGTGACAAGAGCGGAATGGATGGAAATGGAAACATATAGTTCCCACAAATTCATGTTTTTTTTGTGAAAGCACTCGAGCCTATGCTATTGTTGAATGTACATAAATCTAAAAGAACGGTACCAAATGGCACTATTGAACGTTGGTTTTCGAGGAGTTTTGAAGCAGAAGGGGCAATTCAAGAATACAATATATCTCAGCTGCCGGTGGCGATGTCAAAAGGTTGTCAACTAATTAAATGTACACTATGTCTTAAGGAGTATTTTGTTAGTTATCAATTTGTTGGTATCTCTACCGGTAGCTGAGATATTTCACCTCAACAACAAGCAGGACGATCGAATGAGAGCGGAACCCTAATACTGCTCATTCAGGACGATTTATCTCAGTTGTCTGTAGAGATATCTAAAAGTAGGCAACTAACAAAATGTTCACTAGGAGATTGTGTACATTTTATTAGTTGATTATTTTTTGAAATCTCTACTAGCAGCTGAGATACATCAATTTGAATGGACGGTATTAAGGTTCTTTGCCGGTCCTAGGCTGGTGAAGAGAAATGGTTGCGGTAATGTCATTTGATCAAATTTTTGTCACACTTAACGCTTGAGAACGTGGCATACAAAGTTGCATAACAAACAATATCCACGTGTCCCTTCATTCCTCCCATCCACTTCTCCCATCGCATTCTGTCAACCAAATTTATTTCACAAAGCTAACGTGTTCAAACTTAGAATCACTTTTTTGTTTCTATCGATATGTTGTCGTCTCCAAATTCGGGGTAAGTCTTCCAGCACTTTAATTCTTTCAGAAAACGCCCGCTTTCAGAGGAAGTTCAAATGATTCAACAACCACAACAATCGAAAAAGAGGCATACTACCATGGACTTTTGCCGCGAGAAGACGTTCGGCTGCTGCTCGACAAAAACGGCGACTATCTGGTGCGCTCGTCGGAGGCGACGAAGGGAGAAGTCTCGAGATCGTACATTGTCAGCGTGATGTTCGATAATAAACTGGACGAGGAGCACTCGGTGAGCATGAAGGCTGGTTGCAAAGTGTCCAACGCACATCATGATTCCAGGTGAAGCACTACGTTGTCAATCATGCGGACCGGAAGTACTGGGTCAGCCAGGAGGCGTCGTTCGATTCCATCCAGTTCCTCATCGCCCACTATTCCAAGACGCCAAGTGCCGATGTGATCAAGATGGTCTCTCCGGTCAAACGAGTCTTCTGGGAATTGGAGCACGAATCGATCACGATCCTCAAAAAGTTGGGAGAAGGCGCGTTCGGCGAGGTTTCAGCCGGATCGCTGAAATTCAAGAAGGGAGGAAAGCAAGTGTCGGTGGCGGTGAAGCAGGCGAAACTCGAGAAGATGGGCAAGGAGCAGATCAAGGACTTCATGGCCGAGGCGCGGAACATGCGGAAGTTCGGCCATCAGAACGTCGTCCGCTTCTACGGAGTCGCCGTCCTTCAGGAGCCGCTCTACCTCGTGATGGAGTTGGCGACCGGCGGAGCACTGGATCATTACCTGAAGAAGAACGAGGACTTGTCGGTGGAGAAGCGCAACGAGATGCTATTGCAGGCGGCGTGGGGACTCGAGTACCTGCACGGAAAGCCCGTCTTGCACAGAGACATCGCCGCGCGTAACTGCCTTTACGGCGACGGAAAAGTCAAAATTTCCGACTTTGGACTCACGCGCACCGGCACGTTCTACCAGATGCGCGCCGGCGGAAAGGTCCCGATCCGATGGCTCGCGCTCGAAACGATCAAAACGTTCATCTACACGCAGAAGACGGACGTCTGGAGCTACGGCATTATGGCCTGGGAGATTTACAATAACGGCGGCGAGCCGTATCCCGGACTGACCCTTCCGGAAGTGACGACTCAGATTCAGAGCGGCTACCGCATGACTCTGCCGCCGCACGCGACGCCCGACGTTCAGACCCTTGTCACGGTGAGAATTGAGGGAGGATGGCGCCTGAAAATCGAATAAAAGTGTTCAGAAGTGTTGGGCCGAGAACGCGAACGATCGTCCGACGATGCCCGACATCGCCACCGCTCTCCAACGCATTACCGGCATTCACAGACCGAATTTTGCGGCGATCGCGCGGAAGGAAGCCGAGGAGGTAGGGGACACTTTGCAACCGGAGCAATTCGTTTCAATTGCGATTCTTTCAGCTGCTGCTCATGAACACGGCGACGCACAAGGGAACGCAGCGTCGGAGAGCGAAGAAGGCGGCGGTTCCGAAGGGAATGTGAACGAAGAGCACGGAGCAATCGCTTTTGTTTCGAATAAAGCACTATTTTCTTCTTGGACAACATTGAAGGCTAGGTCCCAGGAAGGGGAACCCTATTGGCTGCCCCTGGGAAAGACCCCCGCCCTCCAAGTACTAGACAGTTGGCGACGTCTTCCGTTAGTATTCCTTTGTTTTTTCTCTCTTTCAGTTCGTGATCTTAGATTAGAAACTAGAACTTTTTAATCACTTATTTATTGAGATCGATAAAAAAAATTAGAAGATATTATTAATTATTATTAATTAGTTTTCGCGCGGTTTCTTTCCGACGGTCCCGCCGGCCGCGGTCTCTTCCAGCAGTCTCTTCTTCTTTTTGCTCGCGTCCATCCCGACCGTCAGTTCCCTTGCCGCCACGAACTTCACCAAAGTCGACCTCTTCGTGTAGACGGCGTCGATTTCCACACGATTCCTCTCTGCAATGGCCTTCCCGATCGTCGCCTGTTTTGCCAAGTTCTTCTTGAACCGCTCGGCCTCCTGCGTCAAATCCAACGATCTGAAAATGAGATAAGTTTACTAAAAATATGAAGAGTTATTAACTTACTTGACGTTTTCAGCCAATTGAAGTCCAATAAACCAGCACGTCCGACGGTTGTTCTCCTCCCTCACTCCAAATTTGGCCGACTTGCTCGGCTTGTACTGTCGGGCATGGATGTGAGCCAATCTCACCGCCGGATTCCGCTCCAACTGCTGCACAATCTGACGGAGACGCGATTCGAAGAAGCCCAAGTAAGTGAGCTCCTCTTCCTCAGTCTCCGCCGCCATGACAAGCACCATGAAGTGCTTGTACCGGCAGAAGAAGTTCACCGGCGCAAACAACTCTTCCCACTGGGCCTTACCTTTCTGAATCTCCGTGCAGACAGCCATAGCTGCCTTCATTTCCTCCTGAATCACCGTCAAGGTGCTTTTAGACACATTAAAAGTTGAATTTTGCTCCGGGAACGCCGGAGTCAACACCGGCATCAAGTGGTATGAGTCGGCGTGGTTGACGCTCGGATTCCAGACCAATCGAGCCACGGACGGAAAGGCCGCCGTGCTCATACGGTCCAGAACGACCGGAGCCGGCCAGTTCCACGTGGAGAAGACGAAGAACGTCTTCTCGATGATTTTGGATGGCGCCGCGTTGGGGTAGAGCTGGCAGGTACGGGCCACCATTATAGCCCAAGTGATCCCACCCAGGAAGCCCAGCGAATTCGAGTAGACCCCATGGTTTTTGGCCCACATTTTGATTGCACGAAGGGCGGTGCAGAAAGTGTTTTGATTTGGAACTAACCTGAGAATCTTTTCAGCTACCCGACTTCCATTCAGCGATCGAATGCACTTCACGTCCATGTTCGCCAGCAGTGCGTCATCAGAAAGATCCAGGGATTCTGGCACTTCCTTCAGCATCAGACGGGCGAACAGGAGGTCCACCTCCACTCCCATGCACTTCAGCGTCATGATCGGGACGAATGCGTCCACCACTGCGTTGAGCTCCGTCACTTCCGAATCCTCCTTGAGCATCTTCTTGAATGAGCTGAAAAAATCGGCCCTGGTCACGAAACTCGGCGCGACCAGGACCGTGTCAATGTCCCCGCCACTGCTGTGCACTCCCAGTCTGAAAGACCCGAATGCAAGAAGCTTACCTCCTGGCACGAATCCTTCTTCCGACGGCATTCGTACCTCGGCCAGGGCCCCGATCCACTTCTTCACGAGTCCATTCAGCTTGCCCATCACCTCCTGTCTCTTCTTTGTTTCTTCTTTCGGCTCGAAGCTCTTCATGTCTTCCAACGTCTTCATCATCATTTTCGTGAGCTCCAGATCCTGAGCGGTTGGCTTGGCCACACTAATCGCCTGGGAGATTCCGAAAACCTGGGTGGTAGAGCTGGAAGCAGACATTATTGCAATTGTTGTTGAGGAGATAAGATGAATCTGAAAAACAGTAGTTGAGTATTTGATTATAGTGATAAAGAGAGGAACAGAAAGAAAGGTACAGAAAGAGAAGAAGAGCAGAAAAGTTGGAAAATCAAAGAAGAAGCCGAGGTTTTATGAAAACAGAGTGACCGAATGCATTCATGAAGCCGAATTTCAGAAATCCCTATTGCTGAGCCCATTTCATTCAGATCATTCATTCCAAATGACATTTTCAGCAATCTATCACAGTCCACTGACATTTTAGGTTCCGTCAGGTGAGTAGTGTAATGAAGAACAATTGTTAGACCAGAAAAACATAATTTCAGAGCACTTCCCCATGATTCACCGCACAAGGCGAGGAAATGATCAGACACGAGATGACAATCACTTCGAGGGCTGGAACACAACATCTGAAACAATTCCGTCGACTTCAAGTCTTCTTGACTTGAAATGAGTAAGATTCGAACATTCCCCAGCAAAAAACCTGAAATGAACGTGAAAAGTTCACATTTTCCATCAAAAACGTGTTTCATCAAACAGTTTTGTGACAAAGAAGTGTTTATCACGTTCATTAGCAACAAATCGGAATGATGGCCGCTGATTACCGCTTCAAACTATCTCGGAAAGGTTTTTGAGGTCAATAAGTTCGAAATAATGCTCTTCTAATAGTTCAGTTTTGCAGTGTTTGACCGAGAATGATTCACAAAAAGACCTTGAAGTTGGTAGAGATCGAAAGAAATGTTTCTAGGTAACAACCAGTAAGTTTTGGTTTTTTGATAATTTGAAATGATTGCTAGTCACTCAAATCATCAACCTTTAGCGGTCAATCAGCGACCACCCAATAACAAGAACAATTCAACATTTCCGTCCTTGCTGACCGATGTTCTCGTTGTTGTTCACGATTAGTCCCTCGCTGACTGTTCTGGAAGGAACACTTTGAAATCAAAGTTTCAAATTCATGTCATACAAAGTTGCAGAGGTACATGATCATAAAAGTGCATGATTACAGATGTACATGACGGATTCACAAGTTTGACGACGCAGTTATATCGAAAATCGAATGGAAATTGATAGAGAAGGTGTAAAAGCCGACAAGAATGATATGGAATCGTGAAAGGACTAGTCGGAGGTAACGGACTTCAGCAAGAATGGAGAATGAGGGAAGAGGAAGAAAATCGATTGAAATTGGCATCACTTCAGATAGAGAACAAGAGCGAAATGAAGAGAAACGACCGAATGAATGAGCTCTGTGCGCGACTCGGAAGAGCACAGACCACGCCCACTGACCCCCGCACAAATGTGATGACTATTCGGACATTTCCGCGAGTTTTACGACTGGCAATGACGACCACCCAGTCTGCACATTTCAGAAAAGGGATTAGGGGGGAAGGGGCTGTAAACCGGGAAAAGAAGAGGCGAAAATAGAGTTTGGGAAAGAGTGGTATACAGGGAGCAATCGTTCTCAAATGGTAGGCCACTTTTTGCGATAGAATTTGGTGGAAAAGGAAAAAACGTAAAGCTCCTTCACTTATCAAAGTTCTCATTTGTTACGATTCCCTGAAAACCACGTCTTTCTGTTTCGAGAAAACCGTAAAAGTTTGACAAAATTGGTGAATCACCTTATGTGGAAATGTTTGAAAGTAGTCTCAAGACATTTTGACAAGTGATGGAAACGTTAAAGAATATGGAATCATGAAAGGACATAGTAAGAGGTACATGACGGTCCTTAGAGACTTCAGTGGTACAGAATGAATAGAGAATTGAACGGAGAATGAGAAAAGAGCAAGAAAATTGATGAAATTGGCATCACTTCAGATAGAGAACAAGAGCGAAATGAAGAGAAACGACCGAATGAATGAGCTCTGTGCGCGACTCGGAAGAGCACAGACCACGCCCACTGACCCCCGCACAAATGTGATGACTATTCGGACATTTCCGCGAGTTTTACGACTGGCAATGACGGCCACCCAGTCTGCACTTTTCAGAAAAGGGGGTATGGGGAAGGAGGCTGTAAACCGGGAAAAGAAGATGCGAAGATAGAGTTTGGGAAGGAGTGGTATACCGTGTACGGGAATGCATTGGTTTACAATCCCTCTCTAGATCGTTCTCAGAAAAGATAGACTCACTGAAGGTTCTTCAAAATTTGTTGCAGATGGTCAGGACAGTTCCAAGTGATGGAGGGGAGCCGTTCGATTCTTGATTGATATTTGATATTTGATATTAGATAGCGAACTTTCGTCAAGAGGTGGTCACCAACTTCCGCGCTTCTCCTGTCAGACATTTTTTTAGAATGCAGTACTTCGTTGCCGCCGTGTAGAACCCGTTGTGGTGTACCTGTTCATCGAATTGGTTTATGAATTCGGGGTACAAATCGGGGTCTTCTCCTGAGAACTTGTCGATTGACTCGATCATGTCTCTTATGGAGATGTTCTGCGCGCCACCGTATGGTTCAATCGGTGATCTGCTGTTTCCCCCCCACGGGCTCGGCTCTGCGGCTCTCTCTCTGCCTCTCAGTCTGTTCCGGAGGATCTCCTGGACGTCCGACAATTGCTCTTGAAGGATCTAATTCTCCCGCATGAGCATCTCGTTCAACTTTTGTTGAGTTGCCAAAGGCAGTTCCCTCAAACCCTTTCCAGGAAGTCGCACAAACGGGTGCAAAGACGCTCTATCGGACACGCGCGAGACACTCTTTTTGGTGTTCTTTCTGTACTTTTCTTTGTTGATTCGTTTCTTTCGTTGCTCCTCAAGCAGTAAACCTTTGTTTGATAATCTTTCGCGTTGTTTCTTGTGTTTTCTTGTATTAGACCCACTACCCCTTTTTATAAGCGGGCAACTGTTGGCTCATCTGCCGGGTCAGTTCCGGAGTCTCTGGAGCCAATCTCGCCGCCTGCAATCTTCTCCTGGCTTCCTCCGAGACCTGATCACCCTGATCCCCGATCCTGCCACGACCGGTTTGGGCGTTCAACTCCTCTGTCTCTCCGTTACTTTCGCCGACTCTACGCCTTTGAGCCTGTCCGATCGTGAGCTGAGCCTCATTACTGCTCTCCGTCTCCGACTGGCCTCTTTCTTCTCCTTCTGGCGTCTCCTCGCCTTCCGGAATCGGAGTGGCCGCGATCGCCCGCTCCGCCTTCTCGATCACCGCCGCCACCTTTTCCTGCAACTCTGCGAATTTCAGCTTTCCGCAGTGCTCTTCAATCAACTTTATGCTGTTCGCCTTGTCCGCTTTCAATACGGCGGACGCTTCAACCTTGAGTTCGATCGTTTCCTTGAAACCATAAACGTCGACAAGTTGCGTTATCAGCTTCTTGTTTAGGTTTTTGAGCATAATAATGCGCCGTGGTTCTGGCTGCTCGGCCAAAATCAACTCAGCTTTCTTCACCGTCTCCTTGACCAAGTTGGCCATTTTTGTGAAGTATGTTTTTGCCGTCGTCAGGGATTGACGCTGTCCTTGTCCCTCCTGACGTTCTTCGGCCATTTCCTCTCTGTGATCCTACATTGTTGAACTGTTCGTGCGGTGTACACGTTACTTTCCAATCTCGATACCTGAAAAGGTTACTTCTCGGCTCTTGTACCCCCTTTTGCACAATAATCTAACGATCCCGTTGATCAGGCGGGAGCTGATTACTCAATGAATTAAACTTTGGCTGACCGTTTCTTTGACACCTGGAGCGCTCTGATTCTCCTGGTGTATCTTATCTTGACGGATTGGTACCAACCACATTCTCAGGGCTTACGCCGATTGCCTGGAACTTGGAATTTTTTGCTATCGATGCCGATCACCCCTTTCATGCGGCCTTTGCACTTTTATATCCCGCTTGTGTGCCTTCGCGTGCCTTCGCTCATTCTTTTCGAGCTTTGCCAACACCGTTTAGGTTGGTTTTCAGTGCCTTACACTCTTTCGTGCGGCCTTTGCACTTTTATATCCCGCTTTGTGCTGTCGCGTGCCTTCGCCCTTCACTCCGGGCGTTGCCAACACCTTTTAGGTTGGCTTCCCGTGTATCCTTCTGCTGGACACCTTTTCTGCCGACTTTTCACCTACTACTCCTCCCTTTTCCTCTCTTTTTCCCTTGGTGGGAAGCTTCAGTGACTCTCCGATAGGCTGCTTTGACTGCAGCGCTTCTTCTGCTGCCGTTTTTCCTTTTTCGTCTATTTCTCCGCTCTCTCGCCTCCTCTCCTGCGTGCGCTCTCCGCGCTCGAGTTGCCTGAGACGATGGAGCCTTTTCGGGGCTTGAGATGTCTCTAACTCGAGTGATTTCTGAGTTCCAGGTCACTTTCAGACAAGTTGGTCACTTCTATGTCTCACATATTTCAGGATCTCCGGTTTTTCTCTCGCGTTTCCGCGGATTACCTTCGATTCCCCCACCTCGTAATCTTACTTCAGTGGTAGGTTTTGACTGCTCCTCAACTTTGTCACCCTGTATTTTTCGTACTCTCACTCTCCCCGATTTTCATTATTTTCTTTTTTCTTTTTCGGAGCGGTTCATTACTTTTTCTGTAATGACCGTTTCCCTTCTACTCTCTTTCTCCGCCTTTCGTGTGGTTCAGCTTTCTGTTTCTCTCATTTTCTTCTGAGAATATTACCTTTTCCCCTTTTTTTTTCGTTCTGGCGCGTATTGCTACGATTCTCCATGCAATCATATTTATTAGTATAACACACTGCCAACAAACAAAAGGTTAGAATTTCTCTTCTGTTGCGACTCCAGGCATCGCCTGCCTCGCATTACTCGCGGTCACTCCTCGTTGCCGGCCCCCGCTTCTTTCACTGGCTCCTCCGGCCCAGCCTGCTCCTCTCTTTCGACCGGCGCCTGCTCGTCCGTTTCCATGTCCTCATCTCCTCTCTTCAACAGGTGAAGCGGGTTGAGTAGCTGTAAGGTTACAGTTCTTTTTTTTCAGGCCGTCCCCCTCTTTTCACTCCTCTCACCTGGATTTTTCCGTCCGCTCTCTGTTTTTCCGGGTACGGTTCCGCCGCCAGCGAATCTGCTTTCGCCGACTCTATCTCACCTCTGGCACCTTGGGTGACAGCCGTAGTCTGTAATCGTACAGTTCTCATTTCCGTTTCTCCCCTCATTTTTTCTCACCTCCTTTTTTCCCGCTCTCTCTGGGAATTTCTTCCTGCACAACGCGTTGTGATGCACGTCCTTGCAGTACTGGCACCTTCTCCGCGACTTCTCGCATTTCGCGTGGGCCGCTGATCGAGTGCACCTGTCGCACAGCTTCTTACTCCGAAGTTGTTGCTGGCGTGTCTCCCAGTCTGGGTAGATCTCGCATTGTTCGCTGATATGACCTTCATTACAGAAGCAGCATCGCGGACCTGGGGTCTTTATGTCCCAGACCGCCGTTCTTTTCCTCGTTGGTTCCCCCGGATGCAGAGCGAGCTCCCGAGCGTAGTCTTCGTTTGGAAGGTTCTGCTCACCACCAGGCTGTGGGTGCTCTCGAGTTGTGCTATCGCTGCCCGCACCCTTGACTCCAGGTGTTTCGCCGCGTCCGCTTGGAAGTCCGTGGCTTTCGTCGATTCCTTGCACGCCTGCTCAATCACCCCCATCTTTCTCTCCATCGAGTTCGTTAGACCGACGATCGCTTTTGTGAGCGCGTTGATCGCGACGACCACCTCTTCGTTTTTCACCTCTGACTGTAACGTCGCGGCCAACTGCTGCTGCTTTTTTTTGAAGCTCTCGCAGTTCGTTCGAACTCGTCGTCGTTGTCAGGGCTATGGCTTCTAATTTTTCACGGATTTCCCTGATTTCGGCTTGGCCCAATTCCCCGCCACTTCTCTCGTCTTCGCTTTCGCTCTCTTCCGGAGACTGGTGTGCTCCTCTTGAAGATTCACTTCCGCTTCGCTCTCCCCGAGTGTTCCGTCCACGCTCTGAGCGAGCGCTTATTGCTCCTCTGTACGCCTGTCTGGCCATGGCTGCCTGCAAATCACGTACTTTTAGTTCAGGTTCTCGGGGTGTCTATGAAAAACGACTTGCGAGGATTCTGAAGCAATACAGTTTATCGTGATATTCTCTGGGTGCTCTCCCGCGCCTACCCCTCTCGGCGCGTCCGTCTCTTACATCTGCCACGTCTCTCATCGCACCCCTCGAGAATGTATAGAGACGTCCCCCCGTCGCGTTTTCGGAGTGTCTTTTTCACTTTTCTCCGCGCTTTTCCATCAAGGTTCTTAATCAGTGTTGAGCGGAATTCCGTCTGCCGTCTTCCGTCTTCCGTCTTCCGTGGTTTTTTTTGTTCCGTCTTCCGTCTGCCATCTTCCGTGAGAAAAGTTTTCTTCCGTCTTCCGTCTGCCGTCTTCCGTAAAAGAATGTTTCTTCCGTCTGCCGTCTGCCGTCTTCCGGGATTTTTTTTCTTACCGTAAAAGAGTAATAGCTTTTCAAAAGCCATTTACTAGTCCCGAAGAACGCGAATTTCCACGGGCAGTACCCAGATCCAAAAGTTTTGTTGCATTAGTTATTTTTTTCAAAAAAAAAACCGGAAAAAAGGCTCTGCATTGACGATTTTTTGTTCCGTCTTCCGTCTGCCGTCTTCCGGGAAAAAAGTTTTCTTCCGTCTTCCGTCTGCCATCTTCCGTGAGAAAAATTTTCTTCCGTCTTCCGTTTTCCGTGTTCCGTAAGAAAAATTTTCTTCCGTCTGCCGTCTGCCGTCTTCCGTATTTCAAAATTCCACTTCCGCTCAACTCTGTTCTTAATCTCTCAATTTTTCACCAATTTTGTGCCCCCTCGCAACTTCTCTCGCACGGAATTTAATTCGGAGGGTACAAAAATTAGGGGGTACAACAGGGTACAAATTGTTTTGGGGTACAAAAAGTCGAGGGTACAAAATTTTCGATTCTAGGGTACAAAAATTTACCGATTCAGTAGGCATTGATTAAGGGGTACAACTTTTATGATTTAAGGGTACAAATTTCACGATTTTGGGGTACAACAATTTTTTTCCCATTTTATTCATGGGCATCAATTCAGTGAATGTTTTTAGTTGTTTCACAAAATTTTTTTACTCCGTGAATGTTTTGTACTCCGAACCGCTTGATCAGTTCCAGAGATGTTTTTTAAATGAGATTTCATGACCCTTCGAAGCGTTTTGCTTCCGATAGACAGTGGTTAAAACGGCGACCCCTTTGTTATTATAGGGGCACCGAACAGAAAGGGCGCTCTATTAATAAACTTTTTTGCAGTGCAAATTGAGTGAGCTCGGGGCCGAGTTTGAAAAGTTAGGCCACGTTTTCAGTGGAAAATTACTTCGCGGACTAGAAATTCGGCCAGATTGCGAACAGAGCGTCCTTTCTATTCGGTGCCCCTATAATATTACTTACAAGTTGTTTTGCTGTTTTGGCCCCTTTAAATTCTGCAATTTCACAGCAGAATTTCAGCATGTGAAATTTACCCAAGTAAAGTTTTTTTCTCGAAATGACACAAAATACTGCATAAAACAAAGCAAGCTACACACGACTGTGTCTCGTGAGCTCTCAAAAATTCAAAACTGGAATGAAAACTTCGAAAATGTGCTTCGTGCAACTTTTGTACCCCAAAATCGTGAAATTTGTACCCTTAAATCATAAAAGTTGTACCCCTTAATCAATGCCTACTGAATCGGTAAATGTTTGTACCCCAGAATCGAAAATTTTGAACCCTCGTCTTTTTGTACCCCAAAACCATGAAAGTTGTACACCAAAACCATTTGTACCCTGTTGTACCCCCTAATTTTTGTACCCTCCGAATTAAATGCCCAGAGTAAAAGACACCTGGCTACAAAACCTCTGCACCCTTCTTACGAGACGTCTGTGTCACGTGGCGGGCGTCACCCTCCGAATTAAATGCCCAGAGTTAAAAGACACCTGGCTACAAAACCTCTGCACCCTTCTTACGAGACGTCTGTGTCACGTGGCGGGCGTCTCCGAAAACTGCAATTAATAGCACATGAATGACAATGAAGAGTCTGAAAGAAGAGCCCCCATGCTCCAGGTCTCGTAGGCTGGTCCTCCTCCGTGGCCTTCGCGATCCGTCGACGACGGAGCGATATTCTCGCTTCGTCTCGGGTTCGGTGAGTCCTCGCGCCCCCTCGCGCACACAGGTGCTTGCTCTAAGATCAGACTGTGATGGTAAATAAATAAAAGAAGAGTTAATCAACAGATGGCGTCAACATGGGCGGCGGCGTCGAACGGGAGAAGTGAGTCTTCGGCCGCTGCCCCGACCTCCGACGTTGTTCGTCGCGCACCTTCCACCTCGCCGCCCGACGATGACTTCTGAATCGTAGGAGAAGTGATCGATCTACCTGCAAGAATTTATTAAAGGCGCATCCGCAATGCGGCCATGGGTCTCGCCACGCTCGAAAGTACGGTCGAAGCCGCTGTCTGCGTCTCTACTGCGGCACGAGTCCCTCTCGGCTTCTCTCTGCGTCTCTGCACGCCAGATGATCTCTCTCCTCCGGTGATGATGAACACCGTAACTATTAGTAAAACATAATGAAGTGACAGACGGTAGTCTGGCGTTGGTAATTCGGAGCCCTCGGCTACGTTACCAACACAAAAGGTCGTGAGGAATGTCATTTCCAGACTGAACCTCGCGACACGGAGCACTCGCTTTAGTTTCAAATAAAGCACTATTTTCTTCTTTCGGGTCCTAAGAGGGGCATTGGCTGCCCTTGGGAAAGATCTCCGCCCCAAGTACTAGACAGTTTAGTTGACGAGGTCTTCCGTTAGTATTCCTTTGTTTTTTCTCTCTTTCAGTTCGTGATCTTAGATTAGAAACTAGAACTTTTTAATCACTTATTTATTGAGATCGATAAAAAGAAATTAGAAGATACACATATTATTAATTAGTTGTCCCGCGGTTTCTTTCCGACGGTCCCGCCGGCCGCGGTCTCTCCCAGCAGTCTCTTCTTCTTTTTGCTCGCGTCCATCCCGACCGTCAGTTCCCTTGCCGCCACGAACTTCACCAAAGTCGACCTCTTCGTGTAGACGGCGTCGATTTCCACACGATTCCTCTCTGCAATGGCCTTCCCGATCGTCGCCTGTTTTGCCAAGTTCTTCTTGAACCGCTCGGCCTCCTGCGTCAAATCCAACGATCTGAAAATGAGATAAGTTTACTAAAAATATGAAGAGTTATTAACTTACTTGACGTTTTCAGCCAGTTGAAGTCCAACAAACCAGCACGTCCGACGGCTGTTCTCCTCCCTCACTCCGAATTTGGCCGATTTGCTCGGCTTGTACTGCCGGGCATGGATGTGAGCCAATCTCACCGCCGGATTCCGCTCCAACTGCTGCACAATCTGACGGAGACGCGATTCGAAGAAGCCCAAGTAAGTGAGCTCCTCTTCCTCAGTCTCCGCCGCCATGACAAGCACCATGAAGTGCTTGTACCGGCAGAAGAAGTTCACCGGCGCAAACAACTCTTCCCACTGGGCCTTACCTTTCTGAATCTCCGTGCAGACAGCCATAGCTGCCTTCATTTCCTCCTGAATCACCGTCAAGGTGCTTTTAGACACATTAAATGTGGAGTTTTGCTCCGGGAACGCCGGAGTCAACACCGGCATCAAGTGGTATGAGTCGGCGTGGTTGACGCTCGGATTCCAGACCAATCGAGCCACGGACGGAAAGGCCGCCGTGCTCATACGGTCCAGAACGACCGGAGCCGGCCAGTTCCACGTGGAGAAGACGAAGAACGTCTTCTCGATGATTTTGGATGGCGCCGCGTTGGGGTAGAGCTGGCAGGTACGGGCCACCATTATAGCCCAAGTGATCCCACCCAGGAAGCCCAGGGAATTCGAGTAGACCCCATGGTTTTTGGCCCACATTTTGATTGCACGAAGAGCAGTGCAGAAAGTGTTTTGATTTGGAACTAACCTGAGAATCTTTTCAGCGACCCGACTTCCATTCAGCGATCGAATGCACTTCACGTCCATGTTCGCCAGCAGTGCGTCATCAGAAAGATCCAGGGATTCTGGCACTTCCTTCAGCATCAGACGGGCGAACAGGAGGTCCACCTCCACTCCCATGCACTTCAGCGTCATGATCGGCACGAATGCGTCCACCACTGCGTTGAGCTCCGTCACTTCCGAATCCTCCTTGAGCATCTTCTTGAATGAGCTGAAAAAATCGGCCCTGGTCACGAAACTCGGCGCGACCAGGACCGTGTCAATGTCCCCGCCACTGCTGTGCACTCCCAGTCTGAAAGACCCGAATGCAAGAAGCTTACCTCCTGGCACGAATCCTTCTTCCGACGGCATTCGTACCTCGGCCAGGGCCCCGATCCACTTCTTCACGAGTCCATTCAGCTTGCCCATCACCTCCTCTCTCTTCTTTGTTTCTTCTTTCGGCTCGAAGCTCTTCATGTCTTCCAACGTCTTCACCATCATTTTCGTGAGCTTCAGATCCTGAGCGGTTGGCTTGGCCACGCTAATCGCCTGGGAGATACCGAAGACCTGGGTGGTAGAGCTGGAAGCAGACATTATTGCAATTGTTGTTGAGGAGATAAGATGAATCTGAAAAACAGTAGTTGAGTATTTGATTATAGTGATAAAGAGAGGAAGAAAGAGAGGTACAGATAGAGAAGAAGAGGAGAAAAGTTAGGAAATCAAAGAAGAAGCCGAGATTTTATGAAAACTGAGTGACCGAATGCATTCATGAAGCCGAATTTCAGAAATCCCTATTGCTGAGCCCATTTCATTCAAATCATTCATTCCAAATGACATTTTCAGCAGTTTATCACAGTCCACTGACATTTTCGGTTTCGTCAGGTGAGTAGTGTAATGAAGAACAATTGTTAGACCAGAAAAACCTAATTTCAGAGCATTTCCCGATGATTTGATGACACAACCAGGCGAGGAAATGATCAGACACGAGATGACAATCACTTCGAGGGCTGGAACACAACATCTGAAACAATTCCGTCGACTTCAAGTCTTCTTGACTTGAAATGAGAAAGTTTCGAACATTCCCCTGCAAAAAACCTAAAATGAACGTGGAAAGTTCACATTTCCCAACAAAAACGTGTTTCATCAAACCGTTTTGTGACAAAGAAGCGTTTATCACATTCATTAGCAACAAATCATGATGGTGGTCGCTGATTACCGCCTAAAACTATCTCGGAAAGGTCTTTGGGGTCAATACGTTCAAAATAATGATCTTCTAATAGTTCAGTTTTGCAGTGTTTGACCGAGAATGATTCACAAAAAGACCTTGAAGTTGGTAGAGACCGAAAGAAAAGTTTCTTGGTAACAACCAGAAAGTTTTGGTTTTTTGATAATTTGAAATGATTCCTAGACACTTAAATCATCAACCTTTAGCGGTCAATCAGCGACCACCCAATAACAAGAACAATTCAACATTTCCGTCCTTGCTGACCGGTGTTCTCGTTGTTGTTCACGATTAGTCCCTCGCTGACTGCCCTGGAAGGAACATTTTGAAATCAATGTTTCAAATTCATGTCATACAAAGTTGCAGAGGTACATGATCATAAAAGTGCATGATTACAGATGTACATGACGGATTCACGAGTTTGACGACGCAGTTATATCGAAAATCGAATGGAAATTGATAGAGAAGGTGTAAAAGCCGACAAGAATGATATGGAATCGTGAAAGGACTAGTCGGAGGTAACGGACTTCAGCAAGAATGGAGAATGAGAAAAGAGCAAGAAAATCGATTGAAATGTCATTTCAGATAGAGAACAAGAGCGAAATGAAGAGTAACGACCGGAAACGGAATGAATGAGCTCTGTATGCGACTCGGAAGAGCACAGACCACGCCCACCGACCCCCGCACAAATGTGAAGACTTCCGCGAGTTTTACGACTGGCAATGACGGCCACCCAGTCTGCACATTTCAGAAAAGGGGGTAAGGGGAAAGAGGCTGTAAACCGGAAAAGGAAGATGCGAAGATAGAGTTTGGGAAGGAGTGGTATACCGTGTACGGGAATGCATTGGTTTACAATCCCTCTCTAGATCGTTCTCAGAAAAGATAGACTCACTGAAGGTTCTTCAAAATTTGTTGCAGATGGTCAGGACAGTTCCAAGTGATGGAGGGGGAGCCGTTCGATACTTGATTGATATTTGATATTTGATATTAGATAGCGAACTTTTGTCAAGAATTATATGAGATCTCAAAAAGTCAAAAGGAGGTGCTTGGTTCCTTTAGTGCCAGCGTTCATTGTTACAGAACGGTGACTTGTATCAAAAATCGGATAGAAAACGGATGGAGAATGGGAAAAAGAACAAGAAAATCGATGAAAATGACATGATTCCAGACAGAGAGCGGGAAGAGAAAAAAGAAGAAAGACGACTGAAAATAGAATGAATGAGCTCTGAGCGTGACTCGAAAAAGCACCGACCACGCCCACATACACTCGTGAAGACTAATCGGATATCTCCGTCCTGTTTACTATTGGAAATGTACACACCTTTCAGGCATTGCAAAACAGACTGAAAACTGGGCACGATGATAGGAATTACGAAGTAATGGCAGCACTTGTCTACACATTTAAGAAAAAGGGATAGGGGGCATAAAAAGGAAAAAAAACATATGCAGAAGCAAAAAATGACAAGAAACATTTCAATCACAAAGAATCTATGGGGGCGGTTTCAGAATGTAAACCGGCATCACATGAGAGAAACAAGGGCAAGATATATAACTAAACCGTCTAAACTACTACAATATTATCAAGAATTTGGGGAGAAAAGTGAGAAATGAACAAATTAATGCAAGTTTTTAGAGCAACTCTCAGCAATAGTACATTCCTCTGCTCGCACCCGAATGAACCTGAAAACAGAAACTTATACAGTACTCCTCCAAATCTACAGCACCTTAATTGATTCCTCAATCGAGTTCGTTGGCGAACCATATCCAGAGCTCTGGCTCCCCGTCGAGTACATCGATTCGACGGTCGACGCCTCCTCGCTGGCGTCCTTCTTCTCCTTCAGATGGTAACGAGCACGGTGTGCGACGAGATGAGCATAGAATACGGGCGCCGGAATCGAAGTGGACCGGGTGCACCGGGCGTACGTGTGGCAGAGCTGGTACGTGAGCGCCTGCAAATCGTTCGCCGACATCTGATTGTCGTCCCACAGAACGTGGTAGCGAGACGGCCGCGAAGTGCCCTGAATTCCGGCGTGCGAGCAGAGGAAGAAGTCGAATTGGGACGGATGGACGGCGCCTTCGTCGACGACGGTCCCCGCCGGCACGTTCGACGCGCGGCCGCAGTAGTCCGCAGGGTTCGCGCAGAAAAGACGCACGTGGTGGCGTTTTTGGCAAGTGATGAACGTGATTCCGGGGTGATAGTCGTCCTCGAGTGATCGGCACGCCTCCCGGATCGCGCGCAATTCGTGTTGAAGAGCCTGAAATTGGAAATTTGGTTTTTTCCAGGGCTAGGCACACTTTTGACACAGTAGCAATTCGATCGGAACCAAACTTTTCCGGCTTCTTGGACTCGGACTGAAGTATATACTCTCCAAGTTTCAGAACGATCCGATTATCTGGTCACGAGATATACTGGTTTGAGGTTTACAAAAACCGGGTATTTGCAAGCAATTGCGGACCACGTAATCCATCCCATATACTTCAATCCAAGAAGCCTGGAAAGTTTGGGTCCCCTCAGAATATTGCAATCGGGTTAAAAGTCTAAAAGAATAACAATATCATTTTCATTCTCACATTGTAATATTGTCCTTCCGACACTCCGGCACGATAAATGACAATGCGCATCGGTCGGAAGCCAGTGTTGCGACGAAATTGCACGAGCAGCTCTCTGATCATATCGCCAAACTCGACGATGATCTCCTGCCGCGATCCCTGCAGCCGCACCGTCGCCGCGTACCGACTCGGATGCGCGTCCATCGAACCGACGAGCGCGGCGATCGACGGTTTGTTCTCCGACGTCTGATGGGAAATGTCGCAGCCGATGAAGATGACGGGCTCCGTGAAGAGTTTCGGACGGAAGCTCGGCAGGACGACCGTGTTCACACCGCCCAATTTCGCGTTTATTTTGAGACAAATGTTGGTGAGAGTCTGCATGTTCGATCGGTTCAAGTTTTTCGAGGCGACGCATTGGGTGGGAATGCCGAGAACGATGTCGCCCACTTTCTTGATCTCCGCGTACACGCCCGTCTTTCCGGGGAGGACGACCAGAATGAGTTGGATGTTCGGATGCGTCAATTTGAGATGCGCGAACATCGGCTCGACTTGCGCCACTCCACTCGCGTACTTGCAAAACACCGGCATTTCCACCATCGGCATTCCAATCACTCCGGCGCACGCCGTCAAGCCTTTCGAGAACTCGCGCAGCTCTTCCTGTCTGACGGCGCTCAGCGGCGTGAAACAGACCAACGCCCACGTGTGAATCTCCGCGCCCGAGAGCATCCGTTTGTCGCGCATGTCCCAGTATCCGCCGGTCGGAAGAACCGTTGTCTGGCGCGAGGCGACGTTGTAGAGGAGCCGCGGCGGAGAGAGCACTCTTCCCGTCGTCTCCGTCATTTTGGTGGATATCGAGATGCCGTACGCCTGGATGAGTGGATTGCCGGCGATGTTCGCACGCGCGACTATCTCGTTGATCTCTTTCTCTCGTTGGGGCGCAGTCTTTTGCGACGCTCTGATCATGTGCGAGGTCTGATTTTCTGTGAGTTTGCGACTGCATCGCTGACCGCCGACAACTGTGCACACTTCCATCGGCAGGAAACTGCTTCTTTTGTCGCCGCCGACCTGAAATGAAACAGTGTTCGTTCCCACATAAACTTTACGACCATTTTACCTGCAACAACGGAAGATGCCAGTACTTGAGGTTGATTCCATATCTTTCCAGAAAATACTGATTAACGTTAATTTCAGCAGTCGTTCCGTCGTCTCGATTCAGCAGAAAACCCGTACGATACGAGTCCCACCGCGTCACGTTGTGCACCCGATACTTGCGACGGATCTGTCCGGAATGCGACACCTCCACCCGCAGCCCCTGGATCTCTCGAAGGAACTGGGAGCGCTGACGTTCCGTGATTCCCTCGTTGAGAGCTTCGCGCGGCAGCTCGAGCACTTCCCCCAGAAAGTCGATAACGGGCATTGCCTTCTGGAACGCCGTCGTCGTCGTGTCGATGTTCAGCATCATCTTCCGCTGCGTCGGAGTTATCGACTGATGGTATCCAAAGTAGAGCTCGCGCCCTTTCTTGAGATCGTTCGACTCTCCATTCACAGGCCGTCCGAGCGCGTACGGACCGGGCGGAGAGAAGAAGTTTCGGCCGACAGGGACGTACTCGGAAGAGGCCATGTTGCGGAGGATCACGTCGATCGCATAGGTCACGTCGGGCGCAATGTACGGTCGGTTGTCGGCAATGTCCCTGTCTACTCCGATCGTGTTGATGTCGGCCATCCACGTCAGAGAGACCGTATAGCTCCGAGGGTCGTTCGGCACACGGACCTCAAACTTCATCTCGTTGCACACCTCCGGAAGCCGACGACGTGTGAACAGGAACTGACGTCCATCAAAGACGGGGAACGCGTTGATAAAGTACATCAAGTTCAAGCTCATCAGATTATTGACGACTTCTCTGGAAAAAAGAAAGTAGAAAGAAAGTTCAGACGGTAGGAAGAGCACCGATTGATTCTCCGATGGCTTTCCGGAATTATCGAGACGCAGTACTGATGCACGATGATCAGAGGCATTCCGATCTGGAAGTAGTTCAGGCGGAGACTGATCGGACGGCCTTCGGTTCCTCGGTTTGGACGAGACGGTGGGCGGAATTCTTCCAGTGCAAGCTGCTTTCTGAAAAATATCAGTCGGTATGATAAACCAGAAATATCAGCTCTCACGCTTTTTTCGCCGGTTTGTCTTCGATCGGCACGGGCGTTTGCTCCCTATCCGACTCTTCCGAAGACCGCTCCCGATCGGCTCGCATCAGGTCGACCAGGGTGAGCTTCTCGAACTGAAAAATATGTTTTCTGTGAGAAAAGAGAGAATTACACAAACTTCGAGAACTCTCTTTATAACCGAACACGGTCGTTTGGGCTCTTCGCGCTCCACAGTGCCCGTTTTCTCGGGCGGAGCACACGACTGCTTCTCTTTTTCCTTTTCGACCTTCGGAGGTTCTGCCGGTGCCAGACTCTTCTTCTTTTCCACCGGCGGCGCCTCCTCTTTCCGATTAGTCTCGGCTTCACGAGCCGCTCGAGCTTCCGCTTGCGCATTGGCGACCTCTTTTTCGAGACGTCTCTCCAGCTTTTTCTGAGCTCTCTTCTCCCTTTTCGACATTTTCGATTTCGTCATGACTGCCTGAAATTTTGAAATTATGGGGTTATTCTTCGATGTCTAAAAATGCGAGAATTTCAGGATTTCGAGTGAAACAAGCAAAATTGGGTTTGGAACAACAAAAATCTGAACGAAAGTTACAATTTTACAAAGGAGCAAGAAGAACGTGAATTTTTTCAAAATTGGCGCGAAAAGATAATTTTTCGCGCGCAGATCAAAAGCGTCATGACTTGATTATTTAACAAACGGAAAAGAGAAAAAAGATATTCAGAAGAAACTGATGACGAAGGGGTACTCAAAAAACGAAAAAAAAACATTTTTTTTAAGTGACAAACTATCATAAATAGTCTACAGTAACTACAAATTAGACACAATCATGAGACAGGAAATTGAGATGAATAAAAGAGTTCAAAGTGCCATCAGATGGTCGCCGCAATTCCAAGCAGCACGTCCACTTCTCGTTCGGTTATCCAGGTTGTATCCAGGCAGCCGTTCTCGTCCAAAAATACTTCAATGTCCGGCCGCATTTGCTTGCTGAAAACAAAACTGGATAAGAGAAAAGGGATATAAAAACAGGTGCGCACTTTATTTTGTCGAGTGTTCCGAGCATGGCAATAATATCTATCTTCTTTGTCGTTTTTATCGAATTCCACGCGATGAATTCGGTCGCGCGTGCTCGCAGAATTCCTTCTTCCTCGAAAGAGCTGAACGCGGCGATGAGGCGCAGATGCTTGTGATCCTTTTCCGTCAAATTCGCAGCTTTAAAGTCTCGGACAATCCACAAAAACTGATTGAACGCGTCGAGCGACTCGGGAATGAGCAGGATGTCTTTTATGTTAGCCTGACTGAACAGAAACCCATTTTCAAAGTCATTCGGGCACTAGAAACAGACTCTTTTCCGTTGCGAAGTATGCCGAACCACTCGTACCAGTAGGAGAGCTCGCCGAGCACGCAAGCCATCGCCACGTCGAGCACATGGACGAGCGCATAGTTTTGCTTGAAAAGGAGACGCGCCGAATCAGCCTAAAAACAATTATAAAAAGGGTCTTTATAACTTTCGATTTCGAGCCGGAATTACCGTGAGCGTCGGCACCAATTTCTGCACTTCATCAAAAGTTTGGCTGTAATTCAAACCGAAGAACAATCGAGCAAAGTCGTCGGCGTCCTGACTGCGGAACAACGAGTACATGATGAACTTCATCGTCATCCTCGTGCGGCCTTTTGTGAACGGCGCGATCACAGACGACACGTGCTTTTTTACCGTCAGAAGCATGTAGACACTTTCGACGTGCTCCCACAGCAAAGAGCCTGCGTTCAGCTCCTCTCTTCTCTTCAGAAGCACCCGCATCGTGTAGATGACGAGCGCGTCGAGCTGTTTGTAAAGCAACTGAGCGAAGCCGTCCAAAAACGACGCGCTGAACGAATTCAGGATTGCATTGATTGCCGCTTTCACAATTTGCGGATCCGACGGATCGTGCGCTTCGATCGTTTTGAGCAGCATCAAATAGCGAAAGTTTGCGAATTCTTTCGGTTTGAACTTGCGAATATATCCGAGAATCGTGTTCCACATACGGACGCCTTGGTCTCCTTCAACGAATGCCAAATTCCGCACGAAAAGGCTGAAGGTTTAATAGTGTATTTTCTGTGAACTCTCACTCACGTTTCGCCGGAATCGAGTTCCTGTTCGTCACTGACCGTTTTTGTAGTCACAATATGCGCCAAATCGGCGAGATGAAGGAGCATCCACGACTTGGCGAACACGAATTGCCGATTCTCAGGCCGCAGATTCATAAAATGCGTGCATTTCGACGCAAACGGCCAGAATCTTCGGAGTCCTTGATTGCTAACGAATTGGCCGGCTTCAAAGATGGTCGGCAGCGATTTCATTTCGAAAATGCTGTCGACGAGCGGAAGGAGCACATCGAAATAGTGCGGCAACTCTTCTTTCGCATATCTGCCGACCGCCGCGTCCAATTTCTCGAATCCGGCCGCTTTTATCATTCCGCCGTCGCGCCACTCCATCAGCGTTCGGAAGAGGCGCGGCACGATGCTCTGCAGCAACTGCATGATCGTCAACAATCGTTTTATCTCCGGCTCCGTCCGGCTCGTCGGCGGCATTATCGTTTTCAGAAAGTGCGAACATCGATGGAAAATGGCGTTGGCCTGAAGTCCCAGATAGTCCACTCGGTCAAAGTGCATCTTGCGCAGAGATTCGACGGCCGAATCGATTATCCGTGTGTCGTGAGTGACTTGCGACAGACTCAGCACGGCCATCGCACTGAAATTCATTCTGAAAACGAAAAGGAAACATTTCTGGAATCTTCTGCCGTTCTGAACTGACTCTGTGCCGCAGGAGAGTCGCAATTGGCCGTGCCAGTTTTCGACGATTGTGTAGGTGATGTCGAGCACGTGCAAAAAGAGCCATCGCGTCGCGAGAATCCGTTCCCGCTCGCGCTCCGGTAGCTGTCGGATCCCGGGATAATTCCGAATCACCTCCACGTTTCGTTCCATGATTTTCTGCGTCAAATGCATGAGCAAAAAGTGCCGATCGGGCTCGGACGCACTCGTTTTCACCGCGTCCATCACGCTGCGAATCTCGCTCGGCGCCTCCTCCGCATCGACGAAACCGCTCATTCTGAATAGCAGAAAAGTGTAAAAGCGGGACAAGGCGACAATATTTCAGGTGATCAAACCTTCACAGGCGGAAAGATGGAGGCACGATAAGTCATTGATGTTTATAATTAGTTGCATTATTTAATAGTTGTATTACAAGGGTACAAGAGCGGGTACAAGGCAAATTCAAGAATAAATTAGATTATTAAAAATAGCAAAAACTGGTTACACTTTTGTTGGTGGAAGGTTCGAGCGTCTCGCACATCATCACTCTGCTAGTCGTCTCTTTCATACACTCTTCCACGTAAGGCACCAATTTTCTGAAAAAAGGGAATCAGAAGTGCATCGGCTGAGACAGTTAACCAACCTGAACTTCTCAGTCATTCCGAGCAACGTAAGAATGTTCGATTTGATCGGTTCCTCAAAATTCCACTGTATGAATGCGAGGGAACGAGCACGGACGACATACGGGTTCCGGATTTCCGTAATGTCGTACAAGGCCACCGTTCGCATGTGCCGGTAGTTCAGCTCGGAGACGTTGAGCGAGCTGAGCTCCTCGGCGATACTGGCGAGTGATTCGTGAGCTTCGCGCGTTTCGCCAATGAGAAGCACGTCTTTCAGCTGTGGACTTCTGCAAAATGGATTGTTTATACGTTCAAACTGGACTAAAAGCCCAGTCTGGTTAGGCTTTGCGGGCCTGGAATGGGTCCAGTCCTGACTTACACGTCACGATTCTTCTTGAGGTGTATCCAATCCTCAATATTATGCAATTCTTTCGAACGCATCACCCAGACGGCGTCAATCAGATGAATCAGACAGAAAGTGTATCGGAACAGTTCCTGAGTAACGTTTTTCTGAAATCCGTACTTTATGAGCATCCTGCGCAGAACTTCTCACGTCTGCATTGCGACCGACGTATCCATCGCAGTATTCGTTGTAACGATTGTTCATATTCGTGACAATCATATGTTTGACGAACGATTCGACGCTCGTCGCCTGGCTCATCGCCTGGTCGATGCCCAGCAAAAATAAGTCGATCGGAAGGGGATCCGCCGGCCGCAGCAGTGGATTCGGCACACGCGTCGCACGCTTCGTCGTTTCGAACAAGTCACTAAGGAACAGACAGGAACCGGCATTGAGTGCGTTGATCGGAAGGTTCTTGATCATCATTCGCATCGTGTAGCGCGCCAACGTTTGCAGCTCGACGTACGTATCGAATATGATCTTTCTGACATTGAAATCCAATGAATCCAGACAGTTCTTGGTGAACTCTTTTCGCAATTTCAACAGTTCCGGCTCTTTCGGCACCACTTGAGGGAAGTAGAGGATAGTCGTTCGGGCGACGTTGTACTCGTAAAGCCCGATCGCTTTGAAATTATCCACCAACGTCCGGAACTCCGTTCGATACGTCTCGCCGGTCTTCCAAACGGTTGGAAGTCTGTAAATATACGGTAGATGGAAAAGAGCACCGATTCTGACCCGTTAATCGTTTCCTCCTCTGAAATTAGACCAGTAGCAACTCCGAAAACATCATCCAAAAGCATTGTTATCATGCAAGCTTGTTTAATTAGAACTTGTCGGCATCCTGGCTGAAAATTAGTCAAGATTCCCCAGAAACCTATTGGCCGATGCTTACCGTAAGCATCATGAAGCCCGGAACGTGTATCGCGTATCTGTAAACGCTTTTGAACGACTGCTCGACCAGGAACCGAACATCTTTGCTGCTATCCGTCTGGTTCCCAGAAAAATGCGGCCGCGGGTAGTCAGAAACATCATAAGTAGGCATTTTGGGGAAGGGGAACTGAAGATCCGATGTAGATTCCAGGTGATAGAACTTTTCGAGAGCACTCAAGATTCCCTCAAGATGCTCGAAGCCGTAAATTGTCAGCATTCCCGAGGCGCGAATATCGAAAAGAACGGAGAATGCGGAATCGGCGAGCTTTGAAATTTCCTCGCTCAATCTCTCCAACTGCTGAATCTCCTCTTCCGTTCTCGATTCTGCCCACCGATTTCGCATCGACACGTAGGCGGCGTCAGATTGCGGCAGCAGAGTTCGCGTCTTCGGATCGTGGAAGACCGCGGACCGAAGACCGAGGTAGTCCGTGTTGGTGAGCCCGAGCTGCGTGAGTTCTTTCACGATTTCTCTCCATTTGGCATCGTCCTCTGTTATAAACGCCGCCCAGGAGATGGGCATGCTGAAAAAATGAAGTTCTTCGGGGGAAAAATGCGTTAAAATTCAATACTGACAGTTTTCCGTTGCTCATCTTCAACAAGGGGCCGATGTTCAAATTGATAACCGCATAAATGACGTCGATCATGTGCATCGCGACCCAAGACATTGTGTAGATCAGCTTCTGCGCGTCTTCGTTGAGCTCCGGAACTCTCGGAATGATCTGAGCGTTGCGGATGGCGCTCATTTCGGCGACGGACATAATGAACGCATGTCTGTCCGGGAGGGAGACTCCGACTTTGATGTCGGATGCCAGAAGCTGCTGGAAGGATAACGCAACGTCGACGTCATCCGATGCCATTCTGAAAATTGAAAAAATTGTGAAACATTAAGTTTTTTCGAAAAGTGTTCAGTAATAAATACTATTCCGCAGGAATTAAGAGATATTCAGAGAAACCCCATTCCGACAATGCAAGTGCACTCCACCGCACAAGGTGAGCGCGGATTTTCAAATTTAGACTTCAAAACGAATTTCAATGAACACAACTTGTTACACAAGAGAAGAGAAAATCAACAAAATGAGAGATGATCCAGAACATTCTAGAACATTACGATTTTCAAAATATTAGCGGGGAAATTGCGCATTAATGCCACGCGAGCTTGAGTAGATCAATTTGAGAGTAGAAAAATGAAGAAAAATAAGTAACAAGTCTGTCGGATTTCAACAGATGAAAAATCAAACGAAAAAGAAAAAATGTTCACTGCCATATGACGTGACGAGTCGTGCCCGTTCTTTTATTAAATTAAATATGGCAGCGCTGCGAAAATATGAATATATGACGAAAATAGGACTATTAGGCAATAATAAAGTCTGGCGGAGAGTCCGTCTCGTTGCTTTCAGCACTTTCCGATCGTGACGCTTGACTTCTCTCCTCGGAAACTTCCAATTGATGAGATCTAAAGATTGAGTGAGTGAACGGATGATGTACGTGGGAAATTAGGCCGCGATCGTACTTTACAGTCAGATAACTTCGGATTTCGGCGGCCAGAGCGCTGAAATTCGAAAACTTTCATGGAAATCGTCGAAATTCTTCTTACACAAATGCCTGAAAATCGTCCAACAACTTATGGACTTGTGGGATTGATAACGGCCGCAAAAACTTCCACGCATTCAGAAACTCGATGTGAACTTCGCGGAACTTCGGGTCCAATTTCATGAGAGAACTGTCGAAAAGGGCGAGCTGGCGGAACAGACAGTAGTCGTACTTGGTGAACGCGCGCCGACGCAGATTCTCGAGCAAAAGTAGCCAGGCCTGAAGAGCGTCGTGGTAACCGAACAGCACCAGCGCATTCATATGGGCTCTGGAAGAAAACAGTAAAATTTTTATGGTTTTTATCAGTTCTCGCGTACTTTTCCCCGTTTTGCAGTGGATATTCGGTCTCCAGTTGATTTGCATGAATCGCCCAAGCGGCGTCGAGTAGGTGAACCAGAAGGTACGATTCGCGGAACAACACCCCTTTCACGAGCTGCTGAAAAAAGGGGAAATCTGCTAAAAGGAAGGAGAAACGAAAATAAACAAATTTCCTTACAGACAAGTGCTTCAAGCCGTTTCGATGTTTGAAGATGAGGCCGGACCAGTTGAGCTGATGAAGTTCGGCGGCCGAAAGTGAAAAAGAGAAGATGTCGGGGCGGAATTGAGCGTTGATAAGTGCGGAGGCGAAATTACGTTCCGGAGGCAGCACGGAGCCGATCAGATTCAGCTGGCGACTGTGTTCGAGTGGCGACGGACGGGCTATTGGGCACCTTCTCGGCTCTGACGTGGAAAATTAGCATTTTTCAGTGAAAAACATGCTACAAACCTCCGATTCTGGCCATCGCGTCGGCAATTGTTCTGGAACACGAGGCCGGCGGGCTCGAAGAAGGAGATTCTACTCTGAAAGCCTCGTTTAACTTGTCTCTATTCGACGACCTCCGATGATTCGTCCGCACTCTTCCCTGCGCTTCGGAGCCATTTTCCATCGGTTGTTTGAGCGTCGGCAGGGCTGAAAATCACCTTTGAACACATTTTCTCAACTAGAAATCGACTCGCCGTCTCTGTTTTTCGAATCGATCATCCCGCTGGCCAGGCACTTTTTCATCCGGCACGCGTGGCAACGCTCGTTTGTACTCGGGCAATTGTTCTGTTCTGTCAGACATTCCAGAGTTGCGTTTTTGTAAAGAAGGAAAAACGACTGAAAATGTAAGATTTTAAGGGTTATTTGAAATTCTAGACACTCGCCGTGCAACTTTTGCATGTTCTGACTTCGTAACGATTGGTGTGCCCTTTTTTGTTGCACACCACACATAAATCGACTTCCATTTTTCGAGTATATATCGAGTATCTGAAGATGCGGAGATTTTTGCGAAAAGTTCACGTGATTTTCAAGAATTATTGTTGGAAATGAAGCTTCGAAATAGAAAAGTCGGAAGAGGCAAGTGCGCTCTATTGCAAAAATGTTCCGCGCGCGCGGTCAAATTTCTCACTTCGTGCTTTTCTTGAAATCTGAAAAAAAGATGAAATAAATTATAGCTTTCAAAAAAAAGTAACAAACGGAGTTAACCGAATAATTTCACAAAGGCGACAAATAACAGAAACGAGATTTATCCGAATTCAAACAAAAACACAAAATCGCGGTTTCAACAATTTTCAAAAAAACAATTTTCAATTGGAATAATACGGTTGCTGCTCGTTTTGATCGTATTCTGAATAGTATTGTTCGTCAGAAAACTTCTCATATTGTGGATATTCCTCGACGGTCTCGCTGAAATCTCAAGATTATCCACGGGATTGGCGCCGTGCCAATTTGTCAAGTTTCAACTTAAAAAGGAGGAAATGAGGAACAGAGCGCGGTTGCAGTGAAATGACCCCATAGTTGTTGGAGTGACTAACCGCTTGATCTCCATGAATTGTGGGTCCGGACCAAACGGAATCTGATAGGGAGGAGCTGAAAATAGAGCACATATTTTATTTAGAATGACGAGAACGAGAAGAGTTACCGAAATAGGGAACATTTTGGAAGACGGGGTAGGGTGGCGGGTAGTTGAACACGTTGACAGTGACCGCGGGATTGTTCCAGACGGGCGGTGCCACCGGAGCCTGTTGCTGTCTCACCGTCTGCTTCTCTTTCCTCCACTTTGGATACGTTCTCGATCTTCCCCCTCGCTTTTTGTCCTTTCGAACAAGTTCTATTCTCATGCCGACCTTCAGACACTTGTCGAAACGGCAAGCAGTGCATATTCTGCGAGTCGTGGCGGTGATGACGTGTCTGTCAGTGCAATATTGACGCTGCTTTCCACTATCTCTAATGCCTTGAACAGTTCTTTTGAAGAATCCCTAAAAGAAACGAAAGAGTTGAAGGAATGAAAAGAGGAGCACCGTACCTTGCAAGATTCGCACGACAGAATGCCGTAGTGCCATCCGGAGATGTCGGCTAAGCAAACCGGACACTTTTGCGGACACTCCATCTGGCGACGAGTCAAGTAACCAGAGTGAGAAGCGAGACGGGGGCGGGGCAGACGGTCATCCTTTGTCGGGCACCTGCGTCTCCGCACCCCCGATTGTTTTGACTGGGTTCGAGACACACTGTTGTCTTTCAGGAGTGTATGTTTCGTGGCCTTGCGTGCAAATTCAAATATTCTAATTGAAATGGCTTCGCTTGCAAAAAAAGACGCCCGCGATAATTGGGATACTGTAGGCTGCACGGCGAAATGAAGGTCGATTTTCGAAAAATCCCGCCGCGATCGGCCCAGGAGGTCCTTCTCGGCAAATCTGAATCTTGAAAGCTTGCGGCCTACAGAGCGCCACACACTGAGCACGAAGGACTGTTAATCGGAAAGATGTCTGCGTCTCTCGTGTCTGCGCATGCTTGGCCGACAAGTTTTATGGCGGGTAAACCGACTTGTGGCTGCTGTCCGGTGCTGACGAATCAATGAAAAGGGAGACGCTGACAGGGAGAGAGGACGGCCGGAGGGATACGGTAGTTCTGGTACTAGACACTGCTCATAAATACGCTCATAACTTGAGAATAAAGCATTTTGAGAAAAGACGGTGAATTACAAATTTGCTCAGAATAGAATTTGCAACATCTTCTTAGTTGACAAGTTTTTTGAATTCTTATCGGTTCTCGAAACACAGGCCATTGAAGTGAAGGCGACAAAAAAAAGCAAAACGGATTTGGAGGTATGGGGAATTGAACCCCAGACTTCTCGCATGCGAAGCGAGCGCTCTACCCCTGAGCTATACCCCCGTCGATTAATTTTCGTCGAAATTGTCATCACTTTTTCATTTCATTTTCATGTTCATTTCTGCGTCTATACACGTGAGGAATGGAAAAATGACGGTTGACTCGAGGAGACTCATAAACATAATGTGGGAAAGGGGGGAAAATGGCGTCATGTCACATTGTATGAATTGGAAAATATAACGAATTGGATTCTAAACCCAGACAGCCGTCATAAACTCCTCCATGTTCGAGTTGGTGATCATCTCATGGAGCATCGGCCACTCGTCCGCCTTCAAATCCCCGTTTCGACACTTTCCTTCCAGATAAACTTGACATCGAAGTGCCAGGTGTCTGAATACGATCACACTTGCTCAGCTAACATCGGAGATCGACTAAACCAACCTGAGATCACTCAGAACCTTCAGAAGCTCGTCGATCTCTTCGGGGACACGAACGTTTCTCCAGGCATTGAAAAGTCGAGTGTTGGCGTTCAAGATAACTTGATTGGCAAGCAGTTTGTAGTCGAAAAGGATTGCATTTCGGAAGGAGATGTAGTCGTTGCGAGTGAACTGGAGAGCGGTCAACTTCTGACGGATCGACTCCCACGTCGGAAGCAAATGACGGTTCCCAAACACTCCCAGAAGCTTCATCGAGATTCTGATGCGCTTTTTATGGTAATTCCTAACTAACTATAAGCAAATCTTACTTTTCAGTGTTCTCCAACACGTACTCATCGTCTATCTGCTTCCTCTCCGTCGCCCACATCACATCGAGCACGTGTCCTGTCAGCCACGTCAAATTTATCAGCTTCGTCTTCTCATCGATCGGGAGACGTGCAAAATCGGGATCCGCCTGAGCACTTCGAATCGTTTTCTTCAAATTCTCGAGTGCCACGCTCAGACAGACGTCGAAGAGATTCGGTTGGTGCAGGGAGAGAATAACGATTCCCAGGATCTGACCGTGTTTCGGCAGAAGATCGTCGAACATGGAGATATCGACGATTTCGTCAGATGGAACCGTGATCTGCTCGTAGTGGATGGATTCCATTTCGATCTGGAATAAAGGATTGTGAAAATGTTCGGTAAACTAGGGAATGCTCCTCACTAGGGAGTATTCTGAGGTTAAATTGGCCGTACGGGATCTGATAGGACATGTTTCGAAGGCTTTTTTCATGAGGATTCCGAAAATGACATCTATTTTTGCATAATCTTTCTGTGCTTCTCTAGTCTTAGTGCTAAGTCAGGTAAGTTGGTCTTTCCCAGGGCACGGTCTCCAGAGCTGGCAATATGGGCGTGGCGTCGGCGGCCAAATGGCGTTTTCATGAATTGAGCACGTTTTCTCTGATTTTTGTGGTCAAAGGCGATGAAAAATGATTGTTCGACATGAAAACACACTAATTCTCAAAATTCGTGACGTTTTGGCGCATTTTTCGCGGACTTTGCGTTTTCGCCTTCGCCGCCGATAGCCGCCTAAAAACCGCACTTCTCATTTTGTGCTTTCTTGACCGTTTTCAGACAGAATTAGTTTTGAGAATGATAAATCACGTAAATACAAGCATTTTGAGCGCTCGAACCGCGAAAATTACCGAAAAGCAATTGAAATTCACGCAGTTTTAGCCAAGAACATTCAAACGGATAAATTTAATTTGCGACTTGACCAAATTTAACGCTCTAGCGCTTGAAAAATTCGTAATAGCCTATACAATCGGTCTATCGAGAGACAAATGAGAAATTATCGGTTTATCGTGGCTAATCTGGCAAAAAACACAAATTTCGCTGTTAAAATGCTCTGGAGACCGTGTATAAGGGATCAAAGGGTCTGTAGATAATTCGTGCAAAACGCTTCTAGAAATCGAGTTTCAAGTTGTTTAAGTATCCAGACATACAAAAGCAAGAGCGCTCTATTGCGAATAAAAGATTTGATCTCCTGTCCGGCGCTAGAAGATTCATAAATTTCATAAACAGTTCTTCCAGCATTTGTATGACCACCGTGTGTGAAAGTGTGTACTTGGGGGGCAAAATGGCAAGAAAGTGATGGCGCCATTGGCCAGGAGGCACAAAACAAACACTTGTTCTGTCCAACCGCTTCCTCTTTTTTCTCCCATCCGCCACTGCTGACCCGCCTCTTTTTCTCTCTCTCTATCACTTTTTCTCTTTCTTCTCGTGCCTTTTCTCTTCAGTTCTTACATTCTCAAATGTTTTTCTTTATTTTCAGGATGACTCCTCCTCCTCCTCCTCCCCCTCACAATCCGAATCAACGTGTACCGTGAGTAACCGCTTCCGATTGTTTCGATGTTTGAATCTAGCCGAGTTTAGAACGCACATCCGCGTGATAACGAGACATTGGATCGAGGGGAACTGGAGATGCAACCGGGCCAACTACCCGCATCACTTCACACTCGACATGCTCCGCGATCATCTTTCCGAGCACAATGCGCACGGTGACGAACCGAATCTGCTGTTGCTCTGCGCGACAGCGGACGGCGAGAAAGAGAGCACGCTTCTGGAATTGGCTGTCGACGGGCAAGTCGAGGTCGAGTTGGTGTACCTTCCGAAAATGAGATACGAGGAGAAGGCGTGGATCGCGGCGATCGAGCAACGAGAGACGATTCTGGAGATTAAGAGGAACGTGGACGAGACGCAGAACAAGACGGAGGCGACGAGGGAGTCTTACGTGCCGTGCAGGAAAGAGTTTTTGGAAATTGCCTCCGTAAGTTCTCGACAATTGTAGTTCTCCTAGTTCTCGAACTTTAACTACTTTCAGTTTTGGCCAATCTTCCCGTTCAACAAAAAGTTGAGCCAGTGGGCGCAGAAACTCGACGTCGACGAAAAAGATTTTAAAGAGATGAACCTCTTCCAAATCGCTCATCTTGTCATCAGTACGGACAGGAAAAGCAAGCAGAAGACTCGAGTGAGTTCATTTTTCGCCTTTTTTTTTACCGAGTATCAAAGTTTGAAGTCTGCAGGCGGGATCCCTGTGGAAAGAGCTTGTGGAGCTTGTGAAAGCAAAAGATGCTGCACAAACGAAAGAGTTTATCGCGAAGAACTGGCAGATGAAGATCGGAAACTATACGAGCCAATACGTGGTGAATGCGCCGGAAGTTCGGGCGGATCACAAACTTCTGTGGACCGGCCTGCCGCAGGGACCGAACAACAAAATGAACAGTCTCGTTGCGATTAACGCCGTCCACGAGTACCGAATGCTCGCCGTCCTCCTCAAAACGCCTCCGCAATGCTTCCTCGAACCGTACTACGAGGCGAAAACGTCTCCACCGCCGGGAACAAGGATCTCCTACCGGCACTACTGTCTGCTCCATTCGCGATGGGCTTGCGACAGTCTCGGAGGCCGAATCAATGAATTGAGTGCGGCGGAACAGCAAAAGTTGTTCGACATAAGCTTGACAATGGATACGGATGAGCCGGAATCCTGGCACGATATGTTCGTGCTCCTTTTTCCTTGAATGGCGTCGCTTCTCGCCGGATGCTAACTTAAGTTCGAAGAATCATTCGGTTCTTTCACGTGATAAACTGCCCTTTTCCCCATTGACATAATGTTCTCCATCTCCACTTTCCCACCATTTCTTTCTAATTCGTCGTGTCGAAAAATCCGAAATGAATCCGATGAATCACTGGAATCCGGGTTGGCAATTCGCAATGAATGCTCAGCAAAGAGCACACGCCGGAGGGAACCGAGCTCTTCAGCCGGTGGCTCCGGCTCCGGCTCCTCCTGCTCCGCTGGTCCCACAGTTGCCGGCTAGACAGCCAATCGGACAAGGAAGACGAGTGGCTGTGGCCCAGCAGCAACAGAATGCGGTCCCGAATCCGAATCCGAATCCGAACAGACGGAATAACAGAAATCAGAACAATCCGGTTCGCAGAGAGCATCAGCAAGTTCGTCAGGAACGTCATCTGGTAGGACAGTCTGAAAATCAATGAGCCTATATAATAGGTTTCAGAGTAGAGATGACGTGGAGAGACTTCAGACGATTTCCAGAAAGAACCAGCAGACGCGCACCGCCTTAGAGTACGATAGCCGAGAAGATCAGTGCTGGACGGACCTGATGAGTGAGTGCCCATCCCAAGTGAGAAGGATTATGGTAGCTTGCAGACACCCTCAACACCCAAAGCCATCAGTTCCCTCCGAGCACTCCCAACGGCGGCCCTGACGCCTTGATTCCGAACGATCAGGAGATTTGCTCCAGTTTAAGAACTGAGAACCAGTACGAGACGATTCTGAAAACCCGCGAGCTGCTCGTGAACTTTGGAGCCACCGAGTACGACTTGTCGAGAGCTTTAAACAGTCTGGAGATGCACATGAGAACGAACGCGTGCGAGTTCAATGAGATTGAGGAAGTCTCCAGTGATCTGATGCGGACCGCCGGCAAACTGAGCCACGAGATCGAGGAGCTCGAGCAGATTCTGCGTCGAATTGACAATATCAAACTGCAATGACTGTTTGTGCAAATGAAGACGGGCTCTTCGAAAGTTTCATAATATTTATTAGGAAAAGGCTGTAGAAATACATTAAAAAGTTGAAGTTGGATTGAGAGAAGTTGGCAAGGAGAACTGAAGGAATGATTAGAGATACTGTACGGTTATTTGACAAATGGATGGAGTAATGAAGAGTTCTGTACTTACAGGAAATGGGAAATTATCATATTAGTCGCCGACGACATCGATCTCTTCCTCTTTATTTTGGAACATCGGACTAGCTGCCACAAGCGCAAAGAACTGGGCCGGCTGGAAGAATGCGAGATATTGGAGTATCTTGGCATATTCGGAAAGAAGTGGCGGCCATTGGGGAGAGAGAGACGGAGCGGGAGGGACGGAAGCGGCCGGAGCAGGAGAAGCAGTTGCACGCGAGCGGAGGAAGTTGCAGATGATCTCGAGAGTCACAAGGTTCTCCAACTTGTTTCTGAAATGAGAGATAATGTTCGAAATGGGCCTTGAGTTCCTTAACCCTTACCTCTGCTCACTGGTTCCCAGTTCGTTTTCTATGATGAACGACTTGAGAACGTCCATCGCGGCCTTCTCCTTGTCCCGTCGAATCTGCTCCTTCTCGGCCGCCAATCTTCCCTTCCGTTCTCTGTTCCCGTCCTGGCGCGGAGGCGGTGCATGGATGTTCCGGCAAGATCGGAGCAAACTCCTGGCCAGTGATTGCTTCGACCGCTTTGAAGAGGGTCTTTTCTTTGCTGAAATGAATAAATATTATTAATGTTGCAATTGTTGATGGAAAACTTACGAGAGATTTGATTGCACATTGAGAAGCGTGCGAAGATCAATGAATAGAAGGTCCCTATCCTGCCGCTGCTTCTTCTCCTTTCTGGACTTTGCAGAGGAGCTGTAGGCAGTCGGAGCAGGCATTTCAGGCACCTGAACACTTTCGACGTGCTCCCACAGCAAAGAGCCTGCGTTCAGCTCCTCTCTTCTCTTCAGAAGCACCCGCATCGTGTAGATGACGAGCGCGTCGAGCTGTTTGTAAAGCAACTGAGCGAAGCCGTCCAGAAACGACGCGGTGAACGAATTCAGGATTGCATTGATTGCCGCTTTCACAATTTGCGGATCCGACGGATCGTGCGCTTCGATCGTTTTGAGCAGCATCAAATAGCGAAAGTTTGCGAATTCTTTCGGTTTGAACTTGCGAATATATCCGAGAATCGTGTTCCACATACGGACGCCTTGGTCTCCTTCGACGAATGCCAAATTTCGCACGAAAAGGCTGAAGGTTTAATAGTGTATTTTCTGTGAATTCTCACTCACGTTTCGCCGGAATCGAGTTCCTGTCCGTCACTGACTGTTTTCGTAGTCACAATATGCGCCAAATCGGCGAGATGAAGGAGCATCCACGACTTGGCGAACACGAATTGCCGATTCTCAGGCCGCAGATTCATAAAATGCGTGCATTTCGACGCAAACGGCCAGAATCTTCGGAGTCCTTGATTGCTAACGAATTGGCCGGCTTCAAAGATGGTCGGCAGCGATTTCATTTCGAAAATGCTGTCGACGAGCGGAAGGAGCACGTCGAAATAGTGCGGCAACTCTTCTTTCGCATATCTGCCGACCGCCGCGTCCAATTTCTCGAATCCGGCCGCCTTTATCATTCCGCCGTCGCGCCACTCCATCAGCGTTCGGAAGAGGCGCGGCACGATGCTCTGCAGCAACTGCATGATCGTCAACAATCGTTTTATCTCCGGCTCCGTCCGGCTCGTCGGCGGCATTATCGTTTTCAAAAAGTGCGAACATCGATGGAAAATGGCGTTGGCCTGAAGTCCCAGATAGTCCACTCGGTCAAAGTGCATCTTGCGCAGAGATTCGACGGCCGAATCGATTATCCGTGTGTCGTGAGTGACTTGCGACAGACTCAGCACGGCCATCGCACTGAAATTCATTCTGAAAACGAAAAGGAAACATTTCTGGAATCTTCTGCCGTTCTGAACTGACTCTGTGCCGCAAGAGAGTCGCAATTGGCCGTGCCAGTTTTCGACGATTGTGTAGGTGATGTCGAGCACGTGCAAAAAGAGCCATCGCGAGAATCCGTTCCCGCTCGCGCTCCGGTAGCTGACGGATCCCGGGATAATTCCGAATCACCTCCACGTTTCGTTCCATGATTTTCTGCGTCAAATGCATGAGCAAAAAGTGCCGATCGGGCTCGGACGCACTCGTTTTCACCGCGTCCATCACGCTGCGAATCTCGCTCGGCGCCTCCTCCGCATCGACGAAACCGCTCATTCTGAATAGCAGAAAAGTGTAAAAGCGGGACAAGGCGACAATATTTCAGGTGATCAGACCTTCCTAGGCGGAAAGATGGAGGCACTATAAGTCATAGATGTTTATAATTGGTTGCATTATTTAATAGTTGTATTACAAAGGGTACAAGAGCGGGTACAAGGCAAATTCAAGAATAAATTAGATTATTAAAAATAGCAAAAACTGGTTACACTTTTGTTGGTGGAAGGTTAAAATTGATCGCAGGGAGAAGAGAATTACTCAGACTCAGAAAGAAGCCTCCTCTTGCAGAAGCACCTGTTGTCGGAGCTTCTCGACCTCCTGCGACACCTTCTGGATCTCGTCGTCCTTCTCGTCCAATTGCTGGTACAGCTTTACCCGCTCCTCCTCGTACTTCTTCTTCTCCTCGTCCGTGATCGGTCCGTTGCCGGAGATGAGCATCGGCGGTGCGGGCGCGATCGATCTTTCCATAAGTGGAGTGGAACCGCCCGACACTTCCGAGACTGCCATCTGCGCCGTCTCCGACAGGTTGATCCATTCCAATTCGGACACTGATTCGCCGGCTCTCCAGCGGGAGAGTTCCAGGGCGGCTGCTTGGAGAAGGGTTGACAGGCGGGTCACCTAAAAATCATTCATTTTACACAAAAATCACTTGAAAAAAATTTTTCTTGTCCAAAAGGGCAATTACACCAAAAAGCGTACCTTCTCGCGCTCCTTCTCGTATCGGCGCTTCCACTCCTCGGTCGTCAGCTCCTCGTTCACCTGCACCACATTCTTGATCGTCTTGGCTCTCTGTCCGAACAGCAGCGTCGACTTGGTCTCCGCCTCGTTGAAGTGCGACGGCGACGCGCAAATTATGACCGTAGTCCGCGAGTTTCCTCCGAGCGACTCTTGCAGAATGCGCGTCAGTTTCGAGTCACGGTACGGCACGTGCGACTTGGTTCCTTCGGCCAGCGCCGAGATGACAATTCCGAGCGCCGTCAGCGACTTGTTAATGTTTTTGGCCTCCTCTAGCACGGTTCCCTGCGCGCCCGTCTTGCTCACTTTCTCCGATCCGGCCAAATCGACGAGGTACAACTTGCCCGTCAACTGCTTTTTCGTCGTCTGATGCTCCTGTTTGACGGTGATCAGGAAGACCGAGTGCGAGCGGGAGGAGTGCTTGTTCAGGTCTGCAAATTTGCAATTTTCTCTGGTTCCTAATGTTTTCATGGCTTTCCACAACTGGAAATTTCGGAACAGTTTGATAGTGAAATCACTGAAAATCGAGCATTTTAAGGTCCGTGCTCATATCTCAACTAATTCCGCCCGTTTTCAGTTTAAAATGCACACCAAATCTGCAACTCCCACGTTTTTCTTGGAAAAACATAGCAATATCGAATTTCCCGCCTCTTTTTCAGTTTAGGAGACTAGAATTGTTGAGGGGCACATACTGGTGACGGCGACCATCCGGTTCGACTTGCCGTCCTCGATCGCCTGCAGCACTTCGTCGGGACTGCCGACGAATCGCTCGGTGGCGCCCTTCAAGTACGGAACGCGCATTTTGTCCTCGTGAATCGACAAATTCACTTTTTCCGGGTCCAACAGATCGCGAATCTTCTCGTTGTAAATCTCGTAGGAGACTTTGATGTGGAACTGGAGGTCCTGGTCCATTTTGTAGATGTGGTTGGAGATGTCGGCGACGATGCGCGGGATGATGCCCGAAAGGTTGCCGTCGCCGATGACTCCCTCCATCGTGTACGTCTTTCCGGACGACGTCTGACCGTAGGCGAACACGGTGCCGTTGTAGCCGGACAAAACATCCTTCACGATGTGATAGGCGGCCCATTTGTACACTTGCTCTTGTGTCGTGTTCGGTTTGAACACTTTGTCGAACACGTACACTTTTCCCTGCAAAAATTTGGATTTTCACGAGAAGAACTCCAAAATCCGCAACACTATTGTACTTTTCCTAGGCCGATTTGTGCGTGTAACGCGAGAATTGACACACCTGTGCACGTCTGAAACATTCAATTGTGATGGTTCTTATTCTGCTTGCAAACTCACAAATTGCTCGGCGGAATGCGCCTCCCTCCTACTCTATCAGATCCTAATGACTGACACTTCGAAAAGTGGCAGTCACTGCTTGCATCAAGAGTGGGAAGTTTCGTGACTGTTCTTCGCCCTGTTCTTCGTCATCATCTCCTTGCCCTCCTGCTGCTTGTCGTCGGCCTCTCTCTGAATGCGCGAGTTCTCTTCGCGGATGATCTCCTCGTTCTCGCGCATCGTCTGCAGTGCCTCCTCTTGCAGAAGCACCTGTTGTCGGAGCTTCTCGAGCTCCTGCGACACCTTCTGGATCTCGTCGTTCTTCTCGTCCAATTGCTGGTACAGCTTTTACCCGCTCCTCCTCGTACAGGCAGATTTGTGCGTGTAACGCGAGAATTGACACACCTGTGCACGTCTGAAACATTCAATTGTTATGGTTCTTATTCTGCTTGCAAACTCACAAAGTGCTCGGCGAAATGCGCCTCCCTCCTACTCTATCAGATCCTAATGACTGACACTTCGAAAAGTGGCAGTCACTGCTTTGCATCAAGAGTGGGAAGTTTCGTGACTGTTCTTCGCCCTGTTCTTCGTCATCATCTCCTTGCCCTCCTGCTGCTTGTCGTCGGCCTCTCTCTGAATGCGCGAGTTCTCTTCGCGGATGATCTCCTCGTTCTCGCGCATCGTCTGCAGTGCCTCCTCTTGCAGAAGCACCTGTTGTCGGAGCTTCTCGAGCTCCTGCGACACCTTCTGGATCTCGTCGTCCTTCTCGTCCAATTGCTGGTACAGCTTTACCCGCTCCTCCTCGTACAGGCCGATTTGTGCGTGTAACGCGAGAATTGACACACCTGTGCACGTCTGAAACATTCAATTGTTATGGTTCTTATTCTGCTTGCAAACTCACAAAGTGCTCGGCGAAATGCGCCTCCCTCCTACTCTATCAGATCCTAATGACTGACACTTCGAAAAGTGGCAGTCACTGCTTGCATCAAGAGTGGGAAGTTTCGTGACTGTTCTTCGCCCTGTTCTTCGTCATCATCTCCTTGCCCTCCTGCTGCTTGTCGTCGGCCTCTCTCTGAATGCGCGAGTTCTCTTCGCGGATGATCTCCTCGTTCTCGCGCATCGTCTGCAGTGCCTCCTCTTGCAGAAGCACCTGTTGTCGGAGCTTCTCGAGCTCCTGCGACACCTTCTGGATCTCGTCGTTCTTCTCGTCCAATTGCTGGTACAGCTTTACCCGCTCCTCCTCGTACAGGCCGATTTGTGCGTGTAACGCGAGAATTGACACACCTGTGCACGTCTGAAACATTCAATTGTTATGGTTTCTTATTCTGCTTGCAAACTCACAAAGTGCTCGGCGAAATGCGCCTCCCTCCTACTCTATCAGATCCTAATGACTGACACTTCGAAAAGTGGCAGTCACTGCTTGCATCAAGAGTGGGAAGTTTCGTGACTGTTCTTCGCCCTGTTCTTCGTCATCATCTCCTTGCCCTCCTGCTGCTTGTCGTCGGCCTCTCTCTGAATGCGCGAGTTCTCTTCGCGGATGATCTCCTCGTTCTCGCGCATCGTCTGCAGTGCCTCCTCTTGCAGAAGCACCTGTTGTCGGAGCTTCTCGAGCTCCTGCGACACCTTCTGGATCTCGTCGTTCTTCTCGTCCAATTGCTGGTACAGCTTTACCCGCTCCTCCTCGTACAGGCAGATTTGTGCGTGTAACGCGAGAATTGACACACCTGTGCACGTCTGAAACATTCAATTGTTATGGTTCTTATTCTGCTTGCAAACTCACAAAGTGCTCGGCGAAATGCGCCTCCCTCCTACTCTATCAGATCCTAATGACTGACACTTCGAAAAGTGGCAGTCACTGCTTGCATCAAGAGTGGGAAGTTTCGTGACTGTTCTTCGCCCTGTTCTTCGTCATCATCTCCTTGCCCTCCTGCTGCTTGTCGTCGGCCTCTCTCTGAATGCGCGAGTTCTCTTCGCGGATGATCTCCTCGTTCTCGCGCATCGTCTGCAGTGCCTCCTCTTGCAGAAGCACCTGTTGTCGGAGCTTCTCGAGCTCCTGCGACACCTTCTGGATCTCGTCGTTCTTCTCGTCCAATTGCTGGTACAGCTTTACCCGCTCCTCCTCGTACAGGCCGATTTGTGCGTGTAACGCGAGAATTGACACACCTGTGCACGTCTGAAACATTCAATTGTTATGGTTCTTATTCTGCTTGCAAACTCACAAAGTGCTCGGCGAAATGCGCCTCCCTCCTACTCTATCAGATCCTAATGACTGACACTTCGAAAAGTGGCAGTCACTGCTTGCATCAAGAGTGGGAAGTTTCGTGACTGTTCTTCGCCCTGTTCTTCGTCATCATCTCCTTGCCCTCCTGCTGCTTGTCGTCGGCCTCTCTCTGAATGCGCGAGTTCTCTTCGCGGATGATCTCCTCGTTCTCGCGCATCGTCTGCAGTGCCTCCTCTTGCAGAAGCACCTGTTGTCGGAGCTTCTCGAGCTCCTGCGACACCTTCTGGATCTCGTCGTTCTTCTCGTCCAATTGCTGGTACAGCTTTACCCGCTCCTCCTCGTACAGGCAGATTTGTGCGTGTAACGCGAGAATTGACACACCTGTGCACGTCTGAAACATTCAATTGTTATGGTTCTTATTCTGCTTGCAAACTCACAAAGTGCTCGGCGAAATGCGCCTCCCTCCTACTCTATCAGATCCTAATGACTGACACTTCGAAAAGTGGCAGTCACTGCTTGCATCAAGAGTGGGAAGTTTCGTGACTGTTCTTCGCCCTGTTCTTCGTCATCATCTCCTTGCCCTCCTGCTGCTTGTCGTCGGCCTCTCTCTGAATGCGCGAGTTCTCTTCGCGGATGATCTCCTCGTTCTCGCGCATCGTCTGCAGTGCCTCCTCTTGCAGAAGCACCTGTTGTCGGAGCTTCTCGAGCTCCTGCGACACCTTCTGGATCTCGTCGTCCTTCTCGTCCAATTGCTGGTACAGCTTTACCCGCTCCTCCTCGTACAGGCCGATTTGTGCGTGTAACGCGAGAATTGACACACCTGTGCACGTCTGAAACATTCAATTGTTATGGTTCTTATTCTGCTTGCAAACTCACAAAGTGCTCGGCGAAATGCGCCTCCCTCCTACTCTATCAGATCCTAATGACTGA